GCATTGCACGAGGTGCTCCAGTGCTTGTGGGCCAGGGTGGCCAAGTCGTAGGTGCCAGAGCCTTGCAAATGCTTTATTGGGTCGTCGTTGGGTGTAGGAATTGTACAGATTTCGGCGTGCAAAGAAGGCAGCTTTGGAATATTGTACTGGAAGGTCTTCGAGGACGTACTGGTCGTACCGATCAAGTAGGTAGCACAGAACTGAATTGTTGGACTTGCGTACGCAGTTATTGCCAGGACTATTGTCCCACCAGAATCCTTGCTTTCGTAGTTGCCGGAAAGATACTAGGTTGCATGCAAATCCAGGGCAGTAGGCTACATCTGTAAGCCGTAGGAGTTGCTTTCCTCTTGGCCCTTGGATCTCGACGTAGACCGTTCCGTACCCATAGATTTCGACAGGTTGCTCCCCAGCCCACACAAAATCGCCTTCGGGGGCCGTTTGGAAGTTGAGAAATCGTGTAATCTGGTTAAATATGTGAATAGTAGTTCCGGAGTCTAGAATAGCCGAATTCTTCAAAGGGTACTCAGCTGTCTTTTTAACCACAAAGCTTCCAGAGCAACTGCCGATCTTACGGCCTAGTCAGCTCTGTTTTTGAAGCTGGATTTCTTTGATCTTCTCTTGTAGTTGTGGGTCTTTGAGAGCGTTGTTTACCCTGTTACGGATATGCTCTCTCTCCACAAAACTCTCAGGTGCCAAATTTGGAAATGCATAAAAGCATCTTGCGAGACGGTGGAACTGGTCGCACGCAGGGCATATAGTAGAGGCTGTGCCCGAAGCTTCTTGCTTCTTTTTAGGTCTTTTGCCATCTGGGATACTGGCTGTGCCCGAGGCCGTATTTGGTCTCTTTTTAGGTCTTTTGCCTTCACCAGAACCAACCCTTTTGCGTTTCTGACCCTTTTGCTCCCCCTCATCCCCATCGGATACGATTTCGCTATCAGAAGCGTCCTCCTGATAGGCCTCTTTACCACGAGTTATGGCGGCAAAGGAAGGGCCGAACGAGCCTTTACCTACACGGTTGCCAACCGGTACGCGGGCATTCGCCAGTCGCCGTGCTTCCTTTCGAAAATCGTGGGCAACTTCCCGATAGGTAAGAGTTAACTGCTTGATCTTTGTTTGTTGCACCAGCTCGTAAGCTGTAACCCAGTTGCCTAAAATAGGCTGTACAGCTTTTATAAAGTCGTTGAACCAGGATCTTAGCCGTGTCGCTTCTGGTACGCCTTTGTCTTGTGCTGTAGATAGAGCATTCTCCCATTGTTCTGACCATTTGATTAGGTCTTTAGGGAGTCGTGTAAGTGGCTTGATTGCTAGCTGATAGGCTTCTCGAGCGTCTTCTATCGCCTCGTCGTCGCTAATACCTGCTTGAGTCTGCAAGGCATTGTACCAATCCAGGATTGACTTGGTTGGTTTGCATGAGGTACGTTGATAGTGCGTGCTCACTGTTTTCAATACCCACTGCTTCAGTCGTTCAATCCTGTCGAATTGCTGAGTATAATCCTTGAGGTTGGCTTGGTAGATAGTCCATTCCATCTGGTAAGTCTTGAACCCATCAGTGGTTAGGTCAGCGATCGTGATTGGAATACTAGCTGGGCTAGCTTCTTCGTCGTCAGCAACCGATACGCTGGTGCCGCGGACCGTAACCGACAATTGACTAGGGGTCTTGTGTTTGTGTCTGGCCGGATCAGGGGCGGTAGGTTTGTTGAGAAAAGGGGTAAGCCCCTGAATCTGGGACCAGATGTCTCCGGCCACCGCCTGGGCTTGGAACTGCAAATTCCAGGTTTCCCAGTTGTCCGAGCTGTTCAGCGCGACAGTCTTGTCGTTGTTGGTGGTGGTCATCTTGACTGTTGGTCTTGGAAAAGAATGTTAAAGAATTGCGTGTCGGAAGCGCTGTTGACTTCGCAGTCCTGATAGTAGGTGGCTGACTAATCGGCTGATTGAGCGGATGAATGAGACTCTTAATTGTCAGACTGCAACAGCACTTCTAGGATTGTGTGCACCAGAGTGAATTGCTCTTGTTCTCGTCCTCCAGTCTTTCCACAAAAGACTCTCTCTCTTATACTTCCTTATGTGGCAATTACATGACGAAACCCAGTGGCGAAGATTACGCACCATAGATTCCAGAACCTTCTAGGCCATTCCATCTGACAGTTATGCACTGACCACATCCTAAACCAGAATGTCTGGTCGGGGTGTGCCAGCTCTTACCACCTGTCTGGCACCTGCCGTGACACTGAGGATACGGCCGCAAACCAACTACTACTGTCCGCGACATCCAAGACATCGTCACCGCTCACTCATGATTCAACCGTAAATAGCGACCCCTTGCTTTATCTCCCCTATCAGGCTCCAAGCAACGCCAAAAACGAGCAGTAGCAGACATTAACGGGGAGGGTTATGAAGAGAAATGCCAGCTTTCAGGATTGTAATGTCGCTCTATTCTACTTCTTCAGACTAACACATAGCACAGATCATAGCATACCTCACCTACCGCAAAAGGAAACAAAAATACAGGAGGAATTCCATACGACAGGTGTTAAGGAAGTGGGGAGATATGTATTTACGAGGCGAGTCTCAATGTGTACGATTGAGATCTTTACTGACGCGCTTTGGCGAACAATAGGATTAAGCACCTGCTAAGGGTCAACCAACAAGACCACATTGACCAGGTTGAGAAGCTGGTGGGCGTCAAATAACAAGACTAAATTGACCGGATTGAGATGCTAGTGACAACTATCGGTGGCCAGGTTGAGAAGCTGGTGAACGCTAACCAACAAGACCACATTGGCCGGATTGAGAAGCTAGTGGCAACTATCGGTGGCCAGGTTGAGAAGCTGGTGCGTGGCCATGGTGCCACAGAGTCGGAGCGTTCACTGCCAGCTCCACCGCCGCCTCTACCTCCTCCGCCGGAGAATTACGAGGCGTGTCTCGGCGGCTTTCGCAAGCCTGTTTTGCATCTGTGTCCTCTCCTCACACCCGATGAGATCCAACCTAATAGGGCCAGGTCGCTCTTGGAGAGCGACCAGCCAGCGGAGAAAGCGGTCGGTCTTCTTGTCTGTGCCCTGGGTTAGTGGTGCCAGGATGCTCAGGAGCGTCGTGGCGGCCAATCTAGTGTGTACTACACGGAGGCCATTTGCCAAGTAGAAGGCAGCCATGGGGACAGTCGATTTCACCTCTATGCTTATATTTTCATAGCACTTTATCGCGGGTTGTGCGGAGATGTTTATGGAAGCGGCAGCGCCATCATCACCAAAGCCGCAGTCATATTGTGTACTCAGACTCTCCTGTTGTCTAAGACTTCGCACAAGGATGTCACTGCAGAAGAAAACTCCTTGAGGGTGGCTTTTTGGATTTGCGTGGGAATGGAGAGGTACGAACTCCATGATATGAAGTACAACTGATACATATTAACATAATTATATAGTGAATTTTGTTCGCTTCTCCCATACCATAGAATCCTTATAGGGGCCCTGTGACGGCCCGCCTTACGCAGTAGGGATGTCACTGGTTGAAGGCAGCAACGAATGTGGATTTAAAGCTAAGGAAGAGAAAGGAATCTATCGCCGGGTCTGCGCAGGGCGCGGAGAAATAGGTAGTGGTGCTCAGTGCGCACAGGCCACACCCTAAGCACAATGCAGCCAATAGAATCAATCCTGTCACATGAGCCCTGTGGCGACCGTGACAGGCCCGGATTAGTTCTTTGCCTCCCGTCGCTCAGGTTTTATTAGTAAATGGTATCGATAGAGATACTACCTTGACTACGACTGCGTCTGTATGGCTGTATCGTACCATAAACTGGGCAGCAACTCAACCTATCCGGTTTTATTACGCTCTCTCGAAATGGGCTTGCCGTCGGCCGTTCCGCTCGACCTTAATGCCCCGGCGTCAAACATCACGATAGCACTTCAGTAGGCTACGCGCTGGAATATAGTGGCTACAAGCTCGATGTCGTTCATTCACAATTTCTGTGACGGTAATATTACCCCTGCGAATTTGGATATGGCCGAACGAGGCATCCGTGGTTTAGTACGGAGTTTGGAAGTCTTCCATCATTTTTCGGCACCAGCGATAGTGCTAAACGCTGTCGGGGTTGCTTACTAGTAATGTTAGCCCGTTGAGACTCAAGCTATTGATACTAACTACTAACCATCGGTAGGTAAGTCCGAAATATGTTACTTATTGAGAAGTGTCGTGGCAATAGAACCGAGTATAGTTGGTCGAATATCGTTCTGGATATTGACGAGCTTCTGTATCGTATAACTTCCTTTTTGGACGCCTTATTAGTCGGACCTAGTGGTTTGACTATTGATAAAGCCGCGCTGGCGTTTCGACGAAAGTGGGCGGTATCTTGCGAAGTTAGGTCTATTAATAGCATTACGTGGGAAGTCCTTCGGGTTAACGATAAGGAAATTAGTTACGGTGGCTTTCAATATAGATAGCGTTAAGGATGGGGATATTAAAGGCGGGGATGAGTAGCTTCCGAGTACTCGAGCTACGCAAACCACGTTCTCACAACTATCTTCCCTTGCTTATATCTTTATATCTTACCTTTATATTTATTTGTATTCTCTTCCGACTCCCGTTCCTCTACTTTATGTTCACCGCGATAGACTCAGAACCATGACCCTCGAAAGCAGAGCCAGCAGCGTTAGTAACTCGCCACAGCCAACACCGTCCTCTAAGCAGGGAGACGTACCGTACCATCTATCTATTAACGTACCAGACCCCGCCTGATCGAGCTCCTTGCCCCTGGTTACGGAATTGCCCTCTCTGGAGACCTCACTTAGGCCCGTCGTTGTGCTAGCTCTCGAGGAGGAGACAAAGTCGAGCTCGAGATAGGGGGTCATAGCGATGGTCGTAATTAGTCTCGATATTGTCCGCCAGGGCGATGCCCGTCCCAACTCTTGGCTGCTACCATGATCGTATTCTCATTAGCCGTTATCGTACTTTACATGGGAAGGCGGCAAAGCTAGCGGGCCGGCCTAGCACCGCCCTGCGTGCCGCAGTAAACCACCACGGGAGACGGTCAAACATATTCACCCGAGCGCGCGTCACGAGAACGGGCCACTATATATTAAGTCTAGTATATAGGGGTAGCGGCCCGGGTTGACAACACTTCCATCTGTATTGAATGCTGACAGGCCGGCCGCCGCTCCTGGCTACCATCAACCCTCCCCGCCAACACTCGCCTGAACTGTTTCGAGTACCGACATTCGACCTTGCTCCTCGAAAGAGAGACCGAATCTGCGGCTAGGACTTCCACTTAACCGAGAAGCCGGTTCCTACCAAAACGCCACCCGGCTGTTGGCAACCTCAGCCTGTTCCTCATTTCAAGCAGCAAAAACCCTCGCACGTCGCTTCTTCTCTCTCGCAAATCCCCATGAAACTTGCCATACCAGGGTAACAATTGGGATGCTGAGAAAGAGGGCCCAGAGAGCTACCCAACCCAGTATTATAGCGATAGAGAACACCCAAAATCCTCGACCTATATCTTGTAGTCCAGACTCGCTCAGCCCATCAAACCAAGGGTCATCTGTCGGCACTGAGAGTGCAACTTGCATGGATGATAGAACAAGGGATATACCGGCAAAGATAAACAACAGAGGCATAGTCGCCCTCGATACAAAGCTGGTGATAGACCAATGGGGGATCTCGTAGAACCACATCGTCCTCGCGTGTCGCGGGCGGAATATTCAGACGGCCCAGTTCAGCCGCGAGATGCGCAACTGCCCGTAATGATATCGCCTCGCGACGCTCTCATCAGAGAGATGGCGGAAGTGGGTGATGAATTTTGACCATTGAAGCCAGTCACTTACATCGTCAGGAATCAGGTAGGCCTCTTTCGCCAACATGAAATCCAGACGATGCGGCACGAGTAAAGCATATGACCGCAAGAATCCAACTGCAATCGAGCTGTCGAAGCCTGAAGATGAATTCTGTGTCGAAGGCTGTAGATATGTTGTCCAAAATTCGTAGTTGAGTAGGAATACAGGAATGGGCTTTATGTAGATTCTGTCCGGGTGCCAAGTGAGATGGAGTCTGGGATCCTCAGTAGGGACAATGCTTCGGCCTTTGACCTTTTGCGTATGGAGCGGGTCAATGTTTCGGCTGGACTTCTTCGCGACAATCCAGAGCTTCTCGTAAAGCTCGTCTAGGAGCACAGTTTCCAGGTGATGAGAGAGATGATTATAGACGTTGTCGGGGAGAAGACTGATAGAGGGATCTCCTGGTACGTGCGTTATAGATCCTGCCGCGTTTTCTGGTTCGGATGAGCCATTTTGAATGCTTACGCCATCGTAAGGGCTGAGACGGTCTGTATTCGGAGCACAGGATGGTGGAAAAGGAATTTGAGAATGGATTAAAGTAGACATCTGTTGTATTTAGATGGCGAGTTGGAGGTAATTTGTTGGCCATTAGGTAGATAGTCATGATGAAAAGTGCCTCATGAGGGGCTTAGCTGGCCGCCTCGTCGTAATTGGACGTCGATCGCTGACGATGGAGCGGGCACCCCACCCCGCAGGGCGGACGCTTCCAACCTCAGGCAACAACAACTCGCTTACGGTGGGCTGAAATATTCCAACGCTTTTCGTTCTGTGCAGAGTCCAATACCGCTTTCTACAGTACTATCTAGCGACCCAGCTACAAACGTCAAAGCTACCACGCAAAGCAAAAACACCTACACACACCAAACCCTAGGTCCGTTGATAAGCCGGGAGGTGACATCGGCTGCGACGAGAAACTGCACAGACCCGATCATCTGAAGGAGCGGGGTCGACCCCACTACGGAAACAGCCGAGCCGCCATGGACTTGACGACGGCAGCATACCTCCTCATCTTTCTCCTCTCGATCGCGTTTCTCTACGGCCAAGCCGCAAAGAGAGTACCCAGCCGGCTAGACTCTAACCAAGCCCCGAAGGCGAGATTCGAACTCGTCCCAACGGGCGCCAACGGTTTGCCCAGGCAGGCAGACGGATTTGAGTACGTGCAACCGAGGTGCTGCTGCACGCGAGATTTCTAACAGAGGTAGTATTGTCTTCGTCCACGGCCTAGGATCTAACCCCGATACGACGTGGCGAGCGACGAAACCTATAACCGGGGGCAACATACCTGGGGAAGCGGCGCCGGATAGCGAGTTCGTGAACTGGGTCAGCGACTTTCTCCCCTGCGACATTCTTCCGACGGGCAGCACCGACATTCGCATATTCTTTTACAACTACGACTCATACTGGAAGAGGGATGCGGTGCATACACGGTTGACAAACCTCGGAAATGAGCTCCTTGAGCACATCAATGGGGGGATCCGTGCGTCCGAGATGGTGAGTATTGAAGATTAGGCTCGGCTTTGGAATATTGCTGACGCGCTCCGGCCCTAGGAGAAAAGCCGGAACTTGATCTTCGTGGCGTACAGCTTTGGTGGTCTGGTTGTCAAACGGGTAAGCCGACAAGCCGCTCTAGATAACGGCGTATACTGACTGTAGTAGGCACTTGTTCAAGCCCGAGCGAGGCGAGACTTTGGCCACATCATTGACCATACTAAGGCGATTCTCTTCCTAGGTGCGCCGCATCGCGGGACCAGCTTCGGCACATGGGGCTGGTTAGCGGCACAAGCTCTTCAGCCGCTTGGGTCGAATCCACCGCTGTTGGCTAATTTGGGATATGATTCAACTTCGTTGCTCGACCTACATAAGGACTTTGTAGCGGCTGCACCAGACGACTTACGTGTTTTTAACTTCTTTGAGAATAGACCGACGCAAATTCTCCGGACATGGTTCGTTCAATGGCAGCAATTTGTAATTACCGTGGGATGTCAGCCTAGACGGTGCGAATGCTAATGCCAGATCCAGTGTGTCCGCGAGCAGTCCGCCACCTATGAGTACCGAAACGTTCGAAACATCGGGCTATCTGTTGACCACTATGGGCTCAATAAGTTTACATCAAAAAACGAAAGCTACATGATAATACTTTCGAAGTTGATGGAAGTAACAAAGTCCTGCACTCAGACGGTGAAGCGTTACTACGCTGTCCCGCTTGAGACGGTGCATACCTATACGGAGCGAGCCGAGCTGTCGGCGAAACTCGAGCAGAAGCTCCAGATACGGCACGAGAAAGCAAGCGTTCCATACGCGGTTGCTCTTTACGGATTAGGTGGGACTGGCAAATCCCAGCTGGCGCTAGCCTACGCCGAGAAGCATAAAGATCGATACAACCCCATCTTCTGGATCGACGCGACAGACGAGGAGGCAGTGCGATCTAGCTTCAGACGATGTGCCGCCGAGCTTAGGCTTCCAGAGGAGCGTGCGGAGAAGCAAGAGTCCGTTCTGACAGACGGAGTCGTGCAAGCAGTGCTCCGATGGCTTCGCGACAGAACAGAGACAGACAACGAATGGCTGGTGATTGTTGACAATGCAGACGATGTCAGCTGGGGGATCCAGAAGATCATGCCAAAGGGGAACCGGGGAAGCGTCGTCGTAACCAGCCGCGACGACAGAAGCGTGAGGCTCGTCCCAGGGGCCTGCGAACCGGTGCACGTTGGCGTTATGTTACCGGTGGAAGGAGTGGCGCTTCTCCTCCAACACCTACAGCCCAGCGTAGAGTCGGCTTCGGAGGGGATCCGACGCGACTGCGGCAAGATAGCGCAACGACTTGGATATCTGGCGCTTGCCATCGACCTTGCGGGCGCCTACATTAGCAACGACTCCGCACCTGAGCATGCCTTGTCGCAGTATCTTGCGGATTACGACAGACACCGCGATGAGCTCCTACAAATGGACGGCTTCCGGGGGCTGTTGCCAACACAGTTGACGGTGTGGACAGTGTGGGATACCACCCTCGAGAAGATTAAGAGAGAGCATTCGCGTCTGCAGCCCGAGCTACTGCTGACTTTCCTAGCGCAGTTCAAAGGCAGCATTGTGCAGGACGAATTGTTCCGTCTGGCGTGTCTTGGCATGACAACGGTCGACGCTCAGCTAGACGGTGAAGCTGACGAAGTCATGCCGGTCGGTCTCCGGCAGTTTCTATCACTTTACAAGGGTGAATGGGATAGTTTCCGGTACCGGCAGAGCCGCGATGTACTGGTCCGCTACAGCCTGCTGCATCGAGCGGAGGGGCAGTGGCCTGGAGTGACCATGCACAGTCTTGTGCAATGGCGAGCAATGCAGAAGCAGAACGAGCCAGATCGATTGTGGCGCTGGTGGTATATAACGTTTATTCTAGCGGCGTGCTGTCAAATGACAGGAGGAAAGGAGCAGCCTGAGTTCCGCCGACATCTGATGGTACATCTTCCGGATATAAGCAAAAACAATGCCGAAGATAGGGACCGGAGAAGATATGGGGATTTTGTGGGATTTAGGCTTGGTCGCGTATATTACGACGAAGGACGGTGGGAGGAGGCCGAGAAGCTGTTTGTGCAGGTGATGGAGACGAGTAAGACCAAGCTCGGGGCCGATCACCCAGATACGCTAACGAGCATGGCCAACCTTGCGTCGACATTTTGGAACCAGGGCCGGTGGGAGGAGGCCGAGAAGCTGGGGGTGCAGGTGATGGAGACTCGCAAGACCAAGCTCGGGGCCGATCACCCTTCTACGCTAACGAGCATGGCCAACCTTGCGTCGACATTTTGGAACCAGGGCCGGTGGGAGGAGGCCGAGAAGCTGGAGGTGCAGGTGATGGAGACGAGCAAGACCAAGCTCGGGGCTGATCACCCTTCTACGCTGTCGAGCATGGCCAACCTAGCGTCGACATACGGGAACCAGGGCCGGTGGGAGGAGGCCGAGAAGCTGGGGGTGCAGGTGATGGGGACTCGCAAGACCAAGCTCGGGGCCGATCACCCTTCTACGCTGTCGAGCATGGCCAACCTAGCGTCGACATTTTGGAACCAGGGCCGGTGGGAGGAGGCCGAGAAGCTATTTGTGCAGGTGATGGAGACGAGCAAGACCAAGCTCGGGGCCGATCACCCTTCTACGCTAACGAGCATGGCCAACCTTGCGTCGACATATAGGAACCAGGGCCGGTGGGAGGAGGCCGAGAAGCTGGGGGTGCAGGTGATGGAGACGAGCAAGACCAAGCTCGGGGCCGATCACCCTTCTACGCTAACGAGCATGGCCAACCTTGCGTCGACATATAGGAACCAGGGCCGGTGGGAGGAGGCCGAGAAGCTGGGGGTGCAGGTGATGGAGACGAGCAAGACCAAGCTCGGGGCCGATCACCCAGATACGCTAACGAGCATGGCCAACCTTGCGTCTACATACAGGAACCAAGGCCGGTGGGAGGAGGCCGAGAAGCTGTTTGTGCAGGTGATGGAGACGAGCAAGACCAAGCTCGGGACCGATCACCCAGATACGCTAACGAGCATGGCCAACCTTGCGTCGACATTTTGGAACCAGGGCCGGTGGGAGGAGGCCGAGAAGCTGGGGGTGCAGGTGATGGAGACTCGCAAGACCAAGCTCGGGGCCGATCACCCAGATACGCTAACGAGCATGGCCAACCTTGCGTCTACATACAGGAACCAGGGCCGGTGGGAGGAGGCCGAGAAGCTGGGGGTGCAGGTGATGGAGACTCGCAAGACCAAGCTCGGGGCCGATCACCCAGATACGCTAACGAGCATGGCCAACCTTGCGTCGACATTTTGGAACCAGGGCCGGTGGGAGGAGGCCGAGAAGCTGGGGGTACAGGTGATGGAGACTCGCAAGACCAAGCTCGGGGCCGATCACCCTTCTACGCTAACGAGCATGGCCAACCTTGCGTCGACATTTTGGAACCAGGGCCGGTGGGAGGAGGCCGAGAAGCTGGGGGTGCAGGTGATGGAGACTCGCAAGACCAAGCTCGGGGCCGATCACCCAGATACGCTAACGAGCATGGCCAACCTTGCGTCGACATTTTGGAACCAGGGCCGGTGGGAGGAGGCCGAGAAGCTGGGGGTGCAGGTGATGGAGACGAGCAAGACCAAGCTCGGGGCCGATCACCCTTCTACGCTGTCGAGCATGGCCAACCTAGCGTCGACATACGGGAACCAGGGCCGGTGGGAGGAGGCCGAGAAGCTGGGGGTGCAGGTGATGGGGACTCGCAAGACCAAGCTCGGGGCCGATCACCCTTCTACGCTGTCGAGCATGGCCAACCTAGCGTCGACATTTTGGAACCAGGGCCGGTGGGAGGAGGCCGAGAAGCTATTTGTGCAGGTGATGGAGACTCGCAAGACCAAGCTCGGGGCCGATCACCCAGATACGCTGTCGAGCATGGCCAACCTCGCTTGTACTTGGAAAAGTCAAGGTCGACACGCTAATGCTTTAGCTCTGATGGAGGATTGTACCCAGGCTCAGCGGCGGGTTCTTGGCCAAAAGCATCCCGAAACGCTATCGTCTTTGGCTACCATTGCAAAGTGGAGTAGCTAGGGTGGGCTTTATTATTACTTTGTACGTATCTGGAAGATTCTTCTAGCTTTTTCTTATGAGACGAGTGATACGTATAGTATGTACTAGACAGTATTGTAGATTAGGTATGCAATTAGTGGGTTAGTTTGAGCCTTATGGCCTTGTATTTGATTAGTCGGTCGTTACAGGACTTGTTCGCACGTGGTGGCGCGCGAGCCAAGCGCCGAAAGCAGTCAATGCATTTTTGTTCCCCCAAGCTTCCGGCTCCCGGCTCCAGCAAGTTTTGGAGCCGACTTGTTTCGATATAAAGCGACCTGCGATGTACTGTGTGACCCACAGCTAGGACAAAATGGCCCGTGCGGAGAAAGTTTGAACATTGAAATCGTGGACACTGATTTCGGTCTGTACTATATTCGGAGAATCTAAAAGCTAAGGAAAAGAGGAAGCTATCGACGCTAGCAGGGGAGCTTCGGTGGAATTGGGTAAATATTGGCTACAAGACCCTGCATGGTACCGCTAAGAGCTCTATTTACGGTATATTCCGTAGCGATTTTGTCACAATATTGGGATTAGTGAGCAAGAAAGATATAGAAGCTGCTATGTGATTCTTCGCCACCAGCTTTTGCCACTATTCATAACTATAAAAAAGAGACTTTTGACCCTGCCAAAGGGAACAAGAGATTAGACCTTTTCAGACAATTCAAGCCTTACCTCCCTGCATCAAATGCTTCATTTCCGTTGCCCTGTGAATGCGCGTGACAGTTTTAATTAGGCATTCCATTTCACGTGCCTATGCGAGACGGAGTAGTGGGCGTTTCTAAAAACGGCATTCTATCAGCTAAACTCGACACGGAATCCGTTTTAATCAAGATAAGAGATAAGACGCCGCATTTTCTTCTGGAGCCCCATTTTCGACTCCTGTATACCCTCATTTTCAGCCACTTTGAGTCTCAGAGACAAGGCTTCCGACCGCTAGACTAGTAGTTGAGTGGGTGACCACCAGCGAATCCCTAGTGCTGTATGTTTTTGGCACTTCTTTTTTCACGGGCGCCCTTGCCAGTATTCTTTTAGGCTCAATCGTATCGTTGCGCTAGTGGCATTCCAGCGGTGGCCGTGGCGGCGGCACATCTTTTTCGTCGCTTGGCGTCATTACTGCTGCAGCCGTCGCTGCGCCGCCGATGGTACCTAACAGGCTCACCCCCGTCGGGATTAGCGAACTCCTACTAGTCAACGTCATCATTACCGTCAGGCTTCTTAGAGACGATGAACCCTAGCTTGAATAAGATAGTAGCCCGATATATTTCTCACCAAGTCCAAGTCGGTAGGCCCGCATTTGAAAAATATTACTACCCAATACAATGGCGACTATCTTCCTCATTCTTTCAGATACGTACGACGATGCCTTCCCCGACCCAGCGTCGCTCCCCGGCAAGGTCGACGTCGTACTCCACTACGGGGACCTTACCATAATCGGAGTCCTGAGCAACTATAAGAAATCCATCGCCAATAGCCGCCTAGATTTGGCGCCTGCATTTGGCGCATCGGGCGGTGGGGGCTGCGGTTGAGGGACCCCAACCGCAGCCATCGCGGCGCCTCGAAAAACACGCGCTCCGGGTAATATATTAGTAGAGATCAATAGGGTAATAATCGTAAAGTATTCGGCGTGCCTATTCATAGCTGGAAAGCGTTAAATCGGGCGTGCGATTGAAGTTATATTACGAAGAAACTGGTTCATTTTGGCGGGGGAGCTGGCTAGAAAGTTGAAGATACCGCACGGACCACCCACAACGGATTGACAGCTATCCTACCACCAAAACAAATTCTCGTGATAATTCTACTGCGGTGCAGGGGTAAGTTTCCCACCACATCAAGTATCTCAGAACTGACAGGGGTTCCGCGCTAGCAATACTGTACAATATAACCACTAGATCTACAGCTAGTATTTTGTGTGCATTCCATCCGCCTTGATCACTGCCTCGCACCGGCTAGGCATCGAGTCAAGTAATGTTTGGAGATGGGATTCCGGGAGCTGTTGCCAAGCCTCCTCCACGTAGGTCTTCAACTTGGTATATGACGGCCAACAAGATTCATAGGGTTCAGGTCTGGAGAAAAAGGGGGCCATTCAATCACTTTGATCTTCGGATTCTCAAGGTCCTTCTTTGTGCCAGCCGCTCGGTGGCCAGGTGCGCCATCTTGCATAAAAGAAAGCTGTAAACCGTGCCGCTCGAAAGTATCGTCGATGAATTCGTGGATGTCGGGTAAGATATGCCTGCGGTAAGATTGTTGATCGATCCCCATTCCTTTTCCCAGAAGATTCCAGGGCCTTTAGTTGAGCCGTAAAAACAACCCCAAAACATCCACCCTCCCTTTCTCTGGTGTTTTTCCACGATACAGGTAGGGTACTATTCCTCATCGATTTGGCGTATAACGTACTGTTTATGATGAGGGCTACTAACTACCCAAGTCTCATTGCTCTAAAGGATTATACGCTACTGCTCAGGAGTCTAATCTTCATGTTCTATAGCCCAAGCTAGTCATTTCTTCCGGTTGGCTTCTGTAATAGGGGGCTTTCGGCGAGCAACTCGACGGCGAAATCCGTGACGGTAAAGGGCATTGCGAATCGTAATCCAACTAAAAAGGCTGCTAAAAAGGACTATAGAAAGTTCCAAGAAGCTCATCCTGCGGTGCTCTTTCGATAAAGACACATACTGAATAAGCTCCAGCTCTTGATTAGATGTAATAACACGTGGCCGACCAGACCGTGGTGCAACCTCGGCCGAAAGAGCTCGTATCGCATGACGAATATGGTATTTTGTATAACCGGTGGCTTCTTGGATCTGGGGTTGGCTAAGGTGGCCGTCAAAATAGAGGGTACGAATACGCTGACGCTGTTCAGCAGCAAGGTGGCGGTTAGAAGGCATTGTGGTAGCTTGCAGGCTAGCTTATTAGTTGTAAGGTGGAAATTCTGGTATGGAGGAAATTGTGGTAGAAATCTGGCCGAGGTGGGCCTAGTCTAGCACTAAAAATACAGGGTCCCTGGTCGGTACTTAACAAGGGGGCAAAATTTTTGTACGTAACCACAGTATATTTCGATGTTCATGGTCTAATTGTTGGATTTCTAGGGGGCAAGCCCTCTAGGACCCCCAGTGCCTGCGGCGCTTTTGCCCTGCCGCGCGCTCCTGCAGGTTACAAAGCTGCAATTGGAATCCCCCCAAGGCGATCCTTCCTATAACGGCCTCACGACAACAAAGCAGCATTTAACGGCTTAACACGTCCGAGGATTATCCGATCGACCAGTCCCTCGAGTCCATTTCGACACGGACGAAAACTAGCCAACCGCAGTGTGAGAAACTTTCGGCACTCTTACGGTAATATAGAATACAGCCTCTCTACGCCACCTCCGGCTCGCAAGCTCGCCTACGGTGGCTCCGTTCAGCTGAAAGATGCCAGCGTCAGGTCAGACGACCTAGAGGAGCAGGCCATGGCCACGGCCGCCCTCGGGGCGGCCGTTGGGGAGCGCGCGGCGCAGGACGAGTGGCAGTGCTGCAGCTGCACCGACGGCAAGACATCGGCGGCGTGCAACCAGGTTGGCTTCGGCATGTGCGCCGGCGAGGACTTCTACAGGCTGTGGCTAGGCCACGGCCACGACTTCGACAACTTCTTCGACGCAGGGCGGCGCATTGGACCACTGCCAGTAGGGCGAACGGCGCAAACGCGGGACTGGTGCAGTCCAGGGGTGGGTCTGACGAGCCAGTGTGGGGTGGATTGTAGAGTGGTTGCTTTCTCTTCTTTCCTGAGCGCCGCTGGAAAAAGTCTCTCTGTGCCAGTTAGTCATCAATCCCTTGTTTTTACGTCTAGCCAGACTCGCTCGTTATAGCATCATGTCTCCAAGCACCAGTCGTGGACACAAACCAGCCTGCCCTTGTATGTGTCTCTTTCACACGGGTATCGCCTCTGCTTTGATTGCTAAAAGAAATGTGATTCTGTCTATCGTAGCCCCGTGCCATGCAAAATCTGACTCTGGCCATGCAGAATCTGACTCTGGGACGTTGAACTAACTTGCCGGGTAGCCAGCCCTGTACCCAAGGCTCAAGCGGCAGACCAAAGCATAAGACAAGGAGCACATATCTACTTCAATTAGACCAAAAGCACCAAGAAAAGGACATTTAAGACTAATTGGAAAGACACCCAAAATTGGAAACACTAAAGATTTTAAGAAACACCATACCGGTAAATAGCGTTAGAATAGCGACACTTTGGACCGTACGACAAAGGATGTAGAGGGTCGGGTGCATAGGCACGTGACGGAGGAACGTGCTGCACGGAGATCGGCCCGCACCTACATAAATTAGGTCCTATCAGCTAGAACCGTAGGTAGCACTAGACATGAATCAACGTACTATTCATCACCCCCCTGAGATTGCATCGCGATACAACGCCTAGGCACAATCGTGGCTAGAGCGCCACGAACAAATAGACTAATTTACGACCTCAGAGACTAGTCCAAAGGGGTGTATAGCACGAACAGCGCGATATTCGGCCCAGGTAGCGATACTTACTCGCAACCTAAACCCTAATCGCCCTGCACTAGGTAAGACAGGCACGGGACCCAGACCTCCAGGCAACGAGTATCTGTTTTGCCTGGTTGGCGCAGCGGTAGCTCACGAAACTAGGTATATAAGGCCGTAGCGCCCCCTATCCCGCACACCCTCAAACCCTCAAACCAGCGCCTTCTCAAAAACGCGGTACTCGCTCTCGGTAACCAGGAACTGCGCCAGCCGCGGCCAGCGCGCCGCCACATCCGTCTTGGTCGCCACGAACCGGTAGCCCATGCGCGCGTACCAGGCCTCGAGGCGGGCTTTGAACGGGTGCTCCCAGCTAGCAGGCGCGAGCAGCTCGCAGAGCATGATCTCAGCCCCCAGAGCACCGCGGGCGTGTGCCTCGGCGAAGAGCACGAGGGCGCGGCCCGTGCCGGTGCCGCGGAAGCGCGGATCGCACGCCAGCATGGCGAACTCGGCGACGTACGCGTGCGCGTGCGAGTCCTCGGAGGGGGATGTGTGGTTATGGATGGCCACGCAGCCCAATACTATTTCCGTTTCCTGCTCTGAAGATGATGACGATGGCGAGGACCAGGCCACGGCAAGCTCGCCGGACCGCACCATGGCCGCCAGCCGCGCGCTGTTGGTGCGCCGGTAGTCGGCGCGCACAATGCCGGCCTGGTCCACCGTGTAGATGCTGTTGATGAGCGCGGCCAGCTTGGCCAAGGCGGCGTCGTCGCCGGCGAGCGACGGCGGCGCCATGGCGATGCGCGCCGGTTCTGGCGCGGTGTTTGTCTCGCTGGTTGTCTCGCTGGTTGTCTCGGTGGTTGTCTCGGTTTGGTTTCTCTCTGCGGTCGCGTCATCTTTGAGAGCCACGTGGCTTGTCTGGCTCGGCTGGACCGGTGGCGTTGGCTCTGTAGTGTCTGCCATTTTGTCTGGGAATTTAAGCTGTGGATGTAAAAGGAACCAGTGTTGGAAGTTGGTGGCGCTCGGCCTAGTCTTGACCTTCTCCGTCTTTGACATGACGAAGGCGACGCAGGCGGGGGCTGCGGGCAAACTGGAGAAATAATTAGTGATTACTCTTCATGTCCGATGTCGGATCATGTCGAGATGTCGCCATCAAGACGTAGACGACCGCCGGCTGCCGACCCCCTGCCATGAACAGGAAGTAGGAACTGTGCCGTGCTGTATTGTTCACCCGTGTAACCCTATAAAATGTGTACGTGGTGACGGGTATGGGCCATTTCACTTTTGTGATATATCTACAGTGGGCGGCAAAAAGTTTGAAACCCAATTTCGTACCCCGAAAGCCGCTAGTAAGCCGCTAACTAGAAGAAGACGACGCGTATTAGTCTCCCCTCACAACCAATTTTTTTAACAATAACAAAACAACAATCCTACTACCATAGCACGACAGTCGGAATTATCACCTCAAACACGCTCGCGTATATGTGAGCTATATTCTTCAAGACATGGCCCTACACGTATTCATAAGTTACATCCAGAAACCCCCCTCAGTACGATAAAGACTACAATACGACGCGAGGCTCTTCGAACCGACAATCGGACACGACCGCGGTCAGGAGCACCACGCAAGATTACCGAAGAACAACGAGACTAAATCTACGATACAATCACACATACGAATCCCCACGTATCTCATAGAGACCTTCTCGATTCGGTGGATAATGTGATCAAAGAACGATCACTCCGAGGCCTTCTTCACGAAATGGGTAAACGAAAATGGCGCCAATTGTGGAGACCTCAATTAACCGATACATAAGCTGCCGCACGACTCGCTTGGGCTCGACGCTGCGAGCATTATACAGAGGCAGATTGGAAGAGGCTTAAATGGAGTGACGAATGTACTGTGGAAAGAGGGAAAGGGATACGACCAGTTTGGACCTTCCTTTGGCCATGCGAACAACTTGCACAACATGATGTAAAGGAAGTTTTGTGTAGTGGGAAGGGTGTGAAGAAGATGCTTTGGGCTGGCTTTGGCTATGGTAGCCGTACCGGCTTAGTCCCCCTTGATGGTGACCCTCTGTCGGCGAGAGAAGGTGTCTCTGGATGGGTTATTAGCTGTTTGTACGAAGGTATGCTTCCAGACTTTGTACAACCTGGAGATATCGTTATGCACGACAATGCCTCGGTACATACAGCTCGGATAGTAAAGGCTGTTCTCGATAGACTCGGTATTCAGGTTATGGTCTAGCCACCGTACTCTCCAGACCTTAACCCAATCGAGAACCTCTGGGCACTCATGAAGGCCGAGATATACCGGGAGTATCCAGAGCTTGAGCATGCTCCAGATACAGAAGAGACCTTACAGAGGTTAATTAGTGCTGCACAGCATGCCTAGCATGCAATTGACTAAGCAATTCTAGATAGATTAGCGAGTTCAATGCCTCACCGCGTTATGGCCTTTATTAAAGCGGAAGGTTGGTATACGAAATATTAAAATATTATTTATTCCTAATACGGCTAGCGGCTTTCGGGGTACGAAATTGGATTTCAAACTTTTTGCCGCCCAATGTAACTATGGAAGTTCCACCTTAAGGCAATCGTTATCGAAGCAGACGCAGCAGAATATAAAGGTTGCAGTTTCGATATTTTCAGTTCCAAGCAGAATTTGTCAATGGGGAGTAGATCAGGTACCTTGGTCTACACTCTATAGTTATCTTATCCACAACAATCTCCTCTTCCCAGAAGACACTTCTGGCTATAATAGTATCAGGTTAACTTGTAGTGCAGAATCTTGCTGGCAAGGTGTTCTTGAATTGGCGTGTATTGTGCTCCATTGGGGGCTCCCACTCAATGACCTTTGATCGCAAGAATAGGGAGACAGGAATATGCACAACCAGAAAATGCACAACCAGACAATGCACGTGAAATGTGAATCTATGGATTAAAGGGTATGATTTTCATTCGCTCTAGTTCTAGAAGGAATACACGGGAGTGGAACACGCAAGAAGTATTGAAGACAAATGGCTGCAATTTCCTTGCCAATATCAAATTACCCGGGCAGGAGAGGACAGGATCGAGAGAGAAGCAAGCTGCGAGATGCACCCGGGCTGCACCCTCTCTAGCTCCGTAGCGAGATCCTTCCAAATGTCCTTCTGTAGTTTGAGGCCCTCCTCGTTGAGGAGCCAATCGGGAACCCAGTTCTCCTTTATCTTGCAGCCTGACAGGAGCTTCCCGTGGCCCTCCGGGCCGACCACCAGCCCGTGGAGATAGGTGCGGCTGCCCTCCTCGGCAGTGCGCGCCATCAGGGCCTTGAGGGTGCCGTGCACAATCTTGGTGAACGTCCGGCCCTGGTGGCCTAGGCCGGTGGCGCAGAGCCCGGGGGCGACCATGGCCACGACGACGCCGGTGCGCTCGACAGGGCACAGGGCGGCGAGCTGGCGCACGGCGGCCTCCTCGATGAGCTTGCTCATGGCGTAGCGCTGGTCGATGTTGGCCAGCTTCTCGTCGTTGAGGAGCTCGAACACTGGCCCGCCCCGGCTCTTATCCATCTCGCCCTTGGCGATGTACCCGAGGATGCTCACGATGAAGACGACGGTGGGGCGCGAGCCGAACTTGCGGGCGCAGGCGCTGAGCTTCGGCATTATCAAGACGCCGAGGAACACGGTGCTGATGACATTGACGAAGATGCTCGTCTCAAAGCCCTCGGTGGTCGACCAGGCGTCGAGCATGACGCCCACATTGCAGACGAAGCCGTCGATCCTGTCGACCTCGGCCGAGATGTTCTGGGCAAAGCTCTGGACCGACGCGTACGACGACATGTCGAGGTGGCGCACCTGCACGACGCCGGTGCGGCCCGTCGACTTTTCAATCTCGTCCTTGGCTTTCTGTCCAGCGGTGAGATTCCGGACGGCGAGGATGACGGTGGCGGCGGAAGCCTTGACGAGGTGGCGAGCGGTCTCGAAGCCGAGGCCAGAGTTGCCGCCAGTGATGATGTACGTCTTGCCAAGACTCGTCGACTCGTTGACGAGGACGGGGAGCGTCCTGTACTGCTCGGACAGGAGCCTGTGGATGACCATGGCGGCTGCGTGATGCTCAGGGGCTGTCAAGCTTTAGGGTGAGTGATTTGGTGAGGCTGAGGGCTGAAATCGAGTGAGATGGACCAAGTTGGTTCTCGGTTTGTGTCTGGTTTGATGTTCTCGGTTTGTGTCTGGCTTGGATGTTCTCGGTTTGTGTCTGGTTTGGATGTTTGTTTGAATGTCTCTGGCTTTGGCTCTGAGACTCTCTGGTCGGCTTTGCGGCGGGAGAGGGAGTACTTAACATTTTCTTTTCGGCCGCGTCGATGGAGTCATGGTCAGGTCGTGATGCCGCTAAGGTATTCGGGAGGGCATTTCGGATATCCGAATACCGCGGCCCCGTCAATGCCCCGGGTTTGGGTCGCGATGGTGTCGCCGAGGATCGAGGCGCGTTGCCTCATGCTGCCCAGCTAGCCTCTGTCCCGCCCTTTATGTTGGATGTGGCCCCGTTTGGTGGATGGAGTGGCGCGCGAAGGATTGGTGCAGAAGCCAATAAGCGAACGGCAACCTCATTCGGAGAATTAAATCGGGAACCTGCATGACGGGCAGGGCAGGTGCGAGGCCACAGGCTTGGCTACCTTGCGAGCGGGCCAATCAGATATTGGTTCCCGCTTTGGGGCTAGACCTGATGGCGCCCTGGCTGCGGGCGTTCCCGTGCCTGCTCCAACAACGGCCAACCTACCGCCCTTGCTTCAGCAAACTTCTTTTCTTCCCAAACTTATCTCACACATCTACACAGGCAACCCCATACTGGCATCCTTTTCTAGACCTGGTCCGATTATAACGTATTCCCTGCGCCCTGCCCTGACCATCCACGAGCACGACGACAACCAGGCGACCGTCAAGTGCCACCGCGTCGTCGGCCCCCACAGCTTCCAAGTTCGAGGTGGCCCAGCCACTCCTGATTGAATTTCGAACCGAATCCCGAGCAAACCAATCCCTCACCCCCTCCTGCGACTCTGTGAGCCGCGCCTTCACGACAACACCGCGCGCTCTGGCAGCTGACGTGGCAAGAGCCCCCCCTCCCTTCTCGGCCTCCTGCAAGCGCCGAGCCCCGAGCGTGATAATTATCCGCAACTGCGCTGTAAACTTGACTAGATCTGCTGCATATCGTATCTCGAACCCACAGACTCGTCGACTAGGTTTGCGGCTTGCCATATCCTCCAGCTATGGTGCTACAGTTTATCGACCAGGGGGCTGCCGGCATTGGCCTCTCTGAACGTCGCCTCATCCGCTCCCACGTCATGAAAGGCAGAAATGCAGGGAGACCGCGCCAGTCGAGCAAGAAGCAGACGGGCGTTGTCCATATCAGGCGCATTCTGCCCATGAATCCACCCCCGGGTGTCTTAATGCCACCATGCACACGCCCCCTGTCTTGGAACGACCTGACCTTTGCAACATTTCCGGGCGAGCTCGATGGCGAGTCGCGCAGGCTGATGCATGCATGTAAATACTAGAGCCTCTCTGGAACTCGGGCCCCATCTGAACTCGGGCCCCATCTCTGCTGCGGCCGTTTTTTCTTACACTTCCTCTCAGGGTTCTATGACATTAGCGACTCCCTATTCCCATCCCAGTTCTGCGACAAATTCGACATTGTACAGTCAGTTTGGGTGAACTGCATGGTGGATGAAGCATGTATGCAACCCTCTTCCCATTTGTTCCTGCCGCCTAGCTAATCATGCAGACTTCCACTCCACCCTGGCCATCTCGGCATCTTATCTCAACTTCTTCCAGCGCAGGACCAAGACATCCTCCAAGGACCTGCAGCACGTCTCAAAGGCTTATGCTCTGGTCAACCGCAAGCTGTCAGGCCCTGACTCGCTTTCCGACGGCGCCATAGCCGCCGTCGCCAGCCTCGCCATCTATCAGCAGATACATCACCAGTTCTCGACAGGCCGGGTACATCTCGATGGCCTCTGGAGGATGATTGAGCTGCGGGGAGGCATTGCCAGGCTGATGAGGGAACGCCGCCCGTTGGCCATCAAGCCGTTAAGGTAATTATGCCCTGCAACCTGCCATTCTTGCCCCGGACCAAAGTCTCACCGTCTTCAGGCTAGATGTCGAGCTGGCGCTGCAGACCGGGGCTGCCACCTTGTTCCGCGGTGACGAGCTGCCTCTGAGGCCCGTTTTGTGCTGCGACCCTCGCGTCACGATCGTAGAGCCGCAATACGCCGCCGATGGCGCCACCGCGGCTCCTCGGCCCCTTAAGCAGGACGTCACCAGCTTTGCCCGCCTCCTAGGCTACTGCAGCAATAGCAGCAGCAAGAGAGTCGAGAATCGGGTGAGGGTCAAGCCCCTGGACTTTGCAGAGACCCTGGTATGGCTCCTGTACCGCCTCGTGGCTGCTGCACCACCCCTAACGCCCACGACGGGAGTGGAGACATGCTCCCAGGATGACCTGGTACACCTCGCAATGCTGGCGTTCATGACCAGCCTGCTTCCTGGCTACGGTGCTCCTTTCGATAGCCACGATGCCGCTTCCGCCGCCGGCTATTACCCGCTGCTCGCGGACCGGCTGGAGAGTGCCATCCAGGGTCAGGCTCCGCACAGTTACGTCGCACCAGCAACGAGCGATTGGGACATCGCACCAGCAACGAGCGATTGGGACAGCCACGACAGCAGCGACGACTGCGACGGCACGACAGCGCATTTGCTGCGGCCGTTCTTGTGGGCACTCTTCATGGGCGGTATCACGATCTTGAAGCGCCACGACCGTCGGCAGTGGCTGTCGGTGTTGATCGTCCGCACGTGTGCGCGGCTGGGCCTGCACGAATGGCCCGCCATCTACAGCCAGCTTTCCGAGTTTCCGTGGATTGACACGCTGCACAGCGCCCAGGGCCGGCACCTGTGGGAGGACGCCAAGCATGGACACGGGGGCGTGTCGGAGTAGGCATCGAACCTACTCGGAATTTTCTTTTTCTTTTGGATAAACTAGCCAGTTATACTTCTTACACACGCGCGAGTTGCGGGAGAATAATGTTTCGGTTCTGATTACCGCCGATTTTCTTTGCATACCATTGGCGCTTTGATACCTAGTCGATATCATACCCGACAGATATTTTAGTCATCTCATATAAACAACAAGACAGCTCAAAATTGCCACCAGATTCCAACTAAACCTTTACCCGCTCAACTGTCCCTCCAAACATCAGAGTCAACCGGAAACAACGCAGCCGACACGGATGGATGCCTACGCCGCTGACACGTGCGGGAACATTTGCGTGCACACGCCGCGGTTGATGTCCTCGCCGTTAGCATACGACATCCACAGCTGCTGGCCGCACCATTCGCCACCTGCGACGCCACTGCCGCCTGCGTGTTGACCTGCGGCCAGTTGCTGCCGGCGCTGGCAGTCGACATGTACGCATAGTAGTGGTATGTATAAGGCGGTACGTTATACGCGAGGTTCAGCCGCCCTGCGTCGTCGAGTGCCCACACGTACTTGTTCTGCACGCTCGCCGCCGTCGACCCGGACGCCCCGTTCCACGTGATCCCTCCCGTCAGCCCGTTGAGCAGGTTCGCGTAGATGAGCACCGTGCTGCCCGACTGCGTCCCGTTGGCTTTGAACGCGCCCAGTGACGCGCCGACTAGGCATGTGGATGCTGTCTGGGTCGCCGTGGCGGAGGTCGTCGCCGTGATGGACTTGGTCGACGTCGTCGTGGAGGCGCTGTTCGTGGTGACCAGGTCGACGGCGGTCGCCGTGTCCGAGACTGTCGCTACGGCGGAGACGGTCACGGTGGACGTCGACTCGGCGGTGGAGATTACCGTGGACAGCACCGGCGCGGATTCTATGATGGTGACTGTGGTGGACGCCGTCGAGAGCGTGACGGTGGCGGGCTCCACGCCGACGCAGGCGCACGCCGACGCGTACTTGGCAAACGACGTGCAGGCCGAGGCCGCGTATTCGGGGAACGACGCGTCGCCTTGGCGGATCTTCAGGACGGGGCTGGTCTTGGTGACGGTCGTGGTCGAGATCTGCGTCTGCGTGGCGGCGACGACGGTCGCGATGGTCGTCGACACGTTGATCTCGGTCTTCGCCGTGGAGGTGGTTTAGACTGTGAAGAGGACTGCTTCGGTCGTCGCGGTTGTGGTCTCGGTGACGATCACGACTTGGGATTCGACTTGGGTCGTGTAGTCGACCGCGGCGTTGCTGATGGTCTCGTACACGGTGCTGGGTCTCTGTGAGCAAGGGACGCGGGGAGTTGAGCGTGGGTGGCTGAGCGAGACGCCTCACTGTACGTCTGGCGTGACCGTGACGGCGAGGTACGACGAGCAATGCGCCCATCTCGGCCCGGGACGCTGTCGACGGCGATTTCTGATGCACCAGGGGTTAGTAATGTCCAGGTCCCGCTGCCTGCAGCGCAACATACCTCGCAGGCATTAGTTGCTCCTGCAGCACGTGGCAGCGGCAAGCCCAGCAAAGGCCGGCAGCAGCGCAAGGGTGTGCTTCATGGCACGAATAAAGAGCGACAGAATCGAAATAAACGAGTGTGGGTAGCGGCTGGACGGGAACGGCGTTCAAGCTGAAGTGTGAATTGAATTTCACACACGCTCAGCCGGCAGTCAAGTCCCAGCGCAGCGGACGCGAAGGGCTGGCTTGGCAAGATTATCTATTTATCCCACCAGTCTTGCGTCCGTCCGCCTGCAAGCCCATTTCCCGGATTGCTCAGCTCGTGGCAAGCTCGGTCTGGACCGCCATGCGTGGCCAGGAGATCCACGATCGAGCCCGGGAGAGCCCTGGATAGCGCCACCTAACGCGGCCTTGAGCCCGGGGTTGGCCAACGAGAGCCCTCCCCAGGGCCGTTAGCGCCACAATAGTTTTCGTTGGGATATCGCAGCTAACCGAGATGTCCACACCTCCGGGCAGATTGCTCCAGGCGAAGATAGACACAGCCCGTGCTAGGGCCAAGTGTAGATCGGGCTGGCAATCTCTAATCCTTGGTCATGAGACTTTTCTCATATGTTTAATCATCGAAATGAGATGTAGTATATGGAGTTGAAACTTGAAGAATCTCGAATTACACAACGCAAATGGAGACAGCGAAAAAGCATTGTTGCTACCCGCCTCTGTTCCGTCTGATAACTCATAAACAAATACCAAATTAGTGATTATTCCACCCTTCAGTCCTTTCGTTCGACTGCAAGATACCCCGTCTCTCGCCCATCAGCATTAGCTCCGATAAATCAAACCCCTTTAACAACAACCCCTTTAACAACAACATCAAGAACGCCCCCGCGCCCTGTTCTGGCTGCGGAGGCTGAACTTCAGCCAGCCAATGCTCGACGCAGCCTCGTAGACGCGCGAGGGCATGCGCACGACCGTCTCGCGGTACAGGCAATCAGTCTCGAAGCGCCAGCTGCACAGGACGGCGCGCAGCATGCCGCCCTCGCGGCCGCAGAGCAGGGCGACGGTGGGCGGGCGTTCGGCGGCGAACACGCACACGGCGAGCTCGCCCATGTCGAAGAGCGTGAAGAGGTGGTGGTATCGGCGACGGCAGCGGCGGCAGCGGCACCTTCGGATCACGAACCCACGCAGGCTCGGTGCCGACGCGCTCGCGCGGGTCGCGCCAGTCCCGGGCGAACGGCGTCGCCGACGGCGCGTAAGTCAGGCAGCCCGTGTAGTTGCCGAACACGAGCTTCTCGAGCTTGGCGATGGGCAGCACGCCCTCGAAGGCGACGAGGCTGGGCTTGCTCTTGAGCACGGTGCCGCCGAACAGGCGGCGCACCGAGAAGGGCGACGGCGCCAACAGCAGCAGGCTGAGAAGCAGGAAGGCGGCCAGTACCCAGATGATGAGCGACAGCCGCACGTTCTCGACTATGCCCGACCAGTACGGCACGTAGTTGACGGCCGTCTCGAAGCTGAACGTCAGCCACCACAGCCCCGACACGATGCAGAAGGCCGCCAGCGTCTTCCTGAACCCGTGGCTGCGGTGCACCACCGGCCGCGGGAAGACCTTCCACCGGATGTGCACCGCGCGGCAGTTGTCAATGATGACCGTCTCGTCCTCCTCCGCCACGCCGACCACCTGGCACAGCGGCGTGATGTGGTGCACGTACGTCTCGTACTCGTCGCGGCCTGCCAGCTCTTCGAAGACGGGTGAGCCGACTAGCACCGCGACGCCGCTGTCGGCGGCCTGGGAGGTCGCCTTAGGCAGCAGGCACAGCATGCGCTCGACGAGCTGGTCGCTGTCGTTGCCCAGCGACAGCCGCGCCAGGTTCTGGAACAGGCTGTCGGCGTCGCGCCGCTGGATGCGGTAGTGCAGCAGGCCCATCACGGCGTACGCCAGGTCGGACCCCGTGAACTCGTTGCGCTTCTTGGAGTCGAGCGCCGCCACGGCCGCCGGCAGCAGCTCGAGCCGGCTCAGCGAGAGCAGCCCGGAAAAGTGCTCGGCCAGCACGCGCGTGGCGCTCCCGCCCTCGGTGCTGTCGCGGCCGTTGTCGTCGGCGGCGACCTAGAAGGTCGCTGTCATCTCCGTCTTGTGGATCTGCTCCGACACCAGCTGGCCGCCGTTGCCCTCGCGGCACACGAGCAGGCTGTGGCCCGGCGCCAGCAGGCCCTCGGGCAGCGTCCACATGCGGTCGCCCCACGACCGGCGGGCAGCGAGCGTGTCAGCGCCCAGCATGATGGCGACGCGGCTGGCCCCGCGGATGACGTCGCACATGGTGTAGACGTCGTAGTCGGTGTCGGCCGGGCTGGCCTTGGACACGAGGCCGTCGTCCATCCAGAAGGCGGCACATTGCTCCCGCTCGGCGATCCTCTCGGCCAGGCGACGTGCCCTGTTGTTGGTTCTGTCGCCCTCGCCTTGAACTAGCTCCATTCGTAGCTGATAAAGATGTACTTGAGGCTGGCCTCGGCGATGCCGTCGACCTCGGCGATGCTGTCGACCTCGACCCAGCCGTGGTCCGTCTTCTTGACCAGCCTCCGCGGGCGCTGCGCACGCCGCCGCACGTCGAGCGCCGCGGCAAACTTGTCCTTTTGCTGCTGCTCGGCGGGCTTTTCGTTCTGCTCCGCCGACGGCGCCATGTCGAGATAGTTGACGGCGTATTTGGGCCAGCCCCAGTAGTAGCCCGGGAATTCGGTGTACGTGTCGGTGATCTCGTCCTCTTCCCAGTCGCCGACGCCCGGGATGGCCAGCATGACCTGGATCGGGATGGCGACGAGCAGCACGCGTCACGCGCAGTCCAGCTTTGAGAGCGCATTGCCGCGCTGGAGCGGGCCCAGAGCCCACTCGGCGACCTTGAGCACGACCGGCGCTCCCCCGGCGAGCTGGCTGCGGATCCAGTCACCCTTCTCCAGCTCGTCGCGGCTGGCGAGCACGCGGTCAGACGCCTGCACGACTAGCCGCTTGGGCACAAAGTTGGTCGGGCTGAGGTAAACGGCCACGTCGTCGAACTTGTGGCTCTGCTGGTGGAACTGGTTGACGTATATGTACTTGCCGTCGGGGCCCTTGACCACGGTGCCCTCGTCGTCGCCGTGGTCTCCGGGGCTCTGGGCGGCGCTGCTGCCCGGCTCGGGGTCGGGGTGTCCGCTGCCGGCTGGGAGGGCGGGGCGGTAGACTCGTCGGAACTGCTTGAAGCCGGGCTTGCCGCTGAACTGCTCCTTTAGGTTTTCTTCGACCTTGCTGAGCTTGCCCGCTTTCGACCATGGCCACCAAGAAGTCTCTTGCTTCTTTGCTAGTTCCGGGGGCGCGGAAATGGACTGCGAGTTGCCGTGCTCCAGGCTCACACCGCGGTGGGAGTCGGGATCCTTTCTCGGGGAGTCGGTAGTTGCCATGTCCCTCTTGTCCGTCAACTAACAGATGTGCCGAGGAAACGAGAGCAAGTAAGAATAGTTTGATGTGAAATTGGGCATGAAGGGAACCGCAATAGGGGAGCGAAAGCCAAGAAGGGGGTTCACATCTACGGATAAGGCTCTCTGTATTTACCCGTGCCCCACCCCACTCTTCTTACGAGTTCAGAGTACCACCAGGAAATGAGAGTCCAGCAAAAGGCGCACGGCCTGGGCCAGTCGAGCCGGCTGGCCTGGGTGCGCTGGTTTATGCGTGCCGCTGCAATAACACCAAGAAATGAACCTTGCAGATAACGGGCATATCGGGGCCAGTTATAGGGTAGCCGACGCCTTGGAATCGTGCCCGACGCTGGCTGGCTGGCTGGCTGGCTAGCTAGCTACCGGGATCATAGCCTGGCCAAGACACTTGCTTGGATTGCTTCCAGTTGATCTCATTGCTTGCAAACAGAAGGGGGACGGCTGACGCCTGCCCTCTACCTTTGGGAGAGAGAGGGCTGTCATGCAAGCCCTTGTAGACCTATGCCGAGAATGGAAAGTTTTGAGGCCCAGAAGATCTTGCAGCCAGCTCCTCAAGAGGCTATTAGTTGAAAAGGGCGATTTGCGTGATTGGGTGAGATCAACCTGGGCGTTCGGTTCAACGAGGTAGGAGAAAAGTTGCTATTGGCATATTCTGCTTCAAATTACTCCCGTATTTCAACCAAGTTATCTGGTCCAGCCACCCACCTGGTCCTGTGGTCCTCATCGCAACATAGTTCATGCCGCCGAGACCTTTGCAGGCCTCTTCATAATCACGCTCCGGACCACCCCCTTGGCGGCAGGCTCCGTGATCGTCAGTCCGGTGTTGGTGCCCCAGTTCTCGCCCTCGAGCTGGACCGCCCCGTACTTTTCAGCGATGTGGAAGTCTACAAAGTCAATGTCTTCGTAGCCAAACTTGCAGTAGAGGGGGTAGCCTTTGGGAGAAGCCTCGAGGAAGGTGGGGAGGCCCAGCCCGTCGGCGAGCTTGACGCCGTATTCCAAGAGCGCCGACCCGGCACCGACCCGCGGCCGCTTGGAGGCAAGAACCCCGAGAACTGCCGAGCGTCAGCCGACATAACCGTGTGCACCGTCTCGCGAGGAGGCGGCTCCTTACCAACCGCAGGGTTGCCCCTGGTGTGCTCGCGCCGCTTGTCGTGCAGGGCGCCAATGAAGTACGTAAAGACCTCGATGTTGCAGTCCTTGCCCAGCTGCTCGGCCGTTCTGGGAGGCTCGGGAACATTCCACTCCTCCTCGGGGCGTGACTCGCGCCGGACGATCCACCTGGCGAAGGCGACGATCTCGGCCTGGCCGAATTCCTCTGGGAGCAGCTCGGCGACCGTCAGGACGCTCTCCTCCTTTTTCGGAGCCTCGGGCGTCTCGGGCTGAAACAGGCCGGCCGCGAACCTCTGCCGCGAGTCTTCGGTGTCCCCGGCCGGGTACATGAGCCGGTTGAAGACGTCGGGCCCGAACGCTTCGAACTGGACGTCGGCCATTTGCCGGGCGTCGGCTGGCGTCGCCTCGCGGACGCGGATTCGGGGCGTGGCGGTGCTCATTTTGCCTTGACAAAGAGTGTGGAGTATTGGCTGGTTTTCAATATTCTTTCTGTTTTGTGAGTGAGTGACTCGATCCAGACAAGTCTCAATCAAGAAGAAGGGCGAGGTGCAATCAATTGTGTCTTTTAAGCTTCATGTGATGTCGCACTGACGAGATGTCGTATTGGCGAGATGCCGTATTAGCGGGCCGGCGTGAGTCACTCCGCTCGACGTGCCTTGGCGTGGAGAAGCTTCAGTCTCGGCACGCGTGAGCTCTGCTGCTTTAATAGTCGCATGTTGCCAGTGCAGTGCAACCCGTGTTGTCATACGAAGTACATCCGTTGTTGATGATCGAGGCATTGATCCGGGCTGCCAGTGGGGTTTGGAAGAATTTTGACAAGTGGGCCGAGTCTGCTAAACCTAAAATCACCCGGCACTATGGGTTTGCGCTGCGGGGAGCTTCCAGGCGTTGTCGTTGCAGTGCCGCAAAAAGACAGCCTCGGCCCGTCTGTTCACCTACCGGAGATCCACCTCACGCAAGGCTCTACCCCGGCAGCTGTGGGCCTGTCCGTCTGTCTGTCAGATGTCAGACGTCACGCCAGAGCCGGGGAACCGACGGCCCACGGACACGGCAGGGGATCGTCGCTCCGTCGAAAAAAATGTCTCACTCTCGGCAGCGCTGCGGGCCTCTTGGCAGTCGAGGCACAGCACTGAGCGACGCCCACTGCGGTGTCGCAGGGCAGAATCAGACCTGAAACCCCCGCCAACTGTCGGGGCTCGGGAGTCGGGACAATGAACGGCACAGAGCACGCGCCAATCAGCGCCAGCGTATAATCAGCGAGACCCACCTAGAGCTTAGCTCCTGGCTCCATTGCTCCCAGGTGGTGTGTTCGGAGCTTTGCACCAGCGAATCGTATGACAGGCAAATGGTGTCTTGGTCGCCAGTCATCTCCAACTTGTCATCTTTCTTCAAGATGGCGAGCCCACGAACAACCATTATTCTTTCCATCCCATTTATGGTGATTGGGTTTCTGCTGACCCGCGCGCCCTACCTGATGACGTCCGTACCGCCCTCCAGGCCCTGGGCCGACGGGCCGATGAAGCTCGTTACGACTCCGCAGTTTCTAACCAAGAAGGTGAGCTGCCCCCGCCCGGTAGTTGCCGGAAGCAGACCAGGTAGCTAATGTGGTGGCCTGGCAGACCGATATCTTCACCTCGGGAGCGACGCACATGGCGTTGCTGCACAACTCCATCCTGCGCGGGTACAACTCCATCTACCACCAAGCGCCGCTCGTCGCCGACGAAGACAAGGCCGACTTTGTTGGTTACTCGCTTGCCTGGTACCGCTTCGTCAAGTCCCACCACGATGACGAGGAGGACACGCTGTTCACCAAGATCGAGGACCTGCTGAAGGACAAGGCCGTGTTTGAGGAAACGCACAAGGAGCATGGTAAGCTTGCCTCCGGTACCCCCGGACTTACACGGCGGGCTCGCCTCCCCACTTACACGGCGGGCTCGCCTCTCCACTTACACGGCGGGCTCGCCTCTCCACTTACACGGCGGGCTCGCCTCCCCACTCATACGGCGGGCTCGCCTCCCTACTAACACCATGTCTTCCAGACGCGTTTCTCGCCGGCCTTGCCGACTTTGAGAAGTATCTTGCTGGGCTCAAGACTCCGGCCGACTTCTCCAGCGACGAGCTGCTGCGCATCATGGGGACGTTCCAGCAGCCCTTCGAGAGCCACTTCCACAGCGAGATCGGCACCATCGCCAAGCTCTCGGAGCACCCCAACGCGCCCAAGGAGGGCACGCCCGAGAACGCTGCGGCGGCCGCGACCTTCAAGGCGTGGGGCAAGGCAACGGTCACCAAGGCGGGCGTCACCGACGTGGTTCCCTTCTTCCTGCTCAACCTCGACCGCACCGCCGAGGACGGCCTGTGGGCCAACTGGCCGCCGATGCCAGCCCCTATCAGGTGGGTGCTGATCAACATCGCCGGCGCGCTGCACTCTGGCTGGTGGAAGTTTACTTCTTGTGACGCTGCCGGCCAGCCCAAGGAGCTGTGGGCGTTCCGGGTCGCCGACATCAAGGCGCAGCGGGAGGAAGCGGCGAAAGCTTGAGTTTGCTCTGGGCGATGCAATGTTGGATAACGTGTCACGACTCAAGGGTGGAGTTTATGTCTGGGATATTAGAATAGGGAGGCAGCAGCCCGCGCAGGTTTGGACAGAAGGCGCATAGGTATCGAGTCAATCTATTTGTTTTCTGTATTCAGCTTTAACCCCTCCAGACACTCATAAAGAGCAGGAGTGCTCCTGATCTTTCCTAGGAATCCGAGGGTCCACATACAAGCGGAAGCTGCTGCCGGCCCAGACATGGTCGGGCTTTCCCTGCCAGGAGATCGCCCGACTCAACACAGTGGGATCCCGTCTGCGATTGCGCCTTCCCAACGTCACTCAACGAAAGATGCGGTTCGCCCTCAAAAGCTCGGCTGGCCTTAGATTCTTGCAAAATCTTTCTCGCCTGGCAAGACTTCATCCTTTCAGCCAACCGTGAAAGAGCTCAAACGACACCCACCGGGAGCCAATTCCTCAACGTCCCACACTCCAGCCAAGACTCTTAATCCTGTCAGGGACCTCTTCGCCAGTCGCCTACCTCTCTCTCGTCTTCCCGGTTCTGGTCGGCCCTACACAATACAAATTGCCACGCCACGGGAGCATAGCAACAAGCGATGTCGGCAGTCCAGGAGATCCCAAGGCCCGAGCCATCCATTCTTCCATATCGTCCGACGCAGTGCCGCAATGTCGAGGTACGAAGACTCTTTCGTGTGGTAAAACTCGTGTTCTGCCGTTCCATTCCGCTGATTACTTCCTTGCTTGCAGATGTTTTGGAACTAGAACGTCTACGACACCTGCTTCCTGTCCAGCCACTGGCACGTCACGACGGCCGCCATATTCGCAGGGACTTGCATCGGCGTCATCCTGCTGACGCTGAGTCTGGAGCTACTCCGCTTCCTCGCCAGGGCGTGGGACCGGAAGATTGTCGAGCGGCAAGGCCCTAATTCCCAGCCTAACATCTGGCGGCAGCTAGTGCGTGCGTTCCTGTTCACCTTACAGGTCATCAACGCGTACCTCCTCATGATGTGAGCTCCCCGCCCCCCGAAACGGAAGTCTAGGGACTGCGAGTCAATGACGCGGGCAATGTGCTGACTGGTGGCGCCTAGGCTCGCAATGTACTTCAACGGGTTCATTTTCCTCTGCATCATCCTCGGCTCATTTATCTCCTTCTTCTTGTTCCGGTGGGACCCCTTTCCGGTCAGCCTCGTGGATAAGTTGAGGGGAACCAAAGGCAAGACCGGGTGCCCTTGCGGCTTGGGTGGTGCATGCAACTGCCCGCCAGGGACGTGCCGCTGCGCAGCATGTGGACATTGAGGAGGGTATGTTGGTCACGATGATGGGTTGGTAGTGCGGGCACAATGACGCGCGGCAAAGGAACAAGCTTCTGCGATGACACATCCTACGACAAAGAGTAATGGGTATAGAGTAGCATTAATGATAATACGACTTTGTGTATTCACTTGCCATCAGTGCTCGTCGAATGCTCGGGTAGTGAGTAAGTAGTCTTGCTTCGTTCAATCAGCACTTGGCGCAACCTGTTATGGAAATACTCCACGGTGGGTTTAGAGCTTGAGGCTGTGGCAAGCTGAGAAGATGTTGGACGTTATTGGGCCTAGCAGGCCTTGGCTACGATGGAGTTGTAGGTGGGGTTCCACTCCATGCTTGCTAGCTGACAAATCCGCAGTGATAAGCACGACAGCCTGGAGCGCGTTGCTTGTGATGGAAGACTCTTTCGATCCTCGATGGACTTCAAACGGCCTAAACTCCATCATCTTTGGTATCAATTCGACAATACCTATAGTGTTTGGCGAAGACTGACAGACCGCCTGACGTCCATCTCTTCCATTAGGTTGCTGTTGCTGGGTGCAAGCCCCGCGTCTCGTGTCCCTTCACCTCCACTTCCCCACAGGTTGGGGCCAAGACCGCCTAACCCTCCTAACCCTACCCCAACCCCGCCTAAAGTGCAACTCGCACATCGTCTGAGCTGATTGTTGGATGACTTGTACCTATTGACGCGCTCCAACCATGGCGACGATGAAGACGCGCAGCTCCGAAGGCTGCTGGACCTGCCGGCTGCGGCGCAAAAAATGCGACGAGCTGCGGCCGCTGTGCGGCGGCTGCGCGCTGCTCGAGATCGACTGTCTCTACTGCGACGAAAAGCCCGAATGGATGGACGGCGGTCAGAGGCAGAAGGAGAAGGCCGACCAGCTCAAGACCGAGGTCAAGCGCAAGGCCAACCAGCGACGCGAGCGCCGATACCTCTACGGCCTCGAGATGGACCTCGAGGCTCTCGACGTCTCGCAGCTCGACGACAGCGACAACCAGCCTAGCACCGCCCCCGAGTTCGTTCTCGCGTCGCTGCCGCCGCCTAATACTGCCGCCGCCGCCGCCGCCACCGCCACCGCCACCGCCGCTACTGCTGCTTCTGCTGCTGCTGCTGCTGCTGCTGCTTCTGCTTCTGCTGCTGCCGCCGCTGTCTTCGCTGCTCCGTTGTCTTCAGTCTCGCCAGGAACACTCCATTCCGGCTCCGAGTCTGGCAGCCGTCGACCCGACTCGTCGCCCTCGTTCCCCTCGGCTATGACCCCAAGCACTTCGGCCAACTCGGACAGCTCTGTTGCCGGCCTCAGCCCCCCCAGGGACGAATGCTGGACTAGCATGCCATTCAACGACACCGACCTGCATGGCCTCATGTTGTACCTGGACCACGTGTTCCCCTTCCTCTTTCCTTTCTACCGACCGCCGCTGCTCGACTCGGGACGAGGCTGGCTTCTCGTCATGCTCAACCGCAACAAGTCGCTGCTGCACACCGCCCTCAGCCTGGCCTCGTACTTCTTCAACGTCGTCCTCTCCCACGTAACCGGACTACACGAGTCTTGCAGGGAACACAACGGGAGGGAGCTCCAGCGGCAGCAGGAATTGGCACTGCAGGAGCTGCGGCGCGATATGAACGATACCGTCTCCCGCGGCGTCAAGGGCTATCTCGCCGAGACAACCCAAGTCATGGCAAGCGTCATCCAGCTTCTGTCTTTCGAGGTTGCCATTGCAAACACAGGCAACTGGGTCATGCACCTGGAGGCCGCAGCCGAGCTGTACAACGAGATGGTCAAACATCACGGCACTGCTGTGGATGGCGAGGCGTCAGACTTTTGCTTCACCTACATGCTTGTCCAGCTGGGGTCGAAGCCTTTCATGCACACCCCCAAGAACCACCCCTGGAGCCCAGACCAGGCCTCCTTGCGCTTCTTCACCGCCTGCCTCCTGTTCTTCGACACCATAGCCAGCACCGCTCTCGAGCAACCCCCTCGTCTCCTCTACCTACACAGATCCCTCCTCACGGAGCCCGACGAAGAGACGAGGCGGCTCATGTCAGAAGCCGAGAAGGAATACCATCTCCCACATATCGACCTGCTAGAGTTCCTCGGGCTGCGGAACTGGGTCGTTATCTCCATCGCCGAGATCGCCGCGCTCGACGCCAGCAAGAAGGAGGCCAAGAAGGCCGGGTCGCTTTCAATGACGCAGCTGGTCGTCCGCGCTACCGCCATTGAGCAAGGCCTCCGCAACAACATACAGACCCTGTCCAGCGAGCCGTGCAATGAGCCACAATTTGCCATGTACCCCACTAAATCTCTCTCCGACGACCCCATAATGCAGTTCGCCATCTTCGGGAATCTGTATTCGCCCCAGGTGCTCGACATGACGTCTGCCATCTCCGGCATATGGGCACAGGCCGCGCTGACGTACCTCAACGTGGTCGTGTCGGGCTGGCAGCCTGCAAGCCCAGAGATACGCACTTCGGTGACGCTCACCATCCAGATGCTGCGGTCCCTGAAATCGCCGAGCTACCTGCGCTCCGTGGTATGGCCTTTCACAGTTACCGGATGCATGGCCGCCCCGGAGGAAGAGCAGACCTTCCGCGACATGGTGGCCGCCATGGGCCCGCTACAGCTGTTTGGCTCCATCAGAGAGGCGCTCGCCATCATGGAGAAGGTGTGGGCGAACCGCGTGCAGATCGAGGAGAATGCCGATCAATGGGACTTGGCTGCATGTCTCAGAGTCCTTGGCCGCCCTGCCTTGCTCGTGTGACAGGGTAGGCTTCACGTACAACACCCACGCACAGCACGCACACATGCGCATCAAGGGATTCTGCAAGGGCCACTTCGCGTGCCGAGGCCTACAATTGGGTATGCTGCAATAGGTATTGCATTGCAGCATAGGTGTTGCTACTTGTCATGCTTACCTGGGTATGTATAACTGGGTATCAATTACTCCGCCTAGAGACGAGATGTGTCTGCACTAGAGATTTATAGGTATTTCCCTCCTGCTTTCGTCTGTCCCCAAACTCCGTTCCCAATGCCCCAGTCCGCCCCTGCGCCTAATTTTCCCGCCCTTGTATTTTCCCATTTTGAACAAGCAAATTTCCTCCTAACTCTGCGGCCTTCTATAGCCACCCCCATGAAGATACCCACGCTATATGTCAAATAAAATAATAAAGTGCACTCAGAAGATGGCATCATCCGCTGTTACCCGCCTTGTCACCCCCGCTCACTTGCCCCCGCCGAAAAAGCCCCCAAACCAGCCGCCGGATTTTTGCTGCCCGCTGTTCTTTTCCAGGTCGTCGTTGTTCGGTTGCCGCGCCGTTGTATTCTTGCCGCCAGACAATCCAGGGCTTTTGCTAGTGTTGAGCGGCAGCGGCGTCACCGGGACGGACGAATAGTGGCTCCCCGGCGAGTAGGGGCTTCGGTCCCCGGTGTTTGTCCTGAGCCTGTCGTCTTCGGGCATCTGCCCCGGCGACTGGTCGTAGTAGTCTCCGATCCCATAATACGATTTGTACTTGTCATTTGCGGCGCCGTTCATGGGAGTCGAGGCGCCCCGGTCGGTCAGGCCAGGCGTGGGAGTGTATGCCTTGTAGGTCTTCTGCGGGACCGACGAGCCCGGGACCTTGAGAGTCGAGTCTCTCCTACCCTTGGCATCTACGGCGTCCTCTGCGCCAGATTCGAATGCGTCGTCTTCATACTCGGATTTGTCGTCGTCGCCTTCTCTCTTCGGTCTCTTTTCTCCGTCCTCGCCCTCCTCGCCTTCCTCCCCATTCTCGCCTTCCAGTCCCTTTTCTCCCTCGTCGTCTTCCCACTCATCATAGTTCTGTTCGTCTCCCATCATTTCTTCGTCTCCTAGCCCATCTATGGGCTCCTGGTCATCGGGATGTATGGATCTGGGGTCGCCGGGTTGCATGCCAGCATCGTTGGGGCCACCGGTCAGGTTTCTCCCCGCCCCGCGGGCTTGCCCCGTGTTCAGCGCAGCGGGGAACAGTTCGGGGTCCAGCTCGGGGTCCAGTTCGAGGTCGTCCGGCGGTCTCTCGGCGTCGAGCTCCGCTTGGGTAATCAGGCGTCGTCTGCCGCCGACGAGCGGCCCTTGCGGCTGCTGTGCACCTGGTCCGAACTGGTTCGGAGGCCCGTTCGGAGGCCCGTCATCTTGCTGCCATCCGACTACTGCTGCTCCCGCTAGCCCTCCCACGGCTGCTCCGCCGGCTGCTGCTGCGAGCTGCGCTGCTCTCGGCTGAGCTCTTGTCGCCTGTGCTGGTGCTGGTGCATACGGATTACCGCTTCGTGGTTGTGCATACGGATTGCCTGCCGGTTGCGGCGGTGGTGGTCCATACCCGCCACCTCCGTCACCTGCTGGTTCGTTATACGCTGGCTCATCGTACGCTGGTTCGTTATACGCTGGTTCGTTATACCCGCCGCCTGTTCCATCAAACCCACCGGCTGCTGGTGCCGCTGGCACAAACCCACGACCTGCTGGCGCTGGTGCGAACCCACGATCTGCTTGTCTTGCTGGCGCTGGCCCTGGTGCGAACCGACCTCGTGCTGGTACTGCCGCCGCCGCCGTCGTCGCCGCTGCTGCTGCTGGTACTGCCGCTGCTGCAAACGGAGCGTCCTCTGCGTACTCGGGCTGTGTATACGGCCCCTCGGGCGCCTGAGGCACTCCATTCGACTCCTGCGCCGCAAACCCTGCCATTAGGAACGGTGGCTGTTGCCGCGGCCCTGCTGGCAGCCCCTGTCTTGGCCCTGGCCGCACCGGCAGTCCTCGTCCCATTGCCAGTGGCAACGGCGCTGGCTTCATCGGTCCCTGCTGCATCGGTCCCGGCTGCTCGAACGGCCCCGGCGGTCCTTGCTGGAACGGCCCCGGCGGTCCCGGCTGCATCGGTTCTGGGCCCAGGCCTGGGCCTGGGCCCTGGAATCGCGGATTGAAACCCGGCGGCGGCGGTCCCCCTCGTCCATCACCTATCCCTCCTTGACCAGGAGCCCCGCGCCCCTACCTATAACCTCCATAAGGTTGAGCCCCGTAACCGTCCTGGTATCCATACCCGTCGACCATATTCTTCTCGCCCTGGAAGTACGGCTGTTGCGGTTGTTGCAGTTGTTGCGGCCTTCCGCCTCCGGTGGAATTGTCTATAAACTGCTGTGGGCCGTACCCTTGTTGTTGATATTGCCCCTGGGTGGGATTCTGGGCGGGATTGCGGTCGAGCCATAACCAGAACACAGCCATTGCGCCGACCAAATAACCAAGGGCCACCAAATACATCAACACGTAGAGGACAGCCGTTCTGTCGCACGCCGACGAGCCCCCGCCTGGGACCACGAAGGTCCCAAACGGTAGAAACCCAAGCGCGAATTTTACCTGAAAGTCGGCCTTGCCGAACGTGCTGCACTTCTTGTCTTTCAACGGCATGTGCACAATTATGGCGGATAGAAGCCAAGGTACCACCAAAAATGATTCTCCCGCAAGCGTTAGCAAGTACCAAATGAACCGTTGGCTGTGGCCGCTCCAGGAGACCATGGCCGACCATACGAAGCTGGCAATTGACTGCAACACGTCAGTTCTCTGGGCAGGGCGTTCGTAGCAGGGAAGCTGGAATTGGGAAGTCGGAAAACTCACCAGCCCCACAATCCAAATGATCATCACCGGTATTGGCGGCTTCGCCTGCGGCGGCTGCGGCGGCTGCGGCGGCCTTGGCTGCGTCGGCAACACTTTTGCGCCGCCCGCATCCCTTGCGTCGCTCACTTCACTCCAAAACCTCCACGATATGGTGAAGACGGCAATCAATAAGCAGACTGTCCATACCCGCGCAGCAAGCGAAAGCCACATGAGGACGCCCGTCGGCCTCAGGCCATAGTTCTTCGGCTCCGTTCTCAGCATCATCTTGTGCTATTTCTCCCTGTAGCCCACCCCCTGTGTGTTGCTTTGTTTATGCGTTATGCACTGCTGCTGCTGCTGCTGCTGCTGCTCGCTCTGCCCGGCACAGCGCAGTGCTTGGCGTAAGCTGGATCGCTTCTCCCTCGTCACCCTGCAGATCGACTGCAGCTGGGGACGGGGGCTAAGGAGACGAGTCAAGCCTGTGGCAAAACAGGAGCGTGGCTATTGGGGGTGTGGTCTGTGTGTGTGTGTCGGGGGAAGAAACAGTTTAGATGAGATCAGGGGGGGGGAAGGTATGTAAGTGATAAATACCTACGTGTGACACAGGAAAGGAAATGTGCACCGAGGCACGGAAACAAGAAAGTTCTAGCTAGAAAAAAAGGGCTTCGCGATCGCCGGCCCAAGATTCTCAGTCGCAGCCGCCGCCATAAGGCAAAAAAATAAGAAACGTAAGCCATGGGGGTCAGCAAATCTTTATATCGGACGACTGCGGCCGGCGGCGAGCGGCCAGGGTCGCCCAGCGTCGATCGCGCTCGACTCCTGGATCCAGATCGGGCTGGGCAATACGTAGCCGGCCGTGTTGCAGCCACTCAAGCGACGGGCGTTATTGGCAATGTTTTGGGCACATGTCACTTCGCGCCCCAGTGTTGCAGGTGCCAAGTGCGAACACATTTACGAGGCAATGTGAGGAGCGTAAGCGCGTGATTGCCTGTGTCGTCTGTGTCTCGGGCCGCACTCCGCGACCGCCATCCGGCCAGCCAAGCGGCCTACCTTGCTACACTACCGGGGGGGGGAAGGACAATACTCCCCCGCTGGTCGGGAGAATGGCCGGCTGGTCGGGCTGTGTGGGACCGGGCTTGGCGCGGTCGGCCACCGGGTCCCGGCCGCGTCTATTTCTTAAGTAGGGCTGGGTGCGATGTTGGATTTATCCGAGATGTTTTCAGTTGCCACATGGAAGCAGGGTTACAAGCAGTGTCTCTCCGACTGTTTCGCCTTGTTGGCGTTGCTGTGGTAGAATAGGAGAACCCCAGACTCTAAAGTGTAATAATTGTTTACTTTCCGCTGATAGAGCAGCACACTCACTCCACGCGCAACTCCCAGCCAGTCTGAGGGAAAGGGATTATAAAACACCAACCACGAGAAACAAATCCGAGAATGAAAGAGACTTGGCGCTGGCAGTTCATGAGTTGCATACAAAGACACAACCAACAACAAAATAATTAAAGGTCCTGACGATTAGACGAGAGAAAAAGGCACAGCAACCAGGTGGGCTTGACGCCGCCGCCTGCGCCGCTGGAAATCGGGAGGCCGTTCAGCACCCGCCAGCGCCGGGCTGCCCTTTGCATGGATGGACGTGTGTGGGGGAGGGCTGCGGACTCCCCTCGCCGCACGATGCGATGCGGCACGGGCATGGCTTCATGGCCTTCATGACCTACCTACTCCACAAAGGCTAAATTTTAAGTATTAAGAATGCATGGCCTGGCCATAGTTTATTATATTTTGCCCGCTCCTTTTGTCAGTTGGGCATTTAAAGCGGTGTGATGCCTTTTTGCTTTCCTTTCTCGGTTCTCAATCTTTCCACGGTAATTATATTCCCACTTGATCGCCCAGTTGGACAAAGCCGTCCTCATAACGGATGGATCTCTCTCCCGCACGCAGCATACCGAAAAATGAAACACGCTAGCACTAAATAATGCAGGCCTAAAACAGCAGCACAGTACAACAAGTGCCCTCGCCCAGACAAACATCATAAAGAGTACTTCTTCAAAGGTTCACAGGGAGGGATGCACTGCCCAAGACTTACCTAAAATGTTGCCAAATAAGCAAGCGAGTGGCCTGAAAGCAACCCGCAGCCACCTACCTACCAGGAAAATAGCACAGAGCAAAGTAGAAGAACCCAGCAAAACCCCCAGATCGACCTCTCCTTGACCAACGTGCTTGCTGACATGAATCCCAACGGACACGGGAAATTATTGCGAGCAAGTCCGGAAGACGCGATGCAGTACAGTGCAGCGGTGGGACGTGGCCGGGGTTCCGGTCGGGTGGGCCGGGGCGGGGGGCGGTGGGTGGCGTTTCAGGCCCGCACACGCCGGCACAACGGCCGGTTTCCTGGCCAGCGTCAGGTCTGTGCCACACAAGTCAAATGAGACGAAATTCTTAACATGCGCCAAGCCAGCCGCCCGGAGAGGCCTCTGCTAAGTAATCTTGTGTGTCCGGGACATGCCGACATCTCGTGTGTTGTCTGGTTGCATTCTGGTTTAACAGCTTTATCATACAGCTAGGAGCGAAAATAGCGCCCTGTCACTTGCACTCTTCTCATGTAATATAGACGCACGGACGCGTTGACTACTATATGAATTCGTTTTTATTCACACATTGTACTTGTGAGTTATAGGCGAGTACGCTTTTTGGAAGACGGATTTGAAATTTACCGTTCCGGAAGAGTCATCCCGAATTTGGGACTCAAGGCGGCAATGGGAGGCCATGTCATCACAACCGATTCTCTGCTGACAGTAACATCACCAACCGCACCACGATCACAATGGCTCCAAATCTTGCTCTCCATAAACGTGTTCTGATTCAGAGCGTAATCGACAGTAAGCTGTACGGTAACGATGGCCTAAAAGATGACGATATAGTAGAAATAAACGGTTATACCGCCCGTATAGTACGTCGTATCCGATCTAACCTACCCCGCTTTGGAACGACTACCGTACTACGAAATGGCGCTGACCGCCCCTAGACCATCGCTCCTCCTATGCTGACCGCTTTATACAATTAACTTGTTGGAATGACGCGCTAGTCAGCCACGGAGAGTCATCCACGAAGGTGGCTGTGGTGGCACAGGGCCACAGATTCTATATAAGTGGCCGTAGGCCACTTCCACCCTCTGTCTTCTAGACAAACAGACATAAGCGAATCCATCACTTGAACCACCAGTTTTTCGGCGTGCAGTTACACCCTGTTGCTTCCAGTACAGGTACCTGGTGATTCCAACACAACTATCTCTTAATCCATGTACGCGCCTTAGAGATATGGCCGCTTTCCTCCGAAACGAGTTCGACGCCGATATAATACGTTTAAGCATTAGTAGAGCACTTAGGGAGGCCAAGTGGTTGAAGAAATATATATAGAATATCGCGCGCGAACGTAACCCCGATCTACGCGATAAATACATGTACGAAATATCGTTCCTTTGTTCCGAATAGCTGGTGATTATAGACGAGATGAGCGTTAGCAGAGTCCTCTGAATCTATTTCGATACGGCGCTGAGGGAGCTAGACGTGTGCGAGTGGCGATGTCTCTCTCCTGTGGTAGAGAGGTGAGTCACAGAGGACAGCTGTCATCTTCGCGTAGCAATCAGGTGGTAGAGCACCTGATCCCAAGCTACACGGAACCAAACAGACTAAAACAATTCGGTATATGATCGCCACGAAGCATATTTGGCTACTTAGGCCTCCGAAGGGGAAAAGTCGAAGTTGGTTTTGCTTTCTCGAAGTGACATATGCCAGCGACGCTGGAAGATGCTAGAATTCCCAAACTATTTACAAATTGACCTATCCTCCCAGACCCGTCTGGTGTCAAGCTAGAAGAAAGAAATGAAGAGAATGAATAGAGAGGACTTGAAACGAATTAGACATCGCACGAAGCTTATCGTAAGAACTCGACCCGAGACACAACCGATAGACACCATCCGCCCTTGGATAGCAGAATAGTTTGGGCGGTATTCTAGTGGTAACCATAACACTTTCCGGCCGTGATAAATAATCCAAGTCTGGCCCTCCCCTAAACTATACCCATACCCTCCTGGATCATCCGACGAGAAGGCGACCGACGTAACTGAACTACGAAGCCCTTCTAGTGTCTGGAGGTATTGCCTCGAGGTAATATCCCAGATCTTGACGGTATTATCGAACGAGCCTAATATAAGCTGTTGGCCATCCGGCGAGAAGGCGACTGAGGAAACCCCACCATAATGCCCTTCTAGCGTCTGGAGGCATTGCCCCGAGGTAGGATCCCAGATCTTGACGGTATAATCGAATGAGCCTGATACGAGCTGTTGGCCATCCGGCGAGAAGGCGACTAATGAAACCCTATTACGATGCCCTTCTAGCGTCTGGAAGCATTGCCCCGAGGTAGCATCCCAGATCTTGACGGTATAATCGTCCGAGCCTGATACGAGCTGTTGGCCATCCGGAGAGAAGGCGACCGAGTAAACCCCACCACGATGCCCTTCTAGCGTCTGGAAGCATTGCCCCGAGGTAGTATCCCAGATCTTGACGGTATAATCGTACGAGCCTGATACGAGCTGTTGGTTATCCGGCGAGAAGGCGACCGAGGAAACCCAACCACGATGCCCTTCTAGCGTCTGGAGGTACGCATTCCAGTTCGCTTCTACCACTGGCTTTATACTAATCCAGCTAGGTTCTTCAGCCTTAAATTTCTTGTTCACTAGACTGGAAGCTGGTGCAAATAGAAGGGCTGATGTGTACGCTTGGAGGGGGGCTTGCTCTACTACCCGTCCGTAGGCTAGAGTAAACATGTATGCATCCCAAATAAGTTTTGTAAGTTGGCTGTTACCGGTGGGCCCCTATGTCTCTGTTAGTCTTAGATTCTAGCATTGGGAGCTATAGACTCACTATTATGCCCTTAAGCTGTGTTATGGCAATGATACCCTCTGACATTGCTCGGAGTAAACTGAGAGCTTCAAGCCAGTAAAGGTACTTCCACTCAACAAAGGTCTGGACCGCATCCAGTGTGTTGCGTTGTAGCGTATCTTTATTAGAAATCGAGTCGCGGAGATGGTTAACCCAGAAAACGGATGAGTACCGTACCGTGGCCAGTTGGTCTGAGGATGGCGTTTGAACATCGTCGATTGAGGATCCCGGCATCTCTAAGCTGTACATATCACGTCGTAATACTGCGGACATCGCGCTGAGCGACCTTAAGAGAATGTTGTGGTGTAAATCCTCTCTTCCTAGCGGGAAGACCCATTCGAAGGGGTCTCGAGGAGCTTGCTGCGTGCCCATATCGAGAAGAAAGTCCGTAGCTGATTGATGGATCAAGTAGATCTGATTGTCTCGGACTGTGAGAAACGACCCACATTTGGCCACGATTCTCTTTACGTTCTCCGTCGATTTTGTAATATGTTCTGGTAATCCAGACAAGACGCCGATTTCAGCCAAGTGAAGCGGCCGGTATGCTGCCGTCACTGTCGAGAGTATGCGCCGGCAAAGTTCCGAATCCCGTTTGTGCCGCTTGACCTCATTCAACATACGATCGTACATCCCGTCCAGGCCCAACGGTACTTCTTCGACAATTTGGAGAACATGCCAGCTCTCAATATCCTCCCCGCCAAGCTCCTGTACGACGAGGGCTACCCAGAGGAACGTGCCGTCTGCCTTGCTGCGTAAAATATCCCGCACTCGATCTTTAAGTGGGATTCCATCTTCCAGCAGCGTGTTATCCTGAAGCGGCTCGAGATTGGATACCTTGTCGTCAATATACATATTGATAGCGTGAGATACCTGCATCACATTTGCTTTTAGCTTAAGACTAAGTCTCGTCTGTCTATCATCAGACTTCAGCTTCTTTTCGATAGTGACATCGTTCCGGCTTGATAAGAGCCACTTCACACGGTCGGACGAGATGCGGACGACGAAGTCTAAAAGCTTTGGCAGGTCGGCAATGCACTCGTCAAGGGCGTCAATGACCAGGTAGGTTGCCTTCAGGTTCGGATCTTCTAGCATTTCCCCTAAAATATCAGACACGGCAGCCCACGCATTTATATCAAATAGCGACTTCCCCGCGTCGATATATCTCCGAACATAGGAGAGGAGACGTGGTTGCTAGCGGATAAGGAGGTAGATCAAGCCACGCAGCACGGCAGTCGCGTTGTTAATGCGTGAGTCGGTAGCTTGACAGAATAAATAAGCTAACTTGTGGCAGTGCCCCTCAGCAATAATGGCTTGCTCTAGCTCGTTAATGATACCGCAGAGCAACATGGTCTTGCCTTTACCAGGATCGCCTTTGATCCAGAGAAGACGGCTATCTGGCCGGTCATACCATTGTCGGAAATCGTGGCTGTCGAGAACCTAGCGGTAAGCATTGACAAGCAAACCCCCTTTGGCCTCTTCGATACGCTTCTTGTCAAGACGTGGATCGGTGGAATGCAGGTTGGCCAGGTAGCGATCGTCCTTGCTAATCTCTTCGCGCAGCCGCTTGAATGCTTTGTCTTCTCCTTCCCCGTACAGGATGGGCATGCATACTTCGAAGATGCCGAATAGCGAGTATACCTTGTCTTCTTTGCGTGTCGTGGTGCGGGTTTTGACCCACGACATGCGTTCTTCAATGCTGAAATCGGACAATGCATCGCTTTGAAGAGCTCCGAGAGGAATGCCAGTTGTTTTGCGAATGTGTTGTCCCAGAGACTGCTTATCTCCTAGATACGCGCCCCCTTTAGAGAGGAATTCGACGGTAGTTGGAGCAATCAGCTATTGGAGAGTCCATCCATGCGTGAACCATGTGCAATCTCGAAAAGCGGGTTCCCAATTAGATTTGTCGGCATCCCGCTTGGGTGTTGAGACATCTGTAAGATAGACGTAGCATTTTTCCGCACCGCGATACCACTGGAACATGGAGTTATGAGCGTGCTGAAGCTCGGCAGCGTCGGACTTGTTGATGCAGCATGTGTCGACCCAGAAGTATTTCAGCCCGTCACGCCAGGCTTGATCTCCGCAAAACCGAATTTTGGCATAGCCTGCTTTATTCTTCCCTGTGCCGTCCGCGAGGTCTTTGAGGAGCACCTCTTCGTCTTCTCTCCATGTGTGTGAAAGTATCGCGTAAGGCGGAATGGCCGCGTCGTCCGGTATTGTCAGGTGGAACTCACCGGTATTATCCCGCTCTAGAAGGCGCATCGTCAAAGACCGGCGAGCTGTTTGTATGGAGGTTCGTCGGCGGCAAAGGAGGCTGGGTGGACGGTCGGATGGCTCTGGGGTTCACTGGATCTGCAGGGACAACAATCAGTAGCCGAAGTTGAGAGACAACTAGTACTAGACGCGAATTACCTACTGTAGAAAGCCGCCGTGATATTGGCATGAAACCTCGGTGGGATCGATTGGGCTGTTGAAGCTCGAAGATCGCTGCGGTTTCGATGCCCGAACCACAACCCCGCACGTTGGGTATCTGATTGGGTTGGCGCCTAGACGGCTGGCGCCGGCTGCGCGCACTCGAAAGCATTGTGATTGGTATGTGTTTTGCTGGCGCACTTGGAAACATCTCTCCTCAAATTGAGCAGCAATGCGGAGAGTGCCTTATGGGAGATGAAATGAGGGAGTTGAGATGAGCAAGAGCAAACTGAGTTTGAGAACTGCCAAGTTCGCAGGTACCTGCTGGGATTAGCCGAGTACAGGTTGGCGTCATTGCACTGTGGAAGAAATCATGTAAGCGCCACGGCTCTATTTACCTAGCGCTACTTTGTAGTACCTGCTTTGCGACATGTCAGCATCCGAAAGCGGGCAAATATCAGCCATTACTGGCGTCACGATGTACCTAGATATCTCCAAGTACTGATAGTCCGTGCCCAAACACATCAGTTGCAAGATCGGACGCCGGTTTCGCTCCTAGCTGTACGCCCCGTTAACCCCTACATCATTCCAATTTCAGTCCCGCCGTACACAGAAAGAGCAAAGGCTAGAAACAGAATAAAATTTTGGGTGACACGGTCTCGCTGTGACATGGTGACTCTGGTCCTGCTCCTCCCCGCAGCCATATCGGCACAGCGCGTGTCGAGATGTAAGTTTATAGCCCAAAGTCGACTTAGCCAAGCAGATCGTTCAGGTCGTTGCTGGCACTCGTAGAGCTTCCGTAGGGCTTCATTTGGGCAGGCGTGGAAGCAGGCGCAGCGCCCCAGATCCCAGCGGTGCTCTTCTCCTTGGCCAGCTGGCCTAAGGCGGGGCCGGCGCCGACTGGCGCGCTCTTCTTGATGCCCACGCTCGCTTGCGACCACAGAGCGCCAAAGACGTCGCCGCCAGCAGCCGGCCTCGACGCCGCGGGTCCAGCAGGCTTGGGTGCTCCGAGCCCGGACGAAAGCCCGACTTGCTGGGTGGCTGGTAGTGGTACCGATGAAAAGTAGTTGGGCTTGGCCGGTTGATAGGATGTGGGATTGGCGGCTGGTGTCGCAATGGATGTGGCCGTCAACGGCGTGGCGAAGGCCGAGAAGTTTGCCGAGCTGGGCGGCGGGGAGATTGAAGAGAGCGCGACCATGCCGCTGAGGTTGGCTTGCTGCGGCGCAGACACCGGCTTGGGAGCTGCAAACTGCGTGGCGCTCACCGGTGCGAGCGGTGGCGGAAGTGCGCCGCCGAATGAGGGTAGAGGCGCGGCTGCCGGGGCTGGAGGGGCCGCCGACTGGAAATCGTCAAACTCGTCGTCGTCATTAGCGGCCGCCGAGATTGCCCCGAATCCTGAGCTCGCTGGCGCAGTGAGGGGAGCAGCCGAGATTGACGCCGCACCCGGCTCGTCAAAGTCGAACAAATCAACCTCGGGTTCCTTCTTCTTAGGCGGCTCAGCTAGCTTCTCGGCAGCAGCTCTCTCTGTTGTGGCACGTGCAACTCTGTTCGCGCTCGACGCAGCAGCGGGCCGATCTCCCTCGTCAAACTCGTCGTATTCTTCAAACTTGTCTCCTCGGGACTGCGTGTCGCGGAAATCGCTGGCCTGGCCGCCAAAGCCCCCGCCGTCCCCATACACCTCGCTCGCGTACCCGCCGTAGCTCGAGTTGCCGCCGCCGCTGCCACCGCCGCCGTATCCGGCAGTGTCGCTCCCAAATCCGCCGTAGCGGCCGGTGCTGCTGGCGGAGCCGCCGGCATGGCCCGTAAACTTTTGCTTGTTGGCCCGCGCCTTCTTCCGTTCGGCTCGGATGCGCTCCACATCGTTGAGGAGCTCGGCGAGCTCTTTGGCGCGGTGCCTCACATTGACGCCCTGATCCTTCCCGTTCGCATCAATGAAGTGGAATTGACGAAGCATCTTCAGCAGCGTCAGATGGGACCGGGCGTCGTCAATGACGCGTTCCGAGCCGTGCTTGATCAGGTATTCGAGCAGCTGCAGAGCCTTGTAGATTTGACGCCACTCCTCAGCCGACTTTTCCGTGAACCGACGGTAAATCATGGGCATGATCTCGTTGAGCGTTTGGCTGGAGCAAGACGGTGAGCGGCGTGACAGGGTATGTGGGATGGTGACGGCGACAGGAGAGCATGCTGGAGCACGATACTCAGGGGAACATACTAGTTAAAAGTGCCATTGGCAATCTCCTGCAGCTGGGTCGAAGAGGCGCCCCACGGCTCGTTGTTCGTGGCCTCGCGCACCTGCGCCAGTGTCAGTGGTCCGTCTGTCAGGTGCGCGGTCAAGTGTGCTGCTCGTCTGCTGTGCAGGGGTTGGCTACCTTGGACTCCATCTCGGTATAGTTCATGACGGCTGTCACAGCACATCAGCAAAATGCCGATTTCGCAGAATGGACAATTGTGGGAGCCTACCATTCTGGACCTTCCGCACGCTGGCCTTGAGGTCGTACAGAGTCAGGTTGGCCACTGAGTCCTTAAGACTGTTGAAATCCATTGCGCCAGATGCCGATTACTAAAAAGCCCGCGGCTGAGTGTCCAGGGGTTGTCGAAGATGGAATGGGGATCTGTAGAATCGTGCGAGTGTTCCGGTGCTGCCTGTACGTTGCGCTCGGTGACCGGAAGTCAAAGGAGATGGACACGGCGCCTCGAAACACTTGCGATTTCCGCTGTCGGGGTCGGGTGCTTGGGCGCTGACACCTGGGGCAAGTGGGTCAGATTCAAATTCAAGGTCACGTGATTTGAACTGAGCTGGCCTGTGCAGCGCTTTGCTGACAAGACTGTGAGCCTGCGAGAGTTCTTTGATGGAAGTGTCGGGAATGATCCTACCTTTCCTGAATAGCATTCCCTGTTGTCAGATACCGCATGTCATACTACAGAAATGGTAATTCAATTCAATGAACAGGTCACGTTGTCGTACAGCTGAGCGACGCGTTGTGCGCGGGAAGTGTTGTAGCCTGAGGTGTCAAGGCACCCAGGTAATCTCCCCTTGGCCTGTGCTCCGGCGGAAAGCAAGAAAATTTGGCATTTCTAGTCTTGACTGCATCTCTGCCATCAACTTTCACTTCGTCACCTTGTACAATACTCTCCTCTGTACTATTCTACTTGTGTATTTAATCCCCAGGTACAGGTGCGTTCATCTCAATATTGTCTGTCTTCCGTTTCCCCAACCGCTGCACAAACGGCTGCACAGCTTGCTCCGGAGCTTCAGAGCCGATGGCCAGGATCAGCCAGCAGTCTCTGGTCTGGTCTGGCAGTCCAGCCTTTGTCAGCAGAGTCAACTAGTCCCGCCGAAAGCAGAGAGCGAAAGAGAAAGAGCAGCTGCGTGACACGGAGGCAAAAGTTTGCCCTCAGGGCCGGCTGCTGTGGTTCCTGGCAGGCAAACGACCAAACATCTGGCCGGTCAGCCACCCGATCTCCTCCGCTGGTCAGCAATCAGACTCGCGCGATGCCGTCAGTGGCCGATGAGGTGACATGTGGGGACGAGTTGGACGTCTGTCAATGAAGGCGGTTGACCACAGATGGCAACTGCATGCCCAATTGATGCCACTGCTCCTATTGGCGGCCGCCAGCATGTCCTGCACCTCCTGCCTGCCCCCTTTCCCCATGCTGTTGGGATCGAGATGGATTGCGGGCTCCACTTGGCAATTGCGCGGCTTCCTTCTCGGCCCACAATTCAGCTCAACTCTACGCTGCGGGATATACGGCTACAAGTGAGACCAGCGAGGCACTGGCGCCTGCCAAATCCACCATGGCTGCTGCCACCGCGTCAAGCTTGAAGCTCGCCCGCTCCTGAGTTTGGACCTCAACGGGCTAGGCTAGAATGGGACGCAATGACTGGTGCTCGGCAACCGGATGGCTGGTCTGGTTGGTTCCGTTCACAACCCCTCACCTGTCACGTGATGTGATACGTACCTCGACTTTCTTGCCTCCCCCCTCTCTTCCGCATGCCGCTACTGCTCATTGGCTCCTTCCGCGCGCTAACTCCCCTCTCCTCAAGAACCGAAAATGTTTCGACCCCTCCTACCCCGCCATTGCTTTACTCTCCCTCGACCCTCCTCCCTCCTTCACAATCTTCCGATTACTCCATTCTCCTCGACCTGCTCGCCATCTTTGCAATCGACCATCAGAATCTCTTCCCGAGCTTTTTCTGCATCCTCCGCCAATATGTCTGGAGTGTAAGTCCCACAGTCGCTTCGGTGTCGTCGTCAGACCCTCGTCCACAGCTCTTCTGACCCCCAAACAGGTTTTTCGACGTTCAGTGGGAGGGCCCGGTCCTCGACCAGAGCGGTCGCCCCACCCGGGAGGTGAAGCGTAAGTATCCTGGCGTCTTTCAATGCTTCTCTGCCCGTCCCTCTCGATCCTGCTGTCGTGATCAGCTCTGCGGCGATGGATGTTAAGCCGTTCTGTTTGGTCGCTTCACTGGAAACCCCGCTGTAGCTCCCAGAACTAGTTCCCCGAAAAATCTGCATCTGCCCGCATCCTTCTAGTGTGTTGTCCATTAGCATTCGCTAACACACCCACAGAACAGACCGGCCGCATCAACTTCAAGCTCTACGATGACGTCGTCCCCAAGACCACTAGAAATTTCCGCGAGCTGTGCACCGGCCAGAACGGCTTCGGATACCAGGCCTCTGCCTTCCACCGTATTATCCCCGAGTTCATGCTCCAGGGCGGTGACTTCACCCGCGGCAACGTGAGCAGATCCCCGTCGGCACCATTCGGATGGAGCTAACAGCCAGCAGGGCACCGGTGGCAAGTCCATCTACGGCGAGAAGTTCGCCGACGAGAACTTTGCCATTAAGCACACTCGTCCCGGTCTCCTCTCCATGGCCAACGCCGGCCCCAACACGTAAGTCTCCCAGAGTCTGGTAGCCAGACTGCAGCTAACAGTCTTTCAGCAACGGCTCCCAGTTCTTCGTCACCACTGTTGTGACCAGCTGGCTCGATGGCCGCCACGTCGTCTTCGGCGAGGTTGCTGACGAGGACTCGATGCGCGTTGTCAAGTCTCTCGAGGCCACTGGTTCCGGCAGCGGCGCCATCAAGTACGCCAACAAGCCTACCATTGTGGCTTCTGGTGAGACCAAGCTTGAGGAGTAGGCTGCGACGCAGCTTGTTCGCCTGGGGTTGGAGGTTGATGGGTAGTCACAGTAGTAAGGTGACAATATGATATATCCTAGATGAGCTTTAACTAGCTGGGTCGAGGAATCTAAAAGTCCTGGTCGCTGGACGCTATCCACTTGTTTCCTCTGCGGCAACAACCGTGGAGCAATATCTGAGCGTCCAAGCATATGCAACAACTGTCAACGCCAGCACTCTAAATGTAACATGTACTGAACGTAACTCGTAGTTGCCTAGGCTTTTGTCTATCGATATAACCACTTTTCCAGGCCTAGACACGCGCCATGCGTGCCAAGCTAAACCCATTTCCCCAATACGCCGCCATAGTACCCCTACCGCCGTAGTATGCCGTGCACGATCATTCATCGTCCTCTAACTGCTAAACGGAAACCACAATAAAGAATACCCGTATCAAACACCACCCTACCTATATGCTGACCATAGCAGGGGCACCTCCGGCTAGCCTGTCTTCAAGCCCCAGCCACTGCATAAAGTACACACACTTGCTCGGGCTGACGGGGCCGCCCTCCTCGCATATCTCGAATACGGGACATCGCCCGCACGGGGCCTCGGTCACGCCGTTGGTGGGCAGCGCGACGCCCGTGTGCGGCTTGTCGAGCCCGATGCCCGCCTCGCGCTCCTTTTGGCGCTTCTCGAACGACGCCGTGTCCTGCTTGGCGGCCCGCATCACGCGGTACCCCTTGCGCCCGCCCACCTTGACCGCCTCCACCAGGCCATCGTACACGAGCACGTCCACCAGCTGCTGGATGTCGGCCTCGCCCAGCGTCGTGTTGTTCGTGATGCCCGTCTTATGGATGAACTGCGCGATCTCGGTCACTGTCGGGTACGACTTGTATCCCGCCGGAAACGGCAGGAACACCTTGCCCCTAGCTGCCCGGCTGGCGGCGCTGCTGCTATTCTTGGCCTCGGCTGCCTCCGAGCTAGCCGCGGCGGGCGCCCCTATTGCCGCGGCTGGCTGCTCGTCGTTGGATATCTCGGTTGCCGCGCGCTTCAGGCCGCGCGCGTCCCCGTTCGCCGCCGCCCCGCCCCGGATGATGCCCTTCCGTGGCGCTTTGAGAGCGCCGTCGGCCCCAGCCGCGCCCCCGCCCCCGCGGGCCGGCAGCGAGCCCAGATACGCGCTGTGGTTCTTGATGTACTCAAACACGATGGTCTCGAGCTCCGTGATGAAGGGCGAGTCGAGCTCGCCGTCGGTGAACCACGGCCCGCCCGTGGCGCGGTCCGACGGCCGTAGGTTGGCGCGGATGTACATCTTCTTGTTGGGGTGCTCGACGTTCTTCATGGCCACGATGTACCCCTTGGTCTCGAGGTACTTGATGCAGCTCTTCACCACGGCCTCGTGCATCCCCAGCCGGTGCTTAATGTGCCGGTTCCACACGCCGTCCGCCCCGGCCTCGTCGACGATCGAGTACACCATCATGGTCTCGTCGTTGGGGAGGGACGTGTATCTGTTTTGTTCTGCGTGATCAGCTGTCTGCGTCTCTGTGTGTCTCTGTGTATTGTCTGGTCGTTCCCTCAGTCTGGGCGACCTACTTTTGGGCATCCTCCCGGCTCCTCCATCGCCAGGCTAGGCCAGCATGGTTCGTTCCGCCGACGAAAAGCTTGTCGTCGGTGAGCGACTGCACGACGCGCAGCAGGAGGACAACATCGTTGCTAGGGATGACGTTGAGGTCGAGCAGGTCTTTCTGGGTGAATAGCCGGTCGGCAGAGCCGTGCTGCCGTGCCTCGTCGTAGAGCGCGTCTTTGAGGATCTGGATCTTGGCGCCCGCCTCCGCGGCGTCGCTCGGCATGGCTGCGGTTGGAAGGGGGAATGTGCCCCGTCGAGCTTGTCGGTTGGGCCAAATCCTCTGCACGGTTGCAGGGAGCCGGATTAGTATGCTGCGAGTGGTTCCGCGGCGCAGGTGCAATCGTGTGTAAATGCCCGCGGGTTCGAGTAATTGATGCTGTTCGCGTTGCTTGTTTGGTGACTCAATGGCGAGCCGGGCGGGGAGGTGTTTTCGTCGTGAGTTGGACCCCAAGCTGGTCGGCCACGAAATTTCGGGAGCTGGCTGCCCCTCCATCGCAGCCCTGCTGTCGCGCGCCAATGCCGGGTGCTGTGATTGGCTGTTGGGCCGCCCCGCTCCTAAGCACGCCAATTGGCACGACTACTCGATTTAGCCTTGCAGCCACCACCACGGAACCAAGAAGCCAAGCCAACCTTGACGGCAAAACCTTGACGGCGAAACCTTGACGGCGGCGGTGAATCATCTCAAAAGTTACTTTCGTTTTACAAACCTCGGGCTCCAGGATTCGTCACCAAAATTGTCTTGTTTCCTTTCCTTTCCAAACTGCCGTGGACTAGGTCTAGAACTACAGGGAACATTCTTTAATTATCTGCCTTCGAAGTTCGCTTCTCTCATGCTGCAAGACTAAATTTGAACACCTGATCACCTCATTCACCACGCATAAACACATCAACAGCAATGCCCGTGCCACACTCCTTGTCGCTCACAAGATTATGCGCCACTGCGCCTGCTCATGCCTAATTCTCGCTCCCAGTGGGATCAGAATCGCCATTCCAATGGCGATAACGGCAACAAAGATGCCAGCTTGGGCGCCAAAGCAGTCAACATAGCCTACCTCGTCAACCCAGGGCACGATACCATAGAGAAATCCAAACGCGACAATGTTCTTTGAGCCTGTGCTTGGTTAGCAGGGCGACTGATATCACATCAGTGGGCTGAAACTCACCATTGACCAGCATGAGGGCATCTTCGTTCAAGGGAAGCACGCAGTCCGAGACATAGGCCATGGTGATGGTCGGGACCGCCGTCAGGGCAAACGATATCATGCCATACCCGAAAAACAAACTTGTCCAATGGAGCGTTCTCTCCACCCCGTAGCCAAACAGAAGGCATCCCGCGCCAGTGATGAGCAACGGCAGGATGCAGAGATACAGCCTATACTCGGGCTCGAACAGGCCGCCGTTGCGCCGCGTCTGCCAGTCGCAGAACCGGTCCACGAGCCACCCCCCCGCAAGACTGCCCGCGACGTTGCCGATGAAGCCGGGGATGTTGACCAAACCGTTGATCATCGGCGACCAGCTGTACGGCGGCGCCTGCAGCACGAAGGGGTTGAGGATGTTGACCGCTACGGTAAGCACGAGCGAGACGGCATATCCGAGGAACGCGTACACGACGCACGGGTACGCGAACATGGGGAGCGGCCGCAGGAACATCTTGTACAGGCTTGCGTCGGCAGAAACTCCCGACCAGGGATTGAGTTCCTGCGCCCATGACTTCTTAGAAAGTTGCAAAGGGGCTGAATCAAATGCTCCGGGAGTGTTGCCCTGCTCTGCGGAACGCACGCTCTTTTCCGGATCCGTGGCTGCCACGTCGTCAGCCGTCGAGCTCGGCGCGTCCGACCCCAAGTCGGCGACGTTCATGCTCCGATCACGGCGGTAGCGTGTCTCTGGGACCAGAAACATGACGGTAAGAAAGTTGATGGCGGTGAGGATTAGCGAGATCCATTTGTGCCATCGCCAGCTGAGCGCCGTGATGACGAAGCCGCAGACGAGCGGGCCGAGCGTGTTGCCGCCGGAAATGAAATTCATGTATAGGCCCATCTTGGCGCCGCGCTCGTGAAGAAAGAACAGGTCGTTGACGATGCTCGCCCCGAGCGCCTCGGTCGAGGCCCCGGCGAAGGCGCCGACAATGTTGGACCATAGCAGCGACCTGAACGAGCCCGCGAGGGCGCCCCAGATGTAGCACACGCAGAGCAGCCCCGACGCGGCCACAAACACGGGTCGCTTGCCGAAGTAGTTTGCGACGGGCACCCAGAAGAAGTTGAAGGCGCCGAGCACGAGGATGGGCCACAGCAGCAGTTCGCTCGTCTCCGACACGGTCTTGTCAAATTCTATAGACAGGATGTAGAAGGCCGGCGTGAGGCCGCCGATGCCAAAGTTAGTCAGGAACGTGAACGAGCAGACGGAGAGGAAGGCGACGTTCTTCTTCCAGCGCGGCCATCGCAGGGGATCGTTGGGGTCGTGTTCGGAGGCCCGCGGGACCAGGACCAGCGACGAGTTGTCGCTGTCGGCGAGTTTGCGGAGCTGGACCGTCCCTTCTGTCCTGTCGAGCTCGTGGAGGGTGTGGAGACGCATGCTGACTCGAAGTCGACGGCTAACAGCAGACCGCAACGGCTGCAAGCGGCGATGTTTGACAAACAACGAGCCCCGGCTTCCCGAGACCGTGACACTGAGATCGGCTCAGTGGGAACGAGCCTTTTGCGGAAGGCCCAGCCGATTTTTACATGAGAGCAAACAGGGCCTGCGGCATATTAATATACCGCCTTGTGCTGCAGAGCGGTGCTGCTGACTCGGTGAGACATTGGCACCTCGGATGTCCGTAGCGGTGACAAGAGGCCAGCAACAACGTTCAGCGATCCAGCTGCTAGTGGCCAGCGAGCCCGCTGATCGGTGAGCCGGCATGCCGCCAACGCCTCCGGCCATTCCACATGCCACATAGCATATCCAGCTGCTCGGCGACTACTGCATATTTGATGCCTAGTACTCTACCTGTAGCATCGGGGCTTCGGGCGGCTGCGTCAAGCGGTAGTTAGCCGAGTCATCAGACGACAGAAGGAGATACTAATCATACTTGGTACGTAACGCAGGGACTATTGCAACGGACAGCCATCCCAGCAAGGGACGGCCGCTGAGGGCTGTCTCGAACTAAATCATACTTCGGCTGTTTCAGACTTGTGCGACACCGCCCTGAGCAGCTAGCCTCAATTGACTAAATCTTATGTGTCACTATGTCTAGGATGAAGCCAAGTTGTAGTTCGAGGAGTTTAGAAAGACAAGCAGTTCGAAGTTGGGTAAATATTCTACGTTTAAGGTATAGTCCATCCGTGGGATAACTTGATGTCGATACCATTAGGGATGAAATCTCTAGTACAAGCCTTTGAAGTTGTTTTATTCTAAGCATCAATTAGTTAACTCGGCTCACCTAGTCTTATTTCTTGTGTCCTCAGACTTTAAAACGAATTAGCCTCAGATCTCAACATACTATTATTTTTCAGACTCAAGCATAACTTATTTAGAATAATTATATCATCTTCGATAAGATTCGGCTAATACCAGTGCAATCCGTGCCTCTTCGAAAATGTTAATGAAATCTCCAGGAGTGTGTTTTGCTATCATCCCTGATCAAGAAGTTCTAAGATGTTACCAAGATTTGAGATACGAAGTATCGTAGCCTCAGCCTGATTGATGACAAAGGTTGTTTCCATATTGGATGATTGGAGCAGATAACGAGAAACCAACTCAAGCGCTCAATTGCGTTTCAGGGGTTGCGGCGCCCCTGGGAGTGGCTTATGCCAAGCAGGAAACAACACCTCGACTGGCGTTGAAGATGAGGTAAGACAACCGGATGATAAAGCAAGGCATTGGCACAGCAACATGCTGGGAAGCTGCCATCTCTCAAAGCCGGTCGTGAATGTTGAATGCTTCATGTGGCCGAAATAGAAGATCGAATTCTTCTTCTGCATATATATATACATATATATATATATATACGAGTAGTCCTTTCGCGATGCTTTGTTCGAGCTGCCATCCGGCAGACAAGACCAGTGTAATTAGCACACGACGATGCTATGACCCTGGCTGACTGCCCGGTTACAAAGATAAGCGCGAAGCCTTCATAAGCCGGCGAGTTAAGGCTGCCTTAGCTTATTTATACTTCAATGCCGGATATGAACGAGCGGGACGTTGCCGGCGCGCTTGGCTGGATTACTTGCAGCTTAGCCCCCCCCTTCCCCAATTAATGGGGCAATATGGCCGCTTTAGGCCAGGGTAATCACGGCGGTTGTCCCAACGAGAACCAATGCGCTATTTGCTCCATACCGCTCCGAGAGAGTGACGTGCTGCCAAGACTGGCAAACAGATTACAACCGCGTATTCGGGGCGTAATGGATACCCCCTAACGACGACGTTGGAGCGAACAGCTGCTTAGCGCTGAGCGAGCGAGTGAGGAGGCGCCGTTTTGGGCAAACTCATCGCCGGTGCGAACATGACGTGACGTCTAGGGCAGACTGCTGGCAGACTGCAGTTTGCGTCGGCCGCTCAGCTTCAATTCCTCCCATTTCTGCATTTCCTCTTGCCTGAGCACATACAAACCGAACCCACGTTGACGCCACCATCGCCGACGCATCTCTTAGCTCGAGGGGCGTGCTGCAGGGCGTTGCAATCAGCGCGTCCGACGCGGGCCAGCGTTTTGCGGGGTGCATGGCAATCTTCTGTGCGGACAACCCCCGTCGACTTAGCGTATCGTGGGGATGACCTGCAGGGGACGGATCCGCCAAAGCCCCTTAAATATTCGGGCACCTCATCATTCCAGCAACGGTGAACGGCTGGGTCGTCGGTCTGATGATGTCTGCTTCTACGCGCTTGGAGGGGCATCTGTAATTTTACAGAGCCAGTTCGGCATGGCACGCGATGGTCGATTGCGTTCGTATTTATTTTATCGCTAATAGGTAGACACGATCCAACGGGCAGGCACCAATGTGCGGTGCGGAGAGACCTTTTGTCGGAATCGATACCCCTAGTTCCATCCCTTGGCACGGATGTAACGGCGCTCACCGACCGACGGCAGCGAAGGTGTGGCGCACACCGTTAATTTTAAATTGGCAAATTTGGAGGGTGTACAGGGTGTCACAGGCTGGGCTGCGCGATTGGCCTGCCCCGCACCGCCAGCTCGTATGACCAGACGAAGGAGCTTTAGCCTGTCATTAGTCGGTCTGTTCCTTGCATGTTCCTGGAAATGGGGGATGGCACGGTAGCTTCAACCACACCCACTGGTAGGGGCAGAATCCGAGCTTTCAGTCTCGCACTCTGACACTTTGCAGGCTCGGGACCCCCAAGCCGGCTTCATGGATACAAAAGACGAGCACCGCCCGCGTTCCCCAACTTTGCGGCGGTGTCGCATCTTCACTCGTTGATTTTGTGTGATCCTCTCTTTCCCGGTTAACTATCCACTACCTTCGGGCAGCAGTCACTCTTTTAACTCCGCCGCCCAACACCATCACCATGCGCTTCCTGTCGCTCTTCGCCCTCGCGGCCCCCCTCGTGGCCGCCATCGAGTTCACGGCCCCGGCCGCCAACTCGACCGTGTCCAAGGGCGCCAAGTTCGACCTTAGTTGGTCGACCGTGGACACGGACCCGGGCACCTTCAGCGTCTACCTGGTCAACTTTTTCAACTGGCCGCCGCTGTACGTGCCGCTCGTGCTCGACGTCGAGACGACGGCCGGCGAGATCGAGGTGACGGTGCCGTGCGACGTCGACAGCTCGTGGGGTTACCAGTTGTATGTTTTCTCCCCCTCTGCCCCCTCTTCGGGGGAATAATATGCTAAGAAGATGCCCAGCAACGCCATCAACGGCACCAACACCTACGTCATCTACGCGCAGACGCCCAAGTTCTTCATTGGCGGTGGCCCCTGCACGAGCCCGACTCTCGACACCCCCCCTACGTGCGCGGCGGCGGCCACCGTTACCGTCACGGTGAGCACAACCCTTTCCGCCAACTCGACCGGCAAACCCACCACCCTGGCCCCTGTGTCCTCCAAGACCACTGCTGCTCCCTCTCCTGGCAAGTGTCCTGACACCATTGGCTGGGGCGAATCAGGCTACAGTCATCCTGTGACACTGACCCGCGTCCCGCACGCGTCCAACGACGTCCCCACCACCACGCCCGCCCCCGGCGCCTGGACTAGCAAGGACGCCGAGGCGAGCACGAGCACCCTCTACACCACCATCTACAAGGACCTGTCCGAGGTCAACGGGTGTGCCTGCTAAGGGGCGACGACGACGACGACGAGGAGGAACCGAAACGGGGTAGGGCTTCTGCTCTGGACGAGCCCCCTGCACGGGCTGGCGTCTGCGTCTTTGCTGATCGCGGCCGGCTCTGCTTGTATATACACTACTCGCTCTGTGACCGGGTAGCCTTAATTTAAACTGTTTATATGCCCCACCGATGAAGCACCCTGGTGAAGCACGACCGTGACTCACGCCTGGTGAATCAATAACATGTATTATTTCGTCTGCTTCAATAAGACTTGCTGCCTTAAGGAGGGACTTCCACGGTTAGATTTATCACAAAAGTGACACGGCTCATACCCAGCACCACGTACACAATAATCAACGGATTCTGCTCAAATATTCAGCTAGATGCTAAAACCACAATCGTGAATATAAAGAAACAGTTGATGCCTTTTAACGCCATGCCCAGGGCAGGAGTCAATGATATACTTAGTTGTGTCGGAAACACCGCACTGTTGGGTGGAAGGTCTTAGGAACATGGCATACTGGATGCGGTGGAATTGATGCGGTCACAACTGCGTGATTGTGTTGCTCAAGTAGAGCTAGAAGGGTAAGGGTATTCTTGACAATGGCAGATATATGAACTGTCGTGGGCCCCAATTTCCGTTCTTCTGGCGTGCGGCTAATATGTATGGACTACGGGGCACGCCCCAGCTTTAATTAACCAAATGCCCGCGCTGGTAAAAGGGGGGATCCCAAAGACTGGTCAATGATTCTCCGCAGCTGCTCTATCACATCTCCGCACCATCTGCCGCCCCAATGAAAGGCGAGGCCAACAATAAAATCCCGTCCCAGGCCGGCTTTCATACGACAACCGCCGCGTGCCTGGCGGCTGGCATGCAGCGCAATCATTGTTAACAGGCAGCTTGCAATATCAAAGCCGGCAGCTACAGCGAGCCGCTTTTATCCGATTTTGACGTGATGGCGCCGCACTTGCCAGCGGGAATGTGGTGGGAACGGGACGCCCTCGGCCGCTCCCGCATGCCGTGGGATGATGTTTCGAGGGATATCTACTCGAGAGGCCCAACGAGACAGGGCAAGGCTGCTTTGAGTCTTGTACATTCGTCCCCTCGTCTCGCCACCCATCGGCCAAGATGAAGCTCCCCTTGTTCTCCCTCGCCGGGGCGTTGCTCGTCGCCAATGGCGCGCGGGCGTTCCAGTTCCCCAACTGTGCTCAAAGCCCGCTCGCCAACACGACGGCGTGCGACATAAAGGCCTCGCCTGCCGACCGCGCCGCGGCGCTCGTCAAGATGCTGAACATCACGGAGAAGCTGTCCAATCTTGTCGAGTAAATCACGACTCCTTTGGTTATGGCCGTGGCGAGCTCCAGCTGACAGACGCACAGCAACAGCCTCGGGGCCGAGCGTGTCGGTCTCCCGCCGTACGAGTGGTGGAGCGAAGCACTGCATGGAGTCGCAGCATCGCCCGGCGTGTCCTTCAACCGGACCGGCAGTCCGTTTTCCTCGGCCACGTCGTTTGCCAACAGCATCACCATCTCGGCCGCCTTCGACGACGACCTCGTGTACAAGATCGCCACCGTCATCAGCACAGAAGCCCGCGCCTTCATCAATGCCGGGCGGGCGGGGCTCGATTTTTGGACACCGAATATCAACCCCTACAAAGACCCACGATGGGGGCGGGGGTCTGAGGTGCGCCCCCCCCCCCCCCCCCCCCCAAACACCAGGTCTGACTGACATCAGAAACTCATAACACACAACAGACGCCCGGCGAGGACCCGGTCCGGATCAAGGGCTACGTCAAGGCGCTGCTGTCCGGGCTCGAGGGCGACGAGGCAGTCCGCAAGGTGATCGCGACGTGCAAGCACTACGCGGCGTACGACCTCGAGCGGTGGCAAGGGATGACGCGGTACAAGTTCGACGCCGTGGTGTCGTCGCAGGACCTGTCCGAGTACTACCTGCCGCCGTTCCAGCAGTGCGCGCGCGACTCGCACGTCGGCTCCATCATGTGCAGCTACAACGCGCTCAACGGCACGCCCGCCTGCGCCAGCACGTACCTCATGGACGACATCCTGCGCGGGCACTGGAACTGGACCGCCCACGGCAACTATGTTACGAGCGACTGCAACGCTATCCAAGACTTCTTGCCCAGCTGGCACAACTTCAGCCAGACGCCTGCTGCAGCCGCCGCCGCTGCTCTGGTCGCCGGCACCGACACCATCTGCGAGGTGGCCGGGTTCCCGCCCATGTCCGACGTCGCCGGCGCGTACAACCAGTCCCTGCTGTCCGAGGCCGTCGTCGACCGCGCGCTGCGCCGGCTATACGAGGGCCTCATCCGCGCCGGCTACCTGGACCCGCCGGCCGCGAGCCCGTACCGGTCCATCGGCTGGGCCGACGTCAACACGCCCGCGGCGCAGGCGCTGGCGCTGCAGTCGGCCGCCGAAGGCATGGTGCTCCTCAAGAACAACAACAACAACGCGCTCCCGCTGCGGCTCGCCAACAAGTCCGTCGCGCTCGTCGGGCACTGGGCGGCCGGCGGCCGCCAGATGCTCGGCGGCTACAGCGGCATCCCGCCGTACCTGCTCGGGCCCGCCTCAGCAGCCCAGCAGCGCAACCTGACGTACCGCATCGCTGGAGGACCCGTGGCGCAGCTGACCGGCGCTGCCAACACGTGGACGGCTCCCGCGCTGGCAGCAGCCTCGCAGGCCGACGTAGTCTTCTATTTCGGGGGTACAGACCAAAGCATCGCGGCCGAAGACCGCGATCGCGACGCCATCGCGTGGCCGGGCGCGCAGCTGGCCCTGATCACGACCCTCGCAGCGCTCGGCAAGCCGCTCGTCGTCATCCAGCTCGGCGACCAGGTCGACGACACCCCGCTGCTGCGCAACGCCAACGTGTCGGCCATCCTCTGGGCAGGCTACCCGGGGCAGGCGGGTGGCGCGGCGGCGCTGGATATTATCACGGGGGTGTCCGCGCCCGCCGGCCGCCTACCCGTCACGCAGTACCCGGCGGCTTATACCGAGCAGGTGGCGCTGACCGAGACGGCCTTGCGTGGCAATGGTGGCAGCCCCGGCCGCACGTACCGCTGGTACAATGGCTCGGTGCTGCCGTTTGGGTTCGGGCTGCACTACACGACGTTTGACGCGCGGTTCGCGGGGCTGCCGCCTTCGTCGCTTCTTCCTTCCAGCTCCACCTCCACCAACACAACGACGTATTCCATCCCGGCACTGCTCGCGTCCTGCAACGCGCCACACTTGGACCTGTGCCCGTTCGGCGCCGTGCGCGTCCAGGCAACCAACACGGGCACCACAACGACATCCGACTACGTGGCGCTGGCATTCGTGCGGCACGGGCACGGCACGGGCCCAGAGCCGCGGCCGCGCAAGACGCTGGCGGCGTACGCGCGGCTGCGCGCTGTCGCGCCGGGACGTGCTGTGACGGAAGACTTGCGGCTGACGCTCGGCAACCTCGCGCGCGTTGATGGGGCGGGAAACACGGTGCTGTATCCTGGGACGTATACGCTGTTGTTGGACGTGGATGAGCATGATGGGGCGGTGGATGAGGTGCGGTTTGAGTTGGTTGGCGACGAGGTTGTGCTGGATCACTTTCCACAGCCGAGGACGTGAGATGTGGTGTGTGCTGTGTGCTGTGTGCTGTGTGCTGTGTGCTGTGTGCTGTGTGCTGTGTGCTGTGTGCTGTGTGCTGTGTGCTATGTGCTGTGTGCTATGTGCTGTGTGTTGTGTGTTGTGTGTGTGGTCGGTATGGCGTGGTTGTTTTGGGTGCCGAGCGACGGTGCTGGGTAGGTATGGAGTATGGAGACCACACGGTTACCCGCTGTTGCCCAGAATACGAGGCTCGGTATCTGGTTTATGTGCAGGCGCTGCGGTGGCACGAGATGTGAAAAGCGGGACTCGAGTGAGAGAGGCGGATAGGGAGTAAAAGGTGGAATGACACGAAAACTAGGTTAACGGTGGAATGGGTGCCTGGTGTACAGGGAACTGCCAAGCACGTCATTAGGATCGGACGAAATTTTCACAATTCGCAAATCGAGGTAGACAATCAGGGAGCCCGCGACATGCTTCCGCCCCACCGCCCACTGTTGTTTAAATTTAACCATTGCAAATCTGCTGACCATGGGAGAAGAGGGAGACGTTGGAATCACCAGGTACCGGGACTGGAAGCAACAGGGCGTAACTGCACGCTGAAAACTGGTGGTTCAAGTGGTGGATTTGTTCATGTCTGTGTTTGATCAAGAAGACAGAGGGTGGAAGTAGCCGTAGGCCACTTAAATAGAATCTGTGGCCTTGCGCCGCCACAACCGCCACCTCTGTTGCTGACTAGCGCGTCATTCTAACAGGAGATAATCCATAAATTATCAGACAATGTAAAGAGAGGAAAGGAGAAAAAACGAGGCGAAAAGAGAGAAAGAAAGTAAACAGAAAAAGACAAAAATGTCCCACGGCCGCCAGCAAGCGGATGGCGTGCCGGGACTGAAACCCGGACCGGCCTGGGGCGCTTACCTTACCACCCCATGGCTACGCACCCGGATTTACACTATATGGCTATCTGGCTGGTAAAGGACTGCCCGTGCCTCCTCGAGCTATGCTATGCGTGTCTTGTCCGTCGTCACTAGCTGTCGTATTTGGTTATCGTTATCTTTTCCCTGATGCTTTCCGCCACGGTGCTGGACTTGCGTCCTATGTACTTACTTTCATGCCGCCACTGGGCACATGACAAGGTTGGCCGCATTGTATTTAGAGTGTGGTCTGTGCGCGTCGCCACCCACGTGCTCAGCACCACCACCTACTTCCCCGCGCCCTGCGCGGTCCCTGCGATAGGTTCCTTCTTTTCCTTCTTTAGCTTTAAATCCACATTTGTTACTGCATTCGACCTTTGATTTCCTATGAGGGCCGTCACACATAGTCTGTGTTTTCTATCTAATCGTCTTTCCGTAAGCCCCCAACTAGCGTTTTATGTAGTTTGTAGTCCTTGGCAGGTCGTTGGTGCAGCCGTGCAGCCATCCAGGCTGGTGGTGCCGTGAGTTGCATTGGCAGGGCTTGGCCAATGCGAGGCTGCACGCACGGCAGACTCACTCCATTCCGCGATCCTGCCTTGGATTCTGCCCACCACCGGCTCTCGACCACGCCCTTGATTTGAGGTTCACTAGCTGCAAGAGTTCAAACATGGGCTGCCTCCAGACACGAAATAGAGATCCATAAATTTACACATGAAGCACCTTTTACAGACCCCCCGACACTGGAATTCAAAGCAGCCAGCCACCCCGCCCGACTGCATTACCCACGAGCCCACACCCCACATCTTCCGAGCCCAGAATTCAAAAACGAAGCCATTCCGGCCTCACCCTCACCCCGCCCTCACCCCCACACCCACCGCCGCCCACGATGCTCTCAGACAAGGCATTCATCGAGCGCGTAGGCGAGTGCTTCCTCGAAGGCCTCGAGGAGTTCAAGATCAAGACACGCAGCTCCATACCATCACTCATCGCCGAGATCAAAGCCGCGCGGCTGCCCATGTACCCGAGCTACCTAGGGTGGTTTCTGTCGGGGGAGACGGCGACGTCGGCCGTGACGGCGTTCGCCAAGCGCGACAACACGCCGCGGCCGACGCCGTGCACGCTGGCGCAGGCGCAGGCGATGCTGGCGGCGTTCCCGTTGCGCGAGATCGCCGGCACGCAGGCCTCTGACGCTACGCCCCACGGGCTTACGGGCTCCACGTGGGCCGAGCGCGCGGGCGGGTACCTGTTCCCGCCCGAGGAGTCGGCCGAGCTGCTCGTGCCGCTGGCGCGGTGGGATGCGACCGACGCGCCGCACCGCCTCGACGTCGCGCGGCTGCTGCTCGCCGACCGCACCGCCAACCCTAATTGTACCATGATCGAGTACGCCGTGTGGTGCTGGACGCCGTGCGACGAGGTGCTCGCGCCGCTGCACGTCGCCGCCGCGCAGGGCGACGTCGACATGGTGGAGCTGCTGCTCGAGTTCGGTGCTGACCCGGCCAAGAAGGACGGCCACGGCGAGACGGCGGTCGACATGGCGCGGAAGAGGGGCCACGATGATGTTGTGCGGCTGCTCGAGGGGCTGTCTGCGACGGTAAACACGACGGGTGCGAGCACGGCGGCGGCAGACAAGACGGCGAATACGACGGAGGCAGACAAGACGGCGAATACGACGGAGGCAAGCGAGGAGACTGAGAAAGAGAAGGAAACAACAGTGAGTCCCGTGAATACCACTACCCGGCCCGGCCCGTGGACGAGAAGCAAGGCTAAGCAAGGCTCTACCGCCAGGGCGGCGCAGCGGAAGAGAACGAGACGCGGGAGAAGGCAGCGGTAAAAGCTGGGGACAGCAAGGAGCACCTCTGAGGATGGCACGCTCAATACCCACGTGGTGTCCAACTCAATCGGCCGGCCCGAGTATATACCTGGCCGGCCGATTGAGTTGGACACGGCGGCACGGGGACACGGCGGCACGGCGTGAGTCTTCTCGGTATATGCGTCATCAGGTAGCAAATCTATGGTTATGCCGAACCTTGACGGCTCCAGGTTATTCAAAGTTCGCGTGTGTGGAGCGGAGCGGCCGGCATGTGATACGCAAGCTATAGCCAGCCAGATCCGAGAACCTTTCATGTTGGACTTGGACTTGTGCTTCCTACCTACCTATTTAATTACACACTGATCGTCTTTAGGCTCATTTTAGTCATGGCCAGCAACGGCCACGCTGCCCACGGCCACGCCGTGGCCAACATAGCCCGCGCGGGCGATACAGTCCTGGTGGTCGGCCCCGACGCCGAGCACATGATCGTCAGCTCCGCTGTTCTGTCCGCTGCCTCGCTCAAGACGAAGGCGCTGGTCGACGCAGGCTTCGCAGAGCAGCTTCCGGGCCCCATCAACGGGCTAGTAGCCGTCCGCCTGCCGCACGACCAGCCGGGCGTAGTGAAGGCGGTGCTGTACGCGCTCCACAGCCGCGTGGAATTCGCGCGGCACCCCTTCGCCGCCGCCGAGCTCGTCTTCGTTGCCCGCACCGCCGATAAGTTCCGGCTGCAGCCAGCCCTCGCCGCCACCGGCATCACCGCCGCGTGGCTCCAGAACTGCCTGTCTGCTGCTGGTCCCGCTGAGCCCGCCCCCGTTTTCGCCCTCGCGGTGGCCGCGTGTCTGCTCAACGACGCCGACACCTTCGCCGTCGCCTGCCGCCGCCTCGTGTTCGAGCACGGCGGCTCGTACGTCCCCCTTGCTCGGCCGTACCTCGGGCAGGAACTAGACGCGGCCAGGGTGATGGCTGTCGCAAGTAAGCTGTGCCACCCACCCACTCAACCCGGACTTCTAGCGAGCCTTGCTAACCCTGCATCCTGGCTATTAGTGGCACTCGAAGAGACCCGCGGCAAGTTGCGCCTCGAGCTAGCAGGCACTCTGGCCACCGCCGCAGACTACCACAGGCTCGACATGGAACTGTGCTCGTGCGGCTGGTACGTCCTCGGCGCCAAAGGCGGCCTTGCCGGGTCCGGGCTCGCCGTGTCGGACATCTCGTCGTCAGCACTCGGACGCTGCGTCGAGGCGGCCGACAAGGTCTGCAGCGACTCCCTGCAGCAGCATTGTCACGGCGCGCATCAGTACCCGCACGTGGGCAACATGGTCCGCGAGCGGCTAAAGTTCCTCATGAAGCGCGAAGACGGGAGCCCGTGTCTGTGGTGTGTGTACCAGGGCGAGCCTCACCACATGCATCCCGGCGAGGGCGAGCGTTTCGAAAAGGTGACTAATTGGTTGCGAGAGGAGCTGGGCAGGATTGCTAGAGTTTAGTTGGGCAGGATCGCTAGAGTTTAGTTGGGCAGGATCGCTAGAGTTTAGTTGGGCAGCTTGGGCTGGGTTTCAGGCCGGGTTTCGGGATGGTGTTTATCTTTGAGCGTGTGCAAGGGATAGAATGATAGTGGCGTTTTGGAAGGGGCGGTTAAAAGATTGATATTTGGGGATGAGTGCCCTCAATGCTCTTGATGAATGGGTGGCGGAGGAGTGTGGCGGAGAAGGAAAGAGTTTCAGGAAGAGAGCTTTTTGTCACCCGGTCACCGTCAGGAACCACATCAAGTCACGGGCGTTCAAGGACACATGATAGAGTGAGCGATAGTAGTTTCGAATTCTTGCCCATGTCTGACAGGCATATGCTCGACTTTGGGGGTCTACAAGGAACAGCAGGTTGAACTGCATGATCGTCCAGGTACATACATTCTGCAATTGCTCTTGCATGACTTCGGTGAAGATGCGAACTTGTTACTCAAATTCGAATGAAAGAAAATGCCAAAAGTTGAAGGACTACGAGGTGTCCGTTGTGAAAGTTCAAAATGAAAGAGAGGCAATTTCGTCCTCAGCCCTTCTGTTCAGTGCAATGTTGTTACTCTGTCGCTTAGTTGTTGGTAGGCCGTAGTTAGGCAGTGACGATGGCAGTGCGGCTAGCCCCGGGTAGGATGTCCGAGACGACGTCCGGGTACTCCTCGTAGGTCGGCTCTCCCTCATCATGGTAGATCTTGGCGCTGACGCCGATCTTGAGGTCGGGGACGGTTCTCGCGTCGTTGGTGTCGTTGTGCTACAAGGAGGCGGGAAAGAACCCAAGTCGTCAGCAATCCAATGTGACGAGTGCAGACAGGAATCAAACTGTGCAGGTACTCACGAAGACGACCCTCCACCTCAAATATTTCTTGAGGGACGGCTTGACGTGCTCGGGCCTCAGACTCTCCAGTCCATTGCCGGGGGTGTCGAGATATTCGAGGAGGAGCGACGTAAGGGGTGTCGTATCGACGGAGAAATCGCCGGCCGCGTCGGCTCTCGCGCAGTTGTCGCAGCCCTCAACTCTGGCGGCAAAGATGTAGTGAAGACCACTGACACATGTACTTACCGCTTGACTTGAGAGTCGACATACCACTCCCTGTCAAATTTGGCCATGATTTTGTTCTTAGGAGGCAAAAGTGGCCCTGCCGCATCAGAAACCAAGGCCGACGTGGACATTATCGACATTGATTCGAGGGGGAAACGGTCTGCCACGACACTAGCGGGCGGCTTGAAAAAAATGTCACGTGCACCTTCTCGTAGATGGGTCTCAAATCATCCGGAGGGGCCTCTTGCCCTCGTCGGTTTGGGTCTCTTCCGATGGGGCGGGCTTTGGAAACTACTCCTTCGGGTGAGCTGCCAGCCATAGTTGGAGATAGCGATCGATATTGCTGCAAGATGATTCTTGCGCAGAGAACCAAATACGCCCACGAGCGCGCCCCTGAAGAGCAGGACAGTGCCACTGATCAATGATGGAACCAAAAGACTGGGTCAAATGCCGCAACGGCGGTATGGCCCATATGGCCACCGCCGCCGATGAAGTTGTGATCCATGTTGTGAAGAGCCTCCAGAGATCCCCTTCCATTTCCCACATCAAGGACGAACTCCCTGTTCATGGAACCATCGGTCCTGGTTGTTGCCTCACCCGTCAAGTCTCCCTCTGCAAACGGATGAGTAGCATCGGTGGCGATAGTGGCAAACTTGTTGTAGGTCGTGTCCCGCATCATGTTGATAAGCATGGCATAATAGTTCCCGGAGTTTTGGTTGAGCTGAATGGCAACTCTTGCTAGGTTGTGCTCACTCGATGGCGGCTACGCTGGATTGGCATCTGGAGAGCGTGTAGTCCTTTGATCCGACTTTCGGAGCTCCTTCGCCTATTTAAATACCCAGGCATCAGAAGGCGGCAAGGCGGCAAACCCAAAGGATAGGGGTCCAGATCAAGAGCAACCGACCAGATCATCAAGGTCCTGACCCCTCAGTTGTCCGTGGCCTGGTTTCTTAAAGTCATACGCGTACAGAGGATTGTCGACTGTTTCTGGTTCTGGCTTGTGATCGGGAGCTCTGCGGATGGTGACCTTTTTCTCCATGAAGATATCAGGGAGCCTAAAGTCCACGGGAACTTGGTCGTCGTCCTGGGCCCGTCTGGGCGAGTATAAGTGACGTCTTTTTGACGGGGGCGATAGTAATCGATGTGAGGGAGACGGAATTCGTGAGCTGCTTGGAGATATCTGGACCTCATCACGCTATCGGCGTAATCCGCGGCGATTTCGACCATGGTCCGAAACAAGGTTTGCTGCCGTGTGTCAGTCGTCGGCAGGTCCCACAGTCTCGCTCAAGTCGATGTGGAGGCACTCACTTCCGTCAATGAAAGATATGGCCGGTGCTAGGGACCGAAGATATGGACGCCGTGGGCGCAGTAGCCGCCATCCCCGTCGTTGTAGTCCTTTGTGACGAGGTCCCATGTGTTTTTTCTCACCTTTTTCCAATTCCCCTGCGGAGCTTTATCCCAGATGGCCTGCGGCCAGCCATGGATGCCCAAGGTGAAGACAAATAAGCCTCAAAGTAAGCTAGTTGAGGACGGCTCCCACTTACCCGCGACTTCCTCCGGTCTCCAGGATACCAGTGGTGATTGTCAGGCGACGTGAATTGGCTCCGGCTGGAGCTGCGCGTTGGATTTCATCCACTCATGATCTCGACATGTCAAGATCAGTAAATGCATGACAGTCGTGTCCGGATCGTTCTGGATTGTCAATACTGATTCGGAGAGTTTTCCGTTCCCAGCTGATGCCAATGCAGCACCGCACATGCCGCGGACACAGGAACGGATGTCCTCGACTCCCAAACACTTTGGCCGGGCTGACGGCTTCACAGGAAATTTACCCGCAGACATCTCACACACGATGGTATCTACCGTTTCCATTCCGACCGCATACGCTCATGTAATTGGCCATTTCGGTACGCACTCGTGCGCACATCTCGACACCATGATTTTTGGTGTGCTAGGTGAGATTCCTCAAGAGTGGCGATCTCTGGCAAGTGATATCCCTGGCAAGTGATATCCCTTCAAACCATGCTGCTGGCTCATGGTCACAAATAACTGAAGCGAGCGACAAAATCGAAATACGAACTTGCTCTGGCTCAGGAGGTACTCATTGCATGACCGCGGTCAGACTTCTTTGTTGATGCAGAGTTGTCATGAAAAGAAGATTCGGGTGGATGCCGGGAGATTGCGGTATTATCAAAGGACGACAACATTCCCCATCCCTATCTTCAACCCCTTGATTCTCTTGCTATCGCTGCTCTCCGGGGCTCAACAACAAGCGGCCCCGTCTGGCCCGCCTCAATTTCCACACGGCTTGTCACACTATGTTAGCCTTGGATCATTCCGACAAAGCAAAATAACACGCACCACAGCGGACAAGTCGCAGAGAAGTCGAGGAACCAAGGATCGATGCACGCCGGATGGAAGAGGTGAGTGCAAGGCAGCCGGCGAACGTCTGTCCCGTGCGTGAAGTCCTCGGTGCAGATGGCGCAGCTCTCCACCGCCAGCCCCTCTTCCGCGTCTGGTAAAGACGCATTTGCCTCGTAGCAAAGAGATCGAGCCCACGTCTTGCGGTCTAGGTACCACCGTCGCAGCGCCAGCAGAGCGAGAAGCCTGGGCCGTCTAGCGGGATTCACAGCCCGCAGCAAGCTCGCGCTCCGATCCCTTGGCCCGCTCGTTAGGCTCGAGGCCTTCCCACGACCCTGGTCGCCCGTGGGTGGTGGCGTTCCCCTGCCGTACTTGACCACCGGGATCGCCTCGAGCACCTCGCTCCGCGCTCTGGACCGGCCTGCGGCTCCCATGGCTCTAGCATGGGCGCTCTCGCTTATCGGTAGTGGCGAACGCGACCGTCGTGCCACGCACATGCTGGCTAGCATGAGGATGGCCAGCGTGATGGACAAGATGATGGACGTGGCGGGCGGCCCGCTGCTGAGGCTGGGTTTTGTTGATTCTGATACGGCCGGCATCTCGGGGGCGACTATGGTTCAGACCCTAGAGTAGGGATGAAAATAAGAGACTGGGTTCGAGAAAGGAAGACACAACAGATGGGGAGCGGCGAATATAGGCAACTCAAAACAAGAATCGGGACGGCGAGCTCGTCCTATCCAAGTAGGCCACGGCTGGCGACAGGCCTTGCTTGCGCACCCAAAAATGCCTCGGGATCCCTAATCAGGATTCATGGATGAGACGACAGCTGCCCTCCACGCCTCGACGAGCAGCACTTCTCCCCCGGTATGCCATGCGACGATTGTCCAGGCGACCCCGCGAGAGAAGGGCTCATCATGCTTTGCGTGGTATATCGGGAGGGTGGTGCGGACCGAGCACCAATTGCCCCCGGCAGACTTAGCTAACATTGACGTAACGAATAATACCGCTGCCGGTGGTACAGGCACAGGACGCTTCTCTGCCTGTTCCAGACATTGCACCACACCTCTGTCTAGGTATGAGGCATTTCGGATATCTCAGCAAACCGGCAATGGCCATTCCCGGCGACTAACGAAAACGTAAAAGATGCGTCGAATCAGATGACTCGAGCACGCCGTTGCAACCTTTACCCGTGAGGCGTTCCGTCCGATACGTAGCACGCCATCCAGATATCGCCGTGCCCTTGGAGATGCAGCGCCAGCACATCGCTGGCTTTGCTGTGCGGGCGCACAGCTTCTGCGGTATTACCACGGACAAGTGTCGAGTGTTGAATTCCATGCAGTGGCGCTGAGACGGGTTGGTTGGCACCGTGCCCGTAAATACCGTCAGATGGCAACCTTTAAGCCGCTGCATGGGAAAACGGTCGCAACAGACAAAACAGCTGATGACCCCGTTTGATACTGTGTACCTAGCCTAGGCCAGATGTAGCCAGGCAGACATAATCCCAATTCAACACTAGAGAGGCTGTCCCTAACGTCCTCATCGCCGTTAACTGGTGTTCTTGACTTCTTCTTGCTAGTCCACCGCATTTTCTTCTTGCTAGTCCATCGCAACATTCAACTCAGTGCAGCTGTTTCGTTTCGCTGGCGGCACTAATCTGATCAATGCGGGGTCGATCGGGCGGCTTGAGCTACTGCCCCACAGCAGACAGGCGGAGAGCTCGGCGTCATCCACTGTCCAATCAGGAGCTTGGACCCATCGAAAGGCATCGAAAGTCTAGAGCCTTCCATTGTGCCTTGTGAAGCTCCAACGCCGCAGATTTCTTCTCCAGCCTGACCTCCAAACAACATTCCACGACCCAACACCGCACCGTACTCGCATTGACATTCCCATATACAACACATACTCCAATCCAACAGCTCGCACATCATATCACATCCGACAAAATGTCCACCGCCGACGAGCTCAAAGCTCTGGGCAACAAGGCCATCGCCGCCAAGAACTTTGACGAGGCTATGTAGGTTGCCAGCCCAGCCCAACCAGCCCCAGCGTTTGGCTGACTTGTACTGCACAGCGACAAATTTACCCAGGCCATCGCCCTCAACCCGAGCAACCACATCCTCTACAGCAACCGCTCCGCCGCGTACGCCTCAAAGAAGGACTGGGACCATGCCCTCATAGATGCCGAGAAGACCATAGAACTCAAGCCCGACTGGCCAAAGGGCTGGGGGCGAAAGGGCACAGCGCTCTACGGGAAGGGCGACCTCCTGGGAGCAAACGACGCATACGAGGCCGGCCTGAAGATTGACCCCAACAATGCCGGCATGAAGAACGACCTGGCATCCGTGCAGCGGGCCATGGAGCAGGAGGCTGGCGCTGGTAAGAAGGCGCCGCACTTTAGAACCTGAACAAGGCCGCGCTAACATTGGCAGACGGACCGTTTGGCGACCCGAGCGGCGGTATCGGGCAGATGTTCAACGACCCGAACTTGATCCAGAAGATTGCCAGCAACCCCAAGACGAGTGCCTTCCTGGCCGACCCAGCCTTCATGGCGAAGCTGCAGGCCATCAAGCAGAACCCAAACAACACAACCGACATCTTTAGCGACCCCCGCTTCATCCAGGTTCTCGGCGTAATGATGGGCGTCGACATGCAGATGGGAATGCCCGGCGAGGGGGCCGCTGCCTCGGGCGCCAAGGAGACCGAGGAGGACGTCGAGATGCCAGATGTCCCGCCGCGCACAAGGCAGGCGCCGGCACCGAAAGCGCCCGAGCCCGAGCCCGTGGTGGAGGAGGTGGACGAGGAAGCGCTGGAGAAGAAGAAGGCCAAAGAGGCAGCCGACAAGGAAAAGGCCCTCGGCACCGAGAACTACAAGAAGCGCAACTTCGAGCAGGCCATCAAGCACTACCAAGCCGCGTGGGACCTGCACAAGGACATCACATACCTCAACAATCTCGGCGCGGCCTATTATGAGAACGGCAGCTTCCAGGAGTGCGTCGACACGTGCACCAAGGCCGTCGACGAGGGGCGCGAGCTGTACGCCGACTTCAAGGTCATCGCCAAGTCGCTGGCGCGCATCGGCTCAGCCTACGAGAAGCTGGGCGATCTCGGCCAGGCCATCGAGTTCTACAACAAGTCGCTGCGCGAGCACCGGACGCCCGAGGTCGTCAACAAGGTGCGGGCGGCGGAGCGCAACAAGATCGAGGCGGCGCGCAAGGCGTACATCGACCCGGCCAAGGCCGAGGAGGCGCGCGAGGAGGGCAACAAGAAGTTCAAGGAGTCGGACTGGCCCGGCGCGGTCGCCGCGTACTCGGAGATGATCAAGCGCGGGCCCGAGGACCCCCGCGGCTACAGCAACCGCGCGGCGGCCTTCATCAAGCTGCTCGAGTTCCCCAGCGCCGTCGACGACTGCAACACGGCCATCAAGAAGGACCCCAAGTTCATCCGCGCCTACATCCGCAAGGCCCAGGCCTACTTTGGCATGCGCGAGTACAGCAAGTCGGTCGACGCCTGCAACGAGGCCCACACGATCGACAAGGAGCACCACAACGGCGCCAACGCCCGCGAGATCGACCAGCAGCAGCAAAAGGCCTTCACTGCCATGTACTCGGCGCGCGAGAACGAGACCGAGGAGCAGACGCGGGAGCGCCTGATGAGAGACCCCGAGGTAAGTCCCGGCTTCGGTGAAAGACTGACACGCGGCAGCGCTGACAATCTTCTAGATTATGGGAATCATGCAGGACCCCGTGATGCAGGCCATCCTGCAGCAGGCCCAGTCGGAGCCGGCCGCCCTGGCCGAGCACATGAAGAACCCCAACGTGCGGACCAAGATCCAGAAGCTGGTTGCGGCCGGCGTGATCCGCATGGGCCGGTAAGCGTAAGCGGACGGGCTGGGTCGGGCACCGAGAAGGGGGGGCGGGCAGGTGCTATCTGAGGTTTATGGGCATCGTGTGTTTTTGAGTTGCGATTGGAGTTCGTCCGGCGTCGGCCCACATGTTACCTTGCTCAGGCTCGAGCTGCTGAGGACTTTAGTCTTGATGGAACTGCATGGGATATGAGCACGTGTTTTCGGTGCGCATGTATTGTTCCGCACGGTAGGCAATCGAAACTCTCTGCCTAGACTTGCGGTGGTGTATGTTGACTATCCTGACGTATTTACGACGGCCGACCTTGACGATAACAAGCATCACACAAAACACGTACTCCGCACCAGGTAGGTATATGTACGGTGTGTACGTGACCCAAAGAAAACGCCCCAAGGCTCCATCCCAAAGACCTCAGTCCAGTTGCTATATACCCAACCGCCCTCACACCTTGGCCTCCCCATACAGCCGCCTCACCTCGGGCCCGTCTTTGCTCACGACCCTAACACCAGCAGCCTCCAGCTCGGCGCGGCACTGGCCCCACGCAGCCGTATCAACAGGCCGCGTGCCCTCGTTGACAACATACACCACAAACCCCTCGGCACGCGCATCCACAGCCGTGCTGCGCACGCAGTAGTCGGCAGCGAGCCCGACGACGTACACGTGCGTGACATCCGCCGCGCGCAGCGCATCCGCCAGCCCGGAGTCGCTGACGCGCGGGCGGCGCAGCGGGTCGTAGAAGGCGCTGTACATCTCGACGCGCGCATCCGTGCCCTTGTCCAGCACGCGGTCGATCCGCCGCGGGTCCAGGCCCGCAGCCAGCTGCGCTCCTGGAGTGTCTGCCACGCAGTGCACCGGCCACAGCCGCGTCTCGTACGTCTCGGTGGCGTTGGACGGGTTCACGACCGTGCACGTGTCTACGTACGGTTGTTTGCTGCCTGCGTGGTTGGATGCGAACGAGATGTGGTCTGCGGGGTGCCAGTCGCGCGTCGCGATCCGTACGGCGAGGGTGGGTGCGGCGAGCAGGGCGTTGATCACGGGTATCACGGCGCGCCCGTCGGGCACGGCGAGGGAGCCGTTCTGTGCTGCAAGGGCGCCGTGGGAAAGGGCCGCGGGTTAGCCAGTCTTCAGCCTTCAGTCTTCAGTCTTCAGTCTCGAGTTGTTTGCTAAGGTACGTAGCAGTCTGGGGTAATTGGATCATTTAGGGCTCGGGCTGGGTACGGGTTTTATGTCTCAAGCACCCAAGTACCGAAAACATCAGTCCAACCAACGGAACAGCGTGTGGCAGGTGGCAGGTGGCAGGTGGCAGGCGAGGGCCGAGCACCACGGAGGACGGGCGCGACTGCCCGTGTTGATGATACTTGGGCCTTGCAAGCTATCGTAGTGTAGGGTGGACAGCGTGAGACGGAGAGAGAGCGCTACTTACAGGCGGGCAAAAGTCCTCCTGCATGTCAATGACTAGAAGGGCCGGCTTGAAGCCCGGCTCAGACGCCATGCCTGGCGAGACTCCTTTCTACTATGATTGTGTTTTGGTTGCACAGTCGAGCCGTCGTGGTGGTGGCAGCTGGAACGTTTGTACGTCTGTGCATGGTTAGATAGATAGGGCGGAACAGTCTGTATCTTACTTCGTAAGTTGCTTTGAGTTTGAGGGGCCATCGTAGTGTCTCAAGGGTTAGGGTTAGTTACGTGTATTGCGGCTCTGAGACAGCCGCTGATAGCCCCGCGTAGATACCGAGTAAACGTCCATATCGCCGTCCATATCGCGGTGGTACTTATATACAGATGTTGTCGATTCGACGTAAGTGAACTCGTACCTCACTCACCCTAGCTGAACCATTGCGCAAACGGTTTCTGTTGCCGTCAAGGCCCGCCAGAGCTTGGACCAGGGCTCTGATGGATCTCGGAAACCCGGCAATCATTGTGTGCGCAGTCCAGACCGAGCAAGTTTGTCCCAACAATACCATGTCTATCCTGCCACCGTCTACTTCTCGAATGTCTCTGCGCTCAGCTCTGATGCAGCGATGCTCCTATCGATACCGGATGGCAGCAGGATTAGAGAAGTGGGGCAATGACACACAGGTGGGGCTCCATGCTCCCCTCCCTCCCGCAGGGATGGGAGGGGCGATCACAAATTTCATTTCGGTGGGGATGCACTGCCGAGCTCGGTGCCTTGATTTCCTGCCCCGGCCCTGGAAGCAACCTGGAATCTCGCGGCGGGTGAAAACACGGCGCATGTTGACGGCTGTTCTTTGGGCTCGAGCACACTAGTAACGGCGAACAATCGTCGCGGGGTGCTGACCGCTTTTGCGAACAAGAAAGCCTGCATCACATGGTTCCATTAAACCGGTGGTGGGGGCGCCAGAAAGGGGAACTCGAATTGGAAACAAAGCAGCTTCGCAGTTCCCAGTAACGATGTCAATTGGACGGCCAATCGGAGGCGAACCCACCTACGATACGGATAGCGTCAAGTCCATCTCTTGCGCTCGTACTCCGTCCTCCCTCCGGATAGGATACGCAGGCTGTGAGTGGCGCAGGTCCAATGCTGGTTAGCCCAATAATTCGTAATTCCCGTTTCCCGTTACTGTGGAACGCCCCCGGGCCAGACCCCTGGCACCTATCTCCTCCGACCGCCAGAAAAAGATCTCCCAATCCACCCGTCAATCGACAGAATTCTCTCAACTGCCCAATTCAACATTGCCTGTGGCCGCCGATTAACGGAATAACTTCAACAACTGCCCCGCTGCAGCCCTCAAAACCTACAGCGGCTTTTGTTTGCCCGCTAGCCGCACCCGAGCTTTCTACGAGGAAGCTTTGCAGCCTGCAGTGGCGGCCAAACAAAGTTCGCCTTGACAGCTTAAGGCGCCCAGCAGTCCACGACTCTGCAAACTCTAAGGTACCTAGTCCAACACGTCAGGTCGCGCCTGTCAATTGCTGCAAGGTAAGTGTCATTTCCCCATCCCCGCTCCGTCGATTTCCATTGCCAAACCCGTTCGTGTTGCCTCCTTTGTGCGGATGCCTGCAGCTCCCAGTGTTGCTTGGGAATGGCTCCAAACACCATGGCTGCTCCTCGCCCGCGCCGCATGCCCCTGTGCCTCGACCACCTGCCTCCAACGCCCCCTCCAGAGTCGGAGTCTTGTAGCTCATGTCAACCCCCAGATACCTGCCCCGTCGCCAACTCGCCTGCCCAATGTCCGTCGGATTCCGGTAATCGCACCGACTGCCCATCCAAGCTCGCCACCATGATCGCGGCCAGCCTACTCCCCTCGCGCTTCCGCGGCGAGCAGCCCGCCTCCCAGCCCGCCGCGCCTTCGTGGATCAACAAGAAGGTCACCCCGCTGCTGCAGGTCCTGTCTAAGCTCACGTCCTCGCACCCCATCCACACCATCGTCATCGTCGCCCTGCTCGCGAGCTCTACCTACATCGGCCTCCTCGAGGACAGCCTGTTCGATGCCACCAAGAGCGTTAGGAAAGCCGAATGGTCCTCTCTCGCCGAGGGCAGCAGGCGGCTGCGAGCCGGCCCCGAGACGGGCTGGAAGTGGCAGAACTCCGACACCGACTACCCCGTTCCCAGAAATGCCAACCACGTCGCCCTCCTGACGCTCGTCTTCCCCGAGTCGCTGTCTAACGACGCCTCCAAGGCGCCCCCGATGCCTAACGCAGTGCCTGTCCCCCAGAACCTCTCCATCACGCCTCTGCCTTCGACCTCGAACTCGTTTACCACCTACGCACAAGACAGCGCCCTGGCCTTTGCTGTCCCCTACAGCCAGGCGTCCGAGTTTCTCGCGCTTGCCCAAGAACTGCCCAATGGAAGCCCTGCGCAGGAGACGCGCGAGACGGAACATGGACACGAACAGAAGAAGTGGATCATGAAGGCCGCGCGGGTGCAGACTCGCAGTAGTCTTGTGCGGTGGGGCCAGAACGCCTGGGTCGAGTTCACAGATCTGCTCAAGAACGCAGAGACGCTCGACATTGTCATCATGGCTCTGGGCTACATCTCGATGCACCTCACCTTCGTCTCGCTGTTTCTGTCCATGCGTCGCATGGGCTCCAACTTTTGGCTCGCCACCAGCGTCCTGTTCTCGTCCGTGTTTGCGTTCCTGTTTGGCCTGTTTGTCACCACCAAGCTCGGTGTCCCAATCAGCATGGTTCTCTTGTCCGAGGGCCTGCCGTTCCTTGTTGTCACCATCGGGTTCGAGAAGAACATTGTCCTTACGCGCGCCGTCCTGTCCCACGCCATCGAGCATCGCCGGCCATCCGACAGCCCAGGCAAGGCGTCGAAGAAGACCGAGGCCAGCTCGAGCGTGATCCAGTCGGCAATCCACGTGGCCCTCCGAGAGAAGGGCTTCGACATCATTAAGGACTATGCCATTGAAGTCGGCATTCTCATCGCCGGCGCCGCGTCGGGCGTGCAGGGCGGCCTGCAGCAGTTCTGCTTCCTCGCGGCCTGGATCCTGTTCTTTGACTGCATCCTGCTCTTTTCCTTCTACACTGCCATCCTCTGCATCAAGCTCGAGATCAACCGCATCAAGCGCCACGTCGAGATGCGCAAGGCATTGGAGGACGACGGGGTCAGCCGCCGCATCGCTGAGAGCGTGGCTCGAAGCAACGACTGGCCCAGAGCCGACGGGAAGGATCAGCCGGGGACGACCATCTTTGGCCGCCATCTTAGTAGCACTCAAATCCCAAAGTTCAAGGTTCTGATGGTTTCGGGCTTCTTCCTCATCAACGCCCTAAATCTGTGCACGATCCCCTTCCGGAGCGCCAACTCCATCTCGAGCATCTCGTCTTGGGCCCGCGGGCTTGGCGGTGTTGTCGCGCCCCCGCCCGTGGACCCCTTCAAGGTCGCGTCTAACGGGCTAGAGATCATTCTCGAAGCGGCCCAGTCCGAGGGTAGGGACACGGTTGTAACCATTCTCACGCCGATCCGGTACGAGCTCGAGTTCCCGTCCGTCCACTACGACCTGCCGCAACTCAAGGATGCCGAGGAGCGCTTCGGCAACCTGGGCGAATATGGCATGGGTGGTCGGATGGTCGGCGGCATCCTCAAGAGCCTTGAGGACCCCATCCTGTCCAAGTGGATAGTGGTTGCTCTGGCTCTAAGCGTAGCGCTGAATGGCTATCTCTTTAATGCGGCGAGATGGGGCATCAAGGACCCCAATGCTCCAGATCATCCCATCAACCCCGAGGACTTGGCCGACGCCCAGAAGTTCAACGACACCGAGTCGGCCACGCTCCCGCTCGGGGAATACATGAAGCCTACACCCCCGCCGCCGGTTCCGCTCACTCCTGCCTCGACAGACGACGAGTCAGACGTGCTGCTGAAAACTTCCAGACCGGCGCCTCCCGCAGAAAACCCCATGGTCGTTCGCAGCTTTGCACTTCTAGAGAAGATGCTGCAGGAGAAGCGCGCCCATGAGCTCAACGACGAAGAGGTCGTCGCGCTGTCCATGCGCGGCAAGATCCCCGGTTACGCTCTCGAGAAGACGCTCAAGGACTTCACACGCGCCGTCAAGATTCGCCGCAGCATCATCTCCCGGACCAAGGCGACCACCGATTTGACCAACTTCCTCGAACGCTCCAAGCTCCCCTACGAGAACTACAACTGGGCACAGGTTCATGGAGCGTGCTGCGAGAACGTGGTTGGATACATGCCGCTCCCTGTTGGCGTCGCCGGCCCGCTTGTCATCGACGGCCAGAGCTACTTCATCCCCATGGCGACGACGGAGGGTGTCTTGGTTGCCAGCGCGAGCAGAGGATGCAAGGCCATCAACTCGGGCGGAGGCGCTGTCACGGTGCTGACTGCCGACGGCATGACCAGGGGGCCCTGCGTCACCTTTGAGACTCTCGAGCGGGCTGGCGCTGCCAAGCTGTGGCTCGACTCGGACAAGGGCCAGGCGACGATGAAGGCCGCTTTCAACTCCACCAGCCGGTTCGCGCGGCTCAACAACATGAAGACGGCCCTGGCCGGCACAAACCTGTACATCCGCTTCCAGACGACGACTGGCGACGCCATGGGCATGAACATGATCTCCAAGGGCGTTGAGCACGCGCTGAGCGTCATGATGGACCAGGGCTTTGAGGACATGAACATTGTGACAGTCAGCGGGAACTACTGCACCGACAAGAAGGCCGCGGCCATCAACTGGGTCAATGGCCGCGGCAAGAGCGTTGTCGCCGAGGCCATCATCCCGGCAGACGTGGTCAAGAGCGTGCTCAAGACCGACGTCAACACCTTGGTTGAGCTGAACATTAACAAGAACCTGATCGGCTCGGCCATGGCAGGCTCCATTGGCGGATTCAACGCCCACGCAGCCAACATGGTGGCGGCTATTTTCCTCGCCACGGGCCAGGATCCAGCCCAGGTGGTCGAGAGCGCCAATTGCATCACCATCATGAAGAAGTAAGTTTGACGACAGCGAACCCTACAGCATCGGATGAAGCTAACATCCCATCAGTCTCCGTGGTTCCCTGCAGATCTCCGTGTCGATGCCGTCCATAGAGGTCGGGACGCTCGGCGGCGGCACTATTCTGGAGCCCCAGGGGGCCATGCTCGACATGCTGGGGGTCCGCGGCCCGCACCCGACGAGTCCGGGCGAGAACGCGCGGCGGCTGGCCCGCATCGTGGCTGCCGCTGTTCTGGCGGGTGAGCTGTCCCTCTGCAGCGCTCTCGCGGCCGGCCACCTTGTCCAGGCACACATGGCGCACAACCGGTCGGCGCCTCCCACAAGGACCACCACACCGGCGCCAGCCGGCGGAGCCATGACACCTGTGTCCCTCGCCATGACAAGTGCTGTTGAGAGGGTCGCGTCCAGCAACGGCCTCAGCGCCGCTGCCGTCGAGCGCGCACGGCGCTAGCCTACCTAGTCGACGGACTGGTCAAAGGTGCAGGAACTACTGTAGATATAGACTTGACTAGATTTTTTGGGGTTGTGGTACTCGAGCTGGACAGAGACACCATGCAGCGTCTTTCGAGATATTGTTAGCGTACGAGGAGATGGGCTTGCTGACGCATCGGCTTGCTCGCGGGCCTTTCTATTCTCAGCCGTACCCGGCCCGTATTCTAGAGCCTACAAACACATAAGTTAGGTAGATAATTGTTAGTTGCGTTTACGTTCAGCTTAGGTGCTTGGTCCCGATTGGTGTTGCGTGACGACGGACTGCTGCAGGCCCTGCTTTGGGGCCTTCTTGTCGTATGTACGAGAGTTGCCGGATATCCGAGTTGGACCCGACGCGATGGCAGGCGGCGGTGTGACAATTTACCACGGCGTATTTACGAAGCACTAGCGCGAAGCCGATTTGCCCATTTCGGTGCAAGGCTCGGTCACGGTCAGCGGCTTGCACACTGTACGGCTCTTACTCATAAGTCGGCAACTCGGCGTGTACAGCACGCCGGATGTGCTGTTTGCGCGTGTTGGATCTCGTCTGGATCGAAAGAAGGGATGAAAGGATCAAATCCATGGATTTAATTAAACCATACAAGAGGCAGGAAGAGTTGGATTATCGAGCTGAGTCCGAGTCCGCGTACGACTGTAGCAGTCTCGGCCGACGCGTGCAGTCGTTGGCAATTACGGATACGGATCCACGTGGTGATGAATGAGGGTGAATCATTGCGGGCCGGCCCGCGGAATGAAGCTTGGCGGCGCGCCGGCGGTGGTCTGGAATTATCCAGGCACAGGGAGCTTGGCGGGTAAGGTGCCTGCCTAGCTTGGCGACCGCCGTTGGACTTGGAACCTCGGTGCGACGATGCAACGCCGCTGCTTGCTTTGGCATCCTGGGTAATTAGGAAACAACTTGAAGTAAAATACGATGCCTGAACTATCGGGAAGGGATCAGGGTATTTCACTGCTTGTACTGTAAAGATCCGGAGCTTACCCGACCGTCTAACCCCAATCTTCGGAGTCTGAACTGAGTAACCCCTACTTGAGAAACACTCGGGTAAGAACTTATGCAGTGTAACTAGTTGGGAAGACAGGCTCTCTCCGCCACCGAATACGCCGCCTCACGGCCCGGCTTTTAAGCTTGCCAACGGAGCTCCGGGTGGCTCGGTTCGAAATAATCAGTTGTTGAGCAGTCTGTATTAAACTTGGGCAGGAATTTTATACTTTTATACTTTCATTAGTAGACAGCCCTGTTATATACTTCGATTATTATTTTATCTTTCCCTCGATTTTAACATCGTCGACTAATTAAGGGATATTTTCCACATCCTTTTTCTCGTCCTTTTCGTTTCCTTCGCCAAAGTACACGGCCGGAGCCTGCACAGACATTACACAATCAACAAGCTCTTTCTTGCCCCGATCATAAAATCCCAGAAGGCGTTAGATGCCGGCACTGCTACCGGGAACTTTGGCCATGTAGACCGGCTATCCCTTCCCCATACTTGGATGAGTTGGCGGCATCTCGATCGGCTAACCACAGCTTTTGCTTTGCAGACAAGCATTGGTCGTCGTCTTGTTAGACTACATTGTCATTTCTCCCACCATCCGCGATGAGTGCCGCCGCGGCCCAACTGGCAACTGCACATTCGAGATGGGCAACTTGGCGCAACCTGGCGCAACCTGTCTCGGGTGCCGGAGGCAAAATAGCCGGCCCTTGTTGGCCGCAGCTTTTGTGAAGAATTAGTCTCAGATACTCAGACAAGTGTATACTAGAATTGATTCCGGAGTGGCTCGGCGTCAACGCTCAAGTGTTTTGTTATTTACAACGAGTCCCGCCTGGAATAGGTGGTTGCGGCGTTGCCAATTGAATTCAACCCACGGGCGGCCCTTTCTCTCTCTGAAGCTTGAACCTAGGTCGGAACAAAGCTTGTCACTTGATGGTCCCCCTTTTGTTTCTATGTTCTCCACTTCTTCGGCTGTTGGAGTCGGCCTTTGACGAGGCCCAGAACGGCGCATCGGAAGCTCGAACCCCACGCGCTAAGAGCAACAACGCAGCCGAATCCCAGGAACGGGCATACAGACAGACAGAGAGAGACGGACAGACAGAGAGAGAGACAGACAGACAGAGAGAGACGGACAAACAGAGAGAGAGACAGACAGACAGACAGACAGACAGACAGACAGACAGACAGACAGACAGACAGACAGACAGACAGACAGACAGACAGACAGACAGAGAGGGAGAGAGAGCTGACCACTGTTCGACGATTAACCTTCAGGCTGGCGAGATACGGCAATATGTATCCGATTGGATCCTCCCTCGCGTCCGTCACGGTTGCTGGGAAGACGTGGGATCTCTGGACTGGGTTGAACGGCGCCATGCGGGTGTACAGCTTTATCCCGCCGTCGGGACCATCAAGAGCTTCAGTGCCGATGTCAAGGAGTTCTTCAACTACCTCGAGAAGAACCAACAGTTTCCTTCGAGCCAGCAGAACTTGATCGGTGAGTTTGAGTTTCGTCGGTGGTCTGTCGGTTTGGACTCTGGTCGATTTGTTGACCCCATAATTGCAGTGTTCCAAGTCGGGACTGAGGTTTTCACGGGAGCAAAAGCCACGTTTAAGTGCACCCAGTTTACCGCTGGTGTCGTTTAGCTAGGGGGCCTCTCCTCTGGATAACTGCAATGTTTTTAACATCATCTTGGGTTTTTTCTTCTTTCTTTCTTTCTTTCTTTCTTTCTTTTTATATCCCCTAAGCTAGATGAAGGAAATCTAGCCTATAGCTATCTAGACTCCTTTTCAGCCGCTGGCGGACGGGTCAACTGTCCGCTGATGCATTGCACTCTGGATGGTGTGCGGACTACGTAGTAGAGTTGACGGAGTTTCAAGTGCGTAATTGTTTTGTTTTATCGTGGACTCTGTATGCATGCCCCTGTTTCTCTGGCTGCGAACCAAAGAGTCGAATTAGTATAGGTCTAATTAGGTCTAAATAGGTAGTCTCCTGAACTTGCGGCCGTGCCACCGCGGTGACTCACCGACCAGCCGCCGGTCAGCCTTTGTTGCCGATTTGGGGTCATAGATTCGGATTCATGGTGGTGCCAACAATTTTTGGTGTTTTGGACCAAGCGGATTTGACAACAGCAGTAGCTCCGGGCTCACCGGCTAGCTTGTTTGTTGTTAGGAACTTGGGGTTGCATTATTCTCGGGCGAATCGACCCAAGGTGGTTGTGCTGAGCGAGCAAGGGGTAGTAAGCTGAACGCCGAAAGCGGCAGGACGCGTCGCCAGGTGGCCAGGGCCGTCAAGGGCATGTCACCGTCTTTCAGTTACATACTGTGTAGCCTGTCAATTCGACTCTCATCAATTGCAAGCCCGTCAACGTCTAGGCAGTCAGCCGGGCTGTCTCGTTCTCTGTGTTTTTTTCTTCTAATTGGTATCCGTACTAATGGTAAAGAGTTTTGCTTCGCTACAGGACCCACTATAGTACCTACTAGTAATTAGTCGGAGTACGGTACATACGTTCCGCTAAAAGCCGGCAGGGGTGATGGACCCGTGCAGTACTGAGACAGCGGCCGAACCTTCCACTGTGGTTGTGCAGAACGTGGCACATGGTGCATCGCACTTGGTTTGCTCCGCCAGCCAACCAGCAACCCGGCCGGTGCATCCCCAGGTTTTGGAGACCAGGGCCCGCCATTGGGACAAATCTGTCGATTCGTGGCACGCACGGCCCCAGCTTGCAATCGACGGCCGACGAGACGGAGCGCGAGAGGCATCAACCCCGACGCTGAGATGGGGGCCAGCAGCGGAACAGGCTGGCCGCCGGAGTCGCATCCAGTTTGCTAGGCGAGCTGGCGATTAGTAAGAAAATACACTGGCCCCCAGCACAGTCAGAGCCTAGACTCACCGTATCCTTGCCTGGATCCAATGAATCATACTGTGCATGAGGTGAATTGCAAATCGCCGAGTCGCCTCGGATATCGCTGCACTCTTAGCTCCGAGCAGCACTAACTCGCTGTAGCTAGGCACAGCTCTCTTCCGCCCATGCGCCTCTCTAGACCATGGTGCCGTCATCGGGCAGAAGAAGTAAAATTTTATATCTACTCCCTCGCGCTTCTCCCCAAGACAAACACTGGCTTGAGTGTGCTTCTTTGTCTCAGCAGTTCAGCTCCCATTCCCGTCTAACTTCGAGCGCATCCGACCCGACATTCGCCGCTACCGTACTGCAACGCCCATTGAGGCTGCGAGCTAGTGCGCCATCGAGGCGGCTTCTTGCGTCTTGTCGCAACCAAAAGCGCCTTCTGCTGATCGCGCGGGCTCAACCGACAACAAGACTGACTGTGCGGGCTCGAACGACAACAGGACTGACTGTGCGGGCTCGACCGATCACAGGACCGGGCTGACACTGTGATATCATACCGCTGGCGACTACTGATAGCCACGGCTCTCGTCGGCGCTTTTGCTCTGTGCGTGCGTGGGAGCTAGGCAGGTCGACAGCCGAGCCGCTGCAGTCTCGTACAAAACCCCGAGAGCCGAAACATTGTCCCGAACAGCTGGGTTTTCCAGACCGGGTACTCAGCCAGCACACGGACTTTTTGCGCAACTCCCACTAACACGCAATGGGCCACACCGAAAAATCCGCCGGCCGCCTGGCGGCTGCCCACAACATGAGCTCGGACAGCACGATCCAGGCCGCAGATGCAGCCTTGGAGCCGGCCGCGCTGAAGCAGGAGCCGCAGGCCGAGGCCGAGGGCAAGCCCGCACCGGCGCCGCTGCCCGAGGAGACGCGCACCAAGCTCGAGACGGCCCTGGTCGTCGGCGCGCTGGCGAGCGCCCTCTTCCTCGCCGCCCTCGACGTCACCATCGTGACTGTCGCCATACCCACCATCTCCCAGGAGTTCAACAGCACGAGCGGATACACGTGGATCGGCTCGGCTTACACATTGACCAGCGCCGCCGCCGCGCCCATCTGGGGCAAGATCTCAGACATTTGGGGCCGCAAACCAATCATAATCCTCGCCGTCGCCGTCTTCTGGATCGGCTCGCTCATCTCCGCCATAAGCAAGAACATTGGCGTGCTGATTGGCGGGCGCGCCCTCCAAGGCATTGGCGGCGGCGGCATCACCATCCTGGTCAACATCTGCATCAGCGACCTGTTCTCGATGCGGCTGCGCGGCGTCTTTTTTGGCGTCATGGGCATGGTCTGGGCCGTTGCCGGCGCGATTGGCCCCGTGCTCGGCGGCGTCTTCACGTCCCAGGTGACGTGGCGATGGTGTTTCTACATCAACCTGCCCATCTCCGGCGCCGGCATGGCCATCCTTGTCTTCGTGCTCAAGCTGCACAACCCGCGGACGCCGATGCGCCAGGGTCTTGCCGCGGTCGACTGGCTGGGATCCCTTGCCATCATCGGCGGGACGCTGATGGTCCTGCTCGGCCTCGAGTTCGGCGGAGTGACGAACCCCTGGGACTCGGTCACTGTCATAGCTTTGATCGTTTTTGGAGCCGTCACCATCGCCCTCTTTATCGTCATCGAGATGAAGGTGGCCAAGTTTCCTGTCATTCCGATGCGCCTCTTCCGGTCGCGCGGCAGCATCGTCTCGCTCCTCGTCTGCGCCGTTCACGGCTACGTCTTCGTCTCTGGTAGTTATTACCTCCCGCTCTACTTCCAGGCCGTCATCGGGCTGTCGCCGTTGCTGTCGGGCGTATACGCGCTCCCCTTCGCGCTCGCGCTATCCCTGTGCTCGGCAGGGACTGGCATCTTCATCAAGAAGACGGGCAAGTATCTACCGTGCATCATCTTTGGCATGGCGACCATGACGCTCGGGTTTGGCCTCTTGGTCGACCTTGAGCCCCGGACCAACCTGGTCAAGATCATCCTGTACCAGATCGTTGCTGGCGTTGGCGTTGGACCCAATTTCCAGGCCCCACTCATCTCGCTGCAGAGCACCGTCGGGCCGCGCGACATGGCTTCGGCGACGGGCACGTTTGGGTTTGTGCGGCAGCTGGCCATTTCCGTGTCGATTGTCGTTGGCGGCGTCGTCTTTCAGAACAGCATGCAGAAGCAGTACCCGGAGCTGCTCGCCGAGCTCGGACCCGGCCCGGCCGATCTGCTTTCCGGCCGCAACGCCGCGTCGAGCGTGGGCCTGGTTAACGAGTTGCCCGAGCACCAGCGCGACATTGCGCGCGGCGCCTACTTTGAGAGCTTGCGCACCATGTACATCATGTATGTCGCCTTTGCGGGCCTCGGGCTGCTGGTCTCTCTGTTTGTCGGGTCTCGCAAGTTGAGCAAGGTGCACGAGGAGCACAAGACGGGGCTGGCCGCCATGATGGAAGCCAACGAGGCGGATGCCGCGGCGAGGGGGGGCGCCACAACTGACGAGGAGAAGGGAGAGCCTGCGGGTACTGTCGGCGTTGGGAGCGGGAGCGGGAGCGGGAGCGGTAGCGGTAGCGATCAGGCCCAGGGGCCCAAAAAATCTCGGTTTTGGAAAAAGCCTGCATTCATGTTTGAGTAGATCACGGCGATTTTCGTAGTTTCGAGCATTTAGCATGTTTTGATTGGCAGGACCACCGCCTTGGACAACAATGCCACTCCATATCCATATGTCCGTACTTTGTACCTTGCATTCTTGGCGTGCAATGCAGTCTCTAGGCAGTATCTGTACATACATAGCAACCGACATTACTCATCGAATACCAAGGAGTCGACCCTCCAATCGCCGGGCAGCCGGGCAGCCGGAAAGACCAGGTGTTTAGGCAAAAGGCCGCAGCGCAGTGCGGGGAGCATGCCATCGCCGCGATCGAGACGTTCCCGGTTCTCGGCGCAGGAGAAGTCGGAAGCGAATGCAGGCTTAAAGTGGGAGGCTGACGGCGTTGCGACGGACAACTACTCGGTCGATCAAGGTCTGCAGGCTATGATGTTGCGTTCAGGGACTCGAGGTCACCACGGTCGGATGAATGGATAGAGTTTGCTGAACCGAGGCATGAGCCCTGTGGTTCAGTGGGCTTTCAGGCTTTCAGACAGTGTTAGCGCCCCCAATCCGATGCGGGAAGTCACGGCTGATCCCAGACCGGACGCAATTGCCTTGCGTCCAAACATCTAATGGTGCAGTGATCTATCGAGCCACTGCTCTTTCCTCAAGACTCGAATTTCTCGCTGGGGCCTGGCTAGACAGGTCGGCAGCTCAACTTGCAAACTCGCAATCCCGCCAAATTACAGCGATGCGTCTCGAGTCTCGACACGACACAGCCGGTGCGGGCCTCGTCAGTCGCCGCTGCGTCGGGAACGATCCCGAGCAGGAGGCACAGATGCGACGTCACGGTTCATCCGGAGGCTGCACATCCGCCATGGCCCACTTTGCTCGCCCGTTGCCCGCCATGTGAGCCGCCGCCGAGCGGATACGACGCCTGCACGCCTGACGCCTGAACGCCTGACGCCTGAACGCCTGAACGCCTGAACGCCTAGCAGTGCAGTGACAGTGACAGACGAACCCGGCGTGTCTGGCGTACCTACCGCACCGTATAAGAGGAAGATGGCACGACAACAAAAACAACCAGCCAGCACGCCAGCCCGAGGTCGCCATTGCATCCTCATTCCAAAGATAAGCGGCCACAAACATGAGACTCCAGACGCTGGTTTCCGGCCTCCTGGCCCTCGCCTCCTTCGCTGCTGCCGGCATGGTCAAGCGCGCCGCTCTGGCCCAGGTGACGAACTTCGGTCCCAACACATCGGGCGCAAAGATGTTCATCTACGTCCCCGACAAGCTCGCCGCCAACCCGCCCATCGTCGTGGCCATCCACTACTGCAGCGGCACCGCTCAGGCCTACTACTCTGGCTCTCCCTACGCCCGCCTTGCCGATATGCACGGCTTCATTGTCATCTACCCCGAGTCGCCCTACAGTGGCACCTGTTGGGATGTGTCGTCGACGGCCAGCCTCACCCACGACGGCGGCGCAAACAGCAACAGCATCGCCAACATGGTCACATGGACCATAGCCCAGTACAAGGCCGACTCGAGCCGCGTCTTTGTGACCGGGACGAGCTCGGGTGCCATGATGACGAACGTGCTCGCAGCTACCTACCCCGGCATGTTCGCCGCCGCTAGTGTCTACGCTGGCGTCCCCGCCGGGTGCTTCTACACGGGCACCGTCAACGGCTGGAACTCGAGCTGCGCGACCGGAGCCTCGATCCACACCCAGGCCGAGTGGACCAGCACGGCCCTGAGAATGTATCCCGGCTATACAGGCCCCCGCCCCAAGATGCTCATCAACCACGGCTCGGCCGACACGACCATCTACCCCCAGAATTTCAATGAGACGCTGAAGCAGTGGGCCGGCGTGTTTGGGTACACGTATGGTTCCCCCCAACAGACTCTCGCCGGCAACCCCTCGGCGGTGTGGACAAAATACGTGTACGGGCCAAACCTGGTCGGCGTGTACGGCACTGGCATAACCCACAACATCCCCATCAACGGCGACCAGGACATGGCGTGGTTCGGTATCACGGGCTCCAGCCCCACTAGCACGGCTGTTACGACCGCCACATCCGCCATAACCGCCACCACGCTCGTGACATCTGCCCAGACCTCGACGTCGGCCGCAGCGACTACGACTCCCGCCCCTGGAGGCTGCTCTGCTGCCCGCTGGGCGCAGTGCGGTGGCAATGGTTATGCCGGATGCACCGCATGTGCGAGTCCCTGGACCTGCAAGTACTCCAATGACTGGTACTCCCAATGCCTGTAATCCGTGGCGGGTCAGGTTGGTCTATCAAGTTGACGACTGCAGGTGTGTACTGTCTGTTCATGATGCAATCGCTGTAAATAGTTGAAATTGAGCAGCGTGAATAGTTGACATTGAGCAGCGTGAAATAATCAGAACGATACCCGATCTCACCTTGTCAGTACAATGATGACAAGCTGCCGGTTCTTTGAATCCAGTAGAACCTGGCGCATAACTTGGCCATGCATGGACAACGGACTAGAACCTTCTTTCTTTATCACCCGCATTTGAATCGAGCCATATGATCTTACGTTGTCTCAAATCAGCTGGAAGTTGCGTCTGGAATTCATGCAAACAAGTGTCAAAAGCCGATAAATATGTCCAAAAGAAGCGAAAACAACGAGCGCCTACAATCTGATAAACCGATACCCAACAACCAATCAGAGTCTCCAAGCCAGGACCAAAGAAGACACGCAAACAGTGCGCCACCGATTCTACAACAACCACTCTCCTGACCGACCCCTGTCCCAATAGTAACCTCCACAGAACCAACAGCCAATCTACTTCTCGGCGAGAACAAGTTCCCGCCAGCCTATGCTTGCTCATGCTTTAAATTCCCGAGTCGTCCTGCGGCCACACCGCGGTACCGTCCCAGGTGCTCCACGCCGAACACGTGTCATTCAGCACAGTCTGGTCGGCGTCTGCCAAGATGATGTCGGCCTGGCTCTCAACAAACTCGAGCGACAGCCCCTGGCTCGCGTGCCACGCAATGTGGCAGTGGCACAGCCAGGCGCCCGGATTGTCGAGCTGGAACGCCAACGCCAAGTAGCCGTTGCCCGGCAGCGTCGCCACGTCGCGGCGCGGCGGGTTCGCCGTATTGAAGCTGTCGACCGAGCCGTTGAACACGCCCGTCGTCTGGGCGAGCACCCAGAAGTCGTGCCCGTGCAGGTGGATCGGGTGGGAGAGACTAGGAATGTTAGCGAGTGCGGGTTCTATTCATGTGCAGACAGAGAGGAGACGCACCCGAGGCCGGCCTGGTCCTGAATCACCAGCACCGCCCACTCAGCTGCCGAGCCCGCCGGCTGCACGGCCACGACGTTGTAGTCGGTCGGGAAGACGTCCTCGCCGCTGACGACCTGCAGCATGGTCGGGTTGGCCCAGTCGAGCAGCAGGCTGGTCGTGTTGACGGTCCACTTGAAGTACGTGTCGACCTTGAAGCTCAGGTCCTCGGTAGTGATGGTGGGGATGTTGGTAACGTCGAGGGCGAGGTGCGGCACCAAGCTGGCGAGGGGCTCGTCGTAGCAGGTGGTCGACGCCGTCACGTTGCTGGTCGATGTCGGGTCTGCCGTGCTGCTGGAATCGTATCGCACGATACCGGTCATGCCGTCCGGGTTGGAGTTGGTCGCGCAAGCCGAAACCCAGCCAGCCCGCAGCCAGTAGTCGCCCGCGTCCGCGCTAGCCTCGACGATGACGTCGTAGCGCTGCCCGATGGTGATCTGTACGCTGTCGGCCGTGTACGGCACGATGGGCACCAGGTCCGTTCCGATGACCGTCAAGCTATGCCCGTCGATGCTGAACTGGAACACGCCCTCGACGGCCACGTTGATGAGCCGCAGCCGGTACTTCTTGCCGGCCTCGAAGACGGTTTCGAACTTGGCACCACTACCCACGCAGTTGGCGTCGCCGGCCGTGGCGCACGTCCACGTGTTGGTGCCGTTGATGAGCCCAGTCTCGAGGGTGGGCGGTGGCCCCTGCCTGGCGGAGTCCCACCGCGTAAAGGCCTCGATGTGCGACCAGTCCTGCAGGAACAAGGTGCCAAGATCCTCGTCGTAGTCGGCCGTGGCCGGTCCGTTGAGCGTCAGCGCGCCGAACAGCCCCTCGGCGTACTGCAGCGAGAAGTGGCTGTGGTACCACGTCGAGCCGTATTGCGTCACACGGAATGAGTACGTGAACGACTCGCCCGGCGCGATGGGGCACTGCGACACCCCCGGCACGCCGTCATGCAGGGTGCTGTTGAGCTGCCGCAGTCCGTGCCAGTGGATGGCCGTGCCGTTGACCGTCATGTTGTTTGTGACGTGGATGATGAGGTTGTCACCCCAGTCGGCGAAAATGGTCGGCCCGGGCACGGTGCCGTTGAAGGTCATGCAGGTCCGCTGGTAGCCGTCGGGCGAGCAGAGACCCTCCTCGACCGACAGCCAGTACTCGACCGTGTTGCCCGTGTCGGGAGTCTCGTCGTAGTAGTTGGTGTCGATGGAGTAGTCGCCCCAGCAGCTGCGCGACGTTGCCGTGTTGTCGCAGGACTGGCGCGGTTGCAGGTCGAAGGCCGGGATGCTCAGGCCATGCGAGCCCGCAGCAGCCGCGAGCAGCGTTAGGATCGAGGGCTTCATGTTGGAGATGCTGAGGGCTAAGAGCCAAGGAGCCGAGTACAAAAGAGGAAGGGCAGAAAGGATGGTGTCAACTGCGCTGAGATGCAGGCGATGGCGATGGCGATGGCGATGGTGATGAAGACGAGAGCATGAAGCAGAGCTACGTCGGCGTATTTGTATTTGGACATGCTCGAGGCTCGAGCGGCTCACTTGGCATCCAGTTCACCCACATGATCTCCCATGATCTCCCATGATCTCTGGGAGTACGTGGACGCGGACGCGGACTCGACATCATGGGCGCATCCCGAACAGACGATGAGCCCAGCTTCCGGGCAGACAACGAGCTCAACTGTCCGGTCGACGATGCTACTCCAGGGGTGAGGCCTCGATGTTCCGAGACTCGGTCTCGACGGCATTCCTATGCTCTGCTCCGTGCATTCAATAGTCTCGACGACGCGCAATGTCTTCATGCCCATGGGTGTGCCGGCATGGTCGAAGATTGGCTCAAGTTGGCGATGCAAGTGCCGGGAAGGTCAATAGGGGAGCCCCTCGGCCTCTAGCCCCTGGGTCTACGTCGGGGGGTCTAGCATGGGCTTTAGAGTCGTAAGAGCGCACAGCCTGACATGGAGGCGCGAACCCGTCTCGTGCTACACACCAGTGGCTGCTACCCCGTCCCGCCCCGTGCCACGTCGGCAAGTCCTCGATGCTGACGGCTACCAGGAAATAAAATCAATATTTTCCCCCGGCCAGGGCAGTTAACCTGGATACGCAGCATTAAAGGAGCAGCAAAATTGTCCTTGATCCTGCGAACCAGGGGCACCAGGGCGCCGGGGCATCCGCCAAGCCGATCCCACGACTTGAACCTGGGGCTGCAGTCTTTGTCATATGACACTATGTGGATAGCATTTGTCGTCGCCGTCGACTGCGGGATTAGTCTGCTGCCGATGGGATAGTATTTTCCCTCTCCGATGGCCCTGCCGATACCATTGACGTTGAATGAAACATGTCCGAGCGGGGGTGGGTTCCGTCCGATATCTCCTCCCGCAATGCCACCCGCCGCGTCAGCCGCCCTATGTTTATTGTTTCGAAGCATCTCGACTAGCTCCAAGGTATGTGAGGCGACCCGGGCTTGTGTTAGCAAGCGGGCTCGAATTGTTTCAATACGGAAATCATGAGATTCATGGTGCGTAGTTGGCTACTATTATGACCAAGGTACCCCGGCGCGCATCCTGGCCAATGACCCGGACCAGGCCACATTTTGCAATCATGCCCGGTCCGCCCTGCCAGCCACGCGGCAGCCTCGGAGCATGGACATGCCCACGACGATATGGTTGGTGCTATTTTGGTCAGGCCTCCCCTGCCAACCCCGGAGCGCCTCTTCTCTCAATCACACACCCGACCAACGCCCGAGCTGCAGCACCGAGGGGCTCTCAACCCCCAGAAAAAACTGGCTGTAAGTCGACGCGAGGATATTCTCCGGTGCCGCACAAAGCCATTCTGAGACAATAGCCACCCGGGCGCAGATGCAGATGGGGATGCATCGTCCTCGAGTTCGATAGAGCGACCAACTGCCGACACGTAAGCCGTCGCCGACGCTGATAGGACGAGGCAACCACACACAGCAAACCGTTACATTGTGCATGGCAAGCCCAAGCGGCAGGCTACCCACAAGAGCAAGGAATCGGCCATTATTCGGCTCCGTCATCCAACGGCATCTCGGGCAACCCATCTCACGCTACTATATAATGATTTATTGGCCCTGTTGGCTGCTATGGCGCTTCCTATTCGCCGCTGGCCCATGTTCGTAGGGCCTGGGCGCGCCCAACTACCCGTGGGGGTCCCATCTGACGCAGAAGACAGGTTGGGAGGGAAGCTGTGGGATGGAGCAGATTCCGATGGAATCGGTGGCGTCTTGGTCAGATCTCTCGTCATCTCACAATCGCCAACCGCAGGCAGGCAATATTAGCTGGTGCAAAGGTGGTATAAGGGGTGGTGTGTCTAATTTGAGGTGCCGGGAATATCGGCGACAGGGATGGCCTTTGACTACTATTTCCGTCCGATTTGCGGCCACACATCGACAGCACTGATATTAACAACGATGGGTACGCATTACCGGTGTCCCCTCGAGCAATCAGTCTCCCCTGGTACACAGCCGCTTCTGAGCTAGGGAAAACGTAATCCAGCTGCGGAAGTAACCGCGCGGAGATATGCAGGACTCAGGAGGCTTGATGCCGTGCCGCGCCCGTGCAGCGGAAAGTGGGGGCCCGTTTGCCGTCCGAGGCCCGACCCGTCAGGGCTGCAGTCGTCATTTGTCCGCAGCAGAAAGAAGCGGTGTTGCAATGCACAAGAAAAAAACAAGAAACCAACTCCAAATGCGGTAGAGTGTGTCAAACATGAGACAGGACACAGCCTATCAGTCCACTTCGCTATCGCTATCCCAGACAACCACATTTCCCGGCAGCACCAAGCGGCGCGCGCCCATGAGATCGACCGACGCAGGCTGGCTCGGGTCGCGGGGGGGAGGCGGAACAGGCAGATACGTTTGCAGAGGCGGCGGCGGCGGCGGCGGCGAGGTATGCTCGGGCGGCGAGCGCAGGCTGGGCACAAGACGCTTCTCGTCGTCCCCCGCATAGCCGCTCTCCTCGCGCCCGTAGCTGTTGCTGTTGCTGTCACGGTTGTAGTACGGCGTCGGGGGCAGTGGTTGCGGCCCGGGCTGCAGCTGGGGCTGGGGCTGGGACATCCACGGTCGGCGCAAAGCTCCCGCGGGCGGGCGGCGGTCGTATATCATGATCTCGACGTGGTCGATGATGTTGCTGTTGTTGCCCGGGCCGGCGTTCTCGTCCATGGGCACGCGTGTGACGCGCACCGTGATCCGCGGGAACGGGTGCCGGTCCAGCGTCCATGTGTCCTGCGGCAGCGCCAGCGTGCGCTCGTACTGCGACGGCAGGTTCAGGATCGGCTTGTGCGCGTGGTGCCACAGCATCTCGTCCATGAACGAGTCATTGAGCCCGCCACCCGACAGGCTGTCGCCCGTGCTGTTGACGTCGCGCAGCATGGACGGGATCAGCGACACGGCGACGGGGCCGAACTCGCCGTTGTTGCCGTCGACATGGGACAAGCGGGGAGCCTTGCGGGCAAAGGCCAGCGAGAAAGCCCGCAGCGACTTGGACTTGGTCACGCCGAAGCGGATGACAAACACGCGGCCCGCCACGTTGCGGCCCAGCTTGAGGACGCAGCCGGGGAAGGCATGCACGCGGTAGTCGGTCGTCTGGTCGAGGTAGTACTGCTGGGTCTGCCCCAGGTAGGACACGATGAAATCGCCCGGCCTTGCGTCGTGGCGGCGTTCGGCCTCGACGTACATGGTGCGCTGGATGCTCGACATGAACTGGCCAAAGTTGATCTTGTTGAAGACGTCGTCGTCAACCATGATCTCTTCACTGCGGCCCCAGATCGAGTACGACCACTCGTAAAGGGGCAGCATGATGGTCGGCGTATGGGCGTCGCGGTGGCCACAGAGCAGCGCGGCAAACGCCATGAGCCGCGCCTGCGCCAGCCGCGGCCGCGCCCAGCAGTAGGCGGCGGGCTTCTCGGACCAAAACACGGGGACCGGCAGCCGGATGCCCGGGCCGACGAACGACGGCGTCTCGGGCGCCTTGGAGTTGAAGTAGTAGTAGTTGTCGTGCGTCGCCTTCCAGGGCACAATGTCGCGCGAGGACTCAAAGTCTCGTGGCGAGTCGGCCAGCAACCCACGCAGCGACGCCGCCGCCTCACCCGCATCCCAGGGGATCGGCCGCAGGCCCCGTATCTGACCGTAATCATCGACCTGGCGCTTGGCCCTGGCCACCAGCTTGCCCCACGCGAACAGGGTGTGGTCGCGGGGATTGCTGCGCATGATCTCCTCCTGCAGCCGCCGGAAGGCCTTCATGCCCTCGCCGTAGAGCAGCGGCATGTTGATGTCGAAGATGCCCATCAGGCAGTAGGCTATATCCTCGACCCGCGACGTCTGCCGCGTGGCCGCCCACGACATGCGCTTGGCCACGCTAGCCTCGTCGAGGCTGCCGCCGCACAGGAACTCGTCCTCGATGCCCGTGATGGAGCTCAGCACGTCGCGCAGCCCGGCCTTGGTGCCCATGGGAACCCAGTCCTTGGAGAGCAGCACCAAATTCTGCGGCGCCAGGAGCTCTTGTAGCGTCCAGCCGCGCGTGAACCACCGGCTCTGCGCCAGCTGCCGCTCGATGCGGGCGCGGTCCGTGGAGGCGACGGTGCCGACGTCGGACAGGTAGGCGTAGCAGGCCGATGCGTTTTTGTACCACCGGAACATGGAGTTGATGGCCTCGGACAGCTCGGCGCTGCTGGTCTTGTCGATGCAGCAGCTGGGGTCTGGTCAGCCAGCACGTCGGGAGAAGATGGCAGAAATCAACGCACGTGTCGATCCACGCCCACGACAGCCCGTCGTCGACGGCCTGCTTGCAGCAGTAGTCGATCTTGGTGAAGCCGTCCTTTTCGGCCACGGCGTCGGGCCCGAGCGTGCGCCAGTCGCTGAACGACACCTCGTCGTCGCCCCACGTGTGCGACAGGATGGCGTACCGCGGCACCTGCGTGTCCGATATGAACAACTTGAGCCGCCGCGTGCGCGCGTTGAGCAGCCACATGGTGGCAGTCGATGGAGAAATAACCTTGGTGATACCAAAGCAACTAAACGTTGTCCGCGGACACAGAACAAAGACAACACGAGAAATAGCAATCAAATGTCGCACGCGGCAGAGAAAGCACAGCAGCAGAGCAACGCGCAGCAGAGCCACGCGCAGCAGAGCCCCATCCTCCCCCGCTGCGGCCTGATGCCGGGCCTCTGCCGCCGGCCCTTTGATAGGCTACTTACTATCAGCATCCAACTGGCACGGCACAACATAGCTGGGGCTCGTGCGACACCTCCACGGGGGCCAATCAAGGCGGCCTATTCAGGCGCCAGAGCATTGCACCAATCTGAGGATCAATCAATTGCTGCCTTGGTGGGATTGTTGGCAGATAAGCTGCCTTGGCTCGCTAAGGAGTGTGCAATGTGCAATGAAACACAAAAAAGTGTCGTCGAGACTGTCGGAAAATAAAGGACAGATAGGTTTTTTTCTTCTTCTTTTATTTCAGTTCTCTCAGCTCTGCTCGTCTGTCTGTACGACATGTCCTGGAATCCTCTCGGCCGTCCATCGTCCTCTCTCATTCAATCATTCCCCAACGACAAGCATTGCGCACGTCATTGCGCACGTCATTGCGCACGTCGCTCCTTTTGTCGGCGCTCCTCGTCGCGGCTCAGTGCAGGTGCTGGACGCAGACGGGGTCGTTGAGCTTGAGCTTGCTGAGGGCGGCGTAGTCGTTGGGCAGCGTCACCGAGACTTTGTGGTCGAGGGTGCAGGCGCACACGTCGTTGATCTTGTCGACGACGGCCTTGACGTCGGCGTCGGAGTGGAACGGGCCCGCGGCACCGCAGTTGCCCGTCCACGGCAGGAAGTAGTACAGGCTGCCCTGCTTGGTCACGAACGCGCGCTCCGCCGCCGTCAGCGAGTACCACTGGCAGCAGTAGTCGAACGCCGTCGACGGGCAGTGATAGCCGTCGCTTCCCTTTCGGGCGTTGAGAAAGGCTCTGTATCGTCCGGGTCAGTCAGGTTCGCCGCGAACAAAGTATATCGCAGCCGCGGGAAGGGAAGGGGCACTGACCGGTAGCAGTTGTTCTGGTTGCACGACGGGTTCTTGGGGACCGGCTGGAGCGGATACCATGACGCGCACTTCCATCCGCCCTATATTGATTGGCTATTAGACATCATCTTTCGCATCGATCGATTCTGGGGGCGAGCCAATGCCTTACATAGGGGTCCTTGGTGTTGGAGTGGCGCGTGTCGAGGCCGCGCTCGGCCACGGACGTGAACTCGACGATGTCAGCCGCCGCGGTGGCCTCGACGAGGGTTCCGCCCAGGACGACGGGAAGGCTGCCCGCCACGGCAGCGACCGCTGCGATGATCATGTTGAACGACACCATGGTGGCTGGGCTGATGGATGTTGGCTGGGCTGATGGATTTTGGCTGGGCTGTTGATGTTGGCTGGGCTGTTGATGTTGGCTGGGCTGTTGATGTTGGCTGGGCTGTTGATGTTGGCTGGGCTGTTGATGTTGGCTGGGCTGTTGATGTTGGCTGGGCTGATGGATGTTGGCTAGGTTGATGAATGTTGGCTAGGGGGTGGCTGAGTGTCAAGTCTGAGCGACGGCAACCAAGGTATGCTTTTGTTGTCAGATGGTAGAGCCTGCGTGGAAGCTGAGAAGCTGGAGAACCACGACTGCCAGCTGGTAGACATGCTGGTGCTTCTTATAGCGAGGAAACGAGAACAGCCGCCCCAAGACGGTCAACATCAACCCCGACAACGGGACTGCCCGACTGCAACCCCCGGGCTTCATTCCAGGGCTGCTCGGCAACGCGTAGAGATTGCCGGACTAGGATCAGGAGATGCTGCGTCCCGAGTAGAGGCTGAAAGGACTAAATTCCGACGGATGCCAAGGGCTGCAAGGAAGCCCGAGAGCAAACTCTGTCCTACGCATTCCACCTGTATCGACACAGAAGCCGACGCCATCAAGTTGGGCACAGCCTGCATCCCGAGCCTGTGTTGAACACGAGATGGAATGATAGGAGTTGGTTGACAGACCACCGCAGCCGCAAAACAAGCATCAAGGTGGCAGTGGCAGAACACACACACGAGTTGCAGTCCCATTGGACGCCCTCTATTCTAGCCCACGCCGGCCGCACGCTCTATTTTCGCCCGTGCTCCTATGACACGCAGTCGAGTCTGGGGAAAACAAGCAAGCGTACCGGCCGCCGGGAACTGGTAGGCTGCCCCTCTCCCGGGCCTCGAGGCCCGACGCCATGCAGGCAGCCTCTGGGGCTGGTGACACCACAACACCGCGCCGCCAGCCAGCCAGTGCCACTCGCCTCCCACTGGCCGCCACCCGGCAACATGTCAGATTTCTCGACACCTGCTATTACCTCACCGAAACCGGGAGCCACTCGTTGCTCTCGCTCCCCGCTTCGTTGCTCTCGCTCCCCGCTTCGTGTTATCCAGATTCTCGCCCGCCGCGGTCAGCGCCAGGCTGCGAATTGCCATTACTGATCTCTTTTCGTCTATTCTCTCAGGCTGGGGTTACACGGCCGTCTCTTCCCCTCTTTCTGAGCATTCTGGAGCCCTCGTGGCAGACCTACCTGGCCGCGATCGAGCTAATCAGGGGCGATTTCGTGTCAGGTCCAACGAGAGAACAAGTCAGCGCCCTCCCCGACTGTGATGGCATGGCCCCGAGTGGCTGCCGCTGGCGAGCCCAGGGCTGAGAGGCAAGTATCGAGGGACGAGAATTAGGTATGGTGGTTGTGTCACGGTGTGGTGGGCACAGACGGATCAAGGCATAATCTGCGTTCGGCGGAGGTTTCCATCGGCCAGTAGTTGCCCGTGTGGCATAATCTGCGTTCGGCGGAGGTTTCCATCGGCCAGCAGTTGCCCGTGTGCCAGCTGCAGTGCGGCTGCAGCGCCTGGAAGTTCCTGACCAAGTTGCTTTGCTCGCTTGGCCTCAGGGACAGACAGTCAGTGTCTTGCTACAGGCGGCTTGCGGCTCAGATGAGCTAGACGGGGTTGATTGCTGGCCACTCAAGCTACTTACCTATTCTCACTGCCCCAGTGCCTTTCAGGACTCGTCTGTACGGCCACGAGCAACCCAAAATGGAGTCACTCAACCAGGACAAACGGTTTCCTTGCTCACGCTGCCATCGGGCATGCACGCCCATTCGATATATCCCCCTCCCCGCCTCAACCACGGCGCCACCAAGCATCTCGTATCGATTATTGGAAGCCCGCATCATGCGTCCACGTCGACGTTTCTCCTCGAGCGAGCCGGCGCCTCCTCAGAGGGAAGATTCCGCTAGGTTCTGATGGTGAAGCGCACCTTGAGCGGCGGCCGATCCCATAGCGGATATCCGCGCAGCGGGCGGATCCAGTCGCTGCTGCTAGTGTCTGCGTCGTGGGGCTTCATGTCGTCGATTTCGAACATGATCCGCGCGAGAATCAGGCGCATCTCGGCATAGACGAGCCTGTTGCGCGTGGCCAGCTGTCATGTTCAGTGAATACAATTACGTAGCCCCTCCGCGTTCCGATGAGGCAATTAGCTGGTTGGGCATCTTACGGCCGTCCAATGCAGCTCCTGGGCCCGGAGCTGAACGGCTGCAACGCCTCGAGCCGGTTGCCTGCCCGGCGCGCCTCGTCGTCACTGGCCAGGAAGCGCTCAGGTGAAGGCCTCGGGGCTGCCCAGTGGTCCCTGCTGTGGCTGATGGACCACGGTTGGACCTCGACGTAGGTCCGCATGGGTGGTCAGTCGGTCTGCATGAATGGTCAGTCGGTCTGCATGGGTGGTTAGTTGGTCTGCAGTGCTCCAACACGCTGACTCGGTACAACTCACCCCTCCAGCAACAGAATGGCCTGCGATCACCCCGCCGCCCGCCGGCACGACCCGCACCAGGTCCGTCGGCTGCGGCGGATACGCGCGGAGGCCCTTGCTCAGCACCGCAGACAGGCACGGCAGCTTGGATACGGGGCCGATCTTGATCTCGGCGGCGCTGCTGAACGTCGAGCGCACTTCCTCTCGCAGCCTGGCCAGCGCCCCTGGGTTGGTCAGCAGCAGATACATGATGCCCGAGAGCGCCGCGGCCATGTTTCGGACCCGGCCAACATGAAAACGAAGGCGTTGGCCGCCAGCTTGTCAGACGACATGTTCTGCTCCGGTCAGCTTGCACTTGGCAGTATACTCAACTACGTGTCACGTATTCGATGCCTGAAAATGCAGCGGCCGAGTCTGCTACACCCCTCGCTGATCAGCGTCCCGAGCAAGTCATTCCTGCCCTTGTCGGTGGCGAGACGGTGGTGCACCATCGAGTCGGTGAACGCCTTGTGTCTGGTCATGGCGAGCTGGCCAAAAGTTCGGAAGAGGAGCTGGACGACCTAGCGGGCCTACGTAGCACAGGGACGACAGCACAGGGACGACAGCACGGCGTTGCTCTTGGCGCCAGCATGATGAACTTGACCGGTGGGTGGTAGGCGCACGCGTCCAAGCAGCCTATCGGCTTGCCGAAGACGGGCTTGGCCGCGATGTCGAACGTCGCCCACATGTACCACGCCGCGCAGTCAAGCGGCGCGCCGGACCGCTCGTGCATCTGGCGGAGCAGCTGGCCGACGTACCTGCCGATGACGGGCTCGTACTGGCGCAGCGCGGCCTCGGAGAAGCCCTGCGACACGGCGCGGCGCACGCGCTGGTGCTCCTCGCGGCCGGCGTTGACGATGACAGTTGGGACGTCGTCGATGGGATCGTAAAAGGCGGCCGCCTTGGGCATCTCGAGAGCGGGCCCGTTGCTGTTGGTCTTGCTCCGCACCGCCAGAGACCCGTAGATGTCCTTGTACGCGCGCACGTCGGTGAAGGAGAGGTAGCCCGACGCGATGCGCACCACGGGCCCGTACCGCTCGTGCAGCTTCTGCGTCGCGAACATCTACGTCCCCCGCAGGTGCTGCACCGTCTACGGCAGCGCTGACGCCCGCTGAGCCACCGGCCCCGGAAACCGCCGTAGCGGGTGCAGGAAGAAGTTGTAGGCGGCCACCGCGGCCCGCCAGAGGATCTGAACCGTGTTAATTAGCACATCGTGATTGATTAATTAGGCGCCTCGGTGGAACCCGCTGGCGAGAGTGTGAAGGTGCTTGCTTACCAGGCCCAGCGCGAAGCCGAAAAGCAACCGTCCATTGGAGACTGCGCCGACGAGGTCCGGCCCCAGCATTGCTGTTGACTCTGGGCTGTTGGTTAGGCTGATACTTGAACAAGGAAGCAGAAAGAAGCGATGGAAGTGAGGATGCGTGCTTGAAGAGCCAAATGTCGACAGCTCCCCGCTCCGTCACATGGTCGCATGATTACCGCTTATCTGCTCTTGGGCCTGCCTGGCGGTGTGCTGTCTTTGCAGAACCAAGGGACGTAAAGCGTGGGGGGTGCGAACCCCATTGGCTGCATAGCTCGGCCTTTGACGAGCACGAAACCATGAACGACATGTCCACATGATTACAACGAGACGTGGTTGAGTGGCACTGAACAAGCCGTTGCGAGGCACATGTGAAGAACTTCATTGCAGCAGCATAATTACATTAATGACCAGATCCGCACCACTCTTTTTTCGTCATAAAAAAACCCCAACGAGAGAGAGGAGAGGGGGGAGGGGAGCAATCTAATCTCACCGAAAACCTGGCAAGTAGAAAATTCATCATCTCGGAATTCGGAGGCAGGGTGACTGTCACTGGCCTCGCTAACTGCTCGAGTCTTGACAGTATCCGTACCTGCATCAGGTTGTCAAATCTAGCGCCGGCACCAACTCAAATATAGCCAAATCAAACGATCAAATCTAGGCCCTGTTGTCAGCCAAATATTCGGTTTTGGGCTTCAAATTCAGCCAGATGTGGATTAAAAATATTTGGGCATTTGACAGATATTTCCCATTGGCCAGGGCATTTTTTGCAGGGGTTTTCCGTATTTTCCTGGGACCGGGGCGCCCTCTGTCCAAGGCCAACCATGCATTTTCCTGGCCCGGGAAAATCTCTGTCTGCCAGGCTTCGGCATGCAGTTGACGCTGCAATGCAACCATCACGGCATATGTCAACAAACAGCCCCGAATCCTACCAATCCTACACAGCGACCTTGCCTACCTTGCTCCCGAGCCGCCGACAAGATGCCTGCCTCGACCGTTAATGCCGCGACCCTCCACACGGGCGAAAAGCGGGCTCCTGCCCTCATGCAGAGGCCATCGCGAATTGCAACGCAGTACGAACAAGTCATCCAGTTTGACGAGAAGGAGCTGGCGAATATACCGATGAGCGAGTGGCCAAAAATAAGAATATGGCGAGGGAGCTTCATACCGGAGATTTGGGTTAAGAAAAATACGTCTTCTTGGATTGATGAACATGGCTACTGGCTCGCCCAGATCGTGAATAACGTAGTCGATGAGGGCGGCTACCGGTGGGTATGCCACTATTGCGACAAGCTCTTCAACTCGCAAGGCACGACCTCAGCGGCAGCCCATTTAGTAAAAGAACACCATAAAAAGGCCGAGGGCGAGGAAGCTGGTGATGATCGGGCTGAAAAGAGGCAGCGGACCTTGCAGCCGATCCAAAATAACAAGGAGAGGGTATTTTTGCGGCCTCACAAGCTCTCCATGCAGGAGAAGCTCGTCAACATACTCATTCGCTTGAATCTTGCGTTCAGCCTCGTTGAGTATGAGGTTTTTCGTGATTTCTGCGTGGACCTGAATGCCGACAAAAGACCGCTACCCTGATTCCTTCCTCGCATAACACAATTCGGAAAGTTCTTCGGGATCGCTTCGATGCAGAGAAAAAAAGCCTGCTTCAACGGCTAGCGGCCTCACCATTCAAGAAGCACCTCTCCTTCGATATTTGGACCTCTCCATCGACTATTTCCTTCCTCGCGATCTTCGTTCATTACATCGGCGGCGACAACGGCATGTATGAGGATTTGTTGGCCATTCCACACATCGAGGGCTCTCATAGCGGCGAGAACCAGGCCAAATACATCGCCGGCACGGTCAGGGAATACGACCTCGCACCTCAAATCGGGTATTTCCAGTGTGACAACGTGGATTCGAATACCTGGGCTGTGAAGCACACGTTGCAGTCTCTACTGCCCGGGCTGAGCGAATTTGAACGCGATGAGTTAGCCGAAAAGCGTCGAATTCGTTGCTTCGGCCACATCCTCAACCTAGCCGCGCGTGCCTTCATTCTCGGGAGGAGTACTGACTTGGAAGCTTCATTTGACGATAACCTCGTCGGCCAGTTACCGCCGGCACAAGAGGAAGCACTGTCGACAGGGTGGCGAAGCGAGGTCCGATCGGTAAACTGCATAACGTCGTACACTTTATTCCAAAGTCGCCACAACGCCGGGATTCCTTCTTTCTTGTCGCGCGCGGTCAGGTAACCAAAGAAGAAGTCGCGACTTTAGCATCGTTATACTCGACCCAAGTGTGCAAGGTTTACAGCTTCGTAGCGATAATTCCACGCGGTGGAATTCCGTCTTCGACATGATTGACCGCGCGTCCGCTTACGTACCTAAGTCAACTACTGGTGCCACCAAAATCAGGCCGGCGACCCGGAAAAGCATATGCATGCTGCCGACGTGTTGCAACCAAGCGACTGGCACCTGCTCTCTACTGTTTTGGCTATTCTTGAACCTTTCCGGAAGATCACGAAGTGGTTCGAAGGCCGGGCGGTTACTTTCCCTAAAGTCATCGCTACGCACGAGTGGCTGATCGATCGGCTCGATGATCGCCTTCGAACCTTGCATCCTCATCCCGAGGCGGCAACATCACATATCCTTCCTTCGTACAAGCATTGGTCTTTCCATTCAGGAGCTCAGAAAATATACCACATTGATGGGAGAGCCCAGCCTGCTGGGGCCATGATATTATACCCGGGACACGAGATGAAGTGGGTGGATAGGTTTTTGGGAGAGGAGCGGTTCTTGAAGGCATACAGGGCATGCCGCAATCTCTACCTGACCGAGTATGCCGTCGAGGCTCTCTCGGCGCCGGCATTACCGGCACAGGCACCCCCCGGCACAGGCACTCCCCGGCACAGGCACCCCCCGGCACAGGCACCCCGTACCGGCCCGGGCGCTGTTCTCGTCAATCATGACTACTACGACCCGCCTGACGACCCACCTGACGACCCGCCTGACGACCCGCCTGACGACCCGCCTGACGACCCGCCTGACGACCCGAACCCGAAAGACGAACTGGCTGAATACCTTGCAGAGGTGTCTGCCTTGCAGAGGGTGTCTGGCGGGTTGAAGACATAAAATCTTGGTGGTTTAGCCGTCAGGACCGTTGGCCACGATTGTCAAAAATGGCTTTGGACTTGATGTCTATTCCATCCATGTCATCAGAGCCGGAAAGGGGCTTCAGTGACAGAAAACTGGTTTTTGGTACGCAGAGGCATAGCCTAGGCGACGATACCTTCAATTCCATCACGTGTTTGAAGAATTGGGTAGGGAAATGAGGTTTTCCGGGCTCCAAGACTTTTTTTTCCATCTCCAGGGGCCATTTTACTTTCCCTCTGGTGTAGCGGAAGATGCCGGCAAATATCAACAAATCAGTCAAATGCGGCATTCCTGCAAACAAATAACCACTCTTGAGCCTCAAATACAGTCAGTCAGGGCACTATATTTGACTGATTTGGATTTGTGCCAGCGCTAGTCAAATCAATGGTATGGCATCTACATATATACAGAGTACCTAAGCTTCTTCCTGTCTGTCCATTCGCGCAACCCCGCTCACACGCTGCCTAGAATAAGCCAAATCGGGCTAGGTGCGTAGGGGAGGGGAGGTAGGTGTGCACGTGATAGGGCGGTGCCGAATGCAGACTCTTCTGGCCCGGGCCCAAGTGGCTTGTCTCGTTCCCTTTTGCTCTGCGTTGATGTTGACAATAGGCTAAGCTGGGGACAGGCAATCAACCGTACCGTCATGTCCGACACTCGGATCGAATCGCTGTGCAACTATTGCGCCAAGATACCTCTCGACCCTGCGGTCCTAGACAGCCTCCCCGAACAGTCGGCCTTCTGGAGTCTAGGGCCAGGTGCGAGGGTGAAGCAGAGCCTATGCCCCTTTTGCCGCCTGGTAGAGTCCGTCTTCTTTGCTGACCAGCGCTTTGGCGGCAATGACTGGACCACCCGGGTCCTCTCCGACGTCGGTGATGTGGTCGTCGAGTGGTACCGCGACGTCGGCCCTAGCAGGCGCGGCGCCTTTACCGTCGAGTTGGCTGAGCAGCATTACATTTGCTTCGGCGATGCTGCGTCTTCTGTCGTCGGAAGCACCACGGCAACCCAGCTCCACTGTTACGTTCGGGAAACCTTGGCGCCTGAGATTGACCTCGACCGTATAGATGCCTGGATATCGACCTGCTCCAAGGAGCACGCCGCCACTTGCTGTCCCTCCTTTCCGCCCGGCTCCTCTTCCGACAGCCCAATCGAGAACCCCGCCGATAGTCCCCAGGTGCGGTTGTATCGCTTGATCGATGTCGGGCGCAACTGCTTGGTGGAGAGACGAACCTTCTGCAAATACGCCGCTCTCAGCTATGTCTGGGGAGCTGTCCCAAACTTCAGACTCACCACGGCCAACATGAGCGCACTGTGCCAGGAAGGGGCTCTTGAGAGACTGCACCACAAGCTTCCCCGGACGGTGAAAGATGCTATGGCTTTGGTCCGCCGTCTGGGACTGCAATATCTCTGGGTGGACGCCTTATGCCTTCTCCAAAACGACCCCGCTGACATCAACGCTGGTGTTGGATTCATGGACGAGATTTACGAGTCTTCTTGGCTCACTATCGTTGCCGCATGTGGCCATGACGCCAATGCAGGCCTCCCGGGGGTGCGCGAGGGAAGCCGCCAGGCGTCAGAACTGACTGTCCAAGTGAAGCCTGGGTTGTTCCTCGGCATCCACACTGACATGGACCTCTTGTTGGACAGCTCGGTATACAGCACAAGGGCATGGACGTAGGTTCACACAGACACCGTCTGCAAAACCAAGGTAGCTTGACACTTGACATGATATACTAATTACTTATTACACAAAGGCTTCAAGAACAGCTCCTGTCCCGACGGGCACTGTTCTTTGTTGATGACCGCATCTTCTTCCGTTGTCGGCTGGCCCAACATTCAGAGACATGCATGGACGATCCACGCCCCGCTGCCCTTCACGGCCCATCAGTCCACAGTACGAGCGGGGAGCTCGCTCACAGCATCCACATGACCAGGCCGATCGAGGACTATTCGACAATGTTGCTTTACTACACGCAGCGAGCCTTGTCTGACCAGAACGATGTCCTCCGTGCAATGACAGGCATCATGCACCGATTCACCGACAAGTTTGCCTGGTCGTTCCTCCAGGGACTGCCGAGAACCGCCGCTTTCGAGGGCTTTTTGATCTTTAGGTCAAATTTAACCGTTCTTCGTCGAAGGCCCAACTTTCCCAGCTACTCGTGGGCTGGCTGGGCAGGTGGTGTCGTTTTGGACGCTGTCATCGACGAATCTCAACTTGATAAATTCTTCGCAAGCAAGACGTGGATCGATTGGCACGAGTACGACGGTAACGTTACATCCCCGGTTCACCCAGGAGGCGCGGAATCCTGGTACGGCCACTGCACCAACGGGATGGACATGCTTCAGGCGGTCACAAAAAGGGTACACACGAAGAACTCGCTACAGAGGCTAGCCAAGAAGACGCTTCCGCGAGCGCCCGTAGCTCTTCAGCCCGGAGACAGCCGAGTCTTTCGGCAACCCAGCAGGCAATCGTATCCACTTCTGCGGTTCTGGACCATGTCCGTGTTCTTCGACATTGACATGGCGACTATGGACGTCTTTCTGGCCTCGGCAAGCATCACCACCAGGGAGTCGCAGGACTGCGGCCGCGTCTGGCTGGATGGATTCGAAGACATGCCCTTCTTCTCGTCTTCGGGGCCTTTTGAATTTATCCTCCTGTCGGAACGTGGTGGCGCGAGCTATAATGCCATGTTGCTAGAGTGGGACGGCGACCAGGTGGTAGCGGAACGACGCGGCATCGGCTACATCCACAAGCACTCTCTTCAGCTGAGCCACCGGCCTGGACCGGTCTGGAAAGAGATATTGCTGGGGTGAGGGTCCCAAATACCTGGGGAGCCGATGGATGTGAGTCGCGCTCGAACAGCTTTCCATACGCGGTGGAATCAGTATTCATCACCATAATGATCAGCAAGATGGCAATAGGAGGTAGATACCGTCTACGATCCGAATGCGCATTCATAATGTCATTAAACGATTACGTACCTTTCCTATTGAATCAACAATCTGGTAGGGGTTTTTGTAGCTCTTCGAACCATAGCGGCAGCCAATGCGAGTTGAGCAGTCCCAAGTGGCAGCCGTCCTCGCCTTCAAACGCCTTGCGCAGCCCGACAATTTCTAGCTTCTTCATGTGCATCATGGCGACAGTGGCGCGATCCGCTTTCTCCTTGTCGGGGCTGCTCAGCATCTCCTTCAGCGCAGTCGGAACAATCTGCCACGAGACGCCGTACTTGTCCGTCAGCCAGCCGCACTGCCGGCTGTCCACGGGGCCGCACTGCCGGCTGTCCACGGGGCCGCCCTCGCCGAATTTGTCCTAGTAGTAGTCGATCTCTTCCTGAGAGGCGCTTCAGGTTTTCGGTCCATCAGACGTGTGTCAGCTTGGAGGAGTCCCTGGCTAGTCTTTTGTGTCGAAAAACACGGCAGCGGAGAAGTTAATTACCAATCAACCAGAAAGGATATGGCCGGGGTAAACTTGAAGCTCGGACCGCCGTTCAGACCGATGAAGCGGTGGCCGTTGAGTTGGAACTCGGCCACCAAAACAGATCCCGCTTCGTGGCCATGGGATTCCTTTCCGGCGTCAGAGTATCGCTGGATGTGGGTAATCTTCGAGTTCTTGAAGACGGAGACGTAGAACCCGGCCGCTTCTTCGGCTTGGCCGTCGAACCAGAAGCATGTCGTGAGCGTCAGCTTGTCCAAGCTCATAGTTAGATTTTTCGTTTCGTCTAGACAAGAGAAACGGGAAAGGGGGCAGTCAATCAATCCCAATTGCTTGTTGCGCTTGGTTGGGGGAACAAGGTCAGTGGGACAAAGAGCAGGCGGGCAAAGGGAACCTAAACAAGGGCGCGCCCTCCTAAATGGTAACGTACATACATAAGCCACCCAGGCAGCAACGTAGCCAAGCTTGCCGGTGATGCGACGAGCTCTTCCCATCAACCAGTCGCGGCACGCCAACGCCAACGCCGGCGGCGTTAAAACCCCGCACGACGGGGCGCGCCAGAGTTGCGCGCGTGGTCACATCGTCTAGTACTAGCGAGAGAAGGGTGCACTGGCTCATTTCAATTCCCAAGAGCAAAATGTGCGATTGAGGAACTTCTTTGAAATTACTATTTTAAACCATAAGTAAGGGGCGGCGCTGCGGGGATTGGTGATGATGGAGTAAACGAGTTTGGAAAAAGAAAAAAGAAAAAAAGAAAAAAAGAAAAAGGAGAGAGACTGGGATGTGGGGGGTCAAACCCCGGGCTGTTTATAGAGCAAATACTACTGTGCAATGAGAGTCAGACTCAAAACTCGTCCCCTAATCTCGAGGGATTTTCTGAACCGCGGTATCATGTCTCGGGTGAGTGTATAGAATTTGCGTATTCTTCAACTCCTAACAAGCCTCTAATGCTACATGAAATACTAAAGGTTCGATTTACCACTCTGGCCGCCTAACTCGCACGCTTCTTGTTAAGATAAAAGATAAAGGCTTGAAAGGCAGACTCGCAGATTGAGGAGACATACGGCAACGCCTCCTCGAGGGGCGACGAGCCGTCACCCCGGCCCTTGTTCACTTGAGCTTGAAGCTCCTGGACAAGGCTGGTCAGCTCATTCTGCTTCTTCTCGAGCGTGGCCTTTTCCTGCTGATGGACGAGCTGCTGCAGCTGGAGCTTCTTGAGGAAGTCGCGCTGCTGTCGGTCGTGCTGCGTGCCCGTACGGCGCAGATCTTCCCTGGCCCGCTCCGCTTCGGCGAGCTTGTCGCCCATCTCCTGCATAATGGCAGCAATCTCCTTCTTGGACTTCTCGTCGGCCTGCTCCAGCTCCTCTTTGTGCTTCTTCAGCTTCTTCTGGTACATGGCTTGGATCTTGCGCAGTTCTTCGTTCAGCACCTGGCCTGCCTCTGTGTCGATCAGCTCCTTTTTCTCGTCAACCGTCTCGCGCTGGATGTCGAGAACAACCCGGTTTTTATTTAAAAGCATGTCCACGAGCGCCAGGCCCGACGCCCGGCCTCCGTCGTAGCGCACCATCCGAGCGCCGCCTTACAGAAATGGCTTCCAGAACTTGGACACCAGATCTGCCTCTCGGCGCCTGCCCATCGCCTCTTCAACCTCCCCCCAGTGCGTGGTAGCCAGGATGATGTTGTCCAGGGAGTCTTCCCCGACGAGCTTTCAGAACATGCGCAGGCTGCGGAGCGACGGCCCGTCCATCCTAACGTCGGTGATGGGATGCACGTAGATGATGCCCGAAAGCTTGGACCCCTGGCTATACGTGCCGGCCAGATACGACGAGATCTCGTACAGGACGTCGGTGTCAGAGCGATATGTGTCCTTGAAGCCGGGCGAGTCGAGGAGAGTTAGGCTGACGTCCCTGTACTTCATCGTGATGCCCTCGACGGCCTAAGTGCCTAAAGGAGTGACATGATTAGTAACTATGAGGTAGGTAATAGCCTCTTCATTTTGTTTTGCTAGCGAAATTCGGTTGATCAAGCAAGGAATGGCTTACAGGCTTCGAGGCCATCACCCACCCTGACAGCTTTCTCTGTGATGGCCCGGATCAGATAGCTTTTGCCCGCGACCGTGACCCCCATGACGGCAATCACAACCTCGCGCACGCCGTTTTCGTTTCGCCCGTCTTCGTCGACCAGCCCGCCTGAGGGAATATCGTAGTCCCCCAGGTCTTCAAACTCGGAGTCCGAACCACCGGGGGTGTTAAGCTCGACATGGCGAGATGTGAAGACCATTTTTTCTTTCTATGCAGGGAAGTTGGGGGGGGGGAGCGGGAGGGGGGTTGGATATGGCAGGTCGTTTCAGCAGGAAGCTTCACCGGTGGAACAGCGTGGGAACGATGAGGCTTTGGTTTCAACTCATTCAGCTTCTTAGTTAGAAGACTAATGTCTGCCTATTAGATACGTACCTGTTACCTTAGCTACCGCCAAGGCTTCCAGTGTCTTACCCAAGCGCCGTGCTGGCCAGAGATCTCACCCACACATTTGTGCTTGTCGACACAAAATAACTCCTGCATATATTAGGCGGATCACACGGTGGAAGGACTCCGAGGCGGGTACGGATCCGCGTGTTTAATTTGTCCCTGTATGCAAGGTGGGAAACATTCAGGCGCCACTGCCTACGACGAGGCCCTCCCAGACGAATCGCAGCTGCAGCTTTCCGGGAAGCAGTGAGGCCGAACCCTCAAATATTTGCCACTCTTCTTGGGTCTCGCAGGGCCCAGGCCTGGGCCTAGACCGAGGCTTGCATTTTGTTGCCCCAAATCCGCGCCACCATATCTAAATAAGGAATGCGGTAGACTGTCAGCCCCAATGCAGGCACCAGTCCGACACGCCTATCAGTAGGCCTCGCGTGGTACGACAGCCCCGTGTAGCCAGAATCCTCGTTTCGATCTCTATTAGATATGAGGTTTGCGAGTGATGTTGCAAATCGGGCCCCCCCGTTTGCAGCATCCTTGGCATCCATTCCATTTCGTGGCTCAGAAATGATGGGTAAGGTTGGTACCTATATATAAGGCTGTTAAGTAGGTCACAAAACTCCAGACACGACTGATGAGTCTTGACAGACTTTTTGAGCAGTAGAGATAAACTGATTTCAACGGATATCACCGGAGCTAATTGACACGATTGTTATCAAGCATAGCCGGTACCAAGGACATACTATTTCACATAATTCCAACTCCCTACGTCTGTGAGAATGTTAGCGGCTGGTTGTGCGTACATCGACGGGTTATTTCTTGGTTGTGCATGAACCACCTCCCAAGGCCCTGTTGACGCTGCAGCTGAGTTGGTCCGCGGCGAGTACTCTCTGATACGGATGGGGTCCAAGGTGGACCAGGACGTGAAGTTGTCGCCATTGTCATCGCCGTATCTGAGAAGACCCGGCAACAGCACGATGAAATCAACATCCGGGCTTCCGAGGGATGCAGCCGAGATATTGGAGGCTGTGTCCTCGAAGTGGACCCGCTCGTCGCCGTCATACAGCTCGGACTGCGGATCCAGCACCCATTTGCGGTCCAGCATGCGCTGTCCCGACTTGAGCTGACCGAGGGTAATTGCCAGGTTGAGGGCTTTGTAGGCCACCTCGCGCAGGGAGTTCCGGACCGAATCCTTACTGAATCCACCGACGGCAACATTCTCGCCCAGAGGAGCGATGATGTCGTGCATGATCGTGTCACAGACGCCCTCGATAAACTCTTCTCAGGTCTGAGACTTCTCGTTGGGGCTTGCAAAGTAGGGGGGCCATGTATCCAAACTCTCGTATGCCTCTAGAGCAGTCGCTAACCATATCTGGGCTACTTTGTGGTTCTCTTTTCGGTTGGCAACGAATGCTAGCAATGCCAAAGTGGTGTGAAACCTAGACAGCTAGGTTGGGGCACACTTACTATTGAGCATATACAGGCTGAGGGTAGTATTAAATTCGGACTTGAATGCATCGGTGCAGGACGCGGTAGGGCGCGAGGCAATGTCTCAGAACAAAATATTTGAAGCGACGGCAACGATGAGGTCTGGCATTGGAACCCTCATCTCGGCGAGCTTGCGGGTGGTCATGCCGCCGGAGGAAACATTCTCAAGGTTTCTCCGGAAGGCCTCGGCCGTGTCAATATGCGACACGTCCATGGTCTCGGTGAACTTCAAGCTGGGGCCGTTCGCCCACGTGTCTAGAGCCTTGCGAAGTCTCCGGTACTGAGTCATAATGTACCTCTGGGTGTCGAAGGTGGTAGTTCCTTTTGTGCGAAACATTTGGCCATGCTTCAAACCGGCTAGCTCTCTCTGCATATCTTCTATCTTCCAGAATTGCTCCCTTACTTGCTCTTTCAGCGTCACATTATCGGTTTCCAGGCTCGCGTTGTCCGAGCTTATTGCGCTGCCGATAGTCATTGTCTGTGACGTTGCATTGTCCAACTCGGCCCGCCGGTGCTTCCTTGTTTCCGAGGAAAACATCGTGACGGACTGGACGACACCCGCAAAAGTCAGCTTCGACTTGGAATTGCAGTCGTTTCCAATGCACATGGGGCATACCAAGCAACAGGAACTCATGAAGTGATTAGTCCAGTTTTGCGAGAAACGGAGAATGTCGAATCCGAAACCGCACAAGTGGCGACCGAGACGATCGAACTGTTGACTCCAAATGTCGGAGTAGGGGGGCGAGCACTAGGGGGCCACGATTGGGAAGATGGCGAAAAATGCAATATCGCAGAAGTCTCGCAGGGCAAAGTAACTGGACCCCTTGGGATTAGGGGAATCAGGCTTGCGGCCAGCAAATTTGAACTGCCGACTCCAGATGCAAAGATAGATCGATGGAAGCCAAGGGATGACCCTCGGCAGGATCACGAAGACGGTAATGTCAAAAAGGTCTCGTAGAAGGGGGCGACAGAACCTCGCAAAGCAGTGCGCTTTCTGGAACAAGGGATGGAACAGCTCGATGGGAATCGCGAGCACCCGGAATACCATAGCTGCTGGGAGCCTGAGTGGGGGAGTGGGCTGGCAAGGCAATAATGGAGGCAGAAGTCGTGCAGCGGCAGCTCGCTCCTCTTGGGGCACTATATCTTGCCTGCTTGGCAGGCTGAAAACTTGCAACCGCTGCCGAAGTCATTCCAGGTGTCTTCCCCGCATATACATGTCTCAGGTAGTTTCCTTACAAGAGATAATTTCCGTCTAGCTAGAAGGTGTGCCGGCCACCCTCGAGGTTCTTGGCAACCCTTGTCGAGGCCTTGCATCCAAAGCACCGAACTCGTGGTTCCCCTTTTGCTCCATGTTTACACACTCACACACGCACAGCCGCTCCGCTAGAACTATCACCGTCCTGCTTCCGTATACTGTGTGATTGACACATCTCTTCGTTGCACAACTTTTCCTTGGATTAGATATTTGGTCCTGCATCGAAATCATGAGCTCCAACGAGGTCCCTGACTTTGACATGGTGGTGGGTGGTACGTTGCCACCGTTGACGGGGGAGTATCTTTGCAGGGGAAATCAAAGCTGACTGCGGGCAAATTAGTCGACTTTGGTACCTCACGTACAGGTTCGTTTCCTTCAAATCCCACTTCTCTGCTCCATGGGAGGCGATGCAAACTGACACAAGGACTGGTTTTTGTGTGTTTAGGTGTTGCATACGGCTTAGTTGCCTACCCCGACGAGCCCATCAAAGAAATCCTGAAATGGCCTGGCCAGGGGGGTCGGCGACAAAACTCATTCAATGAAAAAGTCCCAACCGAGATCTGCTACAATCAAGATGGAGTCGCGAAAACGTGGGGCCACATGAGGCGACTACCAGATACCACAAGCTATAGCTAGTTCAAGCTGTTTCTCGACTCCCGTGCGGCCACCGAGGCATACCACGATACGAATCTCGCTGCGACCATCGGCAGCATGACTGCTGGGGACACGGTGAACCGATGCGTGGCTCCTGGGAAAACCGTCGAGCAAATGTGTATCGACTATCTCAGACCGCTATACGAACACATCCTGGACTCTCTGCGTCAAGACAATGCCCAGCTAGACACCCTCCGAATCAAGTTCGTGATCACGACGCCAGCCATGTGGAGCCCAGCCTCTCAGGACCTCAAGAGACACGCAGCGTTTGAGGCCGGATTTGGTCGTCGATCAGCTGATTGGGTGGATATCGTTTCTGAGCCCGAGGCCGCAGCCAACCACTCCCTCAAGTTGTTGCTCCGCGACAACAGCCGAGAACGGCAAGGCCTTCACTCTTACGCTGTCGCAGCTGGCTGGGAGGTAAGCTGGAGTCGAGCGATTCTAAGAGAGAGACATGCTAACCAACATGTCCTCAGGTTGGCAATAACATCCTCATAGTTGATGCAGGGGCGGGCACAGTAGTACGGAGCCCATTGCCCCTTGTTATAACTAGACGATACAGCTAACGGCGTGATACTCAGGACACGGTGGTGTACGAGATTACTGGTCTCGATCCTCTGCAGGTCAAAGAGACCATCACACCAAAGGGTACGTCAAGTTGATCCACAGCATTGTACACAGCCGAAGGCCAATACTGATATAATTTCCTTGATAAGGAGGTCTATGCGGCGCTGCGTCCATCGGCTGTGCCTTTCATGCTCTACTAGAAGAGCGTCTCGGCGGCCAAAAGCACTTGCTCACACCCGGGATGCGATCTCGGGGAAGTACTCTGATGAAGAACTTCGAGGAGCACAAAGTCGACTTTGGAACCGAGCTGATTGACGACGATGCCACGGTCTCGATAGTTATCCACCACGGAATCACAGAGCTGTCTCCTGTTCTAGAACACGACATCACGTCCCACACAATAAATCTGACCCGGTACGGAGCACTACGTTTCCAGCAGAGCCTTCCGCCTAGACATGATGAAAGATGTGCTAATTTGGCACCAATAAACCTTAGGGCCGATTTCCAAAACCTCTTCGACCTAGCAGTCGACACTGTGATGGAACTGGCCACGGATTTAGAACGGCAAGTGAGGGCAGGTTCTTCTCAGCGCCGAATCAAAGTAAGTCGCGTTTCTCGGCCATCAAACCAAGCTATTAGTCGAGCGTGTTGAAGCTGACAAGACTGTAGGCCATGGTGCTTGTTGGTGGGTTCGGGTCATCGGCATACCTCTACGACAGACTCAATCGCTGGGCACAGGCACAAGAACCCCCGGTCTACGTCAATCAGCCTTATGACGGGTCTGTCAAATTTTCCTTCTCCATATGCCGCCGCGCCTTTTATGCCGTAATTAGGCTGACCCCTACTAGGCCGCTAGCCATTGCAAAAGGCGCAGTGGCATACGGAATCAACAGAATGGAGAACACACGCCGCTTCCTCCCATGCCACTATGGCGTGTTTCTCGATTTTCCGTACAACCCAGACGAGCATTTATATGCGGACACATATATCGACGATTTCGATGGACATCGCTATTGCAACACTACAGTCGAGTGGTTCGCGCAGAAGGTGAGCGTCAGTCCAGTGACAGCATCAACCGGAAGGAGGCGCAACAAAAGGCTGACCATACCGCACTGTCGTAATTAGGACGAGTCAGTCGAGGTAAATAGGACAGTCAAGGTCCCGTTCTCCACGTCAATGAGAGACTCCCGGAATCAGACCACGAAAATACGGATTGCCACAACCAGCTACAACATTCCACCAAAAAACGGAAACGACCCAAGTAAATATCGCGCCCCTAAGATACCAGATCTACAAATTTTTTATTTTTTATTTTTTATTTTTTATTTTTTATTTTTTATTTTTTATTTTTTATTTTTGGTTTTCACCAGCTGACTATTTTATCTCCACAAAAGGAATCATACAACTCCCTCCGCTGTCCCTTGACCTGGCGACGTTACCAGCTTCGGCATTTTTGCAGAAGGAGAAGTCCTCCGGATTCTTGTGGTTTAACACAACCGTGTACGAAACCAAGTGCAGCCTGGAAATGGTTGTCGATTCGGCTTCCCTGAGATTCGAGCTGTGGCAGGCCGGAGCCATGATCAGCAGCCACTCGCTAAGAGACCTCAAAAACCCAAGCAGAATGAGTAATACCTCTCTGGGGGTTTATTAACTAGTGAACAACGAGACTACAAGCTAGCAATGGGGTTAGGTGCCTAGGTTGCAGTGACAGTGAATAACGTAAAACCACCTTGTATAAATATCGCGGAGGCTCTTCGACTGATACGGGCTGGGTCAGAAAATGTTGTGTGGGGGTGACTGTAGAGGTACCTACCTACCATAATTACCTGTTTGGGTTTACAATTACGCAGAGTTGCCCGCCTCCGTGACTTGTTGGCTCTTTTGTGACTTGTTGGCTCTTTTGTGACTTGTTGGCTCTTTTGTGACTTGTTGGTTCTGTTCGTCTGCAAGAGTGTGTTGGCGGCTGTTACTATCTTTTTGTGCACCTTGGCATTCTTCTTTTCTGCCGAGCCAAACCCCCTCTTTCCATCCAATTATCATCAAGGCACCCCAGATCAACCAAACCAAGAGGAAACCATGGCCGGGACAAGCAGCACAGCGCCGAAAAAGACGGTCCTCATCACGGGCTGCAGCGCGGGCGGCATCGGATGGGCGCCGGCCAAGGCGTTCCGGGCGCAGGGCTTCCACGTCTTCGCAACGCTGCGCAACGCAGCCCAGGCCGGCAGGCTGAGCGATAATAGCAACAACGACATGGACGTGCTAGCGCTCGACGTGCTGGTCAATAATGCGGGTGCCGAGTTCGTGTTTTGGGGCCCGCTGGCCATCGTGCAGGCCTTTGCACCCCTGCTGATCAAGGCCCGCGGTACCGTCGCTAACAATAGTTCTATTGCGCAGGGCCTACCCATGGCCTGGACGGGTAAGTTGATTGCATCCTGTACAATTATCCTTTGTTCTTTCGGCTATTTAACTCTGTCGTGGATGTGTACAGGGGCCTATGCCAGCTCCAAGGCGGCGGCGGCGGCGGCGCGCATGTCCGAGGTGATGCGGAGCTGGCGCCGCTCGGGGTGCGGGTGGTGACTGTCATGGTCGGGTCGGTGGCGACACCCATGTTCACGCGGCCGGGCGGGCGCATGCAGCTGCCCGAGGCGTCGCACTACCGCGGCTTCGAGGAGTACGCGCACCGCATGCGCCTGCTGCACCTCGACGCCTCCATGCCCGTCGCGCCGTTTACCGACCAGCTCGCCGGTCGCATCCTCGCCGTCGCCGACAGCAGCGGCACCATCCGACAGCAGCGGCACCATCCGCGGGCCCATTTGGCTCGGCACGTACGCGCTGCTCGTCCGCTTCGCCACGTGGGCCATGCCGCAGTGGTGGGTCGACCAGACGGCCAACAACGACAGGGCGTGGACTTGGTGAAGCGGCTGTGATCTTGTTTACTGGCTACGGTGTGAGCGTGGTGCTGATGGGGTTTGGAGATTTGCATGTACTAATATCCGTAGTTACAGCTAATTAATCAGTGCTTGTCGTTCCCCATGGCCATGGCCGCCTTGGCCCAGGCTAGCGTCAGCGCGTCGTAATTACGTCTTCTCGGCGCCAGCAGGCGTGGTAGTTTCTTCAAGTTCCTTCCACAACACTCTCGTCTGAACAAGTAGAATTTGCACGGCTTGGCTGCCAGGGTAATTAGTGACATGTGCCTAATAAGTTCCTAGCGAAGACTTACTCCAGAAGCCCACAAATTCGGTCTGTGCCCGATGCCTTGGAGCCATGCCGACGACTAGCACCTGTCAAGTAAGGTAATTAGTGGAGAGGGGCCGTACCCAACCAGCCACTAGAATAAAACTCGCAACTATTGCAGAAAAGGGAAAAACGCCCACGTGACTTGTACCGTTGCATGTGGCGTGCCGGGATTCTCAGCCGCACGCACGCACGCACGCACGCACGCGAAGTGGTCGACGCGCCGAGAGTCCCGCCACTTCGAAATAGCCTCACCCGGCAAACCTTGGCATCTTGGCGCCGGACTAACAACTATACTCAGACCCTTTAATCGCAGCAACAGTCCAGATGGCTGCACCACGTTCACCGCCCAAGCGGCCGCGGCTGCTCGCGGCCTGTCTGGCCCTCGTTAAGCTCTGCGTCGCCGCGAAATTGAACAACTCGGCCTGGGACCTCACCGTCGGCGAGCCCTTTGTCGTGACGTGGACCGGCGCCGATGCCCCCGTGTGGATCTACCTCGACGAGAACCTCGTGCAGGGGTCGACACCGCCGCACTTTGACGCGCAGCAGGTTCTCGACTGTACTTACCCCCCTTCGGCCCGGGAAACACGATGGCTGCTGACCTGCCCAACGAATTAGTCAACGACTCGTCCACGGCCTTCACCTGGACGCCGCCCGACAACGACGGCGGCCGCACGTGGGCCTTTGAGCTGTCCGCCTTGGGCGCCAGCACCGCCGACTACTCGCCCAACTTCGTCATTGCCAGCGCAGCGGGCGGCAGTGTGGTGAGCCTGGAAATCACATCCGCGCGTCAAGGGATCCAGATAGCTAATTATCGCATATCAGAGTGGCACCGCCTCGTCTTCCGCCGCGGCTGCGACGGGCGGCGAGAATGGAAGTGGGACATCGCCATCACCGTCGCCGTCCCAGACTGCAGGCTCGTCGGCCAAGTCCACAACTAGCGCAGCCCCGGGCGGCGACGGAGGGGGTCTGAGCACGGGCGCCAAGGCAGGCATCGGCATCGGCGCCGGCCTCGGTGGGCTAATCGTGCTGGGGCTGGTGGGGTTGCTCATCTTCCGGCTGGGCAAGGCCGCGGCGGCAGATAAAAAGACCACGACGACGCAAGACGACCAGCCAGAGATCGCAGAGCTGGGTGGCGCGGCCAAGCAGCAGCCGGGGAGGCTAGAGGAGCTGGAAGGCGCAACCAAGCAGCAGCAGCAGCAGCAGCAGCAGCCGGGGGTGGTAGAGCTGGGCGAGGCTCCGAGACGGACACCCGAGCTCGACGCTACTACCGTAGGGGGTGCTATACATGCGCCCGCGCCGCCCGAGCTCGAGGCCAGGGCCGTCACTGCTGAGATGTACACGCACGCCAACACGGCCGAGATGCCGGGCGGCCCGGGCAGCTACACGATCTATCCGGCCGGCGCTGCAGAGCTCGGCCGCTGACATGGTAGGGGCGTGTCTTGTCGCTAGCGGTTGTGGCCTTTGCAGTCCTGTCGCGGAAACTTGCCCGGAATTGACAGGCTTCTTCAGTTCGCAAACCGACCCTCCCAATATCAAAGCTACATTACTTTGTCTCACATCTAGCTAACAACTGTCAATAACAATAACCCTGCTCCCTGATTTTGGCGTATCTAATTACGTAAAGATCTGCTGAATGTTTACTTCTCGACAACAGTGCAAATGAAAGCTGGGCCAAGTTATGAATGACAATTATCCGCAGGTACGTACATACAGCCGCATCACCTCGAAAAGCGTTTCCACCAAATCGCACTGTAAAGTAATTACTGCGCCGCTGGGCCTCGCCGCCAGCTGCTCGCCTCCATGATGGTGCGCTGGCGCTGGTTGCGCTCGGCGACCTCCTGATCGTCGAGCGGCTTCTTGGCGGCAACAGCACCGCCCGTACCGCGCTGGAAGCCCCCGCGGCCGCCAGCAGTCGGTCTCGTGGCGGCAGTCTCGGGATCGTCGATGCCATCCCTCGCCGAGGCCGGCGCCTTGCCGCGCGCCGGGAACACGCGCAGGAACCCGCCGGGCACCTCCTTGCCGTTGGTGGCGGCGAGCGCGCGCGCGGCCTCTTCGGCAGAGGGAAAGTCGACGAAGCAGTAGTGGTGGTTGCCCGGCTTCTCCATCGTCGACGGGTGCGGCGTGATGCGCTTGCCGATGGCCTCGCTGCGTTGTGTCAGTGTCTGTTGGGGAGGAAGAGAGCGGTGGCAGGCACGCACTATTGAAACCCGACAAACAGCTCCTTGACCTCGGCCTCGTTCTGCGCCTGATCGATCATCTTGCCCAGGCCTCCGACATACAGGCGGCGGCCGTCGGGCTCCGACGCCTTCATGTCGCTCAGGTGGCGCAGCGCGCCGTAGGGGCCCTGCTGCTGGTCGGCCTTGGGGGCCGCCCTCTCGCCGTTCCAGTCGCCCCAGCGCTCGAACGTGGGGCGGGGCTGCGGGTCGCGGCCGCGGGGGCGCTCCTGTGCGGCGCCGGCTCCGGCACCCCCGGCCTTGGGGCGGCACGGGCCGACCTTGACGGCGCGGCCCAGCAGCTCGACGCCCGACAGCGAGGCCAGGGCGCGCTCGGCCTCCTCCGGCGTGGGGAACTCGACGAAGCAGTAGCCCGGGTTGCGGCCGCTGATGGGGTCGACCGATATGTGGATCTTCTCGTAGCTGCCGAAGCCGGCGTCGGCCAGCAGGCTCTCAATGTCGACGGGCTTGACCGTGTACAGCAGGTTGCCCACGTACACGCGGCGGCCCTCGGCGAGCGCGTCCGACGACGACTGCCCGAACTGCGGGCGCGGAGAGGCGGCGTCCATTTTGAGGTGTGCTCGGTAATGAATGATGTGTGTGGTGTTGCACTCGGATACGACGTAGTCTGGAGTCTAAAGTGTTCTTCGGGAACAAGTAAGCCTGACCGCCCAGTTTCGCTGCTCCACACAGCTGAAAACCCTTCATGCCCCACGCCGTTTCGGGAAAGGTCATGAGCCGACCCCGGCCCACTGCAGACCACCGCCAAGAAAACAGGGGCAGTGCAGGGTTGTCAGGGTAAATCTGTCAGGGTCGGTGAGCTGACGGGAGAAGGGTTGAAAATTTTGCGAGTATTGTTTCTTAATTGATTCGTCTGATTAATCAGTGGGATTTAGGTAGGGTTTTTCTTCAGCGGTAGTGCAAAAGTAAATTGGCCAAAGAAGGGCACTAACTCGGTCATTGCAACGATTCACTGGTCGTAAAACAAGGAAAATGATGAGTGAGAGACTAGGAGTCGGACTTACTCTGTAACGGGCTGTTAAAATATTTCACTTTTATAACCACAATACCAAAGGCACCTGCCCTTTATCGCACACACGAAAAGAATGGTTTAACTACACCTAGATATTACTGTAGCCAAGTGGTGACGTAGGTTATCAGGCTGTTATGGGCAACTTCAGCGGCCTGTGATAACACGCGCAGTCGATGGAGACTAGGACGTTGAAACTTACATAGGTCAATTGCCGGATAGTTTTATTCCCGCCCTTGTCATGCGACTCGGCAGTACTCCTGGAGGTCTAGCAATACTTTTGTGAATAGTTAGGGCCATCACGAGAACAAAGAAACAAGTTTACAACAAAGGCCTCGTTAGGATATTAAACATTCACAAGGCACAGTGGTATGGCGAATTAGTTTTCAAATGATTACAAGGTACGAGATGGGTATAATGTACTCAAACACTTAAGATGTGCCCATAAATCCAACCTCAACTCCATATTTCCATGCTCCAAAATTCGTACCTCATAATTATGCGAGGGTGCAGCAATGCAGAAAGATGATGAAATGGCTTTTTGGAACCTAACGCTATCCGCCCGTGGGCGGGAAATCTATGTGGTGCGGATAGGGTGGATACGCAGGGGCCAACTAGTGGACCCAGCTGGGCCAGCTTGGCCTGTGCCTAGCACAATAATCCATGACTCCAAAAAATTACTCTCCCAACTCTCCCAACTCTGCCCCCCCCCCCCCCCCCCCCCCCCCCCCCCAAAAAAAAAACTCCCAATTATTATTAAATATCCCTTTACTCCTCTTCCTCCTCCTCCATGATAGTGGGCATGAAGGGCGCCCGTTGCCGGCATCGGGGTGCACGGCGAAGAATATTTCTTGCTCGTCTATCGTGGGCTTAAGAATGATACTGGTCTCTGGCTAGTACTAGTAGATGAGCTCATCGGATCCGAAAGCATATAGGAGCTCCTTTACGTCGGTATTAGAGACAGGATATATGTGTATGATGGTAATATCCTTCTTGTTGTCCTCAGACTCTTGCTCGCTAGTCTCCTCCTCGATGGTGAGGCCTTCCTCCTGGCTAGGCTCGACATACTCGATCTCAATGGTGTATTTCGTATTGAAAGCTACCATATCATCCTCGCTGAGAGGCTTCACAAGGTTGAACTCTGGTATATACTAGAAAACTTTTCCCTCTCGGCTGATGGCGTATTGCAAGCCCCGATCCGTGGCGCCGGGGACGGGAAAATATCCTTGGAGGTTGTCGGTTTCCGCGCCTGTGATCGCGGCGAAGGTCTGATCCTCCTTGGCGAGGAGGTCGTGGCCTTGGGCTCGTTTCGGGGATATTCTAGTGTTATGGTGTATTTGTCGTTGAAATCGACTATTTCCTTAGTGGTGAGCTTCTTCACCATCTATTCTTTTAGTATGCGAGGGTGCAGCAATGCAGAAAGATGATGAATGGCTTAAGGAACCTAACGCTATCCGCCCGTGGGCGGGAAATCTATGTGGTGCGGATAGGGTGGATACGCAGGGGCAAACTGGTGGACCCAGCTGGGCCAGGCTTGGCCTGTGCCTAGCACATTTAGTAGGTACCAGAAGATCTCGAATCTTGTAGTGACTGCGTATTGTAGGTCGGCGAACCGGCTGCCGGGAACTGGAAAGCTACCCTCAAAATTTACACCGCGTTCCTCAATTGCCGTAATAGGTTCCCAGTTCTGGGGTATTTTAAATTCCCGAGCGAGGGGAGAAAGGTTCTTGGGCGTGGTTATTTTAAACTCCCGAGCGAGGGGAGAAAGTTTCTTGGGAGTTAGAATTCCCGAGCGAGAGGAGAAAGTTTTGCGTGGTGGTCATCTCAAAGTCCCGAGCTAGGGGAGAGAGCTTGCTAGGGACGATAGTTATAGGTATATCGTCTTCTTTCTATAGAGCTATTGCCTCTTGAGAAATATCAAGGGTTACGGTATGAGCGGTATCTGCGCTAGTAATGGTAATGGTGGACAATTTCTCCTCCTTCGGTGAGGATTCTGCCGCGAACGGCGTAGTAGCGAGTGTTGCCGCAGTCGTCTGCGGGGAGTTCTCCTCGGAATATGGTTGTGTATTAGGGGGCGAAGCGCGTACGCTCTCGTCGCCGTTTGAGGTCGAGCTATTACTATTAATGACTGACTCGAGGCTCGAATCTCCTTCAGTATCGAGATCCTCGATATAATCATCGATAAGTGTGTTCTCGACGTAATAATTGTTGATATGCTCACTCCCAACGATCTGAATAACGGCTGTGGCGGGGCCGCTGAGGATGTGCTTGTATGAATGTCCGTGGGCGTCTGAGTCGTAGGACGCGTAATTGGTACTGGTAAATCGAGGCTATATGAAGCATTGAGGAGGGCCTTTTTAGTGAACTCGGACTGAGTCCTGAGCTCGGAAAACTCAATGGTCGGCACCATCCACTCGTCATCTTCATCGGTACGGATGAAGCGTTCAAAGTTCCGGTCGAACTTGCTGGATACGGAAATTTCAATAGCGGGAGTCTCCTATTTGGCGATGTTTAATGGAGCTTCAAGCTCAATATCTATTGTCTCGGAGGCATATTCCTCGATGTTAATGTCCTCAGTGTCGACCCACTGTGTGGCGACGGTAGTGACGTTAACCGTACGTTCATCAACCTTGGTTGTGTCGATAATTATGTCAACGATGGGAATTGTGACGGCGCCAGCTCACAGCACCCACTACCACTGCGCTAGAACCCCCAAAAGGATGCCAGAATTGCAAGTCGTCGACTTGCAACCTGTAGTGGGTTATAGTGTGCTACGGCCGTTGCGCGCCGTGACAGGATGTTAAGTCGGCCAGGGGTGATACTATAATATTATAGTTATTAAATTGTACGGGGATGGTCACCTCTGGGTCGACGAGGCGTATTAGCCGCACGCCCTGGGCGGCGTCCATTGCGACTATGAGTAGCGGTATGTGGGGGCCGGGGATGGTGGTGCCGCCGAGGTGGACCAGCATCAAGTCGACGCGCTGGTGATGTAGGAACTGAGGGATCTGCTGCAACTCGTCGATGAATAGCGTGTCGCCCGAAATGTAGATGCGGTAGCCCGTCGTAGCCAGGCCGCTGTCGGCAGACCAAGCCCTAGCGGTGCCCAGCTCCAGCAGTCAGCCGTTGGTGGGCGGGACCGCGTGCAGCACGTCGTTGGCCGGCGCCAGCGGGCCCGGTGGCATGTGCTTGCCCGGCATGGCCGTAGCTTTGACGGCAGCCGCAGAGCCAGTAATGTGCAGCACGGCAGCCTCAAAAAATTCGAGCCCCTAGACGGCCTCGAACTTGTCGCCCCCGGGCTTCTTGGTCGTCGGGCACTCGCGGGCGTGCGGCGTCGTGACGATGGGCACGCGCCGGTCGAGCGAGGCCTCGGCGAGCTTGTCGAAGTGGTCCTCGTGGTAGTAGGACAGCAGGATACAGTTGAGAGGCGGCAGCTCGGCGAGGTCGACGGCCAGGTCCTTGAGGCGCGTCGCCGTCACGCCCGGGTGGAGGTATACGTAGTCGCCGGCGTACAGGAAGTTGGGGTCTGTCAGGACGCGGAGGCCCGCCCACTAGATGACGGTGGTCGCATTGCCGATGAAGAAGATGCTGCCATCGCCTGGTAGGCTGCCATCAGCCGCCGGAGTGCCGGGGCCATAGGTGTGGCCGACGGGGAGTGATAGCGGCGTATCCTGTGCCGTCTTTTGCACTTTCAGCAGGGGCACTCGCCGGGCCGGGTCGAGCTATATATGACGGAGGGTCTTGCTTATGTTTGCGAGATTGGAGGAAGACGGTGGATCTGCTCGCCAGCGTTAATGTCACGGCGCGCAATGGCCGTAGCAGTACTATATAGCTTACTACAGGTTGCAAGTTGTCAACTTGCAATTCTGGCATCATTTTGGGGGTTCTAGCGCAGTGGTAGTGAGAGCTGCAGGCTGGCGCCGTCACAGTTAAGCGGTTTGTAGCTTTGTGTGTTTGGTAGATTTCGTTATTTGTGCTTGGTTTTGTATGTATGACGTAGCGCGGCAGGATACCTGCCCCTGTTTCTAGAGGATGTCTGGATAACTAAAGTAGTAGGTAGGTATCTATAGATTAATAATGTGATGCACTGAAGGTGCCTCTGGAATGAAGAAGTAGAAGAAAGATGATTCTGCTAAGCTAAGGTATTACAAACCACTCGACTGTTAGGGTCGTCTGTCTGTAAGGGAGCACGGGCTCCACAGAATGCTGGGGTTGGTAATTATGAAGATAGAACAAAGGGCAAGCTCCTATCGCACGGGTAATACAGTCAAATCGGAATGCCACTCAAAGTGTATGAGTGCAGTGAATGTGTATTGCTTGCTTAAAGAACCAAGCAAGAACTATCTAAGACCGTGGGTACGGTCACTGTATTTATCTAGTTGCGCAACCAATCAGAGTTCTCCCTTACAGTGCTCAGTGCCTCCGGGGCGCTCAGTCTTCCAAGACGACTGAGCTCTCAATGGTAACTGAGCACTTTCCTAATTGGCTGTTCTTCCTGCTCAGTGGGTCTTCCCAATCTTGGCGGCCGAACGCACTGAGCGCCGCCTGTTTGGCCGCACCGAGCTCATGTGGGGCCCGTCCTGCCCACCAGTGCTGCCCAATCAGCAGTCGGCTTCCAGCGCCTCCTGCAGACTTGAGCCAGGATCGTAACAGCAAGCTCCTATCGCACGGGTAATACAGTCAAATCGGAATGCCACTCAAAATGTATGAGTGCAACGAATGTGTATTGCTTGCTTGAAGAACCAAGCAAGAGCTATCTAAGACCGTGGCTACGGTCATCGTATTTATCTAATTCATGTAACCAATCAGAGTTCTCTCTTTGCGCTCCGTGGGCCCCGGGTGCTCTGCTCACAGAGCACGGAGGCCCCGCAGAGCGCCCGCTCCGTCCGCTCTGTTGGTCTTGGCATCTAATCGGACAGAGCGCTATCTGATTGGCTGCACCGAACCCCTGCGGGGCCCGGCCCGCCTGCCTGCCCTGCCCAATTAGCAATCGGCTTCCAGCGCCTCCTGCAGACTTGGACCAGGATCGTAACACGTCTGCCTATAGTCTAGTAATTATATTCAATACTAGGACCTGATATAGTTTTGACGAGTCTTATCTAGTCTTTGAATAAAACCTCAAGATTTCTCTAGTAGAGATTTGGGCTTCTCTGTTAGTATTACAAACCACTCGACTGTTAGGGTCGTCTGTCTGTAAGGGAGCACGGGCTCCACAGGATGCTGGGGTTGGTAATTATGAAGATAGAACAAAGGGCAAGCTCCTATTCTCACGAATCCCTGTGGATTCCCTGTGGTTATGCACAAAGGTGGGGCATGCACTTTTGGCGCGGGCCAATCAGGAGCGTTCCAGGATTCCGAGCTCTGGAGCTCGGGGACGCGGGACAGGTCCGGCCGGGCGGTGACCCGGACGCGGGACCACGGGACAATGGAACCACTGTTATTGGTTACGTAGATAGATATATACGACGATCGTGTCCACGGTCTTAGATAGTTCTTGCTTGGTTCTTCAAGCAAGCAATACACATTCACTGCACTCATACTGCAAGGAAAAGGACACCCCAAACACCAACTGCGCGCACAGGGTGCGCGCCCACCACTTGTCACCAACTGGCTAGAACACTGCCAGCTGGCATACGCTACGCCGTGGCGCCACGACCGCAGACTGATGCCCGGGCCGAACCCCTGAGCAGGTATATAAACAATGGCCCTCGCCCATCTTCCTTTGCGAGGGCCAGGTTGAAGTCTTACACCAATACAAGTCATTGCTCCCCTACCTTCTTGCCTGCATTGTGACCACCTTGATCAGGCGTACCTACCTTCTCTTACACATACGCTTTGAGTGGCATTCCGATTTGACTGTATTACCCGTGCGATAGGAGCTTGCCCTTTGTTCTATCTTCATAATTACCAACCCCAGCATCCTGTGGAGCCCGTGCTCCCTTACAGACAGACGACCCTAACAGTCGAGTGGTTTGTAATTAGTTGATCGGTAATTTCTACACCCTTTTATCTAGTTCTAGTTAATACTGCAAATAGACGTTTTTGGTAGTCTGAATAGATCTTCTTTTTAATAAGTTAAAGATGTTACGATCGCGAATTCTAGGCTAAAGGTAGCTGGGCTAATATCTCATTGCTTTGGCCATATTTTGTATCCGTTTTGTAAATCGAAATACAATATCACTTCTCGTTATGGTACTCTTTTTAAGAGTTAACTTGGCTGAGGTAACCGCCGTCCTTTTGCTATAATTATATTCTCTGGGCGTGATTACTAGTTAAACCTTTGAGAGAGATAGGATGGTGCTGAGTTTTAGATAATATGATTTGAACCCGCCAAAAATGCACCAATATTGTCATGGGCAGAGTACGTAATATACCCGGGCATAAGTTCAATTCCCTTATTGGGCCGTTATCGACCCTAGGCACCAGGGCGGTCCTTGACCTCGTCTCTCCTCAGCTTGGATTTTTCACACGAAGTATTACCAATAGGCATAAGGTAGGTCTACGAAGTCGAGTTTAACGAGTAAATTTGACCTCGTCCATCTCCTATTTCCCACGTATAATTTGCCCGGCGTCGCGCTCCGAGATATTACACATTAAGCCCTAAATGATCTGGTTTGGTAGGCACTGCCACTATCAATCATGTCGCTGCCAGAGGTTGACAGCGCCAGTGCGATTGAATCACCTACCGCCCCCGCTCAGCCACTATTAGACGTCCGCACTGCCACTGCTGCGAGTCTTCGCATCGGCTCGAAAACGGCAACCTCACCAGTCTGTAGATTGCCGAGACTTACCTGTCGCAGATCCACTGACACGATAAATTTGGTGCTAAACTAAACCTGATGAGCCCACGGTGCCCGAAGACAAGATCTTCGCGGTTGCCCGAAATCTCGACGCTGAAAGGAGCGCTGGCCATGTACGTAGGCCGTTACATGACATTCCAATCATTGTAAAAGTAGGTACCTTGACCATCAGAATTTCCCTACTTTTCCTTTCCGAATACTTTTGCATTTCCGCCCACTAGATACTAGGATGCGTTTGACATGACCGGCATGGCTACGACCTGCGGCTCGTACTCCCTTGTGGACTCGGAGCCAGCAGATAACTCGTCAGTTATCCATGCCGTAAGCTCCACGCCTCAACGACACATTCCAGTCAAGGCCGTGGCCATGCTGACGTTTACCCCATGTTCCTGTCGTAGCTGATTAAAGAGGGCCTGATCACTTTGGGGAAGAGTAACCTGTCTGGGTGCAAATATTTTTTTGTGTATTCTGCAAATGCGATGCCGGTTGGTGCTGATCACGGTCGAAACAGAATGGCTTGGTAGAAAGGAAGAAACAGAATCGCACCACCATAGGCTTTTGAGTCTTGCTAGAGCGCAATTTGTAACAGCGTCCTTAAGCTTGTGTGTAATTGTAGTTGTCGCGATACTAATTTTGTCGGCAAAACTCTACCAGAGAATATGGCCAGGCAGCAGCATATTGCGGGAGAGAGGGTAGGGGGGTGGATTACAGGTACATAAAACCAGCTGTGTGTCGAAGGGCAGGTCACTTGGCGGAGCAATGGCCATTACGGAGTATTCTGCCCTCCCCACATACGCCCGGCTTGTATGAGGCCCTCGTAAGCGAGTAGTAATCGTCCACACCTCTTCCGTGTCGAGAATTTGGATTTTTAGGTTGGGTAGATGGCTGCATGTTTGGGAACCACATGACTGCATATGCGTCATTTTCGAATTTGATGTAACGCGTTAGAGCCAATCGTTTCCTATTCAAGAAGAATATAGAGGCTTCAGGTAGAGAAGCGCAACTTCAGTTCACGACAATGCGGACAATTCATCTGCAAGAAGCAAGCGGTGAACAAGGCGCAGGAGCGGCCTGTAAAGAGGCCTCTTGCTCGAGTGTATGCAAAGTGAAAAAAGGGCGCTTGACCGGCACGAGTGTGCCAACCTATCAGAGAGTCAGATAACCGAAGTAGGGTGGTTAGCCTCGATGAGTGGCTATGACCATAAGTAATTCGCTTCAGCCAAGCAGCATGGCTTACGGCACTGCAGGGGAATCAGTCAATTGGATATTTCAGATAGCCGCTACAATCTAGCAGGGCCCCCAGTATTGGGGCCTATCTTCAGGTACAAGTAGCACTTCGCCCCAGGCCACCCGCTCTTTCAGGGTGGATCCCCTCGTCATACTTTTCTCCTCTTGCAGACTCGACCTCGCCAATTCCCTCCCCGGGCCAGTCCACCATACTGCTGGAATAGACTGGATGATCAAATGGTGCTCCCAATGAGATCCCCTTACCAGCGGGTCGAGGTGGTAGGGCCACAACCACCAAATTCCCAGCGGGCCAGTCTTCAACGCCGACCAAGAACTCGGCATGGTCATGGGCGCTTTCAGGAGCTACAGCCATAGCACGTCGGTTGAGAGGATACCTCGGAACCCCAACCTCAGGAGCGGATTCCGCGGCCGCTTGCAGCACATATTTAATGTCATTGCAAGCAACCCCTCTTCCGTCCTGGTGATTCTCTATTATCAGGGGCACAGCGGCCTGGACAACAGGAACGAGCTGGTGCTTTCAAAGTATGAAGGCGTGATCCCTACTACCGGACCTAATCAATGCTAACCCGACTTTTCAAGTGGAAACGGCCAGTCGATGCACTGGGCAGATGTCGCCGACGCCGTCATCAGCGCCAGGTGCGACGTGCTTACCATTTTGAACTGCTGCCATGCTGGCGCTGCTATGAACACTCCGTTTCCGGCACGGAGAAATATAAATTACGAAAGGTACATAAAAGAGATCATGATGGCAGTGCCGTGGAACATGAACACCATCTGGGGTGGCCGTCTCGGCTTTGCGGCCTGCCTGGAGCAGGCGTTGAGAGAGCAGTATCACGAATGGCAGAGAGGGTTTACCGGTCAACCAAGGCATTGGGCTGAGGCAATTAGCCGCATTCAGGGTCGACAAGTTGGCCTCAAATGCCTCGTTTGACCCCCACAGCATGCAAACTCACGACCACTCGTTTTGGCTCGGCGTTGTTAGTAACTCAACTTGAATTCTGGGTTAGGAACTGGTGACTGTATTGCTTGCTTGTAGGAATGGAATCCGGCTATCTGGTACAGGAAGGCAATGGTCTGGATCGCAATGGATCCCTACATCTCGGACATATGTGGGCCTAGCTATAACTATGGTGAGGAGGATAAGGACCAAAATGATGATGGATGATGGATGATGATGATGATGATGATGATGATGATGATGATGACATGATCTCGGAACCAAGAGTGGTTTAACCAGAACGAAGGGTCCCAGTGGCATGCACAACGACACAGACTAACAGACTTTCACGGGCACGGAGTTGAGTTACTCGCGAATGATTTTTCACTCAAATTCCATCTTAATGATCAGTTATGCACAGGACTAGGTGAGGAGGCTGTTAAGGTAGCTGGAGTCGTCAAGACTATGGGCAGTGTGAAAGTACGATATCAATAAGATATCCACACCCCGCGTTTAGTGGCTTGGTCAGCCGCTTGTTGATGCATTAGCGCCAAATTCCGGCCGTGCCGTCAGCGCCAGTCAGCAGTGGAAAATATTCGCCCATATCGTAACCTAGCAAACTGACCCTGCAGGGCTTCCGTTTCTTCCATTTTTCTACTACTTCTTCTTGACTACAAGCTGTGCCTTCCGGTTAGCTCGCAATTGCTTACAGAACTGGTCCATAGAAGAGCCAGTCCGCTGCTGTTGTAGATGGACGATATACATCGCAGCCTCCTCGCCAATACGGCGGTTCCGCGCAATACGCTCGATTTCCCTAATGACCTCCAGCCGTAGAGAATACCACTGCAGCTCTGTCCGCCGGCCTGCCCGCCAACTATGGCCCCACCGACTATCTAAATCACGTACGGCTGGCTGGCCGTGTAGACCAACAGTCCATTCCTTCCAAAGACCCTCTACCGTTTTGATGGCGCGGCTCATGCTATACTGCGGTGGTTGCCCTGCAGTAGGTGGGCTAGCCGGCGCTGCAGGTGGGATAGCCGGTTCTGCAGGGGGTGCCGGTTCTACAGAGGTTGCCGGTCCTGTGGTAGCTGTAATGGCAACTCCCATCGTGCCATCTGAGCCTGTATTGGTTGCTTTGATGTGGACTGTTAGGCCATTTGAGAGCAGTGATAGAATATGGGAGCCTTGTTGTGACTGGCTACTAAGTGTCTTCTCAAGCTTCTGGTCCAGTTGAGTAATCCGTACCTCGTTCCGCATATCGATCGACTGGAGGAAGTCAGAGAGGACAGGCATAGCCTGTGTCAATACTGCTAGTTGGCTTGGCCTCTCTTCTTCTTGCGTAAAGGCCCGGATCTCCTGCGCGTATTGGAGATATGCCCTATGCTGAAAGACTGGATGAAGCCAGACTGGGCTCCTTGGATACCTCAGCATAAGGAAAGCTGAGTCCTGAAGGACTACCTCGCGAAGGTAGAAAAGCAAGTTCGTCAAGCCCATTGCTGCAAGGTCGTTGGCTTGCCCAGGACCAGATCCAAATCGGCCCTCCCACTGGCTAAGCTCTGGCCATATCATTGACAAAAGTTCAGGTGGCGGTACGAGGTTAGCGCGGCGGATCTCAAAGCACCCAATCTGCTTCGGGTGGCCGGCCATGGTACGCATAAACTCTCGAGGCAACGCATTCAGATAACAGCCGACCATTTGCTCCTGGTTCCAACGGCCAGCCCGGCGAATCTGGTCCTCGGAAACCCCCTTTAACTCAGCCGTCTTAGCCCCTGAACTGCGGCCGATATGGGTCTTCTTGTTGGAGGTGATCCCAGCGTACGAGAAGGCTTTGACAACCCACTCGCGTTGCGCATTGTACGAGAAAGGTTTCGTACGATCAGAGCTGTTGCTATTGCCTTTGATCAGTCGGATATCGTACCAGGCCGAGCGTTGGCTGAAGTCTGGGAAAGCCTCGTTGGTAAGGTCCCAGCGGAAAAGAAGGTAGAAAGCTACCGCGCCTAATAGGCAAAGCTGAGGATTCCGATTCCGTAGGGCGCCAGCAGTCTCCAGCCGGCCGTGCTGATTCTGCTTACCAGCACGTGTCGTCATAATTAGCGGTATACAACGGGTAGGGCCCTCTCCGACAAACTCGAAGGTAAAGAGATCCGAGAGCTCCAAAGCACGACGATCGCCACCGCGAGTAAGCATATAGTGACTAAGAAGAATGTCGACAATTGTACGGAGGTAGCACTCAGGCGATTCGCCAGTCTGTGCCCAAAGCCCCTGGCAGACCCGTAAAAGCTGGGGCTCCGTATATCCGTCAAGGAGGGTGTCACGGCCTTTGTTAGCGTAGTTGGCCTTGTCGCGTACTGCATCTCGGCGTTGTAAGGACTTGATATATTCCCGTACGCTATGCTCACGAGGAGACGGGTGACTGTTCATCCCTAGAGCCTTCTGGGTACAATATAGGTCGGTAATAGCTGTGACGTAGCTCCGGACCGATCGCCATGCTAGCCGAGTAGCCGTCCGGGGGGTCTCAGGGGCCGTCTTATAACTCTTGCCTCTAAGCGGCCGCTGTACCACACGCTCGACAAGGAAGAGGAGGAGCTTGTCTTCTGTAACAGTATCACGATCGTGATACTGCTTGGAAACACAGAACTCTTGGAATTCTCGCTTCTTTGGTTCGTACGCAATGGTGGTGTTCTTTGGCCGGTCTTGCTGGATCAGCTGGTGCACATTACGCGCGTTGGCGCGTAGTTCGGCACTATTCAGAGCAGTCCGCTCAGCGTGCTCGACGGCTGCCACTGTAATCGAGTCTTGCAGTTGCGCCGCCTTCCGTTGCGAAGTCCGGGCCATGGTTCAGTGCGGTGCAGTGTGGTGCGGGCGGTAGGCGGTATGGTAGATGGTGTGGTGTGGCGGGAGAGCGGACTTGGAAGACGCGTAAAGGCGGAGACCGTGTATCTATAGCGCGTGAACAGGGGCCCAGTCATCCGGGCTAGCCCTGTGGTGGGCGAGGCCCCTGTATTACAGGGGCCTAGCCGGCCGGCTAGGCTCAATCTGGCGATAGAATCATCGACGGCGCTGAAAACACAAGCCAAGAAGCGAATATCGCATGCTGGCTAGCGTGGCCAGATTGGGTGATGCGCAGATATAGTGGGCCAGAAGTGTGGTCAGCGAGGGTCATCTGCAGTCAGCCGAGTGGTTGATACCACATGAGAAGCACTGCTGGGAACCATGGCCTTTCTGCTGGAAGAATTTAACACGAGATAAAAAAGAATACTGTGCAGCTACATTGCTAGACAGGATTGAGGACATGGCCAAATACGTCTCTACGACCACTAACCTGCTCTCACCTCTTCGCGTGCTACTCGTACAACGCAATACTATCAGATCCATCATTCCTCGTCACCTCCCTGGGCCTGCTCCTCTCCCTGCTCTCCCTGCTCTCCCTGCTCTCCCTGCTCTCCCTGCTCTCCCTGCTCTCCCTGCTCTCCCTGTTCTCCTTGCTCCTGGCCTTGCTCCTGGCCCTGCTCCTGACCCTGCTCCTGGCCACCGGCACCGGCACCGGCACCGGCATCGAAACCATCGCCGTCGGGAAAGTGCAGGTACATGCAGCCGAGGCCAATGTTCTTGTCGACCTTGACCTCGGCGCCGCCGGCGCCCCAGTATTGGATGCCGTCGGCCTCCCACTTGTGGCCGGTGGAGCGGAAGGGGCGGTCGTAGGAGCCGGTATTGAAGATGTAGATGCGGTACAGGCTAGACCGACCCTCGGCGAACTCGCACTCGAGCAGCGGCATGGTGGGGGCCTCGCCGGTGAAGTGCTTGGCGTCGTCTGTGTAGTCGTTCACGATGATGATGTTGCAGTGCGCGCCGACGCTGCCCTTGAGCGAGTCCATGCTCATCGACACAAAGTTCTCCTTGCTGGCCTTCTCGTTGGCCTCGGCGTTCTGCTCCGACTCGACGATGTGCTTGATCTTGACCGAGCTCTCCGTCGCTTTGACCGCCACGTCAAAGGCCCCCGACAGGGCGCCCTCGACGGCCTGCACGAGCTCGACACCAGACATTGCAGCGGCAGCCATCTTTGTGGTTTGTGAAAGTGTTTGAGTGGGAATGGAGTGTGATGATTGTGACTGATGATTGTGACTGATGATTGTGAGTGTGATGATTGTGAGTGTGATGATTGAAGGCTGATGCTCTGGCTACTTTGACCGTGGACGAGAGCCATCTTTATCCTTCTAATCGTCCGGCTGCCTCTGGCTGGTCTGTATTGTGTCCACGGATCTATTCTGGCCTATGTTCAACGTTGTCAGCAGCAATGCAGTTCCTGGCTGCTGACCAAGACGCATCTATGCAGGCAACTACTTTGCTGAGACACCTTGAGACGATAATAGGGGTTGTTGACGTTTGACGGTCTCGGTCTCCAGCGAATCCCATCTCGATTCATCGCTGCCGAATTCTCACCCTCGGTCGTGAAACTAGAGTAATCGGGCAACGACCCTGGCTCGCCGTCTGCAGTGCTAGTTGGCTCTGCCCCACTGTCAGCTTACATGTAGGCCTGGACCTATCACGGGGAAGTGTTTGGATGACTGCAGCCACGACCCCTGGATCTGACGTCCCTAATACCCCAGATTACTGCATTCGCGATTCAGGGTCCTAACTCAGCTACATAAACCTCGGCAACCCCCACAGATCTGGAACTTTCAGCCCTAGACCCCAAGACCTGCATTGGAGGCAAGCATTCGCAAGGTTCCTGCCGCCGTCGTAACGGCAGTGCGCTTACTGCGCATGTCCCTAGGGTACCGATTAACAATCGCTCCTAAATAGAAACTCAAGCACCGCTGCATCGCTCGGTCGTTGCCTAGCTCAGCTCCTGAGAGGCTGCAACCTGCAACCCGCATTCTTGTCAGCTGGTTCGGCTGCGTAGGTACCTTATCTTGTCTGTTAGCGGGCTGCAACCTGGGGTTTTCATCCGAAGGCCGGAGGGATGCTGTCAAGGTCGTGTCCAGGCCTAGCCTACTGCGCCAAGCACGGGAACGGCGGGGAGATTATTAGTCATTACTGCTGTGCAAGAGGGGAAGAGGAGTCAGGACTACCTTCCAGAACAGGAAGGATTACCCAAGGAACTAGAGTTTGGAGTGGGAACCGGATGCCACAGCGATTTCCATTTCGTGCGCCGTAACCTTGATCCCCTCACCTTCCACCCCCTCCCCAGTCCCCAGTCCCCAGTCCCCAGTCCCCTTGGCCCGCTCACTGCCTGCCGGACCAGCATCAACATCATGGCCCCCATCAGAGTAGGCTTCATCGGCTACGGCTTCTCGGTCAACTGCTTCCACCTGCCCTTTGTCCTGCCCAACCCGGACCTACAGGTCTACGCCTTCCTCCAACGCGCCGCGCCGCCAGCCGCCAGCGATGCATCTCAGACGAAGCCGCGCTGGGGCCACTGCACCGTCGACTTCCCGCTCGCCAAGCACTACCAGACGCCGGGTCCATTTTTCGCCGACGACCAAATCGATCTCGTCGTCGTGTGCTCGCACGCGCACGACGAGCTGGTAGAGCAGGCACTGCGTGCCGGGAAGCATGGTATGTCCCTGTTGGATGATCTGGATGCCGATTCGTCGCCCTGCAATTGGCGAGAGAGGTAGCGAGCAGCAATGCGGAGGCGTAAGCTGACCGGCTTGCCGCAGTCGTCGTCGAGAAGCCATTTGTCACGTCCACTGCCGCAGCTGACAGAATGACGACCCTGGCAAAGGAAAGGGGCAAGATCCTGACCGTGTTTCACAGTAAGCAAGCAAGCAAGCAAGCAAGCAAACAGTCTCGCGAGTTGCCGGCGCCCTCGAGCCTGAAATGAGCTGATCTTGAAACAGACCGGAGATTCGACAGCGACTTCCTCACGCTCGGCCACCTGGTCAAGAATGACGCGCTCGGTGAAGTGCGCGAGGCCGAGATCCACTTTGACTTGCCGACGCCGACGTGGATTTCGGGCTGGACCAGGAAGGAATACAGCCCCGGCGAGGGCATGGCGTTTGGGCTCGGTGAGACCGTTCCCGCCAGAGTCGGGCTAGCTTATTCCTGATGCTCCAGCCCCCAGGCACCCACACCATCGACCAGGCCCTGGTCCTCTTTGGCCGCCCGTCCTCGGTGACTGCCTTTTTGCGGTCCAACCGCGGCGTTGAGAGCGATGTCGATGACACCTTCACCATCATCCTACAGTACGACCGCCAGAACCTAGTCGTGACAGTCAAGACGGCGATTGTCTCCCACGTGAAGGACCAGCTCAAGTACCTTGTCCGCGGGACCAGGGGCTCTTATCTCAAGGTTCACCATTCCCACAGACTCAATTCCTAAGCACGCAGCTGACACGCCCTAGTTTGGGTTTTGCCCCCAAGAGGAAAGGGCCATCGCGGCGCCTGGGAAGCCGGCGACCGACGACTACGGGGTCGAGGACGAGCGCATTTGGGGCACTCTGACGACAACGGCCGAGTTTGACGCGAGCCAGCGCTTTGACCCAGCGAGCAGGCTGTACATCGGCAAGTACCCCAGCCTGCGCGGGTGGTGCCGCGGCTACTACGAGAATGTCGTCGCGGCAATCCGTGGCGAGCAAGAGGTCTGCGTCAAGCCCGAGACGGCCAGGGACGGGCTGAGGGTTATTGAGCTCGCCCGGCTGTCGCATGAGAGAGGCTGCACCATTCCGTGGTCGGACAACGAGGTGTGAGTTGCGGCTGTTCTCATCCTTCTGCTAAGAGCTGCAGATGAAGAGATTGAATTGGATTATTTTGGATTTCACCATGATCAACGCGAATAATCATAAATGCCTCCACTGATTTTTGGTGCGGTCACCGCTGTGGACTGATTTACGGCAGCGAGTCTGCGTGACGTTTGACACATCTTGGCGATGCCAACGTTGAGTTTAGCCAAATATCGCAGCAACACTGGCCACGTTCCTGTTGCTGCCCTCCTAACCTGAAACAAGAGCCGAAATTCAAGCTGAGCTGTCATCTAGACTTTTACTGACTAAAGCCGGCATCTGATCTCCCTCCCAGAACAGGACAAGACAGACCATACACCATGCGCCACTTTGTTCTCTCCCTCTGCGCGCTTGTTGTTGATTCTCTGGTGGCGGCAGAATTTCATCCTCGGTCCGACGCCGCAGCGGAATGTCCACTGAGTACGCTGCTCGATAATGACGCCACATGCGCGGCACCGCGGCTGTCTGCTCACCGGCCCGAGGGCGATGGCCGGGTAGAAGGCGAAGATCGCAACCCGCTACTCCCTCCCGGATGGGAAGGCCCGAGCGACTGCATCCGGGAGTGGTGCGTGTTCTGGAACCCCGAGCTCAACGGCGGCATCGCGCTGGTGACAACGCTGGCGCACGCGCAGCTGGCCACGTCGTACCCGCAGGTAGCCGACGACGCCGACGCCTCGTCACCACTCCCATTCGAGCCGACGCCCATCCCCGGCAAGGGCACGGGGCTGGTAGCGACACGGGCGATCCGCAAGGGCGACATCATCATGCAGCGCACGGCGACGCTAGTCGCGCAGGATGCGGCGCACTTCCGCCTGCCGCCGAACCTGCGCAACGACCTGTACCAGCGCGCCGTGGACAAGCTGCCGGCCCCGCGCCGCGCTGCGTTCCTGACCCAGATCGGTGCCGACGTGTATACCAAGATCGACCGCAACTCTTTTCGTCTTGTCTTTGTCAATGGTAGTGCTGCCGCGCCGACGAACCGCGACGACAAGACGGCTGCCCACCTCGGCTGCTTCAACGACGTGCACTTTTTCAACCACGACTGCCGCCCAAAGTGAGTGTGTTCGTGGTAACCACCCCCTCTCCTCGATGCTGACAGGTGTGACCCTGGCTGGCAGCACGCACTACCGCATCACCAACCTCACGCACACGACCGTGGCGGTGCAGGACATTGCCGCCGGCGACGAGCTGACCATCAGCTACGTCGACGCCACGCTGCAGCGCGCGGAGCGGCAGAAGCGGCTCAGCGACTGGTAAGTCGCCTCCCTCGCAAAGATTGTGTCCTGGCTAATTAGAAAACTCGGTGCAGGGGCTTCGAGTGCACGTGCAAACAATGCTCACTACCGCCGCGCGAGGTGCTCGAGTCAGACCTGCGGCTGCAGGCTATGGACTGGCTGAGCGAGGAGCTCGAAGACAAAGTGACGACGGTCGGCGGGCTGGTCGAGCTGGAGCCGGCCATGGGCGCCCGGCTGGTGGCCCTGTACGAACAAGAACGCCTGCACGCGTACCTCGGCCACGCCTACACGCGCGCCGCGCTCGTCTATTCCATGTTCGAGGACGCCGACAACGCGAAAAAGTATGCTGCTGATGCCGAGGTCGCTATGCTCCGCGAGTATGGCCCCGCTAATAAGGACGCTGTCGCCATGCGCGCCCTGGCTGCTGATCCGGAGAACCATTGGTCGTGGGGGATTGTGAGGAGGGCTGGGTGAGATGGTGGGTTGGGTGGAGTGTCATGTTGGATCAAGGGGGGGGGGTTTCTGAACCAGGGAGAGGAGAGGAGACGTGAACGGGAAGTTTCCTCGCCTCGTCACCGCATGTAAAGCCACCGATGAGCGTCAAGTGGCATCATTGCACCAGTCAAGCAAGACAATAAGCAGGTGTAATTCAGCCAACCAAATCAATGAACCCCTTTTTCGCCAAATAACGCGCTCCATCAGATGCATTTTAAATTCCCCAGCCAGCATTGCCCGCTCTGAACCATTCCATGGGTAGGACATCCAAGAAAACTGAGCAAATCCCGGCCGGCTAGCAGAAATCGTTCTTGCCCGACCCGCCGTCGGCACACCCGCCCGAGCAAAAGTCAACGTAGTTGATGGCGCCGGCGTCGCCGCACACGAAGCGCGAGTTGTCGGTCAGGATCCTCTCCTTCTTGGCATCCCACGACCAGTGGCCCGTCCGCTGCAGCTCGTGGCGGATCGTGTCCTTGTAGTTCCCTAGTTATTGTTAGCTCTTTGTTTTATTTTTATTTTTGTTCTCATTGAGGCGCACCAATCTTGAGCAGGTTGTACCCGCAGTACCGCAGGCCTTTGGTGCAGTCCCTGGCATCTGCGAGCCCGGAGAACGCGAGCGCGAGCGCGGGGACGAGGATGGCGATGTTGACCATTGTGGGCGGTAGTTTAGGGGTGATTTGTTGAAGTATTGGGGCGTGAATGAGGTCAAAGACAATGATTTGAATCGAGCTAGAAATAGTTAGAGATGGTTTTGGGGAGTTGAGGGATGAGTTGATGTCGATTGTGATAATTTTAATCCATCTCGGAAGGTGAAAAAACGCGCTCTTTATATCTCGTTTACAGAGTCTCGCGATCCACTTTGTGAACTCCAAAGAAACAACCGATGAGGCAACTTAGCCCCGGTGAGATCAGCGGCCTCCATTTCTCGTTATTAGACGGCGACTCGTGTGGATCTCTGGCAAGAAAAACTGGCTATGGCCCACAAACTGCATCACAGCAGGTCTCGCTTAGCCTCTATGCTGCTTTCATTCGCTGCGGCTATGGGTAACTGCAGACGGGCCAGCCGAGGGCTGAGTTGAGCGGTCACCGGAGCCCACTTTAATGTTTGGTAGTGCGTACCGATCCTACGAGCAATCGGTCCGCCTTGTAACTGAGCCAGACCAGTCAGCCTCTGTAGTGGAATTTTCCGTCTACTCCATTGGCTTGACTAGGCGCAACGTGTCACTGCAGCATGTGGAACTTGGGTACGAAACGTTGACCGCAGTCTATTCGCTTTATACCTCCAAGGCGTCGGCAAGGCCGTCAGTCTAACGCGGTCTAATTGACAATGGAGAGCAGCAAGGAAAGGCAACGCAATCTGTCAAGCAGAGGTATCCAACGTTCAAAGAAATTCATGGCCTGGATATCCAACTGTGTTGCGAAATCCGCAGCCAATCCAAAAGCAACGCAAAGCAAAGAACGCAAAGCAACGCAAAGCAACGCAAACAAAGCAACGCAAACAAAGAAACACTAATAAACAACATTCCCGACCACCGTTCAGCGCCTTCCCCTCAACCTTGAGAAGCTGATCGCGTGCAGGTTCGACGGGGCCATCTCGGGCTTGGCCTCGGTCTCGCGCGAGAAGCGCTTGTGGTGATTGCTCGTCTTGCCGCTGCGGAAGCGCACGAGCTGCCACACCCAGTAGCCCAACGTGACAAACATGAGCCCGACGGCGGCCCAGATAATGGCCGTGTATTTGGAGCCGGCGGTGGCGCTGATGCCAATGTCGTTGCCGTGCTCGTTGGCCTTGGAGGCCGCCTTACTCGCGGCGACGGTGACGACGGCGGAGCTGATGGTCAGCAGGCCTGCGGCCAACCCCGCCAACACAATGTTTGCCAGCAGCAGCCCGCGCTTCTCGTGCCGAAACAGCCCGCCCACCGACGCCAGCATGGAGAGCCCCGTCAACCCCACGCCCAGGCTCAAGATGATGACGAAAGCCTTGGTCATGTCCTTGAACGCGTCGAAGACGTCCTGCAGGTCCCGAGTGAAGCCCAGGTCGAGCAGGTTGAGCTCCAGCGGGCCGACCTGCAGCTGGTGGTCGAAGATGGCCGAGACATTGTATCCTGAGAGGACAGGGGTTAGCACGAGACAGGACACCGAGACTGGAAGACGCACCTTGGTCCAGCGCCTTGTAGCAGGACGTGACGTTGCGGGTTGCGCCCACGGCGGTGGCGTTGGGCGAGTAGTAGCCCTCGCAGATGGTCAGGGCGTGGACCGAGTAGAACTGGTGGATGCCCAGCTCCTCGGCCAGGTGGTCGGCGATGTCGTTGGCAATGTCGTTGCCCAGCGCGACGATGTCGCTCTCGATGCTGCCGGCGACGGCGGTAGCCGTGGCGCACGCCTTGCCCAGAAAGCCTCCGACGTGGCTGCAGAGGTCAGACGTCTGCGTCGGCTTGGGGTCGTCGTCGTTGGCGGCATTCATGATGAGGTTCTCGCCCAGCGCCGAGGTGTTGAACTGAGCCGTGTTAGATCGGTCGCTGGGGGTCAGGTCAAAATGCGGGATGAACTTACCGAGATAATGTCATAGTCCTCCAGGCTGCCCTGGTTGGAGCCCGCCAAGAGGGCGATCAACACCAGCACAAACGCGGCGATGGACGTGACGATGGGTATCGCGACTGATAATTGCTTCATTGTGGGTATCGAGGGCCAGCTCGGTAAGGTGACAATCGCCAATCGAAAAAAGAAAAAAAAAGAGTAAACAAATATATATGTTTTGGGTGTCTTGGATAGGAACGCAGCAAACAATTATCACAATGAAAGTCGAGAAATGCGGCCCTCATGTCGGGGGTGTCACTCAGGCTAGCCAAGCGAGACAATCTCCCGTTCCCATGCCAGATAAATATCATCCCGCCAAGACGCTGCTGGCGAAAAATCAGGGTCTTTTCGATATCTAGGCGCGCTATTGCCGCATGGGACAGCCCTGGGCCGCTTCGGGCCATGGGCTGTCGACACTCCGGTCCTAGGATGCACGCGCGGTTCGCCAGTCACCGGATTCGTGCGTGAAAATGGGCACCCAGCCAATCGATGGCTAATCGCGCGAAATGGGCTGTGTACGTCATCGGTCATCGCTTGGAGAGGTGTTTGGGCTCGGCAGTGAGGCAGGGGGGTTGAGTGGCTGGCGTGTGCCTGCCGACGGCCCCTGTCGCTTTTCCGATTCGCCACCGATGACGCGGGTTTCAAGTCTCGCAAGTGACTGACTGACCGAAACAACCTCAGCTCGAGTGTCGGGATTGACAGAACAAAACAACATTAGAATTGTTCACGAGATTGTCTGTTTCAAAATGCAATACAAAACAGTTCCAAATGGACCTAGAACAAATAATCGTGCCAAAGTCGCTGCTTCCTCGATTTCCAATAGTTACACCAAGCTCCACCGCTTTTCTGCGCTCGAGATAGCATTCTCCGAGTTATTAAAGACTAATCTGAAGTCAACAAACAAATTCAAGCTCGAACTGCGCATATGAAACAGTCTGAAACTGAAGAAAACGGCAACTCACAAGCATTTATCTTTTATCACCTTGATAAAAATACCGATCATCAGCATCGCTGCTTGATCTTGTTTGTCGAAATCAGTACTCGAAACTTGGCTAATCATCAGTTGTACTCTGTCATCACGATCTAAGTCGTGACTCATTGCTCTGGCTTCGTTCCCAGGAAAACAGCAGGTGGCGATGCAGGCCTTTCACGATGGCCTCGTACTGCGGGTGGTCAGCGGCAATGGCCACCTTGCGCATCAAGTAGTCAAACATGACGAGCCCGCAGTTGGGCTTGAATTCTCTCCCAAGCAAAGCGCGCCGCGCCTCCTCCAGACCCATCAACTCAAACCCCCGCCGAGCCACCCAGGCCTTGATATCGCCGTGCTTGTTGGCCGTGCAAATGTTCAGGTGCACGCCGGCGGTGGCCAGCCCTAGGATGGAGCGCAGCTCGTCGGAAACGCCGACAGGAGACGGGGCCCCAAGCACCAACCTCTCGGGTTCGTATTAGAACTAGTACTTTCAGCAGCTTTCCAGTCGGTATGATATTAGAGGAAGAGGATTAATTGGCAAAGTTCCGTGCCAGAAATCCTGACTGCCGAGCCAGTCAGACGACGGGAAATAGGAAGAACAAGAACACGGATAGGCAACGCACCACTCAGACCAAATGCGCGCCAAACGGCGTGCCTTCTAGCGCAGCCACAGCGGCGTGCATCTCAGCAAAAGCCGTCTGACACGTCTCCCGGCTTGTATCCAGAGCACGCTTCGGACGCAGCTCCTTTTTGGGGGTGGCGACAAAGTCGAAAAAAGAAGAAAGCGTGTCGTTCTCTCTGAGACGGCCACCGACATTACACAATGTGAGAGAGACTTTGTCGCGTCATGGAGTAATTACTCCAAGTTCCCATTTCATTATTTGCTCCCGAAACTGCATACCTCAATGCTCAGGTAGGTAGTCTTCAGTTCAATTTCCACACAGACGACAAGTCTGGAAATCGTTCAACATGTAGCTGACACTCGAGAAAAAGATGCGAGACTTGTGGGCTCACGATAAGGTTGGTTGAAAATGGACCAAAGCGGTCAACATGCACTTCAGCAGTACGGATAGACTCGTCAACTATTATGATTCCTCTCTCCAGCGTCAAATCTATTTGTCTCTAATAATTGTGTATTGATTCCGCTGGAAACGAAATTGTTGCTTGTCATCAAACAGCAACGAACAAAAAAAACCCTGCCAGAACCCCAAAGCAACCCAATACCAAACACCCACCCTGCCCAAATTTTCGCAAACGCCAGCTATGGAAGATCGAGAGCGGCAAAGTATAAAACAGCGAAAATGGTTAAAATAGCACGCTCTATAGCCGATGCAACAGAGCCTAATCCAGACCCTACGCGCAGTAGATCACAGCCCTGCCAGTTGGGCAACTAGCCGCCTCTGCCCAACAAACTCCTCTGGTCTGGCTCAAAAATCGCTGGGGGTTCGTCTACCCTGGCCCCCCTGTACTCGGTCGCGAACTCTTGGTGGTGGTGGTTCGGGTCGGTTTCCGGGGCAGGGCCGCCCATGTCACAGTCGACGCCCAGCCTCCGCCAGGACCCGCCGATGAGGACGCCGTAGAAGTACCTCCGTTGGCCGTAGCCATGGCCTGCCTCGCGAACACGGCGCTCGCGGTCGCGGGGGCCGAGCTGCGACACCCCATCGAGGTCGTTCAGCATGTGGCTCTGTGATATGTAGTACATTGCGCCGGCGATGCAACGGGGATCGACGGGCATGGGCGGCCACCGCACCCAGAAGGACGCCACCAGCACCCCCGTCAACAGCAGTAGAAACACGGCGCTCGTCATGTTGCACACAGTCGCCACCGTGCTCGTCTGCGTCAGGTTGAAGGGCACGTTGGCCAGCAGCACGGGGAAGAACTCGGACAGGATCGCCGCTAGCGACGTCGCGAATAGGAAGGCATGCCGCTGCTTGACGGCAACGCCGATGCCCGAGAACGGGTTGGTCGACGGCGAGAACAGGATGGAGCGCGATGCCGGCTGCGTGCGCTGTGCCATGAGCTGGTAAGGTGTCATGATGCTCACGCCTTTGTTGCGACATGTTAGCTGAGGGGTCACCACATTTATTTAGGTCGATGGGGAGGAATGGGAGGACCGGCTCACTCAGAAAAAAGGACTGCCAGCAAAAGGCAACAATGACACCAATGATGGCCGACACAAAGCGCACGCCAAATGTGTAGTGGTTTAAGAACCTCCACAGCTGCCCGCCGTCGTTGAATATTCGATCACCGTCGTGGGTGCCGCGGCGATAGTACACGTAGTAATAAACGACGAACACGAGCAGACCGACCTGGAGGAGGATGAGAGCGATGCGCCAAGGGTAGCGCAGCGGCATCAGGGGTAGAGAGTTGCCACTGCCGCCCTGCGCGCCGGCGGCGCCCGCGTCAAACATGTCTGCGTCGCTCTCAGAGCCGCTGTTGGCGTCGTCCTGCAGGCCGCGGCCTGACTCGTCGGTCAGAACGATGCCGTATTCCTCGCGGCCAAGGGCGTTGGTAAAGTAGCCTAGCCCGTACTGCTTCTGGGCAAGGGCGCGGCGCATGGCGCGCTCGCTGTTCTGGCGGATGCGCACATGCGTGTTGCCAGCTAGCGAAGCGATACCCGCTATGTTCCATGGGTTGGCGTGCACGCCCGAGGGCCAGCGGACCATGAAGAAGAGCACAACCATGAGCATGAGCATGACCGCAGCGATCAGACCTATGAGGGCGTGCGTGGGCTCCGGGCTGACGCCCAGCTCTGGCCCACATGTGCTGCTGGCAGTATTGACGTTGCATACGCCATGGAGCTTCAGTCCGATCGCCTCGGTAGCTAGCGGCACCATGAAAGACGCACAACCCACCATGATTGTGCTGATGAAGGGCACAGGGTGTCCTTGAAGAAGCGTGATCATGGGCGTCACAAATGCCATCAGCCCCGTGTATTGCCTCGTCAGCGTCTCGGCGCCAGTCCCGCCACCCGGCTTGGCCAGCGACTGGAAGGGTTGGTAGAGTTTTACGTTCAGATCGATGATGCGCAGAGGAATCACCAGCCCCACTCCTAGCAGCGGCGGCAGGAATGTTCCCTTGAAGATGTCGCCGTTGGACCACTTGAACTCCTTGGTTCCAACAACCACCACCTCTGGGGTCTTGGCGCTGCCCCCCGTGGTTGACGTCGGCGTGCCCGTGGATGTCGACATGAACGTTTGTGTTGACTTTGTCCTGGTTGAGAAGCTGGTGGTAAGTGACGGCGTCGAGGTGATGGTTGTCAGCTTCCCCGATATGGTGGTTACAAAGGTCGTGGGCGAGAATGTACTGGTGTAGGTGCTGAGGGTCCCTCCAGATGTGGAGATAAATGTCAGCGTGAGGGGTGCCGTGCCCGTGGGAGTCGTGACAATAGTCTCGGTGGTGAGCGTGCCCCCGACCGTAGTCGTGTAGCTCGTCACAGGCGGGGTGGTAACTGTGGTGATGGGAGTTCCGTTGATGGTGGTCACAAAGGTGGTTGGGGACGGCGTAATGGTGATTACGGTGGGTGTTCCGCCGATATTGGTGGTGATGGTGTAGGACACGGGCAAAAATGGCGCCCCTGTCGGTGTGGTGACGATAACCTGGGTGACTGGCGTGCCTCCCACCATGCTGACAGACGTGTATGTGAAAGGCGCCGCAGGAGAGCCAGTCGGCGTTGTGACGAGAACCTCGGTAACAAGTGTGCCATCGACATTTCTAACAGCGGTGTAGGTTATCGGCTGGTATGGCGGCCCAGCAGGCGTTGTCGTCACAACTTGGGTGACAGGGGTACCTCCCACGTTCGATACGACAGTGTGGGTGACAGGCTGGCCAGGCGCCCCAGGGGCCACGATAACTCCCACAGTCGTGAGGGTGCCGCCCTCCATCGAGACCACGGTCTGAGGAGGTGGGGTCTCTACCATAGTACGTACGACGCCGTTGATCACAGTCTCCCTCGTGATGGGATCTGGTCTGTTAATGATGGTGACTGGCGTGCCGCCGACGGTGGAGACAACGTCCACGGAGACGCCGGGTGATGGTGTGATTACCAGGACCGACGTCACTACTTGTCCTCCAACCCGCTGCACACCCGTTTGGGCAGGTGGCGTGTAGACCTGGGTATTGACCTGGTCAATTGGAACCGCAACAACAACCGGAGGTTGCGTCTGGACAACGGCAACAGTCGTCCCTTCGACAATCTGCACGTTGGTAACTGGCACCTTGACAGGGTCTGGAGGGTTTTGCTGCTGCGTCCCAGGTTGCACTGTGGCCTGGACGGGATCGGGGTAGACGGTAGCGTAGTAGGTAATGGTAACCGAGCCGACTTGGGGGATGACAGTTCCGGCAATAGTGCTTTCTACCGTAGTTGCCAAGGTCTCGGTGACTGACCCCACAGCTTCTCCAGTAGATGTTACGGCAAGGGTGACGGTCTCAGTGAAGGGGGCGCCAACTACACCAGTCGAGACGGCGGTCGAGTACAGAGTACCGCTGATAGAATACATCGAATGGAACGTGGTCGGGACGGTAGATGTGCCGGTCGACGTGATGGTCGTGAACCCCGTCGATAAGGCTGTGGAAGTGAAAGTGATGACAGTCGTTGTCGTGGTAGTCAAGGTAATAGTCGACTCGGAGATGGTGCTATACGAGGTAAAATAAGAGACAGACGACGAGATGGGAACGAGCCTTGCGCCAGTGGGGAGCGTAGCCGTCAAGCTGGTTGGGACAGTCGACGAAGAGGAGTTGGTGGCAACATTGTCGAATGTCATACCCCCATCGAGGTCAGTGACTGAGTGGCTTGGTACGGTGGACGTGATAGACGTGCTTGTGGTACTTGAGGAAGTCACCGAGGTCGTCGACACCGTCGTGGTTGGGGTTGTCGACGGAGCTGTCGACGGGGTGGTCGACGTGGTAGTCGACGGGGTGGTCGACGTGGTGGTCGACGGAGTGGTCGACGTGGTAGTCGACGGAGTGGTCGACGGAGTAGTCGACGGGGTGGTCGACGGGGTGGTCGACGGGGTAGTCGACGGGGTAGTCGACGGGGTGGTCGACGGAGTAGTCGTTGTCGGAGTCGTTGACGGAGTCGTCGTCGGAGTCGTCGTCGAATTGGTTGACGTTTCCGTTGATGTCCCGGTAGTTATGAAACCCCCAGAAATAGGGGCTCCCGTAGACGAGGGGGAGGCGGACGGGTTACTTGAACTTCGTGACTCGGACTCGGAACTGGAAGCTGTAAATGACGGGCTCTCAGCAACTCCAAGCCCGGTCACAACCGAGTCTCCATCTGGCACGGCACTGAGAACCGTGACGCTGGTACTGAATGCCGAAGAACTACTGGACTCGTTCAAGAATAGTTCGGTATCGCGGGGTTTGTGGCCAGGGTACGCCATGCGTGCTTGCAAAAAGACGGCATCAGTGTCCGAGTTTGGCATGGTCACATCGGCGTAGACAAGGAGGCCGATGGCGACGCCGAGTAGCAGCACGACAGTGAGGATGAAGGGCCATCGCAGCGGCGTCGGCTTGTAGTCGGGGATTTTTGCAGGTCTAACTGCCCGGCCCTCTGGCTTCCCGTCGTAGCCATGGGCGTCGTAGCCATGGGCTACCTCGTTGTGCCCCTCGTCATGGTCTTCTGTCGCCTGGTAGCTATACTCGTAAGGTCGCGCTCGTTCGTCCCGCGGGTCGATGAGCGGTTGCTGCATTGCTGGTCGGCCCTGCGGTCGGAGGGCACACAGTCGGGATTTCCCGCAGAGCTCGCTTGGGTGGTCAGCGTGGGGAAGGGCTTCGTGCAAGCTGGTCTGCCGACGCGGACATGCTCTTGGTCCAAACTATCGCCAGCTTCAACAGCTCCAACAACAACACTAAAGAGAAGGGAAAAATCCTCAAAAGCACAACCAGATCATCGATCTCAATCGGGAACAACCACAACCGCGGGTGCATGTGAACGCCATGCCATGGCTGCAGCAAGCATGGGCGGTGGGCGCCCTCATATTGGGCACCAGGGTGTCGGACTGCTTGCCCTTTTTCTCCCCTCTTGTCTTGTTCCAGCCCTTCACAGACCGTGCCAAGTTCGCCCAGAGGCTAGTCAAAGCCGACGGCTTGCAGCTGCGGCTGAGGGCCAATCCGGACTCGACATTGTTTTTGTGGCTTTATTTCGACCTCTCAGCATCCAGCGCTAGCGAAGATGTGGTGGCTTTGACAGGCCCGACAGGGCCAAGCCGACGCCTCCACATCACCCTGACGCGTCCTAATTGGCCGGGCTGATGGGCCTAGGCTGTGCTGCGACTGTTTGAGGTGGAGTGTACGAATGCCGTTGCGCAGCTGGGACGAGATCTATACCACCGCCACGACCCCGGTTGCGAAGTGTCGTAGACAAGTCGAAAATAATGCAACTGCGCCCTCAGTGTGCTCGGCAAACGTCACCCGGCGCCGGAATCCCTGATGATGTAGCACACATTCGGTAGTGCAAGGCTTTCTCGACGCCACAACCGCTTTGGAAGGCAGCTGCTCCCAGGCATGCCCAACATGGTGGACGAAAACGCTCTTAGGGTAATTATCAGAACGTCAACATCTCGTGGCGTCCTGGTGCTGTGTAAACACCACGGCGTGTCAAACGTCGAGTGAATCGCATGTATCCGCACGAGCACGGGCCCGGGACGCGGTGTTTCCCACTCACCCGTCCGCCTGCCCCGCATCTGTCCAGTCATTCGGATCTCGGCCCAGCCACCCACCCTGTTCTCAACCCCCGGGGTCGTGTCACCTGAGAACAGAAACTGCGGATAGCAAGCAGTCATAATTAGGAGTACGGAGACGGAACATGGGGCCAAGTCTTCGTCACTCTCCTGTGCCTGCCTTTCCTGTGCCTGCCTTTTTCCTGTGCCTGGAAAGGACAGTGCTGTGAGAACTATATTATCTCTCCAGCTTTAGGGGCTTACAGCTATATTCTAGCACTGAGATCGCTACGGGCTAGTGGCTTCATCCTAACACTTTTTTTTTTTAGCGGAGTGCCTACACAGTATCTATAGTAGGGGGGTTTTCTAGACACTGCCTTACGGAAGGTTAGCCCAACAGATTAACCAAGACTTTTGGCCCCATGTTCCGTACTGTCACGGTCGCCAAAGGGCTCATGTGACAGGATTGATTCTATTGGCTGCAGTGTGGTTAGAGTGTGGTCTGTGCACCTGCCTCACTTGCTCAGCACCACCACCTATTTCTCCGCGCCCTACGCGGACCCTGCGATAGATTCCTTTCTCTTCCTTAGCTTTGAATCCACATTCGTTACTGCCTTCAACCTTTGACTTCCCTACCTTCGTAAGGCGGGCCGTCACACGTACTTACTGAGGATTCAGAGATTTTGGAGCGATCGTTGACCCAACATGTATACCGGTTGGCCTGTTTTGGTTTCACGCTATTAAAACTGCAGTGGCCACAACCACAACACACCTGAGCTGACAAATACGAGTCGTCTGGAAAGTGTTGCAGATCTTTCTTCACAGGCACCAAACATGAACGTATATCCCACGTGAGGTCACGAATGAATGGAATGCTCGCAATTTGTGCTAGTGCAGAAGCCGCCTTCGCCTCGGGAGCGGTAGTGGGAGTACGTCATGGCCGGAGCACTGCGAGCTGGGGCTGATCGGAGGCAGCATCCGTAGATGAAAGAAGTGCAGACGAAACGCCCCAAGAATGGTATTTTGCTCGTTGTTCCATGTCCGAACCATCCATGTTCATGTGATACATGTCCCTCTAAGTCGAACCTTCCCATGCCAAGACCGAAGTCGCTACCTTGACTTCCATAGCATGAGGCGGCAAGCCTATGCAGGGCCAGATTATGCAATCCATAGACTGTATCCTCGACTCGTCACCGTCCAAGTCCCCAACCGAGAAGCGTCTAGAACACAAGGGCGGCACCCTTGGTCTTCTTGTCTCCACTGTTCGAAATTGTTAGAATCAGTTTCCAGTCAAAAGTTTGAAGCAAAAGGCTGTTGTCCAAGTCCATGTGTCAAGGCTCCCAGGAGGACTCTGTCATAAACAGAGGGCGTGTCCAAATGGCCAAACGCATCGCATGGTGGGCCGCGTGCCGAATTCCACAGACGGTATCAACGATCTCCCGCGAACCAACTCCGCCTGAGCGAACAGGGAGCAAAGTCCCACGTTTGCTAGACACTGAACAGTGGATCATGCCAAGAGACCTTGCCAAGAGACCTAGCAACAGCATCTGCAATGTGATAGACAAGAGTGGTTTGACAGTCAAATCGTTGACCTCCATCGCGTATTGCCGGGCCCCCACGGTCGCCGAGGCGCATGAACCGCAGCCCTCTATTCGCTAAGCCAGAAATCCGGAAGCCATCTGACAAATTCGATGCTCGGTTGTAGACTCGGCGCGGGGCACTGGCGCAAGAGGACATTCGAAGTTGCCGCGCGCGGGTGCGAAATGGAAGCAGTCCGGGGACAAGCTGTTCGACTGATCGGGGCGGTTGTTTCGCAATTCTCGGACGAAGCAAAATGCGCATTTCACAGCAAGGACTTACCCAAGTTCGAAGTGCTTGCACCGCTTAAGCGGGAGCTGCTTCTTCGCCTTGCAGGCGGAGCATTCCTATGCGGGACACATTTAGAATCTTCCCCCACCAAACTTCACATCTCGAAAAGGGCCTGGCTCACTAGTCGCAGCACAATCTTCTTGGTCGTCTTCGCCTTCTTGTGGAAAACGGGCTTGGTCTGACCACCGTAACCCGACTGCTTGCGGTCGTAACGACGCTTGCCCTGCGCGAATGACGAGGCCTTGCCGGCCTTGTACTGGGTGACCTTGTGCAGCTGGTGCTTGCCGCATTCGCGGCTGGCGCAGAACGTCTTCCGGGTCTTGGGTACGTTCACCATTGTCGCGGCTGGGGGTTGTCGTGATGGGTGAAGATCGGTGGTTTCGTTGTCGTGATCCAGGCTCGAGGATTTTGGCGCGGATTTGCAAATTTCGACAGGCTTGCCGTGGTGTGTGGGAGTGCGGTCCAAATATTATCCGCCCCGCCAGCCAAAATGGTGGGGTCAGCTAGGGTACGCGCACGGCCCCATTGACCACCCACCCTTCTGGATATCGTAATCTTGATAGGCGGGGTTCTTATCCGATGGAGTTGGGAGTGGGCGCAAACGTTCCTTCGGTAATTCGCGACCTTGTATTTAAGGCAATATCATGAGAAAGCTGGAAATAAATTCCAGGCACCTGCTCCATGCTCTCGGGGAAAAGAAAGAAAAACCCCTTGTCAATCGATACAAGTTCATTCGCTTATGCTGTTGAAGCAAAACGTTAGTGCCTACTTCACTGTAGGCGCTGCGAGGTCAGTCCGCTATCTTCACCAGGCCCTGTACTCCGTAGGGCTGCGAAACCAGCATGAGCCAAGATTTGGTCAAGAATTGGTACGCATGGCTAGTTTGCAACACACACAATACGTACGTGGAGTAGCGACACCTCCCGGTTCTTACTACGTATGATGCACATCCCTCATGTAAGGGCAGCCCCGGGCTCTAGTCCCGGCGTCTCAAAACCCCTAGTACTGTAACTTACTTGCAAGTCCGAGCAGGCGAATGGTTACTCATAGCCCCCAAGCCGAAACATGAAATGAGCTAGGATCAAATTCCTCTCAACACGCCTCAACTATGCGCGAGGCGCAGGAAATTTTCCCTTTTTCCCCGTCAGATGGCATCTCCGGGTTTCTTGACTTTCATCCCATCGCTCGATCCTCATCGCCTTCGGATTCAAGCCCTACCTCGCCGCCGAACAAGGCCCACAACCTGCCCGACTGCGCGCGCTGTGTCGGTATCGCCACTTCTAGGACACTTCCGGTTCGGGGTTGTCGGCCGCATTTAGCTCAATTGCGACCGGCGCAAGTCACGTTAGCTCGTCGTATCCCGGATCCTACGGTTCCTTGGGCCGGAGAACACCAAGACGCTAGCCATGTCGAGCACGTGGAAGCCGTTCACCATCACCTCATTCCCCACTGTCCCCTTAACGACTACCTTCACGCCGCCTCCGCTATGTTCCGGCGTATACCTTCCCCAGGACCGGAACGTCCTCATGATGGACCACGAGGCTAGCTGTCTTCCGTCCGGGTTCAAGAGCCAGGAATCTTCGTTTTTCTCGCCAGGCATCGACTGCCCGCAAGGCTATTGTATGTGTGAACGTTTAATCCCCGTTTATATACCCCACGAGCTTGCCATGGCCTCGAAACTGCCGGTGCTCACACTAGACTCTCGCGGCAGGGAGCGCGTGCCATGACACGACGGGGGTTGCGAGCATCACCACTGTGACGTGCTGCCCGTTCAGGGGCGATATCAGTTTAGCATGCGTCACTCCTTCCACGCTGGGCGGCAGATGGGCGAGCCTGTTTTGTACCTGGATAGCCCCCGGTGGCAACGGCACGACAGTTTCGTATACCGGGTCGAGCGCGGCCGACAAGACCTCAACGCTGCCCTCGGCCATGACCAGTCCGGACGGCATCAACGCGTTCGGTGTCCGGATAGTTTTCCAGTCCACTGATACGCCGTCCTCCACACCGCCACCGTCATCGCTGTCGTCGTCTTCGCTAACCAATACAGGCTCTGGAACGACGACATCGACGACAACGACGGCAGGCGCCCTGGCGGCGGGTACGCTTGTTGAGGCGTCGAGCTCCGGTCTGTCAACCGGAGCTACTGCTGCGATCGCGGTGGTGATCCCCGTCGTTATTATCGCAGGTCTCGTGGGGCTGTTCCTGCTGTGGCGAAGGCGACGCAGGCAACAGGGCGTTGATGGATTGGGGGCGAACGCCCCGCTCGCACAGGGGCCACCGGGAAACAAGTACTACTACGCGAACGAGGCGAAATGGCAGCAGCCCCTGGCGCCACAGGAACTTCCGGTGGAACAGAGTGGGATGCGAGCCGAGCTGCCTTCTGTGCAAAATAGCTACGAGATGCCTGTGGGTTCGCCGAGAGGTCCATCAAGTGCTTAGGGTATATTTTCCCTTTCAGTGGTCTTGTTGAGAGCTTGAGTATATAAGGACGTGTTGAAAACTCGTTGTGCGATATATAGATTAAAGTTGGTCACGAAAAAAAAGTCAATACCCGGCGGAAGCACGAAGCACAAGTCCAACACGAAAGGTTCTCGGATCCGGCTATAACTAGCGCATCACATGCCGGCCGCTCCGCTCCATACACCCGAACTTTGAACCGGCCGGAGCTGTCAAGGTTCGGCATAACCATGGATTTGCTACTCGATGGCACGTACACCGAAGACATACGCCTTGCCGTGGTGTTAAACTCAATCGGCTTGTACAAGTAATAAATAGAATAATGTTACAATTGACGAAAGGGTCTTGTACATACCTTCTAGTTCTTACCCAAGTCTACTAGATTAACCAAATCTATTAAATTAACTAAATCTACTAAATTAACCATAACTATATACTTGATGCAGCCTAACTGGCATAACCGGTACGTTCCGATCTATCGTACGCGATTCAGACAAGCTTACCGCAAAATCTAGATTATGAAGACATATACGGTGCCGGTGCGCCCAGGGCGTAGAACGATAATAATTTCCTTAGCCTGCCCCTTGCAGAAGAGGAATCGGGTAGGTAAGAAGCTTGTCAGCGAGGCAAAAAACGTCGTTAATATTAATATTAACAAAGATATTAATAAATAAGCTCTAATTGAATCAATAGAACTCAGATGGCGTATATATAGTATTGACGAGTAGGAAATAAAGACGGATAACGATAAGAAGTAATTCCTGAACGATTACTTTGGAGACTCATTCGACGATATTAAAGAATAGTTAGAGTGATTAAAAGTGATCGTTGGTACGGGTATAAAATAGAGAAGAATAATAAAATAATATGACGCGGGTTGTAACCTTGACGTAGATTAGATAGCCCCTATGATGAATAAACCTCATTTCACAAATCACGTGCCCCCGGAGAGGAACCTATATTGTGTATTAGTGAGAGCATTATGTTTTCTTCACGTTAAGAAGTATAATACCTTAGCTGCCCATGATAGACAGTCATCCCACTAATTGTCAACGTAAAGGTCGCGATCGCTTCAGCTTCAGGCAGGATTCCAGTCAACATCGCATTCCAGGTTGCAGGCATGGGGACAATACGGAAGATTTACTGCCTAATTAAACAACTCACGAGATTTAGCACCCTGTGCCGCCTTCACATATTTGAAATCTTTACTCAGTCGCTTTATTCGTTCATCCAATACCGCTCGAGATCATCTTCCTCTATTTTGTAGATAGATAACCATCAAGGGTAGCTCGTATAAAACCAAGGCACCTAGATAGTTATTGAGTTTTCCTTACATTTAGAAAACGAATCAAAGTAAAAGCGTGTCTTCCCAACGAGTCGCCGTTAGACAGTTAGACTGGGTTTCTTAAAGGTTTTAAGTTCGCCGTGCGACCGAGGTTAACCGTTAGGGAACCTCCACACAATGAAGTTTTGTGCCACCGAGCGCTGGGAGTGAGAACTCATAAGTAACTATAAGAGGAGAAAAATTGAACATAGAAGAGTAAGGGTTAAATAAATATTTAGTTAGTAGAATAAAGTCTTGAATACGTAACTTCATATCATGCCCTACCTACTGAGCTATATTACCCAAACCATATATATCCAAACCAGTCATATCTCGTTCAACCATCTTATATAGTATCATCATCTCCGGCCGCTCTGTAGTAGCTGAGGGGTATTGGCCATTATATCCGCTCCACTTTGCCAACAGGGTCAACTAGAGAGGTATCTCTTGCAACGTCTGACTATGCCTTCTCGACATGCGGAGATGTCAGTGGGTGGACAGTGGACACCGCCTGCGGCTCAAGTCCCCTTTCTCCCTCGCACATCCGGTCCCTTGCCGGGGCCTTTCTTTTGTTGTTGTTTTGACTGCGACCCCGACGCTCCATCCAGCTGGGCCAGCTTTCCCCTTGCCTCGTCCAGTTGTGAAACGATGGTATTGTAGGCTTGATTCCACTTGCCGGCCACTTCAAAATTCTTCTCGCTGTTCGCAGCGAACTTTTCAGCCAATTCCAAAATGCTGTCGACGGGGTCTGGGTTGCGAACGGAGGTCTCCTTCAAGTTCCACTTCTTCGATAATTTGGAAACACCCTCTTCCAGAATCTTTCGTTGCCGTCTCATCCCCTCCATTTCACGAGCCAATGCCCCCAGGTCCAGGCTCTGAAGGGTATTGGGGCCGGCTTGTGGGTCCGTTTTTGCCACAGTCGACAGAATGACTTTGTCCGCAGTATCCAGTTGGCCCACGAGGTACTCGATATTGCTCTCTTGCTCTCTGAATTTCGCCAACGAGTGTTCTGCCGCCATAAAATTGATCCGTGCCGTCTCAAAGAACTGTTCAAAGTGCATGAACATGAAGTCTGTTGGGTCCGCATTGTCGCCATGGGTTCTGATCCAGTCAGCCACTTTATGTTCGAAGCCGTTGATCCTGGTTCCAAAATCATGAAGTCTTTTCAGTGCCCGGACCCTATCAGACATCAAGGTGTCGATGTGAGTCTCCAAACCGCGCGCCCGAGCTTCCAGGATTTTGTTGTCAGCTCTTAGAGCATGATTGTCGGCTGCGATTGCATCCTTCTCTTGTAACAAACCATCCATGACAGTACTGTTCTCTTGTAGTATTTCTCTGGTCACCTGCTGATCGGTTGCCTTTCTTTTCCATTCCTCCATGGTTTCCCTCATCTCCACGATCCGTTGACTTTGCCCTTCCATCTCCTTTTCAGCCTCAGAAAGCTTCCTTGTTACGACGCTTCTTGTGTGTGAATGTTTGTCCGCTTGGTTTGATAGGTCTTTGACTTTCTTCTCAAGTAGTTCATTGTCAGAGCTCAGGTTCCTGTTGGCACTGTTCAAGGCCTTGAGCTCGACTGCAAACACCTGATTGGCGGCAGAAAAAGAATTACATCGGGACTTGAGGATGTCGATCTCGGCAAGAAGATTTTTAGATTTCTCCGACCAGGTCTCGGCCCTGGCCTCAAGATCTTCTGTCTTCTCACTTAAATTGCTAAGCTCGTTGATCAAGTTGGAATTCTTTGTTTCGTTCAATCTCAGCCTCTTGAGAGCTTCTTCAAGTGTTGACGGTTCTTGTTGACTGCTTTCAGGTGTTCTCCTTATCGCTTGTGGAGGACTTGGAACCGTGTCAAGCTGGTCGCCTAAAACGCCTGGCTGACTGGGTGATCGTAGAATTGGAATATCGGGTTGCTCGTGGCCCTGGCTTTGGGTCTCGGATAACGTGCCGACAAGGGCCGAATCACTTCCCGTTTGTGACGGCACCGAGCCTTGGAAACCTGTGCCAACGCGGGAAACAATGTGGTTTGGCGGCGGCGAGTTGATGCGATCGAGGGAATTCCACGGCGTGGTGTCGACACGAAACAACCTGTCCCTGCGGACTAGGATCTCCAGCAGGGCTTTTGTGGCAGCCGCAGCAGCAGCAGCAGCAAAGTTCTGCCACTTCTTGCTCTTGTGGCTATCGGAATAGTCGCAGATTCCCTTGATGATGATGCAAGGCATGACATCCCACACACCTGCACCTTCCATCTCGAAGGCGATGACCTTCTGTTCTTTAGCAACCCGATCCCTTTCGTCGGCAGACTTCATGACCGAGTCGCCCGACGCAAATGCCCCGATATACACACAGGGGTCCTGGGCTTCGGCCGAGTCCTTGCGCTCCTGCTCCCGCCGGAACTCAAGCCGGTCTCTGGGTGCGACCAGGCAGGCCTCGTCGCATCCAATGTCTTCGCAAAACGACGTGACGGCCTGGCGGCATGCAAATTGGTCGTTGCAGCCACATGGCTCATCGCCCGGCTCGCTGTAGTGGCGGTGACGATAGTCGGTCTTGAAGAGCCTGTCCTGCGCGGTGCCTGGGAACTGGTATTTGGCCCGCTGCTTCGCCCAACGTCCGGCGAGCCGGCTGGTATGTGCGCTCTGGAGCTCTCGAAGGAAGCGCGCAGTTTTCTCTTGGATCTGATCCCCCCCGTGGTCAGTGTTGAGATAGCGCAGCAAAGCGCAAACGTCTTTATTTGCCTTGTTGAGACGGTCTTCTATCGAGTTCTTGGGCAAGAAGCGGTGCGAGTAGTGCCGCCCAAAGTCGTATTGTACGACGGCATTGCTGATGACGACATCACCCAACAACATCTCGTCGTCATCCTTGCCGAGTGCGGGCACACCGCCGCATACACCGACAACAAGAGCCAGCCGGACGTTGATGTAGCTCGAGAGCAAAAAGGTGGCGGCCGTGGCAGCATTCGCCTTTCCCATGCCTGGGAGCTGGACCAGCACAACATTGAACTTTCCGATGCGGCCGGTGGTGTAGTGGTTCTCGTCGCGAGGCGCCTTCTGAAAGGTGTCGCCGCCAAGATCCCAAAACTCATCGAAGAGGTAGTTGACGGCGCTCGCCTCTAAGGACAGGGCGCAGATTATGGCGATCTCGAAATCTTCGCGGCCGTTGGGCCGAGGATCAGCAGCCATTGTCGGACTTGGCTGTCGCTACCTGGGCCGGTCTCTGCGCGTGGTGGCAGCGGGATCGCGACGGCGTGACTCTGACTCGAGCGGGGGTGTCGGCGAGGCTTCGACTTGTCGGAACCGTCCGAACATGGTTCCTGATCGCACTGCGGCTTGTTGCCTTGGGAGAAAGAAGCCCTAGTTAGCCATGTTTGGAGGATTCTCTGTCATCGGGGGAAGATGGGCGGTAGATGAGGCAACTACCTGGCAGATGCTAGTGGATGATGGCTTGGAAGCGGGATCGGCGGCAGCTGGAGATGGTCGAATGGAAGACTGTTACAATAAGCGGCGGTATTTGGCGGGCACGCCCGCTGTGGGATCGTTTTAGGGCGTGGTTAATAGCGTCGTAGCGAGCTGGGCAAGGTCCCAAGCTACTTGAACCACATTAGTAGTGCAGGACGGATGCGAGCACGAAGACTGGTTGAACTTGAGACTTGACCTAGGCCTTCTCTTGATCCAGTCTACGGCAAAGTTAAAAAAAAGCATGCCTTGGGATTAAAGATCTGATGAGAACATTGCGATTCCACGGGCCTCAGTATGGTCGTGTCTAGTGTTCTTCCACGGGAGAACCCCTCGCCTTGAATTAGGGCGGGGCTGGATCACAGCAGGGGCGTGTCACGGATCCTTGGACAGGCCCATATTCCGTAGTTGGGCTAACGTTGAACGGGATGGGGCGATGGGCGGACAGGGGCATCGATTGTTAGCCAATGATCTCCCGAGTCTGCCTCACCTCACGACGAACTGGATTCGGGGTACACTGCCACAGAACAGCAACTAGACCGAGACGGCGGTCGAACTCACTTACTAACTCTGTTAAGTATCTATATTACAGCGTCGCTAGCGGAACTCTGCGTTGTCACTATGTTACGGAACCAAAACAGGATACGGATACCTGCACTCTGCACGGCCGAAGAGCCAGAGCAGCTAGTATAGAGTCCTCCTGAGCACCTAGTATTTGTCGACAGTTGACAAGCTTCCATATGTGATGCGTTCTACAGCCCAGAATACTCTTTTCGGAGTGTGTCTGACTTCAAGGTTTCTTTTCTGTTTTTCTATGGCCGTCTTTGGTGTGCGATCGTGAAATACACCGTAATTCGTATTCTTAGCAGAGTATTAATTCTGTATGCGCGTACGTCCATGGCGCCTTGGCACATGACTCCCAAAGCTGTCCATATGGGTTTATTCTTCGAAAACTGCCAAGGGTGACGCAAATCGACATAATTGAGTGAGGTTGTCAAAACATTTCACGGTGTAAAATAGTTTCGGTTCTAAAATAATGAGGTGAATTAACACGTGTTTATTTAGACTGCTGTTTATGGTAATGTCTTCGTGCCAAGCTCTTTTTGTTCCCTGCACAAACCAGGAAGTTATCCGTTGTGTTTGGGGATATGCCACTTGCGGCAAGGCGGTTTTGGGCTCTCCACCCCGTTGAATTAGATTGACGGACGCACCTGAGAAAGTGGGTCTCAGGCGCACCAGCCATTCTTCAGCGGAAGGGGCCGTGTGGATGGGCCGGCATTGGGCAGCTTGCCGCCTCCCTGCCTTCTCAGACCCTGTGCTGCAGACCCTGTGCTGCAGGGCAATGTTTTTTTGGGGCCGCAGCCGACGTCGCTCCCGACCTAAAAGAGAGGATGCTGGTCCTTGCTCCCACAGAGTTGCACCCCAACTTTATTAGCCACCCCCTCGCCTCATAATCTCAGGGCGGGATGGGCGATCTGCATTTTCTTTGATATCCGTATGCACATAACAATGCCTATTGTTTCTTTTTAACCGCGATGCGACAATCTTGTCTCCGAGTTTTTTTTTTATTTGATTGCTCAAGAATTGCTAAAGAAATATGGCGCGAGGCCCGCAGATCACCGTTCTCAGCCCTTGTGAGTGTTCCCTCGTTGGCTGCACTGAGTTCTTTGTAGCGCAGGCGGCATGAGACGAAGCTGATTTTGAGTTTAGCCCCTAAAGGATTCGGATGGGGGGAACCGGTCGTGCGTCCCTTTAACAATGTTGAAGCGGTAAGCCTTTGAGTGGGGCGGTAACATGGAACCAGCCCCTCTTTCCGTACTTCAGTTGAATGGTTCTGAGGGCTGACCCAACCCAAGATATCTCAACTCCCAGACCAGTGCTATGCGTACGGCTCTCGGTATCCTAGGCCTTAGAGTCAAGTCCTCGGCTCTCTTTGCTAATGTAACCCCTCAGCTTCCTGCACGTCAGCGACTACCCACCCGCTGATGGCCGGCGCGAGGCCTTGCTCGCTCACTTTGGCGTGCCTTCATATGTTGCCAACCGGACTTGCTTTGAGCTGAGCGCATACTTTGGCAGCCGGGCCACATACGATGAGGAGAGCAAGGAGGAAAAGAAGCCCGTGACAAGCTGCAGTATGTCCATGCTCCACAGCTCCTCCGATGCCGCTGGGTCATCACTGACAGTAGATGCTTCCAGCCACCTGGTTTCGGTGCCTAGCCAAGATGGTACGCAAGGTAGCGGATCCGCACGAGGAGAACCCCGAATACGTCGACGACCCGCCGGAAAACGGAGCGGCCCCCGTTGCCGGGACCAAGGGCTACCGCTGGTACGAGATGAGCTTCTTTACGCGCTGGGAGTATCCAAACAAGTGCCAGGTCTTGTGTGTCGATACGCCGTGGGATCTCCCGGGTGAGTTGCATAAGGCTCTTGACACACGGGATACGCCGCTCGAATTTCGTGACCCCTTTGCCATGCATGCCGATTTGATGGACCAGGTGATTGTTTACTGCGATATTGCCGTGTGGCGTGTGCGCGATCCTGTCCGCGAGCTTGAGAAGGTGGGCTCCCCTGTTCCTGTCCTCGGACCCAACTCCCTAGTCCTCATGCCTCCTTCCCTCGCTCACTTATCATCAAACCTCTCCAGAAACGCATAGGTATCGGAGGCATCTTTCAGCCCATCCACGACATATCGCGCCACGCCATCCACGCCTCCGAGGTCCTGGAAGCCGCGGCCGAGACCATGTCGGATTTGAAAAAGTGCCAAACCAAGATGCACGAGGCGTTGCCCGACGGCGACCTGACCATAACTTACAGGCAGCAGGCTAAAGAGCATGTCCAGTTTCAGATCTCGCTGGTCAAAGCCCTCAAGCTGCGGTCCGACTCTAGCAGAGAACGGCTGAAGAATGAGGTGAACCTGGTAAGACGGTCCATCGCTGTTGATAGTTTTACATCGTCGAATGTCCACCCATTGACCAACGCGCCTGCTTACCCATGTCGTCTTGGCAGGCGTTCAACAACATGTCACGGCAGGACAACAACGTGATGAAGTCGATTGCCCTGCTAACAATGATCTTTCTTCCGGCGACCTTTTTCTCGGTAAGTGGCGCGTCCCAGTCCGCAGGGCTCAATAGGCTACGTTTTGACCGTCATCTGGTAGGCGCTCTTTAGCACTACATTCTTTACGTTTGGCGACGATGGCGGATGGGAAGTGTCGGACAAACTCTGGATCTACTGGGCGACGATCATTCCCGCAACACTGGGCGTGCTCATCATTTGGGGGTTCTGGCTTTACGGCCCCGAAATCAGAGACTTTCTGAAGCGCCACGCGGACAAGTTTACCAAGGGCATGGCGAAACGACGCAAGAAGCCCGCTCCAGCTGCGGTTAATAAGCAGCCATGATATGACCGTGTCGTTGTGTGTCAGCGGTACCTAGTTCCAGTCGGTGGGGAGTGATTATTGAATAACGGCCTCTATTTTGGACACATAGCAAGCAACTTAGTTCACGTTTTGGACGCGTCTGGTAACACTACAATGGTGTGCTTATCCTAGGTATCTATGAATATGTTTCCAGATGTCCTAACTGCCGCTCTCCGACCCAATGCATGTTCACCAAAAGTTCAAACCACAAAACTCCAGAGCACCCGACTCCCGCCGAGTGGTGATGCAAACGACAATGACAAACCAGGGTTCCTCAGCCAACAGCCGACACACCGAAGCCCAAGCTCACCACGGAATCTGCAGCCTCTCGATCGTCTCGACGATCAAGTCGTAGCGCGACTTACCCGCAACCACGATGTGCCAGTTGGCCTTGTCGATGCCGGGCACGTTGGACGCGAGGACCTCTCCGACGGTGACCTTGCCGTGCTTGGCGGCGGCGTCATCGAACCCCAGCGTCCGCGCATAGTCAAAGTAGCGCCTGGGCACCGTGGTTCCGCCCGACAGGCCAGCGGCTGTCTGGCCCGTGGTGGCGTTGTGCACGACAACGACGGCGTAGTCGGTGGGCCGGGGGTTGGCGCCCGTTGTTGTCTTGTCCGCTCCGGCCTCCGTGTCAATGTAGTTCTCAATGGCGGCCACAAAGATGGTGCCGATGCGATTCTCGGTGAGCAGGGCACGCGAGGTCTCGGCGTCGGCGGCGAGCGCACACAGCGCATTGTTGATGCGGCCGCGCGCGCCCTGCACGCCGGCGTCGTCGTACGGCTGCTCGCCCACGCCCGACGACGCCACCACCGTGTGCGCGTGCACTTGCACGCCCCTTGCTGCGGCTCCTCGGGCCTCGTTCTGCTGTGCGAACCCCGCGACCAGCATCCGCGTCTTGTGTGCGTTGGCCGTGGGGATCACGAGCAGCACGTTGTCGCCGTGCGGCGGCGTCGGCAGCGTCACTGGTGTGAACGTGCCGGGCGAGAACAGCATCTGGAGGAGGCTCCCAGCGTGGCTTGTGGGCTCTGGCGGGTCGACCAGGGTTTCTGTGTCTTTGAGTTCGTCGACGCTAGCCGCGAGCTCTTTTTGCGTCAAGAAGGTGTTGCTGGCCATTTTGGGATTGGCGTTGCGGTTGCAGAGGTGCAGGTGAGGTGGGGTGTTTTTTTGTTGGTGCTTTTAGAGGCAAAGCCGGGGCGGCGAAAACCACTGTGGCGTAGAACGTTGCAGCGGAAAACTGTCAAGAGATTTTTGGTTGCTTTGATGAGGGACGAGGAAGATGGTATAACAAAAAATCCCCGGAAATTGGCGACGGCGCTCGCCGACCTATCATAGCTCTCTCCAAAAGTCATGGATGTGCACATCACATGGCTGTGAGCAGATAAACGACACTGGCGCCTGCGCGGAGGCGAACAATGAATGACCCAGGCTTTCCAGGGCACAATACAATCGAACGGAAGGAATGACCATTAATACGCGCGCTCCGAGTCTACCTAATGCACCACCAGATGCCCAAAAGCCTGGCCGGGCCGACCAAGCTTGACCCGCCCAGGCGGGTTCTCGGCGCAGCAAAGTCAGGCTTTTACGCGGGCGTTTTGTGCCATCATCCGGTAATAATTAGTCGGGTGAGCGCGTGCCCGCATATGCCTAACATTGTCGTTTGACAACACCCTACGGAGCAAATCAATTGGGTATCAGGGAAACTCATACTTTACTGTCATTCGAGCGCGGACAAACGGCCTGCATTCACTGTTTGTACTTTGTTGCGGCCGACTTCAAGCGCTGCAATTAGGTTCCGGGGTTGCGTGCAGTAAGAATTTAGGGCCAACTGTTGCTTTAGCGGAGCCGTTGGTGTCAGCTTTTAAATCTTAATTCCATTCGTTTCTGCCAATTTTAACGACCGGACTACTAGATTGCTTCCAAGAGTCAGTCGCAAACGCTAGCCTCGGTGATGCCTTGCTGCACATGAATGTGCTTTCTGGAGTTAAGCGATGTTGTTGTTGGTCTTGTACCCGTATCCGTGTTCTGTAAGGCTGCGCTTGGAAGAGATTTCCCTCGTCGTTCACAGCTGGTTCAACCACGGAAGATCAGGTTATTTACAAGATGACGGCGAGCTTCTGAATGTCGCTGTCCGGACGTGGGCGGATTGGAGTAGGAGAAGAGGTAGAAAGGAAAATAAATCCGAGGGGGGGGGGGGGGGTTACACCATTTCTGTTGCGGGGCTTAGCCCTAGTTGGCAGGCGCATGGGCCACATGCCCGCGCATTTAGTACGGAGATTTCCCCGTCCTAGAGTCAGTTTGCCATGCAATCACTATTGTCACCCAACAATTTCTCTCCTTCCCTTTTTGGATTCCTCTTTTCCCGCAAAAGAAGAAGTTACGAGTCTTGGGTAAGCCCCGATTGCGCGGCGAGACATGCTAAGCGAGGCAACATGAGTTAATTACGTCATGTAGAGATAGCCATGAAGAAACAGCCCAAGCGGAAACGCAAAAGAGCAGTCGGGGCAGGCGAGGGCGGGCAGGAGGGCGGGCAGAATCAAGATCATTCATGGCATAGTAGTGCCTGGATGCCTGCAGATTTTCTCTTCGCTATGCGAGTGGAGCTTCTCGCGTACATGAACAGTAAGTGAATCTAAGTGTTTGACTTCCACGTCTTCTAGGGCTTGTACTCCACTCGTCCTTGTGATCTCGCTCGGGTCACCAAGGATGCCGATTTTCCTCGGTAAATTACTTTGGTGACCAAGTGCTTACCTGGAGCTGACGCGGTCGTCCTTTCCGCATAGGTAGAGGTGAAGGATTCTCCATTCAAAGTTTCAACATCGCCTTGTTCAATTTCTTTTAGGCTCAATAGATGAGCGGCTGTTGGTCGCCGATCGCTGATCGGGCAAAGAGGAACCAAAGTGGAATCTCGAACTCCACCCCGTATTCGGTCTAATGCGTCTAACTCTGATAGATCTGAATTTCGGGCCTTGTCTTGTTTCGCTGCGCTGTGTTTTAGGAAGATACATGCAAGTGCCATCTCAATTAGGCCTGAGCCTGCAAAATCCAGTGCCGGTGGTGTTTGTTTAAGACAAATTGGACAGGTATGTCTAATCGCCGCTACCAACCAGGACGGCAAAGTCACTAAACAAGAGGCAGGGTGGCCTGTGGCCAGTGCTGAGAAGGAATATTAATCAGGGGCAAGAACACAAATTAGTCAGAGGTATAGGTTAGGGCGTATGCCACCCTATAACCTGCGCATTCGGCGATTAAACTCTGCTCTAGGGCTCTATTCGATTTCTAGAAAATATAGATCGTGACACAAGTCGTACTAGATAGATTACATTAGGTAAGAGTGTAAATAAACCCCTTGTTCTCTAAACTGGAGCGGCAAAGTCAAAAAGCAGGCTAGGTATTAGATGGCCTTTTGGGTCTGGATTGCTGTAATTGCGTCGCCGAAAAGAAACGCAAGGTAGGTCTGGGTTCACCGAAATAATGACACATTCAGTGAAAAGAGCTGTGTTTATAAAGTCTACTCTATTAAGCCAATCAGGGCCGGCCTAATGGCTTAATTCTAACAATCCCTTCTACTGCACTAATAAATCACTACGTCGGACCAGCCAACCAAGAGACCAGCCAACCAAGGGCTCTTTCCAATTCCAAGATCAAGGTGAGAGGAAACAAGCGATTGAGGCCTAGCCTTGCACTCAACTCCTCCGACTCGAGGTCCTAGTCGGACCCGTTCACCTTACTCGCCTTGCCAACCTTGCTCTCGGTCTTCTTATTGTGCTCAATTGTTGCTGCTGTACTTGATCGAGCCGTCTTCAGTGATATGACCAGATTTGATAACCTTGCCTGATTCAGTGGTACCCTCATGGAGTCGAACACTGATGACTTCTCTTGTCTCAGTCTTGTCTTTGTTGGACTTGTGCGGTCGGTTTCCTCTGCTCTATGCGTGAGTATGGTACCAAAGGTAGGTGTTTCCTGACTACATTAAGTAAAAGGAATGTCTTGCTTACTTGAAAAAAATAGCGCCCGCTGTCGGGTGATCTTGTTTTGCCTTTCTCGCGGCAGTTTCAAGTGCGCTAGCCCACTTGTCGGATTTCTTGGCTGCCTCTGTTTTGACATCTTCCAGCTTGGTCGTTCCGACGACCTGGAGACCACCTATTTCACTGTTGGGCATTGTTGATTATGTGGTATGAGAGAAGTAGAAAAAAAGGTAAAGTAGAGATCGAAAGGAAGCTGGAGTAACTATGTTAGAAACGGGGAGAATGCTGAGATGGGGAGACTGAAACTGGAATGGTTGATGGACTGATGCTGGACTTTTCTCCCCTGGATATCTGGCTAGAGTCGGTATCTTTATACCCTTCATAGCGCGGGCGACCGGACAGTATTACCAACCTTCGAGTGTTGAGCCTTTGCCATGGTGTCGGCCGTCTGTTGGATTCAACTTGTTGGACAGTTGGACAAGTTGGTGACCCTGAAACTGATGGAACACGGAAGAATGATTTTCGAAGAGGCTCTCTAAGCCGCCTACGCCGCCTGCTGAGACGAGTGGGCGTCATTCTAGGTCCCGAGGAGGACGAGAGACGAGGTTTTGACGTTTGGAATGTGCGCTCGCCGACTGCTGAGTAGAGGCTCGCACTGGCCGACGGCACACGCCTGTGCCATCCTAGGTCCCGAGGAGGACGAGGCGAGACTTTAGCGTTTGGAGTTTGCGCTCGCCGACTGCTGAGTAGAGGCTCGCACTGGCCGACGGCACGCGCCTACGCCATCCTAGGTCCCGAGGAGGACTAGAGGCGAGGCTTTGACGTTTGGAATGTGCGCTTCGCCGCCAGCCGAGTGGAGGCGTCACCCTAGGGCCCGAAGAGGACGAGATGGGAGGTTTCGGCTGTTGGAATATGTGCCCCGGATTTAGGATTGATTGGAGCAGCCAACGGCGGCGGGGATCCGAGATCACGCCATGTAGGCTACAACGTGACACTCTCTGCGGCACTGTAAGCAGAAGCGAACCTTGGTGCGCGACATACCGGGTCGGCAACACACAGGCGTCGCGCTCTCAGTCCATGTGGTAAAAATAGATTATAGGAGCAAAGGTGGTTGTTGCCTTTGTGTTTCATCATTTTTTAGGTGACCCAGGACGGTGGTGAGCGGCGTGTTGGGTCCCAAGGCTGATAATGGTGGTGTAGTGGGGGAGGTAAACGGCACCCGAAGTGGTACCACATCGTCTTGGTGTGGGTGGTGGCTGAAGGCCCAAGGCGTAGCTACAAGGGGTAGGTGTGACTGTCCCTTACGTGTCTCGGGCTTTTCGGATTTTTTCCTCTTCTTCTGAGAACGGCTTGCAGGAGGGGAGGGTGAACCGAGCTAAAAGTTCTTGGTTGAGAATGGATTTGGAAACTATTGCTCTTTTTAGCAGGGATTTATTTGCACGGGAACCGGGGAAACTGCGCGAACACTTTTGGACCCAACCTCGGTAAGGCTACGAGTAAGGTACTGTGTACCTACCTAGGTACGAAAGCTCAGGCCAAAAAAGGGCCACCTAGGATTTTAAACTGTCACGGTACCAGCTAAACTGTCACGGTACCAGCTAAACTGTCACGGTACCAGCTAAACTGTCACGGTACCAGATCCTACACCCTAGGGATTCGTTAATAGCCTTGAAGGCCGTTATCTTCTTGCACTGAAAGATTGGCCTGTTGACCGGGCAGCTGGCGGCATCAATCTCATCCCTTTTTAGGACGTGGTGTTCTAGTCTTTGCACTGGGGAGGGTGACCTTTTTTTTTAGCCCGAACCTTCGTACTTGTGCTAAAACTGACATGGATTGTGGGGCAATCCCCAATGAGGCTCAATTTTTCGCTAGTGGCACGGTTCGGAGGAAAAATGAACCTGCATTAGGCTAACGCCCTCCCGCCTCGCGCCATGCCTTCTTGAAACAACTACTACATTCACGGGGAGCCGTGTCGACTCTCCGATTGCGGTGGACGTGCAAACCATCGACTCCACTCGAATCCAACAATTCTCATTTCTCACTTATTTAAGCCGCAACCTCTTCCTTACAAGTCTCAACTTCTTACTTCTGAAATGCGGCGAATTCGGTTGTCACCCTTGGTTGCAGCATTCTATTCTTGAAAATCCTTAATCACACCTCACAGCACCCACCACCCTCTTCTCACACGTTCGCCTGTTCCTATTGCTGCTGCTACTGTTGCTGTTGTGGCTTGCTTCGGCGCTTCGCCCTCCACCATGTCTCAACCATCCAGTATACATTCTCGAACCTCAAGCACACACTCCACACACTTAGGCTCGTCAAACCCGGCAGACCGGGAGAAGAAGGCGGAGCCTGTCCCCGCCGCCCCTCTCGCATTTCCAACCACAGGGTTCCCAGAACTGGACCCTTTGGGAGAGTGGGAAGAGGAAACACTTCCGATGTATAACCCCAAAGAATACTATCCCGCCCGCCTCGGCCAGGTCATCACACACGACAAAGACCAGTACCAGCTGATAGCCAAGCTTGGTTTTGGCTCAAGTTCGACTGTTTGGCTTTGTTACAATCTCCGGTGAGTTGGGCCGTGTCGTGTCGGAGAACTACCTCTGTTACCTACCCACCTCATCAGCGCCACGATTTTCTAAACGCTAGGCCATTTTCTAGCACAAATCAGTACAAGGCGCTCAAGATTCACATAAACACTCTCCCATTCAACCGGGAGCTAGAGATATTCGCTGTCCTCAACGGCAAATCCAAGCAGAAGGACCACCCAGGCTGGGCCCATCTCCGCAGACTAGACGCCAGTTTTGACATTCCGGGTGCGCAACCGGGCACCACCCACTCTGTTTTGGTTTTCGAGCCTTTAGGTCTCAGTCTGCGGAAGTTCCAGGAACTGATGCCGAACGAGATCCTGGACCACGGGCTAGTCCAGATAGCCCTTTACGATGCGCTCCGTGGCCTTAGATACCTGCACGAGGTCGCCGAGGTCACACATGCTGGTACGTGCCCAACTCCTCCAATGTCCCACCTACCTACCTACCGGTGGTCTGTAGCGCGGCTAACCTCGCTCGAAAAGACTTCCACTCGGACAACCTTCTCATGGAAGTAACCGACCAATCTATCTTTCACAATATAGCTAAGGAAGAGACAGGGACCAACCCCTCGGCGCGAAAAAGAAAAAACCCCGTCATCTACCTCTCTCGGGCTATAATATCTGGGGCTGGTAATGTTATTCTTTGCGACTTCGGCGTGGCGCGGAAAGGTAAGGAACATCAGGGCGAGGCGGTGCCCCTGCCGTATCGGGCACCTGAGGTCATTCTTGGCATGAAATGGGGATATGCCGTCGACATCTGGGCCTCTGCTCTTACGGTGAGGCTCCATTCCACCTTTCCTTGCCGTTAGTCAGATATTTATATTCATGCAGCTAACATCAAGACACTAGGCCTGGGATCTTGTCCAGCCGACAAGCCTCTTCAAGCTCTACAACGAGAAAGACATGGAGCTCAACGCGGCCCACCATCTGGCTAATATGGTTGCGTTGCTGGGTCCACCACCAAAAGATTTTCTCAAGAAGAGTAGGGCTTGTGAAAAGTACTGGGACAAGGAGGGTAGGCCTTCCTCCTCTTTTTCATGCTATTGTTCCATAATCTCGTGCAAGACTGACATACTACCTCGCTCCAGGAAAATGGCATCACGCCACAGTCAAGGTCCCAACAGAAAGGACGATGGAATCTCTGCAGAGAGTATTGAAGGGAAACGACGCGGTTCTCTTCTTGAATTTCATTCGCAAAGTGCTCTGCTGGCTTCCAGAACAACGTCCGTCCGCGGCAGATCTGTTGAACGTCCCTTGGATTCAGGGCGGCAAACTCGTTTGAGGTAGTATCAACATGATTTCGGTCAGCTGGGATAGAATGTAGGCTATGATATTCCTTGAGGGTTTGTTTATCCAAGATTGCCTTGCAACGACGGTAATAGTACTAGATTAGAAGGTGCATTGTATCTTTAGCTGCAGGATAAATAGCCCCTTGCAGCCAAACACCTTTCCCCAAATTCTTTTTCTCAACGGCTGATTTCTCGGTCGTCTGTCTCTGCTATCATGCTCTTCAAAACCGAGTACTGCTACAGGGCATATGCATATGTCGTTTTCTTCTTGTTCCTTGGTTGGTAGGGGTTAGGGGGCTGGGTCCCGAGGTAAACAGGCAAAAAACGCGAAATGGTGACTGGCTGAGATCTGAGAACAAGTGTGATTAGTTACAGCAGGTCGCTTCAGGTAACTAGTTCTCCGCACTTGACTAGCGACAAAGTTCTAGCACTTACATCTTGTTCTTTTTGTTTAGTGAACCGAAACAACGGTCCATTGATTTGGGCCTGTGACGCGCGTCACGACATTACATTCGGCCTGATTGTTCAACGAAGCTAGGCAACTGGCGATTTGTAAGATTTTCTTCCCTGTTTACTCAGTACTGCAGTCAATATAACCTCGTTTAAACACCCTGCTTTCAGCGTCACAGGGCTTTTGGAATAACAGGCACCACGCCTTTCAAAGTACGGGACATGATGCTGACGATTGAGGATATGATTACTTATCATATAATTTTCCCCGCGGGAGGAGGCCTCGAGATATGGGAGGGTGACGCGGCCAGCTGCACCTTTTCGACCGATATCACCTTCTCGTGGTGGATCATCTCCGACGCCCAGGACGTTCTAAACTTACTCCAGGTCGGCGGCGGCGCCAACAACTTCGGCAGCTTCGACGTCTTCAAGGACGACCAGCACACTATGTTCTTTGACGGCAATGGAAAGGCGTGTAACAGTATCTACTACTGTCTCCCTAGATCGGATGTGATAAACCTTTCACTCACCAAACGCGCCGTTGCTCAAGCGACGGGTACTGCCGGAGCTTCCTGAGGCCCCCAAAGGGCCCGAGGTCTGAGGTTGCGAGCGGGCTGGAAATGAGAAGCGGAATGGTGGAATTTGTATCCAATTAATCTGGTAGTCAAATATGCATGTGTCTGGCCCAGCTCTTTACAAAAAGAAAGCCTTTCCTCCTCTTCCTCGAGGTTTGCCGTCTTCATCGCCATCCCTAGCTAGCGCCATCTCGCTCCAGTAACATCATCTTCAGCCACATGACATCAATTTTGCTGTGTAGTTGTTGGATTCACCAGGGTACCGGTGCTAGAATCAACAGGGCGTGACTATACGCCGAAAGACTAGTGGTTCAAGTGATGGATTGTAGATCTATATGTTCTTCTTCTGGCTTCCTGGCAGTGCCAGAAAGCCCCCCTTTTTTATACTACTATTGTGGTGACGAAATAGGTGGCGAAGCAGGTCGCGAAGCAGGTCGCGAAGTAGGTCGCGAAGTAGGCTGCAAATCCTTTGCCTAGCTCCTTCGAGGCCCACATTCCAACCGTAGTGTCCATTGTTCGAATCAGTCCGATTTAAGCCCTGCGCCGCGCACTGGGCTGTGGGGGTATGTACCTGACCTGCAAGTTGTAAGCACTAATGAACGAACGTCAACCAATTACAGACTCTGGGGCCTGACAAAGACTTTCTTTCAGCGGCACAGTGTCTGAAGCTTTACTTCAAGAGAAGTCGTTCGTCAATTGGTCCATTGTCGGCCGGGTGATTTTTGGAGGTGGTTAGGATCGCGGGCTTGTCCTCCGACCCAGATCAGTCTCCGCTTCTTAGTGGAAGTCTAACAAGCTGGCCTGCAAATCTTCCTTGGCCGATGTCTTGATAGCTCTCATCTCCCGCCGGCCCTGGGGAGCTTTCCTTGGTGGCAAATGGGCTGACGAGAGAAATCAGGTCCTCCACCGCCCCAATATCTAGTGGCTTGTTGTTCTTCTGACACCATGTAATGACCATGTTAATGGTGTTCTTGATTTCCCTACCATTCATTTTCCACTTGGCAAGTCCCGTGATGTCGACCTCTGACAGTACACCCACCTCTTTCGGCACAACGTCGATAAAGTTGCGCCACACCTGCATGCGCATAGGCGAAGTCAAGGAGGAGAATGTGAGGTGAATCTGGGCACGCGACTTTACGGCAGCATCAATGGGATCGGTGAGGTCTGTAGTCATAAAGACGATTCCTATTTGGACAAATGCAAGTCAGTCAGTACTTGCACAGGGGTTCTTTGCCCTGAGATCTCTTCTTGTGGATTACCCTTGAAATACTCAATCTGCCGCACAAACGCTGTTATGCCCGTCAGTAACCGGGCTTTGTTATGCCCCCGTCAGTAACCGGGCTATCCAACGTTTCTGAAAGCACTCACAGGATAAAAAGTCGTCGTTTCCAGCTGCTCTCTCCTGGCCGAGGAAGTTGGCTTCTGCATATAGTCTTTAGCCACTGGACACCAGGAATGGTCGTTGATCTTCGGTAGTAGGGGCCTCGCCTTCAAGCAAGACCAAGCCTTTCCAGACCTTGGCATTCTCGATGTTCTGCTTGAGGTAAATTTTCTGGCTGACATGCTGGGTTAGGTCGTACTTCATCGAGCCTATGCGTAGGAGGGGTCTCTGGAAGAGATCCGCTACTTTTGACAGCGCGTTAGTTTTATTGCACAGTAAGTGCAGGTAGAGACTTTCTTGCAATACTCACAGGATTCTACCATCAGTGTCTTCCCGCTTCCTGAAGTTCCGCTGAGTAGTATTAGGAAGCATTGACCTGTCTGCACATCAGCCGGCCGCTATTAATTTTCGAGTGCGAGTTTCGTCTGACCCTTTCCGGGGACCAAGTCGTGGAACCTAATTTCTGACTCGAGATAGGTAGGTCTCCGTGAGTGATCGCACAATCTCCTTCTCGTCGAACACCAGTTTTTTGAATTCCGAGGCACGAAACTCAGGAGAGTGAAGCTCATCGATCTTCTTGTATTCTGAGGATATTGTGCAGGCAGCCTTCCCCTTACTGAATTCATCAAGGAGTAACAACACACCCATGGCGATATTATGAGCAGGTTCTCAGCATCTTGTAATGCTATCTCCTTGTTGGTCTCAACATCTTGCTGGCTTGGTCGACCCTGTTTTCGTTCTACTTGCTGAACTACTAGCCGTCAGCGGACGCGCTTACTATCGTATGTAAATAGACCTCGGCGTTTCCACCAACCTGCTTCCTGTTCGTCCCGATTTGCCCTCTCTTCGGTGTCAGTGACGATTCGTTTCGCATATCCTGGAAGTGGCAACCAGTACGATGGGTCTGTCGTATGGTACAGGTAGTCATCTACCATAACCCTCTCTTCTTGCTGCGATGGGCGTCAGCTCGATCCAATAAAAGAGGAGTTTGATGAGCGCGTACACCCTTGGCCCTCCAATTTTGCAAAGTAGCAGATTGCGTCTCTTCTCCGACTGGGATGTGTGTCATATACTTGGGAACTTGAAATTCAAGCAACCGTATCCCCCGTTGGCGAAGTCGCTCCATGATGGATACGGTCCTCGCCTGATCAATGACTGGGTATGTCAGTTTTGATATAGGAACCCTGCCGCTAAACGAAGGAAAGTCGGGAGTCTCCTCCTCCATACAATACTAGAAACCGTTGAATATGATCGCCTGACATCGAACAGAGAGCGGCTCGTATTCACCGCACCACTTCACTCGATATGCTTGCCATCCGTTTCCCAGTGGAGTGGAAAACACATGTCTTTCGGGAAAGAGGGTCCAAAGCAGGTCGTGGCTGATATGCTGATCCTTCTCGTACTACTCGTAGCCATCCAGCGTGGCGGGCAACTGATTTTGCATGACCTGGATCAGCAGCCTGCAATGGTCACGGGTGATGGTGTTCTCTGCGGTATCCGCAACTTCGGTGATTTTCTCCCGGCTGTAGAAGAGTGCCCGATGGCGCCCCTCAGAATTGGCGACCCCTCGGCATTGCTCAATCTGTTGTAGACTTGAATCGTTGCCTCCTCAAACTTCAACTTCTCTGGCGCTGGAAGAGACGCCGTTGCCCATTCAACCCAGTTGATCTTACTCGAATCTTCCAGTGGTGGACCTTCAAAGACCTCCCGGATCTCTGCTCGTTTCCCAACGTGCTCCTTGCTTTCTTGAGACCGGACTGATCTGCGAAAGAAGCGTCTCTTTGATGCCTTGGGGCTCGTTACCGAGGGTGACTCTGTCAATCCAATCTTTGTTTAGTTCTCTGTCGGCGTCCTCAAGTCCTTGTTCAAACTGCACTCAGGCGGTGAGCCTTGGTTTCTAACGATAAGAGTTTCAAAAGTGAGAGGCACTCAGATGAGGGCTGCTTTGAGAGAGCCTGGGAGATGCTGTTTTGGATGCATGGCTGCCTAGAGCCTTGTTCTAAAATGGGCGAACTGGGGAGTCTGAGGGTCTAGTAGGGTGCGTCGGTAGGCGCAGAACAAGGAGGCGCAGGAGGCTTTGGCTTTGGCAAATGTTAGTGCATTACTGCGGTGCATTGTTCAATATCACAGAGAAGTGATTATCTCATAGCAGCCCTGAATGAGCTGTGTAATACTGCGAGTATGCAAACACCGCCGCTGACCAGTTGAGGCACCAGCAGTGACGAGAAAATCCTGGCAAGGGCGTGCCACTGCGCTCTGTTTTCTTCAAACAGACGCTAATTCAAAGGCCGATGGTGTTTTCTTGTGGCTAGGCTGGCTTTATAGGGCGTCACGGTTGTGGAACTGTAGGATGCCATTAATGAAATTCTAAGCCAACTCAGTGGCGTCTTTTCTATGCTTCTTGGCCAAGTCGAAGCTAAGTAATTACATGAAGGAGTGCCACAAGATGCTTGCCATTGTCTTCACAGCAGTACGGCCCCTGAATCTCGCCCCTGACTCTCGCCCCTGACTCGCCCCTGACTCTTGCCCCTGACTCTCCGCGAATTTCGATTGGCCATGGCGCCCAGCGGTGATGAGACGTTTTCGACTCACACAGAACTCGAAGCCTCCACCAAGGTTCCCAAAGACGACGAGGTGATGACTCTCAGGATACGAAGTGGATGCGGGGGACTTTAGAAATCGCAGCCAACACCGACCCTTGGCCGCCAAACACAACGATGCATATCAGCGATCATAGCTTTGATTCTAGCCACTTTTCCGAGGTCGAAGAGTACAAGCTGTTCGGGGTCGGCAAGTGGCTGTGCCTCTAGGAATGGCAAATGGGACTAGCCGGTGGGATGCAGCTTCTCTTAACAGGGACCAAGACCCGACATGACGCACTGTTGGAACCTTACGTGGCTTCTCTTCTCTTGGTGTTGAATGGGCGCCAAGAATCCGATCTCAAGGCCACCGTGGAGATGGTGTGCGGCTCCTCGAGTGCGCCGTTTTTCTCATACGAATTCTTGGCCCTGGCGTGCGTCTTCGGTGTCGTCAGCTGTCAGGTACCCCGTCGAGACCCACTTTAGCCTTTGCCACCCAGCTTCAATACTGTTTGATAATAAATCCACAGCACTTCCCTAGATAGCACGAGTTGCGTGGTGTGGGGTGGTGTAGGTGTAGTGTTCCTTTAGGCGCCGACTTGATCCCTGGCCAAGGTCTGGTCAGAGCCCACTTTTTGAGACACTAATAACCCCCCTGAGCCCTCCTCCCGGAGCCTGGGCCTCCTACCAAGTCACCTCCCCGACATGGACAGACTCATGCCCGGGTGATGTCCGAGTTGGGATCCGCTTGGACACTGTACAGCTTGTCACTTTCCACGCCCTCTTGTGCATTGAAGACGTCTAAGTAGCCTCCCTGGAAGTCGACAAAGGTGCCCTGGCAGAAGCCAGTGATCAGCTTCGTCATGGCGCGCTCGCAGACGTAGCGATCGAGGCTGTTGGCGACGTTCATGATGAGCCTGTAGGCCGTGTGGATGGGGTCGCCGGGCTTGTTGTCATTCTCGGCAAGTTCCTTGCCGCCGAGCCAGAACTGCGCCGGATGCGACTCGACCCCGCCCACGACGGTCCCGCGCTTCGGGGCGCACCGGTTGAGTGCTGTCGAGCCGGATCCTGAAGCAGCAGACGGAGGGGCCTGCCGGGCCGCCACGAGAGAGTAGAGAGCGTTGGAGTGTTGACCCCATTCGTCCGTGGGGAGTGTGAGGAGGCGTCTATCGCCGGCTTCTAGCCACTTCAGGGACGTGCTCCGCGTGGCCTCGATGTACCTGACGACCTCGACGATGCGCAGGTGCTCGGGCGTGGCGATGTGGCCCCGGCGCAGGATGGGTTGGACGTCGGACGTCTCCGGCTGCTTAGCCGAGGGCAACGCGACGGCCCCGAGGCCGAAGGCTATCAAGACCAGAGCGTGTTGAGCAAACACTGGGAACGGTGGTGCGTTAGTTTGGAGAATAAGACCCGACGAAGGGAAGAGTGGCGGTAGCGACTTACACTTCATTTGTTGCTTCCCGTCAGAGGTTGTCTTTTGACTGGATGGTGGACATTATCAGCGCGATTGGAGATGTCGTGGATGGCTTGGGCTTGAAGCAAGTTCGAGTGCCACAAAAACAAACTTGAGCCACCCTTTATACATTTCGCTGGATCCGTTTCGACTTTCAAGTCCATCTCAGAATAGCAACAGAATCAACCACAGATAAAATAATTAATGTGGAGGCCCGACAGAATCCTTCGCAAGAAATTAAGCAAAACAGGGGACGGACTACGGGCCCGCCTTATAGGGCTCCGCCATGTCCAAACATGACTAAGTATGCGGACGCGGACCAGCGTCCCAACTTGCACGCTAGCCGCGGCGTATGTAAATCGAATAGGACGCTAAAACAATCGTCTAGGGCCGTAGTGCGCACCGTGCCATGGATAAACTCGCCCTCAGCCTCCTTCCAAGGCCAGGCACGGCGAAAATGCTCTTTTTTTCTCGTCGTGCACCGTTGGGGCAAGGGTCAACACCGTCCTCCCCCGAACCCTAGGGGCCCTAAATTTCGTGTGACACCTGTCGCCGAATGGGCACGGTTGCCGCCGAGGGGGGCAAAGAGAGCTTGAATGCCACGCAACCGAACAATCCAGTGACCGTCTCATGCAGGCAGGAACCAACACCGGCATGCAGGGCAATGGCCGTGGCCGTTGCGCCTGCGCAGGTACACGAATCAACAAGCACTGGGCAGTTCTAATTATTGCGCCGACTTGCTGCACTTGATGGCCCACAGGTACACCCGCGTGTGCCGAAAAGGTAATTAACAGCGGCACGGACAACGTGCCATTGGGCCCTGTCACTTCCGCCATGTCCCCTTTCAGTTAGAGTTGGGGCCGTCTAACGGCCTCGGGACAGTGAAACAGACAGACGCTTGAGCCGCCAACATGCCTGACAAAAGATGTGCCGACATCACCTTTCCCAGTCAGTTTGGCCCCCGGAGTTCCGTGGAAATTCCTTCACTAGCCTCTCTGGGACGTGCACGGTGTTACCCCATGCAGTCTATCGAAAGTTAAACCTCAATCTATCTTAGACAAGCCCAAAATCTCACGCAAAGATTGTGAGCACAGCCGAGAATCTGAAGACCGACGGGAACATTAGACCCAACGCTAGCGCGAGACTACCCTAATTAGTGGGAGCGCGTCGTCTGTGGTCGCCCGTATGCGTAAAGACAGAGAAGGGGTCTCGCGGACCGAGGCTTGGAATATGCTGCACGAAGAGCCGTTTGACGGCAAGCCTGCGAGCATCGTATTTGTCGGTCGTATCGACGACCTGCTAATTGATTGGCTGCAAGTCCCGCGTGGCGACAGAACAACGCGCCCGGCCCGGGCCGGAGATCCAGCTTTCCTCGAGCAGCGCGCACGCCAAGATTCACCAATTTATCGATTTAGCCCGGCCCGGAGATTCGGGTTATTAATAAACATTGAAGAGAAGAGAAGCCGCAAGGGACGCTGGGAGCGGCGCGGAGGCCGCGTGGGAGCGGGGGCCGACGGCTCCGTTATCCCACGAGGAGTTTTCGGTTTTCGGAGGCCGGCCGGGGCTGGTAAATCCGCTTCTCTCTCGAATCGCTAATTATGTGTGTGGGCCGAGTGTCCAACTAACTCCGGATTGGCGCGACAACAAGCAGTTGGCAGGAACGGGAGGTTGCCGCCGCGGCCGACGCTGCTTACGCCAAGGGAATCCTGTCAAGTCACCCCACGACGCCGAAACGTTGGTGGTCGGACGGGCGAGCCAAGCTCCCAGGCAGCAGGCGAATCTCATAGAGAGAGGAAGTCGTCTCTTTATTCTGGATCAAGTCATTCTTTTCTTTTTCATAATACGCGTGTTCTGTAAGTCTAATTACAACTTGAATCCCTATTTGTTTTCTCTCCCTGTCAAAAATCCAGTCCCAGAAACTAATCAGGTCACAGTACTTTCCCCTGAGTCGTCCATCTCACTGGGGCTTGGGCTGGTTTGGCGACTTGACCAGGGTCGCGCAGGCGATACGTGCCGAGCTGGCGTCGTGGAACACAATTCCCCGGTCGCCAATGTAGCCCAGCATGATGATGTTGAGCGCCGTGTACGGGTCGTTGAAGCTTTGACGGCTGCGTGTTAGCGCAAGCTCTGAGTTGCAGGGCTCACAAATTCTCGCTCCCTCGTCTCTTTCTTTCTTTCCGTCTTTCTTTCTTTCTTTCTTTCTTTCTTTCTTTCTTTCTTTCTTTCTTTCTTTCTTTCTTTCTTTCTTTCTTTCACTTTTTGTCTCCAGTCCATCTTTTATCGTGCAGCATTCCATCACTAGCCCTAAACCCCCAGACGTTACACTCCTCGGGACGAGACCAGGAGACCAAAGACGCGATGCGCAAACTCACCTCTTGAGCACCGTCGGGCCGGCCACGGTTCCGTACTTGCCCGACAGATCGCCAACCTCGCACGTCTGCGGGGCCGAGGCGTCGCAGGGCGGCGAGTCGCCACGCACGTACGAGTCGAGGTGGCCGCCCGTGTCGGCGCAGTTGCCGTCAGCTGGCACGGCTTTCAGGTGCACGTGGTACTCTGTTTTCAAGGGTCAGTATGTTGTGGGCGGTTCTGTTTTGTTTTGACATGATCCAATTGCTTTCTGCGTATGAGTCGGAAAGGCAAAGAACGCACTGTAAGGCCCCTTCTCCGCGGGCAAGCCTGTCACGTCAATGGTGTAGTTGACGCCGACCGTGTTGGCGATGGCTGTGACGGTGCCCTTGACTGTGCTCGAGTTGAAGGTGGCCACCCACACCTCGCCGATGACGGGATTGTTCCTGACCTGCCTCGCGTCGCCCAGCTTGCCCGTGACGGCGGTCCCGTTGGCGCCGCTCGTCTGGCACGCACCGAGGGCAGCGGCGCCGAGAAGGCTGACGAGGGAGAGAAGCTGCATGTTTTTTTTCTGTAGTCTTGACACGCTCTCAAAGGGAGATCCCTGGATTGCACTGATTACACTGATTACACTGGAAAGCGGAGAGATGCCCACATCTTTATCTGCCTCTCCTCTGGCGCCCACCCTACAATTGTATGAAAGGGCGTCTAGCGTCAAGATAGGTCGGCTAGGGGGGGGAACACAACCGGGACACCATCGTCATTAAGAATAGATTATCCTTGGCGATCGCCAATGCTTGGGGGTCCGAGGGTCGCCGTTTTGCTCGCGCCAGGGGCAAGCTACGGTCCCGAAAAAAGATCAAGATCCATATTCTGGACAAAATCCGGTGCGTCAATGCGGGCTTTCCCCCCTCCCGGCTGTATGGATAAGTTGCCCACCCAACCCCCAAGAACCCGAAGTGCCAAGCAGGGGCGCGGCGGCCAATTGCCATCGGTCGGGTGTGAAAGACAGAAAGATAGAGAGAGGTGGTGGAAAAGGGTGCAGCATAAAAGAGACGGCCACCTCGCCTAGGGCCGCGCAACTGGCCAATCTATCGGTGCCGGGAGGCAATATACAGCATCGCCCTATAGACTGTCAGTAATAACCCGCCCCAATCAAGAGCGGAATATTTCCCGGCGACCGGACTCCGGTACTGTGGTGGGGGAATCAAGCACACGCACAGGGACCTCCCTCCACTCCGAGCAACCCTAATCAAGCTGCGCCATCTTTGATATGCGACAGCCCAGCGCTTCCTATTCGACCTGCGCGCAATTTACTTGGGCGCTTTCCCCGGCTCGATCGGCACGGCTCGAGAGCTACGGCTTGGTTATCAATCAGGCGAATATTTGCGGATTCGAATTGCAGAAACAAAGGAGAGAAGTAGGAAAGAGGGAGGGAGAGAGAAAAATGAAAAGAAGCAATTATAGATTACACACAGATTAAAGGGAAAGATTTCCGCTCACCGCCAGACGGCCATCGTAAAACTATTTCAATCTATATGACTAGCTTGTCGCCAAAGAATTGAGAGCATTCTCCCGTTAATCGCATCTCCATCTTTTCGCGTTGCATCTCCTCGACCGTAGCCCACTGTGCACCTCCGTCGGATAATTGATCATCAAACATCTAGGCCTCGTTAATGACGCAGTGTAAATTCTGGTAGCAAAGGGGTCCCTGGCCCTGCATGGCCAACTGGCAATCCACGCACCTGGTTAGTGCGCATGATCTGCTTGGTATTGGTGGCGCACACGAGCTTTCCTCAAGTTGCTGTTGAAGCTGGAGCAGACGGTAGGCGGGCTGTAAAGGCCTGTCTCCTCAGAATCTCCTCAGATCGAGAATAAATAAAAACATTTTTCCGTATTAGTAATCGTCCCTGCTTCAATAGTGCCATATATCGATTGACCAAATGACTCGTTTCACAACAAAAATCTAAAAGAAAGGTAAGAGAATAAGAAGCTGATACGCATGTCAGTGTTGAGGTGACGTGAGTCTCAAGTGCAGCTCGCTTTCTGAGGGACTTGACTGAGGGATGTACCGAAATTTCATCCCGGCCGAGCTCAGCTCACTAAAATGAATCGCCTCCACCGATTTGTGTCATCTATTGTGTTCTACAGGAGGTGAAGAATAGCTGATGACCGATTGATTGCATTGTTAATATGATGGATTCCCGGGCCTAACCGCCGAGAGACATACACGTTGTATGACAAAAAGAAACAATAGTAACGCGGTTCGGATGTCAATACTCCCTCCTCGGGCATTATTCTAACTATGTCGAGATCGAAACAATAATGTAAACCTGGGAATCCACTCGCTAAGGGCTTTCTATCTTTCTAACAAAGAAAAAGGCACTACTACATGCACTGGTCCGGGGATCTCAATTCATGGTAAAAAGACGTGATTTCTAAAGACTGGCCGGAAAAGAAGGAAAGAGCGATGCCAGCCCCCTGATCCGAGGGAGGGCAGGCTGCCCACCAAGAAAAAAAGGGAAAAAAGTACACTAGATTATATTGGGTAAGGGTGTAAATAACCCCTTTGTTACCCGGCCCCTGAACCCCTGATCATTTCCACAAATCTCCTGCCTTGAAACTTGGATTATCGTATCGCAGCCCGCACCACTCTCGAAGCTTTCACTCTCCCCCTTATCTCAAATTCCGAACCTCTTGCTTTCATCACTTTACACGCTCGCACGCTCACATACTAACATCTACCAACAACACGGCTCTAACATGAGCGCTACCGGAAGTCATGCCCTCAGCCGCTCTACTGCGACATTGTAAGGTTCTGGCACGAAAAGGTCGTGGGGGCTGTAAACTAGGCGACCAGCGAGCAGGGCAACGGCGACTTACATGTCACCCAGCAGGATTTACAGACACGATTAATCGGCCGGATCCTCGGTAATTATTAGGGGAAGATTAGATATGCTGAAGCGGTGAAAAGACACCACAAAACCAAAAAAAAAAAAAAAAAAAAAAAAAAAAACAACAATAGCAGGATCAGTGGAAGCGACCGAGCTATAGGCTCGATAGGTTGGTGAGCTTCGCAGAGTAAAGGCACAGAGTTCCATAGCCTGGAAAGCCAAAAGAAAACAAAGAAAAAGGCACTACCGCGTGCGCTGGTCTGGGGATCTCAATTCATGGTAAAAAGAAGTGATTTTCTTCCTCTAGATCAGGGCTCGGGGGAAGATCGATGCCCTCCCTCTGATCTGAGGGAGGGCGGGCTACCCACCTTATACGAGGTGGGTAGGCCAAGAAAAAAAAACGTTACACTAGATTATTTTAGGTAAGGGTGTAAACAACCCCCTTGTTGCCTGGCCCCCTGAACACCTGATCAATGCACCATGCAGCAAACGATGAGTTCTTATGCCTTCAACGTGTTCTCTTACGTCTTTGTTCTCATCACTGCCAAGATGATTCCTATTCATGTTTTTAAGTTCCGTGGTTATCTACTAGCTAATTCGTAACAATGACATGCTTTTGTTTGCGTTTCGGATGCTTGTGGGGCCAGTCACAGAGTTATTGCTTGTAGGTCAATCACAGAGGTGGTTGTCTCAGTCTCACTCACAGTTTTCTCATCAAATGACTCCTTGCCATGTAACTCCCATGGCTATGAGCATCACAAAAGACTGCGAACAAGGCCAGTCACCAAGATAAGCCATAACAATTGTTCGCGCCTTTGATACTTGACTAATTGTGACAATGTACGAATGCTCAAGTCAATCTACCGTCAGTTCCCAAGGTATATAACCCACAAACACGACTCGAGAGATCTCCTTTGCAAGCCCTCGCACAAACTACCTGCCAAACGGTCTCTGGTTTGATATTATTCTATCGCCCGAGTACCAAAATCTAACAACCTACTTGCTACCTACCGCCACTCCTCTCTGAGTTTCTTGTACTTGCCAAATGTCAGGCTACGACACCAACCCTCTAGGGATGTGCGGCCACTGCGCGACTCCGGCCAGCTTGAGACCGCTGCGCGCGTGCGAGTTCTGCAGAGCCATCGCGTACTGCAGCAGGCTGTGCAGCAACCTCGACAGCCGCACGCACGACGTATTCTGCCGCATTCCCGAGCCGGCCCAGCAGCGGGCGCCGCGCGACGAGAGCTACCGAGCAGTCATATTCCCCGAGCAGGGCGGCGTGCCGTACTTTGTCTGGCTGCCGCGGCGCCGCGGCGGCCTCTACGACCTCACCGCGTACGGCCTAGACGCCGACAACTGCACGACCGAGCTGGTCGCGAACCTTTCCTTCCCCCATCTAAGTACCACGGACCGCCAGCTCGCTACGCAGCCGCTATCGCTCGCCTACCCCCGCGACCAAGAGAGCGAGGCGACACGCCGGCGCTACGGGCGGAACCAGTCGATCCGCTTCGACGGCGTCGGCTGCGTGTGCTTCGACTGGCGCGGCCCCGTGGTCCTGTTCGGCGCGCGCGGCGACGTGTGCCTGCGTGATCTTCGCTTCGCGCTCGACTACATCCACGCGCACCAGTACAACCTGGGGCTGATGGACCCGGCGCGGTTCCACGGCGAGAAACTCGGCCCGCTGACGCTGCTGGTCTCGGCGCAGCAGCGGCGCGAGTACGTGCTGCACAACGCTAGCAGGGAGCTGCTGCGCGACGACGCTGAGTCCGTCTTCTTGTCGCGCGCTATGTGGGACAGCGTGCAGCGGATGGCCCGGCCCATCGACCTCGGCGCTCGCGGCGGCACGGATCTGGCCTACTACCGCATCGACCCGCACGACGCGTCGCTCAACGCTCACGGGCTCGTCGTGGCCCTCTCGGATCTCGTGCGCCGTGACGTGGCCAGCATCGGCGTCCAGACCGTCAGGGGTTGGCTGCGGCACGGCGCGTACGAGGGCGCCGTGGTCGTCTTTAGGCATGGCGAGGTTCAGCTGCCGGCCAATGACGGCGCTGCCGTGGTCTTGAGGCACGATGCAGTCCCGCTGCCTGCCGATGAGTTTTTGGCGTGGCATGACAACGCCGCGTGCGTCCTGCGCGCCATGGCCCAGGAGGAACCGACCATGACGCGACAGGCTCTGCGGGCCAACGCGAGAAGGTTTTTTGATATTAGACGGTGACGAGATACGCTGCCGTGGGCGGTCGCAGGTGTTTGGAGGTTTGGAACTAATTATGTGGATATGTGGCAGGTGTGGGACGAACACTGAAAGTTGTGGGAGGTCTCAGGGGTGAGTACTATCGTAGGTACCTGCTCGTGATCTCGTAGTCTCATAGTCTCGTTCGTAATACTAGTCAGCTAGGCTAGTGTACAAACGCTTTTATTTGCTATTCAAGATATGTATCACGATAAGAAAACCACCAACATGCTAAGAGGGTCATTTAGTTTGCGCGTTGTGTTTTGTGGGTTTGATCATCAGTAACGTTCCATTAAAAGACTGGAGAAAGGTCCCTTTATGTGTCACCTAATACAACTAGAAGCACATGGCCACGCCCGTCATAAAGACTTCGATCCTAAGTACGTTGGCATTCATGGCTTGTCTGAGTTTTGCAGCAGTTACTAGGATGAAACACAAGAGAGCATAGTGCGTGTTATTCGTCAGGTAGGCCAGCAGCAATCACATCACATAACTACCCATAACTACCAATTTCGCTCTCTTTGGTTCCACTTAGACCCCTGGATTAAACAATTGCTAAATTCTTGTCAACCATTTTGGAGTTGAGTCGCCAGCAAAAAGAAAATCAAACCGAAAGGACCGTACAATAATAGAAGGAATAGCAAAAGGAAGACAAATAGTGTCCACATCCAGAGTCGAACTAAAGACCTCGTCATGCCGAATCTTAAGATTCAAGAGTTACTAGTGACGCGCTCTACCACTGAGCTCTGCGGGCTTATCCTCGCTGTTGCACAGATACATCCCCTTCCCAAATAATAAGACCGCGAGTTACGATCTTTCCAACTTGTCAATAAAGGTATAGCCGCAGTTCCTGTATCCCGCCAAGCAGACTCAAGCAGGCGTAAAGCTGTTGGGGCCGCCCAGCTTAACCACTTCGACGGCATCCTTGCCCTTTACCTCTTTTTCTTTGAGCCTCTTCTGACGCTCAGCGCGGCCCTCGCTGGTGGGATCAAAATACGCTGCCATACCATGTTTTCAGCTTCGGAGCAAATCTAAGAAAGAAAATTGAACGTCTAGTCAGGACAACTCACGCTTCTCTCCAAAGACGGTCGTCCTGATGCCCCTCCGCGGCGCCTCATACGTCCCGGGAATCACGCGGTGGTTCGTGCATCTTTTGCACGTCAGCTTCAAGTCTCGCGAACCACACAACCCGCTACTAGATGGAAAGCAAAAAACTCGCCTGTTGTCCCACATGGCGACACCGCCGACGGACCACTTCCAGCGCACGGCGTGGTCGTCGGCTGAATGGATATGGTAGGCGAAAAAGTCGAGCAGCTTGTCCGACTCGTACTTTTTGAGCTCGGCGAAGCCCGTCACGAAGCCCGGGTTGACGTTGAGCGCCTTGAGCCCCGTCACCGGATGGCTTCTCACGGCCGGGTGGTGCGAGTCGACGGGCGCGCGGTTGGGGCCAGTGCCCCAGAGATCGAGAATCGTGTCGTACTGCAGACGCGACGTGTGCACCGCGTGCAGGCCATCCACAAACTTCCTATCGCGAGTCAGAAATGGGCTAATTCAACTGCATGCGTGCTCTAGCTGCTGCCAAAGAGACTCACTTCATGGCGTCACTTAGAGCGTCATAGAGGCCGTAGGTCGACACCCAGGCCGTGTCGCCGCCGACGGCTGGGTGCTCTTCCATGCGCAGCATCGAGTACGACGGTGGGTTGATCTCGAAGGACGTGTCGGCGTGGAAGTCGCCAGACGGCCAGGGCGTGTACTTGAGCAGCTCGCGGTGGTCCTCGCGGCTGCCGCGGATGACGACGTGCTGCGTGTCCTTCTGCGCTGGGTGCCGGTCCAAGATGCCGTAGTGCCCGAACAGCTCGACCTGGCCCTCGGTCGTTAGGTCCTGGTCGCGGAAGAAGACGACGCCGCGCTCGGTGACGAGTAGGGCCAGCTCGTCCAGCTGGGCTCCGTTGAGCTGCGACAGCTGCACATCTTCGAGGACAGTCCCGACAGACTCGGTCAGATCGACGCGCTTGGCTACTGCAAGTAGTGCCTTCTTCTTGGGGTCTGCGAACAACGCTCGGTCTTTCTCGGGGACGATCTCGATGCGAGGCGGCTCCGGGGGCGAGTGTTGCTTGATCTTGGGGTTGAAGCTGGGGTGGAGCGTGATGGGAAACCCCGAGTCAGGTGAGACGTGCTTCCGAGCTTCGAGGTGAGCCATGCTGCGAGTATGGTTCGGTTGAATATTAGTACGTCATCGGCGATATTGTCGCCCAATCCAAGTATCCTCGCGAATCCAATCTCGCGGGCCTCAGCTTGCCTCTTGTTTTGTTTGAGTAGGCGCAACCACGATTAGTTATCATATTTACCCCTCAAACTTCGATTACACACCAACACCCTCTTCAATCTCGAGCGTCCAATCTTGGCAGCGACACATCAACGGTTACTGGTGGCGCCATCCGCCGCTAGGATGAGAACACGGGCGCGTCCAGTTGTACGTCTTGGTCATGGACTAGTCCAGATACCGCGCCTGAATCTCACTAACCCCCCACAATACCACTAAAAACCAGCCGTGGCTTGTTCCATTGTAATTAGTAGACAGTTCATGTCGTGCCACTGGGCGGGAATTGCGTCAACCGGCCAACACCCAAAGCTCGAGCATTCCCCACCAACACTGCAGTTTGGTGGAAGTAGGTGGTACGAGGGTTCCTAGAAGGCACCGTCAGCGACTAGAGCTGCTTTGGGGATGGCATCCATCATCAAATCAACCAATTTCTAATTAAGCACGCGGTGCACATTGGTAGCGCGACCAATCTTGAGCAAGATTTTCTTTTCCTTCGAGCCCGTGCTCTTCTTGGTTCTCCCCTCCGCAGCCCGTCCCGCGCCTCGGCTCCTGCTTCTAGGCGTGTAGTCGCCGTCGTCGCCGTCGTAGTCGTCGTCGTCGTCATCGTCCGCGGTAGCGTACGACGCAAGCACATCATTCGCCCTCCTCCGTCCGCCAGCCAAAAGATGTACATGTACCCAGCCTCGTTCTGCTGCGACACGAGCTCGGCGAGCTCGGCGAGCAGCAGCGAGGCCGTCTGCAGCGACTCGCTCGCCAGGATGAGCGACATATAGTCGGGGGGGTGCTGCTGTCGCCGCGGCGGCTTGGGAGAGTTTGTTTGTGTTGTGATGAGGCCCAGGCGATTGACTAGCGTGTTGATGCTGGTTTTTTTTTTTTTTTTGGGGGGGGGGGGGGGGGGTTTGTTTTTCGAAAAATCGGCGTGTTTGCGATCCCTGTCCCTGGGCTAGACCGAGCCGACAGGCTGGCCTGCTTCTTGTGTTGCCAACAGTAGAGGGACTTGTCGGCTGGGTCGTCAACGCGCAGCTTGGACGACTTGGAGCGCGGAAGGGGGGGGATCGTTTGCCGTGGCGATTGGTCGGCGGCATGGCCGGCCGCGAGAGAAAAAGAATTCGACGCCCTGCTGTCCGGGAACCAGCTAAAGTGACGGTCTCCCCTCATTCTAGAACGGTTTTAGGCCTTTCTTGGAAGCATCTCCTACTTTCTAATTAACCCCATTCAAAAGTCCGGAGGGCAGGGTTTAGATTCTTGAACGACTGTATTACTGTATGCCTCTGAATGCTTTAGAGATGTATCTTCCAGCTTCGGAAACCTCTTCAAATACTCCGGCGACCGGGACCCTCTAAATAGCTCGATCGGAGTGGCCTAAACACCGGCACAAAATGAGGGACACAGTCACTGAGCTACCAGCCTTCGTCGTGCAGGTAATCCGAGTGTCCTTTTGGGTGGGAAACTGGTGACTGTATTGCTTGCAGGAAGGAAGTCTAGCTATCTTGGCCATGGCGGAATATATATAGGAAGGGGATGGTCTGGAACAGTGGAACCCATGCATCAGCTCGGCCGCATGTGCGGCCCGGGGCCACATCTTCACTAAGAGATTCCCATATAAGTACAGTCAACAAATCGCTTTCGTCAAGAGCCCATAGCTCTACTATAAAATTGCTCGCGTCGCTTCGTTCGTCAGTCGCGTGTCCCTTCGCTACGCTACGGGACGCTTCCTTCCTCTCTCTCGCTCCTGGCAATTTAGGGCGCGACAGTTGGCTTATTTGGATAACGTGGAGAGCAAGCGAAGCGACAATATCCTATCCGGAGGCCAATAACTCCGATGCTCAAGAGATCTTTTCTTGCAACGATGGCTAAACCTACACAACTAAATCTTACATCTATACAATAGAGCTATTAGTTATATACCCGCTCATATCGCTCGGGTCAACCTCCTCTTCCTGTGGATCTAATAGCTGTAACTTCCTTGCCTCGTAATCTGCTATCTTCAATTGTATGCTCTGTACCGGTATTTTGCGGTATATCCTGCTCCGATCAAACGGCGACTCAAATATTAGGCCATCTAAGGTCTTGACCCTGGAAACTGCCACGTACGATAGGCCGGACGCGAACTCTGGCGCGGAGATATCATAAACCACCTTGTCGAGAGTGACGCCCTGTGACTTGTGTACTGTGATTGCGTAGCAAACAAGTAGTGAAAACTGCTCCCGGTAGCCAGTGCCAGCCCCAAGAACAAACTCCTGCCGAACCCTAAGGATAGGAACCACCAGCTTAGCCCTATCACGAAGCTCTTCCACGCTAGGTATTAGGAACGGCGGCCTAGTATAGTTATCAAACGTAACCATAATAACCTGCGGTGGGTCTTCCAGCACGTTAGCGCCTTCAGCCTACGAGATGTCGTATATAGTACCCTGGGCACCGTTCATAAGCCTGACGTTGGCCCAGAGGTTCCTCGTTAGTATGACCCGGCAACCAACATAAAGAGGTAATCGTTTGATCAGATTACTAGCGTTGGAGGACTCGACTCTCTCTACGCTTACGCCTTCGTACTTTACGTCCACCTACACAGCCGCCTTTCGCAGGCCTAGGAGGTGCTGATGGTTATATTCGTTAACCTACGCCTTGATGGGGAAGATGCGGAGGGTATTATCAAAAGCCTTAACCTGAGCCGGAGGTAGTTTGATCGCATATCTCGACGTAAGAAGCTCCTATAACGAAACAGATACTTTGGCTTGCCGTAATTCTTTTAGGGCTTGCCGGAATAGAGCCTGGTCTTTACCCTATTGCCGTTAGACTGTGGTTAAGAATACCGACTTATCAAACGAAAGGTGAGATCCTGGCGAGGCGGAAGGGCGGGACTTTGTCCGCAGGTTACGGCAACAGCTACAGAAACTCTTACGTTCGACGCGGCTCTCTGGGAATGAAGTTAGCAAGGAAACCAAGGAAGATACGTCTAATAGACTTACCTGCTGCCTGCCGCGATTGTGGCAGTCCGCGTAATCAAGAGCGATCCGTCGAGGGCCTCGGAACGACCGGAATTAGTCGATATCCTTCTCTACGCCGCAGGTGTGGCAAACTTTGCGAGCAGCCGCCTCTGCCGCGTCCGCCATAGATACTAAATAACTTGGCTATAATAGGCAAAACGGTACTACGGAGGAAAGGAGGTTAGCTACGAAGAGCGGGTAGATTGTAAGGTTCGTCGAAGGTACTACGGTACGACTAATTATTGGAAAAAGAAAAGCAATCATAGGGTGGGCGAGGAGTTTCGAGGCGGGGTTGAAGGGCAATTCGCGTAGTCACGTACGCAAGCCCACCCTGGCATTGGCACTACTTGCGTACGCCCCACCACGCTAGAAAGCATTTAAACGCTTATATCGTAGCCAATTTCTATTATAATACGAATCAGACTTCAGATTCAAAATTTCCGTAGAGTTATACACACAATAATACCAGTTGCATCAATTTTGGAAAGTATGCTGACCGAACAGCAGATAGGCACGTAATAGGGGCTGCCCATATTGAATATGACTGAGAAATCGGGTCCACCTTTCTATATAGGTTAGCCAATCCGGAAAGGCGATAAGGCGTCTTATCAATTTCACATAGTAATTTTTTCAAAGTTTCGCAGTAATATGTCCTCCGGACAGGATAATCATCAAGAATGGACCAATCAAGCATGTTTAGTCACACTTCCAACTTATACACAACTTTGAGGGCCGATGCAATGTCCGAGATCTCATTCTCAGCCCCTCCTTTTCTTCTCTAGGATATATACAAGAATCTCCCCATCCTAGTCACGACACCCGCCCCAGCTCAACGCGAGGTAATTCCCCCCATGACCCCCCCTCCTCAACCCCAAAACGCAATGGCCTGTTTTCCCAACGACAACTGACCCGCAGTATTCGCATGACACCCGTCCTGCACCTCGCCCTTCATCAACTTGAACTCCCCAGGGTACGTCACATTCAAACTCTGATCCGCTGCTGCCTGCTTGGCCAGGTTCACCGTCAGCTGCGGACCGTTCGCGCCCGCCAGGAAGCAGCTGGTCGGGTTATCCGGGTAGATGGGCTGCCCGGTAATCAGAATCTGCGCGCCGGGGGCCGCGTGCTGGCGGGCGTTGGCAATCATCTTGGCCACCTCGGCGGCCGTGGCGCCGGGGTTCTGGAAGATGCACACCTGCACCCAGACCATGTCGGGCTTGCCATTCTTGGCGGCCTGCGCGTCAAACATTTTCCAGGGGTTGGAGTTGGTGTCGGTCCATGACTGGACGACAAGCCCGCCAGTCCCGTAGGGCCCCCACATGCGCTTGCCGCCGGCGGCGACGTAGCCTTGGGCGACGTTCTCGGCCATGGAGCAGCCGATGAAGCCCATTGATTTGGGGGCGGGGGCGGGGGCGGAGGAGGTTTGAGGGGCGGCGAGGGTGCCGGATGCTGTGGCGAGGAGGGTGATGAGAGCGGTGGGCTTCATTTTAGTGGATGTGGTAGATGTCGTAGAGGAGCAGGGTTGTTGAGTTGTCGTGATGGTGTGGACTGTGTCTGAGATCTCAAGATGGCGAGTTGCCCGCTTATTTATACACAGTTTGAGAGGTCTGGCCGTTTCGAGATAAGTGACTCGGCTTGTCGTTCGGCAAGCACACACTTAGCCAAGCGCCTGGTGATATTGCGTCCGGCCCAAGACGCTATTGTTGGGAGTTGCCATTTCAGTCAACCCAAGGAGCCGGTTCCAATCCCCGAGCCTCGCGTGAGGCTGTTGTTCCCCGCTGTGGCGGTGGGGACTAATAACGGCGACGACGTTTCGGCTAAGTCTTGCGCTGAATGTGACCCGAAAGGGGCCATGCTTGGTCGGAAGCCTTGCGTCCTTGAACGTTACATAAGCCAAGAGCTTTATTTTCCCGGTTCTATCACCGACTTGTCTGCCCCGAGGCTCGAACTTGTACCAACACGACGGCATTAGGAGTCGGGAAGTCTTTCTTTGGCAGAGCCGACAAGTTTTCGGGATGGTCAGTCGGGATCGATCTGGAGAGGGCGAGTTCACAAGAATTTTATTTCCAACCGGCACCTATTTATGCTCTCAACAATGTCACCGGAACGACTGCTGGCCACTTTCAATGAGATACTGTTACAAGTGCCAAGAACAGGTCCTTTGTTCTCCTGTGACCTCCGTACTCATCACACGGCCTCACCTATTTCCTCGGAGGCAAGCCAGCACATTTGATGGCACAATTTTGACGCACGAAACTGGGCAAACTAGTCCATCATTCGTAACTTCATCCACAACCATGTGGTTCCAGCCCATTGTCGAGCCTTCTCCTTCATTGTATCCAAGTCCCCGCTCTCTCTCGAGTTGAAATCATAGCCAATGAGAAAGGGTCTGACCAGCGCACCCGAAGGCTCCGCCAAAATACCCATTAACCTCTCCCGCAGCTCGTCCATGGGGCTTCCAAGCGCCAGTGCGTACTGCAACGCCACCGCCAGTGGCAAGATGGCTGCGTGCTGACCGTACAAGCCAGCTTTGCGCCTTAACAGAAGCGGTACTGTATCGACAATGTTGCGGATGTAGATGGCTGGGTCAGCGTGGGCCGGCAGCACGGGCTCAGGTCCAGACGCGAGTTGCTGCGTCGTGTAGAGCAGGATGCACGTGGTCCAGTAGAGGGTGAGGCCATGAACTATGGCAACATTGCCTTGAGTCGGCTCAGCTCGGCCCAGGCAAGACACGTCCATCTCACCTGCCGGACACACAATAGCCTTCCACTTCTGAAGCTCCCCTTGGTAGATGCTGCACCGAGCAAGAAGGCGCTGCCGGCGCCTCGCTTTTTTGTTTTCGTCTTGACAGAGGCGCATGTGGTCAAACTCCTCGAGAAGGCCGGGCATGTGTATCAAGACGTCGACGAGGACATCTTTGAGGTTCTTGGGAGTCTCGGACCACGGTTGTGTTTTCCATTCGTCAGTGCTCAAAGGCGATTTCTTGCGGGCTTTGATGGCCGAGAGAAGCTGCGATTAGGTGCTGGTTAGACGACGCCTGCACGCCTGCACGTAATACTGGGAAAGAAAAACAGGACTACTCGCTAGATCTACACGGTCGTCAATAAAGATTTCGTGGGAACTGCCGCGTGAACATCCAGCAGGGCCGCAGGCGACCAAGAGTGCTGTCTCTCCGGCATGGTGCTGCTCCCAGCCTCGCGATTCGAGAAAGGCCTGTTTTTCGGAACTAAAAAACATCTGAGCATCGAATAGAGAGATCGAAAGGTCAGCAGTGTCTCTAAGTGCACAGAAACAAGACCGTTGGCATAGGCTTACCTCGAAATTACTCAACAGTTTCGCCGCAATCACCGCAGCCACGTTCGATTCCGGATTCCTAGAAAGCGACCTCTTCAAGCTGGCCAGCGCCCTCCCGTACATGCGACGGCCCTCAACCTCCATCGACGGCGCGCTAGCCTCACAATCCCCGTCGACTCTCCTCGCAGCATGACAGAGGCAGTTGGCAAGAAACGCAAACCGCAAGGCCTCGTCGGCATCGTACAGCCTCTGCGCAAGGGTCGTCCAGTTGCATATGTAGCTCGTGACCAGCGCAGGCCGGATGGGCCGGCCCCGGGGCATGTAAGCCTCCCAGAAGCGCCCCGCGTAGTGGCTCTCGTAGGCCACACGCACCAGGGACGGCGGTTGCTGGAGTCCTGCCGTCGGAGGGATGGTTACCTCCTGGCTGCTGCTCGGTGGCGGTGGCAGGTTGCGCTGTTCCAAGCGATAGCTGCGGCCAGCGGGCCTGTCGTCGAGAGTGCTGACGACAAAGATTAGATCCCTGTCGTAGCCGCCGCACTCTATGCCGAGCCCGCGGCACTGCGAGCAGGAGGGGCGGGCGAGGTCACACTAGTTCTCGAGGAAGAAAAATTAACACGGGTGGTTCAGCTTCGTTCTAGGTCGTCGCAGTTCAGAAGTTATCTGGTTCACCCACCCCCTTGCGTCGTCTCTTGCATGTTGAACAGGCCTTGGAACGGCTAGGAACGCCGACCATGGTGTGTGCAGCTAGGTAACCAGCGAGTAGTCGACGAGTTTGAGCAGACGAGTTTTGCTAAGCTGGGCTCGCTCTGGCGCAAATAATCGCCGTTTTTGGACTAGGACACGACTCGTCTTAAATAAGGGACGAGGCAGGATCCCTCGACTGTGAGACTGGGATCCTCAAGGCCGCCGTCCGGGTAATTGGGAGTGTTACTGTGAAATACCCGCATGTTTTCCCAAGCCCCTGGTTGTCTATGGTATGCGCCATACCGCATCTGGCGACAAACCGCGCCGGCGAATCAGGTTGAGGCAAAATGATGCGCTCGGGCATCCTTCTTCATCCGAGAGTGGAAGGTTGTAGGATCTCGACGAAACAAGAGTCTTGGAGGGGCGGAGGTGCAGAGATGCAGGTACGCTTGCTGCTGTCTCACTCAAATGAGCATTGACCCACCCAGTACATGCGAATTCCTGCAGAAAGATACGGAAAGAAGCACGTGGCCTTTATTGTGGATAAGATGCCTAATGTACCTAGATGCTATGACAGCCGTTCGTTGTTGGATGGTCCGAAACGAGAACCGTTCCACGCGCTCCCCGCAAATCCCCAGTGGAGTACAGACTACGGAGTACCGACATTCTATCCGGCTGACGACAAACTACTTTCCAGAAGGAGCCACGGTCGCCTAGAGGCATGAGGTTCGCCGCTCACACCTTGACCAATGTTGCACAGATGCCACGATTTGCACAGATGCCAAGATTTGCGGTGTCCCGACCCCATTCGCATCTCATAAACAATAGGCTCCAGAATGACCTAATGGACCTTGCGCTGGCCGAAACTATCTTTCGGTTACAAAGCAGGTACAAAGTAATACCTGGATGAGCCCTGTAGAGCCTGCAGCTGCGTAAACCTTCCAAAAAAAATTTTATCTCGGTGAACTGGCCTGGACGCAGCACCATAGATGAGGGCATACGGACCACTCGTCTCAACCCACATAGCAGCACGAGCAGTGACACGAGCAGTGGCTATCTAATCCGGGGACAATTGCCCCTTTAGCACAAGGACAGACAAAGTGCGGGTACAATACCCGAGGTTGCACAATCTCTTGTCCAAACATTTGAACCGCGGGAGGACCCTCAATTGTCCAGCATTTTTATGCGTCGATCTATTCATAGGGGCAGCAAAGTTCTCGCTCAGTCCACCATCCTCTTCAAGTGCAATGTGGCGTCATCCGCAAGTCATTGAGTCGCCTTAATTAAACGACTGACTTGTGCAAAGTTTTGCGTCCGACGCTTACAAGTTCCAGTTTTTTGGCATCCATGACCTAACATCTATCATAAACGTAGTCAGCAAACGCAGGCCCGAGCCCAGCAGAATCCGGTCATCTCTCTAGCCTCTCAACAATGCATCCGGGTAATGGCCTGACCTCTCTCAGTTAGCACCTCACACCTGCAAGCCCATGATCTTGACAGTCCATATGCGCGCGTCGTTAGAACGGCAGCGCCGATTCGATAGCTTGCTTGAGCATGGGCACAACCTTCTTGCATCCCAGCTCTTCCGTAATTTCCACTAATGTCATGCCAAGAGAGCAACGCAGCGTTTGCCGGTTAAGTTGAATGTACTTGACCCAGGTCGGAATCGGGTATGCCATCAGTGGGTCGTGTCGAAGACCATGGAGAGGTTCCAGTGGCACAGGATGTTCCGAGGATTGCTCTCGGCGTGTATTTCACCCGTATTCACATTGTAGCGGGCCGGGTCTTTAATTAGCGCAGAGAGATTGCGACACTCGGCATCGTCGAGCAGGTCTAGTTGAAAGCGACCCAGCGGATCAGCACCCCCCTGAACCAAATATCGGACCAAGGTAGGAATGTCTAGCGCCCACGCGTCCCCGGCAATTAGGAACATTTGAAGCGGTGACCATTGAAGCGGTGACCATTGAAGCGGTGACCAACCATTGGAACTATGAATAGCGGTCATCTTGTGCTCATCAACTTCCAGGCTCAGCAAGTAGCTGGTGAGGTGGCACAGGTCCGGCTTGCAGAAATATTTCCGTGCTTGATGATATAGGTGATTAGCGATAGCGTATTGCCCTCGGACTTTTGAAGCCGGGTAGCGAGCGACTTTTTCTTTGTCGAGTTGCCAAAGCAGGTAACGCTCAAACAGTCAGTGGAATATAGTGAGAGTGTGAACCTGCCCTGAACCAGCGTAGCGCTCCGGATGGCCCAGAAAAGCTATCTTGTCGGCGCCGCGAGCAATCAGAATCTCCATGAGACTCGTATTTGTGCAGTGGAGCAAAGGCGGCATCGCAATATCTTCTTCCATACTATCCGTCACGTCAGGCATCTGCTTTGTCGAAGCGCCGAGATCGAGAAGGCATATCGCTCTTCGTCTTCGCTAACCTGCCCAACAGAGAGTCTAGCGGGCTATTCTAGCAGCCACCTCGTCGACAGCCGCACAGGTCAAGAACAAGTACATCTTCGTAATCGACAGCAGCGGACGGATGAGGCTAGCGTACAACATCCCACCCTATCAATACCGGTACACAATTTACATTAGCGCGACTACGGGGACGAACAGCCAATGGCCGCAGGCTGACGTCAACTCGTATGTCGACTATCCTGTCAACACGGGGCAAGGAAGTTACGTCAATGCGACGGTGCACTCGGTCACCACGGAGCTTTGCCTCAATGGGGCCGGCCGGAAGAATGTTTTATAGTGCGGCAGAAGCCCGCGACCGTCGGGCGGAGATGGCGCAGATGCCAATAATGGTGTGTGCACGGTGAGGCATCTCGAGATAACCTTGGAGCCACGGGGGAGCGGGTTTCTGACTGCTCGGCCTGGAAAGGATTGCGAATTGCGCGCTGATTTCTGGAGCTGGGTAAAGAGCTGCTGTAGGTGGATGAGAATGCTTAATCGTGATTTAATTCTCGGTGCTATTTATGAGGTGCTTGTAAACCGAACTTCACCTCTTGATCAGGTATGAGGATTGTAGCGTGTCCAATCAATTCTAATCAATTGTAGTTCCCACAGTTTTAAAAGATGTGCAGGTGCTGAATTGCTTCTCACGTAGTTGAACAGAGTGTCTGAAAGCATTTGGTATATTATCACAGACAACCAAACTATGTCGATGATCTCCCGTCATAACCTTCGCCCACAACGGCCTTTGCATACTCGTCTGGCTGAATCCCACCGCCCATGTACCCAGTGTTGGACATGGTCGCTGCTCTCGCCATGCCCATCAGCCCGCCGCTTCCACCACCACGCCAGTTCCCACCGCCACCATCGACCGATTCGGCACTTACGATAGCAATAATAGGATACCGCCCACGGCGAGCTTCGCCGCGGATAACTTTATTAGTAACGCCTAAGTATAGGCCTATAACGGCAGTGCAAATACCGTTAATAGCGTTATAGGCGATAATAAACTACGCTAAGGACCTCGCCGGGCGATCCCTTCAGTGCGTTCCCTCCTACTTCTTATCTCCCCCGACGATAGACGACGAGGCTTGCTAATACCTCGTATCTAGGAATAGACGTCGCCCGAACAGCCCAAGCTTGGTAGCCAAGCCCTAAATACCCCATTAACCCGGTACTCGGGATTGGCCTATACCACCAACGCCAAGTCGCCAGCTCAACCGCTAGCGCTCGGCAGCGACTTCCTCCACACCACCCTCGTCATCAAGAATACCCCCTTCCACATTCGGAAGGAAATATTCCTAGGCATTATAACGGAACTTGGATTGCCCCTACCACACGCGTTCAATTATCACTTCAGGGACGGACTGTTCCGCGGCCTCGCCTTTGCAAATTTTGACGACCCGCTGGATGCACAGTATGTCTTCGGCCACCTTGACAGCCATGATATTCAGGGACGACGTATCAGGGTCGAGTACAAGAAGAAGCTACCCCCACACCAGAGAGAGCGTCTCGACCGAGCGAGAAAGGCGAAGCGAGGCCAGCTCGAGGAGCAGCACCGGCCGGTGTCTTCTTCCCTCCCGAAATTACGTAAGTTTTTGGGTCCGGTCCCCTAACCTTTTTGTCCAATTTATTTAATCTAACTAATAGCCACTATAGAAGACATAGATCTTAATAACCCCGATACTCTTAGCTTTGATACTGAGTTAGCGCTTTTCCGAAGCGATCCTAACCGAGAGATTATCGTATTCCCGAGTATTATTGTGACGGCGGGGCTCAGCACCTACTACCGCTGCACCACACCTTCCAAACGGATGCCAGAATTGCAAGCTGCCAAGCTGCAATCTGTAGTAGGTTATAGGATGGTCACGCACCCGTAGGCCTGCTCACAGCGCCTACGGTACCGTGCCGTGACAATTATCACCTTTTAATAACGGCGGACCGTCTATACTATGGCGTATAATATAGGCCTCGAGTATCGCTTAGTAGGCAAGGGATAGGCGGCCGAAGCACCTGGCGCTAACGACTAGTAGACTAGACCCAAATAGTAGTTTCGAAAGGAGCGTAGGTGGAGGAAGAAAGTTAGATATTAACTTTTTTTTCTAGACAGAAAAGGCGCCGTAGGGGGAGCTAGAAGTAGAGATTGGCTTATCGAGAATAGACTACCGGCGGCTGCTTTGGTACTTGGATGGTTAGAATGTAGATTCTTCGAGTAGAGAGGGGCAGTGTGATTTTTCAATAACGCGGAAAAGACTATAGGCTTCGCTTAAGAGCGAAAGAGTGAGAGGTAAAGTGACCTATAACCGAAGTAGTAGTACGTCTTGGTAAGAAAGGCGAAGACGGAGACGGGGAAAAGAAATACTAACGGGCCGGGTCTAGAATAATAAAGATAGATGAGATCTCTAGGTTATTTATTATCGTCGCTATTTCGTTAGCGTTGTGTTGGATTTCCTCCCCAGCAACTAAAAATAACTTGATACTTACCTCGTTATTCTTTTCCAGAAGAAAAGAAAACCGGTATCCTCTGCCCCAAAACACTCATCCTTAAAAGGGGGCTAAAAAGGTAAAAACAAACAGCGAGTTCTCATAGCCCTCCGCAAAGGCAGACGACATCGAGCCGCAGAGAACATCTTCGCTCTGTTTCATTACCTAATACCTTGAGCGCAGTCGCAGGTTCCGTAAAGCTCGGTAGTTCTCCCCCAGCCTGTCCATTGCGGTATGTGGCCGTCGGCACCGAAAAGTGGGCAGAAGTTACGTTGAACACGAAGTAGTCTCTTATCGTATTGCACACGAAGCATCGCCAGAGGTCGATATCGTAGAAGCACATTGTAATGCTTTTTTTTTCTTTTTGTGGGGTTAGTTCTCTTAGTTGGTGTTGATAATTATCTGCCCCGATGCCCCCGTAAGGTAGCTATTGAGGCTGTGAAGAGATTTGGTTGTAAATCAAGGGTAGTGGTGTGATATCACGAGAAGACAAGATCCATTGGGAGTTAATAGTGTGGAAGAGGGTTGAAGAAGCGTTGTTTTGTAGATAAAGGAAAAGAAAGGACGAGATCTATTTATACGAGTGAGATAGGTAGGGGAGCACAGTTCCTACGACATGTAAGACAGCTTAACTGCTAACTATAACTAAATTCTTGCAATGTGTATCAGCGGTTCAACCGTGGGGAATAACATTCATAAGCATGCGCAGCGTGTTTGTCGAGTGGACAGTAAATAACTAGGAGCCGCAGCGCCCCGCCCGAGTAACAAGTAACAATACCACGATTAGATTTCTGGCCAAATATCGCCATGTAGCAGGATGTTATTATTATTACAATGCGAGCAAGTGTTAATGAGAAACTTGCCGTGCGGCCAAACACAGTTCTGGTTCCCAAAAACACTACTCCCAGACTCGGCGAATTTTACCACGAGTCTCAGCCTTCCACCGGTTGCTGTAGAGGCAAACGGCACACCAGCTAACACAAGACCAAGTAGCTCCACGGCGATGACGGAGTACGCTCTTTCCTCCACCCGCTCCTCCCCCTTGGCTGGCTATCCCCCCTGTAACTAGTTCTAACTCTCCCCACTGTCAAAAACGGTCCAGGCAAGCAGCGACCCCGAGGCGCACATGACGGCCAATACCGAATTCATGACCCAGTAGCCGGCAGCCTCCCGCAAGGCGGCGCCCGTGTAATTGCCGATCATAAGACCCAGGCTTGCGATGAGCGTGTTGAGGCCGAACGTCTGGCCAAAGGCGCTGCGGCTACCAAAGCGGGCGGGGTTGTGGCGGACGGCGCTGTTGACGCGCTGCATAGACTTGATCATTGACGGCGTCTGAGCAAGAGGGACGCAGCAGCCCTGGACGAGGAGGGAGACGCAGAAAACGGAAAAGGCGGCCACGCCGGACAAGAGGCCGCTCGACGGTAGCACCATGAGGGCCAGCGCGGGCCCGTAGACGGCATACCCGGTTATGGCAACCCGCCGCGGGCCGAAGCGGTCCACGGCCCACCCGGCCATCGGGCCCAGCACCAGAGACGGCAGGGATAGTGCGAGGTACACGGCACCCACTTGCTCAGCCGTGAGATTGAACTCGGTCACAGCCTGGATGGTGAGCGTCGCGTCATATGCCCCGAATATAATGAACTGCACAAGGCTGAGCCAGATTGCTACCAGCAGTTGCGGATCGGAGAGGCAGAAAAGAATGGGCAGAATGAAAGGCTTTTTCTTCGTCTCGCCCTCGGTGCCTATGCCCGGCTCCCCTGTCAACGTAGCGTTGTCTCCATCGCTAGTTGGTTGCTGCTCTGCTACCGCTGAGGAGGAAGGCCGAGAAGGGGAGGAGGATTCCGGGAGAAGTCGATCCGTCTCGGTGGGTTCGTGTCCATTGCCATTGGCATCGCCGATATCTTTGGATGCCACGGTACCCTCTTCGATACCCCCAGCGGTCTTGTTTGTACTCCCACTCTCGGGCATCACCGCCGGCATAGCTCCCGGTGGGCGTGGTGTGTCGACCATAAACAGCCGCAGAATAAAGTCGATAGCCAACACACCCAGGCTGACGTTGAGGATGCCCTGAAACCCCCAGCGCGAGAAAATTAGTCCACCGACTGGGGGGCCGCATAGTTGTCCAACGGAGACCAAGGATCGGATCTGTTTTGGTCCAAAGGAAAACGAGTTAGACGCTACAAGTGAGGTGACAATGGTGGCCCTGTCGAGCTCTGCCCAGGTGGAGGACCGCACTCACAGTTCCCATAGCCTTTCCGATATTCTGTGGTGCAACCGCGTCGACTATCATGGGCCACCCAGCGGCATAGAGAACAGCGATGCTGAAACCGTTGAGAGCGCCGGTGATAATGAGGACGGCGTATTCATGGCTGGTGTAGAAGACGATAGTCCCGGCAGTCATGGCAAGCAAGCCGGCGAGATAGAGGGGGCTGCGAAGGTTGGGGATGTCGGCGATGAGGCCCGCGGGCACGGCGCATAGAAAGGACGAGATGCTGAACGAGGCCAGAAGCACCGCGACGCGGTCCTGTACCTCGGCTTCGGGCACGTTGAGGTGGTCGCGCATCAGGAACGGCAGCAACGGTACGCGCATGCCGAACAGGAACAGGTCCGAGAACTGCCCCATGGCCACGGCCGCCCCAATCACTACCGCATGCGACCGCCACCCTATCACGGTGCGGAGCGAGAGGCCGGCCATGATGGTTTGGTGAGGGCCCGAAGAAGAGACCCTGAAAAAGGCGAACCAGTGGGCAAGAGAATCAATGCCCAGACCACCGCAGCAACGATGTGTTGGGACTCGGAGGGGGGAGGGGAAGAAGACAATAATAAATGGAAGAGCCTTTGGCGAGGGTCAGAGCAGAGTGTGTGGCCAAGACCAGATCCCGATCTTCGTTTTCTTCTCGTGCTGCTGCAAGGGACAGTGGCGTTCGCATCTGGCAGTATGGTGCCACTCACTACTCCATCTTATGGTGGTTTGTTGGTTGCTAGGAGCAAGCAATCGAGAGCAAGCAGCTGAGAGCAAGCAGCTACGAGCTAAGGAAGCGGTGACCGGCGTCAGCCCCAGTGGCCGGGAACTCGGCCAGCGTGCAGGCCACTGCCCTAGCACTGCTGAATGCAAGCCCAGGTGGCCGTCATCTTCTCAAAACCAATAGATGAGTGAATGGTGGTCCAGTAGTCCAAAATGCGCGAATTGAAGCCGGTGATTGGTCCGGGCGGTCGATGCCGGGTGGGCGCTGTGCAGTACGCGGCGCCTCGCGTTCCGAGCCCCGAGGCCGTGAGCCGGCCTCGGACGCCGCCAACAGCACACTGATCAGGCGTAGGGAATTAATACAAAGGTACTCCGCGAGTCCTGTTCCATCATACATGTGCTACAGAGGAGCAGCGCCTTCGAATTATTTGTTGATTAATTATGCAACTTATTTCCAGGATTCCCGTTCCAATGTTGTCATTGTGTTCACCGAGTTTGCAGCTTCGGCATTTGATTACCTAAACTTCTTGCCCGCCTCGGCGAACGACATACCAAGCTCAGTAATTCCCTTTACCATCTTGGTGTCTGCCTCGACCTGCTTGGCCATGAGTGGCAGCGCCGCCTCGGCCAGCTCCTTGGGTAGGACGACGACGCCGTTGATGTCGCCGATGAGGTAGTCGCCTGGGTTGACGGTCATGTCCTGCTCATCTGTCTGCAACTTGACAGGGATGTTGACGGCGACCACTTTGAGCAGCTCGGCGGGGGGCGCGGTGCCGACATCGCGCGCAAAGATCTACTCCCACTCGGATTCAGTGTTGCGGATCGAGACACGAGGTGAAACCAAGAAGCGGGAGATGGGGACGCACGGGATAGTTCAGGTCTCTCTGCTCCTGCAGGTCTCGAAAGCGTCCGTCAATGACGGAGCCCTCGGCGCCGCTGGCTCTGGCACGCATCGACATCAGGCCGCCGTAGACGGCGTTGGGCGTCTTTGGCGGGCACGAGACGAAGACTATTGCGCCATTCGGAACCGAGTCGATCTATGCAAATATTGCTGATTGTTAGGCTCATGCTAATTTGAGCCGAGATGTTTGAATAATGCGGGAATATAAGGAATAGAAAACAAACATAATGCGCCGGGTGCTTCGGCCGCGGGTCGTCAAGCGGCACGTATTGCACCGTGTACGCTGGTCCTACAATCTTGGTCGGGCCGTCCTGGCGCTGCGGCGACCACATGGTGAGTCCCGATAGAAATCCGCCGTTGCGGAACTTGAGCTTGCAAAGCGCGTCCGAGACATCACAACTGCAGGCCAAGTGATCAGTCGTAATAATTAATTAATCAAGAAATCTATCTCAACATCTGCCTGAGCTTTTGTGCACAGGCGAGAAAGGTGAAGAGCATACGTGGTGTATTCCCGCAACGCCTTCACAACCGCGTCTTCGTGCGGGTTGTCGGCCATGATGGCGGTCGACGACAGCCGCAACGGTGATAGCCGAGGTTGCACGCGATGAGCGCGGGGAGGGGTTCTGGAGAGGAAGTGCTTAAGTCGAATTAGATGTGACGAGAGCGAGTATGGGAAGTTGAACTTGACGAATAACTGCGGCCGCGCAAACATAGGGCTAGATTATCTAGTGCAATGTCGTTAAACCCGATGACGGTGTCTTGAGAGGGTTGCTGATGATTGGCATGTGCCCGGCTAAGCGAGTTCGGGTTGGGGTTTGGGTCTGCCGGTCGGGGTCGGAATGGTGGATCCAAACAGGGAAGTCGCAACTGCGTTCAAACAGTCATTCAGTGAATTTCAGTCCCTCCCCATTTGTTGAAGAAATTCATCACCAAACAACCTAAGATTCAAATGCAATGGAACTGAACCCACGTCCTTCACATCTCCAGTTTCTCGCCGTCCGGATTTGCTTTATTGTTCTGAAAATCACCCAGCTCGGTATTCACACCCACGATCCGTCAAAGATATCAGAGTAGCGGACAGCTTCATAGACCATTACGAGCACGACTTAACACTATGACGGAAACAAAAAAACGATAATAGACCAGAGGGAAACACCTAGCTATTAGCTACAGCTACTATATGATTGCACGCGAATATGGTGATATATTCATAGGCTCCGACTCAAGGTGAGTTTTGGTTTTCTTTGTTGTTATTTCAAACTGTCAAAGAAACCCCAATTGATATAACTAGGAAGTTACAGGAATTATCATGTTTCAAGTCGTCTTCTCTGAAAGCCGTGCTTGCACAAAGATAAAAATGATCTTAGCCTCTACGTAAGGTAATTCCCCCTGACTCCCTCTCAGTTGCTTGGGGGCAACTAATTCTGTATATGAAGAAAAACTGTGAATGAGCCAAGATAGCAACGTTTCCTACTACTCTGCTGGCGATCATCAGCATCACGGATGATGTAATGCCACCCTTGATTACGTGATTATGGTCGCTGTCGAGTGCATCCAAATCCGAAATCCATCCATTCAAGCTACGGAGAATTGTCGGCAGACTCTAGCCAGCTGAGCTACGGCACATTTTATTGGCCAACAGCCGAGGGTCGAGCTCCCAAATCCTAGTAGACTAGGAAATCGCTCGCTGCCCGGCTGGTGGCGGGTCGAGTCACTGGGTTAACGAAAAAAATTGCCGTCATTAAGTTCACGGTCGTTACATCGGCGATTTTGTCCCTGAACTAAACATCTTTGAGACATTGAACTACCGCGAAGGATGGGACGACCCCAAATGACGATACTCGAGGTACTAGCAAACCACTAAAACTTGTCAGGCCGTTCTGTTGGTGATTGGCGGTTTCGGTGCGCTGGCCGCGCTGGCCTGGCCTTGGCAAGAAAAAAGTTGGCTCCAAAGGGTAAAGGGTGGTGGGTGGTGGTGGTTGCAGCTACGCATGTCTTAAAAATCCGAGACCTGCTTGCCGGTCCCGCCATGCCGCAGCGGGCGCAAGGCACAATGGCCCCCTAATAAATAAGAAGCGCATAAAATAATCGAGAGAAGGGGCCAGAAATTTATTAGATCGCAGTCTGGGTTGCACACGACTCACTGAGGCAAGGCAGATCTCAGGTGACTGGTGACGAGAAGTTGTGGCGGTGCCAAGCTGAGGAGTGCACTTGGCTTGCTGGGAGCCTTCCGTCATGTCCCAGCCACTCGGGATGGAAGACCACATGATGCAAACCAACCAAAGCGCATTTCCGACAAAGACCAAGGATATCCGCACGGATATAACGAATCCACGACAACGTTCTCACCTTGTCTACGGATAGATAGGGGGCTGACATGACGAGTGCAAAAGGCAGATATCGTCAGATTTGGACGGCGGGCCTTGGCGACTTGAATCCTCCTGAACCTTCCCCTATCATCGGTCGCGTTGCTAACTAGTAGTTCGCTCCATGGGAACGCAGCGTAATTCGCAACAGCGGCACCCAACTGGCCCTGCCAACGGGTCTTGGTGACAACTTTTTCGGGCGGGGTGGCCACGTCGTGAGCGCCAGGTCGGTAGGGACAATCTTGGAGAGATCGAAGAAGGTCCCGACCGGACAGAGCGGGATTGAAAAGGCTGGCTCGTATCCGTATTACGGATTACACTACAGGGTCCTCCGTGCACTTCGGGCCGTTCGTAACGAAACCCGCCTCACCTGTAACCGGGCAGAAAAGCCGTTGCTCTTTGTGTTTGAACTTTGGGGGCGAAGAAGACCGCAAGTCGAGAAGTTTACAAGCATCGAGATCGAATACAGCCATATGCCATCAGCGGCAAACCGCGCAAGAAAATATAGCCGTAGTTCTAATTCTGTAATCTCGGACGAAACAAATATACGTACGGTAAGCGCCCATGGTCCAAGTACGGTGTTTACGGATGCGTAGGGAGGGTGGGAGTGATCCCACAGCAGGAAAGGTGGGGATCGATTTGGGGCGGCCCATCGAGGCCACCCACCCCACTTGAACACGCCTTGCGACGGTTTCGCGGGTGGGTTTTTGCGACGAGCGACTTAACCCGCCCACACCACCCTCTTCTTTCACCCAGCCTTGCGTCGCGGGCAGCAGCACCAGCAGCACCAATCCTTCCAGGCGACCAGTTGCCGAGACAGTGGACAGTGCACTAACTTCTCTCAAGCTAAACACCATCGTTGTAGTTTTACCATATCTTTTTTAGTTTGCTGTTTTGGTGTCATCCATCCAGACTTTACCTAGCGACGGAATTCCATTCCCTGTGGCGCCGATCGACGGGCTGGCCGGATCCGACGCAAGTGCTTACCGCATCTCTCATCTGGAATCCGCTTGGGGAAGTCGAGCTTTCTCTCCTGACTGAGAATTCGCACCACCTCCATTCCCCGTCCTGGGGAGCGCAATGCAGAAGCCTTGTCCTTCATAGCGCGCAGGGCGATACTTGATCGATCGAGTCTTCCCACAAGTTGCTCTGCACATAGTCTCGCCTGTTACACGCAGGTCGCCGAGAATGCCTGTTTTTCGGATACCCGTCCCAATCGCCAGCCCCCTGACCGCTCGCGTCTCCGACGTGGCGACGTCAAGGTTGCAGCCCCGAGATGACGACCCGGCAAAGAAGCCCGATCCGAAGCCTGAGACAACAAAACCCAGTACGGCGAGCATCGTAAGTTGGCGGCGGCAGATACCACCCAAGACCTTGTGAATTTGAGGTTGAAGACGTCTGACATCCTCTCGTCATAGGCCGCTGCTGCCGTGATTGTCGGTATCATTGCCATCGTCGCCGGTGTCATCCTCCTGCGTTTCGTCCGTAGCCGAAACCCGAATCCCAAGTACATTCCGACCAAGTACCTCAAGGACGTATGGACAAGGTGGAAGGTTCCAACTCGGGGCACCCCCCACGCCTACAAGCAGACGGGCGCCGACGATGACTCGATGCGCCAAACCAACCTGGCGCGGCAGCAAAGCCTCGGGGACGAGCTGACTGAGACCCAGGCTGGGAATGGAGCTGCCGGCGCCCCCGCCGTCGACCGCAACACATCGGTTCGCAGCGTTATGACACTCCCGGTATACCGGCCCAAGGCGACAGACACGGAGCAGGTGCTCGCTCGGGAGGGCGAGCGGGACGGCATTGATGTTGTAGTGGAGATGCCGACAGCTGAGGACGACGAGGCACTGCGCGAGGAGGAGATGGCGGCACTATACGGGATCAGAGCCGCTAGGCGGCGGCAGATTGCCGAGCGGGAAGAACGGCGTCGGCTACGCCGGGAGGCCCGCGAGGCTAATAATATCGTGGCCCTGCAGGAACTGCGGGACCAGGCACGCGGTCAGGCCTCCCGGAATTTGGAGGAGATCGAAGAATTGCGCCAGGGCCACGAACGCATCCGAGAGACGCGCCAGCGCGCCGTCAGCAGCGTGTCTTATGCTGACCTCGGAGTCGTGAGAGCCGATGGCACTCGCCTCCGGGCAAACAGTAACGAGAGTGAGCGGATGGGTCTCTTGAGCGACGCGGCGAGTATCGGTGCCTCGACGGCCTCTGGGAGCCTGTTCCACCGCCGAGACAGGAGCGGAAGCTCGGCCCTCAGCATTGACACGTCCCGTATCAACGACCAGCTTGAATCCCCAGGCCTGACGGCCACCGGGAGCTCGTACAGCCTGGCAAGCACCCCGGGCGCTACGGGGCGCTCCAGGGCGAATTCGGGGGTGACCACACCACGGGCGTCGAGCGCCACGACCCGCGCAGGATCGAGCCCTGAGATCATCGATGCCGAAGATGTGGACCTTGGGGACACGAGTATGCCGCCTCCAGGGTATGAAGATGTGAGCCTGGACGAGTTTACGCCTGCTCCTTCAGGGCGGAACAGCCCGTACAACGAGCCCCCGCCGGACTATCCCGGCCCCGCCCAGGTAAGAAACAACAGGCTGTCAGCCCAGATGGAAGATTTGGCGACACAGGCACAGCCGAACGATGCGAGGAACGGCCGCTCGCCGAACGGCACTCCGCAGCTGCCGAGCCTGCGACTAGATCTGTTGCCCCAGATTGTGATCGAGCCGTCGAGTGCACTACCCCGCGCAGACGAACGATGATATCTGCGTTTGGACCAACGTTCCAGTTTGGCTTTTTGAAGCCCGAGGTAGCAGGTTGCGAACCCCCACCATTTTAAGGGCGTTGGGGGCTTGAATGTGGTGGAACTTTTTTTGGACACTCCGGGAGCCCAGCCTTGCCGAGTATTGAAGACAGCTACGACATGCTGGAGCTTGTACACACCTTTTTGCCTTTTTCGTTCTTATTTTTTCATCCTTGTCAAAATGTCTTTGGAGCACTACGCATCGTGGTATGGCTGATTGAGTGATGTGTGCAAACGATGAGAGACGTTTAGGAGTTTTTTTTTTTTTTTTTTTGGGCGGCGTTGTTGCTGATTAAGCCTTGTTTTGCATCCAAGTCAGGGGATGGTGGATCTTGGTTCCTTTGGCAGTTAGCCCCTTTTACGCTACTGGTCTTGTTCAGGTTTGGATATTCGCACAATATGCGAACATGTGGTGGATATCTCTATGTACATACTATATAAGTCGTAAAGATAATTGTTACATTTCTCACCTGGACTTCTAACTTGGCGCTGAGCTGCAATGTTTGTGCCTAGGGTTTCCTGACGTTTGGCTACTTTCACTTGTCTCTTTAGACAAGATTCTATGCACTCCAATCCCCGTGTTTATTGGCGCGGTACTAGGGAAGAATAAAGGTTATGGTGCATGAAGGGGCGTTTCTAGGAAAGAGATAGGCCTCGAGGATTCCACACAGGGTCTCAGAGTTACCGCCTCCGCTAGAGAAACCTTTGGGGAGAGCCATGACGCTCCAAGGTTTTTTATATATAGGAAAGTCTGCTGACAATGATCTTTCAGGGGTTGGACTATATTTGGCTTTATATCTATGACCGAGAAGGTTGACTTTTGTGCAGAAAACCTTCTTGCCTATACGTTCAAAGCATCACCACGGGTGCGTAACTATCTCGATTATCTAGTCGTAATAATTATTGGCGGTATGTGTTTTTCCTAGAGAAGTTGAGATTTTGATCTTGAGATTTTGATCTTGAGATGTCTGAGTACGCAGTGTGTCTGAGTACGTAGTGCAGCACTTGCTATGTTCACTGCTGGTGTCTGACCGTGCTGCTCTCGCGTGTCTTCAATCAAGGATTCACCAAGCTCCGACACCGACATGGCACGCACCCCGGGAAATCACTGAGCCGCACTAGATGACATTATGACCGTCAATTGACATACGGATCGCTGTACTGCCATCACTGCCGTCTAGCTGTGCTGCCCAGTCAGGCCGCTGACGCCATTGAAGCAAATCGCAATTCCAACACCTGAACACCTTAAAGACAACTAAAACACAGTCACGGCGCTCACGTTGCCGTTCTTCAGCACCTCAAATACTAGCCCCGGAAAGCCGTACAGCGTCGTGGTCGAATCCTCGCTGCCGTCAGCCTTGCGCCCGACGCCCGGCGTGGCGCCGCCGCTCTCCTCCCAGCCGCCCAGGAGCTCGCAGCTGCTGCCCGGGCTGTCGCCCCAGCCGCGGTTTAGCACCATGCCACGCTGCCGCTGGCGCGCCTCGTCCTCGGACGCGTAAATGGACTTCCACTCGTCGCGCAGGCTCTCCTCGATCTCGGCAAACGGCGTCTCCGAGTTGACACTTCCCTTCTTGCCGCCGTCACCTAAACCCTCGGGCAGGTACGGAATCTCCCAGCGACAGCGGCGGTGCCGGTTGAAGGGGTACGAGCCCGGCACGTTGGCGTGCAGGATTATCTTGGTGGCCACTAGCGGGTTCCACGCCTTGAACTGCACGTCGGGCAGCTTGACGCCGTCCTTCTGCTGCGTGGGCGGCGGGCGCGAGGGTGCGGTGGGCGGCGACATGAGGATGTCGAAGCCCATGTAAAAGTAGTTCCAGAAGCACTCGCCCGAGGCGTCGACGGCGGCGTCGTCCTCGACGGCCTCGTCGTCGTCGTCGTCGTCGTCATCGTCGCCGCCGCCGCCGCCGCCGTGCGAGTCGTACTCGTCCGAGGCGGCGTGCGACGACTGGTCCGTGTCGGTCAGGTCGAGGTTGTCGAGCTGGCGCGCCAGGTCCTGGCCGTCGGGGCGGGCGACCGTGTTGCTGGCGGCGCGCAGCTTGTGGATGTACATGCGCTGGTCGTTCTTGCGGTAGATGGCGTCGGGCGGGCCCAACTCGGCCACCAGCTGCTGGGGCGTCGTGTCTCCCAAGACCAGCCAGAACGAGTTGTTGGTCCAGCGGCGGAACAGCTGCAGCTTGCCGCCGCCGTAGATGCGCACCAGCGAAACCTCGTCGGGGCACACGTCCTTGCTCTTGGCAAGCGGCGCCGTCATCTTGATGCTGGGCAGCACCTCGGTCCACATGGTCTCGCGGGCCTGGGCCCACGAGTCGCCGCTGAAGACGGCCATGGAGGTGGGCACGGCCGACGACGACAGCAGCGACACGACGTCCTTGGACGGGGCGTAGTTGTCGCGCTTCATGGTGAAGGTGAAGGCGACGCCGGGGTACGACAAGACGTAGAGCCCGGCCGAGTCGCGGTCGTCGGCGTCTGGTATAAACTCCCCGTCGTACGTGGGCCCCAGGAAGCGCTGGTAGATGTGGCGGAACGTGGGGCCGGCGGTGTCGGGGTGCGGCGACGCGGGGCTGGCGGGGTTGGGGTTGGGGTTGGGGCTGGTGCTGGTGCTGGTGCTGGTGCTGGCGCTGGCGCTGGTGCTGGCGGGGCGCACGAGGTCGCGCTCCTTGTCGTTGGCGGGCTTGAGGAAGATGTGGGTGCGGGAGAAGTCGGTGACCTCAATCAGGCGGAGGCGCTGCTCGGGGCCGTCGAAGCGCAGGCGTAGGCCGTTGGCGGGCAGGCCAACCATGACGGGCTCGCGCACGGGGTCGGAGGGAGTGTAGTAGACGTCGAGCTTGGGGAAGCGCTGGGGCTCCGCCTTGAGGCGGGTGAGAATGTCATGGAGAGAGGCGCCGAGAACCAGGAAGCCCAAGGCGCGGCCGGGATGGAGCTGGGCCGAGAAGAGCGACATTGTGGGTGTCGGGGGTGGTGGTTGTTGGCTCTCGGCGGGGTACGAGGGCCTGCGCCGGCGTCGAGACGAGACGAGACGGTGGCAGGCTGGGGGCGAGGCACGAACCGAGCATAGCAGTTGGGTGCTATTTAAGCCGTCGATAAGCCTTCAAAAACTTTGATGCCAGAGGTTTGGCGAGAGGCAGAGAGTCAAATGTCGAGACAAAGCCGCCCGCGGCGAGTCTGGCACTGGCACTGGCACTGGCAGAGCTTCTCGTGATCGCGGCACGGGCAGCGGCGTTCGGTGTGTCATCTGCGGCAGGTATGGAGGGGCTGAGGAGGGGCAGCTGCGCAGCTGCCTGTGGCACCTAATCTAGTGGGGCGGGCTGGCTGGCTAGCAGTTGGTGGGGGGGCAGGGAGCAGGTGGGCAGTTGCCCGGGCAATGGCGCCCGCCATGTTGTCGCGCTTGCATGGAACGGGGAACCCCGGCAAAATTCTGCGGATCAACACGCGCACTGTTCATCTGCGTTGAGGCACAGGGCCGATTGCAGCGCCAATCCGGCAAGACTGGGCCCATCACGTCGGATTACTGCCATCCACTCCTCATCCATCATTCATCGCCATTGATCGATCAATCGTGACAATCGTCGCCGTTGCAAAGTCAACAGACAAGCAGTCGACTGAATAGTCAGTCAACAACCGGACAGTACCGAATAGTCAGTCAACAACCGGACAGTACCGAATAGTCAGCCAGCAACCGGACAGTACCGAATAGTCAGTCAACCGAACAGTACCGAATACTACGGAATATCGAATAGGAACAACAGCTCCATGGAGCGAAGAACTGCCACGGCAAACGCCAGGCCGAGCGGGACGCGCACAAGCATGCGGCCGCCATCTCGGACCACGTCGTCCACTCGTCAGGCGTCGTCCACACGCCAGCCGCCGTCAACGCGCCAGCCATCTTCTGCCAGACCAGGACGCCAACCATCCACATCACGACCCGGCTCCCCAGACTCGGTGCTGTCGGCCGGCGGCAAGCGCAAGGACCGAGACTTTGAGACCGACGAGGGAGAGGCTACCAACATCAACGTCGTGGTGCGGTGTCGCGGGCGCAACCAGCGCGAGGTGCGCGAGAACAGCGCCGTGGTGGTACGCACCGAGGGCGTCAAGGGTAAGCTGGTGGGGCTGGCCATGGGCCCGGCGGCGCTGAGCGACAAGACGTACAACTTCGACCGCGTCTTCTCGCCGGCGGCGGACCAGAGCATGATCTTTGACGACGTGGTCAAGCCGATCCTCGACGAGATGCTCGAGGGCTACAACTGCACCATCTTCGCGTACGGGCAGACGGGCACGGGCAAGACGTACACCATGTCGGGCGACATGAGCGACACGATGGGCATGCTGGGCGAGGAGGCGGGCATCATCCCGCGCGTGCTCGACTCGCTGTTCAACCGGCTCGAGATGGACGACCGCGAGAACTGCGTGCGCTGCTCCTTCATCGAGCTGTACAACGAGGAGCTGCGCGACCTGCTGTCGGCCGAGGACAACGCCAAGCTCAAGATCTACGACGACAACTCGCGGAAGGGCCACCAGACCACCGTCGTGCAGGGCATGGAGGAGCGCCACATCACGAGCGCCACCGACGGCCTGCGCTGGCTGCAGGAGGGCAGCGTGCGCCGCCAGGTGGCTGCCACCAAGTGCAATGACCTGAGCAGTCGCAGCCACACCGTCTTCACCATCACGGTTCACGTCAAGCGCGAGACGGATAAGGGCGAGGACTACCTGATGGCCGGCAAGCTCAACCTGGTCGACCTGGCGGGCAGCGAGAACATCCAGCGGTCGGGCGCCGAGAACAAGCGCGCTGCCGAGGCCGGGCTCATCAACAAGTCGCTGCTCACGTTAGGCCGGGTCATCAACGCGCTGGTCGACCGCAGCGCGCACATCCCGTACCGCGAGTCCAAGCTCACGCGGCTGCTGCAGGACTCGCTCGGCGGGCGCACCAAGACGTGCATCATCGCGACCGTGTCGCCGGCCAAGAGCAATCTCGAGGAGACCATCTCGACGCTCGACTACGCCTTCCGGGCCAAGAACATCCGCAACAAGCCGCAGCTCAACGCGCTGCTGAACAAGAAGACGCTGCTGCGCGAGTTCACGGCCGAGATTGAGCGGCTCAAGGGCGAGCTGATCGCCACGCGCCAGCGCAACGGCGTGTACCTGTCCAACGAGGCGTACGAGGACCTGTCGGTGCAGAACGAGTCGCGCCGCATCCTGACCGAGGAGCAGGGCGCCAAGATCGAGACGCTCGAGAGCAATCTGCGCAACAAGGTGCACGAGTTCTTCACGCTGACCTCGAGCTTCGTCGGGCTCAAGAAGGAGCACGACGCCACGCGCGCGCTGCTCGACGAGACGGCCGAGGTGCTCGACCAGACGGAGCTGGTGCTGGCGGCCACGCGCAAGGCGCTGGCCGAGGAGGCGCACCTGCGCCGCGCCCACCAGGCCACCGAGGAGCGCCTGGCGGCCGTCGGCAGCACACTCCTGTCGACGCTGCAGCGCACCGTCGGCGACGTCGGTGGGCTGCACGCCAAGAACAAGCGCAAGTCGGACCTACAGCACCTCAACCGCAGCACGTGGGCCATGTCGCAGGCGCAGGTCACGGGGGTGACGGAGCTGGTCGAGGGCCGCATCGACGACCTGCGGCGTGGCCAGGAGCGCCACATCGCGGCCGTCACAGAACGCGTCGGGGCGTTTGTGCGCGACGAGCTCGGCCGCCTGTCGTCGACGCAGGCCGGCCTCGACGCGCACGTCGGCCGCCTCGCCGACGCGCAGGCGCAGCTGCTGGCGCAGCGCCGCCGCTCCAAGGACGACATGGACGGCGTGCTCGGCGAGATCAAGGTGGTTCGCGACGCGGTGCAGCAGCGCGTGGGCGGCAGCCTGCAGGCCATCTCGGGCGCGGCCGAGCGCATCGCCGGCGGCGTGCTCAGCGAGCTGGCGGCGTTCCACGGCCAGCTGCACGCCTCGTACAGCGCCGTCGGCAAGGACTTCAAGGCCGTGTTTGACGACTTGCTGCAGCGCTTGGCCGACCAGCGCGCCGAGTCGGCGCGCCTGCGCCTGCAGCTCGAAGGCGCCGGCCGTGGCGTGGTGCAGGCCAGCGCGGCCGCCGCCAAGCGCATCGGCGACGCCGTGGACGAGGAGCGGCGCCAGGCGGCCGCCGAGCGCCAGCAGCTGCTCGCGCAGATCACGGCGCTGGTAAACTCGCAGGCCGAGCTGCACGAGGAGCGCCTCACGGCCAAGACGGCGCAGGTCAGCCAAGCCGTGGCCGAGTCGGGCGGCGCCTTCGAGGGCAGCCTGGCGCAGTACTCGGCGGACATGGACGCGTGGGGGGAGCGCGACGCCCGGCTGGTGGACGAGGTAGCACAGTCGCGCGACGCCATCAAGAACAGGCTCAAGGACGACTGGACGGTATGTTTCCCTCTCATCCTCGTATCTTGATCAGGTCAAGCTAACTCTCTCTCTCTCGCAGGCGGCCAACCAGCACAGCACGGCGATCCAGACAACGACACAGTCGGTGCACGCCGAGACGGTGCGCGTGGTGGACGCGCAGATACGCGACCTCGGGGTGCAGATGCGCGACCTGGACGACTTTGTGGCACGGGCGCGGCAGCACAACGCGGCGCACCACAAGCAGCACGCAGAGGCGGTGCACGCGCTGTCAACAACCATCGAGGGCGCCATGGACGACGTGGCGGGGCGGTTCCGCGACGGGGCCGGGCGCGCGCAGGCGCTCGGCGACGACGTGGTGGCCGAGGCGGACGAGCTGCGCAAGTTCCTGGGCCCGGCCCTCGACACGGCCGTGTGCCTGCCGCTGGCCAGCCTGCGCGAGGACATGCAGACGACGGGGCTGCGCGAGTACGAGCCGACGGGCGACACGCCGCAGAAGACGCAGTACCGCTACCCGACGGAGCTGCCGCACACGGCGCCGCACGACGCGCTGCTAGCCGAGCTGCGCGACAACCTGGTCTCTGCCGACGCGGACGCGGCGGTAGATTCGCCGCCGGCGCGCGCGTTTCCTGCTACCGTCACGCCGACCATCTTCAGCGATACGCAGCTCTCGCCGGCGGACCCGTCCGCAAACTCGCCGCAGCCGCTGCCCAAGCGGCGGCACACGACGCAGCAGCAGCAGCAGCAGCAGCACCGTGACATGGCCGCCAAGAACACGGCCCTCTCTATGAGCCTGCGCGAGGTCAACCTCAACGTGACGGGCGCGGCGGCAGCAGTGGCGTCGACATCAGCATCGTTGGCATCGACAGCCTTTGACCACGCGTCGCTCGGCGTCGCGACGCTGCCCGCCGCCGCCGCCGCCGACAGCACGCTGCCGCTACTGAAGCGCAGCACGAGGAGCCGGCCGACGCGCCTGGCGCGCAAGGTGGTGGCGTCGGTGGCCGAGGGCGTCGAGAACATGCCGCCGGTCGACATGTTGGGCGGTGGCCGCAGGAAGAGCCCGCGGCTGCAGCAGTAGTTGGTGTGTTTCTAGCCTGGAGTTGGGCGTGTCATGGGATTATCTTATTATACTGGGACTGGGATGAGGGAGTCTGGCTTGGTTGGTTCTCTGTTGGGGTTGTTGTCATGGATCACTTGCGTTGCTGTAATTCTCGTATCGAGCACTGATACCCTGCCCCGTGTGGGCCTTAACTGACTGGTGCGGCTTGTGCTGCTGTTGACTACCATCGTGTCTTGCTGAGTTTGGTGGTGAAGACTTGTTAAGTATGATGTCTATGTAATTACCCCCAACCCACCTCCCCGGGCCGGCCGGCTGTGTCCTGGCGGGAGGCGCCGTCGCCGTTATGTTTTTGCACCGAGACATGACGCCGTCTTGCTCCAACACAATTTTGCCAAGATCCAGCAGCCCTCGTCTGGCACCCGAATCTTGATCACAACTGACATGCTTCCGCCAGCCATCCGGCAGCCGCTGTCGGCTGACTCCTCACGCCGCACCACCTGTGCAATCCTGACGGTGGCCGGTCGGGTAATGCAAGCTACTCAACAATATCAACAATAACATTCAACTGCGTCATGGTAGTCACGAACCTCGGGACCCAAGTGTCGCCACTCGACCCCAAACCGGAAACAAAAAAGCCCACTCAATGCACGGCAGGAAACACAAATCCTCGATCGTTGGGCGGGCGAGAAGCCGCCCACCGCAATTGGGCAGCTCGGATCACCGCGGGGTCGGCCGAAGGCACCTTGGCACGTCACGTCGTAACGGCGAGCGACCGGCTTGCGGTTATCAGATAGGGTCGCCGTCGACAGATGTGGAGCAGGTGAGCGCGCCCTGCCGACGACTAGCGCCCGACGCCCGGGCTGGGTATATGAACCGGTTCAACGACGGACGGTAGAATTATGAGAATTGGGGAACATAATCATTCATATCTCGATTTGGTCTTCTACCAATTATCATCTAGACCTAGGCTGCTAGTTCACACCAATTCTGTCAACCCCTATCAGCCCCTATCAACACCAATCCATCACACCAACACCAGCACCATCAACGTCAACCCGTTGTTACCCCATCAACCCATCAACCCATCAACCCATCACCACATCAACCTCGACATCAACATTGACATCACCAGCACCAATGTCCGCCCCAGACCTCACCAGCTTCAAGGCCCTCTCCTTCGACTGCTACGGCACACTGATCGACTGGGAAGGCGGGCTGGCGGCCGACCTAGCCCCAATCCTGTCGCAGCTACCAGAGGGGCATGCGTGGCGGGCGGAACCACTGCTGGCCGTCGAGCGCTTCGACACGCTGTCCAACGAGCTAGAGGAGGCGCAGCCCGCACAATCCTACGACGAGAACCTAAGCGCGTCGTTCGTGGCAGTGGCAGACGAGGCAGGCGCGACCGCGTCGCCTGCTGACGCAGCGGCCGTCGGCGCGGGTCCCGGGCGGTGGCCGGCGTTTAGCGACACGGTGGACGGGCTGCGGCGGCTGGCGCGGCACTACCGGCTGATCATCCTCAGCAACGTCAACGAGGCCAACATCAGGGGCACGGTGGCGGGGGCGCTGGGCGGGGCGCGCTTCGATGCAGTGTACACGGCCGAGGCCATCGGGTCGTACAAGCCCAGCCACGCCAACTTCCGGTACCTGTTCGCGGGGGCGCAGCGCGAGTTCGGCGTCGACTGGGAGCGCGGCGAGCTGCTGCACGTCGCGCACAGCCTGACAGCCGACCACGTGCCGGCCAAGGAGCTGGGGCTGCCGAGCGTGTGGATCTCGCGGGGCGCGCGCGACGGCCGGTGGGGAGTGGGCGGGAACCAGCGCGAGCTGTCCGCGCAGAGCAAGGTGGCGTTTGGCTGGCAGTTTGAGACCATGGCCGACATGGCCGACGAGGCGGACCGGCAGTTTGCGGCAAAGGCAGAAGCCAAGTAGTGTGGTTGTGAATAGTAATGATATGCACATGTACTGGGTGCTATGCTTATTCGCGTGGTTGTTATTCGAATGGTTGTTCCGTACATTTTATGACAACATGCGTGCAAGCAAGTACGTGTACTCGGTTATTCGTGTGGTGTGCCGATATTAATCTCAACACGCATGCATCTGGCAGCAGCAGCAGCGGCGGCGGCGGCAGCGGCAGCAGCGGCAGCAGCGAATCATCCCGACTCGTCCTTCATAGACAGCCCGTCCTCGCTCCGCCGCCGCGGCGACGCCCGGAACGTCTTCCCCCGCCACCCCGACCTGGTCTTGATCTGGTGCAGAAAGCCGTCGACGTGCACAGCACCGTCCACCTCGTCCTCGCTATCGACATCGGCGTCGGCCACGGGGCCCCCCCCGTGCTTCTCCTGCAGGTGCCTGCTCAGGTTGTCCTTCCGCGAGAAGCCCTTGACGCCGCGCGGACAGTCGGGCCACGGACAAAGGTACATATTTGCACTCTCGTGAGTCCTCTTAATGTGCCGCGTCAGGTGGACTGTGCGCGAGAATCCTTGCACGCCGCGCGGGCAGTTAGCCCACGGACAGAAGATCCCCCCTGCGGAGCCCGACCTGGCCGACTGGTCGCTGACCTCGACGTCTGCTGCGGCTTCGCTGACCTCGACGTCTGCCGGGGCTTTCCCGCCGTGAATCTCCCGGACGTGCCTATTCAAGTTGCTCAGCCGCGAGTAGCCCTGGACGGCGCCCGGACAGCCGGCCCAGGGACATAAGAGACTCCCTGCGGGGCCGGGCGTGGACGGCCTGGCTGCTGCTTCTGCTTCTGGCAAGGACGGCCGCATGCTCTGGCGGCTTACGGCGCGGGGCTGATCCTGTTCGCCGACGTCTGGCACGGCTTTCCCGCCGTGCACCTTTCGAACGTGCCGGTTCAAGTTGCTTGCCCGCGAGAAACCCTTGATGGCGCCCGGGCAGCCGTCCCACAGACAGCGGTGCTCTCCTGCGGGGCCTGGCGTGGCCGACTGGCGGTTGGGCGTAGTTGCTGGCTCTTCTGTCCCCGAAGACCGCCGCATGTTCCGGAGGCTCACGACGCGGCATACGATGCGGCTCTGCTCCAGCTCCTCTTCGCTGTCATCGGACGGCGGAATGTCAATGGGCCCGGGCGAATACGTCGCCGACAGCATGCCGTGAGCGCCTGCGGGCTGCTCCAACAGCGTGTGCATCGTCATGCCCTGTCCGAACAGTGTCGCGCACCGCTGCGTCGCGCGCGTGATTACAGCGGGCGAGAAGCCTGCCATTGCTGCCGCGCCCATGACGTGGTGCCAGTCGCGCGGCAGGCACTTCCGCACGCGGCCCTCCACAATGCTCTGGTCTGACAAGACGCTCGACGCCCGAGACGCCGACCCCCTGCTCGCCACGCCCGACCGCGAGCTGGCCCGGGAGTCCGGCGACGCCGAGCGAGACTGCTCGGTGCTGGCCCGCAGCGCAGCCTCGCGCTCCGCCTCCTTCTTTTCATGGTAAAAGTCGGGCAGCCGTTGCTTCCGCTCCCGGGCGACCCTGACCAGCATGTCCTGCTCCGTCTCGCCCTCGAGCGGGATGACGGCCTTCCTGGGCCGTCCCACCCTCCCTTTCGGCGGCTGCTGTATCGGGGCTGGGCCGGTCTTGCGCTTGGGGGTTGCGTGGCGTGTGCTGCGCTTCCCCCGCTTGATTGGGCTTGCGTCGGTCTCGGTGCCGTCTTCGTCGCCCGAGCGCGGCCTGGACGCGCGCGCGTTGTGGAGGATTGTCAGCGTCTCGTCGAGCTTGGCGAGTATGCGTCGGGATGCTGGTCGCAGCAGCGCGTAGGACTGCGCGTCGTCGGCCGACGGCACGACCGTGTAGGCTGGAGCTGCCAGTCGGTGCCGTCGAGGCGTCCTCGACACAGACGGCCTCGACAGGGACGTCCTCGACCCAACCGTCGCCGACTCCTCCTTGATGCTCTCGGTCCTCAGCCTCTTGCTCCTATCGCGGCTGCGACCCCTTGAGGGCGGTCTGCTTTCAACCTCCTCTTGGTCCTCATCCTCGCCCTCCTCATCCTCTGCCTCCTCGTCCTCGTCCTCATCCTCGTCCTTCGCCTCCCCCTCATCCTCGTCCTTTGCCTCCCCCTCATCCTCGTCCTTCGCCTCCCCCTCATCGCTCGTCTCAACAGACCCCACCGCCGGCGCCTCCTGGCTGCGCAACCCCCGCCGCAGGAACCTCTCCTTGGCGAAGCGCAGCATGGTGGCCGACACCTCCTCCTCGAGGTGGCTACCCGGAAACCCCGGCGACGGGCAGCGGAACGTCGCGCGCTGGTGCTTGTCCAGCGTCCGCGGTAGCAGCTCGTCGCTGGGCACCTCGTCCGCGGGCAGCGGCCACGCCGTCCAGCGCTCGCCCACCCACTTGCCGCGCCGTCTGTCCTCGTCTTCGTCCTGGTACACCGTTAGCAGGCACACACAAACCAAGAGAGGGGGCGGCTCACCTGCTGCCCCCGACGGCCCCGCTTCAGCGCAGCAGCATTGTACAGGTGGACGGCGAGGTCCTGGGCGGTGGCGGTCTCGAGGGCCGCGTGCGTCTTGCGGTCCTGGCGTGTCCACGATGCCCAGGTCGACGGGGCGCCGGTCCAGCGGTTGGGCCGCCGCTCGTGCAGCTCCTCCGAATCGAGCGACCGTATTTCGTCCGTGTCCAGATCCCAGTCGTCATCGGCCATGCTGGTGATGCAATCGCTGCGCCTTTACCTCTGCTGGTTGCAGCTATCGGACGGTCGCTAGCTTTTCTTTACTAGCTTTCCTTCTTTCCTTCTTTCCGACTCGACTGCACATCGAACTGGCTGCGTTCTGCCGACGAAGGTGCAGTTACGAACGGCAGCTCTGCATACCTCGTCGCTTCGGTTCGGCGCACAGCAGACACAAAATTTGAGTTCGAATGGAGGTTCACGAAATGGCAGCTCTGCATACCTCGTCGCTTCGGTTCGGCGCACAGCAGACAAAGTTTGAGTTCGAATGAAGGTTCACGAAATGGTTCTAACCCTAACCCTACCACTAGCACAGGATGAATCAGACAGGCACGATGCTGACAGTTGAGGACATGCTGTAAGAGATCTCTACTGTAAAGTGTAAACTGCTGGTAGCACCCACGTGTAACAGGTAGGCAATGCCTAGGTATTAATCTTGCCTCTGGCGGCCCTCCAGGACCCTCCAGGGCCCATACGGCGGGCTACTCGCTGTGCTTGGGGATGATATGTACAGGCGCAGGTGAGTGGAGGCACTAAATGGTAGGCAAGGGACACAGCAGGCAAGACCGAAAAATAAATAAAGTAGCATCAACGAGGTATCTACATCACGCCTTCTTCGCCAGCTCCTTCTCCATCTTCCTCCGCTTCGACCGCAGCTTCATGTCCTCGGCGCTCTTCTTGTTGTTAGTGTACTGCATCTGCTCAAACAGCTTGCGCTTCTTCTTGCTCAGCATGCCCTTGGCCCGCTCCAGGTCCTCGGCCTCCTCACGTGTCTTCTTCTCCAGCGCCTTGCGCGCCTCTAGCTTCGCCTTGGTCTTGGCGTCTACCGTCTTGCTCGCTACCGCCTTGCCCGCGATCTCAGCCTCGAGCTCGCGCTGCCGCTGCAGCGTCGCAGGCTCCTCCTCGTCCTCCTCGTCCTCCTCGTCCTCCTCGTCCTCTTCCTCCTCCGACAGCTCGGCGGCCGCCTCCTCCTCGCTGTCGTCGTTGCCCGACTCGACGTCCATGTCGTTGTCCACCTCGTCGCCCTCTGCCTCGTCGACCTCGGCAAGGTCCGCGTCGAGCGTCTCGGCCTCCGTCTCCTGCACCTCAAGCGGCAGCGTGGGGTCGTACTGGCCCTGCGCCGTCTTGACAAAGGGGCTCAGGTGGGGGGGCAGCGGCGCGCCGGGCGCGTATAGCTCCGGGCTCTTGAGCTCGTCGTTGTTGACGCAGTCCCAGACCCACTGCGGCTGCACGTACACGCGCCCCGGGTACCGCTGGTTCGGGTCCACCTTCTGCGACGTCTGGTTGTCCTCGCCGTCGCCCTCGCTGCTCATGGCCGCCTGCACCACCGGCCGGTCGACGATCTGGTGCGTGATTGCCGGGTCCGACTCGTCGGTTGTGAAGGAGCCCTCGCCGAGCACAGAGTCCCAGCCTATCCGCTTGCAGCCAAATGCCCGCAGGATGAACTCGAGCGGCTGCCGCGGCGTCTCGCGCGACAGGAAGAAGGTCATCCCCGCGAACAGCTCGGCGGGGTCGCTGCTGCTGTGCGAGGGCTGGGGCAGCACGTCACCGCCAGGCGCCACCGGCTCGAACTTGTCGAGGGCGTCGCTGGGCACCTCCTCGGCGTCAACGATCACCTCGGACTCAACACCGGGCTCCTCCTTCAGCTGGCGCACCAGCTTATCGACTGCGGCCTGCAGCATGGGGTCCGGGCCGTACTCAGCGTCGCCGCCTACGGCGGCCTTGGCGCCGTTGGTGGCAATGTTGACGCCCTCGAGGGCAAAGGCGCCCAGCTCGGCGCCCTGGTCGTCCTTGAGCTGGTCGAACTTGGGCGGGTACTTGAGCCCGATGGACGTGTACAGGCGGTAGTTGACAAATCCCAGCAGCGTCATGTAGAACTCGACAAAGGTGCCCATGATGCGGAAGTCGACGTCGCCGACGATACGCTGGTTGAACTTGTAGGGCACCAGCCACAGGATGTCCTCGCCCTGGATGTTGGCCTGGTAGTAGATGCCCTTGATTGAAAGAAACGACTTGCGCAGGCCGTGCGAGACGATCAGGTAGTGCTCGAACTCGAGGCACAGGCGCTCGCAGCGGGCAATCATCTTGGCGGGCACGGCCGAGGTCGACGGCAGGTTGGCGAACAGAAACAGCATAGACAGGCAGTCGTCCAGATCGCGCAGCGCGTCAGCAAAGGTCGGGTAGCGCTCGCGGATGACGTGGTGCAGCGTGTAGCGCGGCTTGCCCGTCTTGTCGGGGCGGGCAGCGCTGCGCTCGAGGCGAGAGGCATCCGTGACGTCGCCGCGGCCGAGGGCGCGCGAGATCTTCTTCTCGAGCACCTTTTGCTCGCGGAACTTTTGCAGCAGCGGCTCGTGCAGCAGGTACTGGACGTCCTTGGTGTAGTAGAAGGTGGTTGATGCCGTTGCCGACTTTGACACCTTCTTCTTGTTTCGGGGCTCGCGCGGGTAGATGCCCTTCCAGATGCAGAGTTTGCGGAAGTCGGGCAGGCTGAGCTGCAGCTTCTTGACCGCCTGCGTGCGCGTCAGGTAGTTTTTGGCCTGGCCGGCCTGGCCTCTCCTCTTTATCTTGGCCATGGTGGCTCGATTGGCCGCGGTGTGTGGTGGAGGAGGTGTGTTGGTGGTGGTGGAGGGCGTGTGGTGGTGCCGTGATGTTGTCTTGCAGCAGCACCAGTACCCGCGGGGCATAATATTTGGCGGTGATCTCAACTTTTTTTTGCTGGACTTTTTCTGCCGCCGCCCACCGCCGCCCACCGCCGGATAAGATAAGTCTTGACAGGTGGGTCCAGCAAGCCAACCGTAACGGAAACTACGTATAACGTACCAGGCGGGCGACGGATACGGAATGCATTACCTTAATTACTTACTCCAGCAGCCCCGTGTAGTCCCGGCTGGCAGACAGCTCCATCGTGGCACCAACTGGCATCTCCGAGTCTCTCCACCCACGACACATGTTCTCGCGACGGCACACTCAATGGACGGCGGCAAGGTAACCCCGGGGAGGACGATGGCGCTGCTCGCCGGCGCGTCGGTGCTGCGGCTGGCCATGTTCACGCTCCTGCCGGGCCTGCCCGACCTGCTCGCGGGCCGCGTCGAGATCTCGACCCCCGTCACCAGCTTCAAGCGCCGTGAGCACCCCCCTCCCAATGTCTTTGACTTTGCGTCTACCCATACTAACCCGACCGCTGCTGCAGTGCAAGAGGGCCTCTTCCTCTACAACCACAACGTCTCGCCCTACGACGGCGGCGTCTACCACCAGGCGCCGCTGCTGCTCCCGCTCTTCTCGCTGCTGCCCAGCTTCGCCGCCTTCCCGCTCGCCACCTATATGCTCTACATTGGCGCCGACCTGCTGAGCGCCCGCGCCCTGCTGCGCATCGCCGGGTCGGGCGAGGCCGGCGAGTCGGCCCTGTTCGCGTCGCCGCGCCGCGAGAAGCGCGCGAGCGGCCTGGTCGTCGCCGCCCTGTAAGCCGTGCCTGCCCCCTTCCCTGCCCCTGCAGTCTCCCTGCTGACCTCGCAGCTTCCTGTTCAACCCCTTCACCATCGCGTCGTGCGTCGGGCGGTCGACGGGCGTCTTCACGACCTGCGCCATCCTGCACGCCATCGCCCGCGCCGTGTCGGGCGCGCCGCTCGGCGCCATGGTCGCCCTCTCGTTCGCCGCCTACCTGTCCATGTACCCGCTACTCCTGCTCCCGCCGCTGCTGCTGCTGTGCTACGACCGGCAGCTGTCGAAGCACGCTACGCAGTCCCTGACCCAATTCGCGACGACGCACCTGGCCGTGGCCGCGGGCGTGCTGGCGGCGCTGTTCTGGATGTCGTTCCTGGTGGCGGGGTCGTGGGAGTTCCTGCCGTCGACGTACGGCGTGCAGCTGACGCTGTCCGACCTGGCGCCCAACGTGGGGCTGTGGTGGTATTTTTTTGTTGAGATGTTCGACTCGTTCCGGTCCTTCTTCCTGGCTGTCTTTTGGCTGCACCTGTCGTGCTACGTGGGCGGGCTCACGGTGCGGCTGCGGCGCCAGCCGCTGGCCGTGCTGACGCTGCTGCTAGGCATCTTCGCCGTCTTCAAGCCGTACCCGAGCATCAGCGACACATCGCTGTTCCTGGCCCTGGTGCCGCTGTACCGCCACGTTGTGCCGCTGATGCGCTACACCTTCGTCGTTGCCGCCGTCATCATGTACGCCACCTTCCTCGGCCCGGCCTTCTACCACCTGTGGATCTACGCCGGCAGCGGCAACGCCAACTTTTTCTACGCCATCACGCTGGTTTGGGGGTTGGGCCAGAGCCTGCTGGTGTGCGATCTGACGTTTGCCGTGCTGCGCGACGAGTGGGAGGTGGAGCGGCCCGAGATGGTGGGCAAGGAGATCCGGCAGATATGAGCCAGCCCGTAGTCTGCGCGGCTGCACTATACGCGGCTGCACTATACGCAGCTGCACTACAACTACACATGTACAAGTATCCAAAAGACGAGGTGGTGTCCAACGGTATCAAAAATCATAGCATTGAGAGGGAATCTTTGTCTAGCCTTAGCTTAGCCTGTCCGGCCGCTCCAGAACGCCTATAAGGTGCAACCCATTCATTGTTTTTGTTTAATAACGGCGGCCCAGCGCCCCCGAGAACAGGGCTCCTGCCGCCCCGAGCCCACTGAGCCCTGCCATTGGCACGTGCCATGAGTGCAGAGGTGCGCCAAACGACGGCATCCCGCCCGCGCGGTAGAGGAAGACGCCGATGTTGGCCGCCAGGAGGGCCAAGCCAGCGCTGGCCGTGACGACGAGGGCGTCGCTACCCTTGCTCAGCTGTATTTGTCTCTCGTCTCCAGACTGCCGGACCGCCCTTCGCTTCCGTCTGGCTAGCCAGCGGTGCCACTCCTCGCCGATGCCGGGAATGTCAAAGATGAGCCCCTGCGCAAAGCGTGCGCCGACCTCGAGGAATCCACCGCCGCTCCTGCTGCTGCCGCCGCCGCTGCCGCTGCCACTGTTGCTGTCGTTGCTCGCCTTGCCGTCCCCCCACGGCAGCACCTCGCCCCCGCCGTCTGGGAAGCATTCCCAGCGGAACGTCTCGACAAACTCGCATAGCCTAGGGTACGCGGCGCGCATCGTGTCGCGCAGCCACGGCCGCGGCACGTCGGGCACGAGCATCAGGGCCAGGTATGCAAACGCCAGACAGCGCGCCGCGGCCGTGGTTCTCGGCTCCCCCGCCTCCCAGTCCACCTCGGCCAGCACGTCGAGCACGTCCTTGGCGAGCCCGCCGAGGCGGATGCGCGCCGCCTGCTCCGGGGCGAGGGCGTCCCTGACCGACCGCGGGGCGCGGCGCAGGGCCGCAGGCATGTGCACCCACCCGCCGGCGCCGCCCGGAATGTCCTCCCTGCCCTGGCCGCTCTCGGCGGCACTGGTCTCGGCGTCCGTGTCCAGGCTCGACATGCCTAGGTGCTTAGCGCGGCGGCCCATGGCGGCGCGCACGGTGGGCGGCTCGGTCCACGGAAGCGGGAAGGGGAGGATGGCGCTGTAGGCAGGCCGCGTGGTGGCGGCCCAGTTGGCCGACGACACGTAGAGCGAGAGCGCGACCAGCGGCGCGGCGTGCGCCGTCAGGAAGGCGGCGTATGCGGTGCTGTCGGCGTGGCGTGGCGGGCTGGCGTCATTGAAGCTGGGCGGGGGGTGTGCGCGCAGGTGCGACGTGATGGGCGCGAAGCCGCTGGCCCATGTGTCGGTGGAGGGGTCGTGCAGGGCGGGGAGGTGGTCTGGCTGGGGGTTAGCTGCGGCCAGGTGTAGTTTGGGGTTGGGGATGGCTCTGGACGAACGTGTGGGAACGGCCGAGGGACTGGTCTGCACCAGACGGAATTCGGCGCGGCTGGTAGTCTGCGTCAGGTATGCGATGGCGGCCAGACACTCGGCATCGATGGACGGCAGGCCAAAGGCTGGCCCCCACACGTGAAGCTGGAGCATGGCAGGTAAAGGGTCTGGCGATTCGATGCGCCGCGAAACGTCCAGAGTCAAAAGTGATGCGGCAGCTGAAGACTCGGACTGACAAATGCCGTGTGTATTGTATGTGCCGTGCTACCTAAAGAGTCGGCGACCAGGCAGAGACAGCAATGGAGACCAAGCACACTCGGGCGCTATAAAATTCGCGATAATGGTAACTGCATCTAGCTTGCTAATTACAGATGTACAGACTCATCAACCAGACGATGCGACGTGATGCCGCACGACCCACAGCACGAACCCACGTGACGATGGCGGCGATAGCGATAAGCCGGAGACTTCGCCCCGCTCTGCAGAGCTAGCTAGCGCCGTGCGCGGGCGCCACTGACGAAATGGAATTCAGGAGGGTGTGCATTGGTGGGGGTGATAGGGCAAGTTGGGATGCTGTTTTCTGGATGCAATTACAGACGCATGCGACGGCACGCCCGGGAGAACAAAGAGGGTATAACGGACGATACCGGCATCCCTTTGTGCTCTGCCCACTGCCTCAGCTGCAAATTGCAACCCCCGTGGCACCAGCACCAGCACCAGCACCAGCACCCTCGCCTGTTAGATCGTCTCGGTTTGGGTGTCTGTCTCGGTTGAGGTGTCTCGGCTTTTAGGGGCGTTGATATTACCTCGCCCTATCCGTAGCGGAACAGCCAGACACGGCTAGGTTGTTTCAAGAACACGAAGCTGCGCAACCCAACCAAGGCCAGCCACCCCTAAACGACACGGGTAGCTAATTCCAAAGCTATGGGCTTGCGGAGCGACGGCTAATGCCCGATCGCCCGTCATGTCCAGGGGCAGCACTGACAATTCTGGGACGGCACGGCTCTGGCTGCGAACAAACTGGAATTGATCGCCGCGACGCAGCCTGGTCGTGCTGGCCGTGGATTTGGCAGCTCTCCCACCTAGAGAGCAGAAACCGAGTCGCATCACGCGTGTCTCAGTACGAGTCGCAAGAGCACAATTTCAGATGGAGCCAGATTCGCATTCCATGATGCCACTTGTCGGAGAGTCGCACCAGGGTGGAGCTGGCCTCGTAAAGTCGCACTCGCGTCAACCCCCACCGAAAATCAAGGCTGCTGCAAGTCATGACGGCAATGCGTTTCAACGGATGGCGGCGTCCTACAGTGGGAAAGTGCCGAGGCTGCCGGTACGCGCAATCACGGGTATGTAAGCAAATGTCTAGCAGCCAGCCAGCACAGCACATCAAAAAACAGAGAACAGGACTGCACAGCAAATAAGACACAGCGGATAGGATTAGATGATTATCGTTGTGGTATTGTAATAGCAGCTAAGGTAGTTGGCAGGCCCTTGCCTGCCCATCCGATTCCAACACCAGTTCTCCTGAAGATCCTACCCCACATTCCATCATAGCCAGAGGCAACACGCCTCGGCGGGGTATCGGCGCATAATTGCAATAATTGCAAACAAGCTGTTGTACAAGAGACTCAAAAGTCCCAGAAGGGCGGTCCCGGCTGTGGCTTGAAATCGTGTAAACTCAAAGGCGAAACGGCCAATTAAAAACTTGATATCCGTGGTGCAATGAAAGCGCCCGCAGGTCTGGCGCGAATCGAAAGGTGGAAATGGAGAGAAAGTCGCAAGTCCCTCGAGCCGGCTCGGGAGCAAGACGGGGAGGCTGTGCGTCGTGGTGGTTGCGAAAGAGCCGGGGCCGTGCAGCTCGGCTGTCGGAGCTGGCTGCTTGCGTCGGCCAACCAGACAGCAGGCTCGACGGGCGAACGGCTGTATCGGACGGGCTGAGGGGCTGTGCGGCCGCAGCGCTGGGCATGCAAGAAGCAGTGGCGTGCAGCGCGCGGGCGTGCGTCGGGAACCAATAACGGGAGAGACACCGATGCGCGGGGGCCGGCTGCAGTCTCGCGTCGGTGACCGGCGATGGGGATGCGGGCAGTCCGTCGCAATCAATAGATGCTAACAGGACCTGGCGACATAATGATATATGGCAAGGAGACGTAGAGGCGTCGATTTTGGGTGCGGTCACCCGCCGGTCTACCCTCGCTTGGGCAGAGGGGGCAGGGGCCGACTCGGCGGCGGGCCGGGGCACGGCGGGAGCTGCGAAGGGCGCTGGGCAGGCATGGCGATAGTGATTCGGGACCGTCGGTGGAGGGCCGGAGAAGCCAGCGTGCTGATTGCTCGGGCGCGGAGGGGATCCAGTGTGAGGAGAGCCGGGTTTGGTTGTTGGGCGGTCGAAATGGTTGAGATGGTCGAGATGGCCGAGGCAGAAGTGTGCGAGTTGAGGTCTGCGAGTTGAGAGGTTGCGAGTTTTGATAGTCTGCGAGTCTGCCAGGCTCAAGTCTTCGTCTGCTGGTCTGTTCTGTCGTTTGGTCTGTCGTTTGGTCTGAGGGAGAGCGCTAGACGTGGGGAGGAGGAGGCTGCCTTATGTAGGTAGGGGACTGAACTCGAGATTACTCCGGCCAGAATGGACAACAGCTCGCGGACAGGCTGGAAGGCGGGCCCCTCTAGGACTTGTGGGGCGTAAAGTTGGTATGTACCTGACAGGCAGCGTTTTGACTATGCTGGGACATGGTACAGGCGAGGTACAAGGCACAAGCACCAGATACAAGGGAGGCAGCCAGCGTGCCGCACGCTACGGCTGAGAGAGATACAAAAATAAAGTTGCGCAAACCACGAGCGAGGTACCCAGCCCGGGTGGGCCGCAAGTTGCGGTGACGCAGCACAAGCAAAGTGTCCACCGCGAAAATGAAACACAGCAGCACGACCGGGGCCCCTGTCGTTAATACCGCTGCCCCTGTCGGGGACGCGAATTCTGTAGCGACAGACCTGCCACCTGTTCTCGGTCATGCTCAGCAGCCCGGCGCGGACGCTGCAAATAGCGGTCGCCTCTGCTCTGCTCTGCTCGGCTGCTCGCACGCACACCGTCCCATCTGTCAAGGTTCCTGCTTCGGCGATTGGCGCCGGCGGTTGGGCATCACTCTGCCCGGTCAGGGTCCCGGTCAGGTCAGGGCACCTCAGGGCACCTACGCCCGCATCCGGGCAGGGGATGCCGCGCTGGCCTGAGGGCAGCAGCGACGGAAGCGCCCGCGTCGGTGCGCTCAGCGTCCAGCCTGAAGGGCAGCACTTTACGCGGGTGGGCGCTGACCAAAACGGCGTTCCACAGCGAGCTGAAGACGGCCGGAGCTGGTGGATGTGGCAATTTAGCGCCGCCCGCTGGTGCATGTTCTCTCTACTGCTGTGCCCGCTGCTAGAAGCCTCGTGGAAGGTCCGAGTTCCCCACCTCCAATTTCAACGTTGCCAGCGCCGCAGCACTGCGCACCAGGGGAAGTGGGCCCGCTCCAGCGGAGAGAAATTTTGCTGGCTTCATTTCAGGGCAGCAAAATTTGAGCTTCTGCCGAGCACAGTCTCAGGGGCCGAGGCAGCCGCAGCGCGCTGGAGCCGCATAGGGGCACAGACGGGAGATTTGATTTCTTAACAATACACGATCTAGACCTCAACCTAGAAAAGAATAAAATAGCACTGGAATGAGCCGTGAAACAAACTGGCGGTCTGCGGCCGCTACCCGAAACCTTTTTACGATTGACTTTTCCGCTGTTTGAGAAGCTGCACTTGGCAAAGGCTCCCGTTGGGCAGCCTCGGGGGAGTCGCGAGATCTGATTCTGGGCAGCTGACCGGCCGCTGCCCTGTTGCGACGACCGTCCGGTGTCAGTATCCCTGCCTCGTATCCCAGGCGAGAGTGGTGTGCTGCATTCTGCTGGTGGCTTGAGTTGGACAATGGCCCTGATTCCGTTGGCAGCCCGTACTCCGTATGATCAATCACAAATGCCTGACAGCAGCTTCCGATACTATTAGAGCGTGCGTGGTCACATCATTTGGTTGGCGTCATTGTTTCAGTCCGCGGATATCCGTAGCACGGGCGAGCATGCCTCATTTGCGTAGTAGTGCGTAGTGTGTATGTACTCAGTGCGTAGGTAGGTATTTTCCAGGAGATTATCGGCGCCCGAACGCCACAGGACTTTGGGCGTCGGCGTCGTGAGGCTGGGAAGCGCCGTATTGTCTCGGCCGCACTCGCTCAGCCTTCTCCCCGACCGGCGATGCCGACGTCGCAGACACGAGCGCGCAGAACCAGCAACACAGAAGCCATCGCCAGCAGCTCCGTTGCACTTGCACGGGATTGCACCAGAGGCAAACGGTTCCTGGCTCTGGACGTGCACGCTGACAAGGGGGAGCGGAACGGGAATAGCGCCCTGACGCTATATCCTAGCAGCCGCTTCGGCCCTCGCGGAGGGTCGGTGCTCGACACCACCACGAAGACGACGGTCGTGACGACGGCGACCTGTCCGCCAGGAACAGGCTGACAGCGCGCAAGGCGATTGGCCTGAGGCCCGACGCAGCGAGCCCCGCGGTCGCGCAAGGCTATCTCTTCCCCACACCACGACACCACCTGCTCACCACAAACAGAGTCGCTCGCCGGAATAGATTGGCCAGTAGGTCAGACGGACAAGTGGGGAGATTAAACTGGTTCCCTTTGCGGGAACCCGCGGACGAACCCCACCACCACGTTGTTTGTTGAGCCCTGGGCATGAGTCACGATGCGCTGGCAACGGCACTACGCTACCCACCTAGGAGTTGTCCTTTTGCAGGTACTGTACATACAGTACATACCAACCTAGTATCCGTACCTCCGTCTGCGTGAGGCTCAGGCCCGGGGTCAGCAACAAGATCGTGGGAGGATCAGGATGAAACAGGCTGCTCGGGCACGTCGGTCTTCCAAGGCAACAAACGCGCACGGCCAACAAGAATGTGACGTGTAAGTTGATGCGGTTGAGCAGACGAACAAAGCAGCCGAAACAATGGTGGTGCCCGCTGAGAAAGCCCGATGAAAGAGTTCTGAGGTGAGACTCTGGCTTCCAGGCGCTTGCAGCGCCGCGCAGCCAGACGCACTCTATTCCGTACCTTCATTGCACTGCAATACATTCCCCATGGGCCGTGGCTGTCCGTGCCCGATTCGATTTGATTTGCGCGCGCCTCGCTGAGTGCACGGGCACGAGCCGCTTGCCATCGAGCGCTAAACCGCTGGCGCGCTCGTCACACTCAGTTGACGGCTGACCGAATATAGTGCATTGTGCCTGAGAGTCCTACGTGCCTGGCGGCTAGGGTCCTCACAAGACTCTCGGTCTTAACAAGACTCCCCAGACGAGTGCGGCATGGCAAGCGATGTCTGCGCCGTGTAGCCGTATATTTTTGGAGCCCATGTCCGACGCAGTCGCGAGGCTGTTAAATTGGGCTGGAGGTGCGCGGGGGCGGGTGCTAAGTGAAGGTGGCACAGCGCCGTGGCCTGTCGGCTGACGGCAAACACCAGAAATATCTCTCGGAGTCGAGGGTACCTGTCAAGCAGCTTATTATTCCTCTCATGCGCCAATGCGACCATCTCTATCCTATTTGCGCGCTCACCCAGTGGCCGCTGAATAGAGATTTGAATTCTGCCGCAATGCATCTGACGGTGCGTAGTGAGGTGCGTACGAGGTGAAGCGTCCATTCCTTGACTGGATATTGTCTCAATCTCAGTCTCAGTCTCAATCTCAGTCTCACCAGCCCACGGAACGCCAACAAGCTGTAGCCCAACTACATACCCCGCTCCCGAGACAAAAGACAGATTGCTCTGTTCGGGGACTCCGGGCGATTCAGAGGCACGAGAGGCACTATCCTCGCCATTCTCGCCAGCGCAATAAATGTGTCCACTGTCCCCAACGCCAACATCCGCAGCGCCTCGTGTGCCGTCCCAGAATAGACAGGGGCAGCTGCCATCGCGGGCGACGGGTTCGGATGCCACAGCTGGGGGTACTAGTGCGAACCGTGCATGACCCAGCAGCTTGGAACCCACCAAAGCGTCGTGGGACCGTCAGGGATCCGCTCCACTTCACAACGCTGGCGCCGACGATGCTGTCCACGTCGCACGTGGAGGCGGCGTCGCCTGTCATTCACCGTAGTTCACCCTCACAGTATCCGTATCCTCATAGTATTTGCTCCGTGCTGAGTAGTTCCTGAGCATGTTGCCTGACTCTCCTGCAGCGCACCGAGCCCAATGTCTAGACCAAGAGGACAATACTCTCGAGCCAGCCCCCAAGTCTCTGCCGATCAGCTTCGGCTCAATCCTTCTGTCGTTCGTCAGCGCGGATTAATAATTTGATGACCTGCCCAAATTGGCGACAGAGTGTTTGGTCATCTGACCCAAGCCTGCCTGTCTCGGCTGCGAGCCCTGCAACCATAGACCCGGCGGCGCTGGCGCGCAAGCGGATTGGCTGGTACTCCGCAGTGTCGACACTGACACTACGTAGTGTAGCCTCCGCACAAGACTTCCAGAACACGGAGAAGCGCGAGTCTGTCAAATCATGTCCAGACTTCAAACTCCCCAGTCACACCGCCTCAAATTGTCTGGCCGCTCGGCTCTACTCTCTACGCTACGCTCGAGAGTTGAAACAGGCAGCCGCGGTCTGCTGCTGAATCTCGCAAACACGGCCCCGTCGCCGGTGCTAGACGAGTCCGTCCGAGCAACTGCCGAGAGATAGCAGAAAGAGAGACCTCGTAAACCACTGATAACAAATGTGACAGGTCTCGTGCATCAGGTCGAGTCCTCCGTCCCTTTCCCCGTAAAGAAGCGTTCTCCAGGCTGCTGGCTCGCACCGCGGGTGGTGAGTGGACGCCACCTGCAGGTTGGGCAGCCCTACGGCTCTGTTGGGTCTCGCCCAGCACCAATCCCCAAAGTGCCCCTGCACCCAACGCACACGATTGCGCAACTCTGCATGCACAGCCTGGTGTGGTGTAAAAATGGCTGTGCTGCGCCTGCTGACGGCGTCTGGCACGGCAGGCAGAGCGGGGGAGATTTGGGCCGGCCCTCTCGCCGCCCGCGCTGTTATCATGGTCCTGCAGATGGCATCACTCGGGATCCCGTGCGCTAGCATAGTGAAGCTTATCGGTGCACCGCTTTATCGGCGCAAGGGATGGGTTTGCATATCGAGCCTGACATCAGCAGGACATCGCGACAATCGGCACTTGTTCAAGCAGCTCTAGCAGCTCGAACAGCAAAGGGATCAACGGCACCCAGTTGCCGTATAACGCGGTAAACCTGTTCCTTGTTGCTGCTCCCGTTCTGTCTGCCCCTGTCCAGCTGCATCGTGGATGACGTCCCGAGGCAGTAAAGATAGGCACCGGACGTCGGGGGGTCGGGATGCTAGTGACCTCATACCGCAAATTAGTAGTTTCGAAAGTCGAAAAGAGGCATTTCTCGGCCAGCTTACGGCGATCGCTCTCCGCATTCTGTGTATGTACGTGTGCCTACGGCTTGCATCTGATTTGCAATTCGTTAGACGAAGCGGCGTCGATACGGGTGCTCGGCGGATCTTCCGGAGAGGTGCGAATCGAGACCAATTGACAATTGACCGCGCTCCCTGGCCAATCACGGCACGGCATCGGGACTGAAAAAAGAAAAGACGTGAAACGCCTCAATTCCAGTTTAGCAGTCCCCGCTCGACCCCAGCCAGCCCCAGCCAGCCAGCAAGCGACTCTCAGGGCCGAAGCCGAGGTTCTCCCACAGACCACCACCACAGTGGAGGCTTTCCAGCAAATCAACGCCCTGCAGCATAGCTGACCAACCCCTGCCACCACGTGGGAAACAGGTCCCCCTGGCGATCGCTGCAAAGGGACGCTTTGGGAATCACCCGCTTGCACACAGGCCTCTCGACTGTCAAGATTTTTGGTCTACAGCGGGCAGCTTGGGATCGCAGCTACCCAGTAAAAGAGCACAACGCAGAGAAAAGGGGCAAACGAAAGTCGAGACAGCAGCGTGCCCGTCGATTACTCCGTCTGCAGCAGACGGTACTGCAGCAATTTCCTCGCAGCTGCTTCCAAATCAAAATCAACCGACACATCACAAGCAATGGCCCGGAATCAAGGGTGGAGAACCCTGCGGGGCCTAATTAGGGCGGGAAGCGAGGCCACAGACTGCCGGCCGGCTCAGTAAGTAGTGAGCAGTCAATCGAAATCAATCAGACCAGCACACGCACGGGCAAGAGAGAGGCGCACGCGAATGACGCTATTTCTTTCCTGTGCTGCGCCGCCACGTCCGATTTATTGTTACAGCGACACGACCAGAGCGGCATTCTCCCGGCTCGTGTCCGTCCTCGTGTCTGGCGGCGTAACAAGGCCCCTATCTCGTCCATCCATCCTCCCCGATACTCGATACTGATGGCATTCTGCCGCAAATATTTCTCGGATCCTGATTCCTGCAATGTGGGGGTTCCGGGGCCAGCATGAGACGTGCAAATTCGGTCCCGGCAAATGGTAAATTTGGCAGCGCGCAGGACAGCGGGCTGCAAATTAATCGGTGCAAGCTATTCCTGGCTCGGGCACATGATTGTCGCCCGGGATAGACGAGGTCCTCCCGCGTGCCTGAGGCGCGGGATGATGCCTGGACGCCGGCTGCGAAAATTTGCTCCCAAAATTTGCTCCCAATTTCAATATCAAGCGTGCAGCCAAGTGACTGCAATTTCTTGGTTGAAGATGCACATCAGGCGACCCGGCTTGCGGCTGGCCGTCGTCCTCAATATTCACTGCAACATAGGGCGATGGCCTGATCGCTGTCGGCGGCCAGATCGAGTGCGTGGCCAATATTTGCTGTGGCTTGAAGATGGGCAGATCTCGACGACGGTCAGCTAGTGTGTCCCAAGCAAGGCAGGCCAAGATTGACATTGAGGCCGCGCAATAGGCCCATCCGCAGTGCAACCAGGCTGGCGGTCGACCGGGCACAGGTTCCCTAGTGTCTGGGCATTCAGCTTGCAATCAAGGTTATGTCATTGCGCTCGCTAGTGCACGCACCAGACCGCGATGCGGCAAGGCGCGCTCTATCACGCTGCGGGCGATTCGTGGGGAATGTGACAGATGTGACGGACGCGCCGTCCCAGACTCCCAAGACCGCACGGCCGGGTCGACAGTAGAGGTCACCTGGACGTAGTGTTTCTGATTAATTCGGACGTGGACAACTCGGAACCGCAGCATGAACTGCGGCTAGCGCGATGGTTTCGTTTGACGCTGGTGAACTTGCGGAGGTACTATTGGCGGTCGACGCTGCGCAGGGGCCGTGTTACATGTTCCATCCATGATCGACACAAACATTTGCGATCCCCACGCCACGCAGCGTCATGCCATCCCATCGCTGCTTTGGGACCTCGCTGCTTGGAGCACGGAGCACGCTGTGATGGCATAACTGGTCACTCGGTCGTCTAGTGTGGGTGGTGGTGCGAGTCAGCGGCGCAGAACCGACCTGGCCGAGCTGCCCGCATCCTGCCCGCATCCCGCCCGTACCATAGCAGTAGACAACAAGTATCATACAGCGTATCAACATAGCAGACAGCATAGCATAGCAAGAGCTAAAGCTTCCCCGCGGTCACCTGGCCCGCAGGAGTGCTACAGGGCCTCGTCTCCTAGACCGGCTTCAGGCAGCTGGGTGAAGGTGATCCAGTTCTCCATCATGGCCCGGCCGCCAGGCTGGCCGGTCTGCGATAGATTAATGTTTGCCGGCGCGGGCCCGCTACTGCTCCCGCCGTCGCGTCGCTTGACCACCAGGCAAAGGACGCGCCCGTAGATGGCAAACCCCTCGTACGATATGTCCATGGCCGTCTTCTTTTTGTCGTCGGGGTCCTGCTCCTTCTCCCCGGCGGCCGCCGCCCTCTGCTTGCGGCGCTTGGGCGGGGGCCCGGATCCTGTGTCACTGTTGTCGCTCGCGCTTACAAACAGCTCGTCGCTCGACGAATCGTCCGAGCCCGAGTCGATCGTCTCGACGTGCACGCCAGGGCCAGGCTGGCTGGCCTCGGCGACCGCTCGGCGGCTTCGTTTTGGCCGGCGATTGGGCGGGCTGGGGCTGGGGCTGGGGCTGGGGGCTGTTTCATCCGCCGCGGGAATGGCGTCGAGGTCAACGTCATCCTGATATTCGGCAAGGATCGGCACGTCGTCGGCAGCGTCTTGGAGGTCGATGGGGGCCTCGCGGGATGCGCCCGTCAGGCGCGACGAGTTGGACGTGAGCTTAGTCTGCACCTTGTCGCGGAAGTGCTTCTGTTTGTGCAGCAGCGAGTGCCGCGTCTCAGTGCCCGTCAGGAAGATAGACACCTCAAATTCATCTGCGCTGCTTAGCGAGTGGCGGGGCGGTTGTGAGGCGATGCCTACCCTCTATCACGACGTCCTTGATGCTCCGCTTCTTGTTCTTGCGGCTGCGCTCGCGCTCCTTCTCCTCGCGCAGCTTGGGCAGCACGAGCGGCCGCACGCTCTCGATGACGCGCGGCAAGACGGGGTTCCGGGGGTTGAGCAGCCACGTCTGGGTGAGGGCGGGATTGTCGAGGTATATGCGGCATTCTAGTACCGAGTATTTGCTAATTCTAAGATAGCGGCGTATCGGTGCCATAGCTGTCGTTTGCTTCGGGGTCAACAATAGTGCTGGTTGGCGATAGTTGTCGGTGACATGAGTTTTGGCGATATGTTTGGGTGACAATGGATGTCAAAGACAGTAGTTGTCAGATGGGCATTCAGACCACCTGCGTGACTCGACGCGGTAGACGAAGCTCAGTGCGGGGTGCTGACGCTGTAGCCTTGCGGACGGGCTTAGATTGCAGGGGCAGGTACAGTACATACAGCTAGCGCCAATTACAGTGCACTGGACGATAGCTAGCCTCGAGCTGCTGCGTCGCGAAATTTTATCGCAGCAAAGCTTCAATCGCAGCAGCAAAACACCACCGGCTGCGATCCCACTATGCAGCGTGCGAGACCATGTCGAAGAACTGGGCATCGACGCTGAGGCTGCCCAAATCGACATTTCCGTAAGCTCTGCCTCCATCTCCACCATGTGCGTGCCCTGCCGCTGACCGCCCAAGGCCGCGTCCCCAGGGGCAACTCCGGGACAAGTACATCCAGCGATGCGCCGACGATCTGTACCGGTGGCAGGCCGCCAACCGCCCCGCCGACGGCGAGTTCGTACTACACGATGGCCCGCCCTACGCCAACGGCAGCCTGCACGCCGGGCACGCCCTCAACAAGATCCTCAAGGACGTCATTCTCCGCGTCAAGGTCCAGCAAGGTATGCACTCTGCGTCAGCCATCGCGACCGGCCAGCCGTGCTGACACATCAGGCCGCCGCGTTACGTACATCCCCGGGTGGGACTGCCACGGGCTGCCCATTGAGCTCAAGGCCGTCGGGCCCGGGGGCAGGCGCATGGCGCCCGGCAAGATCCGCGAGGCTGCCCGCAAGCTCGCCACTAAGACGGTGCTCTCGCAGATGAAGAGCTTCCGCACCTACGCCGTCATGGGCGACTGGGAGCGGCGGTGGACCACCATGAACATGGCTTTTGAGATCCGGCAGCTGCGCCTCTTCCAGCGCATGGCCCGCCGCGGGCTCGTCTACCGGAAGTACAAGCCCGTCTACTGGTCGCCGTCGTCGGGCACCGCGCTTGCCGAGGCCGAGCTCGAGTACCCCCAGGGCCACGTGTCCACCGCCGCCTATGTGCGGTTCCCCATCGTCGGCGACTACAGCCGTCTACCCGGGCTGCAGGGCCTCGACGGCCGGCTGTTCGCCGTCGTGTGGACGACGACGCCGTGGACCCTGCCCGCGAACCGAGCCATTGCCGTGCACGACGACCTGGCGTACCACATTGTCCGGGCTGGGAACGACGCCGTCCTGGTTGCCGAGGGCTGTCTGGACCGCGTCTCGAAAATTCTCGGGGGGGGCGAGCCTGACGTGCTCGGCACGTTCCAAGGCAGCGAGCTTACCGGTCTGCAATACGTCAACATGCTCCGCGGCAAGTCGGCCACCCCGCAGCCCGTCATCCACGGCTCATTTGTCACGGCCGAGTCGGGCAGCGGGCTCGTGCACTGCGCCCCCGGACACGGGTTCGAAGACTACGTGGCGTGCAGCGCGCTCGGCATCCCCGTCGCGGCCCCCGTGGACAACGACGGCCTGTTCACCGACGAGGCGTACCCAGACGACCCCGAGCGGCTGAGGGGCGTGGCCGTTCTCGACGGCGGCAGCGCGGCCGTGCTCGCGCTGCTCGGCGACGCCGTGCTCGACGTGCACGAGTACCGGCACAAGTACCCGTACGACTGGCGGACCAAGCAGCCCATCATCGTGCGGGCCACGGCGCAGTGGTTTGCCGACGTGGCGTCGATCAAGGAACAGGCGCTCGAGGCGCTCGACGAGGTGCGCTTCGTGCCCGAGGGCGGCAGGAACAGGCTCGAGGCGTTTGTCAAGGGCCGCAGCGAGTGGTGCATCTCGCGGCAGCGCGCGTGGGGCGTGCCGATCCCCGCACTGTACGACGCGAGCGGCGAGGCCGTCATGACTGAGCAGACCATCGACCACATCGTGTCCGTCATCGAGGAGAGGGGCACCGACGCGTGGTGGACCGACGCGCCCGGCGACCCGGCCTGGATCCCCGCCGCACTGGGCAGCGCGGCCGGCTACACGCGCGGCCGCGACACGATGGACGTGTGGTTCGACAGCGGCAGCAGCTGGACCATGACGGACCGACAGGCCGACGTCTACCTCGAGGGCTCGGACCAGCACCGCGGCTGGTTCCAGTCCAGCCTGCTGACGCGCGTGGCGGCCATGGCGAGCCAGACGCCCCCGAGCACGGCGGCGGTTGGGCTATCGCCGTTCAGGACGCTGATCACGCACGGCTTTACGCTAGACCAGAGCGGCAAGAAGATGTCCAAATCGCTAGGCAACGTCGTGTCGGCGGACCAGGTCATGGACGGGTCGCTGCTCCCGCCGCTCAAGACCAAGGGCGGCGGCACGTCCAAGGACGCGCTCGGCCCGGATGCACTGCGGCTGTGGGCGGCCAGCGGCGACTACACGCGCGACATGGTGCTCGGGCAGCCGGTGCTCAAGGCCGTTCACCAGTCGCTGCTCAAGTACCGCACCACCATCAAGATGCTGACAGGGTCCATGCACGAGTCGGCTCGGACGGCGCCGCTAACGGTGGTCGACCGCATCGCGCTTCTCCAGCTCCAGGACGTCATGGACGAGGTGGGCCGACACTACGACAACTACGAGTTCAACAAGGCGCTCGGCAGCCTGAACCGGTGGCTCGCCAACGACCTGTCGGCCTTTTACCTCGAGGCACTCAAAGACCGGCTTTACTGCGCCGACGGCGGCGGGGTGGTGGAGCCGATCCTGGCGGGCCTGCTGCGCATGCTGGCGCCCGTCACGCCGGTGCTGGTCGAGGAGGCCTGGGACCACCGGCCGGCATGGCTGAAGCAGGACGCGGCGGCGGTGCACCCGCTGCGGCAGCTCTACTCGGCCCCCGTCATCGACGCCAGCCGCCTCGCGGGCGACGAGGCGGAACTCCGCGCGGCGGTGCCGGTGCTGATGGCGACGCACGCGGCTATCAAGGCGGCGGCCGAGGCGGCGCGGGTGGCCAAGGCGCTCGGGTCGTCGCTGCAGTGCGCCGTAGTCCTACGGGTGCCGAGCGGCGCGGCGCTGTCGGTGCTAGACAGGTACCGCGACGAGCTCGAGGCCATGTTTGTCGTGTCGTCGGTCGAGCTCAACGGCGCCACGCCTGCCGACTGTCCGTTCTCGGAGGACTTTGAGGTGGGCGGGACCAAGTGCACGGCCGTGGTGCTGCCGCCAAAGCAGCCCAAGTGCCCGCGGTGCTGGCGCTATGTGGCGCCGGCCGAGGACCAGCTGTGCGGCCGCTGTGAGGACGTCGTGGGGCGTGTGGGGCGTGAAACTACCCGATAGACCTGTGTATTATGTAGATGTAAACTTGTATTATACAGTACGCGATAGACAAGACGTGCAGTCATAGATACCCGAGACGCTCAGTTTTCTTTCGGAACATTCTCCCAGTCCATCTAATCTATCCAGTTCCTTCCAGCTCCCTCAATGCCTGATCTTGGGGTTGATTACCTTGCTGTACACTGTAGACAGGTGCCAGCATTCAGGGTCCTGCCTCAAGCCGTGGTGGAGCAGGTCTACAGTAGTTGTGAAGTCGGTATGTATCCGTATTACTAGTTCGATCGAGCCTCGAGCTGCCCCACCAAATTTCCGATAAGCTCTTATCGCCCCCATCCAAAATTTGTTCGACAGTCCTCGAACCTAGACTAGATTCACGACTAACCAGCACCACACGCCATGGACATCCTCAGGGTCCTCTCCCGGGGCATCAAGAAGAGCGCGCCGGCGGCAGCCCCACCGCAGCTCCCGTCTGCCGGGTCGTGCCCCAACCCGCAGTTCTTCCACGACGACGTCGGCCCCGCCCGAGGCAAGAAGAGAAAGCGCAAGGGCCGGCCCCAGCACGACAGTGCCGCCGCCGCCCACGACAGCGACGGCGACGGCGACGGCGACAGCGATGTGAGCGACGTCGACTACTTTGCGCCCAAGCCAGCGCTCTCGGCCGAGTCCCACACCGCGGCCCCAGCCCCAGCAAACCCCCAGCCCAAACCCCAGCCGCCCACCCCCAAGGCCCGGCTGCTCGACGACGACGAATGCCGCCAGACGCTCCGGTCGCACCGCCTCAAGCTCACCGTCCTCTTCAATCCCGCAGACCAGCCGAAACCCCCGCCCAAGAAGGCTAAGAAGGACAAAGACACAACAGCTGCTGCAAAGCCCAGCCCCAGAAAGGACGACAAGAAGCAGCAGATCTACCCCCAGCCGCTGACCTCGTTCAGTGAGCTGCGCCACCTCTACGGCGTGTCGCAGCAGTTGGCCGCCAACATCACCCGCCAGGGCTTCCGCGTGCCGACTGAGGTCCAGATGGGGAGCCTGCCGCTTCTGCTGCACCCAGAGACGGCCCTGGAGAGGACCGAAGCCCCGCTTGACGTCGCCAGAGGCGTCGATTTTCTGGCGGCAGCCCCCACCGGCAGCGGCAAGACCATCAGCTTCCTGATCCCTGCCATCGACGGCATCCTCCGCAGGAGGGGCGAGCAGCCCTCTGACGAGCACGTGCTCGAGGCGCTCATCGTCGCGCCGACCAGAGAACTCGCCAGTCAGATCGTCAACGAGGGCCGAAAGCTAGCCCTTAGCACAGGCGTGCGCGTGGTCCTCATGAAGAAGAGCCTGCGAGTCGCGGCAGAAGAGGCCGCGCAGGACGCTGACGCTGACCAGGACGCTGACGAGGCTGCTAGCGACCACGGCAGCGAGGCCGAGGCCGAGGCTGAGGCTGCGTCGGGCGAGAGCGGCGGCGAGAGCGGCGGTGAGTCCGACGGGCCCTCCAAGGACAGCCCGAAGCTGGCCAAGGTAGACATCCTCGTGACGACGCCCAAGACGCTGCTCAACTTCCTGGCCGGTAAGGCAGGCGCCAGCAAGACGCTGCCGTCGGTGCGGTCGCTGGTCCTCGACGAGGCCGACGTGCTGCTCGACCCCCTCTTCCGGCGCCAAACGCTGCGCATCTGGCGGGCCTGCACGCACGCCGACCTCGCGCTCACGTGCTGGTCGGCCACCATGGGGTCCAGCATCGAGACGCTCATCGCGCAGCAACTACACAAGCAGGCGCGGCGCACCGACACGGCGCCTAAGCCGCTGGTGCGGCTCGTCGTCGGTCTCAAGGACCTGGCGGTGCCCAACATCACGCACAAGCTCGTCTACGCGGCGTCCGAGGCCGGCAAGCTGCTGGCGCTGCGGCAGCTGCTACACCCCGTGTCGAGCGCCGACTCGGGCCCGGCGCTGCGGCCGCCGTTCCTCGTCTTTACGCAGTCCATCGAGCGCGCGCAGGCGCTGCACGACGAGCTCAAGTACGACATCCCGCTCGAGGCGGGCGGGTCGGCGCGCGTGGCCGTGTTGCACTCGTCGCTGCCCAATGCGGCGCGCTCGCGCATCATGGCGCGCTTCCGCGCCGGCGACGTGTGGGTGCTCATCACGACCGACGTGCTAGCGCGCGGCGTCGACTTTGCCGGCGTCAACGGCGTCGTCAACTACGACGTACCAACGTCGGCCGCTGCCTACGTGCATCGCGCCGGCCGCACCGGCCGCGCCGGCCGAGAGGGCGGCGTAGCCGTCACCCTGTACACTAAGGACGACGTGCCCTACGTGCGCAGCGTCGCCACGGTCATCGCCATGAGCGAGCGCCAGGCCGGCAAGGAGCCCGGCGCCGGCACCGTCCAGCAGTGGCTGCTCGACGCCCTGCCGCGCGTCGCCCGCGACGACAAGCGCAAGCTTAAGGTCCGCGGCGTCGAGGCCCGCCGCACCGGCGGCCGCGCCACCATCACCACCACGAGCGCCTGGCAGCGCCGCCGCGACAACAACAAGCGTGGCGCCATCGAGGGCAGCAAGCGTAGGAAGAAGGAGGCCCAGCGCCAGCAGCGCGACGGCGCGCCTGCTGCCGATGTGGATGCCGACGCCGAGTGGGCCGGCCTGGACTGATCGTCTTGTTGCGATACCCATGATTAGACGGTTGTTTAGTAGTAATCACATCATCTTAACACTGCTGTCTGTCTGCTGTGGTTTGGTTGTCTCCGTGTCGAGCTTCCAGCCCGTAATTCTAGCCTAGCCCACAATTCCAGCCCGGTAATTCGAATGTTGCAGCACCGTCTCCCCCAGGTTGCTTCGAGTTTGGCCCTTTGCCTTCAGCTCCCAGTTGACAACCCATCGATACGGATTGAAGTGACGTGCAGTCTCGGTCTGGCTGAGGTTACAAATCTTGTTGCCCTTGCATGATTTATGTGCCATGTAATTAGGTACTCTGCTCAAGGTTTCGATCCCGCCCCTTTCAGGTTATAACCCAATGATATGAGGGTTACAATGCCGTTCAGTTCTAGTCTGTCTCAATTTTCAACCCGCTTGCCGCTAGCTTTCCAAGCTCCGGGGTCACGGAGTTGCAGCGCCGTTTGTAGGTGGGTTTGCTCAGAGTTGCGGTCGACTAATTGCTGTGATAAAGCCTTGGTTATATGAGTCTTCTGGTTACGTTCACTCCCGGTTGGGCTGGGGTTCCAACCCCCTTTCGTTTAGCTTTTGACCCGCAATTTCAGGGTTATAGTTACCTATATTCATGATGTGTTTGCTCGAGATTATGGTTGCCTTACTACGGTGGTAGAGCCTAGTTCTGAGTCTTCTAGCCACGTTCACCCCCGGTTGAGTTCGGGGTTCAATCCTCTTTTGCTTAGATTCCAAACCGGTTATTTCAGGGTTATATTCCCGTTCGCGATGGGTCTAATCGACGTTTTGATCCACTTGGTTCTAGGTTTTGCCGTAATATTGTGAAGGTTTGGCCAGGTTAGTCCGGGTTTTAATCTTTTTATATTCATTCGTCTACTCTAGGAGCGACTTCCACAAGTTAGATTTCATCACCAAAGTGAAGTATCGATTCTGTTTATACATCCTGAATCTGGCGTTTGTAGTGGCATTCTGAAAATAAATACTATCCGGTCCGAGTGGCTCGAACTGTCATCCACTCCCTTTCTACCTCTAGTTAAGGTGATAAAATGAACACTACTTTCAGTCCGGGTGGGACATAGGTATCCCCGTACCTCCAGTTTCGGTATAGTATCATCAGAGTTATACCTGGTTAGTCTGGTTTGCTCGAGGTTTTATCCCAGCGACAAACTGATATTTTAAGTTGAACCTAAAAAGGTAGAGAGCTGCTATGTCCTATCATACAACACAGCACCGCCGATACATCACCAGACTAGCATGCCTCGACAGCTGGTCCGCTGCTGAGATGAGCTACCAAGCCGAGCCACAACCTGCTAACTCTCACGCATCTGTGATGTTTATATATCGCCAACCTGTGTCTGCGTTCCGCACACGCCATAAAGTTTATTGCTGACAACAACGGCTGACAAGGTGACGGCTGACGGCTGCGAAACGTACCACCTACACCGAAACGGTCTCTCCTTAACGGACCGACCCAGTCCCGCAGGAGACGTTGTACCCAGGGCACGATCCACTATCTCGAGTTACACACGTCTCGCATCATGTCATGTCACCCGCTCACTCCATTCTCTTACGAGATATGGGCCCCATCTCTCGCGTTTTAGATTTTACACGGCATGGCAGCGCTGCAGAGGCACCACAGCAGACGGGCAGCACACCACCAGCCGGCCGGCCTGCCCCGTGGCAATCTCCCCCCCCCCTCCAACGCCTGGACGGCGCGAAGTAGGACTGGCAGAAAGCAGTGAAGGGAGGCGGTCTAAGACATGGCCAAATCTGGAAACGCCAGTGGTTGGCTGCGTCCTCGCCGTACGGCCCGTCCGTACGCCGTTCCAAATTGGGCCCTGTCGGCGTTTGCGATGCTGCTCCCACGCCCCCCTCCCCCTCTCTTGTTCCAGCCAGCCCGCCATTGGGCAGCCGCCGAGTGGATCTGGCAGGACATGGCATGTGAATCTGCAATCGACTCGAGGCAGGGGAGCGAAAAGGGGGGGCGGCGAGGGCTAGCACAGTTGCCAAGACTCTGGGGGCTTTATTGACACCGCGCAGGCAGAAAACAGACTTTCTTTTCTTCTTTGGACCGCACTATCGATGCACACTTTCAAGTCAGTCAGTCAACATGCCTACCTCTGTGCTTCGACTGGCTGGTGCAACGGTGCCCACCCCTGACTCTACAAATGCATATAGGGTGTTGATCTGGACAGGCCTCCCCGCAATGGACCCATGTTGACTGGCCGTGGGATCATTCGTCCAGGAGGCTCGCGGTTCCACGGCATTAGGGTTTGACGCTGTGGGACAGCAGGTGTCGTCCCATCCTTACCTCTTGGAGGGCAGCTTTGCCCACCTCATACAGGCTGCGTGCCTCGTGCTGGGCTCGTCAGCATTGTCTGCCGCAAGGCCAACCAGAGACGGCCATTCCGGACACGCGAGCTCTGGGTCTGGGGAAGCTGGGCAGCATCTGGCAGTCAGACTTGAAACAGCGGGCCGGGCGGGGGTCGTCCCGTCTCTCGGCTGTTCCTAAAAACATGCTCTACTTCCCGTTTACGTTCACAACGAAATCCCAAGCGGCTTCCAGCGGGGAAAGGGGTGGGTCCTGATGGCTCCATCTCGCGGCAAGAGCGTCTATCGGGTCTGTCAGACCGTCGATCTCCAGCCCGTGAACCCTAGCCCGTAGGCCCCAGCCCGTGAGCTCCAGCCCGTCGAACCCTGTCAAGCCTCCGCACAAATGGTCATTACGAAACCACGGCCGGACATGGGTGAACAATAGCGCCTCCGCCCGCAGCTATAGCCGCCGCCACGCGCCGCCCGGCGATCGCAGATTCGTGTCGGCCGGGGTCGTGTGGACGCCGTGGACACATGACGAAGCCCACGACGAAGCTCAAGACAGGGACTGCCTCCAGATGTGGTGGAGATGTGTCGCCCAGAGATGCTCACTCCTGTGCCTCTTGCAGAGACGGGCTGCCTTCGTCGTCGTGACCTGGTCTGGCCAGACCTGCAGGAAATCACAAGCGGCGGAGCAGGCGTCTAGACTCTCTCCACACCTCCTTCGCAGTTCTGCGAGACGTTCTGGCTGACAGACCATCGCTGCGGCCTTGTCGCCCATCCAACAGACCTCGAGCTTGAGGAGGCTCCCATGTCCATCACTGGTAAGCTCGAGGCCAACGCCGCGTCTTTATGGCGGTTGAGCGCCGAGCGTGGCGAATAAAAGCGCAGAGGACGTGATCGACGCTGGCCCGCCGTCGCCGTCTTGTGCAGTGTTGCGATCATGCCACTGGGCCGGAGCGACTAGCCCCCTGAGCGTTCTGGCCCGTCACGCGCAGTTCAGCCGCTTCAATTCGCCCTCGCCAGCTGCTGCCAGGCTGCTGCCATCCTCGTCCTCGTCTCTGATGCCCTCGAGATTGCGACCGACCGGACTGATGACTCGCCGCCAGCCAATCCGTCGCCGCCGAGGCCGCGTGGAACCACATAACGCGGGGTATTGTGCTCAGGTGGCCAGTAGAGGGCCGACTCGTGAGGGGGTTGCGTGGCGATGATCGTTCTGCGCTCGAGGGATGGTGGTCAAAGCAGAGGCGAACTAGGCCAGTGCAGATCGACTCTGGCACGGAGAACACGGGGTGCCGGGCATGGAAGCCCTTGACCTTGGAGACTGAGAGCCAACCAGAAACCAAGGCCGGGTTCTCTCAGTCTCTGAGTGGCCCGTGACCGTCGGGCTCGTGTCTGTCGTAATCTGGCTCAGTGACAAGTCAAGACCGGAAGGAGGCAAAAGATCCACTAGACCTTGGTCAACTCCAGAGGTGTTGCATAGCGACGTCGCCACCAAGCGTCGGCCCAGTCCTGTTTTTGGGACCAGCCGTATCTCGGCCAGTGACGAATGGAAGCGTCTCGCTGCTTGCCACGCAGGCATGGGCCGCAGTCGGAGCCGCAACTTTGGGAGCGCACAGTGTTGGCCGGCAGCTGGCGACGGCCGGAGTCGTGCTTCATGGTAGACGGACGGCGAGTGCCAGACCAGAGACCAGAGGTAGAGACCAAAGGCCAGAGCCAGACGATTTTGCAGGTGCAATAATGACAGACTGCCTTGGAAGTCGCTGGCCTGAGTCTGCACAAGTCGGTGAGTGTTGGAGCCGGCGGAGCCGTCTGGCAGACGGGCTGGCAGCAGGTGGGCAAGGCCTGGGGTTCGACTCTTGACCGCCAGTCCCAAGCCAGCTGTTGGGCCAGCCAAGTCGGCCCGCTCTGGTCTGTCCTGGACAGGCTCTTTCCGCTTTTAAACCGATAAGCTGCCCGGTTTCACGGGAAGCTGGTGCTGAGACTGGGCACTGCGGCGTCGGCAGAGACGAGTGCGTGAATGGGGGCAGTACCACGGCCAGGGCACCAGGACCTCGCGTCTGACGAGCTCAACGGCGGAGGCCAGCGATTTTGTGGTACTGTACGTATCCATGTATGTATGCACGGAATAGTGGCTGCGGAGTGGCTGGCCTGAATGAAACGGGCAGAAGCAATCCGGTTGCAATATGCAACCGAGGCTCCAGGGTATATGCAGGACAAAGGCGTCATAGGAAGAAGAAAACTGTGATTTGGTGGGGGTTCTCGTGCCCTTGCTCACCGGCTGCTGGTATGAAGTTGGTTCGAAGCGTTCTGCTGCTCGCTGTGACGTCTGCGCGTGGAGTCGCCTGGAAGGCTGGGGACAGTTTATCCAGAACATGCCACTCTCGCCGCGGGAAATAGTTTGGGATGCGCATCATCCAGCATCCAGATCGGCCGCGTCTGCCGGAAGAGTCGAGCTGCTTCCCCGGGGCATGCCCTCCCGCTCGAACCGCGCATTGGAATCGCTCGCTCGCCCGTGGGTTGGGTTCCATTACATAGCAAGTAGCGACCGTCGCCCGTGGTGGACTGTGGACCGTGGTGGTGCCCGATGCAGGAGCCAGCCAGCGCGTTACTGGCCGTCCACCCGCACCCGCCAGCTCGTCCGCACAAGGCAGGCCCTAGCGACCGCCACCCCGTGGGCAGCGACGGGGCCAATGACGGCAGTGAGGTTCAGTGCAGTCATCAGAATCTATCCGCAGTTTACAGTCGAGTCTAGGAACCGAGAGGAGGGCAGGGCGAAGGGCGAGAGGCACCGCACCTTATGCCCGTCTGGGGCAATGAGAAAGCGTTCTGAATGCACAGACAGCGGCATTGCATGCAGTGCAAGGCAGGGGACCGGACAGGGGCATAGAGACAAGAAAAAAATTCGTCGCGAACCGAGGGGTCAATCATTTCGTCGTCCCAGACTCCCATACCCTCGAGAGTCACGGTCGGCTGGCATCGTCGTACATACGCCGCGGGATCAACGTCGATGGACAGCCCAATATTTGGCCGATACCCCTCATCGCAATCCAGTGCCCGTACGAGGCAGGCTGCTCGCATGCTAGATCAACGCCGGGTGGGTACAGCAGCGCGACGTACGGTACATATATGTGCGCAACTCATCCAAGACGAGAGATATATCCGGGAGAATTGGCGACAATAGGGAGGTAGCAGTGACGTGCTGCATGTGCCGATAGTCGCGCCACTGAAGCGTAGGAAGGAGGTGCGCGCAGTTTGTATGTACACGTCTAATCCGCTTGCTCCGTACCTGAGTCGGATTCGTGTGTAATAATGCCTGTGGTCCTCTATCAGGCACATTCGCGCAACAATGCCTGAATGCTATCGACGCGACCGGCGATGAGGTGTGGCTTCCTGAAGGGGAATGGTAGGGTACGGGTACGGAAGGAGAAAGGTATGCACCGCTAACGACGGGTCACGGTGTGGTTGGAGCGTCCTTTTCGGCAGCTCTATGGGGTATGCTGAGGAGAGCTGTTAGGGGCGGGTAAGGTGGTATGGAACCGCCGTTTCTCGAATCTCACGATGCGCCTCGGCCGTACTCGACCGTGGAGGGGGGGAGGAGCTGGGTGGGTTAGGGCCCTGGGGGGTTAGGGCCCTAGGGGGGTTAGAGCCCTGGGGGGAGGGGGGGAGTTTGCTCGTCGAGGCCTCAAGGGTCAGTCAGCGGCTGCCAAAATCCCAAAGCAGCCAGTCGGCCGTGCCGTACCATGTTGCCCAGAGGCCAGCATGGGCCGAAGATAGCAGCATCTACGACTACCGACCGCAAGTGCTCCGTACATACATAGTAGGCATGCACGTATCCGTATAGGGAACCGAACCCGTACGGCACTCTGCCGCTGTGCAAGTGCCAGCCGGCCAGGCCAGGCCAGGCCAGGCCAAGCCAGTGCGAGCCTGGCGTCGGCATCATCATCGTCATACATCTCGGCCGTTGCGGCAACGGCGTCGACGCAGATTCAAAAGAGGCCACGTGCCAGGAGCTGGCGCGGCTACAATACACGATAGACGACGAGTTGGCTCGGCGTATCGTTGTGGCCTGCGGACAAAAGGGCTGGCGGCAGAGAGGACGACGGTTGAGCCGCTCAGAATAGGGAGCGCGCGGGCCCACGCCCAGCAGCAGGGCCAGGAACAGTCTGCGAGCCCGTCTCCAATAATAGAAGGAAAATCGGGAGGCAATTTGCGAACGCTACTGTCCGTGTCTGTCGTCTGTGCGACGGTACAGACAACCGGCTGAGGCTTGATCCGATTGCGATGCTCGACGTGGCCTGCCCAGGAGCCAGAGCCAGTGCTGTGCTACTGCTGCTACCGTAAACAGTCCCGAGATAATAAAGTTTGGCCGCACAGGTGAAAGCGACCAAACCCCAAGCTAAGGCCACTTACTATGTAGTAGCCACGGCCCACAAGCGCAAAATGCAAATTACCTAATTTTAAGTGGCATGCAAAATCCAACTCGAAGCCAACAAGCAAGCACGCCGCCGAGGTGGCCTCGTCCCAACTGCATTGCAAGTGGCTTGGGCTGCTCTCCGACGACATGCAGATTGCAGCGTCTTCAGAACAACGGCAGAACATCGGATGGCTCGTCAACGGCGGCTCCGCGTCGAGCGGGCACCAGCAGATCGCGGGCTTAGCGCTCTTGTCCTCGTGCACTAAAATGATTCAATCCAGCCAAGCCTGGCCTGGATCTTCAAGATCGCCGCCTCGCTCGGGAGATCGCCGCACTTACACGCTGTTCGACACGCAGCCGTCAAAGACTGATAAGGGCTGACAAGGGCACAGACTGACGGCTGGCAAGGACTGACGACTGGCAGCACTTGGCTGGCTATTGCACCGATGAGCAGCCGCTGTCGCGTCGTGCGAGTAGCCTCTTGACGTGGTGCAGAGTACGCGTACGGATAGACTGCGCTGATGGCTCGATGGCCTGGTGGTCAAGCTTTGCATCGGTACCTGCCTAGCAGGCAGGCATGTTCCGACGGAAGCAATCGTGGCCATCCGCGGCCACGACACAAGTCCCAGGAACTGTGGCTGCCCTACGATGCCGAGACGTCAAACAAGCGCCTCTGGCTAGCCGGTGTGCCTCCTGGCGCATGTTAACATGATACACGGACCGTTAGCGAAGTGGACACCCAGGGAAGGGGAGCCGACATCGCGACGGCGTCTGCCGGCCGTAGCATCGTATTTGGGAAGACGTGTGCTGGCACCCTTGCCCGACGCCCCGGCCCGGCGCTCTTGCGTTCCGCGTTGAGACCGGCCTCCGGCAAAAGTGCTGGAATGTGGTAGAACACGGTTGCCGTGCAGCGCAGTGCGTCCAGAACCACCCACCTCGCCGACCGGTTCAACTATCGCCTGGCCACCAACCAGTGCTGCCCACGGCCGTTGCAGGACGGTGACGGACGACCAACGCTGGGGCTGGTATGGTCAGGGCCAAGGCAGCACATTGTATCGTATACATGGACGCTGCCACGGTCTATCTGTGCCACTGGCTGCTAGCTGCTGGCCGCCGCTGCTGCTTCTGGCGCTGTGCTGATAACATCGAAAGCCCCTGGTACGGTTGGACGACAACTGTGGCGTCGGCAGGCCCGCCACATGTCGTGACTCCAGTCACAGTGCCGCTGGCCGTGCTTCAAAGCTATGACGGCTGTAAGGCATGGCGCAGAACAAGCCATGTGTGATTGTTTGTGCCATGTCGGTCATCCGAGTGAAAATTTTCCTGCCGCAAGCTCGAGCCAGGTTTAGGGGTTATCCCGACATGACCTGATGCAGCATCACGGATACTGCGCACACAAACACATCGTCCGAGCTTGACGTGGGCGGTGGGATGCCAACCCGCGTCGCCGTGGCCGGGCTGGGGTGTCGTAGTTGGCGTGGAGCGGACGGGACGGGAGCTCGGGCCCTCCCTTGTCCCTCGCCTTTTACTCTGAACCTTCTCGACGGCGGTTCGTCCTGGCCAAGCACGGCCTGCCTGTTGGGGGGTGCCGGGCCTCTCCACAGCCGGCGCGGCAGCCCGCATGTTATCTCCCTGCCAGGGATTAATTGCGACTTACCTCGCTTGCCCTGGTCCTTGGACAATTCTCAATTCTCACCCCGCCGAGGCGTGGTGAGCGGGTAGATGGCTAGCAAGCTGCTGCTTCGGGCCCTGTCCTTGTTCAAATCCTCACCGAGACCCGCCAGGTCCTCAACACTGACGTCTAACATTCAGCTACACGGTTTTTTAGTTTTTTTTCTTTTCACAATTTCACGGCAGCATGCCACTTGCTGTCAATGGCGAGGAGACGGGTACTCGTCAGACTATGCTCGCCAGACAGGCGTGCGTACCTGCATGTGAACACGACCCCAGGCGGATCCAAGCCGAGGAGCTCAATATCGCTTACTAAATGGGATGGCCATTGACTCCCTGTCACGCTCGGTAGCTTCCACCGGCCGCGGGAGTTGCAAACCGTACGGGTGACAGGTACCGACCCTTCCGCCACCCACTCCATGTTTCACCGGGATCGCCTCGTTCGACCGAGCTTGCCGTTTGTGCCTCTAGGGTGCTGGTGAGACCGGCACTGTGGTCGGTAGGGCACGAGGCTCCGGCTCGCCGTCTTGCTGTCTCGAACTCGAGCGTCGAAAGGTTTCATCCCGTACTCGTTCGAGAGCTCAATGACTTGTTGTTGTTGTGGGGCGGCCAGGGTCTTTTTCTCCAAATCGGTCCCGGCCACCCCGCCGTTGGTGGAGGGAGGGGGATTCCCCAAAGAGTACGGAGGAATGACATTGCCTTTCAATACCCCCCGTAAACGTGCTTTCACCCCTCCCAGGCCGTTTGCCTTGTGCCCGCAAGGGCCGTTGCAGAGGGCCTCGGGCGTGATAGTAGACACAAGCCTCCGCGTGCGTCGGGTGTGGAAATCGTGGGCAAACATCTACGCTATCCATCGTTCGAAAGCATTGTTGCCGGTCCGGCGCATTGCACGGCACCCACGACGCCATAAAAACGGCGCCCTTACGGACCCTAGGCTACTCCGTACACCTGCAGGAGCAGACAACCGGTGAACGCACTGGGAATATACACCGTAGCAACTAGAGCCGCGATGGAGAGCTTGGCCATTTTCCATGTCGATGTCCAGTTGTCCAACAATGGACAGTAGATGGGCTAGCCCTAGAGATCAGTCGCGATTAACCGCTCGCCTGCTCGCCCGATCCTGGCCTCCGGGCTGTGCAACTGTGGAGCGATGTGTCCTATCAAGCCCGCCTTCTTGCCTGCCACCCTCACGCCAATCACCAGAGCAAAGCCCTCGACCTGCTCTTAGACATTTCAGGGACCGCGCCATCTCCACGGCGGTCTGGCCCGCGCCGTACTCGATCGACACTGGTCTCAAGCAGGCGCCGGGACGAGCGGTTCGTCTGAGGGTTGTTGCGATTCTCGAGCGCAGAGTACCTCTGCGGTTCCTGCGTCGCGGCGGGAGCTGGCGGTGGGTCTTGAGGGCACCTACTCCGCATGCCCACCCAACGGAGGATTTAAAGCCTCAATCTCTGGCTGGCGGGGTGGTGGTGTCCAGACCTCCTGCAAGCTTGGCTGCATCGTTCCGTCGCAACAACAGGCCGGCTTAAGACAGTGGCAGCAGCAGCGTAGAGAAAGGGACAGCCGACACGCAGCTCACGACTGTAAAGTAAACATTTGAGTCTATGGGTCAATCTGAAGAGAAACGAAACAGCAATAACCTACGAAACAACAAGAACCACAAAATAACAACCTACGGAACAACGAAAAGGAAGCAACAAAACGCCAATCCGTGACTTGGTCCATTGCTGGCGGCGTTTGTGACAAAACCGTAAACTTCCGTTTCCCACCTCTGCACGCCCCTCCGACGTGCAGCTGCCCCCCAAAGGGCCCTCCCCCCAGCACGAATACACTCACGCCCCGCGCAGCCATTGGCAGGAGCAATTGCTTTGGGACAAGCCGGTAGGTCTGCAAGTCGTCATGTACCTAGCAGCTTGTTGAGTGCCCGCATCTCGCCTCGCGGCTGGTGTTTCCACTTCTTCACCTCATCGTGGAGCTATGCGCTGCAAGAGGAGCTTGCTCGCGCAGCAAAGCACAAAGCAAGCACGTCGAGTTGCGCAATGTACGAAGGTACCTAGGCAGGTCCTGGCGAGATTGCTCCCGTGTCTGCCTCTGCCCCGGCCAACATGTACCTACCTACTTACGTACGGAGTACATGCACGGCCTGCTACCGACCTACCGTCGACATCTTGTACATTGGAGGTACTATTCTCTCTCCGAGCCAAGTCGAGCCCTTCCTTGCTGCCCCCTTCGCGGGCCATGTTCGTGCTGTCATTCGTTCCCTGCTCGTCGCGCCGGCTCTCGTCTGTCTCGAAGCATGCGTCCGCCGTGCTTGTCTCGTCTTTCCGACTGCTGGCCTATATATCCCGGCACTCCCTCCCCGAGTCTAGGCCCCGGGCATCGCAGCAGCCTTGTTTCGTTTTGTCGTGCTTGTGTTAGAGATCAATTGGTCCATGCAATGGCTTCGTTTCCTTGACGTCTCCTAGTCTATCGTGTACACTACCCTGGGCACTCGCACCAGGCATAGTTCCCGCGTATTGGGCACCAGGTTCGGTCGTTTTGTCCATCGTCCATCATCTCCGAGGCCAGAGCTTGCCACTGTTGCCACTGGGCAATCGGCTCGCCGAGACGACCTCGACTATCAGAACTTGGCCAGCGAGCCACAAGCACGCCTGCTTCCCCGGAGCCTGCGCAGTGCCGTCGCCCATGACGCACCCGTGCCGTCCCTCGGCATCTAGAACCCCTGCTCCCGCCGCATCTCCGACCCGGCTTGGCTAGAGCGCCGCCGGAGCGTCGAGCCCCATACCCGCGACCACGTACCGCCTCATACGTCCCCTGTCGCTTTCTGCCAATAGTTGCCGCTGAGCAACTGTAGAGTGGTGCTTTGTCATACCAACTTTGGCAGCTGTCCACGCCAACATGGATACGCTAATCGACGTCCTGGTTCCGAGACTGGATCTGGCCTGGACCGCAAGGGACTGGATCGTGCTGCACACGATTCTCTGGTATGCTGCAGGATGCCGTGCGAGTGTCGCGCGGAGGGCTAACGGCCTCTAGGCTCTGGAGATATGTGCGACTCGTCGTGCACTGCGTCAGCCACTGGAGATACAGGTCCATCACGCCGCAGGAGAAACCCGCCCTCACGTCGGACGACGTTACGGTCATCATCCCCACCATCCACAACCGCTTCCAGGAACTGCAGGGCTCGCTCGAGACCATCCTGGCCTGCCGCCCGGCCAAGCTCATTCTCGTAACTACGTGGAACAAGCATGAGGCGTTGGAACAGGTGGCGGCGGCCCTGCGGCGGTCGCCCGCCGGCTGCGCGCGCCCCACCGCCATCGAGGTGCTCCACGTGGACAAGGCGAACAAGCGCCTCCAGGTGTGCAAGGCGCTGGAGGAGGACCATGTGCAGACGCCCATCACCGTCATGGCCGACGACGACGTCGAGTGGCCGCCGACGCTCATGCCCTGGATCCTCGCGCCGTTCGCCGACAAGAAGATCGGCGGCGTCGGGACCTGCCAGCGCGTGAAGCGCATCGACGGGGACCTGGCCACGCGCGTCTACAACTGGCTCGGCGCGGCCTACATTGAGCGGCGCAACTTTGAGATATCGGCGACGCACAACATCGATGGCGGCACGTCGTGCATGTCGGGCCGCACCGGGGCCTACCGGACCGAGATCCTCAAGAGCTACGACTTCCTAGGCGGCTTCAAGAACGAAAAGTGGGGCAAGTACATCCTCAACGCTGACGATGACAACTTTGTGACGCGCTGGCTGGTGACCCACCACTGGAAGACGTGGATCCAGTACCACCCCGAGTGCGAGGTTGAGACGACGCTCGAGACCAGCATCAAGTTCCTCTACCAGTGCTCGCGCTGGGCGAGGAGTAACTGGCGCAGCAACTGGACTAGCCTGGTGCACGAGAGATTTGTGTGGAGGTGCGACCCCTCTCCCTCTCCCTCTCCCGTTCCCTATCCCCGTCCGGCTAACCCCAGAGCAGGCAGCAGATGTGGTGCACCTACGCCCTGCACCTCGCCACCTTCACGTCGCTAGCCTTCATCACGGACCCGCTCATGCTCTACTCGTGCTGGCGGGCCACTGAGAACTTGGCGCCCAGCCACCGCCACCTGGTCCTAGCCGCCGAGATCCTCTTCATGTTCGCCTTCACCAAGGTCGTGAAGCTCGTGGGGCTGTTCCGGCGGAACCCGGCCGACCTGGTCTTTCTGCCCGTCTCGATCCTGTTTGGCTACTTTCATGGTCTCATCAAGTTGCACGCGCTCTTCACGCTTAAGGAGGTAAGCCACGCATCCACTCCCGCTCACGGTGCAAGCTGACAGCCCAGACATCGTGGGGAAGCCGAGAAGACGGCGACGAGCACAACACGTACCGCCTACAGGAGAAGCCTCGCCGCAGCCAGAGCATGACGACGCCCTCGGGGCCCGACCTGTCCGACTCGATCCGAAACGTGCGGTCCTCACTGCCATCGCCCAAGCACGAGTTTGGAGGCCGCCCCGTCACCCTGAAGCACTCGATTCCCTGAACAGCAACAGCCGGCGCCAGCGGCGTCAGGGGCACATGAAGGTTATGATCATATGAATGACGTGGATTTCATTTCTGTTACGGTCTATTCTACGGTTACGGACTGGGCCGAGGTAAACAGAACTCCCCCGCCGGAACTTCTGGGGCTCCGTCTCCGCTCCGGTCGATGGCGTCTTTTTGGTTCGACTGAAAACGGGGCTAGGATGGTATTGGGACTAAAAGTTATTCTTTTTCTCGTTCCTGGTCTCTATGGGGACGGGACGTATTGGCACGGCGGAGCACTGCCAGCATCAAAAATTGTAATGGTATTTGCACAGAAGGCGAAAATGGGTCGGGGGTCCGAGAGGGCGCCCCTTTAATTCGGGCTGGAGACGCAGACATAAAAGGGGGCCAGGGTTACAGCCAGTGAGGATAATGGGTTTGTCTGAGCCAGGACCAAAACGCGGCGCGAGCAGTGGAGGACGTTAGAATGGACGCGGACGGGGTGGGAACCGTTAGACCTAGATAGACTGACGGAGATGCTCGAAGGCGCAGACTTGACGTCGCGATTCCCAACTCCGAATCCAGACAGGGGACCAACAACCCCAGTGGCTGCCTGTGCGTGATGATCGGCTGGCCGTGAGCGAGATGGCGTCGGACAAGGATGGGGGCGAGACGACGGGCCAATCAGGGCAGGGCAGACGGCCGAATGCGGTTACTGCAGAGCAGCGGCGCGGCGGTCATGACGGTCTGGATAAGGTCGCACGACAGACCCCATGCACGCCATCGTGCACAGCTGCTGTGTGGAAACGGGTACGGAAGTTTCCCCCAGCGGCCCAGCCAGCCCAGCCCAGCCCATGCCAGGCCCAGGCCCCAGCAAGATGCTGGCTCTGTCTCGTGCTGCCGAAGAACATGGGACGAGATGTGTTGCACAGCATCGCAACAGTAGAGGCCGTGCCCTGAACGAGTCCGGAGTACGGATGTGTATGTGCATGTTTGGTAATTACGTTCGCGATGGCTTATTCCCCATGTTTAGCCTGCAGGCAGCCCTTCGGCTGGGCCTTGGCTGCACCCTGGGCCCTGCCTGGCACGGTCCGCCGACGAAAAGGGGGTATTGTTATTTTCCAACGGCAACCAACACGGAGCAACCGAGCCCTCGTTCCCCTTTTCTAGCTCTATTGTTTCCTTGTCGTATTATCTGTCCTATCACGCCGTCTCCTTTGTAATCGGGCTCGAGGCTCTTTTGACCGGCGGTGATAGGTCCATCGAGGCTGTCTGGCCACACCCCCTGGTCTTGACGACTGACCAGTCACTTATGCTATTCATTTCTCTCCAGCACACCCCTCCCTCCGTATATGCATTCGATGTGACGGCGGCGCAGATGAGCGTTTCGTGATTGCGTGACACAGCAAGGACGGTAGGCGGTAGGCGGTCCAGGGAGTCGCGCACCGTCGGGACCGTGTGGTACGGTGCCGTCCACTGCGTCTGCGTCTGCGCCAGCGTCTCTGCGCCTGCGCCTGTGTCCATCCTCGTCTGTCTGGCCTTGCCGCCTTATGGATCAAACGTCGAGCAAACGTCGAACAGGGCGGGTGCTGGGGCGCCAGCCAATCCGTGTGCGGGCACGACAGACCATATGCACGTCTACCTAATTGGCACTGGTGCAGCATCCAGCATCTCGGGTCGGGCAAACATGGAAGAGAGAAAAATTCGAGAGGAAATGTGATACCAGATCCCATGGTCTCATGTTTTCTGATCAATCAGCTGGGAGGAGCTGCTGGCCTCTAGCCTAGAACCAGGACCTAACCTAAGCTGCAACAACAAACCCAGAAGCTACCACTCTTGTTGCGGGGTTGAGTTGCGGTACGGTACATGCCTACCTTATGCAGCGCACGAGACGGCAGTGGCGATGGGGTGTGTGCAATGTGCAAGTGTGCAGGCAGGCACGTCGCCGCGGCTTCGCAAAAGCTAGCAGCCATTGTCGAGAGCTCTACAGGCAATCGAGATCGAGCACCTCATGTACGAGACACAGACCCGGGAGGCTGGGTTGGGCCGCGAGAATCAAGAAAGGTCCGAGAGAGGATAACGACTACTGAAAAGGTGCATGGGGGGCCAGAGGCAGCTGCGAATCGACGGCCTAGCCGCAGCACCCACCAAGGCCTCGGAGGCGGCCTCGAATCGACGTCGTCGACCGGAACATGCACAATACATACCGGGTACCCCATGGGCCAGCGTCCAGATGCACAGCATGCGGCAGGCCTGCCTCGCGCTGGACTTGCTCTGACGAGCCCCGAAGAGGCGGCTGCGAATTGCTTGCCAAACTGCCTCGCCAACCCACTGCAAACCAAGACGACCAAGGGCCGCCTAGGCTCGATACGGGGCCGCCTGCTTGTTACCTCTCTAGCGCGCGTATCAGGTGCATGGGAATATTACTTTTGTGTGCTGCCCTCTCCGCCGGTGCTGCAATGACGTGACCATGATGGTCGCGCGAGGACGCGTGCGTGTGTGCGCCTGCCTCTTTTGACCCCGTCGTTTCGCGATTATTTCTGCAGCTCCAGCAGCAGCAGCAGCAGCAAGAGCAGCAAGAGCAGTAGCCACGCGATTATTTCTGCTGCTCCTGCTGGTGCTGGTGCTGGTGCTGCTGCTGGTGCTGCGGGCAGGAACACTGCGGGCAGGAGCGTTCTCATACAACACGACTCCACCGCGGGACGTACATCTCCACCACTCATTCGACTCGCCAGAGACCTACCCGCACGCTCTTTCCGTCTCGCGGCTGCCACCCCGCGATCTGCCTGGAACTGGGAACCGCGTGGAACTTGCAGTGAATTGTGCTCCCGCCATCTCGACCACAGACAGCCAGCGAGCCTGCCGCCGTCGCCGCGTCGAGACGACTAACATAATGCCGGCAACACGAGCTCAGGGATGCTCAAACGAAGCCCCTTCCCCTCGACACACTACGGGCATCGATAGCTAATCGAGCGGCACACACACGCCCAGGCCGGTGGTGCGATGCACAAATATACGCATCGAACGGGTTGCATCTCGCCAAGCACCCGCTTCGGGATGGTGCCGATCTTAGGAGCCAGGCCAAGGCTCCCATCCTCGGCTCCCTGGTCCCCCGTCGTCCAACCCCGATCGTGTCCCCGCTACGAGCTTCGACCGGGCAGCCGTGGAGAGCGATGGCATGCATACAGACATAGCGGCGATCAAGTTGCGATTGGCTCCAGCGCTAGACAGGGAACCGTGGGGCTAGACGGCGATGGCGGGGACTGGCGCCTCTACTGCGTCGCCCTAGAGCAGCTGCTGCCGTAGACGTCGCCGTGGTCTCGAGGTTGGACGTGGACCCCGAATGACGACGAGCCCGCCACGATAAGAGCGGCCTGTGAGGGCAGAGACAGCCAGGCCGGCCGGGCCATCAAAGCAGGCTCGCTCGAGAGACCCGCCTTCGACGTGCGCCCAGCGGCCGTCTGGCACCTCGTCCATACCACACCCCCTCCACACTCTCCAAACCCTCCACACCCTCCACACCCTCCGCGGCCGTGCCTAACTGCTTCCTCTTGGACCTGCGTCTGGTGCTGGGCAGCTGCAGGCTCGTGAAAGGTGGGGCCCCCCTTTCGTACCGGCTGTCGACGAACAAATGCCACAGAGTAACCCAGCATGTGGGGCTCCCGACTCAAAGCGTCCCGACAATCCCGTCCCTGATATGACGAGCCCCATGGCGAGCCACGGTGCTGCCGTGACAGACCAGAAGGCGCCCAGGCCCGATCGATTGGGGCATACGGTCTGGCCACGGCGAAACCGCGCCGTCTCACGATGCCTGGGTGTATCGAGGCCGCGCTAGCATCCATGACTCCGGGTATGCACATGGAATCACAGTCAGCATCCAGCTAGCTGGCCAGTCAGCGGGCACGGCTCGGTCTAGATGTGAAGACTAGGCGACTGGGGCGACTGGGGCGACTGGGGTATCGTGAGGGGCTTGTGAGGAGTGAGGAGAGGAGCGCCTCGACGGAGAGGGGTGTGGCAGCCAGGCCCGCCTTGAAACGGACCCCTAGTGCGGAGTAGCTGTCTGTACACAAGACGGACGCGGTCCGTCTGGCGGTCCGTCTGGCGGCAAGTACAGCCAAAGTCTCTCTGTTGACTTCGGCGTCAAGGACACCCTCTTCTGCAACGACAGCCGCCAGCTGCGGAATTCTCGCTGGACCAGCGTCCTCCCTGCCGTCGCGCAGCCGATATTGTATTGGCGTCCGTGCCGGATATGGCACCCGCCCGTGCAAGGTTCGACAGTGCATGAGCAACACGGCAACCCCCATTCTGAGGCTTGGGGGGACGGCGGCGGGGGGCACTTCCGATGCACGACTCGCGGGCATGGGGCCATGGCTCTTCGCAGGTGAGGCGCTACCGACTCTGCCTGCACGGCAGTTGGGGGTTTTTATGACAAAGCCGAATGGCGGGCCACGATGCGGCGGCCAAGCGTCGCCGGAGCAGAGACGGAGAGGCTGCCGCGGGAGCAGCGGCCAAGTGGAGAAATAACAGACTGAAGACCGCCAGCAGCGGCAGGCGAGCAGAGATTGCTCTTGCATAATGCAGCCAGCCACCGCAGCAAGCAGAGCGCCATCGACTGCTGTCTGCCCAAGCTATCTTCCCAGGCGTGCGAGACCGGCGAGCCCCCCGCGGCGACTGGCACGGGAATTTCGCGGTGGTGCCGGCGCCCGGTAGTCGAAATGCCCTCCACCCTCCGTGGCGCGAGCAGACGGCAGCCGTGTCTGGAGTGGTGTGCGGCGGGATAACAAATGCACCCGGCCAAGATGGGCCCATTGCATCCAACTTGGCAACCCGAAGCTGGACGTTACACAAGGTGCTCCCGTACTGACGTAGGACATGGCGCGATGGCGGGCGGGCATCAGCACTGCGCCGGCGCAGTGAGCCCGGCAAATGCACCTCGATGACACAAGCGCGAGAAGCGTTGGACGATTTAGTTTTGCACCGGAAAACCTGGCCTGCCAGGCGTGTGCCGGGCAGCTCGACTGGACACAAAAATGAAAAAATCGACAGCCACAAATGCTACTGCGGGGAACAAAACAAAGCCCGCGCGCCCATCGCCAGGTCCATCACGCAGCGTAGACGCAGGCATAGCTGGCATAGTCGCTAGGCTCGGATGAACCTATCACCATCTCGTCATCTCACGACCAGAAAGACCAAGCCTCTCGGCGAGCTTATCGGGTCGCCAAGCCACTATCTTCCAACCGATTCTGGGCACAAGACTCTGCCCGCGGTGGCTGGCCGACGCGCAACAATTGCCATCCTTGCCTCGGAGCCGACTACGCTGACGCATCGTCTACATGCTGCGCTGCACAGCTAGTCTCGAGGCTGGCTCGTGCTGTCAGGGCCTGAAGTGAGCTTAGTAGTTGTCGCCAGTGACGGTTTGTCAGTTGTTTCTCGGCCTGCCGGTTCCTGTAGGAGCCTTGATGACAGAAGCCGAGCTCTGTGGACGTTGCCGGCAGCGTTGGGCCATCAACCAAGACCGTTGTGACGTGATTTTTTTTATTGCCCGCTCCCCGTTTCGGGGTCCACCCGGCCTCGACAATGAAGGGCAGCCGGCCGTCTGCTTTGAGGTCTGCAGCAGCGTGTGGTGCGAGTCGCCGATAGAATAAGACCCGAAAGGGAAGCTTTGGCACCAGGTGGGGAGGGGGCTGGCGGGTGTGGGGGTGGTGGTGTCGGCGTAGCATCTGCTTTCTGTCTTGTTTCTATTTTTCCTTTTGCGTTCGAGCGTGCATCATGCACGCAATTCGTGCCGTCTGCTGCCGTTGGCCAGCTCTTCTTCTGGCTTGGGGCCTGCGTACAGCGCAGCGCTGCAGCGCAGGGTGTGGGTTGCAGCACTGCATACGACACTGTCTGTGCCAAGGCGTGGGTTTTTTCTATCGCGTCTGAAGATTGTTCGGTCGTGCTTGCTGTCGCTGGGTATGTACTGTGTATGTACATCCGGAGCAGGCGGCCGGCGGATTCGTTGAGGCCCTTCTGTCTATAAGCTGTCTGCCGGGAGCTTATAGGATTTTGTTGGGATTATGTCAGGCTTCTATGCAGCTGCAGCGTCTGGATTAGGGAGGCTAGTTGTCTTTGTCTCTGTTGATCTAGGGTTTGTGGTTTCTTTTGGTTTCTCCCTCTATGAGAGACGGCTTGCCGCAACTCCCTGGGTAAGTTGCATGGGAAATCTTCCCGCTTTCTTCTTTCTTGATTCGCAACGTAAGTAGACAGGTGAGGTATAGGTTTCTTGCCGCTGACCTGATTGGTCGCGCCTTTGCTGGAGGTTTCCGGAGGGGCCTAGTGTAAGTAGGGGAACCGTTTTGTCTACCAGGCGTGAACCGAGCACCTGATTTGCATTATTAACTTGCTCTCTGCCCAGGCAATGACCTGTCATATTTTATTTTCTTCATGTTCTTCTGCTGTTGCGACTACGGTGCGTTGCGGTTGCGGTGGGTTCGCAGCAACGCAGGTACATTAGTGCAGACTAGGCTACCTACCAGCGAGCGGAACGAGGGATTAGGACGGAGGAAGTAAAAAAGCAAAAATAAAACAAAACCCAGGGCGGAATGGATACATATAGGATTTTCCTCTTCTTCTCACTTTCCCACTTTTAACGGAATATCATCGCCTCCCCCTGCGTATCTGCCCATGTACGCGGTGGAGTCCACCTGGAGAAGGAGAATAAAATCACAACGGCCGACTAGCAACCCGAGATAAGGTGACAGCTACTATTCTCGCGAGGAGACCAGGCCGTACATTACACTGACTAGCTCCTAGGGGATCGCGATGCAGTGCGATGCGGTAGAGCGAGGGGAGCGGCCGAGATCGTCGCCGAAGTACCCAGTAATGTCCACCGCACCGCTACTCTACTATGCTTGCTTACTTGCATGCATGCATGCTTGCTTGCTTCTTGCTGCCTGGTTTGCTAAATAATCGCTTCTAATTTACTTGGATGCTCCCGCTCCCGCTCCCGCTGCTGTCGGCCTAATAGTTGGTGCTTACTTAGTCGTGCGTGTACTCCCCTTGCCCAGCCAGCACCCTGCCCAGCCAGCACCCTGCCCAGCCAGCACCCTGCCCTGCTTGCTTTGCTTCGTGAAACGGCGCCGCGGAGATAACTTCTGCATCGAGGTCGGTCCGAGCAGGCGCACTGGAGTTTCTGGGTGGGCTGCTAAGTTGTTACTGGCTGTAAGCTGTTGGCAGCTGTCTCTGTCAGGTTACGCAGATTACGTGGGATTATAGTTTGCTGTTGTTGGTGGTTGTGGATAGGCGGCCGGAGACTATGGGCCGAGTCTATTGGCAGGATCATGTTGTTGGCTTAGTGTGTAGATGGTAATAGTCACCATTTGTAACTGGTGACGTGAGCGAAGGAACGAGTTGTTGAGATGCGAGAGAGCTGCTCGGATGGAACGGACACATCAACCAGCAAATTATAATTGCTGCTCACACATTGGCCGTGTCTATAAAATAGTCCCGACGGTTAGATGGTGATCACTTCGGTAGGACGGGGCTTTGAAAGAGAATAAACAGGGCTTAAGCCCGCAACATCTCTTGATATGGTAGACGGCAAAGACCATTTCTCGGCCGGACTAAACTAAATCAACGGTGGATTCGTAAGGAAGTCACTGAATATGCTCTAGCCGATGTACAAGACCCAATGGTCGTACTGTGCCATCCCCGTTTGATTCGGTCGAGTCTTGCCCAGGGAGACAACGGCGGCCTCCCATATAGTAAGCCACGACTCTATATATATTTTGGCACGACACCAGCGTGGTAGCAGAAGATGGTAAGACCGCTAGAAACAAGTTTGCTAGTGTTAAGAGTGGACAAAGATGTAGTCGACATGCCGCAGCAACACGAGCAAGGGGAAGTAGACTCGGATGAAAACAATGCAGAAGCGAAGCGGGTGGGAAAGAAGCGAACCACCCCAAAGCCATGAGGTGTCTGCTATGAATCAATCTACGGTATCCATGACCCTCGGTATTGGGCAGTAGATGCCACGACTCATGCCGGCGCTTGGACGTTGGGTGGCCGGGGCCGACGGAGCCGGGTTGAATCTGGACAGGGCCGAGCCTCAACTACGCCCGAACCTAGACCCGGGTAGACGAGATATTCCAGGGAGGATTGTTTCCGGAGCAGCAACACCGAAACGCAGTGCAGGCAGCCATATAAGACGCACTAGACATGGGATCTCCTATTTGGGGGATGCTCCGTCCTTGCCCATCGCCTGAAGGATCCGGCCGGTCGAGACTTATATTTAGTAATCGTTTAGTAACTGCTTCTCGATAGGCCCGGCACCATTTAAAAGCACCCCTCGGGCCACCTATCTCGACCAGAGGCCCGTTTTGAAAATTACAATGTGGGAAAAAACCTGCTCGATGATAAGAAGTGTCACACTAGACTCTGCGAGGGGCTGGGCTGGTCGGAGCAGCCCGGGAAACCGCCGCACACAATCCAGCCGAAAGTAACAAAGTGACCAAGCTCTCAAGCAAGCCCAGACTACGCAAAAGTTATCATCTAGTTAGGTTGAACAGGGTCCGGGGGGTAAAACCTCGAGAAACCCAGACAGGACGGCACAGTAGCAGTACATATCGCCAAAGAAAATTGAATGCCATCAGGACAGACAGCGAGATCACAACCCCAAGTTACCGAGGCACCACGGTCGAATTAACACGCGGTGCCCATCAGCAGCGGCCGACAGATATCAGCGGACAGCCCACGTGCCGTGGACTTTGAATTCAGTAGCGACTTCATAAATAAATATGTACAAGAAGTTTTATGAACAAGAAAAAAGAAAAGGAGTATCGTGGTCTTGGTGACAGGTAGGTAGCCGGCAGCCGGAAAAAAGGGGTCAAGGGAACAACAGCACATCGCCACCACATAGCCATTCAAGGTTGCCAGCAGGTGTATATATGTTTGGCCCCCTGGTTTCGGGCCTGTTAGAACCCCCCTGAGAAATCTGCCCGACACCAGCCGTCCAGGCTGCCCACAGACTTTCAAGGCATAAAAGAGACTGCAGCGGCGGCAGCCCCAGCCTTACCACAATGATAGCAGCATGCCTACCGCGCGCCAATCTGCTTCCACTCGGGCTGGCAGCTCTCGGGCGGCGTGCCGACGGCGGCACCAGAGCACAGCTCAATGTCGCGCTGGGCGACGAGGCGCTTGACGAACTCGACGATGCGTAGGGCCGTGTCAAAGGCGGGCGCGGCCGTGGTGTCGAGCGTCGGGCCGGCGTGAGCGGGCGCCCTAGCCAGCTGGCAGCAGGGCTGCTTGGGCGGCGGGGTGGTGCGCCGCGTCTTGTGGCTGCATTGGCGCTGCAGGCTGCCGGCGCGGCGCATATGCTCGGCCGGATCGCATGCCAGGACGACGGGCGCAAAGAGGCGGCCGGCGCGGGAGGCGGCGAGCTCAAAAGTGCGCACCGTGGGGCGGCCGACGGGGTTGTCGGGGGGCGCAGGCGGCGAGCACGGTGATGCGGGAGAGGTTGGCGGGCTGCTGGAGTAGGCAGGCGAGTTTGCCGCTGTAGGGCGGCTCTGGCGCCGACAGCGCTGGCGGGCTGGCAGCAGCGGCCGGGACGTCAGAGTAGAAGTAGCCCGGGTGCTCAGTGGTCAGGGAGGCGTCATCGCCGCCGCCGCTGATGCCGAGGACATCGACAAGGAAGTTCTTGTCGGGCTTGAGCAGCGGACAGGTGCTCGGCAGCGGCCTCCTTGCCAACGCCTGGCCAGCCGTTGATCCAGACCAGCGGGGCGGGGGCCGGGGTCACGGGCGGGCTCGGTCCGGTGGCGGCGGATGATGGCTTCCAGAAGGACACACGAGGGGCCCAGACGGTCATATAAGGTGAGAGCTAGACCCGAGGCCCTTGAGCTGCTACGTAGCAGGGCCACCATGCTTTCGAAGCACTGCGGCAGTGCAGGCTCGAGTCAAGGTCGCCGGTGCTGGCACGGGTCCGGCGAACTTTAACTGCCGTGGGAAACCCTGACAGCAAGCGAGCCCGAGAGTTTGGTCAAGCTCTAGACCAGCCGCGGAGATGCAGGCCCAAGCAGATCCGTGTTACGGCCGACCGACGATACGTCCGAAGACGTGCCGCTTGCGTATGGCCACAGTCAAGCCATCGGCCAGCAAGCAAGCAGTCGGCAAGTGAAAGACTCGAGGCACATGCGACACGCGGCGGCAATCGCGGCTCACCCAGTGGACTGTGTACATCAAAGACAGCTCCGGATAGAGACAAAGGCTGTTGGACAATGCACATAAATAGGACCGATTGGTAAGCTAAACAAGACGTAGGCTGCTTAAACTAGCTAGACAGCCACGATAACCGGCGAGTGGCGTGTCGCCGCTCGCAATCAAACTTTACCGCCCAGGTACTCAATGTTTTGTCGGACGGCGTCGGTTAGCTCGCCCTGGCCCGTGTAGACATGTGCCGCCGTCTGCGTCCAGGCCTCGGGATGTGGCAGGGGGAGATCGATGATGTCGCGCGCCTGGATGTGCCCGGAGTAGATGAGCGCGGCCAGAACCGGGAAGTAAGCACGCGCATAGCGCAGATCTGTTGCACGTGTACATGTTAGCATTGGGCCGGGGCGAGCCAGCTGGGAAGACTTACGGATCGGAACCGTGTTTGTACTCCGCACCGGAGACTTGTTAAGCTCGGCGCTGGGATCTGCAGGGTCCGAGGTCGAGGAGCGCCGGCGCGCGCGGAGCTGGGCATCTCGGCTGCCGAGGTCGGCCGACAGCTGCCGGGGCGATGCCGCGGTTGGCGACGGCTCCGGAACCGTGGCTCGGAGCTCGTCCATATCAAAGGTCCGTTGGAGGAGGAAGGGCTTGCGGTCAAGCGCACGGGGGCGAACGCGCGCGCGGATCGTCACGCGGCGGTGCTCCCGACTCCGTGTAGGGCCGTCGTCACCCGAGGAGGCCTCGCTGGGTCTCCGAAGGGCCACGGCCGCTACGAAGCAACTGGCTTCAGATCCATTACCAAAGTAGACGTGGCCCCAGGCCTGCAGCTCCTGTCGCACGTGGCGGCTGCCGCGACGGCCGACCGGGAACGATGGAGGCAGGGACTGGCGGCGCTCGGCGAGAGTCTGGGGGTCTGGAATGCCGGAGAGCAGGATCGATCGGGTTTCGGCGGCGAGCGTCTGCCTGGGACGGTGCATCAGGCGGCCGGGCGAACGGGGCGAGCTTGCCGAGGGGCGGGGCGGGGGGCTGGCGAGCGAGGCACGCCGCAAATTCTGCTCTGCGATCGGAAACAGCGAGCGGTTCTGGGCAACGCTCTGCAGATTTTGCGACTCGAGCTGGCTTGGCTGGCCTGCCTGACCTGACCGGCCGCGCTGGTCGAGGCTCTCGAGCATGGCACGCTCGTGGCGCCGCATGGCCTGGTCGTAGCCCGGTGAGCTCGGGTACATGGGGCTGAGCATGTTTGGCGACCGCATAGACGCCGAGTAGATGGAGCTGCGGGACGAGTAGAGGCCGGGGGGGCTGGGCGGACCGCGCTCGGTGTTCAGGGGCCGAATGTTTGGGCGCCAGCGGGTCTGGGTCTCCATGGTAGGTATGTCACTTTGCGTGCCGTGTCTGGCTGTCTCCGTCTCTACCTGTTTCTGGTTTTCCGGGGCTGTTTCTCTGCCCGGGCCTGTTCGTCTCGGTGTGAGGCTGTCTCTCTGTCTGGGACTGTCTCTTTCTGTGCGTGTCTGTTAATATCGTTGTTGCTGAGCCGTTGATGCGTCTCAGTTGTGCGATGGCGAGCAGACGCTTGATGTCAATGACGTATACGGCAGATCCAAGCGGATCCGAGGGCGAGCAGGTCGACACTCCGCCGGCTGCTTTTGTAGGCAGGCCGGCCATATCGCATCTCGGCAGGGGCTGAAAGACAGGCCGCGGTCAAAGCAGGCGAACCGCGCAGGGTTGAGTCACAGGCGGCGGCGACGCGCGAGCGACAAAGCTCCTTGACACAAACGGGGAGATGGGCGGACAAAGAGAGCGCGAGGGAGAGGGTTGTTGCGGCGGCACAGCGGGGCGGCATGTTGCCCAGGCTGCACGCTTCCGAGCGTTGCGGCAGTCTACCGACGCAATGGGACCGAGCACAAAGAAGGCGATGGCGCACGCCCGCGACAAAATCACCTGTGGACGTCATCCAACGCCGCGCAGGCGACCAGTCTCGCCATCCATTCACTTATCACTTCCCCCCTCGGCCACCTCGGCAGTATCCTGCGAGACAGACCCGTCACTTGTCAGGTGCGTCGGCGAGAGCCAGACGTGAAAGAAGTCGCGGCTGTGCAGGAGCTCATCTCATCAGGGCAAAGGAAAGGCGCCAGAAGGAGGGAAGGTGCAGCAACGGTGGAGGAAAGTCAAGGCAATGCAAAGGAAAGGTGCAGGCAAGTGCAGGGAATGCGGAGGAAATGTGCAGGAAATGTAGAGGGAAGGTACATGCTGATGACTTTGGACCTTGAATTCTGGTGTTGAGAGTGAAGCTGGTGTAAGTCGCTGGCCTGACGTTGCCCACCTCGCTAGCGAGCGAGACCCCTGCGCGCTATCCCCGACATGGACCTGACCCTGGGTGGCTACACAGTACTGTGTACATGCCAGCCTGACGTGGGGCTCCGGCCAGGGCGATGGCTGTCCTATGGGCCATCATGATTGGCCAGCCATGCACGCTCGTTTGGAGACGAACAGCCACTGAACAGATGACAGCCACTGAAGGCTGAAAAAGCTGCAACCTGCCAATGCGAGGCTGCGACCTACCTAGGTAAGGTAGCTTCGACATCGACGCCGTCACTTCCACGTCGCTTACTGTCGCGCCCACCACCTCGTGCCCACCACCAATCGCCGGTCCAGTGTCTCAATTGCCTGCACAGCGATGCTGTCTTGATGTGAAACAACTGTCCTTTCCTCCCTGTTCTCCTTTCGTCTCTTCCCCGCACCCAGCCAAGCGCCGACCGAGCACAACGTAGGCAACTCCCAGACACCATGGCCAACGCATCAGCCGCGCCGAGCTACAAGCAGCTCAAGGAGGACTTTGTGTCAAACCTGTCGGGCGGGTCCGTGGTCGAGATCGCTCAGGTCTGCGCTGTGGCCCCGGTATGAGACACCCCAGACCAAGACCAAGATGCCGCTTGCTTCGTGTCGTGTGCTTGCTGACTTGGCCCTCGCAGATCGTCTGCCTGCTCTGGTCCGTCCTTCAGGCGCGCCAGTCCTTCTTCAGGCCGACCTCGGCCCTCGCCCTCGTAGTCGACTTCCTACTCAACGTCGGCGCCCTCCTCCTGTCGGTCACGCTGTACTCGGCCGCGCCGCTGCTGCTCAACGTGCTGCTGCTAGCCACGGCCGCTTTTGTCTACACCCTCCCCCCGAGCCAGGGCCGCCGCAAGAAGCCCAGGCGCCCTCCGACGGCCGCCCCCAAGGCCGCCCCGCTCGGCGTGCTGTCAACCAAGCCGTTCCTGACCAGCTACCGCGGCAACATGATGGTCGTCACGTGCATCTGCATCCTCGCCGTCGACTTCCGCCTGTTCCCGCGCCGCTACGCTAAGGTTGAGACGTGGGGCACGTCGCTGATGGACATGGGCGTCGGATCGTTCGTCTTCTCGGCCGGCCTCGTCGGCGCCCGCCCGCTGCTGAAGGAGCGCGCCGAGGGCCGCTACACATCCCTAGCCCTCCGCCTACGGCAGTCGCTACGCCACTCGATGCCGCTGTTCGTCCTCGGCCTCGTGCGCCTCGTCAGCGTCAAGGGCCTCGACTACGCCGAGCACGTGTCCGAGTACGGCGTGCACTGGAATTTCTTCTTCACGCTCGGCTTCCTGCCCCCCTTTGTCGCCCTCTTCCAGTCGGCCCTGCGCTTCGTCCCCTCGTACGCCGGGCTGGCCGTCCTGCTCGCCGTTGCCTACCAGGTCGTCCTCGAGAGCACGACTCTCAAGGCATTCATCCTGGCGGGCCCGCGCGTCGACTTGCTGTCAAAGAACCGCGAGGGCGTGTTTAGCTTCTTTGGGTACCTAGCCATCTTCCTGGCGGGCCAGGACACCGGCATGTCGGTGCTACCGCGGAGCCTAGGCTCGAGGGGCAGCGGCCGCGTGACGGCGTTCCTGCTGCACACGACGTTGTGGGCACTGGCCTGGACGGCGCTGTACTACGCTTGCACCGACTATACGTACGGCGCGGGGCTGACAGTGTCGCGGCGGCTCGCCAACCTGCCCTACGTGCTGTGGGTGGCGGCCTTCAACACGGCGCTCGTGTCAGCCTTTTGCCTCGTCGACACGCTGCTCTTCCCGGGCTTCTACGGCGCCCAGGACGCCCGCGCCGAGAAGGAGGCGCACGACACCGCCACCAGCCGCGTGCTGAGGGCGTACAACCGTAACGGCCTCGCCGTATTCCTCCTGGCCAACCTGCTCACCGGGCTGGTGAACATGACGGTACCGACCCTTGACGTGAGCCGGGTAGCTACCATGGGGATAATGGTCGCCTACATGGCGTTTGTGACTGCGGTGGCTGTGGGTTTGGACATGTACGATATTTCTGTCAAAATGTAGATACCGAATTGAGGGGCACGCCCCGACAAGTCATCTGCTCGGTCGGGCGCAACCCGGCTGAGGTCTAGTGCATGTACGCTGCCGAGCTGGCCACGGAGTGAAACAACCAGCGCTGTTTGGCTGTGGCCATGCAGCCAGCCAGCCGCGCGGTGCAGTTTGATCAATTTTTTCTTTCTTCTTTCGGGTGCCGAGCAGTCAAGGCTGTCAAGGCTCGCCAGGACCGAGAGTCTAGTGCAGGTCTTTGGACGAGGCACTGTCCGCTGCCAGGCTTACCCGCTCCAGGCCTGGCTAGCAGACATAGGTGGCAGCTAAACGGCCGTCGACTTTCTTCTGCGTGGTAGCGCGGCGGCCGTGTCATTCGGGAGCGCCCGATCAGGCACGGAAATGTTCACTGGCAATGTTCACTGGCAATGTTCACTGGCAATGTTCACTGGCAATGTTCACTGGCAATGCTCACTGGCGCACCCAAGGTTTGACGGTCTGGATGGAACCTTCACAATCTCGCGCGTTGCAGTCTGGTGAACTTCTGGGAGGGCAATGGCGTCACGATAATAGGGGTGGGCCCTCACGTCCCCCAAAGATCCGGGATCCGCGTCGAGCCCGCCGCTGGTTGCAGGCATATGTAGACAAAATCCCGCCCTTCCAGTCGGCTCGGTTCGGACGGGGGGCCTATAACCATGGCACTATATTGGCCCTGAGGCATCGCGCGTGTGACGGCGAGAACGAGGCGAGAACGAGCCGTCTATCACAAACTAGACAGCCCGAGCCGAGCAGCGGTCTAGAGATGCTACGCACGCGGCACGAGACAGGGCATGGTAAGTCTACGCTGGGTGCGGTCAGGTCGTTTACTGTGTAGTGTGCGAATTTCAGCAACATGTTACACAGAAAAGTAGAGGCGAGAAAAGAAAAAGAAAAAAAAGAAGACAAGAAAGCCGTTTGCTGCCGGGATGGCCTCAGATCAGCCGCACGCCGAAGGCCCATCGAAGCCGCGTGGAAACAAAGCGGCTGCCTTCGGGCATGGGATGGATGTGAGACGACGCTCCCCCACCCTCAGCCGACGTGGTGCCGCACCGCGCGAGTGCAGATCCCTGCGTTTCCCATGCGCCTCATCTCCGGCCGTCAATGCCTTCCCTTCCGTCACTAGAAGCGACTCGTAGGAAAGAAGAAAAAAACAAGTGTCGAGCCCAATGAAGGGCGGCGGGCGGTGGAGGTCGCGCAAAGGCGAGGAGAAATTAAAACGGAGAGAGGGAAAATCCTGCTGTGATGACGAAGGGGACTTTCATTGCTCCCCGTCCCACTCTGTCATCCCGGGTGTTTCATGCAAAGAAGAGACGGGGGGAGACAGATGGAGGGTGCGTCCCTTTGGAGCCCACCCGAAATTCCAATACCCATCCACCAATGTGGCATATGGCAATATTTTTGCCGGTGCCCGTGTGCGACAGTGGAAGCCGGCTGCGCGTGCGGGTCGCTGGCGATCGTGGCCCATCCCTTTCCTACCTACAACATCAATGCAAGGCCGATGGGGCTAAAAAAGAAACGCGCACAATGTTTGGCAGCTCCGACGCCAGCGTAAAGTAGCAGTTCATGCCTCGCTGGGCAAGGGCGCGTCATGTTCCCATAGGAGCGACGCGTGGGCTGGCCCGGCGAATGGGAGGCCGCGCCCAACGGCTGACGGCCGCGCTCTGAGGGACCCAGACAGGAAACACACGACTCGCCGTTCGTCTCCCTTGCGCTCCAGCACGCAGCGACGTTGGATCATGCTACTCCGGGGCCATGCCATGGTGGTGCGAGGCGACGGGTGAAGATGTCCAGCAGAGGCGGACGTGCAGGTGCAGGCTGGGGAATGTTGACTGCATCCATCACTGCAGACAGGGCAGGACCTTACGCTAGCAGACTGCAGCCCCTGAGCCCCTGGCGCTCGCTTGGTCTCCCCTGTCACCCGTGGGCACACTTGGCTTTGTGGTATTCCAACCAATTTGGGGGCAATGACGGCAATCAGAGGAGGTGGGCGCAGGGCGTGCTTCCACGCCGCGGCCCACGACTAACGGCAATCCTTCATAACAGATGAGTCAGGTAACGAGGCCAGGGCGAATGGGAGAAATTCGTGCAGGTAAATAGCAATCTCTATAGCCTCCTGTAAACAGTAGCCTCTACAGCCTCCCGTGGCCTCGCCGTTGGGACAGCGAAGAACGGCGGCAAGCCGGCATCTGGCATTCAAAGGGCTGCAGCGCCAGGGAGTGATATCGGAATCAGATGCCCTGCGCTGCTCTGGCTAGTCGACTAGCTGCCGGCTAGAGCTGGTAAGGTTTGAGTTCGTAGAGTCCGGCTAAACATGGCGTCGAGGCTCGCTCGCTCAAGCAGTTGGCACTCTGGCACTGCTGCCATGGCATGGCATGGCGGGCGATCCGGGCAGCTGGGGCGGCGGTCTGCCTTGGACTCATGCTGAGTGCTGCCCACAGACGCAGAGGCGAGTCCTTGTATTTATGACGTCCAGCACTGGCTGGGCACCGTCGGCGTAGCAAGCAGTCCGCCTTGGCTCGGGCGAGACAGCGCTGTTGGCCAAGTCAAGCTGCGACGAAGGCGAGATGGCAGGACGGTAGCAAATAGCAGGTAGGCAGGGCTGGCTGACACAAATATCCTGGCGTCACACAGCGCCCGACTCGGAGATGGCCCAGTGTTGCGGCCCGGAGGCGACGGACTGTGGCATCTGGTTGTGGTTGTGGTTGTGGTTGCTAGACAATTTACCTACCTCAGAATAGGTCTGAACTGGCTTACGGCTTGGTTGCCAAAGGGAGGGCAGCAAAAATGGCTGCTGTCAGTGGCCAGCTCCTATGGAGATAATGCTACGACGGTATCCGTAATGGTAATGTCCACGGGTCATGTTGACAATGGCAGTCACTCGCACCAGTCTCCGGGCCGTCGACATCAAAGTCAGGCCCAGGCGACGGAAGCTGAGCCAAGCAGCTTCCATTGAGCTGGGCTGGGCAATTAAATCCAACAACTGCAGCTCGGGCCGCCTAAGCAGTAGGTACGTCGAGTGCAGGCGAGCTGTGCAGCCAGCCCATGTACCCGCTCCTTGCTGCTACTGCACACACTAGCCGCCAAGGCTCGACTCTGGCGCACGCCCCACTGTATTCAGTCAAGCACATGTATCTGCAGGGTCCAGAGACAGAGCGACGGGCGCTGAGCGCTGGCAGGAGCACGAACATCTCATCTCGACAAATTCCGTCTTTAGATCCATCAGACTTCATCCTCGCTACCTAGCGTCACCTTGCCTCGCCTCGCCGTCCGCCCGCCGCTACAGACGAAAACACTCGAGCGAGCAGGCACACACCGTCGTGCTCGAATCCCACGTCGGGTCCGCCTGCTGGCTCTGTCGGGCGCATTGTCCTGCGGCTACAGCGCAAGTAAACAACTAACTAAACAAGCTCCAAGAGTAAGACGACCGGGCCGCCTAGGTTGGGTCCCCCCTTCACAATCGCGTCGCCAACACCCGACCGCCCTTTTGGCCGCACACCAACAAATCGAGTCCCAACCTACCTGGAAACGACGTCGAGGCAGCACCAACGGGCTATCTGCACGCTGCACAGAAGCGTCTTCGAAAACTGCCTGCAAATCCCTTCACTGCAAAATGATAGCCTGAGCAGATCGATTGGTAATTTCAGCGACCAGTTGCCCGCCGTCCGGTCTTGTTTGCAAACGAGCCGTCAAGCCCGCCAATTGCTAGGCGTGCATTGTGCAGAGGGCTGTTTTGAAACTGCCAGCTTTTTTTTGGGTCGCTCTCTCTGCTTGGCCGCCTCCTGGCGCCCACCCCCAACCCTAGTGCAGCTCAGTCCAGCTTATCCCGGCCTCTGCTCGCTCCAGGAACAACATCGACGCAAATTTGCTCCCGCAGTACTGCAATCGCGGCCACTCTGCGCGTCGGCGTGGGAAAATGTCTAGTGCTCTCCAGGCGGCACCGCTCCATCCAACGTCAGTCGCTGCCCACAACTCGCCGTCGCCTAATCCCCAGTACCCGTCGTCCCATTCCTCCCCGACGCGAGAGGCCTCGGGCCACTATGCGAATCAGCACACCCTAGGAGCATCACCGGCATCATCATCACGACGCCCCTCGCGGAAGCCCAGCGCCAACGACTCGCAGACCGGGCTCGGCTCGCCCATGAGCTCCCGCGTCGCCCTCGCGTCGCCCGCCCCCGTCTCGAGCCTGTCGGCGTCGTCTGACCAGCACGGCTCGTCGTCTGACCGGAGGCGAAACATGCCCACCGCCGTGCCCCCACGCACGTCGTCGACGCACCACCACGCCAACGGCGGATCGAGCGCCCGACGCGCTGCACAGACGAGCGAGCGCCCCGCCAATTCGCCCCGGCGAGCACCGCACCCCGAGCTGGCTAGGGACATCAACGGCAACATGGACGCGGCGCGCATGGACGAGGCTGCCGCACAGAGCTCCCGCAACCGCCGGGCCAACCAGATGGCTCAGGAGCCGCCGCAGCGGTCCAGCAGCACGCGCGAGACACGACCGTCGGTCCAGCCGCCAACGGCTGTCCGCACGCCGCCCACTGCCGGCCACCCGCCCAAGGGCCCCTCGCGAGAGGCGAGCGAAATTCTTAATAGCATACTAATCTCGCAGCCAGAGGTCGACATTGAGCGGGAGAAGGAGCGAGTCGCCCAGGCCCAGCCGCATAACGTGGGCAGCCAGGACGACGACGCGGCGACCCCCCCGGTCGTGGGCACCGGCGAAGACGAGAGCCGCCGCGGCGGAAGAAGCCGGCACGATCATTCCAAGAGAGAGAAGCACACAAAGTTTGGCGAGTACATCTTGGGCAATACCATTGGCGAGGGCGAGTTCGGCAAGGTCAAGCTCGGGTGGAAGCAAGAAGGCGGCGTCCAGGTATGTCGACGCGCTGTAGCGCCTCGAAACCCTGCTAACCAGACTCCAGGTCGCCATCAAGCTCATCAAGAAGGACCAGCTGGGCAGCAACCCGTCCCGCATGGCCAAGATCATGCGCGAGGTCGCCATCCTCAAGCAGCTGACCCACCCCAACATTGTGCGCCTGCACAAGATGGAAGAATCGGAGCGGCACTACGGCATCGTGCTCGAGTACGCGTCGGGGGGCGAGCTGTTCGACTACATCCTCAACCACCGCTACCTGCGGGACAATGCTGCCCGGCGGCTGTTTGCCCAGCTCGTGTCGGGCGTCGGCTACCTCCACAAGAAGGGCATCGTGCACCGCGATCTTAAGCTGGAGAACCTGCTGCTCGACCGCAATCGCAACATTATTATCACCGACTTTGGGTTTGCTAACACGTTCGACCCCAACGAGGAGCTGTCGGAAGACGAGGAGGTGAACCTGACGGACCGCGAGTTCGTCAAGCGCATGGGACTGGACAAGATCAAGCCCAACGGCTCGCGCAAGGGCGACCTCATGCAGACGAGCTGCGGCAGTCCCTGCTACGCAGCCCCCGAGCTGGTAGTCAGCGACTCGCTGTACACGGGCCGAAAGGTTGACGTCTGGAGCTGCGGAGTTATTCTAGTACGTGACATGCCCCTACTTGCCCCCTTCCTACCGCCGCTAACATGCCCAGTACGCCATGCTCGCCGGCTATCTTCCGTTCGACGACGACCCGGCCAATCCCGAAGGCGACAACATTAACCTCTTGTACAAATACATTGTCAACACGCCCCTCACCTTCCCCGAATACGTCACTCCCCATGCCCGCGACCTGCTGCGGCGTATACTCGTGCCCAACCCGCGTAAGAGAGCGGACTTGTTCGAGGTCGCCCGCCACAGCTGGCTGAGCGAGTACGCCCACGTGGTCGAGTTCATCACGTCAAGCACCACGACGCCCGGCGAGATCCAAAACACGACGGTGCCGGCTGAGGACGAGGGCGAGGCGCCCGTCATCACGCGGAGCGCCTCGGTGCGCGAGTCGTCCAAGAAGACGGCCCCGGCGCCCCCCATCGGCGGCTTGGCCGCGAGCAAGCAGCGCACCATTGATCCCGAGGCCGAGAGCGCGTACGCCAAGCAGCAGCGAGACAACAAGCGCCGCACGGTGCAGGTCGAGTACGTCGCCCCCAACACGACAACACAGCGCGGAGACTCGTCAAGCGCACAACAGTCGGGTAGCAGGACTCGTGCCCGCTCAGGCAGCGAGGGCCCCGTGGAAATCGGCGATGTCGGCCCGTCGTCGCCCAGCGACAAGCCACTCCCCCGAGACCCCCCCGTCGCCAAGGACGCGTACGGAAAGGCGCCGGTCTCATCACGGAGACCGCCGAGCTCTCACCGCAACCCACCCGTCGCCGCTGGTGCCGGGCGGCAAGGCCGAGATACCCGCGCAGTAGCCGATCCCGCCTACATGGCAGTGGCGTCTACGACATCTGCGGCTCGCCCTCCGACGGGCGGATCCATGCAGTCCAACGCCTCCCGCGGCGTGAGCGGGCGCGCGTCGTACGGGCAACCCGTGCCCCCAGAGCTGGCCGACACCAACGTACACGGAAGGATCCAGCAGCCGCCAAAGGGCGGCCCCAAGCCCTACGGAATGCCCAGCTCGGCTTCGCAGGAGCAGGGCATGGAATACGGCCGGCCCAGCATCAGCGTGCCCCCCAAATTCGCCAGGTTGTCTGGGTTTGCGCGAGAAGGCGAGGGCGCCGAGCCGCGGCCCTCGGCGGAGGTCAAGGGCCACAAAAGATCCAGCACGATGGGCGAGATTGGAGGCAAGCTGTTTGGACGCAGTGGGTCCCTGTTTGGAGGCCGGAACCGGAAACGCACAGAGCAGCCAGGCGGCGAGAAGGGCAAGCGGTATCCGCCCGTGAGCATGAACAACTCGATGCCGGCTGGCGAAGAGCCGCGGCCGTCGATGGACTCGAAGCGCTCGCGCCGCTCCTTCTCGATAGGGCTAGGAAAGAAGCGGTCTGGCAGCATGACAGGGTCGCAGACGTCGCAGGAGAAGCACACTAGGCGTTTCTCCTTCATCCCGACGTCGTTCTCGCTCAAGGCCATCGGCATCGGCAAGGGCGACGAGTCGGCTCCCCCCGACTCGCAGCAGGACCTGCCGATCCAGGAACCCCCGGCCGTCGACCAGTACGGGCGGTTCATCGACCAGAACGTCGACCGAGAACATGCAGATGCCGCGACCCTTGACGGCATGTACGCGCAGCTGCGCAGTCCCCAGCAGGCCCCCGCCGACCCGTACGCGGGGCGCCACCAGCAATACCCCAACAACCAGTACGGGCGGCCGTCCAACGTCGAGGGCTACATGCCGGCGGCGGTGCTAAACACAGCCTCGGACGCCTCGGTCGACAACATGCGCCGCCCGCTGGAGTCTGCCCCCTATCCGCAGACGCTCCCGGCCCAGGACGACGGACGCAGGCCCGCGAACAGCGGCAAGCCCAACCGCGGCGTTCTCCAGAAGAACAAGCGCTTCGTCGACGCCTACGACACCGACTCGTACTCGCGGACCCACGACCACTCGGGCAGCAGCGGTCCAGCAAGGAAGGTCATGGACTTTTTTAGGAGGAGAGGGAAGGCCAGGGGCGGCGAGGGCAGCTGATCCAGCTTGACGCCAAGCTGGCACCGCATCTGCCCCACCACTCCACCCTTGCTGCCGACTCACCGGCGACCGTGCTTGCTTGCCGCGGCAGACACCGTCCGACATGCGACAACCCCCGCTCAACCATTTTAGCTGACGGAAGACTGCATCGAAGGGAAATAGCGCGCTTCTACTTGCAACCCACTGTTATACGACCTACCATATATGCCCTTGTAATAAGACGGAAAAAAAGAAACACTCAAAACCCTCACATCTGTCCTTGATCTGCGAAGCGCCGCCCAAAGAGCGGGCGCGAGGTTGCTACTAATTCATCGATATACCGGACCACATGGAAGGCCGCATGGCTATTTGTTGTTCGAAGAGCCAGCGGAGCAGGGAGGGGGAGTTTGCAAAGAATGATTGCAGGCAGGCAGGCAACCTGTACTCGTCTGCTGGGGGTTTTCTTTTTTCCTTTTCTCTACTTCCTCATCCAACCCCCCTTTTGTGTTTTGTTGTTTGCTCTCCGTATCATTGCCGGGCCCTACCTTGTTTTTGTTTCTCTTTTCCTTGTTCCTCTATTAAAGAAGGCGGGAAGGGAGGCTTCGTTTTCTGTCTCTCGTCTGTCTGTCTTGTCGGCACGTCAAAGACACTCGGCAAAGGAAGCTCTATAGTTTTGTTCTCGGTGTTGGGGAAAGGTGGTTTATAGCATATATTTGTATTGGAAGAAACTTTCAATCCCCCTCTGCCGTTTTATTCTCTGCGCTTCTTGTGGTGACCAGGAGTGGGAATAGAGGGGTCTAAGACTTGTGGAGATAAGGGGTGGGCAGGCGATGATACGAGTGGGGTGGTGTGTGTTGTGTACTACTGGCTGTTGCAGAAAAGAAGCATGTTTTGTTAGTGTCACTGCTTTCCTGATCTGCCCTGGTCCCGTGTCTTGCCGGAAGCAAAGAGGATGGGACCGACTGAACCACGGCCGTCTTCAAGTCGCAGCCGGATAGGGCAGAGTGTGTTACATTCATTCCGGTGGTGTGCGCCAGGAAGTGGACAGCAGCAAGGCAAGGCACCACGTGCACGGGGACGAGGTCTTCTTTTGGCTCTCGGGAGTCAGCATGCCAAGATGTAATCAGCCGTGTTTGCCGGACGTGAATGTACAGGACAGGACCACGTGCACGCTGTTCCGTTTGCTGCCATAACACAACCAGGGCAAGGCGGAAGAACGATAATCGCCGGCATGTATCTTATAGACTACTTATTTACCTCGGGTGCCTTGGCCAATAGACATGTCTAGACGAGGCTTGGAATTACATCGGAAGTGGTACACGAGGCAGACAGACAATTGGGAGTGTGCGCCTGCTTTGCAGTGTAGGGTGCTACGGTTGAACCTACAGGCCTAGCAGTGAGTGAACACGATGATTGAGGCCGGGTTGGGTGTGACCGTTTTTTCTATTGTGTAGTTCCTGTTTCTAGTTCCTGTTTCTGGTCCTACAAGACGTCGATCACCACTGCCGGCTAGGTTGGGCCGGCGCCCCAGAAACCCCAGAAACCCCGACCCCAGGACCCCGTCTCCCCACAGCCTCGATAGGCAGAAGGGAATGGAGTCTTGGACGAGCGACGTCTGTTCTCCAGCCAGCGCCCCGCACGAGCTGCAAGTGCCACCGTCTGTAAACGTGGATTTGACGTCATGTGAGACAACAGAGAGGGAGCGGGAGGGGACAGCAGCCACAACACACGAAGGACAAAGGGGAGAAACGGGAATTCTGGCGTGCTCGGCCGCGGAATAGAAGAAACGAAAAGAAAGACATGGCCCTGGCGGCGACTCGCCACGCAATTGGCTTTGGGCGAAAAAGCCAAGAGCCAGGCGAGGAAGCAGGCAATAGGCTGTCTTGGACAGGCTTGGAACGGGCTTGGAAGTTGGAGTTGACCCACGGATGCAGGCTGCGTCCCGGCGTAAGCAGGTGACGGGATTTTCTGTAGGCCTCAGACGGCGCTCGATTTGGGTCAGCTCGATTTGGGTCAGCTCGATTTGGGTCAGTTGCGCCGAGTGCCATGGCTAGTGATGACAGCTGCTAGCTTGATAGGCGTCTGTAGCCGAGAAACCATCAGTTGATATCAGACGCAGGCGCGCTTGTGTCATCTGTCTCTAACTCTTCATCTCTGCCTACCCAGATCTAGGTCTAGGTGTACAAAGTGCGGATGAGGTGCCGACTCCTTCGGACGCTTGGCGCAACCGAATCCGTATCTCCGAATAGTTAGACCAGGCGCCGGATGCCACGGAACGGAAAGGCAATGTGCGTCCGGCGGTGTGCGACACCACTTCTTTTCGTCCCTTGCAGTCTTGCCCGTCAGTCACCGTGGGAGGCGTTGGCTCAAAGCGTCCGACAGATTAATTTGTATCTTTGGGCAGTGGAGCGTCGAGGCGCGGGCGGAGGCTAGTTTTCTGGGGCTCTTAGACGCAGGGCGCCAGATGCGGGCTAGCGCGTCGCCCGCTGCAGCGCCCAGAGGTGCTTGCCCGGTTCGGGGGGGGGGGGGGGGGGGTCAGAGAGCAGTGCACTGGCAGCCCCCCAACCCCCATGGCTGGGGTGCCACGCCTCCGCATAAAGGCCCAAAGGCGGCCAATGCCTCAAGCTTGAGTCTCTCAACTCTCCACCACCGCCAGCCAGCTCCCTCAGCGACCGCCAGTGTCGACCGCAACCTGCCACGCCAACGCCCATTCGATGAAGGAAACTTCACCTGACTCCAAGTTAAAAGATCGCATCCGCTCGTGGGCAAGCACCAAGGCGCATGGCGGCACTCATCGCTCGGCGAGACGATCTGACCTCCCCCTCTCCAGCCCTCTCTCCCACGCAACTCCTCCCCCAGGTCCTGACCTGCACCCCGTGAGCAAGTCGCCGCGCCCAGGCAGCGCCGGCAACGGCTTCGGCAACGGTATCGGTGGCGATGCAGTTCCAGCTCACCATGGCGGCGGCATTGCCGCGTCCGCGCCCGCGCCCGCTCCGGGTGGCCGTGCGGAAAACGGGCCCAGTAGTAGTCCCCTCGCCGCATCGCCGCATGCTACGAGGCCGGGGCCTATCCTAGACGGCGACGGCCAGCCCCAGGACGAGAAGACGGACCCTCCCAAGGCCCACATCGTCGCTCGCTTCCTGGTGGCCGTCAGGATCATCTTGTTCTACTCCAAGCTCAACCTGCTGCTGGTCTTTGTGCCCATCGGCATCATCGTCCAGGAGATCCCCGGCGTGTCCCCCGGCGTCATCTTCGCCATGAATGCCATTGCCATCATCCCCCTCGCCGGCCTGCTGAGTTTTGCCACCGAGAACGTGGCCCACAAGCTTGGGGACTCTCTCGGCGCCCTGCTAAATGTCACGTTTGGCAACGCCGTAGAGTTGATCATCTTGTAAGCCTAAGCCGCCGCCCGGCCAACCTGAGCACGTCGTCAGACAGAAACTAACCTGTCGCAGCATGTATGTCTTCCTTGGTAAAGTGATCAAGACAAGAACGAGCGAGAAGCCTCCTCCAGAGAGAGGTCTTATCAAATCAATCGCGTCCCATGTCATCTTTGGCTATCTTCTGCTGCCTATGTCTCCTTGCGTCGGTCCACATGCGCTGTCCCTCGTGTCTTGTACCCGTGCTCACTGTTCCGTCGTCTTCTAACGTCCACAGCATCGCCCTCGTCAAGGTACGTCTGTCTGCCACAAGCATGCAGGACCAAGCTAACCCGTGCTAGAATGAAATCCGCATTGTGCAGGCCTCGCTGCTTGGCTCTATCCTAGCCAACTTGCTGCTCATCCTGGGCATGTCGTTCTTCCTCGGCGGACTACGCTACCGGGAGCAGGTGTGTCTAGCCATTGTCTTCTAGTCAGGTCGAGCCTGTCGCTAACGCCGTATAGATCTACAACAGCACCGTCACGCAGATGAGCGCATGTCTTCTCAGCCTTAGCGTCATCAGCTTGGTGCTGCCGGTACGCTGCCCTTTGTATCGCGCCCTACTTGACAAGCTGACTAACACACGCAGACTGCTTTCCATGCCTCGTTCAAGGACTCCCAGGTCGCCGACGACCAGTCGCTCAAGATTAGCCGCGGCACCAGCATCGTGAGCCCCACGTATTCCTGCCCCTGTCTTTCCTGCATGCTAACTCGTGCAGATCCTGCTGCTGGTGTACGGAATCTACCTCCTCTTCCAACTCATGTCGCACGCGTATATGTACGAGTCGACTCCGCAGCACATCATCGACGAGGAGTCGACGCCGGGGCCGGCCGCTGGCTGGCTCGACTCGTCGAGCTCTGACAGCAGCTCGTCGAGCGACTCGGACTCGTCCGACTCTGACCGCTCGCGCGAGACCATGTCAAAGCGGATGCGGCGGGTCATGCGCGGTAACCGGCGCCGAAAGTCGAGCGTTATCTCAATGGACACCAGCGAGGGCGTCATGGCGGGCCCTACGCGCACGCCGTCGTTCGGCACCACCGACGTACCCGTAGTTGACGAGCCCCCGTCGGAGGAGTCGTCGTTCCGGCCGCGCCTCTTCCCACGCTTCAGCGGCGGCGTGCTGGACGGCAGCGAGGAGGCGGTCGACGACGAAAAATCGCACCGCCACGGCCGCCGGCGCCACCACCGGCGGTCGCTGCGGCGGCACCGCAAGCACAAGGCCCACAAGCACCGCCACGGCGACCCGCAGGAGTTTGTGGGCCCGCAGACGATCGAGGAGAACGTCGAGGTGCAGACCAAGACGTCGCTGCCGGCGCCCGGCGAGCCGCGGCGCGTCGACTTTGCGCTCGCGAGCACGGCGTCGCACGACGAGGGCACGGTTGAGGTCGTGCCGGTGCGCAGTCCGTTCACAGGCCTGCGCACCATCTCGCTGCGGCCCGTGGCCAAGAGCTTGGCGCCGTCTGTCTTCATCCACCCACCCGATGCGGCTATGCCGGCGCCGCCTATGGGCCCCGTGCCGCGCGTCCGTTACGGCATCCGCCGCACCAACTCGCTGCCGGACCGGCTGAACCAGTACTACCGCCCGCCGGGCGCCATGATGCCGTCGCAGATCCCGCTAACGGCGACGGTGGGCACGGCGGCTAAGGATGACGACGTCCACGCGAACGCGCTGTCGCGAACCAGCGCCGTACTCCTGCTGCTCGTATCGACGGGCCTCGTAGCCGTGTGCGCCGAGTTCATGGTGGACTCGATCACGGGCCTGGTCAAGACGACCAGCATTGGCGAGATCTTCATTGGCCTCATTGTGCTACCCATTGTCGGGAACGCGGCCGAGCACGTCACGGCGATTACGGTAGCCATGAAGAACAAGATGGACTTGGCCATCGGCGTCGCCGTCGGCAGCTCGATCCAGATTGCCCTCTTCATCACGCCCCTTATTGTTATTATCGGCTGGGCCATGGGGCGCGAGATGACGCTCTACTTTACGCTGTTCGAGACTGTGTGTCTGTTTGTCTCGGCCTTTATTACAAACTTCCTGGTGCTGGACGGCCGTAGCAACTACCTCGAGGGCGCCCTGCTCCTTGCCACGTATGTGATTATCAGCCTTGTAGCGTTCTTCTACCCGAGCCCAGAAGATGCGAGCTCGTTTGGTGCCTAAGACGGGGCGGGAGAAGGGTGATGGGTGGCAGGACGGAAAGGGCCGGGCGGGGCCGTGTCTCGAAAAAGGGGCTATCATGTGACGGCGTCTCTGGGACTGGCCACCCGGATTAAGCGGAGGCTATATTTACTTTCTTGCAGCTTGCCGGCCATCAGATTGTCCAGCCGGCGGCTATACTTTGGTGTGTTTGTTTATTCGAGCCTCGGCCCCTATTGTGGGGCCGAGGCTGTCTGTTACTTCCCGGCCGCAGCGACCGCCCGGTGAGAGGTGGCCGTCTACTGGCTTTGCGGGATGACCGAGCGTCTAAAATAACACGCTCTTTATGCTCTGACTGAGTTTGCTACCTGGCCTGATCCGTGCAGCTGGTGTGTTTGTGTCTCGGCAAGTCACCTTAGGTCTCGAGCCCCTTGAGTCAGGTCTCTAATTCTTTGTTGTCTCGTCCCAAGCGTTGTAGGACTGTGCTTGCTGCACTCTATGTGCAGGCTCTGCTCCGTCCCTTCCAGACATCTTGGGCGCAGCTGTTGGAGACGTCATCAGTGCGGGGCAACAATAAGGCCGCCACTGCCACGCCAAAGTCCCTGCCGCTGAGAGTGCGGGGTTGCAAGTTGATCAAATCAGTGGAGTGACAGGCGGGCGCAGGCGCAACTCAATTGATTGCCAATAACAGCCTTCGCTCGATACGACGACCGGACGAACTGCCAACCTTGTATCGGTCAGATGCGTATCCCCAACCTTGGTACGCACGATACGAAAGACTGTGGCTAGATTGCTCCGCTTGATTTGTCGTGCCCTATCGGCAAGGCAGTTTCACTCCCGATCTCCCGGCTCCTCCTGGTTCCCATAAAGCAACCCAAGCTCCTTGGTATCTGCGTCTGATAGGGCACGCTCAGTGGCACGACAAGCAAGTAACAACGAGGCACAGCTCGCCCAACACGCACCCCCCCCCCCCCAAGAAGCCTATCTCAATTGTTAACCACACCCACGCATCAGGATTTTGAGATCTGCTACTTTATTATGTGTTTCGGGGGCACATCCAAGAAGAACTCCTAGCAACCCCCCTCGAGCGAGGAGCAACCACCCCGTCCGCGTCCCCAGCAGCCAACGTCTGCAACGACGCCAAAAGTAGCCATGCAGCCAAACAACAACCAGTACCAACCGCCTGCTGGGCCGCCGCCAGGATACCAGCAGCAGTACCAACCGCCTCCTGGACCGCCGCCAGGATACCAGCAACAGTACCAACCGCCTCCTGGACCGCCGCCACCCCGGCAATACGCCGCACCGGCCCGCAACGATGACTACACGCCGCCTCCTGGCCCCCCGCCGTCTGCCGCGGCCGGGAGCCGCAATGACGATCTGAGCTACATCGCGCCGCCCCCCGGACCCCCACCGTCTGCCGGGCAGCGTGACGACCTGAGCTACATGGCGCCACCCCCCGGCCCCCCGCCGCAGCAGGACACTAAGTCGCAGCACAACTGGCAGACGGTCGTGCCGGACACCTCGCTGTTCCCGCCGCCGCCCAGCTTCTTCGCCGGCTGGTACCGCTCGCCGGCCACCAACGCCCCGGAAGAAGAGGCCGAGGCCGGCGAGAAGTGGTGCGCTCAGCACCCGCTCCTCGCCCCCACCACCCTCGACGCCTCGGCCCTCGCCGCCCTCGGCGCTCACAACCCCCGCCTCATGGAGCCCGCTGTAGGCTTTCGCGGGCAGCTCGCCTGGACCGCACCGGGCCGCTGGACGCTGCAGACGGACGCGAAGGCGCCCGACAGCTGGTACGACCCCCTGCCTCTTTCTCGCCCGATGACTACAACCGTAACGACATACTAACTGGCCCAGCATCATCGGCTACCCCCCGCTGTACGCCGTGACAGCGCACAGCCCGCTGCGCGACGCGCGGCCGCGCACCGTCTACTACGAGGTAGTGGTGCGGCCGGCGCCGCCGCGCGCGGGCAGCAACAACCCATTCCACCGCCCGCCGGCCAGTGCCAACGACGAGGTGTGCCTCGCGCTGGGGTTCACGGCGCTGCCGTACCCGTCGTTCCGCATGCCCGGGTGGCACCGCGGCAGCCTGGCTGTTCACGGCGACGATGGGCACAAGTTCATCAACGACCGATGGGGCGGGCAGTCGTTCACGGAGCCGTTCCGCCACGGCGAGGCGTACGGCATCGGCATGACGTTCTCCGTGCCGGGTGGCGTCGCCGCCGGTGGCAGGATCGAGACCGAGGTCTTTTTTACTCGCGGTGGCAGGGAAGTCGGCCGCTGGAACCTGCACGAAGAGGCCGACGCTGAGGAGAATCTGCCCGTCACGGGCCTCGAAGGCTACCACGACCTCAGCTGCGCCGTCGGCACGTATGGCGCCGTCGACTGCGAGGTCGTCTTTGATCCGGCCCGCTGGGCGTTTAGGCCAGCGGGCTGCTAGGAGGTCTCTGGGTAGTCTGCCTGTGTAGGGAAGGCGATTAGGTTTGGCGAAGGTAACTCTGGAATAGGGGCGAATAGGGGCTATCTCATGTTTTCGTCTCATTGTGGCGTGCCTGCTGCGGCGTGGCCCAGAGTCGGCCTAAATCCCTTTGGCTACTGCCTAGCCTGGCCTTGTTCTTTGTGACTATTCCTAAACTCTAAAAAAGATGTGAAATGGTTTCAAATTCCGGAACTGTTTCTCTCCTGGAAACAACTTAACAGAACGGACCAGGTTTGCATACCTAGGGGAGACTCGCAAAGACTCGCAAAAGAAAGCTGAATCCAAAAATTTCGCTTCAGGATTCCGCAATACGGCCTACCTCTTTTTCTCGGCTTCGTGAATGGATTAGACGAGCTCATCGCTGTACTTGTAACTCACTGTCTCTGTTCTCAGTTTCTCTAACACACCTCGGCCCTAACGAATAACCTAACGTCTAAGTGACTACCATATTCTGCAGTAGCGACGGTGCGTCCAAGACGTCTCGTTACTAGCTAGACATTCCTAAGATACTCCGTTCACATCGCCAGGTCCGGCGAATTCTAGCTTGCAGGGCTCGGCTCGAAACTGACTAGAACCCCAAGGCTAGAAGCTTGCTATTCTTAGCCACCGGAAGCGGTTTCGCGGGGTGGGCGAGTTTGCGTGTCACGAAGAATACCGCCTGATTGCAGACAGCCGGAAATGTACGTGGGGAGTTCCAATGCCCGCCCGGACGGAATGCAAATTGCAGCTCGGTTGAGGCTTCAGAGAATGCTATCTATTATAAATTCCACGATAATGTATTCGGTAGGTCGTGGTTTTAACACGACCGGGCAGCGGGGATCAATGGAATTGCATAACCTTTCCGTATGCGGCTTGCGTTGCGTTGTGTCAACTACCTCCGGCACACTGCCGCCGCCGCCGCCGCGTATGTATGGACGTACGTACGTATTTGTACTGCGCACAGCGGCCAGCGTTACGTGTGCATAACAAGCCACACTGCACAAAAGGATGTCGCGGCAGCCGCAAGCTTGTTAGTGTAATGCATAGGCTTGGGCTGGGCGGGCGCATTTTCCCTGGGCCGAACTCTGGCAGAACTCTCTCTGGCTCAGTGGCTGCGGCTCTCGTCGCCGCCAGCTGTCGATCACGGCCGGGGCAGCTGAGGTGGTCACGCATAACAAGGCCCAAACGGGCTGAAGTCTGTTGAGGACTCCTCGAGAGATTAGTATCGATCCGCTCCGGCACAGGGGCACCGACGCCGTCGCCGCCCTGGGCCCCGCTAGTTTGGGTTTTGTCGAGATTGCGGTAAATACTAAATATTGATGGCCTGGCCTGGGGCCTTGTTGTGGCCTGAGGGGTTACAGGTTGTGTGGGCTGAAGGGACTCTTGTGGTCCCCCAATCAGCTCACAGCTCGAGCAAAGCGTAGCGTGTGGCTGGCCGCGTGCGGATCAGACGGCCTCGCCGCTGGGTCTCGGTCACTGTTTGCAGGGCCCGCGCGCTGCTTGCTTGCCTTGGCTGGCGAATTCCCAGCCTTTCCGTACCCCTGCAACCGCACCCCTCATTCCCCACCCCACTCGCACATGCTGAAGGAAAATGCTGGAATGAGGCTGAATCAGTCAGCGACTTCTGGCGGGCGTGGTCTGAGGCTGCTTGGCCGCAGATGCAGGCTCGTGGTGCGTTGCCAGGCAGTGAGCTCTGGGCGGCGGGCAGTGGTTGTGGCACTCACGGTGGAATCCACTCCATGCCCGGCTAGGCTGCGGCAGACAGGCTGCAAAACAACCTCGCCGCCAGCATTCGTGGGACGCTAGCTGTAAAGTACAGAACATCCTTCATTCTCGTCCGTCCCCATTGCCCAGCGACCACTGGCCGGGCCGCGTGGGATAGGCAACCGCGGCGCACCGCCATCAGCGCAGTTGTTGTAATCCGCATCACCTCAATTGTAATCCGTTTCAATTGCCGTCTCCGTCCGCACGCACAGCTTGTTGGGAAGTTACATTTAGTCGCACGCTGCCCAGGGTTTGCTGCTTACAGCGCCGATGCGCTGCGGCCAAAACTGGCGCTCCCCGCTCGTCGTGCGCGAGTGTTCCGGCGATAGCACCTGCAGCAGCTCGTTCCCCGCTCCATCCACCCACCCACATCCACATCCACATCCACATCCACCTCGCATCCCCCGCGATCCGCCCGTTCCGTCCTCTCGCTCACCTAGTCTGGGCCCCCCTCTCTCCTCCCCGCTCTCGCGGGCGACACACGACGCGACGACCACATGGCGTCCTTCAGCGGGCAACTGGGCGGCGCCAACAAAATCACAAAGCTGAGGGGCAAGATGGTCAAGCCGATCCTCAAGAAGGCCGGGTCGCGCTCGGCCAAGAACTCGTTGGATCTGGGCCGCGCATGGGAGGAGCAGCCGGCTGACCAGCTCCATCAGCTCGACGGGCCCGCGTGGGGCAACTACGGACCGCGCTCGCAGTCGGTTAAGGACGTCAGCTTCGTCTTCTCTGGCGCCCTCGGCGTCGTGCGGGACGGCAGCGCAGGCACGGGCGCCGGTGCCGTCGTCAGCACAGTGGTCGTCAATGGTGGTGTCATCGGTGCTGGCACTGGCAACGGCACTGGCAGCGGCGGCAGGACATTCCAGCACGGCCGCACTGCCTCGCAGGCCTCGACTGGCAGTGGCTCCCGCGGCTTCATTCATCCCTTCCAGCAGACACCGCGCACGTCGACCCCACCGCTGTCGTATGCCAATTCCCTGGCCTCGTTTGACAATGCAAAGGACTACTCCCCAACAATCACGGAAAACGAAGACGACAGTCTCGACCCGCGCTCGTACTCGCAGCAGCACCACCTTCACCACGCCTCGCCGTCTCTCCCGCCCACCGTCTCGCAGTCGAACCTGCGCCGCCCCTCTCTAGCCAGCCAGCGGACGTCGTCTCTCTCCGACATTGCATCTACAGCAGCGCCCCTGCGCGTCAACACCAACCGCTCAACCGCCACGACCTCGCGCCTCGCACATGGCAGCCTCACCGCGAGCCACTCGGACCTGCACCTAAACCTCGCCGGCAGCGGCCTTGATTCGCCCACGGGCAGCGTCGGGGGCACCCTCCCGCCGCCCTCTCTTACCTCCCCCCCGTCGAGCTCCGCCGCAGCCATGCTCCCGATCCGCAGCTCGCTCGAGTCGGCCGGCTTCCCGCGCCTACGCAGCCGGTCCGAGCTCGACACTGTGGCCAGGGCCGAGAACATCCGCGCCGCCCGCCGCAAGTTTGAGGAGCGCGAGCGCGCCAAGGAGGAGAAGTACGACCGCGAGATGATCAAGAAGCGCGAGCGCCGCGACAACAAGGAGGCCAGCCGCATCGAGAAGGAGGCGGCGGCACGCAAGACCAGCTTCAGTGGCAGCGAAGCCGCGCGGCCCTCAGCGTCCCGCAAGACCACGCCCACCAACCTCTCCACGTCGTCGGCCCCCGTCATGGGGTCCGGAGGCATGGGAGGGAGCCTGGGGAAGGGCAACTGGGTCCGCAGCGCCCCGGCGACCTCGTCCAGGGACGACATCTCGTCGGCGTCGTTCCTGGGGTTCGGGTCCTCGGTCGCAGCGAGCCTCGGTGGGGCGGGCCCCATCGGCGGCAGCAGCGGCGGCGGCGGCACGCCCAAGCAGAAGCGCGCCGAGCCCGTCATGGAGGAGAAGCAGATGGCCTTTGTGGGCCGCAAGTATGAGAGCGTGCCGCCCACACAGGCGCCGCCGGCCTTTGGCACCGGCGTCGACGACGTCCGATTCGAGCAGGCCCGGCCGCGGCGCTCCAGCACCGCCAAGAAGAGGACACAGAGCTACTGGCAGGGCTTTATCCTGTGGCTGCGCACCAAGCTGCTCCGGATGAGCGGCCGGTAGGCTGAGGACTCTGCCCGGCTGCAAGAGACCGCCCCATTAGACCGGCTTACAGTACACTACCGCATCCCGCCGCATCGATTATTACAGGGCGGGTTTGGGAACGCTTGACTAAACGCGAAGGAAGAGACCGATATACAAGAAGAGAGACACTTTGTCTCACAACGCACAGGCAGACACGGAAAAAGATACCACGCACACACACACACACAGACATGACATGACTTAACGATAGCATCTTACCATATTTGCATTTGCGGCTGGCTTCTGCGTTCTTTGGCTTTGAAAGGCGGCTGGTTTGGCTACGGGTTCACGTTGATTTTCCCTTCGTTGGCTAAGAAGGAAAGAGAAAGAAGAAGAGGAAGAGAATGGAGGGCGTTTTTACAGGAGATTGATTTTCTTCTCCCGCGGCGGATTTTGCTGCCGCGCTCTCTCTCTCTATTTTGAAGGAAAGCATGGCGTTCCGGTTTTGGGTTATTTCTTTTTGGTTCGCCTTGGGTTTGCTTTTTCCGCTCTTGTTTTCGGCTCGGGCTCTGGATAGGATGAGCATGGAGAGGAGGCAATACCCACGTGTCAGGCCCTTTTTTTGGCTTCTTTCTTTCTGTCACTCTCTCCGTCGCCGTCTTTCGCCACGGCGAGATCCTACTTAGCAATGCTATGAGATGACTCTGCCCTGACTTGTGTCTCGTGTGAAGAGCCGTCTTCCGGTAATCAGTGGTGTGAAGTGCTGTCTTGTGCTAACCTGCAGGAAGGAGCGGTTGTGAGCGTGGGAACTGGAAGGTGCAAGGTGTTTCCAGGCTGGGAAGGCGCTGCCCCGATCTGACTTTTCGATCACGGAAGTGTTCATGGTTCCTTCTTGGTACAGAGATAAGAATGAATTCCTACAGTGGATACAACTAGGCACCATCTGCGAATGCAGTCTTCGTACTCCACATGCTTACCGTTACTAGAAACTAACATGCAATATTCTGCCTTCGCCAAAAAACCCCGGTTCTCTTCTCTTCGACCTAACAACGTGCAAGCACCAAACACAGTTCACGCAATTAAGCAGAAATGTATGTACCCACGGCTTTCAGACCTGGAACGGTGGCGTCTGCAACTGCCGCCAGACTGCGGTGGTGATTGGGTCGATTAGGCCGCTGGCAAAAGTGGCAGTGTTCTCACGCAGCCTCCCTCCACCATCTCAAGGCGCAACTGGCGGGCAGGCTTCTAGTCAGGCTGAGCGCTAGAGGCGCCTGAAACTTCAAGCTGCTGAAATATCGGTAATTCTCTCGCAATCAACGTCTCACAGCTCCCGCAACCTCCATACTGCCCTCTCGATCCAGCCATGGACGGATTGACAGCGCTGGGCGTCGCCAGCAACGTGATCCAGCTGGTCAGCTTCGCGAGCAAGCTTGTGGGAAACACGCATTCCATTTACCGGTCGGCGACGGGTACCAGCGACAACGTCGTCGTCCTGAACGACGTGGCCAGTGCATTAGGACGCCTGACTGACGCTGTTGTCATTGCCCCCGAATGTGGCGAGGACCTTAAGGAGCTGTCCCTGACAGCCAAGAGGGCCGCCCAGCAGCTTCTCGACGTGCTGGAGGCTTTGCGGGTCAGGACCAAGAAGACGCGATGGAAGAGCTTCCTGGTTGCCGCAAAGCAGGTCTACAAAGCCGACCAGATCGAGTCCCTGACGACTAACCTGTCAAGACTGCAAATGCAGATCCTCCTACACCTGCAATCACAAGTTGGGTAGGCAAACCTGCTGACTCTTGCGTCTTAGCATCCCACTGACGCTCGCTACAGTAACCAGCTCAGGGATATTTCAATGAGGATAGAGGGTGTAGAGATGATTTGCGAAAGACTGGACTTGAAGAGGACGTCAGAACTGGAGAGGCTTCGGCATGATATTCTGGCGGCGGTGCAATCCCTTGCTTCCAACGCGTTGCCAGCAAACGGAAGCGCGCTAGCTTCCTCAACGGCCGTCACGGAAGCGCTGGAGAATCTCAAGCTTAGCGACCCGGAGCGGATTCCCGCCTTCCTTGGTAAGGTCTCGGCCGTTCAAAAACAGCTCACCGATCTGGACAGGTATCATACCGTCTTGCAGCGACTGCACTTTGATGACTTCACGTCCCGCCACGACAAGGTCCTTCCAGCACATGCCACAACGTTCCAGTGGATATTCCAGGATGGCCACCCTGATGGACTGGGGCGTCTTGGGTTTTCTGATTGGCTCAGAAAGCAAGGGGGGATTTTCTGGATTCGGGGCAAGGCCGGCTCGGGAAAGTCGACACTCCTAAAGTTCCTCGGGAACCACCCCCTTACCATTCGATTCCTGCAAGAGTGGGCAAAGCCTAGGAAGCTCGTCTTGGCAAAGTTCTACTTCTGGAATTCGGGGACCAGGCTGCAGAAGTCACAGGAAGGGCTGCTACGATCATTGTTGTTCGAGATCCTCCGCCAGTGTCCCGAACTTGGCCACCACTTCTGGGCGAAATCACAGACGTTCCTCGACACGGAGGTGCTGCTAAGCACTCTTGATGTGAATTGGACTACTGGCCAGCTGGGATCGTTGTTAAAATGCTTAGTGACGCTCGATAGGTCCAAGAGCTTCTGCTTCATCATTGACGGCCTCGACGAGTACCAGGTAGACGACACGTATGATCACCGGGACTTGATTAAGACGCTGCGGGAACTATCAGCATGGCTAGGTATCAAGTTCTGCGTCTCGAGCCGTCCCTGGACCGTCTTTGTCGATGCATTCGGTGGAGCACCAGACCAAGTGCTGAAGCTCGAGGACTTGACGAGGGAGGACGTCCGTCGCTATGCCTCGGACAAGTTTAACGAGCACGACCAGTACCGGAAGCTCAGCCAGTTCGACCCGGGCTACCGCCAGCTCGTCGACGAGGTTGTCAGGCGGGCGCAGGGGGTGTTTCTCTGGGTGTTTCTCGTCGTCCGTGATCTTCTCGAGGGCTTGACGTACAACGACACCATGAAGACCATGCGCAGACGCCTCGACGGCTTTCCCGAGACGCTCGAAGCATTCTTCCAACACATGCTCAGCTCCGTGCCCAAGTTCTACCGCATACAGACGGCCAGGGCATTCCAAGTCGCCACGTCCGTCGACTATCCTCTGCCAATGGTGATGTACAGTTTTCTCAACGACATCGAAGACGACCCCGAGATTGTCGACCGAGAGATTCGGCGCCCTTGCGGCGGGCCCGAAATCAAGCAGCGGCAAGACACGATGCGGCGACGCTTCGATGCCTGGTGCAAGGGCTTGCTCGAAGTTGGGACCTTTGGTCAGCGAAACGGCTACGGCTCATTTCAGAACGACAGGGTCGACTTCCTCCACCGGACTGTCCGTGACTTTCTCGTATCCGAGAACGTCCAAGGCATCACCAATCTGCTAAGCGAAGAGCGCCGCCAGACCTGGATTGGCCTTTGCCAGGCCGTGGTATTGCAGTTCAAGCGTGCCCCCGAGAATACTTTCCCGCCGACAACTGACTGTCTTGATGAGCTCTGCCACTTTGCCAGAAATGCTATCTGCGATGGGGCTCCTATTGGCTTGATCTACGAGATCCTGGAGAAGGTTATCGATGCTGCCAACGCCGTAGAGAGCCTGGCGTCGACGGGCATGCGAGAGGAAGTGCTTGCATCGGCATGTCAGAACGGTCTCTCGGGCTTCGTTCAGTCTCAATTCGACTATTATGCAAGTGGTCAGCCGCTGCGTCCGTCACAGCTCACCGAGATTTTCCGCCAGGCCGTCAAGCCCGGACCCATCTCTGGAAAGATCTACGCCGACAACGTTGCGTCCATCATCAAGTATGGCGAGAGCTCAGACTACGACATGGAACAGTCCTTCTTCTCCGTCTTTGGGGAGGTGGTGGCGAAAATTGGGATCGGTACAAAGCGAGACGGCGTCGTGGAGCTCGTCAAGTTGATGGTCGGTTACGGATACCCTATCGAGAAGGACTGGGTCGAGAAGTACCTTCCCGGGCATGTCATTGAACTGATGATGCTCTCTAAATCTGGTCATGCCAAGCAGAAGCGCCCGCTGGAAGAGCCCGAGTACCCGCCAGAGAGCAAACGAGGCCGGCGGCTTTGCGATGTGTGAGCGCGTTGGGATGAAATTGGATCAAGGGGAGCTGTATGAGACAACGATACCCAAGCTGCGTAGTGCTGTTTTTTCATCTTATTGTATCATCAGATCTGCTGTATTATCATTTAGGCCTGGCGGAGCTGGTCTGACTACCTTCGGAACCGAGTGACCTGTCTGGTTCATGGTATATGGTTTCTTGCACATGGGATGGCCCGAAGTAGTATAAAGTACCCGTCCTTAACCTGTTCAAACAGCCCCCAAACCAGGCAACAGACCGAATCCGAGGTATCCGTCTCTGTACCGACTGATTGATGGAAAGTGGGTGATGTTCTGCACCTCTGAATAATCTCGTTGGTCCTCTTCTATTTGAAACTAACAGCAGAGGCAAAGAACTTTGAGCTGCTATGCTTCAGTAGTAATAGTAACATGGCTCGATTTCAAGTCGAGTCTACGGGGTATTTGTGTGACACTGAAGGAAGAACTAATTTCTGCTGGGGCCGTTGGCGATGGAAAGGCGGGGCGGCCGTCATCCGTCAGCAGCCACCGGGCGAGAACAATGGGTGATCAATGCCCAACTTGACTTGGTCAGCCTCGGACCGTAATCCCGAAGTTGCGAATAGCTACATACTTGCCTTGCTTCTTGTGGGCTGCGCATTCGCAGCGACACACTAACGCGAATCAACACGCGGAGACCGGGAATACGTCCGCGGAACTCCGACAGCAGTCAGCCAAACAGGCTAGCCACGCACGCACGGCGCAGCTGAACTGGGAGCCACGCCGGTTACTAGGGGAAATCTTTGACGAGACCGAAAAACATCGGCATCGCGTCCCCATCGCACGCGGCCGTCACGCTGCATCCGCCAAACATGTCGGCAACGCGGCGATTCGTCAACCACCCCGGCGCCAAGGAGGCGCCGGCTGCGGCCTTGGTCTACACGCCCGAGGAGAACCACAACCCGGCGCTCCGGGGGCTGCCGCTCGCCATTGCCTCAAACATGTCTGTGCACTGCTCCCGTCCTGGCGGCTTCGGCCCAAAAAAACTCACGTCGTGTGCAGCATTTCACGTTCCGACTTTCTCCTCCGCTATTTCTGGAGAAATGCAAAGTTCGACCAGCCAAAGTACCTCCCAGGCATTGGCAAGGCGCTGCGGAGGGCACAGGTGAGTCGTTTACATATTCACGAGAAACTACGGAAATAAACGTCACGTCCTGACACGCCCAACAAGCCCAATGTCATCCCCCTAGGAGAGGGTCCCTCCGCTCAGACCATGCTCGAGCTAGGCCCGGAGCTGGGGACGCCGCAGCCAGCGGATCTCGTCGGCCGCTTCCACTCAGTCGCCGACTACCACGAGCTCTACCGGTCGGGGGCGGCGACACCGCTGCAGGTGGCCGAGACGCTGCTGCCGCTGATCCGGCGCGACATCGAGCCGCAGTCAAAGTACGCCGTGGCGTGGCTGCAGACCAATGTCGACGAGGTGCTCGCCGCGGCCAAGGCGTCGGCGGAGCGGTGGGCAGCCGGCGCGCCTCTGGGCCTCCTCGACGGCGTGCCCTTTGGCGTCAAGGACGACTGCGACGTTAGAGGCTTCGTGTCGACCATGGCCTTGAGGATCGACAAGTCTCTGCCGTACTTCAACACGCCGGCCACCGAGACTTGCTGGCCGGCGCTGAAGCTGCAGGAGGCCGGCGGCATCATGATGGGCAAGATGAACCAGCACGAGGCGGGCATGGGTATGTTGCTCCTGCTTGGTATCCCGACGTGAAGCTTGTGCTGACGAGTAGATGCTAGACACCACGGGGCTGAATGTAAGCAGGCCAGACTTGCAAAGCCGCCACTGCGGCGATGGCTAATAAAGCAATTCCGATCTAGGTAACGACGGGGACGGCCACAAACTGGGCCAATCCGTCGTACTACCCCGGCGGGTCATCGTCGGGGGGAGCATCTGCGGTGAGTGGCGGCATTGTGCCCATCGCCATTGGAACTGACGCGGGTAAGTAAATGGAAGCGTTACTGGAAACAGCTCTAACGGCATATACAGGTGGCAGCATCCGCATCCCTCCGGCCTTTTGCGGCGTGTACGGGCTCAAGCCCACCTACAACCGGACCTGCATCCGGCAGTCGGCAGTGAGCGTCATCGGACCGGCCAGCTCGACGGTGGCCGACCTGACGATCGCGTACCGCATCATGGCGCAGCCAGACCCAGAAGACCCTGTGCGCAGCCAGTTCGGGCTGTCGACGCCACCCTCGGCGACGGCCAACGGGGGCAAGAAGTACCTGGGCATCTGCCGGCCGTGGCTGGAGCAGTCCGACCCGGACGTGCTCCACGCGTTCGACCAAGCGGTGAAGCACCTGACGTCGGCGGGCCTGGGCTACGAGCTGGTCGACATCCAGCTGCCCTACATCCGCGAGAACGAGATCGCGCACGGGGGCGCGTGCCTGACCGAGGCGGCCGAGGACGCCAAGGAGCGCGCGGGCCAGGCGTCCAACTGGCTGCAGTATCTCAACTACGCCAATCGCATCACAGCGGGAGTGGGCGCACAGACAACGGCGGGCGACTACATCAGCTACAGCCAGATGCGGCACGTGGTGATGCAGCACGTGGCCTTTTTGTTCGACAAGTACCCAGGCTTGCTCATCGTGACGCCGACGACGCCGATGGCGGGCTGGCCGATCGATCCCCGCGACCTCAAGTACGGGCTCAACGACGGCAACAAGTCGATCCGCAACATCATGTACGTGTGGCTGGCCAACGCCACGGGCTGCCCGGCCGTCACGTGCCCAGCCGGCTACGTCAAGCCGGCGCAGGGTGAGGGCAACCTCCCCATCGGCCTCATGGCGACGGGCGAGTGGGGCGCCGAGGAGCAGCTTCTCGCCTTTGCGCGCGATGTCGAAGCGTACCTCGACAAGTCGTACCCCGGCGGAAGGCAGCGGCCGGCGCAGTGGGCTGATGTCTTGAGCACGGCCCGGGCCGGCAAGGCAGCGCCCAAGGGCGAGGCAGCTGGGACGGAGACGGAGTGAGGTGAGGGCGTGTTTAATATAGTGGCCGACTTACAAGGCAGTGGGTGACTGGCTGCCGGGTGGTGCGATGAGCGAGCTGTGGTGTACTGTACATATCTACAGTGCGGGGTATGTATATTTTATTTGGAGTGTAGAGAAGATGGTCGAGATGCGTGTAGTAGGGTTTGGATTGGCGCGGAGTATAGCGAGCGAGGACATAATGTGAGAAAGAAGAGATACAACTTGCTACTTATGTACTTTTAGCGTGGTCGTCCAATATCTCGTCGTGTTCTTGTTCCTTCTGAATCTGCGTGCGTCCCATTCCGCGGATCCCGAGAACTTAAAAGACAGTATAGAATACGTACTGGCTCCCCGTACCTAGAATGAACAGTGCGAAGACTGTGCGTTTGGTACTACTTCCTTTCTGCACAAGCTACGGTAATCCGAATGAGCACGGGCGTTGCAAACGCACCGCGCAATTCTACGGCCGCCCATCGCAAACCCAACACGTCACAAAGCAACCACAGTAGGTGCAGTGCAGCACACGACGCACGCGAGTGCAGCCGGTATCATGGGATACGACTGGGAAGCACACAAGCAGGCATGCCATCAGCTCTATATCGTCGAGAACAGGTCGCTGGATGACTTGGTCGAGCTTATGCGGCTGCGGCATAATTTTACGCCCTGGTGAGTGTCCGTCTCCGTACTCTCTCTCTCTCTCTCTCTCGTTAGTGACACGCTTCTGCGTTCCCACTTCTGCCTCGCCGTATTCCCAACCAATGCACTGCTGCACTGCATTTCCATTTGCATGACCAAATTCTTGGACAAGCCTAACGTCGCCATGCCTTCGCCGCTAGTCGCCGCGCCTTCCAGCTTCAATTGAGAAGGTGGGGCTTCCCCGAGAAGCCCTCCCAGGCATACAAGTATGCGCACCTGGTGGACCGTGTGCGCGAGCTCTGGGAGAGCAACCTCAACCAGAAGGATATGCTGTCCGCTCTCCACGCCGAAGGCGTCAACATCAAAGACAACACTTTGATGCGCATGCGCACCAAGTTTGGATTCTACCTGCGCGACCTCGGCGGTCTGGCCAACCCAATCACCTTCACCAACGGTGTTCCCTCTAAAGCCAAGGCGGGGACGAAGCGCCGGAGGGCCGAGACTGACGCGTCCGGCAGCGGCGACGAGTCGGACGAGTCTGAGTCCGAGTCCGACTCGGGGTCATCGGGGTCGCCAGAAGAGGAGAGCGGTTCCGGTGACAATGACACCATTTCCCGCGGCCTCCAGCAGTCTCGGACTGCCCCTGCCCGGCCCGTCGACCATGCCGCACAGCAGGCCCGGAGGGAGGCGAGGAAGCGCGCGCTCGAAGCCAAGTCGATAGAGGACTGGGCTACCAAGAAGCGGCGGCGCCGTTCCAAGGGCTGGGCCGGCATGCCGGCCGACCCGGGCCCGCCGCGCTTCCCCTCCGAGACGTCGCTCAGCGAGTGCAAGGTGATCCTGCAGATCGACGAGAATGCGTACCGGGAGATACGCAACAGCTTCCAAGCTCTCTGCGAGGCCGCCGGCGTTGCCAAGAAGACGGTCGCCGGCCCGGAAAAGTGGGAGGCGCTCAAGGACCAGCTGGTGCGCGAGTCGATTCCGCTGCGGTCCGTCATGTGGGACCCCGACAACATGGAGCAGAAGCGGCTGGCCATTGATGTTATTGCGAACGACGTGACCAAGCGGATCCGGACCCTGTCCAAGGCCATGTCCATCGCCCAGGCCAAGACGATTCTCGGCATGAACCCCGAGGTCGGCCGAGAGTTCCGCTCGTCGCTCTACAGGATGCTGGCCCGGGAAAACTTTACGACCAAGTACGAGGAAGGGCTCGAGTACTGGGAGGACATCAAAACCAGGTGGCTCACCAGCTCCAAGCTGTGGGAGCACCTGCTCACTCTGTCTCCCGAGACAGACCTGGACTACCCCACCAAGAAGCGAGCCTTGGACCTTTTGGCTCGCGATGCTTTGCGGCGCTACCGCTTCGACTTGAACCAACGGGAGAAGAAGGCGCGAGCCCCGCCCCCAGAACCGCAGGCAGAGCCGGCCCGGGCGGGAAATGCCGGCGCGGCCAGGGGCCGGCCCCGCGGTCGTGGCGGGCGAACTGCGGGGCCATCACGGCCCGCTGCGGCGGCAGACACGCGGCAGACCATGCCAGCGGCCACACTATCGCCGCAGCGGTCTCGGCGCGCTGCCGGGGCGGCGACCTCGTTGCACACCGAGCCTCGCCTTCTTCCGCCAGATGCCGACCCAGCGCCCCCGCCGCAGCATGCCGCAGCGCATCCCCAGCCAGACCCCGATCTGGCATCGATGCACGAGGCCGCCCTGTTGCTCTCGGCCGAGACGAACATCGACCCGTTCTTGGAGCAGGAGCAGTACGGGCATGGGGGGTACCAAGCCCACCAGCCGGCCGCTCCCCAGCAGTCAGCCGCCATTGCCGTCTACTTCCGACTGCATCCGGCGTCGGCGGTGCACGTCGTGACGGGGAGCATCTGGATCTCGGCGCTCGACACGCGGACCATTGACGAGCTGCGTGGGAGGGCGCTCGAGAAGTACCCGGGGGCGGTTTGCGCCGGCATCCAGGGCATCATCAAGGATGGCAAGGGCGTCGACCTGCCGCTGCCCGTCAACGACGACGGCGAGCTCGATGCCTATTTCCAGCACGTCCAGGGCGTGTGCGCCCCAACGTTTAGCGTGCAGCTGATGTCAGGAGAGCAGGGGCACTGGTGAGGTGCTATCTTTTGGTCTGCTTGGTTGGGCTTGGTGTTGGGGACAATGTACAGTACGAATAACTGGCCGTCATGGCATTAGAGCGGCCGCATAGGCTAGACAATAGGGTGCAGAGCTAGCCTCGTTCCTGTCTCGCGACTTGCCGGACTCGGCTTCTTATCCGATTCTCGGGGACAGTGTCGATGTCGTGACATGAATGGCGGGAGCGCTGCAATATGGGTTAATAGGTTACAGGGGCTAGTGTAGTTTTAGCGTCTCGGTTTAGCTACACACGTAGGCAGCTACACCAAACAATTGACGCTTGTTCTTTAACAAATCACAATGTCCATGATACTGATACTGCGGAGCTATTCATCACCGTGAATTATCGTGACGTATTTTTGGGGTTCATGGTGTGCTCGCGGGGAAGGAATCCAGCAGTGGAATTTGGAGCTCAGGGAGCTTGGGTGCCTAAAATGTGGGGTCAGAGCAGAAGCTTCGTGCTCGCTCGGCCTCTTCCGACCTCCCATTGGCCTCGAACTATAAAAGCAACCAGCGCCGAAACACCACGGCGAGCGATAGTCGATGCACAGGCACGCACAGGCACGCACGCACACGAAGCTGTAAACACAACACTGTAATCTGCACCGCCAATTGAGCAGATCTAGTCCCAGTCCCGAGCCATGTCGCGGCTTGCGGGCAAGGCGCCCAGGAGCTTGGGCCTGCGCCGAGGCTTAACATCGCCGTGTCCATGTGTTGCCCTCCGCAGCCCGAGTAGCGCGGCACCCAGAGCAGCAGCAGCAGCAGCAGCAGCGCGCCACCTGTCGACCGGCAAGGAGCCCCCGAGGAGCAGCGGCGCTTCGTTCCAGGGCCAGATGGTGCAGAGCATCGGGCAGCGCCTGGAGCGCGAGAAGGCTGACCGCGCCCGCCTCGTCAGGATGCAGGAGCAGAAGGGCAAGGGCCGGAACCTGGCCATGACATTCTGTATGAGCTGAGGCCCTGTTTCCGCCGCGATATGTGACCCGACCCTGACAGACAACCGTGCTGACTTTGGGCCCGCAGCCATCCTCTTTGTCGGCACCATCTGTTACGTCCTCGGCACCATGACACCGCGCGACGCCGACCCGGCATCGACGCTGCCGCTCGCCGCGACGCGCGCGCCGACGCACAAGACGGGCAAGGCCGAGCTTCAGGCGGCGTGGGCCGACTTTGTCGACATCGTGGGCAAGGAGAACGTCAGCACGACCGAGTCGGACGTGCTGGTGCACTCGACGTCCGAGTGGTCGTCGCACACGAGCGCGCCGGACGACAACAAGCCCTTCTGCGTCGTGTACCCCGGGTCGACGGCTGAGGTAGCGGCCGTCATGAAGGTGTGCCACGCGCGGCGCATCCCCGTGGTGGGCTACAGCGGCGGCACGTCGCTCGAGGGCCAGTTCGCGCCGACGCGCGGCGGCATCTCGCTCGACTTTGGCCGCATGAACAAGATCCTGCAGCTGCACAAGGACGACCTCGACGTGGTGGTGCAGCCGGCCGTCGGCTGGGAAGAGCTCAACGAGGAGCTGGCCACCCACAACCTCTTCTTCCCACCCGACCCGGGCCCGGGCGCCATGATCGGCGGGATGATTGGCACCGGGTGTAGCGGCACCAACGCCTACCGCTACGGCACCATGCGCGAGTGGGTGCTGTCGCTGACCGTGGTGCTCGCCGACGGCACCGTCATCAAGACGCGCCAGCGCCCGCGCAAGAGCAGCGCCGGCTACGACCTGACCAAGCTCTTCATCGGCTCCGAGGGCACCCTAGGCCTCGTCACCGAGGCCACGCTCAAGCTGACGGTCAAGCCCGCCTCCACGTCGGTCGCCGTTGCCAGCTTCGCATCCATCCGCGACGCCGCCGAGTGCGTCGCGCGCGTCGTCAAGAACGGCGTGCCCGTGGCCGCCGTCGAGCTGCTCGACGACCAGCAGATGCGCTTCATCAACCAGGCCGGCACCACGTCGCGCCGGTGGGCCGAGGCCCCGACCATCTTCTTCAAGTTCGGCGGCACCGAGCGCGGCGTGCAGGAGCAGGTTGCCATCGTGCGCGACGTCGCAAAGGCCATGGGCAACAAGACGTTCGACTTTGCCCGCAGCGAGCAGGAGCGCGACGAGCTGTGGAGTGCCCGTAAGGAGTGCCTCTGGAGCGCCATAGCCGCCCGCCGCCCCGGCGACCACGTCTGGACCACCGACGTGGCCGTGCCCATGAGCCGCCTGCCCGACATCATCGAGGAGGCGAAGCGCGACCTCAAGCAGTCGGGCCTGACGGGGTCCATTGTGGGGCACGTCGGCGACGGCAACTTCCACAGTACGCCGCCCCCTCCCCCTTTTGTGTGTCGGGGCACCAGCTAACCGGCCGCAGTGATTGTGCTGTACAACGATTCCGAGCGGAAGCTGGCCGAGGACGTGGTCCACCGCATGATCAAGCAGGCGGTGGCCATGGAGGGCACGGTTACGGTACGGCCCCTCTTGTCATTTCTTTATCGTCTCCTGCTGACCCACCTCCCTGTCACCCAGGGCGAACACGGCGTCGGTCTCGTCAAGAGAGACTACCTGCCCCACGAGCTGGGCGTGACGACGGTGGATGCCATGAGGAGGGTACGTCCTCCCCCCCCCAAGACAGTATAGGCCGTGCCACTAACTCGCCTCGGCGCTGCAGATTAAGGCCGCCTTCGACCCCCTGTGCCTGCTCAACTGCGACAAGGTGATCCGCATACAGAAGCCCAAGGCCGGTGAGGTGGCCGAGTGGTGAAGGACGCTGTCTTTCTTGTGTATAAAAGAAATTTACAACTATCAAAAATAAGAAGGGTTGTATTAAAAGTGAAAGGATGGATTCCAGTGGCTGTTCACATCACATGCGTTGACATGGTGCGGATCCCGGAGGGTGAGTATCTCGCACACAATTGGCCGTCTGTGCTACTCGCTCAATATAGCCCCTAAAAACTACGGTAAATGGCGTGAGAGCAAACGCGGGCCGATCCCTAACATGCCATCAAGACCAACACCACAACCCCATTCCCATCCCCTACATTTACATGTACTTGCTAGCCATGCCCAGCAGACCGCCCAGATTACTTCCCGAGGCCGGCCCGCCGCCGCCGCCGCTCATCTGGCTCTTGACGTACATCTTGAAGGCCATCTCGCCGGCCTTGGCCACGACCGACTGCTTGTCGGCGCCCGACGACACGTTGCCCGCCGACGCCTGCTGATCGAACAGCTTGGACGCCTGCGCCATGGCCAGCCCGATGAACTGGCTCTGACTGCCACTGCTGCCGCTGCCGCTGCCGCTGCCGCCCGAAAACATTTTCAGTGCTTGCATGGCTGCTGCGCTGCCCATGCCCGACGACGTCGCCTTGTCGGAGCTTGTTGGGGCCGAGTCGTCGAAGAAGTTGCGATGGTTGCGCACTGCGTCTGTTTTTTTTTTGGTAAGCGAGGGAAGGGGTTAGTATCTCTCCGTCTTGGAGGTCGTGAGATGGGCGTGTGGAACTCTCTCTCTTGTGTTTGATGGGGAAGGGGCCGTTGCTACTTTGCCAGCTCTGTGCTGGAATGAAGGGGGCCATGAAAGGGTGGAGGGAGGTGGATAGATGCCGGCTCTGTGGTGGAATAAAGGGCATGAAAGGGGGGGAGGTGGATAGATAGAAAAGATGGCCGACATACCCTCCTCGTCAATGTCGTCCTCGACAATCTGCTGCTTGCGCTGGCCCAGCTGGCCCAGAATGTCCGAGAAGAAGGTCGAGTCCTCAGGCGCGTGCTCGGCGGCGTGGCTGGCCGCGCCGCGGAAGTCGTCGTCGTCGTCATCGCGCGAGTGGCCGCCTACGTGGTGGGCAAGGCGGGTTAGCCGACCGTTTCTCCCTGGCATGTTGGCCCTGTGTAGGCTCGCCTCGCCGCCCCGATACTCGGGCTGCCGTGTCCCACAGTCAGATGGGCAACGAGGCAGCGGCAGGAGGCAAGGAGTTGGGGGCCACGATGTCTGATGTAACCACCGACAGACGAGAAGAAGGAGGGATGCCTCCCCGCAACGTGACCATGGTGGAACTGTACTACAGTACGGCCACTACTACCCTAGCTCGACATGCACACAAAGCCAAGCCGGGCCTACGGCGGCGTGGAGCGCGGGGCGGGGACACGCGGATGACGAGACGGGACGGGACGGGACGGGGCGAGCTCGGCAGCGGCTGCGTTGCCTTGCCATTGCTCATCAGCACCCTTTCTCACCTGTCGACTGGCGCTCATTGTCGTTGCCGCCCAGCACCTTGCCCAAGAACCTGTCCATTTCCGAGCGGTAGCAGGTAGTGTGCTGCTGAAGTGAATTGGATAATAGAATGGCCCGGGTCACCAGACGGCAGTGGAAAGGCAGGGAGCCGCAGATCGAGAATCTGTTTCCTGGCTATAGGTACAGGCAAGAAGTTGCAATAAGGAGAAGGAGAAGGAGAAGGAGGAGAAGAAGTAATCATCTGTTAAGGCACGGCAGGGCAGCAATAGGTACCTAGCGGGAGAGAGGGGGGGGGGAATGAATGGCCCAACGAACGAGGGAGAGAAAACAGCTCACTGCACCGCTTGCTTGCTTGGGTAGGTAGCTTGCCGCTCGTATTTGCGGCCTCCCTGACCAAACCAAACCAAACCACCTACGCTTCCCGCCCCTTCCCCTCCCCCCTTCTTGGGACATAGGTGCGTACATACGTAAGTAAACCTCAGCTCTCGGGACCCTCCGTCTCAAATCATGACGTCTGCGGGGTACCACACGTAACCTGCAGCCAGCAGCTGAAAGTCTGAAACCCCCCATTCCCCCCATCCCAATCCCCGTGCCCCGTTCCCCTCACTTTGCCTCTCAAGATTACCCACGGTATGTACCTCGGTATACAAGGCAAAAATAAATGAGAGTGAAGCAGCAGCAGCAACAGCAACAGCAGCATCCTTCAAGACCAACATGCTAGACTAGAATTAGACTCGGGGAGAGAGCCAGGCACAGCACTGCTGGTATTCTTGTCTGCCGGCCAATTGCAGGCGCTGAACCTGCTGATCTGCTGCTCCTCTTCCACACACACGCGCGCGGGCCCGATCGCCGCAGGCTGCTGCAGAGGGCGAGAATGACAAAAAGGGGTCGTTGCACCAATGACGAACGAGTGCCAGGGGGTCAGGACAGGTCAGGTCCAACCAAAGGGATACCGGCTCTCTCTGGTCTGGGAAGAGCCGTCTCTGTTCGACAGGCTAGTCTGTATGTACAGTACCTGGGCCCAGGAATACCTCACTGGGAGATGCGGACTAGTATCTGCTTGTCAGGGCAACAGACAGGGCGGGCAGGACGAGAGCGACCCGGGCACGGAACTCCCATCCGACAGACTTACGTAGTCCCGATGCCCCGTCAGCAAACACCAAACGGGGCCGTACCACCACACCACCGCTCTGTCAAAGGCTGCCAAACAAGAATGTAACCCCCCCTGACGTCTTTACGGCAAGGCTCGGCAGCTCTGGACCGTGGAGAGACGACAGGCAGACCAGCCACGAGACGTAGGAAAAACAGAAGGATTTATCTAGCCGTTGTATAGCGGAAACAGCCAGGAAAAAACACGATTGCATACGCCTAGTACACAACACGCACACGCGCCTGTCCCAGCCCGGAGGCTCAACATATTTTAATGTTAAGTAGAGAGAAAAGAACTCCACAAAAAACACCAGGTCGGTGCGACGCCCTCGAAATCCAAACCCAAGGTATCTCATCTCCCAAACATGCTGAGGGCAACGCTATAAGTCGCAAACGCACTGCTCTAGATATTAAATTTTCAACAAGGCTATGTTGCTCTAGGTTCTCTGTTCCTCCTGCCTGCGTCTTCAAAAACCACCGACTCGAAAACAAAAGTGCTGCATAATCTGTGGCAGGAAGAAGCAAGGGGGCTTCCCCTTTTAGCTAAGAGTGTCGAGAGCGTTGCTGCTGCTACCCTTTCTCTTTTCCTTTTTGGCCCAGCGGAGACCGCAGGCATTGCAGAGGGTCTTGGGGCCGCTGGGCCCTTTCCGCCATTCAGGTGATTCGAGCGTGCCTGGAACACCGTTAGAGTCAAACATGTAGGGCCCAAAGTCGCGCAAAACCTACCGCAATCCGTGCAGACGTATTCCTCGGCAACCTTGAGCTTCTTCTTCTTCTCCCCCGTGCGCGGGTCTCGGTCCATCGGGATGGCAATGCCGGCGTCGCCCCTGATCAGCGTCGGGCTCGTATTCCCCGTCGTGATCCCACGGCTCCGCTCTCCCTCCTGATACCGGAGGCCGGTGAGCCTCTCGATCGTCTCGACGTGCGATGCGCCTTCGTAGCGGGCCATCTTCTCTCTGATCGAGTCGGGCCGCCCGCCGGCGATGCCCTCGAGGTTCTCGCGCGTCAGAGCAACGTTGAGCGAGGTCGGCCTTTCGGGCGGCAGCATCGTCGTGTCTGGGCTAGCCGCGTGGTGGAAGGGCGTCGCAACCGTGTGCGACGCATCCTCCGAGGGTGTCAGGTCCGAGCGGCCCTCTTGGCTTTGGCGCCACGTCCTTTGCGACTCGTCGACGTCGTCGGCCTCCTCTTTCCGGAGCTCGGCGATGCGCCGCTTCAGGCGCTCGTTCTCGATCTTGTGCTCCAAGAACGAGTCTAAGAGCCCCGCGTTCTTGGTCGGGTATGGCCGGCCCATCATGAAGACGGCCTGGCAAAACGGCGATTGGTTGTTTGGGTTGGGTGCGAATTTGGCGGCGGCGATGTGGGCGTGGCCGACAGTCTCGAAGATGGCATAGCTGTCATCCTTCTTCCTGAGCCTGTAAAAGAGGCGCAGTGGGCTGCCCGACGCTATCGACTCGTTCAGTTCGGCAGTAAAGACGCCCACGTCGTCGGGGTGTATCAGCTCGTTCAAGAACCGGTCGTGGATCTCGGCGGCCTTCCAGCCGGTCAAGCGCTCCACGCTGGGTGAGACATGCTTGATGCGCCCATTGGGGTCTAGTATTTGCAGAAAGTCCTGCAGCTCTTCGACAACCCTGGCAGGCCAGTTGCGGCGCTTGGTGAACTCAGTCAGCGTGTTGACGCCGGGGCCCGAGGCGGCACCCGCCGGAGCTAGGTTCGCCGCGTGCAGCGACCCGGAACCCGACACCGTGTCGTCTGGGGAAAATGGCGGCTCGCCGCGTCCGCCGGCGGCCAGTCTATGGGCGGAGGTGGAGGCGGGCGGCTCGGGTGGGGCGTAGGATTGCGACGCCATGTCGCTGACGTCGAGGTTCATTGACATTGGGTCAAAATGGGGGAACATGGAACCGTCTAGCAGCGACATCATGTCGTTTGGGTCGCCCGTCATCTGCATGCACGACTTGCGCCTCCTTGTCAGCCAAGTCGTGTGTCAGGGGTGCAGGGAGACGGCTATTTTAGTGCTCGCAGACAAAGACGTCGACACTCGACCGACGGGAGCCAAATGCAATAGAGTGCATAGAAGATGGGACGGTCCAGGGCAGTGCGGCGATGCGGACTGACCTGCGGCAGATCGGAGCCGGCGGCGCCCATGGCGCCAAAGCCAAAAAGGCTAGCCACATGCTGGCGCTGCTGAGAACCTGGCCCGTGAGACATGCTGGCAGGGCAGCTTGCTGCGAAAGCGACCGGAATTGGTATCAGGCAGCTCAGTTCAGCCCTGGACCTGCCGCGGATTCGTTCGCGGCGTTCGCGTGAGGCTGGGCGGTCGTGGCGATTGGCACGGGGGCGGCGTGCTGGAGACGCTGCAGCGCATCGACAGAAGCAGGCGATCACGAGGAAACAGAAACGGCGCTTCTTCCTGCGTGCTGCTGCACATTGCCGGTCCCTCGAGGACGAGGAGAGGGCGAAAACAGAATAAGATAGGTAGGTACAGATACGGGGAGACAGCACGACACGGGCGACGACAAGGCGACCCCCTCGGTCCGTAGCGCAGCACAGAATACAAGGCACGGTTAAGTACGGCGACGGGCGACTGCTGTGTCAGTTACCTTAATAACATCCATGGAAGTTGGGAAGTAGGTGGTGGGGGGCCCTGGGCGGGTTTTGCTCCGCGGCGATGCAGTGAGTGGGTGGTGCCCGGCCGTGGGGCCTTTTAGAGATGGGATTCCTGAATTCCAGCATGGGAATCTGCTACCCCACTCACACTGGTCTGACCCTGGCCTGCCCGCCTTGGTGCCGTGGTCTGGACTCGCTTCAGTGAGGGGAGGGGACAGAGGCCGCAATCCTCTGCAACGTCAGCGGCCAGTCGCAGTGGCACACAACACTCCCGTCGAGGTGGTGCTGAGACGGTGGTCGCGAGACGTTTGCCGTGTCCGGTCCTACCAACCTGGAGGGCAGTAGGCGGTGACGCTGCTGCCGAGTAACTCGAGGGAATGATGGAAGGCTGGTAGATGCAGCTACCTACCTCTGCTCGTGGATTGGCCCAGGGCGAATCGTCCGTCCTCGGCAGCCGAAGCGAATAGCCAGCCAGATGAGAGACAGGCTGGCGTTGGGGCGCGATAATCACCAACTTCAGGAACTTGGAAGACGCCAGTTGGCTGAACCACACAAGCCCAGGACAGGATGGAAGACACGCCCCAACATTGGATTGAGCGTTGACACCGGCCTGGCAGGCTCCTTGGGTCTACATAATCCCGCATTCTGGGTTGTGGGAGGGGCGGTCCCAGTAGCCGATGGGTGTCCGGGCGGTCCGCCAACGGGACAGGGGACCTCTTATAACTGACATCATCACGCGGTACATGCCTTCATGCACAAGAAGGGCAGCTGCGTTTGTGAGACGCCCGGCGGGATGTTTGATTGAAGAGCGCGGCCGTTTGCCTTTCCCCACAGGATAGACCCGGCAGGCCGTGCCTAGTGCAATCTGTTTGGTGGCCGCTGCTTAACGGTGGCTCAATATTGACGGGACATGCGCAGTTCGCGAACTGGCCTAGCCAGTCTGTAGCGCCCGCAGGCCACACACTAATGGCACGCATCGCCTGCCATGCCCGAGTTCGTTCCGGTTGCACGAGCTGGCAGCGTTTGAGATATTTTACGTATGTATGTGCCGCATTCCACAGACCTATATAGCGTCGAAACCTGGAACCTCTGTCAGGGTCCTTGGAGCAACCCCGGCAAGATGCTCCGTCACACAACGGGCGCTTGTAATAACGGCCTCAGGACCCTGGAGCCGATCATGAAGAAGCCGCGCAACTTGCTGGATGCTACACGTGGTCATACAGCCCTTCCATGATTGCTGGTGCGGTACGGATTAAATACCTGGGATTGAAAGTACGGATCAAATCGGCCTGGAAAAGACTTTGCGAGGGAATTTGTTGGAGGGAGACGGAAACTTCTTAGGGTCCCTAATATAGAATCCTGGAGCCTAGTACGGGACCTCGCTGGAGAAAACCTCAGGGCGAGCCGCAAAGAAGAGGTCTTTCACATTGAAGAGCGCCCGTTCACAAATATTCAGGGATTGGATTGGCGTACGCCTCTGATGGAATAATGAATCGATGATACCGTCACTATGGAAGGTGCAATCCAGGGTCTGTTCTTCGCGAGTGCCATTAAAGGCTCGCCCCACCCTAGCCGGGCCCCTGCCTACTGCCTGCCTGCCTGCCAGCAGGTCCCGTGAGGACGTGACTCTGCCCGTGCAGCCAAGCCTTCACTAGAAAGCACCGCGACGACAGCGCGTCGGCCCTGATGAAAGCCGCGCTATCAAACGCTCACGATCTGCCGTAGAACCCGTCTATGGGCTCACTACACCATCATATGCCTGTCGAAAATACTGCCCGTCACCGCCGTCTCTTGCGATTGCCGAACCGAGGCAGATAGCCATCTGCAGACGGGCAGAAAGTTCGAGCAAGTCCACGCCGCGCCGCGCCTCGTCTCGCCAAGCCGTCACCATGTCCAAGATCGAGAAGCTCTCGATTATGGGCGTGCGCTCCTTTGGGCCACAGCACCAGGAGACCATCGCCTTCAATAGCCCGCTGACTCTGATCGTTGGCTACAATGGGTCGGGAAAGACGGTAGCTGCCCTATTTCATCCCATCTACCAAGGCAAGGGCTGACAGCGGCTGCTAGACCATCATCGAGTGCCTAAAGTTTGCGACTGCGGGAGAGCTCCCGCCGAATAGCAGCAAGGGTTCCGCCTTCGTCCATGATCCCAATGTGAGTGAATTATTGCCCGCCTGCGCCATCCGAGGAGGGGCTGACACAGCAGGCCGTTGATAGCTAGTTGGCGAGAAAGACATCCGCGCTCAGATCAAGGTCTCGTTCCGTTCGACTGTCGGGGAGTCCTTCGTTTTGACCAGGAACATGCAGCTGCTGGTCAAGAAGACCACGCGGAGCTTCAAGTCTCTCGAGGGTAGCCTGTTGTTGCGAAACAACGGCGAGCGCCATGTCATATCCACAAAGGTCGGCGAGCTAGACAAGCTGGTTCCCGAGAAACTCGGAGTCTCGACCGCTGTTCTCGACGCCGTCATCTTCTGCCACCAGGACGAGTCGCTGTGGCCCATGAGCGACCCCACTACCCTCAAGAAGCGCTTTGATGAGATCTTCGAAGCGCTCAAGTACACAAAGGTCATCGACAATCTCAAACTCCTCCGCAAGAAGAAGGGCGAAGACCTCCGAGAGCTCAAGCTGCAAGAAGGCCAGGATAAGGTCAACAAGGAAAGGGCCGACAAGGTCTACCGGCTCATGGGCCAGCTCACGAGGGAGATCCAGGAGTCGCGCGATAAGTGCAACGAGCTCCTCCGCGAGATGGACGAGGAATCCGTAAGGATCAAGGACAAGCACGAACAGGCCAACAGCTTCCTCAAAATCATGAACGAGCTCCAGACTAAGACGGAGAAGCTCGACTACAAGAAGGACGCTATCAAGGAGCTGCGAGGCCGCATCATAGAGATGTCGGAGCCCGACCAGGTCCTCCGAGAGACGCTGGACCAGTACGAGAAGACCACGGAGCGGACCATTAAGGAGAGAGACCAGAAGACCGGCCAGTTCCACGACCTCCAGGCCGAGCTCAAATCCTCCCGGGCAAAGCACACAGCCAAGGCGGCCGAGCAGGGAAAGCATCAGTCCGACAAGGACAAGTACGAGCGCCAGCTTGTCCTGAGGAGCCAGATGATGCAGGATGCTGCCGAGCGCCACGAGATCCGGGGCTACGACGGCGATCTGGACGATCGCCAAATCCTGGCCTTCAACCAGCGCATCCAGAAGATCCTAAACGAGCGGAAACAGGATCTGGAGCACCTGCAACGCGGCAACGCTGAGGAGCTCGACCAGAAGTCGGCTGCAATTGCAGAGCTCGAGGCACAGAAGGCGGCGCGCATCCAAGACCGCACGGCAGCAAGACAACGCATCGGCACAATTGGCAGGGAGTCGGCCAACACGCAGAGCGAGCTGAGCACGTTGGACATTGACGAGGGCGCCGAAGCAGTGCTCCGGACCGAAATGAAGGAGCTCGAGGCAAGGATAGAGACGGCAAAGGCCGAGGAAGCAGCCGTAGACCTGGATTCCCAGATCAAAATCACAAATGACGGTATTTGGACTCTCGAGGCCCAGGCCGCAAAGCTAAGTAGGGAGCTGGTCGACTGCACCCGGCTGGCATCGGAACGTGCACAGCTCGATCTGCGCAAAAAGCAGCTGACTGAGAGGCGACGGGACTTGGAGATTCTCACAAGCACGTGGAACCAGCAGCTGTCTGCAATTCTCGGGCAAGAATGGCAGCCCGAGATCATTGAGGCCGACTTCCAGACGGCTCTCCAGCGACAGAACAAGGTCGTGGCCGAGTGCAGGAAGAAGAAGGACACGACGCAACAGGAGCTGAAGCAGCTCGAATTCAAACTCTCGACGGCGCGTGAGAAGCACAGCAAGTTGTCCACAGAGAAGGAAAACAGCAAGCGCGGCATCGTAGCGGTGCTCAAGCAGATGAAAGACGAGTCCGACGCAGTCCCTCGCGTCGAGCAGTTCCCAGAGGTGCTCGAGCAGACCGAGGCCCAGCTACACGAGGTCGAGTCGCAGCTTTCAGTATACGATGCGGCGAAGAGCTTCTACATGGGAATCAAGGATGCCGCCGAACACTCAAACACGTGTAAGCTGTGCGACCGGGACTTCAACGGCAATGCCGCGGCCAGGACAAAGGTTCTGGCCAGGGCGAATAAGATGATCTTCGAAGAGGGAAAGGCAGAGCTTGTAGAGGATCAGGCCGGCTGCAAGGATGACCTCCAGCTCCTCCGGCCCATGCGCTCGCGGTACGAGACATATCAGCGACTCGACAAGGAGCTTCCGCCAATAAACAAGGAAATGGCTGCGCTGTCGTCGCAGAAGGAGGAGCTGATCCGTCGCCTCGAGGATCAAGACGTGGTCTTCCGAGAGGCCGAGGACAAGCGGCTGGAGATGGACACGCTGAGCAAGAACGTGCTGAAGATTTCTCAGACGTGCAAGGACATTGCGGATTCGGAGCGGCAGATTGAGAGATCGCAGCAGTCTTCGGGCATCGCGACGCGGAGTGCCGAGGAAATCAACGAGGAGCAGACCACATGCGCCGAGCAAACGAGACTAGCCCAAAGCAAACTGAGCAAACTGACGACGGAGAGGCAGCGCATGAAGGACCACGTCGCCCAGCTAGAGCTAGAGAGGGTCGAGCTGAGGCACAAGATCAGCAACGCCATCCAACAGCTGCAACGGAAGAAGAGCCTCCAGGATGCGATCCGGAGATTCAAGGACGAGCAGATGCAGCTCAGGGAAACGATCAAAGAGGCCGACAAGGGCCTCGAGGGAATAGAGCCGCAGATCCTGAGCGCACGGTCGGCGCTCGAGGAAGCCCGCCAACAGGGGCGGGCCAAGGAACAGGCGATTGCCGAGGACCGAGACAAGATCGGAACGACGGTCAGCGAGCTCAGGATGATCAACAACGGCATCCAAGAGTACCTGGACCGGGGCGGGCCGTCGAACCTGGCCACGAACCAGCGGGCAATCGCCAGCCTGGAGACGACCATCGCCAATCTCGAGAGCGAGCTGAGAGACCTGACGGTGCAGATTAATAAGCTGAACAAGGAGATCGACAATAGCGACGCTAAGAAGAGGAACATCAGCGACAACCTGACATATCGCAAGAACCTCCGTGAGCGGGACACGCTCGAGCGCGAGATTGAAGAGCTCGAGTCGCGCAATGCCCGCGAGGACTACGACCGGCTAACGCAGGAGGCCCGCTTCCTCGAGTCGCGCCGGGGCAAGCTGGGCGCGGACCGCGAGCGGCTGATGGGCTCGATGTCGACCAAGGACGAGCAGTTTGCACGCCTCAACGACGAGTACGAGATTGACCTGAAGGACGCCAAGAACCGGTTCAAGGAGTCGCACATCAAGGTGGAGACGACCAAGGCGGCCATTGAAGATCTCGGCCGGGGCACGTCGGCGCTCGACCAGGCCATCATGCAGTACCACTCGCTCAAGATGGAGGAGATCAACCGCACCGTCGGCGAGCTGTGGCAGAGCACGTACCAGGGCACCGACATCGACACGATCCAGATCCGGTCCAACATCGACGCGGGCTCGGGGGCGGGCGCCGGCAAGCGCACCTACAACTACCGCGTCTCCATGGTCAAGGGCGACACTGAGATGGACATGCGCGGCCGCTGTAGCGCGGGCCAGAAGGTGCTGGCCAGCATCATCATCCGCCTGGCGCTCGCCGAGTCGTTTGGCGTTAACTGCGGCCTCATCGCCCTCGATGAGCCCACCACCAACCTCGACAGCGACAACATCCGCAGCCTCGCCGAGAGCCTGCATAACATCATCAAGGCGCGCCAGTCGCAGGGCAACCTCCAGCTCATCGTCATTACCCACGACGAAGAGTTCCTGAAGCACATGCAGTGCAGCGACTTTTGCGACGACTTCTTCCGCGTCAAGCGCGACGAGAAGCAGAACAGCATCATTGTGCGCGAGAGCATTACGCGCATTTCAGAGTAGGCGCTGCGGGTTCTATATATTAATCTGGCGTAGCATCAAGAGTGTACGTAGACGTCGCTTATAACCACCGACGCGAATGGAAATGGAGTTATGGATGTAATGCTGTGAAATCGGAAGCCACCACGTTTTGGGAATATTCATCTAATTCAAGAAAGCAAAAACCACCCCTAGAGACTCCATTTCCCCTTCCCCGTCGTGAGTGACTGAGCTGATAATGACTAAACTTTCAAACATCCAAACATTTGACGCGGACAGACGGCAGAGAACACAAGCCAAGAAAATTAAGACGCTCCCCGACCGTGGCTCCAACCCTCCCATATCGCTCCCGCCAGACACAGACTAGACTAGATTGGAGGTCGACAGACAGCCTAGCTACCGCAGCCGCTAGGGGTATCTTTCTTCTCCTCTCCCCTGCCCCATTGCCTGCCACCGCCTTTTGCCCTTTCATCTCATCCCGGTACTATCCTACGTACGCACTATTGTTACAGCCACTGCAAGGCATGTGTGTGTGTGTGTGCATCAATGGCAGCGAAAAGGACAGCCAGCCAAGCCCCGTAAAAACTGCCCAGCAAAGAGGACGGAGGTCATTTCTGCCTCGATATAAGCAAATTGTGTGCAGCACTGGCTTGCCCTGCCCCTAGGCAATCTAGCTTTGCGTGAGTGTTAGGCGCCGCGTGCTAGTCGTGTCAAGGAAAGAACATCCTGGCCAGAGCCTTCTAGTTACTCTCCTTCTCAGATGGATCTGTCGCCTGCGGTGTACTTGCTACGGTAGTCCATCCTCCATATCGTCATCTTTGTCGTCGCCGCGGGCGTTGCCACTGTCATGCTCTCCTTCTCGGGAGGATCCGCCGGCCTCGGTCTGCTCTGCGCCTGCAGCTGTGCTTGCGGCTGCTGCTTCAGGTGACTGCGGCTCCCTATCCACTATCACAAAGTCTCCCTCGGCGTCTATCTTGAGTTCATCGGCGGCACTTTCGGCGGCTTCCCCTGCCGCCGCGGCTGTTGCCTCTGCGTCGTCCTCGACGCCGCTGCCCGGCTGGTCCTCCTTTACTCGCTTCTTGCTCGGGCCTAGCTCGAGATCGTCATCCGCCTCCCGCTTCGGGCTCTCCGGAACCGTGGCAGCCTCCGGGCTGGCGCCTTCTGTCTTCTGCTGCTTAGGTGGTGACTGCAAGCGTCGTCCGACGGCGGCCTCGACATCGATGCTGCTAATGTCAACGGTTCCGCTTGGTCCGACCGCAAGGTCACTCGTAGTGGCGGTCTGCGAGCCCGTATCAAGAGCCCCAATCTCCTCGGGACCGCGTGCATGCGGTATCTCGTCTTCGTCTTCGCCCTCGGCGGATTCGTTCATTGCGGCATCCTCGTCTGCTACCTCGGAGCTTGCGCCCGTATCGTCCGTGATAAGCGATGGCTCCAGCGAGCCGCCATTGAGGGCGGCAGCGGCAAGCTCTAGCTGCTGCTGCTGCTGTTGTTGTTGCCGGGCTAGCTGGCTCAAAGGTACGACGCCAGCCCGCTGCTCTTGGCGTAGTAGCTCGCCTTGCGTGACGCCGCGCTGAACGAGCGCCGCGCCGGCCCCCATCGACGGGATGCCATTGACCGACACCGACACGGTCTCGATGCTGCCCATACCGTTGGGGCCCTCGATCGTCTCGGTGCTCTCGGTGCGCACCTGACCTTCGAGGGGGCGTCCGCCCGTCGACCCCTGTCCCACAGGACGCGGTTGCTGTTGAACCGGCGACGATGACTGCTCTAGCTGTGGCTGTTGCGGTGGCTGCTGCTGTTGCGCGGGGATCGACCCACTGCCCCCTGCGGCAGAGGATGGCGACAGGCTGCCCGCATCGCTGCTGTCATCACTGCCGCCCCCGTTCGCGTGCCGCGCCAGCCATGGGATGGGCGTCAGCAGGGCGCCGCCCAGCGCCTCGTCAGACCCAATATTATTAGCTGCCGACGTGTTGATGCTCAGGCGGCCACCGGCGCCGCCCACGCCATTAGCTAGCAGAGACATGGCGCCCATGTCTGGTATCGCCGGCGGCAGCGGGTAGATATTGGCGCCGCTCGTTACGTGGACCACGCGATCGAGTGCGTGAAGGTAGGCGACGAGGCCGCGGTAGTGCTGGCGCGGGCGAAGCACGAGCTCGGCCAGCCGCTGAATGGTGTGTGGTGGGAACTGGCTAAAGTTGAGCGTCAGCGTAGACGTGACTTCTTCGAGTTGCGCCGCGATGGCTGCGGGGAGTGTCCCCGTTGACTGTAGCTGGTGTGAGGGTAGAGAATCTTCGCTGGGGTCGGACGGGACCGCCTTGGGGGAGTCGGATGGGGCCGAAGGGGCGGCGACAACCCTGGAGAGAGGCGGCGACGGAGAGGGATTCGCATTCTCCTTGTTGGTCTCCTGCGAGGACAGCGCCGTGTCGGACGAGTCGGGCGGCTCTAACGCGTCCGACGACGGCAGCGGGGCGAGGAAGCGCGGCGAAGGAGGCCGGAGGGGAAGCTGCGGCGGCGGGATATGGGGGATGGAGAATTCGTAGTGGGCGATCTAGACGACGAAATCAATAAGGGTTAATCAGACAGCTCTGCAACTAGCAGAAAGGCATCAATGTAGTCGTCGTGTTTGCGCACCTTGTCAATCCGCGAGACGACGGCGGGGAGCAGGTTCGGCCACAACGGGCTGAGCGCACAGAGAGCCTTTATTAGCGACGCATTCGACATTCAACGTTAGCAGCCGAGGCCCGCCAGCGACCAGCGGCCGCGTCCCAAAGGCTTACTAGTCCATGGACCCATCCTGGGCGACCCTCTTCAGGATGTCATCATCCGTTTCCATCTCCATGTCGGCCATGTCGGTGGTGTGCGATGTAGAGCCAGCAACGATTTGGCGCGTGCTTCGACGGCTGAGGCACACGCGCCGCGACGCTAGAGAAGCCCTGCCACTAACTTTAGGCTGCCGCCAATGGGCCTGCCCCCCAGGGCACAAAACCATAAACTCCGCACTGAAGACGGCTTAAGGCGGCCTGACGTTGCACCAACTCAGAAACCTTAAGCAAGGTGCTTTTGAAAGGTGGCATTCGAATGCGATGTTAATTAAGGTATTGTACGGAGTACAGGCTGCGTAGTATCGCTGCCCCAAGAAACATATCGAGCCAATGTCGAGTTTGATGTGGGCATGGCACTCGGGATAGTTGCTCGAGACCGCTTATAGCTGGCGGGCCACTTCGGGTACTGTATATACTTCAAGTTGCAGAGGGCAACTGTTGGGTGCAGCAATTGCGGGCAGGAACAACCTGTACCCAGTTGATTCAAGTTGAAATTCTTCAAGTTCAAATGATCAACTCTTCACGTATTATCACGGAAGGACAGTGATCCTTACTAGTATGGGTGCCATGTGGTTTTCATGTCTTACCCTAGTGGTTTGTCGTTAGACGACCGTATGTACCATAGGCTCCCCCTTCCATCTTGACGACATGCCGAGGCATACTCTGAAAATACAAGGCGTCGATGATATTTAATATAAATTTCTTCATTTTTAACGATCAGGCGCACTTGTCAGGCTACTACCAAATTCAGGCTGGACTGCGAATTGACCAAGATGCCGTTTTACATTTAGTTCTCTTTGCACGCGGTGACTTGAGGTTTGTTAGCGAAGATACGGATATCGTAGCTCAACGTACATGTACGACAAAGCCAACAGGCTGACCCAAGGCCACGTTAAGTATAAGATCTGCCCTTGGATGGCGATCGCAGTCTTTGATCGCTGTTGAGCCTGAGAAGACAAGGCAGGCTGGCAAGGCAGTTAATGCAGCCACTCTTTCTCGCCCTTGACCGAAAACGGCAAGCGGTGGCGCCAAGACCCATCTGCGGGCGGCACAGCCTCGCTGAACGTGATGCATCACACACGCTTGCCTCTAAGCCTCAACGCTTACTGTGTTCGTTGACGGCAGGGTGCCCACTGCCGATTGGCCCGCATGATTGGGTTGCCGGTCTTTTTGTTCAATGCTCACTTGTTTTTGGCGATCTAAGATAGATAATGGCCTGGAACTAACGGCTCAAGGCTAACAGTCGACAGAGGACATGCCTCACCGTCACTCTTTGGCCTCTACACGCAAAACCGAGGATAAGATGCCTATTTCTACACTGCAGCAAAGTCAAACCCCTACGACCCTTCACCGTAGCCTCATGATCGGTCAGGGCCCGAGACTAGCGTAAGCTTGCTCCATGATGTCGGCTTTACCGGGTTGCAATACCGAAGGGCCTTGAGTTTCGATAAAACAGCGGGGCCTACTACAAGTCATCGACGCAAACCAACACATACAAGTGTTTCCGTTAGATGAATAACACTGCAAGCAACATGTGGTTTCTGTCTTCGTCTTGCACATGTCATATCTCTAGAGTAGGGTTGTGGCTGCGATCCAGTCCTTGCCCGCATGCCCTAGCCAAGGGAAGGATTCAATCGCGGGGCGGTCGCAGGACTGAGGTGGAGGGGGCTCGCGGGTCGCCAGCAAGGCCGGCAGCCAAGAGGGAGACCATCGAATATCGAACCCGCCAATACGAGCCCGCCAGCAAATGAGGGTTGTGCAGATTCTTTCCGCCTGGCTGCATGACAACATAATGCGTAGGCCGCAGTCTGCTATCCTCCTCCTCGTACCTTCTTCAATGGGCGCTGGGTCACTGGGCCGTTTAGTCCCTTGGTAGACCAAGAAGGTTCGACGGCAGGGTGAGACGGGCAAGCGGCGCAATTGCGGCGTCTTCCAGAAGCTGGAACAACCCTTTGAGCTGACGTCTTCACGTGTGCGGAGTAGGACTCAACGGCTGCTGGCTTGATGTGTCTCCGGGCAAGATTTCAATGGTAGCGGCCGATGGGCCCGATCACCAAGGTGACCAGTTCCCGAAAAATCAATTGCTGTCACCGGTCAGTGCACAGCCTCGAGAGGCATTGGCAGAGTGAGCCTGAGCCTGAGTCCTCGGATATGTGGACGGAACTCACCTCCTGGCATGGATGGGTGGTGGAGTTCGTATTGGTGCATATCGTAGTGATTCGTGCAGCTCGCCTTGGATGGGAACCACTACCCTGTTTTTCCAGTTTGCTAGCCCAAGACCCAGGGCGGTCCCTTTGTCGCTCCTAATCCACACAGTACCTCCCTCAACCGCGCAACGTTCCACTCCTAGGTCCTAGGTTGCCTCCTTTTCTTCGCACTTTCTTATCGCGTGTTCGCTACAAACCCTCGCGAAGCCGGCCTCTTGCCCGAAGCCATACTTCAAGTTGCACCTAGGTTTATTTGTCGCAGGCTACTCGCCACGGCGTCCGTTCGCTCGTTCCGACAAACAAGTAGAATTAGGTTGCCAGCGTCCCGATTTGTTCCTGCTGCCCCCTGCCGAAGCGGATCGTCCCCTTGCCAGGTCCTTGTCACGCTCGAACACCTCAACTCCTCGCCCTGTTTCAGTCTGTCCGCGACGAACAGCATTCCAAGCATAATTCCCCTTCCCCTTACAGCAGCAACGCAAACCCCGTCTCTGCGCCCCCGCATCTCTGGACCACCGTCTCGGAGCCAGACACGCGTTGCTACACAGCAGCGCTTCTTTATTCCCCGCGGCCTGCCAACCCATCCGACCGACCGACCGACGCATTTTCGTCTTCCATCTCCGCCTGGCCTGGGCCAACCTCTTTCGCGACCGTCGTCCCCTTATCTCATCCCGTCGCTATAGCTAGCAAAGGGGTGACCCTCGCTAGCAACTTGGGAAACCGCTTCGGCTCCCCCGCAGGAGTCGTCAGAAATTGCCCGTCCTGGCGATCTATAAAGAACAGCGCCGGTCCTACTTGGCCGGTTCGCAGCCCATTTCCAGCCTAGACGGAGCCAACCCTGAGTATCACTACAGGCCAGGCGCCATGGTCCCGTCAGGCGCCGCGAGCTCCCGGAGGGGAAAGACGGAATTCTTGTCCAACAAGTGGGCGAAGCTGTTCTTCTTCGTAGTCGCATTGCAGGCCCTCATCGGCGTGACGTTCGAAGCGTTAGTGCCGACACGGCCCCCCAGCGCTGCGGTACTCGATATACTGACAAACGCGATAGCTACGTCTTTGGCCGGTCCCAAGTAAGCCTAGCGAAGCCGGATATCGACGACCCGACCCTCAATTCCCAGTACAAGACAATACCGACATTCCTCGCCCTCTTCATCTTCGGCTTTCTGTACATGCTGCTCCTGTCGTGGGATGCTCTGCGGCTCAAGAACACGATTCAGATCATTGGCATATGCGTGGCCAACCTCGCGCTGCTCATCTACACAATTCTCCAGATTGACCAGATCAACAACTCGGTGGAGACGCTGCAGCGAAATGGTGTTTTAAAGACGGATGATGCCGACAACAACCTCTGGGCAAAGACAAAGCCGTTTCTCATCGCGATTCCTGCTATCATTGGGGTGGCCTCGGTTGCGCTGGCCTATTTTGCCTATCAGCTTTATCGCGAGTTTGCCTGGGACATCCTGAAGCAGATTGGCGCCGACTATCGCATGAAGAAGCGCTTTCTGCACTACCAGGTAAGTACCCCGATCTCGTCTTGTACCGCAATGCCTTACTAACGGTGAGTTCGTAGGTCTACATTGCCCTGCTCAAGTTTGATTTCTTCTTTTTCCTCGGCTTCACAGTGCAGTTCTTGGTCATCGTCACGGGCAAGACGGATCCCGAACTCGGCCTGACGCTGGCCGCGATTCCCGTCACGATTGCGATTCTGCTCTTCGCGGCCTTCTTCACGCAGCGCGAGAGCAAGATTGGCATGTTCGCCATCATTGTGCTGTACTTTGGCGGCCTGGCCTACTTCTTCTTCAAGCTTGTGCGCATCTACCAGCCGGGCAAGAGTCAGAACTATGATGCCGTCAGACGGTCCCTCACGGCGTTTGCTGTCCTGACCATCATCCTCATCATCTGCACCATCATCAACGCCTTCATCTGCATGAGCAACTTTGGCGCCGGTCTCAAGAACCACCTCGTCCGGCCCAAGGGCCAAGATCCCGAGAAAGACGACTCCAACTCGTATCAAATGCACGACAACAAGGCCCAGCTGCCGAGCCGCATGACCATTGATTGAGAAACCGCACTTGCATATCGGTGTGGAGGACGCGGAATGGCCGAATAGCGGCCGCAATATTCCCAACAAATAACGACTTACGACCCGGTTTCTAAATGGGCGCTCTAGTCTGGAATGGAACTATCTCTTTGTTTTTCTATTCAATATCACAGCGTATAGCAGCGATGGAGGGGGCTTGGCCGGCCCCAAGAATACCTTGGCCAGCTGTTTGTCATTCGGCATTACTTATTTTTATTATGTAACAGCACCCACGACAGGCGTTCTTTTTTTTCTACCTAGCATCCCGCTCAGCCTTTTACGGCGGAGAGAATGGGGCGGGCTAGGAAGGCACGGCGTTCTGGTCACATGGCTTTCGCTGTTTTTTTCCTTTGTGCAACCAATGCGAGCCGTCGCAGCCGCGAGAGAGCGGGCCGCAAGCCTCGCATCATCAGGATATTGTCCATCCGCTGGCTGGTAGGCAAATGATGCTGTTTATAGTGTGGTCGGTCGTGTATGTTTGGCAGGCATGCAGGCAGTGAGGGGAAGGAAAAGAAACATCGGCCAATCTTGTCGGGTTTCTTTGTATGTGCGTGGGAGCGAGGTGGCGAGACAACAGGTTCGTGGGGCAAGTACAAGCGCTGAAGGTTGAAGAGAGACGGCACCGTCTCGAAAGCCAAAAAGAGACAGAAACTAGGTAGCTAGCTATTGGAAGCATTTACAGGTTTTAATCCTTACGCCCAGCAACCACAAGATGTGAGGATAGGTGAATACTAAAGAATCTCATTTAAGAGCCCCTTCTAGACTGAGTAGGAATGTCTCCAGGCCAAGTCTCGTGTATAATGGCCTCAGAGCCTCGCCGGCTGACTTGACTAGCCAACACTGAGGCCGAGGGGAACAGCAGTCTCTCCCTACTCTCGCAAATATTTACACAAGCCATGCATGTCATCTGTGCGACTCGTCCCAAATGAAACTCCAACCTCATACCTGCCTGCGTAACTCCAACAAAATGAGCAGAAAGAAAAGCATAAAAGACCGACCGGCACAGGCGACCGCGAGCAACTTGCTATGTACACGAGCAGCTGAAAAGAGGGGAATGAGAGGCTCTAGTTAGTCTCTCCGCTCTTCCCAGTTGGCATCAAAACAAAACTCCCCAAAAGCAAAACAAACACATTGGCTCATAGAGCACCACGTGCGTTAATCATGGCCGAAATGGTCCCGAGAGCTGCCAGCAATGCCAGGAATCTACGAACGGAAATCGGTTGCGGCTCATCCGCACTCGGTCCAGCTGCGCTACCAAAACTGCGCCGGGCCAGCCGGAGCTGGCTCCCATGCCTGGGCCGCTAATCATGATGGGGGCCGGAGCCGGGCCCGGAGAGTACGATCAGATATGAAGATCCCGCCCGGTAGAGGCTCATGCCCGCCGGCAGGCTCACGTCCAGCGGTACGATAGCGTCTGCAGGTGCCGTCAACGGCCACGGCAGTGCAAGCTGCCTGCCTACCGCAGGCGCGGGAGACGGGCGCATGGAAAGGAGTGTGTCACGATCATATGAACGTCTAGAGACCCTAGGAGACGGCGGCTGCAGTCCCCGCTGCTCGTCCAACGGCAGGACACCAGGGCCCTACAAGATGATGAGCCGTGCGTCTTTGAGCTGGCCCTCGGAGGGGCAGTAGGGGCACTTGAAACGGTTCCCCTTGCACAGCTTCGTCACTGTCTCGCGGGCGAGCACGTGGCCGCAGGGGATCATCATGGGCGGGTTATCCTCGGTGGTCTGCTCCTTGGCCACGGGGCAAACGAAGATGCTGTGGTACATCATACGCTCTGGCAGGGGGGTCGCAAAGGCGAGTTCGTTGGCCGTGGTCCACTCGGTACCCTTGGCCTTAGTCGCCGTCGTGTACTTGATGAGCCAGGGCAGGGCGAGTGCGCCCGCCGTGGCCGCGATGTAGAGCGGCGACTCGGCCGAGAGGCCCAGCAAACTGCAGAACTCGCGCGTGAAGGACGACGCAACCTCGGAGAAGGCGCCGTCGGTGGAAAACACGGAGCGGTACGGCGACCCCGTGATGTTGGGTGCGAATACCACGGCGCTGGCCAGCTGCTGGATCTCGGGCAGGTGGCGCGACTGGAACCGTCCAAAGTTATCCCGCGCGTAGGCCATGGCTCCGGCGCGGCCGTTCTGCTGGTCGTCGGGAAGCCCGTTGACAGCCGGGCCCTTGAATAGCCACACGTACTGCAGCTTGCTTAACTCAAACTCTAGGTTACTGCCACGCGCTTCCAGCTCGGCCGAGTTGGCGCGCGCCCATGCAATCGCCGGCACGAGGTTCCGCAACTTGAGCTCCTGTAACACTCTGTACATCTCCGAGAACTTAGCTTGGAGCTCCTGGGATTGGAACGACGAGAGGTCGTGGCTGTCGCTGCTACTAGACGCCGTCACGGGCGGCGAAGCTTCGGCGTCGGCTTCGCCTTCGACTCCAGCATCGTCATCGTCCTCGTCCATGGGCTCGTCCTGGCCGTCCGACGGCGTGCCCTCGATGTTGTATGGGCTTGCGCTTTGAGCGTCGTCGATAAAGGTCGAGGCGACCGAGAACTGGCCTTCGCGGAGGAGGTGCATGGCTATGGCGCGGTTTATGAGCGGGTGGTGGTCTGCCATGGCATCATGGTCTGCGGGGAGCGGCTTGTATGGAAAGAACTGGGCATCGTCAGCATGGTATGCCCGCCAGCATCTCCATTCCCCATCCAACGGCTGTTCCTACTTTGTCCAGTGCCTTGCCCGTCGCCTTATTGGTCTGCGAAGCATCCTTTAGATTAACGTTGACTGTCTCAAAAGCTACCTTAACGGGGTTCTGGAGCTTCGTCATTGTTAAGCTAGCCGTGTGAGGATCTAATGCTTTTCGAATCGTCAGATTGAGCGCGAGCATTCGAGCAGCCACCGTCAAGGAGACAAACCTCCAGCAACCCTTTCCCTTGCAGCGGTGAGCAGTTCGATGATCTTGTCGACGTTGCTGACCGCCGCAGAAAGCTGCGGCAAGTTGTTTATGTGGTCGAGTTCGTGTTGGAGCCCTTTCGGGTCCGTGTGTTTGTCTGTATCGGCGCCCACCATGCTGGCGGCTGTATTTACGTTTCGTTTGGCTTGGCTTGGCTTGGTTTGGGTTTGAAGGCTGTTTCTGCTACTATCGGTGACTCTCAGGCGCTGCTACCATCTACTTCAATGCTGGGTTTCGTCCCGTTGGATCGCAAGAGGTTTTCGAACAGATGACGTTGTTTCAGATGACTGGTGCGCTGCTTAAATGTTTCTTTTGGGGCGATAGAAAATCGGACAGAGCGACGAGGGAATTTCAGGGCTGTCGGTAGTTTCAAGTCCAGCTATCTAAGCTGTGAGGTGAGTGGTAGTGGGCAGTTCTCATGATAGTTTGTGCCGTACTGTACAGTCTAGGACGTGGTCGCGCCACCCCAATTGAACGGCGCTAATCACGGAGTCCGGTGACGGCAGGGCGACGCACTAAGTTTACCGACTTGGCACTGTACAACATGCCTACCCCGCTAAAGTTCAAGGAAGCGAGTGGCTCGAGCTCTGACGGCCCCCGCAAGCGAGTTCAGAGTCAGGGGCCGGGCAGTGGGTTGCCAGCTGCAATCCTCCCCAGCTGCCCTGCTGCCCTGGTCGTTGAATCGCGATTGCATCATAACTAACCTGCCTACCTAAGCTAGTGTGCTGAACCTGCCGCGGACCTTTGCACCGGAAGCTCTAAGTTGCGGCCCCACGATGAGGCAGACATAGAGTTTTACATCTGTACAGCACCTTACCTTACATGGCATGATCCCACGTTGCGCGCGCGCTTGCCAGCCCTTCCATTAGTCCCCACCATGTCCATGTCCATGCACATGTGCACGCCAACGTCTATGTCCATGTACACGTACACGTACACGGTGTGTCACCGACGTCTCGCCATTGTACACGTGCGGTAGCCAGCCAGTGCCCGGTTCAGAAGCGATGTCGCTGCGGCTTCCATTTCCCGCCTCGGCTCTCGATGGCAGGGCGTACAGAGAAGAGGACCTCCCGCTGGCGAGAACAGCTTCGAACCGATTCACGAGACCGCCGGCGCTCGAGACGGCAGTGCCACAGCACCCCTTCTTGTCTGCCCTTGCTGCAGCTCCCATGGCCACTGCTGCTGCTGCCGCCATGGACCTTGCCCCCCTGCCCCCTCCTTCCCCCCAGCGGCGTCGTGTGGTTCTCCCCGACCCTGTTGCCTTCAAGTGAGCCCCCCCCTTTGCTCGTCTAGTCTCGACAGCCCGCTAAATCGCCCACGCCCAGGTTCCTCGAAGACGATCCCTCGGTCACGGTTGTCGCCCGCAAGCGGGTGCTTCCCGGCTACGAGCTATACCTCGTCGAGCAGTGGGTCTGCTCGCGCCAGACGCCCGCTCTGGTCATCGTAACGTATACGGGCGACCCCAAACACTCGGTCGTTGTGGGCGTCTTGGAGGCGCCCAAGGACGAGAAGGACTGGTCGCAGAGGCTGCGGGTCTATTTCAAGGCCATCCAGCAGTACCATGCCCGGCCCAAGGAGACGGAGCTCGGCGAGTTGATGGTCACCAACCTCAGCAGCTTTCCCTCGGCCCTGACCGTCATCGCCGTTCCTGACGGCGACTTCCGCAGGCACCGCCAAGTTTTCATCGTCAACGAAGATCTCAAGCGTCTGGGGTGCTCGGGCCGCTCCGGTCTTACCCTGTCAGACCCAACGCCGGCCACCCAGGCCAAGTTTGTACAGCTATACAAGACCAGCGACAGGAACACCGTCTCCGACGCGGTGCTGGAGCTGATTAAGCTCTGCCAGATTGCCCTCTTCATATTTGGCAAGCTGGAACAGGAATACGTGGACGGCCTGCTCTGTGACGTGACCGAAACGGCCATCAGCAACTGGTGGACCGAGATAGGCTCGGAATATTTCAATATCGAGCCAACCGACGGCATTCTAGGGCCCACCACTATTGCTGCCCTCTTGGGCATACTGCTGGGAGCGAGGAACCGGCTCAGCTACTGGGGCGCGCCCGTCTCCAAAGACGTCTTCGATATCGACAGCACGAAGAGGGGTGTGGGTACCTTCCAGAAAAATTACAAGTTAGAGAAGACGCGGCGTCTGGACCGGCAGACGCTGCTCAAACTACACAGTGTTACGGCAAAAGCGGCCGCCGGAGATGGGGGCTGGGGGGTTCAGAAGGCGGTCAAATCTACAGTTGCCGAGATTGGCGGCAAGAGGGGCGAGCTGGTCATCGGCATGGTTGGTGGCCGAGACAAGGCCAATATTGGCGATATTGAGACTCTGGATCTGGACAAGTTCATAAGCCTGGCGTACGGCGAGCGGCCAAAGTGGCTGTGGCACGGCAAGCCAAGGAGGACCCAGCACGAACAGTCGGTGCCCGCCTTCGGCAAGGAGCTCAAGGACGACAACACAATACAATCAGTAAGCCGGAGGACGCAGTCGGCGCCCCTGGAAGACGAGCTCGAGGTCAAGAAAAAGGAGGATTCGCCCGGAGTCTACTCGACTTCCCCGCCTGGCTCTGCGCCTGCCATGTCCGACGGCCCCAACGACAGAGACGCTCTACGGAGGACGGTTTTCAAGAGCGTCGCTGGAAAAGTCAGCGACGCTCGCTCAGGGCTAGGTCGCATCAGAGATGCCGTGGGAGGCGGGTTGCGAGGCCACGTGAGCCGGCCCTCGAAAGACGAGAGCCCGGGTCCAGACATGGCCACAGGCGGATATTCGACGCCGAGCATAGCAGCCTTGGCTCAATCATCCGCGAGTTTGACGAGTCCAGTCGCAATTGGTAGGGCATTCACGTGGAAAGTCAAGCCGGAGGAGTACCTAGCGGCGTTGAAAGACAAGGAAGGCGCCGAGGCTGCTCACATCATGGGTCCTGCTGCCGAAGAGAGCGAGAGCCAGCCATCGACAGCCAGGGATGCGCCACAGCTATTTCACGTATCTAAAACTGGCTCGGACGAAATGGTGAGGGACAACTCGGTAGAATCGCACGCTGTTGAAGCTCGGAAAGGCATCGCCAGCAGTAATGGCTCGGCTGCCGGCTCGGCCGCGGAAGAATGCGATCTGCCAACGACGGTCCCGGCCGCAGAGCCCGGTACGGACGTTCCCTTCTCCTTTCTCCAGCGGCGCCATAGCATCAACGGCCCGGGTGGCGCTCCATGCCTCAACGATGCACGATACCCCCGGCGTCTCTCGTTCAGCGAGGCTGAAGACGCTATCTTGCGGTGGCACGAGATCATCGACATTACAGACGCCTCGACCGACGCTCCCGACGTATCCAACGTCCTGGTGCTACAGGCGCAAGCCGAACTTGCCCACAGCCTCTACGACCGTTTGCATGCCATGCAGACAGGCCTTGCGCCGTGGGTGACGGCTAAGCTGCATGGCGTCGAAGAGCTCGACGAGACGTTTGGCGGCCAGCAGTCGGACCTGCAGGCGCTCTACCTCGCGGTGGACGACGCGTACCAGCGCATCCGGCACAGCAGCGGCGAGCTAGTGGCGGAGGAGCGCTCGCGCCTAACTGAAGCCGTCAAGGACGTAGAAGTGCTAGTGGCGAAGCTCGAGTACGAGATCAGCGCGCTGGTGGGGCGCGTCCGCGACGTCGAGGACGGCGTGGCCCAGTTCGAAGCCCAGGTCGCCGACGTGGAGCGCCGCGCCGACGAGCTCAAGACGGTCCTGGAGACGGAGAGCTGGCTGCACTGGTTTGTGCGCACGCTCACGGGAATCGGCACCGGTCCTAATATTACCAGGGGCCCGAGCCAGCGAGGGGAAGCCCTCGACCGGAAGACGTAATAGGGACGAAAGGAGTTTGTTTGCATTGTTTCTTGAGGGCCTGCACAAGGCGGAGTAGTTGGCTTTGGACATATACATAATCAGGGGTTGGTTGGCTTCAGTTGCGCATTAGCATACATACCATATCAGATCAGGAGCGGGACAGCAGGTAAAATATTACAATTAGCACCTTATCAGAATCAATGCAAAGAGGGTGCGAGAGATGGGATACATGTTTTACGCTCGTCGCTCCTGATTAGCCATGCCGTCGGGCCGCCGTCTATCTCAATCCTCTATCGTACAATACATAAGCCTTCTTTACAAGTACAGGACACCGTCCCCGCCACCCAGGTGCTCGCAGACAAATATCGAACAGAGCCAAACCATAGATGCCCCATGAGCCGATTGTTATGGTGGTGATAACGATGATGCGAACCGAAGCCAAGTCGCAGCTATTGGCTTGTTCGTACAAGCGGCAAGCCAACAAATTGGAAAAGGGCGAGCAACACAAATCCCCCATAGAGCTGAAAATCTGAGGGCGCTCTTCTCACCAACGCATCCAAGTGAGAGCCGAAGCGTACGGTATGCAAATTAAAAAGGGGTATGGTTCTTGGGAGTTTTTGTCGGGTGTGCAGTGCGTGTGTTCCGCTTCGTCACCCCTTTACATGCCGAAGCCGCCGCCGCCGCCGCCGCCGCCACCGGCCGCCGCCATGCGCTCCGTCGTCTCCTTTTGTATCTGGTCAAAGATCTTGGCGTGCACGTCAAAAAACTTGGCCGAGCACCGGTCCAGGCACACGGCCTCGCCCTTGGCCAGATCCGATTCGCGGTAGGTCTTGTCTACGCACTTGGCTGAGCACACCCGCGTCATCCTGTGCCGATGTTAGCTTTCATTGAGAAGATGGGATGTGATTTTGGTTGGGGGGGGGGCAACGCACCGGTTGTGCATGTCGGCCATCATCTTCAGCTCGTTCTCGACGGCCGCGATCTTCTCGGCCGACGTAGGCTGCGGCCTGCCAAGGCCGAAGAAAGACATGGTGTGTGTGTTTTGTCGCGGCTTGCTGCTACGAATTGGTGTTCTGGATGCGTGGGCGGGACCAAGGGGCTATGGCTTGCGTTCGTCGTTGCGAAAGTGAATGGCGGGCGTCGTGCGGCTCGAGAGGTATGACGATGGTGCCGCTAGCAAAAAATCCGTCTCTTGCCTCATGGCCCGGGCTTTAATGACTTGCTAGCTCTCGAGTCGCTACTTGGCGGTGCGGCTTATCGTCGGCTAATTCAGATTGCGCTGCTCGTTCTTGGCTAACTCAGTAGACGTGCAGTAAGTACTGTACAGGCCTACGCACGTGCAAGATCCTCATCAAAAAAATTGTTAGCACTGGGTTCTAATTCCGTGCTCCCATAGGCTGGCAAATGGGAGCTCCAGGGCGGGTCCAAACTCCTTAAAAAGTAAGCGAAATCTTTATCCCACTCTCTTCTCATTCGGACGGGCAGCTCTATTTCAAGACAAATCCTGCCACTCAACATGATTGTAAGTTGCCATTCCCACCAGTCAAGCCGTACAACAAACGGCCTTCCCAGGAGCTCCACTCAATGATGAACCAAATTATCAATCTTAGAACCGTTGCGACTGACATGCACTTGTGCGTGCATGATCACAAATGCCTTGTCTGACTGCTGGAGCTCCTGCGTCCCTTGCCTCGTTCTGGCAAGAGCAAGCTGTTGGCAATGGCCAATGCCACCTCTATCGAGACGATGCTAATCAGCATCTCTAGGCGCGATGAGAATAACAACCCCCTCGCTCTCCTTCCTGCGGCCGTACGCCTGGAGGCCGCTCGAGGGCCGGAACGCCGCCTACCTCCGCTTCTACCACCTGGCCCGGCCGCAGGTTGACGAGTCCAACGCCCCCAAGTATCCCAGAATCCGGCACGATGGCGTTTCCATGCGCATCCCGACGTTCCGTGAGAAGTATAAGCATGTCGAGACCGGGGCCGTAGCAGAGGAGGAGGTCACCCTTCACGGCCGGGTTCAATGGATCCGCCGCGCAGGCTCCAAGCTTGTGTTCCTCAACCTCAAGGCCGAGTTTGAGCAAGTGCAGGGCCTATGTAATTTCCGGAAGCTGGAGAGCACCGGCGCCACCCTCGACCGCTTCAAGGAGCTAAGCCGGCTCGTGAAAAGAGGCGACATAATATGTACGTACTGCTTCCCCTCCGATAGCAATATATATAGAAAAATATATATTATATCTTCAGCAGCCCGCTGATCGTAGCTGTGAATAGCTGTTACTGGGAAGGCTACGCGCACACCCACGGGCGAGCTGACAATCGAGGCGACACGCTTGCCCGAGCTCATGTCGCCCACCATTGCCCCTCTGCCGTTCCAGCTAGCCAACGAGGACACGCGGATCCAGCTGCGCCACGTTGACATGCTGGTAAACCGCAAGACAATTGATACACTGCGCCTGCGCTCGTACATCATCAGGCACATGCGCGATTTCTTGGACGAGCGGGGCTTTCTCGAGTTCCAGACGCCCATCCTGGCTGATCACACCGAGGGAGCTGTCGCGCGTCCGTTTACCATCGCCGGGAGTGACTTCCCTGGCCGCGACCTCACGCTGCGTATTGCGCCGGAGCTCTGGCTGAAGCGCCTCGTAGTCGGCGGCGTGGACAAGGTTTTTGAGCTCGGCCCGGCCTTCCGAAACGAAGGCATAGACCTGACCCATAATCCTGAGTTCACCACATGCGAGTTCTACAATGCCTACGCAAGCCTGGACGACCTCATTGCCCTGACCGAGGATTTGATCCGTGGCACCGCCGAGCATTGTCAGAAGCTCATTGCCACCAAGCTCGACTCGCTGCCCTCCATTGACGTAGACGCATTCCGCGGCCCCTTCAAGCAGATGGAGTTTATTCCCTCGCTCGAGTCTTCCTTGGGGTGCCGCTTGCCGGACCTGTCGTCCGAGACTGCCTTGGAAGACCTTGTCGCCATTCTCGAGAGCGAGGACATTGCTGTCGAAAGACCTCTCCCCACGCTGCCCCAGCTCCTCGACAGGCTGTCGGGCCTCTACATGGAACCGCATTCTCTCAAGGCGCCGCTCTTCATCACCAACCACCCTGTGTGCATGTCTCCGCTCTCCAAGAGCTTTGTGTGTCCCAAGACGGGCCAGGCCGTGTCGGCACGGACCGAGCTGTTTGTCCTCGGGAGGGAGCTGGCCAACATGTATGAGGAGGAGAACGACCCCGCCGCCCAGCGGCTAAAGTTCCTCGACCAGGCCAAGCACCGCGTCCCCCTGAATCCAGATGACCCCGTCATCATCGACGAGAGCTACATCCAGGCTCTGGAGTCTGGCCTGCCGCCCACCGGCGGCTGGGGCTGCGGTATCGAACGCCTGGTCATGCTGTTCTCGGGTGCGTCGAGGATCAGCGAGTGCTTGAGCTTTGGCAACCTGAAGAACGTCATGGGCATGTCCACTCTGAGGGCTGTTCCCGTCCCGGAACCGTCCGAGGCGGCTTCCGAGAAGGGGCAATGATGAGGCCGTTTCCCATGTATGCTAGGTGGTCAACCCGTGCTGTTAATTGCACCGCTGGCCCGTGTACCCTTGACTGGATTGTATTGCGACCCTGGAAGTGTACTGTACGATATTAGCCCGTGTACCATAGTAGACGTCATATTAGCGAAGAGAATTAGATACCCATACGCAATTCTTGATCAGCTCTCTGCAATTCAAATGTGTTTGTGGTGGTTTTACGCAGGCCTCATGTTTTAGACGCCCTCCAGACGCCAGGGAGCAATACCACTTGAACACAGAAAATCACGGGGTCCAGAGTCACACGGTCACGCAGGAGAGAAAGTGTCAATGTGCGGATTTCAATATCAATCCTTATGTGACTGCCTAGGTAGTTTCGAGCTCTATAGGATGGCCTCTCTAAGAGACAATTTATGGTATACAACTCCGAATATGAAAAGCCAGCCATCGATCCATCTATCTCTCCGATTCCTCCTCACAAAGAAGGCCAAGGATATGTCTCTCTTCTTCTTTTTCTCTCTCCCAATCTCCATCTCCATCTCGTGCGTGCTCCTTTCTTGAGGGCCGCCGAATCTAAGAAAAGAAAACCTCCAAAGCCTCCCCAATGGTGATGCCGGAAGAATGATGGATGCTGCGATGTGTTTGCTAGCCTCGAATAAAAGAAAAGAAGAAGAAAATGGGGTCGTATCCATGTGCCCAGTCTGTCGTCCATCTAATTGTTGCGGGCAATGAAGAGATGCCGCTTCGTTGTAAGACAAGAAAAGAAGAGCGCGATAAATACAAGAAGTGCTTCTTTTTTTTTCTGGTTGCTGGTTTTGCGAGGGGGTTTTCTTTCTTCTTTCTTGGGGGGTTTTCTTTGACGGCAGGTCATGTCGTTTCGTCGCATCATGGGATGTCGTGTGTGTCGTCGTAATGCAAGAACGCCCACTGCTCGAAAGGAAGAGGAAAGCGGACAACGAAAAGAAAGGAAGCTGTCCTGCCTAGCCATTTACCATACTCCCTAGCGGTGTGGAGTCGATTCCCACTTAGGATCCCGGCCGTTCCAGGCATTATCATTAGAGAACGACTGATTTCCTGGGCACCACATCAAGTGCAGGTCATTTTCAACTCTGCCTCGGGACCACATCATCACGTCCCTGTCAAACTCATTCTGCCTCATCCGTACTTCGTGCATGACCATACGACGGTCTTCCTCGCGCCTTGGATTTTTCACGACATCCCAAAGCTCATTGATGACACGCGGGTGGTGAAGATACCCGGTGGGGATGAAGTCTGGGTCAGTTTCCTTGTTGCCCTGGTATCCGTTCATGACGCGCTTGATAAATGCACGTCCCCACATCTCATCGGTCTTTCGATTCCATCCAAAACCATGGTTGAAGAGCTCCTCGGGCTGGATGACCGTCTGGCCAGCTGGGGTCGTGCAAAGCGTACTCGGCTTCTTTGCTGGGTGTTCTCTCTGGGGACCCCCTTGGCTGTGATCGACGGGACCGAACTCCTGGTGCATCCGATAGTGCAACCGCCGCAATGACGCTCCAATATTGTCCGAACCTTCGGCCACAGGCTCTGGATATAGCGGGGCCAGCTTTCCCGGCTCAATGTTCTTGTAATAGCGATGGCAGTTATCAATATGCCTAGCAATCCAAAAGCCCAATTTCATTGAGTATTCTTCTTCCTCACAACTGCGGGTACTCCAGTTAATGAGAACCTGGAGGGCGGTGTTCTCATGCGGGCTTTGCGGCACAACCCAATGAACGCGGCCTCCATCAGCTGCCGTTGTCGACTGCGACTCGTAGTTTGGTTGCTGCGCGGCAGCTGCAGGTTGCTGCAGGTTGCCCGAGGTTTGCTGTGTAATCTTCTCGAGCCTTGCAGTTTCCGCGGCCCTGCTTACCGGAGTGTTGGGGTTTAACCCTCGCATGTAGACGGGAGTACTGTCCTTCGCTCCCGGGTAGAGATACGCGTTTGTCGCAGCGTTTATCCAGTGCCGGAAATGGGAATCCTCGCACTCATTGACAAATTGTACCGCTTGGCAACCATAGCAATCTCTTGTCTTGTATCGGAATAGGGACAGTGGGGGCGACGCCCGGCAACTAGTGCATTGCTGTCTCTCCTGACGATAGTCGATCGATGGTGCCGACTTCTGAAGCCGGCGCATTTTTCGAGGCAAATTGCCTAGCTCGACATTGTCGCCCGACAGGGCGGCAGTCAGGTCTGCCGTGAACCTATTCCAAAGCTGCACCTCATCTTCCGGTCCTTGTCCACGGGCGATTTCCACCTCCCATGCGATGACTGCGTCTCGAGCTTTGAAAGCCCAGAGCTCCGGGCCGGGGAGACGGCACACGAATGTGAAAAAGGATTCGTGCAGGTCAAGCGGGTCAAATCCGACCATTTTGCACACTTGCCGGCAACCCAAAACCAGGGCGAAAACAGACTTGGGAATGTGGAAAGTCGGGACATGGTGGGTCACACCGTACGACCCCTTGCGGTTCGGATCATTTGGGCCTGCGAAGAACTGCGGACCAAAATCGAAACGAATGTAGCCATGCTTTGCGCCAGGGCTGCGTGGGTTGGCCGCAATGACTCGAAGCAAGCTTGGCAGCTTTGTGTAGTCCATCAATAGGCATTGTTGGATAGACACCGTTTCGAGGTTTGGCATCTGCTGGACGAGAAGTTCAAACGCTTTGACGTTGAAAAACGGAAGTTTGTGGAACGTGATGTGTCGGAAATCTGAGAAATCGGACTGGAAAACCTTGATCATTGCAGCAAGCCTTGCACAGTAGCTTTGCTCGGTTTCAGTGTTCCATCCGCTTGACGTGATCACCAAACCCCGGTCCTGGATGGTAGACTTAGTCGTCACGCCTCTCTCGGGGATGTATGGCGGGGGGGCTTCCGACATGATGTTCCAAACCGCGGTCCAGGAAGCAACCACGCGAGCCACGGGCTTGGATGTCATCCCCAGAGACGTAATGTCAGCCATAGACGGACGGAGCTCTTCAATGATGGGGCCAGCAATTAGGTAGATGCTGAAAACCATCATGAATGTGGCGGGCCCGCTGTTGACACCCGTCCATGTAACAGCTGTATTGTCGGCGGCAGCTGCATTGTCGGCGAAAATGAAAGAGGCGGGAAAAATCTCGAATGACTGTCGATCCTTGTTGTCTCGAGCTGACAACTGCTCATTGAACAGCGCAAGTTCGCCACACTCGACATAGACTAGTCTGAGATTGGCCAGCTCTTGACCCTTTTTGTTGAAGATAGGTTGGAGGTGACGGCGGGCATCGAGTCTTTTGGCGAGATCTAGTTGATATTTGACCGTCGCTCGATTCTTTTGCTTCACAGCCATCACTTCATCATTCAATTCTTGCTTCTTTTTCTTGGACAATCTGTCGAAATCCTCTGGCGTTTTTGGCAGCGCATCCTGCAGGGAAAGCAGGGAAAGCCACTGTCGGTTCTCGCTGTTGAAAACCAACTTAGTACCGGGCTTGGCAGAGGGCTTGGTGGTAGGCTTGGCGACAGTGACAGCTGGGCCTGATTGAGACTGACCATTTTTGCCTAATCGTGTCATGTTGTATTGTGGTTTATTGGTTTCAATGAAGGTGTCAAATTAGAGAATGAAGGCGTGGGGGGTTGGTTTGGTGAGTACTGAGAGGATCGAAAAAGATCTTGGAGGGAAAGAAGACGAAGAGGAGGGCCGAGGGGTCCAGGGAAGAGTTTTCAAAGGGGGGCTAGAGGGGAGGCAGGTCGTTTTGCAGTGCCCGAGTTCTGTGCTATTGTCCTATTATTGAAACCCCTTTTTTTTTCAATACGAAAGGGGTACGAGTGAAGGCATTGACACTCCCGAATCGAAGATAGAGCCGACCACTGAATCTCATTGGTTGTCCACACAATCGAGCAAAATCGAAGCACCCAATCACAGCGGTTCCTATTATTCTTTAAATCCCGGGGAATTCGCGGTGGCTGGGGAAGGGTTTGTGCCCATCTGAACCGTTTTCACACTGTAGAGATTGTGTAAGTTGGGAATAGAAATGCCCAGGGGACAGTAGGAGCACTGCTCTCACCTACCGTGCTCGCCGTACTGCGTACTGTATGGTGTGCCTGCAAACGGGCGAAATGCCTCGAGTTTGTGGGCAGAAAATTTTCGTCGGATGGTAGGTGGTACCAGGTGAAAGGTAGGGGGGGGTAAAGTAGCTATTATCAGATGGTTTGTGAGCAATTGGCGCAAAATAGGACCCAATTGGCACCCAATTGGCAAGTTATGGGCATAGATTACGGCTGTGGATTTCTGTAGGAATGGATTTGGATGAGGCCGGAGAGTGGATGTGATTTGTGAAGCAGTCTCGCAGGTGGCCCTTCCAGTGGTGGCTATGATGCAGGTTTTTGTCCTTTTTGCTCAATTTCCGTGGCAAAGCTCCTGGAACGAACAGTGTAGGTGGTGATGAGGGAGATAAATGGTGGGGTGTCTAGGAGAGATTCGGAAGGAGATAAGAAGCGGTGAGCGCCTACCTACACTGGATGCCAAGAAGGGGGTAAAAGAGGTTTGAAGAGGGTATGAAGGGGTGAAGTGCGGTCTGCTGCTGCGAGTGGTAAGATGTCCAGCAGCTACGGCGAGGAAGGCCAAATGAAGGGGCGCTCTTAATGTTCGAGTAGACTCGAGCAGGAAGGACGTCGTGATTAGGGTCAAAGGGTATCCCTTTCTCAAAGGGTCACCACAGTGAGGAACCTTGGAGGTGTAGTTACATACCGGAAAAAAAGCAGCGATTGAGCCCCTAGCAGATGACAAACCGAGTCTCGGAGGACACAGTCGAAAGATTGAGCAAGCCTTTTGAAGCGCAGACGATTCCAGGGGTGGGGGAGCGAATGAGAGGTACCGCGGTCTCAGAGAGGAGGCTGCCGTCGATTAATAGATAAGCGAATGTAGTCGACCAGGTCAAGGGCGCCTCCAGGTAGGTGTTAAAGATACCATCAATGGTAGCCCTATTAGATCCAGCCTATGTGGAGGATAGTACCTTATGGTTTAAAGCCGGGCTGTCCAAAATCTCAAGAAAAGCAATTCTTCCCCATCCCTGTATTGCCCCAATGCTTGACCAGGCAATCTTCCCCGGCCTGAACACGCAAACGGTGCTTGCTAATCTGAATACTACCAGGCTGGGTACCCTCTCGCGTGAGCTATTTTCGTGCCCGGACCGCGCAACGGTGGCCCTGGGGATATAGCAATGAAAGAGATTGTGTAGGAGGCTGTATTGGTTTCCTGTCGTCCTGGCGATCACCGCCCCTTCTACAGCCCTACAGGTGGGTCTTACCCTTGGCTGGCAACGTGATCGTGGCTTCCTTGACATGCGGTCTGCCCAAATGCCTCGAGAGGCCGACCGTCCAGTTGGTGACTGGCATTGCGTTACCGACACAGACCATTAGGTAGGCGCAGACAGTCACCTCCGCAGCAAGGTGCTATTGAGACTACTAACATCACGTTTTACTACACAGCTTGAGACAGCGCACGAGAGCCGTCGGCCTAGTGTCGGGGACGAAGCAGTGGGAAGCGAGAATCACAGCATTCGGCGACAAGCAGGCGCTTCCAACGTCGCCGACAAGCTCGGAGCGGCACCTGACTTGTCGACGACGACAAGGATAAGAAATGATAGGCCAGCAACGTGACACCCATGGCTGAGGTGCCGTGAGAATGGTCGACCACGAGCACATGTTCTCAAGCCCCGAGCACGACGAGCCCAGTCTTTAATAATCGCCGGGACCCATGTGCCGGGCATAAACATCCATATCGATCGTTCACCTCGACGGCATCGTTGTAGGGCCGCAGCAGACATATCGACCCATCGAGAAACTCGTTGCTCGAGGACAAGCAATAATCCCCCCTAGCAAACCAACCGCGCATCTCTTCTTAGCAACGAGGATAAACATAAACACCGAGCAGGGGGCAAGCAGGGCTGCAAACGACCAGCTCCTATTGGCGCAACCCAAGACCCAAGTTTGGGGGACTGCAGGAGGAACATGAACCGAAAGGATGTTGGCAGACCAGGACTTTCTTCACCCGGTCGTCCCGGACAGTAATCAAGGCTCATGTTTGACAGCTTTGAGGAACCGACATCGCTTGTGTCCATGCCAGTCGAGTCTCCAACCAGCCCGTCGTTTTCACCAAGAGGCGGGCTGACGGGTTTCGCGATGACGGGAATGCCCCTTGCAGACAAGCTTCCTGTGGCTCTGCCTCACGATACTGGGTCGCAGAAGCAGTGAAGAGCTCCGTGGGCCGCTTCCCAACGCACAGAAAATAGGGAACTCGAGTCGGGCAGCTTGCCAGATCCAATTGCGACTTGGGAAGAAAACACAGCAGGGGGGGTGTTACTCAATGTGGTATCGGAGACGTCGAATGGGCTCCAGAGACAAGCAGAGCAAAGAACAGCCAGAGACGCAAAGGCTGCAGATAAGCTGTCTGCACCCCGTTGGCAAGCCAATGACGGCGGGACCTGCCAGATCTGACTAAGGTTGCTTGCAGGGCGCACATGTGGTGCTGCAGAGTGCCTCGCACACATTCGCTGAAGATGGGGAGTCAGAATCGATTGAACGGCCTTCCGGGGTTGCTCAGCCAAAGAGATAGCCAGACCACCACCATACACCCAACAAGATACCTGCCATACTCGAGGACAGCCCGTCCCATCCATCCCCACACACCACACGGCAACAGGGACAGGTCGCGTGCTTCCCCCATTGTGCCACCGCACCAACCATCGAAACCCTCCAGGAATGGGGTAGGCAGAGGAGAGCAACGCCATTGGTGTGTGCTTGTGACCGACTGAGCCACAAGAGTCCTCTCCTCGGCGCCCTGCCTGCCCAGCGGCACCCCGACCGAAATGGACGGCGATGGCAAGCACAGCAAGCGGGTGCCAGCGATACCTGGCCCGCCCCAGAGGAAGCAGCGGCAGCCGAGAGGTGGAGGAGTGCATTTTTGCACATTTGCGCAACGCAGGAGGAAGCGGAGAAGCTAGATCCTGCACGGCCAGCCGTCGGGAGAAGACGACAAGACACGAAAATAAAGCAGCAGCACATCAACGCCAGCCTACGGTTCGAGCAAATGGCAAGGAAACGAGATAACTGCCCTAGCTCTGCGATCAGCCCACGTCCCAAAGCGGAAAACCGAAAGGAGCATCAACGAAACGGTCGACGAACGATCCGGCGGTGAACTCAGCGGGTGTGTCCCATTGAGAGCGGACGAGGGGTTACCGTTGTGCTCCCCCTTCAAGAGATAAAAAAAAAAGTGAGGGGTAGCTCCTGAGTTCCAAGCGGGCCTCCCGGCAAGCAGACAGATCAGTTGGAGTAAGTGGGAGAACATCTTAACGGCCTATATCGGGATGGCGAAAAGGGATCCACGACTTCTTGAGATCGGTAAGGATCGCCAGACGAGAAGGAGACCCGCGGGACGGCATGACTGGATTGGTGGGAGCTATACGATAAAATACGGAGGCATGGCCTGAAGTAAAGAGCGACACGACACAACGTGGGAAGGCACGGGAGGAGGGAGCCAGCACGAGATCTCGATCTGGTGTGGTGCTTGAGTGCACTGCACTTGCTTCAAGTTCTGTCCGCTAATAGCAAAGCTATACGATACGTAGGAGGAGGAGGAGGAGGAGGGCGGGGCGGTCTGGAGATATATGAAAGTACGGCAAGACCCAGTCGTCCTGCAGCGCACACGTTCACATGACGGTTGGCAACGAGGCCGGGACTTGGCGGGTGGTGTCGCATGTTCGATTTGGCTACTGGCCGCAGATGTCGCAATCTGGCGACCAGGGTAGCCACGATCTTTTCGCTTGTCTGGTTCTCCGTGGGAGGGAAGGTCCATATTTTAGAAAAGTGGGCACAGATCTCTACACCTCCTCCGGGGTAATACATGTTAGCGTGGGAAGCTGGCAAAGTTAGTGATTAGCGAGATTTCCCTAAAAGATACTAATAGCAACCAACGTACCAAGCTAACATGTAATACCCCGGTAGAGGTGTACCATCAAGTATTCGAGGCTCCTACCAAGTTTGGACTGCAGTGGAGAGACAAGATTACAAAGTCGCCGCCCGCGTAGATGGTAGCTTGGGTGGGCTGTTGTTCCATAATCAGTCAACTGATAATAAAATTGAGGTCGGCATAGCCACTGACTGGATTCATGGGATGTCAGGGCGATCGATCACTGAAGCCCCACTGCACAGGCGAAAACTGCCCTTTGACATGCTGATTAAAGGTAAAACTTGTGGGACCTTAAAACCCTAACCCGCCAGTTGTCAACGGTCTGGAGTGTCTCTCTGTCAGCGCCGATGACTGTTTCGCTGCATTTAATGCGTATCCTCCGGACCTACAATACAGGGTATGGAACTTAGGTTCACCTGGTGCTACGGGCTGTGCATGGCATCTAGGTCATAGGAAAAGCAGACCACCTCAGCCTGAGCACGAAATGCGCAGTTGATCTAAACTGGCATTTGGGATTTTCCAATAAACAGTTTTTGGGCGTTCTGGCTTGAGGAGCCGTACATGGTAAAGCTTGGACCAGCCAGCCCGCCCGTTCACGCTAGCCCAAAGACGTAACGACTATGACACATGAGTGGAATCGATGGAGAAGATGTTCGGACGCATGTGCAAGTAGGGACCACCCAAGCTGCCAGACGCCATCGCATGCAAGCCGGCTCTGCGTTCGAAGCAGAAATATCCCTTGGGTTTGAGGGCGGCGTGAAGAGCCTGCCCGGCATGCTTTTGGGATAGGTATGTAACTAGGGCAGTTGGAAATAGCAAAGAAAATAATAGCTCGGGAGGCAGTTGCCGACTCGCCGTCACGATTGTGACGGCCATTGATAACACACGCAAGTACGAACTCGACTGGCTCCGAGTGCTTGGCACACATGCCGCCTCTCCGTCCAAAACTCCGATGATGGACGTAACGAATATAGGCAAATCTCATACCCGCAATGCAGCAGCAGTGGAAAGACGCGAGACCCTGCACCGGAGCTATCCGCACAGGCCAATCATGTGGCCGTCTATGCCCGCTGGGCCGCCTCTCGAGCATCGAGCCGGGCAAAGAAAGGCGCACGCCGCACGGGTGGCCGCGGTCTATTGATGCAGCATTGGGGACCAAGACTTCGTCGAAACGTGACCCCACCAAGGCAAACTGGAACGAGGAATCATGCGTCCGGTGAAAGGCTGCGTGCGGTGGAAACGCCGTGGTTTCTAGAGGGGGGCGAGAGTCGGTTGGTTTATAATTGGATGTAAGATTCAGACCAACACCACTGACCGAGGGGGGCACCATTCTGGGCAGATTTCGACGTCGCTCCTATATTCGGATTCGCACTGCACGGCGCAGCAACGGCAGGCCGGGTGTGCACGAGACCTGAGCCCACCGGCGATAACTGACACACCAGCAGGCGAGCAAACATGTCGATATGGGTTGATAGCCGCATATTGTACTTACGCGTAGGCCCGGCTGAGATTTTGGGCTCCTAGTACTGGCGGTGTTTTTTTTAGTCCTTGCTTAGGCCGGCTGCTGGCAAGCACGGCAAGACGATGAGGCTGTTTGAATCCACATCACCCCTGTTTGCTTGCCGCAGTGGGATGGATCATTATGGATGCGAGCCGAACCAAGCAGGGGGGCGCAGGATAAGACTGAGGACATGTCAGGGGGCATAGAACATCGGATTGCTAGCGTGGAAATGAAACGAAGAGAAAATGATATTTTGAAAAATATCCGAAAAGCCAAAGGCAAGCAGGAAGTTGGAAATTTGGAACTAAGGATGGCTCTTCTGAAAATTCTGCAAAATGGAAATGGGTGCTGGGCGGCTGGCTGAAGTACTGACCTAAACCCAAGCAACGGGATTTTTGGCGAAGACATGCTAACATGGCCTGACGCTGGAAATCGACGGCATAACGTCTTCTGACGGAGCCCGGGCTTGTCCTGATGCCACCGGCCACACATCGAAGGTCTGGATGACGCCAAGCTTGGCTCCATGCCGCCATTAGCAGCCCGCGCCACTGATGTTTAGTCTGTGGTACGGATACCTTGTCTACATTGTTGCCGGCTGGCAGTTTCTTTGAGCAAACCCAAAATCAAGTAAACGCCCTGCTCAGGGTGGATGCTGAATACGGTCCTCGACGTCTTGGAGAGAAAACGGAAGCAGGAGCAGGCCCCTTTCCCTAACCCCCTGCTTTGTGAGGGCTCGGCCGCCTCCGTCAGCACTCCCGTCAGAGCGTCCCGAGTGAATGCTATCCTGCCAGTGTCGGAGGTGTTGCCTCGACTGTCTCGTCCGGGCAGGCGATGAACCGGTAGTGAAATAACGTCGAGTTAGTGGGTGGCCCCCCTGTGGAGTGAAGTCCATTTCCAGCGGTCCGTGGCGAGCTGCCAGTGTCGGAAGTGGGTTGGTTGGTGGACGGTGAGGGGATCGGTGCCCGGTGGGGCCCTGGATTGATTACGGTCGTTGAGGGGTCTGGTGCAGCATGGAACCTTGGAAATTTTACAGGTGGATACATACCAGCAGACAGCAGAGATAATCCAGGTTGTGCATAACAGTTGACGGCCCACCAACAACGACCTGCCTCGCCGTGGTCGATTTGTCCTTGTGGGACGCAGGATCGGCTGCGCGCCTGCAGAGGCCCTCGAACCTTAGGTTCCTGGACAGAGGGTTTGACAGGCCGTCCGTGGACAGCCAGAGAGCCAAATTACAGGGCCGATGGTCTTGCGGACTCTGCTCTGAGGGCAGACAAACAGCTAGTGCAGTCAGTGCTAACGCCTCGTACCTTGAAGCTGCAATGCAGGCGCACTCGCACAGGCGAGCTCTAGTATCGTCCATGGCCCCATCAGTAAAATCAATAATAATCGTTCAGAACTGATGTGCCGAGCTGTGAGATGAGGGAGCAAGAGACGCCAGGCCTGATCGACGGGGAGGGGCAAGGAAAGTGGTTTAATTTAGCTACCAGCGACTAAAGTCACAAGGGCGGCGGCGGCAGCTGGAGGGCTCGTCTTCTGCAGGCGGGCTCGACGCACGCCAGCGGGCACGATGGGGAGGGACAGGCGAGCTCGAGGCGTGAGAGGCGTTGTGGAGCTTCTGCATCAGGACGACGCCGGTACTTGCAGGTGAAGTACACACCCGGGCTAACGAGACCCCAAGAGGCGCACTGGCCAGTGAGGTGCAACAGGTGTGGGTCGAGAGCGCTAGTGGCTGCAGCAAGCGCATACTGAAATCCGAATCCCTGTCCAAAAACGGTTGAAGCAATTTCGTGTTCTCCCAGCAACTGGACATTGACGAGCAGGCTTCGCGCCTTTGTCTGGGCAAGGGGCCAGCTGCCTGCGGTTGCGCTCAGTGGCCACTGGCCAGCGTTCGGGCTAGGCAGCGAATAGGTGGGCCGTCGGCTGCAGAAGTTTAGCTCCAAGGGTCGGGTTCCCTAGCTCGATTCCGTTTTTGGGACCCTGTCCCCAGTTTGCCAGCCCCCCCGCGGACCAGTCAGGAGCAGACTACTCACGAGGCAGCTTCGGTGGGCAGATCGCACACCAGTCCTACCGTTTTGACAGCTCCCCCCCAGAAGACACGGCAGCGCAAATAAGTACCCCCAGAGGCCATCACGCGGCTCTCTTCCATTTCCCTCCCCTTCTCTTCCTCCACCGCCAACAAAACCACCTCGTTGCCGAGATTTTCTACGTCTTGAAGACCCCTCTCCCGAGCATCTCTTGATCCATCCATCACCCCCCAAGAGCCGGTCTGACTTTTTTTCTCTTGCTCTCTTCCCAGTGATACCCCAATAATACCACTTTCTTCTTTTTTTTCTTTTTCTTTCAAGTGATACCCAGCTTTTTGCATCATTCACAATGGCCGACACCGTGAAGCCCACCGAAGTCCCCCAGGAGACTGTTCCTGCCACCGAGCCCGTCGTCAAGGCCGTGCCTGCCGAGGCCGTGCCTGCCGAGGCCGCGCCTGCCACTACCGAGCCCGCTGCGACAGAAGTTGAGGCCGCCCCGGCCACTGTCGCCGAGCCTGTCGCCGCCACCGAGGCCGCTGCCCCGGCTGAGGAGACCAAGGCGGAGGAGCTCAAGCCCGTTGAGGAGGGCAGTCTCGAGCACAAGGGCCAGGGTGCCAACTTCCCCAAGTACGTGTTTCTCATCCTTTCCTACACGTCGCTGGTGCCAACAGTATCAATAGGAACATCTTCTACTCCAAGAAGCATTTCTGGTTCGGAGCAGAGCCGGTCGATGTTAAGTCTCTCGCCACTTTCAAGGCCGACAAGGCCATCGATGTTGCCCACCACGTTACTGCCTGGGCCGCTGAGACGGGTAAAGGCCTGCTCTTCTTTGGAGAGAAGTCTACCCCCCATGGCGCTATTCAGCTGGTAAGACATTCTCAGTTACTACTATTGCTAATTCGTTGCTAACCATCAAATACAGGCCGAGGCTTCAGAGCCCGCAACCGAGGGAGCCAACAAGTTTCACTTCACCTCCAAGGGTCATAAACACACCTTCAAGGCCTCCAGCGCTACCGAGCGTGATAGCTGGGTTGCTCAGCTGAAGGCCAAGATTGCCGAGGCGAAGGAGTTGGCTGCAACCATTCCCGAGTCGGAGACGTATAAGAAGACACTGGAAAGCCTCAAGCCTGCCAAGAAGGAGGAGAAGGCCCCGTCTGCCGAGCCGGTCGCCGAAGCCCCTGCAGCTACCGAAGAGGTTGTTGCCGAGGCCCCGGCTGTTGAGGCTCCCAAGGAGGAGGCTGTTGAGGCTCCCGCCGCCGAGGCACCCAAGGAAGAGGTAAAGAAGGAGGAGCCCAAGCGCCGCTCCGCTAGTCGCAAGCGCAACTCCATCTTTGGCAGCCTGCCTTTCGGCAAAAAGGAGGAGAAGAAGGCGGCCGAGGCCGTTGCTGCCGAGCCCGCCAAGGAAGCCGAGACTGCTGCCCTTGCTGTTGAGGCCCCCGCCGTCGTGGAGGCCCCCGCCGCTGAGGTCGTTGTTCCCGATGTTGTTGCCGAGACTGCCCCTGCTACCGAGGAGGCTGCTCCTGCTGAGACCAAGGTTGACGAGAAGAAGGAGGAAGTTGCTGAGGCCAAGCCGACCCCGTCTAAGCGCGGCAGCATCTTCTCCAACCTCTCTTTTGGCAAGAAGAAGGTTGCCACTCCCGAGGCCGCCCCCGTTGAGGAGACCCCTGTTACCGCTGAGGCTGTCGCCGAGACGGCGCCCGTGATCCCGGCTGTTGATACCAGCGAGCCTCTCTCGGCTGAAGTTTCTTCGCCTGCCACCGTCCCCACTGAGACTGTCGAGGCCGCCCCTGCGACCAACGGCGAGACCAAGAAGGAGGTGAAGAGCGACAAGCGCAAGAGCTCTCTCCCGTTCACCTTCGGCAAGAAGGAGAAGGTGGTCTCATCCGATGAGGAGACCGAGAAGCCCAAGTCGCCTTCGGCATTCTCTAAGCTCCGTGCCACTATCAAGAGCAAGGCCAAGGCCGAGAAGGTCGAGAAGACCGAGGAGAAGGCTGAGGAGACACCTGCTGCCGCCGAGGCTGAGACCACTGCTGCCGAGCCCGCTACCGAGGAGGCCCCCAAGCCCGCTGAATTGGCCGAGGAGCCAGTTGCCAAGCCGCTCGAGTCGACCCCTGTCGTGGCTGCCACCGCTTAAGCACGATCTACCATTTCCAGCGCCTGCCCTGCATGACGTTGAATTGGACGGGAAAATCCACGAAAATAGAGCGAACTCACGAACGACGATGTCTCTCAACACCCCACCGTTGGGAGGTCTACGCACACACCTCCTTTGCACGCTGGGTTGGTCGGAATCGGATCTGCATTTCAAGATACCCTGCTCAAGACTGGTTCTTCTGATACCCATTTGCAGCCGACGCGGTGTGGGCTGGGCCTCCAGGACCCCCACCGCTGACGCGCGCATCTTTATGCTTTTTTCCTTATACGATACCGCGATTGTTTTCCTTGTTCAGATACCTTGATTCCCCCTTCCGCGTTTTTGTCTGCTGCGTTTTGGTCGTTGCGATCTCTCGGTACATGCTGTATTTTCGGTGTTTTTGATACCCAAAGTATACCCCCCTCCCGGAGGAAAGAAGAAGCCGCCGTTGGGTTTTGGGCTTGCAAGGGTGTGTGGATTGGCTGAATTGGTTGACATGACCGGGTCAACTGACAGCTGGGTGTGTGGAGAAGTGGGAATGGGTGATGCGAGAAGCGAAGAAAAAAATACAGAAATCACAACAAAAAAATCAGTAAGAAATGGAGGAAGGAGGATGGGAGGGATATACCTCGCGAAACCAAACTGGGCTGGGTCTTTTCTGTCTTTCCAATCTATATATGGTCAGACTGGAGGGGCTTAGCAACCCCCCTTTTAATAGCTAATAATACACTCTCGCGCGTTGAGTTCGCCATCTTACTGTCATTTTGTTTCGCGTGGTTCTTTTTATGTTGAGTGAAATTAGATAAGGTTCGTAAATAAAGAAGCTTCATCGGTGTCTAAGCGTGAGTTTAGCTTGACAACTTTGACACTTAGCTCTGCATGTACACGTGTACAGTAAGTAGCTCTTGGCTGGGGAAAGTTGATTTGACTACTTGGGCCTAGGCGACTGAATAACTATCTCTTCGTGCGTCTTGTCGACTCAATGCTGAGTGCTGTATTTTGTAAATGCGTTGTCTTGCTCAGCTCTACGAAGTACCTCTTAGTATCTTATCCACTATTTTATTTGCTCGAAAGACTACGGGGGCATCTTTCTACGTGTCTAGATTTTCAAGCAAGCTGAGGTAAGGTAGTCCCCTCCCTTATATATCATGTACTTGTCATATGCGCACACCTGTTAACTCAGGAGCAACACATCGATGCGGACTAGCTGGTTCGTCCAAAGCCAAGACGTCCCCGATATTCAGCCTGTGGGTTGGCGACAGGAGTACTATGTCTCGTTCGTTGACCTTGATCACTTGCCGGGGTCTTTAGTTCACAAAAGTGTGCTCATGTTTCTCGTTCAAGGTCTCAGATGAAGCCTAATTTATACCGGCATCTCCCCTCTTGTTAGAAAACAAAAATTCCATTTAGCCTCGCGCATTGCCATGCTACAGCCATCCCAGACGCCCGCTCTCCTACGCGCAAAACAGTTTGACTTTGCGAATCCCTTACTGCCAGCTCTAGCCCGCCTATCTAACTACATAGGTGTGTGCCAGATACGATGAAGCCCAGAAAAGCTACCGTCTAGTCTAGTTGGGTCGGGGGAGTGAGGTTGCCAATATTGTGGTGATTGCATGCACCCCGGCCAGCGTCAGCGCTGCGCCGATTAAATACAGCAAGAATTCCGACGGGGCAAGCGGCGTAGTTAAATGATAATACGCAAGGGCAATGCCACTCAGGTGCAGAAGGCCATGCATCCTGATATCGAGTAGCACGCGCCAATAAAAAAAGTGTGGAATATGGTCCGAGCCCGCTAGGGTGACGTGCTGTATCTCTGCACCAGCTCCTCGATCTTGGGTAGCAGCTCCGGAATACGGAAAGGTTTCGAAATAACGTCATCCTTCAAGCCGGCGCCATGTCAGTTAGCAAACAAAAGTCTACAGCTTATTTGAGGAGCGCCTGTTAATAGGTGGAGCAAACTTACGACACCAGCGGCCTTTGCGTCCTCGACCTGCTCAGGCCGCGCATAGGCGGTGACGGCTATGATGGGTATGTGATGTGTGATTATGCCCTCGCCCTCTAGCCGCCGGATCTCGCGCGTGCAGCTCATTCCGTCCATGACAGGCATTTCTAGGTCCATCAAGATTACCGATATGTTTAGATTATTTTCCTTGCCGCCAGGCAGCGGAGCGGTGGTGCTAGCGGAGTACAGCTCCGGGACCGCGCTGCGGGCAACAGCCTTCCCATCCCAGAAGCGGGAACTTCGGATTACTTGTAATGCCTCGCCGCCATGGTTGGCAACCCACGTGTTGTTTCCTGAAAGCTGCAGTTGCCGGTTCAGCACTCTCTGGTTTACTAGGTTATCCTCGACAATCAGGATATCCAGGTTCCTGGCAGAATTGAGGTCTCGGAAAGGAACAGAAGCCACTCGTTCTAGCAGCGGTCCTCCAATAGGGGCGGCAGGAACTTCGGGCTTTGCTGCATGTTGGGTCTGCTGCACTGGCCCGCTGGACACATGCACGACCGGGCTCCGGGTTTCTGAAACCAGGCTCAGGTAGGGATCTTCTGCTTTCCTGCTCTTAATGTAAAAGCCGAACGTGCTGCCCTCGCCTTTCCGGGACAGCACGCCAATCTGCCCGCCCTGTAGCTCGGTAAGGATCCGGCAAATGAACAGCCCCAGCCCGGAGCCGCCGTATTGGACGTGGGTCCTGGGGCTGGCCTGGGAAAAGCGCTGAAAGAGAATCTTTTTCTCGTCATCGTCCAGCCCCGGGCCGGTGTCGGTGACAGCCAGATGCAGGTTGATTTTTTCGCCTTCGGCCCAGTCCGCCTCGTCGGTAATGTCGGCCTGGTCCGGATGACGAGGGGGGATGTACGAGATATCATTTCGGACTGCATCTTTGGATGCCCCGAGACTAATCACAATCGACCGCGTCGGCCGGCCCTGTGTGAACTTGATGGCGTTCGTTATTAGATTTATGAGGACTTGGCGAAGGCGCGAGGGGTCTATCTTGACCCAATCGACGGCCAAGTCCCGGTACGACTGCTCGACTTGAAAGCCGCCAGAGATTTCGTTTGAATTCAGCTCAGGCTCAAACATCTTCAGCACATTCTGCACGACGGTGACGGGCTGCTCATCGACGGGCGTCACGAGCAGCAGTTTTGAGTCGAGCTTCGACAGGGTTAGGATGTCATCGACAATCCGCTTTTGGTGGCTCGCACAGAGAGAGATGGTGTTAGCCGCCTCTATGCAGCTGTCGACCAGCACTCCCAAGGCGCTGGCTTGCGAAGGCGTATCTAACAGCTTGTAACGATTCAGGCCCGACGAGATCTCGTCGGCGCACTGGAGGATAGCACTCAGCGGGTTCCGCATTTCGTGACTTGTGATGTCGATAAAGTTCTCCTGCTGCCGCTTCACTTCGACAGCCTCGTCCCACCTCTGCTTCTGGAGATCCTCAGCCCACTTCTGCTGCGAGATGTCAGTGATGCAGCCAAATATGCTCTTCAGCCCGCCACGGTCGTCCTTTTCCGGATAAGCGCTCATGAGGGCCCAAGTCTCGACCGACCGGCCGTCAACGAGCCCCCGCGTGTGCTTGAACCGAAACTCGTGGGTTACGGCCGTCTTGCCATCGACAAGCTGCCGCCAGACGCGCTCGACCTCGGGCCGATCCTCGTCCCGAATGCTCTCCATCCAGGAATCGAGCGTGCTCGTGCTCCTTGCGTGGCCGGATATTTTCCACCACATCTCGTTGCAGTAATTAATGTGCCCGTTGCTGTCGGCGATGAATAGCCCCACCGGCCCAAACTCGGCCATCCTCGTGAAGCGATACTCGCTCTCAACTGCCTCCTGGGTCCGAATGTATAATTGCATTGACAGCTCCTGCCGGTCTATGGCGGCGAGGCGCGCAGCTCGCTGCCCCCGCTTAATTTCTTCCTCGAACAGCACGACCGACGCCATTGACGTCGCAAGTTGTCGGTCGAGGAGCGTGACAAACAGCCGATAGTTCTCGTCATAGGGCCGCCGAGGGTTCACGCCCAGCACAATGAAGCCAACTATCGTCTCGCCCGCCGTCGTGGGGTGCACTGGAAACACGACAACAGTCCGACACGGATCGCCAAACCCCCTCCACGCCAAGCCCTGTACCAGGTGATCCGGTAGGGTGCCGTTCTCGCGGCTGAGTATGATGGGATTGGCCCCGGTTGGGTCAGTCATCGAGTCTCTCATGTACGGCGCAAACGCCTCGTCGTTGGACTTCAAGTCGATCAGAGCGGCCGCAATGGGATGGCCATCCGGAACTCCCAGGGACCCTTCCAAGACCACCATTGGTGGGCTCGAATAACTCGCCGAATTCATGGAGGAGACCTCGCTCTCGCTGTCCTCTACGACAGAGTAGATTAGGGCAAAAGGAACGTCGAGCGGGTTGTATTCGAGTCCTTTCTGGACTTGACTCCAGAAGCCCTTGACATCGCGCGCCTGCGAAGTCTTGACGCCAACCTCGCGGAGGGTGAGCATCCTGCGCTCGTTGACCTTGCGCCGCGTGTTCTCAAAGGCGGGGTTGTAGAGGCCGACCACTGTTCCGTCGCCGCCGACCAAGGGGATGATGGCCCAGTTGAAGAAGGTCTCTTCTAAGAAGCCGTGACGAGTGAGAAAGAGGGTGTCGTCGTGCTTCATCGTCGCATCTCCGTTGGTATATGCCGCGTCAAGCACGGGCTGAATCCCGTCCCAAATCTCGGACCAGGCGTCGCAATATCTCGAACCCATCAGCTGCGGATGCTTCATTCCGGCCACTCCTATGTAGGCCTCGTTGTATATGGCGACATATTCTGGACCCCAGTACATGGCTGCGGGATGAGGGCTGCCCATGATCATATTGGACATGATGCGGAGATCTGTAGACCAGTTCTCGACAGGGCCCAGCGAGGTTGACGCCCAGTCTACGGATCGTGCAAACTGGTGGTGGGCGCCTAGGTTGGGGTCATCGAATGGTATCCGAGTCCAATCAAACGTCGTGTGTAGCTGCGCTGGAAGAACGAGCGGAGCCAAAGCGCTGCTGGGAGAAGCAAGCCTGCCTGCCACGGCTTCAGGCCTGCTTCTGGGCTCCGAATGGGCCCGTTCATGGGTCGTCTCGACCGCCCCAAAGTAGTCGCTCTGTTCTCTCGGCGCGGTAGGTCCCCGGCCTACCGTCGGGCTCCTTGCTCTTTGGCCAGTCACCAAAGACGATGCCGCCGCCAGGCTTGGCGATGTCGGAGTGCTCGACACGGAGCCGGTATTCCCACACACAAATCGGAAGCGCTTCCTGAGTGTCGAACACGACCAAGTGATTCCCCCATACGATATAGACGGCAGGCCTGCATCTGCGGGCGCCTTCTCTCTCACGAGGCTGACCACCCACGCCTTAAAGCGGACATAGTCATCATCAGCTCCCGACTCTGCCATGTCCACCTGCAGCAGCTCCAAGATGCCCTGCGTTGCTCTCAGGGAGGCGTTGGCAAACACTATATGGAGTGGGCCGGGGTTAAAGTTTATAGGGTCGCTAAGGTCGACAAGAAAGGTCGGCCTTTCGTCTTGTTCTAGAAACTCGATGGCGCCTATGCCCTGTAGGAGCTGGACGGTGGATGGCTGAGGCCAGCCGTCCGGACTACGGGATAGAGCAGAGAACTCTGCCGAGGACCAACTGCCTGGGGTGCCGGCCGACCTTCCGGGACTGGCGGCGCTGATCTGGCCCTTGGGCAGGCGGAGCGTGGTGACCCCCCCATCCTGCGACTCCTGGGCGGGGCTCATGACTGACGACGAAACCTCGGAACCGGCGAAGCCGTGGCGGCGGGCCGACGTGCGCTTGTACGAGCTAGAGAAGAAGAGCGGCGAGGATAGATCCGGTCGTGTGGGTGCGAGTCCGGCCGGGGTCTGGGGCGGAGGTGGGAGGGAGAGGCTGCCGGGTGGCACGAGACGAGTTTTTTTGGTGGGGGACTCGAGTGGAGGGGCGGGGTGCTGATCCGGCTCGGACGATCTCTTTCCCAGCGAGCCTGGCGATGATCGTATTCCTGTTGTTGTCTCGGATGTCGACGTTTTCGAGGCTGGTCGGGGCCCAGTAGTTCGAGGGGTTTGGCCAGGTCTAGAGGGTGGTGGTTGTGGTGGCGACGACGACAGCGATGGATGGTGGGCTGCTGTTGGAAGAGACGTCAGACCATGCCGACTGCCGTCAGGCGTCGAGGCGCCCGGGAGCAGCCCGCTTTTGCTGGCGAGGTCGGCGGGGGGAAGGCCGGTGGCTCCGTGGCGGGTGGGGTTGGTGGGCGGACAAGAATCTCCGAGAGGCGGCACGGGGGACGGGTGGCGAGGAAGGGGCGCAGCAGTGCGGCGAGACGAGATATGGGGCTCGGCCCTGTCCTCCAGCGTCATCAAATCGGGAGCTAGGTCGAATGGCCTCGACGGTGCGGTAAGGCGCTGCCAGGCCGCCTTTCAGCAGTCGGCAACGGGATTGGGCGCCGGGACAGCCTTCTACCGACGATCGTAGCCAGCGATAACCGGCAAACGACCAGATAGGGGCGGCGGTTATCGGAGATGGAACCCGGCTGCGAAGCCATTAACCAGAGCCACGAAGCCAGACCTGTCTGTCAGTTGCTTCGAGGTGCTGCGGAGGCTCGGCGAGCCGGCCTGGTCTCGGAAGGCGTGTGCGATGGACAAGGCAATGTGGACGAGGACGAAGGGGGTCGGTGCGATGAGTCGTCTTCCGAGCCCTTGGGGCTTGCGTTTCTTCTTTCTTCTCGGCACGGATGCCTTACTTGCGGATCGTGTCTGGCGTAACCGATCGATACCAAAGGCCAGTCTCTACGCCTGCCTGGTCTGGTAACCCACACGCACGCTTCTTGACCACTGATCAAGGTCAAGACTAAGACTATGGCTGGGCTCTAGCATCAGTCTCTCTCCGTCGGTTCTGGTCTGCCCCCTCTTGCTGCTCGCTCTTGGCCGTGGACGAAACCGAAGGTGCAGGCAATGGGCATTCATGGGCTCGGAAACTCGACAGCTCCCGGATACCTTATAGAAATGCACGATAAAGACGGAGCCCGATGACAGTGAATAGGAAGGCAGGTAGGGCTTGTAGCCCGCGCGGCCATGTGAAACTGAGCTAAATGCTAAGGTAGCCGTCTTCCGTAATAATTACCTTACCCAAAGGCAGCCACCTAAGTGATAGCCAGAAGGCGAGTGGACGCGGTCGCAGGAAGCGGTTGGTGGGGAACTCTAGCACGCAGTAGGTAAGGTACCTTGGGGACCCTAAGGTATCACGGATTCCCTGCAGCCCGCATGCACCTTAGTGGTAGCTCTGAGGTGCCTTAGGTAGGTAAGGTAGGTAAGGTCAGGCCAGGCTCAGGTAGTAGCTTCCGTTTTCTGGACCAGACGCGGTGGACACTTCAGAAGCTCTTTCCCCCCAAGCTTGAGGTCGTAGTGTCGTAGTTCCCACTGAAGTCGGTGAGGTCGGGGCCGGCAACAGCAACAGACACAGCCCACTTGATTGAGGGCCGTGGCAGAGACTCGCCCTGAAGCAGGAGCGTCCGACAGGGGTTACGAGGTCCATTAAGGTCTAGAGCCTCTTGCAATTTGGTGTGTTGTCAACGGCGGCACCCGCCCATCCTTGCCGCCGCCAGTCGACGGGCCTCTCTTTAGGTTCCGTCCTATATTCCGTATCCAGATCTCCACATTGATTGGTCCAAGACGCCATATAACCCTTCAGGTTGGTACTCTTATTGTGAAGAATCTCCAATCCGCTTCTATTAGCACAGGACTCGGTCAATTCGTCCCTTTGTTACACACTCCCAAGTTAGAGAACGTTTGGGTTTTTGGCGTCCGTAGCTTCTGCATATCGGCAGATGTTCGACGTGAACAGTCGAGATAGCCAAGGTCTGCTTCACACTTAACTCGTTGGGTCAAACCTTGTTCAACCGGCTTGCTACTTGGAAACTCCTCACCCTCCGACATGCCATTCACACAGCATAAAGACAAATTTTGTAGCCGTCGTGGTCAAAACGAAACGAAAACGGAATGCGCCAATGTTGCAGTGTTGGGTGCGACTTTGACGTCCCACAATTGGGCTTGTGGAGACGATCGCCCAGTTCTGGAAGGGCCCATTCCGCCCTGGGCTTGGCCCACCCCGCGATACACACCCTGGACCAATCAGCGTGGCCCTCCGCGAAAGTGGCCTGATGATAGAATTGCCTCCGTTTTAAGGAAATAGTTTCCCTCGAGGAAGTCGGCTCCAAATTCGGAAGAGACGGGAGCGGTCGAGCTTCGTTTCAGAAACGGTTATCGGGAAAAGTCGATCTCGATCTCGATCTCAGAAACGAAATCCGATGCGCGCCTCTCAACAATTGGCAAGGGCAACCCCAATATAATCCTACAGTAGCCTTTGAGTTCTTTCAGTGGTAACCGGGCTAACCCGCGTTCTGCACTCTATACGAAGCCTCTCCTACACGTACTACTCCGTGCTTGGTATAATTTATTCTGTCTTGTGAGGCTTTTGGATGCAACCTGTCAAGAGTTCATGGCCATCACGGCGACCGTGCCCTAGCCCGTGATCGCCCCTTACCCTTACCCTTGAGCCGATTGTGATCCGCACCGCGTGCCGGCGAGACTCGTTCAGACAGACTGACAGCAAGGCATGATCAAGGGTTCGGCTCAGAGCCTACCCTAGACTGACAGTGCCGGCGCTGGTGTCGTGCGTCAGTCGCAAAGCGCCATTCGGAATGCTACTGAGCAGCGTCCTGATCGGTCATGGTTTCAATCACCCATCAACAGACGCGGTCGTTTTTCATCAGCATGTTTTCGCCCTGTGCTTACTTAAGATTATACCAGAGGCACTTTGAGGGCATTGATGTTGCATTTTAGGAACCCACAATCCATTTCCCCGATTGTAATGCCCACGGCTGAACAGCCGACCAACAGACTACAGAGATTGAACACTCGAGTTTTTTCGAGATGCCTCTCAACGATGATAGCCCCACGGGTAACGGGCTATGCGTTGGGAACTATCCCGACTCGACCGCAAGATTAAACGGGCTCGAGGTGTCAACGGATACCGCAGCACAGATTACTCTTATACGGAATTCCCGCACCTGAACTCTGTAGGAAAGTGTCGGTCAGTTAGTGGAGCAATGGGTCGATGGGGGCCGCCTAGGCCGGCGCCTCATGGAGCAGAAGTGAAGCCGCGGGAGCGACCCCATCGGAACATTTATCGACGGCAAAGACGGGTCCGGCCAGCAAGCGGCCAAACGAGCCACTAGTCTGTTTTCTCCATGCACGCCATCAGGTACCAAGCACACTCAGCTAGTGCACCGACGCTCCTGGCCATGCCGGACTAATAAGCAATACGGGATGGGATTTGAAAGCTTGAATCGTCAAGCTCATCAGAGGTGCGCAATCAGTGGAAGCGCTCCTCCCCCCAAAAGTGCTAGGCCGAAAGTTGGTCGCAATGCGGCGTGGACGAGCGGGTCGAGGTACGCCGGAAGCTCGAAAGAGGTGCTCGCTGGGCCGTGGGTGGTCAGACAGCACCAAATGGGCGTAAGTGGTTGCAGTTCTGTTAGCCCCTGCAACTCTTCCCCGCGAATCGCTGGCGGGATTGGAGGCGCTGGGCGCTTAGACGCCGCCCGAGTCCCACACCCTCTCGTCTCTCCGATTGGGTACTGCCCTGTGATTGACCGGCCACCTGCATCTTTCGGGCTACTCGGCATGGGGGCCTGGGACCTTGGGCGGCAGGACAGAGGGTGCGCTTGGGAGAGTGCCGGGAAGGGCGGGCGTTTTCACTGCAAAGAGTCGATATAATCGCCGCTGCCGTCCCCCTCCCTTTCTGTCTCTCAGGAACGCCGTCTTGCTTGTCTCCGCCGCAGAAAAGGAGTCTCGGGGATCTGATCGCCAACCGAGAAAGCGACCTGGATGTGAGGCCTCCCCAGCACCGCAACCGCTGGCAAGTTCAGCGACGATCGCCGGATTGTCCGCGCCACCGACGGCATTCACTGCGAAGTGAGGGGAATCGGGACTAGCGTCGCCAATTGTGACCCGGCAGGAAAGGCGGAATCAGCTCTCGGAGTCGACGGTTTACATAACCTTCCGAGACATAAACACAGGCTCTTAAGATGGTGCGCACATATAAGATCCTCCACCGGAAATGGAGGCTCCATAAGGCGCTTTACTGGGGCTTGATCCCCGAGCTGGCTGGCACCATCGCCGCTCTCGTCCTGTTCGGCATCTCCCAGCCCGATGCCTACCGGACGCTCTTTTGGCGCATCGGGTTCAACAACCAGCTAAACTCGAACCCCAACATGATTCTCTACGCGTATGCGAACCACCGGCCACTGCCAAATATCCCGTTTGTGTGGTCGCAGTCGTGAGTTTCCTCGTTATCTTGGGTCGAGATCGAGCAGCCGGACTCTGACCGCTGGTGACCGCAGATTGACCAACTTTTGCGTGGCTATCTCCATCCTCTCCCTCTTCGTCCTCTTGGCCAAGATGATCGCTAGCATCATGAAGGTCTTCTACCCTATCGTCGGCCTCCTGACTAGTTTCGGCTTGATGGTCCTTTACGTCGTGGGAGTCTACGGCCAGGCCGGCCCCGACTACGCCGACAAGCGCTACCCGAGCTCCGTGGCCTGGTATATCCGGATGAGCTGCAGCATCGCGGAGCCGTACGGCGCGGTCAAGGACTGCTACATGGCCAAGGGCGCCTTTGCCGTGACCGTCGTGATGATGTAAGCCTGCCTACCCGCCGTCCAGAATCTGGAGCTACTCGACATATGTATACTAACGCGGTTTCCAGGTTCATCTATCTCTGCAACACGGTCCTAGCTGCCTGGGCAATGTTCCCCAACCCCCTCAACGACATTCGCGACGATGACGACGAGGAGGAGGCCGACAACGACAAGCAGTGGGAGATGCAGCCGCCCGCCACCCCGCGCACCATGCCCTTCACCCCGCGCACGCAGGCCTTCTACACACTCGATAGGAAGCTGCCTCTCCGCTCTGGCTAAGCTCTCGAGCCAACAGCAAAAAAAAAATTAATGAAAGGAAGGCCATTGTCGTGTCGTCTTTTTTTGTTTATCTCGTCTGATACCTGTTTTTATCGACGAGTTGTCGATAGGATGGAAAGGAGACAAATATTGGGACGAATTACGCTCTTGTGCCACAAAAAAGTAAGCGGAGAAAGGGACTAAAGCGCGGCGTGGGAAACAATCCCGCCGCAGTGGCCTAGCTCTTTCGCCCGCGTATGTGTGTATGTGTGTGCTATAGGTTTAGGGGAAAGCGAGGAGTTGAACGTGTCGGATCTCTCTTTGGGAGGGGTTGTTTTATTTCTTCCGGTATGTCAACAATGCACAATCTCTCTCTCTGTGTCTCTGTCTCTCTGTTTCTCTGTCTCCTCTTTCTCTCTCTCTCTCTCTCTCTCTCTCTCTGGATTGGTCTAGATGCTCGATGGGCGCTCATATTGCCGCTTATTGTCCACCTCGGGATACCTCCACCTTCATGATGGAGGACGTTGTATATCATATCGTATACAAGCAAGAGATCCAAATAATGAGTTTGGTAAAATAAGCATAACATGACATAACTTCCAATTTTGCCCTTCTCCTTTTAAACTTTTCCGATTTGATCCTCTCACCTAGTCACTTTACGTATTTCATATCGCCATGCCCAGAATACTCCGCCGTCTTGACGCTGCACTCGTTTGTCTACCGGTGCTGGTCTGCCCGACAGTGCCAACGTCACTGGTGCGGCTAGTTCCATCATTATGAGTGCTGGTGCTGCCGCCGCTCTCATTGCTACCGCCGCCGCTACCGGCATTGTCACCGCCACCGCTGTCACCGCCACCGCTGTCACCGCCACCGCTGCCCGCCGGCGAGATATCAACAAAGCTCAACAGGGTGGCAGTCGAGTCCGGCACCGTGACAGAGACCGTGGCATCCTCGCCCACGAACCCCGTCTCGCCCACAGTGACATTGCGCAGCCTGGCGGGGCGGCCGCCGTCGAGCTCGACGTTGTAGCTCCAGCCGTCCCAGGTAATGCCGGTGATGGCGTCGCTGCCGTTGGCCCACAGGCGCTGGACGGCGAACGCGGTGCCGTTCTTCGACAGGCTGCTACCAGGAGCAATGGCGAAGCGGTAGACGGCGGCGGGCCGCGGCGTTGGCCCCGTCGGCACCAGCCCAGCGCCGTCGACTGTCGTGTTGTAGCTGCGCAGGTTTAGCACCATAATGCGCGCCAGCGTCGTGCCGCCGTCGACGTACGCCGCGTAGGCCGCCTCGCGAGGGTCAGAGGACAGCGGGATCTCGACAACTGTGACGGGGTTGCGCTTCGAGTTGCCCAGCATGGCTGCTACGGCGATGTTGCCGTAGTACGGCGCCTTGGTGCCCCTGCTGGCCTTATCGGTCTCGATGGGCTGCCACGAGGCGTACTGGTTGGCGGGTTGGTAGGGTCAGCAATGGTTCCTCTTCTTCACTCAGGATAGGGTGTGATAGGAGGTGGAAGAGGGAGATCGGATGTGAGACGCACTCTATAGTTGGTTCCCATGTGCATGTGAACCCTCTTGAAGCCGACCGAGGCTGAGTACAGGTTGAAATCAACACCCCATAGCGCAGCACCAAAGGTATTGGACAGGCCAGGCCGGCCTTGGTTATACAACGAGTTTGTCTCGCCGAATATGAGGGGCGGCATGGCCGAGCTAGCGCTCCTGATGTTATTGTATTCTAAGATATGGGCATCGACTGAACGTTTCGTGATGGAGTGATTCATCAACGTCCCCTGCAGCGTCACTCCCAGCGAGGTGGCGCCACTGATATAACTAATCACAGTCAGACAGCCGGCCAGATAGCGGGCTCGGGAGAATCTCAACGCTTACTTGTGCGTAGAGAACAGCTTGATATCCCCGTCCGTGTCCAGGTCCTGTGCCCACGCCACTGGCGCCTTCAGGCGGTTCCCTACACCGGCGAACGACGGGGCAATGTAACCGTACGCAGCTGGGGCGGCGAGCTCGGGGCAGTTCTTGTCAAGCAGAGCCTTGATAGCCCGGGTCCCGTTGAGCCACTGCTTGACATACTGCGTCTCGTTCCAGTCGGGCAGCCTCACAGGGCCCTGCGAGGACGTGGAGTAAAGATCTGGCTCGTTCCCGTACGTCCAGGCATACAGCTTCCCTCCGCCCAGGGCCTTGCAGGCTTGGGGGACCGTGTCCAGCAGGGCCTGCCAGCCGCTCGACCTGTTTCCGCCGAGGCCGAGGTTGAAGCCATGACTGAACTTGACATCCTTCCAGGTGGTGTAAGACTCAAAGTAAGAGGGCCCAATGAATATGGTGGTTGGGTAGTCGGGTGACCGCGCGAGGTCGAAGGTGCCGTTGAGGGCGTACGGGAGAGAGGCGTTGTACAGGGCGTAGTCTTGGGTGTTCCCACCGACCCGGATGTATGGTTTGGCGCCTATGAGGTCTCCGATATTTCCTAAGAGAGTGTCCGAGAAGGTGTTGGGGTGGGAGCTGTTCCCTGGGCCGACGGTCACGATTCAGCATGATTCCACCTCCGACGGTAGTATGGCTTGCCCTAGCTCACCTGCAAAGTCGGGAAAGCTGGAAAACTCGATGCTGAAGCTTACATAGCCATCGAAAACGGGACTCTGGTTTGTGGAGCTGTTGACCGTATAATGGGGCGCCACCAATGCAGGACTGCCAAGGGCAGAGAAGAAAGCGATTGGCCTCATGACGTACCAGGGCAGCCAGGCAGTAGACGCTGTGCCTGGAGAGCAAAGGCGCAGCAGAGATGCCAAAAGAGGGAAACTGGCCAGCAAGAAGAGCATTATGGAGGCCCTGCCCGGAATATTGGATATATATCACCTAAGCACAGCTACCTTAGCAGCGACAATTGAATAAATTGAGCCGAGCCTGTCCCGTTGAGTGTAGGGGATTGAGTGCCCTCCACTACCCGTGTTCGGCTCAGGAAGCAGGCAAGAACCCGCGTGTCGGTCGAAGAAAGAGCATTGGATGTCCTGCGGTGGTCCGAGATCCCTTTAGCGAGAGGCGTGAATGGCTGGGCTAAGGCTGGAGGTGTAAGGATCGACAACGGCCTCGCCAGAGACGATGCTGTGTGATGACAGAGCGGTCTAGGCACGAATTGTATTTCAAAACACGGCCCGAATCATGTTGGCAGCGATAAACCACCAGTGTCTAGGAATACCTCATGTAGCTTGTGCAGTAGGTATAGTACCGTCCACACCCTCCTCAGCTGACTATTTCTGTTTAGTAGCTGCTCCCTGAGGCAGGCAGCAACCTGGGCGAGCCAGAATTCTCAAGCTAAGCAATTCTAAACCCTCCGAGCTGAAGGACCAGTCCGTGAAGGGGGACAACATGCAGCCCAACATGTAGCAATCGTGCCTTGTATCCTCTGCCACGCATTAAAGCAATCTCTAGCCCCCCTTATATAGGTAGGTACCTGGTATGAATCCAATGTTTGTAAGTAAGGTCGGGCACTGCCGCGATAGCGATCCCCCAGCAGATTCTTAAAATTGGCCAATGGTGTACGGAGTATCACTTGATAGATAAACCTGAGATGGGGAAACGTGGTTGATGATATAAGGTCGTTCAATTGTGGGATTACCTAGGTTACTAGTAATTTGCAGCTCGGTTACTCCACCCATACAGACTCCAGTGATGTAAAATAGAAGCGGTCGACATGCCGATGTTAGGCGCATTCCTGTTCTCCGCTCCCCGCACCGCGCCAGCGTTAGCACCGTACCCACTATAACCGGTCGCTGTGGTCCTCTGATGATCATGCTGTCGACAGCTCCGATACTGTACGTCATCGGCGTTACTAAAAGACCTCCATAGTAAGCTCTCTAAGCAACCCCTTATCACGACCGCACTATGTACATGTGCACACACACACCTCTAGTTAGCAAGGCGCAAGACAACATACAAGGGAGTACTGATTGACTAGTTCTACGAGCCATTGAGCATTCGTAACAAGAGCGCAACGTGATTGGCGTCATCTCCAAATCCGACCCCTCATCCGCATCTCCGTAGCTCCCGTCGCCCCTCGCACCGCTCTGGTCTCGGCTCCTCACGGCCTGGGCATTGGCTCCTCTTGACCGACAAGTCCCGGCACACGACAACACAGGGCAACAGCACCATGTCGCTGTCGCTACAAAAGACGCTCTTCTCCGTCTCACGGGCCGCAACCAAGTCCCGGTTCCAAAGATCAACCCTGCCAGTCGTATTATCGCTGTCGTTGTCGTGTTCCCGCCTGGCCTCAACAATGGCTCCCAAGGTCTCTGGCGTGAGGGCGCATCGCGCATGAGTGCATAGGACCGCTGCTAACTCGCCTCTAGCTCAAAGACCCCTCCCTGTTCAAGCAGGATGTCTGCTATGTCAATGGCGAGTGGGTGAAGGCAAAGTCTGGAAAGACGTTTGAAGTCAATGGTATGGTGTCGGCCTCTCACCCTCCCCGTCTCGGGTTTGGCTAGCTCACAACGCCCCTCTCACAGACCCAGCTACGGGCAAGTTCATCGGCACCTGCCCCGAGTTCTCTAAAGAAGACACGCAGACGGCCATCACCGCCGCCGAGACGGCCTTTGAGAGCTTCCGGAAGACGACGGGCCGGGAGCGGTCCAAGCTACTGAGGAGGTGGTATGACCTCATGGTCGAGAACGCCGAGGACCTCGCCACCCTCATTACCTGGGAGAACGGCAAGCCCATGGCCGACGCCAAGGGCGAGGTCACGTACGCCGCCAACTTCTTCGAGTGGTTCAGCGAGGAGGCCCCCCGCATCTACGGCGACACCATCCCGTCGTCGACGCCCGGGAACCGCGTCTTCACCATCAAGGAGCCCGTCGGCGTGTGCGCCCTCATCACCCCCTGGAACTTCCCCGCCGCCATGGTCACCCGCAAGATCGGCCCCGCCCTAGCCGTCGGCTGCACCGTCGTGTGCAAGGCCCCCGGCGAGACCCCCTACACGTCGCTCGCCCTGGCCGAGCTGGCCCACCGCGCCGGCGTGCCCAAGGGCGTCGTCAACTTCATCACGGCCCTCGACAACACGCCTGCCGTCGGCGAGGTGCTCACCACCGACCCCACCGTGCGCAAGGTCTCGTTCACCGGCTCGACGCCCGTCGGTAAGCTGCTCATGAAGCAGTGCTCTGGCACGCTCAAGAAGCTCTCGCTCGAGCTGGGCGGCAACGCGCCCTTCATCGTCTTCGACGATGCTGACGTCGACCTGGCCGTCGCCGGCGCCATCACGTCAAAGTTCCGCTCCTCGGGCCAGACTTGCGTGTGTGCCAACCGCATCTACGTTCAGCGCGGCGTCTACGACGAGTTTGCGCAAAAGTTCGCCGCAAAAGTGCGCGAATTCTCCGTCGGCAACGGCTTCGACGCCGCCGTGACCCACGGCCCGCTGATCCACCACCGCGCCCTCGACAAGGTCGACCAGCACGTGCGCGACGCCGAGGCCAAGGGCGCCAAGGTCGTCGTTGGCGGCCACAAGATGCCCGAGCTCGGCCCAAATTTCTTCCAGCCGACGGTGCTGACGGGCATGACGGGCGACATGGCCATGGCGGCCGAGGAGACGTTCGGCCCCGTGGCCGGCCTGTTCCCTTTCGACACCGAGGACGAGGTCGTGCGGCTGGCCAACGCCACGCTCGTCGGCCTGGCCGGCTACTTCTTCTCGCGCGACCTGCACCGCGTCTTCCGCGTCGCCGAGCACCTCGAGGTCGGCATGGTCGGCGTCAACACGGGCCTCATCTCGGACCCGGCCTCGCCTTTCGGCGGCGTCAAGGAGAGCGGCTTCGGTAGGGAGGGCTCCCTCTACGGCATCGGCGAGTACCAGACCACCAAGATGGTCACGTACGGCGGGATGGGCCTGCCGCTTCAGACGTGAGCATGGCAAGTCAGGGGCTAGGGTTATGGTCGGATGTCAACCTGTGTGTCTTGTTCGGCAATGTGAGAAACTGGACCAAGTCCAGAACGGTACCAAAAGTGAGAGCGAAGTCTTATTTTATGACGCATTGAACATATATTTATATACCTACCTCGGGTCGTGGGTGCTTATTCAGTCACATTTATCTGATAACGAGGCGAGGTGGTGGTGCAAGGCGTTGTTTGTCTGAAAGGTTGAAGTTTCAAAATTGTTCAAAATGAAAATTGGTTATTGGTTGAAATAGCATGCCATTAGAGGGATATTGTTTCATCGCTTTTATCCGTACTTATCTACCTAACCATGTGAGCGCCATGTTCTCTAGGCTTGGTCCTCTACATACTTCCCTGGGCGTGGTTCCGAAAAGTAAGAAACGAATAATAAGGACGAAAACCGTGTCTCAGAAAATGAGGTCTTCCCAGATTTGATTGGGGTTGAGAAGATCCCAAAGCAAAATCATTCTGGCGTCCTCACCCAGGTTGTTCAACGTGATGTCGGACACTGTCTCCATGGTTTTGTCATAAGCTAACGTGGCGATTTTTGTATCAGCCCCTCCTTTCCATATATTCTCTTTGTCTTCTTTAGTCTCCTATTCCCCCTGTCGCAGAAATTACCCATCCACACCATTGCGTGACTTTTATGTATCTATCTACCCACACAGTCCGACATTGTTTCTGATATCTGGAGAGCTGGCGAGATATCTGAAGATATCCTTTAGCAGCTTTCCGGAACCAATGGTTGTTGATAGATATCAGGCAAACAACACCTCTAAACCCTCGAGCGGCATCCCTTGCCAAAAACCTTCACTGGACTTGGCTGCAACTCCATGTTTGTTAAGCAGATGCCAACCCTCACGCCCGGAAACGAGGCGAAATTAGTCCTGCAGCACGGTGGTAGTTTAGCCGGGTACACGACCTTCTTATCAATCATTCCCGAGCTGAATGTCAGTGTTGTCGCCCTGGTCAACTCCATTGGACTCGGCGACCCAGCGGGCTGGATCCACCAGCTCGTCCTCGAGGCCATCATCGAGACCAAGAAGCCTAACGACCATGTCGCTCTCGCCGAGGAAGCCGCACTCTCACACGCCAACAGCATCGCCGAGATCCCTACTGATTTGCAGAAGGCGCGTAAAGATATTCCACTGCAGCGCCCTCTGTCCGACTTTACCGGCCTCTACTGATTTCTGGTTGGCTAGTCTGATCTCGGCAGCTTAGCCTAGACTTTCTCTGCATACAGCTGCAGGCTCTGAATGCTAGTACAAAATCTCCCTCTTGCGGGCCTAGATCGCGAAGAAAAAGAAGTCGAAATCCTAGTACTAATGCCCCCCTAGTAATATTGTACGATACTGGATTTGTTGTCTTATTGCGGGTGATGATGATTGACTGCCGTTTCACTAGGCTGAGAACACCATTCTGCTACAATATAGCAGCAGCCCGACTCCGCGTGATCGCTCCTTATGGAGTCGAGATTTCTTCCTCCCATTTCTCTAGCAAGATGTGGTATTACTGGTCGTCAAATTTCGCCAGAATAACAATCTTGACCTCGTGGTTTAATACCTGAAACCACCACTGCATATCCTTATAAAGCTCGAGTAATATTTCGGAATATCCAGACTCAATGACTAGTATTGCCCAATTACTTACTCCTATACGTTCCGGCCGTAGACCGCCTGTCGAATCGCCTTCTCCGCTATCTCCTCCAGGATGACCTTATTCTGCTCGAAATATAGCTAACCTAATATTTTTCCGACTTTCCTCCATACCATTCCGGACAAGCTAGGTAAAATACCGGATATAAAGTCCCTGGTAAAGGGCCTCATATAGACCGGTTGGGATTGTGATGATCAAGATCCGGGAATTGGCATTGTAGCGGCGAAAACGGAACTTTTAGTATCGTTTCTTTTGCCCAGTCTCTCACTCAGTGTCTCTCTCACGCTCGATTTTGGCGAATTGATTAGGAGAGACGTCTAAATAATTAGTATATTATGTATAAATAAGAGGGTAATAGCATACTTATGACGGCAAGGAAATCCCCAATAATGAAATTAATGACGTCGAAGAGATCTTGCGTATTGGTAAATTATATGGTCGGGGGATCGCTATCTTTCGTCGAATTAACTGAAGTAGGTATAGTAGACGCCGACGGAACTGCCGACGAAGCCGACGCCGACGGAGATGTCGTCGACCTCGATGTGACTGCCGCCATGGCGAAGCGTTGAAATTTGAAGTTTAAAGTTAGGATCCGTGGTGGAAGGGGTAAATAACGGGGCCACACTAGCCAAAAATGGCAGCCCATATAGCGACATAGATACTTAGGGTGGAATGTATTGATAGCTGCGATTGTCGGCTGCCAGATGCTACCCTTCCAGGAAAAGGGTGAAACGGTGGGCGTATTTATTGGCAAAGCTCTCAACGTAACCGCACCCGGATCACGGCACGCACCAAACCTTATCTCAGACCTATGTTGGCGAGGAAAGTGGGGGGGGGTTGTTGGCATCCCCATCAGGAATAGATTAATAGACCCACTTTTAAGTAAAATTCAACCAATAGGATTTTTATATTCGGACGCTGGGATCAGGGCCAATATAGTGAGACATTCTGGGCAAAAATGTGGGTCTTAGGATCTAAAATACTCAATTGGGCTAGCGGAATATATTTACATATAAATTGGGTGGATTTTTGTCCAGCTGGCCATCTGGCCCACGAAGTGGGCCATTCAATTCATACCTGCCCAGAATAGTGGCGAAACCACCCCCCGAAGCCTTGCCGTGGCAAGCGGTAAACCCCTTTTTTTGCTAGGTATTCATATCAACCACTAGCACCATATCTACCACAACAATGATAGGCGCGAAAGCGCTAGAGAAGCCGTATAGAATGAGAAAGAATGGTATTTTTCTCCTCCCCCATACGAATTGACGAATGCGCGCGAGGCTATAGCTAACCAAGGACCGCGGCAGGCATGTAATGGGCGCCCGCAAAGAAAGCATTCCGGCCAATAGGCGGCCTGACGCCATATGACCAGCGCGCAAAGCTACGAGTCGCCCAGACGGCAATAAAGGCCAAGGAGAAGGAGATGAAGGAGGAGAAGGAGGGAGAGCGACAGGTACGCGAAACAGAAGATAAGAGACGCGGGCTGATTTGTCCTGGGATCGCCGTCGATTTGCTAACCCGATATGCCCTTCCCTAAGAAGAGAGTTGAGAGGCTGAAGCGCAAGGAGAAGCGTACCAAAATGATCAACTCATGAATAGAGACTCAAAGAACCCAGCATGCACCGCCCGTCCCACTGCTGCTTGCTTGCCTCTGCCTATGCTGGGCGACCCTCCCTGCCGAGTTACGTGGACTTATGGGCTTGGGTTGTCTGGTCTGACGAGGCTGAGGCGGTCGAGGACCAGAGACGCGCACCTCTTCGACTCGGCCTCGGGGTCGAGCCTGCCTAGAAGGCTGCTCATATTGAACAAAGCTTTGTGGGTGGTTTGGAGAGATCAACTCTGTATCACGCTGAGCACGGGTTTGTTGGCGTTTCCCGGTTAAATATTACTCCGTGTGGGGATGGTGTTGGGAGAGGGGGTGGATATGCATATATACTTAGGGCTTAACACTTGGGATGCGTATCATCCCAGTGTAATGAGACCATGACACGAACGTTTGTCGCCAGTGAAACATGAAGTGATGCACAAGTGTGGACATTCCTCGTGTTCCTTTCCACTTCTTCGCCGTACAAATATTTATAGACACCAGCAGGATTATTCTTCATTTATACACTACCTCATCGTACCTACCTAGTGATGTTGGTGGTTCTGTTGGGCCTATCACATGAAGATTCGTGATTCGCATTGTTTTGTTGATTAGCGCCAGCGCCCCACCCTAGCATTCAGCCTCCCGAGTCCCGCGAACCTTGGAAGTGACCTGGCTGCATCTCCACTTACTTCATTGTGTAACACGACCTCTGCGAGACGCTTCCGGGCTGGGACCGGACTAGGCACTACTAGTACAGCACTTACGAAAATGATGTCCCCAAACAGAGGCGAAGGGCTGAAAGGCGGGTCCCCATACCGTCCGCGACACCAAATTACGCGTTCCATCGGCGAGCTGTCGTCGCCCATCCGCCTACACCGCCACCACTCGCACCGCGCCGGCAAGGAGAGAGACCGTGACGCACTAGGCTCCTCCCGGCAGTCGGCAGCAGCTCTAGTCACCGAAGGCAGGCTTTCATTGGACGGGTCACGATCTGACGGCGGCATCATGACGCCAAATCTGAGTCCGAATGCGAGCCGGAGGACCAGCGTCCTCGTCGCCTCGACCGACGATAGCCCCGTCGTGGCGCCTCCGCCCACACTCAACCACACAGCTACATTCCCGAGCAGGAGGACATCCAAGGAGAACGGGCTGGCCAAGGAACAGCAAAAGGCCGTTGCGAGAGAGAGGTTGGTATTCCCTCTTGCGCCCCCTTCGAGCGCGGCACCGCTTTACTGATAGGATGGAATGCACTAGCGGCTTGAAGCGCTCGCTGGCCGAGCTCGAAAGCTTCTCGACGGCCAAGACCAGAAGCCTGGACGACACGTACTACTCGGTCCTGGAGAAGCTCGGGACGCTGCAGGGCACCATCGCCGCGCTGAAGGAGCTCGCCGAGCTCTCGCGCCAGATGAACAGCAGCTTCAGCTCCGAGGCGGAGGAGCTGGTAGCCGACGTCAGCTCGCAGCTCGACGGGCTCGGGCAGTTCGACGACCAGCAGGAGCGCATTGAGTCGCTGCAGGGCCGCATCCACGTGGGTCGGGACAAGATCAGGGCGCTGAGCGACCGGGTCGACGCGGTGCGGGAGCGCATCGAGAACTGGGAGCGCGCCGACAGGGAGTGGCAGGAGCGCACGCGCAAGCGCCTCAAGGCCGTCTGGCTGGTCACGTCGCTCGTCATCTTCCTCATGCTGCTGCTGCTCGCGACCGCCCACTACGCCTCCGAGAGCGGCAAGCTGGACGACGGCAGCAGCGCGGCCGTTCGCATGGCCAACGATGGTCTACAGACGATCCGAAATGTCACTGGTGCCGGGGTTGGCGACAAGCACGTTAAGAACCACGACAGTCTCTGGAGGCCCAGAGACGCAGCCGCGGAGAAGAAGCAGCAGGAGAGCGGAAGGGCGGCTGACCAAGAGCCAGCAAACGGGACGAAATCTCCATCTCCGCCCCTCTCGACGGATTTGCTCAGGGTGTTTGACGAGTTGTGACAAAAAGCTGCTTGCCGTCGTTGAAGCGCGGATCTTAAGCAATGGCTTCCTTGTCTTGCGTGCGTGGGTTTTACAAACAGTGGGAGTAGAAGGATGCATTTTCTTGTTTGTATGTCACAGCATGATACCCAAAGCATCTAAACGGAGTATTGCCTTTTATTCAATAGCACTGTTTCTTTCTCTTAGATTACGACTAAACGCTTGAGTTCCCAAGCTCAATAAACCGTGAAACCCCTTTCGGTTTTTTTTTTTTTTTTTTTTTTGTAATCCTTTTGTATTGCGTATTCGTCACACGACTTCCATGGCCTCAGCTCATCAGGAGATTGCTTGGTTCCATTCGCAGACGGAATACTGCTGATTAAAGCCACTTGTCCATCGTTCTCCCCTTTAGCCTCCAAATCAAAGGAGCCCCAAGGAAGCCCCCTAGCCGGACAGACATCAAGAAATGTTTGCACACAAAAGACTAGCAGTGCAAAAATTGCACCAACCCTCCAGGCTGTGCTTGGCAATTAACTGCTTTCAAGTTTTCAGAGTCCGCTCGGGCAGTGTCCTTGTTCGGTGCCTGGCCGGAGGCTTGTCGGGACCTTGTCGGCATCTCCTTGCGGTGGAGGTTGCGATGTTCTTGCCCAGCTGCCTCTTGGGTCTTGGCAAGGCGCATTATTGGGCTGGGACGTCATCATGGGGCTGCCCCCCCTCCCCGCCAGCCACCACCCCTGGCCTGGATCGAAGAGCACGCGCCACCGACGAAGGGAGTGTGCAGTGCATGCACAATAATGTACCCAAACGTCATCTGGGCACCTGCAGCTAAGTGGTCTTGGGGCGTGCCCGTCGGCGGCAAAATCCAATGTGCAGCTCTACCTACATTAGATACCTATTTGGGGAAAATAGAATTGCCCGTCTTATGCCCGTCGACGGATGGCTCGGGGTTAATCGAAAGTTTCTGTCTTGTTCCGAGGTTTTCTTCACCTCTGCGATATCCGGTGCTCAAGGCGAGACTGACATGGGCTAAAACGGGCTCTCTAATCTCTGCCCTGGTCTCGGGTGTGATGCATGAAGGTGGATCGCTAGGTGGGAGATCGTCCCCCGCCATGGATGATGGATGCTTAGGGTGGTTCTTCGGTTCTCGAGCGTGCTGGAGGTCTATCAATACCAGAAGGGTCGGGTCGGGTGCCTCTGCTGCGCGGCCCAGTTGTAAGATACTAATACGGATGAACTGTTTGGTTCTCAAACGGATTGCCCTCTGCGACCTGTCGAGTGTGCCGCCTCGAATGCCTCCTGATGCAACCGTAATCCATGAGTGAGATTAGGTCCCAAGTGGAACAAGTCAGACACAGGCAGACGGCTTGGGTCCTTGAATCCTTGCCCTCTTTAAAGCCGAGCAGGGTTCCCGGGAACGCTTACACAGGGCTACCCCGCTGTAAGCGTGCCGCTGCAGGGCGCACAGCAAGTTTGTCACAGGGCGGCCCAATATCCATCTACCAGACCGCAGACTCTCGCGCCGCCACAAAAGTAAAGTTGGCCGTCTGTCTGCTTATTGCTCACCAGTTCCGTCTTGTTCATACGTCTATCTCAAGGCTCGGAGCGAAAATACACGTCCCGCCAGCTACAGACCCAGCCACGGTTCCCCGATCATGACTTCCTCAGAAGGAAGGACGAAGACAGAGGCAGACGCCGAGGCAAAGGGCAGCAGCGGCACTGCGGTCGTCGCCGGCCAGACATCTTTTGAGCTGCCAGTGCGGTCAGCTTCAATACCGCAGGGGAACGCCCTGACAGGGAAACAAGAGCACTGTCAGTCTACTCCCTCGCAGTTCTCTGCGTCTGGCTTCCCTGCGCCGGTTTTCGGGCTTGCTAACCGCCGCCCTTTTGCCGGGATGTAGATTTGAAGCGGGAGCTCATCTCGGAGCAGGTAAAATGGGAGATCTCGGAGCTCAACTCCCCCACGGCGCTGCGACGCTTCGGCGCCCCTTTTCGGTCAGAGTTTGGCGAGGTGTCCCCTCTAGACTCGGAGCTGCCCATCCTGCGCTACATCTTCAATAACCACATTCGCGAGTTCCCCTTTCTCGACAAGGCCAGGGAGAAGGAGTTTTGGCAGGACAAGCTGCAAGTCGTACGTCCTCCTCACCCAGGGACCAGACACTGTTCTGCCCGTGGGCCGTGACTGACTAGCCATGCTATTATAGTTTCTCGAATCCTTTGCTGGCAAGAACATCTCGTCCTCGGATGACCGTCTCGAGGAGACCAAGAGGAAGAAGCTGGCATTGAAGGCACAGAAGGTTGTCGAGCTGATGATGGTGTCTGGGATTCCCACATCTTCCGGGTTCGAGGAGAGGATTAGATTCTCGGAGCTCGAGATTGTCGACGCCAACGCCATAGATACAGGCGTCCTCGCGACGGTGCCTGAGGGCAATTATCTCAATGGCTGGGACGTCAACGTAGCTGGCGTGCGCATAACTTCGGTCAAGCGAAATATACGATATCACAAACATGCCGTAAGTTGGTGGAAAATCACAACGGAGAGAAGGCTTGGGCCTTGCTAACTGGCTCCGGCCGATAGGAATTCCTACTTCGGGTCAAGCGAAAGGGCGAGCTGGAATACTTTGTTGGCCGGCGTTACGGCGACTTTGCTCGCCTCCATAAGAGGATACGGACCGAGCTCCCAGGAAAGGTTCTCTCGCCACTTCCTAGAAAGAACAAAACAAACTCCACGTCGTCGAGCCTTTTCAGCGGTTTAACCGGCGGCAACGACTCGGAGGCTTCCTCGCTGTCCTCGGCATCTACGCAGATGGCTGCTGGCTACACGGCTGCGCACCAGAGTGATGCGGTATCGAGGTTGTTGTCTGTCAGAGGTTAGTTTATTTACCCCCTGGGGAAAGTATAATGTTGTACCAAATCTAAATTGGTTTTTTTAGGTACATCGTCGAGCAGAGCATCGTCGCCTCATCCGTCCGTGGATGGAAAACCGTCGAGCCCCGCAATGCTGAGTCCCTCGATGGTGAGCCCTGGAATGCCGAGCCCGGGCGTGTCCAACACGTCGAGGAACGGACAACAAGAGGTTCGTATGATCCCGTGTTCGATTTAGACTGCTTGTGTTATCTAGAACCCTGGCTAACGGCCCTAGACCGTGATATTATGGCGAGAGAGTCAGCGTATATCGCTGCGTGCCTTCTTGCGATACCTTCTGCAAAATCCCCAGGTAGCTCGCACAAAGGCGATAGAGGAATTCTTGACCAAGGGCCCGATGACGCTCTCGGACGAAGACGTAGATGATATAATGCACCGGAAACAGGTCGATGAGAAGCGGGTTGAGGAGCAAAAGCAATTCTACGAAATCGCGAGAAAACGTGCGGCGGACTTGGACGTCTACATGGAACAGTAGGTGTGCTCTCCCGGACTCTCGCGTGCTGCATGCTGACTCGTCTAGGTTCCGGCAAGACATTGTGGAGCGAAACGGCCTGACGATGCTGTTCAAGGAGATTAAGGATAAACCGACGATTCAGGACCTGAGCATACAGTATCAGAAGTTTGCCGAATGGCTCCGCATAGAAGTTGCCGCAACCGTCTACCACCTCTTCCTCGCTGAAGACAACTCTCCTGAGTTATTCGCCCAGGCGAGGAGGATTCACTCGCTGATTCCATACACCATCATAAAGAACGTCATCCGAGTCGCGAATCCGGCAGGGGTCATGTCCAGCCTGCTGGATATCTTCCTGGCGCAGCCCTTTGGCGCCAGGTCTCTTATGCAGCGCATCTTTTCGTTGACATTGAACGACGGAATCAAAAACTACCAGAGGTCGATAGACGCGCTCTCTGCTCACATTGGCGACCCAGTCTTTGTTGAAAAGCTCAAAAAATACAGCGACGCCGACGACGAAGTCAAGCTCGCAATCAGGGAAGACGCTGCCGATAGCGATGTTGACATCGTCGTTGCCATTCTGCGGTCGGAGCTCCTCGAGCCACCCCTTGCTCCGGAGCAGATTGGCCGGCTGTTCAACGCCTTCGTGGCCTTCAAAAGTGCAGTAGAGAACGTCGACGAGGAGCTCAAGCAAGGCGCCCAGCTCTTCTCGTCGCTGAAGCAACTGATGAAGCTCTACATGCGGCAAAGGGATAAGGCTATGATGCTGAGCCTCATTGAGGAGCCCGTGACGCTCCAGCTGTTCCGGGATCTCTTCACCATCTTCTACGAGCCCCTCGTGAGGGTGTACAAGTCGGCCAATGTCTACAACAGTGTCACAGACTTTGCAGTGTTTATGGACGACCTGATCCAGGTGAGCATCGTGTTAGGGTTCTATTGGTCTCCTCGCGTCACTAGCTAACGCCACCCTAGGTTGTCGATAGGTGCAGAGAGCAGGACGCCTCTGCGGATCCTAACCAGACGGTGCAGGCCTTCATTGACCTGTGCCAGCGGCACGAACACAACTTCTACAAGTTCGTCCACGAAGTCCACACGCACGACAACGGTCTATTCACTCAACTGATGGGCTGGATCGAGGGGATCCTTGAATTCCTCCGGCACGGACCCAAGAACGGCACCCTCGACATCAATGCGCTGTTTGAAGGCGCCACGAGCAGTGGGATCATCGACAAGAATAAGGCTCTTGAGGAGATCGACAAACTTATTGCATGGCAGGAGGCGCGGAAAAAGTGGCACCACGACAAGACTAGACAGAAGATGGCTGCCGAAGGAGGAGGTGGCGAGGCAGCATCGGAGCTGGTCCCTGGGGGGCTGACGCTTCAGTCGATGGATTTCGGCGTCGACCAGTCGGATCTCCAAGAAATGGAGTACGACGAGGAAGACTCGGACTCGGAGGCGGACCAGGAAGACGAGGAAGAGATGGACCCCATCGATGCGGAGCGCAGCAGGCGGGCCAAGAAGCAGGACCGACTGCGGCGCACGGCGGGGGAGCCCAAGAAGCCCGAGGTGATCGAAGTTCACAAGTTCAAGGACAACTTCTTGAGCATGCTGAGGATGGTCCTGGCCGAGTGATTGCCAGCTTGGTCAACGAAGTGACGTACGTACTTGAGCTACATGTCTTTTTTTCTTCTATCATGATGCATCGCGTAGCGTGGCGGGTTTCGCACGGACTGGCGGGGAGGCAAAAGATGATGCGCTTTGAAGAAAAGGAGGCTCTCTTTTTCACTGAACGACCTTTGCTAGGGCTTGATTGTGGGGTGAGCAATCATGGTACATGCAGTGCCCTTGCTCCCACGATGTTAATAGAGACGTTGAGCAGGATATAAAAGCACTACCTACCTTGACTTAGTTAATCTTTTCTAGACGTGGGGGGGAAACCGAACGGAAAGGTAAACGAACTATATGCCGAAGATAGATGCATTGGTGGTAATCTGGTAATGGAATGGCGATGCGCTCGTATTTTTGAGGGGGTCGATGGAACAGTATGGAATACGATTTGGGAAGGGGGGGCGATTGATGCTAGTATCTAAAAAATAAACCATTTAATGATTGCGTCTGCTTTTCTTAGTGAATTTTCTTCAAAGACATGATTTACTTTGTAGAACTACCTAAGTGTGTACTCATTCCTAGGTAGGGAGCCTTATTAAACTGCCCTAACTGGACAGCGATTATAGTATGAATATACCGCTAGGTCCCGGATCTACACGACTCGTGATGTCTGTTTAAGCCGAGGATGGTGGACGGGGATAGACGAGAAGAACTACAACAGACGCGTTGCCCACATGCTTTTCGAGATCTCCCTGCTCCTGAAACGGCGGTACCGAGCAGCGGCAATTTGAACACGTACTGGTATTGCCATCTCAGCCCGAATAGTGCATTGAAACAGGTCAGAAGGGCTCTGCAGTCGCCCTTTATAAAGTCTAAGACAATGCGCTACCTCGAGACTACTCGTCAGGGGGGAGCCGATGGTCGGGAGAGTTCGGTGGCTCCAGTTCTTTGTGCATGTTCCGAGGCTGTGAGACAGTGGACAGCTCCACCCGCATGTGCCACCTCCTGAGCAGCCCGTGGCAGCCTGCGTCAGCGCGCTGTGCCCGCTGAAGAAGGCCTGACAAAAAGTTGCATGGAAGCCGGCATGATGGAAGGGAGGTTTCTTGGGTGGGGTCCAGCACGGGCCTGTGGCCGGCAACTCGGGTAATCCGCGTCGCGTGATTGGCCGAGGGGCCAACAGCTCAGCGCGCTTCGGGTCTGGAATCCATGATGGATGGGGCGAACCGCACCGCACTTGCATGACCTCAAATTGTTTGCTTCACTGATGCCCACCACCTCGCCCTTCAGACGACCTCGTTAGTTGACAATGGCTTCCTCAATGGCTTGGAGACGACTCGCTTCGGCGCCGTCGGTGAGTTTGCTGTGTTTCTGTTCCTGCTGCCCCCTCGTTCCCTCGATTGCGCGCAATTCCGAGACGAGCGAGGCGTTACAGAGAGAGAGAGGGATTTGTGCTGATCTGAGGTCTAATTCCGTCACCCTTCGCAGCTCTCGCGCGCCTGTTCCGCCCAGTCCAGAGCCTTCTCCTCGACACGACCAGTCGGTAAGTCAACAAGCCTGCAGCCCTGTATTCCGCTTTTGCTCCGTGTTTGCCGAGGGCCGGTCGCTGATGCAGCGTTTCGTTTGCAGCCCGCGTCATCTCGAACGGGCCGCTCAGGGCTAAGGAGGCATCGCCGTTTCTCAGCACAAAGTACCCCGTCATTGTACGTCACCCGCCTGGGCATGCCTCTGCCCCGCCCGCCCGATGGCTCGGGGCTGGACACGCAATTGACAAGTCGCTGTCTAGGACCACGAGTACGATGCGCTCGTTGTCGGTGCCGGCGGCGCCGGCCTGCGCGCTGCCTTTGGCCTTGCCGAGGCCGGATTCAACACGGCCTGCATCTCCAAGCTCTTCCCCACACGGAGTCACACGGTCGCGGCCCAGGGCGGCATCAACGCTGCGCTCGGCAACATGCACGAGGACGACTGGAGGTGGCACATGTATGACACGGTCAAGGGCTCCGACTGGCTTGGCGACCAGGATGCCATCCACTACATGACCCGCGAGGCCCCGGCGTCCATCGTCGAGCTCGAGAACTACGGCTGCCCCTTTTCCAGAACTGAGGACGGCAAGATGTAAGTTGCAACCGGGCAAGTAATTTGGGGGTTGCGAGGCTCACGGACACCTGCAGCTACCAGCGAGCATTCGGTGGCCAGTCCCAGAAGTTCGGCAAGGGCGGCCAGGCATACCGCTGCTGCGCCGCCGCTGATCGTACCGGCCACGCTCTCTTGCACACTCTCTACGGCCAGTCCCTGAGGCACAACACCAACTACTTTATCGAGTATTTCGCCATTGACCTGATCATGGAGGATGGCGAGTGCCGCGGCGTCTTGGCCTACAACCAGGAGGACGGAACCCTGCACCGCTTCTTGGCCAACCACACAGTCCTCGCCACCGGCGGATACGGCCGAGCCTACTTCAGCTGCACTTCGGCGCACACGTGCACCGGTGACGGCATGGCCATGGTCGCCCGTGCCGGTCTGCCCAACCAGGATCTCGAGTTCGTGCAGTTCCATCCCACCGGAATCTACGGCGCCGGCTGCCTGATCACCGAGGGTGCCCGCGGTGAGGGTGGCTACTTGTTGAACTCGGAGGGTGAGCGGTTCATGGAGAGATATGCCCCGTCAGCCAAGGATCTTGCCAGCCGTGACGTCGTTTCGCGCTCCATGACCTTGGAGATTCGCGAGGGCCGTGGCGTTGGTGAGGAGAAGGACCACATCTTCCTCCAGCTTAGCCATCTTCCCGCCGAGATCCTGGCTGAGCGTCTGCCCGGTATCTCGGAGACTGCTGGCATCTTTTCTGGCGTCGATGTCACCAAGCAGCCCATCCCCGTCCTGCCTACTGTCCATTACAACATGGGCGGCATTCCCACGAGATACACTGGTGAGGTTCTGACGGTCGACGAGCAGGGCAACGACAAGGTTGTCCCGGGTCTGTTCGCCTGCGGTGAGGCTGCTTGCGTGTCGGTTCACGGCGCCAACCGGTTAGGAGCCAACTCTCTGCTTGACTTGGTCGTTTTCGGCCGTGCCGTCTCGCATACCATCCGTGACAACTTCACTCCCGGCGCGGCCCTCAAGCCCATCAGCGCCGACGCTGCCGCTAATTCGATCGAGACGCTCGACAAGCTCCGCACTTCAGACGGCCCCAAGCACACCTCCGAGATTCGTCTGGCCATGCAAAAGACTATGCAGAGGGACGTCAGCGTCTTCCGCACCCAAGAGAGTTTAGACGAAGGTGTAACCAAGATCACCGCCGTCGACGAGTCGTTTTCGCAGGTTGGCATCAAGGACCGCAGCATGATCTGGAACTCGGATCTGGTGGAGACTCTGGAGCTAAGGAACCTGCTCACTTGCGCGTAAGTTGGAGTGGATAACATGGTCCAAGTGGTTTGCGACACTAACGAACTTGCGTGTATAGAACTCAGACAGCCGTCTCCGCTGCGGCGAGAAAGGAGTCCCGTGGCGCTCACGCCCGCGAGGACTATCCCGAACGCGACGACAAGGAGTGGATGAAGCACACGCTCAGCTGGCAGAAGAAGCCGCACGGCAAGATCGACCTCTCGTATCGTCGCGTTATCGGCACGACCCTCGACGAGAACGAGTGCAAGGCTGTCCCGCCGTTCAAGCGTGTGTACTAAAAGAATTGGAGGCGTATGTGTCTAATCAAGACGGCCAATCCAGGCGAGAAAGGGCGGGGCGCTGGGGTGAGGATTATAGTGCCATGATGGGTCGTGGTGCATTTGATCCAGTAATGGAGACTAGCGCCAACTCACCGACATTCGGCTGTGAACCCCGGCGGCGGAGTAGAAGAGAAGAAAGGATTAAGGAGAACTCGAGCCGTGAAAAACAAGTGTTTCTATCCCCTTTCGTCCTTTGGGGGTTTGAAAGGGGCTAGGGAAGCGGGGAGAAGAGCGCAACGGTTGATCATGCATATATATACATTTGCTCTGTAAACAAACTTTTTTTTGTAAACACTGTTTCTGTCTCCTTTTTTTGAGTTCGTAGTACAAAATGTGCGAAATTATGCTACGGGTCGATGCAATTAATGTACGAATACTCGTTCTTGCAAGCACTAAATGGTTATAGGGTGTATTCCCTCCTTGACGCTATTCCATGTAAAGAGGTTATGGGGGTGTTTCTGTGGCTACTGGCACAACGTGTCTAAGAAAATACAAGAGGAAACTGAAGGTGCGTAATACAGATGCCACCTGCTCTGATCGACTTGGGTTAAGCTCGAAGGCTTGGTGATTGGTGATTGTGTGTGCCACATATAATCATATATGTCATGTGGCTAGAAACCGTGAGAGTCCTAAAACAGTAACAAGCAATTGAATAAATATAGGCAACTAACTGACTATCTAGACAGTCAAGGCAGCTAATGTCAGGGGCGTTGACCTTGACCGAGGTGGCCTTCTTTACCGCCTTTTAACTTCACCGCGCACAAACCACCAACCTGTCATACACATTGGGACCTACATACCCTGAACAATAGAGAAGTGAGAACCGAGATGGCAGTGATATCCCTACCAACGTATACGTGTACACACATAGACGCAAACTCGCAGTAAGCTAACTCTCCATCCACACAAAAACTCTGCAGCTGTGCCACGGCTGGACACTAGATGCGTATTCTATACGGAGTACACTGGTGTTCGAGTATTGTCAACAGGTCTCGCAATGCATATACGCGCTGATCACGCACGTCACTAGAACATTTTGTTGCGTTGGCAGAGCAGACTGTACAGATAATGAAGCCAGCTGACGAAGAGAGAGAACTCTGTCGGGCTATGTTAGAGGCCGGAGGCTGAAGACTATATCTACCTTAGATAGGTGCTTACCTAAACGGCACAGAAATGTTGTTCGCAGGTCATTTTGAATTGCGACGTTATTCATGCTGCCATGTTCGACAGTCTACTGCCTAAATCGCTAGTCACGATCCGGGAGAGTGCGTGACAACAGGCACCACACAGAGAGGAGTAAATGTGACGGGTTTTATTATTTTCTTCATAACCCAGAGAGCAACTGAGGCGCTAGCCAAGGGAAACAACACTCACCCATGAGATCCGAACAAAAACTCACTCAATTTTTGATGAACTACAGGTCATCGCCCAGAGGTAATAGCAACGCAACATGTGGTATCGAACAGTCTCGCGTGTGCGCCGCATTCCCAAATCGCATCAATCCGCATTGGTCTTTTCCCATTTCTACCCATATGACCGGCTTCAGGCTAAAGCAAACGTTCATCTGAGTTGTCGTCCACGCCGAGCTTCGTGTTGGCTCCCATTCTGACAGCTTAAGTCACGGATGCCAGTCCGAGTTCAAGCCTCCAGCTGGACCTCGACTTGCTCTGCAGTGGTATACCAGATGGCTGCCTCAATGATCTTGTTCACAATCCGCATATCGCTTTCATCTGTAAAGACACACACGCGTTCAGCAAATGGGCAGCTATGTAAACATTCACACAAGAAGTCGCAACTCACCTCTTGGGGCATAGATCAAGCAAAACGTGTTTGGGACGGGAGCCATTATCCAGCTCTTCCCAAAGGCCAGGGGATGTCGCTCACCCCAGCCCTTCTCCAGCACCTCCTTGATGTCGTCGGGGTGGAGGTTCATGTGCATAGACTTGTCAGATGTATGCAGGTGGCATATCTCGCCATTGCCACAAACGTTTACGGGGTGCCTCGAGAAGAGAGCAAAACCGTGCTTCTCAAGGCACGATGTGGCGGTCACAAACTTTTGGGGCAGCCGGGCACAGAGGGATTCTATTGCGGCACAGAGCCGGTTGTATGCCTTTAACGAGCCGTGCTGGTTCAACTGACGCTGGGGGGCCAAGCCTGCGACACTGGGGCGTGGTCCGGGTCGGTACAGGAGCGGCCGCTGGCTCAAGATGCCGGCAGACGGTACCTGGGACGGATTACGCGGTGGAGGCGTAAAGGGGTCACGGAGTGTGAAGAGGCGGTAGAAAGTGAGTCTCGCATACCCACGCGGCGTGGAAGGAGTACCTCCCGGCCCCAGCTTCAAAAAGTTGAGGTAATCGTTGTGAATCAGTAGCATGACGGGAACCAGAATGATCATGGCCTCGAAGGCAAAGTGGTCCACAAAGTGCATGCCGAGGACGAGAAGAATCGACACGGCCAGGAGAGCGGCAGCGTCGAGAGTGATGGAGAAGGGATCCTGCCGAATGACCATGTTGATAGAAACCCCGTCCGAGTCATCGGCAGACGAGAGCTTCTGGGACTCGGTGGTAACAGTAAGCGCCATGGTGCCGTATGGTGTGGATACGCAGAGGCCGTGTGACTATGCCTTAGGGGTGGTGCTGGTGCTGGGTCGCGTGAGAAGACGTGTGTCGAAGGCACTTTAATAAGGAGTCTTGACGGGACGAGGAGGTGGTGGTTGGCTGTTGTGAGTCCGAGATGGGAGATCCAAGCGGACGGCGGAGGCGCAGGAGTTGTCAGGTCCAAGAGGGACGGGGCGGAGAAGTCGAGCTCTGGGGGAGGGTAAACACCCGATGGCTCACCCAAGGGCCGGAGTCGGGGCAGTGTGATCGAGTATGCATGGGCCACACGGCAGCAGCAGCAGCAGCAGCAGCAAGGAGAGGGCCAGGGGAGCACAGCGAGAACCAAACCGGTACAGACTCGGGAGGCTAAGGTAGGACAACAGACGAGGCGTGGGCTTTATGTGACCCAACCGGGAAGCTTCTAGGTCTGGTTCTGGAATGGGTGGCATATACACGGCACATGAAACCAACCGCAACCTCATGTTCGACCACGGCGACCCACAACAACATGGCCACGACGGAGGGCATCGACGTTGCTGCCACAGAGGCGGCGGTGCCCGAGGGTTGCCAAGCACGAGCGAGGGCGAGGGCGAGGACGGGTACGGCGTAGGTCGGTAGGTCGGTAGGAAAGGAGATCTGCAGTGGACTGTAGTCATAATGCGTTCAACAGGCCCACCTGCCCAACAACACGCAACGCCTAAAGGTGCTACCCGTACAACAGCTGTCACTTGACGGAAGAGACCCCGCCATTCCAGTTCTGCAGCTCTGCATTGACTATTAGGTTCCTGTGCTTAGTCTTGCAGCAATCGGAAGCACCCTAGGAGCAGAGTGCCGCTGCGGCTATGTGATCTCGAAACCCGTGGGCCCACCTTGGCCTTGAACAGGGCGCAATCGAAGGCAAGAAAGTGGACAGATAGGGCTGGCCGACTTCCGTGATGCACCATCTTCTGACGCCCTCTGGCCTGACATGAGAGATAAAGAAAGATAATGTACTCGAGCCGGGTTGGCGGGTGGGCCTACGGCCACTTATGACAGCCGATGAGATTATTGTCCCATCTTGGAGTTGTGGGTTGGTGATCCTAGGAAACGGATTCTCGGTGGTGTCGTGCGTATTGCATTCAACCGTCAAGTCTAGGTGGGCAGGTATACGGGACACCCTTGTTGGCATTCTTTCCCCGTTCGTCAATCGTCACTGGCTGCCACCAGTGAATACCCTGCTCACCTACCTAGAAAGGCATGGCACCTTCCATGTTGAAGGATGTAAGCTTCCAGGTTGTTGTCCGCGCCTTCCATCTCCAAGTCCATCAGGATTGATGTCAGGATGAATGGCTTGTATTCGTACCCCTCCCCCACCAAAGACAGGAGACAGGGGGGTCTACACCCACGGGAAGCAAGGCACTAACCAACCTGCAAGTTATTAATGTTAGTTCTGTACTATGTACCTACCAGCCAAAGTTTGTCTCAACGACCAACAAGGTGCCCTCATCCATTTCGAGCCCGCTGGTTCGCCAACTCCCCGCTACCAGCCGAGACAGTCAACGGAAGCAAAGCGGTTTTAGTCGGGAACGCACAGCAGAGGGAAGCAAACTGCTTCGTTCACCGCAACAAATGTGGTCAGCGTTCTTCGACTTGCCTTTCAGTCATGTCTCGCGAGTGCTGCCAGAGTCGGCAACTGGTCAGATGATCAAGCAGAATTTCCATCACAGAATCCACTCGATTCGTCAACGTCAGCCTCGACTTCCGTTGGCGAATGGCACGCTGCCGGCTCTCAATGGCCCTGCCTAGCGCCGCTGCAGTGTTTCAAAGCCACGCGATGTCGGGTCTTCCTGCTGTCCGTTCCGGGAAAGACTCAAGAGGAAACCCGTAAGGTGTTGATGCCCCATGCCCCAGTCCAAGTGTACCCAGGCCGGGTCGGATTGTTCGTTCTAGGGTTAGGAACTATGCAGCTAGACGGCTCCAAAGCTCCCTCCCGGTCCCCGGCGATTGCTGTCGGTCATGCGCCGAGTGTAGATGTGGTGCCCTTTAGCACGAAGTAGACAATAGGCAGTTGGGTCCATATGAAGAGCAGTTGCGCCTCGAAGTGGTAGAACCTATGGACTGGTCCAACATCGGATCTGTGCCTCAATTGCGCCAAGGGCCAGGCCAATCGTGGGACCAAGCAACACGGTCAACAGACACACCACCCAGCCAGCCTTGCAGGCCAAAGCAGTTGCTTCCTGGGAAGGCTTGGGGTTTTTGAGCTATTCCAGATCAGTATCCGTTGACGCCCAGTCCACCTCGAGTCGAGAGCCAGCTGGATGGCATGACGGTTAACAACTTATGATGCATTTACAGGCCGACTAGGTACGTCATCAACTCATAGCCCAAGTGACTAACACGGCTCCCTTGTGTTTCTGAAACAGGAAGTCTCAAAATTGAGTTGCGGCAGATCCCGCAATTCCTCGGAATGAGACCCTGAGGAACGAACTCCGTTTAATTTTTAGGGTTGATTTCATCCTCAGATGCTGCGCGGCACCGTCGGATTGATTTACTGCTTCCAAATGGAATAGAGAGCTCGGGCACGGATCAGCGGGATGGACTAGAGTCCCGACAGGGTGCTGGGTTGGCTCTAGGCAAAGCGGGGCTACAAGCCGCCACACAAGCCTAGCCAAGCCCCAAATCAGGGGCCCCTGTCCAAAAGATAACGGTTGCTGAGCAACCCGTCAATATCTACAATTGGCGTCCATGGGCCAATCAGCGCCAATCTCCCAGGTGCGAAGCTTGACTTTAGCCCGCTATTGTTTGGTACAATAGACTTCTTCAGCACACCCGACCACATGTTGGCCTAACAAACGCGCATATTAATTCTGCATTCTCGAGACGAGACCGCCATCAGCCGAATAATACCAGGCGCGGAGCCCGACGTCACAAACACATCCGCAAGCGGCCTGATCGTCTCAGCGCTCGCTGCACCGTCAAAGCTCGTTTCTCAAACCAACCGGCGAACCTTCTTCTCGGACCAGCACAGTCTCTGCGCTTGCCATAATTCTTTGGCCACCTACAGTAACGAGTGCACCGGTAGTGCGGAATCGCACGCCGTGCGCGAGTCCTACCAGCATAGTCCAATTCTGGTGAGTTTGCTAGTGATAGCCTTTTTCTCCTTCCAGGCTCTGCACCAAACCTTGTGACGTTCACTTACAACTAGACTTCTAGAGAGGCGTGCAAAATGGGCTTCATATCAAGGAACATCCTGCGGTCGCGGGACGCGAGACGTTCCAAGCTGCCACTATACAGGGCTCCTGTGCGTACCCAATTGCCCACTAAGGAGCGCTATTCGGATGTCGACTACTCCGACGACGACTCCGACGACGGCGAAAGCACAGACTCGTCTATACCGTCATCTGCCAGTTCGCGGGACTCAAGACAAACGTCATCTTCCGTCTCGAGCTCTGCACCCATTCTCTCCAAGAAACCGGCCATGGCGACACGACGACCGCCGAGACGATACCTTTATCGCCTGCCCAATAAGGTTATCCGGTATCTGTGTCTCGGCATGGTTTCCACGATGATCATATTCATATTTTCCCTGGTCCGGGCGAGCCAGATCGAGAATAAGAGGTTAGCTGAGGGCAGGCTAGACAAGAAGCCAATAATTGCTCCACCTCCGTGGGAGTCATTCGAGTTCCTCACCAGATACTATGGGGGTGTCAGGACTCTGGTCCCATTTGCCGAGAACGTTCCACAATACCCAAGGTTTGAGGATGAGGTGCCGTACAATGCTACAAAATCTAGCCAAGAGTCGGGCAAGAGAGAGATTGCCCCGAGACGTTCATCTTTCCAGGCCGTGCCGGCAAGCAAATCCTTCGTCGACTATCCCGGCTCTACTCTTCCCGGAAACAACAAAGAAATACATGAATGCTTCCTGGACGAAAAGAATACCGTCAGAATTCCCCCGATTCGCTACTTGGAAGGACGGCCAACCGGCTTCCCAGACAACATCCTGGGCTCCTACGAGCTGCTCTCCCTGCCCGAAGACATCTGCTTTGATCGATACGGGAGGTATGGGCCGTATGGCTATGGGTATTCTGCCCGGACTGGAGGCCTTGGCGTCGGCGAGCACGGCGAGCAGGAGGGCTCTGAACATATCTGGGAATCTGTCAAGAAAGTAGACTGGCGAAAGGTGAACTGGGCCGACGTGCAACGCAGGTGCTACAAGGCCAACGCCGACCTATATAAGCCACTGACCTCCCGCGATGCCCCACCAAGGGGCTTTTATATTGGCGCGCCTGCCGTTGTTGCAAAACTGGAGGCTCGCGATGCAGCCGAACCCGGGATTGTTAAGAGCGGGAAGCCTGCCAAGACTCCGGAAGGGACACCCTCACCCGACCAGAAAACCCCCTCAACCCTGAAGACCGACCACACGGCAAAAAAGCCACAGGGAGATAAGTCCAGAACAGCCATCGTTCTCCGATGCTGGGACGAGTTTGCCTGGGGCGAAGAGGACGTTATGAATCTCCGAGCTCTCATTTCCGAGATGTCCCTGGCCTCGGGCGGTCGCTACGACATACACCTTCTTGTCCAGGTGCGAAATGACGCCAAACACCCCGTCTGGGCCGATGACGAGGCGTACCGCAATCGCATCAAGGATAGCATTCCCGAAGAATTCCAGGGTATGGCTACGCTGTGGTCCGAGACTCAGATGCTCGCCGTCTACCAGGGGCTCCACGACCTATGGATTCGAGGTCCAGATCTGCCGGTGCACGGGTCCTACCGCGGACTGCAGATGGCGATGCAGCATTTTGCCTCTAACCACCCCGAGTATGATTACTTCTGGCAATGGGAGATGGACATCCGCTACACTGGCCACTACTACGACCTGTTGACCAAGATGGAGGGGTGGGCCAAGGAGCAGCCCAGGAAGGGCTTGTGGGAGCGTAACGCACGCTTTTACATGCCCTACGTCCACGGCAGCTGGGAAGATTTCAAGCAGATGGCCCGCGTGCAGACAGAGCAGGGCACGACCAGCCCCGAAAACATTTGGGAAAAGGTGCCCAGCATCAAGGGCGCCGCCAAGGACCCGCATCAGGTTCCGCGCGGCGAAGAGAGCGTCTGGGGCCCGATGCGCGCAGCCGACCAGGGAGACTGGTTCGAACCCGAGAACGACACGGTGCCGCCGACGGTTTATGAGCGTGACAAGTACACATGGGGAGTGGGTGAGGAGGCCGACCTAATTACTCTAAACCCAATCTTTGACCCGCAAGGAACAACGTGGAAGCTAGCTGATGACATTACGGGCTTCAACGAGTCGGATGGCAAGGGCAAGCCGCCACGGCGGGCGCAGATCATCACGGCCTCCCGCATGTCGCGCGCTCTGCTCATGACGATGCACCGCGAGACAGCCTTCCGCAAGCACCACGCCTTCCCCGAGATGTGGCCCGCCACGGTGGCGCTGCACCACGGCTACAAGGCTGTCTTCGCGCCGCACCCCATTTTCGTCGACCGCGAGTGGCCCACCGAGTACATGGCGCGCGTTCTCAACGGCGGGCGCAACGGCGCGTCGGGCGGCGCCCGCACCTCCGTATATGGCGCCCGCGAGCACAATTTGATGGGGCTCACTTGGTTCTACAACGCCGGCTTCTCGGGCAACCTGTACCGCCGCTGGCTCGGCCTGCGCGTCAACAATGACGGTGGTGAGGCCTTTGAGCTCGACGTCGACCCCAGCATGAATGACACGTCTGTCGGCACCATGTCCGGCGGCGAGGGCCGCATGTGTCTGCCACCCGTCCTGCTGCACCCTGTCAAGGACATTGACCTCCCCGTCGAAGAGCAAAAGGAGTACGCGCCAGAGGCTCCCTCAGATCCTTCGGCCTAAGTCTGATGTTTCTTTTGGGGTGTGCTTGTTTTTTCAGCCGTCTTTCGTCTCTGTACGAATTTGATGACATGGGACTGTCCGTACCATAGATATGTGTAACGCGCATGAGTGCGGGTTTGCTGGTGTTCTATTGGGATTTTCATGGCTAGGAGAAGGGGTTTCGGGGTGTGGGCGTTGGGCAAGTGGATATACATGGCTGATGGGTTTGTTTTTAACATGCTTGCGAGGGAATCCCGAGCTCATTTTATCTTTTATCGCTATCTTTTATTTTGGATGCTCGCTCATGTTTGAAGCAATCTCTCGACCCTAGTGATTATCTACTTGTACTTATGTATACCTATTAGTGATGGGCGATGAGTACTACATATAGGTATATCTGGTCAAGGGTCAGCTCCATTGGTCTCAGTGACTCCAACTCGCCAGGGAGATGGATCACTTTCTCCAACACAATGATATTATCTGCAATATTCTGAACAGCACCGAGGTGCCTGCGCGGTGGTCTTGGGGTTAATGTTACGGTGTGCCGTTACGCCGGCAGACAAAACAGATACCTGTTGCGTGACACTTGGGGCAACAGCAGCTGTAAGGTCGCAACCCCCAGCACAGTTACTTGGATAAACAAAAGGACGGTCAAAGGCCTTGCTCGATAATACATATCGCTACAGTTACATGAAAATGTGCGCGAGTCTGCTACGTCTAAAATAAAATATACGTAAAGCCCTTGAAAACACAGGGCTTGCCATGTTCCTTTTCGCATCGAGCCCCCAAAACCAAGCGCCGGACATGGATAGATAGATGTATAGATACCTCTCCTTACTTTATGCAGAGAGATTAGTGCAGACAACGTAAAGACAGGACAGGAACAAAACAGCGTGTTCATGCGCGTGATTCAGACAACTCGCTTGACCTGTATATCGAGCTGTTAGTACTTGCAGAGGGCAGACATTCGGCATCGGGTCTCATCTCAGTCTCCCTCTTCGTGGAGAGAAACGTACCTCGAAAAACCTCCGCAGCCACCACACCTGGAAGACGCTCTCGCCAATGACGACGCCAATGACAAACAGGTTCCACCACTTGACGCGGCTGTTGGTGCTCTCGGCGGTGTTGCGGTGGGTGCGCTCGCGCAGGACAATGTAGCCCTGCTCGTCCTTGACCATCTCGAGTAGCTCCGAGAGCTTGCGCACCTCGGCCTCGAGAGGGTCCTGGGGTAGGTCCTCGGCCGACACGTGCACGATGCCGTGCACGTTGAACGACACCTCCTTGGACGACGCGCCCCAGTGCTCGTTGCCGAAGCAGTAGAGGTACTTGCCGTCGTGCTTGGCCTCGAACGAGAAGTCGCCGTTGGATGTCGACTTTTCAAAGGCCTCGTACTCGCCGGCCGGATTGGTGATCTGTGTGGCGGCGCGGGGCGGGGCCGGGCGGCGGTCTGCTGTTAGCTTCGATTCGACATATGATGACATGATCTCCGTCTCTGCCTCTGCCTAAGATACTAGTAGGCAGGCGAGGCGAAGGGACGGGCGATATACCCAGAAGTCAATGTCCAGATTTCCAGCGCTCCCAAATTCGCGGTCGCCAACCTGGAAGGTCACCGTCATCTTGTCCTCGCGATGCAGCGTCTCGTGGAAGCACTCGCGGCCATGTGCAGGGAGCTGGATGTTGTGTGCAGCTGCAGCGCCCAACAGGCTGGCTGAGAGCAGCAGCCTGGCCGCCGTGAGTAAGAACATGGCGATTATCGTCGTGTGTGTTTATATGTGGGCTTAAACGAGGGTTTGGTCGCTCGGTTGCTGGGCTGCCACTGCGACTGCCTGCGTCTTGCGGGTTCCGAATCCGATGTGTCGCGATGCAAGCTCCTTTCTGGGCCGGGGCCTCAGGACACCTTGGCGATTTGACGGAGTGGATTGGCGGGTTTGGCGTGTGCTTTCGGTCAAGGCCGTTCGTGCTGGCCTATCAAACCTCCTAGACGGCTCTGCCGCCTTACATAGTACGCCAAAAAAAACAGAAGACAAACTTGCAGGCAGGAGAGACCTGTCGAATGGCCCGGTTCAAAGTTGTTCCAGGCAGCCAGCGCCTGCTGGGTACTTTGGAGGTACAAGCGGTCCATCAGCCAGCCCGCCAGCGAGCGGCGAAGTGCGGGCGGAAAGGGGCTGGGAGATAAGGTTATCTGGAGGTAGCGGGCACGGCCCCCGCTCATTGACTGCCTGGAACGGGCTAGGTACACTGTATGGACTGTACCCTCGTACCTCCAGCAGTTGACCTGGCCTTGTTCTGCCCCCCAAGAACAACTTTCCCAAAATCTAAACTGCTCGCCCGACGAAGACTTTCCTTCCACACCGCCATCATAGCCCAACACCCATCCCCAATCACGACGGTAAAGTGCATCAGCATCGTCATCCGTACTCGAGGATAACCCCGAATACCGAGTAAGTGACTGTGCCTTCTCTCCAAACCGCCCTTGATCCGCCGGCGACATCGGCTCGTGGAGCGCAAGGCTTTCACTCTCAGCACTTCCCGGTCCTTGTGCGCTCTGCGCTCTCTGCTCTGTTCGCGAGCCCCAGAACGGAGGCCGCTACTATTTTCCCAACCCGTCCCTTCATTCGTCACGCCGCTGCCCGCTGGTCCCTTTGACTCTAATCCCCCCTTGACCCCCCAAAGGCTGCCTGGACTGGGCTGAAGTCTATCTGTCCGTCCATCACACTCCACAAGACACATCACGCACTATCACGCACTCCACATATCTGTCCTCACCTCGGGGGCCGCCACTTAAGGAACCCGTCGCTAGCCGGCTCGTCTCGTTGCATCGCATCTAAACGCCAATAGCTCATCGTACTTACACGTCTCTTTGACAGTTAGCAACCTCTTAGTCAATAATCTCCCCAGTCGCCCCTCACAAATACCGCCAAGATGGGTATGCTCCTCAGTAAACTGCAGGACTTGTGGAACAAGAAGGAGATGAGAATCCTGATGGTTGGTCTCGATGCTGCCGGAAAGACCACTATTCTCTACAAGCTCAAGCTGGGTGAAGTCGTCACGACTATCCCTACTATCGGTACGCTGCACCTTAACTGCGAACCAGACCGATCACTAACACTAGCGCCAAAAGGCTTCAACGTCGAGACGGTCGAGTACAAGCAAATCCAGTTCACCGTGTGGGATGTTGGTGGACAGGACAAGATCCGGCCTCTGTGGAGACATTATTTCCAGAACACGCAGGGTATCATTTTCGTTGTCGACAGCAATGATCGCGACCGTGTGGTCGAGGCACGAGAGGAGCTGCAGCGCATGCTCAACGAGGACGAACTCCGGGATGCCGCCCTCCTGGTCTTTGCCAACAAGCAAGATCTGCCCGTAAGACGGCCCCGCTCCCCGCTCCGTCAGCAAAAGAAAAAGACGCCAGTCCTGCATATATGCCTGGGACCCGCTGACACCTTCGCTCCTAGAATGCTATGAGCCCCGCCGAGGTCACAGACAAGCTCGGCCTTACTAGCCTGCGACAACGCGCTTGGGTATGTTTTATTGCGAGCCTATCGACTCTGGTACAGTTTTCGCTGACATGGCGTATAGTTCATCCAATCCACCTGTGCCACATCTGGTGATGGTCTCTATGAGGGTCTTGAATGGCTCTCTAACACTGTCGGCAAGCCTTCGTCGTAAAGCGCCCCTTGAGTCCTGGTAGAACGGTCTCCCCTTCGGTTAAGCATGGTTCGATTGCTCTTTGTAAAATGATATCCCTTAGGCAATCGACTGGTCCATGAACATCACATTTTAGTGGCGCCTTCATTGTGGGTGCCGCGCGCGATGAAAAGGAGAGACGCTTGGCCGGCACTCTTCTTAAACTTTGGTCACTTTTCGGTAAAGACAGGGGCGCACTGGGTTGGAATCTTGTACAATTTGATACATTATCAGGAGAGATCGGGTTATCCACTGGCTTCCCCCCATTGTTTTCCGCTTGTCTTGTGCTGAGAGGGGAGGAGAGGAGAATGGAGCGGAGCGGAGGAAGAACATTTTGAGGGCCTCGGTTGACAAGACGAAGACGGAGAGGAGAATAGGAGACGCTGCAGAAGATGGCGATAGCACCAACGGTTATAACACAGGATTGCCTAATTACCCATACTAGGTCCTGCGCTGTTTCCTGTCGTGTTCTCTTCCTGTTTGTTTTTGGGCTCTACTCGAGTTGTCTCCTTCCGTCTCAACCCCAGTTGTTTTAGTTTGTAGCCGGTTTTCTCCAGACCACCCTATCTCTAATTAATTTTCACCATTTTGGACAAGGTCATAGTGCAGTAACTGCCCTGTTGTTACCCATCTCTCTTGTTCTTCTCTTGTTCTCACTCGGCGGGTGTCTGGTTTGGTTTCCCACGGTGATGGGAGCATTTACGTGTGTGCCGGCTTTCTTTGTTCACCGAACGGAGCATGGGTCGGCTTTGATTGGATGCTGTGATGGGCTTCGTTTGTCCCTTTCCCTTTGGTTTTATGTCTTTTAGGCCTGAATAGAACAATCCCGGGGGTTTTCCTTTGTTTGCTTGGTTTCCTTGTTGTCTTGGTTGCCCTGCGTCGGAGCTGCGGTTGCTGCGGACAGGACTAGAAGACGGACAGCGAGGCTGGTGACAAGACTTCTGGATTGACACTGTAGAGTCTGTAACTCATGGGAGCGGAAGTGTCCTAGAGAGAGATAGAAGAAGAGATGGGAGAGGGTAGAGCAGGCAGTAAGGTCGGGAAACATACAGTACGTTAGACTGAGAAGCCGGGCTCATTATCACGGTATGCTATGAGGAAAAACTCGAGTTTATATTATTGAGTGGCTCTGTTGTATTTTACAGCCCGCAGGGTAGTGGTGATCATTACAGTTATTATATACATGCACATGTTATACAAAAAACATAGGGGTTTCGCCTTACTCAGCTCACTTCTCTGGCTCGCTGCCAGGGTCGGTGCTGGATGGCCGCGCATGGACTGTCAGACCAGTGTTGTCGTCCTTGATTTCTACAACAGCCAAATCGCCCGACTTGATCTGCCCGCGGATAATCTGGTCAGCTAGGCCGTTGCCGATCTCGGTCGTGATAAGGCGGTTCAGTGGGCGGGCGCCAAACTTGGGGTCGTAGCCTCGCTCGGCAAGCCACTGGCGGACGTGGTCAGGCACGTCGAGAGTAATGCGGCGGTCGTTCAGGCGCTCCTGGAGCTCCTTGAGACGGATGTCGACAATGTCCCGAAGGGCATCGAGAGCCAGCCGCTTGAAGACGATGAAAGAGTCTATCCGATTCAGGAACTCTGGAGGATACTGCGAGGCCACAACGTCCATCACAGCCTTCCTCACGTCTGGGTGGATGTCGCCATCCGGTGTCTCCTTGTACGGGTGCAGGTGATTAGCCCCAACGAGGATATCAGCCCCGAGATTCGATGTCAGCACGATGATGGTATTTTTGAAGTCGACCTTGTGGCCCTGTGCGTCGGTGAGATAGCCTTCGTCCAAGACTTGCAGCAGCAGAGCCGAGATGTCGCGATGCGCCTTCTCGAATTCGTCAAATAGGAGTACCGCATATGGCTTCCGCCGTACCGCCTCCGTCAGCTGCCCGGCGTCTTCATAGCCGACGTAGCCGGACGGAGCACCTATGAGGCGCGAGATGGTGTGCTTCTCTTGAAACTCGCTCATGTCAAAGCGCTGTACCGCGTGTCAGCAGGTAGCTTGAATGTATGGGTAGTTGGTTCAGAGACTTACCACAACAGCCGACTCAGCCGAGAACAAGAAGCCGGCGAGCTTCTTGCAGAGCTCCGTCTTTCCAACACCAGTGGGACCGAGGAAGAAGAACGACGCCAATGGCCGGTTCTCGCCGCTCAAGCCTGCCCTCTGCATTCTCACGGCGTCGGCAACGGCTTTGAGAGCCTCGTCCTGTCCCCGGACAGAATCTCGCAGGATTTCTTCCATGCGAATCAACCTCTCCGTGTGACCGCTCGTAAGCCTAGAAACAGGGATGCCGGTGATCCTAGAGACAACATTCGCAATGTCATCCGCGGTGACTGAGTCGTGGAGAAGGGTGTCATCGGCTCCTCCCTTCTCTCCTTCCTTGGGCAACTTCGCTTCCAAGGTCGGAATGACACCAAATCTCAGCTCGGACGCCTTGCCAAAGCTGCCTTCTCTTTGAGCCAGTTCCAATTCAATGCGGGCCTTGTCAAGCTCCGCCTGCGTCTGCTTGATGGCATCAATCTCGGCCTTCTCCTTCTCCCACCGTTCAGTTAGACCGTTGACCTCGGTTTGGTATTTGTTCAGATCGCTCTCGAGTTTCTTTCGCCGCTCCTGGCTTGCGACGTCCTTTTCTTTTCGCAGACTTTCAAGTTCAATCTGGATCGTCATAATCTTCTGGTCAAGCCGGGTGATGTCCTCTGGCTTGCTCTCCTGCTGAAGCCGTAGCGAGCTGGCAGCCTCGTCCATCAAGTCGATGGCCTTGTCGGGCAGGAAACGGTCGGTAATATAGCGGTTCGAGTAGGTAGCAGCAGCCACCAGGGCGCCATCGGTGATGCGGACGCCGTGGTGTACCTCGTATTTGTCCTTGATCCCCCGGAGGATGCTGATGGTGTCCGTGACAGTCGGCTCGCTGACCAGGATGGGCTGGAATCGACGGGCCAGAGCGACGTCCTTCTCGATAAGGCGGTACTCGGCTAGAGTGGTAGCGCCGCAGCACTGTAGCTCGCCTCTTGAGAGAGCGGGCTTCAAAAGGTTCGACGCATCGATTGACCCTTCGGCCTTCCCCAGCCCAAGCAGTGTGTGGAGCTCATCGATGAATAGAATAACCTCGCCGTGCGCCTTTTGAACCTCGGTGAGGACCTTCTTCAAGCGCTCCTCAAAGTCGCCCCTGAACTTGGCGCCAGCAATAAGGGATCCCAGGTCTAGCGCGATTACTCTCTTGTTTTTGATGCTCTCTGGTACAGCCCCGCGCACGATCTCGAGGGCCAGCCCTTCTAGAATGGCCGTCTTTCCCACGCCGGCACTCCCTATGAGCACCGGGTTGTTCTTTGTCCTGCGCGATAGGATTTGTATGGTGCGCTGGATCTCGGCGGACCGGCCGATTACGGGATCGAGCTTGCCTTCCCTCGCCCTCGCCGTCAGGTCGACTCCATATTGCTCGAGCGCAGGTTTCTCTTCCTCGGCTCCGAGGTTCATGCGGTGGGTGCCGCCGGGCGGGTGCGGTCTGGCATTGGCATATGTTCGGGATATTACCACGGGCAGCAGGCGAAACGGGTTGCCGAGGGCAGCTGTCCGCGGTATCGCTGCGGTAAATGGCCTAGGTAGTCTTCGTGGTTGGGACAATGCGCCTCTCGACGCAGTGGCGATGCACCGTGAGGCCGTTGGCGACACGAGCTGGATTCTTGACTGCATTTCAGGGAAACGTTCAAGGCGTGTTTCGGTTGCATGCAAATTTGGTTTGCATTTCTTGTTTAACTACCAGGTAGGTATTTAAACCTTCGCAGGCGTCAGAGCGCCATGGGCAGTCTGGCGATGACAGATCGAAACATCTCGCACGTTCTAGAGAGCGCCCCACTGCGGGATAGCGCCTGCACAGCGCACACGTTGAAGCTTGATGAGGGAGCTTTATCTTATCGAACCCGAGGTCGTTGACAGCTGGTCCGTGCACACAAAATTATAAAATCTCGACTTTTTTCCCGCTTGATCCTTTCCTGCTAAACCATTGCAAACAATTTGATGGGGATCAGCACTGGATAGCAAGATCCCCCTTTTTTTTTTAAAACGGATTGTTCTCTCGAAAGATTTCTGGGGATGCGATCAGAGTAGTGTATTAACTAGTAGCCAGTTGTGCATCGACAAATCCATCCCGGTATGTTTACTCACTTGTCCTTTATTCTCTCCCCTTCATGATGATCTTTATTGGTCCGTGTTACCAAGCAGCGTCAAGAACTGCAGATGACGACGAAACCCAGCATTCAATGCGCCTCTGACTTCTTCCACAATTCACATTAATTTATGGTTTGTTGCCGAGCCTCTTGCTGACTCGTTGCTAGGTGTTTGTTTGACTTGCCCAACCCCGTCATAACCTATCATGAAGTCTGCAGGGAATCAGCTTCATGCGAATGGTATCCAAAGTTGGGACTGTTGCAGTCTCAGTTGAAGATGGCCATCGCTAGAAGAACAAAAGTTAGATCAGGTAGGTATAAAACTTAGATCACCACTGAGAATTATAAATATGAAGTACAACTCGAAGAGCTCTTCAATCTTTTTTCAGCCGGCAGCAACTCAGGTGACGCTCTGTATCCGATGTAGGGTTCGTTGCCATTGAGTTTAATACTTAGCAAGGGGCATTGAGCTTTCGGGATCTCTCCAAATGGGTACCCCGATTTGCGTGACCTCGAATGGATCGCCCCGAATCTTTTAGATAATTGTAATACTAGATTTGCTGGACTCCGTATGCAGGATGCCAAACTGCAAAATTCAGAAAGGCATGAGATGAAAGAGGTTGCAAGTGGGGAAGCAAATAGAGAGTGGATCGTCCAATCGGCTGCTTTACAGGGCTTCCGCTGCATTTATTTAGCGGCGCCCGAGACTTGGCCCTTTAACTCAGCATCGCGAAACCCAGTCGCGTCAACATCCTCGAATGTCACTTCAGTTGCTCCCAGTCACACCACCACCACCACCTCTATAGCAGCACGAGGCAGGAAGCCACCCCAAAGTTAGCCATGCCGATGTACGGGGATCTGGGCAACAAGCTGGTTCGTATTCGCGCCTTATTGCTGTGCTGGCCTCGGCTCACATTTCTTCAAGGTCCAACATGCCAAAAGGGCTCAGAACCTGGCACAGCTGCCAGCATATCAGACGGAGCTTGTCCGTGCCGTGACGCGAGAGGTGCGGGATCTTGATAGAGACGTGGCGAGCATGCTCGAACCCTTCCAAGGCTCGTTTGATCCGGCTGCAGAACAAGCCACGGCATGCACTCTACTGGTCAACCACCTCTCGATGCGGAGAAACAAGCGCTGCCTCCTCGCGTACCACCGCACTCGCGCCGACAAGCTGGAGGAGCTGGTCTGGAGCGGTTCCGACGTCGTCGATCTCGCCGGGCAGCAGCAAGCAGGAGCGGCAGCAAATAGCGTGCCAGCCGCCGCGAATGATAGGCAGAGCAGCAGCCTCAGCCCCCAAGAGGAGGACTACGTTCGGCAATACGGAGACCTCCTGGCTGCATACAAGGGCCAGTGGACCGACATTGACTTGACCGGCAGCCTCGACCCGCCCAGGGATTTGTTCATCGATGTTCGCGTCCTGAAAGATGCGGGGGAGATCCAAACCGAATATGGGTAGGCTCCCCCTCGGAGGCGGCCACCTGATCCGGTCTGCATATCCAGAACTAACCGTGCCAATACACAGAGCCATCAATTTGACCAAAAACAGCCAATTTTATGTCCGGCAGGGCGATGTAGAACGCCTGATTGCTCAGGGATACCTGCAAAAACTCGGCTGAAGCTACTCCAGCTCCCAATTTGCGTTTCACTGCAGCTCGGTGCCGCAGCAGGCGCGAGTTTATTGTTCAAGCAACGCACTAACGTATACTATAACTTTGTATCCTCCATTATCCGATCCTTCTCGCAGGCTAGGTTTGGTCCACCCAAGACTGGACAAGGCTGAAGACGAGATGGACTCGGGACGGCCACCAGAAGCAAGAATTCGGTACCCCAGAAGCTCCCTGGGGGTGCAGTATCCGAAAGACAGTTGACGAAACTTTGCACCACAATGACGGCAAAAGGTGTGTTGCTGGGTTGAGGTCCTAAGAGTGGAGCCAATATCGCGAGCTTTGAGAATCAAGTCAAGGTCTGGGGACGGGCTGGGGAAGCATGTATTGCACCAGAGGGGGGACAAAGGAGCAATTGCATGAACAGGGTCCAAGAGGTCAGAGGTCCGCGAAAATTTCTGAGCTTGCCGTTGGAAGTCTGCTGCATGCGGGAAGAGCATGCAAGACGGGGAACATAAGGCGACGAAACATAGTGCCACGCGGGCAGGAACATAGGGTATTTCGTGCCTTCAAAATTCAACGGTCCCGTCCTGAGGCGGGGGAATTGGCCTGCGGCTGGTTCACATGGCCACTAAATTTTTCAGATCAAGGGGCGGATTTCCACAGTGTGAACACTGTGCATGCGGGGAGAGATTAAGACCAAGTTTTATGCACCGTTCAGTACTTTGTACCTATCTTCGAGACGTTGGACTTGTAAACCCGACTTAGGTAGGTAACTATTCTACTGAGCTCAGTGTGTATACCTGCAGCTTCATTCACTGCGTTATTATTATAGACTATAACTGACTATAAGTTAAGCCTGAGATAGCAAGAGTGATGGACGGCTAGACTTAGAGGGGGTAAAGTATCGGGCTTTGCGAGTTGAGGGGTTGGACCGTTCCTGAAAACACAATTCACACTGTGCCGGTGGTTGAGTGGCGTGCAACGGTGTCAGTCTGCCCATTGCATCATGCAAGGTAACTTGAATGACGCCTTCCCCCCACCAACGACGAGTCCAGGCCTTGTTAGTCGCAAGCCGGCTTTGCAAGTGGGCAGGCAGCTCGACGTCTAGCTTGAAACCGACCACGTTCAGGTGAGTGAGAACTACGAGCCTCTCATCTCCAACACGTTGCGACAGGAAAGCTCTCCGCGCCGCAAATAAATACACTTTACTAATTATCCCTGTCTTGAAGCGCCAACTTGGGTGGGTCAACAGAAGAGAAGGTTGCCTGCACTAAGAAGAAAAAAGAGCAACGCAGAAAGGGAACTAGGCTGGAAGCACAGCTGCGAATTCAAGGTGTCTCCACGCCGCCTTGCCGTTTTTTTCGGGGGGGGGGGGGGGGTTTTTTGGTTTTTTTTTCTTTCTTTCTCCTCAGCCAGTGCGCTACAAAGTACATCCTAGCTCGGATGCTACGGGGTTCTCAGCTCTTCTTCTGTCATTTTCTGATCCGAAGCTCTCCGTCGTCGCTCAGCCAGAAGGAAGAGCATTTTGTTTTCTGTCTGTCTGCTGGTGTCGCGTCTTTCGCTCGCTCTCTCTCCCCTTCCCCTTCCCCTTCCCCTCCCCCTCCCCTCCTCGGCAGGCATATCTCCCTACCCGTCTTGTATGTCTCGCTCTCTGGCAGTGGAGCCGTGATGCGACCCTCGTTGATTGGGCCGACCTGAGATCATATCGTGAAGTGCTCTTCGTGCTTCTTGCGTCGTACCATACCATGTCGTCCCCCATTTTCGGGTTCTCCTCGCTGAGGAGAGGCCGGCCTTCGTCCATTCGTTCTCAGGATACCCAAGAAGACACCCCGGCCTCCAACCCCCCTTTCAGCCCCTTCACCCCTCCGCCGTCTGCCCAGAGCACCAGCAACGATGGGAAGCTTCTCTCATCCTCCCTGGGTTCCACGAGCCACCGTGGCCCCATAAGATCTTTTATCCACGGATCTGTACGGGAGCACTTAGGTTAGTTCTTTCCTCACTCTTCCTTGTTGGGTTGGGCTGAGAGCTGTTACGCTGACAACCTCCGACGGCTAGCTCCTGTCGATAGCGTACAGTCTGCCCTATCCGTGCGCGAAGACACGGCAGAGCTAGCGAACTACTTCCTGTCTGTCAAGAAGACCGGCCGTAGCCCGTCCTTTCTCCAGGCACGTTCCCAGTCTTCAGTAGCCCGGCAGGACAGCCCGCTCTTGCCGCCTCCCGACGAGGACGAGGCCGGGGCAAGCGCGGCAATTTCGTCTGAAACAATACACGAAGAGTCAGAGCCCCCTTCGCCGGATACTACCCACGAGGAGTTGGCCATCGGAGGCCCCTCGATGCTCACAACAATGCTCAGGAGGTCGCCGCCTGACGAGAGGTATCTAGCGGCCCCAAAGGAGGACCAGGTTCACGAGGACAGTGTTGTTGTTGACGACAGCGACGATGATTACGAGACAGTCAGTCGGGTCACATCCTTTGAAGACAGACCTTGGCCGGCGTACCGAGACACAGCCGACGACGCCACCGACGCTTCGCCGTTGATCACTGCCAGATCTAGGGAAAGTCGGCACAGCTATGGCACCGGCAACGGTGCGGGACGGGAACCGGACCTCGAAAGCCAGAAAAGGCGATCCACCGAACGATGGGTGGCCGGCGCGGGAGCCCGCTTGGCCGGCCTCTTCCGGACAGTTGGAGACCCGAAAAGCTGGGATAGGCCGGCCCTCTGGCGGAATATGGTCCTTGCCCCCGTTGAATGTCTCCCTGCTGTTATAGTTGGGCTCCTCCTCAACATTCTGGATGCCCTATCATATGGTGAGTGCCATGGTTCTAATATTGCTTCCCGTGTGCTGACACTCTGATCTCAAGGCATGATCCTCTTTCCCTTGGGGAGCCCTATCTTTGCGAGCTTGGGGTCTGCCGGAATCTCGATATTCTATGTCAGCACCATCATCTCGCAGTTAACGTTCTCGGCTGGGAGCATATTCAAGGGAGGTGTTGGCTCTGAACTGGTAAGTCTTGACATGCGCCCCTTTGATACTGGAGAGTCTCTCATGCCCGCTAGATTGAGGTAGTACCATTTTTCCACAGTATGGCTGCTACCATTACCGACTTGGTCGGAGAAGACAAGCCTGAGGCGGTTATCACCACTACAATAACTTCATATGCATTGAGCTCGATGCTCACTGGCACCGTCTTCTTCTTGATGGGCCACTTTAAATTTGGCTACCTCGTGGGATTTATTCCTCGCCACATTCTAATCGGCTGTATCGGCGGTGTTGGCTGGTTTCTCGTTGCCACGGGCTTCGAGGTGACGGCGCGAATGGACGGGAGCTTCAACTACGATCTCGACACCCTCAACCGACTCATCCAACCAGACACGGTTCCGCTGTGGATAATACCTCTCACACTGGCCGTCATCCTATTTTACGGCCAGATGAGATTTACTTCTAAATTCTTCCTTCCATTATTTATCATGGTCATCCCCGCCATCTTTTACTTTTTCGTGGTTGCTTTCGATTCGTTAAATACGGACGCACTGCGGAACAATGGCTGGATATTCGAAGGGCCTCCCGCTGGGGAGCCTTGGTGGTATTTCTACACACTATACAGTATGTGTTTCTCACTTCGGGGGGGGGGGGGGGATTTCATCTTGGCCCAAGCTAATCTGCCTCCAGAATTTCATCTCATCGAGTGGACAGCCATAGCACAATGCATCCCGGCGATGCTTGCTCTGACCTTCTTCGGGATCCTGCATGTGCCTATAAACGTCCCGGCCTTGGCTCTTAATACCGGCGAGGACCATGCGGACCTCGACCACGAGCTAAAGCTACACGGATACTCAAACATTTTATCAGGACTTGCCGGTAGCATCCAGAACTACCTGGTTTACGCCAATTCTCTCTTCTTTATGCGATCGGGCGGTAATACTCGGTTGGCTGGTGTGGAGCTGGCCTTCTTCACCAGCATCTTCATGGTGGTGGGCCCATCGATGATTGGGTTCATTCCCGTCATGATGGTTGGTGTCTTGATTTTTGACCTCGGGTTCGAGTTGCTGCTCGAAGCGATTTGGCATCCGAGAAAGAAGCTGAAGTTGCTCGAATACCTTACCGTTGTCGCCATTGTTCTTATTATGGGCATCTACGACTTTGTCGTTGGGATTGGTGTCGGCATTCTCCTCGCATTTATCTCGCTGATATTCCAGACATCAAGAGTGTCGGCAGTTCGAGCGACCTATTCCGGTGAAGCAGTAGGCTCGACTGTGAGAAGGAACCCGACACAACAGCACTATCTCCGGCAGGTCGGCAGGCAGATCAACATCATCAAACTAGCCGGTTACTTGTTCTTTGGGACAATTGTCAGTGTGGAGGATAAGATCAGAGCCCTGATTGCCGAAGAAGAGTTTAGCAGAAGCCCGATCAAGTATCTGATCCTTGACCTCTGGCAGGTCACTGGGTTGGACTACTCGGCTGGCGAAGTTTTCAACACGATTAGCCGCCTGCTCGACAGCAAGGGCATCGAGCTTGTGCTGAGCGGCGTCAATGCTCAGTGCTCCCTTGGCAGCAGTCTGAGGGCTGTTGGGCTCGGCGAGGATGGAATCGAGGTCAAGCTCCTGCCAGAACTTAACTCGGCACTGGAATACTGCGAGAACGAGCTCCTAAAAACACTCTATGCCAACCAGGAAACAATACGCAAGCTACATTCGGCGCCGACAAGTTACTTGGACGTACCTGGCCAGGTCCAGCCCAACCAGACAATCGACCTGCTCGGGTCTTCGCCTCGGCGTGCCCACCTCCACGAGGCGGCACGCAAGTCACTGGGCCAAATGGAAGGGAAGCAGGTTACGCGCTGGCAAAGCTTTAAGGAGCCTCTGAGGCTCATGCTGCAGATTTTCCGAGACGTGAGCGACAAGAACGAGGATTTTTGGTTTCGATCTGTCAAATACTTTTCACATAGCGAGTATGTTGCCGGCACGGTCTTGTTTCGGCGTGGCGAACCTGCCGAGGGTTTTTACCTGCTGGAGTCGGGCATCCTTCGTGCCGAATACGACCTCCCGCAGGGGTGGCTATTTGAGAGCATTGTGGCCGGCACAACGTGCGGCGAGCTGCCATTTTTCTCGGAGACGAACAGAACGGCCAAATGCGTCGCGGAAAGGGACTGTGTCGTGTGGCAGCTGGACAGGGAGAACTGGGAGAAAATGCAAAAGGAGGAGCCTGCGGCGGCGCAGGAGCTGCTTCGCATCTCGCTGAAGTTGACAAGCGAGCGGCTGAGCGTAATTACGTCTTATACGTTGACGATGGCTGGATGAGGAAGGGTTTATGCACCTGGGGAACCTGGCGAGGGCGAGCATGGTGGCCGCCTGGTACACTGCGATATGGATGTTCTGGTAGGAGCCCGGTTGGATAGGGTGGGTGTACGGAGCAGGTACCTGGGCAATAAGTCCAAGTAGGCACGGAAAAGCATCCATTTAGGTATATGGAAGGAAGGGCATTGTAAGGAGTACGTCATAGAGACTTGAGCACAGCGCCACGTTCATGAGCGAGCTAATACCATATTCAACGCTTTGCTTGTTCCCGTCTGGTCGAGGAAGGCCGAGGTAATAACACCTAGGTTTAACCATTATAAGACCAAAGGAAATTCTGCAAGTAAGCATTGGCCATAGACAGTTAACAACCCAGGTTCCCTTGTCAAACTGACGACGTCCTTGGCTGACATGAGTATCGATCGCTACAGCGGATGGGTGGCGTTGTGGGGGACGGCAGGGCTGACCGAGGCGCTTCTGGCCCGCGCACCGGGCTAATGAAATAGAGTTGCAGGGGATCAACCAACCTGGAACATCGAGGGCGTTGGACGGGTGCCCGCACCACCAACTCGACTCGGGCAACCTGCATCTCCATCTTCCATCCCATCACGGCTTGCCGAGATACTGCTTGGTGCATTATGAGCCTGCACTCAATACTCGGAGTCTCGCGCGTCACCAAAAAGAAAGCATCTTCGTCAAGCAAGTCACGTTCGTCGTCCTCGGCATCAGCATGGACGTCGTCACTGCCGCGCACAAAGCCCGGCAGCAAAAAGAGCAACTTGCTCAAACATGACGATGACGACGACGACCACGGGCGCAACTATGGCGGTCATTACGATGTACAGGAGAGACTCGACAACACCGGCCCCATCCGCGCACTTCTTCCCCCGTCCGCCGCCGGCCCCAGCAACGACATAACCCACACGCACCGCTCCATCCGCGCGCGCATGTTCGACCCCGTCCCCGACCGCGCCGCCGGCATGAACTCGACTCGCATCGCCGCCGTCCTGCAGTTCCGCGCAGCGCTTCCGCCCGTGGTCTCGGCGGCGCACATCGCCGCGCTGCGTGCCACCGGCAGTAGCCCCGCGGCCGCCGAGCGCGAGCTCGCCCGTCTCGTCCGCGCTAGCGTCGCGCGCCGCGTCGTCGTCCCCACCCGCGGCGCCATCGGCGAGCTGGTCATGCTGGCTGGCGACCTCGAGGCCCTGGTTCGAGGCTCTGCCGCCGTGGACCCGCAGACCCGCGCGGCTTTCGTCTCGTGGCTCGCCGAGAACCCCGCCGCGCTGACGCTTCGCGGCCCGGAGGCGGCGGGGCTGTCGGCGGCTCAGGTCGACCAGCTCGTCCGCGCCGGATTCCTTACGGCCCAGCTCGGCGCCGCGCAGACAGGCGTCTACGCCCGTCCCGACGAGCGCTACACCATGATCAGTGTCGAGACGGTCGCGCGCGCTGCTGCCGGGTCGATGGCGGCTGTCGGCGGCGACGGCGTCCTGCATGCTGCCGGCGGGACGGGCGCCCGGTGCATGGCCGGCCCGTCATCGTCGGGAGCAGCGGCGGGTGCGGCGCTCAATGTGGCCGTCCCGGGATGCGGAGCGCTCCTCAAGCTCGTCGCCGCTGCACTCGCACACCTCGCCGAGCTGCTACAGAAGACGCGGTATCGCGAGATGCCTGAGCGGGACCTCCGCGAGAAGTGGGACGGTGGCATCGCGGGCGACAAAGAGGCCGCCGCCGCTAAGAAGGCCCGCGGCGAGTTCGCCGGCATCCTGCCCGGCCGCACAAAGAAATGGCGCCAGTTCGACGGCCTCGCGTTCGAGTGGGTTTTGCACGAGGCTGTGGGCACCGGGCTGGTCGAGGTCTTTGACACAAGGAGCGTCGGCCGTGGCGTGCGCTTGGTCTGAAAAGAGCCTGCAATCTCCCTCCACGATTTAGAGGGGAGAGTTGGTAGACCCAGACGAAACCTAGCCGGGACCCGGGTCCTTTGGCTGATGCCGAGACACGCGAGAGCTAGACACGCTAACGCCACAAGCTAGAGGCATTCATCGCGATGCATCAAATTCGGCCGGCAGAAATGTGCAGGCATACCGCGGTCGCTCTTCGCTTTTCCCATCCAAGTCGGGGTTTTCCCTTTCCGGGTTTAGGTGTGTCGGTCGGTTAGTCGGTCGGCCAGTCGGTCGGTCAGTCAGTCGGCTAGGTATTTGAATATTCCCGGGCTCTCGGACGCGCCCATCTGCAATATCACACACGACATACACACACACGTATACGCACAAGGTGAGAAGCTGAGGCGGGTAGCAGGATTTAATGACGGTATGCGCACGCTACACCCCCCAAGGGGGAAAGGGGGGGAGGGAGAGAGGCAATTACGATGCGTGGAGCAAGGAGACATGAAAAGCAAACGCCGATGAAGCTTGCCGCGGAAAATCCCGACGGCGGGATTGCAGCAGTGCAGAAGCGCATATATGCCGAGTCCTCTCTCTGCTTCACTTCTGCTCAGGGACAGGGCTCACAGGGAAACTCGAAGGAGCGCACTGTTCGGGATTCATGTAACTAAGCATATAGTATGTCTCGGCCAATACATGTGAAAAGCGCAAGATGATGAGTCAATTTTCCGGCTTGTGATCAACTGTTTCTTGTCTCAGAGGTAGAATGACGAGGCCCTCGGTCTCGCTTCTTCAGGGATGAAGCTGGAAGGACGCTCTTATATAGGAAGGAATGCCAAAGGCAAAATGCGAAACCGACTACTATAGATGCGTTGCGACGTTGGTTGGTTGTGTATGACGGGGAGAGATGAAACTTGGCCGTTCGGTGGTTCATGGGGAAAAAAACCTGCTTGTTGGTCTTGCCATCTCCCTCGCCTCAGCTAGCTGTGTTGCTTCGGCTCGGAACTCGTTCAGGTCATGGATGGGATGAGGCCGCCGTGGTATATCTCCAAGCGCTGTGTCGTGTCATATGTGAACTGTTAAGGTGTATCCCAGAGTACGCCGCAGCCCTAGTGTATACATACATGCATAAATAGCGTCAAGAGATGAATACAGAGATACAATCTACAATATTAGACTCACGCTTTGCTGTCGTTGTGGGAAAAGCAGGCCCCCCTCTCCTCCAGCTTTGCTCCTCGACGTTCCGAGTAGGCATGGACCCTGCTATTAAAACATGACAAAACAGAGACACAAGACAGCGAGGGCAAAATCCCAGGTTCCCGGCGGTTTCTGTTTGATCTTCAAAACCCCGGCAGGCCGGGCGGGCGGGCTCCGCCCCCATCCCCGGAACCCACAGACCATAGAAGGAGGGGGAAAGAAAAACATGGGGGTATCCCCGGGATTACTTTTCGGACGGGGCGTTGCGAAACGAGTCGAGGAACGTCAGACGGTGCGGTGCACTCACTGGTAGGTGGGTTGGGATACTTACAAGCCAATCCATAATCCTCCAATAGGCTCAGTGCCGGCCGGTCTGTCTGTCTGTCTGTCTGTCTGTCTGTCTGTCTGTCTGGCTGGCTGGCTGGCTGGCTGGCTGGCTGGCTGGCTGGCTGGCTGGCTGGCTGGCTGGCTGGCTGTTGTGTGTGTCTTTGCCGTCCTGCTGCAGCTGGTGTAGGTACTGGGTAGTTGTATCGTAACACCACCTTTTGACACCCCTCACGGTATGCCTAATCTCTGTCGGTCGCTGTTCCTCCCGTCCTACAGGAGAGGATATACTCGATGGAGGGGAGAAGGAGGGGTGGGGGGAGGAAGGAAGACCGGAAGGGGCAGGCACGTATGTCAGGGATCAAAAAGAAAGGGCCTGCCTGTCTTTCTGTCTGTCTGTCTTTCTGTGGCTGAATGAATTGGCTTTCTGTCTCTACTCGCTGCCCGTCGCTCACTGCAGGGTCAACGGCCGCAATCCTCTTGTGTCGAGGTTGGTATGCTCGGGTTCACGTGGAGGGATCTATGTTTTGCTTTCTGGTACGTATTCTGTCATGTCCTGCGTAGGACACAAGATGCACTGCCCCTTTCATTTCCGAGAGAGAGAGAGGGAGAGAGACCGGTGCGAGACTAATAATTCAGCAAGTCGGAAAGGCGACTGAAGAAAAACATGCAAGTGTTAATTCAGGCAGTTTGGAGGAAAGATACCTGCTGCCCCTTTCGCCTGCCGGTAGAAACGCATTGACGTCGTCGTTTAGATAGTAGGTAATACTACTCCGTACCCGACCTACCTCGCCCTACGTAGGCGGGGCAGTAAGACGGGCTAATGCTGCTGCTTCTGCGACTTGGACCTGCAGCTGCGCAAAGAATTAATGCCAATGCAAGGCAGTTCGGTTTGTACTTGCCTTAGCTTCGTCGATCCAATTGATTGACTTGGACATGTATTAGTGGGTTTCTCCTTTGTCTCTTGTCCATCAATGTCAAACCGATGTTTCTAAGGCGGTGACGGCATGTTCTCTCTCCTTTTGAAAAGAGGCTATATGTTTCAGCCTCTTTCCCCTTTCGGTCCCTGGTGCTCCCTACACTTTCCACGCCAATTTCTTTTCTTTCTCTTTCCTCTCACCAGGGAGGAACTGGAAGAGTCCAGCCCGTTACTTTACTCACAACAACAAGGAAGAATCCTCTGCGGAATCTGGGGTTGTCCACCTCCAACCACTGGAGCTGGGTTACCTGCCGGTATCCTCCCCGCCGAGACAATTTCGAAATGGAATCGTACGCTCCTGTCAGCTTTGAGAAACTCAACATCAGCCTGGAGACGTTGCATCGATGGCGATCATGGAGTTCCAAAGTCGGAAAATACCACATGGCAGATCGTCAGCCCTCGCTCGCTCCCCGACTCTCGTCTCGACAATGGAAGATTCCCAGGCCTCTCAACTCTGGGCACTCACGTTTTGACCGATGATCACGCTGCGGGTGATTGGGTTGATCAATTCCGTGGCACCCATGTTGTGGAACGCTTCCGTCGTTGTATCAACCAGACACTATGAGGAAGTCACCGAAGTGGGGGGTTTGCTCTGTCGTTGTCCCGCTGCGAGACTTTTGACAGTGACTCCCGCGCAAGCCAATGATGCCCTGGCAGAGGACGGTCTTCCATTGCACTCGCGCAGCGCGCTGCGGTAGTTGACATGGCAGAGAATGGTGTAATTGCCGACAGCAGCACAAAGACCATCAACTATTAATCGATACTGACAACCGTGAAGCAGTCGATATCTTATCGCGCAATCATCATCACTCCCGTCCGAAGTGGGTAGGCACGGTGCCTCCCAAGTGCAAGCTCGGGTCATGTTCCTGCGGGATAAGCCTGCTGTCAAGCCCCTGTCAATATGTGCACGGGCTTCCCCGACTTAGCGGCAAGGGCAAGAGGCTAGAGCAGTGCCGAAGGAAATTGCACTGTGCCCCCGCGTAAAATTCCGGGGTTTGCGCTTTTGGTATCTTCGAGGTCCTGGCTTTTCGGACTTGATTCCTACTATGGTATTCAACTGGTGCGCTTCTTCAGGCCACAAGAAAGCCTGTATCAGCGCTGCCATTCGAGAACTTCTGAGGCGCTCCACCCAATTACCAGAGACCGTAGCAACCACATGATTTTCTAGTGGCTGCGCGCTTTTACGCTTTTGGTGCTGATCATCGGCCGGCTAGGGCTAATCTGCTTCCAATTGACGTCCTCGACAGCTGTTACAGCCTCGCTTGTCGCGGGTTGAGCTACAAATAGAGCCGAAGCTACCGTCACCTTCGACGATAAGAAAGTGGCCAGTGAAGGGTGTTGTCGCACATGCTGTGAAGAAGAAAGCGCCTTTCCTGCATCGGCGGACCTGCATCCTGCAGACGGCTTCCGATGAAGAAAGGGTCATGTTCGGCACCCCCCTTTTGATGGCAGACAGCACGATATTCCCCATCCCTCGAGGGCGAACAGAAGTGGCCTGATGATCTCAAGAGAGGGTGCGCGTAAGTCTTCTTAGTAGCGCGATGGACGGGTAGGTCTCTCAACAAGTCAACTCTAAACGGAGGGGGACCGGAGCATGTGAAGACTGCAAGCGTCTGCAAAAGAAGACGCGACGCAGCATTCGCATATCTAGACTAGGGTTTCCACGGCCAAGGGATCCAACCCTCTACGCCGCTGGGTCGCCTTTTAGGAGGCTTCCCCGGTGTGATGGGAGTTGGGACGTGTGCCACTCACTGGCTTCTGCCCGTTTCCGCCAAGGACCACCTGGAGGCAGTGTATTCGTACTAGCACGGAATACCAGCTCTTCCTCGGGGCGCCTTCCAAGCTCCAACCGCCTAGGTCCAGAGGCCATCGCGGGACTTGTCGATGCCTTACCCTAGAAAGCTCCCTGTCAGGGGATTTTAAGCTCTGAGCAACGCGGGGCCCATTGTCAATGGGTTCGAGCCTTGGGGGTTTCCCAGAGGGGAGGCCCTTGAGCGCAAACCCTCGCGAAAGAGGCGCAAAAGGGCCCATTGCGCTAAAATTGCTGTCTGCAGTCTGTTCATGCCGGCATCCTCCCTGGTTGGCTGGGCCGAAGCTCTGTCCATCCCAAAACGGCTTAATCAGTTTTCTAGATACTCTTGCAGGGATCAGCAGGGGCCCGATGATGGTCCGTCAAATTGCTTCGTGCGAAAAGGGCAATGGCTCGACGGGCCAGTCAAGGGTAAAGAAGGGGGCAGCGGTGCATGCAAGTGAAGCGAGAACAAGGGCCGGTCTGGGGATCTTGCCGGCGAGTGATGGACATGCAGAGACGGGCAGACAGACCAGACAGACAGATGGAGACAAACATGACGGACCGACATCCGTCGCAGTGTAGTGAGGAAGGAAAGATTCTCACCTCCACCGTACCGTACTTGCGCCTGCTCCTTGTCCTTCCCTGGAGAGACAACATCGTGATCGAGTCAATCGCAGCTGGGCCGTTCTGCGACCAGAGACGCGAGCCGTGGTCGACATCGCTGTCATCGTGCACCATTCGCGCGTTGCACCTTCCAGTCCTGTCATCCACCTCATTGGAGCACAACGATCCACCGATCCCAGCGATAACTCGGCATCCCGCACTTTTCCATTCAGTTGTCTTGGGCGCGTCTTGCCATCTCTTCTGTCAGTTTCTGCCGTCTCTCTTTTTGCCTAGGCTAGACCCGAGACCAGACACGACCCGACTAGCCGTTTCGACCTAAGTCGACGGGCTCGCCCGTCTTGCTCTTCACTCTCGCTCTCTGCACGAGGCCAAACGACGCTTTCTTCACTCGGGTCGTCCGCTCGTTTCTGTCGATTCATTTCTTTTGCCGTAGTCGATTTCCAGAAGTCAACCGCTCCTTGTCTCCCGTTCCAAGTTAAGCAGGCCGGATCCCAGAGTGGCTCGCGCGCTATTGTTCCCTGCCACTGCCAGGAACCCTATCCTTTTTTTCCTGCGACGATCGACTCGCCGGTGCCACCCAAAAGCTTACACTTTGGCTTTGCTGTCCAACGAACCTACGGCAGCTTTGACGATCCTTGCAGACCGGGTTCCAAGCTCCTAGAAGAGACGCGACGAAATCGCTCGCGATCCCCCACCCTCGACGCCAACTACCTCCATCCGCGTCTAGTAGTGAGGTTAGCCAGAGAAGAAACCCCTCAGACAGTCGGTGCGAGCCCGCTGCTCCTTCGCCACGACGACGCTGCCTTCCACACGCAATTGACGGGACCTGCAACATTTTATTTTGTTTTGTCGACTTCGCTCGCTTCGCTACGTCGTAAACTGTACCTTAGGGCGACTCGGTGCTTTCCCTACCTCTCTCCGACCAGCGTCCTTCCGGCTCTTTCGCGTGTCTCGGAATTGCAGTCCGGCCAGCTACCGTCTGCTGTCTAGTGCGCTTGACCAACCGACAGAATCCATTAACTTGGCTTCACCGGTATGCCCCGTGTTTCGTTTCTCGTTTCCTGCAGTCTGCCCCAGATACCTGGTGGACAGCTGTTTTATTGTTGTCACTGACAAATCGGTATAGTCGGCCGTCATAAGGTCGAATAATCCTCTCGCTTTCGACTCCGCATAACAACGTTTCACGCCCCGGCCGCGTCAGAGCTTGGTTCTTAGCCACCTTCTCTTCTATTTCTGCACGTTCCTTGTGGGGGGGGTTGTTTAGGGGATCACACGAACCCCTCGGCCCGGGCGCCGACCGGGAATCACATCGTGATTGTCATTCATATCTACCGTTTTCGTCAGGCGCTCTTTTAATGGATTTCACCGGACCTGCAATTGTTTTGTAATACCCAGCGACGTTCAACCTTGTCCGGTACCAAAGGTCGAACCTTGCAGGCCTGGCAATCGCAACGCTATCATGTCGGCTTCACTACCTAGGCCGTCCCGGCCCTCTATCGGGCCCCCGACTGTCGCACTCCCCGCGCTTCCTATTGGCAAGACGCGGAAAAGCACCGGGGGTCTGTCGGTACCTATAAGCAGGTCGATGCCAACAACGCCCAAAACTGGACTTCGAGCTCCCTCCACGACCCTCCTCCCTCCCGCAACACCAGCCCCGACTACCGCCCTGCCGACGCCGCGGGCGGTTTCCGGAATCAACACTGCTGGCAGGACAATAAGGAAAACCGTCAGCATAAACTCGTTCCCGCAGCCTCCTCGCGGAGAGGGCCGAGTTTCTAGCCTGCCGCCGAGCCCATTATCCGCCGGCGCATCCTCACGGAAGGCAAAAACACCAACAACACCAACATACCAATTCTCAAACGGGACCCCCAGTCTTCTAAATGGCACGGGCGAAGGAAAGCTAGTAGCCCGCTTGACGGGGGCGCGGAACTCGGATGGTCTAATTAGCGTGTCGTCGCCGCCGCAGAGCCGCAGCTCCTCCGCACAAGATTCATATTCTACGTCAGCAACGCAATACGAGGATCTAGTGGATGTGGCACAGCAGAAGTTAGATGCCTCGGCAAGCGGCAAGCGGGCCTCGAAGCTGGATGGCAAGGGCAATGTCATCGTCAGTGTAAGAGTGCGGCCAGATGCCGCCGGCAGTGACAAAACAGAGGGAGGGGAATGGATGATGGATGGAAAGAAATCTTTAATCAGCTACCAAGGGAAGGAAGCAGGAGACTACTATTACGGTGAGTACAACCTGGATGAAGGTGATGGGGGCGGGAATGGGGCTGACTCTATCCGCAGATAATGTTTTTACGACAAATGACGACAACTCCAGAGTTTACGACCACAGTGCCAAACGGTTAGTTCGAAGGGTGATGGAAGGTTACCACGGAACCGTGTTTGCCTACGGCATGACTGGTACAGGGAAGACCTTTTCCATGCAGGGCACGGCGTCTTCCCCTGGTGTAATACCTCTGGCTATTACCGACATCTTCTCGTACATCCGTGAAACGCCCTCGCGAGAATTCTTGCTCCGTGTCAGCTACTTGGAGATTTACAACGAAAAGATACACGATCTTCTGAGTATGCCCACGGGTAACGGTATCGGCCCGAGCCAGATGGAGGAAATCAAGCTGCGAGAAGACAGCAAGCGAGGAGTATATGCAAGTCCTCTGAAGGAAGAGATCGTGCAGAGCCCGACACAGCTTCTGCGTGTGATTGCCCGTGGCGACCAGGCTCGTAGGACAGCAAGCACCCAATTCAACGCCAGGAGTTCGCGAAGTCACGCTGTTGTTCAGATTGTGGTGGAAAGCAGAGAACGTGTTCCAGGGAACCCTGCAGGCGATAGTAAGCGGCAGGGCCTTCCGCCTGGCGGCGTTCGGGTCTCGACGTTGAGTCTGATCGACTTGGCAGGCTCAGAAAAGGCTGCGGAGACGAAGGAACGACGTCAAGAAGGTTCGCACATCAACAAGAGTCTGTTGACGCTGGGTACGGTCATCGCCAAGCTCTCGGATTCCAAAGATAAAGACGGAAAGCCGGCGGACAAGGACGGCAAGCACTTGCCATACCGAGACAGCAAGCTTACCCGGCTACTACAGGGGGCGCTGTCTGGAAACTCGCTCGTCAGCATTCTCTGCACGATCCAGATCGGCTCTGCGGGTAGTGTCGCAACAGCCAACTCTCACACCACCGAAACTCTCAATACGCTAAAGTTTGCTTCTCGAGCCAAAAACAATATTGTGAGCCACGCAAAGAAAGCTGAAGAGGCTCTCGGCAGTGGCGGGGACGGGGGTGCGAGAGTTTTGCTGGAACGCTATCGAATGGAGATTCAGGAGCTAAGGAAGGAGCTCGATACGCAAGCGAAGAACAACACTAAAAAGGAAACGGAAGGCGAGAAAGATCGAGACGAGGAAGAGGAGAAGGCCCGTGAGAAGAAGGCCGTGGAACGTCACGAGGAGCAGATGCTGGAGATGCAGCTGGCTCGGACGGCGCTGAAGGAGCGGATCGACCACCTCAACCGACTGATCCTGAGCTCGAAATCGAGAGGAGTTAATGCCAGCGGGTCGTTCAGTTCGCTCGGGATTCGGTACTCGCAAACCTCTGTCAGGTCGTCGATGGCAACCTCGAACGGGGGCAGGCCAGTCCTGGAAAGGACGGCATCGTTGACCTCGACAGCCTCCACGATTGGCAGGAAGTCTAGCAGTCATCGGTCTTCTGGCGTAGCGGAACCGCCTGTGGCTGTCGAGGATGACGACAGCCTGGGCGAGTTTGGAGACGGGACGGCGTCGGTGGCGGCGCAGAACCGGGCTCTGCAGGCCGACTTGGCCGACAAGAACCGGTATATCCAGACGCTAGAGAAGCGTCTGCTTCAGGCCCGGCGCGCCAGCTCGTCTCGCACTTCGGTGGGATTGACGTCGGGCAAAGGCATCATGGTCGGTGAAGATCATAGTGTATCCGCTCTCATTAAGGAAAAGGATGCGGAGATTACCGAGCTCCGGGCCCGCCTCGATGACAAAGACAAAATGCTCGCGGCACTGCGGAGCGCGGCGAGATCCAGGGATAATGCCGACAGGGTCGAGTCGAGAGCCGATGCTCGCACAGAGTCTGTACGTGCATCGCAGATTCTCGACAGCAACCCGGGCCCTCCGCCCACGGCAAACCCCGGGAGCCCCCCAACCGCGCAGATGGCCCGGCAGGGTTTCAATATTCGGAAGCAGGCTAAGAGCGACGATGAGATGAGCAAGATGCTAGACGAGATGATCCAGGATAGGATCGAAGCCGGACACATCATTCGTGGCAATCGGGGGAGCGTGAGGGTTGCGCCCGACCGAAAGGAGTCGTCATCTTCGGAACCTCCGATTCAACTGCAGCTCCTGTCCCGGCAGAGGACATCGGTCGCCGCCGAACCGCCGAAGCCCCCGGTGGTGTTAGAAGTGTAGAACAGTGATGTGACCATCTCCTTTTCTTTCCTTGTCCTTTTTACCATGGCATTTTCCTAATTGGGATCCTGAGGGACGCTCGGACGACATGACGCCGATTACTTGTTGCGCTGGGTCGGCTAGGGTCTAGGACGCGGAGTTTAGGAGAAAAAAGGGGCAACTGATCTTTCCATTCCTTTCACATTTTATTTTCGATTGCGCATCTTGTCTTATACCCGACTTTTTTTTTCCCTTGGTTTGGTTTTTTGGGGAGGCGCCTCGCGATTTGTGGTTTGTCGCGAGGTGTTTTGGTGCGGCGTGTTGGTGCGGCGTGTTTGTCCGGCGCGCAACCACGCCATCAGTCAGGGGCTTCGGGACGGCCCGTGTCGCCAAAAGCCAGGTCAAATTTGCCCTTGAGCTCGAGGTTGAAGGCAGTGGTCATGTGTTGTTAATGTGTACTTGTATCAAATAAGTTGCTGCCGTTTGTTGGTTTGTTTGATGACCGCGTTTTTTAGCGAGCGGGAGCGAGAAGATCGAATGATGATATCAATATTCACACAACGAAGAGCACTTGCATGAATAGGGCGAAGCGGGGCGAATTATCGATGACGACGGCAGATGAGAGTTGGTTTGTAATTATTCTTTTTTTCTTGTTTGTCGGCGTAGACGAGTTGGCGAGCGTTATTATCCGTAGATGAATGTGTTTGTGAGGTGAGGTTCAGATCGGATCACAAGAGATTGATGTCGGCGTATGCTAGTGTATGCGAGGTGAAGATTTTTATGAGGCCACCCTCTGCGAACATTGCCTTGGACAAGCAAAGGGATGCGTGAATTATAGACACTTGCCAGCTGTTTGTTAGTTATTGTCATTCCTTAGTAGGCATTCCGTATATGATCGAAAATATGCATCCCTCTCTTATCTTTCCCATCGGATGATGTGGCATGGCTCGCGCGCGTGCGTGTGCGCCGGAATGACACGACGCAGTTGAAGCAAACATGCAAACAGGCAAACCGGCAACGCCGTACACACCTGTCTGTACAGTACGAAGATAGGGGCCTAAAGCGGCCGGCCGTCTCGTCGAGTTGAAGCATGGCCCTTTTGAGGTTTAGTTACATATGCAGATTGTTGCCCCCTTAGGTTTGAGCTGAGTTGAGCTAGGTCAGTTTGATCTCGAGAGAAGAAGGGATGTTGGACAAGAGTTTCGGTTCTACTATGTATTCGGGACCTCAAGTGTGTATCTGGATCTGCATTACACAGCACAGCATTATATGCGACGGTTTGCGCCGCTTTCGGTTCCTGATTCTACTTCCTTTTTCCTTCTACTTTCCGGTCAGTCCCGAGTTGTTGAGTAGACTGAAGTGCGTGCGCTCTTACCTGTAGAACTGGGGTGAACCACGAGAAGGCGGTGCTGATCATGGCACGACATGGCATAGAAACTCGAAAGACCTCCATTCCTCCTACAAACCGGGGCGATTTCTCTGTTTGTTATTTACGTAAAAAAGACGATGACGAGAAGATCCAGACGGAAGGGAGGCAACGTGTTTTTTTAGACTGAATAAAACACGTCCTCGTAAAAAGATCCCGTCTTGCCGCGGAACGATTCCCCGGGACGGGTCTGCTTGGGCTGGGCTACGTGTTTGGGACGGCACAGCTCCCGCTTCCCAGATACTCGGTCCCAGTTCCCCCGACGACATGCCCCTTGTGTATTTCCGGATTTTCTTTTTAAAACCGCCATGCTTAAATCAGTTTCCACGGATAACATAATGCAAACGGGGAAGGGGAGAGCTAGCAAATTATCATTGAGTTTAGCGTGAGTACGTGGATCGAGCCTCCTTTCTCATCTCTCAGAACTGCTCTCGACAGTTCCAGTTTCAGCGACTTCAACAAAAACCGCGCAGGGCCATCTTGTATCGTCCAAACGCATTAGTTACACAGGCCGAGTCCTGAAGAGAAAAAAAGGTAAGCGAGGTGAATGGGCTGCCATGTAACAGTCGGGCATGGCCGTGACGACAGCCGCCTAGGTAGGCATTCTTTGGAAGGGGCAAGGATTGTCAGAGGTAGCGAGGCACAGGAGACACGCGAGGGTATGAACACTACTCCGTATTCTGCCTACAGCTGCGAATCCGTCCGTCCAGTGCAGTTGGCGTGCGTCAGCCGCGGAACGCCAAATGATTGCTCTATAATACGAGATGACGGCACACTGCGCTCATCTCATTATGTACGCGGGTCCTTTAACCAACTGCTGGATCCTATGTGAGCGTCACCTTTTTGTGTCTCTCGGCGTGTCTTGGTTTCTTCACCGTTGTGGTAGAAGCGCTGGACATGTATCCATTACAAAGAGGCTATAGTGATCAAACAAACGAGACCAAGACCAGCATTTGCATATGCCGTGTGGTGTTACCTGGGCCTTCTTCACAGGTCGGTCTCTCACTTCCACTGAAGCCGCGAATGTGTTGTGTGCTGTGTGCCAAAGACGGGGCCAAGGAGTTAACCTTTTGCCTGCCCTCGGAAAGGACGAACAAGTTGTCCAATCAGGGTGTAAAGACGGCGCCACCCCCGTCCCCTGCAGGCGTGAGGGGCCAAATGGTGGGGTTTCTTCTGCCTTCCCCTGCCTGCCAGGGTAGGTCGACATGGGGTTAGGACGTTTCAGATGTGGCAAGGGGCGAGGCAAATGGGGATCGTCGTCGTCGACACAGCAGGGACCCCGCCTGCGCTAATCTAGGGGGCTCCTTCCTTGAACTTCACTTCGTGGAAGGCAGCAAGGAGAACCGCAAGCGATGCGGTGAGGAATCCGACTGCTTTTCATTCATTTGGAACTTCCAGGTCAAGGCTTTCCATGCCCTTTTCCAAGAGTTCAAGTACTCAGGCAGCGGTGGTCTTCTCTGTTGCCTCAGCTCGCCCAAACAGGCAGCTCAGCCCCTGATTCTTCGTCTTCAATCGACTGATAGGCTGAGGCTTCCGGGGTCTCCGGGGCCTCGTATGGGAAGCGTTGTAAAAATGCCGGGGAAGTAAAAGGATGCAGGCCAATTGCACTGCTGATCAACATCTTTCTTGAATGCCCCGTCCCCTTTTTAGAACAGTTTGTTGGCCCGTCCCGGCCTTCGGGCCTGGGATGGAGAAAAAGGCCTTTTGATCGACCCGGGTCTGCCTCTCTTCGCCTTGGGACGACGGGACCATCTCCTTCACCTTCCCCTGTCTCAGAAACAGGTTTTGACGCTATTTTCCTTCAACATACTTCCAAATGGAGCATGCCGACCGTGACCGCTGTGTTGGCAAAGCCAAATTGAAGCATATTTTCCGCCTTCTTTCCCTGCAGATTTGAGGTGCCTCTGTTTTCCCTTTTTGTAACGTCGTCCCGGGGGTCGGCTTGCAGGGCTCCAACAACAAAAGAGCAGCGCTGTATCTGGTCATACAGCTGTTTCCTTTGGATAACAAACAGCGGGCATACCGACAACGTCATTTACCACCATTCCGGTTCTCAGGACCTCGACCTCGGTCTGATCTGCGGCGTGGAAAACCACCGAGGGCGAGACGCGCTAGCAGCCCACGACGCCAAAATATATTTTCACTTCTCTTTTGAAAGTTGTCGACGAAAGGCGCCGCGGTGGCTGTCACGCCGAGAAACCCACAAGTCATTGGGAGAGGAGCTCATTTCTCGAGAGCGTTGTCCATCCAGCACACGACTTACACGTGTACCGTACGATTTCCAAGCCCACCCCCTCCTTTCCCAGGTGCCGACAGCCCTTGCAGCCCATCCTTGTCGAGATCGCCACCGACATTGTCCCGTTTCAGGAACTATCTTCAGCGACAAAACAAAGGTCTTTTGGAGAAGGAATTGGCACCTGTTCCCACGCTCACATTCGTCATCGGTCTTCTAATTCTTCACTACCCCTCCTACCTGCCAGGTTCCGTAAGCCTACCAGGGCCGCTGCGACCTACCTTTATTATTATAATTCACTCTTACGGAGTACGGAGTACACTACTAAAAGGAAAGCCACCATCCCCTACCTTAATCCAGAGGTAGCCTGGACGACTTCGGTATTCATCGACCGCAGATACTGTCTGTGCCTGCCTTATCGACAACACCCCGCCGCCCTAGGTCACATCCCTCGCTCTGATCGGTGATTGGGATTCACAAACAACCCAGACACCACCCTTGAGATGGTGTCTCTGACATAATCTTCCCCTTCGTCTTCCTTGTTCTCAAGAACTGGATAGACGCGTTGGGTTGTTTGAGCTGGCTTTGATATATTAAGCCGACATCCTCCCACCCGTCAAACACTCACACCTTCTAGTCCCCGTCCGCTCGACTCGGAGCAGAGGATAACAGCCTCAACGCCATCGCATCCGAGGGTTAGACCGCTTTGTTCCTGCCTGTATCACCTGGGTTAGCATTTAGTTAGCCATCGCCACCTCCGAGTGTTTCTTTCTGATCGTACAAGCTCCAGACCTTGTCCACCACCATGCCGCCCACCCTTGACCTCAGCCGAACTGCACACTCCAAGATGATCATATCGCCGCCAAGGATCAACCTCCGGAGGGCAGCCTCATACAACCACGACAAGGGCCCCATTTCCTCCACCTCTTCGCGGTTCAGTTTCAACCACCTCGTCTTCTCTCCACCTCCGTCCCCGGGCCTGCCATCTCTCTCTCCCCCTCCCCCTCCTAAGCCGAGGGGCCTGACTGGTCTTGCGCGTCCTAGCAGGATAGCCCGCCTTGTCGTCCGCCTTTTGGCCCTCCTGTTAATTCTCTATGCTGCCGCGGCAGCAGTAAGGCTGGCCAGTCCCGTTATCCCCTGGTCATCCCAATCTCCTGCCATACCAGAGGCATTAGAGCATGAGAATTTGCCAGACTTCCCAACCCCGGTCCTCGTCACCGACAAGCGAGGTAGGACAAAGTGGACTGTTTCTATACCGTCAAGCTATGAATTCCCCTTGACGAGGCGCGAGTACTCGGACATGTGTGAAAAGTGTCAAGAAGTGTCGGAGCATGCTCATAGCCACCGGTCCCACGGAAGCAGCTCGCCGCAAACCTACCTAGGATTTGGCTCCGTCTCGGCGGATCATGATTTTATCGATGTGAAAGAAGCCGAAAAGGCTGGATACCTTCCCAACTCAGCGGTCAGAGAGAGGGCAAACGAGGGCGGTGCTGCAGAGAAACCAGTGTGCGACAAGAGTTTGACCTTTGTCCTTGAGTCAGCCGATGCAGGCATAGGCACGGCCTTGCTGATGCTGTGGACGGCATACGGGCTTGCACAGGAGGAGGGCAGGGCCTTCTTCATCGACGATACGCGGTGGGCATATGGGAAGTATGCCGATATCTTCCAGCCACCCCCTTCCCCGGAATGTCTAGCACCTCCCAAACACGAGATACTACCCTGCCCGCGACAGGCGAAACATCTTGTAGCTTCGGCTGCAACAGCACACGTGCTCTTTGGAACTCCCACGACAGACTCAGATGCCACTTCATCAGGTTTATTGGACTCGTCGGCCCGCAAGGTCGAGTTTGAGCTGGCGCGCCAAGGCCACGAGGCGCTTTTCAAGCTTAACAAGGAAGACGGCGACTATATCGACACCCGATTGCAAGAGCTCATGGCCCGTCGGATAGTGCCCAAGGCCAGAGGCACACAGAACGGGCTGGCCATCGGCATCCACGTCCGCCGCGGCGATCGCCACCCTCTCGAATACCAGTACCGTCACTCATACATGCCCCTTCACATCTACGCCGACACCGCGCGTGATTTTATCGATGGCAAACTCGACCACACAGGCCCGCGCGGTGTCGAGGACAAGATAGCGAAGCAGCATAGCTTTATCGTCTTGGCCTCGGACGACCCGATGGTCCATGTGAGCAGTGAATTCGCTGGCTCTCGCCCGGCCCAGGAGCGCATCCGTCTTGCCAGCAAGGAGGCAATCCAGCAGGCGAACCCACCGAACCGTCAGGTTATACGCAAGTTTGTTGACGAGACGTTTGGCTGGGAGGGTGGTTTCTTTGCGGCCATGTTTTGGAATCTTGGCCAGCGCCAGCAGCAGCAGCCGCAAGCGTCACCACCACCGCCGTCCGCAGAATCCCTCCGGCTGAGGAGTCTGGTGGCCCGCGCATACATGATGGATTTGGCAGTGCTGGCCGACGGGACAGACGCTGTCATATGCACTGCCAGTGCAGCTGGCTGCCGCCTCCTGGCTGTCATGATGGGCTGGGAGAGCGCGTTTGATCAGGGAAACTGGATCAACATTGACGGCGGCGGCGGCGGCGGCGGCGGCTGGGTGGGCGCTTCGTTATCGTTTTGATCGTGGGTTTGCCAGTAAAATCTCTCGACCAGGGTCAGATGGATTGCTAATATCGACACCCTCTGATCATACGAATACGAATAAGTCGGTAGAATTGGGTTTGCGAAGGGAACGGCGCATTATCATTGGCATTTTCGTCATCAGCATCAGTATTATTAGCTATAGTAGTGCTCACAGCATTTGAATTGGCGTTTTTGAAGGATTATGGGGCGTAATTGGCGCCATGGAAGTGAAGGCAGGAGGAAAGGGGAGCATTGATACCACATTCACCGACACGTCGACGCGTTTTATTCTTTATTGTCTTCGAAACTTTCTCACTTCCCAAACTTTCTCACTTCCCAAACTTTCTCACTTCCCATTTCATCTTGCCTCCTTAATTTGACATTATCGAAGCCGAGTTGTTTTATCAGGCGGGCATTTATTTTTTTTGTTTCTTCTGCATTAGCTCTGTTTCTTAGCACGTAACAATAGAGCGAAGTCTTGGCTTTAACATGTCACAATAGCCATGGGACAAATAAGGACCTCAGCCTCATGCCTCTTACCAAGACCAGGCAAGGGAAAAGAAATACTCCAGTCTGCTCTGTACATGCTTCGTGAACTGTCAAGTGTGTATGCATGTGGATCATCTGTGAGAAGTCCGAAACCTCTCCCCAGGCAGACTGGATACGAATACGAATAACAAGACATTTTAGAATATATCTGTTTCATAGGCTGTTTAAGTGTAGGGAAATACGTAGCTTGACTCAATAAGCAGAGTTGGGCTATGGTCTCAATTGTGATAGAGAGTATTTCACGATTGCTGCGACAGTGGATTCATACGACAACTGAATTCTGGTGCGACGGGCATCCAAGACGGGCTGAGCGGTCGGTCTGTGATATTGCTTGCAGTGTTGTTACAGTTTGTCTGTCACCAACGGGTTGTTCCTTGGTTTTTCGGTACTTGTATGTAGGTACTTGTATGTAGGTACACGCATTATGTAATGCTCGTCCGATGTGTTACGTATTCGGGTTCCTAATTTAACCCTTTCCCGTAACTGGGAGGGCAAAGAACCTTTTTGAGCCGTAGCAAAGTGCGGGTAATCAGAGCCAAGCCAAGAGAAGCTTTAGAAACGATGGCAAAGGAAAAACCCACTTCACCGACTGTTCAATTGGCAACAATTGGAACATAATTGGCACCCGCTCTCGGGAACGGCCGTGCTTGTGCCATTCGGGCGCATGAACCGGGACATGGCGCCATGTAGGCCGATAGAGGGGGAGAGAGGTACAAGTGACCTGACGAATACGAATACGTAGGGCTGCCGATTGGCTCCCCGCGAGATAAGATTGGATGGCATCAGTCCATGCCAAGGGGGGATTACTTTTAGCGACATGCCGGCCTATTTTATTTTTCACGCTTTCGCGACTTCTTAAATGAGAAACCGTCCTGTCTTTCTTTGGCCAGGCAGTAATTCTCGCTCGCTCGCTATTTGGCAATTCGTCACGCCGAAGGCGCACGTTGACGGACTAATAATCACCTAGAAACCTTTCAGCGAAGTGCGTCGACAGTAGCAGCACAGCGGCAGCACAGCGACAGCAGCCATGGGTCTTTTACAGGACCTTGGGAACCCGCTCCTTGAGAGCTTCTCGCAGCTCGGAACATGGTCGCAGGCCGGCATCGTCATCGCCACCCTCCTCTTCAGCACCGTCTTCCTCAATGTCCTCCAGCAGGTGCTCTTCAAGAATCCCAACGAACCCCCTATGGTCTTCCACTGGTTCCCTCTTATCGGCAGCACCATCACGTATGGCATGGACCCGCCGCGCTGGTTCAAGGAAACCAGAGCAAAGGTAAGCAGACGACCAATTGACCTCCATCGGCTTGTGTTCATGGCTAACCGACGTCAAACAGTACGGAGACTGCTTCACCTTCATCCTCCTCGGCAAGAAGACAACCGTCTACCTCGGCACCCAGGGCAACGAGTTCATCCTTAACGGCAAGATCCGCGACGTCAACGCTGAGGACATCTACTCGGTCCTCACAACCCCCGTGTTTGGCAAGGATGTCGTATACGACTGCCCCAACGCTAAGCTCATGGAACAGAAGAAGGTTGGTTAGAATTGATGGAGCTGAACGAAATAAAGCAGCTGGCTGACCAGGATGCTCGTCGCAGTTCATGAAAATTGCGCTCACCACCGAGGCTTTCCGCTCCTATGTTCCTATCATCTCGGGCGAGGTCTCCAACTACTTCAAGCGAAGCCCCGATTTCAAGGGCAAGTCGGGCGTCGTCAACATCTCCCCCAAGATGGCCCAGATTACAATCTTCACGGCCTCGCATTCGCTGCAGGGCAAGGAAATCCGTGACCAGTTTGACGAGACTCTGGCCGACCTCTACCACGACCTGGACATGGGCTTCTCCCCCATCAACTTTCAGCTTCACTGGGCCCCGCTTCCGTGGAATAATCGCCGTGACCATGCCCAGAGAACCGTGGCCAAGATCTACATGGACACTATCAAGGCGCGCCGCGCGCGTGGCGGCGAGACGGACGCCCAAGACATCATGTACCACCTGATGAACTCGACGTACAAGAACGGCGTCAAGGTTCCAGACCACGAGATCGCCCACATGATGATTGCGCTCCTCATGGCCGGCCAGCACTCTTCGTCGTCGACCAGCGCATGGTGCATGCTTCGCCTCGCCTCGCAGCCCAAAATTATGGACGAGCTCTACGAGGAGCAGGTCAGGGTCCTCGGCGCTGACCTCCCGGACCTGCAGTACGAGGACCTGGCCAAGCTGCCCCTGAACCAAGCAATTATCAAGGAGACTCTCCGCCTGCACGCCCCCATCCACACGATTCTGCGTGCCGTCAAGTCGCCCATGCCAGTGCCGGGCACCAAATTCGTTGTCCCCACTAGCCACAACCTGCTCGCCGCGCCGGGCGTGACCTCGTCGGACCCGCATTACTTCCCGAACCCTGAGGTATGGGATCCCCACCGCTGGAGCGCCGACTCTCCCAACGCGCCGGCTATGGTCAAGTCGTACGAAGAAGAGGAGAAGATCGATTACGGCTACGGCCTGGTCAGCAAGGGTGCCTCGTCTCCTTACCTACCCTTTGGCGCGGGGAGGCACCGGTGCATTGGCGAGCAATTCGCCAACGTGCAGCTCCAGACAATTGTGGCCATGACGGCGCGGCACTTCCGGTTCCGCAATGTCGATGGCAGCGACAAGGTCATTCGCACGGATTACACGTCGCTGTTCTCGCGGCCTCTGGAGCCGGCCATGATTCACTGGGAGAGACGGGGTGAATGAGATGCATGCACGGCAGGTATCATGGGTGCTTGGTAATGACTGGGTGGCGTTTTGGGCAGTGTGGAGGTCGGGCTCTTTCTTATCGACCTGTGTACATAGATGATCTAGATATATAAGCCATAAGCCCGCCCGGCGCACCCTCGCTGCGCGATAGACTCGAGCTCTCCCTAGCCTTGACAGGAGAGCGACGGAGAGCTGCCGCACGGCTGCCAGGGAAGTAGACGGCACAAGTAATATTTAATCGAGAAAAACTTACAAATATTGATCTGAACCTGAGATGATCTAGATATGTGTCCTGTTGGCCTTGGACTGGTTCCCGCCGCCAAGAAGGTAGATCCTTGAAGTCGGACTCGAAATTCGTGACTCACTGGTGTTTTGGCTTGATCCTATCGGATCTAGCGCCGTGTGGAATTTCATAGATCCTGAAAGAGGGTTGACTGTTTGTTGCTGTGAGCGAGACTTGAAAAGAACACGTTTTTGTTTTGTTGTTGTTGTGTGTTTAAACACTTGCTTGGAAACACACTGTTGGCGCTTCGTGAAGGATCTTAGCTTTTTTAGGTTATGACTTGAGATGTGAGTCACTTCACTCATCACTGCCTTACCGTGTGTGGCGTGGTGTGGTGTGGTGCTTGTTTCATGCGCTTGCCAGCCCGAATAAGATTTGACTTGCGCCTTGGCAAGAGGATGCGATGTGTTGTTGGTTGGTTGGAGCAGAATGTTGTGTATATCTGTCCTGTGCTGCATGTGCACTCACCACTCAGCCGCTCAATTGTACGTACAATTTACTGTGAAGGCTATTGAGGTGGTGTCATTGAGATCAGTTCACTTTCGCTCTGGTTTAATTGTTTGTTTTGGTTTTCTGTTGTCTCTCTGATTGATTGCTCCTGTCCTTTTCACTCTGTCTTGGCGTCTTGGAGGTGAACTGCTGCGGGCTCAACCCCAACTCAGCCGCTCCCTTTTTCTCAAACTTCCTCAAAATTTATTGGGTTCCTGAAAGTCTGGACTTTGAAGTTCCTCAAGAAGAGGGAAATTGTGAGGAGGAAAAGAAGAGAAAACACGAGTTGACAGTGTATCCCTCGGTAGCCTGAAGTGGTTGCTGTCTACCCTGTCATGGTAACTAACTGCAATGACTTTGCTCGGCTGAACTCGATACTCGACCATGCAACTGGCAATCCTAGAGCAGCTAATCGTCAGAGGAAGAGCAAAAAACAGAATGCGAGATTATAGCAAGCTTCTTTAAGCTATATGAGGCGAATCGGGGGTAGACCTAGGAACATTTGAGAGGCCCAGGCGGTGGAAAGGGGGCTGACGACAGACTGAGAGAGCGCGAAAGGGCAGGCGTGAGATGCTGCTGTGTAAAATCCCGCCCCATGATGAGCCGGACAGGTTTGTGTCGGTTCTTCCGCTAGCTGGTAGTGAGATAAATGTGGAAGAATTTTTTGGCTCTGCTCAACTTTCCAGCCCCTAGAGACTGATCATTGATGATCAAGACAACACGCGTTATGGCTGGGGATGTTCTAGGCCTTTGCAGTTGGCCTTTGCAGTTGGCAGATTTGCAGCCCGCTTGCGTTTGTGATGCTGCTATCCCGGAAAACCTGCAATGTCCCTTAAACTCACGAAGACTTTCCAAGAGCCCAAGAGAGAGAAGGCAGGCTTGGCTGCTGGCCGCAAGGTCAGGCTGTGAGTCACGATCTCGGACAGTCGCACTTCCCAGACGGGAGGATTGAGACCATCAAACAACAGAACAGATGTGACTAGGCGCTTGAGGCGTTGTTGGCGGCAAGGTATCTCGAGAAATTATAGTGAGATGTGTCCTCTTGTCCTGCGTCGAAAGAGTCCGATGTGTCTGTCGTTAGTGGCCGTGCTGCCCCTGACCCGCGCCAACCCAAATCACGGCTTCCAGAACGGGCTTTGCAGGGTAAGCCTCTTCCTGTCCTTTTGCTTCTCTGGACAGTTCACGGATAGAAGAGAGAAGAACAAAGACACATGCTTTGTCGCCCTTATAACCGGTGCAAATATCTCCCTGTGCTGTCTTGTTGTATCTCTCTCTTCCATAACGAGACAGCCCTCCTCTACATCAACAACCAATCCCAACCGCCCCAACACGCTCAAGGAACGAGACACAAAAGCATGACCCGGAATACATCACCTGCCCGTGCAAAAGCCATGGCAAGAAGACGGCAATCGCGGTTCAAGGTGCCGTTCCTGGGCATCGGCCTCCTCGCCTTCCTGCTCATCCTGTTCTGTCCCCTCGCGGCCATCCCACCCGTCAGCGCCAGCACCGTCGAGTCCCACGAGCCCGTCATTGGCATAGACCTGGGGACCACGTACTCGTGCGTTGGAGTCATGAAGGGAGGCAAGGTGGAGATTCTCGCGAACGACCAAGGTGAGTGTCTAGTTGCCACGCACGTAGACAACTCAAGGATCTAGCACTAACAGGCTGTCCCAACCAAAGGAAACAGGATAACGCCGAGCTATGTTGCGTTTGCTGACGGAGAGCGTCTCGTTGGTATGTCTTCTCTCCACCTCCGTGTGCGTGTGCGAATGAGTTAGTTGGTTGAGACTGATCGCGCAATGCCCAACAGGTGACGCGGCCAAGAACCAATTCGCCAACAACCCGACAGACACCATCTACGACATAAAGTCAGTGCCAATATAAGCCCCCCCCCTCTCCCCAAAGGCGAACTCGCTAGAAACTAACACGGCTTTTGGCGCTCCATCCCAAAGACGCTTGATAGGCCGCAGCTTCTCGAACAAGGAAGTCCAAGCAGACATTAAACACATGCCCTTCACGGTGGCGGCGGGGCCGGGCGACAAGCCCGTCGTCGAGGTCGACGTCGGCGGCGGCAGCATGAAGCGGTTCACGCCCGAGGAAGTCAGCGCCATGGTTCTGGGCAAGATGAAGGAGGTGGCCGAGAGCTACTTGGGCCAAAAGTGAGCATTGCATGTATCGTGGGACGTGTCTTGGGTGCAGAGCTGACGGCGGCTGGTGGCGGCAGAGTCAAGCACGCCGTGGTGACGGTGCCGGCCTACTTCAACGACAAGCAGAGACAGGCGACCAAGGACGCCGGGACCATCGCCGGGCTCAACGTCATCCGCGTCGTCAACGAGCCCACGGCCGCCGCTCTCGCCTACGGCCTGGACAAGGTACGTCTCGACGGTAGCCCCTCTGAGGAAAGAGAGAGAGCTGACGGTGCATATAGGTGGGTGGAGAACGCCAAGTGCTCGTATACGACCTCGGCGGAGGCACCTTCGACGTGTCGCTGCTGTCGCTCGAGGACGGCGCGTTCCAGGTGCTCGCGACGGCTGGCGACACGCGGCTGGGCGGCGAGGACTTTGACCAGCGCGTCATCGACCACCTGGCGCAGTCATTCGCGCGCAAGCACGCTGGCAAGATCTCGCTGGCCGACATCACGGGCGACGCGCGGGCCATGGGCAAGCTGAAGCGCGAGGCCGAGAAGGCGAAGCGGGCGCTGTCCTCGCAGCTGTCGGCGCGCGTCGAGATCGAGAACTTGGTGTCAGGGCTGGGGTTGGACCTGTCCGAGACGCTGACGCGCGCCGCCTTTGACGACCTCAACGCCGACCTGTTCCGCCGCACCCTGCGTCCCGTCGAACAGGTGCTGCGCGACGCCAAAGTCGACAGGCGCCACGTTACCGACATTGTCCTCGTCGGCGGCTCCACGCGCATCCCCCGCATCCAGGCCCTAGTCGAGGACTTCTTTGGCGGCAAGAAGGCTAGCGGCGGCGTCAACCCCGACGAGGCCGTCGCGTTTGGCGCCGCGGTCCAGGCTGGTGTGAGTTTTCCTGAGTTGTGCTGATGTTGACGTCGACTCGGATACCGCTGGGTATCAAGACATAACAAAGCTGACATATGGGTTTCTTTGGGCAGATACTTGCTGGAGACGAGGTATGATCGACTCGTGCTGGTATTTTGTGACAGAGCCACACAGCTGACTGGGTTGTGTCCGTAGGCTCTCCGTGATATGTGGCTGTTGGACGTCAACCCCTTGACGCTCGGCATCGAAACCACGGGAGGTGTCTTGGTGAGTCAACCAGCTGCCCATTCTTCTATATTGATTTACGCCTGACTGTTTTGGACTGGCTAGGCCAAGCTGATCCCGCGCAACACCCCGATTCCCACGGTTGGTTAACTCTCCCTCTCTTCGCTCCGCCCGCATGGTTCTCGGACCCGGGTGAGGTGAGGGTATGCTGGCTGACAAATGTGACTTGCAGCGTAAATCTCAAGTATTCTCCACGGCAGCAGACAACCAACCTGCGGTGCTCATCCAAGTCTACGAGGGGGAGCGCACGCTGACCAAGGACAATAACCTGCTGGGCAAGTTTGAGTTGACGGGGATCCCGCCGGCGCGGCGCGGGGTGCCGCAGATCGACGTGTCCTTCTCGCTCGACGCCGACGGCATCCTCACCGTGTCAGCACACGACAAGGGCACGGGCAAGCAGGAGTCCATCACCATCGCCAGCGACAACGGCCGGCTGACGCAGACCGAGATTGACCAAATGATCGCCGAGGCCGAGCGGTTTGCCGACCAGGACAAGGAGGCGCGCCAGCGCGTCGAGGCCAGGAACAGCCTCGAGAACTACGCCTTCAGCCTCAAGGGCCAGGTCGAGGACAAGGACGGGCTGGGCGGGCAGCTGGACGCCGAGGACCAGGACACGGTAGGTTACCCCTGACATGGCCTGACTTGACCTGGTCTGACCTGACTTGCCCAACCACACAGATCCGGGACGCCGTCAACGAGGCCACCATCTGGCTCGACGAGTACGCGGCAACGGCGACGGCCCAAGACTTTGAAGAGGCAAAGGAGCGCCTGTCCAACGCCGCCTACCCCATCACGAGTAACCTGTACAGCCAGGGAAGAGACGACGACTCGGGTTTCCACGACGAGCTCTAGAGTCTGTACACTCTGTGAATTCTGTATATTTATAGGCCACTTGGTTCAACTCAGTAGTTGAGGCAAAAAGAATCATCTTGACTGCAACAATTGAACGAGTGAGAGACAAAAAGAGAGTACGACCCACCCAGGTCTCGAACCTGGAACCTCCTGATTCGTAGTCAGACGCTCTACCATTGAGCCAGCAGGCCGTATTAATCAAGTCAGGATATCCTTTTGACTTTTCGATGGAGATTATGTGGGTTCAAGCTGCATATGAAGAAAGCTAACTACTCGGAAGAAACTAGAAAAACTAAACTGCCTAGTTCTTAGTTCATGCTTTGCTGTGAGTGGACCCAGTCACGTGCTGTTCCTTTGTTCTCCCCTTTTTGGCAGACCCCTCACTACTCACTACGTTTGGGGATGGGACAGAAGAAAGTTGTGTCCCAAAAGAAACGGGAACGCGGCGGGCGAACAAACGATACCACAGTAGAATCTCAGCAGACGAAAGTGCCTGCATTGTACCTATGTGTATATGTGGCTGTGACAGCAGCAATCATCTATCTGTAATATGTGCTTCTGGCATGTTTCAAGGGCCCCCCCTGCCCCTCCTCCTGACATGATGACTTACCAATACCCATATACCTTACCGGGCTACCTTCTATATATACATCTCACCTTACGGCAGCAGCAGCAGCAGCCACGCCGGCCCGTCTCAGCCAAGCAAACTCGGCTTACATTATATTCACACAGCCTCACAGGAGGATCCTATCTATTACGAGCTGATGGAACAACACACACATGATGGACGAGACATTGGCTGGCCGGCTCTTGGCACACAGATTCCACTTCTGACAGGCAGTTGAGCCCCCCAACAATAAATCACAATAAAATCAAGATAAAATAAATATACCCAAAAAGGCAATGAATGTTATGTCTATTCAGTCGACACGGACAGTCCAAAAACAAGTTCAAGTACGCTTTGTGCGTTTATCACTACTACGTTACCTTACCCTAGTCTCTCCCTCACACGCCCCGCGCAGTTGCAGTTGCTGCAAAAAAGGAAAAGTTGACCAAAAAAAAAGCGTACAAACCCCTCCCCAAAGGGCCAAAACGAACGTAAATCCGCACCCTGCATGAAAAGACGCGTCAGTTTCCTGTCCGCCAAGACTTTTCCTTCCCAAATGCACGGACGAGGCGCACCACATTGGGAAGGGAAACTTGAATGGATGGATGGATGGATGGATGGATCGAGACCGAGGCTTACGCAGCCCGCGCGCCGCGCCGGGGCGTCATCCAAGTGCTGACCCTTTTTTTTTCATTCAGTGTCATGTCAAAATCCTACTCGACGCGACCCGCCCGCTGCGCCAAGGCCCGGCTCCTATGCAAATCCTCTTGGAGTCGATTTTGGAGATTGACGATTAGTCGTAATCCTCATAGGGTAAGCCTTCTCGTCGACCGTTTTACTAGCCTGTTGGCGGCGAGGGAAGCAGATACTGCGTATCCACACGTCTGACAGCAATCAAGTCGATTGAGAGAGGGTGGGGAAAATACCATGGATTGAACATGCCAAAGCGAGTGTGTTTTGAATTTGTTTTTCTTCTTCTCAACTAATGCTTTGGAGATGGATATTGAGCTTCCTGCCTCAATAGAGACAAACAAGCAGCAAAGCGATACAGGAAAGCTATCTATCCTTTGCATTCCCCGAGGGACGAGAATCGTGCAGCGTTGCTCTCGCGAAAGCCCCGCGCGTGCTCCCGCAAACCCCCCCAGTACTCCTCCGCACCAACCACCAGCCCACTTCCTCCTGTAACACCATACGCCGTCATGCTCCCCCGCGCTGAGGCGGTGCCGCGCGTTATGTCTCCTCTATGTACATGATTAGATATTAGCGGCTAGAAGGTATTAATCATTCCATAGCCTTCGCCTCTCGACTGTACAAGGCCCTCTCGCTTCTTGATCGGTGTCTCCTGTCCGCTGGGGCTAGCCGTAACCCAACTGGCCTAGCAAAACAGGTGGCCGGGCGCCCTTTGTCGTGGTAGTTTTGGTGATTCGGTCGTCTTTCCCAGTGTCCTCGTCCATCCATCGTCTGGTGGGCCCTTGCCATCTCTTCCCCCTCGTTGAGTTTGTTTTGTAAGCGAATGGTGCCAGCAGGTAGGATATCGTCCATGATTGATGTCTCCCTGCGGTGTAATGTATCTCTGCTCCAAGAACTCCGGTAAAGCCCAAAAAAAACAAAAGAAGTCGAACCCCCAAATCTAGATGCCAAATGCCGATGCCATGCCATGCATATCAACATCATGTCCCCTTTATTTACACACACCAGCCTGCCTCACGGACCAAGGTTTATAAAAAATGAACAAGGCCGAAGGAATCCCCGACAAAGCACATGCTCGCCGATTGACTTTGTAAAAATAAAAAGTGAAACAAAGATACCAAGAAACAAAAATCGGTGGCTCGGGAAGGGCGAGACTCTCGCCACTTCAAGTCAACTTTTGACGGTACGGCACCAAAGCCCAGAGAATCGAACAGGGTAATAGGCTACCGGAGAAGATTAAAAAAGCTGTGAGGCGTAAAATGGTGCTATACCATCGCATGTGCAGACAAGGATTTCCCTCTCCGTCGGGTAACCTTTTTGCTGACTGTGTATACGAGGTCCAAGGTCCAGAAATGAAATATTTGCGCTTGCGCGCAAGGGATGGCGCCGAATATCGGAGCGACGAGCGGAACCATGACATAGTCCACCAGGTTCGCCTTGAAATCGCGACGGGAAAAATGCATGCCCTTCAAGAGGCCAGCGTCGCTCATCTCCTTCTCGCGCGTCTCGAGGCAGATCTTGTGGAATTTCTCGTAGAGGAAGAGGTAGAAAGCGACCTCCATGAAGCCAAGAGTTCGGAGCACATTACAGACTGGGTAAATCCAGGCAACTCCGTGCACGTCGGCGTTCCCTTCCGTGACCCAGATGTACAGCGTCGAAGCAACGACAAGGATTGTCATTTGCACGGGCAGGAAGTGAGCCTCGAAAAGGCGATGGAACAGAGACAAAATGCGTTCGTAGTCGGGCGACTTGAGAGTGTCGGTGACGACATCAGAGAAGATACCGCTCTCGGCAGTGAATTCGGAGGTCGCGCTGTCGAGTTGCGTTTCCGGCACGTAGGTATCAGAGTCGTCGTTCCTAGTTAGAGTGTCAGTATTGTTGCAAACATGGCAGCATTGAAACCCATCGGTGAACTTACATCGAAGTATGCAGAGGCCTGAAAGCCCTGGAAGTGTGCTTCCGCTCTTTCCAAAGCTCAACCACCTTGCGAAGAGCATAGCCAGTATCCAATGCTCCCCACATGTGGCGTAGGGCCTGCTTGTAGCGAGCACGAACATCGGCAATGATTCCAGGGTATCCTTTGCCGTGGCCGCCGCCCGTGACGTTGGTCTGACTGACGGGGCTCAACACTGTCCTCACGGTAAGATTGCCGTTCAGGGCGAAGAAGCACTTGAGATACATATGCAGATCCTCGCCAATAGCCTCTTGGTCGCAATCCCAGCCGCCAACACGGTCAACCAGCTCGAGGGGTAAAGAGTAGACAGACGTCGGAGGCGCAATGGTCGAGCCTTTGTACAACCCGGACATACCAGCCGCAGACCAGAGAATGTCAGCAACGCGAACGATGGCGGGCACGTTGTGGGCGTTCCTGTCAAAAATGATGGGGGCCGAGTACAAGGTCGTGGTAGCCGTGTCGGGGTAAGCCATGTGCATAGTGGTAACTAGCGCGAAGTAATTGGAGGAGAGGTGGCTGTCGGCTGCAGTTGGAAATATTTTGGTTAGCGAATCATGACGTGCATAAGCCTAAAAACCCGCCTGTAACAAATCCGAAGGGGCGCTGCACGTACCATCGATGCCAGTCACGATCACGTCCTTCCGTTGTCTGATCGAGTACTTTTCGCTGAGTTTACGCGCGGCCCATGCCACATTGCTGCCCTTGCCGGCGACCTCACCGGGAATGTCTCCAGGGTGGATAGTGAAGTCAATTGAGCGAAATTTCTTCGAGAACTCGTTTGCAAAACGTGTAGCCTTGAGCTCGACATTGTGCTCCCGTTGCTCCATGGCGAGATAGACCTGGTTAGACATTGTCAGTATTGATGCTTTGTAGTCATAAAATCTAACCTCAGACTTCCGAGAGCAAGGCCGCGGGAGCGGGAAGCTCAGCGAATTGGATCCTGTAACCTTGTTGGGAAAAAGTCTACTCACATCGTAGGTGTTGCGAGCCTGGGGATGCGAAGCCAGAACCTCCAATGTCTCTCTCAGCGTGTCGTTCTCCTCCTTGTAGTTCGGGACGATGATGGCATGGATGACGCGATCGGGCGCAATATCGGCTTCGCCATAGTAGTCCGAGTCAACGTCTCCAGCTTCGCTACTCGAAGTGGAGCTAATGTCCCGCGACGATGTGAGAGTCTCGGAGCTGGAGAGCGAGGTGGACGAGCCACGGCGGCCGTGGCCAAACTTGAAGTCCTTGAGTGTCTTGCTGTGAGCGGTGCGACGCAGGCTCCTCGTGATGCTGAAGACGGCCCAGCAAGAGCGGATCGGGAAGACGAAGACGAGGACGTGGATGAAGAGGCAGTAATATGAGAACAGCTTGGCCCAGAGGCCGGCGGCCTGGGGGTCGTAAGTTGGCGCGCTAAGACTGTCTACTGACTGATATTTGTAGCCATGTCGTTGAGAGTCGAGTTCGGTGGTGATGGCCCAGTATGAGAGCGCGATGAGGGCAAGCATAGCCAACCCCCCCGCGCGCCGGCTACACCAAGCAAAGAGCGACATTATGACGGTGGATGTGAGAAACAAATCAAACAAAACCCCTCCGTTGGCGTGCAGGTTGTCGAGGCAGACGAGACAGTTGGACTGTCTTGGCCAGAATTAAAGCGCGCCGACGAATTGACCCGGAGGCGGCGAGAAGGAACGACACGAAAGGGAGCGTGAGGCGAGGGGAGAAAGGGGGGGTGATGTTTTAGCGGAGGCCGGCGTGGATAAAGGTACGCACGCGGTCGAATTCGCACTCGACACTCGCTGTACTTCCCACACAGGCGCAATCTGGGGACGGAGGGTTGGGAGGAGGGAGGAAACCGGAAAGAAAGAAAAAGAGAGGGAAAATTAGGGTCAAATGGTAAACCGCAAGCACGGCAAGCGGGAGAGGAGGTGCACAACGGGGGGGGCGTGCTGGAAATCGAGGGTAGCTGTCGATGAAACTCGTTGACTAGAAGACCAGGGTAGTAGAAAAAAAGGGGGGACTAGCCAAGCCCGCCCGCGGACGTGCTGCCAGTCAGTGCCAACACCCGCGAAGAACAGGCTGCTAGCTGGAAGTTTGCAGGGTTGGGACTGGGGTGGCTGAGCCCAGCACCAGCATTGGGGTCCGCCGCGAGATTGTGCTCCTTTTTTTTTCCTCAAACAATTTGGCGCTTTTCGCTTTTGGGAAACAAATTTCCTGCAGCCCCGGTGCAGCGCCTGGGCGACGGGAAGCTTGTTACTGGAGAAGATACTTTCTTTGAGCGGCTCGGTGGCAACGAAAAAGATACTTTTTTCCCCGTCCCCCGCGTTCCCTCTTGAACTTTCCTCCCTTCAGGTATCCGTATCCGAAAGACAGTTATGACGATGGGCACGACCACCCGACTCGCACTTGCCAGATGACAGTTTTGGAGCGATTGCCAAATGTCATGTTAGCCTGGGCTTTCACATGGCATGGGAAAACTACGCGGGGCCGGGAGGAACAGCCCAGCTGGCGGGCTTGCGGCCTACATGAATGGGCGGCTTCGCCTTGCTCGTCGCATGTTTTATTTCTGGACGTTACCATGCACCCTGCGTTAGTAGTTTTACCCCCGCACGCACCCACGCTGTGCGAGTGCGAGTGCGAGTGTCAAAGTCAAGGCAGACTTCTTCTGGGCCGTCACGGCAAGAATTTGACACTGCACTGGTACGTTGCAAGAAATGCGTGTTTGCTCTACAAAGAGACCGAATACAGAGAGACGCGCCCGTTAAATCCTCAGAGATCGAACATACCGCTGCTTGGCATCCTTTTCTGATCTCGTCAGTCCAACGAGAATCGAGACGGACACACTTGACACGCGTCGAACTCCACCTTGTTCGTTGGCGCTCTCTGTGCCGCTGCATACGCAGTGTCATACGCTTTGCTGTTAAGGAATACCCCGACCACATTTGGGTCAAGGCCGGAAAGCGCCTGGCGCTGACAGCGGGAGCCGGGTACCGTCCTAACACAGTTCCAGAGCCTCGCCGCATCTCTTTCCCTTCTGAACATGACGCCGTTCCCCGGACCGTGTGGCACATTTGCTGTGCCAGCCAGACAGAGGCGAGCCCGATGGCTAGTGCAAATAATAATTGGAAAGCTAGAAATTGATCGTTTTGGGCACAGGAAGTTTTGTGTGGGGCTCTGCACTTGGGTCCACGTCCTGGAGAACATTGGGCGTGACCCGCATTTTCTCGTCTGCCTTATCGGCCATCTCAAGTTTCGAGGGATGATGGAGGGGGCAAGCAAACTTAAAACTCAGAAACAACCTCCCCGCCACATATGTATTCTTGAAAATTGCTAGCCTTGTTCGATAATCGCAGAATCGCCAAGTAACTACAGTGGGCTTATACCACATTCCCAGCCTCCTTCATAAGCTTATCAGGATCGATAAATGCTTGTCGAGAGCTATGGCCAAGCTGCTTGCTTCCGAGGGCTCATGGCTGATGGACTGATGCCACTTTGGGGAAATTATGATGGGACTCTCCATGTTAAATTGGCGTCGGTCCTTGGCCTGTCATTGGCTGGACGGGCGACCGCACTGGCTCCCCAGTGTCTCCACTGGCTGAGTGTAACGGGCGAAAATGAGCAGTGGGCGCTGCAAGATCCTCTCGCCCCCTGGGGCCGCTGCTGCTGTGTGCATGCACAGCCCTGGTCCAGACCTAGAATGCATTTCAGCCCTTCTCAATATCAAAGAAGCGCCATACGCCACCTTTACTTATTTGGCCCTGGATCAGCGGGGATAAGCTGACAATGGGGCCGATCGGAAACAGGCAGCCAGGCATCCGGGAACCAGCAAAGATCTCTCTTGGTTGAGTCAAGAGTTTACTGGTCGGGTTTCTTATTAGTGACTCTTCAATGCTCCATCATTGATTGATGGTCGCTTGTTGCTGACAGCTTTTCCAGGTTACATTGTTCTTGTCTTGTTACTGGCCTCTTGCACTTAGCTAGCCGTGACTTGGCCCGAGACTTCATAGGCCTCTCTCTTACCTCTTGTCATCTTTCTCTGTCGAGGGTTCCTGTTTGCGTCGGGTGCCGTCTGCAAGATCAACGCCTTTGGCCGACCGACTTGCGCACCACCGGGCCCTTTGGGGCCTAGGCCCGTTTTATCGGCCTTCAGTTCCCTCCAGCGGGTGTCCAATTGCGGCGGCTTTATTGGCCAGTTTTGAAGTCCCTTCTCCGTTGATTCGCAAAATCGCGTGCTCCACTGGCTTGTCACGCTAGTCACCACTCTCGGTAAATCACGCTGTGCCAAGCTCGTAATCAGGACCCGACTATTCCTCTTGGGGTAGTCATTTCGCTTCGTGAATTTGCCGGTCGCCAGTCCCCGCTGGCTTCGCTTTGTTTCGGCGACCGGACAATTGACGAACCCGCAAAGAGAAACCAAAGAAGTGGAAAGAGAATTGAGAGACAAGAAATAAATCCGGCCGGTCCCGCCTCGGTAGCCATTTCGAGTGTGTTAAGCTTATCTATCTGATTCAGGCCGGTGCTGCTGTGCAACTGTATCACGATCTCGCAAGTTTTACCACTTTGGTGAATATACGGATACACCAATGGAACCTACCTTACCTACCATATAGTTACTAATCTGTATACTGTAAGCATTAAAATGGAACCAAACCTTTGGTAGTACGGAGTATCCAGAGAAGACTTTGTATATTGTCATGTTCTCTACAACTTGGCCATTATTTCCTTCGTTTGCTTTGAACTGAGCTTATTAATACTTGAGGCATTTGCGAATATCTCGCCAAGACTTTCAGTCATTAGACTGGCTCGTCAACGAAAGTCTGTGGAAGTCACTTTTCCCCGAAAGAGAAGTGCTTCAATCCTTGGTATCTGCCTACTCAGATGTTATCTTTCTGGTACAGCAGATATTACTTTCAGCCTCGATATACTGAGTTGACTTCGGGGGAAACAACAAACATGTTCTCCATCCCGGCGGCACAAACGGAAGGAGAGGCGTTGGTTCTACACCGAGGTGTTTCTGTATCCCGAAACTTTTAGCTAAGCCCCCAAGCCCGAGGCCATACTTGTGTGTTTGCCCCTGACACTCTTTGCCACCGCCGACGGTGGGATTCACGTGTCGTATAAGATGGAAAAGAGGTTGAAACATTTTACGCAGGAGGAACCCTTCTCTCGTAAGGGGGTACGAGTGAGATGCTTTGTGGCGTTGCGGTTGGAAAGACTGGCCGCTCTCACGTTGGGCCGTGGCTGTTTTTTGGAGCTTGTGGCCTCTGGGCCTAGGCCTGGGCCTCCGCACACCGCCGCCCCTCTTCTAGTCCTATCGTGCCAAAGTGCACAACGGTGGGGGTGGATTGGTCGGCGGCCGGCCGCCGTTCCATGGGATTATCAGCCTCTGGAAGCAATTACCGTGGAGGACGAATATTTAAAATGGAAGCACCCGCCGCCAACAACCTAATAGTTGGCACAAAGCAAAAGGCACAAGGCGTACCTAACTAAGGCACATTGAATACTCCGCACGGAGTATCCGTATGCCCTGCGGAATTCCGTTCTCTGTCGAGAACTCCAATGGAAGAGATGCCCAGGCCGGGAGCCGAAGCCGAGGCGGTTACCTTTGAACACGGCCGGTAGATGGAGAACGAAAGAAACTAACGTTTGCTAGACGCCAAGGCCTCGGGTTTGTCACATCCCAGATCACATCCCCCCATCTGGGGTATGTAAAAGGGGGAAGAGAGAGGGGCGCGAGCCTGCGAGGAGACCGACGAGAACTTTGCGCCTTGCAGTGATTCGCGCTCTTGCGATCCCCTGCGGCAGGTAGGTACGGATAGGTGGTAACCTTGTAAATCGCGAGATTGCCGTGCCACAATCTCGCTCGCACGCAGGCACGCGCGCACGCGCTGGCTGAACGCGTAAAGATGAACTCTGGGACCCCAAATCTCCGTGTCACGATTTCTTAGTCCCGCGGATCTCGGACCATTGCCAATTTAGCGTTGCAATGGTAGGATTTTCCAGAACTTCACCAGCAATATCTACCGCCCGAAAAGGTAAAAAGCGAAGCGCAATTTCCCACCGGGTGGATGCCGACGATTTCTGAATCTCTGATAACCTTACTTTCTCTCCAAAGTTCTTCATTACCCCCTGTCTTCCCGCCTGCCCGCCTGCCTTGGTACAGAGTATCCCAGTCTCCATCCGTACAACACCTCGTTTACTAAATAATTGGAGATGCCCATCGTCGGCTGGTATCCAATAAGGCAGGATTGCTGCTGTTGGTACGGAGTATTTTACTTTACTCCTGCCAGGATTCACCACTGCCCGCGACCCCACGTGTGCGGTCCCGTGGTGTGATGCCATGGCAGACGCCAATTTCCCACACCCCATTAATTGCCCCGTTATCGGCTTGGCATGCTGTGCGATCATGCGTTGGGCGCGTAGCGTCAACGTCCCGTGGGATTGCCGGTGTGGAGTGAGGCGAGGGTCCTTTTTCTTTTCTTGCTCGAAGCGAGCGCCTTGTCAGGACTGCGACGAACTGTAGGCTGCACAAGCAGCGTCAAACTAGGTTATTTACGGAGTAACTCAAGAACGTAGCAAGCCTTCGCACCTTGGCGCAGGAACATATTTGTTACGCGAACTCTGAAGAGGGGAAGTGGGAAGGTATTCACTTTTTCTTTATTCCGGTAATTATCTGTAGAAACCTGCAAAAAATTGTCCAGGCTCTACGGATGTCTACCTGGGCCATGACGTACATGATATCACGAGCTCTCGACGGGAGACCCTCGATGACGATGTCGCCGGCGACACGTTCAACCATCGTTCTCTAATTCCAGATACATTTCCCCAAAAGCGGGCAACAAAAGCCAACCCAGCCGTAGTCCGAAACGTGTCCCGCATTCTTCAGTCGATCGGAACGTCCTGAGGATCTTCCACTAGTACAGCGCAGATGTTACCTGATTAATGTAGGTGGGGGGGTAGGGGATTGCCAACGTTGACGCCATCCTGATCAAGTATCATGTCTTTGCAAGGCAATATTAGCACGATATCAACGTCGAGGGTTTCGATGCTCGCGTAAGATAGCGTAGTCTTGTTTTCCCTCCGCTTTCTCTCGAGTCGGCGCTCTCCACAAACAGAACGTGGGGTATCATACGTTTGGATTGCGGGTTCTGTATGAAATATTAGTGCATATGTATTTATCGGGCTCAAAGAAAAGCCAACCCGATCGTGAACTACTCACCCCGCTCAGAGCACGCACAACACTTGCTAGCCGTACCGGCGCATTGTGCGAATATTATTGGTAATAAACTGTTCCACAGTTGCTCAAACAACCTTCTCAAAGAGCTTCTGGATCGGTTTCGCAGCCTAAAACGCGGCCTGGTAAGCAAGAGCAACCGCATACGAGAATATCAACAAGGATCGCGCACGTCAATGAACTTCTCCAAGTCCTTGTCTAGGCTAGCTAGATCATCGCGGCGTTTTTTGTTGTCGGCAATGAGCTTCTGCTTGCGCTTCTGTAGTTCGAGCCGCTGCTGTTCAAGGGCCTCGCGTTCTGTTCTCTCGTGGTTGATGCGCGCGACCATCAGAGCGTTCTCGTCGGCATCGGCAAGCTCAGGGTGGAAGGACAGAAACTCTTCAACTGGTATCAAAGGGAGTTCCTGGTATTTGTGGCTGGATAACCTGGTCAGCATTCCTCTTTGATTCATAACCGGTCGAAGGAAGGACGCACTTGAAGGATTCGCAGTTTTCGATCTCGCCCTCCAGATGGCGCTGCTCGTAGTACAGGTTCTGCAGCTGCAGATGTAGCACATCCACCTCGTGACGGGCTTCGGCCGTCTGGCCCTTGGTTTCTCGGGCCCGGAAGTGCGCCGCGCGGTGCAGGCCTCGCAGATGGGCTAGGTTCGTATTCAGAAGCTTCTGCTGTCTAGAGATGGCGGCGTGGGCCTCAACAGGAAGCTGCTCGCCTCCGGCAGCGGTCTTTTCTTGAATGACGAGATCGATGAGGGCCAGAGCCTGCTCGCGTGCAGCCTTAGACGTCTCGAGGACGGCCGTGAGGGCCGGGTCCGTGATGTGCGTGTCGACGGGCATGGTGGGATCCTTTCGTCCGGGCCGGGAAGGGGCTCGTCGGATTCGGCGACGTGCAGTGTAATGGCCTAGCAACGAGAATGCCAGCCAGTCGGCTGATACACACAATCGCGCGATTGACTCAATCGAGAAAGTCGAGGCCGGTAGTGCTTGTGTAGTGCTGCACGATGATGCCGGTGGGCTGCGGCTTGCCTGATTGCCCACCTCCTCAGGAAGGCGTGGAACGGCGGCGGAGGCAAGCAGAGACGTCGTCTTCCGGCTTCTGGACTAGCCTGGAACTACACGCTTGGCTGGCAGTGGTTCTTGGTTCGTGTAGGAGTGTGGGGGATTCCGGTGATGAAGGTTTGCCTCGGCGTTCGAAGCGCGTCACAAGTCGTCAGAGAAGGTGCGAAGTTGGAATTGCGGCTTGTGGGGTCTCAGCGGCGGCCAGCCATTGGGCGTGCCAACCGGCGGTCAGGCTCCTTTTGGGCGATATGCACGCTGTACCTGGATCTAGGGGCTGGACTTAATAAGGAAACCCGAATTCCGGCGCCCCTCTTTCGTAATTCTCGCCAGAAAACAACTCTTTCCAGCTCTCTCAAGCCTTCAACATTCTGTCATTGGACGGTACATATTCACTCTTATGATTTGAATCGCGCAGTTTCCTTCCTCTCGCAAGTACACGCACGTTCTGCGCATACCACTTTCGGAACCGAATTCATAGACTCTTCGTACATACTCCGTACCGTTACTCGTTACAAAAATTCCAGACGTCCAACCGCCCCAGCATCGATCCGTCAGTCCGGTTGCATCGGAGGCGCGATTCTGGATTGTACATACACACGCGGGCTCATGAGCATATTCCTACTCACGGGACGCCCTGTTTTCCTGGTATCCACGCCTGCTGTCGATAAATTCAACTGCGAAACCTTGATTGGGTACTTAGCACCGCGGACGGCTTGCGTCAATTGTCACGCGGGCGCGGCGGTGGTTACACCCGTTCAAACCACCCTAGGTTGGCCTGTGCAGTACAGTACAGTCAGTACATACACATAGACATATCAAGTATACATCGGCACCGGAGCCCCCTTCTAACGTCTTGCGATTCTTTGTGCGACTGGCCGTATAGCGCCGCTTGGGCCTAGGGGTACCAGACCGTGTTTGCCCGCCATGGACGCGCCTCCGAACATCGCTTGTGCGCCTTCCTTCGCCTTCAACTCTTGCGATGACAGCCCAGAGGCCCAGGCGTCGGGAGCCCAGGCCCATGAGCGCCCTGCTGCTCGCAAGCGGCGGCCCTCTCACTTCGCGCAGCGAAGGAAATCCATCGTCAACCAGATCATGGATGGCGAGGAGGGTCTGCTCCTCAAGGTCGATCTCTTTCTCCAGGATCTCGAGAGGCGGCTTGAGTACTGGGAGAACTACGGAGAGCTCAGCTTGGATTCCAGCATCGCCGCTGCCTTGTCGACGCTGCAGTCGGTGAAGACGCGATGCTCGCAGGTTTCCGAGGAAGTCGTGGGTGCCGGGCGCCGGAGACTGCACGTCATGGTGGAAACTCTCGACGCCGGCTACCACGACGCATTGGCTGCTGCGGGGACGCTCAACGAGAAGGCAAAGGTCGGCGTCGAGCTGCTCGATACCATGCTCGCCGACCTCGAGACGCAAGCGAGCAAGCTGCGCGAGAGGGGGTTTGCCAGTGCCGCCGAGAGCCTCATGGACGAGGGACGCCGGGTTGTCGATGGCGGCATTGAGCGAGCGATCCGCGCTGCCGAGACGCTCGAGGACCATGTGCAGCGCGCCGTTGCCCACGCCAGGGAACGCGGCCTGCTCCGCTACGAAGACCTCCCCATGCCCTGGAGAATCAACCCGCACATCATTAGTGGCTACCGCTTCTCCGAGACGAAGCTGGCCTGCGTGCGGTCCGCCTTCGGCTTCTCCAACGAACTCTTCAACATCTGGTCTCACGCCATTGGTCTTGTCCTCGTTCTTTCTATTGCCTTCTACTTTTACCCTACCAGCGTCAACTTCTCCCTGAGCACCAAGGCTGACGTCTTCGTCGCTGCCGTCTTCTTTTTTGCCGCTTGCCAGTGCCTGGTCTGCAGCACCATCTGGCACACGATGAACTCGGTCGCCGATGTCAACCTGATCTCCATGTTTGCTTGTGTCGACTACACGGGAATTTCGCTGCTTATTGCCTCGTCCATCATGACGATCGAATACACGGCCTTCTACTGCGAACCCATGAGCCGCTGGACCTACATGGTCACCACGGCCCTTCTGGGCGTCGGCGGCGTCATCCTGCCGTGGCATCCGCGCTTCAACGGCCAGGACATGGCCTGGGCCAGGGTTGCCTTCTATGTCGGACTCGGAGCTACCGGCGCTCTGCCAATGCTGCAGATCGCCTATTCGCGCGGTCCGTCGGTTGTCTGGGAGCTCTACTCGCCGCTTGCCGAGTCCATCCTCGTCTACCTTTGTGGCGCTTTAGTCTATGCCAGCAAAGTCCCAGAGAGGTGGTTTCCCGGCATGTTTGACTATGTTGGCGGCAGCCACAATCTCTGGCACATTGCTGTGCTCGGCGGGATCCTGTTCCACTATTCGGCTATGCAGGAATTCTTCTCGACTGCCTTCAGACGGGCCCAGGACGGTTGCCCAATGTATTAGGGTCTAAATCTGTTGTCTATCATATCCGAGCAGACAGCGGTCGGGGGGGTTGAGGCGTGCCCCATTACGATTGAGGCGCGTAGACGCGGACGAGATTCCACAACCTAGCTGCCTCGCGGCTACTTGGTCTATTAGTCGTTCACGCCACAACGGCGCCACGTCTTTGATATGAGCGAATATGCTCATTCGATCCTTGGGGCTGTTAACAGCTACGTCCGCGAACCCCGTTTCGGGCAGCGGTTCCTGCCCCTATCAACACGAGAACATGAACAGGCCAACGGCGCATATTCCAAACCCGGTCCACGCTAGTGTCCTCCGCTCTGTTCTCGCTCCTGATATCTGGACAGTGAGGCTATTTGTCGATGTTGAGTCGGCATTTGCCTGTCTAGTCGGAATTTCTGTACTCGGTTCGAATTCCACCGAGCTTGAGCCAAGCGTTTTACCGATATATTGTGCTGTTGAGGTGAACGCTCCGGTTGAAGGCCGTTCGACCGCTGCTGTACTGGTTGCCGGCAACTCGAACCCGGCATTCCTGGCACATGCTGCTATGTCCTCATTCTGTGGGGCTTGTCAACGCTTTGTGCTCTCCCAGGGAAAATTTTTCTTCGGCAAAACCTTACATTGAGGCAGCAGTAGCCGGCAACCGGCGCACAATACGCACCTCGGTCGCAGAAGCCGCTATCAATTTCGCAGCATGACTATAGTGGGGGCTCGAGTCAGAACACGTCAACCTGCAGAACGGAGGCTTTTCGGCTTCTTACCTGTCCAAGACCGGGGTTGTAGCAGTGTGCATTGCTCTGTTTCAAATCCAGTTCGTCAGGTCATGTCACCAGGCGGTTGGACAGACGCGGTGCAACAAACACACCTTGCTTCCGCATTGGGCCCATCCTTTCCCATACGTCTGCTCACATGTCCCGAGTTGGGGTGTGGTGTCGTCGTGGTGAAGGGCAACGCCCAGCGGCTTTTGTTCCTGGGCTACCGCCGCATGGCCTACCAGGGACAGGAGAATGACAGCGGGAAACCACATTTGCTATCGTTTTTGGTCTTTGATGATGGCGCCCATCGACAGTGGCGCGCGTGTAGGTTTGGAAATAGGCGTATTTGGTTGGCGGGTATTAAGAAGGAGGTAGAGAGGGTGTGTGTGGCGGTGGTGGGAAGGCGGCATTTAAAGGAGACGAAGTAATGATTTTATATCATAGAGTACAGCGGCGTCCTCCGGTGTGGCTGGTATATAACGATAGAAAGGCAAATAAGAGGGGCCTTTTAGATAACTTGGTTATGATAGAGAGGGAGAAGCAGAATGGGACGGGGTCAGGCGAACGAACCGCTGCCTCTTACCCGGGAACTAATGCCGGTACATGGCCATCAAAATGATAATATATTAATACGCACCATGCATGGCAGCCCCAAAGAGGGTAAATCTTGTTTGGTGTGTGGGTGCGGGAGGGAGAGAGAGTTTGAAGAACTTGGCAGGCTAGGCACGGGAATGGGGATGGGATCCCAATATGAATGAATGGGTTGTAGGATATACTGGCCATCCCTCCCTCCGCTCCGTGGGGTACAACAAGTACATACAGGCAGCCACGGGTAGCGACCCCGAAAGGTTGCCAAGAGGGCGACAAGTCAGCACTCTTTTTGCCATTGTGCCTTACATTCGGGTGTTTCATTGAACATGAATTTTTGTGTCCACGTCTTCAGACTCTCGGTCTTGTTTTTTTCCAACTCGAGAATTTGACACGAATGCAAACGATTTTTGCTCCCTCGCCTTTCTCCCTTGAGACACACTCACTCCTCTCTCCCCCCAGGGACGAGGTTTAAAACGTGTGCCGCGAAACGCGAAAAGCAGAAAACAACACACAACCTGGAACAAACCAGGCTGGCCGGCCGGCTGGCCGGCTGGCTGGCTGGTCTAGACCTTGGTAAAAAAGAAACCTTGACATCTATCCAAGCACGCTGTGCCTCTCTCTTTTCCCTTTCCTTCGGGTTCTCGGCTCCACTGTCCCCCCCTCAAGTGCCGCCGCCGCCGCACTCCGCCTTTGCTGCCGTCACTCATACCGCGCCGCGCCGCCCTAGCAGCAGCAGCAGCAACTCCGTCCGGATGGAGAGATATGCGAGAAACGGGTAACACGGCACGCAAATACAGCTGCGGGCATCACTTTTTGTTTTGAGGTGAGTGAGTGAGTGAGTGAGTGAGTGAGTAAGTGGGTCGATCCGACCCATCCGATCGATTGGATGGATGCCATGCCACGGCTACGTCACATGGTTTAGTGCATTGCATCTTGCGAGCTACGTGCCTACCCAGATGCGAAGGGGGACAAGGTCCAGAACATTCAGAGATGCAGCCAGGCAGGTATGAACGAATTTGTATGCCTATTCAGGGTCAGGGAAGAGTCTCTCTCAGTTTCGTCTTCATCACAAAACTCGAACTCGAACTCAAGCTCTCAAGCTCGGCCCATAAGTGCCTCCTAATTCGCTCTTGTGTTTCAAAGTCCTCAGACTTCCCATTTCGGCCGCCCTTTTCGAGACCAAAGCACAAACGATGGTTTATGTAGACAGGAACAGCAAAAAAAAAACAGAGATATATCCCGCGTTGCCAGAACAATGTGCCCGCCGCACCCCCCCTCCGCCCTCTCTCTTCATGCATTGTCCTGTGAAGTCGCGGCTAATGGCGATGATAATATGCAGCCCAGGACAAGCGGGACTAGGGACGGACTAGGGGGTGCGGGTTGCGGGCTGCGGGTTGCGGGCGAGGATGGATGTTCACAAATCCTTGAGAATTTTGGTTTGAGTTGAGACGGGGCGGGGAATGAATCTAAACACCTTGAGAAACAGCGCCGCCATGGTGATGGATGAGCGGGGTTGAATGAGGTGTCGGGTGCGGGTGAGTTTTTGGCGATGGGCTAGCTGTTGGATGGGATGGACAACTCGAAGGGGATGACAGTACCGACAAATCTAAGTGGGGAAGAAGATTTTTTGTGTTGTTGGTTGGCACTTACAAGAGAAGCCTTGCGAAACATCAATGGATGGATACCCTAACCTTAGGTTGGTGGGTGGATTGCTTCTCAAGATGGACGAGACAGCCGAGGCCGGATTTGAAGCCTACCCAACATAGTACAGAGCGGTGGGAAACCGGGAACACAGGCAGCTGATCAACGGACCTGCAACACGTTGGGGTAGGTGTGGTGTGTTGCATGTCTTTACCGTGTTGCTGTGAAGGTCGTCGGCATCAACCAGATTTTAAGGTAGGCGTCTAACGCTGCCTTGCCGACGGAGCGCTGATGTGTGGAAGTGACAGATCCAGATCCAGATCAGGGAGATCGGCATGCAAGAAGACCGTTCGAAATGGTGCAGTGACCGGCGGGTGGGTGGTTGCGCCGCCCCAGTAAAACATGCGAATGGATGATACGACCTTCCGACCGTTCGTGCATTGCATGCATGTTCGCACGCATGCAGGTACACCACGAATCAATCCACCCATTCAGTATCCCGGCGATACCTAGGCGAACCCTGCCTGCCTGATTCCAGTGGGCGGTGGGCGGCGTCCCGACGATGGGATGCGGGATGCGATGCGAGCCTGCAGCAGTTTGCCTGCCTCTCCCGAAACGCCCCCAACAAGGAAAATGAACTGCCATCGGGCGGCGGAATGCGACGGCGACGGACTTCCGCACCTCTCTCTCTCTCATCTGTCTCTCTATCTCGTGGCGTAGGAAAAAGCTTGTTTGTTGCTTCGACCGTTGTGTTGTTTGAAGAAACGACCCCGTGCAGCGACGACAACAGAGATCACAGGCCCGACTAATCATGGCCAGCAGAGAGATTGGTTGGTGGTTGTGTTGTGTTCCTTCAAACAACTCAATACGCAAAAGACCCAGAGTGGAGAGGAAAGCGACTCCTGTACATACCAGACACACTCCCCCTTTTTCGATTGATTTCATAAATGCATCCACTCTAGTTGTGCCAACATGTCCCATCGACCCATTCATCTATTTCACATCATCACGTCATTTTCATTCTTCAAAACATGACACCCCTCAAAGATAAGAAATTTCCCATCATGTTTCTTTTCCTTATTCCAATATTTCCCTCCCCTCCCAATATGTCAAACGCCAATCGGTGATCCCGCCCGGCTAAATCCCACCGTTTCCAAATCTCCGTCGGCCGCCCTCGACTATACCGGCCCACTATCAGCCATCCCGTCCCGTCTGGTCACGGGGGGGGAGGGATACGGCATCTCATCCGCTTCAGATCGGCCGGGTACTGGTTGTCCGCGGGAAGCCGTGACGGGACCTTATTGCCGTTGTTCTCTGCCTTCCCAACCTAGGTGATTAGAGAAGGGGGGGGGTTGTTTGGGTGTTCCCTTCCTCGTCCGGCCACGTACAATGCCGAAAACCTGACGGCGGTACTGAGAACACGGTGTTCAGCGCGTGAACCCCCCTTTTTAAGCTGCTAGCCTGTTGTCAAACACTGGGGAGACAAATATGGACGCAGTCGTCAATGGGCAGACGTGGCACATCGCTAGACCTATTGCGAACTAACTTGTCCCGGGAAAATGTCGGATTCTGTTTCGACTCTCGTGTTTCCTCGGCGCGGCTCGGTCAAATGGTTGTTTTATGTCCGGGGAAGTCCCAGCTTCCGATTAGACGTTTCTCTTGTTTGTTGCTGCTTGGCGCACTTCACGAGCTAGGCCGTAAAGCTCCGGGAGGCGAGCCATGGGAGGAACGCTGATTGATGCAAACACACACGTACACATACACACAGACTTGTAAACAATGCCAAGTCTTGTTTGTGTTGTTGTTAATACCAGGAAAAACCGTGCGTTTCCTAGGCTTGCCGTGTCAAAAGTAAAACTGGCGAGGAGATCCTGCTATCGGGCATGGGCAACAATCTCGGCGTAGACGTCATCTGGGATCTTTGCTATGATGCCAATAGTCGCGCTCTTGATCTGGTCCGCCTGCAATGCAGGGAACGACCTAAGAAGCTTGTTCGGACTGCCATAGAGGATTTGTTAGTCGCAAGTTCTTGGTAGCCACGAGACAGAGATAAGCTTACCTGGGCGACTCCATAATCTTGGCGCGGATCATGACGAGCTGCGCAACGATGCACAGAATGTTAAGGTGCGGACCGTATGCAAAGAGAAAGTCCCAAAGGCGCAGAACTTCGGGCAAGGGTGGGGTGCAGGCGCAGAGCGTGAGAACCGAGGGGAAGGCATATATCTCGGCCGACATGTTCTTTGAAAGCAGATACAGACTAAGCTTGGGGTCGATGATAGCCAGCACCTTATCGACCAGCGCCAGACCCTTGTGGACGCCGTCCATGGCGCCGCGGATATAGCCAGGGCACTCGCGCGTCAGCAGCTGGTGAAAGCCGATGAAGGCCTCGGCCTCGCTGCGCGCCGCATACAGGAAAGGCGCCGCGAGCACGTTCATGCCCTGGACGTAAGTGCCCGGCTCGGATGCCACGCCGCTCGTCTCGGAACCCTCCGTCGTCAGCGTCAGCGCTCGCGCGCGGTTCTTGGCCGCGGGTGATGAGGCTGCGTGAGACGAGTGTCCCGTACTCCCGTGGCCGGTTCCCGGCCGGCTACCGCCGTTAGAGTGCTCTGCCGGCAGGGACTGGCGGGAGCGATTATTCATACTCGGATCCCGCGCCATTGACATTATGGCCATGGCCGTGCCCGAAGTGCGCCCCTCGCGCGCGTCATAGAGCTTCCACGCGATGGCGTTGAGCAGGCGGATGAGGCTCGCTTCGCTCACGCGGCGTCGGAAGAGTGGGTCCGTTGTCAGAGTGCGGAACGTGTCGTTGCGGATCTTGGAGTAGGCAGGGGAGGCGCCACGATGGATCAGGGCCAGGTAGGCATCAGTCTCGAGGACGGGAGCGTTGAGTAGGATCAGCCAAACGTAGATGCGGAGAGAGGACTATTGTTGGGTGCGCGCGTGGCATGTCAGCTAACACAACCTGTTGACTTTTGGGGGTAAGTAATCTAGTCTCACCATGCCATCGTTGTCAGACTTGATGCCCTGGTCAAGAATCTTGAGGCGCGTACTCTCGAGCGCGCCTTCAACATCGCCATTAGGAGGCCCATCGCGCACAAGCCTCTCAAGAGACATGGCATCGGCGGCCAGCGACCGCCTGCTCAGCGCAGAGCGCTTATTCACTGTCACGAGGCCGAGCGGCGGCTGGGTCAAGGGGGCATCGCTATTGGCGCGACCTCTCTGGGGCGAACGGTTGATGCTAGCATTTCTGCGCGGCGGCGAGGCAGCCCTCTGCTGGCTGTGCTGCTGGTTGTGCTGCTGGATGTGTTGCTGTTGTAGATGTTGGAATTGCCGATCACGCTGATCCCGTTGTAGGAACTGCGGTTGGGATGGAGGTTGGAGTTGGGGCTGTAGCTGAAGCGCCGGTTGCAACTCTCGAAATATCATTGGTGGCCGTTGCTGCTGTTGTTGCTGCGTCTGCGTCTGCGTCTGCGTCTGCGTCTGCTGCTGCTGCTGCTGAAGTTGAAGTTGTTGATACTGGTGGAACTGGAGCTGCTGCTGCTGGAGCCTCTGCTGCGAAATGAGCGACGGCTGGTTCGCAGCCTTTGCTCCCAGGCTATGGGCCGACTGCAATCTCCGGAGGGTGCGATGAGTCCCGGGGGACGGCGGCGGGTGGAGCTGCATCGTGGAGGGCAGATTCAGATTCAGATTGAGATTCGGACCCGGACCGGGAGGTGCAGGCGCAAGTGCAGGCGCCATGTGGATGGCCGCCTCCTTGGAGGGGCTCGACATCTTGTCGCTTTGGTGATTCAGCTCGCGCAGAGTCATTGCAGCAATTGAATTTCGCACCGCTTGCGCAAACTCGTTGTAGGGTGAGCTGTCAAGTTGCGCTTTGTGAGGCAGTGACGTTAGCGGTGTGCGCCTCCCCGAGCCTTAGCGGCGTCGTCGACTTTCTTTTACCCAAATAGGCCCGAGCGGGGGAGCTAGCGCTCGTGTCGTTTTCGCGACACCGCGTCTCCTGCCCACACTTCCGTCCAATTATTTCGTATTGTATTACGGAACATGGGGCCAAAAGTCTTCGTTAATCTGCTGGGCTAGCCTTACGTAAGGGCAGTGTCTAGAAGATCCCCCTACCTATAGATACTGTGTAGGCACTCCGCTAAAAATAAAAATAAAAAGTGTTAGCGATGAAGCCACTAGCCCGTAGCGATCTCAGCGCTAGAATATAGCTGTAAGCCCCTAAAGCTGGAGAGATAATATAGTTCTCACAAGCACTGTCCTTACGTAAGGCAGGTACAGGAGACTTTTGGCCCCATGTTCCGTACTGCTGCCATCTACGGACCTCGCCATCCCCAAGGCTTTGCTTTCGATAAAACAGAAGTTCAAGACGTCACTGCTTTCTTAGCGCCCCAAATTCATTTTCTTTCTTTTTGCAATGCTGTCGTCTTTGCATGGTTGTATTAAGATTCTTGGCGATCGTGAAGCGCCTATCTACTCCCCGCATTTGCAGGCGACCCTACACCAGGCCTGCAACTGCAATTTTTCAATTCCCATTGTCTCGGCGAATGACAAACGAAAAAAAGCAGCCCACCCATAGAGGAGGTAAAGAGAAGAAAAGAAGAGGAACATGAGTCAGAGATATTGAACAGTGTCTCGCTCGTGGGTGACACCAAACCCTCTGATTTGTCCTGTCGTGGTCATCCGGCAGCGGGTTCTCCGTCAGCCGAGTCACACTCGAGGGCTCGAATAAGCTGATTGGTAATAAAGCTACGTACTTGGTGCCTCTTCAAAATTTACAAACCTACCTAGGTAGTTTTCAGTGTTGGGCATCCCATATCGCCGAACTAGACCACTTTGTAATGCGCTGCCTGAGGTCGAGATTACTACTCTAAACCTCAGGCAGCAAGTGCTAGAACCGAATACTACCAGAGGCTGAGTGGGGATCCATTGCCGGCCCCGAAGCGGCGTCCCCGGCTTCCTGAACAGGACATAAAAAGAAATGTGATTGGTCAGGGCGTGGCCGCCTGACGGGACTCCGCGTTTGGCTCGATAACGTCATCCCGAAATCTCGCTCAGATCTCGATGGGTCGAATGCTACCTCGAGTTTTTCACGCCTAATTTTATCGTCTTTGATACATATACCATTTCGTTGGGTTTCCACCGTTTATTCTTGCATGAGAGGGCTCTCCGGTCTTCGGTATTCTTTTATACAACTCGCCGGCTCCACATGAAATGAACCCACCCGGAGGCCGTTGCCAAGCCAAGTTCAAGATTGGGCCTGCATCCAAGCTTTCGGCATGTGCAAGCTTAGATCGATGGGAGCCAAGACTCTCTGTGGATGTCAGATCTTTCAGACAACCTTGGTGAAAGCTCGAGCCTAGCAGCCGACGGAGCGTCGATGTATCGCGTATTGAACCTAAAGAGACCCGAGGTTCTTGCGCTTGTCGGTCTCGTGGCTGACAGCTCAATCGAGCACACAATTTTGGCTCTCATTGCGCCATCGTCTCCCCACCACCTTAGGTTCCCAGGCTGCGGGAATCGGTGTGGGAGTCCCACGCCTCCAAACCTTCCTTACTCCTTTGTAAAGGAGCCCCTCAGCCTATCCTGACCGCGATAGGGAGCACAAACGCGCGAATTACTGGCAATGGAATGGGAACCGGCGGCCCACCCGACCCTCCACAGCCTCACAGTTCCCCGGCATGATGACCTTGCTGGGAAGCAAAGGTGTGATGGTGTCTACAACCGTGAGGCTGCAATACCTTAAAAGCTTAACTCCCTGCCAGGCCGGAGGCGCGTGGTGCTGACATGCCGACCTGCGCAACTTCCATTCTCATTTTTGCCCATATCATACCTTCCATACCTGCCTTAAGGTAACCTTAGGCAATGGAAGGCAGCGCATTTCGGGCCCCGCCGTTGCCAGTGCCCATTCTGTGCTTCCACCCTAGGTTTCTCCAGCTGCTTAATTTATTAGGTGAACTCGCCGATGGCATCATTTCGTGACAAACTACTGTGGCAACGCAAACCCAAGGATGGCCCCTGTGTTCCCCACCGTGCAGCATCCTCTTTCCCTCTCCCTCCGCCCCTGGTCCCTTCTTGAGTTCTCGAAGCAAGCAAGAAGCTTGCCCATCCCCACGTTATTCCTGCGCTCTGGGTTGTGAGAGGCAAACAAATCGATTGCACCATCGCCGCCATCTCGCCGGTGCCCACTCGCAACCTGTGTTGGTCTCCGCTCTGTATCTATAGATGTCAGTCGCCCCGAGCTACTTAGGACCGCCCAATCACAACCTCGCATCACCTTGCTTTGTCGATATTCGGCGATACAGCAAGCTCTCGTTTCGTACGATACCCTGACTTTACTTTTCGGCTTCTCTTTTTTTTCTTTCCTTTTTTCTCTAGGACGAAGACTCTAGTCTGGGCCACCCTCGATTTTCCTTAGCCTCTTACCGGCTTCCAGGTTGGGTGGTTAGACCCTGCTTGTTATCGTTCCCTCGGCTGTCTTAAGGTCCTGCCTGGATCTGAAGAGCTTCCGCGGAAGTCACCACCAAGACACTAGGTACCTTGAGTGCCTTGAAAGTTACTTGTGGAATCAAAGGCGGATAACCTAAGGCATCTCGACTTTACATACCTTATACTCGCAAATCCTAAAACGTGGCTCGCATCTTCGCTATCGTTGGTGATTTTTCCATCATTACGACACAGCCCAATGTTTGTCGCATCTCATCAACGAACAGCATACCAGCCAGCTTCACCTCTAGACAGCTCCAGCCAGTTCCAACTCCAGCTCCACCGCTGCCGTTAATTTGACTTCTGAAGCTTCCACGGCATCTCAAGACGTCCGTCTGATCTGTGCTGCTTTTATATCCGGTATCATCCAGGCACCATCTTTTTGTCACCTCCGCGGCCCATTCTACTTTGTCTTAGCTGGTTGCCACTATGCTCGCCATCTAGACCTGGAACCATCTAGACAATCCGGGGACAGACCTCAGTTCCACAGGAGCTTCGGCTGTTGTCCGCCCAAGCGACAGACATTCGGCTCTCCCATCCTCTAGCCTTGTACCACCGAGGTCCCCGCAGAAAGCGGCAACGGCCAACTTCGGGGTCTCCGCCTCGTTCCCGCACACCGGAACCCTGTCGCCCTCTCCGATTGATCGACCGCGACATTGCACTGGTTAACACCGCATCCCCTTCCAGTATATTTCCCGGGGCTTCCCGTCTTCCCTCGTTCTGAGGTCTATCACTCCGGTCGCCATCAAACAACCACAGCTTTGCGACGTCGATATGGCAACAAAGGCTGGCCATTTGTTGGCGAAGGGCCTGGGCATCAAGCTCAGAGCCGGAGAGCCGTACCAGGATGAAGTTAGCCGTGGCGAGTCTGTCCTGTCCGGCCAGACAGGCGAGACCTTTATAGAGGAGCTTCCTCGGACAGCCGACGTCTTTCTCAACACCATGCCCTCTAGCGCTCAGATCCAGTCGTATATGCTGTCTCTCTTTCCATTCCTATCATGGATCAGCTTTTACAACCTGCAATGGCTCATAGGGGATCTCGTTGCTGGTAAGAACGCTCCCCCAACCCTTTCCTTTTTCTTTAACCCACATTCGAGAGCTTCGGCCCGCTAACGGCCCCAACCTTCCCAAACTCTAGGTATCACCATTGGCGCTGTTGTCGTTCCCCAGGGGATGGCATATGCCAAGCTGGCTAATCTACCGGTCCAGTTTGGCCTCTACTCTTCATTTATGGGGGTCTTAGTCTACTGGTTTTTTGCCACGTCCAAGGATATCACTATCGGAGTAAGTTAGCCTCTCGCCCACACCACAGTTAGCTCAGAGTTGCTTATACCGGAACAGCCAGTTGCCGTCATGTCACAAGTTACCGGCAGTGTTGTCGCGGACATGAAGATCGCGTTACCCGATGTTCCAGGTCACGTTATTGCATCGGCCCTCGCTATTCTGGCGGGAGCCATCGTCATATTCATCGGGCTCATTCGCTGCGGCTGGATCGTCGACCTCATCTCCCTCACTGCACTTTCGGCCTTTATGACGGGCTCAGCTATCAGCATTGCCGTCGGCCAAATTCCCACTATGATGGGCATCACGGGCTTCTCGACAAGAGATGCGTCATATCTGGTCTTCATCCACACTCTGCAGGGACTTCCTAGGACGAAGTTGGACGCTGCTATGGGGCTGACGGCTCTTACAATGCTATATCTGATCAGGGGGTTCTGCTCCTTTGCTGCACGTCGGTGGTCACAGCACCAACGGCTCTTCTTCTTCCTCTCGACGCTAAGAACTGTGTTTGTCATTCTCCTATACACACTCATCAGTTACTTGGTCAACAGGGGTCTTCCCGAAAAACAGGTCAAGTTCAGCATTTTGCTCACTGTCCCGAGAGGCGAGTTTTCCCATCCTTTTCTTTTCGTGACCTACAGGTTATGCTACGTATTTTGGAGCGCTAAAATGGACTGTAATAGGTTTCCAAAACGCAGCTGTTCCGGTGCTCAACGAGCGTGTTGCGAGTGGCCTACTCAGCTACCTGCCCGCCACCGTCATCGTCTTGTTGATTGAACACATTGCTATCTCCAAGTCGTTCGGACGCGTAAACAACTACAGGATTGACCCGTCGCAAGAGATGGTGGCCATTGGCGTTACCAACATGCTGGGTCCGTTCCTCGGCGGGTATGCCGCGACCGGCTCGTTCAGCCGTACCGCCATTAAGTCCAAGGCCGGCGTTCGCACGCCGTTCGCGGGTGTCATTACAGCTTGTGTGGTTCTGCTGGCCATCTATGCTCTACCCGCTGTTTTCTACTATATCCCCAACGCCTCGCTGGCTGCCGTCATCATCCACGCGGTTGGAGACCTCATCACACCTCCCAACACAGTGTATCAGTTTTGGCTCATCTCGCCTCTTGAAGTCGTCATCTTCTTTGCTGGAGTGTTTGTCACCGTCTTCTCCACCATCGAGAACGGTATTTACACCACTATCTGCATGTCGGCTGCGCTGCTTCTTTACCGAACTCTCCGTACGAGGGGCCGGTTCCTGGGTCGTGTTAGGGTGCACTCAGTTCTGGACGACCACGTCATCGGTGATAGCCGCCAGGCCGTGAGCGAGTATGGGACGTTCACGGGCTCGGCAGAGGTTCCTTACCGGAATGTCTTTTTGCCCATAACGCATGCTGACGGCTCCAACCCGGAGGTGGAGCTTGGCAATCCTTACCCCGGCGTCTTCATCTATCGGTTTTCGGAGGGCTTCAGCTATCCCAACGCCGGCAACAGCTTGGAGTACATGGTGCAATTCATTTTCTCCCACACACGCCGTACCAATCTCACTAACTTTCAGCGACCCGGCGACCGTCCCTGGAACGACCCTGGTCCGTCTCGCAGAAAGCTCAAGGCGGCTGCTGCGGCGGGCCTTGAAGCTGGGATGGCTGATGTGGACACTTCGCTGCCGACTCTCAAGGCTATCATCCTGGACTTTAGCTCGGTTAATCACGTCGACATCACGTCTGTGCAGCAGATGATTGATGTTCGCAACCAACTCGACCGCTATGCGTCTCCCAATGTCGTGGACTGGCATATTGCTTGTATCACCAACCGCTGGACCAAGCGCGCCCTCGTCAATGCCGGTTTCGGCTACCCGACAGAGCGCGGTGACGGACCGCGCACGCGTTGGCGAAGTATCTTCAGTGTGGCCGAGATCGGCGGCTCCCAGAGTGCTGCTGCGGCAGCCGAGCTCGAAGTTAACGAAAAGGAGCTCGGTCCTCAAGCGACGCGGACAGCAGACGCCGAAGTCGGCCTGGGCCTTCACAAGAGCGGCAGCAGTAGTGAGGTCATGACCGCTCAGGCCAAGGGTGCTAAGAACGTCAAGAGCCGAAATCCTCGGACTCGCGCCGTTCCTGTTCATGGCCACAACCGACCCCTCTTCCACGTCGATCTGACGAGCGCCCTACAGAGTGCCATTGCCAACATTGAGGCGAGAAACGAGAACGAGTCTTCGTCTGAGACGACTGTGGCCGAGGGAAGTCCTACGAGCACTAAGTGATGTGCTTCTAGATGGGTGCCTTACCGTGGCAAATATGGGTGATGAACGAGGGGCTGCTTTAGGGTCGATTTATTCTCGCAAAAGTGTCTGGTATTGACGATGTTCTGTTATTTGGCCGGGATGATCAAGAGCTCTGACTTGGTGGTCCCAAATTGCTATGGTTTTAGTGGGGGACGGTAAAATGGGAAAGGGGAAGCGTATCTGCGATGACATAAAGATAGGCGGCGAGCAATTGCGTTGGCTGGAGGGAAATGCGTTTGTCCCAGAGCTTCAGCTTCATCAGCCTGGCTTTGGGATGCGCCTGTGTATGATATTTGGCACCTATCGTGCTCGATTTCGCGATACCCATTACACTTAGGAGCTAGCTCTTTAGACTTAATCCTGAAAAGGCCAAACCTACTGCGGTATCGACTTAGAGATAAATGATATTTGAATTAGGTATTTCAAGGCCAAATAAGCTCTCACAAGCTGACAACAAAGGGTCTGGAAAGACAGGGTATCTCGGCTTGAAATCAACGAGAAAATTGTGTGGCTTATTAAGCAAAGGACCGGGTAGATAACATATCACGGGAAGTGGAGACAAATCACAACACCTTGAATTACTCGAAATAAACTAATTGGTATAAACCAGTAAACGGCAATAAAGATTAACACGCTAAAGCGAATCTGCTGATATGATTAACCAACTACCAGGTGTTCATCTAGAACGATGCTAAATATGCAAACAGTAGGAAGCAAAACAAATAACCAAATAACAGCTAGCTGGCCAAGGGGTAGGTAGGTATTCAACTATGCATGCCGGATAACGTGTGTGATAAGCGAGATGAACAGACAAGCGAGTTGAACAATTTCCACAACCTCACCACAACTACCCTCAATTACACAACCACAACACTAGGAAATAACAATAACTGAATCGGAAACAGATGAATCAGACGATTCTGCAGCCTCCTTGCACGTACGTGCATTATGGCCAGGCTTGCCGCATACGCCACAGCATCGAATCTTCGAACGAGACCCCCCTGCACCACCACCATTTTGTCGTGTTTCCTGGACCAACTGCCCACCCACAGCCTTCTGATCCAGTAGATCCTGTGCCTCTTGTACAGTAAGTGATCCTCCAAGCCGAACACGTGTTTTCTTGGCTCTCCGTCGCTTACTAAGCCCCTCATTGGCCTTCCGAAGTGCTGAGACCTCTGTACGCAAAAGAGCCACCTCGTGCATCATAGCCATCGTACCTTTAGCTAATCGATCCACAGCAGTCAGCATTGGTGTTGGAGAGCTGCCCTGATGGTTGGAAATTCGAGTTTTGATGAACGCTGACTGTGAGGCAGCCTCTCTCTGGTTTTGTGGCGTTTGGGAGACCCAAGGTAGCGATGTAGTTGGGCTTGTAGCTGGGGGTGTTGGAGTCCGAATACGCACATCCAGCTTGGATATCACCCTCTCTGGATCGTACGGCACAAGGCCGGCTCCAGCAAACCCCCCCTGGATATTCCTTTCCGTAACCGAAGCAAAAAACGCCTCTCTAAACCCACAAAGAAACTCCAGCTTGCTAATATGTGTGATGTTCATCCGCATCAGCTGCTCAATCTGACAGCCGTACGCCTTCTTCAACGGCCCAAAGCAACCAACATCCAATGGCTGAAGTAGGTGTGAAGAGTGCGGAGGCATACAGAGTGTGATGATGTTGTGCTCCCGGCAGTAAGTCTCGAATTCTTCGGAGTGGTGGCTATCGTGGCCGTCGAGAATTAACAGTCGGTATATTCCCTTCGTACGAGATGCTGTGTGGAAATCGAAGTGCCGAATCCAATCCATGCCTTTCTCATTAGTAGTCCAGCCATTGTCGGTTGTTGCGATACGCCAGGTACCCGGAAGGTTGCACTCTTGATACCAGTTAGCAAGGTGATATTGCCCAGCTAAGATAATGAATGGTGGGATAGTCCAGCCTAGAGCATTCACTCCTTGGATGACTGTAGCCCACTCTCGATTACCAGGCTGGGCTTGCTTAGCCCTACCACGGCCATCAGAGGTAGTAACTACCATAGCGGGGATGATAATGCCCATCATAAAGCCGGTCTCGTCGAAATTGTACAAATCTTCGTCAAGGATACCGTACTTGGCCTTCGTGTTGTGCACAAGCGCAAACCACTCGCGAATAACTTTTGGATCTTCGCATTTGGCCCTCTGGTAGTCGTATTTACGCGTAAAACGCGTCCGAAGTTCTGGCTGGCGCTTGACGAAGTTGTGAGCCCAGCGTGTACCGACAGAGGGCGCGTCGCGTTCGCGTAGCAATCGATTGGCCATATCTTCTACGTACGAAAGCCGGGGATGAAATGCGCGTGCACATAGCTCAATGATGTACTGAACAATCGTTTTCTCTTCCAAATCCGTAAGCTTACGCGAATTGGCTGGAGTATCACGTCGTGCAGGTTTGCCGTCGCGTCGGTTGCGTATAGTATTTACCGTGACTTGATATGTTGTTGCTGCAGCTCGAATACTGAGTTTTGGGTCGTTTTGAATAGCCCTGAGGGCCAAATTCACCCTAGCTTCGTATGAAGGAAGAGACATTTGAGTTTGTTGAGGAATTTGGTGTTTTGTAGAGAGGAGGCGCGTCGCGTCAAAAGTGTTCAACTCGCTTGTCTGTTCATCTCGCTTATCACACACGTTATGGGATATAAAATAAGATAAAATGAACCAAAGTAGAAAATAAACAAGATCCCGCCACGATATCACCCCGCCACGATATAAAAGGTATTCATTTCCTCCTCCAAAGGTCTTCCATATTCATCCATCCAATCATCCCATTCTTATCTCATCAACTTTTTTATGAACAACCAAAAGGAATCCCCTCCCAAAAAAGTTTATCAAGGCAAACCAAATCTCTGCCACGCCACGAACAAAAAACAAACAACACACTTCCAATACGTATCCTAACTTTTTTTCCCTCTGCCAAATTAACAATAACACCTCTAATCTAATCAACAAACACCTCTGTAAAATCCCGTATCCCGCCTCTCTTTCGTATAATACTGCACTCCATATCTTTAGAGTCCTTTAGCACCGTTATAAGCAAATGGCAAGATCTATTTACTAGCTCCTCGCCGTAGGCTAATGAAGCGCTTTATCCCGGAAGGCGCAGCTGGGTTAGGGGGGTTTGCGCTAGCAGTAGCAGCACCGGCATTCTGGACATCCTCGGGGAGGTCTTCGTACCACAGCTTGGGGACGATGAGGCGGTAGGGAACGGTAGAGCCGCCGGGGTCGCGGGGGCTGATCTCGACGTTAAGGCAGACCTCGAGGCCGCCCTCGAGGTTGACGACAAAGTCCTCGGCGCGCTTGCGCTGCTTGACCGAGAGGCCGGTCGGAGCGCGGTGGAAGGGCCGGGGCGCAAAGTCCTGCTCGGGCGCTGCGTCACCGGGCCCCGGTGCTGCCTTGGGCATGCCGACCATGGGCGCCGCGGGTACGGCGCCGCTCATCATTGCAGCGGCAGGGGGGCTGGGCGCCGGGTCTGGGGGGAGGGGCTTGTCGTTGTGGGAGTGGTCTCGAGCAGTCGCTGCTGCCGCCTTGACGGAGAAGTAGCTCTCGTCGCCGTCAGCGTACTCGCGGCTGTAGCCTTCTCCGTTATCGTCATCGTTGGTATCGCTGCCGCTCACAGACTGGTGGTGATGGCCAGCGGGGCCTAGGCCGCCTCGCAGACCAACACCACCGCCGCGGTGTTGGGGGTCGTAGCTGTAGCTGTCATCCTCGTCGGTCTCGGCACCCCAGTTGCCGTTGATACCGCCGTCATCGTGCTTCTTAATACTGCTGCGCCGACGGAATAGCCCGCCGAACCGACCACTGATGGAGGACCCCGAGAGTGTCCGTGTCAACAGACCAGGTGGTTTCTGCTGATGGTTGCCAACTTCGTCCGCACTGGCAATGCCGGCGCGACGGGACAGGGTACGAAGCAGGCCGCCCGAGATGGGTGGGCGAGATCGGTCGTGAACGCCATCGGGCCCGTGGAAGGACGGCCCACGGTTGCGCGACTTGGAGAGGCGGCGGAAGAGGCTCACTGGGCCGCTGCCACCGCCGCCGTTGGCCACACCCGGAGGAGTGTCGAGGGGGGTGAAGTCGTGTTCCGAGAGGTCGGGAGTGTGTGGCGGCGTGTTCCCGGGCACGTACTCGCGGATTGAGCACCAGTTGCGGTGCGGGAGCAGGCGCTTGTTATTGCGCGGTTTCCCATCGACACCATGCTCGAAGATGGGGATCATGTCCTCGTCCGTCTCCTTGTCAAAGTGGTGCACCTTGTTGCGCTTATTGAGAATGTCGGCCATCAGGTCGGGCGGTGGAGTGTTGACGATGGCCGATGAGATCACATTTGGAATGTACCTAAAGTCCTTGTGCTTCACATGCCCAAGCTTTGGGTTCGAGTAGAACTGGCCGATAGCCGCGAGGTGCACATCGCCACTGGGTAATACTATCAGTCTCGGGCTGCAACAGCAAGATAATTGCAGAGTTCTAGATTCAAACTTACCTGAGGATCGTGATTCTGACAGACTTGCTTGCCGCTAGGTCTTGTAAGTCCTCCATTATAAGGGCCCGCTCGTGTTTGTGGTTCTTGGCTGTCCAGTGGTCGTCCAGATCGTCGAGAACTTCAACGCCACCGTCGAACTTATTGAGAAACCCGCCAAAGAGGCCGAGTTTACCGAGAGCCTTGACAGGGTCCAACATTCGAGACGTCAAGCTGAACAAGGGAGTGTCAGCTGAGATATAATAGAGAAAAGGGGGATAAAATGCACGGGTACGAAGCAGTACTAGCAGAAAACTTACATATTCTCGAGCCACACTAACCGTGGGTAGGCTACAGGTACGCCCAAGAGGACGAGGAGGTGCTCTGTCTTGCCCTTGTCGATTTCGGCATAGCAACGGTCTATGATCTTGTTCCACGTGTCCTCGCGGATTACGTCCTCGCGCGTCCTCTCTGTGCGGGCATCGACGGCGAGGAGTGCAACCTTTGCTCCCAGGTGCATGAACAAGCTGCGGCTCCGCTCTGTGATGTACGGCCCCGGCCGTTCACCCAGGGTCCAGCTCGGCTCCGTTTTTTCCGTCTCCTCGACGGTGCTCTGGTGCTGGAACAGCATGTAGTACTTGAAGGCCACGTTGCCAAGCCCGGAGAAGACGGGCGAGTTCATGAAGTGGTGGGGGTAAGAGCCGAAGCCGTCGATGATGTCGTGGTCATCATACATGTTGACCATGGGGATCTGCGAGTTGGCCATGCCGAACAGGCCCTGAGAGAACCACATGGCGTAGCGCTCCAGATAGAAGGTTTCGAGCTCGTTCTGCATCTCGGTAGTAAAGGGCGCATTATGCTTGTGCAGGGGATTCTTGATCATGAGCCACTCCCTAAAGAGCTTGGTCTCTTGCATGCACTTATCGTTGTAGATTTGGTCGCCGCCGCCGATCATGACGTGGAAGGGCTGGCTCTGGTGCGAGTTGAGCACATCGCGCCACATGGGGTCCGGTCCGCTGAACTGGTCGGGATTAACAGTCATGCTGAAGCCATTGCAGCTGTGGAACATGATGTTCATGGCCTGGCCCTTGGCCGGCACCCAGAACCCCGTCGACGGGCCTCTATTGATCCGGTACGCGATGCGCTGCTGCTTCTCGCCCAGCTCGACCTCGATGTTGAATCTCCAAAAGGTATAACCCCGCTCAGCGTGCAATCTGAAGCCTCGGACGTCCTTGTATTTGCCTGCCTTCTCCCCGTCAATGTCGGCCCGCTTTCTCCTGGCGGCAAACGAGCCTGGCGGATCTACCACGCCCTTGCCAAGAGGCATATCGGACGGGCTCTTTGACTTTTCAAACAAGCCGTTGTCCGTTTCGTCTCTCGACAGGTCTTTGGCCTCATCAAGATGGTCTACCGGTCTCACATAAAGAGTCTCGCCCTTCCGGCCAAGCTTTGGGTGGCCCGCAATGGGATCGACGTACTCGGGCGCCAGGGGCTCGTCACCTTGGATCTCCCTTGGAGGAGGCGGCAGTAGCTCGATGGGCTGGACAAATAACCTCAATGTCGGGGCGATATCATACGACGAATCGGCATCCGTCGTGACGATCATGACAGAGCCTCTCCATATTTCCTTGTCAACTACGGTCCCGGCCCCGTCCTGTGCTGAACGGCTAGGCACGCGCTCGTACCGCAGACCACAGTATCTCAGTAACGGGCCGCACTTCAAGTACAGTGGAGGCTTGAATCTCGTAGGGGCTGTGAGTGCGGGGGTGCGCGAGGAGACGCGGTTGCAGTTAGTGGCTTGTACAGGCAATACTGATAGTTGTCAAGGAAAAAGAAATAAGCATACCATTTGTGTCATCATATTCGCCCTTGAACGCCTCGGCCTTCTTTGGTCGGGCAGCCATGCTGCCTCTTCTTTTGCTCCCTTCCCACCAGGGGGTGGCCCTGTCCCCGTCCGCAACTGGTTGCACGTCGTCGAGGTCAAGGTGGGCACCATCTAGGGTTCCGACCGTGGCTGTCTTCCATTCGTCGAGGTACGGCGTGGGCTTGAAGATACCCATACCGGGCTGGAGTTTGTCTCGCGCACGGTAGATGTAACCAGAGACATGATGCGACTCTTCGTCCGTGTCGCTGTCGCTTCTCGCGTCCCGCCTTGCATGAAGGCGGGAAGCAGCGCTGGCCGGAACGGCGGTTCCCACAGCAAAGGCAGCAACGGCACCTGGCGCCGGGCCGTTATTTACAAGACCCGGACTCCCCCGTGTTCCGTTGGCCGGCGGTTGATAGGATGGGCCTAGCCCCAGTATCTGGTCGGCCTTTCTTTGGCTAGCCGACTTGACGAGCTTTGCTACGGCAGGCGGAGTTGACACCTGGTAGTCGTCGTCGTAGTCGTCTGCGAGACGCCGTGGCTGCACATTGGGCTCAACACGCCCCGGTGCGCCGGCTGATCTATGAGCTACAGCTACAGCAGCTGCAGGCCCGCCCTCCCTTACCTTGCGCGGCGCTGGGCCGGTCCGCATTTGCACAGGCGGCAGAAGTTCCTCTGAGCGTTCAGGCCAAGGATCAGCCGGGGGGTTTTTCTTGAGCTTATTGGTGCCGCTCCTTATTAATGCAACGCCGCTCATTGGCGATTTCGCTGGCGATGACGCTTCGATGGTCGACGAGGGACCGTCTAGCCCGTTGGCCAGTTTCATCTCATTTTTCGCTGCGCGTTCGCGAAAGCTGAGATTCCGCTGTGGGATACCGGATTGCTGCGCGCCCGAGCTTGGGATAGGTATTCGCGACTCGGGCGCTTGAGCTCGCGGCGACTTCTGGTTGGCGGTGTATCTCCGCCCTTCCTCGGGGGGGTTTTGCGAGAGAGGGCCGTGCTGTATGGCTACGCCCTGTGCAGCCCGTGTGGGCGTCACTGGCGCCAGCGAATTCGGCTTTGACTCCTCCTGGCCGGGCGTGGAGGGTTGGGTTTGCTGGTAACGAGCTTGTTGGGACGTCAGGCTCCGGTCGGCCTGCTGCGCTGGGGCTGGGCCAGTTGCTGGCGCCGCTACTGCTGCTGTTGCGGGCCCAGCAGCCCTCTCCCGCGCGGCTCTTTCGGCCGCCTCTGCGCGTGCCCGTTTATCCTCTTTGGAGATGCTGTCCAGCGTCAGCTCAAGCCTCTGTAGCGGTGAGCGGTCGACTGCGAACATTTTCGATCGGTCAGTGGGGTGGTTCGCCAATGGCCTCCTGTTGTTCCTATACTGCAGCACCTGGTCGGCGGCAGAGGCCCTGCGCTTATGGCCGCCTGTCTCGTCGCGCATCGACATGTTTCTGGCGAGTGCGGGATCGGTGCTGTTGCGCTGACTTTGGCCATGGCCCTGGTCCCGGGAGGCGGCGTTGGCAGCTAGCGTGGTTCGCGCCCTGTCCAGAACCGGGTGGTCCTCGCTCAGCCCACCCGAGGTCGGGGAGCTGCGGTACTCGTCGGCGTCCATCTGCCTGCTGGGGCGCGGAGGCCCCGGTGGGTACGCGTGTGCCGGGCCGCTCCCGGAGGAATGCCTGTAGCTGATAGGTGGAGCTCGCGGTACTTCGGGGGCGGCGGGAGGCGGGGGCCCGGAGGGGGCCGAGTAGTCGTGGTCGGAATCTTGGTTGCGACTTCTGCGACGGCGGCGGTTCTCTGCAAGTTCCGGGGGGTACTGGTTGGCGCCGTAAGGGAGCGAGGGGGGGCGGGGGGCCAGTCCTCCCTGGAAGCTTGAAGCGGTGGGAGACACGAAGGGGCTCATAGTCGAGTCGGTCAGCGCATCGGATTTTGTAGTCTGGACCGAGACGCGGTTCGACTGCGGCTGAGCCTGGACGGCGCCATCCAATGACTGGGGACGGTCGCCGCCCGTTGTCAGATCATCCGACAGGCGATAGGCCTTAGCTTGAACAGCTTTGGGCGGGGGGAGCTGGCCCCAGTAGGGAGTTGACATGTCGGCTCGGTTGGGCTTCTGCGCCAGGTACGGAGAACAGCACGTCCACGTCCGGCTACGTATAGCTCAACTGCCGCCCGTTGCAGACCCGGGGGGTGGAACGACAGGTGGGCGATGGCGCCTCCAACCCTGCTCTGGGGGGTCTCGTGCCTCGTCGGCGTCCCCTGTGGCCCGTTGTCTCTGTGTCGTGTCGTGCGTCTGGCAGTCTGATAGCTCCTGACGTCGTCGCTCGCCAGCCTCGACAGCAGCGTGGGGTGGTGTGTGGAAGATGCTCGTGCTGTCGAGTGCTCGAGCTAGCTGGTGTCCGTAATGCTGCTTGTAGGTACCTTGAAGTATGTAGGAAGAAATGCTGGTATTTCGTGCGAGAGGCGAGTGTAGTGCGGTGCTTCAATGGCTGGCTGCTGCTGCTGCTGTCTGGTCTTGGTAGTCTTGGGTCCTAATAGGGCTGGTTGTGCTGGCCATTCGTCCACGAGCCCTGCAGGTTTCCATAATAGCCAATGTCGTACAGACACATGCGCCTCGGGCTGCAATCGAGCAAATAAATCGAGCAAATCGAGCAATCCACGACAACGGCTCGCCCGGGACCAGGTCGCCTCGCTATAAGCCAAAAGTACGGTGCACAGATTGCGGGCAAAAAAAAGAAGAGAAGAAGCGCGGCGGCCAGGACAGCCTTGTTCGTAGACACCAGCACCGAGCCTTGAAGGAACGAGATGGAACTGGAGCTTCCTTGCTTGCTAGAGGCGCTTGGGCGGAAAGATTGCTGTCTTACTCTTCCCTGCCGTCCAGTCTTGGCACGAATTAGGCCGGGCTGGGGGTTGGGATCGCACCTTCTCCAGCTCTCCCACCTCAGCACCCGCGACCAGGGCCTCGTGTGCCTCGTCGCCCACACAAAGCTAAGCCAGCAGCGTCTAAACCCCATCGTTTGCAAGGGTCAGCACCACACCTAGAGGCTGACAGCCCACTTGACAGGGGTGCTAAAAATCGGAAGGCGGGAAGCTCCCCAATCTTCGGGAGCTTGGCACCTCCACCTACAGCCGCGCATTTGGGGAGCCCTTTCATCTTGCAGGCAGCTGTGGTGGTTGGGGAGGGATGAAATCGAAATCGAACCTGGAAGCTTTTGGCGCCCTTCGATGCGATGGCGGGCTCGGATCCTGGCCCGAAACTTCTTTTCTTGTCTCGGGATGCGCGCGCGCGCACGCCACCCATTGTCAACTTCATTCACGGTTTGCTCCCGCAGGACCCTACTATATGTACTTCATATGTGTGTGCATGGGAAAGCCGGGTCGTTTCCCAATCGAGGGACCAATGCCCTTGCTACCTAATGGGCAGCCGTTGGACAGCTGCAAGCTAAAAGAAGAGAATTGGAACCGTCGGACTCTAGAGGCTCGTTTTTACTACCAAGTGCAGAGTGTCCTTACTATTATATGTTACTATCATATGGTCATCTATACATACATATATGGCACCTTAGTTATTTAGGCACTCAAACTGGGCAACATCTACTATTACGTGGTCGTCTGCTCGACAGGTCGTCCAAGAGTGACCTCGCTCAGTCTGTCACCGCCTCTCTCTGTTTTGTGGGTTCGACAATCAAGTCCGCAGGTCCACACGACACTTCCCGCTCCCCCCGAGACACCCGCTATTATACAGAGAGTGTGCGTCTCGTGGCACTCCGGTAATATCTATTATGGGCACATTGCTGGATAGTCAAAAATTCGACGGCCAGGTCGCCCGTTGCACAGGCGACTGAGATGATGGGACGAGATGGCGGCGTCAGGGGCGGGGCGTGCCGTTTCGGAGTGCAGTGTGGAGACGGTTGTCTCAGAAGCGGTTGTTTGTCTGCCCCATCGCCGCGCGGACAAGCAAACGCAACATGTTAAATCCGTACGGCACAGCTATCTATAAAGACAAGGTTGCGGCGTAGATCAGCTGTCGGGCTTGTCTCGACTCCTGGCGTCGAATTTGCGGTTTAAGTATCTTCGGTTGGAACCAAGACTTGCGGAGAGGTTGATACTCCACACATAATAAACTTTACAGACCGAGTATTCCGTAATACGTAAGTAGGTAGTGGGGGAGTTTTAGATAAGAAATCGAGACCGTTCAACAATCCAAATGGAGACTTTTGCTCTATAGATCAATTTTATCAACGGATGAAAGAACCTAGGTACTGAAAAAGAGGAGAATAGTAGCTTATATCAACAGGTAACTCCCAAGCCTCATTACCTGGTATCCGTAATTTTGTAATCTTGATTACCAAGGCACACCTACCCGTCACCAAAAGACCGTATGGAATGTTTGTGCTTTAGTTCAAGACAAGGCAGGTAAGCTACCTTGGTCGTGAAGAGAAATGCTAATATGCTTCGTAGTCTTGGTGTTGTAACTCAAAGTCTCAATGCAGTCAGCAGTGAGTCAGCAACTGCACTTGAACTAATATTGGCACTTCACTTGACGCTACTGGCGTCAGCAACCGAGCTCTGGCTCTGGACACGGTTACAACAAGCAGAGCACATTACGCAGTACACGTATATGCACTGGCTGAACCCTCGAAGAAGTGGGCTCGGCCAGCAACACCTGCCTCTTTGCTAGACTGTAGCCCGAATCCCTGAGCGGCTCGGCTCGGATCATTCCATCATTGGCTCAAAGTACCCTTTGAAGTGGGTTTCGGGCCAGGGACAAAACGGCAGCCCGCCTTAAGTCAGGCATAGCCCGGGCCTGTGCTGGAGACTGTGGTAGCGAATGGCAAACTGCACCGCGCTGCACTAGTAGTAGCTCGCAGCCGCAAAACGGCTGGCTTTCATCGCTACCTCCCCGGGCGTGGCTTACACATACGTGATGAGGCGTTTTAGTGACAAGGCCAGGCCCCGAGCCCGAGGCCACCTCTCCACAGCGCAACCTCGAACGAGGCCATCATCGCCGGCAAAGAAATACCTAGGTAGCAATTGCGCAGTGGTCCTTTGGTCGCCAAACCAGGCTCGAAACCCGCAAAGACGTCGCCCCTCTTGGTTGTTTCCGTTTCCTCCCGTATTAGCACTCGAAACAGCCGCGCCATGTTATACGTTCCCCACTAGCGCAGACTAAGACAGTCCCCACCACCTTGCAGTCCTAGCGCGCTCGGACGGTTTTTGGATGCGGCCAAGTCATTCATTCGCCCTCCACCTCAGCGGCTGGCAATCTGGACGGAACCTCATCCACCTTGGCCTCAACCTCGACTGCTGCTCTGCAAGCACTCTCGCCGTGGAACAGACCACATCAGGGCAGCCTAATTCCGAGTCGGTCGGCGCCCTCGGCTACTATTCGATCAATTCCGTCGTGCATCGCCCGCTATCCTGACGACAACACTTTCGATCGAACCGATTGACGTAGCCACCCGTCGCCAACCGCTTCGCACGGTGACGAGGTGCTTTCGAGCCCTCAGCCTACCTAGCTTCCGACAATGAGATTCCCGTCAGTCGCAACGTTGCTAGGCCTAGCCAGCCTGACAGCAGCGACTAATATTCTCCCCCGGAACTGGGACTCGAATGACTACTACGTTCTCCATCTCGATTCACAAACATCGCCCGCCGAGGTCGCGAGAAGCCTGGGGCTATTACACGAGGGGCCCCTCGGCAAGCTCAAAGATCACCACATCTTTGCTGCCAGAAAGGCGGAACATGACATTGTGAAGAGAGAATTGACCTCTCGGCGCCGGCGCCGGCGGTCGCTGGGCGACCGCAGTGTTCTAGATGGTGTTCTCTTTTCCCAGAAGCAGGAGCTGCGAAAGCCCTGGGACAAGCGCGTTGTGCCCGTCCAGCACGGCCCGTCCCTCCGAACCGTTCATAAGAGGACCGAAACAGTGGATTCTGCAGCCCAGAAGAAGATCTCGCAAGTCGCCACAGCCCTCGACATCAGAGATCCAATCTTCCTGGAGCAATGGCATCTCTTCAACTCGGTCCAGGTTGGCCACGATGTTAATGTCACGGATGTGTGGCTGCAGGGCATCACGGGGAAAAATGCCACTGTCGCCATAGTTGACGACGGCTTGGACATGTACAGCGATGATCTAAAGGCCAACTACTATGCGGCTGGGTCGTACGACTTTAACGAGCATACAGAAGAGCCCAAACCTCGCCTGTCTGACGACAAGCACGGCACGCGATGTGCCGGCGAGGTCTCGGCCGTTAAGAACGACGTTTGCGGCGTCGGCGTCGCATACGATTCCAAGATCGCAGGCCTCCGTATCCTGTCCAAGGTCATATCCGATGCCGACGAGGCAGTCGCCATGAACTACGATTATCAACACAATCAGATCTACTCGTGCTCGTGGGGCCCACCGGACGATGGGCGAAGCATGGACGCTCCCGGGATCCTCATCCGCAGAGCCATGGTCAATGCAGTCCAGAACGGCCGGGGTGGCCTTGGCTCTATATATGTGTTTGCCAGCGGAAACGGCGCCATGAGTGAGGACAACTGCAACTTCGATGGCTACACCAACAGTATCTACAGCATCACGGTTGGCGCCATAGACAGGAAGGGCCAGCACCCGTACTATTCTGAGAAGTGCTCTGCAGGACTGGTTGTCACGTATTCAAGCGGCGCCGGCGACGCAATTCACACCACCGATGTCGGCACCAATGCTTGCTACAGTGGCCATGGTGGTACTTCAGCGGCTGCCCCGCTTGCGGCAGGCATCTTTGCACTTGTCTTACAGGTCCGGCCGGATATCACATGGAGAGACATGCAGTACCTCGCTATGGGCACTGCGGTGCCAATAAACCTCGATACCGATGAATGGCAGACTACTACAATCGGGAAGAAGTACAGCCACACCTTTGGATACGGCAAAATCGACAGCTATGCCATCGTGGAAGCTTCTAAGACGTGGAAAAATGTCAAACCGCAAGCCTGGTATTTCTCTCCCTGGATTCATGTGAAAGAGGCTATTCCTCAAGGAGACAAGGGGATCATCGTAAGCTTCGAGGTTACAGAAGACATGCTCAAAAACGCAAACTTCGAACGAGTGGAGCATGTAACAGTCACCATGAACATCGAACACGGGCGTCGGGGTGATATCAGCGTTGATCTCATCAGCCCCAACAAGATAGTCAGCCATCTCTCGACAACACGCAAGTTTGACGACTCACCAGATGGCTATGATGATTGGACATTTATGAGTGTTGTGCACTGGTAAGTTTTTCTTGCGAATTTGCGTCCTCCTTGTGGTATCGTATGCTCACAAAAATAAACAGGGGCGAATCCGGCTTCGGCACTTGGACGATTGTTGTAAAGGACACCAATGTCAACCAGTTCAGCGGCACGTTTGTCGACTGGCACTTGAAGCTGTGGGGAGAAGCCAAAGATGCGTCTAAGGCCACAAATCTGCCTATGCCTACCGAGGAAGACGACGACAACCATGCGGACATCGCCACCACGACTCTGCCTGCAAGTGTGACGACGGTGGTGCCGGACCCAGTAGCTGCTGACCCCAAGATAACAGCAACCCCCTCAGACCACCCAGAGCGCCCAGTCAATAGCAAGCCGACAGAGAGTCCAGAGGTTCCTACACTGGACGAGCAAATTACTCAGCCGAGCAACAGCACCTGGCTTCCCTCGTTCCTCCCAACCTTTGGCGTTTCGGCAAGCACACAGGCCTGGATCTACGGCTCCGCAGTGCTGATCGTCGTCTTCTGCTGCGGTCTCGGCATCTACCTGTGGATGGCCCGCCGCAAGCGTCTGCGCAATGACGAGCGCAACAACTACGAATTTGAGCTCCTGGACGAGGAGGAGGCTGAGGGTCTAGCTGGCAACGGCGAGAAGGGCGGGCTGGCTAGGGCCAAGGGCAGCAGAAGAACACGTGGCGGCGAGCTGTACGATGCGTTTGCCGGCGGCAGCGATGACGACGAAGATGACGATGATGATTTTGGCGGCGCAACGGAGTACCGTGACCAGGCTGAAGTGAGTACTCGCGAGAAGCGGGGGGTCCACGGTGATAGAGGGATGGGGGTTGCCGGTGGCGATGACGATGAAGAGCATCATGTTGTGGGAGAAGACGATGATGACGACGAGGAAGACCGGGATGACGACGGGGAGGAGGCGACGCCATTCCATTCTAGAGGTAGTAGTAGGCGGTGAAAAAGCCACATAATCTTTGTTTTTGTTTTTGCTTAGGGTTGGCAAGTCTCTACATGTATTTTTTTGGGTCTATCATTGGCTCTCTAGGGGTGTAGACTTGATAGGAATGCTCTGCATTTAAAAGCGAGAGGAAAACAACCATCATATCATATAATCCCGGCGCTCGGGGCGTGCGGGGAGCGGGAAGGGGGCAGGGGACAATCTTTTTTGACTAAGCTCGTTCGAATTACCTTCTTTGTTTTCCTGTTTTAATATCACATTCATCTACATGTATCCTACTCGCCCTCTCACGTACATCAAGGTAGCATGGGTAGGTAAGGTAGTCAGGCCACAGATATTGATTTATCTGCAAAAGTAGCCCCCTTCCCAGTTCTGTTGGCCCCTGAAGAGGAAAATAGGAAAGAGGGTGGGTGGTCTTGGCAAATGTATAGAATTAACAACCTTAGAATTCACTGCTTGAAAAAGGGGGAGGGAGAAGAAAAACGGAAAAGAAAATAGATATCAAATTGATACTAGTGATTATGAAGCCCACGGTATTCTGTCTCATCACTCTTCCAAGTTGAATTCCGTCCCTTTCTAGTTGTAATTCCCCTGGGCTGTATAACAAACAAGGAGGATGCATTTTGCGACCACCTTCCATGAATTAATCCACCCCCTCCCATTCATTCAGCATCCGGCAACGGCCTAATTGCCGCCGATAAAAGGCAGTAGAAGCAGTACCACAGTAGCATCGCCCCATGTCCGGCCCAAATCCCGTCTCGTTCGTCTATTTACTTGCAAAGGTCTCCCAGAGAGAAAGAGAGAGACACCCTACATCTCTAGAACCTTAGTATCTGAGATTGGTCAAATCACAGCCCACTTCGGACCGGACCGGAGCCGGATCCAGAGCCGTTGCCCGCCGACCTTTCTAAGGGGGCAGGACCGTGCCCTCCTTCTCCATCTCGAGGACGTATTGCTCCCAAATGTCAATGACGCCACCGTAAAAGTCGATGTGGGCGTCGACCAACCCGCCAAACTGGCGCTTGAACTCGACGCGCTTGATCCACTCGAAGCTTTCGACCTCGCGCACGACCTGGTCGGCGAAGTTATCGGCCTCGGCGCGGGCAACCTCGACCTCACGCGTGAGCTCGTCGATACGCAGCTCAAGCTTGCGTTGGCGATCGCGGCGTGCCTGCTCGTGGTCAACGCCACGCACGTCCTCGATCTTGGACCGGATGAAGCCACCGGCGCCGCCCAGGGCCGAGACGGCGCCTCCGCCATAACCGCCGTACCCGCCGCCGCCCGACGACAGCGCGTCGCGGTCCACCGTGCTCTTGTTCAGGTACTCGGTCAGCTGCTCATAGTCGAGCTGCTTCTGCTCGCGCGCCTTGAGCAGGTTCTTGAGTGCGCCACTATAGGCCACCATGTCGCGCAGCGAGCCGAGATAGTCCTGGTCCGTGTGGTCCTTGAGCTTCTTGAGGCCCGCGGCCGTGTCCTCGACTGAGGCGGCAAAGGCGTGGACGGCCGACTCGACACCCGGCTCTAGCGTGATGAGCCTCTGGAACTGCTCCGCTAGGTCCTTGAGATCGGTCTCGAGGTCCGCCTCGCGCCGCGTCACCCTCACTACCACCTTCTCCACGTGGCCCAAATCCTCATCTAGCTTGTCGCTCTTCTCCTTGACCTCAATGAACCGCCGGTCGGGCTTGTTTACCTTGGTGAAGGCGTTCATGAAGCTGTCGGCGAACGTGTCAAAGACGCCGCCGCCGCCACCACCCGGCGCCGACCCTCCGGCTCCGGGAAGCGACGGCGTCAGGTCCGGAGAGCCTAGAGGCGCCATCGACCCCCTTATTGACCGGCTGCGCATCGTGGCGTTCCAGTCAGGGCTCTCGAGGAAGGTGTGGAAGATGCTGGCCCGGCGCAGCACGGGGTGCAGCGCTAGCCGCGACAGAAAGCGGCGCAGCGAGTAGGCCCGCCGCGCCATGAAGTCTGGGCCGAACCGGTCGCCCCTCACGTACTCCATGCGCTGCTTGTCTGGCAGCGGCGGCACCGAGCAGGCCTGGTAGTCCCGGCAGAGCACCTTGTACAAGAAGACGAAGTCGGTGAAACGCCGGCGCACCGACGTCGTTGGTTTTTGGAAAGTAGAGAATGTAGTCTGCAGCAGAATATAGGACGCCTGTTAGCTATCAATCGCAGTCAGGAAGGGAAGAGATGGTTTGGGGCGCTTAGGCACGTGGTAAGGCTCCCTTACGTTGGTGGTAATTAGGTACGAGACGTATGCGTCCTTGGTGCCGTCGTTTTCCTTGTGAGGCTCTGAGACGACGCACTCGAGGATCTCGCCGCTGTGGCCGGCGGGCTCGAGGCCGGCATCGCTGGCACCGGCCCTCGCGCCATCTGCCCTGGCGCCGCCGCCATACTCGTGGCCGTTGTGATCGTGATCGTGGTCGTGATCGTGGGACGGTGATGACGTACTCGGACCTGTGCCATGGGCGGGCCCTAAGTTCTGTTCGCTGTGCCAGGATATATTAGAGAAGTTGTCCTGCTCCATGACCGCCATCTTGTGTCTCGACTCGATGACGAAGATGACGACGTGCCCGCCACTGCGCGCCGAGGCCCGCTTCCACTGTGTAGGGATCGCTACGGCTGTTGTAATAGCTGCTGTCGCTTGCTTGCTTGCTTGCCTAACGCCCCGTGGTTATGATAGAAATCTATTGTCGGCAAAGTTGAATCGTTGTTCAAGAGGTAGAGGCAGTGTTCTAGTCGGCGTTGTGGGTATGTAGTAGAATTAAAACGTTGCTGAGTACCGTCGAGGCCGATGTTGGCGACCAAGGTGGAGGATTGACGTATTGATGGCGGGGGAGCACTTGCCCGCGTCTCGTTAGCGTCCAAAGTCCCTACCTTCTTAGGCTTTGTGCAACCACTCTAATACTCTATTCGGTATGCACAAAGCACTATACGGTAATCATAAACCTACCTTAGTATCTATCATCTCTATTGTCTCGGATTTGGCAAGAAATGATAAACTCCGCCTTACGTTTAAGGTGTGATAGTCAAGAAGCTGCTCGGATACGCGGAACGCTAACAGCGCCGCTGACCTTCCCAACCAACACAGCCGCCTGCACACGACAAAATTTACATATTACGTAGCATGTGAGTACAGTACATACATAAGGTAGTATTACGCACCTACCTAAAATCAAGAAATCCTCATGTGGTTTGCTCCCTGTAAGCGCCTGTAAGTGGAACAGCTGGGAAGTCGATGGGAAAATAGATGCAAGGACGCGTCGGTGTGTAGTTTGTAGGCATCTAAAAGATATATAAGTACCTATTCTCTCGCGATTTTGGAATAAAGTGCTTGATGTGGTAGTCTATTACTATGGAACGTACACGTATTCTAGGTGTGACAACGGGAAGCGAGAGTGCACAACGAAGGGCATATCATTCCCATCCAACAATGTACTCGCCTCGAGCCTTTGCCATCAAACACATTCAGCTATACTCCGTAATTCGTGCTCTCGACATCTTCGAGGTGAGGTAACGCCATGCCACTTTCCCAGCTACCTCCCGAGATTCTCCTCCATGTTCTTGGCTACCTCGGCTCTGAATTCTTCGCCCATGACGTCCGCCTGTTGACCATTTCCCGGAGCTGATACGACCTGGCTTGGAGGGTCCTGATCCGAGACCTGCACTTCACAGCGAGATCCCTCAGGAGATTCACCGAGAATGAGGCAGTGCTTAAGCGGAGTCCTCCATACATAGTCACACTCGAGCTATCTCTGGGCGTCGCCGACCATGATAAGTCTAGCCTGCTGCCGACGACGGACCATCTGAGGGAAACATCTGGTGACTACGTGGGGGACATCGATGCGTCGTCATCCCCTGCTGCGCAACTGGACTCGTCCCTAGCGAAGCTAGCAGCTGCTGTGCTACCGCGAAGTCCAAGGATACGATCTCTAAGTATCCGGGCGAGAGGCCGGAGCAGTGCCTTGCGCCTCGACCGCCTAGCCGACCTCTCTCTCAAACATCTAACTTCGCTAGAACTCGACAGGCGGGCTGTCATCTGAAACAATCACCACCCAACAACAGCAATGTGCATCTCTACCGGTCAATAAACTCCCTACTACCGTGTCTGCGACGTCTCCATTGCCAGATGGAGGAGATATGCGAGGCCCTGCTCGAGTGTCCGCCAAGCGACAACCCGGCCCCCCTCGAGGAAATCATCATTAATCTGAGCATCTCCCAGCTGTCTGACACAATCACATCGTACCGCTATCCGAACCGCTGCTAGAAACTTTCCGCAGGAGTTAGCCCTAAAAACCCAGATAGCAGCACTCGCCGCCTGCTTACGGAACCCTCAGACTGTGAGGATCATTTCACACGAGCTGCCATCCCTTGATATATATGCATTTGACGTAATAACGGGGAAACGGATTCGCTTAGAAAACAATGTAGAGTGGGACGGAGACGGCGAACTGGTTGACGAGGTGCTCGACGAGGACGAGGACGAGAGCGAGAGCGACCTGTTTGACGGCGACTCCCCAGTTGCGCCTGAGATAGTTTGGTAGCCCCTCCTCCCTCTCTCTCTCTCTCTCTCTTCTCTCTCGCGTCCTCACAGGGCGATTAGCAGTTACATCATAGGGCTCAGAGAGCTTGTTGAGGACTAGTGAATAATAGGATTGTTTTCCCACGGCAACGAGGGTATGCTAGGCATTCATACTTTTGCTGCAATAGAGAACTGGATGCGTCTAGTTAGTACAGTACCCTCGCTGGGCTGCTAGGGGTAGTGATAATGAATAGGAGTTTTTTTTTGGTATTCACACAATGTCCGTGTCGAGATGGTTTGCTGGTCTATGATGCCGCGAAGCCCTCCCAGAGCCAAAGACAAAAAAGCTAGAAATCCAGGAGCTGAAAAAAGTGCAAGACAAAAAAAAAAAAGAACACCCTTTCCCTAGTTGAATGATTTCCCTTTCTATCTTTCTCTTACCACTTTCCTTGCTCCCTTTTTCTATACCTACATGTGGTTGGCCGCTCTAGTATTTGTGTATTTTACTCAAACAAAAATCACAAAAGAGAGATAGAGAAAATACCCGCTGTGAAGCTTGATTTCCGCTTCAAAAGAATGCTCACAGGCTTGGAAGTCGTCAATGAGCTTCACTTGTCAGCCTTTTGCGATTCGGCCTGGTCCTGCTCGGCTTCCACCGCCTCTTTGACCTGAGCCTTCTCCACGCTGTCTGACGCCGCTTGCATCCTCTCTTCCTTCTCATCAATGTCCTCTGTGTCTCTTGGCGTCGCGAAGCCCGTGTCGTTGTTCTCCTGGTTCTGCTCGAGCTCGTCGTCAATCAGCTCCTGCTGCTCCTTGAGCACCTCGAGACGCTGCTTGTTGGTGGCAGCGCCCTCGGCGCTGTGGACCTCGAGCTCGATTTCGTGGAAGAGCTCCTCGGGGATTGCCGACAGCACACCCGTCAAGGCTTCGATCTGGCTAGATGGCTCGCCATCCTTCTGGGCCTGCCCGTAGCCGTACGCGCTGCTGAGCACCAGCAGCGTCGACGGGACGCCCTCGCGGAGCCGTAGGTCTAGCCATGTCTGCAGGTCTTCTCTTAACCTTGCCGGAGACACGCCGTGTGTCTTGATTCCGCGGCTAGCGCAGGCAATCTGAAGCTCCAGCACGGAGAGCGTGTCGACACCCTCGTAGCTGATGGCGCGGTCGTCGGCCTTGATCTGCCGCATGCGGTGGCGAATCTGGTAGCGGAGCATCATGTCTGTACCAAACGTGTTCAGGTTAAGGTACCGGCACATGGAGACAAGCTGAGGCCGAGACAAGTTGTCTAGTGTCAGATCGTCCTTGAACACCTTGCAGACCTTTATCACATCCTCGGCCGTGGGCTTCTCCCCCGTAGAGCGGACTTTGCGGAAGAAGTTTGTGAACTCCTCCTTTTGCGCCGTCGCCTGCGTCAACGGAAGGCCCGTCTCTTTCAGAGTTTGGCGAAGAAAGTCGCTAACCTCCTTGCGCGTAGCTCGGAGGGTAGATGCCTTCTGGTCCTTGGACTTTTGCCCCTCGTAGGTGCTGGGCAGCATGTTGGGGAAGAGCCTGAGTGCTACGGGAAGCAGCAGCTCGGCGAACGGCACGATGACGAACACCGAGAAGGGGACCAGACGTCCGAGGTCTTGGACTGTCCGGTGAAGCTGGCGGTGCTCCCTTCTTGTCAACTCGTAGCCAGCAGCCATCTTCAGAGCGAGACGCGAGCTGATGCTGACTTCGGCCGCCAGCAACTTTGTCCCGTCCCAGTAATGCTGCACCTCCTTCTTGATCTTCTGCCCTAGGGTCAACTTCTTCTCCTCCTTCTTCGCCGCCTCACTCTTCTCCGGAGTGCTTCCTTTCTGTGCCGCAAGTTTTGTGAGGGACGCTCCCTCGGCGGCTGATGTGTCAACGTCCTTCTTGGCTTGTCCATTCACCTCAACATCACCGGTCTTTGGCTTAGCGGCCAGCTTTGCGGTACCAACACTCTCCTTAGGAAGCGGCTTCTTAGCCGCATCCGGGTTGAAGCCTGGGGGCGGGCCCGAAGGCGGCCCTCCGGTATGGGTGCTCGTCCTAGTAGTAAGGCTTCGGAGAGGGATAAGTAGCGCAGTAGTCGAACTGTTGAACATGGAGCCGTGCGAATTGCGCGCCAGGTTGATCGAGGCAATAAGTAAAACAGATCTTGGCAAAGCACGTCCTGCGCAACTCCTGTCAGAAATCAAGCCTCGAAACGGCGAGTAGGGATGCAAGCTTACCGCTTCCCAGAAACGGGTTGACGACCAGCGCCCTCCGCGCAATACTCGCTGAAGCGCTCATGATGAACACTAGTTTTGTGACTCCACGAAAGGCTACGTATCTAGCGCTGCCGTTTTCTGTCCTGGCAAGACGTTCGAGTTGCAAAGAGCGGTGGTCGCAATGATGGGACAGGGGACGGGATTTTCGCCACTTGGAATGGGACCGAATCCCGGGTTCTGCTCGATGGAAAGGAGCGTATTTTGGTCGTCGAGAGTTCAGAGTTCGCCGTGGAGGAATACAGATCGGAAGATTGTACAGGTGTGGAAGAAGAGAAGGTCGACGTATCCCATGAAAGAACCGGGAAGAGCGGGCAGGTTGGGTTGATCAAGACCGCTAAAGCAGAAAAGGTGACATCAAAATCTGGCGTTTTGCGCCCTAAGAGCGCGGGCATGGGGGGAGGCGACGCCCCGCGCCACGGTGTTACCCGCCGCTGGAGACCCAACGCGATTCAGCAGAGATCTCAAGTCACGTGCCAGACTTTGCAAGTACTATTGGGCCTTAGAGCTCTCAGGCTCAGTCTAGTTCCAGCCGATCACAGACATTTTTGTGGACTCTCTCGGAACCTTTCGCCTTTCACAGCATGCCACGCCAACGCCCGGGAGTCCCATGTGAGAATGAAGAAGCGATGGACGGAAACGGAGAACACTCTGTGTCGTGGCAACTTGACAATAGCACGTCTTCAGACTTTCCACATCGTGTTGTTAATGTATTTTCGTCCGACCCATGTTGTCTTCATACCTGGAGTATCAATCTCATAATAGGTTTAGGTATCTTAGAGTTCATGTCAGACAAGCAGTCTGGCACTTGCTGAAACTCTAAGGGAGAAATTGCTTGGCTCTCGTGGAAGGCTTGAGTTTCGTTGCTACCTAGGCCGTCCCGCAAAACACGTAATTGTCTTTTAGAAGCCTCCCGGTAATAAAATCATGGATTAGTGGTGCAAGCAGTAACACGTGTTTTCAAAGCGCTCGTTTTATGATTCCTTTGCCGATACGGATATTCCGTGGACAATCTGGATTCTGGGCTTTCCATAATTGGGAGGATTGGGGTTCTGATTACGATTCCCGAGCCTCAACAAATTCCGTGTGGAATTTTGGTGAGCGATGACCGAAGTCTTCGTACCTTACCGAAGGCCCCAAAGTAATCCGTATCCTGTTGATTACGGATAACTGCCCCCCACTGTGAGAAATCCAGTTTGGGGCGCCACACCTTCCCCGCGACCCAAATTACCGTCCTTTCACTGCATTGTAGATAGATTCGGGCCCAAAACGACCGTGAACAGCCCACGTTTCTGCGGGCCCTTCCCGTTTGAGATGCCCGAGTACCGCATCCTCGATTTTTGAAAACATTTGCTTCTCATTCTTGAACCACAAATATATTCCCCTGCCGCCAAACAAACGGTTTCACTCTCTTTTATACCGCTTACACACATTTGTAAAACCTTTGCCATGGCGTTTTCTTGAGACTTTCTGGGTTTGAGTTCGCATCCGTCGTCTCGGCCGCTGTCGCTCGGCATATCGATTGTGCGTGCCACATCTTAGGTCTTCACCTGCTTCCCCGCACAACCGAGGGCCGTCAACTTCAGGCCCGGGGAACTCGGTATATACTTCGTACCTCTGCCCCCCTCTCTAAACCTAGGGAGCGCGTCATTTTGTTCCTATTCCCTAGCTGGCGCTCCCGCTGCTCCTACCCGCGAACGCCTACCCGAAACAATTTCACAAAATTATGCGCCTCCGCAGAGCTGCACGAGTCATTCTTGTCGGGGCGCCTGGGGTGGGGAAGGGAACACAATCGGAACGGCTTCTGGACAGATTCCCTCAGCTTTCGTCAATAAGCTCGGGGGATTTGCTTCGGCTCAATGTCAAACAACGGACGCCGCTTGGTATGTCCAGCAAGTCTGATGATTTGGGGAGGCGGTCGGTGTTGCCCCAGTTCTAACCAACTCCCCGTGCAGGCATCAAGGTCGAGCGCACTATCAAAGCCGGCGAGCTGGTCCCTGACGATCTGATACTCCGGCTCATCCGCAACGAGCTCAATCAGCGCGGATGGATATTCTCGACTCACCCAGCCGGGAACGTCATGACGCTCGCCTCGTCCTCGGCTATCGTTGACCCGACCGACCAGTCCTCCTCGTTCGAGGCCGAGGCCGAAGTCGCATCTTTCATCTCGTCGCCGACACACTCCCGGGGCCACGTCCAGGCGCAACCCTCCGATGATCCCGCCGCCTCGTTCCTCCTCGACGGCTTCCCGCGCACGGCGGTGCAGGCTGCTCAGCTGGACCACATCGTACCAATAAATATGGTCGTGTCCATCAAGACGCCGGTTGATGTCATTATGGGCCGGATATCGGGCCGCTGGGTCCACGAGCCTTCTGGGCGCGTGTACAATACCAACTTCAACGCCCCCAAGGTTGCCGGCCACGACGACATTACGGGCGAGCCCCTGACGCGCCGACCCGACGACAACGAGGAGGTGTACCGCGCGAGGTTTCGCAAGTTTGAGGAGACCAGCGAGCCCCTGCTAGACCACTATGCGCAGAAGGGTGTGCTGTGGGAAGTCAATGGGATGAGCAGCGACGAGATTAGCCCCAAGCTATTCCGCGAGTTTGAGCGCCGTTTCGTTGACTAATCTTGTCCTTTACACTTTTAGGCTATCAGGTTTCTTCTCGTGTTTCTTTTCTAGTATATATTATAATCCATGTCGGCGGGCATGTGTCGTTCCGAAATGCCCCGATTGTTGGTCTGTACGTGTTGCGGGTAGAGGGAGGCTCTTTGCTGGTTCGCACAAGGAAGGCGTCATGGCGTTCACGAGGGTTGCAAGATACGGGTTCACTTTGATTCTCCCACGGCGTTTGGGAACTGAGTCAGACGATAAGAGTCTCGTCGGGTGTGCCATATGTCGGGATTTACTCGCTTTATCGTTTATCCAGCTACTCCTGGGTAGCTCGAAGCGATGCTATTAAAAAGCAGCACGGTGCTTTGGTGGGGCCTGTCTTCGGGGTCTTTGAATTTCCGATCGAAGACACGATGTATCAAATCACGGCTCTTGTATGAACCATTGTTCTTTTATGCTGTGTTTTAGTTAGTCGCGAGGTTAGGGGTCTTTAACCCGTGAGAGCAAAGAATAGCCTAGCTTGCCTAGGTCATGAATGGCAATAGTCAAAGAACCTGTCACGGGCTTGAATCTTGTAAGTTGCTTCAACGAAGTCCATGTAGCGAACTTGTGTCAAACCAAGCTGTCAGGATTTATGCCTCTTTTATTCTTATTCAAAGAACCTAGAACAGAGTTCCTCGTCCCAGCCTCATATCACATTAACCCGCTTTATCCCCTTTGACGGACGATCCAAGATCCATCCCTTTGGCTCGGATGGAAGGCCACTATTTGCTTTCGATCAGTACACTATAGCAATCACCCCAGATTTGCCGTCCAGTACCTCGTACATTTTATGACCCAAGTTGATTGCCCGCTAAGAAGGGGTGAGACAGGACCAGTTCCCCCGCTTGCCCCGCCCGCGCTCTCATGTGCCAAGAAAGGGCCCCCTGTGCCTCTTACGCACAGCCGACCTTGCACTCGAACTGCAGGGGCGTTAGGGTGTTTGCCTTGGTGGAGGGTAGGTAATATTCCGTAATGGATGGATGCTGGAGCTGCTGAATGGACCGACACTGATCACGCCCTCTCTCTCTCAGTCTCTCTCGCCTTGCCGTCCAGCGGTCTTGGCGCGTGGCTACTAGATGGGACGGGGTGATGTGCGTGTGTGAGATGTGCACAGCGAAAAGGAGTGGAGGTACAGTACAATAGAAACGTACGGAGTAGCGACGAACAAAACCCCTCATGACCTTCCTTGATCAATGGGGCTAGGCATATGGCCAGTCTTTCCATTGTTCCTTCCAGCATCACATTGTCACATTTCTTTTTTTGAACGCTTTCTGCTCAGGTCCGCATTCTTGTTAGTATAAGGGAGATTACCACGCACTCGCTTCTCGGTCGTCCTTTTCCTAGGTACGGGCTTCTCTCCGCCGTTCGTAGTCGCCGCCTCAAAAAAAAAAGCTTCAAGTGCTTCTGTGCTGGCGCATCATCGCTTCTATATCCCGTGCAGCGAACACTGTCGGGATGAGAGGGTGAGAGGGTTGTCGAAAGCTAACTGGCCAATTGCTTTAACTGGCTCCTTTTCTCGGCTCTTTCTTTGTGTGCCTGCTTGCCGCGGTGGTGGTGGTTGTTGCTGTTGTTATCTCTTCTCGGCTCTCAGGAGTCGTCTCCGTTTACTGGGCTGTTTAGACTTTGGCCCTTCAAGATTTCAAGGTTGAGAGGCTTGATGCCCGTGGAGTTGGACTTGGGCAGTACCAGTGCCTTCGTTTCTTCCCTTCGACAATTGACAATTGCCAGGCACGATTGTAGGGGGGTCACTCCTTGCTCTCTGTTTGTCCTGGCTATTCGTCCTCTTCCCCCTCCGCTGGGCAGCTCAATATGCTGGTCAGATGGAGTAAAGTGGTTGCGTTTGCTACTGGTGCTTGCGCCTCGGCCTCCTTTCTCCCGCCTCATCTCGCAAATGACCCGCGGAACAGCGGCCCTTTGGGAGCTCGAGCAGCAGTCGGTCCAGACCTGCAGTTGTTTAACGACACTCTCGATGCGCTACGAGTCCTGCAGGATGCATATTTCGAGCCTTGGGTAGGCACGTGGCCTTCGGCCATCGACTGGACCGCCGCCGTCATGGGATCTCACGTTGCCGGTGCCCTTTTGTCCCTCTCTCGCGGCCTGGAGCTTGTTCACCCGGGCATGGGCGAGGGTTACTTGTTGAAGGAGAACACAATATCCCTCTACTTCTCTCAGCTTATTGGATTCTACTTCGGCCAGGACGCCTTTGCGATTCGAGGCCAGGCTTTTGACGACATGCTCTGGGTTGTTTTGGGCTGGCTTGACGCCGTCAAGTTCATTGACACCCGCATTGGGAGGGATCTAGAGGTGGTCAACTCGGCGACGTTTTCTACAGGAACACCCCAAAATGATGGCTGGCATGGGAATCTCTGGGTTCCTGCATTCGCGCACCGAGCGAGGATATTCTGGGAACTGGCCTCTGTGGGATGGGACACAAAACTGTGTGGGGGAGGCATGAACTGGAACCCACGGCTCACACCATATAAGAACGCCATCACGAACGAACTTTATATCGCCGGATCGATTTCCATGTATATCTACTTCCCGGGAGATTCTAACGCCGCTCCATTTGGCGCTAATCACGGCCGAAATAGCCCCCCAGCTGGTGTATCTACAGACTGGAAACCTCATGACCCAATATACCTAACGGCGGCTGTAGATGGTTATGAGTGGTTGGCGTCCTCCAATATGACGAATAGCAAAGGATTATATGTCGATGGTTTCCACGTATCTGGCTACGACTCTGGAGGCAACAACACAAAGTGTGACGAGCGCGATGAGATGGTATATACGTACAACCAGGGCGTTATTCTCTCGGGTCAGCTCGGCCTTTTTCAAGTCACAGGCAACCCATCATATCTTCGAGAAGGCCATAGGCTGATCCAGAGTGTCATCTGGGCAACTGGATACGACCTAGCGAGGGACCAGCCGATAGACGATCTCGCGCAACTCTTCCCAAAGTTCGTGCCACCCTGGCATGGACTCGGCAGGGCTGGGATTCTCGAAGAAGCCTGTGATATCAAGGCCAGCTGCTCGCAGGACGGACAGACCTTCAAGGGGATCTGGATGCATCATTTCACAGCTTTCTGCTCTCCGCTTGAGCCCACCACCGCCAACCAAGATACCCGCTCATTTGATAGCTTGCGTACAGAACATTCCATAGCCTGCCATAGATATATTGGCTGGCTTGAACACAACGCTGCGGCTGCTCGAGGTACCCGCGACAGCGAAGGCAAGTTTGGCATGTGGTGGACTGCCGGGCTCCCGAACTTCACAGCGCTAGACTTTTACATCCCTCCAGACGCGCTCCCGGATGACGACGGTGTTGTGGACTATCGAAACGATGGCGTCCCGGATGACCCCCTGTGGATGGTGCAGCCTCATGTTCCGCAGCCCGGTCAGGAGGCACGCCTGTCCGAGCCAGTGGATGATCCCCCCGGCGGCCAGCTTCTGATAGGGAAATATGCTAAGGTCTTGCCTTCGAAAGCGGGCGGCGAGCTAGCTGTTCTCAAAGAGAGGAGCCAGGCCGAGTTCCGTGACCCGAACTCTCGCGGACTCGGAAGGACGGTCGAGACCCAGGGCGGCGGGCTGGCGGTGCTAAGGGCGCTCTGGGAACTTTCTAAGCAGAGTCTATAGTATAGAGGGAGTGTAAAGAGTGTTCAAATTTTGATGTCTTCCATGAAATCGAAAGAGGCCTTCCTCTTTTATATGCAAAGTGCGTGTTCCTCGACCGTCGTAGAGACATCATATGTGTGACTGACTATCAAGTCGTCATGTCGACGCAAAGAAAAACAAGAGAGAAAAACGCACTTGATTAGGTAGTCTGTCCTACACAACCGCCGTCCTCGAGGCTGTGTACTCCTCACATTCCCCAGCGTCTTCCTTCTCTTCTTCCTCTGCTCCAATGTTGTCTTCTTTCAGGTTGCAAGCCGTTTTCATCATTCCGCTCCGTATACAGCCTCACTTACTTCAAGTTACATGCGATTACGACTAAGCACTATGTCGTATCTTTAACAAGGCTCCATAAAGTCAGTGTGTGACAAAAAGGGGGCAGTCTATATTAAGAAAGGGGGGAGGAGAGAGAAAAGGCTCGCTAACGGTATTGCCTGCCGTTTAATGGGAGTCTGCTTTGCCGTGCCCAAAAGCTCAAGTCAGCATCCGAACTGGAAATGATATAATTACAACGCGACGCCGATTCCAGTCCTTTCGTGTTAGAGAATATGCAATGTGTGGTGAGGGCGTGGGCGTGGCGCGGCGCGGCGCGGTCGGTCGGTCAATCTGGTATCTTCAGGTTCTGGGAATTCGTAAACGAATCGCGGGCGGGCTGTTTGGGTAAAACCGGGAACCTAGCCCAGGCAACCTCTTTTCGGAGCCGCGGTCTGCCCCCCTCCGCCCCCATCGAGGCGAGGGACTTCGCGGACCTCTGAGAGTACGGACATGGAATGAAATAACATGCGAGGCTGGCTAGGTGTGTTTATTCCTTTTTATATATAGTTTTCCAGACACGACATACGGACATGCTTAACTGGGAACATTCACTTCGCTTTCTCAAGCACTCCAGTCTATAACTCGCCACCAAGATGAAGTCCTTCCTTCCGGTTCTTTGCCTTCTCGCGGCGAGCGCCACCGCCGCGCCCAGGGCAGACATCCGGGATGTCCCGGTCACTCGCGAGGGCTCGACGTTGCTTCTGGACGGAAAGCCATGGAAGGCTGTGGGAGCCAATGTATACTGGCTAGGCCTCGACGAGAACGTGACGCCTGCTTCTGGAGAGCCTTACTATGCTCCGTTAAAAGCAAGCTATCCCACCAAAGGCCGCACCACGGAGATAATGGCCGTTGTCAAAGCGATGGGAGGCACGGCGATCAGGGCGCACACTCTGGGCGTCAGTACGGGCAACCCGCTCAGTCTTGTGCCGGCACCTGGTCAGGTCAACAAGCAAGCCTTTGAGCCCATCGACTGGGCGGTCTGGCAGGCTCGCGAGTATGGTCTACGTCTGTTAATTCCGCTGACGGATAATTTTGACTATTACCACGGTGGGAAGTACAACTTCCTACGTTGGGCCGGCTTCAACCTGACACAGACCAAGGACTCGACCAATCCCCTGGTCATGCAGTTCTACACGAACGAGACCATCGTAGGCGCTTTCAAGGATTATATTCGCACGTTGATCACGCACGTCAACCCTTACACCAACCTATCGTACGCCGATGACCCCACCATCTTTGCGTACGAGACAGGCAATGAGCTGTGTGGTCCGGTTTGGTAGGCACTCCTTCCCTTGCATACATCGACATACCCTATTTTTAGATGGCCTGGAGGCGGCTACTAGCCGCCCCTCAAGCTACTCAAAGAACCGCAGACAACGGAGGGATGAAGTGCTGACTGAATCTGGAATAGGGGCGACATGAATGTGCCAGCGAGATGGGTCCGTGAGATTGGTGGATTCGTCAAGCAGCTGGCACCGAAGAAGCTTATCGTAGACGGCACGTACGGGGTCAACAAGACACATTTGTCTGTAGAAGAGGTAGACATCTTCTCGGATCACTATTACCCCGTTAGCATCGGCAAGTTGCGGGCGGATGTCGATCTTGGTGAGGCCGCCTAGCTTTCCCCGGTCTCTTTTGCCACCTCGCCTAGTCCAATGGCGACTCGATGTGGCTTGCGGAGTGAAGTTCAAGGAAAAGCTGACAACACATGCATGCAGTCAATTCGGTGAACAAGACGTATTTCGCTGGGGAATATACTTGGGTAAAGTCGGCACCAGCAGCAACCGATGCAGATTTGGCTTCCTGGTTCAAAGTTCTCGAGCAGAGCCCGGCCGTCATAGGAGACGCCCTCTGGTCGTTGTTTGGCCACAATGTTCCTGACTGCAAGGTGAGTGGGATCGAATGCAGAGCCTTTCGTGTTTTTGTCTTTCAATGAGGCAGAGACTCTGCCCCCGGTTTCTTTTTACTGTCAACCGTCCCACTCCGTTACAGGCCCCGAGTTCAAAACTGAGACGAGATAAACAGACTTTTGTCGAGCATAGTGACGGCCTTACCCTACAATATGTGAATCCAGCACATGCCACCCAGATTCAGCTGATCAGGCAGCACTTCATGAAGGCAAGCCAGGAGCTCTCAATCGCCGCAAACGCGCCTCTGCCACAAGTGCCCTGCCCGGCTTCAACTTCGGGGACGGAGACGGGAACCCGGCGTAACCGATGAGAGAAAATAGGCCACAGATTGGACAACAACTGAGAAGCTGGCATGGGGGGTCTTGGGAAAGAGCCGACACATGTTTGCGTGCTTGAGCTGAGGCAGGATAATAAGGGCTGCAGCGTTGACAGATACCTAGGTAGGCAGGGAAGCAATGGGAAGACACCCGAAGGGTCACCTGCGTTGCCACCTAGGCGATTAAAAAGAAATTATTTGCCCTCTTTTGGCCCATTTGGTCTCGGATCAGGGATTCATGTCTCGGAGAAGCTGGAGCCGCGAATTATTGTGTAGCGACATGTGTCTGCGATAGGTCGACTGCGGCAGCACGCTTGGGGCCGCATTCGAGGCTGAAGTAGGTAGATGGGTATGGAGTTCATTGGTTCATTCTGGGCTTTCCATTGTTGGGTGGATTGAGTAGGGTATCTTAGGGATGTATGACATGGCGTAGAGCGTCGGATTCGCCGATCTGCAGCGTGGGTTTTCAGAATTGGGGATCGCGACTCATTCGTCGTGTGGATGGTGGCCTTGGTGGCTGTTTTAGAACGAACGCTAGGCGACTTAGGGCCAAGAGAGGAACGGGGAAAGAACGGGCGAGATGACTCTTCCCGCCGACGTCCTTCATGGTAGGTCCTTCCTTAAACCCATCAGCTAGAGTTTAGAGAACAACCTACCCGACTAGGGCTTGGCACTGACTTGTAGTAACACGACATGCACTTGCCTAATTGGTCGAATTGGCGTTCGCGGACGTGGGCGGACGCTGATGGTGACTTCCCAGGTTGATGTTCTCTTGTGTCTCTGGGTTACGGGCTCCTGCCTCGTGTCCCAAGCCTCGTCCAATTTGAGTGCCAGTTCATCCTTCTACTCCAGGTCAAGTTCTTACCCGCCTAAGTACCACCGTGTCCCTCCAACTCCATGTTCACTGCCTGTGTTGTTAGTTGATCTGTGAGCCATCCACCAAGATACTCAAGCCCGAATAAAGTTCAACCGACGTAACAACCTCCAATACCTCTGATCTGTGAATCTGGGCAGCCTGAGGTGACAACCCAGGACGTTAGTATCGACCAAGACAATCTTGGCTGAGACGAGATGAGTGCAAATACCGCCCCCTTGGTGTCATGCGTCGAGTGTCAACGACGGAAGCAAAAGGCAAGCTCTCTCAGCTATCAAACTTCGTCTCGGCATAACCAAAGCGGCCCGTTCCGCAAGCAACCACATCTTCTCCAGAAATGTGCCTGTTTCACTGACGTGGTCTGATGAGGCGTGTGTAGTGCAACCGAATCTTCCCCTGCAACCATTGCCTGAAAAGGGGAGTGGCACATCTCTGCCGCTTTGTTTCCAAGAGTCCAGGGTCCAGGACCAACAGAGAAGAGATCACGGCAGGCGGGGAGTCGAAGTATGTTTGCTTGTCGGTCCTGCCACTGGCCAGCTTCGTTCGCTAGTTGACCGCATTCGCGTGCCTATCCCATAGATCGTCCAAGAAACGGAGCTTGGATAGTTCTGGCAATGACATATCCTCCGACGAAACTCCGTATAACGAAGTGGAGCAGTCCGAGATTGATGTTAGCGACGCCTTAAATGCCCTCGGCTACCTGTCACACACTCACCACCTGGTGCTGGGCACCGGCCACGGACCCAAGGTAAGAGACTTGGCCCGACATGCCCTATTGCTGGTTTTCTGATAGCCCGGTGTAGGTAGTCAATGAACCCACAGACGAGCTTGCGCAATCCGACGAGCTCAGGGCCGCAAAGGAGTCGATGCTCGCAAAGCCTTACACAGGTGATTCTAGTCACATAGCTCGGCTCCCTTCCTCCCTTCTCGACTGAAGCAAATACTCATTAATAGCAGATTTCCTTGTCGACAATTGGCTCAGCGGAGCCAATTACCACTATTACTCTCTCTACCCGCCCGAATTTAGGACGCAGTATGATGGCTGGTGGGCTATGCCGAGTAATCATACCACGCCAGAACTGACGGCCTTGATTCTGCGCGTTTGTGCCTGCTCGGCTCTGTACATCATCGATAACAATGTTAAACAGAGACTCGAGACCGAACTCAAGGTTGATGCAGTGACGCTTGCCAGGCGCCTGCACGGCGAAGCCGAAAAACTCAGCACCAGTATCCCGCCAGGCAAAGGCGGCTTAGTTCAGGTTCAGCAGCTCTTTCTCACGGCCTTCTGGTTCAAGTCGGCCGAGAAATGGACTGAAGCATGGCATGCCCTTGGAACTGCCATACGAGAAGCAAACGAGATTGGTAAATAACCATTGCTTGTAGTTTGAATCTTTATCATATCCGCTGACCTTAAAGGCCTTCATCGGGATTCTTTTTCAGAGGGCATGTCGGAATTCGACCGCGAGATGAGAAGGCGTCTCTGGGGTGTTTTGTACATGTGGGACTTGTAGGTTGGCCCGTCTGTAACTGGACGCGATCGTTCTGACCTTTCTCATTGAAGTGCTTTGGGTTCAATGCTGGGCCGTCCGCTTTTGGTCAACCATGCCGACTGCACATTCGTGATGCCAACGCTTGCTCTCGAGATCGACCCCGCCGAGCCATATCAACCATCCCCCTTCCGCCATATGAACCTTCATTGCAGGTTGTGTCTGGACATGGCAGGCCAGCTCGGGAGCCCGTCCAATCCAGACACAGGCGAAACCGAACTCGCCATGCGGCTGCGAGATGTTGTCGACAAGTGGTTCCAAGCTCTCCCAGTCGAGTACGCATTGGAGGCCCCGGATACTCGTTGGGACGCTGAGCACCCATTTGTTGTGTTTCAGCGTCGCTACCTCCACTTGATTGGTTTCATGTCCTTGTTCGGATCTATCAAGAAGTTCGTCACCCAGAACTCTGCGAAGCCATTTTCGGATATTGAGATGAGACTCCGGGCGAGAGGAGTCCAGGCTGCGTTGGGTCTCATGGACGTATCGTGGAGCTTTTACGAGACTCTTGCCTCGGTTGGCGCTAAATTTCATTATGCAGTGTTTTGCATATTCGACACCACAACCGTTCTGTGTTCAGCCTTTGTCCACGATGAAGCTCGAAATCTTCCGCAGAGAGAAACGGTCCTCAAGGCCATCAGAAAGGGTATGGCTATGCTTGAAGAACTGCGCTCATCCTCAAAGACAACAGCTGGGTTGTGGTGCATCCTCAAAGGGCTTCTGTTGGCCCTGCCACTGAGTGCGAAGGAAAAGGGGCTCATTCGCGCGCCGAAACGCCACAAGCCAACTCGGCGACAGGCGAAGAGTGAGACTGCCGGACCATCAAGTAATCCTTTAGCGAGTCATGTTCTTTCGGAAACCATCCAGGCTGTCTTGGATGGTAGCGCAACCTCTTCGAGTAAGGAGACTCTAGTCGAGTCTTCCTCAGGCAGAGCCAGTGACCTCTCAGAGCCGGAGGCAATCTCTGGTGACCATCCAGCGCAGAGTTATGGCGCGGTGTCGCTATACCCCCAAAGGCCAGCCGCTAACTTCATCCCGCTATCAACTGGGTTGACATCGTCCGGCGAGGCCAATGACCTGAGCCTCCACTCATTGTCAAATGGCTCTTTGCCATCAGGCGGCGGGTTCATGTTTTCGGACGCTCCGAACTACTCGGGCATCCGGCAGCCGACGGCGCCAGACCCGGCGAACCGCACTGGATGGGAGCCGCATGTGGATGCTGGTTCTGTGAATCGCATTGACTCGGAGCTGTACGCAAACGCGGCCAACAACGTGGATATGTTCCAAGAGAACTTAACCGGCCCGGTGGTACTGGACGGGCCGATGCCTACAGTTCTCGAGTACTGGGACTGGCAGATCCTAAATCTTGACCTGGGAAACCCCGGATTTTGGGAAACTGCTCCACCTGCACCCCCTATGTGATAAGAATAGAAACTTTGACCTCTCGCTAGAGATCAGCAACTCAAGTGTCGAGCTAGCGAAAGGAGAGGAGGTGGTAGTAGGAGCGTGATCTTCAAGGTTCAAAAATACCTGGGGGGTTAACGACATAGGCGGCTCGTTGTTGTATAGAGATCATATGTTGAGATTTGTATGCTTGGTTCTAGGGAAACCGCAAACATGTTCAAGTTGCTGTAGTTCATTCAACAGTACTTTTTGTCGGAGGCCCAGAGTTTGAGTAAACTGGCATGCTTATGATTTCGGTATTCCTTGTTGGCGAGCGTGAAAAGTAGGGTAGCGACCCAGAAGAGGCGAGGGACAAGGAAAGCGGGTGGCTGGTCTTCTCAGGATGCTATTATCTTTCTCAAGCCTTGAGCGTAGAGAGGCTAGGAGATGCCGATGATGGCAAGGAGTTAAATGGGGCGGGCGATCAAACTATGACTATGGACAGTAGGATAGGAGGTATGACGGGTCTCGGCCGGCAATATCAACAATGGCCTAGGCTCAGGTACGACAATTGACCTGGGCTGTGATTGGTCTTTTCCTTCATGCAATATGGTCTTATTTTTTTTTTTTCAAAACCCCCCCGAAGACTTTCGGGGGCATGCGGGAGACGGTCTTGTGCGACTCCTAAAACCGGAGGCTTCCAGCATCGAGAGGGAACCGCATGGTGCAGAAGAATGGGGGTTGTAGCTTATTTTCTCCCAGAACGTGGGAGAGAAAGTCTGTTTCACTGCCCGACCTACCGTAGGTCCCATGTGCCCGCCATGATGTGCGCTTCTCGGATACGGAATCCGCACTGGGTTACGGTTACAATTGCGGCAAGCCTTTACTGGACCCTAACCCTTGACAGATTGATAACCGTCCCGGTTGCTGCCTTCTGTTTGCTTACACTCCTTCCCCAAACACCGATCGTCGGCGTACTCAGTGCTCAAAAAGTAAAGTACTTTAGCTGTGTTACGGATACAGGCAGAATAACGAGGTTGCTCCCATCAAATTCTTCGGCAACGGTTCCCTATCTTATACGTCCCACGTCATCAGACAGGCCTCCCGCCGCGGGAGGTATTTAGCTCGGTCTAGATGAGGCACAGTTGAGGGCTTGAAGTTGAGATTGCCACTGAGCTGGAAACTAAGACGCAGAAGAATGCCTACCTTGGACCCGTGGAATGCTACTAGTCTGGTTACCAAGATGGAGTCAAACATTTAGCCGACCGGCGACGACTAGACTTGCAAGCTCTTGCAAGTCATCAAACAGCGTTTTATAGCTTCAGAGTTGTTCTTGTTGTTGAAGGATTTAGTTCCAACACTCACTCAGGCGGTTTGCCTAAGGTGTGACTCTGCTCCGCCCGCCTAGCCCCACAGCGGGCTGGGACAGGGAGCGGCCAGCACGTGTCAGTCTCTCACAGGTGTCCCGGGCAGACAGCTCGAACCCCGCCTCCCCCCAAAGGAACCAAGTCGAAACCGGAGGGCGGCCACCTATGAGTTGCGTCAAATCATGTTGGAGACGATGCGGCGGACACTGCGGCGCTGCTCGCCGTTCTGCAGCAGCTACGTACGTGTAAGGTAGGTGCTCTGGCTGGAGACAGACAGGATTGCTGGACCAGCCGTCGCACAGCTTTGCGGCCCAACCCAGCGATATGGTAGGCAGGCGACAACCGGGCCGCCGTTTGACTCAATCTGCCTAGGTATGTACCAAGCCCAGGCAAGACTCACTATTTTCGAGCATCCCCAAGAAGCAAGCGAAGCTGCAGTGGGCGCACCAAGCAGAGGCCTTCTCGTGCCGCCGCCGCTCTGTGATGCACCTTGGGGGTTCCTGCAAGTCCCGAGAGTTGCGTGTCAGCCTAGATCTGCCACCTCAATCTATCTGCCGAACCGTAGCTGGGTAGGTGGTAGGCAGTATCTGCAAATCGAGAAAGCTGCCTGGGTTTCGCTCGCAACTGGCTGGCTGGCTACGTATTATTGAGATTATATTGGCACGCACTGCTGCTGCCGCCGCTGCGCTGCCGTGATCCGCATGCACCACACACCATAACCATAATCCCCGCTGTCGACCGTCCCATCGTTTGTCTTGAATCGTGTTCCACGACCGCGATAACGCCCGACCGGCATCGCGACAAGACTCATTCGTCGACCGCCTACCTTAGCCAGCGATTCACCTGCTATCAATGACAGCCATCGCCGGGCGCCACTCCTTGCTGCTCTCCACCACACGTCAAGCTGGCTTGAGAGGCTGTTGCGATGGCCGCTCCAGCAGGCGACACCGCCAGAGATGGGAAGCCCTTCTATGGCACCCTGTTTGATTCGCAAAAGCCCATCCCGAGTCCTACGCCCCTCTTCGACGCCCTCTTGAGAGCCGTCGCCCTCCACATTGTGCGTTGCTCGTCCGCCGCCGCCTGACTGCTTTGCGCGAGCGAGCGCGGGGTTGTCGGAATGATTGGCCTGCTAATTCGATTGTGATTGCGCCTATAGATAAGCGATGTTGGTGACAAGAACGAAAAGTACCTGACGCCCGGCAAGATGGCTGCTTTCTATCAAGCGGCCGGGCATAACTATGATAGTGAGTATCTCTTCGCGGGCTCGGCTCGATTTGGCTCGCTGCCGGCGCGTCTGTCTGGCGTCTAACACAATGTTTCCACCCGGCGCTAGGTCTTTTCGTCGAGATGTCGGCTCAGTCGATATCATTCATCTACCAGGTTCAGGGCTGCCAGCACCTCCTCTTGCCCACTGAGAATGACTTCATCGCCCCTTCAGTCCCGGCGCTCACTGTCAAGGGCTTCTCGAGGTGGCAAGCTATCCAGATTTTGCTAGAGCCGCAGGTCCATGTTCCCGTTCTGCAGTTCGCCGTACGCAACTGGGGTCTGAAGAACCCCGACGACGGGACCGTGTTCCCCCCCGACCTACCCGCCGAATCCCTGCCCACCGACACGGACCCCGATACCGACCGCTGGCACCGGGGCTGCGCGGTAAGGTTGCGCGAGGAGGCAACGCCAAAGGAGGAGCCGAGGCCCGACTTTGCCGACCGCAAGGTTCCCTACTCGCATGTTCGCATCAACCCGGCATCCCCACACGACTACTTCTCCGAACGCAAGGTTCCTTACTCGCACGTCCACGTGGGTCCTGCCCCGCACCCTGTCCGTCAGGGCTCCTCGGGCGTGGGGCGATCCCCCGAGCGCGAACGGGAGCGCGAGCGCGAGAGAGATCGGGCCCGGGAGAGAGACCGCGACCGCGACCGCGACCGCGAACACTATCCGCGGCGCCAGGGCTCGTCGTCCGACGAGCCTCGCCGCCGGAGCCTTTCCGACTATCCTCCCCACCAACCCCAGGAGTCACGTCCAGTGCGTGTCCCACATATCGTGCCCGAGCGCAGTCCAAACCCGAACCAGCGACGTCACAGCCAACCCCGGCAATACAGCACCTCGTCCGAGACGGACGACATTCCCCTAAGCCCCGACACCGTAAAGCCCGCCCCAACTAAGCGCCGTTCCAGAGACCCGCCTCCAATCGCCGTTCGCCATGTCTTTACTGGCCCCGAGGATTCCCCCAGAGTCAGGTCCTCACACGCCCATCCCGGCTCCCGCTCCCGCTCGCCCGCAACGACGCCCGGGGGAGTCCCGCTTACCGCGCCTGAGGTGGCGCGAATATACACACGCGCCGAAGATCAAAAACGGAGAAGCTTTTTTGACATAGTCGATATCGGTAAGGAGAAGCTCTCCAGCTTTCTTCCTGGTTCCGTCGCGTCGGAACGTCAACGGAGTGGCTCGCGGGGCAATGAGGGGCACACGAGCGGGTCCGCGCGGAGCTCAAGAGACGATATCCTGCATGGGGTGCGGCTGCCCCGGACATATTCGGGCGAAGAGCCTGATGATTCGGACCCCGAGAGAGCTGCGCGCCGCCTGAGGGCTCGGAGGGACAGAGAGAGGGACGGCCACCGGGAGCGAGACCGGGACCGTGAGAGGGAAAGAGACCGAGACCGGGATCGTGACAGGGACAGGGACAGGGACAGGGATCGGACGGTAGTGCGGGATAGATCTGACCGCCCCAAAGAACATCCTCGGGATCGCGACCGCGACCGTGACCGCGAAGACAAGGCCCCCCTTAGCGGCGACCGCCCGCGCACCTCTGGCTCGCGAAGAGAACGCGAGCGCGGCGGCGACTCGGACGACGACGACACCTCGCCCCGCAGCTTCACGCGCGGGCCCTACCTGGCCCGCCCCGACTCCCACCGCCGCACGAGCAGCCATGCCGACATTGATCGCCGGCGGGACGACTGGGGCTCGGCGCCGTCCGGCAGAGAGCGCGAACGGAACCGAGATCCCGATAGGGATAGGGATAGAGACCGGGACCGGGACCGGGACAGGGACCGGGAGAGGCTGAGGCGCGACGAGCCCCGCGTGCCCCGTAAACACGACCGGGAGCGAGGAGACCGCGACCGCGACCGCATGCCCAGTCCCGTCGTCACGGGCGTCGGCGGGAGGAAATATCCCGACCTCGGGTGGAGTCGCGAGTAAAATTCCCGTTCTTTAAGTCTTCCATCCGACTCGATGAAAAGTCGGATGGAAGACTAAAACGAGATGACCATATCGCTGTGCAGTGTGCAGACAGTGGAAACGGGGAACGATATGGGGATCGAAAGATGGAAGGATGTTATTATTTGATACACGGGTTCTGGAAACAGCTCGATATTGGCTAGTTTCAAAAAGTCGGCAACCACGCCGCAGGTTGAGATATATGTGGAGGTATCTTGCTTTTTGATTTATTCTTTTCCATTTTTGGATTTTGAACGACGAGCGAGCGAGCGAGCAAGGCGACGACTTCACGGCGTTTATACGGTACGGTACCACCACCCCGGAAATAAAGGGTAGGTAGACATGGAAACGGGAGGAGGCAATATGTATTCTGCTCAACAATTGTTTCTCTACCTATATCTATATGTATCTCTAGGTAGAGGAGGCAGGCACAGCGTAAATATATATATCTACGAGGTATATTTTCCGCTCATCCCTACGGTTAATGCCCTTGGTCTTGGTGTTTGTTGCTGTGTTTCTACGCACTTGTTCCGAACTTGCTCAGATAGGGGTACTAGGGCCCTTTTCAAGACTTCAGGTCCTCCGCCTTACACAAGGAAGAGGCCTCGTAGTTGTGATTTTGAAGTCATGACAGGTGATGGGGAGAGAAGAAAAGGACTTCGAAAGATGCCAAGTGGTAAAAAGCAGTAATATTTTCTTTCCTCTACTCATGGAGTGGCTTACACCCATTACCATGCACACTCTAAAATAAAACAGTTGAGTCAAAAGCAGTAATATTTCTGTTTATTGACGGGATAGTGAATAAGGTATCGTCTATAGTAAACCCATTGTTTTCAGTCACCACTCCAAAGTGATGACCGGTTTTATTCTCCAGTGAATGCCCAAAGGAGGCCTCCCTTTTTTTTTGTTTTCTTTTATTCTTCTTCCGACATTATAATCCTCGATATCCATCGTATATTTCTGTCCCCCAAACCAGCCCACGGAGCGAATGCACGCGCGCTGCAAAGTCTAGGGGACTTGTGTGGTCAAGAAGTGGTCTCTGAGCAACATGGAAAAATAAGGAGGAAAGAAAGAGAAGAGAGTCCACGTCATCACTACCGGGACTCTAACTGTACCTTTCATCATTACCCACGCATGCGCGCGGAGCAACAAGAATAGGCATGTCAACGGGGTAGGATCGTCCCAAAAGTAGGCCGTCCGGTATCATCGCTGCCAGGGAATCAGAGAAGGAAAAGAAACAGAGGAAAGCACCAAGACGGAAAATCACCTCGTTCGGGTGGCGCTCGTGATGTGCAAGACAGGCAAAATGACCTAGAAGGGGAAACTTATTTTTTTTCCCTTTCATCGGGCCGCTTACTTGGCGAGTGGTAGAGTCATTTTCCCAGAGCACATCTGTAGTGCATGGCAGGAATGGTGGTGGTGTGGGGACACGCCGTTCGCGGTGGCTATCGATGATTCCGTGCGGCCGTTTGTCCCGGCCCCCTTCTTGGGTCCGTCTGGCCTCATTTCGAGACCCAAGGTTCTCCTCTGTCGCGGGTAAAAACCCCGCCAGGGACCTAATGTATTCTCTTAACATCCAAAAGAAGAGCAGTGCTGCGATGCAAATTTTCCGGTGGGAAGTGATTTGTTTTCATTAGAGTTTCACAGCTGACTGGTAGCTTGCTGGTTGCCGATCAAGTTTGGTCTGCATATCCCGACATGCTCAGTCCGGCCGCGGTTCAGGTAAGCAAGGATCCGACTCAGACATGTTTGTTGACCGGCTGAAGTCTGGTCGGACCGGCCCTCGTCCAGCCCGTAGGTGCCCATACTACTAATATTGAGCGGGGCGACGAGGGCTGTCGAGCGGCCAGGAGGCGGCCCGAGTCAGTCAGGTGATGTCCGTGAAGTCGGCGAACTGAGAAGACAAGAGGTCCATGTCGTCGCGTGGAGACGATGGACGCCAAGTCCCGAGGCCCAATAGTTGGAATGTATCGGGCCTGGAGCTTCCTGTCCGGGCAGCTCTGTTTGGTGCAACACTTCCCATTCGCCAGCAGCGACTTATTACTCCCGCCGTGGGTGGCAGTCGTGTGTGTGGGTATGTACCTGATGTATGCACACTACACACAAGACGGCGGGCACCCACGGCCGCTGCCGGCGGACAGCAAAACAGGGCCGTGGGCCGTTGATTGGCCAGGGAGGGGTACGCGCCGTCCACACCGCCTGCCGAGCGGCCATCTTGGACGGCCGTCAGAGGAGTCCCGCAAGGATGGAATGCCGGGCACCTGCAGAATATTTCGACACCTAGCGAGGGAAGGATTCGCTACAAACCGGCCCGCCCACCTGACCGCAACCTAATGAGAAACGAGGATGACCGGGTCCGGGCGATAGGAAGATGCAAGCCAGATCAGCGCGCCTGAAAACCCGCTCATCCATCATCACTCATCACTCGCGCGGCCGCGCCTCTCCTCTCCCTACCTTATACTCCTCTTTTTCTCCTCAGCACCGAAAAAGATGGCGTAGAGGTGAGCAATGCGTGTTCGCATCTTGGGATTTTTTTTATTGGTTGGCAGCGAATAATCCCGTCGACGGATTAGTGGCTGTCTCCGTGTGGCTTGAATGTTTCTTGGACAAATACTTCGCTCCCCCACCATCCGTACAGCAATAGCATAGCCATGGCGGAGGATTGATTCGCAACCAGGCGAAACCAAACAACCCACCGGCCCGGACAAGGCAGGTAAAAGGCGCGCGCAGAGTGGTATGGATGGCTTTTTGGTAACCGAACTGTGAACAAGGCCGGCGTGGTTGGTCCCTTCATCTCATCATCCGGCCACCTCCCAGGACCCAAACGATGGGCATGAGTACGGATAACGTCGACTGGAATGGCGGGGCTGGGGATCTGACCGAGCGAACACACGCAACGCTCGCACGCGCACGTATACCAACGCACGCACACATGCCCTCATCTGGGTTTCTTCTAAGGCGGCAAGGGAATTCGTGCAGACTACGAGGTTAGGTCAGGTCAGGCCGAGAAACTCTCAATAGAAACAAACATGCTCTGTTCCGTTTGTGCTCTTTCTAGTCAGCGGCACAGCAGCCAGGAAGGGATCAGAGCCCAGGGGTGCGCAGCACCGAGTGAGTTTGATACCAAGCCGTCTCCGGAGAATCTTCCCAAACATGGAAGTATTGTTTGGTATGGAGCCCAACAGTGGGAGCAAAGTCGTGGCCAGTTATTCAGTCGTCGTCCCCGGTTGCATTTTCGTCTAGCACCACGACAGGATGGTAGACGTTGGTATGTACCTGAGGTATCAATCCATACGTCGTAGCAAGCAGCCGGCGCCTGATTCCCTGGTCTCGGGTACGGCCTGCCTGCGGATACGTCTTTCGTCAAGTCAAGTCAAGTCAATCAAGACAAGACAAGACCTGGAGGTGCCACGAGCCGGAGCCGATTGACAGTCTTTTTGTCCCACCTCAGCTGGCGCCCCGTGTCCCATGTCTTATCTCAACGGACTGTACATACAGCGTTTGCTGCATGCGGATGCGAAGCCTGCGACGGCCGAGTCCGAATCCGTAATGGAATCATCCGTGCCATGCCATACAGACCAGATAGGACGGGAGGTCCAACGAGAATACTCGGTGCCACTCACTCACTCTCGAACTTTCTTGGCCATCTCGCACCCAGAGCCTAGGAAGGCAATTCACCGATACCGAGCGATGCATGCCCTGTTGGGAACGGCCCCGCACTCGGCCACTGAGTTAAACAGACGTCTGTCTGTCTTTCACCTTCGTCGTTTGTGCTCCAAAATGACTTGAGACGTGCATCGTTGGGCTCAAGACGACCGAAATCCGGCCGTCCGTCTGTCTCTCTGTCTCTCGTGGAAATTTGCTGCGTGGCCCTCGATTGCTGGCAGCACATCGATTGTTTGGCCTGGTATCTGTATAGGTTGTTGGGTGGGTGGGATCTGAAGCCGTGCCTCTGGGCATGAAAATATGTTGGTCGGCAAGGCAAACTCAAACAGTCCCATCTATACTACCTGACAGGGAGTGAAGGGATGAAATTCTTCGCACGACGACAGACACGACGACAGACCTGTCAAACCGCCTCCCGGCCTACCGAAGAAGCAGTGGAGAGTCGGGTCTGTGGGACAAAGAGGTTATTGTGAGGAACTACCCTGCACGCCCTACGGTAAAGTGAAATACCAGGGCGAGCACTCGAGTACTTAGAAGGCCCCACCAACGTTAACCTTATCGCCCATCCCTATCCTTCCACTTCCAGGGCTTCCGTCTTATACCAGAAATGGAGGTATGTGCTTGGGTACCTAGCATGTGTCCGTGTTTGACAGGCGAGTGAGTGATGAGTTGCAGCCAGCCGTGAGTCGCCAGTCAAAAGATTGGAGTATGTACGGATAGTTGGACATGTATTCTTCATCGATGGCAAATTCCAAAATCTCTGATGCGGAGGCAAATGACTTAAGGGTGGCGCGGCGTCTCGATGCCATCAGTCGAGTCTGGCCACGAGTGTGCGAAAGCCACTTGATTCGCTGCGCAGGCCCCTGGGTGGTGGTCTGCCAGGACAGGACTCCCACTTTAGGATGCATGCACTTTCCAATTTCTACCTATCCATCCGTGGTCCTCCAAAAAGACTTGTAGAGACTCGTGGCATTCCGTTACCAGCCCAGGCCGCCTCCAGGGCTCCACCGCATTCTTTCACCTGCCTGCCCTGCACCTGCTGCACGCCATGCAGGCACGGCAGCCCACCTTCACTGACGGGACTCGATTGGCCCACCTAATCAGCTCCCAGAGTCTTCGAGCAGGCATGTTCCTGACCACTCGAACGCGCGCAACCGAACCTCCAGTATTCCCCCAACTTAAGGAGGTAGGTCCAACCTAGGTCCAAGCCTCCAAGGTTCAGCAGGCGGGCAACGGGTCGACGGGGCCGGCAAGGTTGCACAACCCCAGCAAATCCCAGCGCTAGCCCGCTGGCCCAAGACATTCCGAGTCTTTGACTGTTTGAGCCGTCCATCTCCTAGACCGTGGGGACCGTAATGGATGGGCGCTGGAAGGTAAGCTAAGTTAGCACTTGGATTTGCTAGCACTACGTAGTCCTGTGTTCGGGTACATGCAAGTTCCAACCCTGCCAGCCTGAGCCTGCCCTGGGCCCTTGTAAGTCTAGGTACCTAAGGTTGCTAGGCTAGCGTATGCCCGGCTCCAGCCAGTGCAGGACGTTCCCATCAAAGCTTCAGTCTCTCGTCGCTTCTCCGCAAAGGCCAGCTCTCAGCTCCCGCCGCCTTTCTTCCCACAACTTTGGCTTCACAATACCCGTCGCCGCCTTCTAACAGACCACCAAGCCCCGCCCCTCCCCGACAGCGCCCAGCCACGAGACCGCACCACCGCACCACTTCGGCAGCCAGCACTAAGGTGGACATTAACAGGCCGAGACGACAGGACAAGGTGCGCTACGCTACTGCATTGCGCTCGTACATAAGGGTCCGGCCCCGCCGATCCTCGCCGTGCATCTGCCCCCCCTCCCCCTTCTCTTGCTCTGCTTCTGCCCGCCACACCCTCCGCGTTCTCGGCTCCAGCCTTGTCCGGTAACCGATCGGACGAAAGCGATACACTCGCACAACATCATCAGAGAAAACAACACCAAAGGCGCCTTTTGTCCTCTCTCCACTACCGCATTGCGACGGCCCATCTTGGATTGTGGTCAGGATGAAGGGCCGCCCAATCGATCAGCTCGTTTACGAGTGCATGTTCCCGAAGCCGCGGCAATCGGACCCCCAAAACTTCCATGCCCTCCTCAACAGAAACCTCATCCTCGAGGTCCGCCAAGAAGTGCACTCCTTCTATGGCCACCTAGACACACCCGAAGCCAAATATCCCGGGCTCGACTATACCAACCAAACACATCGCATCCGTCTCAGTCGCTGGCAATGGCACCGTCGTCTTTTCCGCGCCTTTGACTCGCTCCGCCTGACACACGCTGAGATCTCGGGTTTGACCAAGTGGGAGGGCACAAAGTGGGCCAAGGAGCGCTTCGAACGCGAGCAGGGCATCATCATCGAAGACACTACCGCCGATGGCTTTCCCGACTGGGTCGAGCCCGAGCTCCGCCCGTCGACAGAACCGCGCCGTGGCGCATCCCAGGAGACTGAAGAGCAGCGAGAGACGGCGGACGACGAGAACAATAATAACAACAACACCAACAACAACGGGGGCGATGAGAGCGACGACGAGCTCGAGAGCGTCGGGGTCGACCTCAACGAGCGTCTGCGCGAGCGGGTTGCTCTGCGCAACACGTCGGGCGACAACTCGGTGCCTCTGGATGAGGAATGGGAAACCTGGCTGAAGAGCATCATTGAGTCTGGCGAGTTGCCCGACTATACCGACATCATCCGCTCCCCTGGTCTGCAAAGCCTCCTCACGGCCGACGACATATTCCCGCCGCGGATGCTGACTTCGGCACGTACCGGCAACTGGCACGAGATCCCCGACTTCTTGCACGACATGATCCGCCAGAGTCTCGACGTGGATTCGTCAGGTGGCGCGCGGCCTCCCGTCGTTGCACAGGCGACGCCCGTGCCAGGGCGCTCAGTCAGAATCCCTCCAACCTTTGGTGTAGACATCAGCCGCATATCAAGCCGCGGTGTCGTCTATATCCCAGAGCAGCGCCGTACCTTTTCGGATCTCCGTCTGCCCGCTGACGATGACGATGGCGACGATGACACGCCGCCGGAGCGGCCTCCCATGCGGGTTCAGCGCCCCCGCCGCTACGAGCTATGAAATGGAGAAATTAAACTAAACAGATCAAATTCTCAAAACCCCCAACCTCCGCAACTCTCATGCCAAAAATCTCGCCGTCTTTGTCGCCAACTAAACAGGCGCTTCTTAGTGCGATTCGAGATAGTCTAACCCCCCAAGTTTAATGGACTGGATCCAGCTTGAATCGGAAAATCAGTTGCTCGGGCGTTTTCTTTTCCTCTCGTCTCTTTTTTTTGGGTGTCTTGTTGAGAGACATGCGCGTTGTCCCACAAAACTGCTCTTGCTGGAGCCTTGGGCTGGGAGGTTATATCGTTCAACTGCATGGCTGGTCAAATATTTACTTCCTTCTCTGAAACTCGCCTTCTCTCTCATATTTTAGCCCGGCTTCCTTTTATTTATTCCCCCCCCCCCCGCGCAACTTATTTCATCTCTCTCCGTTCGGGATTGCACAAAGGAAAGGGAGTTGGTGGTCTGCTCATAGGGAACTTAACGAACCGTCTCTGAAACAAACGATGTGGATAATGGTGTGGGCGAGTCTCGCTCTTTCTCTTCTATTCGGGGAAAGGAGGGGGGTAGAGAGAATGATGGCGAGGTGGAGTCCCAGAGCGGAAGCTCCTTCACGTTTAGACGAATTCAAGGATGAGGGCGAGGGAAATTGGAGTACCTACGGGACGGGACGAATGAATGGATGTATGTATGTATGGGTTAAGGGGGTGGGGGGGATGACATGCCACTGAAAGCGTTGATTTACATCGAGGAAAAAGATGCCCGTGTTAACCCCCTTATAGGAGAAGAAGGGAGCGGGCTAACAATGTGAGATGAGAAATCCATTGCGGGGAGAATACATACACATTATATCGTTACATAAACAAAGTTCCAAGAGTTCAACAAGCTATCGCGAGGTTCCTAGAGTCGGGCGTGGTGTTGAAGCAGAAGGGTACACTCTTTATGAGGCCTCCTTTTTATAGCGGTACCTGGTAATTGTTGTGTGCAAGGCTGCATACCCCTACTCGTCCGATTGATTGTATTGTGCGTGCCTGGGCGTGGCAGGTGTCGTATTGGCTCTTTCTGTAATGAAAATTAGAACCACGAGGAGAAAAGGAAAACAGAATCGACGGAAAACCTTTCCGTGGACATGGCGAATAACAAGTTTTCTTGTGTCGGTTTATTCCAAGCGGTTCAGGGGCTGTCCGATTGGATAGATGACTACATATGCCAACTTTGTAGCCCAACTATCTTTTCCAAGCTTGTGTGGCGAGCCGACTACATACGAGACGTTATATTATATGTTAGTGTCTTTGATAGATTATCTAACTGGTATTCTAGGAGTAAGCAACGAGGTTGGAAGACCAGCGTTGATATATATGAGGGGGCAAGAGGAAAAGTAAACAGAAAAAAAAAAAAGCCAGCCGAGAGCCACGCGAGATGGAGAGGCGGTGTTTGTCTTTGGTTCTCTTGACAGGGCCGCTGTCGAATTGTTGGACCTTGTCTGGAGAATCCCGAGTGCTACTGTTCCGGGTCAGTTTTCCCGGAGAAAAGTTATTTCTAGAGGCCAAGGGGATGGTAGGTAGTAAAACGTGATATACTCCAGGGAAGGGGGGGGAAGCGAGTGGAGTCTCTTTGCCAGGGTGGTGCAAGAAGGTGGGAGAGACTCAAGAAGCTGCCGGGCCAGTCCTAAACTCAGGACGCCGAGAAGAAGACGACGGTTGGACGCCCAGTAAATTTGGCAGCAACGTTTTGATCTGATCTGGTTTGCTGGCAGGCGAGATTACAGCGTGTTTGTGCTTTCACCATGGCGGTTCGAGTGTTTCGTGCTGATGCTGGGAGGAGCAGGCCGGCTTGGCAGCTTGATGCCTATCTCATCAGGGCACTATCGTCAGATGTGGGATTATGGCTAATAAATGGAAGTATTCTGGTTTTGACGATCCAAGCTTGTTAGAGCACACGGTCGAGTTTCTCGTCGAGGGTTAAAGAATCCCTCCCACGGCTAGTCGTCATCTTTTTCTTCTCCTACTCCTCGAGGTTCGACATATCTTCTCACCCGCCGTGATAAGAGAGAGACAGTGTGTCTGATAATCCACTCATGTCGATGTCCATCGTTAGATGTCATGTACCCACACACAGGGGTATGTGCAAGGCGGTATTGATGTTAGGCAGTTAGGAGAGGGGAGACGAGGTCACTTCACTCTCGAGCTTTTGGTTTCTCCTCTTGTGATGACCCACTCAACGACTTGCTGCACTGAAGGTGCCCGCCACTTCCTCCAGCGGTGAATTTCCCTCACGAAACATCCCATTAGGAATGAGTGATAGTGATGGTGATACGGCCACTCTGGAACGTTGTGGGAAAGGGTATAAACGGGCATGGGCTGAGTTGCTACTGCGTAACGGCGCTTGCAAGCGTTGAACCGTCTTATCAGTCTTCTCTCCACGTTATCACCATCATTATCGTCATCACTAATCCCCACCTCATTTTCCCCACTGTTGACATCCTCCTCCACTACCCCTTCTCATCTGCCACTGCCTGCCGGCATGGGCCAGACCCCCACAGATCTCCCCCGCAGATTCGCGCCCCCCAGCCATTGGTCATGATTTAGTTCGGCAGAATCCTTGCAGAGGTGGGCGAGCCAACATTAACACGTTCCGATGAAGCGGATCAGGGGTCTTTGTTTGTTTGCAAAGGGTCTCGATGCGTCCGAAAGCGGACCTATCAAGGGAAAACCCCCCGGGTCCTACACATTCGTAGGAATGCTTTCCCTGCCCGTCATTGCCAAACGGCGTGCCACACCTTTCAAAAAACATGAATCTCGGCTGAGCTGCATGAGCCGCTTGCCCGAGAGTGGAGATGCTCCCGGTCGTATGAGTAGGTGTGCGGGCCTTTGGGCTTCAACTCTCGGGTCTAGATTCTTTGCGGCGTATGTACGGCCCTTATTCACAGTTTCCTTGTGACGGAGACTTTGGCTTCACGCACAAGGAGCCATGCGCCCAACCCAAATAACCACCAACAGCCTATTTGTCATGCTAGGGAGGCTTGGAGCCGGCAACGGTCTGACGAGCGCTACTAGTGTGGGGACTTTGCAAGAGGAAGGTGAGATATTATACAGCCCTGTTCTGCCCCGGGATGCCAGATATCGGATGCTGGGATTCTTTTTTGTTTTCTCTTGTCTCGCCCCTTCGTTCCTACGAGACGTTGTTTCTCTCCTTTTGCGGCCAATGTTTGCGTACGCAAATCCGTAAACTATACGCATTTATATACGTGTACGTGTGTAGATCCCAGTTCGTCGGCTCTTGGGACGATCGGCAAGCCGCAGCCGTGACAGGGCTTTCCGGCAGGCAAGCAGGTGAGGATTTGAGCCTCATCCGAGCCATAACCGAGTTGAACCTTAAAAGGCCCTCTATGACGCTCACTTCCTAGTATCACGAGCTTTCCTTTGTTTACTTTTTGGGTATAAATAGGGGCTTCTTTTTCTATGTCTCTAGACCTTTTTAGACAGACAATTCAAGACCCTTCAAGCCACTGTCAACTTTGATCACGGGCTAGACAATAATATCCCTAGAAGCTTGCCCTACGAGGTAGAAGGGGTCAGGAACAAGTTACTCGCAGCCCCCTCAGGTCTGAGTACGGGAAGAAAGCTGACATTGCGAGACCCAAGTCTGGCATGGGAAGAAGATATGGGTCTGATTTTGCATGAGTGCCAGTAATGTCTCGAGGTTGCGTGGGGCCGGTTCGCCCGGTCGGCGAGCGCGCGAGTTGCACCGGGCAGCATGGCGGGAGGACTATTCAAGGCGCAACAGGCGGCCGGCAAAGACTAAAGTAGTAACGTTTTGTTATATTGAAGCCTAGAAAATAGTACAAAATCTCCGTGCCCCCATTTCCCGGCCACCTTGGGCCGAATCACCCCCGCTGGCAACACCACCCTTCTCGCCAAACCCGGTAGACTGACAAAGTTACTGATGAGATGCTACATATTTTCAGTGACTACAAGCCAGCACCAATTATGTAATGACTATAGTCAGGGAGCGTGTAGGCGGGCAGCTACCGTGGGCGTGTGAGCACCTGCGTGCACAGCCAGACCATAGGGACACGGGGCCGTACTTGGCACCCCTACCCACCTGAGGTACGAACGGCCCACCATAGTTTACTTGCCCCTGAATTTATCCTTGTACGCTTCTTATAAGATTGTATTTACGATTCAAGAGAGCTCAAAGCGATATTATAGAAGAACGTTAAACCATAGTCGGGTCGTTGCCTCAGTTGACTAAATTCAGCGTGTCTAGCCCGAGTAGGAAACTACTGACTTTACAAAGTAGACCCCCTCATTACATCCACCTTCGTCCTCCCCAACAACCGGGTCTGCTCAACCTTGCTTGAGTTGTTGTCTGTCTCTTTGCCTCTCACCGGATACATTCGCCGCTCGGTTAAGTTAGCTAGGATGGGAATGGTGCTAATGTACAGTTACACAACATTGACTTCGCGCTTTGAACTGCACGCCTCACAAGGATAGTAGAGTCTGTACGGAGGCTGGATCTTAAGACGCCCTGTAGCCTGTAGCCTGCAGGATGCATGTTGCCCGGGGGGGCGGGGGGCGGTGTCCCGTACAGTATCCCAAGATCGGCACTGCGGTGTATTTGCAGTCCACTTGGTCAGTGCCAACAAGCGGCCTCATCACCATGGCTTGCATGCAGGACCGAAAACAAAAGCGTAACAAACTGTCCGCCTGCCTGCTGTTTCGTTTCTCCCATCATTCCACGTGGAGAATAGTCGCAAGCTTTTGAGTCTTCTCATCATATGCTGCTTCTGGGTTATTGATAGGGTTGAATGGCGGACTATTACATTGTTAAAAATTCCACCCACCGAGACAGGGTGGCTAAGAACGGTCGAGAATCCAGAGAGCGTCGCTTCCCACAGTTTCCGACTTGCTCTGATAAGCCTCTTCGCGCCAGTTAGTTCGGATTTCCTAGTCCCTGGGCCCTTTCTACATACTAATAATCTCCTTTAGAAGGGTCTAGATAGATCGAAGTGTGTCTTCCTAGGGCTATGCCACGATCTAGCACCTCAGCGGGTTCAGCACGTATGATCCCACCCCCTCACCTCGCGAACCCAGCCCCGTTCCCGTTTTCGACGATCCATGGGAAAGGCTGGAGTACGAACGGAGGCGTTTCTGCTGGAATGAGGAAGACTATCAATTCGAGAGGATATTCCTCAAAGAGGGCCCCATCGACCGCGTCAGGGCAAAACACGAAGACCAAGAAGGTGACAGACGACGCGAGAAAGAGCTGGAGGAAATAGAGAAGGTTCAATATTACCCAGGTACCCCCTTCTAGTCGGACGAGTACGAACGTCGAGTGAGGCACTTCAATCTTCGAGCCGAGGGTTGGACACAAGAGCAGATCGACGCCGAGGATCGGGCGGCAGCTGCAAAAAGGGCTGCGCGTGCGGAAAGAGAGCTGCGAGAAATATGCCGAGAAAACAAGCCAATGACGGAACGCTTAGTTCATCGCTATGAAGCTTTACGAGTTAACAGAGAGAGACAGGCCGAGCTTGCTCAAAAGGCTGGTCGCAAGCTGGAGCTGGTGTCAGAGGCTGAGGAGATTGAGGCTGAGGAAAGAAAATTCATGGAAAGCATACGGTATGGACGGGAAAAGGGTCTGCCGCGGACCGGAGACTTCAATCCTTTCTATATAGCTTTAGGAGTCAGCAAAGAGAGACCCGTGGCGGAAGAGTCAGCAAGGACACCGTACAACTCCGAGGCGTACGATCCCGGATATCAGCACCAACATCTACGAAGGTCTCGGGAGTCGATCCCGGGTCGGACCGGCCCAAACGAGAGCCTGAAAAGCCTGGTACCAGTATCGCACAAGCGTAGGACGCGCCACGCAGAAGTCGGAGACTCGTAGGACTGGATCCTGAAGTTGAAACATTACCGCCTCACGAAACTACCCTACGACAGCCCTCAAATACACACAAGACAAGCGGTTCAGGCCCTAGCGGCGGCAGGCTGTCCAAGAAGCCAACAGTAGTCAAGGGTGCGAAGCCTCAAGGGATTTCAAAGTCTGGGCAGGCAGGGACAGGCCGCTCGAAAAGGTCGCCGAGGGTTTTGAGGGGCTGAGTGCTATGGCAACAATAGTAGTACTGCGATTGTGTAAATGCAAACTGCATCATGCTTCGCGAATTAATATAAACGGGACCCTGCATTAGCTTACATCCGATCTGAACTGCTTCCGGCTTGAGCTCAAGGATGCGGTGGAGAAGCTCCGCAGAAGATAACCTAACATCCCACTCTCCCTGAAACAACAGGGCGCCATCGACGATATCATGCTCCGCACTACGACGCCGCGTTATATCTAATATGGGTACGTCCTAAGTTTAAGCCAGTATTGTCTAGGTTGCTTTATCGTAGGCTTCCTGCCCCTACCCTCGCCCAAAGGCTGCATGTTTCGGAGATACAGTAGCTACATCAAGCCAGCTATGAGAGATACGTTGGCAATACGAATCAAGAAGTCTTCACTCTCCTAAAGTCACTCTACATAAGCTATACGTCTTAGTTTACGGGATTTGTGTGGCCTGGTATCTTGCTTCTGCCCAGCCTATAGAAGTTACATGGAAGTTTTCACGGCATGGTGGAGTAGCAGACTTGAAAAAAGTTTCAGAGATTTAGGGAGGAAGGTATAGTATTCTCTGATCGCCCTTAGCGGTTCTGCTTGGAACTCATATTGCATCTGCGGTACAAATATGCCTGCGGTCAATAACCTACGGTGGTGCTGCACGACGCCAGCGCGTGTTCTCTGCCAATCAAAGAAGAAGTGGGGACTCCTCCGTTTGTGAGCACGACCGTTTTTTTTTTTTAAAAAAAAAAAAGGAAAAAAAAAAAGAAAACGAAATACACTAACAGGAGGGAAAGAGGGACCCGTTTTTGGATCCCAAGAGCCCCGGTTCCTGACCACCTCTACCTCGTAGGGCAAGCTTCTAGGGACAGTGCAGGGGAAGTTGGTTAGTTGCATACCGAGCCGGTCGTCATTCGGATAAGCCGCTGTACCAATCTTGAACCCCAGCCGCAACACGGATATCTTGGTTTTTGGCACTAAACCACTAGAGCCTATTTGATTTCCCATTCATCCAACTCTTGGATTTTTGCACCCTTTCCGGGCAAGTAATCCGGAGTTGCAGAGGTGCGGAATACGACAGGGGCTCTGGAGATGGTCTTTCGGCAAACGAGTCATAGTAAGTTGAGGGATAGCTTCAAAGAGGCAGGTCCGCAACGTTGTACGGAGTGTTTTGGCGAGTCAATAGATTGTTGATAACTAACCCAAGAACATCAGTAAAGTCCCGTGCCGTTCTCTCATGGCGATTCGCGATCGAGCTCAGACCTGGACGCTCGTTGGAGATTATTCAGCAACCGACCCCTTGCTTGGGGGGTTAGGGGGATGTACTCTAGAACTTTAGTAACAGAACGGTCTCAATTGAAAAGAAGTGAATTCACGAATAGCTGACAAACGGTGTGATGGCACCAGTCACAGCCGGATGCAGCCCTAACCGTGACGCTAGCGATCTTGGCTTTCTGTCTTGGACAGCTGAGCTGAGTTCGTCTTCTACTCAGTAAGTCGATTATCGAAACCCAAGACCGAGTCGGCCGCTTACTACTTCTAGTGTCGGACAAGATTCAGTCGGCTGGCCGGGGGTTGTTTGCATGACGCAACCGCTGTTAGGAAGCAAGTCGGCGGCGGGGCGGACGGAAAGGCAACCTCAAGCAACCTGTTTCGGTCCTCATACTACTGGTAGTCTCGGACCGCCCAGGAGCGCCACGTATGTACATTACAGTACGCACGCAGACGCGTAAAGATACGCTATTGCATTTGATGTTGGACTTGGGGGCTCCTTTGCAAGCTTATTCTTATCTCCGGCTTCTTAACGAAGAGGAACTTGGGTGCGTACGTACCTACTACCTAGTAGCTGGATGGCAATTGGACGTTTACCGATCTTCGTGATGGGCATATGATATCATGCTATACTTGATATGGGTAGCCATCGCGGCGGCGGCTCCGGCTGACGGGTTATTTGGGAACAAACTCCCCAAGATGCCGAGGAAGGGCGACCGCTTCTCGAAGCCACAATCTTCGAAGATCGGCAGAAATACCTTGACTTTACCTGCCGTAGGAAAGAAGGTGCTGTACCTGCCAGGCCGAAGCGAGGTGAATAGTGCGAGGTGAGGAAGGTTCTTGCAGTGTGGGCGGAGTAGACCCTGCAGCCTGCGCCTCCCGAGTGCGCCCAGCTGGAAGCCACGACTGCCGCGATCAACTCCTTCCCAGACTTTGGGGTCAGTCAGCCCCTGGCAAGCCGCCACCGTCGCCGGGTCTGGCTGGGTAGGCGCGCGGACCCGCGCCTGGGTAGGTGGGAGGTCCTCTCTGGAGCCTAAAGGTGCGATGGTGCCTGGGTGGCTCGGGAAGGGCCAACGACCGAAGCACTATGGAAGGTGCACTGGACACTTGATCTGACCCCCCAGCCCAGGCTACAGGCTACAGCAGCACAGGCCATGCCTATTCGGGCAAACAAATAAAGAAAATTTGTGCGCGGGAATTCGAAGCCAAGCCAAACCTTCTCCGTCAGAAAGCCCCGATGAGTGCGAGCCATGCCGAGACGCCAGTCCGAGATGGGCTCGCCAAAGGGCGGCCCCGCAGGGCACACAGGGCACAGTACCACCTACGCAGTAAGGATTTTATATTCAACGCTGACGAAGTACCTGATTGTGGAGTATTTGCACATTGATCCCCACGTCGTCCGTCCACGTCTGCCGCGACGAAGAGGATGGGGGCTTTTTGCGCGGACAGGTGACTTCCAGCTAAGCGCCTTGGGGGAAACGCAGCCAAGGTGACGACTGCCTGGGTTTGTGCTAATGTCGGGTACGCCCTACGGGGCAAAGTCAAACGTCACCCAGAGTCGGAGTCGAAGTCAGACGTTGTACATACATACACTACAAAACGCTGTGCTGTACATACATACGTCGATGGTAGTAGGAACAAGACCTAAGGTAACGGGGGAGGACGAAGCGAATCTCCTGAGCCCCAGCGGGGACGTACTTGTGTCGCTCCTTACCTTAGCAACCTAACAATGCCTTACCGGGCAGATGCCAACAGTACCTACCAGTCCCATCCCATGCTATGCCATTCCATGCCATGCCATATCCATGCGGGCCTCGAAGCCATGCATCCGCCAAGATGCGGTGAACTGCTGCTAGGTCTAACTAGTACGTGCCTCGCTACCTCAGGGCGGCTGCTGCCTTGGGCACCAGGACTCCAGGGCCTTGGGTGGTTTGGCGAAAATAGATGGCGGATGGTGGACGGGGGACAAGATTAGGGTATGAAGCACCTCAGTTTCCGAGTCCGATGTCCACGACATCACGGCGCGGGCCCTCGCTTCTCCCTCTCCACGTCCAGTTCGCCACCTCGCACAGCTCTGTCCCGCCGTCTCCTGGCTTGTACATACCTACATACCTAGATGCTTCGTACACACCGTACCCACACCTGCTAAGGTATATGACTGCCGCAGGCCCACACGCCATGAGCCGCCCTCGGCCCACCAGGGGACCGACGGGACGGTAGACTCGACTGCCGTATTTTCTGTCTCGGGCTTGTCACCATCTCGGCTCGCCGCCATACCACTCAAGACCCACCGGCAGACAGACAGCAGACCGTGAGCGTGCCCCGAGCACCCCTCTCCCCTCCCTACCATGGACCCGGACCAGCCCGGAGGCTTTTTCTCAACCTTTTCCATTGTCGACCCTGCCGCCAGTGCCCAGGAGGGCCTGAGCCGGCCTCAGAGGAGGAACCGGCGAGTGTTTGTGTGCATCCCCTGCCACCGACGCAAGCTCAAGTGCGACAAAGCCCAGCCGTGCTCCCGCTGTATCCAGGCCGGCTCCTCCGGAGAGTGTGTATATCAGCGAGGCACGTCGTCCCGTCACAACGAGGAGCCCAGCACCGACGCCGAAGACACGCTTCCTGTACGAGGAGGTCCGCAACGCTCGTCCCAAGCCTCCATCACCCCGGTACCATCCGACGCAAGTGAGAGGAAAGCACGCCTCAGTGGTGCCTCTCACTGGGCTGCTATTGCCCGCGAGGTGCGTTCAAAAGTCTGGGCCAGCTGAGAAGAGGACTTGGCCCTAGCCGTCAAAGTCACCCCCCGAAGTCGAGTGCTTGCAAACTTGTTGTTTACTGACTCGAGCTCCCTTCTTTCCACCATCTTGTAGTTTGAAGAAGCTTGGCCGTTCATCATGGGTGCCGACCAACAGTGGGAATCGAGGCACAACCAGATTCAGAGTCTGAAGTTCTTATTTCCCTCGCGTTTTATGAGCAACTTCCCCCTCGGCGGTGTCTCTGATTTTTCTCGGAGCCGAGCCCAGATCCTTGAAAATCTACCGCCCCAACCAATAGTCGACGCCCTTATTCAGTATTATTTCAGGGCCTTCGGGCCGACCCATCAACTCATCCACCCCCAGATATTTGACCAGGAGCTGAGAGCGTTCTGGGTCGACACGAATGGCCAGACCTCTGAGGGATGGCTCGCCCAACTGTGTATGATGCTGGCGTTGGGGTGCCAGGTAGCCCCTAACAGGCTTCTCGGGACGGCAGGCCGTTCTGCGCACGACTTGACCGACTTCTTTCTGGACGCCGCCCAGTTCTTCTTCGCAGGGTCTTCGTATTTTGCAATGCCAACGCTGGCTACGGTGCGGTTACTCTGCCTGGCAGTGTTGGCTCGCATAATGGAAATAATCAAGGGGTCCGAGATGGCCCATTTGGTCTTTCTCATGGGCTTTCTTACCAGGCTAGCCATGACAATGCACCTGCACCGGGCGACCTCGCTCTGCCAGGAGATGCCTCCCTTCGAGTCTGAGATACGCAAACGGATATGGATTACAATCCAGCTGCTCGACCTCCATGTTGCCATGAGAACTGGAACATCATTTCTCCACCGAGACTACGATGCCGATGCCCCACTCAACGTCAACGACGATGACTTCATTTTCTCTCCCGAGCACGGCTGGGTCCTGGATCCAGGCCCATGGGTGTCGAGTCAAGAACCTACAGACAGCAGTTTCCAGATCATCCTGGCCCGGCTCCTTCCCTTACTGACGGAGATCATGAACACCGTAAACTCGCCAACTCTACCCCCTTTCGAATACGAGAAAGTCCAAGCCTGGACTGTGCAGCTGAGCCAGGAGCTGCAAGATGCCGAGTCTTTGTTGGCCATCGGACCCCACGACCATCAAGCTGAACGGCGAGAAAGACGGGCAGTGCAAATGAATTTTCTCTCTGTTATCGTCCACCGTGCACTGCTGGCACTGCACCACGACTACGCCCGCGAGCCATACTCCCAGCAGTTTCCCGACTCTACGGTGGCTATAATAGAGAGCTCATTAGCTCTGTTGCGTACGCAACACACGTGGCATCACACATCAGCACCCATCCGACATCCGGCGCGGTTCTGTGATCTAAGTGCCGAGGCGGGCGGCTCCAAGGGCCCGCAGCCATTATACGAGCCTTCAGTACCGGAAACACCACCAACAACATCTCTCCAACTGCCGCTGGAGCTCGATCTCGGTTTGGACGAGCCCTCTGCTTCGCTATTTCCCAGTGCCTGGCTCGTCGACCTCTGCCACGATGACTTTAGCGCCGCCACGTTCTACATCATTCTTGCTCTGCGTAGACGCGAGTTTGACAAGCACAACGCCACACTGCAGCACCGTCCCAGAAACAAACTGCCGCTGCCAGCGCCCTCGCGGCTGACGGCCTATACAATGCTCAAGCAGGCAATTAACGTCTTCCAAGAATTAGCCAGCCACTCCTGGCCGCAGTTCGAGGAGTTCATCAGGCTCCAGGTCTCGATGGGGTGCTTGCACAGCCTAGTCAAGGGCGAGCCCATACTGCCCACGCTACTTACCATGGCAGACGGAATCGAGCAGATGGTGTTTCGGTGCCGGAACAACGTGGTCTTGTGGGAACAAGCGAGACGTCAATTCCCTCCCCTGGACAGCCCGCGGCCGGATATTATGTTCGGATTTGGGCCTGGCCTGGGCTCGTAGATGTGAGAGGATGTGCTTTGATGCGGAGTAGTGTAATTAGTTCTACTATTCGTACGGCCCCGAGATAAACCTTGCGAGGGAACCAACGGCCTATATTTAATTCGTTTTACAGCCACCGTCTTCCTACACAGCTCCGTTGACGGAGGTGTAGATATAGGCGGATTTTTAGTTTACTGCCTGGGAAAGTGTGTCATCCGGTACGGAGTATGGATTTTGTAAAGAAGAGACGCCCCTTGAAGGGGACAAAAAATAAAAGGGGGGATTGGGTTTTCTTCCCCGGAACTATTGAAGCTCGCCCAAGGCCAAACGCCCTTCAAATATTCTTTTTTTAATGTACACGATGTACAAAAGCGCGCAGAGAAAAGACAAGACAGAAGAAAAAGAAAAGGAAATTGTCTATGCCATGGTGTCGAGAGTGTAAGGTACTACATTATTACACAACACCCGTGACTGCCCACCCACTCCTTCCCCCACCAAGTATCACAGCGAGAGTTGCCCCGGGGCCTCCACAGTCCGGGATGCAAATAACCCGCAGTTCTCTGTACAAAAAAGGCAGGGGCGGAATGAACAACACGGGTCTTTACCAGGGTGGTGTGAAAACCCGGGTCGTTTTGGGGCCGGCCGTTGTCTCAGCATCTTCCACTTTCTCTATCCGACGGCTGCCTTCCCCCTCCGGACAGGAGAAAGGAGACGCTGTGTTGAGCCTCGAACCGTTCTCGTCATGGTTGTCGTTTTGCCGCCCGCCGTCTCTCACAGTCCATCGTCACCACAGCCACCGCCTACGTCGCCGGTTTACGTAGTGGTGGTCGTCACAGCCCTCGTACAGCCTACCCCTTCCAGCGCGACTGTTCGCTCTTCCACTAAGGCTCTGCCTTGGCCAGCGCGTTCAAATAGTCTTCAAGGTCGAACTTGGGGTCATTTGGATCTTGGTTCACTGTTTGCGCCGCACGTCAGTAAAACATATGCGTGTTACTCTCTTCTCCTTCCCCCCCGAACTGAAGATGAAGAAAGAGAATCTAAGGGCGGGAGGCATTAAAAAAAGAGGCAACGTACGTCCACCACTTGTCGTTGTCGAGGCGGCCACCGCAGAAGCCGGCTGCTTCGATTTCGCATACGCCTCCTTGGCCTGGTCTATCAGCTGCTGCTTGTGCTGGTAGTTGCGCTGTGCGGCCGCCGTCTTCTGTGTCGAGCTGATCGTCCTTTGGTGGTAGAAGCCGTAGAAGATGCCCAGCCCGAGTGCCGAGTACCGGAGGACCTGTGGGTGTGCGCGCGAAAACAGTCAGTTTGTGTGGTCATTTCTTGTTGAGAGGATGACTGTATTCCATGCTCCTTCTCGTCTCGAATTTGTCGCGCCATTTCGCTCTCGCTATCTCTCTTGCACTCTCTCACGCCCTTTCGAGAACAGAAGACTGGCCATTGCCTATCCGTCCCAAGGCAGACATCTGTACTGGTCAGATAATATACCCATCCCATCCCTCCTTGGAGAATACCAGATACAAAGCGGATGCCTAGATCCTGCTGCTGCAACCCGCTCTATCTGCGCCAAAGACACCGTAGAGAGACAACTGTTTCCTTTTCTAATCGGGGCTGTAGCTAGGTGCACTCACGTTGACTCCGGCCTTGGAAGAAGACATTGTGTGAATTAAATGAGGTATAAATCAATCCCTTGTCGCGATCCGAATTGGGGGTGGGAGCGGTGGCTTCGTGAACGAACGGTCGGATTCTCGAGGATGGAGGGGATGCCCGTGGGGTTGTCGTCGTCGAGGAAGAAGAGGCCGGCGTCGGGGGTTGGGTTGGTTGATTTGCGGGAGATTGGGCAAGTTTTGCGAAGCTCGGGAATTCTCGCGGCGGCGGTTTTTTTTCCTTGGATCGTTCTGCCCTCAAGTTTCCGCGGCTGTTGCTGGCCGGCAAGCTTGTTGCCCCACTCACTGTATAGGTGCCCTATGCTGTAGTGTAGGTATGTACCGCACCAAGGCAGTTGGGTGCTGCTAGCAGCAGCAGCTCACTATGGTGGCCTGTTTCAGTGGCTGACAGGCCAGCGAGCGGATTTAGAAACGGGGCGGCCGAGGAACACCCATCACGTGCAAGGGTTTCAACATAGTGCGCCACGACACCATTAACCCCGAGACAGGTGGGGCGGAAATAAGGGACCGCTACACAGCAGCAAGCTAGCCCCTGTCAACCTACAGCAGTGCTGCGGTCGCCAAGTCGCGAGCCACGCGCGCATGATAGTCAAAGAAAAGGAAGGTTGCCCAAGCCTGCAACAAAATACCAACGATCTGGCACCGTCCGCCCACGCAAAACCTCGCAGCAAGTCTCATTAACCTGAAATTACTCTCATATCTCGCTATAATTGAGAGCCCCTCGGTTTCGCATCTGAATCGGTCGAACAGGACGCCAGACAGGACGGGTACACCTTCTCGGTACTGCATTACAGACCCGCTTAGAAGACGACGCCGCCGCACCGCCTGAAGCTAGGGAAGCCCTACACCACCCCGGGCCTTCGACGGTCCATCACAGCCCAGCCTAGAGGAACGCGACTCCTGAGATGTGTCTAGGTAGTCGGCAAGATGCAGCAACGCCGAGATGAGATTCTCGCAAAGAAGGCAAAGCTCGCAGAGCTTAAGCGGCAGAGGGAGCTTCGGGCAAGCCAGGCCACGGCAACCCGCCATAGCATAGGAACCGCCAGCGACGTCAGTATATCATACCATACCACAGCCCTCTCTCGCCTCCCCCAGTTATCTCGGCTGGCAGAGCAAAGACTAACCTGCATGTGTCTGTTTTAGCTGATCTCCCCGACGCCTGGCAGAGCTGAGAACCGTCGCGAGATCGAGTCCCTCATCAACAGCCTTGTCGGCGAGAGCCGGCCTGTTTCCGTGTCGACCGGGGCTAACTCGCCTGCGCGGCGCGGGAGTCGTCCTAACAGTGTCCTTAGTACTGGAGAGCTCAGCAACGAGACCTCGGACTTCCCCGTTCCTGCAAATGGCCAGGTGGTCACTTCGCAGCCCCAGATATTGTCCACGGTCGCGCTCGCAACCGTCTACGAGTGCCCCCCGTCGCCGGTGAAGGAGGTTTTCTCGTACAGCAAAGGCGTACAGACGACAGAGGAATGGACACCGCCGATCAGGCCGCGCGCCCTGTCCGAGTCGGACAATGAAGACGTGACGGCCACACCGAGCAAGCGGCCCAGCAGGAGGGAACGGGACCGGGAAGAGGAGCTAAGACAGAACCTACGGAGAGAGATCGAGGAGGAGCTAAAAGCCGCCAAAGAGCTCGTGACGGACGGAGTATTCAAGCCATCAACGGCACCGAACTTCCCAGCCAGGGCTCTCACGACTGAGGAGCTCAGGGCAGTGACATTGTCGGACGACTTCATGGGCTTTATCGACAGGTCGACCAAGGTGATCGAGAAGGCGCTGGACCAGGAATACGACATCATGACCGACTACACGCTGCAGGTGCACGACATTGACGACGACGACGAGCAGCATGGCAACACGGGGGGCAAGGGCCGGCGCAAGGTCAAGGAGCTGGCCCAGTTTTACGACGAGCGCTGGTCCAAGAAGCGCATGATAAGCTCGATTGATTTCTCTCCCAAGTTCAGCGAGCTTCTGCTTGCCTCGTACACCAAGAATCCTACGGCACCGCACGACCCCGATGGCATCGTGCAGGTATGGAACGCGCACCTCCAAGGCCGGCCGGAATTCGTGTTCCACGCCCAGTCGGACATCCTGACGGCCAGGTTTTCGCCCTTCCACCCCAATCTCATCATCGGCGGCTCCTACAGCGGGCAGGTCCTGCTCTGGGACACGCGGGCGCGGGCGGCGCCCGTGCAGAAGACACCGCTCACGGGCTCAGGACACACGCATCCAGTCTACTGCGTTGACATGGTGGGCACACAAAACGCCAACAACATCATCTCATGCTCCACCGACGGGGCCGTGTGCGGGTGGAGCGTCGACATGCTCGCGCAGCCGCAGGAGTCGCTGACGCTGCTGGCGCCGCTGCCGGCCAAGAACGAAGATTTGAGCCCTACATGTATGGCATTCCCCGAGGCGGACCCGACATTTTTCCTCGTGGGCTCCGAGGAGGGCACCATCTTCCCGTGCCATCGGTACGATCGCGCCGGGGCCAAGGCAGGCGTTGACGCGCGCGTCAGCTACCGGGGACACGCGGCGCCCGTCATGTCGGTCGACTTCCACCCGGCGCGCGGGCCCGTCGACCTTGGCGACCTGGTGCTGTCGGCCAGTCTCGACTGGAGCGTTAAGCTCTGGAAGGTGCGGGCACCCGCTGCCACTTCGGCCGTGGTGGTGGGCCCTGGGGGTTTGCCAATCGGCTCGGGCGGTGTTGGTGGCGACGCCCACGTCGCTCCTTTGCTCGACTTTGTCCGCGAGGACGTCGTGTACGACGCCGCCTGGTCGCCCATCAAGCCCGGCGTATTCAGTCTCGTCGACGGTGCAGGCTGGCTCGAGCTGTGGGACATCACGATCGAGACAGAGGAGCCCGTCGCCCGCATCTCGCCTAGCCCCCGCAAGGACGGCCGCACCATGCTCAGCAAGAGTCTCAACAAGGTGGCCTGGGAGCCCACAGAGGGCAAGCGCCTCGCCACGGGCGGCATCGACGGCTGCCTCACCCTCTTCGAGGTCGGCCCGGACCTCGGCGGGAAGGAAGGCCTTAAGACGGAGGACTGGCAGAATGTCAAGAAACTCATCACGCGTATCGAGGCTGGCGGTGGAGTTGACGGCAATGGTAATGCCGTCGCCGGGTTGTAAGGAGAAGTTGTACTGTCCTCTCTCCGGCCAGGACGAGACTGTCCTTGTCGTCTATATGTGCTATAGCTACGGCTAGTACGGGAGAAAGGGGAGGAGACCTACCTCTCGGTTGATTCATCCCTTCTTTGTTGTCTTTTTGGTGGGCGTGTGAATAAATTAATAAGCAGGAAAAAAGTGTAACCTTTGGCTGTTGCTATTACTGAATCATTACTTTATACCTATACATATCATTCTATTTTGGCAGCCTTCTGTCGTATCTTGCAATACTCGGTCGTTCTTTTCCCAGCCTTTAGAGTTGTCTTTATTTACATGGGTGGAGTGGAAGAACACTTCTCGGATTAAAAGTCTTGGAGTGGGTCCGTCACCCACGCACGGGCTTCGGCATCCATCTCCGCCCGAACATTTAAATCCCGTCTTACTATTTTTTTTCTTCTGCTCACGAAAGTCCTTCTGGCATGTTTTGGCAATCACCCACTTCCTTCCTTCCCGTCATATCCTTTTCCTTTTTCGCTTTCTCTTTTCCGTACCTGCAATAAGCCCTGCTCCCAATCATGTGAGCCTCACAGAGGAAATAAAAACTCTAAACTGATGGCCGCGTTGCTCTTGCCTTGCAATCCTGTTGCGGCGTTTCTCTGACGAATTGATGTGAAGCCTGCAAATTCGTAGGTTTTTTTCCTTTCTTTTTCTTTCATGGGCTATATCCAAGTGATGATGGATTCTTTATTGAATTCTGCAATTCTGAAAACATGAGGAGACTTTACCGTCTCTTCTACTTTTGTGGACAACTTCACAGTGTCTGATGGATGCCCAGCCCTCTCTTTTTTTTCTTACTTTACGCTTTCCTCACGCGTGATGCGCAAAACAGCAGTTAAAATGCCGTCAAGAGGTTAACGAGTCTAAGGAAAAAGCGGGATTGGGAATTCTGGTCTTTATTTTTTTTGTTAAAAGGCCAGCATATCGAGAGCCTGAAGCCATCGCTAACTATTTTATTCTATTTTCACAATGCAATCACCACCGTAACGCTCGAGAGAAACCCCCACCATGTCATCGTGATGCTTTCCCTCGCTGGCGGCTGACTGCCTTGCTTATCCGTCCATGGGAATGTAGGCGGGGTAGCGCGGGCCCTTGACCTCGAACTTGGCCAACGTGGCCTCAATCTCGGCCATCTCGGCGTCGGTGATGTCGACGTAGCGGGCGTTCTCGTCGACGCGCGCGGCGGTGGTGGCGCCGGGGATGGGGATGATGACGGGCATTCCGGGGCGCTTGGCCACGTTGCGCGTCCACGAGATGGCCAGCTGCGCCGGCGTGCAGCCCTTCTTCTCGGCCAGCACATCGATCTGCCGCGCAAGCTGCACGTTGTTCTCGAAGTTTTCGCGCGTGAAGCGCGGAAAGTGGCTCAATTCTGCTGGGAGGTCTTCAAACGTCTTGAAGCGGCCCGTCAGCATGCCCCTCCCGACGGGCGAATAGCCCACCAGGGGGATGTTGTGCTCGGCGCACGCGGCTGCGACGCCATTGGTGAGCACGTCGGGCGAGAACAGGCTCAGCTCGACCTCGACGGCGACGATCTTGGCTAGCTTGACGGCCTCGTGGATGGTCGAGGCCTTGACCTCGCTCAGCGAGATGCCGCCGACCAGGCCCTTGTCGATGTACTCCTGAATGACGGCAAAGGTGACTTCGAGCGGCACCTTGGGGTCGCGGCGGGCGCACTCGAAGATGTCGAGCTTCTTGCGCCCCTTGAGCAGCTTCAGGCAGTTGTCGATGGAGCGGCGCACGTTCTCGGGCGAGCCGTCGGGGCCGTGTGCGCCCGAGGCGCCCTTGATGCTCAGCACGACCTTGTCGGCATCCTCGGGGTACTTTTCAAAGAACTGCTCGAGGAGCACCAGCGAGTTGTACTCGGGAGTGCCGTAGAACTCGCCGCCGTTCCAGAAGTTCATGCCGTTCTTGAGCGACGCCCGCAGCGTCTCAAAGGCCTGCTCCTGCGACGGAGGCGTGTGTCGCCATGTCAAGCCTGAAAGCGGGGCAACTTGCGTCAGTCCCCCATTTCATGTATGTATGTTGCTGGCGGTCTACGCCAGTTCATTTCCCCGCGGCGGACAACATTGCAGAACAAAAAGAAGAGAAAACTCACCCATGAGCCCAAAGCCAGTTGGCCCAACTTCCTGTCCGTTGATTTGAGGCATCTTTGGTTGCGTTGTTGTTTATTGTTGCGGGTGTCAAAGACGAGTGGTAAAGAAGGGGTGTTGGTGACAGTGTGTGTGTCTTGAAAGCTAAGCCGAGTGCAGATGAGAAGGGAAGGAGATTATTTGGCTCGTCCCTCGGGCGCCCTTTATACTCGAGAGTCCCTCTACCCCGTGCGGCTTCAACATGCAAAGGGTTTGGTACGAGAACAGCTGTCGGAGTCGGAAACTTGTCGTGGTCGACATCCAGAAAGAAGCGAGATCGAACTTATCTCCGGCGGGGGCGTGTCTCTAGATCCCGTCTCTAGCGCCGATCGTCATGGACATTCCGGCGCCACCCCCTCCTCCATCGCCTATACTGTACTGCCAGACTCCATAATTGCTGAGCTAATACCCCTCGACAGCCGCACGTCTGGGCTCTGGAGATAATGCAAGGCACGAGACGGAACAGCGCGAGACCGTACCGCTGGAGCTAAGCTGGGATTGACTGCGAATCAAGACTTCATGGAGAGTGAGTCGTGCATGTGTCAGCTATTGCTACAGCCGTTGATGTGACTGGCGTTGAACTTCTATATTTTTCTTTTGTTTGCACACTACGTTCTGAATGGAGTACCTATCCTTACTACATGTCTCTAATTGGAACACAAACGGATGCTTCTCCAACAAGCCCATCTCAAGGGCCGTCCCCCCAGCCTTCTCCAGTAGACCAGTGGCCGGGGTGCGGCGTTAGGTTAGCCGGCGGCGTAGAGGCAGAAAACCATGGAAGACACCCGCATGAAACATTGGATGGAAGCACTCTCGCCTTTTCAAAGCTGTTTAACTCCGCGGATTTTCGACGAGACCAGGCTGGTAGGTAGCGAATACGCCATCCCAAAGGAAGGTTGTCCATACTGTGTGGTATGATGGGTAATAAAAAGCCCCATGCCGAGTGCTTATTGGTCAAAAACGCGTAAAGTGTTTGCCCCACAGACACCTGACAAGGGGGTTTTATTTTTGCACACCGATGCCTGCGGACATAGTATATTATATTTAGAGAGACGGGACTCGCGGACGTCCGCCAAAAGTACTCCAGACTTGCTTACGTAGCGCCCAAGACCCGGGAGAGCAGGTACCCAGTTCTACCCGGCGACGGGGCCCGCGGGCTGCGCTGCTGTGAATGAAACCCACTGCCAGTGGTCCGGCTTGGCCCCAGTTCGGCCCACCACAGAGCGGACGGATTTCGCGTTGTCTTTATCGTTCCGTCCAGCGTCCGGCCAGCCATTTGAGATCCAGCTCGCTACATCTTTTTCTTTCTCTCTCTGTCACACTCTGTCCCTCCTACTTTCTGTCACTTTTACTGTCTGTCACACACACTGGGCAATGGGGATAAGCAAACGCCCGTTACATTGAGTCTATCTCCATTTTACTCGGGGTTTTCATATTCGGGATCATTGATAAAGATGCAAAAGCGACATGGAAACTCAAGATATCTCCTCTCCTTGCCCATCTCCGTGCTCCCGCTCCGCCGTCTCCATCGCCTCGTCCCTCTGTCTCCTTGTCTGCCGAGCCCCGCCCCTACTGTCTCCCTGTTCTTTCCCCGGCCAGCTGCCCACAAAATCTAACTACCTAGAGATCTATCAGCCTTTCCATCGGCACTACTGTCGGCAGCGGGACGGAGGGAGGAACAATCCGGGGCATCGGCGATGGCACGGTTTTCTGTCCGCTCTGTTCCTGTCGCTGTTGGTACTGCTGCTGCTGTTGGCACTGCTGCTGCTGCAGTACTACGCTAGCTGGACGCCCAGCATTATTGGCAACAGACGCGTCATCAGTAACAGCAGCAACGGCGACGGCGGCGACGGCGGCGGCAGCAGGACGATCACGGGGAGCCAAAAGAACGGGTATGGGTGGATCATCCTGCGTGACTTGCTGCACACGAAGAGCTCCCGACTCAGGCGATCCTACTGCCTCCCCCAGCACAACGCCGTGGCCACCGTTCCCCACGAGCTGGCTGCGCAATTCCTCCTCTCTCGCAATCAACATACCCAAGCGCTGCTGTTGCAGCGTCAAGATGTGCGCCAGTTCCGCAGTCGGATGTTGTGCGGCGCTGCTGCCGCCCTTGCTCCGGGGTGTCTTCTCGCGTGCCTTACGCGACTGCTGCTGCTGCTGCTGCTGCTGCTGCTTCTTCCTAGCATTTCTGTCCGCGCTACTGGTGGCTAGGCGGAACATGTTTTCGCTGCGACGCTGGATCCTCTTGCTCTCCTGGCTCCTCCTGCGCTCGAGCTCAAGGCCTAGTGCTTCTCTGGATGGTCTTGGATGTCCTGCGGCGAGTTGCTGGTCAATCTGGGCGGGTCGGTGGTCGTCTGTGACGTTGCTGCCTGCGGCTGGCCCAGCAGCGCCAACGGCGCGGCCGCCGGCGGAGCTAGCGCCGAGGTTGCCCTCCGTGGCCAACATAAACCACTGTGGCAACTCGACCAGCCCGACCTCGACGAGCCCCGACATCGTTATCGGCATCTCGTGCTTGTACCAGCACTTTTCCTTCCATTTGCAGCGCCCGTACCGGCAATAGTTGCGGCAATACTCATCTTCGGACACTGTCGAGGAGGAAGACGCGAAACTGTTCGTGTCAATGGGGCCTGGGCCGGAGTTGATGTTCAGCGGGGAGGTATCAGCAGAGGAGGCAGCCGGAGTGAAGTTAGAGGCGCCGGTGGCTGTGTCCGTAGTGGAGGGTGACTGCGCCGGGGGGGCCTGCGGCACTGCATATTGGGCAACTAGACCCGTGGCCGGAGCATGACGGGAAGCTGACAGACCGGGAAGTGGGGCGAGCAATGGGCCGGCTCCAACCTCTAGACCGGCTACATCCCGGGCGTGCAAGGCACTATAGTGTGCCTTCATGCGGTCTGTAGGATGTACTCCTGTCGTAGTTGGAGCCTCAACTAGCGCAAGAGCAGCAGCCTGCACATGTGCCGTGCTCTTCTGCTCATCCTCTTGCACTTGAGGTGCTGCAGCCAAGCGGCGAGCAGCGTTTCTGTCATCGCGGCTGCCGTCCGCCTGTCGACTCGATGAAGCGGTGCCGGTTAGGCCCGTTCCCGGCGATGTACCGCTAACATATCTGACGTTGTAGTTCACGTTGTATTTGCCCTTACTCTTGGTAAAAGTGCCGAGGTATTCCATGTTATTGGTTTGCGAGCGTGTTAGACTGCGTGGCACGCCGACGATGTCGAGCCATTCTGGTAGTTCGTCTACTGCAATGAGCGGCACCCTGATCGCACCCCCCTCGTCGGACCGGATCCTAACATTCGGCCTGACCACAAAGTGGCGAGGCTGAGGGGCCATGGTGGTATTGGCCTTGCTGTTGTTGTTACCAGTGCCACCACTCATCTTCATTCTCGTTCGAGGCACAATTTGGGCAAATCAGACTAGACACGAATAATTCGAATGAAGCTAGACATGTCACAGAGAAAGACAGAAGAGCTTTCTAATATATCCTGATCAGAGCTCCACTAGCTCTGTGCACATGACTGTTGTGACTGTTATGCGTGCGGAGATGGTCCATAGCCTTCTCTTGCATCCTACGTACAAACATTCGGACGGGTTCTTGCACATCTACCTAGTTTCTGCATCGCGATTGGCATCAATCAGCAGCTGGACCAGGAAGCGGGCTGTATTCCGGGATTGCCCTTTCGGAGATTGACATTATCTGGCAAGAAAACCCCTGGCGAGCAATTGAGAGACGCCATCATCTCATCTCTGCCCTGATCTTCACCTCAAGCCCGTCAACGCAGTAGCCGAAATGTCGTGGCCCATCCTTGAGCTCAACTTCGCGCTTGACCCATCTTCCGCCTTTCTTTTCGGCTGGCGACCCCGATTTTGTCTTCTCCTCTGCACGCTCCCGTTCTTCTTCCAGCTCCTCTTCCTCACTGCTGTCACCAGCTTCGTCATCAAACCCTGCAACAGGATCCCACTCCCCCGTCTCCCAGATCAACCGCAGCTTGAGTGGAGGCAGACCAAACAGTTTGCCGGCGATTCCCTTGACAGTATAAAGATCAAACGACTTTGGGATCTTGGCATCTCTCCTGGCTAAATCCTGTGGAGTGTGCGATGTGTCCTGAGATGTTGTTGAGAGGTAGAATTGAACGTCGATCAGCCTGCCCTCTAGAAAGTTGGGGTTCACCTCGGCGTGCCGTATCACACTTGGCTCGCCATACAACTCGCACAGCTCAGCCCACCGACGGTGGCGTGACAGAACCGTATGCTCATCAGCCTCCGGGACGGCGGCGAGCTGTCGAGCGATATGAGATAGATAGAACATCTCGGCGTCAGCACGGTCGGCGGGTGTCACGGTGCTGAAGTTAAGTGTCTGTAGAGCTGGTAGGCGGGCAACGAGCAGCATATACGCTTTATCTGTCTTGCTGCCTTTGTTTTCACGAGAACCGGCGGGGTCCTGACTATCAAGCTCGGCGTTTTCATAGATTGGATTGTGGGAGAAGCGAAGAGCGGTGAGCCCGGGAAACGATAGGGGGAGAGAGTCAACAAATGACCAGGAGGCAACTTGGTTGTACGAGGCATCAAGGTATTGGAGGTTGGACGTGAAAACCGGTGCCTTGTCAGAAGGCGAAGATGTGATGACAGATATCCGGTTGCGCTTGAGATGGAGATTGCGGAGAGAGGGAATAGCGGCGAGCGCAGCAATGTCGGCGAGGGAAGTGAAGTCATTGAACTCTAGGCGCACAGAAACAAGCGTAGACGCGAACGATGCGATTGGGATTAGCGAGAGGCGTGATAGCTGGTTGGCGCTGGAGTAAAGCGTCCTCAGAGACGGGAATTTGGAGGCGATATGGCATATCTCGTGCCATTCGAGAGTGGTCTCGTCCACGGCGAGCTCTCCAACGCCTTTAAACACCTCCTCGGCCGATTGAAGCTTGGAATCCTCGAGCACATTCTGGAAGCGGTTGCCGCTTCAAACGATTGATTCAACCGTCGGTCAGTCCGTAATAGGCAAGAAAAGCATTACACATAAAGGAGAAAAGGAACCTTGAACACACCTGACCCGTAGGCTTCTCAACGAGCCCAGCTCCGAACAAATGTCCACGACAGTCTCGAATCGCTCGAGCAAGTTATGACTGAGGTCGAGCTCGGTGACCTTGGGACAGACGTGGCTGATAGGCTGCTCAGCATCCTGGCCATTTGGGGGAGAAGCATAAGCGATGTGGCTGCCGTCGAGGATGACGATTTGCAGCTCGCTCAGCTGGGCGAGCTTGCGGCGGATCTTGTCGAAGCCAACCTCCTCGGCGACCTTGCCCGAGATGATGACCTGCTTCTGGGTGGCGATGGGGCGCTGGTCTGCCGTCACCTCGGAAGCATACTTGAGCTGCAGGGCCGACACAAAGGTCTGAGGCGCGTCTTGCGGGCGGGTTGGGCGGATGAAGGACGCCGCAGTAGGCGACGTTGATTTGCCTACAACGACACACAACAACAACAACAACAACACACGCCGATGATTAGACCGCAGGCCCGCAGCAGACTCGACTTGGGGTTGGGCGTGGGCACGGATGCAGGAGGCGGGGGTGAGGCTGCCAATGCACGCACGCCGCTCGGTATGTACATACAAGAAAAGTATCGGACGCCTCTGTGATGCCCGTCATGCTTGCCCCGCGTCGGGTCGTCCCACTCGACGCCGAGCCACGAGCCCGTGGTGCCCTCGACCTGGCCGATATACCAGACAGTGCACAGCACGCCGTCGTAGGACCGCCGCTGGCCGATGCGCGCATCAGCAGCCATGGCGGTGTGGGAGGGGCGAGGAAGCGAGTAGAACTCTGCATTCGGATTTTCTGGAATTGCTAGGTAGCGATGGTATAGAGAATAATTGTTCGTCCCATCAAATGTAGCAGAAACAGAATATTAAAGTTCTGCCCAAAGGAGAGGCGGAACTTCGAAAGATCACTCTGCACCTCGGCCGAACTTCGGCCCACCGATGGCGTACTAACAGAGTCCTTAACAATTCCACCAGTATCCACCACTCCACCAGTTTTCACCACCCCACCAGTTTCCACCACTCCACCCACTTTCATCACCCACCCACCCACCACCATCCGCTATCAAACAGCCGTCACCATGCCTCTTGGCAATAAACACCATCCAACTCCTCGGAAAGCGGCCATTATTGGCATAGTTTCCCATCTCAAAGCTCATCATATTCCTTCCTTCAAATCACCTATCTTTCATCATTTTGAGGCGAGCACGACGCGAGGATGGGAGATTCTTCATCAATATCATGCTCGGAGACATCTAGACCATGAAACTCGGGGCCGAAGAAGATTATCACGGATGAAGATTTGACGAGGATGGAGTGTATTATTTGTAAGTATGGATTCGAGGCACGAAATTTGAGCTGGCAAGGATTGGGGCTTGAGGCTGGAATATCTACAAGTGCGAAAACGATCCAAAGAGCGATAGGGACTCTTGCATATCGGAAATGTATCGCTTGTGAGAGGGGATTTGTTTCGCCGTCTAACGCCATTCGACGGATCGAAGCTACCAAACTCGCTCTTCAGTTTCGTCCTCGCCCTGAAGATTAGCGAGATATTCGTTGGTCGGATGAATGCCATTTTGGGATTTCTTCTAAAGGAAAGATTCGAATTATCCGAAAACCTAGCGAACAATATTGCCCCGACTGTATTCACCATGTAGAAGAGCCGTCCAAGGGAATAGACATCCGTCGATATCACGTCTGGGCCGCTGTTGGATATGGGTTCAAATCCCATCTCCATTTTTACGAGATTCCAACGAATACGAACGGAAAGATGTGTATGTAAATCTACCGCGACGAGATTCTGGAGAAGGTTGTTAGTCCTTGGCTCCTTCGGGGGGGTCGTTTTGTGCTGGAAGAAGATGGAGATTCAGGCCATGGAGGAGGAAATTCCAAGAAGAATAACATCGTGAAGGAATGGAAAGAGAAGCACGGATTGAAGCATTTCTTCAATATGCCTAGATCTCCGGATCTTTCGCCTATTGAAAATTGCTGGAGGGCCGTGAAATCGTATATTCGTGCACATCTTCGCCTTGGGGCAGACATTCGCGAGTTGGCGATGGAAGGATGGCGACGAATCGGTCAGCCCACTATCAACCGATGGGTTGATTCCATGTAGTTCGGATGCAGAATGTGTTAGCGAACGAAGGCAAAAGACTGGTTGGTAAAGTGGGGCAGATATCTAGGAGATACCTAGATTAATGTGTAAATTAGGTCTACTATGATGTATCTTGCAAGTAATGAGACCCTTTTTTTTGTTACCACTTGGCTGGTTACGAACCGTGCACAGACCAACTCTTTTCTCCATTAACCCAACCCTCCCCCCGCACTGAATTAGGTAAGGTACAGATACGAATTGCATCTCAAGTTCGACGACCAGACATTAACTTTCAGCTCGCGTTCAGCGTTGACACGATGGAGATGTCTTAAACTTTGAGCTTCAATAATCCAATGTCGAGGCGTCAAAATTAAATGTTCTGAAAATGATCGCTCTCTCTTGGTAGTGACTATGAATTGACTGCAATTTTCGCATTCACAAGACAGCAGCAAGTTGGCGGGAAAAGCGATGATATTAAGACGCCCCAAAAAAAAATTACTCCTCCCAAAGGCCCTGGTCATTTATTAAATACATCAGACTTCGCAACTCCCTCAATCATCTCTTCTATTCTTCTAGTCCTATGTACTCCTTTACTTCAGAATCCATTTCCGTATAATGGTCTCGCGCTTGATGGCCAAAGCTGTAGCTGGTTCTGAAGAGGCGCGACATTGGCAATGAGCTCGGATTGAATGCGGAGCGTGTCAAAGGCTTTAGCGATGATAGCGGGCTCGGGAAGGTCAGCCATTGAAGCGATCGTGGGACGGATGAGAGAAATCACTGAGTTGGAGGAGAAAAAGAATTACGTAGATTTAAATAGCGGGGCAGATTGCAATGAGGCGCACATGAACTTACTTACCAGTTTAGAAAAAGGCAGGCACAAACGCCTGCCCAGGCAGCGAGACTCGGACAGTGTAAGTGAAGGCAGGTACGCCTGTTCAAGCAGTTTGTAAGTCAACTGTTAATGAATATTGCCTATAAGGCAGTATTCTAGCAGGGTCTGAGACTCTGCATTTGAAGAATATTGGTACAAGTACCGGAAAGATGTTTATTTAGAAGTGTGGGACTTCGAAGATGAATTGCAGGCTCCACAGTTATCATAGGTCTTGGCCAATGATACTGGGGGAAAGATGAGGTTAAGATGATTCGAATGAGATATGGGAGGTAATGTTTGAAGATATGGTTGATTTGTTATGTGTAAGAAAGAAGAGAAGTGTGTTGTAAGGAAAGGGACACCCACCTCACGAAGCACCTGTCAACGCGCACTCCCTTACACACGTTGACCGTCTGGAACCAACGGGCCAGATCACTGCCGGCTGGCATGAGCCACTAAGCCAATACCGGGCGCCTTGTGTCACAAGCACATTCGGGACCGAGCCCCTGAGCATGTATATAAACAATGGCCCTGGACCTCTCCTTTGCGAGAGCCAGGTTGAAGTCTTACGCCAATACTAGTCATTGCTCACCCTTCTGTTGTCTTCATTGTGACCACCTTGATCAGGCGTACCTGCCGTCTCTTACATGTGTGAAAAGGGTAAGAGAGAAGCTCTCTATATGTACAAAAAGCCCACACACATCCAATAGTTTCCATACGCTTCCAAAATCAAGCCTTGAAGCCTATATAGCTTGATTTCCCTCAGTTATTGGAAAAAGTATATTTATTAGCTTTTTCTATAGCCGAGTTACCTCGGCCTAGTGTGACGAACTCGGTTCGTACTGGATAGACTGCAGGAGCGGGGCGCCCCGAGCGCCCTAGGGGTCCTTGAGGGATGCAGCCAATAGGAAGCCGCCTGGTGCCAAGCAGGGCCTTGGCACTGGGCAGGAAGATTGCCCAGCGAGCTAGCGGTGCCCGGCATCGAGCATGGACTTGGCACCTGGCAAGTAAGAGCTGCGCTCTTATTAGATATATACAACAACCGTAGCCACAGTTCAGCTCTTGCTTGATTCTTCAAGCAAGCAATACACATTCTCTGCACTCATATACTTTGAGTGACATTCCGATTTGACTGTATTACCCGTGCGATAGGAGCCTGCCCTTTGTTCTATCTTCATAATTACCAACCCCAGCAATCTGTGGAGCCCCTGCTCCCTTACAGACAGACGACCCTAACAGTCGAGTGGTTTGTAATACCTAGCTGTAAGTGAAGGCAGGTACGCCTGATCAAGGTCGTCACAATGAAGGTACTAAAGAGAGTGAGCAATGACTGGTATTGGTAAGAGACTTCAACCTGGCCCTCGCAAAGGAGGGGGCGAGGGCCACTGCTTATATACATGACAGAGTGCAAGGCGAGCCATTGACAAAGGAGCGAGGTCTTGGCCTGCTCGGTACGCGTGTGAGTTGGGGTTCTTTCCTTACACTTCATTGTGACCACCTTGATCAGGCGTACCTGCCTTCACTTACAAGTGGGGGAATGAATTTGGAACTTGTTATAAACCAGTTAGGGAGTTGGCGTTGTAAATTAGCCTAGTTGGTCCGTTCACGCTGCGTCATTTTTGCGCTACGCATGCTAGCCAATTAAAATGCGCAAACTAAAAGGTGGGGTGGGACAAGTCGGCTGAGCTTTACACCTCTACCGGGGAGATACATGTTAGTTTGGTACGTTGGTTACTATTAGTATCTTCTAAGGAAATCTCGCTAATCACTAACTTTACCACCTTCCCACACTAACATGTATTACCCCGGAGGAGGTGGATACCCCCCCCAAAAAGTGGAGTAGGACAGGTGAGGTTCAGGGGACTAGGACAGTTGACTTATGGTCAAGATGGACAAGTATAACGGCCTGGCTTGCTTCCCTGACGATGAGGCTATTCCGAGAAACGTGGTGCCGATCTTCCAGTCCTTGCGGGACTTCCAGAGCGGTAATGCGGCCTGCTCTCGCCGTCAATTCCCCGTTACTATTGCGTACGTCATCACGGTTCACAAGTCACAGGGAGCTACGCTTGATAGGGCTGTGCTTGATATCTCTGAGCGGGATTTTTCTTTAGGGCTTACTTATGTGGCTGTCTCACGCGTTACTAGTCTACAGGGCTTGATGTTTGACGTTCCTTTTGCCCTGGACCAAATCCAGGTCAAGAATGAGGTTACAGGTGCCTTACGTGCGGCGGATTACCAGCGCCGTGTTGACGCCGGCGAGGTGTTGGTTCCGGGTATAGCCTAGATAGCAGAATCGACTTTTTCTGCATCAACACCATGCTGTTTACGCTGTGATGACTCCCCCGTGTTGTTTACTTTTGACACAGTTGACACAGTTGAGTCAACCTTCGGCTACGACTTATGGCACAAAGCGGTGTTGTCCTTACTAATTTCTCAGTAAAATGGCCCAGCCACCCATTCCCTGGAGCGAAGCGAGGACAAGCCCGCCGCCGGAGGCATCCGTTCAGCTGACCCCTTCCTGACTGGTTAGGTAGCTTATTATTTATTCACAACTTTAAGGTTAAACTCGAAATCTGTACATGAATTGAACGATCACGCCCATTCGTGATTGCACCTTGAAATTATAATTATAATTATATTCACATTTACATTTTTTAGAACTACCTCGTACATTTCACAACTTGCCCTTCTCGGGGCCGACGCACTTCATAAAAGCCCGGCCATTGCTCAGGCACACCTTGGCGCCCTCGACGCGGACTTCGAAGCGGACCTCCTCCCACTCGCCGTCGAAGCTGCCGGTGCGCCAGGCCGATGCGACCAGCTTGTCACCGCCGCGGACGGGGCTGGCGAAGCGGGCCTGGTACTCGCGCATGTTGGCCGGGTCGCTGACGCCAAAGTGCCGCAGCAGGCCGTGGCAGGCCCAATTGAACGAGAAGAGCCCGTGAATAATAACACCACCGAACCCCATCTTGCGCCCGGGCTCGGGCGTTGCGTGCAGCGGGTTGTAGTCGCCGTTGAGCCTGTACAGCAGCGGCGTCTCGGGCGTCGTCTGTATTTCGAAGACGGCGTCGGGCTTGCGGTCCTTGGGCGGCGCAAAGTTCTGCGTCGCCACGCCCTTGGGCCCGCCCCAGTTGCCCTGCCCCACGAAGAAGGACGACGTCGTCGCCCGCGTGTACACGTCGCCACTGCCGGCGTCGACCAGCTCAGTCTGCGTCTCGAGCACGGTGCCGGGCCGCCCCTTGTCGTAGACGCCAAGCACCTTGGTGCGCGCCTCAATCCTCTTGCCAGCCGACGTCGTCGGGAGCGGCTTGAGGAACTGGATGTGCCGCTGCCCGTCTACGACGCGCGTGGGATCAAAGACTGGCACTCCGGGAATGACGACGGCCTTCTCGGCCGCGTAGAAGTCAACCACATCTTGTGTGTTTTGCTTGAAGGCTAATGCACGCCCTTGTGAGTTTCCATCTTTTGCCTGGGCTACGCTATCCCCACCATCAAAAAGGCTAGAGAGAACTTACTCAGAACGGTGGGGTAGGTAGGAAAGACGCAGAAGTTTGGGTGGAGCTCCTGAGACATGGTAAGTAAGGGTACCTTGTGGTGAAACTGTGCTCGAGTGACTTTGTGTACATACGTAGAGAAAGTGAAGCTCGTCGGCGGTGCAGCCGATAGACTGTGCAAAGAGAAGAATATCCCGCTTCAGCCAAGAGACTTCCTTGACAGGATATTCGAAGCCAACCCCTGGGCCCGGCATGGTGAGGTTTATCAAGGTAAAGTTGGAGAGGGTGCGGGGGAGAGGGTGATCGGCAGAGGCGGTGTTGTAACACGGCGAAGACAAGGAAAGGCGTATCTAGAGATCTTGGATCTTCTTAATAAAAAAAAAGGCGAGCAAAAACTACCCCCGATTCGAGACCCTCACGGACGAAGGAGGGTTATGGCTTTATGGGCTTCTCTCCTTGATATTGCTCGTTGCTCGCTGCTACGCTCGGTGCGGGGCAATAGGCCGATGCCGCCCTGCCGAGGTTCAATTGTGTGGGGGAGCTCTCAGTTCTACCTAGCGCAGCGGCAGGTCATCCAGCCGGGATTCGAGCAATGACGGGACAGACTTGCAATGGCGCGTTGGAACCCCAGATCTCCGTCGAGTTGTTGTGCTGTGCACAATGCATGTAGCATGTAACATGCGCAGGCAAAGACCGACCGAGCTTCAATCTGGTTTACAAGTCGGCAAGGCACTTCATGTAGGCCTTACATCCCTTATGGGCCCTCCGTAGCGGACAGACAGAAAGCACAGTTCAAGGTTTCCATGCCGGTGGTAGTTTTGGCATTGCATGCAGCTACATACATATGGCATACAAATAACGTCACTTGCTTGTCAGGGGAACCAGCCAGCTCTAGATGGCCTGCTGCTAAGGTGACCGGTTATGCATAAGAACGACGTGAGCCGTCGGGTTCGGATTCGACGTTGAACCCGTGTGATTTGCAGCAACTGCTGGAGAGAGAAAATTCCCAAACGCTTTTATGGCGGGGCGTGCCCGTACCTCTGGCTCCGTATCCACGGGGAGCGTTGCTGGCCGTCTCAGTTGCAGCCGTTGGCCGAATATCCATCGGGGAGCCTGCAAAGTAGCCACCAGCAACAGTGACACCTGCCAGGCGACCCTTTGATCAGTGGCCGGGTGTTTCTGGATGTGTTTTGGCTAGGGCGCTGGATGTCCGGCCTGGCTGCCCGGCGTTTAAGGCGGTTTGCGTGGGGAACACAGTGCCAACTGCCAAGGTCTTGCGCTCTCTGTCACAATTGGCTTGTCTTGGGCCCGTGAGGGCACGGATAGAACAGCGCGACTATACTTTTCTCAGCGGGCTTGTTCTGTTCGTAAGCTCGGGCCACATTATTCTTAGCATTTCTACCAGTTAGGTGGGTGCGGAACGGTGGGTGGATTCGTTCGCTGTAATTGAGCGTTACCCCCCAGAAAACACCAAAAAATTTCACGTTTGAGCTGGTGGTGAACTCTAACTCAATTCGCAGTGGCTTTTGTGTTCAGCGTCAAGAGCTTACTTTTGTTATTTTCTGAGTTGTTTCTATTCTTCTGAGGAGATTACCTCCTATGCATGCTGTCTAGCCAATTCAGACTGTAATTACCGACCGTTGATGGTTTGGCCATGCCGAGCAATATGAATGGCAACACGCAGGCCGACCACGGCATCGGCATCGGCATCCCCTTAGCCGCCGCCGGCGCCATACACAAACCTTTCGTCTCTCCTTTAGAGCTGGGTTCGCCCAAAATCAGGAACCCGTTCCTGCCCTTGAGCCTCGCGACATCTACTTCGGCTCCCTCACAAGACACTCAGCCTCTTGCTCACCAAACACCCAGCAAGTCCAAGGACCACCACCGCATAACCAGTCGCGCCAAACCCTCTTCCAGACTTGAAAAACTATACAGACGTTACCCAAATAGCGAGCGAGCGCGCAATGTATATTTAGCAAAGCGGTTGTTGTGGAGGCTGAAGAGAGCCTCGCTGGCTGTCATGGACTCATCCAGCGTCTCTTCTCTGCTCGCTGTGAAAGAGAAGTCGGCTGGCTCTGTCACCGTGAGAGACAAGTCAGTTGAGCCATTGACTGCAACAGTGAAGTCGGTTGATTCTCTCACCGCACGAGAGAAGTCAATTGACTCTGTCGACCATGGCAGCGCCGAGAGCAGCGCCCGGAGCAGCACCAAGTCGGAGCATAGCTCCCCAGAGCCCCTCTCAGATTCCACCAACATCACCACCCCAGACTCATCTGACTCTGAGGCTAAAGTGAATGAGTCTCTGTTCAAGGTGAACGGCGTCGGCGGGGAAAATATTTCACAAAAGCAGAGCAGCAAGAACCTCGCAGTTGCACAACTCCTCACCACCAACCAACCTTGTTTACCTGCTTCACCACTGCGACGAATGGCGGAAAAATCCACCAAGATGGCATTAGAGACTCAGGTCATAGAAAAGGTCAAGATGCCCGACTCAAAAAATGTCATGGATATGACCATGGCCAAAGCCACCCAGGCACCCAAGGTCCCGGCTGCTCCCCCCATTTCTTGCAGCGGTGCTCTGGAGGGACCTGCCAAGTCGCCCGCCCCCGAGAAGGAGGAAAAGAAGGAGAAGAAACGCAAGTTCGACGACAAGAGCGTCGACGGCGACGACCAGGCGCCTGGCTCGAAGAAGCCCAGGGCCGAGGCCAAGCCCGAAGCCAAGCCCGCCAAAGTTGACCTCAACGACGGCGCGCCGCGACCAGAGAGGAACTTCTACGCCCAGCGCGCCTGGGACATGCTAGACGACCCCCTTGGCTACGACGACCTAGTTCACGATGACCCAAGACCGGGGCAGCGCGAAAAGATCATGCGGCGATTTAAGCGCTTCCGCAGTCGCCAGCGCGCCCCTCCCCCTTTGGTCGTGAGCGGCGGTCTCGGCGTCGACATCGAGAGCCCTCGCCCCATCGCCAGCCCTAAAGGCAACGGCCAGAAGCGGCCGGACCATCTCGCCAAGACGGTGGCGAAGAAGATGCACAACAAGCACGTTGTCGAACTCGTCCGAGGCGCAAAGAACGGCAACAGCGATGTGCTGGCCTCGGGAGCTGCCAGCTCCCAGTCGTCTCCCAAGAACAAGTCTGGCCGCAAGAACGCGGCAAAGTCAGAGAATTCTACCGGATCTGTCGGCCCGAAGGGCCCCGAGATGGGAGCCAAGGATACCAGCACGGAGCGTGCAAGCCCAAAGTCGGGAGTGAATAGCAGCAAGGCCGGTGGGAAGAGCCCGGCCGTGGAAGGCAGGAAATTTGGCCACGAGTATCCGTATGTGAGCCCCAAGGCGTCGGGAGCCAAGGGCAGCGAGGCTAGTGTGAAGGGCGGGGGTTCTCCCATGTCGTCGTCATGGCCTCCCAAGGCGGGCCTGTTCAGGGAGAAGTTGGGCCGGAAATACACAGCTAGCTCGCGCAAATACATCGACTGCACATAGTAGCAGTCATTTCTCCCACCACTATCCGCTCACAATCTTCTCACCGTCATGCTCAGACCGTGCCGCGGCATTCTGCTCTGCAAATGATTTACCTTTTTTTTTTCCATATAACACCACTTGGCACACACCGCCGCCAGTGTCAACGTCCATAACCAATCCCCAACCCGCCTTCTGCATTGCAGAAAAATCACACAGTCTCGAAATGCCGTCGAATCTGGGAAAATCCACGGCTGCCGAGCTCGCCGCGAAAATCCGCACTTCTACTCACCAGAGCAAGGTGCCAAAAGCACGCTTTGAGCTTCCCGACCCCGAAATTCCCTGGTACATGCGAGAGCTGAAGGAAGTGGCCCCTTGGTACCAGCGAGAGCGCCAGGTACGTCGCTGTTCGCCCTCTTCTTTGCCTGTTTTTCTCTTTCCTCTGCAGGCTGCGCGCTGCGCGCTGCGAACGAGACGAGACGAGACATCCAGTCACGAGAGCAGTCGCTAACGTATTCCTTCCGCGCACAGAGCGGTCCTAGCAACGCCCTGCAGCTGTTTTCGTCTATCCCCGGGAAGCCGTCTTCCGTCTGCTGGCCAGTACCGTCTGCCGCGGGCTCCACCTTCAGCGATGGCAAACCGCAGCGTGGCCGCCCCGGCCTCTCATCGTCTCCGACGCCTGTCGCGTCGGCTGCGCGCGTTGTGACTCCTGTACCTGTCCCCATCATTCCCGCTGCAGCTTTCGCTACCACCAGCAAAGAAGCAAACAGAGAGAAGGACAAGAAAAAAAGAAAAAAGGAGCACAGAGCGCAGCGCGGCAGCGCACGCGGTTCATTCCCGTCGCCTGTTGCCGCAGCAACTGCTGTACGCACCGTCACGGCTGTCCCCGTCCCTGTCATTCCCACCACTGTTGCTGCGGCGACTACCGGAAAGGGAGCAGTTCAAAGAGAAAAGAACGAGAAGAAGAGAAAGAGAGGCGACGGTGATGGCGGCAGAAACAACAATAACGGCAACGACAATGCCGACGACGCCCTCGTGCGGGTCATCCTGCCAGCACAATCAATGGCAGTAGCAAACAGAAACGGAAAGGGCAAGGGCAAAGGCAAAGGCAAAGCCTCAGGACTCGTTCCCTCTTCTTCCATCGGATCTTCACAGCAGCAGCAGCAGAAAAACGTCGGCGCGGGATAGTGTCCGCTCGGCGTGCGCGAGCTCGACGGCCGCGTGCTGGCGGCCGAGAGCATGCTGTGGGCCGAGATGCTAGGCCTGGACTACGCTCCTCCTCCTCGTCTTCTTCCTTCGCTTTCCAACTCTGGTTCGAACTCTGGTTCGAATTCTGTTGCTGCTCTTGCTTTGACTATTCCTCCTTTTACCTCTTCGAATCTAACTCCTACGGCAAACGCTGTGGGAGGAAGAGGTGGCAGTGGCGTTGGCAGTGTCATTGCGCAGAAAAATAAGGGAAAGAAGGAGACACGGAAATAATCGAACATGAAGTGGTGTGGAATAGTGCGGTGTGTGTGATATCCATCACTGTCTCTATCCTCTGGCGACTTTGCCTTGGCGAACATCGCACCAACCTCGCCTTTCTGTTCTCTCTCCTGCAAGCCTGGAAGCTGATTAATCGGTACACTCGGCACGGCGATCCCTTACCCTTTTCTTTCTATCTCATTCCCATCCTCGTTGGGCCGCTCCTCCTGTTTCGTCTTGTTTTTTTTCTGTTTTTTTTTCCTTTGCATTGTATTGGGGGTCTTTTCGCTTTTCCAAGGCACGCATGCATCATCTCTTCGGCGAAATCACACACATACACACGGTTTTGGCAACAACGGGACTGACTGGGGTGGAGACGAGCAAATCTGAAAAGGAATGGAGATAACCGCACACGTGCCTGTACCAACACACGGAGCTGCGCGGTGCGGTACTGTTGAGAGAGTAAACATGCCTTCTGCTTGTAAGTCGTACAATGAATGAGTGGATATACGGGGGAAACTATGCAGAGGGATTAGGCAGGCAGCTCTGACTTTCCTGCTGCAGCAAGATAGCAAGGCAAGATAGATTTCGTAGCCAGTAACCCTGAATGGATCTGATTTGCCTCTCAGCATGCTTGGTTTTCTTGTTGTGTTAGAATAAGAAGATGGAGTGCATGGATGAGGCAGGAAGAAAGTGATGTTCTGGTGGAGAGAGACACTTGTGAATCGTGATGTAACCGCCTCCCTTTTCCGCCTAAACTCTTTTTTTCTCGTGTCTCTAGCCCTAAAAAGGCGCCACGGATCAAAGATACTGGTCGAAATTTATCGGCGGGCAATTCGATTAGCAGCACTGTATTGTGGATTTAGGGCAGGAAGCCCCCGAGGGTCACTATGCCTCGGTTATGCGGCCAGCATCACTCGCACACTGTCTCTCTCGTGGACAACAAAGCTCTCGAGAAAGCTTCCGATCACCAGTTTTGAACAACAAAAATGAAAGTATATTGTCCTGTGTGCCGTGGCAGCCACTCTGTCGGGGCCGGCCAACCTGTCTGAATACGTGCGCGGTAGATGTGCCAAAGAAACCAAAAAAAGAGTGTAGAATCCGCCTCACAAGCACCACCCAATATGCCCTTCCCAAATTCCGAGCCAACACCTCAATTTATTCCGTGTTACAGACCAAACTCAACCCAACCCAAGCGCCCACCTCGTAGTCATATTCCGGGCAATGTACAGACCGACGAAAATTCAAAACCGCGTTCTCGCGCGGTCGCACTCCTCTAGGAACCTATAGATGCCCTCCAGGCCCTCGAAATCCTCCGAGCAATGCTCTCCGGAGCTGCTCAGGACCGGGGGCGACATGCTCGCGTAGCCCTCGGATTGAGAGGGCGAAGATAGCCAGGGGTTGTTGTCGTACTCGTCGTAGAAGGCGTCTCCCATATCCGAAGCCTCCGAGTTATGGGATCTCAGCGACCCTCCGGGCGACGTGATGGTCTTTTGCTCATCGCCGTCGGGGGCAAAGGGGAAGCGCAGGGCGAGCGACACGCCAACGCTAGCGTCAAAGTCTGCGTCCTGCCTGATAACGCCCCGCTGCACACCAACGTCGTCGCACAGCCGCTCAACGGTTTCGGCATCCACCCCGGGAAACCGCACCCGTAACACGCTGTTCTTCTCCAGGGTAACGGGCAGGTCGCCCAAGCCTGAAAGCCTCTGGAGGTCTGTCATTATGGCCGCGAGGTCCTTCAAAGAGCGCGCAAAGTCGACGGACAGGACGTCCAGGAAACCCTCGGCACCGAGGGTAGCAGCGCTAGCTTGTGGCTTGGTGCTCAGGCCGAAGGTCTCGGCGGTGGCAAAGGGAAAGACAATGCCGAGAGGGCTCAGAGCCGTGACGGTGGGGCTTAGGTGGAAGTCAATGAAGGACCCCGGGACGCTGCGCTGCACGTAGTGAGCAACGCGGCTGCGGGCCTCCTCCTGCGAGGCACTGATGGCACAGTACCGCTTCTCTCCGTTGGGCCCGACGCCATCGTACCGGGCACGGTGGCCTGACAGCCAAAAGGCACGCATCGCTTGGCTGACGTTCTGCACGACCTGAGCAGGAGCCGCGGGGGTGTGGCTAAAGTAGCGGGCGCCCCCACGGCTAGCGCCCGGCATGGCGTATCCGCCGGCGGTGCGGGGCAATGCTCCACCCGTGAGGTTAGGACGCAGGGTAGACGCGAAGGGGGCACGGCCGGTGAGCAGGGAGACGGCCCGGGAGGTGTTGGAGACGGGCAGCTTCGACCGGTCGAAGCGCGGACCCGAGCTATGGCCAGCGCGGCCCGCGGTGCTGAGATAGCGTCGGATGGCGACATTGAGGTTGTTGGCATACGGGCCCGTCGAGTACCATTTCGCACCGCCGTACTGCTGCTTCTGCTGGCATATACGGGCAGCGGGGTGTAACGGCTGGCGAGGAGCGACGCGGACGGGGATGGGCTGGAGCTCAGCACGCGTGGCGGCGGCAAGCTTGGAGCGCAGCATTTTGCTCGTCCTCGCCAGGTTTCTGGCGAGGAGTCGCAGGGCTGCGGCCCCTGCCGCGAGAGACATTCTGGTAAAATTTGAGGGCCTCAGTGCAGCCTGCTGCGGCTGAAAAGAGTCATAGAGCTGTCGGGAAATCGACAACCTAACTTAAACAGGGGAGGAGAGAGGGAGTCGGGACGTTGCGGGTGACGGAGGTGAGTCGCCATCTTATTGTCCCGCGCCTTATCGATAAGCGTCCACTGAGAGGGAGGGAGTTCGCCACGCAAGCCTCAGCCCGCGTCGGCACCTCCACTTTCTGCCTCAGCCACGCCGCACATGACCCACGACCCACCAGCGCGAAAGTCTAACCCACTATCTGAATACCTGCATAACATTATTCATGTAAAGAGTAATTCGCATAAAAGCCGCACTCGACCGAAAAACTTCTTCCTCCGTATCTTATCGGGAACCTAGAAAAGACCCACATCCATTGGGTTTAAAGGTCCTCCAATTTTTTCCCAGAGCTCACACAGCTTCTTCTTTCTCTCCAACAGCGGGCGCCGACTACATCGCGCTCCCTCCTCGGCAAGGTAAGCGTGCTTCTTCTTTGCTCTACTACTGCGCAGCAGCTTCGCTCCTGTGATGTTTATTCATGAACAATCCAATTCTTACAGCACTATGGGGACCTTAATATAGAATTACCCTGAGAGCACATCCTCGTTGCACACGCAATTGGAGCTGACTGTTTGGTCGACGCTAACATTCTACCAAACAGTGCCGCTTTTGTTCTATCGTTTTTCTTGGTCCGCCGCTGCTGGTCATTAGTCAATGGCCGTATTGAACATTTTAATTCTCAAAAGGTTGGTCGACATCGACGCTTTCGCACTTGCTCCCCAGCACACCTGCACCATCCCCTCCAATGTGATGATCAAAAGACACATACTAGGAATTCCTCATTCTGAATAATAATAATGTCGAAGCTTTGTTTCAGCCTTGTCTGATTTGGACCTTGCCATACTCGCTGTCCTCCTGATATGTCGTTCAAGATGCTAACAGTTGACTCGTTCAGGTATGCTCAAATTCGAACTCTCTTATGGCAAGCACTGTGACGAAATTTGAACGAACGGGCGGACATACGAAGCCCCTCTGTCCCTCCTCGTTAAAGCAGGGCTGTACACCTTGTGGGGAGGATGCAGAGGGAAATTCTTGATGAGAACTCGTCAGCTGATTGTGCTCTTGGCCATCTTCTCCGTGAGAAACCCGAGAGAAAGACCCTGGCTAACTCGGCTTGTCCAGGTAAACATTTGGTCTCCGTCGCTATCACGTTCCCATTCCAATATGATGATCACTATTCACACTGTTTGATCCGCCTTCGGGCGGAAATGAACAATAAAACAAAATCTGATTTAATGAGGTATGTCAGCCGCTTGCCTTGTCTGTCCGAGAACCACTTTGCTAACCGCCTTCCAGACTGAAATGAAATCTCAACAACACTGTCTAGCACAGAGCAGCGCGGACCATGGCTGACCATGTTCCGAGCAGATACCGGTCGACTCTGAACAACCGCTTTCTTCCGCACCACAAAGTGTAAGCTTCCCTATCCCATCTTGTTGCACTTGATACACACCTCCAGGATGATCACTCTTACCTGCTTTTTAACTCCGAAATTCACTTGACGAGACAATTCCATCTTGGAGAACTGATTGAGGTGTTTCGACGTTAGTGTGGCAAGACTTTATGCAGCGGTTAAGCTAACTCTTTCTAGTTTCTATTCTAGTTTACAGAGGTGGTGACGGGAGGAAGGTGGTTCTAGGTTAGCCCATTTTGTCTAGTGTTGTGCCTTGAAGGAATACCAATACCAGTACCAATTACCTCAGATTATGATGCCCAACGCCCCTAAATGCACGTAATACGCCTCGCATTGTGAACACCCGGAACTCGCATAGATGTACAGCTGAGCTCGCTATCGCTTGAGCTGCAACCTAGAGTTCCACCCGACAATGCATCTGATGAGGTCCCAGTCGCCGTTGTTGCCCACCCAGTCGGTCACGACCACGCCGGTGGCAGCGTCCCCGATGGTGAGCTGCCCCGGCCCTTTGCCCGGGGCGCCATGTGACATGCACAAGTACTCGATGATGGCCGGGTTAATCTTGGCGGCGATCCTGTCTGGCCAGCAGCTGGCGTTGAAGAAGTTGCTGGCGCTCAGGAAGTTGATGAAGAGCTGAGGCGGCGGGGCATCGGCGGCCGCCGCCTCGCCCGGCAGCACAACGCCGCGCTGGGCAGCCCTCTCGAGCTCCTCCTGGGCAAGCGTGATCTTCTTGAGGATCTCGTCGCTCTGGCCGATCTCGTAGTAGTCTTGCAGCCGGATCTGGCCGCTGCCGCACGTACCGTCGGCGCAGTTATCGGGCCACACGGACCCGTCGATGCCCAGCCCCCCGCCGTTCTCCGCTGCCACGGTCTCGTCGACGTGGAACCGCCGCACCAGCACCACGCGCCCGCGCGCCTCGCCCAGCGTCGGGATCCGCGGCGCCGTCCACCACCGCCGTGCCGCGTCGCCCGCGAAGTACCGCCCCGCTAGGTGCCGCGACAGCTGCTGGTCGGTGCCCTTGCCCGTGCCCTCGCGCTTGATGCTCATCAACACCGCCTCACTCGGGTGCACGTCTAGGAATCCGTAGATGTCGGCCAGCAGGTCGTGGAAGTACTTGGTGCCCGACAGGCTGATGGGGAAGGCGCTGTGCACGAGGGCGAGGTTGCTGTTGCTGTTGTTACTGTTGCCGTCTGGTGGTGGTGGGGATGATGACGGCGACGATGACGGCGACGACGGGCACGACACGCGCACGTCGAGGAAGCGCACGCCGTTGTCCAACTGGTCGCGCACGCTCGCCGCCTGGCACCGCACCGAAGGCAGCGCCACGTAGCACGTCGGGCTGTTGTGCGTACCGGGGATGCTGAGCGCCGACAGTGGGAACCCGGAGTCCAGCTCCGCCATCCACGACGCCAGCCGCGCGCTGCTGAAGATGGCCAGGAACGCGTGGCTGGGCACGTAGACGAGCGTGAATTCTTTTTGGGGGGCAGCGCTGTCATCGTCACCGGCCGCTGGTGACAGTGAAGTGGCTCGCATCACGATACTCCGCTGCGGCTGCGGCGCCGGCCCGGGGATCTTGGCCACGTACTGCACGGCTGGTGATCCGGGCTCCTCAAAGGTCAGGCGCAGCTGCTCGCCGCGCGCCACATCGGGCGGTGCGATCTCGCTGGGCAGCGACGCCTCGGAGAAGGGCTGCACCACGACGCCGCTGATCTGGTGCCGCCTGAAGGGGCGGGTATGGTCCTGTTGCTGTTCCTGCTGTTCGGCATCCTCTGCAGCAATAGTAGTCGTCGCCGAGGGCGTGGGTGTTGCGGCAGGCCGTCCGGTGAGGCGGGCGGTGATCTTAGCGAGCCCGCCGGGAGCGCCGTGGTGGGGTGGCGGCGGCGGCGGGTCGAGGTGCTCGACTAGCTTCAGCTCGAGCGGCGTGATGGTGATGTTGCGGATGGTGAGGTTGGTGGCGGCGTCCATTGCGGCTGTCTTGCTGCCGTGGTGGTGGAGGTGCGAGTGCGAGTGCACCGCGCGGGAGCCGCCCAGCCCCATGGCATATACACCAGGATATATCTATAGGTCGCGAGAAAAAGAGAGTTTGCTGCAGTGTAGGGACGCGCTGCTGTTGGCGGACGGTTTCAGGCGGACGAGAGAATAGAGTTTGAAACCGTTGGCGACGTGGGCATCATCATGACGCTAAAATCCCATTACTGTACAGCCCGTCAGCACCATCCCGGGGGTTTTGCTCAGAACGCGCCCAGGGATGTGGCGCTTTCTTTCAGCGACTAATACGTAGGGTAAACCTGAAACCGTGAAAAGGAAAGCACCAGCCAGTTCACTCTTGTGTTCCTAAAACTTATTTTGCACAACGTCTCCGCTGCCAAGGTAATGATTGACTCCGCAGTGCTTGATAAAGGTGTTCAAGTAAACACACTTTGCAGCTTCCTCTCAGCCTTTGCTTTTGCAACTCACGAACGGACGGTACGGAGTATCTGTCTATGGGCTAGGGTTCGGAGTTGCGGCGTGGAGAAGCGGCTGGGCGACCCCATCGTTTAAACGCGATAGGCACCCATCTAGCTGCTCCATGGCTGATGGCAGACAAAAACTCCTCGAGTCCTTTGAGCGTGACGATGAATATTTGTTTAAACGACGAGATGAAGGTATCGGGAACACCCGCAGGATGGTTGGTCATGAAAATGCGCAGACCAATCGAGAAGGTAAATTCGCTCTACACTGCAATCTTTAGCTCCTGTACGGTCCAAGTCTCCCGAGAGCCAATCGCCTTGCACTGCAATTTTTAGCTCCGAGGCCTTCACGTCCCAAGTCTCGTGGAGCCAATCGCCTTGCACTACAATTTTTAGCTCCAAGGAGGCCTTCATGTCCCAAGTCTTGTGCGACCAAGCTCAATCTGAGTGTCAGCCAGTGCCCGATTAGCCCATACTGCGTATGTAGATAGTTTGTCTCTCTCATCGCTTACCCCTGACTAACCCTGAGGCGTAGCGAGACGCAAAGCGACGGGGACACACGATCAGTCCTTGATGGACCTCAGTTCCAGATGGACAAAAATCCCGGGGACCTGGCTGGGCGTGCTATATCCTGTGCAGCGAAAGGTTTGTGTTTGCATGGCCAGAGTAAAAAAAAAAAACGCTCGCTGTATAGCACACAGTTTTCTACTACCTTGACGGTATCCGGTTCAAGAGCTGCGCTCTTTTAACACGCTCTCCTTGCCCCTTTTTTCTCGTTTTTTCTCCTCCACCCCACCACTCCCGCTTTTCCGGTGCCAGCATACTGCTTCATCCCACGTCATCGCCACCGTTGCTATATTGGAATTCGTCCTGCAAATTCCCTCACCCTCCTCGCCGCTTGCCGATTTTGTCGATACCGTCTCTGTATTGTATTGCCGCGGCAGCCCCGTTGCCACGCCAACACATCCTCACATGTCCTGTGGTGTCTTGTCATTTTGAGAAGCAGGTTTCTCTGCATTGCACCGAGATGGAGAGGTTTGGCGAAATTCATGTTGCTGAGCACGTGGTCTACGACTGGGGAATGTTTTTCAAGGCCCATTCTGGATTGCGGTCAAGTCAGCAGCTACTTCATCATCATGGTATTCACGATTCACAGTGTCAAGTCAAGAGTAACTAGAGAGAAAGCACGTACCTGCAGCCACCGGGGGGCCAACAACCTCGGGCCCCTTGTTGATGTTGGCCCTGCGGTGGTCGTCGATCTCGAGGTGGCCTGTGGCCAGCTGGACCTTACCGCTGACGAGGACGCCGTGGCAGGCATCGACGGCGCACGTCTTGCCCTGCGCGTTCTTGAACGTCACGTAGCAGTGACACCAGAACTTTGTGCGCCGCGGGTCTATGTCCGCCACCTTGGGCAAAGTGCCGCCCGCCCCCCGCCAGAACGGCGAGTTGCACTCGTGCGCCTGCGTCCGCTCCCACCCGAACAGCGGCCCGGACTTGATGTACCCCCACTGCGTGTCGAACGAGATCTTGACGTCGGATACCACGTTCACAAAGGTGGTACCGGTACCCTGGGGCTTGGTGCCCAGCGACAGCAGCGCCACCTTCAGCACGGCGGCCAGGTCGAAGCAGTTGACGTACTTCTTGCTCCGGCTGAAGAAGCCGCTCAGCACGATGGTGGCGCCGCTGAGGTGGTGCGGCATGCCGCCTACGCCCAGCCGCGAGTCGTAGAACAGGGGCGACGTGCCGGGCTTGCCGCGGTCGCCAGCTTCCACAGCTTGTTGGCCACGTTGAGGAGCACGTCGCCCTCGACCTCGGCCCACGTCTTGCCCGCCACCTTGGCGAAGTCGAGGTAGGCCAGCCGGTTCAGGTCCAGGAATAACTCGTTGTCGTAGTAGTACGGCAGGTGGTTCGTCGGCCCGAACACGAAGTAGAGCTCCAATTGGAACACCGAGTCCGCCTTGAACGGGGCGCCGGGGTCCCTGACGGTGCTGCCAACAACAAACTTGTTGGCGGTGAAGGTGGTCCCACTCACCCCGCTCGAGGCCCTGGAGGTGAATGGCCCGCTGATGATTTCGAAGCCGTTGTTGATGGGCGCCTTGTTCGTGAGGCTCCACTGGGTGCCGACCAGGCGATACTTTGGCGCTGCTGCGGGGGCGGCCGGCGCCGCTGGGAAGGGCAGCGTGTATGTGGCCGTGACCTCGATCGGGATGTCTCGCCGGTCGAATAGGAAGACGGCCGGTCTACCCAGGGTGGCGGCGGTTTCAGTTCCGGGAATGTAGAGGACCTCGTCCGTATCGATGGTCGGCTTGGGTCTATCCCACCCTTCTCGAATCTCCAAGTTCTTGATGTCGCCCCTGACCCGGGTGATCTTGGTAATCTTGAGCGTGGATATGGCTTTGAGTAGATTTGCGGCAATGATGTGAGGGCAGAAAGATACTGAATGGGGGCTGGAGCTCTGTTTTCTTGCTGGGCTGAGATGGGGATTATGGCAATGAGCATGTGATACAGACCAGAGTGCAACCCGGATCTCCCTCGTCAGGCACACCTCTTTTATACGTGTCTTCGTACACGCTCTTGCCTACTCCCGACAGCTAACGGAGACATGAGCACTGCCTGAAACTTTAGGCAGTAAGGGCCGCTGGCTATGATGCGCAAGAAAAGATCACGATGCGTGCTGCAAGTTTACCCCGAGCCTCACCAAAGTTTGTATGCTGCTTGTTTGGTCCTTGGATGCCTATCTGGGTGGTCCGCACATGTGGCTTGGAAAGTCTCGCTGTCAATGCCGGCGTGGTCCATACGAGACATAGTCAACAATACATCTCGGCTTTATTGATATGTTACGCATACATCCTCCCCCTCGCCGAGGCGCTCAACAAGTGCCTCGACGACGGCGCGCTGGCGGTGGCCAACAGGAGCCCGACGCTGCCGGTGCTACGGGGCAAGGCGACCATCATCAAGGACGGGCACGGCGAGGACGTTCTCGAGGTACGGCTGACCAACACGACAACATGATGGCTAGCAAGCTGCTGCAGCCGGCGGGCGTCGCCAAGAGAGTCCTGCGCCCCATGCACAACTCGCACTCGCTCGCCAAGGAGAACCTCGGCATCTACATCTTCGGCCTCAGGGGCACGGGCAAGTGCCCCGCCACGGACGCCAACAAGATCAACGTCTTCCTAGCCCAAGCCAACACCCTCGAGATCCATAATGCTAGCATCCCCGTTGTCATCAACTAATTAGCCTCTGTTACTTTTGCTACAAACGTTGCTGGGCAACTTATTTGGCGCGCGCCAATCAAGCTAGGCCTTGATTCTGCCTCCACAACTCTATGTAGACGATCACGGGGGAAATGACTAAAGTGGAAGCAGTAGTGTTGTATCTGGGTTTGAAAAAAAGAGAGTGTCGGGTGCTGCGAGACAGACAATCATTCGACGGGCCGGGAGTTACTATTACGAAGCAACCAGTTAAGTGTTGTAGGTTTACCGTGCTGGACATGGACATGCATATCTGTCACGAACTAACAGCTAGAACTAGAATAAGACAGACAGCAAGGATAGAGATAATTATGACTCGCCATGTCTTTAGAGCATATGCAATGCTACAGAGTTGACTCTGAATTTGTTTGTTTCCTTGGCGGTGTATTCATACGGGCAAATAAAGACACCGACTTCAGAGTCTCAGGCCTGTGCTGAAATCAGGATGTTAGAAGGAAATTGTGTCTAGGCACTCACGTCTTTTTCTATTAGCACTCCTGATCGTGGTTGAATAGTAGGTAATTATGAGGCGTTATTGTTGAAATATTGTCTACCTATGCCCTAAAAACTTAGCATGTCAGCCCAACGAACTGCTGACTGACGTCATACGGCTGATCAAGTTCTGTTAGATCTTGTATTAGACATAGCCTTACTGAGCCGTTACACACGTCTCACGTCTCACGTCTCACAGTCAGGTGCCCCCTGCCAGCATCGCCGTGATGACGTTAGAGATTGACCCAACCCGGCCAGCAAGACATAATTAGTGTAATCACAGTCAGTCGACCGACTCCAGCCAGCCTGGCCAAGTCTATGCAATTATGTGCAAGGCCGATTTCGAGTCGAAAGCGAAACAAGTAGATATACAAGACACGACTTATGCAATGCTCAAGAGACTTCGGCAATAGGAAAGCGTCGTGAGAGTTCGGAACAAAGCAGTGGAGCAGGCAAAGTTCGGATTTAAGGTCTGAGAACTCTTCTTTGACACTGTGGTTTTACTTTTGCCTACCAATGCAGCGACCGAAAAGAGAAAAAGAGAAAAATGTACGAATAAGTCCCATCCACAGAGGCAAAAACGACGCTGTTAAACGGCATTGAGTATACGAAAACAGAGTAACAAATAACAATTGAGCATGAGCGATTGCGCGATTACCTGATTGGTCCAGGTGTAAACTCGGCTTAGCTAAGGGACCATGCAGGCAAAAAGTATGACAAGGGTGGGATTCGAACCCACGCCCCATTTCTGAGACCAGGAGAGAGAATTCAGGTTGACCTGAACCTGGCGCCGTAGACCGCTTGGCTACCTTGCCTTTGATGCACGTCAACTCTGCAATCCGCATCCATTAGCCAAGCCGCGCGCCAGAGGAAAAAGAGAAAAGGGAAAAGAGGAAAACAAGAAGCAAACATGTTCAATGGTAAATTGCATTTTAATCTCGATTATTGAGGAGGTGAGAAACCAATGAAGAGTCGCTCAATCCGAGCAAGGTGGATTTCGAGGCACGGTCGACAGCTTTAGATAACATGTGTCTGCGTGTTTAGGGGACTGAAACGGAAATAGAGTAAATCTTACATACCTGACTAGCTATTGCAGAGCGATTGAGCAACTGGAACGTACGGCAACTCAAGTGCTGAATATTGCCTCTCATTCAAGCGAGAAGAAAATGCAGGGCCAACCTCCATGCGGTCACAGTTCTGCCAGGCAACCGGGTGAAGAGTAGGAGACTGGGCGGACAGGAATAGACATACATGATTAAACAGCTTGCATCCCTGCCGCAAGGAGCAGAGATTCAAAGTCATACGATGGATACCATCTACCGTTTCCCATACTTGAGCAGCAAACAAGTAAAGGGGGTAGGTCCGCCGAGAAACCCGGAATCTTGGAAAGAGGGAGGGGGGGGCCTTCTTCCTATCTCGGGCTCCACAACATGCTATATCTATCCAAGTACACACCGGACGAGAGCTTGTGAAGTGTTCTTGGCCCGGGGCAAAGACAAGACACGCCGGAAAAGGCAGACGGGACAGGCGGCTGCTATGCCCGAGAAAGAATGAGCATCGACAATGCAACCGGATGTTCGGCAACCCAAGAGTATATAAAAATATGCTCTTCGGTAAAGGGAGGTATTGCGTACGCAGTCACGTCTAGAGGGCCTTGGAGCTCCGAAGGGCCATGTCCCTTTTTAGGACCACGACGAGCGAGCTGACCCCTGAGCCTGAATTGTGGGGGGGCTGTCTATCGCCAAGCTTGACTTCCCGCTGGGAGCCTCATGATATAGACGCCGCACACTATATTCGAGCCGCCAGCTTGGTCCATCCGGGGCATTGTTTTCCGGAGGTTAATACTCGTGTCCCCTTTCTTGGTCCTATAATGTGCAGGGACGCGTTGATGAAGGGTGCGCCACTCGGGTCCGAGCCGCCTAGATTCCGCCTTTGCCAGTCTGTCAGAGCCGGATTGCATTGCCCACCCATTTCCCAAGAGCTGCAGTGCAAGAAGCGTCGGCCTTGGTGCCGATAGAATCCAAGAAACCGAAAAGACCGCAGAGCCCCCGGGGCGGAGGTTAAGCGCTTGGTCGTCGGACGTCCGTAGATGGCTTATTAAACGCAGGTCGGGATCGCTGGATAAATTCAGCTTCCAATTTGCGTCGCTGGGCAATGGCTTTCAAGGGTGCACCAACTTCAGTGCCGGTATGCGTCTTCCAAGAATCCAGGGATAGATAGATCGATAGGTCTCGATATCATAAATCCGAAAAAAGAATGCCATGTATAAATACGTCGTCATTCGCTGCAGGAGAGGTGGGCATCAGAGAGTGGCGTTGGAAAGCTGCTCACCCCTCGAATCATCAAAGCAAAGCCAATTCAAGCTACCGCAAAGATGCGTTTTTCAGTCCTCGCTCTCGTCGCCACTGCTAGCTCAGCAGCGGCGTTTCCCTCTCTGAGGTCGCTCCTCGCGCCGCGCGCCGACTGCCTGACGGATGCGGATGCCAAGGAGCTCGTCGAGGCCTACACGAGGCTCATCGCCAACTACCAGGACGCCGACTGCATCAAGTACTGCGCCGAGGAGTTCGTCGACAGGTCTGACAGCATCAACACCTTCATATTTAAGCCGCTCGGCGATCCCACGTTCGCGACCAAGAAGATTTTCATGGAGGCGCAGGCTTCCAACCCGCCGTTCCCCCTCGTCGTCGACAGCGTCGATTCCGTCTCGTGCTCGGTAATCGGCCTGCGCTGGCACGCAACATTCGGTGCTGCCAATCTGCCTAGCAGAGGCATCACCCTCATTGGCGCAACCAAGGAGACGGGCGCCTGGCAAATCAAGAGCCTGGATGTCGAGTTCAACAGTCTGATCTGGCTGCTTAATATGGGCGGCAACTACACTTGGGAAGGCTAAATGCGAAGTGGGTGTGTGAGGGAGGGGAGGGGCTCGACTTCTGCCGTCCGAGGTGAAGAAGTTCAAAGAAAATGCTGCTGCGGAGAGAGAGACACGAAGAGAAACAGACGACAAACACGGAGGCCTAGGCTGTACATATAAGAAGTTAAGGCTTGGCCCGATTCAGAACACTTGAGTCTATAATGCCAATTCTTTCTTTTCATCTGACGAATAGTTCCTGGTGAGATGTTGGCGGATTAGTGTATTTTGTGGATGTCTTCCATGGTTGTTCCATGTTTCTTTCCCTGCCATATCGAGAATGATCGATTGGAGTAGAGGAGGACTTTGACACATCACGCTAAGCATACAATGTAATGTACACTAGTGGGAATGATAACGCGCGGTGGCGGTTCAATGGAACTTGATGCGGCTGTGTTCTCCAAGAATAGGAATCGCATTGTCGGCGGAGAGCGAGCCAGAAACAGGTACTTACAGAGAAAATGTGGAATCAAATCGACCACGGAAAAGTGTGCAAGTGTAGGGACATCCATCCCAATCCCAGGCCAGGTTGGAATAGGTGATATGGGGGGGCATTGGTGGCTGACGAATTAACCTCCGTAAACCAGGCCTGGTGCTAACATGGAAGATGCGGGGTGCAGGCAACGAACGTGTTGTAGGGCTGCATGGAGGTGGCTCGAAGGAGATGGCTACCGCAGCAAGCGCAGCACCCCAGGTCTGACTTGGACCTCGAGAAGGGACTAGGGATGCCTTACCAAGGTATCGTAAGGTCTGCAAATTTCTTCGTTAAGCGCGCATCATTGCCGCGAGGAGACTGTGCCTTGACTTAGATTTCGTCAAGAAACTGTCGCCCACGTTTTCAGCGGCCGTGTGTCTTGAATGGGAGCCACAGGAGCCATAGAACGACGAGAAGTGGCTCAGTCCCCGTCTTGGACGCCAAGTTACTGGGGATATTTGACTTGGTGAACTTCAAATGAAGCTGAAAAGAGGTGGCACCAGTCTCGAGCTAAGAAGAGGAGGCCGTTTCGCGAAGCCATGACGACTTGGGGCGAGTCCGAGGGCTGAAGTGCGCGCTGACATCGGACTGGATCTCTTATGCCGAAGGCTTGCAGGATGGCGCGCATGATTTTATGAGTGGCTGTGCGAGCCTGGGCTGTAAAGGTGACGCTGCGGAATTCTCTAAAGTGGCCAAGGATGGCGATTGGAGAAGGATTCGACTGGTGAGCTGTTTGGCGAATGCGTCTAAACGTCGAGGTTCGCGCCTGCCATGTCTGCCAATTGACACGAAAGTTTAATTCGCGGAATATTACGTATTCGGAGCATTGTAATGACAATGGATAAGTGAGCGAGTCTGGGATGCCTGACAATATTTACGAGTAGAGTTCTGATTTGTGTAAGAGGTCTAGAAACTGACGTGGTGGCTGTCGTCTAAACTTCTTGGGCTCTGTCTGTGCCCCTGAAAAGAAAAACGGCGATGCATTGGTGGGGCGACGAGCCCACCGAAGGACGTAACCGCGCCGATTGGGGGCGGAAGCTCAAGGCTCATTTCCCGTTTGGGATGGTGGCCCCTGTCGGCACCCATCAATGACACTCCGTGACACATCGCAATTGCAGCAGCTCCTTTCGCCATTTCAACATCTTGACGCTTTAAAAAAAAACATGGACTTGACTTCCTGGGGCATGGGCAAGTTTTGCATGTCTCGCGAGTCAAGGGGGAGACATCTAGGAATGGGATTGATATATTGAGTTCCGGGGCAGATCTGGTACCTGGTTCGAAATGGGAGGAACCCACCTGAGATGGGACGGGTTGGCGGAGTAGACATGGAGGGTCCCGTTTCATTTACCAAGGGCGCAGTCGTGATAGGCCCCCCGGGGTTGGTGTGGCCTGTCAAGTCTGTCACGCCTCCACCATCGAGCTTACAGGTTACCGCCGCTAAGCTGTCCCAGTTGGTAATGTCACACAAGCTGCCGTCTCCGTCTCCCTCAGTTTTCCTCGTTCCCCTTTCACAACTCATTCGTGCCTCTCTTTTATGTTCGCCGTTGTCACTTCGCCGCCACAGTCATTCTTTTACTTATAGCCCCCAGCCTGTCACCCTTTTGAATCTCATTCTTTTCTGGGCCCATCCATTCTTGTTCTAGTCTCTCGTTTGACAAAAATAACGCACAGCGCCGTTCGCGTCTCTATTCGGTCTCGACTGAATAACTTTCTGATATTTCTGCTCTTCAAGTTATACTGCGGAATACATATTCAACATTCGACAAAATGCACTTCTCTATCGCTACCACCGTTGCTTTCGCGAGCGCTGTCCTCGCCCAAAAGTTGCCCACTCCAGGGTTCGATGCTATTAGCCGCCCGACCAAGGGGGAGAAGATACCTGCTGGCTCCTCGTACAAGATAGTATGGGAGCCGAGCACAGTTCACACAGGTCCCATCGCCATTGACCTCCTTGGCGGCCCTACTCCCGGGCTCTTGAATGTCGTCAATAGCATCGCAGGTAAGCGCGCCATATACCACCTACCTAACTGGCGGGGATCATGCTGACGCTCATCAGCTGGTGTCGACCAGACCGCGGGAACCTTCTCGTGGGCTGTTGGCAAGGAGCTTGGAGCGTTGGCGACGTATGGTATTCAGATCAGCCTAGAGAGCAATACTTCCATCTTCCAATGGGGTAATCCGTTCGAAATCACTGGCGGTGTGATCGGGACAACCTCCACGACTTCGGCTGGGTCGACTGCTTCTACTACTACTACGACATCGAAATCGACATCGTTGTCGTCAGCCTCTACTACCGCCCTAGCTACGACTGACAGTACTACCGTTACAACGCCTCCTTCGTCGACTCTCCTCACCACCAGCTCGGCGCCCCCGAGCAACCTGTCCACTACCCGCACGACCGCCACCAACGTCTTGACCACGGGCGGCTCTACCAAGACGTCGTCGACCTCCGCCCCGACTAATACAAGCGGTGCAACATCGTTCTTTGTCAGCTCGCTTGCCTTGTTCGGCGGTCTGTCCTTGGCCATCTTTTCATTGTAAATGAAACATGTTTCTCAGACTTTGTCGCATATTGAACTGGGTTGCAATTTGAGCTTCTCATTATCCTGTTGGTGGTTGCACGGCCCTTAATTGAATATCGGGATAAAACACTGCGCGCATTGAGGACGTGCTAATGGGCATTACTGGGGCTCGGGGGGGCTTCTAACAAGCCGGACGAAATCATTGATGTTCTCGAGGTACTGGAAAATGGAAAATGTATCACTGATATCGGCTGCTCTTATAACCAGGAGCGAGTGATGATAAACGTGTGGCTTACCGCAACTAATGTCCTTACTCTATGTCTATATATGATGTAGGTATTGATGCGACATAGGATCTCATGTTACTATTATAAAATGGAGCTGTACAAATAAAGAAACGTCTTTAAAGGAGAAGAGACTCGAGTGAAGCTTGCTCCTCAGCCTGTTTTAAGATAGTGCTTATCTGTCGTTGCACTGCATTGTACCGATCTCTGATCGAGGGGTTAACATCTAAGCACCAAACCTAAGTATTTACGACTTGATCATGTATTATGTAGGAACCCTTCTATAAAAATCTCTAGCTGGAGGCTAGGCCCTAGACTTTAATAAACCGATTACTGGGCTACCTTACCTGGACATGTTTGACGAACCTCAATACCTTCCTTGGTATCGGAGTGTGTCCAGCCTGGAAATCTTTAGCATCCCAGGTTCAATCTTCGCTTGACTAGCTCATCAACCATGCCCCAATAAGGTATTTGAAGGGTGCGGGAAGGTCCGAGGTTCCTTGCAAGACCTCTTCTCGAGGCGCAAAGTTAAAATGTTTGGTGGTTGGGCGGATTGCATTGGATGGCTGGGCTCAGGAAAGACGCTGTGGAGCGTGGAGTGGCCGCTCGTCAACGCACAGCGACCACCTCACTAGTCTAAAAGTCGAGCGGTGAGAACTCTGGGCGCATTCCAGGTGCGGGGCAGACGCGATAATGCAGCTGCTGCCCCTGAAGTACAGAGAACTTCCTGTCCAGTAGCAAGCCGCCGCGCAGGGCAGGTCCCGGATACAGCCAATCGCGAGGTGCTTGACAGCTTGCGCTTGAGACCTCTACAAAGTCCTCTCCAGAGTCGCAGCCCGGTCCATGCTAGTCCGGCCCCACACAAATATGCCCCTCCCAGCACCCACAAATCTCCACGCCTTCATCGACAAGAGGACCTACTGTACTTCCTTCCTCCGGGCGACTGTCTCCTGCTTCCCCTTTTTTGTTGCTTGTTCGCTACTGCGCTGCGCGCTCTCTGTGTCTTCTTCCCTCCGACTCCTAGCGAATATCTATATTGTGGGCGCGGCTTGACAAAATGAGAGGCGAGGTAAGACCACGCAAAGTTGCTTGCTCCTGTTCTTCGCCCTGCATAAATTCAAGCTTCTCGGGTGCTTCAGAGGGCTCCTATCCGTATTCCATGCGATTGCTTCAAGGAAGCCTCGATCACCCCTCACCTCACGATATCGACAACCTAAACCACCGCGACAGTCCCAGTTGCTTCTGCCTTGCCAACCTACATAGCTCCCGTCGCCCTCCCTACCGTCCTCACTAGTCCCCGAATATCGGATTGTGTGTTTGCAGTTTTGGAGCTGCTCGCATCCACTCCTTGCCCAGACCTCCCTGTCCAGGCCCAGGCCAGACCGTGATAGCTCTGCTTGATCCCGCCAAGCCCCCATGCCCATAACAACTTCCAGTTTCGCAAATACCAGAATTCAAGGTACCTAACGCAGCTGCGAATAGATTCTTCATCTCCACCTGGGCCAGGCTGGCACCCAGCTCGGAAACAGCGCCTGGGAACTGTGAGCCCTCACCGCCTACCTACACAACCCCCAGTTGCGTCCACGGACTGACTTTCTGGCCCAGATACCTCCTTGAGCATGGTCTCGGAGCCGATGGCCGCCCGGCTCCCAATGCCGGGGATGTTGGTGATGCTGGCTCTTTTGAGACCTTCTTCACCGAGACGAGCAGCGGCAAATACGTCCCTCGGTCCATCTTTGTCGATCTTGACCCTTCCCCGATCGACGAGATTCGCACTGGTACCTATCGCCAACTTTTCCACCCCGAGCTTCTGATTAGCGGGAAGGAGGATGCGGCCAACAACTATGCCCGCGGTCACTACACCATTGGCAAGGAGATGGTCGACAACGTCATTGACCGCATCCGCCGGGTTGCTGGTAACATGGCCCCCTCGCGTCCTCTTGTACCGCGCAATTGTCTGACTTGAGATGACAGATAACTGCCACTCCCTTCAGGGATTCCTCATCTTCCACTCCTTTGGCGGCGGCACTGGGTCCGGCTTCGGCTCTCTTCTCCTGGAGCGTCTGGCCACTGACTATGGTAAGAAGTGCAAACTCGAGTTTGCCGTCTACCCGGCTCCGCGAGTTTCGACTGCGGTTGTTGAGCCGTACAATGCCGTCCTTTCGACGCATAGCACGATTGAGAACTCTGATTGTACGTTCCTTGTCGATAACGAGGCCGTGTACGACATCTGCCGCCGGAACTTGGACATCCCCCGACCGAGTTACGAGCACCTCAATCGACTCATCGCTCAGGTCGTCTCTTCCATCACTTCCTCTCTGCGGTTTGACGGAGCCCTCAATGTCGACCTCAACGAGTTCCAGACCAACCTGGTCCCGTATCCTCGTATCCACTACCCCTTGATCAGCTATGCTCCCGTTATTTCGGCTGCCAAGAGCGCTCACGAGAGCTTCAAGGTCTCCGACCTGACCTTCCAGTGTATGTGTGATTGTAATTCTCTGCTCGCCACTCGGTGCACTGACTTGCTTGTGTAGGCTTTGAGCCCAACAACCAAATGGTGGTCTGCGACCCTCGCAATGGCAAGTACATGGCTGTCGCTCTCCTTTATCGTGGAGATGTGGTGCCCCGCGACTGCAGCGCCGCTGTGGCCGCTCTAAAGGCGAAGGCTTCCTTCAACCTAGTCGAATGGTGCCCAACTGGCTTCAAGATTGGTATCAACTACCAGAAGCCGGTTGCGGTTCCTGCTTCGCCAAGTGATGGCGGCCTCGCGTCAGTCGACCGTTCCGTGTCCATGCTTTCCAACACAACTGCTATCGCTGAGGCCTGGTCTCGCCTGGACTACAAGTTCGACCTCATGTATAGTAAGCGTGCCTTCGTCCACTGGTATGTGGGTGAGGGTATGGAAGAAGGCGAGTTCAGCGAGGCCCGCGAGGATCTCGCTGCTCTGGAGAAGGACTACGAGGAGGTTGCTGCCGACTCGACCGAGCCTGAAGAGGGTGAGGCCGAGTACTAAGCGGGTCAACGATAGCTCACAGTTGTCGGCTAGCAAATTCAATTTGCCAGCGGATAGCATGAGATTGACACCTTACCTCGGGGTGCCGATTCCAGAGTCTCCCCCGGACTTGAGAACGGAAGAGCACATGAAGTTACGGATCTTGACAAATGAAATAATTCCCAAAAGCAGTTTGGAGTTTTTCCCTTTTCTTTTCCCCATACCTTGACACTGAATGCAAATATGGGATCTGGTGGATTGCAGGCGAAGCGGATGATACTCCGTTAAAATCTTTTTGTTTTTCTTTTCGTCGTTCTGCAACTGGCCTGGCTAGGAAAGGATACTAATCATTTGTTCGCGCGTCTTGAGCCCCGGCCTCCTCTTGGTTAGATAACTCCCCGCGATGATAAATATGGAAGTCGTTGATTGCGCAGAAGAATTGCCGTTCCGCGGGCTGTTGCTCCACATTGTATGTTGTTGCCTTGTGTAGCTGGCCGTTAGTCGGCTTATATGACGATATGATGATGGTGGAATGACCTACGGATGCATACCGAGGTTGGCCGCGAATAAAGCACAGGGCAGTTGCGTCGGGTACCGTGCCTTTATACGGACTTGGGTGCACGCTCGGAACTCGGGAGCCTAGAGTGGAAAAAAATGTTGCAGCCCGCCTTCGACGTACACAAGTATCGAGGCAAAGTACGTGCCAATCGGACAGCCCTGAAGCGAAACGCGTTTATTTTATTGCATCTCATTTTACACTACGGTCCCTACGAATTACCTGGTAGGCAGACAGGAGAGGTCGGTTAGTTGTCAACTTGCCCGTTTACAAAGTATCGCCACAAATGTACAAGATGCCCAACATGAATCAAGATAATCCCTGGAGCGAGAAAACGACGGCCTCCGGGCAGTCAGTCAATCTGACCAGGCGAACTAATTGGCTTCCTGCGTGTGCTTCGTTACAGGGCAGATGATTTCTTGATTTTTTTTTTCCTTCCTCGCTCAACTCCGTATTCCGTACATGCGTATAATAATGAGGTAGGCAAGGTACAAACGTACATACGGAACACCTTGGGTCAGGTACTCCTTACGTTAGCAGATGTGGGCAGGCACGCACAGTTCAAAGTCTGACTCTACGAAGTAAAAAAAGCACCCGGCCACCAAACCATACAAGGATTAATGGCTGTGACCTAACTTCTGCTAGGCTGAAAACAAGCAAACAAAACAGCCAGCCTGAGGTACCTTATTTGGCGACCCCTCCAGCCTTCTTCCACTTTGCAGCCCGAAGCGCTCCACGGTTGGGCTTGGCAGCAGCCTTCTTGTGCATTTTAGCCCCGCGAGACTTGTTGCTGGTCTGCTTGAACTTCAGGTCCCTGGGCCGGCCGTCTCTCTCGCTAGCCCGCCGCCCCTCAAAGACGATGTCCTCGGGAGACTTCATGGGCTTGGCGCCGTCGCCACTTTGCTGTTGTTGCGGAAGTGGGCGTTTTGCCCGGGGCTCGGCCCGAGGCCGGCTCTCCTTGCTCCCTGCTGCGCCCATCAGTGCGGCACCTGCCCGGCCGAGGAGCTTCCCCGCCCGTCCTGCCAGCGACTGGGCCTCTGCCGTGGGTTTGGGCGCATAGCTAGTGCTCCTCTTGCCGTTGTTATTGAACTTACCCTTGCCCTTGCCATCCGAGGAAATGCCAGGCTTACCAGGGCCATATTTGGCCTCCATGGCCCTCGCCGTTTTGTGGGGCGCCTTGCAGCGGCTCACGCGCAACTCACGCGGGAGCATTGGCGGGAATTTCTTGCCGTTCAGAATGATGGCCTTTTCCACGGCGTTGGCGTCCTGCACAAAAAAATTGTTAGCTGGCTGTCCCGTCTTTGATGTTCCAAGAGATTCCAAATGGTCTCATGGCGATGATACTTACATAGAACTGCACATATGCAAAACCCTTGCCCACTCGGGTAGCGGCATCTCTGACCACGCGGACGCTCTCAACTCTTCCGGCCTCCTTGCTGAATACCTGCCACAGCCCTTCCTCAACATCCATGGGCACTTTGGTACGCTTACGCTTCTCCGTCACCTCATTTCCTGACTCGTCTAGCTTCGCGTTGAGAACGCTCTCGTCGTCCACAAAGCCTAGATTTCCGACGAAAATGCAGCGTCGGTGAGCAACATGAGCAGGATGCGCCACGCTGTCGACTCTCAGGTGCCGGTCCAGAACGATTGTGCCATTAAGCTGAGACACGGCGGCTCGCGAGCCTTGAGTCAAGCTGTAGACAACATATGCGTTAGTCGATTTGGTAGTGGCCTCCATGACCGACTTTGTGATGTACGATGCGCGCTTCGGCAGACCGCCTGCCGAAAATGCCGTCGACCGGAAACGAATGGACTCGATTTTCTGTGGTGGCACTGCCTTCTTATCCAGAACTGATGCGAGGTGGTTCATCAACGTCTTTTTGGCAGTGCGCGATGTGATCGCCTTAGTTGAGACGTTGCTGAGAAATACAGTGCGGTTTGCCTTTTCGATCTCGGACGCGGCAGCGTTGACAGAAAGAGACTCGTGTACGGGGGCCTCATCCGCAGATAGTTCGCCGTCCTCGGCCGTGTCGGGAGAGACATCTTCGTCGCTACCCTCTGTCGCGGCTGATTCGTCTGCCCTTAGGCGTTTGCCTGCCGGCTCCTCTACTTCCTCGTCGGCCAACTTCTGAAAGTAGCTAGACTCGAGGTCATCGTACGCATCTCGTTGTTTGCGTTTCCGCTTCTGGCCGTCTTCTCGCTTGGTCACCTTGCGCTCGACTGGAGCCTCAACAACTTTAGCGGCCTCAACTTCTTCTTCTTCTTCTTCAGCAACAGAGATTTCCTCGTCGGCTTCTTCGGGTTCGGACTCGCTCTCGGATGACTCGTTATTGGAGAACTCGTCCTCGTCGTCCGAATCGTCGCCGTCTAACTCATCGTCTGAAAGCTCCGAGAGCTCCTCATCGTCGACCTCCTCTGGCTGGTTCGAAGCTACTGGTGGTGCTCGGACTTTGACTGGCAGCAATTCTGAATATCGGGACTTTGGAAGTGCCGCCACTGGCCCAGCCTGGTTCTGTGTTAGCTTTTCCAAGTTTAATTCGGCTGGGCGAGCTTCGCACTTACGCTCTCGGTGAACAGAGCGGCCAAGGCGGGGTCAACCGCCTTGGACGGCGCAGTAAATCCGGATTTTCTGCAGAAGCCAGGTCAGTACACATTACAAAGCAAAAAGGAAACCGGAACCGTTCTCTTACCCTTTAGCCATTCTGGTCGACCTGATACTCTCAGGTTCTGATGTCGAATTGGAAATGGATCAGAGATTCTCCCGTCGCTCCTCTGAGGCGCATAGTAAATGTGGGTACCTAGACAGGAAAATTCGCTTATCGGTTCTTATCGAGACTGCCGTTGCTCACCGCCCCTTCACCAAAACGGTGCTCGGGCGGGAAGGCGGGCAGGCAGTGGGCCCAGGGTCAGGTCCAAGGTGCCCATTGTGTTCCCTGGCTACACTATAGTTGTGGGCGCTTTCCCAGCTTCCTTGCCAGTCTACCATCCTCCCTCCCCCGTCCTGCCCACGACAACCTCCATACGCTTCTATTTGCGAGCTCGACAGCATCATTTTGTTCATTTCTCAAACGCATCTTCTCTACTCGAACTTTTTGCCTCGTCGGTCGTCTTGTATTACGTTCCTTGTCGTCGCGCAACTCCTTCCGACTGAGCTCTTGCCCGCGCGACTGACTCCCGTGAGGTCCGATTTTGCGCTGCCTCTCGCTTCTACCCACCACCACCCACAACCTCATTGGCGCAAACCTCGCCGGCCCCGTCGCGGCTAAGTCGTATGGTCTATGATGGCTACCGGCGATACCGCGCCGCCTTTGGCCCTGTCGAGCTCCCCCCCGCCGATGCTCGGCCAGAGTCCCAGCAACCTCTCGAGCCCTCTTAGCGACGTTGAAGACAAAGATGCCGAGGCCGATGATGCGGACATGGATATGCATACCATGGGGTTTAGTAGCCGTTTAACTCCAAAAAGGGATGTAGACGGAGACGGAGGGGCGTCGGACGCCGACTCCGAGTCTGACGAGGAGAGCAAATTGTCAGAAATGGATGTCAATGACTCTGAGGCTGAGACAGAGCGACTCTACGATACTCCGCCAAAAGTAAGCGGGGCGCGCGATCTCGTTGACGGCGTCGGCGACGTGGGGAACAGACAGTTCGTGGATCGCCGCGACCGTGTGTTTGAGCGCAGCCCAAGTAAGCTCCAACAGCAGCTCAAGGCACAGGCAAGCCTAAACGCCGACGACGCGGTCAGCGACAATAATTCTCTCTCTGAAGGCGAAGACGAAGAGGACGACGATGCGTCCCTGGCGTCTAGCGAGCCCGACCCTGAACCCGCGAAGGAGGAGCTGTTGCGGCCTCATTCACAAGCCAAAAAACAAGAAGCCATACCTTCTACCGAATCCACAACCTCGCAGCTTACCAGGCAAGACTCAAGCGAGTCTCGGAAAAGGAAACGATCTCCCGTAGCAGAGCAATCCGAGTCTGAGCAACCGCTTCGAAAGCGAACGGGCTCGATTGCCGCCGTGGAGAACGAATTCTCTACTGACGACGTGGCTGTCATCGATGACGAAGGCACTTCTACAAATCCGCAAAGCGGCAATCACACTGGAGAGGAAGACAACCATGAAGAGCCCGAAGTTGCTACCAAAATCAAGGAGATAGTGGCGGACTCGGTTGAAGAGGACACAAGAGAAAGGACACGATCAAGAAAAGCAAAGCGCAACGCTGCTAAAAAGCGAAGAAGCAAAAGCCCAGAAGCTACCAGTCGAGGAACAGAAGAAACCGCTAAAGACGCGGATATACCCGTTACCGACGTTGCTGCGCCTCATGCCGTAGAGGACCATATTGAAGACGACGAAGAGGCCGAAGCGGCCCATAAAGAAGAAGAATGTATGCGCAACATCACCATCCCATTGAGCGCACTGATTGCTAACTTCTGGGCGCAGTGGAACGAAAAAAGGCTGCCTGGGAAGAGCTCACAGCGATCGAGAAGCAGTTCAATAGCTTCCGCGACCGGTAAGTTCCCGCTCCCACAATAATATTCTGTTTCCGACATGCTAACTATCCAGTAGACTGTACCAGGAGCGTTTGGACCAGCTCGATCAGGAAGAGGCGTCGCTCACATCCGACAACCCGACGCACCCCGAATATCTTGCAATGTTACAATGCCTTGAGGAACGACGAGAAGAACGAATACGAATCAGCAGTCTTGAGCTGCAGTTTAGAATGTCCGTGCTCAACGGGCGGGCGGTCGCCGAGCGGGCGCAAATACTGTCCCAATACTACCAGAGCATACGCGAGTCGAGGGAGGAGGTCTTGGAGGAGCTCGGCCAAGAGTGGTACGACATCCAGCAAGAGCGCAGACGGTTTGCCAACACGATACCGGATTATGGCATTCGCTTCCCAACCACAAAACCGCAAACTATCAGACAAGCCGTTGCATATAACCGGGAAGTCTCTGTACTCTCTGGTTTCGCCAAGCATGTTGGGTTCCCAGCGGCGCCGGCGATTAGTGGAGTTTCGGACGACCAACTGGAAAGCGATCTTGACGCCATACATGTTAGTTATTGTGTGCGACGGTGTTGATACTTGGCGTTGCTAACTTGTCTCTCTCAGCGCATGCGTGAACCCCCTTCTCGGCCTTCAATAAATACTTCCCAAGCAAATTTCCACCAAGGTTTCACTGCAGGGCTTCCTTTTGGGCGGAATCTCGGGCCTGCTGGAGAGCAATTCATAGAGTCAACCCCGTGGGCAAATCCAAACCACCCCTCACACCATCTCCAGAGGCAGAATTCACAACAGGAAGCTAGCATCCAGACTCCGTTTTCAGGCTCGTTGTCCGGGCCTCGAAGACATTCTTACCAACAAGGGGGCGTTTTTCCGCCGAGCAACACGAATGCGATGAATGGGGATTCCCCGCTACCGGTGCAAAAGGCGCACTTGTCGACGGGACATGAGGCGCTCAGGGCATCAAAGCTAGGATCGGAGCCAGTAATGAAGCGCGAGAGCGTTGCTCAGGCGTCTTGACTTTTGTTTTAATGATTTATTGGAAGACCTTACAGGTTATTGGAACTGGCGGGGTTTTTGGGGCTCTCAAGATATCATCTAACGCGACGACATTATGCTTGGGCTATAAGAAGCGAGACAGGGGAAAAGGCGTTCACATTGGTCTGAATTCGCGCAAATCTCGAAGGAGGTATTGCCGAGCTGGGTATGCAGAAGGCGGTTTTCTTTTCCGGTGTGTCAGATGTTAAATCGCTACACTCGTATGTACAAACTCGGCGAGTCTTACATATGGGCGGTTTTTGGTTACGGTTTGCTTCATGCCAGTTTACATATACCTTGGGAGTTGTTATTTAGTATTTTTATGCACAAGGAAACCAACTCTATTTTACATGTCTAGGTAGTCCATATTTGCGGTCCCAGTCGTGTCTTATACTCCTACAATGGCTGTCCGAGCTTTCCGGGGCGCAGAACCACCTATGTAATGGATGGCAATCGTACCACACTGTCTTGTCACCTTTTTACTTCTTCTGATTTTGTATAGCTACCGGAGCTGCCTTTGCCGACACATCCGGAACCTTGACATCTTCGAACTCATCTTGGCCGACGACGCTAAGTGTGTAAGCGTCTAGGAAAAGGATGTGTTAGCAATTGCTCACACCTTGGCTGCCGCGACACGGCTAGCGCATTAGATGGACGCGCAGACGTACAGATCCCAATCGCGAATGCCGTAATGGCGGTTCCGAGGACGGCATTCTTGACGAGATAAGGCTTTCTCGCGCGGATGAGCGCGGCCGATTGGCGGTACTGCCGGTCGTAGTAGCTTGATTGCTGGAGCCTATTCCACGGAGAGTGTTGCGACTTGTTAGACTCTGGTTTTTTATACCAAGCGGACACGGTCACACTGCAAAAGGGACAAGTAGCATACCCAGCCATGGCTCAACCAAGGAATTGAGTGCCCGGGGAAAAGATATAGCTAGACAGTCCGTAATGCGCAGCGTGGATTGTTTCGCGACACGATCACGTCACAGAATCTTTGACTATCCGCCTCGGATAACTTTCGTTGCTGCCCTTGTGGGTCTCGCTTCTGATAACGACTTTTCTTATCGTGCCGTAGCCAATCGTCTGTCTTCACGTTACACCCCTCCAATGTGGCTTGTGAACAGCAGCAGCTAGCTGCGGCATTAGTTCGGCTAGGTATCTGGGGCGCAGGCTCCCCTGCCAGCTCGCCAGCCCTTTCACGTCAACCCACTTCCTGGCGACGCGTCAAAGGCTCAGGCAAGCTGGCAGACCTCCATCGTCCCAAAACTCGACCACAAATCCGGTTGCGCTTCTCAACGCAAAAGTACGCCGCCGACCCATCGACACCGATTGCGCGGGCGTATTGACGATGTATTGATGGTCGATCTAGCTTCCCTCGCTTGCATTTGCTCTCTCAATCCTCGATCTGGCAGCTACGACTTTTTTTACGGCCGCGGCTCCTCTTCTCGAAAACGCCGGACTTTCGCGACGCGCAGCATGAGCGACCTCGGCTCCAGTCCCTACAGATCAATATCGAGCAGCTTGGGCGGGGTTGCGGTGGTTGATTGCGCGCGCTTTTTGACAGCGACAAATCCGGGTCCTCTACTACGGGCCGTGGATGGGTGTATGACAACAGCTCCACGGCTTCTTTGAACGGGAGGGAACTGCCCTCTTTTTTTTTGTCGCTCCATTTGCGCATCAGGTTCTTTTCGTAGATTCTTTGACCTCCGCAAGCCGCAACTACAAAAGCCAAACCGCCCAACAACCTTCTCTCTCTCTCTCAAAAACAGCAGGCTGCATATTCGCCCTCGCTTTGCTCGCGTACCCATTTCGGTGTCGCGGAGCAAATCTCCTGGCGACATATCTAGCATTGCTCCTCACTCCCTCGCTTGCTAGTCTCATTCGCCCGCCGCGCTGGGGGGGGAGGGGGTGACCTTCCGCAAATATGGCTGCCCCTGTAAAGACCCTCTCTGTCAGCGAGCAAATACAACAGCTCAATGCCGCACGCAAAATCGTCCTCGAGAATGCCGCTTATTACGATAGAATCGTCAAGGGAATATTGCCCATTATCGGCCCCTCGTCGCCGGTCGAGCTGCGAAGATGGGGGTCAGAGTTCCTTGCCGAGTCGCTCTCGACCCCGGCACTGTCTCTGCGGGACAAGGAGAACCTGACTGTGTCGATCCTGGAGACGTTGCGGTCGTTGGTGGAGAGCCCGAACGAGGATCCTCTAGTGCTGAAAGCTAGTGTCATGGCAGCCGCCAGTGCTTACCCGGTCGTCGTGAGATGGATGTAAGTGTTTTTAGAGACTGCTGCTTGCTTCTTGCCGCGTGGGCTGTTGCTACCGTTGGGCGCTGTTGCCCGGTGTTGCTCGGTGTGCTATGCTATGCCCCCCGCTCAGTGCGATTTTGCCCCATGTGCACACAAGCTTCTTTCCGAGCCATACCCCTCGGGGTTGTTGGACGAGACAAGACCCCATAAGCTGTCATTGGGCTGTGGACTTGCTGCTAACCGTCTCTCTTTCTCGCAGCATCCACAACTCTTATAATGTTGAAAGTTGGGAACATATGACGGCCATCAAGGCTAGAGTCCTGCGCATATGGGACGGAGCTGTGACGCCTGTCAAGCTTTGCTGCATCAAATTCGCCCAACGAGTGGTGCTCGCTCAGACGGCCTCCAACGGCATGGAGCAACAAAAGGTTAGGATGGCATCGTCCCCTGAATCCGAGCCCATCCGCTGACAGGAGACGCAATAGCATACCGGGCTCGATATCTCTCTCAACATGATTCCATCGAACCATCCGGTTCTAGACCCTCGCCTCCTTGAGGCTGAAGCAACCGGCCTCTTGGATAGGATGCTTGGCGTTCTGCAAGATAATAGCAGGTTAGTATGGTCCTATTCTATTGTTGCTGAGTGGTTTCCGACAACTGACAAACGTCCGTCGTTGATACAGTGACGCTCTGCTGGTTGATGCCACACTCAACTGCCTGTCCATACTTATCCGGACCCGCCCGGGCACGTCGGCCAGGATTGTCAACTCCCTGTTCAACTTCAACCCTTTCAAGCTCGCGAACTCGCCTATGACTCCCAAGAATAAGGTTCTTGTGAAGTCGATGGAGAAAACCACTAGGATGCTTTTCACTCATTTAGTAAAACGGTATTGATGCCCGGAACACAGCACCGCAATGGCACCCAGCTGACTTCTATTTAGGGATCCAACTAACCCCCAAGCTGGGCGCCTTCAACAACACGTCGAGAAGCTAGCGCGGTCACGAGCCGAGATTTTTGACGATGTGAACCGCAAGCGTGCTTTCGCTGAACAAGCCAACGCTAATCACGTGGATGCGAAGAGGCAAAAGACTGAGGCCGGACCGGCTCGGCCTCCGATTCAGTCTTTGGCTCCCGGGCCACAGAGTCTTGCCGCTGCCTTCACTCTTACGAACAACCTTGGTTTACAAGGATTCGATGCGACCCAGGTCCCCGCAGCACTCGCTGCAAGAATAAGTGTGAAAACGCTTGCAACCATAGACCAACGTATCTTGGACCAGGCAGTCAATGTAAGCAGTGCTCCTGTGAACTTTTCCATCGATGCAGAGATGTCGCTGACACTTTGATAGGGGATTCGAAATCGCTTCGCAGCTCTCTATGCGGCGGCAGCTCCAGCACAGCCTGTCGTCATTAACCCTGAAACAGCCCCATTAGGAGTTGACGAAGATGATGACGACTACGAACCCGACTTCTACGCAGCCGAGGATACCGAGCAGATCCTTAATAAACTAGACAGTGCTCCTCCAGAGGAAGTACCCGAGAAGCCTGCCGATGCCACCTCGTCACTTGCCCTTGGCCCATTCAGACTACCACCTCCACCGCTGCTAGATTCCGAGGCCGCGAGCAAGATAGCTCCGGTAGCCGCGTCTCGTGTTTTCGGCCCCCTGAACAGCCTTGAAGAAGCGCCGCTGCGTAAGAATAAGACGGGAATCAACCGACTGGCAGTGACCTCATACGACCGAGACTCGTGGTTGACCTTAATTACTCGCCTCGCCACTCGCACCACAGCCGGTCTCGAGGATCCCAGCAGCGAGATCAAGGCCGAGGAGTCCACCGGTGCTCTCGACCGGCCTCGCATGAGCTTTAGCAACGTGATCCGAGAGTCGTTGTACAACTATATTCTTGAAGACTGGCGCCGTCGCATTGAAGTCGCCGTGGCCTGGCTCTGCGAGGAATGGTACAACGACCAGCTGACGAAGCGGAGCCGAAGTGACGCCCCCTTGCACTATGAAAAGTGCGCATTACGCTTAGTGGACGGCTTCTTGAGTTATATCACCGCCCAGGATAAAGTCCTCACCCGGTTCCTTGCCGAGATCCCTGAACTGAGTAGAGCTCTGCTAGGGCGGCTCAAGTCTCTGTGTGCAGACCCCACCACAGTTCACCTAGCGCTTACCAGTCTGCTGTATCTGGTTATGATGAAGCCGCCCGTAAGAGAAATTGCTTTGGATACCGTGGCGGCTATCTGGGTTGAATGTAAGTTAAACTCGCCATTTCTATCCACGCGAACAGGAAGAGTTGCTGACAGTTTTACCTAATCGCGCAGACGAGGACGCACGCCCCTTGGCTGGAAAATACCTTGTCAAATGGCGGCCGGGTTTTATCGAATCCCAGACCCAAGCCGCCACCAGCGGCGACGGGCCATCCAGTGCCATGATCACGACATGATATGGCCTGGAGGCACGAGATGTTCCAAGTGTGCATGCATTTGTCAGAGTATGATGAATTGTAAACGAATGCCTTCTACTGTACATTACGCTACGGGATACACCACCTGTTCCCAACCCTGTTCGCGGGACGAAATATCATGTTGCATCTGAAGAATTTGGGGCTGTCTCCGCCACCCAGTTGGCGAAACGAAACGAACTAGGCGTGGGGTTACGAGGAAGGCGGCGTTTGGGAAGGTCAAGAAAAGAGAGGCATACAGTGCCTTTTTTTGTATTTGTTGTATGTATACAAAGATCATGCGGCGGCCACCAGGATTACCAGATCGGGATCAGCCTTCGCGGCTGTGGGGGTGTAGGAATGAAAGCAACCAGCTTCTCATAGGTATCTGTCCTGGGAGAAATGGCAGCATCATCTGGCTTAACTTAAGGATTCAGCGGGGCCAGCGAAGTCAAAGACTTATTTACATAATGGACACATAGGATAGGCTGCTATTAACACCTGAGAGCATTGCGGCAGTCTAGCCCGCGGCCTGAGATGAAGGATGCAGAGTAAAGAAACGCAACGGCAACACATGCCAAAGTTGACGTGCTCGCGTGCCCCGGCATAAAGGAATATATTGGAGCTCTCGATAACACGCCACAGCACTAGGATTGCCATACCGAAACGGCAGGGGTTTCCCAACAATTACCAAACATCCGGTCGCTTGGAAGGCTATATAATCAGGGGTATTGGCCAGACCTGAGGCTTTCTTTTGTAACTCGCCCTTGCCCACGTGAGAATGCGTCCATTCACTTCATTCGCTGGGGACAAGGCAGCGGAGATGAGACATGGAGGATTTTTTTCTCTTCTTCACTGGTAATAATGAAGTTGGGACCGACCAGCCTATACCAAGGTGCCTAACCTACCCTCCCTACCTATATCGCAAATTCGTGCTTCAATACTATACCCTCACTCGCGTGGTGGAGTCGTGGTATCCAAAAGATTCATTTCCAGGGACATGGACGCTGAATCGTTCGTTCATGCAAAAAGGACGCTAGCTCCCGCTGTTGGCCAGATTTTTAGGGTGGTGTGAAATGGGAAGGGAAGGGAAGGGAAGGGAAGGCGGGAAAAGTTACACTTTCTAATCTGAAGTGCCTTGGGTACCGCACTTATCAAAGTTCAACGATGTCGAAACGAATTCGACGAGGGCGTTACTCGAGGTACGGTACAGTACAAAGTCTATGACAGTCAATCTGCTTGCTTAGGTTGCCCGCCAATTCCTGCAGCGATTTCACAGAGCCCCTGGTCCCAGATCAGCGAAGAGTCCCGATTTGACACCTCGAGGCGCCCCGACCGTCGGGTTAGGTCAGGGGTCGGGAGACGGAAAAAGGGGAGCGAAGACGGAATCTCTTGCATCCCCCTAATCTAGAAGCCGATCAAGCGGGGCCACAGGGATGCTGCCCCAAGGCTCTCCCACGAAACCCCCAAATGCGTTGCTATAGCAGTGGGGTCGCTCGGTGGGCGACCCGCAAGAGAGCCAAGCGCAACGCGGCTCACACCGCCAACGCGAAAGCCTTGACGGATTTACAGTGCCTACAAGTGCACGACGCGCCGCCCTCACCGAACGCTGGGTCGCGAAAAGACCGTCTTTCTCTGTTTTGACTTCTTAAGTTTGCTTTGGCCCTCCCGCGGATTTTTAGGCTGCATCCAAAAGAAAAATAAGCAGCAAAATAAAAGCCACTAGAAGGGCTAGGCCGGGCGTTGAACAAAGCTGTCGTCTTTTTGTTTCTCCTATTGCCGTCAAAGCCCTCCGGCGCCCCTTTCGACTTGCGATTCCCGTAGCAACGGCGGAGACGACGGGAGTGGCCAACACCAATCGGTATTCCGACGCTGCAACTCTCCTGGACACAAAGCATCCCCCCTTTTTTGGGTGTTTGAGTTTCTTACAGAAGCGCGACGGCTTTGGATACATTGGATTTCTCGAAAACGTGCGCCGCCGGGTCTTTCCAATTAGACGCGTGCCAGCCAGACGTCAAAGTAGCACCGCCGCTAGACTGCTCGGAACAATCGCTGCAGGCCGTAAGCACCAGCTCCATCGCACCAGCTGCGCCCCAGAAGCATTCAGAACAGAAACGAGAAACGAGGAAAAGTAGAAGGGAAAGTGTTGTTGGAGGGTGTTTTTGCGGGACGGACGGAAAGACGGACGGACCCGCCATGTTGGTGCAAACAAGACATTGATTGCCCACCCTATCAACCTAAGGTAGCCTTGTCCACTGCGTGTATCCGTCCGTATCCAATCCAGTACTGTAGGTACTTGTACAGTACATACCAGACAGCGACAGCAGCACCAGACCAGACGCTATCCTTCCGCAAACGTGAGAACTATGCGCAATCGTCTTCTCAAAGCCCGGCCGCATTCCGAAAACCACAAGCCCTGCTTCTCAATCTACCAAGACGGCGACCAAGGTATGCATCTATCCGCCTTCGCCCTCTCCTTTCTGTTGTAAACCTTCCCTCTCCGGTTCCCCCACCACCCCAGAATGAATGCATATTTTTGCAGATCCTGAAACAGCCGCCTCAGCTGCACACATCCATTTCACATGACGGCCGCCTTGGCTTGGCGCGCGCGTCCCGGGGCAAGATACCGCACCCGACGTCTTGTCTTGGAGGGAATGGGGATGCGCGGCAGCCTTTGTGATCACCGATCACCGCTTGCAAAACATACCTGCACGAGTTACTTCAGTTCTTTCCCTTCGTCCTCCAAGATCCAGTACCAGCCGCGAGATCACCCAGAAGCCGTCAAGACTAACAGTTGGTTTTTGTTCTCTGCCAGAAGACACAACGGTGTCTGACAGATCTGCGGAAGCGGCGCAGGCCGCGGTAACACCACGATTCGAGACCATACTGACGCCGAGAAGACGACTGTCCAAGCTATTGCATGACCGCGCCTCGTCTTCGCCTCGGTCAACCCTATCGCTCGCCTCGCAAGGCGCCGTAAACTCGTCCATGTCGAGGACCTCCGCCACCAACGGCGGTGTCGTCAACGGCAAGGCACTTCCGCCGGCCCCTTCGGCGTCTCCTTATGCACCACAGGCCCCGGCCTGGATGATGAACGCCACCATCCGCACCGTCGCTAGCTTTGACGGGAGGCACCGATACTCAGAGGACTCGAGCAGTGTGGACGGGTCGTCGCCCGCGCTGTCGGCCTCGCGCAACTCGGCCTTCTCCAGCTCCGGCACTAGTAATGCCAGCGTGTCCTCGGCCTCTCAACATCGGCATCAGCAGCAGCAGCAACAGCAACAACAACAGCAGACACAGCAGCAGAACGGGTACAGATTATCACCATCGGGTGCGAGGATAAAACACAGCTCACTAGCAGCAGTACAGGACGGGACGCCAGACGCGTCTAGGTCGTTGTCATCTTTTAGCGCCACAAGGTCGAGCATTGACGTTCCACAAAGAGAGAGCAGTCTAGCCGCAACAACAATGGCGGTAAATTCAAATACAGAGCCACCGTCTGGCGGTGGGGGAGGAGGGCTGGGGTTAGGCTTGAACGAAGTCAATCTCAGTGCGACCGAGGCACATTTATCAAACGGGTGGGATTCTACAGTAGGGAAAGCCGGCCTGGGCAAGACAGGGCGCGTCATCAACCGGCTCGTCTCGGACAACGAGGCACTGAAGCGTGACATACAGATCGAACGACTAAGAGCCGAGGAGTCTAAGCAAGCGGCACGGTTACTGGAGGACAAGCTGGAGCGGATCGCGTCCGAGTATGAGAGCCGGCTGCTCGAGGCCAACGTGACCAAGGCGCTGCTCGCCCGCAAGGAGCGCCAAGTAGAGACCCTACAAGCGGCCGTGGGGCTCGAGAAGAAACGCGCGGTGGACGCGGGCGAGCGGGAACGCACGTGGAAGGACGAGATGGAGAGGGCGAGGGCCGAGGCCAAGCGGCAAGTTGATGAGGTGACCAACTACGCCGCCCTGGTGGAGGGCCGATATAACGCCATCAGTAGCCACTGGCGCGACCAGGGCGCCGAGGTGAAGCGGTCGGTCGGCAAGATGCGCGCCGAGATCTCGGGCCTCCTCGAGGAGCGCCGCAAGGACGATGACCGCATCAGCACACTCCGCGACCTGTGCGACCAGCAGGACGGCAACATTCGCGAGCTCCATCAGCAGAAGGACGAGATCACCGCCCAGTTTGAGCGCTACAAGGGCGAGCAGGAGGCGGCGCTGAGCGCCATCAAAACCAATGCCGCACAGCGCGAGGAGGAGCAGGAGCGCACGCTCAGAGAGTCCAAGGAGGTGCTGGACAAGCTACGCTGGGCGCTGAACGTTAAGGACAAGGTGGACTGGGCTCAGTAGTGAGGGCCCTGGCCATACTCTGGTCCTCTTCGCGCTGGTTGCCAAGCGATACTGTAGGGGAAAAGAAAACAACCGCATATTACTACCCTGCCTACCTATCCCAAGCCGATCCCTTTACTCCCCACCTACCACACACGACGCAGAAAACGCGCCCAACCTGGTTCTTTATCCCTCCTAATGGTGGCGGGGAAGAACCCCCCTACCGCCTCACCCAGAACTAAGAGAAGAAAATAGGGCAGAAGGAGAGGCCCTTCTTTAAGGAGGAGAACAAGTGGGTAAACAGAGGGAAAACAATCCGCTAGATGAGCTGCGCCGGCATACACACACTGCGCAATAAGGCGCTCAAAGGATTGGGGGAATGGGGAAATGGGGGGAAAAGATGGGCAAAGGGGAGGGAGGTGGTTCGGAGCATCAGGAAGATACCTACCTATGTCCTTTTCTTCTTCCTTTTTCTCCGTCTCTCTATGTATTTTGATTTTCTTGTCTATCCTTGTTACTTTAAATCTTTTTTTCTTTTCTGTTGTTTTACTCTGGTGTGTTGTTTTATTTTATTTTAGTTATTATTCACGACATAACATAATGATGATGCCGAGGATTAGAAAAGACGCAGACGAGAAAGAGGAAGAAAAGTATTTGTTTATGCTGTACGGGTACGTGCCATACGCGGATATGTACGACATACTGCGTACCAGAGGTAAAGTCGGGCTTGGGCTGAAAGGAGAGGGCATACGTCTAATCTAATTTAGGTATGACGTATTAGTCTGAGAAGCTGGCCTGGCAGCGAGATAGGTACGGCGGTGAGGGAGATGGACAGCCCTCTTTTTCTACGGGGATTGTCTGTCTATCTGTCTGGGTAGGGTATGGTACGGTGAGCATAGAATAGCAAAGCATAGCATAGCGGGATAGGGGCAAGGCATAATTTTGCGCAAAGGAAACATAAGCTCGCATGTGTGCAACGGTTCGCCTCGTTGCTAGCCTGTCGTTTGTGCTGTATATGCAATGTGTAGATTAAAGTTGGTCACCAAAAAAAAACCAATACCCGAAAGGTTCTCGGATCCGGCTACAATTGGCGCATCACATGCCGGCCGCTCCGCTCCACACACCCGAACTTTGAACGGCCCGGAGCCGTCAAGGTTCGGCTTGCTTTGTGCGTGTACACTGGTTTGTCTTGTTTCTTTTGTCAAGGCTGGGGGGGAGATGGTTGTTGCGTGAATGTTGGAGGCCCCTTTATTTACTTCCTGGTTGCTTCAGTGAGGTGGCTGTTGCTTAAAAGAGTGTGTGAACGTATATCGTACCTGAGGTGCCAAAGATTGGAAGCTGAAGAATAGCAAGCACCTTATGGACAAGTGACGTAGGTAGCCTGTGGTGGCTCTCACTTTCCATGTGTTGACCCCTACGCGCCTTCCGTCCCACCACTCACTTCCAACTCAAATGGAAGGCATGGCGCCGTTACTTGGTCAACTGCCCTCCCAAATTCTAGTACTTTCTTTACCAGGCAGCTGCCATATTTTCTGGCCCGGCCCGCTCACTTCTAAAATATTCTTTTCTCGACACCTAACCGACCTTCATAGCCGCCACGGTGACTCTTTTGTTTCTAACCTGCCTAGCACCGCATTCGGTAGCACTCCGTCGGTAAGGGCCTACTCAGGTCCTTCCTTCCGTATATTTCCCCTCTTCACCAGTAGGGAAACGCACGAGTACTGCTTCCGCTTTTGGGTGCTCTCTACGGTCATATGTGCTAACCACTGGGCCTCTCTCTTTATCAGATAACTTGCAGAATAACGGCTACGCAACTCTCGTGCCGCAGGATTGTAAAGCAGGTACGCATACATTATCATCATCATCATCATCATCATCATCATCGTCGTCGTCGTCGTCGTCGTCGTCGTCGTCGTCGTCGTCGTCGTCGTCGTCGTCGTCATCATTATCATCGGCGTGGAAGTGTTCACCATGAGACCTGCTATCTTTCACCTCCAACACTCCCCACTTCGCATAAACAATAACCATTTCATTCAGCTGACCCTCAGTATATCATAATTCGTCCTCAGGATCAAGAGATAAATCGACCCGGTGGCTTGGCATGTCAAACCGCAAAAATGGAACATATGCCGCGATCAGAGTGGTATAGGTCCAGCCTATGGATCTTCAAGCCCAAAGCAATTGAGCGAATCATAGCTGAGCTGAAGGAAGCAAGCCCCGTAGGTGCAAATCCCACTCTTGTACTTCCATGCCGTTACTGACCTGTCGTTGCAGAGTAATTCTCAGTTCACCTACGATGCCGAGTACAACTGGTTCCATATCATCTGCCACCCCGATGACGCCAAATCCATACGGCAATCACTCAGCCGCATCAGTCATGAAATTGAAGACGAGACTTTTGACAAGGACGAGGACAAAATTTTGACTCCTGAAGGGGTCCTCCGGGTAATATCGCCCTCTCTATAAACGTGGCAAATTCCAGACGTTGACTAACGCCAAGTACCGGTAGGAAAACTTCGAGACCGACCTGATCAGCCTCGTACACATCTCGGGCACAGAGGCTGAGGCTCTCAAGGCTCTCGCCTTCCCAGAGCGGTTTTCACAGTTCAGTCACAAGGCCATTTGGGACAAGCTCGACTCTGAACAAGACCACTTCGGAACTGAACCTCTCACAATTCACGATATCGTCACCGAAACTGGCTTCAGACAGCTTGAGAGCGATACTGGCGCCATGATTTCTTTTACCCCTTCTGGAGCCCTAATTTACCTTGGGGCTAATAACCAAGAGTCGATCGACGAGATTCAACAGAGGCTCGATGTTTTACTCGAGCTCAAGGTGAGTGCCACGACCACCAAAGTCTAGGCATCCAGACATCCAGAGATTCAGAAGCTAACAGGTATACCAGAAAACTACCCAGCCGCAGCCTGAGCATCTGCTGTTTGCTGAGGACTACGTTGAAAAGAAACTTCCAGAGCTCACGGCTGATACCCGCTACATGGTCAATATCGAGCCTAAGCTAGCCTCCACAACTCTCCTAGATCGGCTCAAGGTCCAAGACCTGCAGGGCAATTATAAGAAACTTTACGAGGAAGGATGCTCAATCCGACTCTGCACATACGACTGCGACTTGAAATATCATTTCTCGTTGCTCGGCCCCCCGATAATCGGCCGATCTAGCAGAAAGTACATTTTTGGGAACCGTCCAATTGCCAAATCCAAGAACGTAGAGGGGTCCTTCGTCGCTGCCAATCCACAGCCACCCATCGCGCTCGCCACGCCGGCTACGCCGGTTACACTTGTTACCACACAGGTTAACCAGCATATTGACCCGACTTTTACCCAGACGACTTATCGAGCGTCCAGCAAGGAAGAGAAGGTATCGAAGTGGATCGAATCCATCCCAGACAATGCTGGCATTATATCGTGCCCCGGTAGTCCTGAAGGCGTTACCCAAGCCTCTCAGGTATCTGGTGCCATACGATCTGCGGCCCGAACCTCAACTGTTAGTTCTGTGGCACAGATAGACTCGGAATTTCCGGGAAAAGACACATTACCGGTTCTGGACGACTTGATAGATCTCGAAACTAACACAGCACAGATCCCGCAGCCCAAGCCAGCTGGACATGAACAGACTATCGTCTCACAAATACTAGAAGAAGCCAACCCTGAGGACTTAGCGCGTCGTTTTGAGAAGTTAGTGGCATTGCCGTCCAATACTACGCCGAAATCACCTCCGGACGGACAATATAATGGAGCTTATAACATGAAAGCAAGCACCTCCCATTTCCCGGGATGGCAATTTCTCCTGGAAACAGAGAAGAAAACTTCATCAGCCGACCAAACTCCCGGTTCAGGCGTTCGGTATACCGCCTCTGGATCTCTGATCGAATTGTTTCCCAGTGGCTCTGGCAGTGGCTCTTCCAATTCCCTAGGTACATCTATTACCTGGAGCATGAGCCCGCTAGTTCCTCAGACGGTTTCGAAAACGACCAATCTGGGGCGTTCGGCGATACGAAGTGACTCTGTCGTAGGGGTGCTAGCCACTTCACCTTCCACTCCCACCACACCGACTCCCCCAGTAAAAGTCTTAGAGAGGGACGAAAAGGATGCTCATCGATTTAGACGTTACTTGGAGTCCGGGGCCAATGGCTTCCAGACAATGAATCAGCAAGCAAAGTCGAAAAAGATGGCCCAACCTCTCGGAAAAGAGAATGCCACTTGGGTAGAGAAGTCCCCACCGACCTTTACTGAGGAGATTCACACGGCCATGACAAGGCTGCTCGCCACGGGCCCGTATTTACGCGGAAGAGTCTCCGTAAGTGCGGAATTTGGTCGGGCAATCCTTTTGAAAATGGACCCATCCGGCCTATCCTACAATGCCTCGGGGTCGCCTAGCAGTGGCTGGGGCAAAACAGTCCTGATAGACCATCTGAACAGCTTGATGACTAAAGACGAAACCTTTCAGTTTACAACCATCCTCGGCACCTTTGCCGCAGATGTGGACACTATGATCAATACTAGAGATAAAGATAATTGCCTATGGAAGGAGAACCCGACCTCCTCTTGGACCGTTTATTCGTTTCATTGTTTCAGTACCAGCCCGCCGGGCCGCTTCATTGTCGATATTATAGATGATCTGACGAATGGCTTCTCCTATAAGCTACAGCGGTACACTCGACGTCTCGGTTTCAATGGAAATGTCGCTGTTTACGTCCATGGATTGCTTCGCAACTGGGACTTGCGTATAAAACTTTCCCACGATGACGATGAAATCAACGAGCAACTATTCAGCACCTTTGCTAGGGCGCTCATAGATTCACTGAGAATTAGTAGAAACATCGAAGGACCAAGCGGCCTTGAGCTACAATTTCCCCTGAAGAGCGACTTTGGCGTCATCATTCGGGATGTCCGTGTTACCACCAAGTGGCGTTATCTCAGCCCCAATTCCAGAAGCGCACTCGACGTCAGCGAAGTTGAGCAGCTAGAGGTTGAGCCTGTTGGTGGCGGTGCCTTCCGCACCGGTGGAGGCAACCAAAGCGCACAGTCGGCTCGGTCCTGGACCCCAGAAACAGCCAAGAAGAAGAAAGATGAGGGAGAGTTTCCTCGCTGGTACGAAGCCTCCATCACCTCCACTAGGGCGGAGGCTCTTTTCTTGCAGAACAAGTCACTACGCCTTGGCCAGAAAGCAGAGTGGGACGCCAATACCCTCCTCGAGCAGCATATCTTTGAGGACATCTACGGTCCAGCTCTGCAAATGCTGAAGACTATGGACCATGTGGGTGGGAACGACAACAGCAACATTATGAAGAAGATCAAGATGAATATACCCAGACGAAACAATCCAAAACCCGTTGTGCCGGGTAACGTTCCCGTCACAAGGAGAACCCCTCTCACAAAGAAGGAACGCAAGAGGGCCCTGAATTCTCTCACGGAAGTATCGGATTCGTTTCCCACCGAATCTGACAACGTCTCTACTCAGTCGCGCCCTTTCTGGTGAAGTCACAGGTTCGATACGGTGCAGGCATTTGCATCACGTCGAACACCGCCTCAAGGAGGACCAGAGAAATTCGTTGGCTTGTATGGTTCATGTATGGTCTTTGATTTGCACTCTTTATCGTCTCTGCAATTACTGGCGGTCTTCTCAAGCTCTCACGGGGAGCTCACTGCAGGCTTCTCATATTGAACGGATCTTGGCTGGAAAGCGCAGATATCAGATCAGGAGCCTAAGAATATTCGGCAGAGGAAACTGCGGCAAGCAGGGCAGTAATAATCTCACAGGGGGGACAGTGGTTGTTTCGGCTTCGGCGAATTCTCACTAGAACTAGCCGTAACTTTGTTTACTAGGTTAGTGTTAGGTAGCGATCAACTTTGACGAAGGTTTTGGATCTTTTTGCCCCCGGTTCCCGTGAGCTTGACCCCATTTTGTTTGTGCCTGACTGCCTCCACTCTCAGCCACCCACGGAAAGCTTCACCCCTTATTCGGGAACCAGGTGCGTAGCTACGTAGCACAGCAGTACAATTTCGGCAAAACCTTGTTCAATCAAGCCCTTTGTTAGAAATGGCGTTAGATTGCGTCTTCTTGCGCAGCCACCTCGCCTTAACCGCCGAGGTGCTAGGTACGAAGTGCCAGTAAGCTTTTTGTCGTGCGACGCGGGCAGAATCCTGCATTTTCGTAGACCTTAATTTGGCGTTAAGCTATGTACAAAGGGGAGGGGGACGACGGATTAGGGGAATTATATTGCTCCCCCCCGCGCGTGCGAACGAACAAAAAGGCGTGCTCCCTCACTTGAATAGCCCTTCTCCGTCGCTCGTGAGCCTTGAATTTCACTTTTGCTTTCTCATATTTGGGAGGTATAGGTCACTCGGAACTTTATCTTTTATCTCATTTTCTAGCGGACAAAAGGGTGGAATGGTTGTAAAGGAGACTCAAGCAGCGGGCCGGAATGCCGTCACTGTGGGTACAACTGCTACTACTGATACTACCGACCCAAAGACGTCGCTGCACTCTCCTGCTCATATTGCTCAGGTGCAGCGGCCGCTGCAGTCTGGAGAAGATGTTCCCCACGACGGGCTATCGACTGTGGCTGCTGGTGTTGTAGGCGGTGGCGACGACGGCAGCGATGACAACACTATCCTCCCTAGGGGCGAGGTTAACCATGTGTACGAGGAAAAGGCTCGGATATTGAATCGTGCGGTGTGTGACAAACCAAGGAACCCCCCAAGCCCCTTTCGTGTTGGAGCAAGAAGTTATGTGGGGATGTTTTGCGCCCCCTTTTTCTTATCCAAGTTCCCAAGTGTTTGGTACGCCGTGGGACTAATGGCAAGCTAATCAATACTTTAAATTGCACAGATCCAAGAAATCCGCTTGGGGTGGTACCAATGGCAGCTCTTCGTGGTCGTGGGGTTCGGCTGGGCAACGGACAACCTCTGGCCTATTGCAACGTCACTCATATTCACGGCTGTCGCCAACGAGTTCGGCCCGGCCCGGCCGCCGCTACTGACGCTGAGCCAAAACATCGGCCTCCTCGTCGGCGCCGTCTTTTGGGGCTTCAGTTGCGACGTGTTTGGCCGTCGCTGGGCTTTCAACTCGACGCTCGGTATCACGGCAGTCTTTGGCATGGCAGCGGCGTGCGCGCCCAGCTTTGCCGCCATCGGCGTGTTCGCGGCGCTCTGGTCGTTTGGCGTCGGCGGCAATTTGCCGGTTGACTCGGCCATATTCCTTGAGTTTCTGCCGTCCGCATGGTGCACGACGTGGCGCGTCGCAATGGAAAGACGTCGACTCTGACGGTTGCCCACCTAGCAGCGTGCAAGCCCGAAGGCTACATCCCGCCGCCGCCGAGGGTGGCGTTACTATCGTCGTCAGCTGCTGTTCTCCGGCGCCGGCTAGAGGAAGTGAAGCTGGAGCGGGTGCGGACTCTATTTGAAACGCCTCGCCTTGCCCTGTCGACGGGCCTGATCATGGTGATCTGGGCGTTTATCGGCCTGGGATATCCGCTGTACAACGCCTTCTTGCCATACATCCAGGCGTCGCGGGGAGCCGACTTTGGGGATGGTTCCACGTACCTGACGTACCGCAACTCTCTCATTATTTCTGTGCTTGGAATCCCTGGGGCTCTGCTTGGTGGTGTCTTGGTCGAGACGCGATTTGGGCGCAAGGGCACGCTCGCGCTGTCCACGGTGCTCACAGGGGCGTTCCTCTCCGGCTCGACGACGGCACTTACATCGCAGGCTCTCCTAGGGTGGAACTGCGCCTTCAGTCTAGCGAGCAACGTCATGTACGCTGTACTATACAGCTTCACGCCCGAGCTGTTCCCGACACCTGAGCGCGGCACAGGCAGTGCCCTCACAGCCACTTGCAACAGGGTGTTTGGCATCATGGCGGTATGTTGGATTTTGGCCAAGTGAATTACATGAGTTCCACTGACTTTGTGTGCCTCTCAATAGCCAATTGTAGCCATGTTTGCGAACCTGCAGACTGATGTTCCTGTCTATACCAGCGGCGCTCTGTTCATTTGCGCCGGTCTCTTGGTGCTAGGGCTGCCGTTTGAGTCGAGGGGCAAGGCGGCACTGTGAGTACGACGATGGTTTGGCTGTACAGTGCAATGCAATGTGGTGTCACGGATCGGCGTTTGGTTTAGTTTGTCTTTTAGGCATATGCCTCACTCATGATTGGTAGGTAGGTAGCTGCGGGCCGTGGGAGGTGTCGACTTCAAATTCCAATATGTACGGATACCACCACGGATACCTGGGAACACGTTGTGGTGTGAAGGGGAAAGTCAGAGGGTAAGAGAGAAGAAACCCTAAAACCAATAATGCTACGCAAGCAGCCTGGATTTGGCAAGAGTAACCCAACCCATACAGAACTTGCGACTTGGAAGATGGAACTTTGGAAGTGACCCCTGGTCTGAAGGATCTCAATCTAACCCGATTGGGGTATGTTTAAACAAACTCGATCGCACTTTCTCACCTAAGAACGAACTAAGCAACGCACTGCCTTTTCGCAACTTGAACTCCTCCCTTAATTGAAGTCAATTTCGAGAAAGCGACTCTCCAGCGCCAGACGAAACTAAACTCTCCCAACCGCCAGTTTCGCGCGTAAACATTTAGCAGCGACGACGCCAAGTTTAATTAATTTACCGCATTGTGGCATTCACTCTCCAAGTGACGTGAACGATGGCATTGCACTGTCTAGGACAGCACTTGCCAAGTGAAAAGCTGTTATGTCAGAGTCAAAACCACAATGCCGGCTACCATGCACACATTGTCGGTATTTCCGGTTGTAGGTCGAGTGAGACACGACAGCTATGACGAACGCATGAGGAACTTTATCTGGCCTCTACTTTGGTCTACTGAGCACCTCGGCCCTAGCCCTATCACAGGGGGAAAACAGCTTTGCCCAGTCGACTGATTCGGCGGGGGCCGAGTGCGACTGATTAATTATGCGGTAGCGGCCTGGATTGGTGACGACTCTCTCGTCGGTGAAGCCCGTTGAGCGACCTGGCCCTCGCCCTCGTTCTCTGCGCACTGACTCTCGCGGCTGTGCCACCCCCTTACTTGACCTCTCCGACAATGCACGCTGTCAAGCTGTCAAACCCCACCAAGGGCGGGTAGAGCATGCCGTGTAGGCGGGGTTCTTACGATCTGGGTCGACCAGGAAGCCAGACGCTTAGCTGTCTCAAATCCTACGATGCAATCTGCCCATTCATACCCACTGCAGAGCATGTAGTGTGTAGATGCACGAATAGCTCGATTCAGTTTTGAAAGGCACGGCCCCGACTGCCTTGGACGGCACAAAGCCCCTCTCTCGACATGTCGAACCGATAAGCACAAAATGAGAACCCCCGCGTAGATCGTAAATGCAACTAGCGGCCAGTAGTCCAGGTTCAAGTTTTAGGCCTGTGTCACTCCAAAGCAGGCGGCGCCCCTCGGCTTGCTTGGGGCCAGTCTCTCATTGCCCAGGCAGACAGTTAAACATACGATGATCTTTCAGCCCTCTTCCGATGCTGGGCCGTTCTCTCTCTCCTACCTGCTGCTCCTCCATCTCGGACCTGGCTCTCTCGGCCCATCTTTCCCAATGCTGGCATTCGCGAGAACAGGTAGACAGAAACATTACCTCGACTGACGGACTACGACATGGACTATCCCGAAAAGGAGGTCAAGCTCCCTACTCCGACTCCATGGCCACCCCACTCAATTCTTGAGGCCGTCAAACACCCCGGACTTGAGGTCGTAACTTCTCCCGAGATGGAAGCTGTGTCTCCCGAGTCCCGGTTGCCCGTCTACCCCGACTCGGCAGGGAGCTGGAGGGAAACACCAAAGATGGCTGTGCCATGGCGTGAAGAGAAGCAAAGGATACTGGGACTTTCGGTGCGCGCTTTCTGGGCGGTCGTAATCGCCGCCATCGTCATTATTTCGGTGGCAATTGGGGCCGGTGTTGGGGGCGGAATGGCAGCGGCGCGCCGTACTGCCGCTGTCGCGGTGCCGGATACTTCGAGGTTCGACTGCCCCAAAGGCTCTGCGCCGACGGCTCTAACAAGTTTGCAGTTCTAACAACAGCAGCAACCCTGCCGCTAGCACAAGCGTACCGTCGACGACAAACGGGATCCTCCCGGCGCCGACGGATGGAGGATGCCCCCGCATCAACGGAACAGCTTTCAAAGCGACGGACGCCAGCGGCAACCCTGTTGCTTGGGTGCTTCCCGGGCAACAGTTTACGCAGCTTTGCGAGACTAACTACCCGTCGGGCTCGGATTTGGGGAATCCAGGTATCCACGACATCCTTAAGATTTGGCTGCCGAGCTTGGAAGATTGCATGACGGCCTGTGCCTACCACAACGCCAAGCAGTTTGAGAACATGCAGAACGGTATCGATGTTGGGCAGGGCGGATTCTGCAAGAGCGTGACTATTGTGAAAAGTGGTAAGCAACCCACCTGAATGTCGAAGCGGAGGTGACAAATCGCTAACTCGGTCACGGTTGCAGCGGGAGAGTACTGCTACTTGAAGAACGGGACCGGGGTCAACAACACTCGCGGCAACCCTTCTATATATTCGAGTGCTGTTCTTGCGGTATGAGACGAATTTCACGACCGGCTTGGCGTTTCTGGGCTTGTATTAGTAGTCATGATATAACGCACTTTTTATTTTGGTAGGGGGCCTGAAAGGGACCGGACAGGGGCAGAAGGTTTATGTAAATACCCATCGTCGATCGTTTGTACATACATACAACGTCGAGAGCCATGTTCATAGGTTGGATCAGCAGTGTCAGTGTCACTCGCTCACTCTTCAGCCTTATGCTTGGCGCTAGGAGATATTCCCCACAACACTCCATAGCGGGCTCAATCCCACAACCCCCACACTTTAGTGCAACCTCACGTGGTGGCTCTCCACTTTTCACAACCACAACCCTCATCAGTGAGGTAAGTTTCGGTCAGACCAACAAACCAATCAACCAAACAGAGACTCGCACACTCCGAGTAAACAAAAGAAACCCAACGACAAAAGGGTGACAGGAACAGAAAAAATGCCCGCCTCATTCAGCACCCCCGCCGGCCCCGCCCTCGCAGGAACAGGAATCCTCCTCGCCGCCAGCGGCAGCGGCGTCCTCGCCGCCGTCTCAGCCATGGTCGTGCCGCGGCTGCTCGAAGCGCCGTCGTCAAGCCTGCTCCTGGCGCAATGGCAGCGCACGTTCGCGCGCGGCAAGGCCGTCATGCCGGGCCTGGCCGCCGGCGCTGCGACATCTTTCTTCTTCGCTGCCGCTGTCGTCCCGCGTGGTGTCGGGGGCCGCCGACTGTTCGTGCTCGCCGGCGCGCTGTGTGTGGCCATTGTGCCGTACACGTGGGTCGTCCTCATGCGCACGAACCGGATGCTCTTGGCGAGGCTGGCTGCGGTGGAGAGCGACATCAAGGCTGCGGCTGCTGAGGGCGGGGAGGTGGTGGAGACGGAGGAGGAGCGGAGGAGTGATAAGTTCCTAGTCGATCGCTGGGGGCTGCTGAGTCTGGGCCGGGCCGTGTTGTTGGCGGCTGGCGCGGCGGTGGGGTTGGGTGCTGCGTTGTGAGATTGAGGGTTGTGAGGTCGTGGGTCTGGCTGGCTGGCTGGCTGGCTGTTGTTTGGTGGCTTGTATATAAAATGTATAGGTTTGCGTATGGGCGGCGTTGTGCGAGGCACTCTCCTTTTTGTGTCTGCCATTGTTCTAGCTTAGTTCTCTTGCGATTTTTACCAGGAGGTGCTCTCTCGCGGTAATTATCTCCTCAATTATATATCTGTCTGGCTCGGACTGGTGTATGTGTATTTGACGAAAACTTCAGCATGGGATATGGCTTGTTCGCATATAAACGAAGATATCGACCGCGCTGATACCCGATCTCTCGTACACGGCACTGGGATAATTTGGGCAGACCCGTAAGCACTCAGCCAGGTCACCATAGCCGCAGGAGTCTAACGTCACGCACCCACTCCCTCGGCGCATCGCAGGTTTAGACAATGAGAAGTTACTTTGGTTCGTGGGCAAGGCTAGCTCTACCAAGTTCGCGCTCTAAATTCGACTCGCATTGCTAAGCATATAGTTTCTGTTGAGAAACCACGGCCTCCAAAACCTAAGCAGGCAAGACCACTATCCTCAGCCAGCCCGTCACGCAAACGGCACAGCGTCGCCCCTACTTGCTCGATGCCGAGCCTGAAGACGACGAGCCAGAGCTAGAGCTCGAGCCCGACGAGCCCGATCCATAGCCCGACGAGTGCCTGTAGCCGCTGGGGGACGTATACGTCGAACCACCGGCGCCGTTGTTGTGGTACGTGCTGCCGTTGGGGTTGGAGTAGTAGTACGAGCCGTCCCTTCCGCCCAGTAGAAGCGCCCCGGTCAGCACACACGGGTTCCGACTGGTTAATATGTAGATTATGGGCAAGTTTAAAACAAGACAAAGTGCACACTCACGCGTTCGAGTAATGGTAAGAATTGGAGTTGTTGCCGTAGTCACGTGCGCAGTAATGATTACCCTGAGAACAGTCAGTCAAGTGAGCTCACCACTCGAGCAATAAGTACTCAATCATATGCAAATGGTATAGTGTGGTGAATTATAGTCAGCCATCGAGAGCTAGGCAGCCCGCACTTACCGACGAGTTGGTGCCGTGGCTCTTGTACGAGTAGCCCTTGTTCGACATCTTGGCTTGATTGTTGTTAAGTATCACTCTCAACGAGGCAGGATGATGCGATTTGGTGTTTCAAGTTTCCTTGAGGTGTTGCTGTGAGTTGGTTGTTGGTGGGAAAAAAGAGAGAGCCGAGATTCCGGAAGAACTCTGCGGAAGCTGAGGAAGTCGAAAGCAAGTCGACCAAACGTTAGAGTTGCTGGGAGACGCGCGATAAAAAGCGGGGAAAGAGCTGCCCGGAGCATCAGATGACTGACTGGTATCAGCTGCGACAACTTGAATCCGGCACTAAGTACCATATAAGCCGCTAGCCATATTAGGAATAATATACATCTTAATATTTCGTGTACCAGCCTTCCGTTTTACTGACGGCCGCGATGTGGTGAGGCATTGTACTCGCTAATCTATCTAGAATTGCTTACACAGTAGTCAATTGCATGCCAGGCTTGTTGCGCAGCACTAATCAGCCTCTTTAAGGTCTCCTCCGTATCTAGAGCATGCTCAAGTTCTGGATGCTCCCGGTATATCTCGGCCTTCATAAGGGCCCAGAGGTTCTCGATTGGGTTAAGGTCTAGAGAGTACGGTAGCCAGACTATAACTTAAAGATTAAGTCTAGTAAGGACAGCTGTAGCTTATAAATGCGTCTATAGCTATATCTTAAAGAATGTAGCTCATATATACGCGAGGGTATTTGAGGTGATAATTCTGGCCGTCGTACTATGGTAGTAATGTTGATGTTGTTCTGATTGTTATTGTCGTAAAAAAAGTAGTTACGATAGGGACCAACACGCGTAGTCTCCTTCTGATTAGCGGCTGGCTAGTGGCTTACTAGCGACTTTCATGGTACAAAATTTGGATTCAAACTTTTTGTGGCCCACTGTACCCGCTGGCAGGATGGTTGCTGCGTTGAACGTGATGCGCTGTCTCGAGCAAACTGCAGGTGGTGGCGGCGGCTTGCAGGGCGCCTCATCCAGTCGGAAGCTCTGCAGCCTGTGACGTTGAGCGGAATGCGTGCCGATTTCTTTATCACAACGCATGCATCGGATATCGATGGGAGGCATGCACGGGATAGGCAGAGCCCCCTCTCTTGCTCCATGTCCAGCTCCGTTGACTGAAAACGGGATTTCTCGTTAGTAGCAAAGATAAACCCGCAGCGTAAATATAAAGTTCTATTCATGAAAGAGGTATCGCTTATGAAGGACAGATCTATTGAAACAGCTGAGAAAAAATGTTACAGGCTCCCATTCTTAGCCTTGCCATGTTCTTCGGTGGTTTCTTCAATCTCTGCCAAGAACTTCTCGGCGTCGAGAGCAGCCATGCATCCAGAGCCTGCGGCACACGGTTAGTTAATCCCGGGCCATATGTCCGCAGACGGAGGGGGTAAAACAAACCTGCACTGGTAATAGCCTGGCGATACCTCTTGTCCTGAACGTCGCCCGCCGCGAACACACCCTCGACGCTGGTGTAGGTGGTGCCAGGTTTTGTCACGACGTAGCCCTCCGTGTCCGTCTCGAGCTGCCCCTTCACCAGCGTGGTGGCCGGGTCGTGGCCGATGGCGTAGAAGAGCCCGCTGGCCTCGAGCGTCTCCAACTCGCCCGTGACGACGTTCTTGACCACCATCTGGCTCATGAGCCCCTTGGAGTCGCCCTTGACCTCGGCTCCCACCGTGTTGTAGCGCACCGTGACCTTGCTGTGGCCCAGCAGGCGCTTGGCCATGATGCTGCTGGCGCGCAGCTTGTCCTTGCGCACCAGCACCGTGACGTGGCTGCCGTACTTTGTCAGGAACAGGGCCTCCTCAGCGGCCGAGTCGCCGCCGCCAATCACGACCAGGTGCTTGTTACGGTAGATGGGCACGGCGCCGTCGCACACGGCGCAGGCCGAGATGCCGTTCTGCCAGTACTTGTCCTCGCCGGGCAGGCCGAGGCGCCTGGCCGAGGCGCCCGTGGCAAGGATGATGGCGTCGGCCGTGTGCACCTCCTCGGGCGACCACTCGGTCGAGTACCTGAAGGGGTGCGCAGAGAGGTCGAGCGTGGCGACCGTCTCGCCGATGATGTTTGTGCCGAAGCGCTCCGACTGCGCGCGCATCTGGTCCATGAGCTCCTGGCCCATGATGCCCTTGGGGAAACCGGGGAAGTTCTCGACATCGGTCGTCGTAGTCAATTGGCCGCCGGCGGCGATGCCGTTGGCCATGAAGCCCTCGTACAAGACGGCTGCGGTATTTCTACATGGTCAGCCCGTGGTCGCAAATCTCGACGTGCATTACGCTCGCCCTGGCCAGACAACGGCCACGACAAAGGAAAGTAAACTCACGCTTCAGCTCGGCGCGGGCCAGGTAGATGGCGGCCGTGTGGGCGGCCGGCCCAGAGCCGATAATGACAACTTTGTTATGCATTTTCCTGCTGCCGAGCGACTGAAGCTCAGTGTGGTAGGTTGAGTTCTTCTTGGAGAGGGTTGCGGCAGCAGCTACTGAGAGACCAGTCGCGCTGGAGCGAAGAGTGCGGCGGATGGATGAGGAAAACAGCTTGGCGGTTGCTGAACGGACTGGATGGACGGCCTCCGTATGCGCGTGTTTATATAGGGATATACTGTTGGGTCGGAGAAACGAGCAGTCGGGTGGCTGAGGGCGGCTTCGAGATTCTTTTCTTGCTAGTTGATTCCAAACTCGAGCGCGTTTTACTAATTGCCCTGCACTGCGACCTCGCCGCAGTATCCCCATGTAGTGGGGTTGATTCCAGCATAGTTTGAGAGGTTCAGCGATCGGCAGGGTCTGCCCTGCCAATCAGGGGAAGTGATAGGGTTAGGGTTGTGAACTGTGTTTACATGTTGGACGCCTGTCTTTTGGGTACAAGTTATGATGGTTATTTGGGACGAAGTGTGTACATTTATGAGGGACCTCTAATACGAACAGGAACTGAATTAAAACATCGGGATGTCATGCAAAATTACAGCTTGCTCTGCCAATCCTGGGGCACTTTCACGACGACTTTGCCCCAGGTACCCCGGCTGGCGAGAGCGGAGAGTGCGTCGGGGACCGATTCGAGTCCGACGAATTCCTTGTCGGTGAATTCAGTTCCCCGAAACTTGCCCTCAGCAATCAGCTTCACAATCCCCTGCCAGACGCTTACGACTGTCTGCTTTTCGTGGACCGAGTACTGCCCCCAGTGGATGCCCACGAGGCTGATGTTCTTGAGCAGGACCTTGTTCATAGCCACCTTTTCGATCTTGCCGGCCGCAAAGCCCACAATCAGGATGCGGCCGTTCCAGGCTGTGCACTTTGTGCTCTTGTCGACCATGCCCACGGGGTCATAGACAATGTCGACGCCCTTTCCCTTGGGCGTGAGCTTCTTGACAATCTCGGGCCAATTCTCATCCCGGTAGTCGACGACGTGGTCAGCCCCAAAGGACTTGGCCACCTCGAGCTTCCTCGCGGTGCCCGCCGTGGCTATTACTGTTGCGCCAAACGCCTTGGCAACTGATGCAGACAGGAGTTAGTCTTGTGGTCTTTGGTGCAATCGTCGGTCGGTTCGACCAACCTTGAACAGCAGCCAGACCGACGCCTCCCGCCGCGGCATGGACAAGCACGTAGTCGCCTGACTTCACGCCCGCGCGAACAACCAATGCGCCGTAGCTCGTGGGGGCTGTCACGAACAGTCCAGCTGCTTCCTGGAAGGTCCAGCCTTTGGGCACAGGCAGCATCATGGACTCCCTAGCGGTGGCTTTGGTGGCGTAGGCTCCCTGGGTAGCGCCGAACACGCGGGAGCCAACGGGGAACTTGGGCTTTACCGAGCCCGAGGGCGTGGCCAGCACGACACCGGCGAACTCGGCGCCCCCGACCCATGGGAAGGCTGGTTGGCCATATTAGCATGTATGTTCAGCTCCAAAGTAAACGTCTGAGACAGACGACGCGGATGGCTGCATACGAGGCTGGTGCTGGTATTTTCCCTGGATCTGGAGCACGTCAAAGAAGTTTGTCGCGGCGGCATGGACCTCAATCAGGTAGTCGTTGTGGCCAGGCTTGGGGTCGGGCAGATCCGTCACCTTGAGCTTTTCCGGGCCCTGGTATTTACGTCAACATGTGGTTACCTTACCAAGGTAGGTACGGTAGGATCTCACCTTGACATATTCTGCCACCTGAATGCCTTTCATCTTTACAGAGGTCAAAGAAATGCGAATGGTAGTTGGTTGACTAGCCTCGTCACAGGCAGGAAAATGTGATCCCGAGTTGACCAGAACAAATTGCAGAAAGAACGGCTAAAAGCAATGTATTCGTATAGTAAATGTAGAAAATCAAATGAAGTAACAGCCTCAATTGGCCTTGCGTTCCATTAGAAATATGAACATTTGAAGTAATCGTACCTGTCCAAGAACTAGCGAGCACCCAGACAGCTGACCACGCGAAGACCAAGACTTGACGTTCGGTTGTCGTTCCTAGACTGGCAAGTGCCCCACGACTAAGAATCGCGGGGCAAGCTCTCTCCCCGCTTTGGAACCGAGGCACGCCCCGGACAGCTGTGATTGGCTGCTGGCCTGCTTGTAGCGATAACCCTCCTCTGGTTATATCATTGATCGCAATCACTGGCGCATCCAGGTATTCTATCAAACAAACAAAAAGAAAACGTCAGCACCAGCCAAAGTTGGCAGTCTAGCGCATCCGAGATGATTAACTACCAACCTCGCAGAACCCCGCAACGGTGGGGTTCCAATAGACACCCGGGGGAAAGTCCTCGGGCCTCCGTCGGCGACCCCACGAGAGCTCACCGTCAAAGACCCAGAGCTCCTCCATGCCGGCGGGCAGACGGCCGCCCCCCTTGTAGTAGCGGATCAGGGCCTCAAAGTTGACGCGCTGGTCCGGGAAGTTGTTGGCCTCGATGCCGCGGCGCAGCGACTCGATGCGCTGGGCCCGCTTCTAGTCCTCAAAGTCGAGCAGCAGGCCGGTCCTAGTCGTCCTCGTTAGCCCGTCGGGCCCCTGCTCAATGCGGTAGCTGTACAAGTGTGCGTTTGGGCCGTTGTCCATGATGGCCAAAGGCGGGAACAACCCGTTGGAGGCGGGGCTAGTCATGATCACCACGTTGCTTGGCTCCTGGGCCCTGTCGCTGCTGCTGCCCCCGCGGTCGTCGTCATTACCTCTGCCGCTGCTGCTTATTGCTGAATTACTGCCAAAATTTTGCTTATCATGCGGACGGAGAAGGCTCAAGAATCCTTGGGATGGTTGGTCTGGAATGATTGTGGCTGCGAAAAGAGCAAACTTTCATGGGGGAAGGAGGATTGTACTGTGGTATTTGACCACCCGGCTGACTACAGATGTTAGATGTTGGTGCCTGCCTGTGGCACTCACTGGCTGACACTATGGCGCAACCCCAATCGGGCTTGACTGACACTGTGTGGCTTGCTTGTGTTTGATCGATGTCAGCCTTAGTTCTTAATGACGCACAGCTTATCGACTGGAAGAATACATTGTAGCTGCAAGGAAACTATTCTATCTATGGAGATCAATACGACGACTCTTGGGCCCGAGGGTTGCTGGCATTCCTGAACGCTCAATTGGCGCGTTGGTTGATGTGGCGCTTAGGTCGCGCGAGCTGACTGAAGCATGGATTGATGTTTCCTGGATCAGGGAGACGGCGCTTGTTAGTGAGGGAATGGTCTTGAGCGATCCTGCATAGCCAGACATTTGGTGCGCTTTATAAACCCTAGGCGAAAACTTTGATCTTATATTGCGGCGGTAAGGTTCTGGTATAACTCTATCTGTACTGTTTAATTATTTGACTTTTTACTATACTGGATGAATCTATTAACGACTTCGTATGCGAGTGTGTGGTCTTGCTGACTGTACCCGGGGAGATATCCGTATGGTCGGCTCGTACGGCGTACGTTTTGTGTAACGCCACGCACCCAACGAAATACTTAGGGTTTACGAGAGCAGGTAGGGTTGAACATTAATACTCGGACCTCATGCCATGTCATCCTCCCGGGCAAAATTACCATAGTCCGACTTTAATGGGGTCGGTGTTTGTTGTGTATTCAACAAACAAACCGATACGAAAACTCTTATTTTTTTTTAATATTTTTTTTGCTACCCACCCATTAGCAGCAGCAACCTCGCAGGGCTAGCATTTGTCATCATGAATGGTGAATGGAGCGGCGGTTCGACGTTTCGAGACGGGCAGTGGGGCACTTGGGACGTCATGGCATCCGTCGGTGTATTACACAACTTGTGTAACACTGGAGTAGGTCGCCTGGTCCGAGCTCTAACGCGCCCTGTTACGTAATGGGACGCCCTCTTAGCTCGCCGCCTCCAAAAACGTCACTTTTCAAGATGCGAACCAGAGACAAAGAACAGCACAAACCTTCCCGCTTCCCCCGCCAGAGAGAAATTGATCAGTTTTATTGCACGCATTTGACAGAATCTTCAGATAGGCAAATAGAAACACCAGCAAATTTGGCGATTTGAACTGTGCGCAGGAAGCAATCGTTGCCTATTGCGAGCCAAGTTGCGAACAATCCAAAAAAAAAAAAAAGAAAACCCCCCGCAGCCTCGTCTCCAGCCACCGCCCAGGCAAGAATACATACATCCAGAAACCCCCTCGAAAGGGGAGAATAGGCAGGGGAAAAGCACTCAAGACAGGGGCAGAAAACACCAACATAAAAATGGCGAGCCAGCCAGCCACCGACACGGCAGTAGCCGTCGCCACGCCGCCGTCGCCCAAGACTCTGACGGCGACAGCGCCGACAACAACGCCACTACCGGCACAACAGTACAGCTTCTCCTTCACGCCATTCCTGCAAAAGACATACCAGCACAGCCTGGCCTCCGACCGCCCAATCTGCAAGGCGTATGCGAGCGGGTCGTGTCCGCTCAAGGGCAAATGCCCCGACCGACACGTGGCCCCGTCGATCCCCCCCTCCAGCGCCAACAACGCCAACAGCTACCAACCCTCCGGCGGCTTCGGGTCACTCGTATGCAAGCACTGGCTGCGGGGCCTCTGCAAGAAGGGCGAAGGCTGCGAGTTCCTGCACGAGTACAACCTGCGCAAGATGCCTGAGTGCAACTTCTTTGTGCGCAACGGCTTCTGCAGCAACGGCGACGAGTGTTTGTACTTGCACATCGACCCGCAGTCCAAGCTGCCGCCGTGCCCGCACTACGACCGCGGCTTCTGCCCGCTGGGCCCGCGCTGCGACAAGAAGCACGTGCGCCGCGCCCAGCTGTGCGCGTACTACCTGGCGGGCTTCTGCCCGTTCGGCCGCGCGTGCAAGGAGGGCGCGCACCCCCGCTGGACCGCCGACAAGGACATGGAGCGGCCGCACGCGCGCGACGACACCGCCAAGGCTACCGCCGAGGAAGCCGCTGCTACCGCGGCTGCGACTGCGGCTGCTGCGGCGGATGCGTCGGCAGAGATGGGTGGTGGTGGCGGGGACGAGCATGGGCAATACCAGTATAACAACAACCAGCAGCAGCAGTACCAGCAGGGCATGCAGGACCGCGGTGATAATATGCACGACGGCGGCCGGGGCAACAGCGGCGCTGCCAATGCGGGCCGGGATAGGGACGGCAGCGGCGGCAGCGGCCACGAGCGCGGGGGCCATAAGGACCGCTTCGGCAACCGAGGCGGGCGGTGGAGAGGCAAGGGGGGGCGGTTCAGGGGGAGAGGAGGAGCTCACTAAGTCTAGGTGGGAATCAGATATCAATATCCATTGGAGAGGACGAAGATGAGCAGATAGATGCTCCCCTTTTTCGTCTTTTGTTTTTGCTTGATGAACCGTCTCCTACAGGAACGGGCTTCTGTATTTTTACTCTTCCCCCACGGAAAAGGCCAAAAACGGAATCAAGGGGGCTGATAGCATTATTATTGGTTTCTCATTTGCTCATTTGTTCATGTACATATATATAGGTGAATTATTTGCCAATCATGCATTACATATTTCATGCAAATCGTCAATAAGCTAAAACTAGTACACGGAGTAGTGATGGTTCAAAACTCGACATATCCAACACGGCGTCTTTACGCGGCACCCATGTCAACAAAATGCGTCGAGCAAGTGGAGTTTTTCTCGGGCCTCCAGGCGGTAGCACCAGACTTGCCGCTCTCAGCCTTCCTTCCACACATGCGATTCGCCGACGTGATGCTCCGGCACGGCAACAAACGACTCGTGGTTCTCGTCGCCGCCCGTCTCGCTCTCGCCGCTGCCCATGATGGACCGTGGGCTGCGCGGGCTATTGTGTAGGCTGTTGGGGCCGCTCGACTGCCAGGCGGCGAGCTCGTCCACCTTGCGGATGCCCATCATCCAGGCGACGAGGCCACGCGGCACGAAGCGGCCCACGAACCCGTAGACGCTGGACCCGAGGCCGACGCGCACCGTGGCGCTCGTGTCGGAGCCGTCGAGCACGTCGAATACGGCGTTGTGCAGGTCCCGCAGGGAACTGCCCCGTAGCCCGCCGATGCGCCCTGTGCTGATGGCCGAGCCCGATTGGTTCACAAAGTTCCTGCCGTACGTGTGCCGCACCGAGTCGGGCCACGTCGTCGTCTGAAACCGCTGGCCGGTGCTGCTACCGCTCCGCGCCGGCGCAAAGCTAGAGAAGTCAAAGGTGCCGAGCTGGAGGTGGATCACAGGAATGGCGAGCGGCCGCAGCTCGGCCGCCAGCACCTCGGTAAAGGCCGATAGGGCCGAGCATATTGTGGCCTCTGGGGCGTGAAAAGGGGGGTTGATGGATGAGATGATGGAAGGGGTGAGGACGAGTACTTTGGGGTTTAGTTTCTCGCTAGGCGATGGGCCCAGGCGGGCGGTCAGGAGGGGGAGGAAGGCCTGGATCGTGAGGATGGGTTGCAGGAGGTGGGTGTTAAACAAGTCTGCGAAACTTGAGGGGGGTATGGTGGCGATGGGTGAGGTTTGGTAGTTGAGCGAGGGAATAAGTATCACGCCTTTTAGCGAGAGATGGTGCCGTTTGCCCTGGGGAATTGCAACATGTTGTGACTGGAGATAGCTCGCAAAGCGCTCGATGGTTCCACCAGCACTCGGAGGCTGTTCGGAACGGTCAGCTATTGCCGTATGGTGTGTCGCGAGAGGATACGGGATGGGACAACATACATCAGTAATGTCCATGGACAGGGATTTGATATCCTGCCGCGCCAGGCTCTGGATCAGAACATCGTCCTCGGGGCCGTTGGACACGACAAAGACGATGAAGCCTTTCCTCTCGAGGTCCAACGACAGAGATCGTGTCAAGGGCAGGGCGGGGGATCCGGCCACCACCACCACCTCAACGCGGCCGCCGTCCCGAGACCGTCTGGCACGGCGCGTCTTGCGACGCAGCACGCTGCTCCTGTATGAGCGGTAGACCACAGTGCCAGTAGCCAGGACCACGACGGCCGTGATGAACTTGTGCCGCGAAAACCATGCCTGAAGGCTCTCCAAAGTCGACGACGACGTCATGGCAAAGGCAGGCGGCGGTGGCGGCGGTGGCGGCGGTCGCAGCGACTCTGGCACCCAGGGCGAGGAAGCGAGGGCGTCTCGTATCGAGTCGGCTATCTGCTCGACATGTTTGTCGATGTAGCCGGCGACATCGGACGAGTAGCGTTGGATGTCGTTGGGCAGGGACGACAGCTGCACGTGTCCAGCGTCAGTCAGTTGGCTCGCCTCTCAAACACGCTCTAGTGAGAGAAATGTGCGTACCACGTCCAGAAATGCCTGGTCATCTGCAGACATTTTCGAGATCCTAGACTGCGCTGTGAGCTGGTGCTGGGGAGGCCAATAGAGAGAGTGTATGAGGCTCAGGGTGTTGTTGTTTGGTTTGGATCCAGGCCAAGACGTAAAACTTTACGGGGACTGGACTACCTTATCGCTTTGTTATCGGCGGCGTTCCCCGGAAACAGCGGCCGCCTAGGCCCTGTCAACCACACTACGCTAGGTAACGTCATTTCCCCGCACCAAACCGCTTTTAGCAACCTCCAGCGCCGATTCACACGGCGAAACAACACTTCTTCAGTACTTAGCTTACCTATTGAAGGTATTTTGCAGGAAGGGAAATTCGGGCCAGATTTTGAGGTCGGCGGCTTTCACAGATACCTTTTGGATGCAGCACAGCACGATCCTTAACTGAACGAGAGTTGCGGCAAAATTGGAGCTGCAGCTTAAATCCTGGTCGCCAACACCCTCAGGCGCACATAGCTATACATGAAGCCGCCGCCGGGCTTGGCGCAGACAATCTCGAGGACATCGACAACCTCCTTGACAAAGCTCTCGCGCTCGGCCTCGGGAAGAGCCTCGATGAACTGAGCCGCCATAATACGCACCCACGCCACGACGCCGCCGACGTCTGCCGTCGTGGGCCGCCACTCGCGCTCGATGCGGTCGACGCGCCAGCCGCCGACCTGCTGCTCCATAATGTCGCGGATCCAAACCTCATCGGGGAAGAACCACGGGTCGACGGCCTGGGCGCGGTCCAGCCCGATGCGCCGCCCCGCGGCCATCAGCAGCGCCGCGCGGATCTCGGACACGTTGCCCAGCCCGCCCATCTCGAAGGCGAACACGGCCCCCGGCGCCAGCGCCTCGCGCACCCCCCGGAAGAAGCCCTCGCGCTTCTCCGCCGGCCGCAGGATCCAGTGCATGGCCGCGTTGGAGAAGGCCTTGTTGAACCTTTGGCTCTGCAGCTCGCCGGCCTTGCTGATGAGCTCGTTCGCGTCGAGGACTGGTGCAGGAAGCAGGTAAGTTTGGTGTGATCATTCTTGATGAGGGCGCAAGGAGAGCATCCACTTGCCTTCAAAGGTCGCCTTGCCCTCGACGCCCTTTTCGCGAGTCGCTTTCTGGGCTGCCTGGACCAAGGCCGGCGAGCTGTCGACGCCGTGCAGGTGGCCCTGGCCCTGCGACACGATCTCGGCGAACTCGATGTCCAAGACCCCATCTGCATTGCCGCAGTTGTTAGCCGGTGACTAGGTATGTATCCGTATTGTGCTGCGCATGCTCTCGGCCTGTGAAGAGAGAGGAAGAGAAATGTGGAAATCAAAACACACCGCCGCAGCCGATATCCAGGATCCGGTCGTCCTTTTGCGGGTCAAGCCACTGCACAATCTTGGTGGCCAGCTTCGGCACGAACGAGGCAGCGTTCTGGTAGGCCTGTTTCCGCGTTGTCAACATCACCGCCCTTGTTGCAAGTGTAGGACAGGGGATAGACAGTGGCACGTCACCTCGGTCGTCCAGTGGTCCTTCTCCTCCTTGTTACCCGGGGCCGGGGCGGACGACGCCATGATGGACCGCGCGAGATGGGTTCAACGTAGAGCTAGGTATGGCGTGAACAGCGAAGCGTAAAGCAAGGCGCCTAGTTAGACCAAGCAGCCTGCCTGTGTGGAGCACTGTGTATGTAATACGGGATGCCACTCGGCCGTAGGTATGTGTGCTACGAGGAGGCTGCGACCTGCCACTGACAAGTGGAAGTATGTATCAACCGAGAGCCAGCCTCGAAGAGAAGCACGAGAGAAAGAGAGGGAGGGATCCCCTCACGAAACCGGCCTGGGATTTGCTTTCCTACTTGTATGCATCTGCACTCCTTCGTCAGATTTAACTCTGGTCTTATTTCCAGCACTTGGAGGTCACTCCCCTCGCCTCGTGAAGCTGGGGAAAAGGGGTGGGGGGTGACTATCGGCGGCCGATCTCGGCGCTGGCTGGCTCTTGCGGGGCAGTTTAGGTTGCAGCCACCGAGCAACAATAACAGCATCAACAACAGCTTCGCACTTACTTCAGTTCCCTGACGCTCGCTTTTCTTTTTTCTTTTCACAGCCGGAGATGTCACGACCGACGCTTTTCCGTGTACCAAACGTGTGTGCAACGATCCTGCTAACTGATAACTCTAGGTTTGTAAATTCGAGTGTGTCAAGTAGTTAGCTGAACCATGGCCGGTTACCTACCTTGTACATACATCTCGCACTACCTCGCAGGGGAGGCTCTCACTTTGTTTTCACTTATTTAGCATTTTTTGATTAAAAGATTTCAAGTCCGGTTAAGTAAAGTGCATGGGGAGGGAAGTAAAATTAAAAGAAACACGAAAAGGTGGTGGGAGGGGATTAGCTATCTCAGTCCTCCTGGTGTTGGTCAAGAGACGCAAACATGACTGCTTAGCAACGCACAACGCCGCCATCCATCTCCCTCGCGATGATTGTGCAGGGCGGACGGAGTCTCATTGTCAAACGCACAGGCACAAATTGGGATACGAAGTGTGATATTTTAGACGTGGATGTTCCTTTCTCTTGGAGGCAACATACAACTGAAAATGAGCGAGTCTGTTAGAGAAGCTGCAGCCGGCTGGCCTGGTCTTGTTCAGTGCCCAATCGTTCCATTCTGTCTCGACTCGACCTCTAGCTGGCTGGTTGGCTGGCTGGCTGTTGTGTAGCTTCCTCAGGCTGGGTTGCACAGTCGGCGTGCCTAGGTAGTCGTCGATTTCCGTCACGCTGATAGGTTGGGCAAACTGTGCCCTTTGCCGCCCACGGCTAAGTACCACCCCCGTTCCAGTTCCTGGTATCACAGCATGTATGGCGGGTGTGTAGATCGGGTTGCCGGTATGATTTGATATAAAAGTGCTCATGTCCGCGATGGCCAGTCCAGCTTGTCCTTGTCATGTCTTCCCTCTCCATCGACATCCCCCAAACCCCCACCGAGGAAAAGCAGCAACAATGCCCCCCTCGCCGGCCCCTCCGCGCGGCTACCACGGCTTGGCCCAGGTGATGGGCGGCGACAGCGAGCTGGCCATCTTCCGGCGCTTCAGCCGGCTCAACATGCTCGCGCTGCTGAAGCTGCAGGCCGACATGGTCCGGCTCGAGCACGAGTTTGACGGCATCGTGCAGGAAGACGCCGCCGCCGGCCGCGACTTCCACGCCAGCTTCGAGAAGCTGCTGGCCAGCGACTACGGCAGCCACTCGGGCCAGCTCGACCTGCTGGCCCGCATTCAGGAGAAGCTCAAGGAGTACAGTGCGTCGCCTCCTCCTTTTATGCTCAGAGCTTGACTCAAGCTTACCGTGATCCTCGAATCAGAAGGGCAGCTTCTTCAAGGTATGTTCATATCAAAAAAGAAGAATAAGAGGGCAGAGCAAGCCTCCCCTCTCCCAACGCCGCGCACATCCATATCTTATCTTAACTAACACCACCCCACCACAAGTCCACCGCATGCAAGAAATCAGCTCGCCCTCCGAAGAGAATCTAACCGCGCTGCGGGAATGGCTGCGCGACTCTAGCGGCGGGGGGGGGGGGGGTTCCTACAAGGCCTGGAAGCGTCGACGTGGGAACCCGAGCAGGCGCACGCGCGCTCCGACTTTCTGAAACTACACGTCAAACACGACGACAGCAGCATCCCATCAGCACCTGAGGCCGGGGTCACTGTTACTGGAAACAGTAACAATAACAACGCACTTGGCAACGGCGTTACCTCCTCGAATGCCGCGGCTTGGGTTGGTGATGGAGATGTCAGCGAGGCTCTGAAGCACTCCATCTCGACCGCGCGTAGCGGAGGATCCGACAGCAATGGAAAGGGAGAAACGGTGCAAGTGCAGCTCCGAGCTCTACCAGCTCATTCTTGAGAGTCAGAGACAAAAAAGTAGGTACTGAAGGACACAAAAGGAAAGGGGTCCCACGTTAACAGGTGTGTTTTCGGTTATAGTTAATTCGAGAGACTCGTCTAGTGGCATCCGATCCTGTTCTCATAACGCCGCGCAGCTCTGCAAAGAAGTGAGGACTTGGTTCATGTTCTTGTTGGATCTTCGTCACCGAGGCTAAAATCACAATGCAACAAGAAAAAGAAAAACACGGGAAATATTCAGTCGGAGACGCATGTGGCCGGCTTCACTTTACTCCTCCCACCCCAACCAAACCGCCGTGGCGGACCTAGGTAGTCTAGTCGAGCACGGCGAGGTCGAGGAGCTCGTACTTGTCACCGCCGAGGGCATCCTCGACCCGTTTCATGACCGTCAGCACCTTCTCCTCCTCGAGTCGGCGGCCGACGACCTGGACGCCGACGGGCAGCCCGTGCATGCGCTCGGCGTCGTAGAGCTTGTAGGCGCCCCTCGCAACGCCGTTGAGCGGCCCGAGCCTAAACGTCGCGGGGAGTCTGTCTCTTGCCTTGTCCACGTGCGTGACGGGCAGGACGCCAGCCGTGTAGTCCAGCTACAGGTGAGGGTTAATATAGAGGAGAGACATAGCCAGGTTCCGATCAAGGATGACACTCACCAGGTTGAAGAGGAAGGTGTAGCCGCAGCTGCTCACGGCGTCGTGCATGCCGTCGTGCGGGACGGCGGGGGTAGCGTTTGGCGGCGTCAGCAGGACGTCGAGGCCCTGGGCGTCCCACCACTCGAACCACTTTGCGCGATACGCCTCGCGCTGCTTCACGAGGTGCCAGTTTTCGAGCACCGTCTTCGCCCGCCAGTCCCTCACCAGCCCGGCCCAGACGTCGTCGCGGCGCACGTACTTGACCCAGAGGTAGTACAGATAGCGGACGGGCGCCCAGAGCCGGGCCAGCCGCACCATCTGCGCCGCGCCGGCGTCGTTCCACTCCCCGGGCCGCATAAACGTCTCAAACATCTGGCACCCGTCGGCGTTGAGCAGCAGCGAGGCCAGCCGCAGCGCCTCGTACATGTCGGGCGGAGCGCCGCTGCCCGTGGAGCTAATGTCGACAACCTCGTGACCCTGCTTGCGGAGCGCCTTCGCGGCCGTCTCCAGGGCGCGGGCGCAGGCTGGGCTGGGGTCGACGACGCCATCTGTGCGCAGCACGCCGACGCGCAGGACCTTCTTGTCGGCATACTCGCGCTCAACATCGGGCCGCCAGTGGAGCGGGTGGACGGTATAGTCGTACTTCCACGGCTGCATGCCGACGACGGCCCGCGTGAAGTATGTCAGGTCGCCGAGCGTGCGGGCCATGGGGCTGTAGACGGCCGGCACGCCCTCCTGGCCCGGCATGCTCGTGCAGATGCCGATCTTGGGCCAGCGGCCCGTCGAGCACCGCAAGCTGTAGCAGCCAGAGAAGTGGGCCGGAGCACGAACACTGCCGGCTACGTCGCTGCCGATGCCGATGCGGCCGCCGAGGGCTAGCAAGGCAGCCTCGCCGCCCGTGGACCCGCCGGGCGAGTAGTCGGGGTTATGCGGGTTGGTACACCGGCCCCAGACGTCGTTTGTGCTCTCGAAGCTCAGCAGCGTGATGGGCATGTTGGTCTTGACGTAGGGCACGGCGCCGGCGTCCTTCAGCAGGCGCGTCATGGGGCCGTCGTCGGGCGTCTTGTTGCCGACGAAGCTGCTGTATCCCACCGTGGTATCGTAGCCGCCGACGGCGACTGTGTCTTTGAGGCTGACGGGGATGCCGGCCAGCGGGCCGCGCAGGTTGATGGCGCCGTCACGCAGCCAAGCCTCGGCCGACGGCAGCATGACCTCGGTCACGCAGTTGGTCCGCACGTGGGCCTTGAGCGCCACTTTGCCGTATGTGCGCAACACATCGAGCGGCGACACGGCGCCGCTGTGCACGTCGGCCACCAGATCCTCGATGGGCCGCGTCACCGTCTTCCGGTCCGCCGCTGTGAAGGCGCCGTGGTAGGCCGTGAGGGCCCGGATGCGGTCCCTCCGCTCCTGCTGCTTGAAGCGGCTGTGCCGGGCCGGTCGTGTTAGCATGACGGCATCTTGCAAGTCACTCACATAAAGGCAGTGTTTCACTTTGGACGCTCACCAGTCCCGCCGATGCTGAAAATAGTCCGAGAAGAACCCCATCTTGACTCTTTCACTAGTAGCCAGTCTAGCTGCCGGCCGGGCCAGGTCAATGACAACCAAGACCCAGTTGGTAGTTGGGATGTAAGTAAGCTAAGGAGGTAGTTGCCTGGGTGACAAAAATGCCCGTCTGCTTGGTGCACTCGCTCAGCTCAGATTATGACCTAAGTTGGCTTGTTCCTCAGCATTGCCTAGTAAATGAAGAAAAAAAGCCACGGTTGGTCAAGGAACAGAGGGTTGGGGATTGTAACAAGTACATGTCCACTGTTGAAAGGCAAGGGTGCTTCCCCGACTTCCGGGTTTGTGTAAGTGAGATGGTAGGCCCCATCCCCATGCATGGCCTACTGCGGTTCGGCGCGGCAAGGGGTTAGGGGTGTCCTTCCCCGCATCCACTACTAGTACGCCCGTTGGCAAGCGGTGAGGAGATTCCCCCAGCACTTTCCCCTCCGAAAGGCGCACAAAGGACCACCAACAGCGGGTGCGGGTGCGGGTGCGGGTGCGGGTGCTCTTATCTTAAGCCGGGGAAGGCTGTCGTGGTTATCGTCGGGGTGAGACTAACGAGGATTCCCCTCTTTTACAATTTCCCCTGGATCCTCGGGCATCTATCCGCACTCTAGACTGTGACACCAAGCACGAATCAACATGCTCACCTCACTCCAAACTCACACGACATTGCTCTGTCTGACACACACTTAGCAAGATGTTTCGTAGTCTTGTATTGTCATACTAAATTGCTAAAAGCGCACCTGAACAAGCTGGGTAAATGGGCAGGCCCCTATCCGTCGAGCTGGAACTTTGTGAAAGGTAGGCTCCAGATAAAAAACAGAAGAAAGCCTCTATAGATGTGACAATGCACCATTGCTATCGCCAACGACACCTCGGCGCTTCCAACCAGCCCTTCCCAAACACTACCGGATTCTAAACAGAAGCGAAGAGCGCAGACAGGGTACCGATGAGAGCTGAGAGACCGAAATACCCAAATAAAATAAACTACATCCTTGACCCTTTCCCCGGGACGCTGCCCTCGAGTCCTTTTCCATTTCTTTCCGAAAACGCCCTGTCCATCCCAGCAAAATTGCGCCCTTTGTTTTGAAAGTATCCCATTCCGGCCCTCAGACGGCTGTGGCGACCTACGCCTTCGGCTCTTCGTTGCTGCTCCCATTCGTCGGGAACGTCCCTCCGCTTACTAGTGTCGGCGCAATTCGTCTGCGCTTAGGCTGTGACCCCGACGCATCCTCGACGTCGCTGTCGGTATTATCTCTCTTGCTACCAGCAACCGCTGCACCCGTCGCTGAGCCCCGGGGAAACTCGCGCGGCGTCTCGGGCGGTGTCGTCATTGGGACACCCGTGATCTTGCCCGAGTTCGTGGCCGCTATGCTAGGCACTTGACCTGATATGAGTGTTGGGTTGCTGACCACCCCCGTCTGCGCTGTCGAGGACTGCGTCAGAATCGAAGAGGCCGAGTTAGAACGCGCAGGCGATCCTGGCCGTTGGCTGACAAACGAGGCTGCCGACAGCGGCGGTGGGGAAGGTGCTGTAATCGAGCTGGCAGAATCCCGGTGACGGTGGGAGCCGCCGTTGCGATAAGGTGAGGGGGGTGCAAAGACCGACGTCGGCGTCGGAACTGGCGTATTTTGGCTCGACGAGGCAGCCGTTCCAGATGAAACTTTCGGCGGCCCGAGCTCTCCAGTGTAGACCTGCCCCAGCTCACCTGCCGAAAAGGATAACGTTGAGCAAAACCCGTCAGACGACGATATTAACAACGTCAATCCATCAGTTGACCTGGAGAGATTTGTTAGACTCTAAATGAACCATTGGGGGATGGGGATAAAACCTACCAAGCCAAGTCGGTAAAGGTGGCACAGTGCAGATTGCTCACAATACAGATCGGAGTCTGCTGCTGAGTGTCATACAGCAAAACCGAATCCTGCGTCGCCACGGCATACACCATGCGGTAATTGAGCGAAAACGCGGCCTTGGGTCCTGGAGTTTGAACAGCCGTTTCGAGACTGAGATGCTTCGAAGAAGACGTAGGACCTTCGCCAGAGGTAGGAGGCGGCGGCGGCTCCATGATCATGGGACCCGGAGAAGGCTTCGAGAGAGGCTCAGGTAGAGACGGGATAGCCTCCTCAGCCGAGGACGTGTCGATCGTAATGTGCTTGGTAACAGGCGGGGACTGCCTCAGTGTGTAGATGACCGGAGAACACCTCACTGCAACTGAGGGCTTCTTATGGCCTGGGAGGTGTGCGATAGGAGGCTTGTTGATCCCGCCTCTCGTATAAATGTATACAGTATTGAGAACCTCATACGAGGGCCTGCCACCGTCAACATTGTGCTGGGTCTGGTACTGGCCGGCGGGGGTCAGGAGAAGAGCCCCATCCGGCGTGAAAGTCAGCCTCCGGAAGAAAGAAGTCAACGCCTCGTTTGCGTAGAGACTGGCATTCTTCACGCCCAGGCCGGTGCTTGTAGGAATAGGCTTGGGAGAGGCCTCCATGGGCATAACAGCTGGGAGAGGCATCGACGGAGCTGGAGAGACCGAGCGCCTCGAAGAGAAGGAAGACCTTCGGCTGTGACTAAAGACGCTCGGGGGATTCATGGGCAGTGCAATCGATGTCGGGGTTCCGGGTGCCGAAGGGACCGGGGAGCCTGTCGCCACGCTTGGCACCGCGTCGACAGAGGCGAGGACCGACCGGTAGCCCATATCAGGCGGAGCCGGGCTGTTGGAGGATATCCGTCGAGGAGGGAGGTCCGTCTTGAAATGGCTGGCAACCTTGGGGGTCTCCCCGCCATGGCTGTTGAGCGTGTACTGTCCATCCTTTGTCTTGAGGCTGTAGATGTGCACCGAACGGTCCGACGACTGAGTCGCGATATACTCATTCAGCGGATCCCAGGCGACGCCCTGGACATAGTGACTGTGCTCGGCAATCTGACGCACTAGCTGTCCTGAGGCCTGTGTTAGCGAAGCAAGCCCATCGTGGAGCCAGTCGAGCGTTGCCTACCTGTGCCAGCATTGTAGATTCGTGCAACATTGTCCATGCTGCCTATAATGAAGTATGTGGCATCCGGCGACCAAGCGAGGTCGTAGATGCCGGTGCCCAGCCCCCGGAACATGTGTTTTGTCCGCCAAGTCTCCTTGTCTTCAAGGCCCTCGCTGCCAAAGGTTGGGAGGTGGCTGTCCGAAGGGACCCATAGTATTACATTGCCATCGTCGCCGGCAGATGCGAGGAGCTCACCTACGAAGAGGAAGGTCAGCACGAATAACCTTACTTGGTGACTCAGGAGGGGCAGACTTACCCTTGGGGGCCCAGCGCACTACATTTACGGCTTGCGAGTGCTTCGAGAGCGTCGCTAGATATTCGACTCGCCGGTCTTCGCCGTCCTCCTCTATCTTCCACAGCTGTAGTATCGTCGAGTCAGCCGGGGGAACAAGAGAGCGGTGGGCAAACGAAGCAAGGCGAGGCCTACCCGAACATTGTTGTCGCCCGCACCGGTAGCTAGGCGGCCCTTCCCGTGGGACTCGAAGTGGGCAGAGTAGATTGGATATGGATTGTTGTTTTTGTGGTGCCAGTGTATAATCAGCGGAGTGGCCTTCATTGTGGCATTAGGTCGGCAGTCCGACGGTTATCATCGAGCTGCGTAGGTAGGTGAGCCGAAGGGGGTGTGAGAGCGCCGTCGATGTCGACGTCGTGCGTCTCAATGTGTTGAGTGGGTGGGCTGCGGCCAGATTTTAGCTCCAGAGCAGCAACAAAGCTCTTCGCTCCGAGTAGTCGAGAATCGCGCGAGATCGTAGATGTGATCAATTGAATTGAATTGAATTGTGACCAAATGAGTCGTCGTAGGTCTAAGAGGTGGTGCAGTAGGAGTGCTGATCGAGAAATCGCCCGCAGGAGCTTGTGCAACTTTAAGTCGACACTGCTCCGCTGTGAACGCACGTTAGAGGGCAGGGCAGGCAGGGGATGGGACTCGTCGAACTCAAAAGGAGTGCACCCCAGTGGTAGCGAATCTCGGGTTGAGACGTAGACGAGGAACTCGGCGGAGAAAGAGGCCAAAGTAAAACACACAGAGATTTTAGACGAAACGGAGCGGATTTCTGACAGATGTGGTCACTTCTGCAGTCACAAGTCTCTCTGTGTTGAGATCGTGGGATCAAGTAAGTTGTTAGAGTTCCCTCCACTCCATAGAGCTGACCCTTGTTGTGGGGCTGTCCACCACCGATCCCGTTGCGGTGTCGTCGCGTTTTGGTGCCGTGGTCTAGCCAATCAAGCAGGCGCGGTGTTTCCCCGAACCCTAGACGGCCTGGTTTAAGCCTTCTTTCTCACACCAGACGCCACGCCTGGCAATGCACCCAAAAGTCCCGCTCCGACACCCCCGATTTGCAGGCTATACTGGAAGTATTGGAGCCGGTCTTGATGCCCACTGAGGTGCGAGCTCTCCATACTGCGTATTCCGTATTGTCGAATGAGAGACTCTCAGAGATGGGCCTAAGGTACCCTACAAGGCTGCAGGGCCATGCTACCAACCGAGTGCCAGCTCACCAATGCCCGTGGCCAACTTGGAAGCCGGCCCACTTGATTGAACAGCCTGCAGAGTGGGCTCCATCCGGGCCATGTTACGCAGAACAGACGGTGGAAGTTCCCGAACCGCGGGGCCTCCCTTGGGTTTAGCAACCGCCAGCACGGAAGTCGAGAAGAACGAGCGGCTCCATTGCCATGAGGTGCTCCGCAGAAACTTCCGCTAAATAGAAAATCGGACTGCATGTCAGAATTGAAATTGAGTCTTCGGTTTGATCACTCTCCCCAGATTATGCTCAGACGTTGTTATGCCAGACTCCAGATGCCAGCAAGTTTCCGGGTGTCCACGATCCTGGGTCAGCTCGTCCAACCTCTTACACTGGACAAGAAACTGCGGCGGCTTGCCGATCCCTCGCCCCCACCCCGCCTTCCCACTGTTTCCATGTGGCACTTCCAACCTCTTGAACCGGCACACTCCCGCCTGGCGCCAAAAGAGGTAACATGCTGTTTCCCGCTCGAACAGAAACTCAATGCCAGTTGGCTTTCAAATGTGGCCGGGTCTCGTCGTTTGTTCACGTTCCCGCAGAATTCAAACGTTTCCAAGTCAGCCTTATCCGTATTCGGTTGCCAGGAAAGATGTCCGCCTTCCCCTGCCTTCCACCATTGGCGCTAGAGAGCCTGCTACAGCGGGGCAAACCCCCCCCACGCAGAGGCCAAGCGGCCACCCAAAGCTGCCCGTAGCCAGCTCTGGGTTGTTGGTCCCTGGTGTTTTACTTGCCTTTTGCACAGACAACAAGCCTCGATATGATACATGTCGGATGGCCCTCAACCTAGCCCTGTGGAATGTTCTGTCTTACCTAGGGCGAGGTCGTCGGCAGGAGGTCAGGTCCAACGAACGCCACTCTGCAAAGGGACAATGGTCGCCATGGATTCTCCCGATCGTGGGCCTTCTTAAAGGCTATCATTTTTCTCGTCCACCGTCACCGGCTGGCAGTCCAAAACGCTGGGGGGGTTACAGCCAGCGTCCACACGGTACTGTTGGCCCTCTGCGGCCATCTTATGATACCTTTGCACTCTGACGGCAACCGAGGAAACGCTTACCCCGTCCTTGGCGATGATGCTGTCAACCGGGGCCTCGAAATGCAGTCGCACTCAACCCGACACAGTAGGGAGGCAAGCCATCACTGCTCCAACTACCCGGTGTTGTCCCCAGACACTTCGGGCACTCCGCTGCAAATTGTATGAACAGAAAGCAAGTCACGATTTCACGCTGTCCATGATTGACAGAGAATTGGTTTGGTGAGAAGGAGTCTGGATTCAACTAAACTGCATGGCTATCGACTCAATGCCAATGTCTCCTTGTGAGGGAATTAGGAAATGCCGAGGCTGTTGACTCGCGCAGAACGAAATCAACATCATCAACTCCCGACATCACACAGCCCCCTTCCCCAACCATTTCCATCGATGCGTCCCCTTGGATTCACGGCGTGAGTCAACTCTAAAGGCTGTGCAGGGGATACGGGATTGAAGAATCTACCTACCCAGTCAATCAACCCGTGCATGTGCATTGGCCTACCAAACGCGAGCTCAGGTCGGTATTAGTCCGACGAGCTGCTACTACTACATTACCCACCTTACACCTACCTACCTACGAATATCTACCTAAGCTTCAACCTACCTCTTTGTTTCTAGTCTAGGACCGGAGCAGGACAGTGATAGGCTGCCGATAAGCGAATATGGTGAATACTCCCTCTTACAACCGAAGAGCGAGCGCAACATAAACCCTGCCAAGTCATTGTTGGTAATCGGCCATCCCTCTGTTCTAGACGAAATCCATCCGTGCTTACTCTTTTGTCTCGGCTTTGGCAATCCCCGCTACCTTGAACTACTGCGATCACTGAGTGGAGGCGGAAGCGAGAAAAGACGTGACGTCTTTTTTTCGGCGTGACGGCATGTGGAGGGGTAGAGGCTCCTGACTGCTGCTTGTTAATATGAGTTGTTAAAAGGAGAAGGCTGGGGCAAACAACCTGCCTATTTGGGCATTGTTTTGGCTCTTCGGTGTTGCGGCATTCGATAAATCCATCGATACCTAGTTTTTTCTTTCTTTCCATGAATCTGTTATCGGCCACATAAAAGGTTGGGTAGATAGACAAGCAGAAGTTACTGCTTGCAACATGTGATTTGGAATGAGGTTGTGGAAGAGTAAGAGGATCACGATTGGCCGTTGCACGTCACACTCAGACTACAGTGGCTGGTTGTAGCACGCCTGCCCGTCTGCGGGCATGACCGGGCTGAGGCCAGCGAATGGCAAGAGAAAGAATGAAAAAGGCTTTTTGAGTAATTCAGGGCGAAAATGATGAAAAAAGAGGGGGAAAAAAGTTGTCAAGACCTTAGTGCTACCGAACCCGTCGGTACCACTGCAGAATCGAAAAGGTCCTGGGAAGGATCTGCGGCTGGGTGTCGGCGGTGTTCCGGGCCGCCTCTCGGGGCGTCAACAAATGTTCGTCCACTTCCAGGCCAACAGTCCCATGGCCCCGGCCAGAGCCAGGGTTCAACATGCTACCGGCTAGGAAGAATGTTGGGCCGGGGTCGACGGTAGCACAACATTCTCACTGTCAGCAGTGATCGCCCCCTTTTTTGTTCTATTTATTTTCTTCTTTTTTATGTGAGGAAACTTCCCGGGTCTGTCTGTTACAGGCCGAAGATGTCAAGCGTGATTTATGTCCCACGCTCAACGTGGAGGCGGTTTTCGTGACCCGGTCAATGAGACGATGGCGAATTAAAGAGTCTTGAACGCCGACTTGCCCCGGCTATCACTTGTAGTTGAGATTTTGATCTAGCTGGCAGCAAAAGATGCTTGGGCATTCAACATTTGGATGTCTATAACTCCCAGTTTGCTATGAGAGCTCCCCAAGACTGGGCTTGGTTGAGAACCACTCAAGACTTTTCTTGTCAATGGACTTCTCGTTGAGCAACAGAGGTGCCGATAGGCTGGGGTAGGGCAATAGTGCTGGTTTTCAGGACCATCTCTGTCTGTAAGCTTTGTGTAGGATGCATTTTCCACACCATCTCGATATGTTTGGGGCTAGAAAAAATGCCCCAAAATTCACGCCCGAGTTTGGGAGAAACAGCCTTTAGGCCTGGCCAAGATCTCCGGCAACATTTTACCTCGATATCACCGCGACTGACGGACTGTGATTTTCGAACGTCATTCTTTGCGGCACGATTGTTGAAAGATGTTGTAGATGTGAGTTATGTGCCTCATTATGCACCTTGAAGTGTAGTGTTTTGCCGACTTTTTCTGTTTGCTCTTTTTAGGTGTGATTTAACCATCACGGGATCAACAGTGTTTTCCAACTCGTATGGAGGTAGCGGAGTTAAGCCGCTCGGTCGTGACTCCCCGCCATTGGCCTGCCAAGGGCCGGGCCCGAGCCGACTCCGGTCAAAAGAAGGAGGATCCAACCAATAACAAGGGGAGGATCTCGTTAGGAACTTATCATCGTGGGGAACCCCATCAACGCTTCCGGAAGGGAAGCTGCCAGGCGGTGCGTAAACGCGCCATTGCTCTGCAGTTCTCCTTCGTCCTGTACGGAGTATCCGTACGGTAGTACGTACATGGAGTGCTTCAACTTTACCAACATAGGTTACCACGGGAGCTACGGAATCCTCGTCTCGAATTAACCCAGGCAGCATACTTTAGAGGAAGCCTCGTCTCGGCCCGCCTTTCTGCCTGGCAAAAACCGAGCATGTTAATGAGGCGCTGCAAAGACGGAAAAGCTCGGCTGCCTCTTCTTGTCTCGACGGCTTCGTAACGGTGCATCATGCGTGATGCGGATAGTACTAGTACTCTGTGAGTATGCATACCCCGTCGCTTTGTCCTGACGGATTGTATTCAAGACATAGTAATTACCTACCAGCCTCGCCTGTCCACTCTCGGGTCCAGATTCACGTCAAACTTGGCAGAGCATAGCAGATATGCGCCCCGCACTCGCGTCTAGTCCTAGCCGGTGGTGAGAATGACACCTAATAGAAGACGGTCGATGTAAGTTTGGTCAACATGCGTCCGGAAGGATTGGGGTGCATAGATGTCTATCACAGCGGGAGGAGGTAGCTCGCCCGCGTTCGGCGGCCATCTAGGCCGTGCCTGCCCTAACAACCGCCGCTAGATCCAGACTGCTGCACACTCACACCGCTCGGGAACCGCCTTGGTGAGAGCGATTCCGGGAAGCCGCTAGGTACTCAGGTTGCAAGGGGGCTCAGCCAGCGTTTGGAGGCGCCTGCCATTTTTGTCAGCATTATTCCTGAGCGCTCGCCTGCGATTGGCACCGCGGCGTTGTAGATGCAAAGTCAAGATCAAGAAGTGCATTCTCGGTGAGATCGACCAGTCAAGTACTCGGCGCCTCACGAGATTTGCGGTACATGTCCAAACTGCCGTTGTTGCTGCACGTGTTGTCCTGCGCCCGACAGTTTTCCAACGCCCACACATGAAGTGGCGGGGAGAGGCAATCAATTGCATTCAATGGCGCAACCACCAGCTCTCTGCCGCAACGCTGCAAGACGACCCTCTTCTTTGCCTAATGCACCCTGCCCTTGGCTGGAGAGACTGCCGCAGCAAATCGGAACCCGCCTAACCCACGAGCCACGGGCCTGTTCTATACAGGTTTTCCAGTTTCACACCACCACTTTGTCATTCCTTCACCGCATGAGTCAAAACCTCACTTATCTACAGGTAGGTGTAATATACATGGCGCGTATGTATGTATGTCCATACCTTCCATTACATACAGTACGGAGCACAGCCAGTATGACGTGCCGGGATTCCTTCCACCCCCACCAAAGGCAGACAAGGGGCGAGTTTGAGAAGAGAGGCAAGGTAGGTAAGGCACGGTAGGTGAGGCAAGGTAGGTAAGGTAAGGTGGTTCTCGAGCCGCTTTTTGTTTTTGCTTCTCTCTTTTTTACTTCTGCTCTTGCGTCTACTTCTACTTCTACTTCTGCTTCTCTTCGTCTTGTCTATTACCGCTCCACCACGTCGGACTTTTACCTACCTTATGTAGCCGAGGTCTTACCTACTACTCTAGGTCAAAAGGTAGCTTAGCTAGCAACCTTTCTTTTCTTTCATGTTGCCACTAGACCAGACATTCGTCCCAACACGGCTTGTCTACGTCCCTTAGTCAGCTCTCGATTTGCTCTCTGTCCTAAGTCTCAATTATTCCGGTGTGACTGACTGCTCGCAGTGGACAGGTAAGCTTCTTTTCTCTCTTCCTCGTTTCCAATTCTTAGAAGAAGCCCAATTCCTTGTCTTGTCCTCTGTGAGGCATACCCCCACCCTTGTCACAAAATTCCGACAGTCTATCTCGGCTTCTATCAGGCCCACTAAGGTCAATTAGCGACATCCTGGAGCTCACTTAACCTCGAGCCTCATAATATACCTCGCGAGGCCCAGATCACGGATTCTATAGTCCGCCAATATTGACCAGATTTGGCAGACATTGGCTTTCCTGGCCCAGTTCGAGCTCCCCCACCCTGCTGCCCTCAACTTTGCAAGAGTGAAATAGGGGCAAGTCCTTCATTCCACCGTCGTTTGGCGAATCACCAGCGTCAGGTCTGGCCGAGCCATTGGGCGGGAAATAACGCTCTGCCGAGACGTCGAGCTTGACCATGACGATCGATGGCTCCTTGCTAGCCATTGTCGGAACGGGCTGTGTTGCCATTGGCCTGTGTTCTCTTCCTACCGCGTCCGACATCGTGACGCGCCTGGGAAAGCGAGAGCCAAAGCAAGATTCCTATGAAGATGCCGACGGCAAGGCGACGCCCGAGTCGCTGGCGGCCTTCTCGGCCAAGCCGGCAAAGTCTTTCGTCCTCGTCTCTGCGGTAGCCGGATGCACCATTTCCCTTGCGCTCGCATTGTTGGCTACAGGACCAGAAGGGCTGTATCTGATCAACTGGCTGAGCACGGGAGCTTGGGTGAGTCGAGTCCAGCCCACCAAGCCCGCCAATGGAATGGGCTGGCTATTCTCTCTCAGTCGTGGAAATTGCTGACCTGATCGTCTTTAGGCGGCGCTGGTCTTTCAAGCCGTGGCCATAGCTTCCAGCAGAAATTTCATCAAGGCATACGACCTCGGCATATATAGTTTTCTCTCGTCGGTAGTCCTTGCTAGCCTTCTCCTCATCGAGGGAACCGATACTTTTGACGACCTCATCAATGGCAGTCCGGCCTTGTTTGCCCTGCGCATTGTCGAGCTTGCCCTTTCCCTCTGCCTTGCCGTCGCCAGCCTCTCCATTCCCAGGAGACCCGATGTTTTCTGGGGCAGAAGACCGGTCGACCGCATGTTTTCGGTATCGGCCTTCAACCGCTTCAACTTCGCCTGGGCTTCACATCTCCTTATCCTCGCTTCAAAGAAGAAGGATCTGGACTTGGCCGACTTGAGCCGGCCCTGTCACCTGACTCGGGCCAATGCCGTATCTGCTGACTGGAAGAGACACAACTACCAGCACCGTCTGTGGCTATCTGTGGCGCGGGCCCACTGGAAACCCTTTGCCCTGCAGTGGTTCCTGACTTTTTGTTCATCGATTCTGAACTTCGCCCCCCAGTGGGTCATCTTGCAGCTTCTGAGAATCCTCGAGGTCAACCGGGTCGGCACCAGCTTCGGATTCGACGTTTGGATTTGGGTTGTCTGGCTTGGTGTGGCCATCACCGCTCAATCATGGGTCGAGTCTTGGATATATTGGATGTCCTGGGCAGACATTACGCTCCCCATCCGCGCCCAGCTATCCGCCCTCATTTTCGAGAAGGCAATGCGCAAAAAGGATGTCAAGGGCACGGGCAGCTCCAAGAAGAAGGGCCGGGCTGCCGAGTCTGTTTATTCCGCCGTTGATGGGCCTGCCGGCGAGTCGACAGCTCCGGACCGGCCCGAGACGGACACCGAGACCGGCGAGGATGATTCTGAGGAACTCAAAAAGACGAAACAGAGCACCGTAAATCTGATTGGTGTCGACGGAAAGCGAGTGGGAGACTTCTGCTCCTATCAGAATATGTTTCCCGGCAGCATTTTTAAGCTCATAGTATCTCTCTGGTTCCTGGTCAGTCTTTTGGGATGGATTCCGCTTCTATCGGGCCTGTCTGCAATGGCTGCCATCATGCCATTCAACATCTACTTCTCCAAGAAGTACGCCGCCGCACAGGACCGTCTGATGAAGGTCAGGGACGAGAAGATGGAGATTGTCACGGAAGCGCTTCAGGGAATCCGTCAGATCAAGTTCTCGGCCCTTGAGCCCGAGTGGGAGAGAAAGATTGGAACCGTCCGAGAAAGAGAGCTCGGTGCCATCTGGGACGTGTTCATGGGCGACACTGCACTGCTAGCATGCTGGGTTACAAGCCCGATATTGCTGTCGGCTATTTCCCTGGCTGTCTACGCTATCGTGAATGGGACGCTCACGCCCTCGGTGGCCTTTGTGAGTCTTGGTGTTTTCAAGGCTCTCGAAGTCACCTTGTCAGTCGTGCCCGAACTCACCACAGATGCGCTGGACGCCTGGGTTTCGATCAAGCGAATCGAGGAATACCTCGACTCCCCAGAAGTTTCAATATCTTCGCGGGTCTCTGACGAAGTCTCGTTTGACAATGCCTCTGTAGCCTGGCCGTCGGACGACAAGGTTGACGAGGAGGAGCGGTTCGTCCTTCGAAGTATCAGCGTCACCTTCCCGAAAGGAGAGTTGTCGGTAATATCAGGCAAAACTGGAACAGGAAAGAGCCTGATGTTGGCCGCTATCCTCGGAGAGGTAGACGTGTTGGGAGGCACTCTCTACGTCCCGCGGGCTCCTTCACTAGCTGAACGCCATGACGACAAAGCAAACAAAGCCAATTGGATCATCCCAGAAGCTATCGCATACGTGGCGCAGATACCGTGGATTGAAAATGCTAGCATAAAGGACAACATTACCTTTGGGCTGCCGTACGACGAAGAGCGCTACGCAAAGACTGTCGAGGTCTGTGCCCTAAAAAAGGACCTCGAGATGCTTACGGATGGCGAGCGAACAGAGATTGGGGCAAACGGTATCAACCTCAGTGGTGGCCAGAAGTGGAGAGTGACGCTAGCCCGAGCCATATACTCCCGAGCCGGCGTTCTTGTCCTGGACGACATCTTCAGCGCCGTTGATGCACATGTGGGACGTCACATCTTTGAGAAGTGTTTGAACGGCGAGTTGGCCGAAGGCAGGACGAGAATTCTGGTGACCCATCATGTCGCTCTCTGCGAGCCCAAGACCAAGTATCTCGTTGAGCTCGGTGATGGCGGCGTCTTGCACGCTGGGCTTCTCTCGGAGCTACGCGACGAAGGCGCTCTCGCACGGATCAAGAGCCACGAGCAGACAGCTCAGGAAGTCGAAGCTGACGAGTCGGCCACAGCTGTAAATTCTGACGAGTCGACCAATGGAGAAGGCGAGCAAGGCGATGCCGATGGTGGCGCCTTGAAGAAGGTCTCATCCAAGACTGCTGCACGCAAGTTTGTCGAGGACGAAGTCCGTGAGCAGGGGGCTGTTCGGAAGCACATTTATCTCACTTACCTGAAAGACAGTGGTGGATGGGCTTTCTGGTCATTCGCCTTTGCCATCTTCACTTGCGTGCAGGTATTTTCTATTAGTATGTTATCGATCCTTTCCTTTCTCCCTTTACTCTTCCTTACCAAAACTAAACCGACGTCGGACAAGAACTAACCACCTAACTATAGGCCGGTCTTGGTGGCTTAAGATTTGGACGGGCAGCTCTATGGAAGAAGCACTTGGCATCCAGCAACACATGTTGAACACTTCGACAGCCCATGGCTTCTCCTACGCTGTGGGACTTCAGCAAACTTCAATACACTCTCTGTCGGCTCCCACGGTTAAAACCCAGAGCAGCGACCTCTCGTATTACCTTAGCATCTACGTTGGCCTTGCCGTTGTGTCGTCGGTCATTGGAACACTGAAGTTTCTGTACATCTACACAGGCTCCATTCGTGCAAGCCGCAAGCTCTTTGCCAAGCTGAACTTCACCATTCTCCGGACCCCTATTCGATGGCTCGATACGGTTCCCGTCGGCCGAATGCTGAACCGGTTTACGGCTGATTTCAGCATCATTGACTCCCACCTAGCAAACCAGCTGAGTTTCGGATTCAACGCTTTTCTGAATCTCATAGGGGTTATTGTGGCGAGCCTTTTTGTCTCCCCCTACATTGTTCTCTTGGCTGCCGTTCTTCTCCTCATATGTCTGTACTACGCCATGCGCTATCTCAGCATCGCCCGACCTGTGAAGCGGCTAGAAAGCACGAGCAAGTCGCCTGTCTTCGAGCAGTTTGGCTCCGCACTTTCAGGTGTCGCCACCATCCGCGGCTTCAACAAGGCCGAGGTCTATATTGACCGGATGCATCAGAAGCTTGACGACTACACAACTACAACGTGGCACCTGTGGATCTTCAATAGATGGATGGGCTGGCGAATGGCACTTGTTGGGTCGCTATTCGCCGTTTTTGTCGCAATCCTTGTCCTTCTGACTCCTGGGATCGACGCGGCTCTCGCTGGCTTTGCTCTTGCCTTCGCACTCGAGTTCTCCGGTGCCGTCATCTGGACCATTCGCTTCTACTCGAACATTGAGCTCAGCATGAATGCGGCAGAGCGGATTATAGAGGTATGTCCTTTTTTTTTTAAAAAAAAAAAAAAAAAAAGAGAGAGAAAGAAAGAAAGAAAAATAAAAGTCATAGCAGGCGCTGTTCGAAGCTAATTCTAATATCACATCTTGACAGTACACCGAAGTCCCAACTGAGGCACTTGATGGCAAGAAACCTCCAGCCGCTTGGCCAACAGAGGGCCGTATCGAGGTTGAGGATCTCGTGGTTGGATATGCCTCTGACCTCCCCCCTGTTCTAAAAGGCCTAACCTTCAACATAAATCGCACTGAAAGGGTTGGGGTTGTCGGCCGCACCGGTGCCGGCAAGTCATCGCTGACTCTGGCTCTTTTCCGTTTCCTCGAAGCCCGGTCAGGTAGTATCCATGTTGACGGCATCGACATTTCTAAAATAGATCTACATGATCTTCGATCACGCTTGGCCATCATTCCACAGGTAAGCCACCCCGTGCTAGAATACCGGGTTTTTGTCATTGTGGCACGACAGGGCTAACATCCGCACAGGATCCGGTCCTTTTCTCCGGCACCATCCGCAGCAATCTCGATCCTTTTGACCATCACACCGACGCAGAGCTTCGCGACTGCCTGGAACGGGTGCATCTTATCAACAACTCGGCCGGGCCCTCGGGCGCCGCCACCCCCACTGCTGGTCGTCCATCGTCACCCGCATCCGCCATCGGCATCAAGAACACCAACATCTTCCACAACCTAGACTCGAAAATCTCGGAAGGCGGCCTCAGCCTATCCCAGGGGCAGCGTCAACTGCTCTGCCTCGCGCGCGCCATCGTCAGCCGGCCCCGCGTCATGGTGCTCGACGAAGCGACATCGGCCGTTGACATGCATACCGACGTGCTTATTCAGCGCAGCATCCGCGAAGAATTCACGGATGCGACACTCATTGTAATCGCCCACCGCCTGAGCACCATCGCCGATTTCGACCGCATCCTGGTGCTGAGTGACGGCCACGTTGCCGAATTCGGCACGCCCAGGGAGCTGTGGGACAAGGTGGGCGAGGACGGAGAAAGGGGCATCTTCAGGGGCATGTGCGAGGAGAGCGGTGAAAAGGACAAGCTGAGGTCTATTGTGCTTGGACAAGCCGAGTGAGTAAGAAGAAAATAAAAAACCCCCAAAGACTGGATATGCATGGGAAAGCTTGGTCCTTTTTTTTCCTTTTTTTTCCCTTAAATTTCGTTCCCTTTCTCATATCTTTCACAGTTTTGTTTAGGAGTCTGCCACAGTGATAAAAGACGTGATATCATCCGGCCAGGGGAACCCTCAGGACCGGTTATTTCTTTCGCATTTCTTTTCTGCTGCTTTGGCCTTGTCAGCCATCTTTCCTTGTTTCGCCGGGAACATAGGTACATAAATATCTAGAACTGGAGGGACAGGAGCAGGAATACTTTTAGTTGCAAAATAATGTACCGACAAGATGGCATCTTGTGGCGATTTAGCCCATAATGCAAGCATGAACCCCACGGCCAGTCAGCCTGCAGAAGATATGTAGTCAAACGGCCTCTTAACACTATCATTATTAACCTGGTATGACCTTGGGGGGTTTCCCTTTGGTTATTGGCTTTGGCTGGGGGACGCGAGAAGAGTTACTGTAGAAAGGCAATTCACCTTCCCCAAATGGAGAAATGAGACAAACCGGATAAAGTAAGGCATCATATTTGTCCCTCGCATGTACCGAATTCTCTACTGGGCTAACCGTTCACTAGACCATCCACGTAGCTACTTGAACATGCGCCTGCCCTCCTAGGCACCTTCAATGACATTTCATTTTCCTCGAATCGTCATGCAAAGGTTCCAGAAATGTTAAAGCTGCCGACAGACAGCCTGATATGCGAATAATGAAACAAAATGCTTCAGACCTTCAAGAGATTGCTTTCGCACAGCCTCTAAAGATCTACATCGAGAGCGAGTCTCAAAAGACAACAGGCCATATTTTAGGCACGGCTGCTCTTGTTCCGGCTCACAAGGAGAGTAACGACAACAGCGATCGTGCACAACCAAATAGCCGAAAAAGCGCTTGCAAGGACTAGGACGCGGCGGCGCTGTTTGCGGTTCAGCGTATCTGTCTCTCCTTTGGTGTACCAGCGCAAAGCTGAGTCGAATGTCCCCTTGTAAACCAGCGGAGCAATGAACGGAAATATGCATAGAGCACACATCAGATAATAGTAAAGCTGACGTCGTCTCCTTGCTTCCCACGAGAGGTAAGCATCTTCGCTGAGAATCCCAAATGCGGTCGCTGCTTCAGCGTTGGCCAAGTCGCGGAGATCAGGAACCTGGCCAAGACGGCGAACTCGGTCTCGCCTGGCTTTTGTTCGGAGATGTGGCGTGTCGGACGATAGCAGCGGAGTTGGGAAGGTCGAGTTGCTTCGCAAGGAGCCATGGACAGAACTGAACGGGTTTCTACAAGAATGGGGAAACATCGATATACCGGGCGGGGGCGGGCTTCCACTGCTCAAGGGAGACATATAAGACACGCCTCTCCCATAGTTCACGCTGCTGTCTGTTTTGGCGCGTCAGTGGAAATACAGGGTACATAAGCTGGGGCTTGGTGAGTATACCTATAGAGCTGCTAGGGCCATGACGAGGGGTAGCACTCTCTAGAGCGGTGAAAGGTGTTGGGCGGCGACAGTGGGTGGGCAGCGGCCTTGCAACCATTGACGGCGTTGGGGGAGTCGTCTTGTGAGTTACCCGCGACGAGACGATGCTGGAATTCTTGCGCGTTCTTGTGCTACTAGCATATGTCTGCCCATCCTCGCCGCTTTCCCGCCGGATAGCTTGAAGTCTCGCTGCCTCTGCCAGCGGGATCAATGGGAAGTCGAAAAGAACCTGTGACTCTGGGCTTGCCTGGGTGCGTGCAGGTTGATTCTCTTGGCTGCTAATAAGTGATTCGTCAGGAATTGGAGTCTCGGGTAACCGTCTGCTAATAATGTTGTCCTGACGATTATCTTTGCGGGCCATGGCCTCCTTGAAATTTGCAATAGGCGCTGCTTTGTCCTGGCGTCTACCATTGACTCGAGCTTCCTTCGCTGCCCCACCATTTCCCGAGCAATCAGAAAAGAACGAGTTTTGAGACTTAAATTTGGATTGCTGGTCGAGATTATTGTAGACATTTCGGATCTGGCCACGTAATTTCGAGTTTTGGGAGCGGAAAGGTGCTATAAACTTCTCAGAGATGAATGCTCTGGCAGATGATGAACTTGTTGTCCCCGTCGTCGGGTCTGTGAAGAGACGGTTCGAGTCCTGAGGGTAACCGTTGACTCGGTGGATCCGAGGCTTGGGAAGGAATATCGGGCGACCAGTTTCTTTCAGTGTCCGAAGGTGGCGGGTACTGGGAATTGCATCGCCACTCGGGTGCTGCAAAATTCTATCAGTTGACGCAAACCCGTCAAAGGATTGAACTGGAAAGCTGCTACAGTCCGAATAGTCGGCAATGCTGCCCCCTGTGATCTTCGCGGGCAGCATCTCATTGAAATCTGTCCCTGAAGCACACGCACGATTGCTATCAAATTGCCCGGTGCTCGTGACAACTGTTTCCCAGTCACCCCCATCGCTTGCACCCCCAAAAGCAATTCGGTGGAAAGGATCAATCCCCAATCCGTTTGTGATCGGTTCTCGGCCCGCGATGTCATGGTGTTCTTGTGGACCGGAATCAACGTTCGGTGGTTTGACGTTGACGTTGATTTTTATCTGATTGCGGGTATCCTCACCCTCCCAAGCGTGTTCAACAGCTGAAGCCTGGTAGAATTGGAGCTTGTTGAAGAGAGGATTGTTGACTCTCACAGCATCTTCGGTTGCTTTCACATCTTCTTGTGTTGGCAAAGGCGGCACGGGAGGAACAGTCTCACGAGGCGGCGTTGCTGGTGGGCTATAGACTGTTCCCTTGGTGTGGGCGGCGCTAATACCACTCACTCGGCGTAACGCGGCACTGACTTCTCTCTCCCTCGAGGGCTTGAGGAAAATTGTGTAGGATCCACGGTCAAATTTGAAAGGATCCTCGTCCGAGTCTGAAGTGAGCCCGCCACTCGAGAAGCCGGCATTGGACAGGCCACAATGACTAATATAACTCTCGCGCTGCAATCGCTCTCTCAGAGACTGTGGGTGACCAGGGTGGGTGAAGAGCGCACCAAAGCTGATGGCACTGTTGTGGGCCGGTCGGGTTTTTACCGACGGTTCTCTAGAAAGAAGAGGGCCTGATTGATGGCGTGCGGTGCGGTCTAGAGCAGAAGGGCTGGATCCGGCGATTTTTGCTTCTTTTGGAACCCCGCTGAGTAAATCTTGCGAGTCTGAAAGGGACTTGGGGGATTGTGTAATGGAGTCGTAATAAACACAGCCGTTGCCGAGGCCACCCGTCGATGTTTGGGGGTCGTCATCGATATGAGGAAGGTCAGGCAATGGAACTTCAGGGGCATCTCCTGGCGAAAAGTACATGTCCCATCGGGCCTTGTTAAGCGTATGCCCATCGGATTTTTGTGTGACTCGGGGCAGTTCCTGGCTCTTCATATCCTCGAGTCTATAATTGACATCGATGCCATCACCATGCGCACTGGCAGAAGGACTCAGCGGGTACTGAAGGTCCTGGTCATTTGAGGATATACCGCGACCGGTTGAGGGAGAGGACTCGAGGAGCGTAGAGGGAAGGTATTGTTTGTAGATGTTTTCCACTGTGCTTCCGGTTTCTCGAGGCTCTCGATTGTCCGGAGAATCATCAAAGGGGCTATTGCCGGTAGAAGAATCCTGGTTGCAGCCAATGCCGGTAGATAGGGCTTGTACGATCTCGTCAGACTCTTGAAATGGCGGCTCGCGAGGCACATGGTCAAGCTTGGTGGTGGAGCGGCCAAGCGTGTAGCTAAGGGTCAGACATCGTCCGTTGACGGAGCGGTCGGCGTAGGCGAACTCCATAGGCTGGGCTGGCGGCGCCGAGTCAACCGAGTTTGTCGTCCGAGTAAGGACGTTGACGGATGAGCTGGACGAGGCGGGCGATTTTGTGCTTGAGATGCTGCGACCGGCAGAGCGCGACGCCAGTCTCGATGTGATAGCCAGATGTGCATCGCCGAGATTGGTGAAGCGATGACCTTTGGGGCCTTTGGGCGTCAACGACCGTCCATGTTTAGAAAGGGGCAATTGCGGAGGAGACAGAGGAGGCAACTCGGTAGAGCCTTCCATGTCCGCCAATGGCTTCCCCACGAGGCAGTCGCTCCCGCCCTTTTCGGCGTCCCCGTCCGCTCCGGCCCCGCCTCCGTCCTCATCGTTACTTCCTGACATATTTATGCTTGACCGTCTTCACCAATACCGTCTTTGCAAAGTGGAACAATTAGCTTAGGCACCTTTGCTTGTCGTCCGATCGATGGGATGTTACACACAATGGTCGCTGCTGTCCGCCTTCGCGGATCTGATGATGGGAGCCAATCAAAGGTAGCAATTATTTCAACAGTTAGGTTGCATAGCCCGCGATCTCTTCTTCGACGAAGATTTCTATTCCTGATTAGGATCGAGTTAGAGAATCGGGGCCAGTGTTCTTTGCAAATGAGAAAGGGGCGGTAGGTGTCTGGAAATGGAACCTAGGAAATCGGTTCTAGGTTGCAGGAAGGCGGCGGTGAAATGGACTTTCGGGTCCGCGTCGAGCCCGCCGACTCAGCTTGCGTCGGGTGAGAGACAAGAGACACCGGTGAAGGTGATGCAACTGCGGTAGAGTAGACGAACGAGTAAACTGAGTGGTGGAAGCTGCGAAGGCGAGCGCAATACTCCCGATGCGTTCTGGTTCCCGGGTACCCGAGGGAAAGAGCCGGTAAACGTGCGATCGAGAAGCCGGTGAATAGGATCGGACACTTTCTGCAGTGATTGGACTTGAGTCGAGGAACAGGCTATAGGGAGCGGAAGGCTGAAGGCTGAATGAACGTGGGAAGGTGAGAAGGTAAGAGGGTGGGGGGTGGGAAGGTTGGAAGTGGAAGGTACGCAGAAGTTGGGAGTTGGAAATATGGGCAGAGAGGGGCGGGAGAACCTTAGGTGGCCGGGTGTCCTGCTTTGGTCGGCCTGGATACCAACACTGATTGACGCGTCGCCCAATTTTTTTCGATTTCGCGCGCCAAGTTGGAATCATCCCAAGTAGCGCCCGTGATCTGTTTCTTACCCAAATGGTCGGACTGAATTTATGACCATCTAGTCCGCCTGAGCACCCACAATCGGAGTACAAACCCATTTGTCGCCACTAAATAGGGACTAGGATTGATAGACTATATCGTATTGGTGAGAATTGCACACTCGGGGGAGAAGATCTCGGTGATGACCCCCCCTTCACTATCACTATCAACAACGAATAATCCACGTAGGCCATGTCTACGGATATATGATATTGGCATAATAGCCAACGTGCCAACATATCCCTAAGGAAAATCCTGTTCAATTGATGTGTGTGTCTGGGCAGATCCTGGCCTATTTTCTTCTGTGGAAAGCGATACGGTCACTGTTTACACGGATTCATCTGAAGTTCCCTTTCGGAATCCAGCATCGGACGACTAGCCACAAAAATAAACAAAAATGGAACTAAAGCTTCTCACAGAGAGCCACCAAGCTTCGAGGCAAAAGCATGTTCCACCATGGAGGGAGGTACATGGCAAAGGATCACGACAACGAATATTGGTTTCGACGAAAGCCATGATTGTCCTTAAAGCTACCGCATATGAAAGAGTGAGAATCAGCTACGTAGCGACATTCACGCATAATGTCAGAAAATGGTTGTGGGAAATAGGAGGTGAAAAGGGGTAGGAGAAAGACCAACCGCGATCTTAAACAAAACAAAAACATTTGAGCCAAACTCGGCTCCAAATGGGAGCTAAATTATCCCGAGAAAAACAAGGAAATTTTGGAAAGAGATGAGGGGTAGCATATTTGTAGATAGAGGCTGGTGAAGGATGAAATATGATAATGCATCATAAGAACATGCATTTCGACAGGTCTTTGAGATGACAGATAGTTGAGACGAACGGGCTGTGGCACGAGCGTGTGTCGTTGAAAGAGGCTCCGCTCGAGAAAATGGACGATAGCGGCAGGGGCGTGGATTTATTCAAGCCACGTCCTAAAAAGTCCTAGCGCACGTTAAATTGGTCTTATCTCTTATCACACTTACCAACCCCTGGCATGGTGCGATCTCGGCAGCTGATTTGTGGTGGTGCTGGGGTCCCCGCCGCAGCGCAACCCCAACTTCCTCAATCCCCTCACCTCCACCACAAAAAAAAGGGTTGGTTAGCGCGGGGAGGTGAGTGGGGTCTTCGAACACTCCCGAAGCTTCTTCCCAAGCTTCCGACCCCTAAAACACGCTTCCTTTTCGGTGTCGGGGCTTCCGTCCGGCCAGCGAGATCCCCCCGCCCTATTCCTTTTTCGGACGGGGGAAGCCCCTGGAGATCTCGATCTCTTCTGCGAGGATTCAACTGAGCAGAAACAGCCTTACCCTATATATTTCCTACAAAGCACGACGTGACAGCCCAATGCCTGCTAGTTCCGCTGCTACCTTCTCCGGGGCTTGGATAGTCCATTGAGCTCCAAAGTATCCCGTAACTTTGGTTTCTTGTTGTATCTTTTGTCTCTTACCCCTTACCCCTTACCCCTTGATTCGGACCTACCTGGTATCTTTTAGCAGCCTTGCCCCAGCATGGCTACTCCCGGGCAACCAGCAGCGGGTCTGGCGAGTCTCCCCGGGGAGATTCTGCTCCACATTATTTCGTGTAAGTGAAAAGGGGAGTTGTGGTTTATTTGATGGTGCTTGCTCTGACCGAGGTTGCGATGCAACAGTTCTCGAGCCGCGACAAACAATCAGCCTTCAACTGGTGTCTAGGGGCTTTCGGGCTCTCGCCCGTGACAATGGCTTCTGGCGGTCGCAATGCTTCCAAGAGTCGTCGTACCTCGAGGCCCTCAACCGCAACCGGCTCTTCAGGCTGACGAGCGGGGTGCGTCCGCAGGATCCCCTCACGTCTACCGACGGCAGCCCTCTCGTCAATGACCACGATGACGACGGTGATAAACTGGGATCTCTGCCAAGCGGCGAGCCGAGGGAGCGGGAATTGGTCCGCATCGTGGCAAACTGGGACCCTTGCTTTCCCTCAGAACGCATCTCGTGGTATGATGAATACATTCAGCGGCATGGGGATGTTGTTGTCAACTGGCTCCAGCAACCGCGAATCGGGGGGCCCTCGGGCGGAGGAGAGCTCATTGAGTCCAGGGGAGCTGCCCTCTATCGCCCCGACGGCGTGCGCGAGGGGGTGTCCTGTGACACTGAGACGCTCTTTGCTGTGTCGCCCCTTGATGACGGAAGCGTGTGCATCTGGGATGTAAATGGGACGAAAAGAAAAAGGGGGGCGATCGTGGCCCGGAGCAGGCCGGGGATACTGTTTATCGACGGGCCTGGGGCGGATAACAACCGGCGGTCCAAGCGGGTAGACTCGGGTGTGACGGAATGCGTCAGCATTGACAGCTACCACCATCTTGCCTTTTTTGCAGTCCAAGGACGTAAGTGTGTACATGTGGACCGCGAAGGGAGAAGAGGTTTGGCTGTGGAATGGCAGTCTGCTAACCGAACGTGCGTGCAGATCTTATCGAGGTCGACCTACAAAGGCTCACGGTTGTTGGCTGCGAATCATTCCCATGGTCTATCACAGCCTTGTCTGCTGCAAGTCCAAGTGTCCCGCTCACTGTGGGGACCAGTCTTGGAATCCATCTGCACGACTACCGTTTCCGGAAGCCTCGCAGCAATGAAGGGCTCGAGAGGATAGACGATTTTGATCGCATGGGAGCGAAGGACTTCTACGAACGAAGTTTGCGGAACCTCTTTGACGACGATCCTCTTCCCCCGTATGCACCGCTCGCCCAACCGGGGCCACTGAGCATCCTCCATCCCCAGCGCCCCGGCCTTGAGGCTGATTTGTCAGACGAGATCTACGTGGCCGGTCGGTTTTCCAACATTCTTCACTACGATAGGCGCAAGTTCCCGTCGATCAAAGGCTCGATCTACTCGGGTGCGAGACTTTGCAGCTTGACCTCTCTCCCGTACCCCTTCTCAGTCCATGACAGTGAGATTCGGCGGAGGGGACTGATGAGCCTCGATCAAGTTGAGAAATCCAAGAGTTTTGCTGAGGGCCAGACACTCATAGCCTGCGGCGAATACAATACTAAAGGATCCCTCGAGATATATAGCATAACGGGATTGCCGCAAAGCCCAGCGGGTTTGCAGAACCGGCAGAGCTCGTCGCACTCCAAGCTCCTCTCCGTCGTAAGCCACGGCACACGCATTGTCTTCTCTGACGGGTCAGGGTATCTGAACTGGTTTGAGAGAGATGGCTTCACAGACGTTCGTCGCTGCAAGATAGGGCATAGCGAGATGACCGAGGGGCCTTCGATATTCGCGTCAATGCCGGGATCCGACGACATTGCGCGGAAGCTGCTTCCGACGCGATCAGGCCATACCGGTGAGGGGGTCAACGATAACGACTTGCTGTTCTGGACAGGGGAGAAACTGGGATTGGTTACGTTCTCGGGGTCAAGTCGTTTCGCAGCCACCGACTTCAAAGAGAAGACAGACGAGGGCGCGTCTCCGGAGACACTGGCCCGAGCGAGTGAAGAGAAGGCGTACTCGGAGAGAATGCGGCGAGCGCTTGAAAGACAGGCTGACGACGTTCGCTTTATCCGGAACCTTGGTATCGGCAGCGGTTACAGGCCTTGATTGCTCAGCGATGCGTAAGAAGTCGCGTTTATGCAGCTCCACGAAACGAGCCGGGCACTGGTTATAGCTGGCGAGGCGGCGACGCAATCAGGTATACGTCGCGATAGACAGACTCTTGGTATTCGGCGGTCCTCGAACCAGCAGACGTCGACCTATTGCGATGCAGGACAATATACCTACCTGCCTAAGGTGGCTCCATCTTCCAGACATTATGTGCGACACATATAAGGTCGCGACAATATGATATGCACTGTTCCCTGAAGCAGAAGTCTTCGAGTGGCCCTAAGCAGGCCAGATGGCCTCTTTGACGCTGAAATGTTCATGCAGTTTGCGCTGAAAGTTAGGTGCGTAGACGATTAGCACCGAGTATGCCTAGGTAGGTACAGGTAGTGAGTGACCATGTCATGGGATTTGCCATGTCTGCTGGATGGATGTCGTGTGTGCCCTGTCAGAGTCAGCCTCAGTGGACGGCATTAGGGACGCCAGCAAATGTCGCCGAAAAACAAGGCAGCCAATTGACAGGGCGGGCCGACGCTTGCCAGCCAATCGCCACGGCGCTGGGCCATCTGGGCCATCCACGGTGCGTCTGCCTAGGAATACAGGGCACCACAGCGGGATCCACATGAATTGCTCCGGCATGCGCTGATTGCTAATCGCTTCCCTTCACTGTTTGTGCCCCGTAGTTTCATGCTGAAATTGGAAGCCTCAAACCAAGTTACACAGAACAGACATCGACACTTTGCAAGATAGCCGGAGCGGGTGCAGATTTGCTCGCGTGGTCCGGCCAATGCCAACTCTCCCATCAAGCCGGCGTGGTCCACGACGGTCCTCGGATGTTCCATTCCCGTCTAGGCTCCGGGGGGCGGTTTTCTTTTCTAACATCACCTCCATCCCTTCCATGAGGACCACGGGTGCCTCCCGCTCCCCACTGCCAGGCCCCGCCAGATCTGCACGATGCGGTCGCCTGCTCGCCCGCTCCTCCTCGCCCCTCAAGGCGCTGCCCTGTGAGGTGGCCTGCATCGGCTCAATTGGAACACCACCCAAATGGAGAGAAAATCCAGCTTCCACCTGTACGGATGGAGAGTGGACAAGAAGAGATATAGAATAAGAGGAACCCGAAAGAGGAAGTGCGCTGTAGGCATCCCTTGCCTAACAAACTGCTTTACGCAACACCCAAGTACCCTGCTACAGTATTGCAAATGCTGCTGCATATGCGCCGCGCACGTCCGCAAGCTGTAGTCAATAATACTGGACGGAGGATGCACAGTGGCGGTCGGCAGACAACAAACAGGCACACCGCTGAGTCTGGCGGCTGGACTTTGGCTGCAACCGCTCGTCTCTCTCAAAGAAAGACAGGCCCTTACCCAGGGGGTTCACTTGTGTACATACCTCAGGTTATGTCGGGTTGGGTCGGTGTGGTTTAGGTTAGGAGCGAGCGCTGCTGTGGAGGGTGACCTAACACGAAATAGGTTTTGCCGCCATGTTTCTGTCTGACCCGACCATCGGTGCCAATGCCAATGCTTATGGGGTCAGTCAACCTGGAAACAACTGAGTGATATTTCCTTGGCTTCGCTGTCGCTTCCAGTTCTATCCCGGCCGAGTTCTTTTCGTCCCCCCGTCCTGTCCTGAGCATTCCCTGTTTGGCCAAGCCGAGCGAGGAAGTACATGCGGCACTGCCTGCTTGTGCATACCTTACCTGCATGCAGCAGAGGAGCAGAGGGGCCAAGGACCGTCAGTTCCTGGAATCGACTTCTGGCGACGACCTCTCCGCCCGCACTGGGTCTTGGGTGGCCCAAGCAAGGGGCCGCCGACTTGTCCACGGCGCTGGCCAAATGATACGGCTCGGATGACGGCTGGATACTAGCAGTGAGGCGAACGCGGCTCTCTTCCGAGTCCATTGGTACATACTCTCTGTCCAGTACGGAGCACATAGGGAACGGATACCTAGGCCACGGTTGGCTGTTTCCGCAGACTCAGGTACCAACCATATCCACGACGCCCAACCTGTCTACCTTACCTACTACCTACCTTATTTGTACTTTGGGTACTGTATTTCAACTTGGCCTAGCTGCTTGCTTTTCCTTGTCTTATTGACAGTCCAACTCTACTTCGTTTGTAGGTGCCGCGATTCTAAAGCGTCTTGGTTCAGTTTCGTACCACAACCGGCTTCCCGGCATTCTCGTGTTCCTCTGGAGTCTTTCCCGTTTCTGCTTCCACGCCGATCAATCGGTCAGCAGACCACCAAGAAAAGGACAAGCCGTCTCTCCTGCCTTTTTTTTCTCACAAAAACCAGGACCGAGCATGTCCGATGGCTCACCGGGTTACTGGCGGGGACGACCACTCCCCGGTCCGCTATTCGGGCGGCAGACTCTCCTCTCCCTTCAAACGCCGCCCATACAATGCCGGTGACGAGAATGAGAACTCGAGATATAAGCGGCCAAAACATACCCAGCATTATCTCCAGCATGTTCACCGGGCCTACGAGCCCGTCGACGACCCGCTCGGCCCCTTACCCTCTCACCCTCACCCGCACCCGCATCCGCACCAGTACCAGCAACAGCACCAGCAACAGTATCCCCAACTCCAGCATGCCCACCTCCATACACAGGTACAGGCCCATACATATTCCCCTGTCCATTTCCGCGCCCAGGCCCGCTCCCAGTCTCACCCACGCCAGTCCCCGGAACCCGCGGCCTGCGAACTGGAACGGACAGCCTCCGGCCTCTCTATCCGGCCCGACCCCACCGAGCGGTGTGCCTCGACCGAACTACTCGAGGACGACGAAGCCGCCCAGCGGGTCCGGGACCACATGGCCATGTTTCGCCGCCGCTTTCCCGACTCCAAGCACGAGCGAATCCTCCGGAGCATCATTAGCCCGAGGGCCAACGCCGAGTACCCGCTCGACAACGACTCGCTCGAGAGCATCTTCTCGGCCGCCAACGAGATGTTCTTTAACGGCCGCCTGAGCCAGCGCGTCATGTGGGACTGGTCCCACGAGTCCAGCGCCCAGTACGACAGCAAGGTCATCGGGACCACGGCCCTACGGCGCGCCAGCACCACCACCCGCGGCTTTGAGACCCTCATCGTGCTGTCGTCGCCCATCCTCCAGGACCAGAAGTACAGCCGCCGCCTGCTCATCTCCACCTTTTTGCACGAGCTCGTCCACAGCTACATGTTTATCTGCTGCGGCTTTCGCGCCCGCTGCTACGGCGGCCACACCCCCGGCTTCAAAGAGATCGCCAGCCTCATCGACGACTGGGCCGGCCCCGACAGCGCCCTCCACCTGGGCGAGATCGAGGCAGACCTAGAGCGGTTCCGCATCTCTTCCGGGTTCGCCGATGACGACGCGGAGCCGCCATCGTCGCTGGACCGACCCGACGATGGCGGCGGCGGCGGCGGCGAGGACGACCCAAGCATCCATCACAGCTACTACCCCTGCTCCGGGGTCACTGCGGAGCGCAGACACTACTTGCAGGATCAGCAACAGCAACAGCGGGAATATGCGATCGCCCCCGCCCGCGCTGTTCGCAGGGCGCGGAGCACTAGTTCGGACCCGGACTACTATCGCCAGCCATATTCCAACGCACATGCCCATGCCCACGTCCAGCCTCAGCACCACCAATACTACAGCGACGATGACATCCCGGCTACCACCACGACATGGTGGAGATACAGGGCAGCCGTCCGGGCCCCCTACTCGGCTTCATCAGCCTCTGTTCTTACTGCAACCGCTGCGACAGCAAGTTTTGCTGCCGCCGACGACGGTGACGACGGCTGGGGCTACCCGTGATACGTTTTTACATGCACTCTGGCTTCCATGTCCCAGAGAGATGAGATCTTAATATTGAATTTTGATCTATGTTCTGATCGTTGCGTCTCTTTGCGCAACGGGGCACACGAGAGCAGTTTTATTTTCCTCTCTGTTGTCCTGCATCATGCTTTCCCTGTCTTTCCCTTTCTCTCATCTGCATCGAGGCGAGGCCGTTTAAGACTACAGGCGGGGGTGGTTTGCTTGTTCAGATTTTTTTGCTGGACCCAAGGAGCGAGTGCGGGTGGCTACATGTCTACGCAACAGAAACCATGTGACGTGCAGGATGGGGACGAGGCAAACCGTCTTTTCTTGCCTTGATTGTTGGGGTCGTGGGCGGCTAACCTCTAGCATAAATTCCAAAGTTTTTCTCTTTTCCTTTTGTTCAGAGAAATAAAACGTGTTTGGAGGCAGGAAGTGGTGTTGGTGGAGGCGATTATCATATCATATCGCATACATACCCATTTCTTTCATTTCGTTATAGACAACACATGGTCATGGCAGATTGGTTTGGAGGTTGCTTCTTTTTTCCCCTTTCTCACTCTACCCCATGCATTCCCCATTCGCCTCCCCCATTTATTTTCGCAAACCTTGCTCAAAAGGGCGGTGATAGGCATACCTCCCCTGTCACACTGCGCACCTTCACCCTAGATACCACAGAGTTCCTTCTTTTTGTCCCACCCTCTCCTTTGTTTGGTCGTTTTCGCGCGTTTCATCATTTTTGGCATGCATGCATACATACACTCATATAAACATGGCCACATCGGTCATCATCATACATACCTATCTTAGATACCCCCTTATAAATTTACCAAGACATGTTTTGCTCTAAAACGATGCGTGGTACTTTTCATGTCTTCAATGTGCACGTCTAATAGTCAACCCTGGGTCGTGGGTCTTCTTCTCTCCTCTGGGATCTAGTATGTAAATGTATTTGTGACTCGTAACGAGCCCATTAAATTCCCATGTATGTGTGTTGTAATGGAACATCAAATTATGATGGGAGCCCTCCCTCTCTACCAATGGATGCACCGCCGTTGTACCGTTTCCCTCCCTAGCGCCTGTCCTAATAGCCATGCACCCTTAGCTACTAAACAAACAATGCCTGCTGCTGCTGCCGTTTATGTCGCTACCGCTCTGAATCCTATGTACGCGTACGCCTTCTGCTCCGTAGTATACGAACCTCCCACCCCAAGCTTCAATTCTCACTGTTATAGATTCCATCTTTGCAGAGCACGGCGACCTTCTTGAAGAAGCGACGCCACTCGAGCGGATCTCCCTTGATCTTGACGAAATGCACCTCCAACAGCACCATTTCGTTGGGGAGGTAGTACTTGGACACGGAAATGTCGCCATGGAGGCTCTGGTTGCGGCCGTCCATCGTCTTGAACTTGAGTGTCATGATATGGTCCGAGTGCAAGTTCACCGGGGGCATCGGCGGGAGGGGTACATTGAGCTGGTGCAGCGCGTCGCCGAGCATCTGGATCAGCAGGTCGGGCGGCATGTGCGAGTAGAAGCGCGTGAGCGAGTAGGCCGGCACAATGTCGCGGAAGCGGCGAGCGTGCTGCGTGAGGCTGAGCGGCACGCCGGGCATCTGCGAGAACTGGCTCATGGTGGGCTCGTCGGCCAGTGCGTCGAGGGCAGCGCCGTGCGCCCCCCGGTTGCTCCTGGAAAATAGGTCGGAGTTTGTAAGCGGCTGCGACGATGAGACGCCGAGTTGAAGCAGAGGCCGCGTGGCTGGCCGTTCCCACTCAAACAGGTTGTCCTGGATCGGTATATCGGGCTGCGTAGCTGGAAACCTTGAGAAGTCGTCTGCAGCGACGCCCCGAGAGTCGACATCCATCGCATCTGCATGCATCTGTCTCTGCGAGGGTGTCGGGTCCGCGTTGAGGTCGATCCGGAGGGCCGCGAGCATCTGCGTGGCAAGATGGATGGGGTCGGATACCTTGCCATCGTCGGTGAGGAGAGGGTTACGCCGTGTATACCACGGATGCTGGCGGATACGTGTGGAAGAGAAGCGCTTCTTTGTGTCGATGTTCATCATACCCCGGAGGAGGGACTGGACGTCGGCTGGGACCCTCTCCCACAGTGAGTCAGTGCTTCGGCCCTGAGTCCGCACGTACTCCTGAAACTCCCAGCTGCCTGAAGTGGGCTCGTCCCAGGGCGTGTTGCCGACCAATAGGACGAACAGGATGACGCCACAAGACCAGATGTCGACCAGATCAGCCGAATATTTGGCCGCGTTGGGCGACTTCCGGTCAGCCCTGGCCGAGGCCAGAACTTCGGGCGCAATGTAGGGCGGGCTGCCGCACATGGTAGAACTCTGCTTCTTCTGGCCCTTGTACTCGAACATGGTGGCCATGCCGAAGTCTGCGATCTTGAGGTTGCCGCTCTCCGACAGCAGGATGTTCTCGGGCTTCAGATCTCGGTGGGCAACGCCCTTGGAGTGCATGAAGCTCACGCCGCTGATCAGCTGCAAGAAGTAGACGTGAGCAATGTCTTCGAGCACGCCGACATCTGCCTCAATCTTGTCGAAAAGATCGCCGCCCTCGGCGAATTCCATGGCAATCCACCGCCAGACGGCATCCTCGCCGGTGGCAAACCACTCGATGATGTTGGGATGCTGTCCAATATGAGAGTGCAGCGACACCTCCATGGCGATTTGCTTGGCAGATATACGGCCCTGCTTGACAGCATAGGGCTTGTTTATCAGCTTGACAGCAAAGACTGGTGACGTCGCATCTAGGGGAATGGCTTTGCGGATGCTGTAAGCGCCTTAGTGAGCTGTTCGTTCCTGTGTTTATGTTTTTGTTCTTATTTTTGGGTTTGCCCCTTTTGTCCAGACTCAAGACTAAATTCACTCACGATGCATAAGCCCCCCTTCCGATTGTCTTCGAGATGAATCGGAAGGGGAGGTCCTTTGGAAGGGGATCTAGTTGCGACTGTTGTTGCATGTTGGTTTAGTGGATGTAGGTCACGATCATGAAGCAGCAACAACAGGTGCTTATGGCTTTGGGTGGTGAGTGTGGCGGGTATGCAGAAAGGCACGCCGTGTTCCAATCGACGATGGGTGAAAAAGGGGGTGGAGGGGTATTAATCAGAGCAAGGCTGAACGAGATGCTGCGATCTGAAATGCTGAAATGCCGAAATGCAAAACACGGGGTAGTCGCCCACTCAGAATAAGTACAGAAGATGTAAAGTACTTTCAGGCTTTTTGGAGACTACTGTGTAGTGCGGTAGCTTGAGTAAGTAACAAAAAGGCTGATGCAGCCGAAAATAGAAAGATCAAGCAGATCAAAAATGCTAGGCTTGGGCAGGTGCTTTCGAGAAATTAGAGTGCACTCACCATTTTCAAGATGATATGCTCGCGGATTGGATGCAAACCTAAAGAGACGCGTGAAAGTCGCGTGTTAATCGCTTCCTCTGACAGGTTCCCCGAATTTGGAGCTGCAATGGTGTTTTGTTTGAGGACGGCTGAGGCAAACGCGGCTTCATTGGCTGGCGGGGTCCTTTTGCTTTCGCAGCATCCCTCCTGGCCTTGGACCCTGAGGCGCAGGCGCAGGCGCATGGGCCAGTGGGTGGTCCGGGTGCGTCGTGGTTGCTATAGAGGGGCCCTGTCGTAACTAGGGAGCCTGTGGGGGGACGCTTCCCAAAGTCGGGTCCTTCTGTAAACACGGAATGAATGGTGGCTCTTTGACCCTCCTTTGCCACTACCAGAACAAAGTGCCTTCCGACGACCTCGAACGTCTTCCGAGCCTTGACAACCAACAACTCCTAAGAACCGGCATCCTTGGTGCTACAGGTACGAAATCATTTTTGCCTTGCCGCTTGCCCATGCCCTTTGTGCTGGGGCTTGCGATCGGTACAGAGCAACTATATTAACCCGTCTTGGACAGAATCAGAAGCCGACTTGTTCTGCGAAACCCACCCACCACCCACCCCATTGTTCCTCACGCCCTTGTTGTTTCGCCGTATTCTTTGCCTATACAAAGCGGGCTATCATGTCTTACAGCATGGAGGACAGCCAGAATTCGGCTCCAGGCAGCCTGCAGGCTACTAAGCTGGCCGGCGCAAGAAAGGGGCCCGATGGGCAGAATGCCGCAAAGAGGTAAGAAAGACACCGGCACCGGCCCGAGGTCACTAACACCATGCTGAAAATTTGCCGCAGGTTGCAGACGGAGCTCATGCAGTTAATGACATCGCCCGCCCCGGGCGTCTCTGCCTTCCCCTCCGCCGACGGCAATCTACTTTCGTGGCGGGCCACCATCGATGGCCCCGACGACACGCCGTACTCGGGCCTCACCTTCAAGCTCAGCTTCGAGTTCCCGTCAAACTACCCATATGCACCGCCTACCGTGCTGTTCATCACTCCCATATACCACCCCAACGTCGACTTCTCGGGCCGCATCTGCCTGGATATCCTCAAGGACAAGTGGACTGCCGCGTACAACATCCAAACCGTATTACTGAGTCTGCAGTCTCTCCTCGGCGAGCCAAACAAGTATGCGCCTCCCCACCACCGATTACCTAGAGTTGGAAATGCTGACAAGTCTGCAGTGCGTCTCCCTTGAACGGCGAGGCCGCGGAGCTCTGGGACAAGGATCCGTCACAGTTCAAGGCCAAGGTTATGGACCGGCACAAGGACATCGATGAAGACTAGGCGCGCCAGGAGGTGAATGGGACGGGGCAGCGCATTGGAAAGGAGAACCGGAGTCATTCTGTGTATTTGTCATGCTTTTGGAACCCTGGCGTAAGGCTTATGGTTCCTAGGATGGTTGGGACTGCATTTTCCAGGACGGAATTGGTTCATGGAATGGATATTCCCATCGTTGTCTGCTAGAAGTGCAGGCTGTCAAGTACATCAAGCATTGGCTTTTAATAGTCATTTCTGTTGTCCATAAGCGTATTACTTGGAAGCAAACAAAAACCAAGCGATCTAGCCACACAGCAGCTTTCCCAGCAGTTCCTTCATCACTGAAAAAGGGCTTCTGTGGTATCAAATGTGCCGTGTCGTATTTACGAAACCCTGAATTCGTAATGCGAAGCTAGATGCCATGTGTAACTCCGAAAGCCCAATGCCGCCCCGAAACCGAACCACGGCCCGTCGTCGATTCCCCTTTTGCGTCCGTCCCCTAGTTTACTCCTCCACAACCACAGTCGGCAGACCCTTGGGGTTCTTAACGTTGACGGCCTGAACGTAGCTGTACAGCTTCTCCTTAGCGCCTTCCTCGTCGTTACGTCTCCGCGAGATGCGGATGCGAAGTCTGTATGGGACACCCTTGACACCCTGCTCCCAGATCTTCTTGTTCAGCTGAGGGTCGACACGGACATCGGTGGTGCCCTATCGGTCGTCATTGTCAGTCTCATCTATCCATCCGTAACGCGACAGCAAGCATCTGAGGCTGCTCGCAAATGCCTCCCTAATAACTCTAGTTGAGAGGTCCTCCACGTACCATGGACAGAGTGGCGAACGCCTTGATCTCCTTGATAGCCTTAGGCGCCCTCTTCTTGAAGGTCACGCCATGCAACTGCCCATCTAGTCAGCATCCTGTCCTCTTGTAATCTGGTTCCTGGTGTCATTACCCGTTTGTGCAGGTGGATGGTGTACTCGCGAGCCACAACGTCAGCGATGGCTGAGCGCTGGGTTTTGCCGGCGGGCTGCTTTGCCTTGGACGACATTCTGACGGAGAGCGAGTTAGTACGATATCTGGCGAGGCCGTTTTCCGCGACGAGGAGATTGAACTGAATCGGATCAGGGCATTGGCTGAGGCTGTGGTGTACGTACTTTAGAGACGTTCGTTCGCTCGGTGATGGGGTTCAGGGCGTCGAGGTGTCGTTCGGTTTTGGAAATTAAGCGGTAGCCCTCCGTGAATTTTGCACTAGATTTTTGACGAAATCTGGGAAAGTGCGAGACCTGGGCTCAGGTCTCGGCTAACTTTCCTAAAGCGGGAAGGCACCGAGCTCTACCTGCCCCACACTCCCACCCCTCCACTCTGACCTTTTGCATGCCACTTGTCCGCCAGCTGAAGTGTCGCAAAATGAGCACGAGCCAATCAGCGTCCCCCAACCAACCTTGAAATCAATTGGACCCCCTTGTTCATCAGACCTCACGATTGCAGGGGTGCCGGGACTTGGAAACCGTTGATGCCAATCTCGTCCCCAGATCCCCATCTGAACAGCACTCTGCATCACCAATTTCGCCGCGACAGCCTCGAAATCCGCAACATATCGCCTCTCTGTCGCCGTGCACGAAGCGAGGGACACGTTCATTTCAGGCCAGAGTGTTTTCAATTATTCAGCTAGCAGATAACGCTCATTCGAAGGAGCGCGTTCGCAACATTGTCGGTTGAGAGAAGGGCAACGGCGTGTGTCGCTGTTGCGGGTGCCGATCTTAACAAGCCAGGTGGGTGATCAAACCTTTTTTCCACGGTAACCCGGAAACTCTACTCCAATACTTCGTGCCACACGACTACAACACGGTCGTGAACATAGCGCATCTTTGTCAAGCCTGGGGACAAGCGCCCTTACAACGCCTTCATCCAAGATATCACTCAATATCGTGTTGTCCATGCTACGAAGCAAACGGTCTTCTAACAATCTCAAGCTGCTAACCCTCGATTAGAAGCCCCTGCGATCGAGCTCTAGACATCAGCCATTGCCAGACTAGTCCAGTCGACATTGGGAATAAGCGCCCTCCGAATAATATCACCCTCCACGTCTCTGGCATTCCGGCCCGATCACCTCGAGCTGAGCAGGCTGTTAGCATCCCGCGCAGAACAATCTTGGGTCTTCTAGATTCCTGCTTGCTAGAGTCTTTAGTTGCCCCGCTGCGTTATTTCTTCCTTCGAATTCACAGTAATTCCCACAATGTCGGAACCAGTGTCGGATCCGATGGGATCTTCGCCCTCCCCCCAACCTGATCTAGGTCGTGACCGTCTTCCGACTCTCTTCGAGGTCCTCAGCCGGCGGACGCTCCCTCCAGTCGACTTGTTTTCATTCTACATCTACATGAGAGACCAGCAGCGTTCAGTTGACTATCTCGACTTCTGGTCGGTTCTCTTCTACATTCCCCGCTCTATGAGCCAAGATTGCTTACTCAAATACTCAGGCTTGATGTTGCTCAACACATGTCTCTATGCCGCCATTATGTCCGTGAGCTACGGCGCTCCGTCCTAGTCGGTACCCCTGAACTAGACAAGGGCTCAAAGCGGTCTTCTGCCATCTTAGAGGGCTTAGGAGACATGCACCACCCTGCAGCCGGACCGTCGATGTACGCCACAGAAAAGGAGAGGGGCGTGGATGCGCAGTTGTCATCCTTCCTGCGGGAAGAGCGCGCAGATAACCATGACTCTCCGCAAAGTAGCAACGACAGACGGGACCGACCGAGTCCAAACGTTGGCTCGGCGAGAGATGTTACGACGGACTCCAACTCGCCCGCCCATACTGTGGCGCGGAACGACATTAGAGCTTCCGCCGAGAAGATACTCTATACGTATCTGATGCCGAATGCGGAGCGCGAGATTACACTGCCCGGTTCGATAACGGCAGATGTCACGACGGCCATCGAGGAGTTTGGACGTGATGATCCCGAGGTGTTTGATGTCGCCAAGGACTACGTCTTCCAAGCGATGGAGCGAGATGCGTTTCCCGGCTTTCTCAGAATGAAGGCTCTCGGGAATCTCATCCCCCCGACACTCATCATGCGTCTCATTCTTGGTCTGGTATCCATGTTTGGTGGTTTCTGGGCGGCCTTTATCCTGATTTTTCTCAATGAGTCACGGAGAACTAGGCTCTGGGTACATTTATTTTTCGTATTTTTCCGTTGTTCACCTCTCTTCCTGCATTTGGCTGACCAATCTTGTAGCTCGTCTTACCGTTCACCGTCGGTGTCTACTGTCTCGCTTCATATCAGTATTCTCTGGATCCCATTCTTGCTCTCTTTGGAGCGAGCGAATACACGCCCTTCAACTTCTCTCGAGTTCGGGAGGCCTACGTCCGGAGGATGCTTGCCCGGCGGGCCTTGACCGTCCTCGCGGTCACGGTACTCATTGACGCAGCGCTTTGTGTGCTCTTCATACTTGTTCCCGGAAAGCGACTCTGAGTGAGGTTTTGGGCTCGGCACACTTCAGCAGCCCGTTGCTGCGGTTGCTCTCTTGCTTACACGAAAATCAACATATACAACGTGTTGCTACCGGCATCTTTGAAAAGCAATCATGCAACATGGGAATGCTACAGAATTCATCGTCACAATAAGATATGGCTGTCTAATTTTCTCTCTCTACTGCTTTCATGGGATCCGAGAAAGAAAAGTCAACGGCTGAAATTTTACTGGCAAATGGGCGTAATGATTACGGAGAATTTCGCTAAAACACACCTACAAATCCCCACCTTTCGGGGATCTTGCGGGGAAGAGAAGGCTTTTAGAAGGGGAAGAAGAAGCTTGCCAGGCGTTTGCAATGACAATGTGCGGAATAGGGGTATACCAACTGGAATCATGGGAATGGGGTGTTTTACGGTAAAAGGTTGTTGACGCCGCCTTGTTTTTCTTTTCTTTTTGATGATGTCTTGTATGTTTTTTCTACCTCTATCATCTCATTTCATGCTGTACGCAACAGGAGAGTCAGTCAGGTCACGTCACGTCGGGTCAAGGTATGGATGAGCATGGATGTATTATACGACTTTCTTTTTTCCGAATGTGGGTGAAGTGGCGTTTGGGAACGAAACAGTTAGCAGTAGCATTGCCTTTTCTGGCAGCATGTACGAGTGAATAGGTATGTCTAGTGGAAAGGTTCCAGGTCACTGAGCGAATCGGGGTGCTGCTTGTTTGCTCTCTCGGGCTTCGTTTAAGGAGATTAATCAACATTTAACCATTCAATGATACGATATGGACTCTGCCATGCCATTTATATTTATCTCTTTTCTGTCAGCATATGCGGTGTGTCATTCACAATTAGGTTCACATGTTGAGGTTATAGACAAGAAGAATTACGAAAGCCACCTACGAAAACCTGCGTGATATATCATAATAGGTCGTTACTCAACTAGTATCGACTCGGGCATCGTGAATCCATGGGCCATCCCACTCTATTTGGAGTTCTTTTCTGGCGATCGCCCCGGGGAGACCCCGACGGGACAATCATCAGACAAGTCCAAGGTGATGAGATACACATGGATGCCATGCGATCAACGGTTAAAACAAAAAAGACTGAGAAAAAGAGAGGACAAAAACAACGGCTTCTTTACTAAAGCCTCCGCCGGCTGGCCCGCTTCTTTCCGTCAACTAGGTCGTCCTCGTCGTCGAGATCCATGGCCTCGTCATCAGCATCGCCTCCTCCGCCAGAGGGCGCGTCCATGTGACCGCTTCCGCGCTTACCAAAACGCTGCCCCTTGATCATGTTCGCGATGGCCGAGTTCCCGGCGAACGGTCCCTGTCCGGATGCGCCCGAGAAAATGCTGTCGCCGCCGGCGCCGGCCCCGGTAATGCTGCTACCTGCCCAACCCGTCGTCAGCAAGCCGGTCGGCCGTACATACTAGTTGTGGTTTTCATGGGGAGGAGACCAGGCCGGAAGATGATGCGCACCCTTGTGTTGCCCGCTTATCTGATGTCCTCCTCCTCCCTGCATCGCCTGGTTCTGGTCCTCGTCGATGAGCTTCTCTATCTTCTTGGACCAGGCGGCCGCCTCCGTGGCGCGCCGGTCGGCGTCGGCCCGCAGCCCAGACATTTGCGTCTCAAGCGACTGCAGTGTCTCCTCGCACCGGTCGGCCCACGCCTTCAGGCTGGACAGCAGCCCACCGATGGCTCCACCGTTGCTGTCGTGAACGGAGCCGGAACTGGAACCGGGCGTCACGTCGCGCAGGGCCGTCACGCTGTTGACGTGCACTACCTCGTGCTTCGGGTCCAGCTGAACATGAAGAAGCCCAGCATACACGGCGCTGATAACTAGCTCTTCGAGCTCGCGGGCGCTGCCGAGTTCCAGCGCTTCAAGCAGCCGTGCGTAGCTCAGCGACGCGCCCGGCTCGCACGTGTCATTGGCCAGCGTCAGTAGCGACAGCTGCCGCAGCTTCAGCTTCTGGGCATCGTTGAGCGGCGGGAGAGTTTTCGTTGTGCTCGCGGCCGCCGAGTAAGTGGTATACGTGCCGTAGCTGAAGATCTTGAGAAGCTGAATGTACGCTGCAAGCTCGTGGTCGGGCGACCACGCCAACGCCTGCACCTGCTGCGTCTGAAGCAGCTCCGTAAAGACGAAGGTGTTGGGTGATGAGGTGGCGCGCGCGACAAGGTCGGCCGCCGCACGCGGCGAAGTAGCAGATTTTGAGAGCGCGAGGAAGGGCTATGGAGAGCGGGAAGAAGCGAGGCAGACTATGTGTTAGTACGTTCTCTTGACCTGGTTTCTGACTTCACAATGGAACAAACCTCAATGTGGGTGGCAGGGAAACGAGTGAAGGTAAAATGGGCAAGGGGCCGGTGACGGTAGTTATAGTAAGTACGAACCTCAAGCGCATTGAGAGCCTTGGGGAGCTCCATCTTGTACTCTGGTTCGCGTCGTCGTAGTCGCGTCAGTTACTGCAGCTGAGGTGATTGACAGCTGCTCAAATTCCTGGACGCAATAGCACGAAGCTTGACAATAGCTAGAAGAAATTTCTAGCTGCCGACCGCCGAGCTATTTCATTTCAAGAGGTAATGAAAAAAAATCTGATGAGATATTCGCTTCTTTTCGGCCAGTCGAGTCGTCAAATTCAAGGTTCGTGAATGAATGAGCGACGAGCAGCCTTGGTGGGGCGCTTGGGGTAAGGCTGAGCTCCCTCTCTTACGCCGAATTACGTTGAGCGGGGTAGCAAGTGTGGCTTGAAAAGCCGGGGGGTCAAATGCGGCGGCTTTCATCGCAAATGCTTGTTTTTTTGTTTCTTTTGCTTATTTCACCGCGGGATACGGAGTATTCCGTATTCCGCTCCTTTCAAGGGCTACGTATACATCTTAGGTACGGATAGTAATCGTCGGTCTAAACGGAGTATGGAATATCCGTAATACGCACGGAAACGCGCGGCAAGGCCACGATCTCTCATCACTTCGCACTATCAATCTTCCGATAACAGCAGGTCTGGCCACATTCACAACCCCATTTAGCCGCAGCCGTCAGCCTGTCGATTCTTTTTGCCCTTTGCAATTTACCAGTGCAGAATCAAGCGCTGTCTTCTGGCGTCTCAAGGTTGGGTTTGGAGGTCGAATAGACTGCGTCAGGTCTGTTTGAGCATCCAGGGGGCCAGCGACACCGTCTGGGTCCTGAGCGAGCGTGCAGGGATGACACACACAGCACAAACCTGAGCGCTGTAGACTGCCCGGGATCCCATTGGGAGACTCACCTCAGTGCAGGTCTCCCGCGTTGGACTGCCCTGGGCGTTCGGCTGCCGGGCGGGGTCGGGGGTTAGGAACTCCAGGGCCCAGGGGTCCAGATCAGGTCGGCCATCGAATTGCCTTTTTAGCGTGGGCACGTTTTAAGCTATCTTGCCCGAAACAAAGAGTACAGTGCGAGGCCTGGAGAGTTCCCACAGAGCGCTCGTGGCCTGTCTGGTCAATGGCGTCCGCTTTGTCCACTCGCACACTTCTTCCTGTGAGGAGTATGCCGACAGATGCGGGAGATGCAAGCCAAAGGACGGGACTATCGAATATTGAGCCGGCTCTGAGCAACACTGCGTACGTGCGGGTGCGTGACTTGTTGCAGAGCAGAGCTACTAAAATAGATTGCTTCTAAGAAGTTCCAACACAGTGATGCAGCTATCGGCAGTGTTTACTCTGCGCCGGCATTTATCTCGATTGGCCAGTCTAGGACTCGCACCTTATTAAACAGTAATAGGCTTGCCTTCCCCGCCACCAACTGCGGCTCGAGAAACGCGGCCCAATATGAGAACTATCATCATATACCAGGAAAATTAAACTTCTTCGCCGTGTCTCTTTATTTATATATACAGCATGTCAGCTAGGTTGGAGGCAACAGTTGCATGATCAACTACTCGTTTCCTTTTTATCTGGAAAGTTCTGGGCAGCAACACTAGCTGAAGATGCCACATTTCCCCTTTTCATTGGAGTTCGGTATCTACGGAATAAGATACTGTATTGAAAGCAGAGATACGCCCAGCGGCGCAGCATAGTGTATAGCAGGGCTTCCATACGCAGTATAGACCTGCGTAAGCTTTATATTTACCGCCACCATTGTCTTCCTCCTTCCTGTAAGAGAATAAATAAATATTACGGGCAGTCATTCCCGGGCATCCGTATGTTGGTAAGTCATCCTAGTTTAGAGGTACGAAGTAAGTACCGTAAGATCTGCCCCATGTCTCAAACCATGGCCATGGGATGAGATGGAAGCGACCACAGTGTCTCGGTCGGGGGGTCGGCCGTTTTCGGTCCATTTGATCTCTACTACGATGGAATGAAATCTTGGACACTGGCTGTTCGGTTTTTAGCATGTGGAGGCAAGATATGAGCCATGTTTCCGGCAGGCGATATTCTCGATACGGAGAATGAACACTATTTCTAGACACAGGCCAGACATTTACAGGCACCTGACCTGGAAGCGGAATCCCGGCACCAGTTGGCCGCGGCCGAAACTGCGTGGGTTCGACCCCCTAGCGCCTTCCCCGAGTCCTCTCTCCACATCTCGAACCGCACAGTGCACCGCTACTGTGTCGGGCGCTAGTCAGCTAACGTTTAGCTGCCGATCCTCCCGTCTCAAGAGGTCTCGAGCCAAAGCTGAGCGCTGACAAAAGTTCGGCCAAAGCGTGCTTCGCACCCCAAATCCCGTCCCATCCATCCATACGTATATGTAATTGTACATAATAAGCAGACCGCCTCTGCCAGAGGATTTGGCCAGTTCTCCTGATGCTGAAGAACTGCCAAGCTTCTTTTCGGTTTCATCGACAGCATCGTTGCCCACATGTTATAGTACCGACGTCTGCGAGTGTTCGTCTTGGCTTGCGTGCGGCCCGCGATCCCAGCTCAGCGCAGCTCGACATCGCATCCCCCGCAAACCGACCTGACCTGCCCACGCCCCTGGGCCGCGTAGATCCTCTCTGGACTGCGGCGGGGCGCACAACCGTCGGAGATCGAGATCGAGAAAGACATTTGAACGAGATTGAGAGATAGGAGGAGGAAGAAGAAGTGGTAGAAAAAGAAATAGAGAATGGCTCCTCCAAAGATCCAGCTTCCTCCCAAGGACGCCGCCCAGTATGGTGTGTCGCTGGCGGCGCCAACTGCCCACATGGCGACCACGACGCTCAAGGTCGACGGCATGACGTGAGTTTCTTCATCCCGGCACACCCAACCTTGCTTGGCCCTGCCTTGCCGCAGCCTAGTTCGAAAATATAATCAATTAACCAAACCCCGTCGCGTTTAGTTGCGGCGCATGCACTTCGGCCGTTGAAGCAGGCTTCAAGGGCGTCGACGGAGTCGGTAGCATATCGGTCAGTCTGGTCATGGAACGAGCCGTTGTCATCCATGATCCCCAACGAATTTCGGCCGAAAGGGTGAAGGAAATCATCGAGGACCGCGGCTTTGACGCAGAGGTCTTGGCGACCGACCTCCCTTCTCCCATGGTACCGCGACCTTCGTTCGGCGCATTCCCGACAGACGGCGATAGTGGCCCGCCCATGATGATCACAACGGTGGCCGTCGAAGGCATGACATGCGGCGCCTGCACGTCGGCGGTCGAGGGCGGGTTCAAGGACGTGGCGGGCCTGAAGCACTTTAGCATATCGCTGCTGTCAGAAAGGGCAGTCATCGAGCACGACCCGGCCATTCTCAGTGCCGAGGCCATTTGCGAGACAATCGAGGACCGTGGGTTCGGCGCGACCGTTGTCGAGAGCACCGAGAAGCAGCCCGAGGGGAGGGCGGCACGAAAAAGCATGGATAACCGTCCCTCGGCAGCCATCACAACGGTCGCTATCGAGGGTATGACATGCGGCGCTTGCACTTCGGCTATCGAGGAGGGCTTCAAGGACCTGAGCGGTCTCTTGCGGTTCAACATCAGCCTGTTGGCGGAGCGGGCTGTCGTCACGCACGACGCAGCATTACTGCCGCCAGAGAAGATTACCGAGATTATCGAGGACCGCGGATTCGGTGCCAAAATCCTGTCAACCACTGTTGAAGGCGCCGATCACTCCAGTGCCACCTCGACAGCTCAGTTCAAGGTTTACGGAACCATGGACGCTGCTGCAGCTGAGGCACTCGAGAACAAGCTGATAGCACTGCTGGGTGTCAGCAGCGCGAAGATGTCGATGGCATCCCTCAGGCTGACCGTTGTCCATGTCCCCGCCGTGGTAGGGCTGCGCGCCCTCGCAGAGGCGGTTGAGGATTCCGGGTTCAATGCTCTCGTCGCGGACAATGACGACAACAATGCCCAGCTGGAATCCCTTGCCAAGACTCGTGAGATCACCGAGTGGAGGCGCGCCTTCAAAATCTCGCTCTCCTTTGCCATTCCCGTCTTCCTCACCAGCATGATCATCCCCATGGTCGTTCCCGCGCTAGACTTTGGGAAAATCCTCATCTTCCCCGGCTTGTACGTTGGGGACGTATTTTGCATGGTCCTGACGATACCCGTCCAGTTCGGCATCGGAAAGCGATTCTATCGCTCAGCCTGGAAGTCTATGAAACACGGCTCTCCGACCATGGACGTCCTCGTCGTCCTCGGCACCTCGTGCGCGTTTTTTTTCAGTGTCATGGCCATGATTGTGTCCATCGTGATTCCTCCCCACACCAGGCCAAGCACCATCTTTGACACGAGCACCATGCTCATCACATTCATTACTTTGGGCCGCTTCCTAGAGAATCGGGCCAAGGGACAGACCTCCAAGGCGCTCTCGCGGCTGATGTCGCTGGCCCCGTCCATGGCCACCATCTACGCGGATCCCATCGCCGCCGAGAAGGCCGCCGAGGGCTGGGACAGCATTGCTGGTTCTGGAGAGCCAAAGACGCCCCGGGATAGCAATGCCGCCGAGGAGAAGGTCATCCCCACCGAGCTTATCCAAGTGGGCGACATTGTCATTCTTCGGCCTGGCGACAAGATTCCTGCCGATGGAGTCATGGTCAGAGGAGAAACATATGTGGACGAGAGCATGGTGACGGGCGAGGCGATGCCCGTCCAAAAAGGAAAGGGAAGTCTTCTGATCGGCGGTACTGTCAACGGCCACGGGCGTGTCGACTTTCGCGTCACGAGAGCCGGCCGCGACACCCAGCTCAGCCAAATCGTGAAGCTGGTCCAGGATGCGCAAACCACGCGCGCGCCAATTCAGCGCCTGGCCGACACCCTGGCTGGCTACTTCGTTCCGACCATCTTGTTTCTTGGTCTTATGACCTTTCTCGTCTGGATGGTCCTGAGCCATGTTCTCTCCAACCCGCCCAAGATCTTCCTCGAGGATGCAAGCGGCGGCAAGATCATGGTCTGCGTCAAGCTCTGCATATCTGTTATCGTCTTTGCCTGTCCCTGCGCTCTCGGCCTTGCCACCCCGACGGCCGTCATGGTTGGAACCGGCATAGGTGCAGAGAACGGCATCCTCGTCAAAGGCGGTGCCGCCTTGGAGACCACGACAAAGATTACCCACGTTGTTCTGGACAAGACCGGTACCATCACATATGGCAAGATGAGCGTGGCCCAGGTCAACATCGTCTCGGCATGGGAAGATTCCGAGTGGCGCCGGCGGCTGTGGTGGACCATTGTCGCTCTGGCCGAAATAGGCAGCGAGCACCCTGTGGGCAAGGCTGTGCTCGGTGCCGCGAGGACGGAGCTGGGCCTCGGCCTTGAGGCGACCATCGAGGGCAGCGTCGGCGAATTCACTGCGGCTGTTGGTAAGGGCATCAGCGCGCATGTTGAGCCGGCGACTTCGGCCGAGAGACTCCGGTACAAGGTGCTGGTCGGAAATGTCCACTTTCTCCGAGAGAGCGGTATTGATGTCCCGACGTCGGCAGTTGAGGCCTCGGAAAAGATCAATGTAGCTGCTGCCACGTCACGCTCGAAGGCGTCGTCCGAGCCCAACCCGGGCACGACGAACATCTTCATTGCCATTGACGGCAAGTACGCCGGCCACCTCTGCCTCTCCGACACTATCAAGACAGGCGCCGCGGCGGCCATCGCCGTGCTGCACCGCATGGGCGTCAAGACGTCCATCGTCACGGGCGACCAACGTAGCACTGCTGTCGCGGTGGCGGCCGCAGTCGGCATTGACGCTGACGACGTGTATGCCGGCGCGTCCCCGGACCAGAAGCAGGGCATCATCCGCAAGCTGCAAGAAGGCGGCGCCGTCGTGGCCATGGTGGGAGACGGTATCAACGACTCACCGGCGCTAGCCACGGCCGACGTGGGCATCGCCATGAGCTCGGGCACCGACGTGGCCATGGAGGCTGCCGACGTTGTGCTCATGCGGCCCAACAACCTCATGGACATCGCCGCAGCGCTACACCTCGCCCGCACCATCTTCCGGCGCATCAAGCTAAATATGGCCTGGGCCTGCATGTACAACCTCATCGGCCTGCCCTTCGCCATGGGCGTCTTCCTCCCCCTCGGCTACCACCTCCACCCCATGGGTGCCGGCGCCGCCATGGCCGCCAGCAGCGTCAGCGTGGTCGTCAGCAGTCTCTTCCTCAAGTTCTGGACCCGCCCCAAGTGGATGGACGAAGCCCTCTACGAGCACTCGGGCACCGTCAAGAAGCGTGGCCGCGGCTGGGGACCCGTCGATGCTGTCGTCGTGCGGCTGCAGGACCTGGTCATGCGCGTTCGCCGCGGCGGCAAGGGCAAGGACGACGGCTACGTTCCGCTTGCGATGTTGGATGTTCCCGAGCAAGGGGTGTAGCGGAGCGATATTCCCTTTGCGTTCTCGTATGGAGTTTTGGGGTTGGGCACAGCGGTCTCTTTTCTCTCTTCCTTGTTGGATACCTAACCTATCTTTTCTTTTGCCTTTTTTTCCCTGTAAGTACGCACTCTGAACCTCGGCAATGGCGTTTCAAGGAGGAAAATTATTTTCCGCGGCTCATTTTGGCTTTCTTCTACGGCGGGTCAAGTTCTTTTGGCATGGAAGAGGCTAGAGGCGAGAGAACGAACAAACAAGCGAGCGAGCGAGCGAAATTATCGCTACATGTACATACCTACAGTAAATAAGTTCGAGTATGCAAGGAAATTCTGGTTTCTACCTTGGGTACGGATCCAGGATAAACCCAGATTTTGTTCAATACAGATTGCAATCAGATTCTCATGCGTGCGTCTTGTGTCTGAGTCTTTGAGAAGAATAGAAGCATGTTTATAGTTCATATGTATCTTGCAAGTAGATTGTGGTGACGTGATGGATGGCCGCATGCATGATAACCGAGGTCGGCTAGCTGGGTAGCTGGCCGGCTGTCTTAGAAACGGTCTCTCTTCTGATCGAGGGACCAAATGCCCATGTTAAACCTCTCGGGCCATTGATCTCCCCGCTGGAACAAATCGCTTCTCCTCTAGGTCCATTGACCAATCTAATATTGCTAAAAATTAATCCTTTACCTAGGTACCCAACCCAGCAAGCAACCAAACAGCCGCAGCGGACAAGGAGGTCACGTCAATGCAAACGAGCATCAAATAGGTATCCTTGATGTCTCTTTGCCGAGCTGCTCGCTTGCAAGGTCTCCCGAGACGACCTGACCACCACGAATAAGGTAAGGGGCAGCCTGCTTGGAAACCTCCCCAAAGGCAAGACGAGACAGGCAAGGCAGCGCGCAACACCGACAAAATCACGAGCGAGCATGGAAACAAAGATGAGTAGAGGAAGAAAAACAAATATCATTTCATTACTCAAGGTTTTCCCCTTTTGTTTTAACCCGCCGTGCCAAGCCGAGCCACGCCGTTGCTCCTGTTGTTGTTGTTGCTAAACCAATCAACCAGTCCAGTCCAGTTTTAGTCCATATGCCTGCCTGCCTAGTCTAATAAATAAAAGACGGACAAGGAAATCGAAAACAAAACTGACAAGGAAAGAGAGAGGTCATAAGAAAGGAGACAAGAAAGTAAGAAAAAAAAAACATCAAAACCCAATTGGACCGTGTGCCTATCTTGCTCTCGTCTTTTCCCCCTCTCTCTATCTGTCTGGACAAGTATGTACTGTACGAGCAAAGACACCCGGGCAATAATGCACCCTCCATAGTCTATCTATGTAAGTAAAAATGGTCTGGCCCCCCCGTGTGCACCATGAATGCAAGCGTATAATCAAATCACCGTGTGCTTCTTTTCATAAAAAAAAAGAACCTCAGCTGAAAAAGAAGTGAATGGGTCCTTTCTTTCCCACCGTGATGTATGTTGTCTGACTGGTCTTTCCAGGGGCGGTGGCTCTTGTTGTCATAAGCGAGCGAGCGTGTGAATCGGGTATGGTGTCGAAATCCGAAATGTATTAAGTGCCGCATAATAAGCTCAGCGAGAGAAAGAGGGGCAAAGGGAAATAAAACGCCTCGAGTGCATGAGAAACAGAAAAGAAAGGGGCAAAGAAAGTTCGGCCATCACTTGTCATCATGAAGTCGGGTGTAAGATTTTCTGCTGGGAAGGGGACGGCGTGCTAGGAGTAGTGGTAGGGTCCGTTGTCCCCGAAGGCTCGCTCTTGGATAGTATTCTACGCGAGTAGTAGGGATAATATTTGGGGCCGTTTTCCTCGCCCCCGTCCTCGTCCTCTGAGCTGCTGTCATCGTTCGCCCCTCGATTATTCGCCGCCTTACCATTGTCGTAGCTGTATGAAGAACATTGCAGCGACGACGATGGTACTGCTGCAGTATTCCCTCCCTCGCCACTTTCGTGCGCTGTTGCTGCCGCTGCAGCAACTGCTAGGCGATGTTCCTGCACAAAGTTCCGACTCTGATTATCTGATTCAACTCTCATCGATGCGCCTCGCGACACCAGCGGCGGCAGCGCCAACTGCGCAGGCTGAAACATGGGATACGACGCTGGAACCATGAAAAAAGGCGTAAAGTACTGGACGGGGTGGTGAGCAACTGACAGAGGAGCCGCGCGAACCGGGGTAGCCGTCCTGCTATGAAAATGGCCATCGCCCGAGTGGGAGAGTTCCGCTCGTGTCGGACTTGAGACGGCCGCAGCGGGAACCGCCGCAGATAAACGAGTAGCCCCCAGAGACCGGGGCGTGAATGGCGGCGCGTCAGGGTTCAGTCTCGATCCCTGCGGCACGAGAAAGGGTGTGTTAGACGGGAATAGAAGCAGCCAAAAGGATGTATATTAATAATACAGTCACTTTCGGCACGTCTATACCTCTTTCGTGTGCCCTGAGAACGAGGCTGATCTCGAGCGGACCTCGACATGGGTTTCGTCACTGCTGCTGCTGCCGCTCGACGAAGCCGAATCCTTGGAGTGCTCGTTGGACATTGTGCTCAACGCCGGTGTGCTGTTGACCTTGGCAAGCTCCGAGCTGGTCTCTTCGGCTGTCAAATCGTTGAGAATAGTGGGCGTCTTGGCTTCCTTCACTGCTGCCTTGTCCTCGGCCTCCTCCTTGTCCTTTGGTCGTACAAAGATCTGTTTGGCCCACAGGTCTGCATACTTGCCATTCGCCCGGATTAGATCCTCGTGGCTACCCTGCTCAACCAGCTCGCCGCCCGTGATAACAACGATGCTGTCTGCGTTCATAATGGTAGATAGTCGGTGCCTAGATAGCCACCCATCCAAGTCAGTATGTGCGTGATATTCTTCTGTCGCACCATGGCAAGAACTCACGCTACTATAAACGTAGTGCGGCCTTCGCAGAGCACGCGCAAAGCCTCCTGGATCTTCTGCTCCGTTTCCGTGTCGACCGCACTTGTTGCCTCGTCGAGCAGCACGATGGCAGGCCTCTTCAGGATTGCGCGTGCAATTGCAACTCGCTGCAGCTCGCCGCCAGAAAGCTTGATGCCGCGTTCGCCAACACGGGTTTGGTAACCTGCTCTATTGTCAGGACCGCTTGGAACCTTGTACGGAATTTTATGGCTGCATAGATTTAAACCTACCATCTGTGAAAGTCAAGACTTGCTCGTGGATACTAGCAGCCTTGCAAGCTTCGTAGACTTCTTCGTCCGTCGCCGTGAGCTTTGCATAGCGTACGTTGTTCATGATGGTGTCGTCGAAAAGAATCGGGGCCTGGGGCACCACACCGATTTGGCCTCGCAGACTATATCGGCCCACCAGTTAGCGCTGACAGGTGAGCACACAAAAAGAGATTGGTACTTACCTGAAGAGATCGACGTCGCGAATGTCCTGGCCGTCAATCTTGATGGATCCCTCCGTGACGTCGTAGAAGCGGTCCAGGAGCTTCAGGATGGTCGACTTGCCCGCGCCTGTGGCACCAACAAAAGCAATCGTCATGCCTGGGGTCGCGGTGAAGCTAATGTTTTTCAGAATGGACTTTTTGTTGTTGTATGAGAAATGCACGTTGTCGAAAACAACGTGTCCGCCGGTAAACTCCAGCGGTGGCGCGCCCACCTTGTTGGTGACTGTCGGCTTTGTCTGCATGATGTCCAGAAGCTGCTCTGCATGGATCAGATCCCTAGAAACCGACTTGCCCAGTGTCGCGAAGAAGGTCAGAGGGGCAACCAGTTGTGCCCAGTACGTCAACAGCATGATGAACTTGCCTGCCGTGGCATGCCTGCCGGAGGCGGGATCCGGGTCCGAATGCGTGACCTGATAGACGGCGAGAAAGGCGCCCGCCAAAAGACCCGACAGCAATACCAAGAACTGGAAGGCATACGCAAGGATATAGCCAAAGTAGACCTTCTGCGACTTGACCACACGATTCTGGACAGCAGCCGAGTAGCGTTCCTCCTCGTGTCCGACCTGGTTGAAGCAGGTGACGGTGGACCAGCCCTGGATGCCCGCCTGACGGACGTAATGCTCCTCGAACCACGCGCTGACCTCGCCCCGGCGGGCTGCCTTGAGCCCCGAGATCATCCGAGTGGCGATGAAGAGGAATATGGAGGCCGTGGCAACCGTAATGAACCCCTCGTACGGCCCTAGCTCGATCGAGAGATAGACAAAGGCCACCGACATGTCGACGAGCATCGGGATGGCCTGGAAGCAAATGGATTCGAGCATGCTCGATATGCTCTGTCCAGATTGTATCGCCATCATAATGTCCGACGAGCTCTTCGAATCATGGAAGTCGGAAGAGAGGTTGAGAACATGCGAGTACGCCGCCGTGCTCAGGGCACCAAATGAATAGTACTCAACGGGGATCCACAGCCACTGGCGAAGCAGCGAGAGCCCAGCCTCCGAGGCTACCAGCTTTAGCCCGGCGAAGACCAGGACCGCTATCCAGGGGTTCGTGTCGTTGTCTCCGTTGAGGCTGTCCGTAATGATGCCCATCTGCCGGGGGATAAGAACGTTGACGGCGTTCATGGCGAGCAAGCAGCATCCCACGAGCGCAATACGTATTTGGAGCTTCCGGTTATTCACAGGCCAGATATAAGGAACGAAAACCTGGACATTTGGCCTTGTCGTTAGAAGAGCTGCTAGTGGGTTACGGGTGATGGAGGATTGGGTTGGCATACCAGGAAGCTCTTCGCATAAGTAATCCAATTTCCCTTCTCCTTGAGTCGCTTTTCCATCTGCTCATTGGCCTGTCTCTCGCGTCTCTCCCACGGGGACTCTGCCTTGCCGGCTTTCGTGTCGGTTTTCGTAGTCTCGCCGTCGTCACTCGCCGAGTCGGACGTCGCCGAGTCGGAGGCTGCTGAGTTGGCGGTTTCAGAGTCAGAGGTTGCCGAGTCAGAGGTTGTCGAGCCGTAACCCTCGTGCTGTTGGCCGTCCGACTGGCCATCAGCCGTCTCGGAAGCATCACCATTGGGGTGGCCATTTGGCTTGAGCAGACTCTGGCGTTCCGAGTCGGTTGAATTCTCCTGCCTGGCAGTCCAGAGGCCCTCGGCGTAAAAGGCAAGGGCCAGCAATAAAGCGATGTATCTAGTGGCAACAGCCGATATGTCGAAGAACTCGGCATATGTAGGGCGCTCTGGTGACCGGCCCAGGAGGGACAAGGTCTCGATAATGGGTTCGAAAACCAAGGCCAACCCGAAAGACCCTATGTATGGGTGCCAGACAGGCTTCAGAGAGTCCGTTAGGCCGGCAAGCTCGACGCCAAAGACCAGAATGCACGAGAGAAGATTGATGATGGTGTCCTGCTCAGATGGAACTTCGTGGCGGCAAAACGAGAGCACCATCATGTTGAGTAGCTGGGCAAAGAAGGTGAGGATGACGAACGTTAGCAGCCAAATGATGGTCCGCCGACGCCCGTGGGCCTCGTCGGTTGATCTCGTCTGCAAGGTCAACACGGCAATGGCCGTCGAGACTATGTAATAGACGAACACGGTGATCGGATAGGCATAGTGGAGGCTCGTAAGGGCAGGCTCCATCCGATGGTTTGATGCCTGGTAAGCCATGCCAGCGTCGTATGGGTCCGCCATGGTGTATGTAGTAGGCCTTATCGGCGCAGCAGTCCAAGGAGCGTACGTCAAGGTCTAGATTCTAGTCTTGGTATCGAGACGACTGGGGCGATGATGTGGTTTCTTGGCCGTATGCAGCTTCTAGCGCTGCCCTTGGATCGGGGGTAAACAATGTCGATCTCCAAACAACTGTAAGCTTGGCGTGCTTTCTGGGTTGTGGTGTTGAAGAACTGCCGCAAAAGGAGCAAGAGGGAAGGTGGTCACCACGACACTCTTTAAGTAGTAGGTCAGGTAGTTTTTTTTGTTTTGGATTGGATTAGATGAAGCGAGGCAGCTTCAGTCTGCCAAGTCCTTGACCTAGTGCGTAAACTCCAGAAGCCCAGATCTTTGTCAATTGCTGGTCGTTCCTTTTTCAACCGACTCCTTTTCACAGTGCCGCCTACCTACCCAAGCTGTCGGCTTCAGGCAAGAGTCAACTTACGGGGCTGTGTAACAAGCAAAGCCCAAGGCGGTACTTTCTCTGAATACAGACCGAGGTCAGGGGCGGCCTCTTCAAGGCACTTCGAGAGGCTATTCCAGGCTTCTCCAGGCACGTCCCGACGGTTGCCGCCTGCCGAAAAAAAATATTGTTGCTGCGGCTCGCTCGTGTAGCAACAGGCACCCAGGCAGTAACAAAAAAAGGCAACTCCTATTCCGACGTCTCAGACTGGAAATAATTCGGCAAAATAGTGAGGCGTTCTGGTTCAAAATCGCACGACAACAGAGTAAAAAATGCAGATACCTCCGGCACCCCTCAGTGAAGACTGCACTTATTGGCACTTGATGCAGCGGGCAATTGGCAACTTTGCAAGACTTGAAGAGTCACTTGGGAGTCAACTTCACTCCTTCGTGTCAGGTCAGATTTGGACGAGGCCTACGGATCCAATGCTGTTTGGGGAAAAGAGGCGCCGCTGGAATCCAAAAACCGGAACGGACCGAGATGGCGTTGCGTGATCGCCCTTGATGGGATCCGATTTCCGATAAGGCGCGCCCCGAGCCGAGATTGGTATTTTTTGGCACGGGGCGAAGATGTCGCGCGGATGGGTTGAAAGGGTACCCCTGCCCGGCCGCAACTCGGATGAGAGAAGCGGAGAACGGACAGTGCCAATGGTTCCTGGGCCGGAGCACGTTGCAGAGATGGCGTGGAATATCGACTCTGGATCCCCGAAAATGGAGACGGAGGACGGAAATGAGGACGAGTGCCTGAATGAAGCAAGTCGGAAGGGGGGTGACTGACGGTGGTGGTGACGGCGGTCAAGTCATGGACGGCGGGAAAGCAAAGAGGGCGAGTGCAGCATGCAGGGGCAAACACGACTTGAATACTCGATAGAACTGCAGACAGATAGACGTCTAGACACACGCGGTTGGTTGGCCGTTTGCACTAGACAGAAGCTTATGAATTAGGCCTCGGCCTCGATTAGTGCAAAAGGACGAGGGTGGAAGAGAAATAGTCTGCAACGACCGGGCCGCCGTGAACTGCGAACTGTGGCACGGAGTGCCTCCCCTGCCACGTCGGTTGCCGGCCATGGCATGGCCCATGGCCTGCCCAGGGGCCCGTTGTCTTTCTTGTATTGAACAATACGAATAATACATAATCAAACTCGCGGGCGAGACAGTGCCCTCTCCGGGGAGGCCTGCGGCTGAGTAGAGCAAGGAATGTTAACGTAAGCTAGGTAGGGACAGGTGGCGATGTTTGCTGTCCTGTCGAGATGCACGGCAACGACGGCTCATGTTGTTGTATTCGACCGTATTGTACGGAGTAAGTATAGCGACGGGGTCGGAAGACGGCGAGCCGACGACAGCAGAATCTGTGGCTCTCGTGATGCTCGCGCTCCTGTAGGAAAGAGACGGTGTGAACAACGCTAGCCAATGCGTGTGCTTGAACGTCGAATTCATTGACAAGGTCTTGAAGCGAGTCCATATTTCTTTTTGGGTACCCCCAACCCCCTTGCTGCCGCCGCCGCCAATATTGGAAAGGCCCCAGGGCTGGGATCTCTCGTCTCCGTCGTTGTGCGCTTGTCTAGTGGGCGAATGGTCGGCAAGGAAAAAGCAATTATATGTAAGTACGGAGCACTGTACCCCCGTATCCCGTATCTCCATTCCCGAATCAGGGAATGGAGGTATCAATGACGCGAGTAATGTCGGGTTGGGTTGCTATCCGTATTCTCAATTCAACTCTTGGCCTTGGCTGGTTTCTTGCAATGACTCCTTCTGCTACTGCTAGAACCGAAGCTCTCGTCCTCGTCTTAATGGTATCTCGGCTCCGTTTGGGCGGCCATGTGGCCGATTGCCCATCAATGCAACAACTAGTATATCTATTTCAGTCCAACAAGGTCAAAACGATGCTTGGGCCTGGTCCCCAGCTACCTAGGTCCAGGGGTTAGCGCCACTGTCAATGGAGCCGTGAGATCCGTTTCAAGAAAAATGCGGCCATCTGATTCGGTTCCGCGATGGCGGGGAGGCGACCGGTTTCCGCAGCCGCTCTCCATTCTTCCGATCCGTAATCTCCGTATTCCGAGCTGGAAGCTGGTAATACATCCACATGCACATGGTGTTGTTGGTGAACCCCAAGGTGGCACAGAGAGAAAAGATGACCCCTTCTGCGGCGCTGGGTTTGAGCTTAAAGAGCTTCCGTTTCAGCGAGCACCGCCCTTGGCTGTGCAGTCTCACCAAAGCCAACGATTATTCCCGGTGCCGGCAATGACATGTTCACGGGTCAAGATGCGCTGTGAGTTGGGCATCTGATGGGATCGGAAGCGGCGCCCGTCCCCTTGATCGGCTCGTTTCGGCGGCTCTGATAGGGCAGGTATGCTTGCTAGAGTCATCTCGTGGTTGAGATGGTGGGTGAGACTGCATCGAAGAGGCCGCGGTATGTACAGTACCGTCAATGTACATAGTACTATCTCTGTTGCCAGCGTCAGTGGCGCAAGACCCTCTTAAAGGCTGGGAAGGTTGGTAGGGCGAGTATAAGATAGGTGTTATCGCCCAAAAAACTAAATGTCGATGACAGATGTTGAAGGGCGAATGGCTCCGTGCATACTTAGTGCAATACTGTACTCTCTACCTCCTCCCCCAGGTTGTACATAGGCCGCTGTCTGTTATTGTTTCTGTCGCTGGCACCATACACCAGGCCTGGGGGGATGGGCAGACAGTGTGATGTGCTGCCATCCGATCACCACGCGGGCTACCATTGAGTGGGCGGCCTAGATCGAGATAACCAGGCAAGAACTGAACTGTCATATTTGACCGGCAGCAAGGGGCCTGAACGGCGGAGCCAATGGCGCGACAAGCGCCGCAAACCCACAAAGTTCAAACACAGGCTGCACTGCACTGCACTGCACTGCACTGCACTGCACTGCACTGCACTGCACTGCACCGCACCGCACCACGCGCCTAGGAGCCTGCCTGGGAACAGCCTAGGTTAGGTTCACGACAGGCGAGACCAAGTTCCAGGTTTTTTTTTAGGTCCCAGGGGCTTGGGTGCTGTGGGCGGGCTGTCTGAGTGAGCAAACCGCATTCCATGTTCGACCACCTACTTACCAAAGGTATGCCCTGCCTTGGTCTTCTTTTCTTGGTGGGCTGCAAGGCAGCCTAATCGTGGTCTCACTTGCCGTCTTCGGGTTTCCAATCCAGACGGGAGGCACTGTGACTGATTAACGGGAGGTGGACCAGATGGAAGGCACATCACATCACCTGGCCAGGTGCATCCAGACAGCGTTGTGGTTTGGGGACGGGAGGCTTTTCTGGTGTTCTGGTTAGCAAACGACTGCCGGCATATCGTCCTCCCACCGATAGTCCGGTGCTGCTGTCTTGTGCTGTTGGGCCGCGACGGCAGTGGAGCTCTATGCCGCCCTCAATGTTTGGCAGCATTGCACCGTGGTGTTGGAACATGGAAAGAATAGAATGCATGCATGTCAAATCCTCCAAGCTCCGGGATAGCCACTGCCATACTTTGTAGTACAGGCACAGCATGGCGAAGCGCGCCTTCCTGGGCCATGCATTTCGTACGCGACAGACGTTATTCTAGTTTTCTGTAGAGGAGGGAGCGGCTTGCCGGGAAGACAGAAAGTCACGAAGTTCGTGTTCACGTTACGTTCGCTGTTGCCAGTAGGAAGTAGCCTTGCATTTGCACTCGGACTACGGCATTAGGAGAAAACTGGCAGATACTGATACACAAGAAACCCTAACCCTTATCCTCTTCACCGATAATCTAATGGGACATTAGAACGCCATCTTACATAGCTAGGGCTAATGGTCTAGTGGTATGATTTCTGTTTTGCAATGAATTTTCATCAGTTCTACAGACGGTCCCGCGTTCGATCCGCGGTTAGTCCAAAGTTGATTTCGTTTTTGACTTTTTGATCGCGGCTGTCTCGCTTTCATTATTCAGCATCAAGCAAGAGGCAATGAATGGTTTGTTGATGTGTTAGCCATTAATCCGTTCCAATCCTGTGATGGCCTTCAGAGTTCACCGACATCACTTCAAATAGAAGCAATTGAAGGGAATAGACAACTTATGCATTCTGAGTGGGATGCATCTGCTTAGAACAACCTTTACAAGCGCATCTCGCATGGCAACGTTATTGCTTGCCGAATTCAGCTACAACAGGTATAATTTCTTCAACAACCTTGGAATCATTTCTCTTTGCGTGTCAAGAGTGCAGTCGCAAACCGCGACTCAATCGACACGCTCCATTCTGCCCTTTTAGTTTTACCTCGAGACAGCCGAAAGCGAAAGCGAGGGTCACAGGACGAGAAGAAGAGGCAGCAGCAGGGAAAAAAGAGCTACACCCACACAGCCACAGCCACTAAGCTCTAGACAGGAGGAGCATCACCTCCCTCGTCTGCCTGCGTCTAGATCTCGGACAGAGCCGCTGTATTTCTTCCTCCCCGTGTAGTGATAGCATCATGGCCCTAGTTTTTATCGCCGAAAGCCTCCCGTTTCCAGGGAGACAGGCCTCTAATAAGATTCTACATTATGGTTCCAAGGCTTGCTGCCTCCATTTGAGAAAAACTTTTTATGGCGAACCGTAAAGTAGTAATAAGGCTTTTCAGATCTTGAAAATGCAAGTCCTAAACTAACAAACATTCAAGAATTGGAATATATACATTCTCTCCCTCACAACCTTGATATTTGTCTGCAAGAAAGAGAGACGGCTATTGAGGAGAAGCACTAAACGGACGCGCTGAGAGCGCCAGTCAGAACAAACGCCGTAGAGGATCACCATTTAGTGAACGGCAAAGTACTCCGTGCACGGGTGATTAATATTTAATATGTAGGTGTATTTTTATCTGCCTGCAAATTCTTTCATGCTGCAGCTAGATTCTGAGACACGAGGAACAGAGAGGATAGCAAACACACTCTCTCCCTTCTCCGGTTCCCCTACTCCCTTTAACTCTCTCCTCTAGCCAATCCCCCCTTCCCCCCATTTGTTACTTATTTTGCTGTACAGTATAATCAACGCACGAGAGCTAAGCTCGCTTCATGCAAAAAAAAAAAAAGAAAGGTTCCGCGGACACCTTGTCCCTCCTTCCAGGTGTGTACAAATATCTCCGACCAGAGTGGTGTTGTGTTTTTGTTGCATGTGGTGGAAATGCTCAAGGCGCCTAGCTCCCAAGCCAGGCTCTCTATACATGATCAAAAAAAAAGTTGTGCCCAAACTCCCCACGCCTATCTCTCAGGCGGCCCAATCCCAGACATGTATGGATAGGTTATAATACAGTTTTTTCTCTTTTCACGGCTATGCGCTCAGAATGAAGGGGCCCGAGTGAAGTGATTGAAGCCGGCCGGTTCGATGCAAGCCAAGTAGCTGTACTCGTCTTTCAGGGGTAGGGAAGCAAGCATAGACCTCTCAGACAAAAATCGGGTGGTTTTTCTTCAGATGTAGTCGCGCCCGCTCTTTTGCATTTCGATCAGCCTCCAGCCGTTCGTCTCGGGATTGGCCACGTCCTCGGGGATGCGGGTTATGCCGATGGCATACGTGACAAGCTGGACCTTGTCCTCCATGCCCGCGGCGAGCTGGTTGGTCTTGGCGTTGCGGTAAACGTGCACTTCTTGTGTCCTGCAAGTAATGATGAAGACGGGGATCTCGCCGGGCTCGAGCATGCGCGCCTTGAGGATGTCCACGCCCCTGATGTCGAGAATTCGCCCGTCCGACTTCAGGCCTGCCTGCAGATACTGCTTGGTCAGGGCCTCGTATACAGAGTACTGGGCCTCGGACAGCCAGAGCTTCAGCGTCTCGATGTCGCCCCGAACATAGGCGTCCAGAACCTCGGGAAGGATGTACTCGCGGAGCTCCCGCAAGAACGGCTCGACCTGGAACGCGGGATCCATCTGACGAAGCTTCTTGATAACCATGGCCGTCTCGTTCTCGGCGAAGAAACCGGCGACGCGGTCCGTGATGCTCCTAGCGGTGGAGATGAGGGGGTTCTCGGACTCTTGGTAGACGTTCTTCATGCCAAACACGCCTTGGACGAATTTGTTCGAGTCCCTGAAGTCCCTCCATGCCTCCTTCCACGCGGCATCTTTGTGTAGCGTGACGTTGGTTCCAGCACTGCAAAGAATCGGTTAGTTAATTGTGCAGGTTGAGACACGGAACAGGCTCGACTTACTCGGGATCTTCTTCGAGGTTTTTCGACGACTTCCCGTCCTTGTTCTCCATCTGCTCCCGCAGCTCTCGCCGCCTCTTTCGCTCCTCCCTCTCGACCCACCCGCCGTACCTTGAGCTGCTCCCGTCATCGATAACATTCTTAACGTTCTGGTAGGCTTCTGTCTCGCGGATCGGCTTGGTGGCTTTGTCAAGCGCCTCGCCCGTGATGTTGGCGCCCTTGCGCACGCCCTTCATTACCGGGGTCTCCCACGTCCAAGAGGCGCCCTTGCCAATAGCTCCAGCTGTTGACTTGACGACGGTGGCGGCTGTGTTAGAGACAGCGCCCGAGGTAGCCTCGTAGGCCTGTCGCGCCTTTCGCACTGACTCGCTCTCGCTGAACTGATGGGCTGACGAGGCGAGGGCCTTGGTGGACTCGTTCCATTCCTTGGACTGCTTGAACTCGGACTGCATGGTCTCCATGAAGACCTGCCACGGCGTCTTGTCGCCATGGGGGGGAGGGGGTGGGATATCTTCAGCCTTCTCTTTTTGCTTGCCCTCGGACTTTTCCTGGCCTTCCTTGTCACCTTCCTTGTCGCCTTCCTCGCGACCGATACCTTCGCTCTCAGCATCAGGTTTCGCCTTAGACTCTGATGGCCGTCCTTCCTTGTCCTCCGGCGTCTCAGTCTGTGTCTTAGGGTCCTTGTCATCGGCCTGTCGCTGCGGAGTGCGGGACGAAGCGTGGAAGATGCGCGCGCTGGTTTGTGATGGAGGGCCGACGGCTCTGATGGCACTTGGGAGAAGCGGCGAACGTAGAAAGGTAGTGTGCTGGTAGGGCGCAGAGGTCGAAGAGGAGCGAGATTCGGCGGCGCTCAGCCGAGATGGCCGGGAGGAGAGGAAGCGGTAGTGTACCGGGGTGCCGGTGCTGGCATGGCTGCGGGTGCCGGACAGCAGCGAGGCCCTCAACGGAGCAGTCGCCGGTGTCCTTAAGAGGTGCCTGTATGTACTCATGCTGTGCTTGTTTGCTTGTATACTGGGTCGCCCTTCTCAGGCGCGGCAAGGCTCGGATGCTCGATGAACAACCTGAGGGCTCCTCAACCTGGAAGCTGCTGTTGTCCGTGTGAGGAGGTGAGGTGGTTGAGGATTTTGCGCGAAGGCAGTCAGGTGTGGAATTTGGAACTGGAATTTCTGCCAAGGATGCCGATGCAGGCGGCCGGTTCCCCAAATTTCTTTGCCGCAGCGCCAAAATTTCCTGGCCAAGCATCCTAGTTCCCCCGGCAAATTCCGGCTCGGTGCCTAGGCCGAAAAACCTTGGCTCTCTCTAATTATCACTAGGCCATTTTCAACCACCACGCAGCGCCGATCTCTTACGGGCTCGAGCTGCTCCCCCGAGGGAAAAAAAAACCGACAGGCCGACTTCTCCGGCTTCAGATTGCCCGCAACACTACGACGGCCCCGAGGGCCCATTAAAATCTAGACATGAGCCGATTCTCGACGAGTCGCCTCGCGGCGCGGGGCCTGTTCCAGAGCATCCAGTGTCAGCCGCAGTGCACGGCAGCCAGCAGCGCGCCCCAATGGAACCGCGCCTTTTCACAGTCGAGAGCCGCGCTCATAGATATACCACCAAAGACGAAGCCGCACAACCCGATGGAGCTGCTTGCTCGGAGCGTCCTGGGCAAGGCTACTACGGGCGCAGGCGATGCAAGTCTGAATGACGGGCAGCTCAACGCAAACAGCCTCGCCCAGGACTTGAATCTGTCGCCGGACATGACCGGCGAGGAGCCCTACCACTTCCACATCTACAGCCACAGGCACAACACACACGTCACAGTGTCGAAGCCGAACCGGGACGCCATCATATCGCTCTCGTGCGGCAACCTGGGGTTCAAGAAGTCGCAGCGCAAGCACTACGACTCGGCGTACCAGCTGGGAGCGTACGTGATCAACAAGATGCACGAGCAGAACCTGGTCAACAAGATCCACGCACTCGAAGTTATCCTGCGTGGATTCGGCCAGGGCAGAGAAGCCGTGTCCAAGGTGTTGATGGGGGCCGAGGGTACGCAGCTGCGCCCCAAGATTGTGCGTGTGTCGGATAACACGCGGCTCAAGTTTGGTGGTACGAGGAGTAAGAAGCCTAGGAGACTGGGTTAAGGCGGTGGTGGTGGGTGGACCGGCTGGGGACGGGGACGTGAGCGGAGAGGGACGGACGGAGAGGGAGTCACAAATGTGGCCATGTACAATACTGATACATGTCCTGTGTATATATTCCTAGATGTGTATTAGACTAGTTCTACTGCAAGTCCTTGGTGTTGGGCGAGATATTGACTGTTCAACACCCGACAATTTACTCCTTACCTAACCTGGAAATATTTACGAGGCCTGTGATTTTGACTGGATCTGGAGTGTGAGTGAACCAATGCCATGTACAATGTGAATACGTGATACAAATATCTTTATCCTAATTTAGATAGAAGGTTCAATTGCATTTCTTGATACTCTGATGGTCCATGGATTGGATGTTCTTGGGGTTGTCCAGGGCTGGGCGCGAGTGCCCCACTTAAAAGTTCAAGCTGCTGGAGCTTCTAGCCTGCAGCATCATCGGTGCAGCGCATTCAAGTACCTACCCCCTCCACATCGAAGAAAATACGCCAACAACGACACAACACGACAACGACACCAAAGGCAACGCCATGTCGTGACAGACCATGTCGGCAGCAGACGTCCCCGCAACGGCGCCCACAGCGGCTGCCGCAGCGGCTGCGGCCCCGGCTGCACCAGTCTCGGTCTCGGGGCTCGATGCGCTCTTCACCAACCCCGTCTTCGCCGGTGGCATTGGGCTCGCCGGGCTGGGGGCTGCCGCCGCCTTTGGCCGCCGAGCCGTCATCAGCGGCGTCGCTATGCTGCGCCGCCAGATGCTCGTGAACATCGAGATTAGCAAGCGCGATCCGTCGTACACGTGGGTGCTGGCCTGGCTGGCCCAGCCCCGCGACAACACGGGCTTTCTCGCCCGCCGCCTGACGCGCCTGCGCAACCTCTCCGTCACCACCACCACCAAGTCGGTTAGCCCCGGCAGGGGCTCCGTCCCTGACGACGTCCAGGGCCGCACCCACGCCGACTTCCGCGTCCAGCCCGGCTTCGGCCGCCACATTGTGCGCCATCGCCCAGGCGTCTACATTGCTGTCAAGCGCGAAAAGGCCAGCACCACCAGCACCGCCACCGGCGAGCCCCACGAGACCCTCACCCTCACCCTGATGTGGCCCCACCGCCATGTTCTTGGTGATGTCTTCACCGAGGCCCATGCCCTGGCCCAGAGCTTCCAGCAGGGCAAGACGGTCGTCTACACGGCCAGGCGCATGGAGTGGGCCGTGCTGGGCAAGCCGCGCCTCAAGCGCCCCCTGGGCAGCGTCATCCTCGACGAGGGCGTCAAGGAGCGCATCGTCGCCGACGTGCGCGACTTCCTGGCCGCCCAGCAGTGGTACACAGACCGTGGTGTGCCCTACCGCCGAGGCTACCTGCTGTACGGCCCCCCCGGCACCGGTAAGACCTCCTTCATCCAGGCCCTCGCCGGCGAGCTCGACTACAGCGTCGCCATGATCAACCTGAGCGAGGTGGGCATGACGGACGACTTGCTGTCCCAGCTCCTGACGCAGCTGCCCGAGAAGAGCATCCTGCTGCTCGAAGACGTCGACGCCGCCCTGACCAACCGGAAGCAGCGTGACCCCGACGGCTACAGCGGCCGCACCGTGACCGCCTCGGGCTTGCTCAACGCGCTCGACGGCCTGGCTGCCGGCGAGGACCGCATCGCCTTCCTCACCACCAACCACATCGACCGCCTAGACCCGGCCCTGATCCGCCCCGGGCGAGTCGACATGATGGTCCGCATCGGCGAGGCCACGCGCTACCAGGCCGCCCAGATGTGGGACCGCTACTATGGCGATATTGATGCGGACGCGTCGGGTCGCCAGCGCTTCCTGGCGAGGCTCGCCGAGCTCGGCCTGTTCGGTGACAGCCAGGACCCGGCCGTGCCCAAGCGCCACACGTCGACGGCCGCCATACAGGGCCTCTTCCAGTTCAACAAGGACGACATGAAGGGCGCTATCAGCATGACCGAGGGGCTGATTCCGCGCACTTTCGAGCCAGAGGCTCTCGCAGCTGACAGCTCCATCAAGTCGCCGGCGTGATTGGTGTCTGGAATTTTTCAGGACCACTATACACACCTACTGTACAAAACTACTATTATATGTACAATCAACAAGACTGGCGGCAGGATTCATTTTGGGTTTGGGGGTTCAAAAACAAAACCATTAGAAGGCACAGGGACCAGCTGATACCCAATATTTAAGGTACATATGTATCAATGTAAAACATATAGACACATAAAAACGTTGTATTACCTACCTCACCCCTACCTCCTTCTTCACCGGTATATATACATGAGGAGAGTGTATAAAAGACAGAAGTTGTATGAAATGAAAAACTTCCATCGTCCACTGTATCTGCACAGCTGCTTGAGTCTCATACTATTAGTACCTCTCTGCTTGTGGTCGGTTTCTTGCTTATTGGTCTGCCATCTCTTCTTCCTCAGCTGGTTGCATGTCCCGCCTCGTCGAAAAGATGCGCGCCCACGCCGCCTCAAGCGCCATATCCTTGAACGCCGCGTGGATGTGCTCTGATTTTAGACCCCACACGGTCTTGGTGCGCATTGCTTCGTCCCAGCCCGTGAGGTTCTCTTCGTCATCGTCGCTGTTTCTGTTTGCCTTGCTTTCAGCCCCGTCTCTTCTTCTGCTGCTGCTATCCAGCTGGCTGTCATCCTCTCCTTCTCCTCGCCCGCGGTATATATCCCCGTCCCCGTCCCCGTCCCCGTCCCCGTCCCCGTCTCCATCTCCGTTCTTGCTGCGCCTGCGCCCAATGCGATCCCCGTATCGCCACTGCGCAAACACGGTTGGCACCGCCCCGTACGCCACCACCTCGCCCCGCTGCACCACGTCCCGCACGATCATGTCCACGGGCGCGTTCAGGTTCATGGCTGTCCGCAGCAGCAGCTTGGCCGCTCCGCGTTGCGTGATAGCGTACGCTGTCGTGCACACCGGCCCGCCGCTGCGGTGGACCGTGCGCTGGCCTGCTGTGCTGCTGTTGTTATTTCTGTTGGGTTCGGGGGGATGGTGGCGGTGAGGAGGAGGAGCAGTGTCGCTGTCGGTTGTTAGGGGGGGCGCTTGCTGCTGCCGGGGCTGCGGCTGTGGCTGTGCCGAGGGGCCAGATTGCGGCTCTTTGCCCCCCGATCCGTTGTCATTGCCGTCGTCGGCGCGGTACAGGTAGTCCATGGCGCGGAAGATGGCATCGCCCGACGGCGCAAAGGGGTCCGCGTAGCGCACGTGCGGCTGCGGCCTGGCTGTGTGCACCACCTTGTACGGCTCGTCGAAGCACGCGCCAAGGGAGAGAATGTCCCTGTTTGAGGGGATAGTGTTAGTGGTGTCTCGTACATGTCATACGTGGCAGGTAAAAGGGGGCCTGAGGGCTTCGAGAGAGAATGAGAAAGGACAGCACGTACCAGTGTTGCGAGTGCCATGGGTCGTCGGGGTCTGACTGGATGAAGCTAGAGTCTGATCCTGCTTCTTGCGAATGGTGTTGGTGGCTGTGCTGGTGCTTTTGCGTAGAGAAGTGGTGATGATGGTGGTTGGAAGGCTGCTGTCCTCCCACGCCGCCGTCGCCGTCGCCGTCTTGATATAGCGGCCGCGACCCGGACTCGCGCAGCAGCCGCATCAGCTGCTTACTCAAGAGCGCCATCATGGGCCGCACGTTGACGTCCCACGCCGCGTCCGCCTCGAGGATCAGCACCGGCGGGAGTCTGTTCCGGAGCATCTCGGTCCATATCTATCAGGGTTGTCTGTCACCCGATATCCCCAGTTTGGTTTTCTTGAGACATTACGTAGAAAGGAGAGGATATGGGGAGAAAGGGGGAAAGGGGGAGGGCTCCTACATTCGCGTGTGCCCTCCAACACCCCTTTTCGCCTCTTTTCAGCGCCCGCGGGTTGCTCGACGGTGGCATCCCGGCGTCGACGATCTGCTCCGGGCCAACGGCCGGGTACGCCTCTAGGTCGATGCCTGCGAGGTAGGCCTGGAGCATAGCGGCGTCTGCTCGGTCGTACCGGTGCGGCAGGTTGATGTACTTGATCGAGTTGAACCCCAGAGTGCTGTTGCCTGCCGCACGCATGGCGGCCGCCTCCAGCTCCTCTTCATTTCTGTATATTCCAATACTGTCGCTCCCGGCATCGTGCCCATAATGGTGACAGTGGCGAGCACGTGGCTCACGAGGCATCCTTTGTTGTGAATTTGTCTCTGCTCTTGCTGCTGCCTTAGACGACAACGACGACGGCATCAATGGCCATGCCCTCAAGTACACGGTCAGTAACACTCCCCCTAGTAGCAGAAAGGTGAGGCAAACTGCCTTCTTCGTGGTGGCCGTTTGGTTCTGCATCCTGCCGATGCGCAATCCCATGTTTCAAAGGCGCCTTCTCGAACATTAGATGGATTGAACGTACGGCACCAAGTATCAAAGGAGACATGTATGATCTATCTCAAGACACGGGCACTGGTTGGGGCTGTGACAGGAAATTAATACTTCCTGAAAAAACTATAACCCCAAGCTTTCTTCCCCGGTGTGGCGTCTTACCCGCAGACTAGAAAGCATAACAACACTCTTGCCCGGCAGGTTGGTTCTTGCGCTGTGTTGGCGTTGAAGTGTCTACAACGGGAGTAAGCGGTGGCATTTCAAAACTTTGATTACATATCGTAATAATCGCCTTGGGACTGCTGTGTAGTTTAGTTGATGTTATATTCGTTACTGCCGATAGTTCTGGGAACATGGGGTTTGGTCATGGAGGATCGGTGATTAGAATTGGGACCGTTTTATATAAAAAATACGACAAGTGTTGCCAGTCCTATTATTACACAGCAGTTGTTCCGAATGCTGTACTGCAAATAAAGCATCAATCGTCGCTACCTAGGGAGATAGGTAAATGCAAAAGGATGGCTGGGAAGGGAACTGATGCATGCGCTCACCTACTGCGCTCGCCCAACCATAGATAGAGGTCATTGTCGGAACTATACATTCCCTTAGTTTTCCACTGTCATCGCTATCGTGAGAATATATCCCAGATATCGCTCTCCTGTCAAGACAGAGGTGGGTGATCGGGCGTGCGTCTGAAAACCGCATAACTGTACGGCCTTTCCCTATCTAGGTCCAGCAGGTCCCCTAAACAGATAGCAGTCCTCAGACAAGGGAGTGTACTGCTGCACTTGACAAGAGCAATGCACTTGGGAAGACCTAACGTGAACTTAAGTTGACCGCCTCGGCATCGACAGAAAGCAAACCATAAGGTTAAACAAGCTTCTGCAAGGGCTTTGCTCCATAAAGGTCCACCAAAACTGGGACGGGCTTGCTTCTGCATCGTAGCCTACGTCCCAAGTTCCAACCGCTATCGCTGCCATAAAATCGGAGCGAAAATGGGGCTTGAAATGTATCCCCGTAGGACGCCGGCAACCAAAAATTATATGGTGTCTCGGCTTAGTAAATGGGCACCGGCTTTGATGGTCGTTGCTAATTTCAGCTCGATGGCTCTGCCTCGACTGCATCGTCGGTCTCGGCTGCCACAGGCCCGGCAGCTTTCGGTTCTCCGTCGGCATCAAAGCCCAGGGCATCTAGCTCGCGGATGAGCTCATTGATCTTGATGACCTTGGCGATCTGCTCGGGCAACAAAGACCCGCCGGTCTCTTTCTTTTCCTTGAGCTCCTTTGCCTGACGCAACTTCTTCTTGAGGTTGCGGGCCTTCTTCTCCCTCTCTACCTCCGGGTCTAGGTCCTCAGTGGCCTCCTTGGGCTGTTCCTTGTTGGTCTCTAGGTCGGTGCCCTGAGACTCGCCGGAGGCCTTGGCTTTCTTGCGTGCTTCGCGCCGTTTGGCGTTCTTGGCAGCGGAAGCAGAAGAATGCGATTCTGCCGCCTTATCGTCATCTTTCAGACCTTCAGAGCCAGGGACAGGGCCCTTTCCACGGCTACGGAAGGTCTCGGCGGTACGGTTCTTGTAGACCTCAACATCCTCGGGAGGTCGGTAGCCGGGGCGGATTTTAATTGCCTTGCGTGTGGTGCCGTCTGGCCTAACTGATTCGGGAATGTGCCTCTCGCCGCTGCCCTCATCCACGACGATGCCGGAATTACTTGGATTGGCGGACATAGCGAGTGTGTGTGTGTGTAGACGTTTGTATTTGTTGTACTGAGACCCTGGGAAGATGTTGATAAATGGAGGGGTCGAGGGAGCGAAGCTCTCAACTTAGAGTCGCGGCGGCCTGAAGTGGAACAAGCTTGGAAGTCGCAAATCGCGGATGCCAACCAATTCGTCTGGGCTGTGTGCTCGCCTGCTGCAACCGCCTCCCACACGTCTGCGGGGAGGGTAGATTAGAACGGCGATACTCTCGACAGTCGTCCTTGTCTTTGGAGGAAAAGGCGATGGTTGTTGCATTCACTTGGCAACTTGCCCGTGGTGCCCGGTCGCGCACAAATGTTCCCCTCACAATCCTCACAGCCTTGGCGCCTTTAGTAGGGTCTTGGGAAGGGGGGGGGGGGGGAAGGGTGGGTAAGCTTTAGCCAATCAGAACGCTCTCCGGGTGCTTCCGCTGTGGTCTTTCTGGCTGGTCATCCGCAGTTTTGCTCGGCAGCCCTCGTCTCACATACGAAAACACCTTGGAATTGTTCGCGATACATCATCCCCAACCTATCTGCACGACGCCGTTGCGGACGCCAAACCCTCAATTGACTCTGTCTGGGACCCCGCACGCAGTCGAAATGGTGAGCCGCTCTCGTCGAAAAAATCAAAACGCATGCATAGGGACTCGTTGGACTAACGGCACATGCTCCAGGCCGTCTCTCGCTCCCTCTACAAGTAAGCACCCCCCGAAACCCCTGCGACCGGCAGCCAGGAAGACTAACATTGCCAACTGCAGCACCTTCTTCCGGAGGAACTTCACCATGCTAGGTGTTGTCTTCGCCGGAGCATTCGGCTTCGAGATGTACGCAACGCCACCCCCGGGATGAGACGCAGGGCCCAGGGCCGGTGCGGGCTGGGAGTAGCCGTGCTGATCAGTCTACAGGTTCTACAACACAACAATGGACAAGATCTGGGACCACCACAACCGAGGGGTATGCAAGACCACATACACATTACGCGCTGTTCCGGGGACGAGATATGCTGACAGACAACCACAGCGCCAATGGAAGGACATCCGGCACAAGTACGTAGAGGCCGAGGAGGACGACGAGTAGATCCGAATTCAACCTAGAGTGCTCCGGAAATGCTAGCGGCTGTAGAAAGTAAACGGCGACCGGAAAAGAGGTTCGAGGGCTTACCTTGGACGTGTGTATGTTTAAGACGGGAAGCGGCTGTAGAGGGAGAGACCATCAACTTTGCCAATACTACGAACTTATGGAGTCTTGCAATCGCAGCGGCATGCGGCCGTGGCCACGGAAAATGATGCACGCCACCGTCCCAACTGAACTGAGGCATGGGTGGGTGATGGGAATGTTGACCCAGCCAGCCAAGGGTCTAGGTGCTTGTGCAATGATGGTTGGTAAAGGGGTTTGAGATGCAGCAACTCTGGGAGGATAATGAAGGTATGAGCTGCCTCGTTGTAATCTCATTCAACCGCGGCACTCAGCACTGAGTATTCGTATAAAAGCCACGATCCAACGACACCAGGTTCGTGTTCTCCTAAGAATGTTCCCCTCACTCAAGCTTGACAGGTCTGTCCCGTAGTATAGGTTACTAGTAGCGTCATGAAAACTGGGGAATGACTTGATCATGCCGAAATATCCAAGGTAGGGCTGGTGTTGGCATTCAGGTTCATCACTGAACTACATAGTAGTCTCTCATTACGCCCGTCATCACTCCGTACGCCCCTGTGCATGAGTGCGAGGACCCGCTGAACATGCTACCTTCTCAGAATAGAACATGAATTATAACATCAATCACGGCGGGCGGTCTTCAGTGGTGACAATTGCGACTTCCCCAACAGAGCAATTGTCAAAGCTGCCCGCAGCAAAGCACCCGATACAGTAACAGCACCTCTCCACTCCTGCCACACGACAAGGATTTCTCAGCCAGCAATTGCAATAGTAGCAGCAACCAACCCCGCGACATCCCCCTCCCCTCCTCCAGAAATCACCATCGGCAGCTGCCTTAACCAACCTACGCCTCCCGTGCCTTACTCTAGTACGCTTTCACTACTTTCGGCGTTTACGACTTAATCCAGCCAAGCCCCCTACCTTGGGTACAGTATTAGGTAGCCAACGAAACGACTAGCACGAGCCACAACGATCACGACCAAATATACGAGGACCCCAACCGCCACCGCCGTGAGACCAAGGCCGCAGCCGCTGGACGCCCGATTATAAGTCCGACAACAACTGCACAACAGGGTCCTACACACGATCGCAACTACAACTGCGAACACGAGTACAAACACAACCACAACTTGAGCCGTAGCCACGAGCAGCCGCATGCCGCCTGCCGCATGCAGGCTCTGTAACCACAACCCACGGCCCTCAACCCTCAACCCTCAACCCTCAACCCCTCCACGAATAGCAGCATAGCATGATCTAATCTGACGCCCAACGCTCGCTCCCGCAATGGAAGCGACCATGTCGACCCAAGAGCGGCAGCTCTGCCATTTCTTGATGGACCTGCCCTCTAGATACAAGTTCCGCTACACCGACGCTGTCACGCGGGACCTGGTAATCAGCCTCTTCTGGTCCCTCGCTGGCGGCAATCCCGACTACATGCGCCTCCTATTCCCCGATGGCATCCCTCAGAACACGGCTAGCGCCTCCAACGCCGGCAATCCTTCCAACGCCGGCAGCCCTCCTAAACCCGATATCCCAAAGCTCAAGGTCGCCCAGGGCGCTGTCGAGGGCGCCGAGTACACCGAAGCCGCGCGCGGCAAGGCCTGCGGCCACATCTTCAAGTCGGGTGAGGCCTCGTACGCATGCAGGACGTGCAGCTCCGACGACACGTGCTGTCTGTGCAGCAGGTGCTTCGACGCCACAGACCATACCGGCCATATGGTTCGGATCAGCGTCTCTCCCGGCAACAGCGGCTGTTGCGACTGCGGGGACGCCGAGGCCTGGAGGAAGCCCATGTTCTGCACCATACACTCGACGTGGGAGCGGGAGCCCAAGGGCAAGGAGAAAGCCGCCGCCGCCCTTCCCGACGACCTGGTCGCCAGCATCCGCATGACCATCAGCCGTGTCTTCGACTATATGTGCGACGTCATATCGTGCTCCCCCGAGCAGCTGCGCCAGGGCAAGTTAGAAGCTTCGATAAAGCAGGACGAGCGCCTGTCGAGGTTATCGTCGACATATGACGGCGGCGACACTGACCCCCCACCTGACTATGCCGTGATTCTCTGGAACGACGAAAAGCACACAGTTGTCGACGTGAGGGACCAGGTCGCCCGCGCCTGCAGCACTACGCTGAGCAACGGCCTGTCTAAGGCCTATGAAACCGACGCCATCGGCAGGAGCATCTTGATGTACCATTCTAGCATCGAGAAGCTCCTCGAGGTGGCCGAAGTCCTCGAGAGGATCAGGGTCACAGTCACAATCCGCTCCTCCCGAGACACCTTCAGGGAGCAGATGTGTGGCACCATGATCGAGTGGCTCAGCGACATCTCGGGGTGTAGCGTTGGCCAGGACCATCAGATATTGCGGACCATAGTGTGCGAGGAGATGCTCAAGCCGTGGCGCAAAGGCAGCCCTGCTACACATGCCATGGTCGGCAAGGATGGCATCGATGACGAGGATCTCATTGACCGCGAAGAGCGGGAGACCAACAGCTTCTTTGAGCAGCAGAACAGGCTTCTACGTCAAGCGCGTCAGGCCGCTCTCCGGGAAGCTCGATTCGACGGCAGCGACGACGACGACGATGACGACGGGGATGAGAGAGGGGGCGATGACGATGACGATGACGACCACAACACCCCCTCCAGCGGAGAGATGGACGAGGACGGGGAAGACGACGATGATGTCATGATGATCGATGCGAGACCCGATCCTTCTGGCGATGTCCCTATGGAGGACTGGCGCCAGGAGCAAGGGGCCGTGGGTGTTGATGAGCCTATCATTGCATTTTTGCCGCCGCCGCCTCCGCCGCCGCCGCCTCCGGCTCCACGCCGGAACCCTATGCGAGAACGAGAGCTCACGCCGTCGGATTCGGATACAGCCGAGCCCCTGATCGCACCGACCGTCTACGGGAAGACTGGTCTGGACGTTCCCAAGACTCCGGGCCAGGCCAAGGGGGATAAGGCTTCACCCCCTAATCCCGGCCGCTACTGGCTAGGTACGCCTGCTGGATATACGGAACAGGATAGCATTCCGCCCGCTGAGGATCTCTTCGAGCGGGTCCGTCTCGACTGGATGATCCTATTTGACCTGCGCATGTGGAAAAAGGTCCGAAATGATCTACGCTCGCTCTACATCTCGACCGTGGTCACCATCCCCGAGTTCAAGCGCGTGCTTGGCCTGCGATTTGCCGGCCTCTACACGACGCTCGCCCAACTCTACTTGATTGGTGATCGGGAGCCCGACCACTCCATCATCAACATCTCGTTGCAGATGCTCACGACACCGTCCATCACGGCTGAGATTGTTGAGCGCGGCAACTTTCTTACGAGCCTCATGGCCATTCTATACACGTTCTTGACGACTCGTCAAGTCGGGCATCCGTGGGATGTCGCATCCAACGCCGTGCTCGCCTTTGATTCGGGGTCGGTAACGAACCGGAGAATGTACCATTTCTTTCTAGACCTAAAGTATCTCTTTGGTTCCCCCCACGTCCAGGAGCGCCTCAGGACTGAAGATCGGTACATGATGCAGTTCCTGGACCTTGTCAAGCTGCATCAGGGTATCTGCCCAAACGTGCGCGCGGTGGGCGAGCACGTCGAGTATGAAACCGACAGCTGGATCAACGCGTCTCTGGTGACGCGGGAGATCAACAGGCTCTGCAGGCAGTTTTCGGAGTCATTCCGCAATGTAAAGGAACAGGACTCGCTCTGCGTGTCCAGGGCCATACGCCTAGCGGCCAAGAGCGTCATCATCAATTCGATAGGTGCCGAGCGCGGCCGGTTCAACCAGTCCGAAATTAAGGACGAGGTTCGGTTCAAGATGCTGGATGACTTTGAGTTTGACACATCGGGTCGAAAGCTCGAGGTTGTCAAGTTTGTAGTAGAGGAGCAACCCATCAGCTTCCACCACGCCCTTCACTACACGCTGTCGTGGCTGATCGAGTGCGGCAAGGCCATGTCGATCCAGCAGCTTCGTGCCCTACTCACCTTTTCGACGCAGGAGCTCGTGATGAAGCCTCGCGCCATGGGTCGCCTCACGATGCCGCGGCGCGAGTACAATGACCAAGACTTCCTCATGGCTGCCTTTGACTACCCGCTTCGCGTCTGTGCATGGCTTGCTCAGATGAAGGCGGGTATGTGGGTCAGAAATGGCATGAGCCTTCGTCATCAAGCCGGAACATATCGCGGCGTCATGCAGCGTGACGTCCAGCACTTGCGCGATATTTTCCTCCTGCAGACGGCGCTCGTGGTATGCGACCCCAGCCGCGTGCTCGCTTCCATTATCGACCGCTTCGGGATGGAGAAGTGGGCCAAGGGTATCTTTGAGCAAAAGTCTAAGGCGCAGGATGATATCCAGCACCTGGACGTGGTCGAAGACATGATACACCTGCTCATTATCCTCTTGAGCGACCGGACGTCCCTCATCCCCAACGAGGATGAGGCTAGCCCACACATCCCATACATGCGCCGCGACATCACCCATGTCCTCTGCTTCAAACCTCTGTCATTTTCCGACATCTCGGGCAAGCTCCCGGATAGATTTCAAGAGCAGGAGGACTTCCACAGCATCTTGGATGAGATGACGACGTTTAAGCCGCCAGAGAGTCTGACCGATGTCGGCACCTTTGAGCTCAAGCCGCAGTACATCGAGGACGTTGACCCCTATATCGCGCACTACAGCAAGAACCAGCGGGAGGAGTCCGAGACTGCGTGGCGCAAGTGGATGGCCAAAAAGACGGGCAAGCCCATTGAAGATATCGTCTATGAACCCAAACTGCGGCCCATCACCTCGGGCGCCTTCGCTGGCCTCGCCGAGTTCACTAGCACCGGCGTGTTTGCGCAGCTCATCTTTTACTCGCTGCTCTACCCCCTCGTGTGTCCAAAGCTGACACCCCAAGTTCCGTCCACCAGAGTAGAGACATTTTTGCAGGTGGTCCTGCACTTGATCCTGCTCGCCATTTCCGAGGATACCTCGGATGAGGATACTCCGCAGCAGTCCTCGTTCATCGCCACTGCCCTCTCTCAACAAGCGCGCAGCAACTTTATGCCCGAGGCCCCCATGGCCAAGACAATCGTGGCTCTGCTGAGCCTGATGTCCTCCAAGGACGAATTCAAGGCGTCTCACCCCAAGATTGCCCTGATTCTCAAGAGGATGCGGCAGAAGCGCCCGAGGACATTCGAGTTTGCCTTCCAGCATTTAGGCCTCTCGGTAGACCGCGTCAACACAGCCTCGCCGGCCGGCAACAGCGCCGAGGAGGAGCGGGAGCGGAAGAAGCGGGCCGCACTGGACCGTCAGGCCAAGGTGATGGCGCAGTTTCAGGCGCAGCAGAAGAGCTTCATGGAAAACCAAGGCGATATCAACTGGGGGGACGTCGACGACCTCGATGACGACGTGGACGTCCCGCTGGTGGAAGAACACAGGAACTTCTGGAAATACCCAACGGGGACTTGCATATTGTGCCAGGAAGATACCGACGACCGCCGGCTGCATGGCACGTTTGCTTTTTTTGCCGAGAGCAACATTCTCCGGCAGACAGACTTCCAGGACCCTGATTTTGTCAGGGAGGCCTTCAACACGCCCGAAAACCTCGACCGGTCGGCCGAGGAAATCCGGCCGTTTGGCGTTGCGCACGAAAATCGGCAGATAGTGCACAAGGTGAATCTGTCTGGGGAGACGTTTGAGGCCGAGCGCCAGGTCATTGGCAAGGGCTTTCCAGCCAAACTGTCTCGTACAGGCCCAGTCGCGATTGGCTGCGGCCACATCATGCATTACAGCTGTTTTGAAGCCTACTTTGACGCGACAGTGCGCCGGCACAACCAACAGATTGCGCGCCACCCTCCCGAGGACACTGATAGGTTTGAGTTTGTCTGCCCGCTATGCAAAGCTCTCGGGAATGCTTTCTTGCCGATTATTTGGAAGGGCCAAGAGGAATCCTACCCTGGCCCGTTGATTTCGTCCAGTCCGTTCTCCTCATTCCTCGACACCCAGATGCACTCGGCCTACTACACGCTAGGGGCAGCTAGACCGCCGGACCAGACGCAAAACACGTTTGCTGCGTACACGTCGAGCATGATGATCAACAATCTCGCCGAAAGATCCTCTCAGCTGATAGACGATGCCTGGGTTGATGTCGGAGCCCATTCTATATCGACGGGGACGCCGTTCAGCGAGACCTTCTCGATTGTCTCGGCGCCGGATCCTGGCACCCGAGGCGTCACTCCGGACACCAACAGCATGATGCGAGAACTGGTGACGGTCTACCGCCGGCTCAAGAATACGCTTCAGAAGAATGGTATCCAGTCGCGGCACGTCGACGAGGCAGAAAAGGAGGACCTCATCGACTTGCATTCGAGCGACGCACTGGCCCGGTCCGTGGGCTTTTCCATATCTGCCGTCGAGATCCAGCAGCGGGGAGTCGAGGCTGAATACGGAATGACTTTCCTGGAGAAGGTGCCTGACCAGGTTCTCACGCAGCTCCGCATCCTCAGCGAGACGGTCACGTCGTTCATCGCCGTCGGGGGGCAGCGCGACGCGGGCGAGAACAGGATGGACAGCGAATATCGAAAAGACGCCGAACGCCAGCACTGCCAACTCTTTATTGCGCAGTACTTTGGCAAGGAGACCGAGTCGACGCACGTTCCCGCAAATTCGTATCCTCCGCTCCTTGGCCAGGACCCGTTCATCTTCCTGTGCGAGTCTGTGTTTGGCGTCGCGTTGGCACAGGGCATTGAAATTGCCCACCTAGTCCGGCTCTGCTATCTTGCCGAGATCACAAAGGTCGTCTACCATCTCGGCCGCAACATGCCCGCCACGATCTGGCTACAGCACATAGTCACCCGCAAGGCGGATATGGACCCGGCGCTGGCCAACTTTGCGGCATTCTGCGAGGAGTTGGTGCGCATGGACGTGGCGGTCAGCAGCCAGTCGATCGTGACAGATATGGAAAATCGGCCTGAGAACAAGGGCTTTGACCAGCCCGGGCTTGACAACTGGGACTCGTGGTACCTGCTGGCGCGGAAATACGCGCTGACTTTTCTGCGCAAGTGCGTGGTGCTGCTCCACGTCAAGTTTGGCGTCGACTTCAACAGCCACGTGTCGCCGGCGCCCGAGCAAAAGGAGCTGGAGCGTCTCACGGAGGCGCTGCGCGTGCCGTCGTTCGACGAGATGCTCACGGCGCTGACGCCTCTCGGCGTACAGTACGGTTGGCCCGTGGACACGAAGCGTCTCGTGACCGGCTGGGTCAAGCACCAAGCCATCTGGCCGCGCTCAGGCGCCGACTTGGCGCTTCCGGAGTCGGCCGTCATCAGCCACCCCGGTGTGTTCGAACTCGTGGGGTTGCCCAAGAACTACGAGACACTCATCGAGGAGTGCACGCGCCGCAAGTGTCCCACCAAGGGCAAGGAGATCACAGACCCGACCATCTGCCTGTTCTGCGGTGACTTGTTTTGCGGGCAGGCCATCTGCTGCTCCAAGGAGGATAAGGCCGGTCGTAACAAGACGGTCAAGATTGGCGGTGCGCAGCAGCACATGCGGAAGTAGGTTTTTTTTCTTTTTCATGCCGCTTTTCAAGTTCACAGGTCGCAGTGTAACTAACCGAAGACCCAAACAGGTGCCAGAAAAACATTGGCCTCTTCATCAACATCCGGCGCTGCTGCGTATTCTACCTCCACCGCACGACGGGCTCCTTTAGCAACGCCCCTTATATCGACAAGTACGGTGAGGCCGACCTCAACCTCCGCCATGGGCGGCAGCTGTTCCTCCACCAGAAGCGCTACGACTCAATGCTCAGGAACATGTGGCTCAGCCATGGTGTACCGAGCTTCATCTCACGCAAACTCGAGGCGGACATCAATAACGGCGGGTGGGAGACGATATGATTTTCCCCTTGTATTCTAGCAGAGTGGCCACTACTTGGGTGACAATTGTGGGTACATTATGGCCTGGTACAATATGGTTTGGTATGATTTGGGTAGAAGGAAGGCACTAAAGTTTCTTTTTTTTTCTTTCAAAGTGGTATCAGGTAGCAAATGAAATATTAGATAAGCGCTGTTTTTGTCTCGGCCTTTGTCCATAGAGAGAACGAGGTAAGGATACAGCGTCTAGATAATAGTAAGAATTGAAGATAGTATACGCAGTATACTGCGTATGGCATTACGTTCTTGACTTTGAATAACATGCCATTGCTGTACAGCTGGCTGTTCACCTGTCACCGGTTACATCGATCTTGTGTTTTTCGATCTGATCCTCTGTATTTGTGAGAGGCAATCAAGTAGCTAGGTAGGTATGTAATCATGCTAGAATATGGTTGCCAAGTTCAGTACTGAAATCAGACGCGGAAGGCCTAGACTACCCATGACTGTCTTGAAGTCGAATGAAGGGCAATGTGAGAGTGGTTTCAAAGAGCCAAGCACCCCAAGCACCTCGATTCAGCTCCGCAGCGTCATCACGTCATTCCGGTGCCTTGAGCGGCCAATTTAATTACACCATGTCTGTGACCAACGAAATAACTCACGAGAATGTAGACCTGCCTCGGTGCTGAGCCTGTCTGTCGATGTCCCAATCGGACGCGCCTCGTGCGGTTCAGTCTCAACCCATCCTCCCGGAAGATGAGATTATTTGAGATGGCAGAGGGCCCATCCCTCCGGGGACAAGTCAGGACCCCGGGTAGCTTTGCAGGAGAGAATCACAGAAAGACGAGCTGAGCAAACGGGGTGGTCACCTTTTGTGGAGTGGCGCACCGTCTCGACATGAGCAGACCAAACTGCGTGGGAGCCTGGAGGCTATAGTAGCGAATCCAAGTCGGCTTTCTAAACGACAAAGCTGCCTTTGCTACCTAAGGTAGACAGGTACCTTACGTAGGTGTAGGTGAAATATCCCGAGGAATTTGCTCCTTCTACGTTTAGTAATTAATTATGGGCGCAACCGCCACAAAAAAATCGTAGAAATGGCAAACCTTATTTGGGAAATTTGAATTTTTGTGGGAGTTCCTAAACATGAGAAACTGGCTCCCCTTTTCTACTCACCCCTTCTTATTTCTCTGCCGTTTGACAAGAAAAACATCATCTCAATTATCGACTGAAGCACGAGAAAGCTCAATCAACTTCGAATGCTGTCAAAACACATAATCAGATGGCCTCTCCTGCAGACATTGTCATTGCTCCCCATGGGGATATTCATCTCCTTGTCGGCCCCAACGCGAAGCGAATCAAGGTGCAATCGCTCATTCTTCGCGTCAGCTCTACCGGCTTTTTCACACTTTCTGGACCCAACGGCCTCTGGATAGATGCCAAAACCATCTCTCTCCCCGACGAAGACGGTGAAGAGGCCCTCGTAATTGTCCTCAATGCCGTCCACTACCGCGCGGATAAGATCGACGACCCGCTTCCCCCAGACATGATTCTTCGCGTTGCCATTGTTTCGGAAAAGTACGGCTTCACTCAGCCACTGAAGCTCTGTGCCCGCGACTGGCTAAAGTGCGACAATGTCCATGATGTACACAAGCTGTGCCAGCTTGCCATTGCATCCATCTTGTTCCAGGACGAGAAAAGTTTCAGCGACACGACGCTGAAGCTTCTTCGATCGTATGCAGGCTCATATTGGCGCCTTGCTGCTGAGGTCAAGGAGTCGCTGAAGAGGACCCCCGAGACAGCTTTTCGGTTTGCTGGTAAGCAATCTACCTAGTTCCGTCTATTGAAACGGCCAGTTAATTAGTTTTTCATTCTAGGCATGATGGAGGAACGACGGACTCAACTTCGGATGGACCTACTCTTTCACGTCCTCCACCGACCATTCCTAACTGAACAACAAGCTCAAATACTGTACAGCTGTTCGAAAAACTGTATTTACAGGAGTCATTCGTACATGCATTACATCAAAGTTTTGGCCAACCCGCTCGCCACACAACTTGTAGAGTCGTCACTGACTCTAGCACGAGTATCTGAAATATCTATTGACAAGGTTATCGAGGATATCGAGTCCAGAAATTACTCCCTGATGGATTTTTCTTGACAACTCAGTGCTTCAATCTGTTGGTGATTCATTCTTAAGAGGTGGCGGAGCTCATGCTCATGCTCATGCTCACGCTCATGCTCGTGTTGTGTTAATTCTCAATGAAATGTAGTTGGCTGACTCACACCTTCCCGTGTCACTCAGCGACACACCCGCTTCATGCATCTCACATTTCACTCATCTCGGTTGATTGTCTAAACCATTAAACCGAGCAGAGTCATTCAGTTACGTTGATGCTATAAAGTCATCCTGACAATTTAGTGATGAGATGTGTTCGTGAAGGGCACGTACATCCACAGCACATAGCATCATGTAGCATATCCATGATCATCGACGTCCACGCGAAAATTGAACACAGTCAAGTCGAGTTTCAGCCTCGTCCAACTCTGCAGTGGTGTTGAAGCCACGCAGGACACGAAACAGCAAAGGGGGGGGGGGAACTCGAACGGCATGGAGGTAATTAAAGCGTAACTGCACCTTGACGAGACCAGGAACACTGGTCAAAAGACTCGCATCAAAGACAGAAAGAAACCAAAAAGATCAAACGATCAAAATGCCGAAGAATTCGTCACCTACAGGATTCGAACCTGTGCGTCCGAAGACACGACCTTGTATGCACGCCGCCTACTCAAGGGCGAGTGAACTGTGGATAGCAGGGCCGCACGTTAACCACTCCGTCAAAGTGACTTGACTTTTCGTATTTAATGCAAGATGAGTCGCCTCGGCAGGGTCATGTAGCCCGCACCGCCGCAAGTGGGCGGAAATGCGTAGGATGTGTGGGACGCCTGTGGAGTCTGAAACTTTGTTTTAGTAGTTTTACTGCTTTCCATGACTCGCTCGTATGAGTCATCTTGCACGTTGTCTAAAGGCCTGCCTGCTGGTTGAATGGCATCAAAGGGTTGAGTGTAATAACGCGATGGGCATATGTTCCTTGGATGAAATAGAATTTCTCGTTTATTCTCTCGAGCAGAACGAGGCCTTGACGTAAATACCAACCTAGCTGAGAACACTACTGTCTCTATCTTGTAATCACACGACGGAACGCAGTCAGAGTTAAGTTCAGCGCGTGTAAACGAATAGAAGGGCCAGCCAGAGGGCTCATGCCACTCAGCCGCCGGGCTACCACGAACTATTTCTGCGTGTTTTTGTCGTAAGCTGACACCCGGCCTCGGTTTCGTACTTCCAGGTAATCCAACTAGGCTCGTTATACTACACACCTTCTTTATATCCAATCTAGGGCGTACGGCTGGTTCATGCCCCTGTTCTGTCAAGACACTGGATCTTTCCCTCTCCTTCTCTCTCTTCTCTTTCCAGTGTCCTCTTTGCTTACCAACGTAAAAAAAAAAGTACACAATCTCCTGGCGGTTGGGTATTCATTGTTCAAGGACTCTTAGAGCACGCCCAGAGCACAACAAGAAGTTGAGATGGACAAGCAAACCGCCATCTAGGTCATTCACATATTTGTCCTGCACGTCAGCACACCACCCCCGGAAGGGGCCGCAATGGGACTATCAAGTCTGCAAACTGTGACATGTTAGCTTGAGCTGTTCCGAAAGCAATAGAGGGGATAAAAGGGCTTACCTGGACAAGGACATGGGCATGGCGCCGACGCGTCTTTTTGTTTTTCTTTCTCTTTGTATAAGAAGAGTTTCAGAACCATGACACATCGGCTACGTTGCTCCTTTTTCCCTTCTCTATTACCTCTCCCACTCGGAGGCCTTGCGCCACACCATATTCATTTTTGTGTGTCCGTCCGGCAGTTTTCCTCTGGACCCCCTCTCGCAATCTCTCCAGAAGCGTGCAAGAGTCTCTCTTCGCCTCTCTCACGCTTATCCAACTAGATAAGACAGACGTCCGTCTGCCCCGAGCTACACGGCTCTCTCTGCCGGTCAAGATTTCATCTCTACAACCGACTGACTGACTGGACAAGGGGGCGAGACGTAGCTCTCTCTTGTCTTCTCTTTCTTGGTCCAAGGGGAACAAGACAGCCTGCTCACAAAACTTCATCCTTGGCCCCTGCCGCGGCTCCAGCTCCGGGACTCCGACTCCGGCTGCGCCCGCTGCGCGCGCCGCGACTAGGACCGCTGCGGCCGCCGATGCCGCCTCCCCCGCGTGCGTTGTTAGCGCCCTTACCGGGCGGCGGCCGCACAAACGCAAAGTCGACCTGGATGGTCTGGTCGAGCAGTTTCGTGTCGTTGGCGCCGTCGATGGCGGCGCGCGCCTCCTCGAGCGTTGGATACTCGATCAGCGCATAGCCCTACATGGTGAATCAATAAGACGACTTCCATTGAAAGAAGACGGGAAATAGGAAAATGAGAAGAAAAAAACGCACCTTGACATAACCGCTCCGCCTGTCCAGGTTGAGATGCAGGTTCTTGATCTCGCCAAACTCGCCAAACTTGTCGTGGATGGCCTCCTCGTCCGCCTCCTCGTGCACGTTGGTGACGAGCACGATCCAGCCCTCGATGGACCGGACGGCCGTGGCCTTTGTGTGCGTCTGCATGTCGGCGATCTTAGCGCTGCTGTTGCTAGCGGCGTTGCCGAAGTTGTTGTCCACGGCGCCGGCCCCGCCGCTGACCAGGTTGCCGCCCTGGGGCGAGACCGGCTCGTCGACTTCCATTTCGTCGGCCATTATGATTTCTGAGGGTTACGTCTCTATTCGTCTTCAGAAACCCTAGCTCCCCTTTCCCGGTCGAAGGTCGTCGCTGCTGCTGCCGTTTCCCAGAGAAAATACGTAAACTCAGACGCGGACTCGACGACGGCTAGAATTTCTTGGTCGACAGGCAGCCTTGTGCTAGGGTCTCGACCCTGGGAGGAAGACGGGGCCAAAGAGGAAAATATCCGAGCTGAGTTATATCAAACGGAATGTGGCCGTTTCCTAATAATAAAAGCAGGGCAGGATTCTCGCGTCAATTGGGCACCAGCGGGTTGTCGGGAGCTGCCTGGTCCAATTATATATAGTTTGTCTGCAGTCGCGCGCGGTCAGGTCGGGTTCTCGAAGTTGAGTTCAGGCCGTCGCGGGGCTGCTGTTTGGCGCGCGAACCGAACGAGGGACGTGCATAACAGTACCGGGGTAATTAATTCCCCGAAGAAAGAGCGGCCATACACACTAAAAGACAGCGTCATGTCACTGGACATACGATATGCCTGACTGTCACGTTTGATCCATATATGGCATAGGTTGCTCAGAAAGACACAATTTCTTATGCACCCTCTCCAACGCCAAAAGCATCTAAGCTGCCTGTTCCGAGAACTGCTGCAATGGTCAAGAGATCATCTTCTCCCGCCGTCATCAGACATAGAATGCAATCTGCGTACTCCAACAGCGAGAGTCAAAGAGATACCTAATAAACAACAATGCCCAACCATGATTCCTAAAACGCCAGACCAGACCAGACCCCTCCAAAAATAAACACCATGATCCTTTTTCCTCAAGCATACACCAAACAAATGCCATCCAGTAACGGCCCAATACAGTCATTAGTTCACTCACACCTCTCCAAACACATTAGCCACTCAACTCAGTCAAACCCGTTCCACGAACCGTCCCTACTCTCGCCCGTGGCATCGACTCGGACGAGATTGCTCAGGACTGTGACGTCCAGCTCGTCGTCAGCCATGAGCTGACCAGCCTGCTTCTGGCCCTCGAGCACATCGTACAGCCTGTACAGCTGCCCGCTCTTCATCTCCACTTCGGCCTGCAATCTCTGGATCTCGGCCATGGTGCGCCTGCGCTCACGCTGACCAAGCGACTTGTCCAGGCTAAAGTAGGAATCATTCAGACGCTTGAGCTCCATCTGCAGGTGCTCGATTTCGTCCCGGGTTTCCTTGATCAGGATGGCGAGCGCCTCTCCCGGCGACGTCGCTGGCCGTATCGTGGGCTCGTCGTTCTTCCCGTCTGCCTCAGGCATGCGATCAGAGACAGGCACCGGCTTCCCAACACACACAGTCTTCTTGCCCTTCTTCACATCATCGATTGTTACCAAGACGACCTTGGTGGTCGTGGTGGTGCTGTGTTTCTCTCCATACGCGGCGATCCGGAGGCAGAGATTGCAGTTGTCTGACTTGTGCTTGCAGATGCCGTCGAGGACGCGCCGTGCTTCCTTGCTAAGAGTCGGGATCTCTTGTCTGACAGTGCTCTGCTTATCGCTGTGCAGGGTGATATCCGGCACAAAGAACGCAGACGTCATGTTCTGTCCCGTCATTGTCGGCTCCAGACCACCGTGGGTTGTATCCGAATTGCGTCGCAGCCGTGACTCGGGCCGTGTCGCTTTGCCAAGCACGTTGGACATGCTCTTGGCAGACCGGTGGCTCTGAGCAGTTAGGCCCGTGTGCTCAGATAGGTCGGTGTGGTGACTGACGATGCTCAAAGCCGACTTGACGCTGAAGCGGCCCGTGTCTTCGTCGAGTGCAAACTGACTCGACTTCTTAAGGATCCCAGCTGGCTGACCCTTGGGCTGGGTGCCGCCGGCTGCTCCGGGTGCTGGGATGCTCCCGTCAGACCGGCTCCTCTGCATTGCTGGTGCGGCAGCCGACAGTGAAGGCAAATCGTACTCGGTGATCTGGCCAGTGTTGCCCGAAGGTCCCACCTCTGTGTCGTCCTGCGGCTGGTTCTGGAGTTCTCGGTATGTCTGCTTCAGCTTGACAATCTCGCCGTCCATGATGCTGACAAAGTCCGATCCCTGCGTCAGATGGAGCTCCGGATCGTCTTCGACGTTTCCGGCGCTGCTCTTGCCCGTCAAGTCGCTTGCCGCATATCGACCGCCCGTGGCATCCTCAGGTTCGACGATGCGCGTGACCTTGGTGGGTTTCCCCAAAATGTCGCGCTCAGTTATCTCGGTAATCCTGTTCGTGAGCTGCTTGACTTTTTGGATAGCTGCCTCACGACGGTCGAGTTTCAGACGGAGCGTTGCCTCCTTTTGCTTGAATTCTTCCTCCAGCCGGACGCAGTCTTCGGTGTTGTCGTTGAGCGTCCTGAGATACTCGGTGTTGTTTTTGGTGATGAGCTGGTTTAATCGGATTACCTTATGTCGATCGTCAATCCACTGGCCTCTCATCTCCTCGTACTCATCACGAAGTCGCTGGTTTTCTTCGATAAGCTTCTCCTTTTCGGCTGCAAGCTCGAGGTTCTGCTCTTTCAGAACGCGGATCCGACCCTCTTTGGCGCTGATGGATCCCTCTTGCTCCTGCAAGCCGCCTGTCTGCTGCTGCAACAAGGTCTTGAGACGCTCTATCTCAGCCTCAAGCTTGGAATTCAGCTCAATTATAGCCGTGTCAGTAGTCAGGCCTTGGATGTTGTCGATCATTTTATCGCGGCTGCTGATGCCCTTCTTGAGATCGGCAATGTGCAGATCGCGAGCAGAAACTTGCGCCTGCAGTCTCTTGTTCTCCTTGAAGTACGTGTCGTTGTTACGCTCCATGCTTGCGTGGTCTTGGGCAATGAGCCTCTTGTCTTCTTTGGCAGCCTCGTACAGCTTGCGAACCGATGCAAGCTCATCGCGAGCTGCGGCAAGCTCTTTGTGCAGAGTGGCAAACTCTCGGCGAAGCTCGTCGTACCGCGCCGTGATGTTCTTGTTGTTCTGAAGAGCAGTGTCGTGCTGCTGTTTCAAATTCTTGTTGGCAGCCGTCAGAGTGGCGTTCTCCCTCTCCAATGCTTCCTTCTCGTGGCGGAATTGCAGGGTAGACTCCAGGTCCTTTTGAGTACCCTCAAGTTCAGACTGCAGTTTCTGGGCCCGCTCACGGGCCACTGCCGCCTGGTGCAATGCTTCATCGCGCTCTGCTGCGAGCGCCGAGCTGTGGATGTCGTGAACGCCGACCTGTCTGCTGGCGTGATCAAGACGGTCTTGCAACTGCGCAATGTGGTCTTCTAGTTCTTGATTGAGCGCTTCACCGCGCTTGTTGAATGACCCATCCGAGTCAGAGGAGCCAATGGCGCTGTCGGACCGCTTCCGAAGCTTGAACGTCTTGAGTTCTGACTGGAGCTGGTTGACTTCGCGCTGGAGCTTCTCGGCCTCGCGCTGAAGCATGGCATCATGATCGTGGAGCTCGCGGACTTCCTCCTGGAGCTTATCCATGGAGACGAAGATCAACTCGTCTTCCTCGGGAATGTCAACGCCATTGACGGCGCCATGGTCCTCGGGCTTGCCAAGCTGGACACCGGGCTTTCCCTGCTTGACAAAGAGGGGAACACCATTTCTCATAGTGCTAAACTTGAGAGTGCCAGACGTCCAGTCGGGGAGGTGCCGGAACGCTGGGAGGAAGAAAGAGCGTCCGGTGGGGCTGATGCCGCTCTTGTCGGCAGTGATGGTTGGTGGCTGTAGATGCATGACGTCCCTGGGCGGGGACTGCTTGACCGTCATGTCGCGGTAGCTTCCTTGGCTCCTTGTGGTTTGCTTCTCGGTGCGAATCTTGGACACTATCTCCTGGAGCGAGCGCTTGGGCGGCTCGGGCGAGGAGACGAGGGCGTCGTTATGGGCGCTTGAGAAGCGAGAACGACGAGAGCCGATGGCAGGCCGGTTGGGGGTGCGGGAGAGGACAGTGGAGCAGTCAGACTCGTTCTCGACACGGGGCTGCATGTCAGCCGTGTGACGCCTCCGCTTCTTCAGGTCCAGCCCGTCCTCGAACGTGTTGTCCTGGGTGTGCTCAGCCGGCGGGGGGACGTTCTCTTTGCCCTCGTCAATTACGATTGCGGGCGTGGTCAAAGCGAGAGCTGCCGTGTTGATGCTTTGGGAAAAGGTGAATGTGTCCTTGCCCACCAGGCCGCTCCATTCCGGAAAGGCACGTGCAATGGCCGACGTGTTGAGCACCGTGGTCTGGCGGGGGCCGAAGCGGCCAGACCGGGCAGTGTTCCGCTTGGGCAAGCTTTGGTCGTCGCTGAATTTGCGGGTGCCCTCGCCGTCGGGGGTGAATGAGAAAGTGGACAAGTTGCGCGTGAGCTCTTCGTCAGTGGTGCTGACCGTGTCATGGGAGCCGGTCGAGGACGGGGGAGAGCTGAAGGGGTTGTGTCGGAGACGGTGGTCGTACATCTCCTTCTTGAGCCTAGAGATATGCTTGGGGTTGGTCTGGTGAATATTGCCTGTATTGCTATTGACGTCCATGGCGAACTGCTGCTGGGGCGCGCGTCGACCGTCGGCCGTCGAGCGCGCAAGGAAGGGAGCAGGGAAGCAGCACCAAGAAGCTGAGGTGGGTTGGCTGCGACCGACGACAATTGACGAAAGCAGCGCGTCGCGGGTCTGCAAACAAAACAACAAAGATGGAGAAAGAGCTCTGCGCAATTCGGCTGGTCGTTAGGCGGATTGCATGCTGAGTCCGAGTCAAATTCCTCGAGTGCTGCGTGGGCAATGGGAAGCCGCGGGTGAGCTGTGCGATTCTGCCACAGATTTGCAGATGCAAGATGGGGAAGACGCGATCCAGAGAATGGAAGTCCATTCCTTTGGTTTGTTTACAGTACGGGGGTACTTCGAGGGGTGGGTTTCGGCTTTAGTGGGGCAGAACAGCCCGAGCGTGGGGCTGTTGGAGAGCTTCTGATTGGGAGCCCAGGGGCCACGGCCCACCACCAGCCGTTTTGTTTATCGAGATTCAGGGCCGCACGTGTGCAGAGGTATGCTGATAGCTTTTTTGTTCAAACAACACCACAGACAGACACAGACAACCGTGAACATGACTTGATTCGCTCCCGAGGCTACCTATTTGATTAAACTATCTGCAAGATGCCGAGAATATGGAAAGGCACACTGAACTCGAGGCAGAATCGGAACTTTACATTGTTGGACTCCGCTGCAAGTGTAAGTAAGCATGGGTGCTAGTTTTGCCCGAAGTGGAAGCTGGAACGGGGTATTGACCCGACTCCAGCCTCGAGAAGCATCATGACTCACCGCCGCAAGGCGTCGTGGATGGCGACATTGAACCTGCAAGTCCGTTCCATAAAAGCACGTATACGGTAGACAGATCGTATAGACGTGTATTTGCAAAACAAGAGCTTTAAAGTGAGAGCGACAAGCCATTTCCCTCATTTCGTTCGACTCGCGGCCTCTTTCACACTCTTGCCGTCTTATCCATCGCCAGCGAGAAACAGTGATTTCCTATAGACACATTACATAAACCTGTATACATCATGGAGTTGCAAGGCGAGCCAGGGCCCAACGAGGCCGACTTGGTGCTCGTCCGAACCACGCTGCCCCGGCTCCCGCTGCCGCCCAACGCCGACCGGGCCGCCATCGCCACGGACCGCCTCATCCTGCGGCCGCTCAGCCCTGACGATCTGGACGCCATGCACGTCTTGCGCACGCAGCCCGAGGTCATGGCGTGGACTTCGGCCAACCGCATCGACCGCGACGTCGCCGAGACCCAGGAGCGCTTGGATCCGTTCCTGCCGCCCAACGACTCGAAAACCTACAACTTTGCCATCTGCCTGCGCGCCACGGGCGAGCTAATCGGCGTCGGCGGCTGCCACAAGCTCGAAAACGCCTTTGGGTGGCCCGAGATTGGCTACATGTTCCGCCGCGAGCACTGGGGCAAGGGCCTGGCGACCGAGTTCCTCAACGCCTTTCTCGGCGCGTGGAGAGCCCTGCCGCGGGAAGAGGCCACGATCCGGGTCGACCAGCGGTCGACGGTGACGACAGCTGCGGGTGGTAGTAGCAATGCTGCGAGCTCCTCTTCCGGCGCCAAACTGCAGCAGGTTGAGGAACAGATCTTCGCCATCACGACGCAAAAAAACGTGCGCAGCCAGAACGTTATGAAGAAGGCCGGCGCAGAGCACTTGCTCACTTGGAAAGCGCGCGAAATTTACGACGAAAACATCCTTGTCCTCTTGCCTACCTGTCGCTTTTTCCCCGGCAGGATTGTTTCGCCGCAATGAATGGTTGGTTGTTTGTCGAGTTGCTTACTCTCTCACGCTTGGGAAAAGGGTCTAAGATAGGTAGTGTTGATATGTGCGTTTTTGTGTCGACAGCCTTGCTCTAACCGTAAGGCAGATATTGTTGCGGTGATCTTTCCTCCCTTCTTCCCTATGCATTATCACCTCAGGTAGCCAATGCACTTTAATAGGTAGATATCAGAGTAAACATCCAAGAAGAAATAAATTAGTGGCTATCATTCCCCGCCGTGTTTCTTTGTGTCTTCCGATATCTTACCTCCCCATATGCGTCTCATGTCCGTGTATCCTTAGCAGATCTCCATAGGCGACGAGACATCTGACGTCAATATTCATTCTCGTCTTATATTTATTTCATCTACTCAAGGAGGCACTTCCACACTTGGATCTATCGCCAAAGTGAAATGGCTTGTACCCATCACAACGCACAGACTAAACTGGGTACAGGAATTTACCGCGGTACAGCAAGAAGTCAAACAATCGAACAGCACCGATGTACTTATTCTCGTCTTATGCATTATTTCGTCTACTTCAATAAGACTTGCTGCATTAAGGAGGGACTTCCACAGTTAGATTTGTCACAAAGGTGAAATGGCTCATACCCATCACCACGTACACATTAAAGGTTGACACAGGCATTTGCCGCGGTACAGCAAAAAGTCAAACAACTGAACGGCACTGCCAAAAACTGAGGTGGCATGCTATATAAAGCGAGGAAACACCCCATCGACATCGTGATGTTCCCTGATATCACGGTCTTAATATGACATTACTAGGCTAGGACTCGAAGAGTAAGAGTTGCCAGTGAATAAGCACTAAAGTTTTTATCAGAGCTGTCCACCCAGGTGACCAAAGACGCATCAAAATGAAGTATTCGGCTATGCACCTGTATTCCGTCTCCCCTTTTCCAGGCCTAGAACTAATTACCTATCTACTCCCATATGGGCAGCTCCAAGATGGACAGCCGATATAGCGGTGTTTGATAATCTAGTTAGGCGGACCGGCGGCCTAAGTATAGGGCCACCGACTTAAGGTACCCGTACCCTAGACATAAGTAGACTACTGCTTCTGAACCGTCCTCTTCACGCCATTAACAAAAGCCTCCACGGCGTCTCCGCCTCCCAAGGGCACCGCGCCGCCACGAACAAGGCCCCCGTTGGCGACAGCGATGCCAAGAGCCTCTGAGATGCTCGGCAGACCCCCGTCCCTGAGCGCCATCGTCAGGCTCGTCAGACTTTGCGTGAACTGCGGGCTACGGAGGACCTTCTTCAGCAGCGTGCGCTTTTGACCCGAACTCATGGCCTCTCGGGCCGACTTCACGGATTCCGCGCTAGGCTCGGCGTCGGCGGCGTCGCCCGTGCCGCCCTGCTTGGCGAGAACAAGCACGGCCGGCGGAAGGAATGCCAGGAGGTTGTCGACATACTCGTCACTCGCCGCGTCCAGCATCGGGATAGCGACAGTTGTGTCGAGCAGGTCGTTGAGGAGAGGATATGCCTTGCCTTGGGCTTGGCTTTGGCCTTGGCCTTTGGCGCCTAGGCCCGGCGTTCCCTTGAGAGACTCTAGGAAGCTCCGGACGACAGCAGCAGCATCGGAGCTCGCCCTGTTTGGATAGGTTAGCATAGTCGCATGCACGCATTGATAGTCCACAAAGAAACCGTGGAAAAGACCAAATCTGGCATTTTTCGCTGCCGGCTGCTTGTGCAGCGCAAAGTCTAGGAAGCATGATGTACTATCCTCGAGCCTTCTTCTTTTCTGCGGCAAAGACCAGCTCGTATGCCCCCCGAGAGAAACCCTCTATAGACCAGACAGACAGACAGACCCGTGTGGTTAGGGAATGACCTACGCTCTTGCCCCGTCCGCCCCTCCTTCTCGGGCGTCCTCGCCTTCGTTCCGGAAATCTCCGCCAGTGGCGCCGGCGCCGGCACCTCCCGTGCCGCCTTCGTGGTGATCGCTGGGGTCGCCGTGGCCCTCGACGTCCTCCATCGTCTCATCGTCGTCGGCGTCGCGCCGGTTGTCACCGTCATCGTTGCTTTCGCCGCGCACCGAGGCAAGCTCCCGGGTCACGTTCACTTCATCGCCCTGTAGCAGACTGTCGACAATCTCGCCGATTTTAAGATCCCGCGGACTAAACCAGGCGGGGTCGCCGTGGATGCCCTGCGGCTTCGACTGTAACCAGAACAGATGTCTCTGCGACGATGACGTAAACTTGAGGACGAAGATGCGACCATTGGTCTTGGAAGAGGGCTCGGCCGGGTTTCGAGTGTTGTAGGTCACAAAATGGCCATCCGTAGGGACCATGACTAGGTCAAGCTCCGGCTGATCCAGCGGCACATCTCTCGCTCGCCAACAGAAGTGAATCAGCTCTGCTTCGTGTTAGCCGCGCGCATCGAGTAAAGGAACGCTCCAAGGGCAGGGCTCGGCTATACCATCTTCGTTGTATAGGTAGACGTAGCCGGGCTTGGGGTCAGGCTTGATCTTGTAAGGCTTTGAGGATTGCTAGCTTGCGGGTTAGCTCTGGCTGGGGAAGATGGGGTGGACGGGAGATGCAACGAACATCGACATCGCAGATGCCCGCCTTGAACGTGATGATTGGTACTATCGACATGGCTGCTCCTTGTGCAAGACTTCGTGCTTCTGTAAAAGTCCCACCAAGTTCCACAGATTCGGGCTCGAATCTATACCGTGGTAGTAAATGCGGTTTAAAAGAGGGCGCGGAGTGATGATGCGCGCTTGTGAAGCTCCTGATTAAAGTTGGGGTTGTGGAATGCTGCTGAGTGCTGACCAGGCTAGGTCGCTAGGCTGCAGTTGACGTTGTTAGGTGCCCCATGTGGCAGCGCAGCTAGCTGTGGCTCAGCTTGGGGCAGTTGGGGAGCTAGCACCACCGTGCCTGGCCTGGCCTGCAAGAATTGCCGACAAAGGCCCTGGGATGCTGCTCCATGCCTTACCTAAGGTTGCTGACAGCGACGCCTGCAGTGGGCGAATCGACGGACAATAGAAGGAACAATGCTGACCCGGGCCGTCTTGCACTCTTTCAGGTGACCTGCGTTGGAACGCTTGTGTGCCTGAAGACGGGCCCCCTGTTGGGGCGATCAAGGGGCACTTGTATGTACTCCGTACTCCAGTAAATACTGGGGTCCATTGGGGGCGTTGTTTCACACCATCGCCTCAGCGGTCAGCCCGCCCGTCAGTCAATGATGCGCTAAACCCGATTGCATGTTCTACTAGGCTGTCCTTCCAGCAGCTCGGTTTTCTTTCTTGGAATTCGGTCGTCAACGCCGCAATTGGCGAGCAACCAGCCAAACGACCACACAAACAGCCGCAATCGCAGCATACAAGCCCTGGTTCAGCCCACGGCAGCATAGAGGCAGAAACGGCAACCGTGGCTTAAGGTGCCGGCTCCCGAATCTCGACCGCATCTCCGGGCTCTCGACAACTTCTGTCGACGTGTGCCTGTCGGTACCCAGCTCTTGCGCCATTCGTCGTCCCGCACTTTGCTGTATTGGGTCCACGGGCGGAGTCTCGATGTGAGAAAGCGAAGACGACAACACAGCAGTTCGGCCCTCTCTATGTGTCCGATTCTCTGAGCCTACACACAGACGATCCCATGGCGCGCCCCATGGGGCCACTTCGTCTGAAGAAGACGAGCCCGTTGACTGTGGTCGTCGGTGTGGCTCTTTGCATCTTCATTCTATACTTTTTAATAGGCTCCTCGGCGCCCGACTTCTCTCCTTCTCGCAAAGCCGCTGCCGCATCACATCCCCTCTCGCCGCCGACCTCGCCGTTTCGGAAGTCGTCGGCATCAGGGGGGAAGAAGCCTAAGCCGCCCCCCGTCACCCACTACAACCTCAACAACGTCACCATAACCCCCAATCCCATCGAAAACCGAGAGAATGTCTTGATTTTGACACCCATGGCTCGCTTCTACCAGGGCTACTGGGACAACCTCCTCAAGCTGTCGTATCCGCATGAGCTGATCACGCTCGGCTTCATTTTGCCAAAGAACAAGGAGGGCAACGCGGCGACGACAGAACTCCAGAAGCAAATCACCAAAACACAAAAGTATAGCCTGGAAAAGGACAGATTCAAGAGCATCATTATATTGCGACAAGACTTTGAGCCGCCCCTTTCGTCGCAGGACGAGGGTGAGCGCCACAAGATGCAGAACCAGAAAGCGCGCCGATCCGCCATGGCCAAGGCTCGCAACTCGCTGCTCTTCACTACGCTAGGTCCCGCGACATCGTGGGTGCTTTGGTTGGATGGCGACATCATCGAAACGCCTCCCACTCTTATCCAGGACCTGGCGATGCACGACAAGCCTTTAATCACGCCGAACTGTTTCCAGCGTTTCTACAATCCTCAGAAAAAGGCCATGGACGAGAGGCCGTACGACTTCAACAACTGGGTGGATAGCCCACAGGCGAAAGAGTTGGCATCCAAGATGGGCCCGGACGATATCCTGTTGGAGGGTTATGCCGATATGGCCACCTACCGATTGCTGATGGCCAAAGTATTTGACGAAAAGTCGGATCGGCATGAGGAAATTCCGCTGGATGGTGTCGGGGGCACAGCCTTGCTAGTGAAGGCTGACGTGCACCGGGACGGCGCTATGTTTCCCCCTTTCCCCTTCTACCACTTAATCGAGACAGAAGGCTTCGCAAAGATGGCCAGGAGATTAGGCTGGCAAGCGACGGGGCTGCCAAATTATAAGGTGCGTGTCCCACACACTAGAGGGCTGCGGGTAGCCGAGCATGTTGTACTGACGCAAAAACAGGTGTATCACTATAACGAATGAAACGTTGCGAAGAAACGGTCCTCGCTGACTTTCCGGGCCGGTCGACTGGTTGTGGCGGCTTCAGCATTCTGATGCCCCCCCAGGCTTGGTCCCGGGGGACGTGCCTTTCACCCCTGAGGACCACAGGCAGGAAATTTGGCGGTCAGTGGCTGGGTTATTATGATTTAGGGGGGAGGGGGAAGCATAAGGGCTCGACCTCGCCTTTGTGTTGTGATTATTACAGGCCATGGTTTTTCGGCGTTCTTGTCAGGCATGCTCACTCAAACCCCCTTCGTTAAGGTCGAAAAAAGATCTATTGGGCTATACAGGTGGTGGAGGAAGGAACATTGTTGTATTTTTTTTTAAATGTCAGGCCCCCAAAGAATACGGCTTTGACACCAATCTTTAGACAGCTTTTGGCGGCAGTGTACGATTTTAAAACGTATCGCTAATAAGAGAGAAAGTTTCTAAAAAGATCCAAAAGGAATCAAAGAGGTTGGGTTGTGCCGCAAGAACATGTTTCATCCTCGTGCAAACCCGGAACATGCGAGAATGCCACCCGAGATTCCTTGCAGTCGGCCCCGCCAATAGCGACAATACTTCAAGAGTTGCAAGCTGAACAACTCGCGCCGGTCTGCTTCTCCCCCATTGGCACCTGTTTAGGCGTCAGATGGTGTGCAGGCTAGAGATATGAACCAGACCATGACGCAGTGCTTTACTTACTTCTATCTGTTTGTTTGTGGCGGCAAGGGCTGTAAGTTCCTATTAAAATAAAATAAAATTCCATATGCGCTCGCGAGTAGGTAGGGAACTATCTGGATGAGGCATGTATGTATGGCAATATGGTAGGTAAAGCCCACGATAATAACTCGCTCACCCTTTTACAAGTATTATTACCCGTCCTCCCAAAACCTTATCGAAAGCATCCATATCAATCTAGCTCGCTCGCTTGTTCACCCCGCATCGAGTTCCGCCGTCATATGTGAGAGTGATAATGAAGATATGTTTAGGAGATTTGATCTGATATCGTCCGTCCGTCCATCCTCATCCTTAGGGTATTAGTCCGTTCTCCTCTATTTTTCCGGCTGTCTCTCTTGGAGCAATCACTCTCTCGTCCCTTTCCGCCCCTGTCGCCCAGTTTATTTAATCCGTTTGTCGCAAACCTGTCAGGGAATGTTCCTACTCCCCCGTAAACCTCTCCTCGTCGACCCACAGCTCGACGAGGTGGCGGGCGCCCAGGGCGTCGCCGGCGCGGAGCAGCGCGGCCACGTCGACGTTGAGCGGACTGTCGACAGCCGGGTTGGCGAGCAGCATGCGCACGGCGCGCACACACTCTAGCACGCTGTAGGCCGGGGTCCAGGCGTCCTTGAGCAGGTCGAGGCAGATCTCGCCCGTCTGCAGGGCTACGTTGGCGTGCACAATGGGCGTGGCGAAGACGATCTTGGGCGGCTGCAGCGGGTACGTGGGCGGGATCGTGATGCGCAGCAGCCAGCGGCCGTCTGCTCGGTACAAAACCAAGTCAGCGATATGTCTTGTCTGTCTGTGCATGTGTACAATGCGCCGGAGGCGTCTTTCACGTACCCTCGTATCCTCCGCCAATGCCCCTCCCGTTGATCACCGCTTCCCAGCCCAGCAGCTCATCGTCGGCGACGGGGCCGAGGCGCTCGATGCCCTTTTCGTCGGCAGCCTCGACCTTGGTCCAGGTGTCGAGTTCCTTGAGGAGGCGGCGTGAGGCGTTGCGTGAAGACGAAGAGGACATCACCAGGTACCTCCCTCGCTCTTCTTCTTCTTGGCCTAGCTCGCCTTTTTGTTGAAGAAGACGAAGCTTTACTGAGGCAAGCTTTTATTATTTGATCGTTCAGTTGAAGTCGTCGTTTTATAGAAGAGAAAGTGGCTCTTGAGCTAGGTGCGACCGGTTAGCATTGACTGATTGTCGTCTGATCTCGAATTGTAGGTAAGGTCAGGCCGTTGCTTTTTTTGGCCCATAGATGTCCAATCCCATGCCGCCGCATAGCCCGAGATCGCTTGTTCCCACCCGCGAAGCTTGTCTACAGTGCATTGAAGCTGCTGAAAAAGCCGGGGTACATCCAGTCTCAGCACGCTCAGCTGGAGCTCACCCGCTGTGGGCCTGTGGAGAGAGGAATCATTAGCCGAGGCCGCAGATGGCTTCCCCGGATTCCAGGATCCCCATTTCAATGCCGAAAGAATGGAGATCGTCTGGAAGACGGTACATATGAACTTGTCAAGAGGTGTCAAAAGGTGAACCAGTCAGAATAGAGCATTATGAGATGCACTGAGCAGCGCAATCCCCATGTTGCAACGTTAGTTAGGCAGGCAATTCTTGTTAATTACTATCTAGTTTTCCACCTATAGCCTGCCCGTGTTTAGAAGTCGAGCTGTCTCGACCTGAGGCCAGTATCTAGTGAGGCCCCAAGAGGGCACATTAGATGCTCAATGCCGTTGTTGGGAGCTATGCATGGTCCCGGGATCCCTTCCCAGTGGCCTGGTATGACCCATGTACAATGATATGTTCGGCGAAACAGAGAATCATCGCCCACCTGCCAACCATATGTCCTTGTCTCCATGACAGACTTTTGCCACTTTGCACCAGCTGTCATCAGATCTCTACCTCCCCACCCAGTGTCGCCAAACTATATTGCTCATGCTATCGTCAAAAACGCCATCGAGTTCCGTATTATAACCCCATCCCTTAGATAATTCTACACGAGTCTCCTTGGTCCGCGGCACAGTGACAAAAAGTGCGGGGGAAGTCACTCGCCTTCCCCTTCCATGCGAGCGGTCCAAACAAGATGACTTCGCTCCCCAAAGGCACAGTTGCTAGAGATACGACCGGCTCTGGTGTTGTGCGGACTGAACACGTATGCACGTGGCAGTACAACGCTTGATCGAGTCTGTGGAGAGGTTTGTGTTCCGATTCCGGCTGTAAACCCCTATTTCTCCAAGGCAAATGGATTTCGTTAGGTATTCACTCCTAGTCTAGGCGAAGACCCGGACAAGAACTTTCCCGGACAACTCAGGTTGTAGTCTCCTTTGATTTCCAGAATTGCACCATCCGGCTCAGACGTTTGGTCTTGCTGACTTTGGCCTTCTTCTCCGTGTCGCTGTCCATCGTTACTTCTATAGACAGTTTGCTCCGTTCTCCATGCGAGCTGCTGATGAGGCGACTCAAACTCGCGAGACTCGACCGCCGTCGGCCAAAAGCAGTCGACGTGAATGATGCGGGTCTCGGCTGATCACTCAACGGAGGGTGCCTGGCTTGCGGGTTGTGGCCGAAAATGCTCTCCCGCGTCATTGTCGAATTGCTGCTAGTCAGTGACGGAATATCGTCTACAGATATCCGCACCTCGGGGCCGGGTTCTCCCATCAGAAGCGAGTGGAAATTGTCCTCTGTAATCGACGAGGGGGCCGTCGAGATACGATGGGCATCATACGATATTGGCGACCTGGGCGACGGGAAAGCCGACGACTGCGTCATGGAATATGGGCTGATAGGCGCCAACGATGATACAGGCAAGTTGAGAGGGCTGACCTCCATTGGAGTTAAAACTTTGGGCCGGAGGGCATGCCGAGGAGAAGGCGTTGCCGAGTTGGAGTTGTAGCCATCATTGTCCGGAAGCTGTTCAAGGCTTTCGTCGACGACGACATCATCATGAAGCGAATCAGTCGAGCCTCTTGAGCCAGTACGTACACTCGCTAGTTGTTTCTCGATCTCGCTCAACCCGCTACGTTTTGTGGTGACCTCCAGCGGTGCAGCGACGCGATTAGCGTGGGGTAGAGGGCTATGGGCCTCCATATCTGACGAATCAACGGCATCGTCTTCAGCAGCTACAATGATCTGGGGCTCTTCGACAACTAGTGTATCGGCAATGGGTGTTGAGTGGCCACTCGACTCTTTGGAAGAGGCTCCTTCGTCTTCTTCATCCTCTTCAAAGACGTCGGCCATGGTAGAGCTGCTGCCGAAGCGGGGAAATCCGAATCTCCCGCTGTCAAAAGGAACCATCTCTGGAGCGCTCTCAGCCCGCCGGTGGTGATAATGCATGCCGGGACCACTGAACCGACTCATCCCGGCGGCACTGTGCAGCTGCTTCTTGATCAGACCTCCCGCCTTTTGTGCGGCTTCCCACTCTGGATTCCTTGGCAGTGGTGTATTGAAGGGGCCCAGTGCTGCATCCAGATCGATCATCGGATACGAAGTCTCTTCATCTTCATCTTCATCAGAAAACGAGTCGCGTCGAGGTGAGCCCCCTGACACACTGTCTTCCTGTTCGGATAGCCCAGTGATCGTTACTATTGGCATGACCGGCTCCGGAAACATTTCCATGGCTTCATCGGCGCAACCTTCCCCATCTACATCCCGAAGTGGCGGGGGTGTCGGAGTTCTCCGCTTTTGTTTGCCGTACCGTTGCTTTGACTTTCGGGATAAAATGGACCCTGCCCAAGTCTTCACCTTCTTCTGTTTCTTGCTCCGCTTTTTCCCAGCAGGCTTCTGCTCGGCTGCTTCGTCTTCAGCATCCTTAAGAAAAGCATCCGGGATCTTTTCAGCAGACGAACAAGTCGAGTTTGCTTGCTTTGGGTGGGAATCCGATGGGCAAGGGCTAATAGGTGGCGATCGAGATGGTGACCCTGCCACAAAAGGGTCGAGACCGAAGAACGTCCACTTCTTGCCAGATTTTGTCGGGCTCGGCGTAGTTGGACTCACTGGAGACGGAGGTGGCAGCGAGCCTAAGAACGGAATTGAACCTCTTCTTCTCGGAGATCTGGCTGCCTGCTCCTGTTCTTGATCTTGGGCCTGGGAATTTTCTGTACGCTCAAGAATAGCACCCGCTGTGCTGGGTCTGGTCTCGTTCATCCTGCGCGTCGAGCTGAATCCCATGGTCGGAGTCAAATCGCGATCGACATTCGTCACAGATATGACAGACGAGATGCTGCCGGAACCAGAGTGCCCAGGCCGAGCGGTGGCTGTGCTCGAGGCATCACTCGAAACCAAAGATAACGGTCTCGGAATGAATTCAAGTGTATCTGAAAAGCCGACTCTGTTACGGGCAGCAGGTTTCGGCTGTTGCTCCGGCTGAACAGCGGGAACCGGTGTATCATCACTGCCGCTTGCGTCCATAACTATATGAAAAGCTGGCTCCGACTCGGAAGGACTCTGCTTGAGTCCAGGAAAGTCAGGGCCGGTCGGCCTGTCGGTAACGGCTGGGCTGGAGGGTGCACTGTTTCCCCTCAAATTTTGCTGTGGGAGAGGAAGAATGATTGACGAAAGGTCGTGGCTGGAAATAGCCGCAGACCTGCGATGAGCGTGTCCCCTCCTGCGGGCAGGGGGTTTGGTCGGTTCAAGTAGAGGCGAAGCCATGCCGCTCTCAGACTTGGTGGGACTTGTGCTCAACACGGTTATTGCCTCCCCATCACGAATGCTCCCTCCAACAAATTCACTTCCTCCTCTTCGGTGACCGTGGGCCGTAGGCCGAGCCGGCATAGCTCGAGGAGAAGTTGGGGCCGAGGGGGATTGAGGCGGGCTAAGGAACAAACTTTCGGCCGCGGGTGCGGGGGCAAAGTTTGCTCCAGGGTTGAAAGAGAAAATAGGAAGAGCCGGCGATTTTGATCTCGAATCTTCCATGTCAGATAATGTAGAATTCGGCTGTCGGGGCTCAATTGCCGACATTGGTCGCCTGCCCGTGGCCCGGGAAAATGAAGAGGGCGCCGAAGAAGACGATGGCCGCGCCGGAAACACGAATGGGGGATTCGGTAGAGGCGCCTGTGATCTTGGCGACGTCGGTGAACTTGACAGAGGCGTCATTTGGGAAGCCATGCTGTCCATGCTCGCTGGAACAACGAGACGAGTCTCGACAATCCTGTCTGGCCCAACTGTGGCCGCCATCTTTCCAAGCCGCACCGCGGCACCAGGAGCGATGAACGACTCAGTTCGAAATGGCTGGCATCGATTGCTGAGAAGTTGGATTTCGTGACAGGTGGATGTCAGTCGATTCGGCTGTTTCAAGGCCGAGAAGGTGCTGGCGTGATATGACCGGGCCCGATGATTAATTGATTAAAGACGATTGTTACCGAACCTGGGATTCTGGCCCGGTCAGCGACGAGACACAGCCAAATTTCGCAAGCGTAAGTGGCGCACGATCTGCTACAAAAGGTAAAAAAGGAATGTCGGTGGTGTCGAGCACGTTGCCGTGGCAGAGAAGTAGAAAATACCGTCGTCGTCACAAACTCACCATAGACGAGCAGAAGAGACGGAGTGCAGCGACCAAAAGCACGGCGATAACAAGTACCTAGACAGTAACGCTTTTGCTCGACGAATCCAAGGCGGAAATGTATCAAAGGAGTGGACGGTCAAAACCAGGGCAAATCTCTCGAGACTTGCTGCTGGGATCGAGCCAAGCAGGCTGAGGTTGTCGACAGATTGGCGACGGTGTGTGGTGAAGGAGGAGGATACGGAAGGGTGCGAGGTGAGCGCGGAACACCACAGCCAGAGAAAAACCAGGAGTGGGGGCGCTCGCTGGGACGGCAAGCACAATTGTCAGCAGTGGGCGGGCCTGGACTTGCACTGTGTGCGTCTCGGTAGGAGTGGGTCAAGGAGATAATGACCACTCCAGGGCTCCCAAAGAAGAAGCAGCCAAGGCGGTGCCTGGCTTGACTCAGAACTGTCAAGTCCGCTCCACTTCAGGGCAGCACTCCAGCAATCTGTTTGTCTCGCAGCAGCCAATTGCTTACCAGCCTGGCCCAGCTTTTGCTGGTCCCGGTCCCTCGTGCGGATTCCCGGTTGGCTTTTGGCCGCGCCGCGGGAAGAAGGGAGAAGCCGACAATTTCTTGCTGACAGCGATGTCCTTTCCTGCCCGCCCTCCAATATACCTCGGCGGTCTATCTGCGCAATTCCTCAATAACTAACCTAGGTACCCTTTCGCCGAATAGCCGCAGACAAAGTACTATTTATGTTTAAGAAGAGGGGTTTCGAGGTCTCGACTAACCCATTCCATGGCCGATACGACTTGCAGTTGCAGCGAAGGGGGGATCGCGCACAACATCACATTGTCACCCGCATGCGCGCACGCCTCTTCAGGAGCACGTATCCAGATCAACGAGATTGGGTTACTGAGATGCTGCCAAGGAGCACCCGAAAAGCAGAGGGTCGTCATACGCACAGCGAGGGCACCTAGCAACTGGGCGCTCAGAGTGCCCAATCAAGCATTTCTTGCTCCCTAGCCTCGCCGAGTTTTGGGCAGCTCGGCTCAGCAGCGAGCATTCCATCCAGGGGTCGATCAATTCTCCAATTTTTGTTTCCCAAGGCAAACGACAACCGCTGCGGGGATGACGGGAGAGGTGGCCAGCTGCCCTCAGCTGGACGGGAATTGAGAATTACCCATGGGGCGGCGGGTCCTTAAGGGATGGCATTGCACCCTACAGAGTATAGGTACAATTTCATATTGACAATGACCTTATTATTACCTGCCTTAGACGGGGGATTACGCGACGGCCCTGCGCCTCGACAATCGATGTCGCGTCGAGTGCTCCGTACCCCGCCATGCTTTCCAATACGGGTCTCCCTTAGAGGTGACCAGTCCGACTCCGTTGGACTTGGAGCGGGTTCGTCCCAAAATCCATTAATTGCCTTTGGCTGTGCTCGTGCTAGCTCGAGGTCGATTGATTGAGATTTGAAGAGGGGGAATACGGAGTGCACCAGCCTCAACCTAAAAAGGCTTAGTTCTCTCCACAGCGCCGCAAACAATTTCACTTATTACGAGGCGTACCCTCGTAGTACGTCGCCTTGAGACGCCTTCACTATGATGAATAGCGTTAATTCGGAGGGTCAGGGGAGCGGGCTTTCGTGTTTTCAATTACACGAGTGGGGACACATATATCTTCCCCTCAGGCCTTTTGAGCTAAACTCTCCCGGGATGTCCGCGAGTGGGCCAAGCTGATACTGGGTCCCGGGACCCTTGCCTCAGGGACCAGGGACTACCCATCTCACAAGGAGCCAACGGGCCAAATCCTGGACGCACTGTGCTCACTATTTTTCTTGCATAATACATACATTATGCTTGGCTCAATCCGGCTACACCAGTCCGGGGGCGGTGAGGGGGGCCAAAAGGGCCAAAAGCCCAAAAGCCCGAAAGCCCAGAGGATCGGACGACGGTGAAGTCCAGTTGTGATCGGCATCGCCAACCACATGGCCGAGCGAGTGCTTTGGTCGCTCTCGGTTGGGGCGTCATCCCGAGTCAGGATCTTGCGCCGTCTCATAGCCTAGATAGGTGATAATTACCTCCCGTCTCTCGGGGCTCCTTCTGTGCCCCTTTTCAACGACCTCCCTCCTCGCCCGGCTCTGGGGCCCGGATTCGAGCTCGCCTCGGTCGCCGCCTAAGGGCAGCAGCCGGCGACTGGCCCGCGCAAGAAACCAAACAGACCGACAGGTCATTATTGTCGCAAACGAGTAGGAGGACACCAAAAGACGCGGAATGCCGACTCAACATCCCAGCCGCCCCGGCACTGCACTGCGCCGCGCAAACTCGTCGGCCATTCGCGGCAGCGTTCTGGATAACTAGTGTTTTTGTTGTTGACAAAAGGCTTTGGTTGCAAACTTTCTCCCTGGAGCCTGCAGCACACCGATGCAAGGCCTTATCCTTAGGCCTGCCCCGTCGTCCACTGTGAGTCCAGAACGCACCCACACTCCAGGGTGCACGGACAATTCTGCATGACGCACACCACGCACATTCAGCCGGAGTCGGAAGAGAAAAGCACGAAGAGTTCAAGGGGCAAACTCTCGCATCACTAGCTTTCACTGGGCTTGGGTTGGACGCACCGCACTGCTGCTACTGCTGCTGCCAAGGCTTTTTCTCCTGTGAGGTGATCGATCGCCAGGAAAAAAACTTTAGCACCATCGTGACAGCCGGCTCCATCCCCCATCCAATGGATGTTGGCTGGCTACCCAAAAGGTTCCAGTTGCTCCGAAGACCTCGATTGGCCGCACCGCCTATCTTTTGCAGGTCAGGATCCCTCCGGAAGGCGCGCTGGAACACAGTGCCGTATGCAAGTGCCAGACTCTGGCTGACTTCCTCGATGCACGCAACACCCGCCATCTGCAAGATAAGAAGAGTTGTGTCGGTCTAGGAGCCGCCCCAAAGCCAAAGAGCGGGTGGGGGCGGCATGTAGGTTTCGACGCACGTTGCCGGGTCCTGAGTCTTTGACACTCTGCTTCTCTCCCTACCAGGTTACATATCGATTTACTCCGTAACGTATTCAGTATGGAATACTGGACCTCCCAAACTCCCTCCCTATATCGGCAATCTGACTGCGCTGTAATGAATGCCTGGACATTGAAGACGTGTTCATTTCGTTGTTCCGTATTGGGCTGCTGAGATGCAATTTCGGCGGTTCTGGCGCCTGATTTGACGCCAGCCGTTTCCCGCTTCCACGCGAGATTGGGGCGCGAAAGTACCACCATCTGACGTCTTGCATCTGACAATCTGACTTTATTACGCCCGGCTCTGTCTGTCTGGATTCGGCAATGTTAAAAAAACCGAGGCACGCATCATTTCTTAAGAGGCGTGCTGAATCACCGCCGAGTATGATGACTACATTCTCCTCATCTTGAAGCCTCAATTGGCAGTTCAAGTCCATCCATACCGAGTACAACGCTCTTCAATCGGTTGCAGTTGCAAATAGGGGGGAAGGGCGCTCTACAATCCGCCATGTTGAAAGAAAACCACTTTACGCGCTCACCTCGCACGCTTTGGCCTCTCCAGCATACCAACAACAGCAGCATGTCTCCACCTCGCCAACAACTGACAGCAACGTCACAGCGTGGACCCTATCCTTAGTGCTTAGGTAAGTACCGACTCTGTAAAACTTGAAGTGTAGCGTCTGTCTGTCAGAAAATAAAATTCCTTCTCTTTAATTGAGGGATTGAACTCTCTCAAAACTGACGACATTCATCTCCGGCGTAAGATTAAACCGAGCAGCCAGAGTTATGCGCGCCTTGTTCCCAAGCGCGCATATCCCTTCATCGTCTAGGTTACGGTCCTACCTACTCAGTACCTATATATTGCATCTTGTATAGGCAATGTTAGCTGCGGCCATTAGAGAGTCTCATTCCTCCCCCCACACTTTTCCCTGCATTCAGCCACATGTGAGAAAAATTGATCAGGGACTCTGGAACCCCATAACAGTTCCGCGCTAATTAGATTATGCCGCCCTTTTGAGTCCCTTTTTTATTTTTTTCGTTGGACATGGTTGTATTGTGATTATTGCTTCCGTTGACTTTGAAACTTTGTGTGTGCTGAGCGGATTTCTGTGCGACGATATGACGCGCGCTACATGATATCAACATTGCATCCTCTCGGCCACACACCTGTGTCCTGCCTGCTACCACTTCAGCCTGACGTGGGGAGTGTATCCGTGAGCGCTTGTGCTTTGTTCTTGTGTAAAGGGTCAATCACATCACGCGAGACTTTGACTAGAAATAGGGAGGTCCTGGTTGGCGACCAAGCGAGTATTAAACGAGTGTTTGTGTCTCCTTGAAATAGACTATGGTAATTTTGCTATTAGGGATAGTAGCTGATGACGGCGCGTCTTGTTCCGGCCGAATTTTTGACCTCCTCAAAGATTCAATTCTGCAATTAACGAACGGTGTTCGGGGGGGGCGCAATAAGATAATTGGCGGTCTAGACTCATTAGACGGATAAAGAAGCCTCCCAAACTTGAAAATGTCACGCTTCTGCATATTGATTAGTCTCAACACCTATCCGTTGTCTTCGTATACCCTTTTATTCCCCCCCGAGGCCTAGAAACCCGTCTTGATGCACGTGGACCATGTATTTATTTCTATCTGGTAGTTTCGAACGGAGCCAGCTGTTTTCAGGACGAATCTATATTAATTCGTACTCTCTCTCGACATGATGAATTACAGAAAGACGAAAAGAGAACCTAGGAATCTGACAGACAAAGGAATAAGGGGGGCGTTCCAGACGTACAAAAGGACAAAATGAAAGGAGTAATTCAAATACAGAACTGGAGAGAGAATTGTGTGTGGATTGATTGTGCTTTTCCGGTTGTCAGTGTCATGGTCGAAGGGGAAAGGAGTACTTATAGGATAATCATCATGGTTGATAAAAGGTCAAGACACAACCAACTCAGTGGACGATGCCTCAGAGGGCCGGCTTCAGAGAGTCTCGTCAGCCAGCCGCTAGCTGCTCTGCTCTGCTCTGGTTTCGACATGAAATCAACACGGCCACGACACCAGAAGAATCAGCCCATACAAGCCGGGGCATGAGACAGGCGGGGTGATGACCACGCATACGGCGAGACCCGAAGAAGGCTGGTTGGCGGCCAAGTAAATGCTCCCAAATGTTGGGATACAAGTTACAACACTCGATACTCGAGGCCATTTTTGGCACCTAACAAGCGCTCCGGGCGCTGCGGCTTGGAAAACCAGCTCTGCCGCCCACCTCCTCCCCCACGAGGAACCCGCGGTCTCTGACAATAACACACGGCCCACGTATTGACGAACAATTTGGGGAGCAAAGGCTTGCCGTCGGGGGTTTGAAAACCAACAGATGGCGGCGCAACCAGGCATGACTATCATCTTGGTTTGATTTACACGTACCAGGTCACCGATAATAATGAATAGCCCGGAGGCACCATTCAGGGCACGTGGTGCGAGCGGGACAAAGTTATCCGCGCGGGATATTCGGAACAAGTAGTACTGCCCACCGTTTTGGTCCTTTGTCCTTCCAGGCCATCTGCCCATCCACAACACGCCCACCCATCCCCCAACCTGTCTCTTTTCATGCCTAACCAATCAATGGCGAGTTCGGAATCAAACAAGCCAAAGCTGCCCACATGGCTCCAGCTACAGATTGCGGCCAACTCCATCTTCCGGAGGTCGCGCAGTCAGAAAACGGAGAAGGTGGTTATCCTGCCTCTCAACAACCGCGTGGTTTAACACAATGTAGCGGCCAACGAGATTGCGGCCATGAGGTTTGTACGCAATAACACCACCATCCCCGTGCCCCGGCGTAGCTCTTTCTCTCTCTCTTTCCGGAACTCTCTCTCCGGAACTCAGTTGACGAGAACAGTTGTGGATGTAGACCTGGACAAGATGCTCCACACGCTGAGCGACGAGAACATTGCGACCATCGCGGAGGAACTAGCCGGCTACGTCACGCAGCTACAGCAGTTGGACACGGACAAGGACGTGGCCTCGGACGGCAAGATCACGGGCATCATCGACTGGCAGTTTGCCGGCTGGTACCCCCAGTACTGGGAATACGTCAAGCTCCAGACAACCTTGCACACGTCAAACTCACCCAGCACGGTCAAGTGGCTGCGGGCCGTCAACAAGGCGTTCCAGAAGTACGAGCTCGAGGCCGAAGCTTCAAAGAGAATTTTTGAAAGGGGGGGGATCAGTCCCGACGGTGAACGTGATAGCCGTGCGAAGATGCTCAGTAGACTGAAATAGAGCTGGCTCTTTGCCCTTTCTCTCTTTTGTTTTCACTAAGTAAGGTACTTGTCATGTTTTAGAATAAGGTAGTTGCAATAGACTCAATCAAAGGCCGCCCAACATAACACTGCCATCACAGCGAACCTGCTCCATTCCGCCCATGTCTGCATGTGCATCGCCAGGTAGTTAATAATAGCAATAAACATACCAGCAACCACCACCCGACCACATTCCCACCCTCTCCTTTCCGACAGACGGCAGTTGGTTTGGGTTGTCAACTTGTCACCAAAACCACACATAGCCACACAGCCACGCTGTCATCTCTCGGCGGCAAAGGGGGGGCGCTGTTGGCTCATGCCCCAGGCAGGCAGGGCCACGGGAAGGCTGAGCTGACAGCTTGCCAGATTCGGAACACACAAAACCTAAAACTGGGCCGTCAGCACCAGCGAAGAGCTCTGCAAGGGACAGCAGCAAAAAAAAAAGGCACATGAGGAAAGGGATTGGACGCGCGGCAGCGGCAGGCAGGGACGCCGCCACCACCAACCAACTAAACAGCAACAACATCAAGAGCCTCAAAACGTTGTGCGAGGTCGTAACTTTGGGATGGCAAAGAGGCAATGCAATTAAGCTCAGCGGCTCAAAAACGATGTTGGTTTGAGAAGTAAAGGAAGATGTCCTGGTTGGTACGTACTAGAGAAGTTTAGAAGGAAAAGCAAGAAACACCACCAACTTCATCCCCCTTGAGCCCAAAAAAAACACAGTTTGCCCTTCCTGCAATTGCAACTGCAACTGCAAACTCAGTTCCTGACTGAACGAATAGACGAAGCAAAAGAAAGTTCCCGCCCGCCCGTGAAATATTTCATCCTACATACCTACCTAGCTTCCTTCCTTCGCTGCTGACCGCTTGCCTGCCTGCTTACAACCCACCTATTTTATCCACATGCCCTGCCCTGCCCTGTCCTGCCCTGTCCTGCACTCATGCACGCAGGTAATCCTTCTCCGGGCTGCACGACGCACACATGGGCAGACAGACGGATCCACGGATGGCAGGGCTGTTCCTCCACTTGCGTAGCTCAGAATAATATACCCACAACGGGACGGACGGGCGGGAGAGAGGGCAACCAACCAGGTCTCTGGTTTGCGCATGCACATGTAGACGAAGTGGGCGTCTGTGCTCCTGTGTGGACCGGAGGAGGAATAAGAAATAGAGGAAAGTGGATAGATAGTTCGGCAGGTACTCCGTATATGCGGCCGACCTTATGTTTCTTTACCTCTGCTGCCGCATGTGCCGAAGCGGAGTGCGTGCCGGCCGTTTTATTTAGGGCTGGACTGGTGAGGCTGTCACTTGCTTGATTGGTTGCGTTGGGAGAAACAAGCACGGGCACTGGAAAACGCTGTTCAAGTAAAATCCACAAATAGATGATATACATATATATATATATATATATATATCTCGGTCTGCTGGTATCTGGCATCTGGCATCTGGCACGATGACGTTGGTATCTGGTGCCGGGATATGATACGCCATGGTGGTGGTGGTGGTAGTAGTAGAAGGGGGTATGGTATCAAAACAGAAAAAAAATGCCTTTGCCTTTCTTCCCTGCCCCCCTTGTTGCCCTGGTTCTTTCCCTTTGCCTCTGCCTATTTTGGCTCCCCAAAATTCCTTTGGCTGATCCTAGGTATATTGCACCACACACCCCCCGCCTGCTTCCTTTCCTTCTTTCCTGTCTTCAAGTGTCGGGAAGAAAAGGGAAAAACAAATGTACAAAGACAGAGACAGTGACGGTGACAAAAAGAGAGATAGAGATAGAGAGAGAGAGACGACAAGGAATAAGGGAAATAGTAATGAGACGGAAAAGAGAACCCAACTCAACCCAACCCAACTCGACCGCGCAACCAACCGACCAACCGACCAACCGACCAACCCAAAACAGGGCAGGGTGTAAAAAAAGAGAGACCAAAGCGAAAGACAAGAAAGGTATAATGATACGTGGCTAACAGCTCCATCCCCATCCCCATCCCCAGTTCGCCCCTTTCTAAACGCCTCGCCAAAAGAGTGAGTGAGAGAGATAATGATATGATATAATTGATGAGAGCAAATGGCCTTTCGACTCCCCGCTAGCTCCCAAAAAAATCTTCACGTGGAAAACGTCGCGCCATGTATAAAAAGAGGGAAGAAGCATAACCCGTTAAAAAAAAAAAGGAAGGAAGAGAAAATGTGTAAATATATATATATAAAGATAAAAAGAGCAAAAAAGGATAAAATCGGGGAAATGCTTCGCTTTGCGCTCATGATGACTTGGAAACGACTTGTTGGTAGATCTCATACACACACAGACAGAAAAGCGGGATAAGTGTAAAAGGCTGATGGATGGTATAATAATAACAGTAACAGATACAGTAGCGGGAAATTGCAGGTGATGATGATGATAATGGTAGGTATAGTAGTAGTACACAGAGAGACAAACATCACGACTCGTCGGGCCCGTAGTAGCCGGCGGCAAAGACGTGCTCAGCCTCCCACTTGAGGAAGTCGCCGAGGTCGTGGCCGAGGTTGAAGCCCATGGGCACGACGTACTCGTTGCCGTCGACGTCCTTGCTGACGACGAGGTCGAGCATGGGGCTCTGCGGCAGGCTCTGCATGCTGTCGACGCTGGGGCGGCGCGACGAGTCGATGGCGAGCCCGACGTGGCGGCGCGACGACGGCGGCGGCCGGTGGTCGCGGTCGCGCCACACGCCGTTGCCGACCGCCGCCGCCACCGGGTTGGTGTTGGCGTTGGTGCCGTCGCTCATGGCCCGCCGGTGCTGCGGCTGGTGGTGGTGCTCCTGGCTGAGCGAGAAGCGGCTGGCAATGGAGTCGCCGAGCCGCTCGGGCCCAAAGTGCTCGCCGTCGGGGCCGTCGTGCGAGCTGGGCGGCGGGTCGACGCGCCGCACTGCCAGCATGCCGGGGCTGCGCCCGCCGCCGGGATGGCTGCGCGGGCTGCTGTTGGGCGTCGACGACGGTGAGTCGTCCCGGCCAGAGTGCGGTGTCAGCTTGGGCGTGCGCGACTCGGAGGTGGCGGCGGCGGCGGCAGCCACGGCGGCCTCTAGCAGCAAACCGCCAGGAGACTCGAAGCCGAAGCCTGCGAACCAACCCACGAGGTCGTCGCGCTCGTCGAGCTCGGCATCGGACGGGCGCGAGTAGTCGGTCGGCTCGCTGAAGAAGTCGTTGGCGCCGCCTAGGATGGCCATCTGGAAGGCGGTCCAGTCGAGCGTGTCGTCGACGGCCAGCTTCCCCATGGGCATGTCGGCCTTGGCCAGGCGGATGTCCCCGTGGCGGAACGTCGGCATGTTGAAGGTGAAGGGTGTGCTGGAGTAGAAGACGAAGTCGTCCTTGTTGATCTTGCTCGTCGAACCCCAGGGCGGCGGCGGCACCGACGTAGGCGACAGCACCGCGTTTTCAGGCCCCGTGGCAATCACCTCGGGGATGGTGGGGAGGGGCGGCAATTGCCTGCTAGGCAGCCGGCGATGCATCTTCATGGGCGGCGAGCTTGCGGCCGTGCTCTTGGCCTTTGCCGGTGGTGGCTTGTCGGGAGTAATCATCATGATGGGCAAGGCTGCGGCCGCGTCCTCGTCGTCCTCATCGGAAGCGACAGACCAGTCCTGTTGTGATTGCTGCTGCTGCTGCTGCTGCTGCTGCTGCTCATCCTCATCCTGCTCCTGACGGGCTTGCTGTGATGCTTGTTCCTGGTGCTGGTGTGATAAAACGTCTTGGCTCTCGTGCTCAAACTGCTCTACTTGCCCTTGCCCCTGCCCTTGGTCTTGCCCCTGCGACTGTTCTTTTCTGTATTCATAAGATTGTGGTTGTTGTTGGGTTTGTATTTGTAATTGGGATTGGGATTGGCGCTGCTGCTGCTGGTGCTGCTGCTGCTGTGGTTGTGTTTGGGATTGCCATTGTTGCTGCTCAGGCCTGGGTGTTGTGCTGGCGTCACGGTCAATCCCCCCCTGTCTAGATACCAGCACCTCTGGCTCTCCCAGGGCTGCCGGCACATCTGTAGTCACGGCCTCCGAGTCCTCGACATGGGACGACTCGACCGGTGTGGTGGCCGTCCCCGTCTCGACAATCGTCTCACCTGCCTCGATGGACTTGCCGTATTGGGACTGGCATGCTCGGCTCATCCTGATCTTGCGCAGCGTGCTCTCGGGCAGCATCTCGTCTGCCTCGAGCCGGTGGAAAATGCGGATGGTGAACAGGTCTTTGGCGCTCTCGGTCAATGTCCACATGGACGACTGCCTTGTTGGGGGCGCACGGGGCCTCCGCTTGGATTTCTTCGACTTTGTCCGCTTTGTCCTCGCCGCCGAAGGGAGTCGGGTCGGAGTGGGCAGTAGTGGGGACTTCAAAGGCGACTTTGTCGGCGACTTGACCGACGATTGGCTGCTCCTTTGGGACTTCCTGCGGACTGGATGTGCTGGGGGTTCAAGCTTTGGGAATTTGGCGAGCACTGGTGACGGGAGCCTCGCCTCGGCGAGCGTATGCCCCAGCTTGAAGGCCTCGTCGGCCTGGCTCATGAGTTTCTGGGCATCTTCCGAATACACCCTAGAGCCTCTTCTCGCCGACTTTGCTGGCGGCGGCTGGCCTTCTGCCGCCATCAGTCTGGGAGATGGCGGCTCGTTGTCGGATTCGAGAGTGGGCGACACAGACACAGACACAGACCCTGGCAGAGGTCCCACGGGGTCCAGGGCGAAGTCGTCGTGGTTTCGAGGCACAGGCGACGGGGTGGCCGGCGGTGAAAGCGGGGCGTTGTCCCGAAAGTTCCTCGGCGACACTGGGGGGCTTCTCCCCCGGGTACGCTGCGGGTGCTCGAGCTGCTCTGGACAAAGAAGCGGGCTCCTCTGAGGGCTCCTGTTGCCGCCCGGCCGCCGGGGAGGCGACGACCGCGGGCTTACGTGGTCTGTGCCATGTTCGCAACTGCACAAAGAGCTCGTCGACGACTGGGGCGTGTCGGGCATGGGCGGGATGCAGACGACGCGGTGGATATCTTCGGTCCGCCTGAGATCAATGCTCGGCTTGGAGCCTCTCCTGAAACCCCTTGGCGGTCTCCATGACTTGATCCTGCTCGCACCCTTGAAGGCGCCGTCGATTTCGTCGTCGTGGTAGAAGAAGGACGAGTCCTCGTCGATGACCTCGGCGGCGTCACTGGGCCGTCTCTGGTGCGGTATCAGTCTCCGGATGTTGAAGGCTGGCCGAGACAACATCTTGCGGTCCGGGTCCGGGAATGGGATCCAGCAGCGAATTGACGAAGCGGCGGCGACTAGGAGGGGAAGGAGAGAGGAGAGGTGCAGATCGGGAGGCACATCGCCTGCATATATGAGAGGGTTCGAATCAGGTGGCACGCTACGCTACGTTTCTGGTTCTGTTTCTGCGGAGGGGAGCAAGCCTCGTTTTGCCCGACATTGACAGTGATATGGCGTGGGCCAACAACGCAACGGTGAGCGAGCGAAGGGTGGGGGAGCAGAGAGTAGAAACGAGACCCGGAGAGGCGTCAGGGTACCTAGCACCTGGGCTGGCTTGGGGGGGACCGACGAGGGAGGGTATGGGGATCTGTAATAAACTGAGAGCTGCCGGTGGGCACGGGGTTGTCACTCCAGAGTACTGTCTGCGGCGTGGACCATGTTCAGGTAGGGTAGGTTGTGTACATAATCCGCCCATCTTGCAGAATACGGCGGGCTACCGCTCCACCCCATGCCCATGCCGTGCTCCATGCCCCCCCCGCCGCCGTTCTCGACCGGTCCGTTAGTTCCCGTTTCGTTTGGCAGGGAACCTGGCGGGCGACATGCCATGACGAGTGGGGAGACCTGGCCTAGTGTTAAGACCGAATTGTGGCGTTGACTTTGAGCACACCACCCTGCCTGTGCTGTTGCCCGCTTTCTGCTGCTGTTGTTGCTGCTGCTGTTGTTTCTGCTGCACATAACTTGCAGAAGGCTGTCTTCGGTGGCCTGGCTTAGACTGGCTCGTCTGGGGGCCGGTGTTGGAATTCAGACACGCGCAGACTCTCTCTCACTCCCACCCACGCGCACCTTCACGACCACACGCATACGCACCTCGAGATGTGCACACACACTGACAAATGCCCGCACAGTCAGTCTCGTCTTGACATGACACACGAGGCAAGCCAGCCCAGCCAAGCCCAGCCTTGAGCTATCGGTCACGAACAGAGCAAGCAAGTGCATACCAAACACCGAACTTCAGAGAAAGGCCCTCATTGCTCGGTCCCAATCGGCGCGCTCCTGGGCTCGCTCGCCCCGCCAAGCCTTCCTCCGGCTCCGATTGTTGGGATGTTCTTATTTTGCCGCGATTGGCCAGCCCTCTGCGCGGTGGTATTTCAGCGTTCGTGAGTGGCTCCCGTTGGCCAGGGGGGTCACCCAGGAAGGGATACACTAGACCCCAATCCCACCCACACCAACACAGCCTTGAGCAACGCAGACGCAGACGGGCACGAATAGATACGAAATGACTCTGCTTTTCACCTGATATTTTCAGGCAGAGGCTCGGGGCGAGGGAGCAAAATACCCACAAGAAGATCGACGAGCTGGGCTGCGACGCCATGCCATGCCATGCCATGCCATATGTTACATGAAACCGACCCGTCACCGCGACATAGGGAGGCTGTATGTACGAAGTACTCCGTCCCTACAGCACCACACGTGTATCCTCTATATGGATATACGTACGCGTGGACTGTAGACAGAGCCAGTTGGTAAGGCGGTAAGGCGGTTACTAAAGAGCAGCTCAGCCCAGCCATGATTGATTGCACAACAGACGGCGACGAAGAGCAGGAAGGCTGTTTTGGTTCCGTGCTCACATTCTGATTCTCATCTCTCAGTCTCGGTCTTAGTCTTGGGCGAGGCCGCTAGAACAAATACGCACGACACCTTGGCGCGCCCGATTTCATAGGCAACAGAAGAAGACAAAATAGCTTGCTAGGCTCGGTGACTTGACAATTTGTGTATGTACGACCGAGCTATTGGCAGATCAATCGTCCGACGCTGTGGAGTCGTAGGTTAAGGCAGGCTCGACGGAGTTTCCCACGACCGTTTGTATTCCGCCGTTGAAATTGAACAGCTAACTTCGTTAGTTAGGTGCTCAACACTAGTCGACGTTACTGCGGGCACAGTCAGGAACGGCGGGGCAATCCATCCTGTGGTCGAGGTCGAGGGCGGCGGGCGGCGGGCGGGCGGGACGAGCTTGGGGCCCTGAGCTGCCCTTAGCGTGCGCAGCAGATCAGATTCCCGGGGGTCCAGGGGCGGCAAATCGATTGCTGAGCCCTCGTTGGTGCGCAGAGAAGCAGCATCTCCGCCCATTTCATACCGCATGTGTTGTGCAGGAAACAGAGTTCCAGAGCCTCCGGGCAAGTCCCGGGGCTGGTATACCTGTACAGTAATGTATGTACATGACCTGTAATTAGAGGCTTGTCAGACGTAGGGCAGCCGGGTTGTGCATCGCCTTGGCTTGTCAAACAGACGGACGGCTCGTGGAAGCGTGCTTCTGTTCCAGTTCCGGTGTTGGTTCACGGTGGCGGGGGCTTAACGGCACCTTAGGTCAGGTCGTTTCGAAGAGGAAGCTCATGGTCGACTCTGGCCGGCCTGTGGAAGCACGGGGATGGCGCAGTGGCAGGGCCATGGACAGGCATCCCTGAAGGCGAGCTGCCGAGCAACCTTGACCTCAAGGATCGGCTCCGTTTTGTTTTAGCGGCCCCGGCTTTTTTGACAAGCAGTTGCAAGGCAAGGAAACCCTCGTCTGGTAGGTACGCGGGTCGCGGATGGAGTCACGGACAAGACTCGCTTCACTCGGCCGGGCCATCATCCATGCTCTCCTCAACTGCATTAAAGCTAAAGGCCGTTACACTACAGCCCTGTGAAGTACTTCATCAAGATCCAGATGGATGCGATGCGGCCAACGGCGGCGTTTCCACGACCGACACTGCTGATCTCTCTGGTGCTAGGACGCAGCCCAGACATTACGGGCCCGAGAGAACATGTGTAAGTGCAGAGAGAGGGCATTCCGCCCGCCCGTCCGTCTGGTGGTGTCGAGTAAGACAAGCCAGCCCAGTGTAGTGCTACCTGAGCTTGAATACTTACCACTCGCCCATGCCCACTTCCTTAGGTAGTCCGGGCGCTAGGCATTGGCCGCAGCGGGTTGGTCTCTGAGGTCTCGGTTCCTGTGCTGTGGTCCCTGTGTCTGGTGACTGATGACAGACGGGACAGAGAGACAGACAGGAAGACAGCAGATCGACAGAAAGACCGCCATCGCCTCGAGTCCTAGGCCAATTGCTGACACGTTTGTCCGAGCACCCGCGGAGGGTGTCACTCTCAGGACTTTGTACATGTCGGTCGGTACGGAAGACGCGCCTGGTACGTACGCAGCCAACGACGACTGCTGCTGTTGCTTACTTGACGCAACTCGGATCCCCTCTCCCAAGGCAGCCACCCGTCAGCATTTCATAGCCATTTTCTCGCTTTCAAATTACTCTCTTCCATTGAGCCGAGCGATTTGATTATCAATTCAAATTGATCGACGTCGCTTGTCTCAATGAGCCTAGTCTTGCTGATGGGCTAAACCGCAGCTCGGGCGTGCTGGCGGCCGGTGATGACCAGGCCGGAGTGGTCAGTTCTGCATTCCATGGGGTAGGTGCCTGGTGGGTTGTGCCCCCTCATTGGACGTCCATGTTCAGGGTAGGACGTCTATGCATGCAGAGAGAGTGCAGACGAAAAGGAACTGAGGTGGGCTGTGCAACTTTTAATCGGTAGGGCCTTACAGGGCTTCGGGGCCTTGATCTAGAGGCCTTCACAGGGACAAAGGACCCCATAGCGTGCCGTTGGTTGTGCTTAGGTTAGGTTCTCGCTGGCTGATGGGCTTTCTAATGAGAGAGACGCAGCAAGCCGCAAATCGCGGGGGAGTGGGAGACGTGTGGACTGGGGAATGGGGGGAATGATGCAATCTCGCCCTGTGCAACCGGAGGGTTTGCGTGAATTGTGTTTGTGTAGCACACCTACAAGGGCTCGACACTCGAGCGAAGGCTTTGGAAGTGGGGACCTTATTCAGCACGCATGCGAGCCGAATGCGGCGCAGCAAACAGACCAACTCTTGATCCTAGCCATCCCTACCCTCACGTGGGAGAGAGAGAAAGTGAGCGCCTGTGATTGCGAAATCTTCATCTCGCACGGCCGCCAAAAATCTCATCAGAGCAAAATATACTACGCCGCAGGGTTCCCCCGCCCTTTTAAAGCGAGGGTGGCGGGTGGCCTGTTAGTGACGCAGTACAAATTGCGTGACAATTTCAACACGGCGAACGACGACCCCGCCAAAGGACCAAACCGACTCACCCGACGCCCAACAACTTCCCAATTCAAACAGTGAGAGCAACCAACACCCGATTCGAACAGAAACACCTGATGACGAGCTGGAAGCCGCCACCAACCGGCCGGAACACGCACTGCGGACCTTTCCTGGCGACCTGGAACCTGGAACCCGAGTTGTGAGAAACTAACAAACTGACACGAGCTACATAGTAGGTTAGCAGGTGAGGTAGTTACCGTCCCTACCGACGAGAGCCACTATCTACAGTGCCCGAGGTATTACGTACGGATCATTGGATGGAGGTCAGGTGGGTGTATCTAATTCAGTCTACGGTTGTCGTCCAGCTCCAGGCAGCCAGCAAGCGTCTGGGTATTTTTGGCCTGATTGCGTTGCAACTTGCAGCAGCAGCAAGCGTCCACTACTTGACTGCGCTTGAGCGAGACATTGTACAGCGGCAGTAGCAGCAGCAGCGCAGCAAAATGACCGCGCGCAAGTGCCCGTCCTTTGGCTTGATTATCTGCACACCATTACAAGGGTAACTGCCGCGCTTGTGCATGACGCCCTGGGCCAACCACAGACGTTCAGTCGCCGTCGCAAGCGCACGTCTCGGAAAGAGCTTCGCCACCCCAGCACCCGCCGAGGTACCACACGGGCACTAACTTACTCAGGTTTGAGCAAGTCTCCGCTGGTCTTTTCTGACAGGACTGGACTGGAGAGAAAAATAGCTAACCGGCCGGTAGGTACCCAGGGAGGGGAGCGGGCCCTTGTCGCTCCTTCAACACTGGGCTGGACGGGATTGGACGACTGCGTCTGGTCTGGGCTGGACTGGACTACACTTCTTCACCTCGACCGTGCCCTGCCTGTTCCTCCCGTGGGGTGGTTCGTGGTGGCTGGTGGCGGTAGTTGTTCCTCTTCAGCCTCGAATAGGGACAGCAACAGCCTCGATTCCATCGTGCCAAAAGTCCTTAACGACCTATTTCCGTATTCGCCGTGGTCCATGGCCCAGACGGGGAGCCAATGCACGTTACAGGACGGAGTAGTGCACCTTAGGTATCTACACTAGAACTCTTAGCCGCCAGGCACCGTTGCTGTTTGGTTCCTATTCAGTTCCTTTGATGGCTGTGTGTAACCATCTTATGTCCTGGACGGGTTAGTTGCTGCTGCTGATGTTTTCAGGTGGCCTTTTCTTGGTTTGCCTCCAACTCAGGTGCGCTTGTGCTGCTTCTCTTTGGCTCACTCAAATGGCCTCAGCCCGATCCAAAAAAAATCCAGCTGACTGGCTTGCTGTTAAACCTTTTTAGAAGCGTAATCTGAGCTGCAGACTAGACTGCTTGGCCGCCAACGGCTGTTCCAATCCACATCCACGTCCATATCCACATCCACATCCACGTCCACATTGACATCCACATGGAAGATCCACGGGCCTCGCGCCGGGTGGATGGTGGATGTATTCCCGAGCGCTCTCTGAAAAGCTCTTGGGACGAGTCTCGAGGACTGAGGCGCCGAAGGGAAATGAAGAGAGAGAGCATCTTCAGCTTCGCCCAAATTGGTCAACATCACGCATCGACCGACCTGAGACCACCTTGATCTCCTCCTAGGCTGCAGGTTTCATTTTGTCGTTCTCGGTTCTTGCAGCTCGGTCTCACATCGCCATGCAGATATTGCAGATTGCAGACCTCGCACCTGCATGGCTTACCTTCATAATTATCTCCACATCCACCCACCAGAGGCCGCGAGCTAACGCAGGAACGCCACGAGGAAGCCTATGCCACCGTTTTGCAACTCAGCGGGCTGCTCTGTGTGACGTGCAATGGATACTGGATGGAGAACGCCACTCCGGCTCGCGATCTCGTTGAGCCTTTTTATCAATGATCCGCTCTTTGGATTCCGAGGTGAGCGGGACTTTGCACCTAGCATGGTTTCCCGGTTGCTCAACGAAAACGACTGGCCGTGTGATTTTGGGTTCTGACGTGGATCCTTTTGAGAGGCACGCCAATGGCGCAACTGTTTCACTCAGGGACTAGGGCTCCGTCGTCCGATAATTAACTACCCGGAGACAAATACTATGTAGACTCGGAGACTTGAGCACCAGGACAGAGCCAATAGGGTTGAGAGTGAGTGAGACTTGAGCCACGAGAGAATCATCCCTGGGACCCCCACAAAGAGGGGTGAAATGTGCGAGTGCGAGCCTCAAGCCGCAGGCTGTGTGCTTCTGCGCTGCCAGAGACATGGATAGGTTTGCGTGCGTATGTGCGTATACTGGCTGTACGGTGCGTAACTCTGCGTGTTGATGAGCGTCATCTTTAACGTCTTGTTTGCCTTTACGAAGCATTCCCGGCCGTGATGGACGAACATGTCGTCATGTCTACCATGGCAAACGATGATTAAGATTAAGAGACCCCGATTTTGCTCTTCGGGCCGCTTCTCGGTTGGCCTCTCTTCATACGTCTCAGAAATAGGCTAGATGCTTGTTGGACTTGTGTGGTTCATCAAGTCAGCTCAGCTCTCGCTCTCTCGCTCTCTCTCTTCACACTGCGGGAGAAGCGGCACAGGAACCTTTCATGGCTCGAGCACAGGCTTCTATACACGCAAAGCACAAACCAGCCAGCCGCAACGCAAGCCAACCGCACATCAACTCAACCACACACACACACACACACACACACGCAGAGGCACATACGCCACACAAGAGCCGCGCCCGCCGTCGCTTCCCGCGCTGCATCGGCGCTCCTGCTACCACCGCTGGCCACACCGGGAACAGCACGAGTTGCTAATAATAGATATAAACACTTCCCAGAGGACCGGGACGGCCGCCGCAGCCCCAGGTGCCTCCCAGCTACTCCCCACACTCCGAACACCGCTCGCTGCCGCGTGCCCGCGCCGCTCGCCGCCGAAGCACGTTTAACCTAAGAGAGTCTCTAAACCATGAAGCCAACTACCCTCCCCCCAACGGCTCTCCCTCCTTCCTGTTCTGGACAAAAAGAGAGAGAGACCCGCGGAAATCCTTTAAAAGAAGCCAACCAGACCAGCCCCACGCCTCCCCTCGATGCTCTGTTTGATGCGGCTACGAGGAAAAGAAAAAGACGCTGTGCCGTTTCCCCTCCCCGGCTTTCTCCCGTTCTTCCTTTCTTCTTCTTCTCCTTCTTCTCCTCCTTCCTTAGCTCCCGATCGTTCGTTCCTACGTCCGGCCGCCGTCGGCGACCTTTCACAGTTTCATATCCGGCCCGGATACGCACCCCGCCCCGCCTCACCGTTCCCCAGGCATCCCCCCGTCGTCTCCCGAAGTTGGGTTTCGTCGATGCTTGTCTTATCCCCGACCCCGGTAGTCGTGGTTTCAGAGCCGGGGAACAAAGTTGTTAGGCTGTTGTCAGCAGTTACACAGTGTGTTTCAATCTTGGCAGTTGCTTTCTTGTTGTCGTATTTTATTATCACAAAATCTCATTGGCTTTTTGTATCTCGCTTGTTGTGGTCGTCTTGAGATACGAGGATGCCGCGTGGGTCGGCACGTGGACGTATTTCTTTTCCTTTGCTTCACCTGGGGTTGGTGGTGGTGGTACCGCTGTTTCCGCAGCCGTGTTACTCGGAGCACCAGCATCTGTCGAGTCTTCGGCCCGAGAAAAGCAGCTCGACCATGACTTGAGCAGGCCGAGCGGTGAACAAGTCCTATCACTCTGCCTATCTGCTCCTCCTCCGTCTCCTTGTGGTCGCTCATTCTGCCGCCCTCTTTCAAGGTCGTCTTGCGCGTTCGACGACATTTCTCTTCTTCTTTGGCTTCCTCCCTCCTGTCTTGCTGGAGCAAGAGCCCGGCAGGCCGAACTGGCTGCCGAAAGTAGTAATCGGCGAGGGGATTCTTTAGAGGGGCGACACGGAACGTGTACGCAACACGCGGTGCAAATGCGACGCGGACAGCAAGCAAGGGAGCCAAGCTGACGCGCAAGTTGCCTCCGAGTCCACACCCGGATTGAGTCTGACGGACGCTACGTCTGACTGAGTGTCAGACTTGCTATGTCAGAGGACCAACAGTCCGCGTGTGCCGGCTGGGCGATTGACAAATAAAAGTGCTGATGCCGCGTGTGTCGATCACGCCGTGGCCGGGAGAGAAAGATACGAAAACAGAATTTTTTGATTCTCACAATGAACAGAGCAGAGGAAGAAAGAATCCAAGTGTGAGTTGAAGCTACACTTTCTTCAAGGACAATCAATACTGCTCATTAAAAAGGGATGAGCTCCGGGGATGGCGGGATTAGACGGGGGGCCAGTGTCCTGCAAGAACGGCCTGTATCAAACTGGACAGCGAATAACAAGTAGAGAATCTTGAACATTTATTGCTTTGCGCTGCGCTGCTCTGCTCTGTGTGTGGCCAGACCCGATCAGATCATGGCTGGTCCAGTCCCAGATGATTGCGGTCCAAAAGACCGAGACACATCACTAGCGCGCTGGCGCGGGGGGGGAATGGATGGCGGACCATCTGGTTTGCGGACGGACCGACGACCCCCGGCACCAACACACGAAATTGTGGTTCTTTTTGCCTCGCCTGGCGGGGGAGCTAGCAGAGCCTCGTCTGTCTGTCTGGCGAGCTGAAATTTTCCTCTCTTTTGGGGGCAGTGTGTGTGCCGGTGTGGGAGATCACGCGCATCATCATAATCCATGGCCCTAGGCCTGGCCCATTCCAGCACTCTAGTCCGATCTGCGAGTGTGCCGTTGTCTCACAGGTAAGACAGAGGGACTGGTGGATCAGAGCGAGATGGACTGCCCACATGCGGTGAGCAACACGACAGAAGAGAAGGCGGCAGAGAGAGAGATACCAGAGACGCTGTTGCATCACTTGATCGGGCCTAGCGAGACCGGGCTCAGAAGAGATACAACAATAGGTTCGCTTGCAGAGGACTAGAATAGCGATAGAGAGGGGAAAGAGCAGAAAGGGAAATAGGAATGCGTCTGGACTGTACCCAGAAGATGGGGGCCCAAAAAGTCTCGAATTAGGTATCCCGTGTACTGCATCCGCGCGCTGCTGCTGATGCGTTCCAGGGTGCAGGACCGCGTCGGTCTCACCACATACATATGCATAAGATACCCAAGGGAACGGGCAGTGCAGTCATTATTACAGTGGCACTTCGGACCACTGAAAAGTGTGATCTGCAGAATGATGCAAAAGAAAACAGGGAATCTAGGGACGAGGAAATAAAGAATACCAAGGTACCGGGCAGCGAATACCCTATGGAATGGCCCGCCCGCGCCAAGGCTCCTCCCACCTTCAGCTGGCCACATCTAGAACACATCCTCGGGGCCTCAGGCGGTATGTTTCTAGGGGACACCTCACACTCGCCATCACAACTCTCGAGACATCTAGGCTACCCAAGACTGGAGAAAGTAAAAGTCAAAGGACCCGGTAAACTACGTACGTAGTCAGTAGACCTGCGGGCGAACAACTGGCGAAGCGTCTTCTTGCGGGAGCGGCAGAGAAGAAAGATACGGACGGGCGGCGGCGGCGCTGTCGTTGTTGCGGTGGTGACACTGACACGCAAAGAGCCGCATGTCGCCACCAAATCAGCCACGTCGGACGCCATTTCACAAAGACAAGAAGAAGGGGAGATGAACCAATAATTGGCCATCCTTAGTAGCACAAGATAGGTAGTTTTCCGCGGACGGACAAGAAAGACCACGAGACTCAACCTGCAAAGTGTAGGCAGTCAGCCTGTACACGTGGATGTACAGACATGTGCAGACAGCCAGCCAGCCAGCCAGACAAACAGGCCAGCCACACGATCGTGGATGCAGCGTACCTACTTTTCAGCTGAAAAAGGAGCGGTGATGGCTTGCTTGTCCCAGCGCCAGCCGCCACATTGTAGATAGTGACTCCAGGATCCGATAAGGCCGGTTCACTCGCCCTCGAAAGTGTAGAGCAAGTAGTTTTGACATTGTCCAATACATGCAATGCAGTAGGCAAAAAGTAAGCAAAGATACGGACACTTTGATAGGAAAACCTTCGTTAATCCCGAGTAGTAATAGTAACAAAATAAGGCTGATGATGACTACCGGTACTCGTTCCGTATTGACCGACTAACTGTTGTTGAACGAAACCGTGACGGACTGACCAAGGACCCTTCTTTAACTTATTTCCACACGGAATAATCCGCTCAACCACCACCTTCGTGCATCATGACGATAGACGAACTATACGCACGAACGTATGTAGGACGGAACGATACCAACCTTACCTTAGCCGCCCCGAGCTGCATTGCATGCTGGGAATTGTTATCGACACCGACTTTGTTTCCTAAAGACTCGACTCGACTCGATATATGTATGCACTCCATTCCACACCTGAGCTAGTTCCACACAATACATACCTACCTAAGCACACGGCCGTGCGGACGCGCGGGCGCTAATAAGTCTCGGGACACTGTAAAGGTACAAAGTCCTCTGCACGTTCTGAGGTAGAAGGTGAGGCGGGGACTTTGGGGGAAGGGGCGGGCGGTTCTCGAATCGCAACGAGTTCCCGGAATGGCAATGAACGTGACGTGACCGATATGAGAGAGAAACTGAATCGGGTTACTGTTGCAAGATGGATAGACTTTGCGTGAGCGCTGGGCGCTGGGGCAATTGCGTATCTCGGAGGTCCGCCGAGACAGGCTCCACCTGCTCCTGAGACAAGGCATCTTGTCTCGGGGCCATTGCAAGGAATTTGGCATGTTACTATTTAGGCTCCCCTACTCGGCCTATATCTGCTACGTGCATTGGTCTCAGTTGCCCTCCTTCGGCCAAAATACTGCTAGAAGTGCTAGCCAGTCCGGGCTTAAGACACGGCGCGGAGCGGATGTCGTCGGGCGTCAACCTCCATGTGGCAGGCGCTCGTTCACACGAATACGTATTGTAAATTTCCCGACCAAAGAGTCAATTATCGTGCAAAGTCCCCAACTGAAACACAACCGGGGAATACGGGCTACACGGCATCGGCCGCGTTACTGTCCATCTCAGCGTCCTCGTCCTCGTCACTGCCACCGCCGTCCTCGTCGGTGTCCTCGTCGCCCTCCTGCACCGCGTACGGGACAAAACGAAAGTCGAGGAAACTCGGTCCCGCCCCTTCCACCTCCACCATGAACTGCATGCTCAGCACGCCTTGGCCGTCGCCGCGCAGGCTGACCTTGCTGGCGATACGCATGGCCTCCGTGGCCGACTTGATGATGTCGAACTTGAACGTCTGGGCCCAGCGCTTGCGCACCGAGAACGTCTCCAGCACGTCACGGCCCTTAGCAAAGTCGACGCTGGTGGAGCCAAGGGCCGAGACGCCCGCGCTGGCGAGGCGCAGGTAGGGCGCGCGGCGCGACGCCGTCACGGTGAGCTTCTCGGGCGCCGTCGGCACCATCTCGGACAGCACGTCGAGCAGCAGACGCGCCGACATGATGATCTTGAACGATAGGTCCTTAATGTCGAAGGGGATATCATCGGGCGTCTCGGACACGTACGTCGTTAGGTTGCACGTCGTCTTGACGTTGGACTCCTCGAGCACGATGCTGAAGGGCTCGCCGTCCTGCGCGTACGACAGCGAGCACGTCCCCGTCATGCCGAGCGTCTGGTTGCTGAAGGCGTCGGCCCGGTAGTTGCGCAGGTTGCTGCGGTACGGGTCGGCCTCGGCCTTGGCCTGGCGCGCCGCTGCCTCGGCCGCCCCAAAGATTTGCAGAGTCTCGAGCAGAGCGGGCAGCGAGATCTGGAAGTTGGGCGGTTCCGTATCTTCCGCCTCGTCCTCGTATTCTTCGCTGTCGTCGTCATCATTGCGACGATGCTGCACCGGCTTGGGCAGGTTTGTTGTGTAGCTGGTAAATAAGCTCTTGCTCCAGTGCGCAACCCCTATACAAATCCACAATATGTCAACATAAAGCTCGGCATCCGCGCAGTGGAGGCTAGAGCCACTCATACCTTGCATCACACGCGCATGGTCGGCCGCAAATCTGATACCGCTCTCGGTAATCTCGATATGTATCTTGTTCGTGAAGCCGATTGACTTGAGGAGCTGGTACAACGGCCTGGTGGAGCTGCAAACAGCTCGGAAGATGGGCGCGGGGACGGGGCTGGAGTCGTCCATGTTGTCGAGAGGAAAAAGGAAATAATTACTTGGAATTCGGCGGCGACGTGTCAAGCTAGAACCGTCTCTTCGATCAAAGCAGGATGATAATCAGGACGGGAGACGATCTGGGGCGCTTGTCTTTTGAGATATCTTTTTTTCTTCTTTCTTTTGCTATAGTACAGGTTCGGGGGTCGAGATGCTTCTCTGGGGTATCTCTTTTAGACGTAGACTCCGACCGCACAGAACATGTACACCACGCCAAGCCTAAGAAGTATTTGGTCAGAGGATAGCAAGCAGCATTAGAGACGGCTGAGAACGTACGCAAGTGCCAACGAAGCTGGGAGGCCGAGAAGTGGCAGGTTCGCAAACGACCGGGCGTCTAGACAGCTCGAGTCAGTGGGAGTACCCAGTCGGGGATTGGAGGAGCAGACGTACTCAGCGCAAAAGCACCCGTCAGGCCTAGAGCTATGAGCACCAGAGTGAAGCCGACGTAAAACTGGCTGCCCTTTCCGATTGTGGGGACAAATGCCCTGCCAGACGCCGTCTGCCAGACCTCGTGTAATGACGAATCCATGTATGAGCGAGCTTTGGGGATGGGATGGGGTGGGCTTCTCGCAGAGCCGGACGAGATTCTAGTGACTGCAAATCTAGCAAGAATTCAAAAGGTGTCGGGAATTGGCCTAGCTCGTCGGCGTTGTCGTCGTCGTCTAAAGAGAGAGGGAGGCTTGCACGTTTGATGATGCACAATTGAAGCAAGCATCTACTGCCCGACAGGACAGTCAAGGAGCTGGACAAGAACGTGTTCGAATCCCAAACAGGGTTAGCGCAGATCGGGAGTGGGGCCCCTGTCACCCTACGACCCGCCCCTGCAGTCACAGCGCCTTCGGTCCTCGGATCCACTCCCCTCCGCAATTCATCATCGTCGCCGACGTCGCCATCGCCATCGAGACACGCCCCGAAACTCAATCGCGGTGCTACCGCAGCGCATCGAAATGAAGGACGAGAGTAAGTGATACCAGCTGTGCCCTGCAAGCACTCGTAGCCCCCGCAACGTGCAGGTCGTTTCCTCTGATTTCTTTCCGCTGACGCGCATCGTCGCCGCTGCAGATGGAAAGCGCAAGGCCACCGACGATCCGTGGTCACCCTTGGCCACGAAGCGCATGAGGCACAACGAGTCCACAGAGCCCGAGAAAAATACACCCAGAATACCAGCTATCCCTTTTCCCGAGAAGGTGAGCGCGTCGCCAACCCCCACCTCTCACAAACCACAAGCTGCTGCCCCTCCAACACGGCGTCACGTCTGGACTGTTCGCTAACCAAACCCCTATGCGCCATACACAGCCGGCCGTTATCGAGGAGCGCAATGGTGAAATAGAATTCCGCGTTGTGAACAATGACGACGAGCGGGAGAGTCTGATCATCCTTACGGGGCTCAAGTGCATCTTCCAGAAGCAGCTTCCCAAGATGCCCAAAGACTACATCGCGCGCCTAGTCTACGACCGCACCCACTTGTCGATCGCCATCGTGAAGAAACCGCTCGAAGTGGTGGGCGGCATCACGTACCGCCCCTTCAAGGGCCGCCAGTTCGCCGAGATTGTCTTTTGCGCCATCTCGTCGGACCAGCAGGTCAAGGGCTACGGCGCCCATCTCATGTCGCATCTCAAGGACTACGTCAAGGCAACGTCGGACGTGATGCACTTCCTGACGTACGCCGACAACTACGCCATCGGCTACTTTAAGAAACAGGGCTTTACTAAGGAGATCACGCTCGACAAGTCGGTATGGATGGGTTATATCAAGGACTACGAGGGGGGGACCATAATGCAGTGTACCATGCTCCCGCGGATCCGGTACCTCGAGATGGGGCGCATGCTGCTGAAGCAGAAGGAGTGCGTGCAGGCAAAGATTCGTGCATTTAGTAAATCGCACATCATCCACCTGCCGCCCAAGCAATGGCAGCAGCAGAAGGGCGGCGCCGCCACGCCCATCGACCACCTCTCTATCGAGCCCATCCGCGCCTCGGGCTGGAGCCCCGACATGGACGAGCTGGCGCGCCAGCCTCGCCACGGCCCCAACTACAACCAGCTGCTGCACCTGCTCAACGACCTGCAAAACCACCCGAGCAGCTGGCCGTTCCTGATGCCCGTCAACAAGGACGAGGTGGCCGACTACTACGACGTCATCAAGGAGCCCATGGACCTCAGCACTATGGAGAGCAAGCTCGAGGCCGACCAGTACGCAACGCCCGAGGACTTTATCCGAGACGCCCGCCTCATCGTCGAGAACTGCCGCAAGTACAACAACGAGAGCACCGCCTACGCAAAGTGCGCCACCAAGCTCGAGAAGTTCATGTGGCAGCAGGTCAAGGCCATCCCCGAGTGGTCCCATCTCGAGCCCTAGAAGCGCCGCCATGGCTGCTGCCGCGACGAGGTGGAGATGCAGCAGTACGCCCTGCAGGCGCGCGAGAAGGATTGCGAACAGAGGCAGCACCAGAGCTGGTATCAGGACTTGCAGGACACCATTTATGTGGCCGCAGTAGACCCGCAGGCCTTTGAGACGCGCACAGCAAGAGTGGCGAGGAGGCGCCGCTGATTACGAAGACCATACGTTTTTCTTTTCCTCTACGTATTCTATGGAATGGCATTTTGCTTTTAGCGTTTCCAAAACGGGCTACCTTGGGCTCGTTTAAAATAAGGTTGCTTTTCTCTTTTTATGGGGGCGTCTGGTTGGGAAAGGGAGGCTGACCTGGCTCAGGGGCGGATGGGAAACTTGCTTTTATGGGCGATCGGTAGTTGCTTCCATGCTTCCGTGTTTCTCTTTTCATGGGCGGCGAGAGCAGGGGAAAATTGTGTTTGTTGGGCTTGGGTGAAGGGGAAGAAACAGCGTCTCTTATCGCTCACAAAAACTGCACATAATATCCCGCCAAGTAACAAAACATAGACGCACTCACTATGATAAGCGAACGTGCTTGACTACACTATCCCACAGTGATATTAATTCCCAGGTATGTAGGTAGTCAAAATGGTGTAACCAGTTTCATCGCAGTCTAACAGAAAGAAGCAGATAAGAAACAGCAAGCCATGCACTTCGTACCTCTTTACAAAGCAAGTTATCATTGATGGTCATCAAATCTCATCATATATGCCCTGGTCATTAGCCTAATCGTGATAGACCCGACGATGATCAAGTAGAGCCTGCAGCAGCAACAGCAGCAGATAGTCCGACCTGATCCACCTATTACATATCATCATGACCGCGAAGAAAGGACAAAGTCATGAAGAAGAAAACTCCTACACACACAAAAAAAAAAAAAAAAAAAAATAAACCCATAATGCTATGATTCCCATTTTTTGTTGACCACGCCAACACTCCTTGATGAAAAAAACCCCCCCAAAAAAACCCAATTCAGTTGCGCTTCTTATTCTTGTTCTCAGGCGCCCGCGAACCGAAGCTCTTGGTCCACGTGGCATCCCGCGGGTGAAGCTCGATCGCGCGGCGCTCCATACTCCGCTTCTTGCCCGGGGTGACGTGGGCAGCCGTGATGTTACCGCAGTCGGGGCGCTTGAGCTTGCCGGCGAACGTGTCGGCTGCCCAAATTAGGACGCCGTTGCTCCATCCGAATCCCTCGACGACGGTGTACTCGCCGCCACCGCCGGCCACGTTGGTCGAGTTGTCGGCGTACTTCTCGAAAATGGCGCCGACGGCGTCGGAGCCGAGGCCCTGGAGCTTGGGCGTCTGGCTGGTCGAGCCGCCCGTCGCGTACCACGTGCAGAATGTCGAGTCGAGGTAGCGCTGGGCCAGACGCAGCGACAGGTCCTGGACCGCCACGTACGCCGGGTCGGCCGTGCCAAACGTGGCGGGCGTGTTGAGCAGGCCCTTCATCAGCACGTGCTGCAGGGGCGGCCAAACGTTGGGCTCATCCCACTGCTGGCCTGTCTGGAGGTTGGTTGCGGGAATGCCGCCTGCCTTGACATCGAGCATAGTCTCGACGCGAGAATAGGCCTGCTGCACGGCAAGAGGGTTGTTCTTGAGCTGTTCCGGGGCCGCGCCAGTCCAGAATGGGTACAGCTGGGCAATATCAAACAGCACCTGGTAGCCCTTGGGCGCCGTGGCCTCTTCGGCCGGTGTAGCATCAGAATCTAGGGGGATGTAGATATTTTGCGAGTTGCTCGTCAGGTTGTAGTCAAAGTATGACCAGAGCGTCGAGTTCCACATGAGAGCGTACATAGCCTGGCTCCGCGCATTTGCCTTGGCGGCCCATGTCTTGGATCCGGTGTCGTTGCCTGCTGCCTTGAGAAAGTTGCCAATAGCCACCTCGTTCTGGTACAGGATTGAATTCAGATCAACCGGCACGATGTTGACCACGTTGAGGGAGCGCAAGGGGAAGTAGACGTCAAGTGCCGCGTCGTTAGGGCGAGCGAGATAGCGTGTGCCGTAGTCCCATCCAGACTCGGCGCCGCTCGCGAGGTTAGCGTATAGGTCGGCCTTCTGGGACTCGTTCAGAGGCGTCTTCTGCGGGTAGATAATGCCCGACTGGGCGTAATACGACCCGTTGTTGGCAGAGATCCAGTCCTCGCGATACGACTCTGGCCGGGGCTGGTTGTTCTGGACGTGGTACCTGCAGCAAGCCGTCTGTTAGTCAAAAATTGATGGGTGACCGCCTCGGCGGCTGGGTGAAAGAGGGGATTAACTTGCCTGTTGAGCGTGTACTTCTTTCCGTCCGGGGCCGTAATGTCGACAGTGCGGTTCGTCATCCAAAAGTCGTGCTCCTTAATCAGCAGCGGCACGGCCCGCTCGAGGATGCTCGTGTCGTTGGTGTGCTCAATGTAGACGCGTACCATCTGAGACAGCAGCGGGGGCTGAGAACGGTTGAGATAATAGACTCTAGCGCCATTGGGGACGAAGCCGATAGTCTCGACGAAATCCAGAAAATTCTCGATGATATTCTTGGAGATCTCAATGAAGGCGCCGCCAGTGCGGAGGAGGCCCTCGACAATCCAGTACGAGTCCCAGTAGTAGGGCTCGCGGAAGCGGCCACCAGCTACGACAAAGGTGCGGTTCACGGGGATGAAGCTGTTGGCGCATTCCGTGCAGTTGCCCGGGCCGGCGTATCGGCGGGTGAGGTCGGGCCAGATGTCGATGACGGCATTGACAAACTCGTTGATGACGCCGTCGTCGACCTTCTTCAGGAACACGGGGTCCGTCTTCAGCTCCGAGACTGGCACGTCTTCGAGCTCGCCGCCGGCGGGCGCAAAGTTTGCGGCGAGAAAGTCGTTGAGCTCTGAGTTGTTGCTCAGGGGTTGGGTGAGCTGGTTGAAAGCCAGGATCACCTCGTTGAGGGGTTTGGTAGTTGGCCTGCAGCGCGTCGCAGCTCGGTTAGCATAGGTTGTCTCACGCGGGATGGATGAGCCATGCGCGTGCCCTGACGAAGGGTGGGCATCCGAGACCTGACTTACATATCCACGAATGTCTTGGAGTCGGAGAATGGAGACGCGAGCTCAATTGCCTTGAGAATGTCACCCTGACAGTAGAGCGGCGAGTCGCATGGCGCGGTAACTGAGCCATTGATGTAGAGCGCGGCGGCGCTCGAAGCGAGCGCCGCGATGGCGACCACGCTGGCGAGCCGGCGCGACGCCATAGCCACTGTCATGGCTATGACGGGGGAAGCAAGCTGATCCGATCAAGACAAAGTGAAGCCAAGGCCAGAGTCTCAAGCAGCAGACGACAAGGACTGGACCCTGGGGGTGTTGCAGATGCGAAGACGGCAAGAGAGTGAGACAGAAAGTAAGAGGAAGGCCAGGGGACCAGCGAGGACAAGGGAGGGAGAGCTGCGCGTGGGCAAGAAATAGGGAAGGGCGGATGGTGGGAAGGGCGGATGGTGGGAAGGGCGGATGGTGGGAAGGGCGGATGGTGGGAAGGAGGGGCAGCAATTTCCAAGTTGCCGTGTTGGACGAAGAGGACGGGAGTAGGGACTTTTTGGAAACGGTAGGAACGGGCAGAAGGTATACCGTCTCAGTCTCTAAGCCGTTGTTCACTTAACAGCATTAGGCAGGAGGAAGCCGTGGGAGGGGCGTCGGTGTCCTCGTGAGTGCTCTGGTGCGCGTGCCTGAAGTGTCGAGAGACGAAAGCAACTTTAGATATTGGATAAACGGTGCATGGCCATGGAGGTACTCGGTACGGAGGTACCTTAAGTCACGCACACACAAGACTCGAACTGAGTTGGTCAACAAGCTGGGCCGGCCGAAGCTAAGGTACCTACCCTGGCACACGAACCAATGACCAAGCTTGGGAAAGGGTGTGCAGCGTTCCAGGAAATCTTCTTGTCGGGTCATGTTAGACTGCTTAGTTTGTCTAGTGTAATTCTAGGTTGTGCCTTGCAATCCGCACACTTTAGCTGATGGAGACTTCAAGTTCCCCTCAGCGACGCCATGATCGGCCCTCCATTCTCCGATCCTGGAGTCGCCTCAATGTCGCATCCACTCGCCAAGATTACCTGTCAGTATGGGATGGCAAGGCATTTGCCGCATATATTGGCGGTCAGTCAATTGAGCTCCTGGTGCTATCGCTGGGCTGGCGCGGGCCGACTCGCTCGAGGCTGTCGGTTGACGAGAATTGGATTTGAAATTTCAGCTTCTAGAAAAGTAAGGTACATGTATGCAAAGTAACGCACGCGGTTGAGACCGTTGACAAAGGAAAGGGCAAGTATTTTTTGAGTTTGGAGCTACACGGATCCGTCCTGGGTGGGCGCCTTCCCCGCATTTTCTTCCATCTCAAGTGCCCCCGGCATAGAGCCGGACCGAGGGTGGGCGGCACTGTTATTCGCTGAGGGCTTGCGTGACGTCAGGCGATTCTCCGATTGCTACAGGGGTAGCGAGGCGGGGCAATAGCTTAGGGTGGCAGCATCCTCTTTGTTTGCTTGCGGGGCGGGCGGCATTGGACGGGACCCCTCATGGGATTTGAAGCGGTCAGCTACCGGGCTACCCTCCTTACCTTACTTAGCTCCCTAAGGTACGGTACGGGCGAACTTGGCCTGCATGCACAGAAAAAGAATACCTTGAAGGAATACTCGATGGCTGTCAATGTTGCGACGAAGCTGTTGTGTCATGCAGCTACCCGCAGCCATCACCACGTTCTGCAGAATATGTCAGCGGCGGTCCCGGTTTAGGTTTAGGCCTGGCTTCTTTCTTCAGTAAGTTCCTCCTCTCCTGCCTGCCTTGGAATTCACATTGTAGGTACCTGCTGCAGTAGCATTATTAGCTTCACGTCAGGCGTCCACCAACAGCACATAGAATAGATATCATCTAATAAAGTCCCCACTGGACTTGTCAGGCGGGCAGACCGGTGGGCTTTGTTTACCAAGGCCCTCGGCGCACCCGAGCTCCCGGAGTTGCGGCCAAGGCGGAGAAATTGTTCGGCTTGGTTGCTGGCTGGTCGAGCCTCGCCTCACGTCGCCTTGTCCCGCCCCGCCCCGCCTCGCCTCATCTGCCTCGTCGGCCCTTCTTGTCATGCCGAGTACTGTACGTACACGAAGGCACGGATACCGATGGGTATAGTATACGTAGCCGGTATTGCTTTATTCTTATGGCTGCACCGATCTCAACATTTCTTCTACGCAGTAAGCAGAACGATAGCAAGCTTCGGAGCAGCGCAAAGATATGTTTTTTTTTTGCAGGTAGGTGACCCAACTCCCTTGTTGAGGTGGCTGCCAAGGGCCTGGCCGGGCTCTCTCCTGAATTTCCCCAGGGGCAATAACAGCAACAACACAAGTGGCGGGGTCAGTCACAGCCGCGCCAAGATTCATGATTCAGGACTAATTCTTATTGCTTCTCCTTCGGTAAAGTGGCGGAGAAAAGGGATATAGTGGCTCCCGCCACGGCTGGCAACATAGCACACATCATATCGTACCTAAGATAGGTAGCCCGTATTATTGGGCGCGGTACATAGATGTCTCCCCATCTGGCTTGCCGGATGCCGCCGCACCCTTCGCCTTCTCTGCGAATATGGTCTCGAATATGGTCCCTAGTCTGGGCACAATAAAACCGCAGTTCTGGTAGATCTGGTAGTGGATGACTAGCCGGTTGCCGTAAATCTTCAAGCCAGCCTCCTGCCCGAGCTCCATTAACCTGGCGTACGACGACTGCGCGTCGTCCAGATCAAGCCACACCATGTTGGTGTGTACCGGGTAGACGACCTTGCCCCCGAGGTCTGTCCAGATCTTGGCAATCTCCTTGGCGAGGACGTGCGTCTCCTTGAGCAAGCCGCCCTCGCCATTGGGGCCCTTGCCGAAGGTCTCATCGACGGCAACCCGCGCGGCGGCCGTGATCAATCCCGGCTGCCTCAGCCCGCCGCCCATGTACTTGCGCACCCAGCGAGCCTGCTTCATGACGGTCTTGTCTCCGACCAGGATGCTGCCGACGGGGGCTCCGAGGCCCTTGGAGAAGCAGAGGGTAACCGTGTCGAAGCACGCCGAGAAGTCGGTCAGGCTGCCCGCTCCCGAGGCCACGGCCTCCCACAGTCGCGCCCCGTCGCAGTGTAACTTGATGCCATGCTCGCGGGCAAAGGCCGAGATGCGCCGCACTTCGTCGAGCGGCATGAGCATGCCGTTGAGTGTGTTCTCAAGGCTGATGACGCGCGTGGGGCACGTGTGCACGTCATCGTCGAGATAAGTGTTGGCCTTGACGTCCTCTAGCGTGAGATGGACGCCGTTCTTTGGCACGACTGGCTTCATCATGGCGCCCGTCAAGGTAGAGACGCTGTCCGTGAGAAGGCTCGGGTTCAGTACGTGTGCGACGGGCCCGGGATGAGAGCAGCCGGCGCCGGAGCCGGCACATAGGGGAGAATGGAAAAGGACCTACCCTCCAGCCTCGTACTTGATAATATGAGAGCGGTGGTCGCACAGCACGCCAAATGGCGGCTGCGTCAGAAGAGATCTCAGTGCGAGCTGGTTTCCCATAGTCCCTGAGAGGACAAAGAGCCCAGCCTCCTTGCCCGTCAAGGCCGCGCAGTGTGCCTCGAGGTCCGTGGTGGTGGGGTCTTCCTGGAAGACGTCGTCCAGTAGTGTGCACGACTGAACGGCGGCCAGCATTGAGGCCGTGGGTGTCGTCATTGTGTCACCTAGACACGATAGAAGCGAGGGTTGGGTTCAGTCTCACTTTCTGACAGTTGCATTGCAGTAGATGACATTTGAGCCACTCCCGGCAGGTAACTCACTCCTGAGGTCGGTGCCAGCAGCACCGGCGCTTCCAATCCAGGCATGGTGCTGCCCCGGGGCCGAGGCAGAGGCAGAGGCACCCGCCTTGTCGCTGCTGCTTGCCTGGTGAGCCATGGCGAGACTTGATGATGTGCTGAAAAGATTTCGAGATTTCAAAGGGCCGCGGCCGTCTTGAGTTATGAACGACGACGGCTGCCCACCGCGCCCTTTTGATAACAGACTCGGAGTCAGAGTCAAAGGCGGGGAACGGGAACCTGCCCTCGAACCGGCGGGGCCTAAAAAGAGACGGGCAATGCACATACGGCTGCCCGCGGGATACGCTGCATTACGGAATCCCGCAGGCCGGGGCGGCATTGCACCGAGACACCGCGAGGTTCTTTTGCAACCCACGGTATAGTGGCAACCTAAGGTACGTAATGGGCTTGGGCTCGGCTCGTCGACGTCTTGCTGCCTCTGCTCTGTGCCTCAAATGGTCTCGCAATCGCTTCCCTAGCCCTTTTAGGCACACCGACAAATCTGAGTGTCCATTGGTGTAACGTCTGTCGGCTTTATGGAAAATCTGGCCCTTCTCCAACAGTCGTTGTTTGTGTACCTACGTATTCAGACTTGTCGCAATGGTGTCGGGGGCTGTGGCCCGTGAAAACCCATAGGCCGGTCGGCTGTTATCCACTGACAGCTGCTGACTGGCAGCTGGCCGACAGCTGACAGCCTTTCCTCCCCAATGACGTGCCCCACAAACGCTTGAGCTCGCGCCAAGACATTTTTCTAATGCACCGCCCGCAGCAAGCGACCATAACAGTTGATTCCCGAAGCTGCAACCTTCTAGTTCTTTCGCGGCCTGCTTCCTCACGTCACCTCTACCTTACCTCTACACTTGACTTCTACCTCAACTTCCGATCGTTCCGTAGGTAATTCCTACCTGAATCATATCCATCGCAATGGATGAGGAACCGGAGTACTTGACGTTCCCCGTCGACCGAACATTTTTCGATGACGATCCTCGCATCTCGTTCGATCTCCAGACCAGAAAGCACATCGCGGTCCAGGAAGATGGCACCGAGTACGAGTTCGACGACGAGCAACGCCACTGGATCCTGATTACGGATGAGGAGGCCATGGTTGAGGAGGCCCTAATCAGAGAGTACCAAAACTCATATATTCTGCACGACGTTAACGACACCCACAGCGGCCTGCACGGCAAGAAGAGAAAGAACAACGCTTCGAATGACCAAGAGGTAAGTAAGCTGCGTCTGCGTTTCCGATCCCCCCTACTTCCCTCGCACCACAACCACAATGATGGAGATCCGCTGCCGTTGCCTTGCCCATGACCGATCTACCCCAGAGTATGCGCCCGCACTAGAAATGAGGAGAAAGTACCGAGAACAGCCCGAGCGCGCAGAGACCAGTGCGTGGGGGGGAATGACTAACCAGACGCCTTATCGCTTTTTTCTTTTTTGCTCGCCCATAGGAAAGCAACGGACGTTCGAACAAACAAGCCCGGCGGCAGGGCAACCGGCCGCCGCCGCAGCCCAAGCAAAACACGGCCGTCTACGTCACAGGAATCCCGCTCGATGCTACCGTTGACGAGGTGGCAGAGCTGTTCTCACGAAAGTGCGGCGTAATTGCCGAGGAAATTGACAGCGGCCGAAAGAGGATCAAGATGTATACGGACGAGAACGGCAAATTTAAGGGCGACGCCCTCATTGTTTTCTTCAAGCCCGAGTCGGTCCGCTTGGCCATCGACCTCCTCGACGATTCTTACTTTAGCATGACGGACTTCTCATCTGGTAAGATTCGGGTCGAAGCTGCGGAGTCTAGTTACAAGAAGACAAAGTACGAGACCACAGGTGACGCTGCTGCTGATGGCAACGCTCCTACCTCGAACACCACTGCTACGCCAGCGACGGGCGCCGCCAAGCGCAGCGGACAGGACAAAGCAAAAATCATCAGAAAGACACAGAAGCTCGACGCCAAACTCGCCGACTGGGACGATGACGAGCCGCCGAAATTGTTCCCTGGTGGCAAGGCCGTCGCCCCAAAATGGGAGAAGGTTGTGATTCTGCGTCACATGTTCACTCTGCAAGAGCTGGAGGCCGACCCGGCCGCTCTGCTGGACATCAAGGAGGACATCCGCGAGGAGTGCGAGAAGCTCGGCGAGGTGACCAACGTCGTACTCTTCGACGAGGAGGAAGAAGGAATCGTCAGCGTCCGTTTCAAGTCGCCCGAGGCCGCTCAACAGTGTGTCCACCGAATGCATGGCCGCGCCTTCGACGGCCGCACCGTCGAGGCCTTCTTCGCCACGGGTAAAGAGAAGTTTCGGAAGTCAACTGGTACGGGCCAGAACGACGACGACGAGCACGATGAGTAAGTTCGGAGAAGGGAGGAGTGTGAAGGCTTGCGGTTATTGCTTCGACTGCCACTCAATCACCTTGTGATCAGCTCCTATAGTGAGCATATCCTACCTCCCCTGTTTCTTTCACCCTTTCTCGTCCCATTCAATGAACGAGTTCATGACCGGATCTGAACTGGTGGCTTTTGTTTGGGTTGCAGCATCTCAGCACACAGAGAGATCGAAGTGGAAGTGCTCTGTTGCTGCTGAAATTTGCTCCTCTTATTGTACATACATATTACTACTTTCTTACGACTCCTACGACGAAGGTTGCTAAAGATTTCAGGGGAAGGAAAGCCAGATGTCAGTCTTGGGACTACTGGGTCTTTGCGAACCTGTCCGTAATATTACGAGAAGACATCGACTTATGACCCGTCTATAGTTCACGGCAATAATACAAAAAGATTTGCTCCGTCCATTTTCCTCCACCCATCCCTCTCACCCTACTTTTCTGCTACATACAGCTATCGAAGTTCTAGTTTTACTAACAATATTGTAGTCTCTTTCGTCTCACCAGCTCTAACCTTAATATTCCTGTCTTGCTGGTTCTAGATCCCCGATCTCACTAGTTTTCGTCTTTCTAATATTTCCGATAACGCCAGCAACACCAGTCCCAGTTTCTCCAACCTCACAGGTTCAAGTCTCTCTACCTCTGCCGCCAGGTCTGGTCTCTCTGACCTATCTACCAACATGGTCTCTCATCTCTCTACCGGTTCTCGGCCCTCTTCTTCCGCTATTAGTTCCGGCTCTTCTACTGGCTCCGGCATGTCTACCACCGCTAGTCCCAGTTCAGGTTCCTCCTCTACTGGCTCTGGTTCTTCTACCAGTTCTAGTTCTTCTCCCACTTCCAGCTTGGGTGTTTCCGCCTCTGCTAGTTCTCGGCTCTCTTCCACTACCAGCTCAGGTCTTCCCACCATTGGTTCTGGTTCTTCTTCTAGTTCTAGTTCTTCTACTGGTTCTGGTTTTTCTTCTTCTTCTGGTCTCTCTAATCTCTCTGGTCTCTCTAATCTCTGATGAGTGGTGGCGAATCTACCATCGCAAACCTTCGGGTCTGTTTCAGCAAATCATCAAAATCATTACATGGCTACGGGCCAATTCTTGCACTGGACTGCCAACTCTGTGCTACCTTAGCAAAGTGGGAATCTCTATTGATCTACGAACGGCACAGGCGTTGCAGTCTGTAAACTAAATAGTGCCGTACATTCAGTCATAAAATCAAATGAAGGATAAAGAATGAGATATCGTTTGCCTTATTTTTATATTTTTTACTGTAGAGTCTTTTTTCTATTTAGCGCACTGGTAGGTAGGTGGTTAGGTAAGGAGCAACGCGCCCTCTCTCTCCACTGCCGTTCTACCTCTAGTGGTGGAAGAGGCGGATATTCTGCTCCACAAACGTGATGCCCAGCTTCTCGGCCGTCTCGAAGACGGGCCCGTCGTTTTGGCTTCCGCCAGGGGCCGCAATATACTTGACGCCGGACTTAGCAGCGCGGTAGACATTGTCGGTGAAGGGGAACTAATATCACAAATGGTCAGTTTCTCGACTAGAGATAAAAATATTGTTAGGGGTTCAGGGGTGTTGGAGCTCGAGAACTTACGAAAGCATCACTCGACACGCACACATCGGTCAGCTTTCCAAGCCACTCGGTCTTCTCCTCCTCGGTAAAAGCAGGAGGAACGTCCTCGAACAGGGCCTCGAACGTCTCGCGCTCTGCACCAGACTTGGGCAGCTGGCCACTGACGAGCAGGTCAATGGCGTTGCTCTTGTCGGGGCGCTTGGTGCCCTTCTTCCACTTGATGCCCAGGACGCGCGGGTGGAAGCGCAGCCACCAGTTGTCGGCCTTGTCGCCAGCCAAGCGGGTACAGTGAATTCTCGACTGCTGGCCAGCTCCCAAACCAACGATCTGGCCGCGGGCAGCGTAGCAGACCGAGTTGCTCTGCGTGTACTTGAGAGCGATGGTGGCGACGGTGAGATCGCGCTGGGCAGTCTCAGGAAGGGCGCCCGCGTCCTTGGGCGTGATGATGTTGCGGAAGGACTTGGGAGAGAGCTCAACATCGTTGCGGTGCTGCGTCAGGGTGACGCCGTAGACGGTGCGCGACTCCTTGTCGCTTGGCTCGTATTCGGGGTCGATCTGAAGGATCAGGTATTTACCGCCCTTCTTCTTCTTGAGAATGGCCAAGGCCACCTCCTCGTATCCGGGAGCGATGACACCATCAGATACCTCCTTGGAGATGATGCTGGCGGTGGGGACATCGACAATGTCGCTGAGGGCGATCAGGTCGCCGAAGCTGCTCATGCGGTCGGCACCTCTGGCGCGGGCATAGGCCTGAGCAAGGCCAGACGTCTCGATACCGGCGATGTCGTCAACCATGTAGACCTTGCGCTCATCGGCGTCCAGCGGCAGGCCGATGGCGGCTCCGGCGGGAGACACGTGCTTGAAGCTGGCGGCGGCGGGCTTCCCAAGAGCTTTCTTTAACTCCTTGACCAGGGGCCAGCTGTTGAGGGCGTCGAGAAGGTTGATGTATCCAGGAGCACCGCTCAACACCTTGAAGGGAAGGGCGCCCTCCTTGACATAAGCGGCGGCCGGCTTCTGGTGAGGGTTAGCACCGTACCGCAGGGGGATGTACTGCAGGCCGTCCGAAGCATACTGCTTGCGGAAGAAGTCCGCAATGGCATTGTCATAGTCGGCAGTGTGCTCAAAGGCCTTGAGGGCGTAGAGCCTACGGCTGGAATCCTTAATCTCGCCCGTCTCAAGCTCCTTGAGGAACTCAGCATAGTCCTTGGGATCGCTCAGGATGGTCACGCGGGAGTGGTTCTTGGCAGCCGCACGGATTAGGGTGACACCGCCAATGTCTATCTCCTCGACGGCCTCAGGGACTGTAACGTTGACCTTGGCCACCGTGTCCTTGAAGGGGTACAGGTTGCAGACGACGTAGTCGACCTTGTCGATGCTCTGCTCGGCGAGGTCCTTTTCGTCCGAAGCCAAGTTGCGGGCCAGGATGCCGGCGTGCACAGCGGGGTGCAGCGTCTTGACACGGCCTGCGAGCATCTCGGGGGCCTTGGTGATAGCAGAGATGTCCCTGCGCGAAATATCACGGTCAGCAAAACTGTCCAGGCGGCAAGAGCAGCTGCCAGGGCGAGGGCAACGTCGGCGAACTTACTCGACGGGAAAGCCCGACTCCCTGATCATCTTGGCAGTGCCGCCCGAGGCGAGAATGCGGACATTGTGCTGAACAAGCCCTTTTGCCAGGTCCAACAGGCCCGTCTTATCGTAGACCGAGACAATGGCAATTCGTTGCTGGGGGGCCGCCATGGTGAATCGTCGTCTGGCCGAGGTGTGCGGGGCAGCGAGTTGCAGCAGGGGCAGCCGGGCGAGGACTGAGAGAACTTTGCTGGGGAGCAGCAGCAGCTTGACGGAAGGGCAAGTGCGACGAATTTCCCCAAATTATTATTTAGTCAGTGACGCAGGGTAGAAATAACAAAACCCTTTTGTTTCGTGGGGCAAGTCAATGCTAGGAGCGAGCGGGCAGCTGGAGCTGGGCTCGGGAGCGACTTATAACGCATCACATCATTTGGAGGGGTCGAAAATCATAAAAAAAAATCCGCACGCAGCAACGCATGGAGGGGTAGCCAACGCTTGTACCTAACTGCTAGCTGCCGGGATCGGTCAACGTCTGCGTCTGCCCCACACAATTGTCTTCGTTCCCAACCTAGCGCCAGGCGATGCCTGCAGCTGCTCAGTAGGTAAATTGAAGCAGAGGAAGCCGTACGCTTTGCCTCGGCAAATGCCGCGCCCAGAAACCGACACAAAGACAAGATGCCTCACATCGGTGTCGGGCGAGCTTAGAGACTCAGCAAACACAACCCCGGCAAGTCAACTCAGCAACTAAAGGTTGCAGTTACACTCGGATGGAGAACGGATGGATATATCTGGAAGGAAAAGGCCCCTGCAATCTGTTATTGTCGAATAGGAAACCCTTAAAAGCAGCACAGAAGCTGCTGTAGCACGTGTCACAAACCCAGTGCCAGCCCGCCAGTGGCCAGCAAACCCGGCCCCTTGACGGTAAGCTTGTTACGCAGACGGGCTGTGTTTTGTTTCTAGTCAGCTATCTCCTCTTTTTTTTCGAAATACAAGCTTGGCGTCGTTCTCAACTCAGACAGGGACTAGTGGTGTGGCTGGCAGGGAAGACAGAGATAGGGGTGAACCCGTTTGCGAATCTAGACGTGAATCCTGAAATAGCTGCTGAACCCAGTTTATGATGAATCCATCTTCCAGAAAGGCCCTCTTGCGACACGAAATCAACCAGTTTGGGTAATGTACATACATACGTAACTGTGCTCAACGGCGTATGTGGAGCTCCGCGACCCTCCGCGTTTTGCTATGCGAGCCAGCCCTAACAAATAGGGCCCCCGAACCGAAAATGTGTGAATAAATCAAAAGCACAGAATATGACTGTCGAGTTTTCTTCACGGCCTAGGGCAACAAGGATCTAATGAAAGCTCTCAACCTTCGTGGAATAAAATCTGCTGCGCATCGGGCTGGTGCCTCTCAACGGCCTGCAGGATTTCAGACCACGTCTTGTCCATGAAGGCATCATCCATGGCGAGTTCGCCCATCCTAGACAAATAATGTGAGCCACCGAGGCTACCCCCACAGATAATACGGCAGGGCAGGGACACAATACTTACGGGAAGAGAATGTCATGGTGCCAAAACCGGCCGTGGCTTTCAGGGCCAAGCGCTGTAGCGCTCACCAGTGCCCGTCCTCCTTCTTCGGCGGTGCGCCCAAAGATTGCCTGAAAAGGAGCTTGCATAATCCTGGCCATCATACCGAAGTTGCGACCCAGATCCGTCTTGCACAGGCCCGGGCAGACGGCATTGACGATGATCTCCGGGCCGTTGGGCCCCGCCACCGTTGATCGCGCAACCGCCCGCATCACGGCCATGGCGAGGAGCTTTACCAGGGAGTAGCTCTTAACATAATCCCACTTATCGGCGTCATTAGTCACCTTAAGCAAGCTCTTGTCCGGAGACTTGGCCAGCCAGTCCTCCTTGACCCCTTTGTGTCCGTGGCTGTTAACAAAGACCATGTGAGGCTTTGACGCCCCGCCAGTTGCCGCAGCTGTAGCGCGGAGGATGGGGAGCAGCAGAATAGCCATCAGGGCAGTGGACATGACGTTGACCTGGACACCCATCTCCCAGCCCTCCTTGGACGCCTCATATGTCGGGTTGCAGATGCCAGCGTTGAGCAGCGCGATGTCGAGGCGCGTCGTCTCCTTCTCCAGGGCTGGGATGAAGGCCTTGACAGAAGCCGAGGTGCTGAGGTCGACAGTCACGATAGATATTGTGTTGCTGGGCCGGCCGGTGAATTCGAGGATGCGCGCCTTGGCTGCCTCGCCGCGCTCGGCGGAGCGCACGCCAAGGATCAGCTTGTCGGCGCCCAGGGCCGAGAACTTGACGGCCGCCTCAAAGCCCAGGCCCGTGTTGGCCCCCGTTACAAGCACCGTCTTGCCAGCGAACGACACGGTGGGGTCGGCGGGCGGGTGTTTGGCTCCCCAGCGCATGACGGCGAGGTCGCTGGCGCCAGGAGGGGGGCCACCGGGGAACTCACGAGCGGTGATGATGTTTGTGTTTGCCATGGCGGAATGGAAACGGGCTAAAAAAAAAATCAACGAAGATTGAAGGTAGTGTATGAGAGACGAAAACTTGAGCTGGGCAAAAGGTCTCAAGGCAAAACTATATAGGCAGAAGATGAGGACGAGCTACGACGGAATACCGCCCAGCAGCGGAGCAGGCAGGCATAGGACTTCCTACCAGACGGGCACCGTCTGGGCTGGTGGTGATTCCCATAGCTTGCTTGTCAGCGATCATATCAACTTTGATGGTTTCGAGATACATGGCTTAGGTAAGAGAAGCCGAGTTGCGAATGTTGACAGCGACGCGGACAGCAAACCTAAGTGATCATGGATTCGTGACAGGCAAAACTTGTGGGCTCCGGTACGAGCTCAATGCGCCGCGACATCCTGCAAAGCGAGGAGCTGTGAGTAGAGGACTGTCTGGCAGGTAGATTAGTGCGATATCAAGCGCATCGAGAAATGATGTCAATGATGCATCTTCAAGTTCAAGTTCAAGGCCGCTCAAAAGAGGTTCTGTTCTGCGTTGTTTAATTGAGCGGCGGAGTTGCTCGTGGAGCTTTGGCGGAATTCCACACACGGGTACGTACCTTGTGCCTTGCAGGTGGGCAGGAGGGCAAAGAGTGGGGCAGTCAGCCAGCCCCACATGCGTGCAGGTGGGTAGGACTTATGATCTAGTTTGCGGCTGCTTCATTTCGCCTTCGGGCAATATGGTCAATGTAGGTTATACTCCGCTCCAAAAAAGTCGAACATCACGACTTGTGCTAATACAACCGCAGTTGAAACGATACAGAGAAGATTAGCATGGCCCCTGCACTAAGGATGACACGCTACTCAAAGAGACGCTAAACATTTTTTTGACATTTTATTGCCCGCCTGTTCGAGCCACAGAGGCCTGGAACATGAAGATGATGAGGAGCGATAGTTCGAAGAGGTCGTGCGTTCGAACCACCTTCGTCTCGCAAGTTTTTTTTTTGAGGAATGCGACACGCCTTCTGAGAACGTACGTAAGTGCTGTGCTGTACTGCATGCATGCTATACTTGTCTTCACCCCCATTCTCGGAATTTGCTATATTTCATTTACGGGACCTAGCACGAGGATGGCATGAAGGATTAACCAGGAACTGAATCAATTATTGCCTCAGGGTTACTGAGCGCGCTAGAATCCAGGTAAGGTACCTGAAAGCCGAAAACCTAACTAAAGGCCCCGCAATGGAATGGGTGCCTTTTACCCTTTGTCGGCTAGCCATGCGTGATTGTGTGTGTCCCTTTTAACGCCTCCCATCCGGATACCTAAGTAGGTATCGCCGTGTTCGAATGATGCTTTATCCATGCCTAGACCACTAACCTAAAGAAACCGAGGCTCACCATGCATTTCACCCATATATCTATGCCTTGAGGGCTTCGTGTCAGGCCTAGCTAGCTAAGGTAGCTATTCCTGCCACGAGCGGCCGAGGATGCCTTGGCCGCTCGGGATTTTGCGCTTCTCCTCGTCGTCGGCGATGCGCAGGATGAGCTCGCCAAACAGGCCATTCGCCCAGCCAAACCATGCCCGCGTCCAGTCGTTCTCTTGCCACGCATTCACCGTCTCGTGAATGACGCCCGTGCCCCCTGTCGAGTTCAGCACCATGAACAGCTGCTCGGCAACGACCTTGTCGCGGTCCGGCTCGCTGCCCAGCCCCGACAGCGCGTCGTAGGCTGTCAGGCCCGCTACGATGGCCGCCATCGGCCAACCCTTTCCGGGGCCGAGGTGGGGCCCGCCGATAGCAGACAGCGCCGGACCCTTCGCAAAGTACGGGTTGGCCGAGCTGAGCACAAACGCTCGTGTGTTTTGGTAGACGCGCGAATAGTCATTCTGCGGCAGCTTCAGCTGCTGCTCCTTCTCGTCGGCCTTCTCTTCCGCCTTCTGTTCGGACTTTTGCTCCTCTGCCTCCGACGTGAGCGTCTCGTTGGAGTGCCGGGCGACGCTGTGTCCCCTGATCGACTTCACAATGGTCGCGTTGCGGGCCCTCGCATCTGTCTGAGCAAAGTTCCACAGCGGCATGGCAAGCAGTGACGGTATGTTAGCGTCGTCCATCAGGTTAGCGCTCCCAAAGCCGTCTACCTCGTACGCAAACATGTCGCCAAAGTCACGGTGCGGCACCACGGCGTCCCTCGCGATGCCGCTCCGGATCCCAAACGCAAGGTCGCGCATTAGCACCGTCAGATTTACCGCTTCCTCGTTCCCGTCCGCCTCGAGCCCCTCGGCAATGTCTGACGCCTGTTCCAGGTACGCCGCGAACATCATGTTGCTGGGTGTCAGGAGCTGGAAGATGCACGCGTCGTCGCTCGGTCGAAACCCCGACCGCACCATGCCGTTCTCCTTGACCGGGTTCCCTAGCCCGTCGTTGGTCAGCGTCTCGGAGCCGCGGTCCGTATAGCCCGTGAAGGTCCAGGCCGACCTCTTGACCCGGCCCTCGGCGTCGTATGTCCCCAGCCGCATGTCGGCAGCCGCTTGGACTGCCGCCCGAACTGCCTTGATCCAGCTGTACTTGGCAAAGAATTTGAGGTCGTTCGTCCGCGCCAGGTACGCAGCGCTGATCTGCAAGAACGAAGCCAGGCTGTCGAGCTCCCACTTGCAGTCGAAGACCTCGAGCGGGTTGTATGGCGGATTAGGGTGGTTCACCGAATAAGCGCCGTTGGTCGTTGGCGGGATACCGCTCTCAGGTGGCGGTTGGAAAGAGTGGCAGTACGGCGATATGACGATGTACCGGGCGTGCGCGTTGATCAGGCCACGCCAGAGACTAGCGAGCGAGTCGGGATCCGACGACGGCTCGAGCAGCGGCAGGTACGAGTACACCTGGCTGGCCGAATCGCGCAGCCACATGGCATCAATGTCGCCCGTGATGACGTACGTCAGCTCCTCGTCCGTCACAGCCGACTCGCCCGAGAAGGAGTCGGTCGCGTTAGCGAAGCCGCGCCACTTGATCATAGTGTCGAGTGTGTTGGGGTAGCTGTTCTCAAACAGCCGGAACAGGTCCGGGTCCTTGATGACACCCTTCATGCGCTCTATCAGGGCCTCCATTGCCGGCAGCTTGAAGGTGCGGCACTCGGGCGGGGGTCGGACGTAGGGGAACTGGCGCTTTCCTTCGGAATACGGCTCAGGTCTTTGGTTTTGCAACGCTAGGAAGTTGAGGCATGTCGGCACGGGCTCGGGCTCGGGCGCGGGCTCGGCCTTGGCCTCGTCTGGCGGCAGAGCCGGGGTCGCCTCTTGCTCCTTGAGGGCAAACCCGTCGGTGCCAACTGGAACAGGCCCTCCGTCCACCTTTTCCTCGTCGAGCCCTTCGGATGTAGGTATTGGAAAGGCGTTGCCCAATGTCGGTCTCGGATCACTACCACCATTCGGCTTCGCGGTGGCGGTAGCGGTCGCGGTGGCGGTCGAGGTAGCTTCTTGGGCGCCGTGACCGCGGGACCCGGGCACCGCAGCGCGTGCTTGGTCCGGTATTGTCGCGTGTTGTCCTAGGAAGAAGACCAAGAAGGTCAAAAGGATGGCGATACCGGCAAGCCGTAGCCGCCGCGATCCGCTCAGGTATGGGAGTGCCATGTTGCCTGCCTGCCTATCTCAAGTCTTCCTTTGGGAGGGACCGAGAAGGCCGCTCTGGCGTTGCGCGCTGCTCTCGCCGTCTTTAGGAAGATATAGGCAGCGAAAGGACCATTATTATGGCTGTCCGAGCCAGACCGAGAAGAGTGCTTGTTACACAACTGGGAAGGTCAAGAAGGATCAACGATGGCAGGCCACAGGTAGCAGGCAGACTGGCAGGCAGGTAGCATGGGTTGGAGAAGTTCACGAGGAGTATGGAGAAGATAAGTAATGGCGTTGAGGAAAGCTCAGGTCGTCCCGAAACCCCGCGAGCGAAAATGGCCAGAAAAGGCCGCGGAGAAAATAACAGCAATGGAAGGGCAAATGCCAAAAGCAGAACGCAAGCAATAATAATGTGCCGTCGCAGCCGACCAACTGCTGCCTCCCAAGCCTGCTCCCAAGGGGGCCAAGCCCACGCCAAGCCACGGCCTTCAAAAAGAGAATTGCTTACTCTCTTCTCTCTCCCTTGCCTTGGAATTGCCCCCAACGGCGGGGGCGCGACTGCCGCCACGAAGCAACTGAACCTGCGGTTGGCAGACAAGAGCTGAGGCCAGGCTGGGGGGGCCCGCAGGCGGTCCAATTCGAATGAAAGCTTAACACCGGGGAAACAGGGGTTTAATATCCCTGCCATAGGCACTTTTTCGTAAGGCTTGGCGGAATTCGGGAGTGGGACGCCTATCTGGAGAGCCGTACTATGTTGTGCAGGGCATGCGTGTGTGCGGGAGCAACCTCGCCTCGTCCGAACACAAACCTCTCTCGGGATTTTAAAACCGTCTGTTCGTTCTCACGTCATGTAAAAACCACCTGCAAGAACTCATGAGCATCCCAGTCGACAAAAATAAAACACTTGTACCATTAGACATGTGCCAAGTATTAATCCCCGCGTTATTTATTCAACGGAGCACGTAAAAAGGAAAGGACGGCACCTCTCCTTCTGACATCATGTCCTCCCCCCCCGGCCTCGTGACGGAGGCGGGACCTCTACGCTAATATATCCACCCGGGAAAATTCAAATGCACCCCAGACTATATCGGAATGGAAGGCATGAGGTAAGGTAGATAGACGGTATGTTGTGCGCACATGCAAATTGCAAGATTCCCGTTTCGCCGTGCTTGCTTGCTGGCTGACACACCTACGCACGCACACGGCACGCGGAAGAGAGAGTGAGAGGGCGAGATGTTTATTATTCCCACCATTCTTCGCAATGAAACATTCGTGATAGAGACAGACACTGCCATGGCATGATGACCACGAGGGGGCTCCGCTATACATATATACCTAGCACAGTGGCTTCATGTTCGTTTTGAAGCTAAAACCCCGCAAAACCCATCACGCACACGCGCAGACTGCGCGCTAAAGAAAGAGATAAAATACACTAGAAGCTAGAAGAGCATTTAGTTAGAGAAAAGATCAGTTCAAGTCCTCGCATCGCGACACACGAGTCTATACCAACTACCTACATAGGTGTAGAGTACTATTCAGCATTATATACCATCTAATATACAACGTACTCTACCAGTAAAATCCATATCTTTAACCACATAATATATGCCAACATGAGACTGTATCTCGTATCTCGTGCTGAGCAAAACAAAGGAATAAAAGGGGAAAGCGGCACAAACATATCCCCTTGAAAAGTCGTCATCGCATATCATAACTAATATACTCATTATCAATTTAACAAAAGTCCATTTAGATGCTTTCGACTCGCAAGACATGGTCCTCTTTCTCCATCTATCCCAAAAACCGTCCATCACAAATCGTATACCAACCAACTTCTCCTGGAACTCCTCGGCCATGTATAGACAGCATATTACTTTATACATCATTAACCGCAGCTTCAATAACAAGAGTACTCATTCCGGGGATAGCTCTTCGCCGCTGCTACTGCTGCCGCTGCCGTTCGACTGCACACCGCCGTCGCCGTCCTCGTCGCCGCCGCCGTCTCTGTTGCCGTCACCGTCTTCCCCGGGGGACGGTGGCGGCGTCCACTCGGCAACGTCTCCGCACCCTCTCGGCGTCCGGCACTGCTCACGCACGTTGCACGTCTTCCACAGCACCTCGCGCACCTCTCTGAATACCTTGTCAACTGCGTCCATGGCCCAGATGACGTCGAGGTGCTCGTATTCATCAATGACCTTGCTATGCACAAGCCGGACGTGCGGTTCACGCCCCCGCTGGAACCGCCGGAGCAGCTTCTCGCCGTCGACTAAGCAGTCGTTCCCACAAATCCACAGTGCGAAGGGGCACACTTGGTGGTTGTACCATGCTTTTGCGCCCTTGGCTCGCCGCCCGTGGCTCGATGCCGCGGCGGCCAAGACCGAGTCGTCGTGCGCGCTGTCCTCGCGGTCCTCGGCACGCCATTCTTCTTTAGTGGACAGTATACACTTGTGCTTAGCAAAGCACTCGCGGCCCAGCCACCACCGCATCGACTCGGCGCTCACATAGACGGGGGCAAATTGGAACATCCGGTCGCGCAGTCCGCAGTCCCAGCGTTTGTCGGTCCAGTTGAAGAGAAACGAAAATACCTTGTATCCCATCCAGCCATACATCCGCGGGCTCAGTAGCCTGTGCATCGCCATCATGAAGGGGATGAAGGGGCCAATACCAAACATGAGCCGGAACATTGCGGGCGTGATGACACGCATGAACTTGAAGTACATCTTGCCGATCAGCGGACCGGCGTATGCAGCCGGCGCGAGGGCACAGAAGACGGTCAGCTTCTCGCCGAGGTCAGGCCGCTGTTCTTTGGCCAGGGCCACAAAGGTCTGCGTCGTGCCTTGCGAGTGGCAGATGAGCCCTATCTTCTCAAAGCCGGTCTCGTACAGCACCCGAGAGGTAAGAGCGGGCAGGTCGAAAACGCCCATCTGTCGTATGTTCCAGCACCACATCCGAGGGTCCGAGTAATCCAGCAAGACATGCTTCGGCTTGAAGCCGCACCGGTTGTTACCAAGCCAGACGTCGTAACCCGACTTGCAGAGGAAGAAGGCCAGCGAGTCTTCGTCATTGACACAATATGCGCCCGAGCTCTGCAACAAGCCATGCATCATGAGGACGGGAAACTTTGGTTTCTGGTCAGCCTGGGGCGGGAATCCCTTTCTGGGCTTTCCAAACACCTCGGGACCACAGTGGGCTCGTTCCTCTTGGGGAAGTGGAGTGTGTTCGCGTGGATCGTAGACATGCCAGAGGTCGATGATGAAGCCATCCTCGGTCTGGACCTCGAACGTCTCGACATCGAGGCCCACTCGGCGAGCGTAGTAGCCCGCATCGCAGACTATGGGATCCGGGCCGCCCTCGGTAGGCACGAAACCATCATTGCCGGTATCGTTGACTTCCCCGTCATCACTCTGTGAGTGGGAGGCTGACCGCCTGCGCTGTTTCCACTGGCGTTCCGCTTGGATTCTCAGCTCCTTCCTCCGCTGTTCTTCCTCGTAGAACGGGCGGCTGAGGTCTGGATCCCGATATGTTGCTTTCAGCCAGACCCACCGAAAGAAGGGCGGCAGGCTGGTGAAAAGCGAGCCAAGCACAATGACTCCGAGGAAGCCCAGGCTCAAGAAAAAAGACGAGACTCGAAAAATAAAACACTGAATGTCCCTCCCAAGAGAAGGGGGTCCGTAGAGCGGTAGCGGCGGAAACAGGGGGTTTGTGTGTGACGGCGGCTGGCTTCTGCGCAGGCTACCACTGGTTGACCTATGCGACCTCTGTCCGATGGTCTGGGCAGTCGTCTTTTCTCCATGGGGTTCGCTTGTCTTATCGCCCCCTGCGCGGGTTTCCCGGCTCCCCTCGATGGCTTTGGCAACCGAGCCGGCGCGTTCTATTACTTCCCTCCTCAGGACATTCAACTTGTAGGCTTCCTCCAGGGGAACTGGGGGGAGGCGGCTGCCGTCATCCTGGATGAGGACGGGATCTTGGGGTGTCACAAAGCGCGCCTCGACCGCGAGGTGGCCGTCGCCATTGACTGGCCGCTGGTGTGACAGCTTCTCGGCCTGTTGTGCGAAGTCTTCTATAAACCCATTGGCTTCCGGCAATGCCGTAGACGACGGTTTGATGAGGCCGTTAGCAACCATGATTCGGTCAAGGAATCAATGGTAGGGGAGCTCGTCTCAATTACGGCCGAGATAAGAATGAAACAAGCGAACGAAGGAAACTAGGACAGATGTCGCGATATCGAAAATGAAATAAATATATCATCATCCATGCGCCCAAAACAAAGGGAGAATGTATGTTTAGTTCTAGACCCCAAAGACTCGTCTCAGATCGATCGACGGACTCACCGACACATCGATAAGTAAATGGTCAGAAGCTTGTAACTAATACATAACGTCAGCAATCTACCTTAGTCCCATGTGTGGGCGGAAGGCGCTGGGCTGGGAATATGAATGGGCTCCGGCTCCAGATCCTGTCCAAGTTCTAGTCCCGCTGTTTGGCAGGTCCGCAATGCGAGGCGGGAATAAATGACGCAAGAAAGCAAGTTTGGCATGAGCTTCCATGCCAGAAACGATAAAGAAACCCAAGTGGCGGCTGGGAACCAGAAATGGGAAGGGGCTACGGATACTAACTGGTCTCTCTACTGGCATTTGGCCCTAGAAACACCAACCTTTACCTTATCAAGTGCATGGATGACAGACAGTATCTTAGCCAATTCCGTAACCCCCAAAACGACTTCTCGACCGCCTTGCCAGTGTTGATATCGGTGCTGGGCTTTCCCCGATAATCATCAACCTGGAAGCCCGCCGTGAAAGAGAGGATGGAGACCTCGATTGGTTGGGGGGACCTGCGTCACCATGCAGAGCAGAGGACGCCAAGCACGCAAGCCCCACCCCCGTGTTCCTTGAAAAGCATGTGAATGAGGCCTGGATGGTCTTGGTTAGCGGCAGGGAGCGTTCCACTCCCAAAGATTGAAGGCTGGATCAAGGAGCGAAGTTGAAGGGACAGGTCGACGCTTCTTGTGTAAATTGCCTTATACATACGGAGTAGCCAGTAGAGCGAGTCCGGAGTCGGGCCGCTTACCGATTTTCGGCCAGCCCAAACCCCAACGTGGACAGCTGTGCAAATCAAATAAATCTCTTGGCAATGGGTGGGCCTCTCCCCGTCTGGACCGAGGCCAAAGAGGTGTCGCCGAAGCTCACCTGGACTGCTCCGTAGGGAGACGCGATACCTTCATACCTTGGCTGCACTATGCAATCTGACGATTGGATTTCCTCCAAGTGCGCATACTCTCGCTGAAGGCTATTAACGTATTGCGCAGCCTCTGTCGTCTGTCAGTGTGTTTCTGGGGGTGCTATAGCTTGGGCCGACTCTACGCGTCGGGTACTTGTTCGCGGGGCATGCGCTGCCACACTTCGACATTCCCGAAGTCGCAACCGCAACATCGGGCTTCCAGCTAAATAAGCCAAGCCAGCTGCTGGACTTACCTAGTTTCTGCCATGGCCGTCTCCGACGGTGCAGTGGCTGCCGCCATTCGTGAAGGCCGCCCGCGTCGGCGCCGGCGCAGGCGCAGGCATGACAAGCCCGCCCTCACGGCGCGTCTCGTCCTTGATGACCATGTCAAGAGTGACGTTGGCACCCTCTCCGAAGACCTGTTCGCCGACCTCTTTCCGGACTTGCGAGACCGTTGGTTATCCTCCCCTCCCCCCCAAATTCCCAGATCACTATGCAGCCGGTTGCGTTCTACTTGCTAAGACGTCGTTCAACACAGATGAAAGCCAGCGAGACCTGTCGAGCACGAGCACGACAAATGCGCCCACCACCGTCCATGTCGCCATTGCACCCTGGACACCGAACCATGCCCCCGAGACGACTAGCTGGGCGATTGTTCCCGTCACTAAATCTTCCGCCCTCGCCCCCTCGACCGTCCAGTTCTCGCCCTCGTCGCTTGCCCTCCAGTCCTTTGCCGCTAACCTCAAGCAGGTTTCCCCCTCGAGGCTGACCGCCCACAGCCGAAGCGGCATTGAGATTATAATTCTGGATGTTGCTACGATAGAGCTGGATACCGTGTTTGTCAGCCTCGAAGGAGAACTGGCAAAGAGGCTCGAGGACGGAGAGGGTACCTTTTTCCGCGAACATCCCGCCGTCGCAAAGGCCAAAGCCTCGAGCACTGCCTCTCCCCAGGATCGTCTGACGGCTGCCCTGCGCACCGCTCTGGGAACTCTCAAGGTCGTACACTCTGGGGATCTCTTCCCGCTCCCTCTGCCGCCGCATCCCGTCACCCACGTCCCACCAAACCCAGGAAAAATAACGCTCTGCGAGCCTGTCGCCCAGGGCATCCTATCCCCAAACACAAAGATTGTTGTCTCGCGAAGCCGTACTCACTCCAAGCATGACCGGCGATCTGTGCCCATACAGTCAGGTCGCAATCTTAATGACGTGGGCGAGGAAGACGAGGATACCGCCAACGACATGTTCTTCTCTGCCGCTGAAGAGCGCTCTGCCCGCGAGACTGACTTCACCGCCACCGAGAACGACTTCACCGCCACCGAGACAGAGTCTGACGGGCCCGAGGTTGACGAGGAAGGCATGTCAGACGACTCCATGGACGACATGATCTCTCTTGAGACGCCCACTCTTCCCGCCACCATAACAAGCGGCATGCCTGGAACCCCCCTTACAGTTGGCCCGGGGAGGTTAGGGAACGGCATCAGCGGCCCGGGCTCGGTATTTTCGAGTTTCACTGCTACAACCGCAAGGCCAGACAGGCCGCGGGGCCGCCTCTTCAGGGCACAGGGGCTGATGCAGCCCATTCCACCGCAGGTGCTTCATCCCAAGCCCGCGCCCGAAGACGACGAAGAGGCGCGCATCTATGTAGACGTGCGGGATCTTACTAGGATCGGCTGTTTCTCTGGTGACTGGGTGCGCGTCGAGCCCTCCCAGGAGCCCCCTTCGAATGGCTTCGGGGCCTTTGGCCTGGGCAGTTTTGCAGACCCCGACCCGGACGAGCTGGGCTCGAGGCCCGCTCGCGTCTTTGGACTCCCGGAGGGCTACTCCAACCGGCCCGTGACTAGGATAGCAAGCTCAAAATATGACGGCCGAAGGCTGTCATTCTTTGAGTCCCAGATTCAGAAGCCCTTGCACCCTACCGTCCATCTTTCGCCGATTCTGCTGGCAAACCTCGACGGTCCCCCCTATCTACGCCTGGCCCCCATCAAGCGGGCATCCCTCGCCGGAAAGGGGGGGCAGTCAAAACTGGCGAGCACGGCCCAGCCGCCGTTTGCACGCGAAGTGATTCTGCAGCATGTTAGGACACCCATACCTGTCGAGCGTGATGTGCAGACTGCAGTCATGGCCGGCTTGAAGTTTTACTTTGAGAAGAGACTGCGGATCATAAAAAACGGCGACCTGATCGCTGTGCCTATTGACACCCAGCTAGGGCGCGCTCTCCAGGAAACGACGGCTGCGGCTAGCGATGAGTCTGCCGTCGACGACGTCCTCGGGTTGATCGCTTCGGGACGGACCTCGCGCAATCTCGAGTACGATGAAGTAGCTTGGTTCAAGGTCGGCCACATCCAACCCATGAGGCGAGATCCTCCAGATGAAAACGAGGAGGAGGAAGATGTCTGGGGCTCCGTCGCCTGCGTCGACATTTCCCTTGCGCACCTGGAGCAGACCGGTTCCGTGACGAGCCGCGTGCCTGGTACAATCTCGAGTTCCTGGCCATACTACTTAGGGACAAAGAAGGCGCCGAAGCAGTCTCCGGGAGCCTCGGGCCCGCTGATGTTAGAGCCCGAACGGCAGTTTATCTCTCCCCTGAGAAGGAGGCTGCGGGAGCTCTTGGCAGCTGCCACCAGCAAGCCAGCGCTCCACCTAAAGATGCCCCCTCTCGCGATCCTTCTCGTATCGACGCAGCGGAACATTGGCAAGGCAACCACTGCCACGCAAGCTTGCCAGGATATCGGGCTGCACAAGTTCGACATTGATGCCTATGACATTGTGAACGAAGCCGGCGCTGGAGGTAGCGATGTCAAGACGGCGGGCTTTCTAAACTCGCGAGCCGAGCGCGCCATGAGCTGCGGGCCGGACTGCTGTGTTCTTCTCATCCGCCACATAGAGGCGCTGACTGCAGACCGCATGGTAACGTCCATCAAGGAGATTCTAGCCGACGCCAGGGTCCTCGTCGCTACAACAACCGAAGTAGAAAAGATCCCAGACGGCATCCGCGCGCTCTTCACCCACGAGCTCGAGATGAACGCGCCCGATGAGGGAGAACGAGAGGGCATTATCCGGACGGTTCTCGACAGTCGAGGCGTTGCCCTGGACCCAGAAGTAGATCTGGGTAGTATTGCTCTCAAGACAGCCGCCCTTGTGGCTGGCGATCTTGTCGACGTAGTGGAGCGGGCGCTGGTTGCGCAGCGGACCCGCCTAGAGCAGCTCTCTGCAAAGTCGACGAACGAGGACAAGGCCGTGACGGTGCGCGACGTGCAAGTGGCGGGCGGCTCGGCAGCGGCGGGGCTCACGAAGCACGACTTTGAGGTGGCGGTGGATGCTGCGCGCAAGAACTTTGCCGACGCCATCGGAGCGCCCAAGATCCCCAATGTGACGTGGGACGACGTGGGCGGGCTGAACAACGTCAAGGAGGCCGTCACCGAGACAATACAGTTGCCGCTGGAGCGGCCCGAGCTCTTCGCCAAGGGCATGAAGAAGCGCTCGGGTATTTTGTTCTACGGGCCGCCGGGCACCGGCAAGACGCTCCTGGCCAAGGCCATCGCCACCGAGTACAGCCTCAACTTCTTCAGCGTCAAGGGGCCCGAGCTGCTGAACATGTACATTGGCGAGTCTGAGGCCAACGTGCGGCGCGTGTTCCAGCGTGCCCGCGACGCCCGGCCGTGCGTCGTCTTCTTTGACGAGCTCGACTCAGTCGCCCCCAAGCGCGGCAACCAGGGCGACAGCGGCGGCGTCATGGACCGCATCGTCTCGCAGCTGCTCGCGGAGCTGGACGGCATGTCGGGCGGCGGCGACGACTCCGGAGGGAGCGGCGTGTTTGTCATTGGCGCCACCAACCGCCCCGACCTGCTCGACCAGGCGCTGCTCCGGCCCGGCCGCTTCGACAAGATGCTGTACCTGGGCGTGTCAGATACGCACGAGAAGCAGCTCACGATTATGGAGGCGCTGACGCGGAAGTATGTTTTTTATTATTCTTCTCTCCTCCTCTGGTACAACAGTTTCCCGTAAAACTGGTTAGGGGGAAGTGACTAATAAGACATGATAGATTCACACTGCACCCATCCGTCTCCCTGCGGGCCGTGGCCGAAAAGTTACCTTTTACCTACACGGGCGCCGACTTTTACGCCCTCTGCAGCGATGCCATGCTCAAGGCCGTAACACGGCAGGCCTCGCTAGTCGACTCCAAGATCCGCGCTCTCAACAACAGCAACAACAGGAACAGCATCGATCCCAACGCCAACAATGGCAATGGCATTGCAAAGTCGGGAAGCCACGCCACCGCTGCCATCTCAACCGCCGCCTTCTTCGACCACTACGCCACCCCGGACGACGTCGCCGTCATGGTCACGGAGCAAGACTTCCTCGACGCCCACCGAGAACTCATCCCCAGCGTCAGCGCCGGCGAGCTAGCTCACTACGAGCGCGTCCGCGCATCGTTCGAAGGCGGTGGTGCCGAGAGCAACAAGAGCGCTGCCACAGCAGCCCCGGCACGGGGTCCTTCTCGCGGTGGCGTTCTGGCCCTAGGGGGGCCACCTGCGGCCAAGCGAGCTGCTTCGGGCGCGTCGAGGTCCGGCAAGGCTGGCAGGACGGCCAAGGCGAAGGGTAAGGGCAAGGCCGTCGCGGTAGATAGCGACGACTATGAGGACGAGGAGGACGAGGAGGACGAGGACGGCGATGATAAGGGGGAGGATGAAGAAGGCGGCGACGGGGGGTATGACCATGGTGGTGGTAGTGATGGTGGTGGCGGTGGCGGCGCTGCTGAGGGCCTTAACGGTGGTAGTGGAGGAAGGGGGAGGGACAAGGGGAAGGGGAAAGCGGTCGACTCTGCCCCGGCTCTAGCGCCGTTCCGGGACGGGACGGGGAGTGACGATGAGGCACTGTATGATTGATTGATTGTGTACTGTACCTATAAGGATGAGAGGGTGTCATTGTCATGAAGTGTCGAAGGGGGTGTAATGGTATGCATGTATGTATGTTGGCAACTCATCGTTGTGGGTGGGGTCTTGGTTGTACGTAACAAATCACTTTTGTTGGTGATAGAGAAAAAGAGAAGGTTGTGGTTTGTGGGGGTGTTGAAAGTGTCCGAATATCCGACGTAAACTTGTATCATACAATATGACACTCCACGGTAAAGCACGATAGAGAAAGAATATATGACTTCCGTATGCCCTTTACCACATGTCTCGGAAAAAAGGGTCGCACACTTGTATTGCACGTTTCAATTCGGAACTGCCTATGGTTCAACACGGAAGAATTTATTTGTCTCCCTTTCTATAAAGGAAACTTCCACACTATTAAATCTATCATAGTAGGATAATGGTTTATATCCGTTACCGCGCGCACACCAATTAATAGGAATATATCTCATACGAAAACGAACATATTAACCGCATCTCAAGTTCTCGTAAGCATCCCATCCAATGATTTTCTACCAAGCTGCAGGTAGGTTGCAGAAACCCGGAAAGACCACACCACTTCGTAGCTTCCCGAATTGGCATCTTGAGCATCAGGATGCCGGGCATGATTGGTTACCTTACTTAACAAGGTACCAGTGGCGAGCGAGCCAGCCCACTTTCTTCCAAAGGTTTATCTTCTCTCGCTGCCTAGACTCCCATTCCCACTTGTCTTCACGAGAGGCAAAAAAATGCAAGACACCCGTGATCGGATCTATTTCGGTCCCACACATTCGGCAAGTTTTGTTTCGCTGCTGCGGGCGGGCGGGCAGATCAAAAAGCCCGAGACATGCCTTCATCTTCCTATTCCGAGGCTGGTGAGAGGCGTCGAAAGAAAGACAGGCTTAGATTTTCAACAGTTCCCCATATCGCTCCGACGTGTCTATCAGCTTACCGCAGTACTTAACCGAATTCCGAACTCCGTACATCCAGCACCGGTGCACCCACCTTGAATGCTGCTGCCCTCCCCGCCTCTTCGGAGCAGAGCCAACAGTCTGGCACCGCCTACACATCTTGGGAGGCGAGGCTTTACTGAAATGGAGTGGAGAGAAGAACTAAGAGTAGGCAAGAGGGCATGGACGCACTCTTCACTGATGTCAAGTAATGCAACCAAACAGTGGAGGTTGGGTGCCGATTGACAGATGTCTTTCTGGTGGCGTATGTGTTGTCCAGACACTCGACAAGACCGGCCTCCATTTTGTTTCTCAGACATACTGCACCCATCATTGGAGGTTGAGCATGGCCGTTCGGCGATCAGGGTCCGGGAACACTTCAACGTCAGCGGTCAGCAGTCAAGGAGGATTCAGATCCCCCAGAGGTGGGCTGCTAGGCTAGTGTAGCCGTTTACATGCACTGAATCCTGGGATTTGTTTCGGCTGGGTAGCATTCCTGGTGCCATCGAGTCGCCTATCGGGCTCGACGGATCCTTCGCCCAGCGGCCAAACGGAAAGTTGGAGGACGATTCGCGAGAAGACGAACGCTAGTTTCTTGGCCTGCACACCGGACTTCCGGCGGATACCCGCAGCTGCCGCAGATGCCAGACAGGCTCGACATTCGCTGGGCCGACATAGGAGAGTGTCACCGGCTTAAACTAGTTGCTGGGGAACACGAGAAGGCATGCATCGATGATGGCATCTCGCTGCGCGGGGTGTGTGCAACGACGGTGGGGCACTCGTATGCACCCACGGGTCACAACAGCAAGGCCGCTTCTCTTTTTTTCCGTCAAACTAACCACCAGCAACTCGGCCTATTCATTGGAGCCAGAAAGACCCCGAGAAGATGCAGGAATGGTCACTTTTGGCCAGTTGCGAGCAGGGGATACGTATCCGTGGAGCAATGTGCCGTTCTCTGCCGTTGCCTACCTGCCCTTTGCAAGAGGCACGGATGGGCACATGTCCTGCAGTGCCGCAGTGAAAGCGGAAGAAGAAAAAAAAAAAAAAAGGGTTTGCATCCGCCTGCCATCTCGCTCACATTCTGGATCCTCATGATCAATAGCTGAAACACAAAGACAGACGGCTCGCGTCAAGTCAAGAAGACTGAATGCCGGCAGACAATGATTAGACTACTAAATGGCCTCGGGTTTCCGCTGTGCGATTATATACACAGTATGCTCATGGACTGACTGCAAGGTGTCTGTCGTCTGAGAGATAGGCTCCCCCAGATCCCTGCCGCAAACGCCACGGTAGCCGGCCGCCGCACGCTTGCTAGTGCAGAAATCAGGACGGTCCCCGGACAGCCTCCTTCCAATTGACGTGCTGATTGGAGAATCATTGCTAACTGTGGAGCAGGTGTTGGCCTTTTTGCTGATCCCTGCAGAGAGAGGTGGAAACGCGCCCAGACTCCAGGGGAGCTAGCTAGGTCGAGCCTATCAGGATGTTATTTTATTTATTACCTGACCTCGGGGATTAGATGGCGTCCATGGAACCCTACCCAGCAGGTAGCCTCCTTTTCTCCCCTCCGGTCCTGTCTTAAAGTCTTTCTCTCTGTCGTTTCCATCCGTTCCGAACATCTTCTCGCCTCGGCAGCTTCTCTCTACCCCAGGTTGTGCTACCACTCGCTCGAAGCACAGCTTTCTTGGGGCGTTTTTGACTAATCTTCTTGCCTTCGTTTAATATTTACTTGCCTTTTTTTCCTCTCAATTCGGCGATTGCTCGGTTCTCTTGGCCTTTTTTGCCTAGATTCCATTCCACATTCCGGCCGTGATTCTGAGGTCTCGAAAACAAGGCACACGTGAGTTGGCCCGTTTAAACCCTGCCTGGAGTGGCTGGCATGCACGAGTTTGTCTGGGGCAATCTAAGGTTTGTGTTCGCCATTTGGTGTATCCGTGTTTTGAAGATGGATGCTGACTTGGCGTTATCTCCAGAAACCATCTAATTCACCTCCGCATGCGTTGCAAGGTCGATACGAACGTGTTGAGTTAAACAACAAATCACCTTCCACCATGGTTTCTTTCACCAAAACCCTCCTGGCTCTTGCCGGCGCGCTTGTCGTCTCGGCCGACTACTATATTGATCCGACTACCGTCTCCCTATCCCTTAGAGGTAGGATTTATTTAATTCTACCGCGCGCCAGGAGAATATATACTTACAGGCGATATCAAACAGAGGCTTGGTGCAGGGATGAAAAGAGTACCTGCCCCAGCATCTGCCTGCAGCAGTCACCGGGAGGCACTACCAAAGTCAACACCTGCGACCCTGTAGGTCCCCAGACGTGCTGAATAGCTGTGGCAGTTGACTAAACCCGCTGACGCGACTTGCAGAAAACCCTCACGTACGGCTGCGTCTGCGGCGATGGTTTGCAGCCCAATGTTTCAGAATATTCTTTGACTCTGCCATATCATGTGTGCCAACAGTGGGGCGAGAACTGTGTGAAGAGTTGCGCCGGTGACAACACCTGCTCGTCCTCTTGCCGCCAAGACCACCCATGCGGCGCCCAGAGCCCCACAAGGATCAACGTCACGACTACCACGAGCGCCTCGTCGACGGCCTCCACAGCGGCTGCCACAAGCAACCAGGTAGCCAATGGCTTGGCCGGCCAGGACAACAGCAACAGCAACAATAACAATGGCGGCAGTGCACCGGGAAGTGCGGCCACGCGCGTGGCTGCTTTCGGAAGCGTCTACGGCCTCGCAATTGTCCTGGGTGGTCTTTTTACCGGGTTCGCCTTGATGCTGTGAAAGTCAACATGGCTACAAAGGACTTGTCAACGCGGAAGTTGCTGGGTGGATGTTGGAGGTTTCAGAATATCGGCAACTGCGGGCAGCGATAGCAAAGGGATATCGTCTTCCGCATTGCTTCTCGTCGGCTCTGTTTTCCACCCGAGCCGAGGATGGAGAGAGATGGTTCGCTTTGAATATTTGGGTAAACACATGGCGTCATTTGCTTAGAACGATATAATAATGTTTAACTATACTAAACACCTCCTTACCTTGGAGAGGTGTCTGAACCTCTTTTTTTTTTGGGAGGGGGGGGACTCTGAATTTTGGGAAATAGTATGCTGTGCTGCATTTTCGATCAAGTTGGTTGCCTTTTTGGAAATGAATATGAAAACAAAAGATTGAAAATATTTGGAGCTCGACTCCGATTCTGGGCAACAAAGTGTCTTGGGACTTGCCACCTAGGCTACCTAAAGTCCCACAAGACAATACGTTATACGACAGGCGGTGGTGTGGGACCAGGGCTAGATCATGGTTGTCTATTTTGGTGGCCAAGTTTCAAGTCCCGAGATGCGGCCCGTTCAGTTGTTCATGCCTTTACGTCAGCTTTGGCTATTTCGTTTCGCAACCTCCACTTCCTGGTTTTTGTACGCTGTGTCTCCGATTCAGAGAACTTCCCTATCCAAGACGTAGAAAACCTACCCAATTAATTTCCCCGTCGCTTGGCTCCAAGAATAAGCTTCTTATTTTGACATCTTTCCAATTCTTACCCGACCGCCAAGTACCTAGGTACGTACGTAACGTATTCAAGATGTAAGACGGACTTTAAACTGATTTTCCGTCTTCCTATTCGTCCCGTCGACCTCGTCTGCCGGCAGAGACCGTTCTCCTAAACAATGGTTAGGTCAGGATCAACACGGAAACAATCAATCGGCATTGGCCACTCGTTTGACACGTGAAAGTGGCCACGGCGGCGGGAACGGGGTCTGGGAGCTTGCTGCAGGCCGACCCGCTGGGTTGTTGGGGGGGCCCAGATCTGATTCGCGTCAAGCGGGACAAGCGACTCAACAACTGGCGGGATGATGCCTGCCCCAAGCTTGCTGCAGTGCATCGCTGGCCTTGCACCGTCCAGTCCTCAAACGTCCACATTGTGGGAAGGGAACCCACAGGACAGGCAATAAGGGGGGGTCAAGTAATAATTAAATACTCACCTGCCACCTACCCTCTTGCCATTGAACTTAATGTGCGAGTCTCTGAAGAGGCCGACACCGCCCAAACATAATTTTTTTTCTCGACTGGCACCACAAAAAAGCCCTAGTATACCTTACCTTATCCTAAACGGCTTGGCCTAGCGGCTCCGACGATGTCTTGTTAGGCCTCATCCGCTCCCTCATTCCACCGAGCTCTTTTCCTCCCCTCCTACCTCACTCACCACTATATACGCCCCGACTCCCCCTTTCGAACGCCGCGGGAAGAGTCTCTGCAACCGCAGATTTACCTATTTGGCGGCGTCGTTTCCTCCCCCTTCCCCTAAGTGGGCAGAAACAAAAATGGGTGTTCCCAACAACAGCAGTGCGCTAGACCCCCAAACCCCCCACCTTAAACCCCCCTAGTACCTGCTTTGCAGAAGCAGACAAGAGAGAGAAACAGAGGGGCGGTCTGCTAACAACGGCGGCGGCGGCGTCGGTGAGCGAATAGAGCACGCGATTGCCGAATGCATCTCGGACGACGCGCTCATTCACTTGAAGTCGTACCAGTACTCGGCTGTCGACAAGTCGCCCGTATCCCACTATATCCTCCGTCCATATGTACGCGACTCTGTGCCCCGCCTTCCCCAGTTCTCCTCCTACCTAGCTCCAGCTGCATCTTGCTGCCCGTAGGCGCGAAGAAGCACCGCAAATTACGAGAAGCTGAGACGTGCGAATTATAGTGGAATGCGGTCGTCGAACTCCTGCCGCTATGGCTGGCGCCGAATATGGTGACCCTCTTGGGGTTCTTCTGCATCCTCGCCAATGTCGGCCTACTAGCGATCTTCATGCCGGACCTGATCGGACCGGTAAGCCCTCTGTCTCGTCCCATCCGTTCTGTGATAATGGTTGCAGTAGACTAGGTCAAAGCAAGCACTAATACATGGCTGTGATCTGTCGCTACATCCAGGGGCCTTCGTGGCTGTACTTTAGCTTCGCCTTGGGACTCTTCATGTACCAGACAATGGACAACATCGACGGCAAGCAGGCGAGGCGGACCGGCACGTCTAGCGGACTGGGAGAGCTGTTCGACCACGGCATCGACAGCCTGAACTGCACACTCGCCAGCTTGCTGGAGACGGCGGCCATGGGCCTAGGCAATTCGAAGTCGGGTGTCTTCACGGCGCTCGTCCCCTGCCTGCCCATGTTCTTCTCCACCTGGGAGACGTACCACACGCACACACTCTACCTCGGCGTGATCAACGGACCGACAGAGGGCCTTCTTATCGCCTGCGCCATGATGGCCATCTCGGGGTATTACGGTCCAGGCGTCTGGACAGAGCCTCTGGCGAATCATTTGGGCGACCGCGTGAACACTCTCAGTGGGCTGGGCCTGACGGCGAATCAGCTAGGTGACCTCTCGGTGCGCGACATCTGGATCGTGCTCCTCGTGTCGTCGCTCCTGTTCACGCACGTTCCGTTCTGCATCTACCACGTGGTGCGGGCGCGGCGGGCGCGCAACCAGGCGGTGGCGCCCGTCTTCCTCGAGTGGACTCCCATGGTGGTCTTCTCGGGCAGCATTGGCGCGTGGCTGTACAGCCCGCACTCGACGCTGCGCGCCGAGAACCACCTCATGCTGTTCTGCATCATCATGAGTTTCGTATTTGGCCGCATGACGACCAAGATCATCCTAGCCCACCTCACGCGCCAGCCGTTCCCCTACTGGACCGTCATGCTGTGGCCGCTGGTCGGCGGCGCCGTGCTCGGCAACCTGCCGCGCCTCGGCTTCCCGGCCGTCTCGGCAGAGGTCGAGCACACCTACCTGTGGGCCTACCTCGCGTTTGCCACCGTCGCCTACTTCCGCTGGGCCTACGTGGTCACGTCGAGCATCTGCAACTTCCTCGGCATCAACTGCCTGACCATCCCCGCCGAGAAGCTAGCTGCGAATAAGAAGGCGGCCGAGCTGGCGGCGAACGGGGTCGCCAATGGGAGAAAGACGCAGTAATATGGTGGCGCGTGCTTTCCTTTCAAAATAAAGAGAGGCAGCACATGGTGCCAGCGGCATTGTGCTGTATCCAGAAAACAGATAGCCTGAAGCAGTGCTGAGCTGACTGGCTCACTGATTTGTGTCATTTCATCCTTCTCTGGCTTTAGAAAAAGAGGTTGAGCTGGATGGACTAGATCTAACTCACACAAGACAGGGGGTGATGGGACCTACATTTGTTTCCAGAGGTCTATAATTCACGAAGCATTTATTGGGGAGCGATGGCGGATTGGGGGTACTTTTGTTTTCGTCCCATGCTTCTTTTCTGCTGGTAGACGGCGAGTGATGATTTTCACGACTTTCTTTCTTGGACGTGGCTCAGCCGAAAGAAAGGGCCAAACTAGAGAGGGGGAAATAAAAAGGAGGGAAGCATTGGCAGCATAGTAGCATGGCGTTCCGGGTGTCAGCTTTGGCATTTCAAGCCCCTTGCTCATGGCGGCGGTAGCTTTTTTTTTCGTTTCCTATTTTTCTTTCTTTTTTGATACAAAGATTATGTTGTTTTGTTCTGTTCGTTTGTTCCTGCTGCGGACGTTCGGGCTTTTAGAGCAGCGCGGTTTAGAAAAAAAGGAAAAAACGTAAGAAGATGATCTTGGACATGAATCGTGAGTTTGTTTGTATCTGACAGGAATCAAGGTACCGGGGTTTGACTTGCTTGTTGGCCGTGGATGTCCGGATGTGATTTTGAGAGACAAGGAAATGTGCTGCGCTCAGAATTTTACGACACGTCCCTGTGTGCCAAAGCCAGTGTCTTTGACGCTACAGATAATTACATGACATATAGAGGTTCATACCTAAATGCGTTGCACGTCTCGGGATGTTGATCGTAGTCCCTTTGGAGACTTGCTCGTCCAAATGTGAAGAGGAATGTTTGCGAAGGTACCTGGAAACCCCCCGCCGTGGTCCCTGCAGCTTCCCCGCAGCTCAGGGCACACGGTCCCTTGCATCCATTGGCGGGCAGAACCCTGAATTGGCGGGGGAAGAGGGCGGGCGGCGAGGTACAGCCCACTAATTTGATGCTCTCCAACCAGTCTGTCTCTCTTCTCAATGTCGCAACCCATAGGCTGCGATCAAAGTGAATTTTTTTTAAAAAAAAAAAAAATCCCAGTGTAGTTTGTCACCCTTAGTGCAGAAGTCATGCTAGTTTGTTGCCCGAAGGCCCTTCTGTTGCCCGAAGGCGGGGAAAAAAAGAGGAAAGGTCGAAAGAGCCTGGTGGTGGCGGGCTATTTTATAAAGAATGTAGTTGGTTCATGCACGACTGCAAATTTCTGAGTGGGGCGCATGTGGAGTCGCCTGGGATACCTCTGTATTCAGGTGTGACAGACAGACGGTGTCGCTTACCTGGCATCACCGCCTGACTGGCAGCTGGTATGAGTGGTAGCGGACCGATTGTCGTGCGTTCCCAAAAAAAACTTGAGGGGGGAGCATCGATAAAATACCCAAGCAATGGATGAGGTGTAAACGGAATACGTTGCCGCTTTTTTACCGTTAGATTGTTGTTTCTGGCTGTGCCTCGACTTTTTGTAGGATCCTCATGCCGTGCGTGACATGAGACGGACGGGTACCTTCATGCTGGAAGGACGACCGCGGCACACACAGGGAAACGACGACGGCAGGAACGGAACAGCGTGGCCGGCCACAGACATGCCGTGAACCATGGCGCACTGTAGAACAAGACGAACCCCTTTCGTTGCCGCTACCGGTGGTGGCAGCAGCAGCAGCAGCATGACGGCCGGCATCACCAGGCCGACGAAGCATCGCCGCCACCACCTGCTGCTGCTGGCGTTACTCGTCTACCACTTGCTAGCCGCAACGACGGCGCGGGCCTACGCGCCGCTGTCTGACGTCAGCCTCGCGCGCATCCTGTCGGGCGTCGCCGACCTCGACGCCAACACGGGTGCGCTACTGGCGCCCATCCTGATCCCGCGTGTGCCGGGCACGGCCGGGTCCGAGAAGGCCCAGCGCCACTTTGCCGACTTCTTCGCCCGCCACCTCCCGCTGTGGACGCTCGAGTGGCACAACTCGACGGCGACGACGCCCGCCACGGGCGACATGCTGGTGCCCTTTGCCAACCTCGTCTTCCGCCGCGACCCGCCGTGGGTGGTAGCAGAGGCGGAGGCAGGGGCAGGGGCAGGGGCAGCGACGGCCGCCCCGGGAGATGTCGCCCGCCTGACGCTCGCCGCCCACTACGACAGCCTGTACCGCCCCGAGGGCTTCGTCGGCGCCGTCGACAGCGCCGCCCCCTGCGCTATGCTGCTCCACGTCGCGCGCAGCATCGACGCCGCGCTGACGAGCAAGTGGGACGCCATGCGCGCTGCCGGCCACGCGCCCGACGGCCTCGAGGAGGAAAAGGGCGTCCAGATCCTCTTCCTGGACGGCGAGGAGGCGTGGGTGTCGTGGACCGACTCGGATTCACTTTATGGATCACGGTAAGATATGGGTTCAGTTCTTGCCCCTTTTCTCTTCTTCTCTTTTTGCCCCTTCCCATCCCCCTTGCTCTAACTTTCCTGCCATTTTCCCTGTCGCTAACCTTATCTTTTGACTCTTGGAAAGTGCGCTGGCCCAGACATGGGAGACCACAGAGCACGAGGGCATTTTCTCGACGCCGCTGCAGGCCATCAGCATGTTTGTGCTGCTGGACCTGCTCGGGGCGCCGGGCCCACGCGTGCCGTCATACTTTGCCCAGACGCACTGGGTGTACCAACACCTAGCGGCGGCCGAGGGGCGGCTAAGGAAGCTGGGCGCGCTCGAGACGGAGGCCAGCAACAACCACCCGTTCCTGCCGGAGGCCCGCAAGCGCCCCGAGCAATTCACTAGGGGCTTTGTGCAGGACGACCACGTGCCCTTCATGGAGCGTGGCGTAGACGTGCTGCACATCATCCCCACGCCGTTCCCGGACGTGTGGCACACCCTCGACGACGACGGCGCACATCTCGACCCGCCCACAGTGCGGGACTGGGCGACGATCATGACGGCGTTTGTCGCCGAGTGGATGGAGCTCGACGGATTCCTCCCGCCGGTGCCCCTGCCCGAGGACACGAAAAAGAGGGCAAAGACTTACACCGAGAAGTCAGAGCTCTAGTATAAGGGGCCTCGGGAGGTGGGTGACATAAACTGTATATATACTTGCCCAAACTAGACTCTTGGGTATGGCGAGCGGCTGGTACATAGCGGCTCTGTATAAATCTACCATGTCACTAAAACATGTCCCTACAATGGATTACTCTATAAGTTTCAACTATTAGACCAATTAATGCCTTACCGCCTTTAACAGCGACTTACTTCATAGACTGTATTCAATGAATGTGGGAGTCTGACGGATGGGACAGTAGGGGACAATGTGATGGGCGCATTCCCGGGGTGTTCCCCCAACCAACCCTGGTGGGCGCGGGCACCTACGCGGTCTTGGCAACCGCCCGCCCCGTCCGTCCGTGCATGAGCTCTGGAGCTGGACAAGTGTTCATTGGGGGTTTCGGCATCAAAATCGCTAGCCAGACGGGTGAAGGTATCAGCCCTTTTTTAATATTTTGTCTGCCTTCCTTTCTTTTACAAATACCCACCGAATCCTTTCGCCGGCTTAATCAACATTACAGCGAATTGAGAAAAATTCCCGACAATGCGGTTCCAACAGCAGTCTTTCGCCTCGGCGGCGCTCCTGGCGCTCGCCACGGCGAGCGGGCTTGCCTCTGCTGCTGCTTCGTCGTGGGGCTTCGACGACGCCAGCCTGTCGATTGCTGCGCGCAAGGGGTCCGAGGGCATCAAGGAGAAGTAATTCTGCCCCTCTCTCTGTCTCTCCCTGAATTAGATTGTCTTGCATTGGAAATCGGATTGCTGACCGTGTGCTGTTGTGCGCAACTGCAGACTGAACCAAAAGACACCGCTAGCCACGCCCGTCGCTCTCGGCAGCGCCGACAGCCTCAAGGTCGCCCTCACAGCAAAGGACAACGGCAAAGGCAAGCGCCCGCACCAGGCGTTCGTCGTGTTGCGAGACCAAGACTCGGGCCTCGAGGCGCCGTTCCCGCTGACGGTCAAAGAGAACGGGAAGGCCGTCGTGCAGATTGTGAGTGGAAGTGAAGCCTGCTTTGCGGAAACAAAAAAAAACCAAACCTACCCTCGAGTTAGGTGGCGGAGACCGGCTCTTGGCTACTCTAGAAGTGGATGCCCCATAGTTTACTACAGTTACTAACGAGCGGGCGCTTTCTTTTCCTTGGTACAGAGTCAGAAGGACCTCCCCGCGCAGCTGCTCCTGGCCGGAAAGCCGCTCAAGGCGTCGGTGGTGATCGCGTCGTTCGGTTCCGCCACGGGCCTCAACACGCCCGCCTTCGAGGTCGAGATCCGCCTCGACCCGGCCACGCCGCTTCCGAACTACGAGAAGCCGCTGCGCTACGGCAAGAGGCCCGAGATCCACCACATCTTCCGCTCCGATCCCCGCAGCCCGCCCAAGGTCATCTCGCTCTTCTTTACCCTGGCTGTCGCCGCTACAGTGCCAGCTCTGTTCATCGGCGTGAGTAGTGTGGCTACGGGATTGGTTTCCCTCTGGCGTTGTGATGGCGCATGTCTAACGTCTGCAATAGTGGGCTTTGCTCGGCGCAAACCTCAACCACCTCACCAAAGCCTTGGGCGCCGCGCCTCTGTCGCATGCCTCATTCTTTGGCTCCATCGTGGCCATGGAGTTTGTCTTTTTCATGTACTACACCAGCTGGAACCTCTTCCAGACACTGCCGGCGGCTGTTGTCGTTGGCGCGGTGGCGGTTCTCAGCGGCACCAAGGCATTGGGTGAAGTGCAGAGCAGGCGGCTTGCGGGGGAGCGCTGAGCGAAGAAAAACACGCGGAAGGTAGGAGCAAAACAAATGTGAACTGGTGTACATTGACACGCGGCAGGACGTGCAAAAAATACGACAGAAAGATGGAAGCCCGCGTTGCCGGGTGGCGATCATGGGTCCGAGACCTTATATCATTATCAGGGGTCAGGCGTGTGATGGATGGCCATAAACACAACACAGACAGCAAAAAGCCGGGCATTGCGAGCCCGCGTTTAGCTTCGAGCTCGGACGATGAATTGGATGGCCATGTATCTGAGCGAGCGTTTACACATTGCGGATTTATAGCAAATATTAGTGCTTCAAAACAAAAAACACTGGTAGACTGTACACTACTAGTAGCCTTGCTTCGGACACTGCCTTTAAATGGCGCATAGCTGCATATGTGATCAACAAAAGCAAGAAACATGAACATGGCTTCATGATGACAAAGAACCCTTGAATCATTCCAGGCTGGCGATATGCAGGATGAGGCGGACAGGAGCAAGACTTCAAGACGGTAATCACAACGTTGAGCTTACCGCTCTCATATATTTGTAATCCCCTGAGATTGGGGGAACAATATTTAAACACCTCCCCCAATTAATGCTCGTCTCCAAGCGGCGGCGATGATCTACCAGCACGCAACGGAATAGTCATCAGATAATTGACTCTTGGCGCTGACTGGATGTTTTACCTGCCAAGAATGCCTGGCCGTCAAGAGTAGCACGAGCAGGCTTCACCCCACGCTGTAAAAACTCATGGTTGACCATTTATTCATTTCTTGCTCAATCTAAGAGCAAATGCAGGATATCCCATTTTCCTTAAATGAACACCTGGAGAACCTTCCAACCCCAACCCGCAACGATAAAAGCTTAAGCAAAAGTGGACGGGCGCTTGGCGCTGAAGATCTTCTTGGTGCTGATCTTGGGAACACGGTGGGGGAGGGGGAAGCTGAGCTTCTTGGTGATGAGCTGCTTGATATAGGGGCGCTTGACTTCCTCGTTCTTCTCGATCTCGACAACGCGGAGAATCTATCCGCACGTTAGTATTGCAGCCGAAGAGAAACGACAAGCCGTTGTAACGTACGTGGATCGACCTGAAGCGAGCACGGTGGCGGGCGGCCATGTCGGAGTAGAGGGCCTCTACCGCAGCCGTCCTGGAAGTCTCGCGGTACTCCTTGTACATGTTGTGGGTGCCGGAGCGCGAATCATAACGGATCCAGACGCCGAAGTTCTTGACCTTCTGGGGGTGCTTCTCGGAGATCTAGAAAGAAAACAATGGTAAGCGCCCGTCCCTAAGCGTAAATCAACCGGCTCAAGTCCACATACCACATTGACGCTGACAATCTCGCCAGTCGCCTTCTTGACCTTCCGCAGACCGCGGAGGAAGTACCAGAAACGGGACTTGGCCACTACCTGGTTAGGCGCAAAGATGCGCATGCGGTAGAGGGCCGGAGTCGCGTTGGCCTCCGTGGGCAGATGGCGCCCAATGACCTGGAATTCCTGAAGACGACCTGAATAAATGTCAGCACGTCTCGCTACTGCTAGAAACTGACGGTGCGGCCGGTGCAAGAGCACATCATTTCTGGGCTCAAGACATTCCCAGATATCGGCCGTCGGTAGCTATCGAGTCGTTTGGACCCGAGCGTTTGGGGAGACTCGGCTGCAGAACTTTCCAACGCCCACATCATAGCCCATCATTTCCTGTTGACCAAATTTATTCTAACAGCCTACTCGTTTCAAGTTCTGAAATGTAGAATCAACCCTCGCCGATTGAGTGGGTGTGCTTCATAATTCTGGCCGAGCCGGGTCGAGTATCGGTTCGATAGTCGATGCGTTCTCGAGCAACATATGATATGCATCTAGCAGGACGATTGAATTCAAGAATTGCTTACCCATCTGTGGAGAAAGTCAGAGGAGGCCTTTGGGAATGACGAGCAACAAGGGGTGCATCGGGGGGACTTACTGTGATTGATTGTCGCTATGGATCGCGAGTGAGTTCGGTGAGCTGTCGAGAGTCTTGGATTAGCGATCGCGAGGGAACAAAAAAAATCGGGTGCGCTTGGTTAGGGCTCGAAATGCTCGGGCCACTTTCCAGAATAAACGTGGCGGTGCGGGCGGGGCAGCCGCCACAAGTGGCTGACTGGCTCGCGGGGCTGTCTCCACAACGGACTGCCTCCCCCACCGTCAGCGCTCCTTCCCTGCAGAAAGTGAATGAGGGCTGACGGACCAATCACATCAAAACAATCGGCGTGAGAGGTCAACTCTCACCTTTGTCTTTCCGCATTCTTGAGTAAACTCACATTCTCTGAAATTGGCGTTTACAAAGACGTGTTGTCGTCACGGTACAGAATTTTATACGAAACCCAACTGGTTATACCGACGCTCATCAGAACCCCTCGATCGATAATCTCACCTTGCTTTAAGTGCCAAGGCAAGGCCCTGGAAGATCCCCGCGACCTGAAAGCCTTCAGAACTTGGTAGGCCACGCAGCAGGCAGGTACCTTAGGCGCTCTCAGCCTGGAGAACAACCTCCACTTACCCGCTATCAACCGATTTGTTGTGGATATGGACACTCTTTGCGCCAAAGTCGCTGGTGCGAGGGCCGATGAAAACGGATATGATCTCGCTCGCACTCTCTCACCCGATTTCCCCAACGATACGTTACGCGCAATATGGCAGAGTTGCAACGCTCACGATGTCAAGAGCGTCGTGAAGCGGGACCTTTCCAAGAACGTGACGGGGATGCAGCGGCTTTCCCATCAAGAGCTGGCCGGCTGGGTTGAGGTGTACCACGCATACTGGAAGGCTGTCGGTGAGCTTCTTGCCGTTCAAGTTGGTGTCCCCTTTCCCGTAAGCGGTTGTTATTGATCTGACTATCGATCTTGCAGTCGTCACAGTCGTCATGGGCCAAGGTGTTTAGCGCCTGGACGGAGTTGCTGACTGCCCTGTTGCGGGGTTACAACGCACATGGGTTTGAGGCATGGACGATCCCGTGTCTTTATGTGACAGGCAAGTATCTGCGCACATTCGCCATCAAAGCCGATGACGAGCGCAACAGCGGCAGCTTGACAGACAATAAGGCCGCCGCCAACTTCCAAGATGACTTCAATCCCGAGTCAGAGCAGAACGCGACCCTGGAAGACTGTGCACGGCAACTCAACAAGATCTTCAACATCTGTCTGAATGATAGGTGCGAATCCGCCCAATCCTACACATGACGAGACCTAACTAACTGATTATAGGGCACCGCTGGATCTTTCGCGAAAATGGGGCATCTACTACGTGACCAACCTGCTTTTCAAGACATACTTCAAGTTCAACTCGGCAAGCCTGTCCAAGAACGTCCTGAAGGCACTGTCTGTCGGAAGAGGCGATATGCCCAACCTTGCGGCCTATCCAAAATCGCAGCAAGTTACCTTCAAGTACTACGAGGGAGTCCTGTGCTTTTTGGAGGAGAATTATGTCGAAGTATGGCACCACTTCTAGGCACGGTCAGTAATTATGCTAACGAGATAATAGGCTGAGAAGCACTTGACCGAGGCATGGAACAATTGCTACAAGGACCACATGAGGAACAAGGAGTGAGTATTGTGCTTGTCTTGCGCTCTTGCGCCGATTGCTGACCGACGAGCCAAGATTGATTCTGACTTACCTCATCCCCTGCCATCTCCTTACCACACACACTCTGCCCAGCCAGAAACTTTTGGAGCCCTATCCCGGATTGCAGAAACTCTTCGGACCGCTCGCACAGTCCATCAAGCAAGGCAAGCTCCATGCCTTTGACCTCGCTCTCCGGGACAGCGAGGACGAATTTGTCAAGCGCCGCATTTACTTGACCCTAGAGCGGGGACGCGATATTGCGCTGCGCAACCTGCTCCGCAAGGTCTTTATCGCAGGCGGTTTCGAGGAGTCAAAGGAAGGCGACGGCGGAAAGCCGGTTCGGCGCACCCGAATACCTATTGCCGAATTTACCGCCGCAATCAGCCTCGGCAGCCAGGAGACCCTTGACGATGACGAAGTCGAGTGTCTCCTAGCCAACATGATTTACAAAGTGAGTCAACACATAATCTCCTATCTTTGTTTCGTATTCCCCACCCAGACAAAAGGACGCAGAAGGCAAATGCTGCCTCTCCTGCCGCCCAGGTCAGAGCAGCGGGTCTATTGTCATCCAAAGTATGAGCGAGGTCCGCCGCGGAGTTCACCAGTTGTGTCTTGACAAATCATCTCAATGGTTGCGAATTTCGCCATGGAAAAACTTTGAAGGGTTGGCCAGCTCGAAGTTGAGATGCCCCCTCGCTGCCTGGGGTGTCGAGGCATCATCCTGAGCTTCGGGCCAGTTCTTTAATTGGCGGAAAAGAACCTGCGACTATCCCGCCCCCTCTAAAATGGCTCGCAATGACTCATTATGCTGACCGACCAAACACAGGGTCTCATGAAAGGCTACATCGCACGCGACAGAGGCATAGTGGTCCTCAGCAAGACTGGAGCCTTTCCCGGAACAGGCCTTTGAAGTGTTGGTAATTCGATATCCGTCACTCTGCCGTTTTTTGAACGTTGGCCTTCATTGTGGCTTGATGGTGCGCGAGCTAGAACAGCCACGATAGAGGAGATATATATTTGTGATGTGTTACCGCAAGATTCAGCAGGGTCTTGTGGTTGTATCAAACCGTGCCGCACATGGCGCGATTGTGGAGGACTACTGGCGACACGGTAGAGCATACAATGCCATGCCAATAATTGTCGCCCAAAAATTTCGTGATAGGACGTCGGGTATTAGTGTATCACTACCTGCATCCATCCACCACGCATCTGACCGACGGACCAACCCCTTATCAGGGGATGTGGTGGTCTCTCTCCTCCGAGGCCAAACATCGAAGGTAAGCGCGGATACTTCACTCTGCATAGATAAACGATCGGGTCGATGTGTTTTCGGCAAACCAGTGCCCTCAAAAAATACTGGTCTTCGCTATAGCTTTGATCTCCTTTCTATCTCTATTGTTCCTCGTCGTTTTCAGACCATGCATTTATTCGTGTTCGGTAGTTGCTTGGGAAACGGCCCGTTTGGGCGGCCTGCAGCTAAACATATCTGACTCTACACCCCCTTCGTGAAGCTGTTTGAGTGAAATCTAAACCTCCAGAACGGGCAGACAGTGCAACCAACCCCCGCGCGTGCTCCGCCACTGCCTCTACCGCTGCCGTTTGTGCGGGGAGGGCGGCCTGCGATTCGACTCTATGCAACCACTTTATCTCTCCCTTTCCGCGGCAAGCTTGCACGCACACACACACACCCTCCCGCCACGCAATGATGTCTGCCTTGTCTCTCTGCCTTGTCATTCGGGGACCCATACAGCCATGTACCCTCAAGTAGTTTTGCACGTCGAGTTCTTGACTACCGAGTAGGTATCAATTCGTGACATCCCTTTTTTTGTCTCGAATTGCCAAGTCTAGTGGTGTGAAGGATAAGAATCTGACTAGTCATTATTTTTCAGACAAAACCCGGGACAATCAGAAACCGGGCGTCAGGTGGGGAGTCCATTTGTGTCGTCTGTGTGTCTTTCGATAATAATGGACTTGTCCTTTTTTTTACCGTTGCATTCTTTGTCTCAGGAGACAGATAAATAGATGCTGCATGTGTCTACTAAGTTATTCCGCACGTTTGCACACAAATGTGGGCGTGAATAGACAGCCTCGCGGAAAGAAGGGTGGGTGACCGCTACCGTGGTACACCAAATATGGCACAGGATGTATCAGACTACGGACCAAGAACAGTAAGGCAAGGTGATATCAGACAAACCACCCAGTCCACATACCGTAGTCCGTTGCCGACTCGAATCCCCATAATCGTGGTTCGCAGACAGATCCAACGGCCACCACGACCACCACGACCACCACGTCCGTACATCCTAGACATGAGTCCAGGACATGCATATGGCAAGTGCACTTGCAATTCCATTAGTAAGAAACAGAAACAGAAATGGGTGTATGGTCACGTCTTCTTATTCGTAGTAATCAGACAAACGCGACCCAGCCTAGCCCGACACCGCATTCCCCCATCTAGACGAAGCATCCGCACCAAAGCTGGCCAAAGTCATTGCATCGGGAAGTCGTGTGGGCAAACCCAAAGACAGCCCGAACATCTCAAATTGTAACGGAAACACAAGGATATCATGTCAAAATCATGTATGAAGAGAACGAGATTCTGTATTGATCACCGTAGAGGAAGGCCATAGATCTCTCTAGTCGCTGCTTCGGCAAACCATCTCCCCTCCTGCTCTGAACCTACTAGGAGGCCGACAGGAGTTCTGCTCTCTCTTGAGCCTCCAATGATGGTTTTTGAACGAGAGTCAAGAAATATAATGATACACTCCGTTTGCTCTCCCCCTCTTTTCTCGTCAAAGCATCTCTGTACCAGACATCCGCACTCTCCACCCACTCATCCCTTGAAAGGGGTAAATAATACCAATCTTTCGGAGGCAGGCTGATACCAAAGCAGCGATCGAAAAAAAACACAACAAACCAGGCCGTGTAAAGCTGCCATGGTGGGCAAAATACGGCGGTGTGCCTCTGTCGCGAGACAGAAAAGTCGGACATCCCGCCATGAAAATAGAACCAGATAGAACCAGTCTCGAAGATAAAAATTCGAGGAAATGAACATAAAATAAACCCAGATAACATTCCTCAAAAAGAACCCGGTCGTAGTAATGACATGGAAAATGTTATACAAGTTTTGGTGTTTTCTTTGGTAAAGAAAAAAGAAAGGACGAACAAGAGAAGCAAATGACATCAACTCCGTGTGGGAGTTCAGAGACCCGGGGAATTCCTCATCGATACGCCAAGTCCTTGATAAAAATAACAAATGTCTATGACCCACCAGAACCATACTATTAGTGAGATGTAAGAAAAGAAGAAAGCAGCGTAAGTCATTAGAGTGGAAATGAAGTTGTGCTGAGAAGGGGATGTTGTATTTTTTGGAGTGGTTGTTGACCACAAAGCGTCGAAACAAGCAGGTAAAGCACCAAAGGCAGCTAGAAGGGGCGCCCGCTGCGAGGAGTGCGCGGTGTACTGCTGTCGCATAGGTTAGATATACACCAAACTAGAGTGAGTCAGGGGGGCAAGTGACATACGCAGCACTCGAGATGTCGTCGACGTGGTTGGACAGAGCCACAAACAGATCAAAGAAGAGTTGTGTACCGCCGTTGAACATTTCCAGTTGCATAGTACCGCTTCTCTTGAACGTACTGCGGCTGCGAATGATGAGGGCAAGGTAGTGAGCACGCAGCTTAGAGTCCGTGTCGGGGGTATTGGCATATGCGTATCTGGCAGACGCCAAGATAGTGCTGGCCTGGATCCCGGACTCTGGAGAGTGATCGTCAGCAATGACCAAAACCAATGACGATAGTCTCCGGGGAATGACTCACGGAGACCTTGCTTGCGCAGAGCGACACGCTTCAGCTCCTCTAGTCCGTACTTCTCGGCGGCACAGTAGATGACAGTGTCCTTGAGCAAGTCACCGTCGATACCGTGATGGTAGATGGTAGTCTCGGCGCGACCGTCGTCCGAGGGCTGCTCAATCTCCCACGAGTTACGCTTCTTGTTGTGGAGGAGGCGTGGATAGTAGTCGCCCTTGTAGAGGTACTCGAGAATGGACGAGAAGATCTCGGGCTCCTCGTCTGGCAGCGAAATCTTCTTGGATTGGGAGTCGAGCATCTGGTTGTGGAGCACGCTCTGAAAGAAGGGCGACATGCACAGCACATTCTCGTGGGCTGCAAAGATCCTCTGCTCCTGGCCGACGACTAGAGTCACGATGGCCGATATCCTAAGAGCAGAAGCTGCATCAGCACGGGGCCGCCAACACTGACAAAACACTACAAGTCGACAACAGGCTAGGATATGGCTCACTCTGCTTGTGGATCGAGCGCGGCGGCTGCATTGGTCGCCGTGCTAGGGCGGCGACGGGATTCATGGCGCCGCTTAGACACACCCGCCTCCTTGCTAAAAGACGAGCTGGACCTTCCCAGCTTCTGGCTTTTGGAGAAGCTCTTGCTCTGGCTCTGCGGCGGTTCAAAGCGTCGGGAGAACATGTTTGTGTCTGTCTGTATTTGGACGAATGTGTGTTTGACTCCTCTCTCGTTGCGGCCTGCTGCCAAGACCCGGTACTGATGACCGACGGCGATTAGGGCGACAACGACGAGGGAAAAGATGGGATGGCGATGGACGATGAAAGGCAATGTAAAGCGACGCAAAATCCGAAGGCTGGCGACAATTTTTGATGAAAATCCACCTACCTGATGAGCGGGAACAAGGCAACACCCGAATGGGGAGGGAAATCAGTTTTTTTTTTCCCCGACCTGGGGGGTGCGCCGTATTATATAGGAAATGCGGGCGTGGCTGCACAGATGCCTGGGCACATTTTGCAGGCGGACACAGCTCGTTTCGGCGGCCGGAAATGGCAATCAGCAGCGCCTCGATTATCCAGCGTGATTCACGCGTTAAGTGGTCGGGGCCAGGCGGGATATTCCCGCGAAGTCAGGTGACAGCGCCATCCCCCTTTGGGCGCCTTGGCTAAGAACGGCCAGGGGCCTTGGGTGGCACCTCCCTTGGAAGATGCCAGGGCAAGGGTCGGAAGAAGCAAGCAAAAATCCAGAATTGCGCACGGCAAGGATGGTGGTCTGTGGGTAACGCCCTGGGAGACAGGGAGAACAGGGAGCACAGGGAGCGCATCCCAAGTGTTGTAGTCATTTCAGGGGGGTTGGAGCGGCGGTGGTGAAGAGGTCCGAGGCAAACGAGAAAAGAAGCCGGCGGAACAGGCTCGATGGGAATGGCGTTACAAGGGTTCAAAGTGCAAATGCACACACACCCACCCACACCCGCCAAAAGAAGGAGCGAAGGAAGGCTGTCCTAGTCTGTGTGTGCCGCCTCACATTGCTTCTTTCCGTGCGAAGGAACCAAAGTTATCAGACCCAAGGGTGGGAGTGGGGGCTGATGCTGCAATGCTGCCTGCCTCTTTGCCTTTTGACCCCTTTTCCCCGTGAACTTTTGCTAAGGCATCCGTAGCCACCTCATCAAATGCGGGCAAGCTCACCAGGGCATGGGAGGCAGCAAAGACCGGGCAAACTTGGATAACCTCGATCCGGCATCAATGATGTGAGATGGAACCACGGCCAAAAAAACGCTGCTTCGGTCCATTGTCGGGGATGCTATGGTCTCAAAAATCCTCAATTGCATCAATTGGGCCGACTGCTCCACAGCCAATTCAGAGACGAAGCATTGGCCTCCACTTGGAGTCACAGCCCACCCAAAAGTTAGCGGAGGGGGCATCATCATCTTAACAGGAGTACACTTCACACGGAGTCTTGCAGAGCGGCCTTGCCTCTCAGAACCGGGCGGCTGTACCCTGATCACGCAACGCTGGGCCTTTTTCATCCCCCGCCCCTCGCTGTCTTTTAACGAGGACGGCAAGGCGAAATGAAAGCAAACGAGCGTGCAACAGGCAATTGCAGCATTCCGTACTGTGGACGTAGTGTGACACTATTGCTGGCCATCCCAGAGGCTGTCTTATCGGTAGTCATTACGGATTGCCCAAGCGAGACTGCATCTTGCGTATCAATCGCACTGTTTTATTGTGTGCAGTGCCAGTGACATGGTTTCACCCCTTGGTCCCCAACCCGTTCGGGCATCTTGTTTGGCCCTGTTTCGGTGCCGGGCGACCTACAGGGGTAATTGGGACTGCCACCTCCCGGTCAGAACACTACAGTAAGATTGGCATCGCCACCGGGCAACCTACGTATCCGCAAAGCCGCAACGCTTCATCCGCTTTCCAGCGCTCTCTTGGCCAGCTGCAGGATGGCTTGCGCGGCAATCTTCTTGCCCTGTCCTCTGGCAATTGCCTCGCTGTGGTATGCGACTGGGGCAACCCCCTTCTCGACAGGTAGCCCAAGGTCTACGCATCTCCGATAGAGTTGCTCGCTTTGCACCTTCGGCACCAACTCATCCCTTTCGGCTTCCAAAATGAATATACCGGGCGCTGTCCCACCTTTCCTTTTGGAAGCCTCCGCGATCAAGCCCAAGTTTGCCCAGCTATCCAACTGGCTACGCAAAAAAGGCCACAGGTGCTTATATGGCAACCACTTTTGAGGGTATAGCGTTTCCAACATCGCTCTGACTGACAAAAACGGAGTCTCAAGCAGCAGGCCCCTGATTGGCATGGCCTCCGGTATCTTGCCGGTGGCGGCGAGGTTGGTGGCGACGCCGGAGCCGATACTCTGCCCCCAAACAAGGAGTATCGAGATGGGAGAATCGCTTCTAGTCCCAAATATGCGATCATGGCGTTGCGCAATCCATTGCACGCCGGCTTCTGCATCGAGCCGGAGGCCCCGTTCAGATGGACGCCCTCGTGAGGTCCAGTAGCCTCGATAACTGAGGCAGACAAAAGTTAGTTCTGCACATGCCAAACTCGGTATTTTGCTGTCTCTGACGGCCCGAAGAACCCATGAGAGGTCTGGCAACCGGGGCGGTGTTGACGAGGCATTGCCTAGAACAGATTGTTAGTCTCGAACACGCTGATTGCGACTATGTGATGCCAGACCCTGAAAGTAGAGGACATAGAAGATATGGCCCCGGGCTGCCTTTGAATTCTCATCCTCTCCCCGCCACAGCGGAATCGTCGCCACGGCTATTGCAAGGTCCTTTCCATCCACCGTCTTCGTCCTCTCTTCACGCCATTGGATGCCCCCACAGCTACTCGCATAGTCCTCGATGTGCTCGCTTCGCGCGTTGGGGGGCAGTCCGGGCATGTAGATGATTTTATTCTGGAACACAACCAACATCACGCATTTCCACACCCACAACGCCACTAACAGCCCACAGAAGTACACTGGCGGGGCCAGAAAGGGCGGAATGTGAATGTATCTATAGCCTCGCTGTTTTCCCGCGACAGACTGGATGGATGGATAGGATCGTCCCACCAGGCCAGCCGAGTTGGCTGAAGCCCAGGACCGTGTCGGGGTGATGTGTACGCCGCTGCAGCCCAGGTGCAGACATTTCCGCTGCAAGTGACTCCATTGGCCCCATGGCATGGGGAGTCGACAACGAGAGAGACCGTGGTAAGCGATAGCAATATTGACGGCCGTCATTGGGCAAGAGAAGCGGGCGCGGGATGGCGGGCCTCGACGGCAAAGAGATGCTGTGCCGCAATACCGAGAGAGATCTCGCCCTCGGGCCTGCAGAATATCGCGCTGCTTATGCCATTGCCTAATCATGTGTCCCTATGCCACTTGTTGAAGCCTTGCCCAACTACAGGACGTCCCACATCGACCTAAGAGTCCCGGGGGTTGGGAGATGGGTTGGTCTGGTTGGGCGGGAATTCGATGAAAAATAAATCGTTGTCATGCTACAATTCGTCCAGACTTTGGTGGTTCGGCAAGATGCTGCGTGGGGAACTGCTCAAACACCTCGCACCAATGGGATCCGACGGCAGCAACTACCTAAACAAAAAATCGCAAGAGAAGAGTCCAGACTTATTAGCCGGAGGAATCATCAGACCGAAGAAATAAACTGCGCCCAAACGGCCATATACGGTGGCCTCAACGTAAGGCAGCCAAGAGAGGCGGCCAGCCTGCTGTCATTGAGATTCCAAGCCCCCACAGAAGTTCCGTGACACGTGCATGGCGCATGTGCCCAAGAGTGAAGTCGGTGTGCACCAACCTGGCTGGAACCCAACCCCAGATCCCTGAAGTCCACCCAAGCCACCCGCTGTAAGCCCCGCACTAGTGGTGGTGATGATAAGCAAGCAGGGCCCCTCCTTCTGCAAACACCCGGCGGATAACGAGCCGAAACGACGAAACGTTTAGGTTGGTTGGCTACATTTCCAACAAATTTCACTTCTCCAGCCCGAATTTAAAGGTCTAGGAAAAACAAAGCACTCACCAGTCCACTCTCACACATACTTGTGGCAACGTCTTGATTGACAGAGGGAAATTCCGTGAGACATTCCTCTCCCGCCATTCCGGTCCCGACCCGAAAGCCGCATCGCCATCGCCGTGCTCCTCAGTCGTTGAAGATCGAAACACGCCACAGCCGCCAAAATGCCGGCACCCCTCGAAGAAGGCGAGACCCGCTCGCCAGGCCACCACATCGAGCTGGTCGATGACAATCCTTCGCCGAAACACGAGGGCGAGACAAGTCCGGGCCTCCGAAACAGCAAGGGATGGGATGGGAAGCTGCGGGTGCCGCCTAAGAACGCCGTGCTCGCAAATCCCGAGGCTCTATCAGACCCAGAGTACTCTGATGATGAGCACATTGTCCCTGGCGAAGAGGTTGCAGCAGACGAAGGTAAGCATATGCTTGGAGCCTACTGCAGTCGATACGGCGTCATTTGCCTTCTCTAACATGCCGTCGTCCGAAACACAGACCTGCTCGATGGCGAACCGCTCGACACGGACGAGATTATGTGCACACATTCGCGGATACAGTCGATCAACGCATTGCAACTGAAGCGCTTCACAAAGGTGGCGCGAATCTGTCTGCGCCAGAATTTGATCCAAGATATAGAAGGCCTGTCGGGGGTGGCCGCCACGCTCGAGGACCTTGATCTCTACGACAACCTGATCTCACATATTAGCCGGGCCGGGCTGGCGGATCTGACGGGGCTAACATGCCTGGATCTGAGCTTCAACAAGATCAAGCATATCAAGCATATCAACCACCTGCAGAACCTAAAAGACGTATTCTTCGTGTCCAACAAGATCAGCAAGATCGAGGGGCTCGAGGGCCTCACCAAGCTGCGCAACCTTGAGCTTGGGTCCAACCGCATCCGCGAGCTCGAAAACCTGTCGTCATTGACGGAGCTCGAGGAGTTATGGGTGGCTAAGAACAAGATTACCGAGCTGCACGGCCTGGGCGGCCTGGCCAACCTGCGCCTGCTCAGCATCCAGTCGAACCGCATCCGCGACCTGTCGCCGCTGCGCGACGTGCCCCAGCTCGAGGAGCTGTACATTTCGCACAACGCGCTCGAGTCGCTGACTGGGCTCGAGCAAAACACTAAGCTCCGCGTCCTCGACGTCTCCAACAACAAGGTGGCCAGCCTCGCGGGGCTCGGGCCCCTGGCCGACCTCGAGGAGCTCTGGGCCAGCTACAACCTCGTGTCCGACATGGCCGACGTGGAGCGCGAGCTCGCCGACAAGAAAAAGCTCACGACGGTCTACTTTGAGGGCAACCCGCTGCAGCTGCGGTCACCTGCGCTGTATCGCAACAAAGTGCGACTGACGCTACCGCAGGTGCATCAGATCGATGCTAGTAAGTCATCCCTAACCCTGGTGTCTTATGTATATTCCTCGTCACCGGACTGGTGTTATGAATGCCTTACTAACAAGTTTTGTCTCTAGCTTTTGTAAAAACATCATGATAAAAGTAGTGTTGATAACTTGATTTCCTTTTTTTCCTTTTCTTTTTTCTACCATTTCTCGGGAAAGCGGGCTAGGGCTAAGAAGGCATGCCAGGCTAGCAGCCACGCAGGCCAGGTGGGTAGGAATTGGATGGAGAGGCAAGCCTTGAATTACACCCCGGGTTTAGAAAGCGGAATTGTTTCACATATTCTTTTTGTTTCGCTGAGGGATGGCTGGCAGGCTGGGATGGTTGGGGTGAGGAGCGAAGCAGTAGCGGTCGGCTACAGGAGGTGGGAGGCGGTTACATCATCATCTGTCACAATAGCATGCTTGGGCGTTCTGTTGTTATGCTTTTTTTTACCGTCTAAAAACCTTCTCAGCCTCGGTGTCCTTTTTTTCAGGGTTCGGTAGACACGACACAAACTCGCTGCTTCTGCCTCTAAAAGGTAGCATAGATTTTCCATCTCATGTCCTCCCTCTCTAACGATTTTGTAAAAATAAAATTGAGGTGTGAGACGAAAGGACGGACTGGGTTTGTGTAATTTGCAGCCTGAAGATTCCATTTCAGACACAAACATGGGATGGAACTTGGTTTGAGCCGATTATTGTGTGTTGGAAAAGGCAATGTGCCTAGTGTAGTGTATATTGATGGTTTGAGTTTTTTTTGTTTTGAAAACAACACCCCCTCCTACGCTTCCCACGCTGCCGCGTAAAGTCCGGCAATGGAAATGCTTGTATGTGTGAGTTGTGGTCCCTACATACCATGCCGTGGATGAGTGTTTGAATGCAGGAACCTTTGGTAGACAGAAAGCGCCTATAGGCAAACATTGTCACATGCCAAGTCCCTAGCTTTGGATAGGTTATTTCTCTGATCCGTCCCAGAGAATTGGCAGCAAACGCTGGAGAGAATTTTGTTTGTTTATCCTGGTGACAGCAATTTGACAGACAGAAAGTGTTGGGCTAACTCTGAGCCAGTAGTAACTTGAATTACCAGGTGATTGCTGGGGCGTGATTACTTCAAAATTTATGGAATGGGGGAAGGATTTATCATGATAGCGTTACCTCAATGTTTTGTTTCTCGGCGGGTAGACATAAGTATATCAAGGGCCCTTCCAGCCCCTACGGAGATTAGATGGACAGACGAGTGGATTATACTCTATGGCAACTATTCCCACACAACATGCCATGCATCATGATATATAATGTATATATTAAAAAAAAGACATGAGATCGTCATCTCGGCAATACAAGAAAACAAAGTCGTTAGGTAGTTATCGCTCCACTACGCGTCCAAAAAAAAAAAAAAGAGGACTGCTGCTGGTGTTGTCTGTCCCTCGTTTGGGGAGTAGAGAAGGAGCCCCAGCAGCATCTTTCTGGTTTCCCAACCCTCATCTCATGCCAGTTGCATCGTCAGAGAGCAGTCATCATTGCGAACCAGCGGGGTCGCACTTCTGGTCCTGCTGCTGTGGATCTGTCTTGTTTTTATGGAGGGGCCCAGTGGTGGATTGGGTCCTCTCGCTTGGCTCAGCCATTTAGCCAAAGATCCACAGGAACTCAGTGGGGAAATACTGTTTTCACACCAGATTAGTATTAACAATACGAGAGAAACAAAGGGGGGGGCAAAGGGCTCACGTTGGACGGCTGGTTGAAGCGGATGCCTCTGTCAAAGGCAGAGATCTGGGCGATTTCCTCCTCAGTAAGGTCAAAGTCGAGGCTGTTCAGGTTGGCCACCATGGTCTCTTGCCTGCTGCTCTTGGGGATAATCGCCAAGCCACGCTGGGTGACCCAGCGGAGCAGGACCTGTGCCGAGTCCTTGCCGTGCTTGTCGGCGATGGACTTGATGGTGGAGTCCTCGAGAAGGGGGGCTAGCTTGGAGGCGTGCGTCATGTTGAACTCCCTAAAGCTGGCGGGGCCGAAAGTGCTGTAAGCGGTGACGGCAATGCCCTCATGCCTGGCTAGGTTGAGCAGCTCCTGCTGGACGAGGTAAGGGTGGTGCTCGATCTGGAGGGTGGCAGGGGGGATCTTGGCGTAGCGCAGCAGGTCATAGATCAGCTGGGCCTGGAAGTTAGACACGCCGATGCTCTTGGAGAGGCCCTTTGCCACCAGGCTCTCGAAGGCTGTCCACGTCTCCTGGATGGAGGCCTTGCTCGGGCGGATCTCGCTCTCGCCGTCATAGTGCCAGCCGGGGGGGTAGCGGACGGCGGGGTCGACGTACTCGAGGGCGACGGGGAAATGGATCAGATAGAGATCGAAATACTCGAGGCCCCAGTCGGCTAGCTGCTTCTTGACGATGGGCTCGACGCGCTCGCCGTCGTGGAACGTGTTCCACAGCTTGGAGACGATGAAGAGCTCCTCCCGCTTCACAAGCCCCTCCTTGATGGCGCGGGCAACGCCCTGTCCGCACTCGACCTCATTGCCGTAGTCTGCAAAGCCACCATTCTGTCAGCCGCTGCGTCCGAATGCGTCCCGTCCAAACTCAAAAGTACCGCCAATATCTGTGCCGTGTCTGTGTGTCTGTGTCTATGTCTGGGATGGGATGGGATGGGATAGGTGGGGCGGGTTCTGGGTTTGATGATGGATTACGGTATTGAAATGACCCGAGCTACCGACAAGGGGCACGCTTGGTGGCATGGTGGGGTGGGGGGATACAGTGGAGGGGAAGGGGCTAAGAGAGGGGGCGGGGTAATAATGTCGTTTTCGTCCTTGGCTCCACGACGTCTGCCCCTCGCTCCTGTCATGCGAGCTGCACCCGCACCGCGTCGCTTGTTGCGGACAGCAAACCGACGATTCGCCAAGGCCTGCCTCTTGAAGTCTCGTGTGTGTGTAGGTGTAGTCCAGCGCTGGGGTGGAAAGGAGGAGAAGGGACAGGTAGGCCGCCACTTACCGCATGCGCCGTCGAAGAGGCGGTATCCGGCCTTGATGGCATTATAGACGACATCGGAAGCGACGGCCGTGTCGACCTTCCAGAGGCCAAAGCCCACCTGGGGCATGTCATAGCCGCTGCTGAGCTTGATGTTGGGGATGGGAGCCATTGTGGTCTATGGGCAAAGGCCGCGTCTTGTCTTGTGTGGGATGCTCTCTGTGTCTCGCAAGACTCGTTAGAAAAGGGCTTAACGCGGCAGTGAGAGATGGGGGGGGGGGGCTGTCACGGAGCTCACTCACGCTCGGATCAGAACCTCGCTATATTCTAAAGTGTTGAAGGGCGGATTGGAGTTGTTATGATGAGATGATCAAGACATCAGCCGGGAACCACGAGATGGGAGCTTGGAGAGCGCGGCCATGGTATTTGTACTGGCCGCCACCCCCTCCCCACAGCCCATTGCCCGTTGCCCATTTCCCATAACTCTCTGCGATCGAGGGTGCCAGCCAGCTCTCGCACTTGGCAGCTATCTGCGCTTCATCTAGATGAAGTGCCGCGGAGGAGCAGGGTCGCTTCCGTGCCGCCTATCTCTAGCAACTCAGGGCGTGGACCCCTCCCTCCCCCCCTTCCAGACCCGCATCGTCGTCATGAAGCGTAGGAGTACAGGAGGGCTAGAGCTAGATAGCAGGGTTGCAGGTTTATGTCCGATGTCTGGTGGGCATAGGCAAGGGAGTGCTATCAGTGGCTGGGCGGCGAGGGTCGACGAGCCTGGAGCCGGCATCGTCGCCGGGCAGGCTCACTGATTGGCGTGGGTAATAAGGCGAGCTCTTGTCAACCAGGCACGGGACCAGCGGGCAATTCTTCGGCGGGCACCGCAGCGGGCCCGCTGCCGTGTGCCCATTTGTGCGGTTCAAACAGGTGTCTAGAAGGACTGGGGAAATGTGGACTCTGGGCGCTGCGTAGCGTCGCTCATGAGTCGCCGGCCTTTATTAGCCTCATGCTTATTTCGTCTCTGCCTCGTCAATGCCGGTGCCCTGCGTCTCCCAGCCCGGGATACTACTAGTAGCACTTGGGTCTCAAGTTTAGATTGTAAGAAGCATAGCTGCGTTGCCACGCTCCTTTCTAACCAACTACTTACGGCAAATAAGACAGACGGGCTCGTGCGCGTTCAAGCAATCTGGGCACGCACACGGACAGCCCTGAGATGAGCGGCTGGACATGTAGATTCATTACCCTGTCAGTAAGTGCAGCGAGATCCGAGAGGCTCCTCCCGTCGTCTGGCCCACACCGACGGTCCCAGCGACTGCAGAGCAATCATGGCGCCGGAGCCGGGAGCCTGAGCGCTGGCCCTGGCGTTGACTTGACCCGGGAACCCGGCATGCAGCCATTTAGCCTATTTGGCGCAGTCAACCAGAGGCGCCGGCTAATATCGTCGACAGAGGGCCCACTCGGCTCCTGTTTCGGTGTCTGTCGGCCTTTGCACACCTCGGTGACTGCCCGAGTCCAAGTCTCGGCCCTTGGCGTGGGATTTCCTGCATATCTCTACGTAGTACCGAAGGTTTATGTGAAGCTGCCAGGATTCTAGGACAAGATTGCGCTGGTAGAGTTTAGGTCAATATTTCCACGTGTCCTGGCTGCCCTACGGACTACCTTGATGGACGTCAGCAATCCGGCATTGAACCTTAATCGTCCCGGGTTCCGACTCTGACTCACTCACCTCAGTCTCTCATCTTCAACCTACAGCCGGGCTCTTCTTCACCATCATCCAAACAACCTAGAAACTGTATTTCATTTCTTCATCAATTAGTTATGTACCCTAGAAAGGAAGGTAGTTAGAATGTAAGGTGTATAATCCTCGTCATGAATAAGCGCCAAGCAGAAGCAGTAATTACATCTAGGTAGCCCCTTATATATACTCCGCGCCCCCTTTAATATCGCCTAGGTAATTACCATTATTTATTTACCCTCCCCCCTAACTATATATACCTTATCCGCCCCAACCAAACCCCCTATTTGCCTTCCGTTTTCTATCGTCATTAACAAGTTATCAAGAAGAAAAGAAAAAGAACGAAAGACTGGATTCATAATAACCGCAGCCGGCGCAGCATCCTGCCCGCGGTAAAAGTCGACGAAGCCGACGCATTGCTTGGCAGGTCGTGGTTGGTGTATACGCAGGCGCAGGCCGCGCTGTCCTGGCTCGTCGTCGTCCCGCTCCCGGGATCGTCGTCATCGTTGTCCGACAGAACAGCACTGACGGGCGATCCGTCGGCGCGGCGGCAGTCGGGCGGCCCGCGCGCCGTCTGCGTCACCTCGACGGCGTACGGCCACGGCGCGTAGCGGTACGTGGCGTTGACCCAGTCGGGCACCGCGTCGATGCCGGGCGGATACGACGCGCGCACGCGCGTCCAGATGGTCGCGCTCAGCACAGTGTCGTTGAACCAGCACTCGACGCCACTTTCGCCTCCGCCTACCACAGTAGCAGTGGCTGCAGTTCCAGCCTTGGCCCCCGTGGCCACGCTGAACACGAACCGCTCCGTGTACTGGTTGCCGTCGAGCAGCGTGAGCGACGCGTTGGCGACGCCCGGCGCGAACGGGTTTGCCGACGACGACAGCGTGTAGCCGCCGTGCGGCAGCGGCGCCGCCGCGATGATCCAGTCGAAGCGCGCCGCCGACCGGTTCGGCGACCGCGCGTCGTACAGCACGTCCGGGTAGCATGACCAGGCCAACGGCAAAGAAGACGACGAAGAACTGTTGCCGGTGCCGGCGCCGGTGCAGGCCGTGCTCTTGCTCACGTAGGCCGTCGTGAACGAGTACGCGCCGGCCGGGAAGATGTCTGGGAGCAGTGCTGGCAGGGCTGCGACATTGCTGTTTCTATTTGAATTTGCCACAAAAAGGGGTCAGTTTATGTGCGTGTGTGTGTATTTGTGTTCGTGGCTCCATGTTGTGGCACATGACATGGAAAGAAGAGGGGCATACCGTTTCCGCAGCCCAAGCGTCAGTCCCACCGCCAGCCCGACGGTCAAGCCCACGAGCACGACGGCCGCGAGCCCCAGGCGGTACCACCCGCCGCGCTTGGCGATCAGGTCGAAGTCGCGGAACCCGTGCTGGCGGTGTCGTGCCTCAGCCTCTGCTGCCACTGCCGCCGCCCCGCCCAGCGGCAGCAACCCGGCAGTAGCAATGCTGGCCGGCGGCCGCCGCGGGGACCGGGGGGGCACCGCCGGCGCCGGCGTTATGGTGGTCGAGTCCTCGTCGATCATGGGCATGGGCTGCGACGCGCGCACCGACGACCGCCGGCTCCTGCTCCCCCCGGGCGACATGGTGTCTTGTGTGTGCGTGCGAGGGCGAGAGACCTTTTTTTTTTTTAATTTGTTTTTTCCCCCTCGAGAGCAGTACTCCGGGGGGGGGGGGGGGGGGGCGGGGCGGAGACAAGCCGGGTGGCGAGGCAATCCAAGTCTCGAGACGGCACCAATTAATTATTGCTGCTACTGATTAAGTATGTACCGATTTACCGACACTGCTTCTGCTTCCTTCCGGCCGCCCAGCAGCATCGACTCGGAACGGCGACCGACGACACGGCAGCGCCTCTGGTGTGCCCAGATCCGCGAGTGCTCGTGGAACGAATGGCGGGTGTATTATGTATTATCCGTGATATAGTAAATCTGCCGTCCTATGATATTCATGACCTGGGGGGAGTATGTCACCGTTGGATTGGCGAGTGCAATGGAGGGGAGGAGGAGAGAGAGGGAGAAAGAAAAAAGGTGCCGCGGCTCTCTCTCACGCCCGTTCCATCCACAAATCTGGTGTAGTGGGTGTTTGTTGGCCAGGCAGGTTTTCTAGAACTCTAAGCCCGGGGACGGGGCCTCTCTTCTCGCAGTGAGGCTGCGGCTTGGCTTTTCAGCCCTGTTTGGTCGGCAATCAAGCCATGCAACTGGGCTGGTAACCAGTAGCCAGCCCACGCAACTTCCCCCCCTAAAAAGGGAAATCTCCCGCAGGAGACACCTCCCCTAGCTGTTTTCTTTGTGTGGCTACAGAGATACCGAAGAGGGTTAGCCGGCGTTCAAGGATCGTCACTGTGTGACAGTGATATTGAGATCTCCCCCCAGGCCTCAGCCAAGTGATTGGCCATTGACGACAGCCCCTCCTGTGGCTCCGAAGCCCAAAACCTGGATTGGCGATGGCGAACCTGAACAGTAGCCGCCCCCAAGACGCAGTACCTGAGCGGGCTGAGATGTTCTCCAAAGCGGCGCGAGTAACTCGTAAATGTCTCACTCTAATAATGATTCTCTACACTGCTTGCTCGCTCTATGAAGTCGTTTCTAGTATGCAGAAGACATCGTTACACGTAAAACCCAACCTCCTTTCCTGAATAAGTCCAGCACTACAACAAACCTTGTCCTCCTCTTTCGCTATGGCCATATAAACATCAAATCTACGCTCTTGCAGATACGGGCTGCTCCATCTATTGAATATCTAGCTAAAAGCCTCAGCTCAAAGTGCGCAAAGTGGCGTTCAGCCTGTAGACGCGGGAGGGTTCAGGCGATGAAAACCCAGCCAAGCGCGTTCCAATTGGTGAATTGGTCTTGACAGCTTCAACACTTCACGTGCCATGGCGAAAAGTCTGCCGGAACTGCACACGCCAATTTTCTCCGTGTGCTCTGTACGGAGTTCACGTGTAGTAATTGGAGCGTCATGGCTCACCGGTCCCTCCCGAGGCGCTCCTCGTCGTCGCGAACGAGCTCGTACGCCGGGCGGAACTTCTTAGTCCCGTCGACGCCAGGGTCAAGTGCGAGTGCCGGGTTCGGACGCGTATTTGTCACACCTCCGAGCGACGAGAAGCCCTGCTGATAAAGACAGCAAAAAGGGACGCCGACACGTCTGATAAACTGTGGTTTTTAGCCAAATCAGCACAACTGAAAGTCTATTTCCATTCCAGTTCCTCATCCGAGGCGACAGAACTCACAGTCCATATCTCGGCATAGTGCCAGTCGATCACGGGATTCACACGCATGAACTGTGGCCAGCCCTTGTCCGTGGGACTGAAATGCTTGAGGAACTCGCTGTGCGGATCCGTCCGCCGCGTGCCCATGAAGATAGCTTTCACAGCCGGCCGGTCTCCCAGGTACGCCTCGAGGGCGGGCCGCATGGGTAGAGCATACCGAACAAGATCAAGGTGGTATTCGGCGGTCGACACCTCGACAAACTCCTCAACCTCGGGGAACGGGTCTGGCGGCGCAATGTATATGGCCTGGAGAGGCTCGGGCGGTGGAGAAGGGGGTGGCTGCGAAGTCGCAGCGCGGATCGGTTCCGACCTATCGGGTGCGGGAGTGGGAGAGGAGGACGTCGCTGCGGAGGTGAGCACAGATGCGGATGTCGTGTGTGTAGCAGCCGTAAATGCTGGCGAGGGCGCGAAGCTCGGCGCAACCGGCAGGCATGCCAAGATCAACACCAGCAATACCAGACAGTCCTTCCCGCCATTATACGCCAGAGATATATCCTCGGGTCTGTCGTGATTGTTTTTGCAGCCATGGCAATACGTTAGTTCCAGTTCTTTGCTCCGAAGTCTCTCTCATCCTCTCTCTCCCGCTCCACACAACATCTTCTTTCAATCACCCTCCCCCGCCCCCGCCAAGTTTACTTTGCATCCAACCCGTGCCGTCTGTCCGTGAGTAGCAGGTGCATACCCCAACCGGATACACAGACGAAAAAAAAAAGAGAGGGAAAAAAGGCAAGACTGAAAGGGGGATCTGGAAACGTGGCAAACCCACCCATATCTGCGCAGAGCCTCCTCAATGACCCCCATGGACACGCGGGCCTGGTCCTGTGTGTCGCGGAGCAGCCGGTCTTCGTGGGCGTCTTGTATTTGCTCGTCCAAGAAGGCGAGCACCTTGCGGCGCAACGTATAGCAGATCTCGGGTAATGTGCGGGGGCGTGCGGTGACGCGGGGTCCTGTCGCTACTAGATCTGCTGCCGGTGCTTCTGCTGCTGCTGCTGCTACTCCTCCTCTTGCTTCTTCTGCTGGTGGCGCATTGGATGATGCACCGACGGCAGCGGCAGCAACGGCAGCAACAACAGGAGAGGCTGCAGTGGCTGCTGCTATTGTTGTAGGCGTAGGCGGCGGCGGCTTTGCGGCGACGCCGTTGATGCGGGGACCAGCATCCTGGGGCGAGCGCGAGTCCTGCGTCATTTCAAACTGTATTTTCTCGAGAGGCCGTGTACGGAGTACCGCGGGATGAGATCTCCTGTTGCTGGGACATGGAGAAGGAGGTGGGTAGGAGAAATAGCCAGGTATGGTATGTGCCAGCTTCCCTCCCCGCTGTGGTAAGCCATGTTGGGAGTCAGCCGTGCCGGACCGAGGCGGTGGGGAGTCGTCCCCGCAAAGGCGCCCCGTAGAGGGGCGGGGGCGGCACCTGTGGCCACCTCGAAAAACCCCTGAGCCTGGGATGCCCCTTCCAGCTTCCACTCGCAAATAGCCAATTCTGGGGATCCCGGGCTCAAGGCACCCAACAGGCACAACCGCACAATCTTGGAAGGATGACGCTGATTATGGGTAAAGGTACAGATGCGCAGCACGGTATCTAACTGCGCAGCTTTCCTTGTAGTATAAATGCCGCCGAGTAGACAAGAGAATAAAAATATCAAATCTTGCAAGATATATGGACATGGGAAATAAAACGCAATCTAAATTCAATGCCAAAACTTTTTTGGTGACGGATGCATATCTTCTTTCAGACGAGACGGCCTGGCTGAGGAGAAGCCGAGTATAATATCTAAGAGGCCTCTATTGACGGCGTGTTGTTGACAAGAGAAAAACTGCCCTGGCTAAATAAATACTCCGCACGCCCGCCCCGAGTGAATTTATCTACCTTGCCTTACCTTACGTATAGTCTACACCACAGCCGATGGGACATCGACTACCGAGCTCCCTTCGTCCCCGTCGCCCTCTTTCTCTGCATAGGGAGGCGGCGTTAGGTCATCGCCGCCCTCTACCCAGACCTTGGCCAGCTCCTTCTCAATCTCCTCGCGCCGAGTCTTCCACTTCTCGACCTGCGAGAGGCGCTCCCGCAGATCCTGCAGCTCTCGCTCCACGTGCATCTTCTCCCGCTCCGTGCCGATGCGCTGCAGCTCCCACTCGTCGCCCCTCTCGCCCATACCCAGCACGAGATTGTATGTGTGGTACTTCTTGAGCGAAGCGCGTGTGGATATGGTAATCAGAGCTGGCAACCAGTTAGACACACACCAGAGTAAACAAGGCGAAGCGAGCAAGATGGAAGAAATGCAAACTTACTGATCCCCTTCTCCTTGCAAGTCTCATACAGCAAGCCCTCGACATCGCTCGAGACGGCGCTTGTGCCCTCGTCAATGAAGGCGTACTGGGGCTCGTGGTAAAGCAGCCGCGCGATGCCAACCCTCTGCTTCTCGCCCCCGCTGAGCACATCTTTCCACTCCTTGCGCGTGTCCCAGCCACCCTCGCGGTCGGGCAGGTAGCTGAGACGGGCGAAGTCTAGGGCGTTCTTCAAATCGTACTCGGTCTTGCGCTTCTCGCGCATGTCGGCCTCGCCGTCGGGGTAGATGACCTGGTCCCGGAGCGTTCCGATGCTCAGGTACGGACGCTGCGGGAGGAACATGATTCCATCCTCGCCCGGCTGCTTCGGCCGGCTCACAAGCCCCCGGTACACGGGCCACAGCCCTGCAATCACCCTGGCGATGGCGCTCTTGCCCACTCCATTTGGCCCGGAAATCTGCAGGTGGTCGTTTGTATCAGCAACGTCTTCTTAATCATCAAAGGTAGTTTATCAAGACTTACTAGGAGATGCTCGCCGCGACGGACGATCAGGGAAAGGGACTCAATCAGCTCTTCGCCTCCCTGCGGCCAGAGACCGGGGGCAACAATTGGCACGTTTTCGAGGCGGACGCCGTCAAACCCCTTTTGGATGGTTCCTTGGACATCCGACAGTGAGTAGAGCTCGTTCTCGCGGCCTCGGACGTAATACGCATTGGCGTGAACCCTGTGCAGGGTCGATATCAGTGTGTAGACGCGGCTAGTGTATCCGGCCAGCTCCGAGAGATCCTTGATGGAATACATCATGCGGCCGCCAGCATCGGCCAGCGAGAGCATGAGGCGCTTATTGGTGATGAAATCCTTCATGCGATTGCGCTCACGACCGCCCTTCTCACTGTGGTCAGCCTGCTCCGACACTCCGCCAATGCCTCCCCAAGCCGGCAGGAAGACGGGAAGCGAAGACAGGAGATAGCCATAGGCACTCCAGCTGTATTTCAGAATGAAGTCCTCGAGGATGTTGTACCGGATCTTGAGCATGTAGATGCCCTCCATCCAATTCTTCAGCGACTTGAACTCCTTGTTTAAGAACGTCTTCTCCATCTCTGCACCGCCATAAAAGGCAATTTCTTCGGCGTTGGCGATAAGCCGCGCGTGTAGGCTCCTAAAGTCACCCTCCTTCCGTCCCTCTACAGCCTTCAGCTTCCCGAACGGCGGAGACAGCCGTCGTAGGATGCTTGCGGTCAGGAAGTAGTTGCTCAGAAGCCCCGTGAGCGCCAGCGGACCGAGCGAGCGGTAGAGCTGGTAGTTGAAGACGCAGATGTCTACGAAAGGCTTACCCAGCGACGAGTAGAGATTGGCAGCCGCGGCACAAAACAGGGTGAGATCCTGAGTAATGAACTGATCTGCACCCTGACCAACGCCTCCGTCCAGATTCGATAGTTTGTAATAGTTGAGGTTGTCATTGAGGTACAGGTCGTGAATATAGCGTGTGAGACGTGTCCGGAAGGCGATGGATACCTTGGACTCGAGGTACTTGATCATGGCATTGGTGTACGAAGCAAACCCGCCGAGCCCACACCACTTGGCCAGGCCCCAGAGGAATTGCTTGCCGTTTCCAGCCACGAGATCGCGCACGATCTCACCGTCCAGGCGGGCAACTACCAGAGAGAGATAGGTGCGCAGCATCAGAAAGGCGCCGTGGCTGACCAGGAGGCCAGCCTCCTTGCTGGTCCACCGTGGGATCATGATGCTTAACAGGCTGAGGAATTGATGGAGGAAGGCGAGGTTGAGCCCGGGTTTTGTCTGGGCAGCTGGAACGTGGCCGTCCCCAAGTCCCGACACTCTCGGCGGGTTCAAAAACAGCCGGCGATGGGCCTCGAAGGTGAGCGGCTTCGTCTTGGAGATGACCACCTTGGAGGTTCCATCCTTGTAGGGCACATAGATGGTGCGCGAGCCGTCCTTGTGTTGCAGCCACGAGTTTGTGCGCACCAGCTTCCGGCCCTCCTCTTTCTCCACGCGCCGGTTTCTCCACCACCGCCGACTACCCTCACCAGCTAATATGATGGATGCTGCGAGCGCGAGCGTGGCGAGCAGGCGTGTCGCCTTTGAGGTACTGCGCAAGCGTGTACAGAGCATGTCGCGGTACTTGTCGACAAAGGCGGCGATGGCCTCCTCGGCAACCGAGTGCCGCAGCGTGGATTGCGCCGCCATAGCTAGGTGTGCTGCGCGTACACGCGACCGGGATGCAGTGCGAAGATTCGATGTGTTTTGTTCCCGATCCTCTGGGGGACCAAGCGCGCTATTCCGCTGGCATCAGTATGCGGTGCGATGTGTTTTCCTCTGTACCGGTACGATGCGAAACGTTGAAGCTTGCGAGTCAGGTCTGCCGATCAGTATGACGGACGGGCTTCGTTAAGAAGCGTTTGGTTGAAAGGGAGGATGGAAAGCAACAGTCGTCGGGGCAGGCGAGACGCGGTTAGCTGCGTGTGTTCTTCAATCTCCGGTAGACGTTTGTCCGTCGGTCCGGGCAAACATTGCTTCCAAAGTTGCTTGCGTTCCTAGTTGGTGCGGTCGCTCAACGACCAGACGTTGTCCGATCCCGTGCGTGGGAACTAGTGGCATGTGATGCACTACTCAGCGAACATCCCGAGGTGCTACGCAAGCTATAGCAGGGGGGTCCAACGTCATCGGGCCTCCTCCAGCGGCCCAGCCAGTCCCCAGCGGCCCCTCCCCCCAAAATCGTCTCTCCCCTCCCCTCAACCCCAGATCAAGCTATCCCGATTCAAAGATGGGTCTGGAGTAGGTGCCAATCAGCAGTTCCGGCACAGCGCTGAGCGCGTAGCCGTCCATCACAACGCACATCATACAGTGCATCAAAGATTTGGGGGTTCAGACGAAGTCGGGTGGTTCCGACGAAAGCGCATTTGGGCCTATGAGACGAGAGCGCTTAGGGCTGGCTTTCTGTTGTTAACTAATTGACCGTTTCCTCGATCAAGCTCTTAGCCGGCCTCGTCGTAGAAGAGAACATCGTTAGGTCCCTTGAGAAAGAGCCGAAAGGGATGGACAGATGCAGATAGGGCGTTTGTGTAGGTATGTACCGAGAGAGAACGGCCGTACAGAGTAGGTAAGGTGGTTACGCACTAACAATGAGAGACACTTCTGCTGCCCGACTAGAAGTCCAATACGCAATTGGTCGAGCATTGGACTTCGAGCCCGTCCGACCAGCTGATTTATTTTTACGACAAGAATCGGTACGCCCAAAGGCGTTTTACCTTCACGGGCCGAGACTCCCGCCCTAGCATAGACGGGGAAAGGGGAGCCCGGGACTTGCAAACGTAATACCTAGCGCGCGCGTTCGGGGACGGCATGGTACTGGATGGAGGACAGTCCCGGGAAACCAGACCGTCACCCGTTGGAGATGCATGCGGGGCATCTCCCTAGAGGACAGCAATATGCGTATGTAGTACGGAGGTGCCTTTCAAAAGTTTTGCGCAGTGCCAAGAAAGCCACCCTCTTTAATTACATACGACCCTGGCCATCTTGGCCCCCTAGCTCCTTATTCTTTTCCGGCCCTCTCGATACTCGTTACCTCCTTCGCACTTTATTACCTGTTGTATATGCTCAACAATCCTTTCAATCCAGGCTTGAATACGCTGCTGAGTAAGTTTTTCGTTCCAGCAATGTTCCCATGCTCGAATAGCCTCAGCCCTGCTTTTTGGGGCTCCCTTTTTGGTTGTTTCTCTCTTCATCCAGAACCAACAAGGCTCTATCATATTAAGATCAGGTGAGTTACCTGGCCAGAGGAGGCGGAGTACCTGATGGATATCGTATATACGCTGTTGAGCGCGATGAGCGTGTGCGCCAGCCTTATCCTCCTGAACAAGCGTATTCGGCCCACAGCTTTTGGCGAAAGGGATAAGCTTTGGTATAAGGATCTTGGTTTGATAGCGATACCAGTCGATGCCTCCCTTGGATTCTCGTACGAGTTTGCCGTTCGCTTTGTTCCATCGCCATTGTGGTTTTCTGCCTCGTTTCGTAACCAAAGAGAGCCTTCCCATTTTGGTATCCAACTCCCACTCTTCACGCATTATTGGTTCCAACTCCTTATTCCATTCCTCAAGATCCTTCTCAGCTTGCTCCTTTTCAGCCTTTGTTTCCGGAAGCCAACAATGGCAAGGCCCCTTTTGATCGTACGAAAAGCAACCCCAAAACATAAACTCCGAATATCCTTTCCACCGTTCACGAATACAGCTTTTAAGAAAACGCTCATCAGCTTTCCTCCAAATACGATATCCTCCTCGGCGATGAAGTAATACAATAGAAGTTTCATCAGACCAAATAACACGTTTCCAATCTTCTAAAGTCCAATCTTTATGATCAAGACACCACTTCAGTCGTTCCTCCTTCATCTTCTTCGTCAATCCAGGCTTCCTCGTTGGCTTCGTTTTGTTGAATCCTGCTAATTTGAGGATCCTCCAGATTGTGATAGCTGAGATGTCGAGGCCCTCGGTACTGAGCTCACCGGCCAGATCAGCACAGGATTTCTCACGGCCATATCGATCTTTGCGAACCTTGGCGATAACCTTCTCGGTATTTTCGGGGGTGTGTTTTCGTGGACGGCCAGAGCGAGGGGCATCTTCAACCCATTCATCCTTAATAATTAAGGGCCGTATATTTGGATCAAATCCACGCTCAATAGCCCTGGCATATATTCGATTGACGGTACTAACGGAAACCCCGGTTTGTGCAAAGACATCGGCCGAAGAAAGGCCCACAATAGGAGATTTGAGGGTAACTATAAGCGCACGCATGGAAATATCTGTATTTGGCGACATCTTGATCGTTGTGTTGACTGTTGAGCTGTGGAAGCGGGGTTGAGGGGTAAGATTACGTGGCCAAACCAGATGTGGTGTGGTCGCTGATCATTCAGCTAAAGGGGTGTGGCTGGCTTGGCATTGCGCAAAACTTTTGAAAGGCACTTCCGTACTCGGTCCATAGTTGATACGTCCTTCACCTGTCACCCAAGTCCAGAAACATTAGCCGAGTTCTGAAACTCTGTAGTCCAACTCGAGATTGAATGGCGAATAAGGCATGTCGTTGAAGTACCAAGCTCGAGGATATTCAATGCACATGTATATCGCCTACGTGGCACCCAGTGTGTCTTGAAATCGGCGGGCAAGTCTATCAGGCGAGGCCCGCCCGGTTCCGTAATTCTTTTTCCCTCGTCCGGCGAACTCACAGATGCAACAGCGAGCAGGGCGGCGTCGGCGGTGGTGGGAGACGGTGAGTGGCCCGCAGGCGCAGGGGTCCCGTACCGGGCGGTAACGCGGCCAATCAGCAAAGCCCGACCACTCTTCCACGCTCGTCCCCGTCGAGCAGTCTCGTTCAGGCTTCAGGCTTTCCACTTCCCAGCGATCCCCGGCCGGAAAATGCACAGAAGCGACAGCGGCAGGCTGGGCGAGAGTGGCCTGCCTTCGGCTTGAATGGAGCTGTGGAGGCCGTGGAGAGAAGCCGGGCCTCTCTGACAGGGCAATTGGGCGACTAGCCTTTCATGCAATCACAGAAACCAGCCAGCAGTCCCATCGCAGACCCCAACCAGCCCCAGCATTGAATGCGCTGCCCATGCTAGGTGGCTGCCTTTCGTCTCGTTCTGCTTCGGGGGCTGCGCTGGAGGCTCGCTAATGAGTTGGTGGCGATAAAATATGCCGCCTTCAAGTTAACGGAAACTAGGCGATTCTGCTGCGTTGATGAATGTTGGTTTGTTTAGGCCGCTGGCTTGTCGAGACCACACATTCCCCTTCCTTATTAGCGGCTAAGACGCACCTCCTGTACAGTTTTAGTAGCTTATTACTGCGACTGCCCCCTAGAAGTCCCGGGATGGGGGCAGACGTTTATCATCATACTGTTTATTATCCATGACGGGTTTTGCGGAGAACGGACGGAAGAACGAAACTGGCAGCTCTAGATGATCTGCGGTGATCGGTGACTTCAAAGAAACGACGATAGCCATTGCGTTTCAGAGGAGCAAACATGTCAATAAAGCTGAAGGCTGTCGCGCGCAGGTTGAGCCCCAACTGCAAACCCGGATATCGATGGATGCTCGTCCGGCAGGGAAAAGGATCGAAAATTTCCTAGATACATCGTGCATATTCAGGCGTGCGGCACCGTGAGGCAAAAGTCTATCCGTACAGTATTTGAAGAGCCCTTCCAATTCATCTCAGATTGGGGGGCCGACCTGCAAACACACAACACACACCACACACCACACCCCCCCCAAGAGGCTTCATCCATGCCCTGGATATGGATGGCCCAGCCAGCTGCAGGCGCGGCGGGTCCCTTTCGAATTTCGGGCAGCTGGGAGGATGGGTACCAATTTGGCTGGGGAAGACGATGAGGGGCGTTAGTGGACTTTGGGCGTGGGGTCTCGCCCGCCGTCAAAAAATGGAGAGCTAAATGCTAGCCGCTGGTTCTGCGCTATCTTGTGCCATCGAATTGCCCCGTGCGCAGCGTCCTGTTCCAATGGCTAATCTCTTCGGGAAACCCACTATTCCACTCTCGTCGCCCTGTCCCCCCCCGTCGTTCTCCTCTGCGCCTTGAACCATCCCAGAACACGACCCCATTGCCTTTAAAGTCAATCATCTCGCTTCCGCTTGACGGCTTCCTCAGCCTCTGATACGGCCTCTCCTCCTTTCACACCTGGTCGACCGTCGGCCCCCCATCGGCTCGCTCTACTTGAATCTTTGCCCTGCAATTTTGGACGTTGATATTCATTCTTGATTATCTTTCTGCCGTCGCTTCGGGCAATAGACGCACGTTGCTGCCTCGCCTCCGCTCTCCGGTCGGCCCTGCGCGCCAATTTCCCCCTTGCATTCGACGGGATCCCGCCTTGTCGCGATTTTTCTAAGTTCATCGCGCACCCGAAATCTTGTGACAGGCGATCTCAACAACGGCGAGAAGGTGGCTCTGTACTAGAGCGTCGGCCTTCGAGGGCCATACAATCCGCGGCGATAGGGGCTCGGCTGCGCCGTGGGACACTAAGATCCGCGACTCTGAAATCGAGGTTGGTTACCCGCATTCGCTTCCCACGAAATGGCCGCGAAGACGTGCTGTCGATTTTCGACTTGCCTCGTAGCAATCACTGTTGCTTCCCGCGCCACCCCGACGATGTGACTTTCATTGGCCGCTACGGTAGCAGCTAGCGTGCGTGATGGCTGGCAGTTGACTTCTGCTATTCTAATTCTGAAGCCTAAGCTTTGAATCGGCAACAACACCTGCAGCCATATTCTGTTAAGCTCCCCATGCTGACTGCGTTCTACGAAAAGATCCCCGAGGCTCACACTTGAGAAGCCTCGATAAGCCTGTTTCGCCTAGCGATATGGCCCGGGGTACAGAAGAGAGACGACAAGCCGCTCCGGAGAGCTCCAAGGAAAAAGAGATGCTGGCGCCCGAGGACGGCGCTGGCTCCAAAAAGAGCCGTGGACTCCTACCGGTGCCATCTCGATCTTCATCACAGAGAATCCAGCCGTCACCAACAACGACGGGCTTGAGCGGTGCGACTGCTGGCGATCCCAGGGAGAGCATTGGTGGACACTCCAAGGAGTCGAAAGGAAGTATGTTAGGACGAAATCGCAATGGCAGCGCGTCTAGTAACCGTTTAGGCGTTGGAACAGGACCGACAGCTACGCCGGGCAATTCCGAGCCCAGCTCGCCCGCGGCCGCATCTCACAAGAAGAAGAAAGCCCCCGGATTCCTCGCCATCTTTGGGTGCTGTGGGGTGCCGGATCACGCGAACGGCTTGGATACAGAGCCCGAAGTGCCCAGTCACAAGCTCGATAAGATACCTGCTCGACCCGCGACGGCCAGCCGGAGGACCGCGACTCCTTCAGAGCAGCCTTCTAACAGCAAGACGCAGCTCTATGAGAAAGAGTCGACCCAGCAACCGCAGACATCCCAAGAATCGTCAAAAAACGGAAAGCGTGTTTCTGGAACCAGCACACAAGACCAATCTACCGTTGGCGGTGAGAGAGATAACGAGTCCAAGCAGACGACTCTCGTTAGCGCCGGCTCGAGCAGTCCTGTAATCTCGGTAGAAGCACCTCCAGCAACGAATCCAGCCTCGCACCACGTTGACGAGGTTGTTTCTGAGAAGGACGCAGAAGGTGACGTTCCTATGCCGGACGCTGACGCCGCACGGCAACAAGGGTCACAATCAGCAGCGGGATCTGCAGATGAGCCCCAGGCAAGGACTGTCCCCACATCTGCGTTGCCGGCTCCCCCTGTTCCCAATGCCCCTATCGTCACGGCAGTAGAGACGCCTCCTGTATTCGTTCCCGAGCAGCCTCAGAGATTTCTCCTGCCCCCTCAGGCACCCGAGTTCAAGGGCAAAAAATGCCTGGTGCTTGATTTGGATGAAACACTAGTCCACAGCTCCTTCAAGGTTAGCGACCTTAGTTTGGATCACTATTTCCCTAATATCGTTACTTACAGTCCTAGATTCTCCACCAAGCCGATTTCACAATACCCGTAGAGATCGAAGGCAACTATCATAACGTGTACGTTATCAAGCGGCCGGGCGTGGACCAATTCATGAAGAGAGTTGGCGAGCTTTATGAGGTCGTTGTCTTCACCGCATCAGTATCCAAGGTATGAAAGATCTCTTACCTTGTTAGTGTCCAACGGGAAACGCTGACTTCCCCCCTCAGTATGGAGATCCGCTCCTCGACCAGCTGGACATTCACAAAGTAGTGCACCACCGACTCTTCAGAGAGAGTTGCTACAACCACCAGGGGAATTACGTAAAGGACCTGTCGCAGGTTGGACGGGACCTGAAAGACACAATCATCATCGATAACTCCCCAACATCATACATATTCCACCCCCAACACGCTGTCCCAATCAGTAGTTGGTTTTCCGATGCGCACGACAACGAGCTATTGGACCTAATTCCAGTTCTCGAAGATCTCGCCGACTCTAATGTGCAGGACGTTAGCTTGGTCCTCGACGTCACTCTTTAAAGCTTCCCCGTCTCTAATTTCTTTTTTCTTTCTACTACCGTCACTACATGTCTGCCCACCACTTCTGGCTCAGGCCCACCACAGCGGGGGCGTTCCGGTCAAATTTGTCGAAAAGCAAGGCGTTATTGCGCGTCATACTGTCTAATACTTCATATATGGTATGGCGGGTCGAATATCGTCCTACCAGCTTAACCACCTTCCATAGAGAAGGAAGAAGATGGAGCCGACTTGAGAGGGTTGCTTGTTTAGAGGCGAAGGTGGATAGGTGTAACGAGTCGCTCTTCCCATATTTCTTGGGCTAGGCAAACCAAAAGGTGACAAATGAGTAGAGCACGGGGTGTTGCTCAGCTTGAAAAAACAAAATGAGGGTCTTCGAGGGAAATTTGGTATAGCGCAGAGAGCGAGCGGGAGGGAGGAAAGACAGTGGGGGGCAGAGAGCATTGCCAGATATCATTTTTCTCGTTTTTTTTTCTTTGTTGTGGTTTTTATTTTAAGGGAAGAAGGGGTCAATTGCGTTTCTGGTTTGGTCTGTGTTTGGCAACAAAAACTTCACCCAGTCTCCTCCATCCCCCTTCCAGAGGTCTACCTGTCTGCTTTTTTTTCTTTTGTTAATTTTCTCTCCTCCTTTTCAATTTTACTTTTCCCTGTGGCTATCCTAGTTTTATTTCGAGTCAGCTGGGCGCACACATTGTTTCATCATATATGTATATTGAGGCAGACAGACGGACAGAGAGCGAGGACTCACTGCTGGCTCTGAGGGTTGAGTAGGTAGGCGAGGGAGGCGAAGCTCGAGCAATATGAGAAGAGAGAGTGAAGAAAAGAGTATTATGTGCTTGTCCCTTAGTCTTGTAGATGTCCTTCTCACCTGTGCTAGGGGTTGGCGGCGTTTAGTTCTCACTCAAGACTTGTTTAGTACGTAGCAAAACGAGTAGACGCAGGAAAACAGGAACGAGGCCTATCAGAGGGGCGAGAGGTAGTAGAGATATGTAGGCTCAGACACAGGGGCCAGCTTCACTCTAACAACTAATGGTGGTTATAGCTGCTATTACGTCTTGGAATTAGTCTCCTACGTGTCGAGAAACGTGAGTCCATGTGGAATTAGTGGACGTATGGAATGTGGCTGATCGTGGGGTCAGCTCCATCCAGGTACAGTCAAGGTCATTCACGTTGATCAAATCTGAAGTTGGTAATGACATTTGAAAGCAGTCTAGAACATGGTACAAAATAGCAATTACTGTTCTGTGGAGTGAAGAGAACATATCCGCAAACATGCTGCATTCTCTCCACGAAGCCCTGCACTTAATTTACATGGAAGTCGTTGGGTCTTTTTATTTCGAAGCAGATCGCACAAAGGAGGGGCTCCCTGACAGGCGAAGAATCCGGGGTGCGTTCGACCCATCCACTGACATCCCGACTGCTTGACCAATGAAGCTCGGACAGCCGCAATTGGAAGCTGAGCCGAGGCGCGGCCCTCGGCTGCCGGGAAAACAAAGTTGCGGCAGAATCTCCAGAGCGCGACCGCTACAGCTTTGCCAAACCGTGGCCTTAATTGGAGAAACACGGATCATCCCATTTTAGGGGCGACGAGGAACTACTGTGCATCTAGCCCAGCCCAGCTTCACCATTACCAAACCGAACGGCAACCCATGAACCCTTGAATCGAATCGCCCCGCTCGCTCAGCACTTTCCTTTTTAACAGCACGCCTTTGACTCTTTCGCCCACCTTTATTTATTTCTAATAGCTCCGCACACAATGGTACGTCGAGTCCAGTCCATCGCTGGGAGGAACGCGAGTATCTGCCAGCTGTGATGTTGGAACTACCTCAAGGCCCGCACGGCGGCGGGAAACTTCGACCTAGATAGACGGGCAACTAATACGCTTCGCCCGCAGTCTTCCCCTCGCGCCTCATCACCCACGGGTACCGCCAACGTCGCGACGGGCGCCAGCATCGGCGGCCCCGCGTCGCTGCCGCCCGGAGGCGCCCGCACCGCCATCCGCCGCCGCGCCGCCGCCGACCAGAAGGAGAAGATTGCGAATGCGCGGCCAAACAGCACGCGCGCCGCCGGCGCCGGCGGCTCCAGCAGCACCATGCTGCGCCTGTACACGGACGAGTCCCCTGGCCTCAAGGTCGACCCCGTCGTCGTCCTGGTGCTGTCGCTCGTCTTCATTTTTAGCGTCGTCGCTCTCCATAGTAAGCCCACTCGCCGACCAGCCCTGCCAGACCGCATTCATTGGGGGAGCGAGCCAAGAGAGAGACAAGTGCTTATTATGCTGCTTGCTTCGTGTGACGTGTCTTGTTGATGGGGAAGGACACCTCGCTAACCTGCGCTCTCTCTGTCTAGTCATCGCCAAGGTCACGCGCCGGTTCTCGAGCTAGACAGCTTTACACCACACGAGCTGTCTGAGAGAGAGAATGAGAGAGGAGGGAGAAGGGTTATGTGGACAGTGCGCCCACCCCTTTCCCTTTTTTCCTCATGGAACGATACACTACCTAGCCTTATTTTTATGTCTTTTTTCATATCTATTCACATTTCCCCCTCTTTGGCAGACTTTAAAGGCGAAAATATCTGTGGTATGAGAGAAAAATAAAACTGTGAACCGGCATTTTAGGGTGGGTTTTTATGAGGCATAAAGCGCGGGGAGTATTTCAGTGGGAGGAAGGGGGCCAAAAAGGGGAGGGGGGTCCGCCATGGAAAGACTGTCTATGCCCATCACCACCTATAGCCATCATCATCGTCGTCGTTGTCGTCAATGTATCCGGAAACTAGATCTGCAGCGTCTAGTCGATGGAGCTTCTTCTTGGGCCCCCTTTCCCTCCCCCGGGAAGTGTTGTACGATAGCCGTCTATCTAATGAGCTTAGTTAGGAATAAACTGAGAGTCTTTAACTTATCTTGAACCTCCGAGACGGCGCAGGTGAATCTGGAGGGACGAGGCCTTGTCTGTAAAGCATGGGCTGTTTTGATGTCATGTACCACTCTACATACTATGGTGCAACAGGCGATACCAGGCCGGCAGGCAGCTGGGTAAAGACAGGATCCACACAAGGAGATCAGATATCGCATATTAAATTCTGTGGAAAGCCTGAGAGGTTTGGTATTTCTCTCTGCGTGATTGCGAGCCCATGCTGAAGCTGCGCTACTTGGAGCTCACCAGTTTTCTTGAATGGGAGACTTTGAAGAGTAACTGGCCACCATCTTGGCGTATATTTGGCGGTAACAGTGTTGGTTCAGCCCTTGCACCCAGTAACTTCCCAAGGCGATGGCCCTTCGGAAGACCTCTGCTTAACCCTTTCTTTTGCCTAGACCCCGCTTTTCTCCTCTGTATCCTTGAAGCCCTACACAGCAGGCAAGACCTTCAAAAAGCCGGCCACTTACACACACACACACACACACACACACACACCACTTACACACACGTACAGACGCACACATACCCACGCGCGCCATGGCACCTGCCCTGACCTTTGCCCTACCGCCCACGGCGGCTACGGCCAAGGCCGAAAAGGACGCGTAGGACCAAGATCCCCACGTCAGGGCCGTCATCGAGGAACTCCTCCTCGATCAGTCGCTCTACCAGCCCAAGAATACGACGAGGGCCTACGCGCCGAAGCAGCAGGAATGGAGAAAGTGGTGTGCTGTGCACTATCCGCCTATCCCTGCAGATTGGTCGGCCTGGGTCCCCTGGGACGGCTCGCCTCTGCCTGGCGAACTTGTTGACGAGGGGAAGCTCTTGTTGTTCATGACTGCAATCACGAAGCGCGCCCCCCGTACGGGAAAGAGGCCTGCAGCTGAGCGGAAGCGGGAGGAGGCCACTGTGCCTTACGAGCTGGGCTCAGAAGGCGAAGGCGGCCCCGTCTTCTCGCAACTCAAGCTCCAATATAACAGCGTGAGAACCTACATCTCGGCCATCCAGCGCCTTTACGAGGAGCAGAAAACGCGAGGCCAGAACCCTGCCCCTCAGCCACAGGGCATTACACTCAAGGCTCTCAAGGAGAATATTCTCCGCCAGACCTGGGCGAAGAGGTGGAGCGAGCGAGGCGATCGAGGCGAGGGTACGATCAAAGACTCCTATATACCGTCCCAAATCCTTGACCACACTACTGCTGTTTGGCAGGAGCGGAAGGCTATTGGGTGAGCCTTCCGAACGCAAGTTGACTTCCTTCTTGGGAACCATATGCTCTTACGGTTAAGTAATCGGTTCCCAATTGAGCTGCCCGACTGCTTTTGCCTCGACCTGCAAAACAACGGCGTACAAAGGACCCAAGATGCGTGTCCTACAAAGGCCCTCGTAATCCTAATGCGGCAAGGGAAGACGAACCAGCACGGCCGAATGGAATACGGTGCTGCTCTCCGCCATCGAAATCCCAAGGCGTGCCTTATCAGCGCCCTCGCCTTTTGGTTTTTTTTGGCGTTGGCAATGCGAGGGCGAGCCATTCCCCCGGTTTACTAGAAGCGAGGATTGGTACGATATCAAGCTCCTCCGCCAATCGAAAGAGAGTATAATTACTCAGCTCTCGCCACAAACAGCCAACTCCTGGACTCGGCGGGTTTATGAAAGGTGTAATATCATCACCTCTAAGGCCTCGCACGCACCTCGTATCGCCAGCTCGCAGAACGCAGACCTTGCCGGTGTTTCGGAGGCTAGTATCCGTCGTACTGGCCGTTGGACTAATAGCGACCAGATGACCGGCTGTTACCTCTTTGCCACGCGAGTTTATGAGGGCCACTGCTAACTTTGATCCTGACTAGCCTGGCTCATACTATATTCCACGAGCTACAATTATCCCCCCGCCTAGCTTAACTGCTGCAATATGGCCAGAGATGGATAGTTGGAAGGCAAAACTCGAATCTAAAGAGGCAGAGCAGAACAAAGCGGCTGGAGCATTCTTTGAGTTACTCGATTGGTTACATTTAGTCCTTCTTTAAGATGCTCCTTTTCTTATGGCGGAATTCCCAGACCACCCAATCTTCGAGTCCTTAGTTTTCCACTCGCTTGAATTCCTGGCCTTTGCTACCCGTGTGCGAGAGGTAAGTCGTGGTATACAGGAAGATCCACACAGTCTAGCGATCGAGAAGGTTATACCGGCTGTCTCGGAAAAGCTCCGTACTTTAACAACACAGCTCTCAGCTACCGACCGCCTTGGTACACAAAGGTATTATGAGGTTGTTGAGCGCCTCGAGCGCCTCGAGCGGAAAATCGATAATTTTAGCCACCTTAGTTGGAATATTTCTATTACTCCTAACGGCAGGCACACCTCGCAACAATTCCATCACATACAAAATCAAGACCAGGGCTCTCCTCCACAACCTATTAAACCTTCTCTCCCACAGTCTTTAGGCCAGCCAATACGCTCTCCGCTCGTGCCAGTCACCTTAAACTCGACTTCAAATAACCGGCCTCCACGGCTTTACCGGCTTCCACGGAACACAACATCGATCGTTGAGCTCATTCAAATTTGGCGCGAGGGCATTGGAGGCATGCCATCCATAAGCTCTCTTGAGCAACGGTGGGGTGCCCGTTGGAGGCCTAATTTTGAAAGGCGTTTTATTCGACCCGGAAGGTTATTGTTGACGAGGTGGCTCGCCGTGCTGTGGTTAAGGGGCTTACAGAATATGAGGTAGCCAAGCAGATGGACCGCGAGAAAGGCTCTGCGTCGCTTGACAAGGTTATGAAGCTTATTAGATCGCAACGGAAGCAGCCTATATAGTAGTTATGGCTGTTTTGGCTGGGCTGTATTGGCTGTGTTGGCGGTGTTGGCTATGTTGGAAAATATAGGGCAAGATTAGGGGGCAAGATTAGGGGGCAAAGATTAGGGGGTAGTTAGCAGTAATTTAGGAAAAAGTCTTTTTCAACCGCAATTCTACAACTACAAGACCTACAGCTTTGTAAAAATAACGAGAAGAAAGTCCTCAATGAGCCCAACCTATTGGTCTACTTTTTATCGCAATGCAGCGCCCTGTTATTGTGATGCGCGCGTTGCAAGTGCCGGCCTGCCCGTTGCAGGTGATATCAAGGCCGCCAACGGTTTGGCTGGGTTGTTGGCCAACCCCGCACCAAAACACACCTTCGATATCTACTCGATATACCATAGCTCTGCATATATAAGGGAGCTGCAGTGCAATGGGTACATACGTCCGGTATGTGCATACACAGGCTCGGGTAGGTATGCAATGGCTCAATAAGGCCATGCCATGGGCTTGCCTACCTACTAGAGCAGAGCAGCAGTCACGTCTCACTGGCTGACGCGCATTAGATTCGATTTCGTCATATGTCAGACGGCGCCAAGTGCGGTTCCCATCTCATCTGTCTTGGAGTTGTTGTGTGCTGCACTGGGCAAGCAGTGCTTGCTTCTGCCCTACGTGAGCCCGTGTGGTGTCGAGTCGGCGCTCACTGCCCTATTCGTCGACTGCATGTCGTTCCAGAGGCCAAGGTTGCTCGCCTCTCGCTTGGCAAGGGCCAATCAACGAAGAGCCACTGCCAGGCAGAACGTTTCCAGAAGTCTGTCCCGCAACATCGCAGGTCCGTCCACGCGGGGCTAATGTGATGCAAGTGACTGCTGCACTTGACCTGATAGTCCCACTGGTTTGCAACGGAGCCACAGTGAGGGGGGACCAGAACTGCTTGCTGTAAGCAGTATATTTGAACCGTCGACTGCTTTTTTCTGCGCGGCCGAGCTAGGATTGTCTTCCTTCCGCCGCAACGCCGGCCCTGTTTTACGGGCAGCGCGGGGCAACAACCTAACGGCGGAAATAATCCGACAGTTTGGAACAACCTGGAAGCACTGACCTAGTGGCTATTGGTACCTTGGTTACAGGGTGATGTAAGGTAATAAGATAAGTGTCCGTTCGATGTAGAAGACCTGCGACTCATGGCATGACCAGCTGTAAGATATGTAAGGTATGTACTCTAGGTTGTACTGTATTCCGTATACTGAGCCATTTTTGCTGCGCTCTTTCGGCTAGCGAGTTACCGGTGTGACGACAATGCCAAGAACAGGGCGGAAAAGAAGGAAACACCGAAGGCGTGGGAAGGCGGCGGCGGGTAAAGGGACGAGACTCACGAGAGAGGCAAGCGAGAAATGTCCAAAAGGTGGCTGACGGATGTCTTAGATTTACCCCACAGTCTTGGGCTAAGCCGTCGACTGGGACGGACGGTTGTCCGTCATCGTGGTACGGATATCCTTGGCCTTAAGAGCGCCGCAGTATGTCGTGCTGGGCGAATCGTGATCGCCCAGCGCTGGCCCCCCGCTGGGAAGGCCAGAAACCCATCCCACTGGCACTGACCTTTTCCTGACATGACGACCCGATATTGCAACCACACTCTCGGGGACGAAGGAAGACGTGCCATGGCAAACATCTAAGGTTTCATTGCATCGAATCTTTTTTACCCAACTGGCTCAATATCCCGCCGAAGTTGTACGGGGACAACGTATTGGGGCCGTTGGTTGCTTTGGCGTCGCTTCCTAACATAGTAAATGATGATTGGGGATTTCCCCTAAAGCCTGAGCGTATGGGTATGTACATAGTTTCCACGAATTCCCGAGTGGATACCACAGCTGCCGCGAAGGCGGCTGTGGCAGTTCGCAGTTGGCAGTTGGCATTTACCTCCTCCCCAGCCCCAGAGGAGATAGGAAACGGACTTACGCGCTACTCTGAACTTGGCAGGCCATAGCTGAAGACGAACCACTACGGCGGATTAAAAGAGGGAGGAGTGGTTGCTAGCATCCCATTAGCTTTCCGGGGTATCAGGGCGTCTAGTGGAGGGCATCAATCGGGGTTAAAGTACGAAGTAACGAAGCCTCGCGTCTTTCGGCCTGCCCCAAAGCTCCTTCCAGTTTTGAGTTCACGTTCGCTACGGAATGCCTTTCATTGGGTACAGTATATAGGCATACCTTACCTAGGTGGCCCTACCTTACCTAGTTCGTAAAAAGGTACCTACCATCTTAATAAGTAACGGGCGATGGGCAAAGACAGGTTATCCTTCGTAAGCAATTAGTTCCAATTCAAGGCCATAGGGTATGCTGCAACCCGACTGCCTTAGAAGAAGGGTTGAGACAAGTGAGTGGCGCAACATCCGTGTGGGTGCCAGTGGCGCGTTTGGGCCCACACCCCACGACGGCGCCATTCTGGAAACGATGGGTTTCGATGGGGTCTTACGGAGTACCTACGGGGACCGTACGGGGTTACAGTCGGGTGTACTTGGCAATATTGACATGCAAAGTACGGTACGGGAACTACCACCTGCATGGCCATTCATTCATTCATTGCAAAGCGAACGACCCTCCTCCTTCCTCGCTTACTCGCACGCACGCACGCACATACCTACACGCTCGCCCGCCACAGCACAGCTGTGGTTGTCTGCTTCCAGCTTGTTTCTGGCTTGATTGTGTCCAGTCCGCTCTTTTGCAACAAGTATCGATAGCTTGACCAGATCAGTGGCCACCGTACCATACCTACCAGGTACTGTACATGTCCAGTACTAGTCAGGTTGGACCCCGGAATTCCTAAGTCCGCCATCTGCTTCAAGTTCTATTCTTGGCGACGCCACTCGACCGACGGCTGCGAGCACAGCCCAGACGAGACAGACTAGGTCGCACAATACATACCGGGCAGAGCTACCAGGCATCGCCGATTGAAGCGCCTGTCCGACTATTGCGCCGCAGTCGCGCGTCATTGCCGTTATCAACGAGATTGGCGAGCCCTCTTGCTTTCTGCCGGTCCATTCTCCCCCTAGACCTCCTCCAGACGACGTATCGAGCTACTCTCGCGCTCCAACCTTTGCGAATGGTAGAAGGCATCGCGCTTGTCGCCGTAACACGCCCGAAGCGTGCCTTGCGCTTCACCTCTCCGACCTCACCAGCGCCGGCCCGACGCCATCACCCGCGCTTGCCCAGTTTTGCGCTGGCGGGCCGCGAACCTCGACGCTCGCCATGGCGGGATTTTTCAATAAGCTCAAGGGCGCTGGCACTGTATGTAGTTGGGTTGCCGAGACAGTCCTGCCGCCAACTGCTAACACTCCCCTCCTCAGGGAATCTCTAAAGCCGACAGCAACTCCGCGCCCAAGAATAAGAAGGAGGAGCCTGCGCCGGAGCTGACGCCCCTCGAGAAGCTCCTCCAGAATGCGGGGCCCGTTCGAGAGGACGGCAGTGACAAGTTCTTTGGCTTAGAAAACGTGAGCAATGCGCCCTAGGGACGCCCGCTCGCCCACTGCAAGCAATGCATGCGCACGCAGCTAACATAGTTTGTCCGCATAGTTTGGGAACACATGGTATGCCTAACTCCTACCACCAACAGCAGAGTCGCGTCTTAACTGGGAAATAGCTATTGCAACTCTATCGTCCAGGCCCTATACTACTCGGAACCCTTTCGGGAGAATGTCGTCCGATATCCGCCCTTCACACCCTCGGATACACCCGACGGAAAACCCAGAAAAGTTAATGTTTCAATACGGGCTCCGGTCCAGGCGAATGCGAATGGGGCTGCTGGAGGTGCGGGCAAAGGGCAAAAGCCCGCAACATCTGCCCAGGCGATAAAGCAAAGGCAGGCTGTGAACGGCCAGGCCCTCCCCGGGCAGCCTGTGCGACCCGAGGATAGGCCCGAGTCGCCAGAGTACAAAAAGAAACAGTCCATGATTAGGGGCCCCGTGCTGGAGCTCGCCCAGGAGAACCCCGATGCTTATGGGATGGAGGAGTGTACTTTTACGGGGCTCAAGGATATCTTCACGGCCCTGATCGAAAGCAACACCAGAACAGGCGTGCTTAGCCCCCAGCGGTTTTTGGACATTTTCAAGCGCGATAACGAGCTGTTCCGCAATTCACAGCACCAGGATGCCCACGAATTCTACGGCCTCGTCCTTAACGATGTCATCGCAAACGTGGAAGCTAATGCAAAGCGTATGCAAGAAAGGGACGAAAGCAGGAACAAGGACGGCCTGGCCCAGTCAGTGCATAGTGCGTTAGGCGCGTCGACTGCTTTGCAGAGCAAGGCCGAGTCCGGCACTCGGACTCCCGGGACAGGCTGGGTTCACGACATCTTTGAGGGCGTGCTAGTATCAGAAACTCGGTGCCTCACTTGCGAGACGGCATCACAGAGAGACGAGACGTTCTTGGATCTTTCAATAGATCTTGAGGAGCACTCGTCCGTGACGTCGTGCTTGCAGAATTTCTCCGCCGAGGAAATGCTATGTGAGAGGAACAAGTTCCACTGCGACCACTGCGGCGGGCTACAAGAGGCGGAAAAGCGAATGAAGATCAAGAAACTACCCAAGGTTCTGGCCTTGCATCTCAAGCGATTTAAGTACACAGAGGACTACAGCCGGCTCCAGAAGCTTTTCCATCGAGTCGTGTACCCATACCACCTGCGCATGTTCAACACGACGGACGATGCTGCCGACCCGGACAGGATGTACGAGTTGTACGCTGTGGTTATCCATATTGGTGGTAATGCCTACCACGGCCATTATGTATCAGTCATCAAGACAAAAGACCGAGGATGGCTGCTATTTGACGACGAGATGGTTGAGCCCGTCGACAAGCATTTTGTTAGAAATTTCTTCGGCGACAAGCCGGGAATGGCGTGTGCTTACGTCTTGTTCTACCAGGAGGTAGAGTTTGATAAGGTACGGGAAGAAATGGACGCTGAAGGACCAGAAGAAGTGAGGTTGGCCAGCCAAAAGGCCGACGTGGCCCTTGGGACTACGGAGCAAACAAACGGAACAGCCACAGTCCCTCTTTCGAAACTCAACACGCAACCCTTGCCACCCCTTGACGAGGGCCACGATGCAATGCCAACCTTGGGTCACGCCCAGTCGGCCCCGGGCGATATTGCCAGCACTGTTCCACTACCATTATCGCCGGTCCAGCCAGACCAAAGCGAAATACACCCGCTGGTGGCGGCACCGCCTCCTGCTCCAGCGGCTATGACGGCAGCAGACGAAGCGGCTACCATTCCGCCAAAGTCAAAGGATGACAAGCTGCGGGATAAGAAGGAACAGAAAGCCCAGGAGAAGGCTCGTAAAGCGGCCGAGAAGGAGCAGGCTCGGATTGCCGAAAAACAACGTTTCGAAAAGCAGGCTAAGATTCGAGAGGCACAGAAAAGCGAACAAGAGCAGCTGCAAAAGGCTCTCCAGGAGAGCAAGTTGCTGGCAGCTGAAGACGGGAAGAAGCGAAAGAAGGAGACTGCCGACTCGGTACCCGAGGTAGGGAGCTATGAAAAGCCCTCGGGATTTCTCAACCGCGCGAGCCGGGGTAGCAAGTCCATGACACGAAAAAGTCTGGCGTTTTTGAATAAAGGGGGGGATAAGGGCGACAAGGACAAGGAAAAGGAAAAAGAAAAAGATAAGGCTAGCGACAGGAGCGACAGGAGCGACAAGGGCGAGAGCAGTAGCGTTGCTGCGTCGTCTTCTGCTGCTGCTCCTACAGAGGGATTCTTTCAACGAAATGGCGGCAGCCACTCGCCGACCCAGCCGCAGACACAAGAAAAGGGGCCCGAGACTGCGGCTCCTGACAAAGACAAGCCCGACAAGCATCCCCTCAAGGAACGCTTCAGCTTCGGTCTCGGGAAGAAGAAGAGCAGCAAGTTCCTGTCTTAGTCGGCCAGGCAATATTGGTGTTTTTTGGCGGATGCGGATACCAGTTGATGAAAACACTTGTCATTATTTTTATGTCTCATGGGCGTGCCCTGGGCCTCCTTCTTTCCCATTTCTTCGATGTCCATATTTCTTTCAAAACATGATACGCGCGCGTGAGAAGCCCTTTACCCCTTCTTGTAAAAACAAAAGCTTAGACAAAGTCGGTTAATTGTTATGGAGATGATGGGGAAAAGAAGGAAGGACATGAGAAGTATCAAAAAACGGTCTAATGGGACAGTGGGTATGAGAGCGAGGACACAGCGACTGTCTGTTGTACTATACGAATCTCACCTACCTAGAGACGGGAGACGGTGACATTCGAAGGGCTATGCTTTGTTTATGCCACGAGGCAGGTATATTTGTTAGCGCTTTTCTGGCTGTAATTGCACCGCGAGCGAGCATTTGGAGAGCGTCGAGGAGCAAGCACATTTGGGGATACGAGATTCGAAGGCGGGCACTGTCGCCATCAGGCGGTTAAGAGTAAAATACCTATGTACAAGTATTGTACGTAGAAGGTGTACGAAAGTCGGTGTCGTGATAATATGGGCAGCTACCAATTCATCTACCTCTCTTGCATCCGTATGAACTGTGAATAATAGGAGATGAAAGCTCAGTGCGGTTTTATCCCACAACCCTTATCGAACGTCCTTCATATCGTATAGAGCAAGCCGTTAGGCCTGGGTTTCTCTTCAGTTTTCTTTTTCTATAAGTACACAGTAGACCAGCCATGGTGAGAAACAAGCAAAACGCACGACAATCTTAAAACTTGTTCACTTTCTTCTGAACCTCTTTACTCCGCAACCCTCTAGTGTCCGGGCAACGCTAACACTGAATGCATTCACTGACAGGCCAGCCGGCCGTCTCTGCTCAAGGTTCCCATCATTGTTTCTCCTCATAATTACCAACGCCGAAACGCGAACACGTCCCCAGAGCCAAGAATAACCCCAATGCTATCTAGGGTTCACACCTTAACCTCATGTTCCACTCTCCTAGCCATTTACTTCTGCGAAGTGAATTCGCCCACAGCTCAACTATCCCTCCTCCTTTTAGCCAAGCACAAGCTCATAGACTATGATCAACGTGTTGATTACGATCAGGGGTACTATATACCGTGCAGGCGAGTCAGTCGTCTGCTGGCAGCTTACACACACAGACGGGGAAGAAAGAAGTTAGACATGTCCACTGCTTCGGGGCGGTTCTTACTCCTCATAAGCGTTCGTACGCTGGCAATCAGGTTGATGATCTTGGCCTTGACGCTGGCGTCGGCGCTCTGGCCGAAGGCGGGGTCATATGACGAAGGGGAGAGGTTGACTGGCAAAGTAACAAGGTGGTCGGCGATGTTAGCAATGACTCTCTCTTTCTCTTTGGACTCTTATTTGCCCGGGGGGTGGGGGGTAGGGAAGGGCTCAAGTCCTTGCTCGACGTTGCTTCCAGCCAGGCAGGCGCCATAACGCGCAGTGCAGCTCGCATAGGAAGCGAAACAAGCCCCGGGAGGAATCAAAGGATGAAGGGCAATAAACGTACTGCGCGCAAGAAAGCGGTCCTCGGACAGGATGGCGATGGCGTTGATGAGGAGGCAGGTGACTATTCATTGCCCACGTCAGTTATTTGTCCCAGTCCAGGCCAGCACATAACACCCCCTCGTCCTCGTCTGCAGAGCGCCATGCTATATGCGCGAATGTCTAAGTGCTGGAAACAATCCCCGTTATTTACGTACTGTAGATCAGGTTCCCGAAGAGATACATCTCGACAGGACCGTGGTGCACGCACACGACGTGGGCGCGTGCCCTCTTTTTTCGTTACTTATTTTCCTATTCCCGTTCGCGATGCTTGTCACTAATTCAACGACGACGGCGATGATTGCGCTCGGCTCGTAGGTAGGCGCGAGGAAACAGCGTCTGTGCGGTCGTTGATTCCTTCTTTCCGTTCCGAAATCTGTCCGCCGATGTTTATGCTTTTCGCTTCGGAATAATGTGTACGCAGTTTAAGGTAGGAAAGGTTGTCGAGGGAAAAGCGAAATTGGCGGCGTCGCAAAAATATCCTCCCCTCTCTCTCTCTTCGCAGTGCGGTTTGTCGAAACTCGAAAACTACCTAGTTGTCGAGTTCGGAGCTTGCTTGCAGGTCGTTTCAATGTTTCCATCCCGCCCGCCAGCCCCACAGCGGCAAGGTCACTCTGTCCCAAAGCCACAGCTGTGGTAGCAACACATACGTAAGCTGATTGAGGGACAAGGTGTCCTATCAAAATTAGCAGACCCTAACCCTAGGGGCTAGTCGCCCCCCCTTTTTGACTAGATTGAATAAAGTATTCGCTACCAAAGCAAAGGACTAAACCAATATTGCTTTCGACTTCGCCCGTATTTGTAACCGCAGTCATGAACCATTTAGCATGTAGCCCCATTTAAGTATTCAAGTAGGCCCCAGCTATTCCACACTCTCGGCGCCTAACATAAAGAAGGAAGAAAGGGGCTAAATACGATCAAGATTGTTTTGACTACCTAGTTATTCATCCGTTAGAATGCAAACATATCCATGAGAGAACGTATAGTTATAGGAAGAGAAAATTATTTATATATATATATATATATATATGTGTGTGTGTGTGCGTGCGCAGGGCGAGTGAGAGAGTCAGAGAAAGTTTGAAAAAAAAAACCAGACGCACCGACTTCCCTTTCCCTTGCCATAAGCATATTTGATCACCCATTCCAACGAGGCCCAAAAACGGGCCATAATGAAAAAGAAAAGACGTGACCCCTCAACAAAAAAAATAAAAAATCCCATGTTGCCCCTGTCCATCCGTCTGGTCCGGAATAAGACAAATAGCTGCGCCAGTCAGGAAGAACATACCCAAAAAAGCATGTCCAAGGGTATACAGAAATCAGTAAACTCATGGTGCCAGAGAGAAAAGCTTGAAGACAAGAAAAGGAATCATTATAACAATAATAATACGTCATCGCGATGTCGCGTCGCGTGTTACTTTTTTCTCGTGCTGTCGTGACGTCCGAGCCCAGGCCCTCCCCACCCAAAAAAAGAGAGAACGAAATTCGAAAAGAAAATAGAAAGAAAAATGAATCATTCCTGCTCCGTGTCGCTACCATCAGTCCCATCTTCAATCTCCTCGACTTCTCGGAGCGGGCCATAGCGGGCCTTGTACTGCTGGAGTTCGGCGAGCTGAGCGGCGACGCTCGAGAGAACAGAAGTCATGGGAGCTCGTAGGTCGCTGAGCTGCGAGATGGCGCCGCCGCCAATGGCTAAATGGCGCATTGCGAGGGTAGAGATGCAGGTCTAGTTGACAGAGGTTAGCTTCCTACAACATAAACCGCCATGTCCTGCTCACACAGGCAGGGAAAAGCGAAAAAAAACGTACCTCAATCCGGCTAACTTGGTGCTCCATAAAGTTAACCAGGAACCGTTCTGTCACCTCTCCGCCTCTCTGTTTCATGCGCTCCAGGAGTTCTGTTTCTGGCGGCTGCAACCCTCGGCCGCTAAACTCCTCGAGCGTACTGCACAGCATCTCTAGGCGCAGCGCTACCCGCCAGAGTGCCCATATGTCCTCTGGGCTAAGTGACAGCTCGCTGCCGGGGCTTAGTACTGCTGGTTTCTGAACAACAAAAACGCCTACTGCCTGTGCCCTCTCATGCGCAGTGTGCTGGTCAATCCTGCCTGCGAGGACATGGGGATACAGCGAGTAGACGAATTCGGGGTTTTCGAGGCCTTTGAGCTTCTTCTCTCCCATGTCTTTCACTTCGAAACCCTGGCTGCTGAGGGACCGGAGCTCATTCCGGATGGCCTTGGCAAAATTGTCGTCATCGACTGCGTCCTCGGGCGTTGCCGAGGATTCCTGATAAGTCTCGAGGCAGCGCTGGATCTCCGAGATGAAATCCGACGATACAGCGATTTGGCCGCCATCAGCCACGGCACAGATGCGGCTGGCCTTGTTCACCATAGGGCCGTAGTAGTCCATGCGCCGAGTGACCGGATCGGGCTCGGCCAGGGGCTCACCCCAGTGGATGCCCATTCGCACCGACAAACCCCTAAAGATGAGCTTATTATCCCTATCAAAGGTCGGCTGGCAGCTGACCGAGTTGAGCATCTCGTTTGGCCAGGGTATTGTCAGCAGCTGCACCTGGACAGCAAAGCACCACAGCAGCGCTGAAGTCGCTGTAGGGAAAGAGACCATGAATGCGTCTCCTTCCGTCTTGACTTCGAACCCGCCAATGCGCCTGAGGTGGCGGCGCATGATCTCGTTGTGTAGCTTGATAGCCGACCTCATCGCGTCGGGGTATGTCTCCCAGAGCTGTGTTGAGTTCTTGATGTCCGTGAAGACGATTGAGATCAAGCCAGTCGGTGCGGGCACCTCGGCCTCGAGGCGCTGGAGGGTTGAGTCGAGCGGGCCTTCTCCTTTCACTCTCCTGCGCTGTTTAAATGGCTCTTCCACGGGCATCGAGAACCACGACATGCTCTGCCCTCTGTTCATTCGTGAACGCTCGTTCCGGCGCTTAAGGTCGGCAACGCTGATCATCATGACCATGATCTTGTTTGTTGAGCCGTACGCCATTGCAACATCCCGGAGTTTTTGGGCCGCACGCATCAGGTCCCCACGCACCGATCGGATAATGTCAACGACGAGCCCTGGCGGTAGAAACTCCCACAGGTCACGGGTCGCAATCAAGATCATTTCATCTTGTTCTCGGATCGTGGCATGCGTGATGTGTGGGGCAGCCTGCACGGCAGGCATCAGGTCCACGTAGCCAAAAGCCCTAGACACCTCGAGCAGATCGTTCAGCCGCCCATTGCGCGAGACCCATCCGCCGGCATCTCGAATGCGCGAGCGTTCATGGGGGTCTGCAGGATCGTGCTTCTTGGTCAGCATCCTGTGGGTGCCGTCCGTCTGGATGAGCATAGCCTGAGCGTCGCCCACATTGGCGACGTACAGCTCTTGGCTCTGAAGATACACAACGGTAGCGACACCGCCCGAGTTGAGGTCTTCCTTGCTAAGGACGACGGGGGCCGTCGAACCGCGATGCGACATCAGCGGTCTCTCTTCTGTATGCTGGATTGCAACCGTGACAAGGTCCTTGTTGAGCGCCAAGAAAGCCCGTCTCAGAGCATCCTCGGGAGTTTCTTCGAGACGCGTCTTTAGGGCCTTGAGCTCCATGGTGAAGATGTGACCAAAGTTCTCGTGCAGGTATTTGGCAATCTTAGAGCCACCACTGCTCAGCGCCTGTCCATCAAATAGACCAAGGAGAGTTTCCGTGTCAGATGAGTTGAAACGAGGCACCACAAGATCTATCGTCGAGAGATGCTCATTCTTGCCAAGCGTGTCAGCCATGCCGTACGGTAGGTGGCCGGCCAGCGAGCCAGACGTTCTGACACGGCGGTCTTCGCTTTGGTCGGGGATGCTGGGTTGTGTGAGGGTTACGTCCATCAGGCCTAGGACGCGGAGGTTGAGCAGGCGATTGAAGTCGGTATATTGCTCCCGGTTCTGCGCAACTGAGCCAGGAAATCCATTTTTTATTTCCAATCGCCTGTTCCCTGATAGGTTGAGGTACCTCAGATTGGGGTTGAGATTCCAGTTCCAATCATAGGGCACGTTAGCAATGTTGTATTTGAGATAGTTGCTTCCACAGTCCAGCACTGCGAGTTTCTTAGCCCTTGAGATGTCGGCAGGGAGATTGGTGAACTTGTTGTTATTGATGTGAAGCGTCTGCAGAAGACTGTATTCTTCGAGGTCGTCAACCGGCAAGCTGGTCAGTTCGTTGCCAGAGAGGTACAGCTCCACAAGTTGAGGCCAATTCTTGATAGAACCCTGCGGCATGTCATTGATATCATTATACGAGAGATTTAGGACTCGGAGCTCGGGGAGAAGGATGAGTTGGTCAAAAACGTCGTCGTCGAGCTGGTTGTCTGCAAGGTAGAGATTGCGGAGGGAGCCTGCAAACATACTAGTCAGGCGCTGGGAGAGGCCTGAATCCTTCCTAGAGGAATTTGTCGGCGTCATCATGCCGGCGCTACTGGCCGTCGTGCTCCTCGATATGACAGACGTCTTACGGCCGCCCTTCCCGTACACGGAGACCAAAGAGCTCTTCCTGTCAGGTCCGGCCGGTACGGGCGAAGGCCCAACGCTGAGGAGAGTACTAGAAGCCTGACTCGGCCGTCTAGACGAGTCCCCATTGAGCTCTTCCGCGCTCGGCGTTTGCGAAAGAAGCCCTAACGAGCCGCTCTTGCCGTTCAGCGAGCTTGATGAGTTGTTTGTCTCTGCGGGCTGCTGCGGCGGACGAGAGGCGGGCTTTGGGAAGTTTTCTAGGACGTTTGACGAGGCATTGAGCGTCTCGAGCTTCTTTGCCCACCAAATTTCCATTGGAAGCTTCCGGAGATTGTTCCCGCGGACATCCAGAACACGGAGCTCGGTCAGGCAGCCAATCTCCGGAGGAAGCTCACGGACCGAGTTGCTGGAGATGCTGAGGTGCTCCAGTCTCTTGAGATTGCCTATTTGGTTGGGCAGAGACACGAAATAGTTCTTGTCGAGGACCAGCCGCTCCAGACTTAGCATGTTGTTAAAGGACTCATCTATACTCGCCAGTTGGGCGTTGGACAGGTTGAGCACCTTAAGCGTCGGAACCGAGGATTTGATTTCAAACTTGGTAATCGGGTTGGAGTTCAGCTTGAGGCTCCGGATCCGCTCAAAGGTACCGTTGAACTGAGAGATTGCATTGTGGTCGGCAGCCAGGATTTCGAGCTTTGGAAGCTCCGAGATGATGTCAATACCTGTTATGGCGTTGAACTTGATGTCCAGCTCGCGAAGGCTGGACAGGTTCTTGACGGACTGAGGAAGAGAGCCAGACAACCGGTTATTGGTGATGACAAACTTCTCCAGACTTCGTAGCTTCCCAATGCTTTCGGGGAAGCTTCCAATCAGGTTAAAGCTCAGGTCCAGGTCAACAAGACTTTCGAGCTCGCAGAGAAATGCGGGGAATTTATCGAGGAAATTAGACGAAATGTTGAGTGTCCTCAGCGATCGGTAGGCGCCAAAATAAGGTGGCAGGTGGTTGAGACGGTTGTTGGCCAGGTTTAGCTTGAGAAGGCCGGTGAGACTGCCCAGCTCGGCATTCTCCAGCTGTTCAAGCCGATTGTTTGACACGTCTAGATATGTGAGCTTACTTGCGCGGCTGAGGCTCATGGGCAGCTTCCGGGCCTCGTTGTTATTGAATTTGATGTCGCGCAGGTTCTGGCAAGATTGGATGAAATCCCGGGGTAAGTCTAAAGACAGATTTCTCGACAAGTTGAGTGAGATGATCTCTGAGGCCTTGGAGTAAAGAGGAACCGGGATCGTGATTAGATTGCGCCCCGATAAGTCAACGTGGTTGAACTTGGTCATGCGTCCCAAGCCCAGGTCGTGCTTCGTGGCGTGGAAATCACTCTCCCTAGCCGAGAGAAACAGGAAGCGACAAAGGTAGCTATTGTCCTCGCGCCCAATCTCTTCTATCCTGTCTCGGTCCTCGTAGCCAATCTGCTGGAGCAGCCGCTTCTGCATCAGGAGCGGCCGCTCGGCGGCGCTCAGGACCCTGACCAGATCGTGCTTCTTGAGAATGATGTGGTAATTGTCGAGGCCGTCCGTCACGTACGATTTCTTCACGATCTGGGTGACGACATCTTGGACGGACGAATCCAGCGCCATCTGTAGCGTCGCGAATGTGCCATCCGACCTAAACACGCGGATACAGTAGTTGGTTAACTTCTCCTCCGGCCTGGGCGGGCTCCCTATGTCGTCGGCCTCGGGTACATGGGTCGAGACTTCGTCTCCTCGCCGAACTGCCCAGCTGTCTGGGGCATACCATGCACCGTTCGGACCTGTTGCCCCTGGGGGGGCTACTTGGCCCGGACCGGCTACACTGGGCTCTGCAATCTGCGGACCGCTAGGTTTCGAAGGAACAGCCTTCTCGGGTTCGACATGGTTGAGGAAGTCGGCGTCCATGGGGGTCAGCGGCAACGGCCTGCTGAGAATTCCCGTCATGTCGCTGAGGTTTGTGTCGAGATGGAACATAGTACCGCCATCATGCCTGTCTGTCGGGCCAATCTGCTCGTCGATGTCGTCGTGTTGCCTGTTGGAGCGGCTCTTCTTTGCAAATGGCAACTTGTTGAAGGTGACTTGGTGTGGAATCTTTGGTCTGGCACCGAGGCTATAAGCGTCACGAAACTCTGCCGCGCTTGCGGTTGGCCACTCGGGCTGGGCTGCTAGTCCTTCGACCCGAGGGAATTCTTGTCTAGACGGACGAGACTGAAGAGAGTGAGAGGACGGGGTGAGCTTCTTTAGAGACTGGTCTGAACTGTCGTCCTTGTCCTTGTTGCCCCTCCCACGCCAGCGATTAAGGAGGCCCTTCTTGTGATGCCCAGGCGATGTTTGCCCCTCGGCCGTCCCGTTTTTGGCGCCGCCCCAGCCATTGACACTGGGAGCCGGGCTCTGGGCCCGAGACCGGGAGCCATACATGGCAGTCGACCCGTTGCGCTCTTTAATGAGGCTGGTAGTGGAATCCTCCCGGCTGACGGATGGCCTCAGTGCCCTCGGGTCTTCGTTGCTCTTGTTATGCCTGTGGGAATGACCAGGCAGGTGGACAATAGAGTGCCCTGACCGTGAGGAGGACGATGTCTTTGGGGGGTTCTGCAAAGAGTTATCGGTCATGTAGCGATCACGGTCGGGACCACTGAGGATATCTCTGACAGGCGCTTCGCCATATCGCGCGATATCCTAGGAGCGCAGAGGTGTCAGTCAAGCAAAGAGAAACAAAGCCAAGTCAAGACAAGCTGAATCACAAACCCGGGCCCCCCGAAAGAAGAGACGGATTAAATGCAAAAAATGGGAAAAGGGAAAAAAGAAAAGCACCTACATCGGCTTCCTGGTACAAAAAGGGCACGACTTCCGGAGCCGGTACTGGTGTCCGTGGGCGCGAGGACGGGGAGGCGTCTCTAGCATGGTCAGTAGCATTGGAGTAGTTGCGATCGCGGTGTGTGCGGCCGTGACTGTAGGAGTGGGAGCGGTGCTCCTTCCCTGGGCCCGGTTGTGTGAGACTAGTCTCGGACGAGTCTCTTCCGGGGAACTCTTCGCCAAAAAAGCCCTGAAGCTTCCTGAAGCCGCCGCGCGTGCCACTAGTCCTGGATCCCTGGCTGCTCGCCGTGGTCGTGACGCTCGCAATCGACGGGCGTCGTTCATCGGTGAAGTAGGCAAAGTCGGGCGAATCGATGCTACCAGAGGTAGTCTGCGACGGGCGCGTCGTTGCGGGGCGAATGGCGGGGGATAGCTGGGACGTGACCGACAGATTGTCGGTCGAGTCGTTGTAGAAGCTGGTAGCGATGGCGCCCATGCTGGACGGGGTCGACGAGCCGCCGGAGCTCGCCATCCAGGGCGCGATCTGGCTGAGGGAGCCCGTGGCCGGGTTACTATGCTGGCTGCCATTGTGGGGATTTCGGCCGCCGCCCGGGTCGAGGATGGCCAGGTCGCGGCGGTAGCCTGTCAGGTCGCTCATTCTGTGCTCGCGCAAGGACGACGCATTGGAGGCGGCCGGCGAGGGCGACAGAGCGAGGCGCGGCGCGCCAGTCGAGGTTGGCGATACCTGGGACTCGGATTCTTTGAGGGATCTACAAGACGCGCAGGCGCAGGGTCAGAGACGCAGCCACTCGCTAGATTGTGGTGTCTAATCCGAGGGTCGGGTACGGAGGGAAGGCTAGAAACTGCGGCAATGGAGCAGGCAATCCAAGCGACCAAGCACGTCCAAAAGATGAACACTCGTTCGATTCGAATAGACGGGGTGACTGGCAACCGGACTTGGGCCCGGAAGCAAGGCAGGGGGGGTGTGGGTAGGGCAAGGCAGTCGAGGCTAGGTAAGGCCGGGCAGAGCAGCGGTGGTGGTGGGGACTCACCTTATGAGATTGCCATTCTCGTCCGTCTTCAGGCGCGACGGCGCGGCTCTTCGCGCGCCGTGCGAGGTAAATCGAGAGGCATTGCTGTCACCGCCAGGGCCGACGGCGGAGGATGGGCTGGTTGGCGTCAGGGGCAGCGGCTTCACCGTGATGCTAGATCGCGCGCTGTCGGTGCTGGAGCCCGTCATGGAGCTGAAGCGGGAGCCAGCTTCATTCCTGGTCATTGTCACCACCGCAGCAGCACCAACGCTGGAGCCGAAAGCGGGAACAAAGAACCTAAGCCAAGGGGCTGCCTAGGGGTCCACGGCCATTCCACGGTAGGGAGAGCCGCCGGGTGGGTTTTTCAGGTCATTGCCTGAGGTAATGTTGTTGCTCTAGGTCTCTGATCGATACAGACTCTCACACTGCGCAAGACGACAGTGATGCGATGATAGGACCAGGGCAGGGACGGGAGTTAGGGAGGAACCTAACCTTTGGTAGGTAAACTCAGCCGAGGACCAAGGTGGGCGAAAATAGCGACATGCCCTGCAGCCCGCTCAAACTAAGCGCACAGCGCCCACACAGCACCCGACGCCTACAACTTCACTGCACAACCTTAACCAACAGGAGTTGCAGGCCTGTGGGCGTGCAGGTGGCGGCGGGCGTGCGGGCGTGCGGGCGTGCGGGCGTGCGGGCAGAGGCCGGGTGGGTGGACTGTGCGGGACTGGAGGTGGGTGGTGTGGTGGGTGGGCATCCAGCCCGCCCGTGGAAACTTGAATGATCTACCCTGGGCTTCAAGGTTGCAGTCGGGGATTGGCGCGCACGGCTCGATTCTGGTGCCCATCCATGTCTCCTAAGAGCAATTGGAGCCTCCTGGGTTGGGGTGTTGCAACTTGCGGTGGCGTGGGGCCCGTTGGAAGAAGCCTGGGAGCTGGGCACTGGGCAGTCCACTCACAACACCTTGAGACGTTGAGATGAATCTGGACAGGGTTAGGCTCAAAAGTCATCCTGTACATAATCATAACCTCAGAGCACACAGAGCAAAGGGTGCACCTCTTTGGTCGATGAGATGGTATAAGTTACTACCTTACTGGATGGTTCTGGCTTACCCTTCACGCTGACCGGACTAACTAACTAACAACATTCATTTCTGTCTCGGGCCTTTTAAGCTGTAGGTCTAGGTGTTGTCTGTACCATAGGTATACACCCGGGATATTGCCCTAGGTCCCGTCACTCACTCGCCAGGTAACATGGCTAAGTCCCTACTGTGTAGTTGGTGTTGGGATTTTCAAGTGAAGACAAGCAAGTTCATTTTCGAATATATTCAAGCAGGTCGTGGCTTGAATCCAACAGGCAGGGAGCGAGCAAGGTAGCTACCAGGATATCAACAGGAACCCATGGTACCATGGCATCTCGATGCACGACTTTTCTTTCATGAAATGGCCATTTGACGGGAGAGGGACCGTCTGCTGTACGGTTTTGTCCTGGGATGGACCAGACTGCAAGACCAGTCGATGATAGGTGTGTGTGCATTGCAATTGTGGTGGATAGTAGCCAAGGCGGGGCATAGGGAGGGATGGGGACGCAGGGGCTGGGAGGAGGGGTCGGTCTGGGAAAGGAAGTTCAACAGAAGCTATCGGCATCATGTCACCAACCATACATGATAGCAAATTTCGATGCCTGTGCGTGCTGGTGGTCATCAGCTCTCTCATTATCTCGTATCTTTCTCTGGGCTCGGAAACCGACCTAACCCAGACTTTCGTGACTTTGTTCTATCCCATCTTCGAACGGCATCCAAGTTTCGAAGAGGAGGCGGGAGGCGGGATGAGTTGCAGGTCGCGGGAACTCGGGCCCGAGCAAGCTAGGGAATTGCAAGAGAAAAATATTCCAGTTTTCGGAACGGATGTATGAAGTAGAGAGGCCCGGCTATCACAAACGAAGGATCTCCCATGTATGTACGAAGTACGGATACGTATCCTGTAAACCCTTCTGTTCTGCACTGCTGCAAGAGACAAAAGTAGACACATCTCGTCTCCCTTGCCTTAATTTTCCTCCTATTGCCTCGCTTGCATCCTTTTCAGCCTCATCGGCTGTGCAGAGGCCAATGTCCAGCCAACCTGTGAGCCGTGCGGCGTCATGCCGAGACACTTGCTGATCCATTGCCAAAGAAAAAAGGGCGGTCTAGCCAAAAGTTGAGACACACAGGTTCGCACAGGTTGTGGAACCTCAGGTATTCCCGTGCACACCACACTCTGCGATCCATTCGTACGCTAAAACATAGGAAAGCCACCTCGCAGTGAGATCTGACATTGGCCCCCGTCGCCGCTATGAGATCCGAATATCCCCGATCACCCGGCGGTAGTTTTACGTGCATCTCTCGACTCTTGGCAGCATCAATATTTGGGGGCATCTCAATTTGTCCATGGGACTTGCCGAGTGCGCGTGTCTGCCGTCTCTGGATTGCCAACAAACAGCCGCAATTATTACACCCGTATCTACAATTGACCGATTGACTGCCGAGTTGGGCAACCAGCCCCCCGTGACGTGATATCGTATCGTGGGGAATTGTAGATCCGTACTGGCTAATGGTTCCAGATCAGATACTGCGTATAATAACACAAAAAGCCCATCACGCTCCCTCCTCTGCCCTGGCCGCTAAATCGGCCCCGAAAAATCACATCCCTCTTCACAATTTCTCTCACGCCGATCTCGACTACAGTCAATTCAAAAACATGTTATTTGTTTCATCACCCCGCCGCCTCCGCTTTATTTTACGAGAGCAGTTCAGACCCTCGCCCGGTCAGTCCGCTAAAGAGTCGCGTCACCGTGGCGGGTTTCATCAGCAGCCTGCCCTTCGGCAATAAATTAGTCTATGTAAGCTACATTAGAAACGACCCAGACAATTCGATTTATACAACGTCATTAATAGGCCTCAGTTCAGAATGCATGTCTTCTCCTTTCTTTTCTTTCCGTCAAAGCCACCCCTTTCCGCCACCCGTCTTTCTTTGTCTTACGTCCTCAGAGCCAGAGCTCAAACACGCTTCAGTCTTTGGCTACACTGGGGAGGTAGGTTACCATAACCAGGTACTGTTGCCCGTATTCGGCAATACCGTAGATACGCTTTGGCAAGCCGCGGGTGTTGGGCTGTCATCAGGATAGTCCATGAGCAACTCGAATAAGAAACCCCCACTGCGTATTGAACTGCATGTTGTCTTTCTTGTCTTGTCTGCACTCGCTCTCGTTCAAAACATGCAAGTCACAACATAACAGCCCCACTTTATTACATTGCTTAATCGAGCATATCAGCAGCTTCCACCGCGATCTCTCTACTCCCTGTGGTCAGCGCTCCACAGGCGGCAGGGGCTCTGGGGAAGAACCCTGAGCAGTAGAGGACCCTGCGTGCAGACAAAGTCCGGGGCTCTAGAAAGAGGCTCATGGGGGTTACCTACCTCAGGATAGCTCGAACTCGCACTCTTTCATTCCGTCACGTAATGATCCGAATAAGGATGACCAGGTCGATGAACCTATTGCGCGTCCATTGCTCTTGAGGTGTGATCTTTGGTAGCAGAACGGGATGCGCAACTCTCTCTGAAACAGTTGCCCTCGCGAATCTCTTATGCCTGTCAACCACCCATCTAATGTATGAACTTTACATGAAAATGTCATCCGAAGAAAGGACACACATTTGACGTCCTGTGATGTTATTCTACACTACCCTATGCGAATAGTACATCGCAATTAACAGCACTAGATTTTCGATATCTCGTATGCTTTGCTCCCCACTATCCCTTACACAACGACGTAGCAATACCTTGGCACCTCTGCCGAAATCTTCACAGTAGACCAAATGAAGAACGAAATAAAGTAATCCTCGCTATGCACATAAATGCGACACACGCCTGCGACCCAGCTGGCAATGAACACCGCCAACAATACCGATGTTGGAAACTAGTCGGCTTCACTATCTGAGAGCGAGTGGGTGGATAGCGACGAGCTGTCATCGTCACTCATGACTACGTCGGCAACCTCCTCGTTCAGGAGCTCGCCTACCCAGATGCTATCCGCCATGATTGACTGAGCCTCTTCCTCGCCAACGTCCATGTCCTCCATTACGAGCCGAACAGTGAGCTCGGGCACCAAGACGGCCTGGACATAGGCAGTGTGGCCTCTCGCCGACACTAGTCTGTCTTGCACCGCCCTCTTCCGCAAGAGCGACGAGAACTCCCGAATGATGGCCTCAGACATGGCCCTGAGCCCGCGAATGCCGTAGTAGCCGGGAGTTAGGTTGGCTTCGGACTTTAGGAGCGTTTTGTTCTGACCAATCCGGACTTTTTGGCTGAAGATATCGCCAAAGTGAGACCTGTCGCCCTCGAGGATTCCCCTCAAGAAGCTGAATTTCTTTGAGATCCGCCGGTCCAGTGAGCTCCATTCAATGTCCGGATACCCTTTATCATGCCACGTTTCTCTCGCCGACTTCTTCTTATGACTTTGGCAGAACCTCTGTTCCTGCTGGAGGGTCATACGAGGGTGTTTCTTCTTGAAGTCCTCGAGGAGCTCCTGGTCAACTGGTTGGTTGCACATGGGGCAGACGGGTCCCATCGGCCCCTGAGAATCCATCTCCGTTAAGGTCGAGGTTGAGCTTCGCCGAGAGTCCCAAGCTTTAGCCTCCGTGAGCGGCGATGTTTCTTCTTCGTCATCCACGTGGTCGAAACTCGATGTAAATACGTCCGGGATTATCAGGCCCACTCTCTGAGGTTCCTCTGGCGTATCCTCCATTTTCAGATCCCGACCGCCTTGAAGGAACTTGAGCCTCTTCTTCTCAGGGGAGACAGTTCTGAGGCGCGAGCTGCCACGGCTTGGCAGGTCCAGACCCTTCCGGTAGGGGGAGTCAGGCTCATTTTTCGATGGCGTCACCGGAATCATGAGCGTACTCTTTCTCTTTGGGCTGTCGACTTCTGGACTCGAGCATTTTTCTGGGACATAAAGAGTTGCGGCTTCCGATTTACCTCGGCCCCTATTGGCGCCGCCTTTGCCATATTTTTGGGGTCTCCTGTTTCGAGCCACTTCAGATGCAAGATTGAAATGTGCGCCAATGTTTCCAGGAGAGCCCTCATCATCAGGCGCCTTTCGCTTGGCCTTTGGCGCGAGGCTAGATTTAGGTGCACTCTCAGCATCGCTCCTAATAGAAGTCGTTTTACTAGCCCTAGCACTTAGCCGCGCTATAGAGTCTTCCGCTGAAATCCCTTTCCCGTTTTTGAGGGGATATGAGACAATAGGAGTTGTTTTCCCTTTTGTGAACCTCGTGGCCGTGATATTTCCTATAGTTGGAATCCCCTCTTCACTGCTGACGCTATGTGGAGAGTCTTCGGGGGCGGCATTTCGCCAACCGTCCTCGAGCATTTTTGCCTCAAGTCCTGGACTACTCTTGCTGGCCTCGCTCTGTGATGAGTTGTCAGCGGCGGCTACCTTGTTGGGTTTGCCCGCCGGTGACTCAGATATCGGTTTATTGATGGTCAGAAGGCGCGCAACGACCTGGTTTTTGCTCAGCCCTGCGCGTCGTGGCGTCGCTTTGCCAGGCATACTATCAAAGGTCTCCTTGCCAGCTGAGAAGTCGTGATCATAGACACTTGAGCATCTCAAATGCGTCAACCAAGCTTGCTCGAATGTGTTCTCTGTTACCAAAAACGAGGGGCGTAGGAGCTGAAAAGGCGGGCGAGCTGCAAGATTCCGTGAACGTACTTTATCCGTAAATGCGATTAGAAAGGCGACGGAATAAGAAGAGGTATAGGTCGTCTCAAATACAAGGGGCTAGAACATGAATCGCAATATCAAAAAGTGAAGGCAAAAAATCTAGTTTCCGTTAAAGTTAGCTCCGAGTTCAGTTCAGAATGGTTCGAATAAGGTTCGCGTTGCTCCTCAGTTGTAAATTAGAATGCGCGACTCGAACTGACCCACCAAGCGCGTCCTCGGCTCAGGCCACGATCCCTGTCGCGTTAGCGGGAGCCGGAGCCACACTGCCTGCAGGGGGAGCACGCACGTCCCGCTCGACATCAACCCCTTTGACTTGGACTTGAACTTTATTCCATGCAAGTCGTAAACCACAAACAGCCCTGCTAGCAGGAGGCAAATGGTCGCGCCGAGTCAGCCCAATGGCGTCAAATAGGAAATATGCTGCGCTCCCGGATCTGGTACGTTTGCACTTGTCGTTTGCATGCAAACCGAATGCCCGTTAACTCGACGATTCCCAGGATTCCGCACCAGATATCTACGAAACTCCAGAGTTGACCGACGACAACTCCACAGTCCCAGTAAGTCGTGCCGACAGCTTCACCGAGCCTGACTAACTGAAAATAAAGCCCACGACCATTAGGTCTCCTGATGAGTCCGACGATGATGGAGATAGCGCTGCGGCCATCTCGCACTCGCGCCTTCGAATAGACCAGGCCAGGTCCAGGTTCATGCCAGCTGCTGTGGATGCGAGTGATGTCGATTTCTCAGACCGGCTCGATGGGAAAAGGAAGTCTTACAAGGCATCCAGCCGACGGCACCGTATCCTGGACGATGGAACCGAGGAGATAGCCGACTTCAGCGACGAGGAGGATGCAGACCATCTTGCCAGGAAAATCGCCCGGTTAAAGCGAGAGATTGAAGAGGCCAAAGAGGAGTACGGCAAGCAAAAGACTGCCGCAAATCAAGTCGAGGTCGGGGACACTGCCCAGGATGGCGAGATTGCCTCGCTCAGTAAAATACTAGACGAGATGACGAGACTCGACTACACTTTAGCTCCCCGAACTATATCCACAGCCGAGCACCGGGCGACTGGTCCTGGGGAGCAGCCTGCTGAGAGGGGTGATGAAGATGCCACCTATACCATTACCTACGCGCCCAGCTATCACCAGTCACACGCTCTCGCAAAAGCAGCAGACTTTGATCGTCGGCTCGTCATTCTAGAAAAGGCCCTGGGTGTTGGGTCGGCGGCAATGCCAGAATTCGACTCTGCCGGGTTACCACGGGCCATTGTTCCACTTCTAGACTCGCTGCACAAACAGATTTCAACCTTGTCTGAGGCTTCAACCTCATCCTTGGACAGCATTAGCCGCAGAGTCCGGAATCTGGCACAAGAGGCCGAGATCCTCGAGAAGACTCGCCGTAACGCTAAAGCTGCTCAGGACGCGCTTGCTTCAACAGGTGCCGCCCCTGTAGCCGAGGTGCCGTCTGTCGAGGATTCTGAGCAGACAGCCAAGATAAACGCCCTGTACGGGACAATACCAACGATTGAGAACCTAACCCCACTCCTACCCCCTCTGCTCGACCGTATACGGTCTCTACGGATGATTCACGCCGATGCGGCAACAGCATCCGAGACCTTGGCATGCCTCGAGGCGAAGCAAGCAGATATGGCGGGCGATATCCAGCAGTGGAGGGAGGGCTTAGAAAAAGTTGAGTCGGCCATGGGGGATGGGGATGCTGCCATGACAAAGAACATGGGCGTCATGGCTGCGTGGGTAAAAGACATCGAAGCGAAGATGGCGAAACTGCATTGAGCACTGCACAAAGATACCCAATTGCAATTAACGTACTCCGCAATACGATTTATCATTTCTTTACTAAACACGAGTTCTTGTAACCACGTTGGCTACATGCTTTGCAATTTTGGCGAGGGTTTAAATCACGATGCCAGAATCGAAGAAGCTCCACAAGTCAACCAATCAACGAGCTTCGTCGGGATCTCAAGAAGAAAAGGACATCCTTGCACCAGCTTAAAATTTCAGATCTCCTTTTTCCTTTCACTTCCTCCTTCCACAGCTGCTACAATGGCACCACCGCACCACGCAAGAAGCTGCCCAAGCTGCTCTGCTTCACATTTTGTTGCTGGAAGAACTTGGTCAATTGGCTGTCAAGCCAATACGACCTGGAGCCACCACCCAAGAATCGTCGAGTCTCGTGCACAAGGGCGCTTAGTTGCGCCCTTCCAGCTTGCACGTGATGGGCCCTTTGAAAATATATCAAGCTGGAGTTTTTTATCCTCTCAATAACACTAACACATTCCAGCACAACGAACAAACAGCGCAATCAAGAACGTAAGTCCAGTCTCCGAAGCTTTTTTTCTTCTATTTTACCCTCCGGTGTGTGTATGAGGAAAACCACTGCATTAACTACTGAATTCCATTGATGTTTTATTTAATCACCAAGATCTCTGACTTTCCACACACGAACTCTTCTCTTGCAATATCAGCTATCCTATTGTGTTCTTGAAAGGCTGACATGGAATTGTTCCGCCAATCAAGCTTGCCTAGTTTTATGCCATGGCGTCGAAACCGCCCAAAGGCCACTTCAACGTGCTGTACTTTGCCAGTGCCGGCTCGTATACGTCCAAGCAGGTCGAGGCGCTGCCGGCGCCGCTGCCACTGAAGGACCTATTTGGCGCACTCGAATCGCGATACCAGGGCTTTAGGGCGAGCGTGCTGGACAACAGCTTGGTCACGCTCAACCTAACGTACGTGGACATGCTCGAGGGCGACGAAGACGAGAGCAGCATCGTCATAATACAAGACGGCGACGAGGTCGCGATCATTCCTCCAGTCAGCTCGGGTTGAAAGGGATGAGGATAGGGGCAAGGTAGCTGCACGCACACAATACAGTTGAATATGTACATGAGATGGATATCAACAACGTGAAAAGAAAAGCCGCTGCGGTCTCAAAGGTGCGATGTGCGTGTTCAATGTCTCAAGGTGCTAGCAAACGCTCCTCCCCGCTACCACTGCTCCCATCACTACCGCGTATATCACTCCTGCTGCGACGAATTGTCTTCCGCTGCCTCTCACGCAGGAGGACCCAGAGCCTCCAGTAGTGCATATTACGCCCCTCCACACTCCACCCTCCCGACGACGGCTCCCGGAGGGCACGGCGCACGCGCCCAACGGCCTGGTAGCTAGCTAGACGAGTAGGACGGTGACGAGCGTGGACACCGCCGACGCCGCGGCCGTCAGGCTCGTCACGGCCGACACCCCGCACCCCAGCGGATTCGTCCGCAGCTCCCACCGCTCCGCCCTGTGCGGGCAAATGTCGGCGTTGTAGGCCGGCGCCAGCAGCGGAACGCGGCCATTGCTGTTGGGCACGCATGACTGTGTCTGTATGCTCTCTCTCTCCGTAAGTTTGGTGGCTTTTGGTTAACCTTTCTGTTGCTGCTGTTGCCTATTTCTGTTCACTAAGAAAGAGGGGGTGCTTTTGTCATCCTGTGTCGTGCTGGGGCTGGGACTGGATCGGGCATGGATGGGAAGTGAGGCGAGGAGACGATGGGTAGTAAGGTGAGGCAAGAGAGATGCGGTGTCCAGGGTGGTGCGACGCAACGCAGGCTAGAAAGAAAAAAAAGAAAAAAAGGGGGATGGCAGTCTCACAAACGGGCACCAGCTCATAAGAAATGAGGCATTCCATCTGAGAACCAATGGAGGGAGGAGGAGGGGTGGGAGCGGCTGATGGGAGCAGGTGCTGTGGGGCTTGCAGGAGTGAGTGAGGACGTAGAAGAGTGCTGGTGTCTCTCAGCCTCATCAACTTTATCGTGTGCGGAAGGAGGCAGCGAGACAGATGAAAGCCAAACAAGAACACCGATAATCTGCCTGGCGAGGCTGTATCATCTCTGGAACTTTGTTTCTTCGTTGTCCCTGTGACCAGCCAAGCTCAAGGTAAGGCGAGTAAAGCTCAAGCAAGGCAAAATGGGCTCTCCCATTTCATTGAATAACAACCATCTACCGATGGAAGAGGCAGAGATATACGCAGATATACGCCATCCATGCGCCCTATTCCATGATATCAAATCGGGCTCGCTTTTGGAAACAACAACATAAAGGCGTTTAACGGCGTTCTTCTCTTTTTTCTTCAAAACACAAACTCTTACCAAATCTAACTTCGTCTTTTTCAAAACTAACTTGCCCCTCAAGAAATCAAGCCTTGACCATGGTCCTCGCCTTCCTCCTCTCGTCCTCGGTAAGGACCCATAACATGGCACCGCCAGGGTCTTCTTCCTCGGCAGCGACGAGCTCGTCCCACTCGTCCTCCTCCATGTTGGCGACCATGAGGATCTGGGTGGTCTTGGCGAAGAGCTCGCGGACGGAGTAGTTGCCCTTTGTGATGGCGCCGACAATGCCGTTGAAATCGCGCTCCATGCGCACGGCGCCATAGGGGCTAGTGCGGCCGCCAGCGTAGCTCCAGACGCGCTTCTCGAGCACGCCTGCTAGGTACCGCGCCGTCCGGTCCAGCACCATGGAGAAGGTGCGCGGCGTCATGAGCCGCGCCACGGGCTTCATGAGCGCGTCCCACCCGTGCTCGAAGCGCCGCGGCACCTGCTCCAACACGTCGTCCTCGTCCTCCTCGTTCTGCGCTGCAATCTCGGCCAGCTCGTCCTCCGTCAGCGTGTAGTCGGCGTCGCGGAACGTGTCCGTCAGCACTGGCCGCAGCCGCGGCTTGATCACCCGCTCAAAGAGCACCGAAATGCCTTCATTAAGGAGCTCCGTAGTTCTAGACGAGAAGGACGTGTTCAGGTTGTTGAGTCGGGTAGCAACGTCCTTGGCGTCGTTTTTGAAAGGGAAAGCCTCCTTGAGGGAGGACTGGGTTTGTTGTTGGGCTGCATCAGCCACGCTCCCGTTGGTTTGTCCTGAGGCCCCCAAGAGGCCCGTGACAATACGGGAGATGTATTCGTTGGACATGTCCAGACTGTTGATGAGCACAATGAAGGCGACGATCCTGTCCTCGGGCGGGAAGCCGCCTTGCACGATAGCTCTGGGATATGACTCGTCGCGCATCTTCCGCTGGATCATGCCGATAAAGTCGTTTCCTAGGAGGGTCGAGATCAATGGGATGACGTGATCTACAACAGCCCTCTGAGATGTGGATATGGATTTGAATATGACCGTGTTGACAATGTACATGACATCGTCAACGGCCGAGATGATGAAAGGGGGGTTGCTCTCAATGTGTCTGCTCATGCTTAGAGACAGCCCAGCCGGCGACTCGTCCAGCTGGAACGCCTTCTCAACCGACCGCCGGATGAAGAACTGGGTGAGCACCTTGTACGGCTCCACGAGCTTTGAAGATACCTTTTTGCTTAGGTTAGAGTCAGTAAGAACATCGGGAATCCTGAGCGGTGCATCTTCAGGTGATCCGATGTCCTTTTCATCGTTAGCCGTTAACACGGGCTGCCGTGGTTGCTGTGAGCGGCACGACTCACCTTGCACTTTGCAGCGAGAAAGCGGGAGTAGAAGAACCACTGGCCCAGTATCGCAGCAATTTCAGTTATTAAACCGTCCACCTCTTTCAGATTGACACCTTCATCCTCGCTATTGCGGGTCTCGTTGACCTGGTTACCCTGAGCCGGAGAGTTGACGCGTGGTGTGCCTCCATATCCCCGGCTCTGCGGCAGGAAGCTCTGCACGAGGAAGGAAAAGGGGTAACTCTTGACATCTGTCAGTCTCCTGGTCACGGCCCGCTCGTCTGTCCACGAGTCAAGGATTATGCCGCCCTGGACGTCAGCCTCGACTTGCAGCCTCTCGATGACCTTGATCATCTTGCCAGCGCCGTAGTATCTCTCGACCAAGCTACCGTGCCCATCGACGATGTCGGCAATGTGTTTGAACAGCCTCGTCAAGGCATTGGCATAGAACAAACCGTCCTTCTTCCCCTGCCCGCCACCCTCTTTGAGCACCGCCCTGGCCGTGCCGGCCACGCCCTGGCAGACATAGAGCCCGTAGACGTCGAGGCCGACATCGCCCCTCCCGATCAGCGGGAACAGCTTGAAGAAGCGAGTGACGCGGGCCCAGTCGCTCTCGGCAGCGGCGCGCTCAAACTCGCGCAGGAACAGGCCACACAGGCTCTCCTTGGACGTCTCGAGCGTCACCCACGGCGGGTCGGGCACCTCGACGGTGGGCACCACGGCGGCCGCGAAGCCGCCGCGGGCAATGTCCTCGGGCACCTTGGCGGCGCGAGCAATGTACCCAGCGGCGGCCTCCCAGTCCTGCGGGGCACCCATGCTGCCGACGACACCGGCCACGCAGGCCTTGAGCTCGGCGACCTGCTCAACGACGCGCAGCGTGTCCTCGACCCGCTGCTTCTCGAGATCCAGCGTCCGCACGCGGCTCGATAGGTGGGCGGCCGTCTCGGAGGCGCCCGCGAGCATGGAATTGCTAATGCCGCGCGTAGCGATAACCTGGGCGCCCAGGCCGGCACGCAGGTTGTCGAGGCGGGCGAGGGAGCGCGAGATGTCCTGCTGCGCGGCGACAAGGGCGGTGAGGCGGGAGCTGAGGGCGGACTCGCGCGTGTGTAGGCCAGCGAGCGTGGCTCGGATCTCGGCGGCGGACGATGCATCGCGCAGCGCGCCGGCAGGGCCGTCCTTTGCCTGGGCGTTCCTCGACGCCGACGAAGCGGTCTTGGTGCCGTTGAAGCTCGGATTAGTGGTGACGGTGGCCATGGTCAGGGCGGGATTCGGCGGCGTGGTGGTGCTGCTACTCTTGGTGGTAGCCAGCTTGGGCATGGGCATGGACGACGACGACGACGAGGCAGTGGTAGCGACGCCATTGGAAAGTGCAGACATCGGTGTTGCCGTCGCGAGAATGGCGGCGCATTGCTACCTACTCTCTCTCCACTGGTTTCTGGACTCGTGTGCCCCGCGACAGCGATAGGGGGTCACTGTCACTGAAGAGAGGCTGTACGGGCAGCAGCTGGGAGATGCAAGCTGCCCCACTTGCAATTGAAGTTGACACGCTTGCAAGCTTAGCTGATGTGCTGTGCCCAGCGCTGACTCCCACTAACAATTTGGCACGCACTTCTCCAGATATGCATTTATCAGTGCAACAGCAACGTCAATGCTGTTTAGTTGCATGTAATCAAACCTTTCTTTCAACTGAGGTGTCTGCCCGTCCTTCCTTCCCAACTATGCCATTTGGCCTGATTACCGAATTGATGTCTGAAAGATGAAAAATTTATCATAGACGAAAAGCAGCATGAACTATCACATAATTCCGTTCCTCTGTCTGAAAACAGGCCCATTTCTTTGCTCAACTGCCATTGAAACCATTAACACACTCGAGCATCTTTCTGTCCACTTTCCATTGTTAGACACATGTATTCAGAACCAGCCAAGCTGACTATTAGGCGCACCCAACCATCATTGGCCCATCTTCAGTGCCTCAGGGTCTCCTTTGCAGCTCTCAAGTCCTTGGTCTTCTTGTCCAGCATGTCTCTGCGCTCCTTGACACTGGGCGATTCGTCTGCAATGGCCTTGAGCTGGTCGGTAAAAAGACCCATCACCCACTCCTAGCTGAGCACCCCGAGCGACGACTCTAGCCCCATAAGGAGATAGTGGCCCACGGCCTAGCGGTACACATTGTCAACAAACCTTCGTCGCGCCACCTCATAGTATGAGCCGAGGAGATCGTAGATTTCCGCGGTGGCGTATTCTGTGTTGCTCTGCTTCTTCATGGCAGTCCGAATCTGCTCGGCCTTGTACGAGTCATCGTAGAGTGAGTCCACCTCCAAGAGTTCTGCCATCCGGTTTCCGCGTGCACTCTGGCGGTGCTCGTTGAAATAACTACTCAATGTCAGTTTCAGTTACCAGTCTGTGAGACTCGGAGAATCGGAATACACATATGCGTTCAGTGTATAAGGCCGCTTCTTCCGCTCAACCGACATCAGAAATGAGACGTGCTCCATCGCTGCTTTGTACCTCTTCAGGACTTCCTCCAAAATCGCAGACCACAGCTCCTCGCGCACACGGTTGTCGTCACAAACGTCTTCCAACATGCTGGTTATGAAGCAATGGATTGCTACGACGACTGCACTCGCTCGTATAGTCCTTTGCCATGCCTTCCCACTTGCTTGACTGTTCCTCAAAGGCACTTGAGAGCATCGCCCCATTGACATCAATCAACTCCCCGCTGCGAAACTTCGGCTACAAACCCTCGAGCCACTCCATGATGTCGTCTTGTGGGGTTCGGCTTCATAGCTGTGGCTGACAATGTTATCAAGATCGGGAAAGTCATCTGCATCGAGGGCCTCGAGAGCCGACCGCATGTCGTCTGAGGCTTTCCCATTCGCTGTCATCACCTGGCGAGGGAACTTGTTGTCCTTGGTGTTGGATCCCATGTCCTCGAAATTCCGAAGGTGTCGGTTCTTTTCAAGCGCCTCGCCAAAAGTCTCGCTGAGATAGATAACTAGAGTGACGAGTCGCAGCTGCAGGTTCTTCTTGAAGACGCTGTGCTTGGAATACTGCGCGTCAAGGCCAGCCCATACTAGTTCCTCGAACTTTCGAGCTATGCCGACCAAATACATGCGCTGCTCTTGCTCATTCTTTCTCGATGGGCCAAGTTCCTCTTGTCCTTGATTTGCAGCATGCAACACTCTGCCGATGTCTTTCCGCAGGCTAGAAAACTCTTGCTGTGCAATGTGCACCAGGAGCTCCCGGAGGCGTGCCTTCAGCGGTCGCACTCCGACCCTGTCTCGAGGGAGGCTGCTCCACGGTTTGTCGTTAAGCACCTCTTCCCGGCGCTCGTACTCGGCATCTCCATCGCCAGGAGCTCGGCTCCTAACCACGTAGTATCCGAGTTCGAGCTTCTTTCCGAGTCCCTCGCGACGCACAATCTTGCAGAATCTGAGGAAACTTGGCGTGGAAATAGCCCTCAACGTGTTCTTTGTGGGCCTCTGAAGCGTCCGATCCTGGAATAATGCTGATATTGACACGGGACTGAGAATCACGGCGCTGTGTTATCTGCGTCGCATAGCGAGTGCAGAGCCCGCTTCGGCTAGGAAACGGGATTCCCGTCAAGCTCTCCAACAGAGATGACTTTCCAGAACTCTGGTCGCCCACAACCACAAGCTATTTCGAAAATATCAGCATCTCTGTGCGAGAAACGGCCAAGCACCAGAGTAGTAGGCATGCACACCTGTGGCAGTGGTACATGTTTGCCAATGTTCATCTCGCGGGGTCGGTCGATCTTCTGCAAGAGAGCCTCGCTCATGAAAGTTTCGGGCTGCTCATGCTTGTTGCTTGTGAGCTCGACTTGCTTGTCAGCAGTCCCTTCCTGCTTGGCATCAGACTCCATGATGAGGCCGACAGTCTGTACTGTCATGGTTTCTAGGACCACGTCAAAGAAACGTTCAGGAATCTGGTGCTGTGTCGTGGCAACAGCGCGGAAACACCAAGTTTTGCCCTCACCAAACTTGAAAAGGGGCAGGCTAGGAGGCAGGTAACTGAGCTCCAGAATAGGCATGGATATGTGAGGGATGATTAGGTGTAGATGCTGGGTGAGGCCCGAGGTTAAGATAGAAGACAATGAGTTGCTTGGGCAGACCTTCTTGAGTCTGCCTTTCGTCTTAAATGCTTCAAGCTGCTGCGGGAAAGAAGAGAAGAGGAAGAAGGAAGTCATAGCTCAGCTCCCCTATCGCAGACTGCCGATTGGCAATCTCAAAACATACTCGGATAACTCTCGTGAAAAACATGGTCTATCGGAAGGTAGCTTTCATGTCCTCGCTGCCATGGAATGGTATGTGACAAATGAAACAATCTTCATTTGCTGCCGGGGAGGCACATAGAGTAGGCCTCACCACGTACATGCGCGAGGCTGTCGGCCATTCTGCAGCCCGCAAACAAAACCCCCGCCAAGCATCTCATTCGACAAAAGTCACCGATCAATTTTGAGAGGCCCAGACAAATAACCCGAGATACGTGGTGATATTGCAAGTGGCCATTGGTGTGTTGGCGGCCTACGGTCGAGAGAGAGATACGGCGATTCGTAGCACAAAAGTCAAGAGTGGGAAGAAGGAATTATTCTCGCAGCGTTGCCCCAAGAATCCGAGATAGAAAAACTGTGAAGGGATGAAAATAAAAGTGAGGGACTTCCCCCAAGAAAACATGCTACGTCGGGAGAAAGGGGGAAAAGTGTGTGAGCGAGTTCCCATGTTACTCCCGTCGGTACGTAAGCGGATACCCAAACATACCACCCATGGAGATACCTTATCGAATACGATCAAGCAAACACTCCCTCCCTTCTCCAGCCTCCAACATTAACTTAGAAGAGAAGAAAGAGTCATACCGGCATGTGCAGGCATACACGGACTCCCCACATCGGGCTTCCAGATCCGTCGACAAACGGAAAGCATCGAAGACGGGCAAGCCGATCCGGGAACCCACAGACAGACTGAGGATGAGAGGAAGGAAGTGATGGGTAGCTGCTGATACGAGATCTCTCGGTGTAGTATACCTACTTGCCTAGACAGGAAGGGGTGGGAGATGAAATTTCTTTTTTCCAATATGACGAGGGAAACTGAATTCGAAAAAGGAGACAAAAACCCCTGCCGAATACAAACGACTGTCCTTTTTTCGCTCCCGCCTTGGCGTCATGGGATCGAACAACACCAACATTATCCGAATAAACAAAAAAAGACGAAAAGGGATGCCCGGAGAAGATGTCATGCTCGCCCAAAGCAAGATGGAAGGACAGTGTGAAGACGAGGAATCGGAGATCATATGCACGCTAGGTGACAAAATGTATACCTAAAAACTGATGCAGCTCCTATTACTACTCCTACAAATATACAACCGTGAGCACGGGCTCCCTGTAAGCCCCCTGTCTTTTATTTAATCGTCTTTTTACTTTATTTACTCCCGTCCCCTATTACCACTCTCCCGCACAGCCACACACACATCCACAAAGCCATGCCATCATCGTGAACAATCACACAGCCTGGCTGTAGTTGTTACCGAGCCGCTTACGGCCGTACTTCCACCACTTGCGAAACTCGTCTGCCCAAAAGACCGTGCTGCAGAGCACGACCAGAGACGCGAGATCGGAGAGGTAGAGAGCCTCGGTCTGGAATACCTCCTGAAGCCAGGGGAAGTAGATGACGAGCAGCTGGCCGGCGAGACTGAGGGAGACGGCCCAGTTGAAGAGCGTGTTTGAGAAGAGGCCGACCTCGCCGCGCAGGACCGACTTGGACTCGGAGCGGCAGGTGAGGGCGTTGAACATGTCGAAGAGGACGAAACACGTGAACGTCATGGTGGTATCACGGCGCGTCACCAGCCCGTCCTCGAGCATCTCGTGGCGGTAGACCAGCATTGTGCCGACCATAATGATGAAGGCCGACGTGAGCACACGCGTGATCAGTGGTTTCGTGAGCACCGCATCGTTTCTCCTGCGTGGGGGACGGTTCATAACGTCCTTGTCAACGGCTTCGACGCCTAGTGACTGCGCCGGGGGTCCGTCCATAATGATGTCTACCAAGGAGGCGTTAGTAGACAAGCGAGGACATGCTTCTTTCGGGGGACTGGAAGATACTCACTGATCCAGAGAATTTGCATTGCGTTAAGCGGAGACTTGTACCCCAAGAAAGTGCACAGCAGGACGAGAGACAACCCAGCAGCGCTGGTACTGAGCTGGAATGTTAAAAAGTTCTGAATGTTGTTAAAGATGGCCTTGCCCTCTTCAATGGCGTGCAATATGGTGGAGAAGTCATCATCAGTCAAGATCATGTCCGCGGCTTCCTTGGCCACATCCGTGCCGTGCATGCCCATGGCGATACCAATGTCGGCCTTTTTCAGAGCCGGAGCGTCGTTGACCCCGTCTCCTGTCATGGCCACAATGTCGCCGCGCGACTGAAGGGCCTTGATGATTTTGAGCTTGTGGTCGGGGTTCGTCCGCGCGAAAATGGTAGTGTGATCCATGGCCTGGGCCAAGTCCTCCTCCGACATGGCATCAATTTCGTCGCCTCGGAGCACTGGCTTCACGCTAACCTGGTGTGCTGCGTGTTCTGAAGGGGTAGCTACCGCCATGCCAAGCTGCCTGCCAATCGCAACAGCTGTAGTCTCGGCATCGCCAGTGATCATGATGACCTTGACGCGGCCGCGCATCAACCTCCTAATTGACCGGCCAACGCCGGGCCGTGGCGGGTCACTCATGCCTACTACTCCCGCAAACGTAAGGCCCCTGTATTGGTCCTCCACGTTTGACGGATTTGGAGTCCTAGCTCCATCTGTGTCAGGGGTGTTGCTACGAGCCGGGGGCATCGCGGCTCTGCTTCTTGCAGACTTGGTGACCGGCCCGCTGGCAAAAGCCAAGACACGGAGGCCTTGGGATGCCATCCTCTCGGCCGCTTGCAACGCCTCCTGCCGCCGGTTCGAATCCATGACAAACTCGCGGCCGTCCTTGGTGAAGTACGTGTCGCAGGCCTCTAGAATCCTATCGATAGAGCCCTTGATGTAGGCGAATTCCTTCTCGTTCTTGCCGCTCTCGGATCCGATAGTCACGCCCATCCACTTGCGCTCCGAGCTAAAGGGGGTCTCGCTCACACGATGTCCAATCGAGTCGCGGATGTCGTGTTCCTTGAACCGGTCAAGCAGGTCAAGCATCGCAATATCCGTCGGCTGGCCGACCCACCGAGTGTAGGTTGATACATGGCCCCTGCTTTGCGTGGAGGATAGCACAGCTCTCGCAGCCGCCCCGTTCTCGGTGTACTGACGAGCTAGGCGCGCGTTGTTGGCAATGTTTCCAATGCGCAGTATCCTCAGCGTGGCAGGGTCAGGCTTAGTCTCCGTCGCTTCGTCATCAGAGTCAACATCAAAGGCGTCTTCAGCGCCAAAGAACCACATCTTGGCAGTTGTCATATGATTCATGGTCAATGTTCCTAGAAAATGGTTAACAATTCTGGTTCGCCTTGGATTTCCTGGATCTGGCTATACCGGTTTTATCCGTGCAAACCACATTCACCGACCCCAAGGTCTCCACCTTGGGCATCCTGCGAACAATGGCGTTGTGCTTGGCCATCCGGTGAACCCCCAGGGCAAGGGTCACAGTTACGATAATCGGTAGACCCTCGGGAATGGCCGCAACGGCCAGGGAGATGGAGATGGTGAAAATCTCCAGCAAGTTCTTTCCCCGAAGCCAGCCGATGAGCGAGATCAGGCCTATTATGACAAAAGACATCTTGCTCAGCTGGGTTCCGAGTTCATCCATGGATACTTGAAGAGGCGATCGAGGGCTCTCCGTCCCCGAGACGCTTGTCGCGATGGTTCCAAAGTGCGTGTTTCCGCCGGTTGCAAATACGATGCCCTGTCCGTGTCCCGATTTTACCAGAGTGCCCATGTAGGCAATATTTGTTGGACCATCCCCTTTTTCGTTGCCAGCTAGGGGCCCGTTTGGCAGCTGCAAGGTAGCCTCGCCGTAGCTAGGCGATGCAAAGCTACTGCGACCGCGAGCATCAGCAGTTACCCTGACGGGCTCGTTTTCCCCTGTGAGATTGGAGGCGTCAATGGTCAAGTCGGCGGCCTTGGTCACTCGGATGTCGGCTGGAATGCGATCGCCGGTGGTAAACAAGACCAGATCTCCGGGGACCAATTGCGTCGCCATAACCTTTGAAGACGACGCCTCAAGTACCTCTTCCACAGGCGTGGCAGCGCCTGAGCTGTCGCTTGCCTCGGACGGCTCGTCGCCGCTGGCTGGCCAGGTGCTCGAGCGGGCGCTTGACAACGCCTTTGCGTCGGGCTTCCGAACCAGATGGGCATGATTGGGAACTAAGTGGTTCAGCGCTTCTATGGACTTTTCGGAACGGTACTCTTGTATGAAGCCCACGCTCACGACGATTGTCACAGCGACGGTGATGCTGATGGCATCGTCCATGTTCCCCACAAGTATTGATGCGCCGGCGGACGCTAGGAGAAGCAAGATCAGGGGTTCCTGAAACTGCTTGATGAATCGCAGCCATAGTGGCTCAGGCTCTTCATGGGGGATCTCGTTGGGGCCATGATCGCGCAGCCTAGAGAGCGCCTCGGCGGGTGTGAGGCCATGTGTCAGCGAGGTTTTTAGGCGGGCGGCAACTTCGGCGGGCGGCAGGAAGGAGAATTCATCGGTGACAGTCTGCATCAACATTAGCATATCTTGCTCGGGTCGCTACTGGAGCAGACAGGGCGAGGGCGAGGGCGCAACGGCATACCCGTGACTGGGCAGAAGTAGTCGGACTGTGCCTCGGGGAGGTCGACTGCGATCGGTAGATGTCTGGTAGCGCGAGTGTAGGTGTGGTAGATTGCGCTACGTGGGGCTGCAGCTGGTAGAGCGGCAGAGCGTCAGGACTGGGTTTCCGCGTGAACCGGTCCATGTCGACCGGGAGCGGATCGGGGTGTGAGCGCGAAGTCGGGGCGCACGCGCACAGGGGCGCTGGCGGGAATTGAAAGCCACCTCAAGTCGAGCGTCATACAATCATCAGCAGTAGACGCCTGCGCGAGGGTAGGACGGGCTGCACACAGGGGGCGACCGGCGAAGGGGAGGCCGTGAATGAGTGCGACCTAAGTAATTAACGATTGTGAGTGTTGTCGCCTTGGTGCTGGGCAAATCTTGTCGAGGGTTCCGTCTTCCATGCCCTGACATGGAAACGGGCAACTTTTTTTAAGCTCACTGGGCGGCCGGATGGGCTCCTTGAACTGCAGGCAGATGGATGCGAGGGACGGGACCGGACTCGTCGCGCCGCGGTTGGTAGCTTCCCTAATCGTTGTGGAACGTGTTTAATTCAAAGAGCAGGGGTGCATGAGGCTGAAAATCTACTAAGTAGGACTGCACCGGCAGGCTCATGCGCTAAAAGTCCACCGCTGGTCAGGCGCTTTCAGGGCAGGCGACGAGCGGCAGGCAAGCTCAGGAACTGGCAGGAACTGGCGGGATGTCGTCGAAGCCTCCCACCACATGTTCCAACTCCATAAGGTATAAACTCATCGGTTGCCACAGCCGAAGCCAGCAACCCAAATGTCTCTTCTAAGAAGCAGTTGAGAACACGGTAGCGCTAACGGTTCACACTCTGTTAACTCGACCATATGACAACTTTAGACCAGAAGCAATATTCCGCAACTGGGTGAGGTACCTTGCCCAGGACAAAGAACACTGGTATAAGGATACTGTCCAAGTCAATTCCGACCCAACCCAGCAACATAACAAAAGAAACGCAACCAAGGGAAACACCGCGATCGCCAATGACGTTCTTTGTGAGACATTGTATACGCAAACTCGTAACACATCAAGTTAATGTCTAAAAGGGCTGCTCTATATAAATAATATACACTAAATGCCCAACCCAGACCGCGGAATATGGACACGCCTTTGGGGACATTCCGGTTCTGATTCCGATGCTTGGCAAATCGAGTGCCAGAAGCGTCGGACCAAATCCCGACGGGATACAAGACGGAATTGGAGAGTCAAGAGTCAGGCGACCACGTGACTGTTGCCGATTCAGGGGGGGTTGCTAGCGTGAGAATGAGAAGTTGAAGTGTGGCTGGTGGGTCCGTCCGCGGAAACCAAACCCCCCCAGCCTCTCAATTTCGCGCGGCGGGCTTTCTGGATTTTTGCACAGCATCCACAATCACCCGCCCTCTCGACCACTCTCGCCGAGTACCCTCCTCCATCTTTCTCCTCGCGCCCTCGACATTACTTCATCTCGGCCCATCGCCTGTCGCACCTGGTCGGAGCGCATCGCATTGCATTCATTGTGCGCCTTGCTCTTGTCGCCGAAAAACGTCGTGATCTGCCTTCGCTGCGCTCGTTTTTGCATATGACGGCTGCTGGCGCCAGTTCAGGGTCCTTATCGTCTCCCCACGCGCCATTCCCGGCTCCCCAAACCCAAACAACAACGCGCGCCCCTTGTTTACCTCCGCCGCCACCGCTCGACTCGCACCCACCACCCCCATCGCCACCACTTTTAGTCTAATCGCTTCTTTGCCCCGCGCACCGCGCCGCATCAACATCGAGCCATATCAGCAATTGCTACATCATTCTTCGCTTCGCATCCATCTTAATTACCATTCGCAGCCGCTGCTGCCGTCGCCGCCATGTTCTGGTCCGGGACGCTTCTCAGCGCCACCGGCCCTCTGGCTAAGGCATGGCTCTCCGCCAACCAGGAGCGCAAGGTCTCCAAGATGCAGATCTTGCAGCACAACCTGCAGGACAGCGTCGACGCCATCATTACTCCCAATGATGCACCCCTTGCACTACGCCTGAGTGGCCAGTTGCTCCTCGGCGTCGTCCGTATCTATAGTCGAAAGGCGCGCTACCTCCTCGACGACTGCAACGAAGCCTTGATGAAGATCAAGATGGTACGTTCGCTTCCTGATATGCGGTGCCGTGTCGCCTTTCTTTGCTGACTGTTGTATGCAGGCTTTCCGCTCTACTGGAAACCATGATATCCCCGTCAACTTGCATGTTCAAAATAAAGAATCACTAATGCTTCCCGATCGCATCACTCCCTACGACAATCTCGATTTGCTCCCGCCTCCTAATGCAGACTTCTTCGCATCACAGCTCGACGAGGTGTCCGCCACTCCGCTCAGCAGCCGCAAGGGCCGTCCCACCAATCGTGATATCAATCTTCAAGAGGACTTCAACAACAGCCAGTTCCTCCAAGACAACACGCAGGATGACGAAGAGCTGGGTCTTACCAATATGGACGATCTTGATCTGGAGCTAGATTTTGGTATGGACATCGACGAGCGGCCGAGCAAGATGATGCATAAGAGCCTCGTCGAAATGGGCAGAGATGCTCCTGCTGCTAGGTCCATTGAGGACGACATCTTCAGTGAGATGGACATCGGAGGTCCAAGTAAGGATCGCCGAACTCGCGAGCCATCCCTGGGCTTGGATCTTGACTTTGGGGACGGTGTCCAAATTGTCGACAACGAGGGCGACATCCAGATGGGCGACGACGATTTGCACTTTGATATTGGAGACCAGTCAGCGGTGCCTGGCGCCCCTGCGACCCCTGCCATTCCCGATTTAGGTCGTGCCCGGATATCCGAGTCTCCTCTGTCCGATGTGGATGAGGAGTTTGCGAAGGAAGTTGAAATGGAGTACAGCCGCCACATGAATACCGACATGTATGAGCCCAACGACGACCCTACAGCCTCCACCGTCGTTGCTCCTCAGCGAGTCAAGAAGAGAAAGCTGCTCGAGCCCGACGAGCAGACAATGCTCTCCAATGCGCACATCAAGGAGCAGCAGGCCAAGCGCGACAATATCCTCAAGCCACAGTCTTTCCTGTCACACGACCCCTATGTTCTTGGCCTCCTGGATTTGCAAAAGAACGGAGCCTTTGTCACAAACATCCTCCTTGAGGGCCGCAGCGATGGCTGGGCTCCAGAGCTTAAGGGTCTTCTATCTTTCGGCGCCATCCGACCTAATGAGCTCAAGAGGAAGAGGGACAGCGGTATCGCCGATATGGGAAGCGACCAGGAGCAAGGCGCATCCAAGTCTCCTCGTCTGGAGCTTCCAGAAGACGAGACAATCCTGGGATTGGACGGCACCGTTGCTGGTAACCAAAGCATCGCCCCCGATGGCACAATGCTCGATATTGCAGCAGAGGATGACACTCTCATCTTTCACCAGGATGACGAGCACGAGAGGCCTGCATCAAGAAACAGCCCGGCAACACCGGGCCCGGAATTTGACGACACCACCATCCCTATAGTGCACCCCGCAGACAGCGGTCCAGTGTCGGTGGGAACCAAGCATGCCGTCCACATCCTCCGCGATCTCTTTGGTGCTGAGGCAGCGACAAACGCCGACAAGCGCAAGAAGACGGCCGTCGTGTTCCAGGACCTGCTGCCAGAGAATAGAACGACAAAGGCTGATGCCACAAAGATGTTCTTCGAGTGCCTTGTACTCGCGACCAAGGATGCCATCAAGGTCGAGCAGCCCGAGGGTTCCCTAGGCGGGCCCATCCGCGTCCGTGGCAAGCGCGGCCTGTGGGGCGACTGGGCCGAGCGGGAAGCCGGCGGCGAGATCGCCAACGAGCAGCAACCAGTCGACGAACCTGAGCATGCCGTAGCTACCTCTGCCACAGTAGCAGTCGAGGCGTAGAATTAGTCGGCTTTCCTTTGCATTTGGTTGGTCGTATGGCAGGCAAGTAATGATGATGGCTTTTCCGTTTCTGTGTATAGCAGCAGCATGTTTCTGGGGCAGGCATCGTTTAGACGATGCAATGTTTTTTCTTGGTCGTCACACGACCAAGTGGCGTTTGGCGCTCCGGGAAAGACTGGAGAAGATACCACACTTTTGGCGGGTTCGGGTCTGGTCGTTTAAAAATACTCTCTGGGCTTTCCTTTTTGGGAGACGGGGGGAAAGGGCTTACTCTTTGTTTCCTTTCTTCCGGGTTTTCGTTTATTGTGGGGGTCTGGTTTTTGAGTCGCGAAATCCTCGGGCGCACGCATTTATCTTCTTCGTTCCTCCTATTCTGCATAGGGGATGTTGGTTCCGACTCGCCGTATTTGTTCGAGAGCATAGATGGATATCGGTGGGTAGCGAGCGGTCGGTGGTGATAGCTGAGGACTTCTTGTTAGTAATTAGCGCCACAGTTTTTGTCTGCGTTGTCACAGGGAGGTATTGATGGAGTCTAGCGAGTCTACCTACCTAGCTCTCTAGTTTCGGAGGGAGGGTGGAAAAGAAGAGTAGGAGAGGGAGGACGGCCACGCACTCCCATTGTAGGATACCTCTGTAGTACAGCTTAGTACAGTACATTTGACTCACTTATGGGCTGCATCTTTATCTTTTGAGTGCCTTGTGATTGTGATCGTCAGGGTGTTTTGACGTCATGTGTACTGTGATGTGATATCAGGCTTCGTGTGGTGAGGAATGTATGATGCGTTCTCGGTAGGGGAGGTAATGAGTGAAGTAAATCGATGAGTGAGGCGAAGTGAGGTAAGAGGAGGGGGGTTAAAGTGAGGTGAGTGGGAGGTAAGTCGGTTTCAAAACATCGTTTTCTTGCTCGCTTAACTTGAAACCATTTCTCAAATGATATCTATGATGGCCTCAAGAGAAGCAAGTTATGGAGGGTCGTGTGTCATGAGTGGTCGAGTGAGATAGTCGTATAAGAGAGTAGATACTGTATGTATATTCATTTTCAGTTTAGTCCAGTCTGAAAAAGGTGAGTGTACCTCTCACACATGAAACAGCTATACCCAGAGAAAGGAGACATTTCAACATCCAGCTCTTGTTTTGCCGCGCCAAATTGTATATACGCTGCTGACCATTTCACGGCAGGCTGACAACACTCTCAAACATGAACGCCATAGCCAGGGAAAATACAAACTCAATTTCCAGTCCCGTTTTCATCGCGCCTTTTCTTTTACTACCTGCCTACATATAGTTCCCAACCTAGTCTATCCGTCAGATACTGGTGGCTTTGGTCATGCTCTCGACCACGGCCAACTGGTCCTGGTCCTGGTCGATTCCCGCATACTTGTTGATCCATCCAAGAACTTCTCGATGCCAGACGAACGAGTTCTCCGGCTTCAATACCCACTTTGTTGTTTGCGCAATAACTGTCAGCACGAAGATAAAAGAATGCTTGCCACAGGGAAGTGGATGGATACAAATGATATAATATATAAAAAGGGGTAGTGTCTTACATGGTTCTCGTCGGGAAACATCAGCAACTTGCTGGGAATCCCCTTGGACTGCAGAATGTTGAACGGCGAAAGGCCCTCGGTGATGGGCAAGCGGTAGTCGAGCTCGTTGTGTATGATCTACGGTGGCGGCAGCGAGACTGGGTTAGCTAATACGGGTGGTGATAGAAAACTAAATCATACAGCTCCAGATACATAAAGGGGGTCAAGCGGTGATAAAGAAACGCAGGTCCAACGTACTAACTGTGGCGTCGCCCACTCATTGACGAAACGGGCTGGGTCCCACTTCTCGTAGCCGGCGCGGTTGTCGTAAATGGTTCCCTCAAAGTCGTGGATGGGGAAAAACAGCTCCTCGCTGGACCACTGATTTAGGGTACTGTAGACGCCATCGTGGCAGACGAGCGCCTTGAACTTGCGGCCGAGGGGGTGTCCTTGAATCCAGTCTGCAAAGCCACACGCATCAGTCAGCAAGCAAACGGGTTCCGTTGCCCCTCACCGCCGTCACTTCCTCTCCCCCCTTTGTTGAAGGTCTCTCAAACATACTAATCATGTACCCGCCATAGCTGGCCCCAAGCGCCACCGCCCTGTCGATATCGACGTAGGGCATGTTCTCGGCAATGTACTCGAAGCACTTCACCAGGTCGTCGTAAGGCCTACCGCCCCACTGGCCCTTGATGCCGTTCTCAAGCGCCATGCCGTAGCCGGTGCTGCCCGTCGGGTTAGGGCAGACGACCACGTAGCCCTGTTCGGCGAAGATTGCGGGATTCCATCTTGTGCTCCAGCTGTCGCCCCAGGCTCCCTGCGGACCGCCGTGGATCAGAAAGGCCAGCGGATACTTTTTGCTGTGGTTGAAGCTCGACGGCCGCATCACAAGCGCGTGGACGTCGTAGTCGCCCGCGCCCTTGAACGTGATGTCGCCGCAGCTGGAGCGCGATAGCCCAAACGTCTTGCCCTGCTTCGAGATGGAGGAGATGATGGTTGCCGTGCCGTGAGAAGGGTCCACAACGCTGAAGCAGCTGTTGTCGACAAGGGAAGAGCTTGTCACAAGCAGCTTGGAAGAGCCATCGGCAAGCTGGCGCACAGCGCCAACACTGCCGTCGGGAGACTTAAGGACTGAAGGGAGATCCTTGGCATCAGCTGGCTTCGCGGGGAGGCTGAAAATCAGAGTGCGCGCAGTCTGCTCTGCGGTAACAAACAGCGAAGCATCGTCGGCGCTCCAGATGGCGCCTTCCGGGCGGATGTCCCAGCCGCCCTCTCCATCGTCGGTTGCGTAGAATTCCTCCACTTTTCCAAGGTCACTGATGTCAGGTAGCAGCAGGAGGCGCGGTTTGTCGCTCTCGTACTGCTTGTTGCGCATGCGAGTGAAAGCCACCTTCTGGCCGCAGTGGGAAAAGGTAGGGCTGTTCGTATAGCCTTCAAGGCCAGGAGTGGTAACGATTTTCGGCGACGGGGGGCTCGACTCTGTGAAGGTGGTCAAGGGCACAAAGTACAGGTCTGTCTTGGTGTAAGTAGCAGGGCAGAGTTTCGGGTCCTTGGACACAAACACTAGCCCTGCAGGGCCAATGTCGAAGTCTCCAGAGCCGCCAAAGGGTGGCACGGGACACTCGAGGTCTTGACCAGCCAGGGCGTTGACGAAGCCTTTGGCAGCGAGCGAATACTTGTTGCCACGCTTCTCCAAGGCCGAGTACCAGACAGAGCTGCGGTTCTCGGTAAGCCAAGTATCCCAGTGGCGCACAAAGAGGCTGCTGTAGACTTTGGCAGTAGAGTAGGGCTTCTTCTCTCCCGGGTTGACCAGGCGACCTTCAGGGGATGCCAAGGCGGTGAATGCGAGGGCGAAAGACCCATTGGCGAGTTTCTTGACCTTGATGTTGGACACGGCGGCATCGATCGAGGCAAGTATGTAGCCACTGGAAAATGTGAGTAAAAAGATCTTAGACCTAAGCGGCGTAGAGATGAAGACTGGCTCACCCGGTAGAATGGGAAGATGCCCTGGTGACCAGCAAGCTAGTAGTGCCCTCGTCGTTGCCCCTGAGGTAGAGGAAATCGTCATCGCTGAGCCATGTGGGCTCGCTGATGCGCTCTTGCTCCAGCAGCAACTGGGATTGGCCCGACGTAATATCTAGCACGGAGATTTGCGAAGTCTTGCTGTGACTCTCAAAAGAGTAAGACGACACCTGCCAAGAACAACAATCACTACATTAGTGTCCATGTGTCTGGCAGTTCCTGTCTCACCTCTCCGCCATGCATTCTGGGCATAGACCCTGGAAGATACTAGTTAGCTTACCGTGTAGAGTGCTCGCGTGCCCGAGGGATTGGGCAAAGCCGCCGACCGGCGAGGAGCCGAGAGGAGCACCTCGGGCGTGAACTTGGCCGCCATGAACGTCATGACTGTAGAGTGTTATTCTGTTTACGTGTCTTGTTAGGTATGGGAGGAGCCACACATCAGCGCTGGAATACCGACGGGAGTTATACCTGAGGTTCCTTTTTATACCTAGGTAATCCGATGAAGCTCGGCAAAGAGGGGCACATGCCTCCGGGAGCTCGAGCTTCCACCTCCAAATCATGCCGTTGCAGTATGCCATCAGTACCAACCCCGCACTTTCGGCCATGTGGGCCTATGATGAATACGCAGTGTTTACATACAAATAGTAGTATCAGATACGTATGGGTTTCGCGATTGCGTGCATAATGCAGCTTCACTATTCTATATATTGGCCAAAGCTCTCGGTGAGAGGGTTACACTGTACGCAGGTAAGTTGCCCGGGTCTTGCAGTCAAGCCGGAGAGTCAACCTGTCAATCGCAAGCCGGGTCCCAGGAGCCAGCCAGTCAATAGGAAGGTAGGTAGGTGGCAAGCCAGCCTGTCGCCCTCAGCCTGTCAACTGCAAGCCAGTTGCCAGGGCCCTTATCAATTGCAGGCACGCCCATAGCAGACGTCAAATTGATGGTTCCAATGAGATACCACGCTGCCCTCGACATGGTCATACAACCTACTAGCTTCGTAACCCTTTGGTCGGCCCTTTTCGCAAACCAGAGACCCAGTCAGTAGGGGATCCATATCAACTACGTATACAATTCCTCAAGACTTCCACGTTTACATCGCAGCCCCGGCTGCAAAAGAAAATAGGGGGCACCATCAGGACTCGGCGGCACCATCAGCTGGGCAAGCTTAACTCCCGGAAACGAGCATCACGGCTTACAGTCACCCAGAGAGCCATTACAGCTAGACAAGACCAAGAACCGTTCAAAACAGAGTCCCATTGCGTGAGCGAGGTGATATATGCTGATCTCCAAACAAAACAGACCCCTCAAAATGCTGTTAAAAAATTCCCTTCTCGGGAATCTAGAGACACAACACAGCGTCAGCAACATGCCCCGAATATCAGTCTCTCCCTAAAACCACCAAGGCAATAGGGTGCTTCAAGTACGAACGAAATAACAGGAAAAAAACGTACCTCTAGATATCCTATAAGAACCATGACTTCATAGCAAGACGCTTCCTCGATCCCACCAGTAAAAAAACACCCCGGTGCCTCGAACGCCGTGCCCAAACCTAACCCCCTCCCCCCCCCGCCCCCTAAAATAATCGTACTTAAACCCATACTCTCATTAATAAAAAAACAGAACAGGCAACGGCTTCACTTGCGCACCGCCCCAAAGTTGGTCCGCACTTTCTTGGTCTCGCGCGAGTCCGTTTCGCTGTCCTCTCCGCCACCGCCGGCACCGCTGGTCGAGGCCGCAGCAGCAACCGCCGCCGCGGCTGCAGCCGTAGCAGCGGTCGCGCGCTTGCCCTTCTTTGACGCATTTTTGGAAGTCGCGGCCGTGGCCGAAGTTGGCGTAGGCATGCCGCCTGAGGCAGCGCCGTCCTTGTCCTTATTGCTGAACGAGGTTGACAGCGGTGTGGGGGCGTGCGACGCGGGCGTTGAGACCGGAGTTTGCGCGTCCTGTCGTTGTCCACACTCATCAGTACAAGGTCTTCGCCTGTCCCTCTCCCTCTCCGTCTCCGTCTCCGTCTCTCTCTGTACTCCAGGGAAACGAGGAAAGAAAACTCACTGCGCTCGAGTTATACGACGTCGAGCTGCGCGAGAAGACACGGTTCGCGTCCGTCAGCCCCGTCTTGCGCCGCGCCGACGCCGCGTTGCCTGTGCCCTTGGTGTAGTTGTCGAAGCCCGTGATGATGTTGCCGCCGGGCGTGTTCTCCAGGTACTCGGTTTCCTTTTTGTAGATGGAGTCTTCTTGCAGAGCCTGTGTGTTTTCCCCTCTGTGTCAATCAACGAACCCAATACCTCATTCCTACATCCTTTTCTATCCTTTTCTATCCTTTTGCGGGGGCAAAATAACCCTCTCTGGGGGAAAAGAGGTAGTGCCACGGGCGCACTCACGATACGCTTCTCGAGCGTCCGCTTCCTGGCAATGAGTTCCTTAAGTCGCTGCCGTTGCTTCTCGTAGAATGGCCCGCTGGCCGTCGTGTCCGCCGCGCCGTTGCCCGCCTTATTGGGCGGCGCGCTGTCTGCCATCGGGCGCGTGCGGTTTGCCGTCGTGCTGTCGTAAAGTTGTGCGCGGTTCGATAGTTTCCACGTGGTTACGGCGACGCCTTGATTCCTCGCTCGCTAGATTGTGTTGTAATTGTTGGAGAATATATTTTCATGTGGTTTCCAGTTTGGAAGTCAGGCAATCAGAGCTCCAGGCAGTCACTGAACCTAAATGGGGAGGACCCCACCTGTACGTATAGTACTACCTTATAGCCGGCCCAGCTCTGCGGCAGGTACAGATACCTATCCACAGCGCACGGGCGCAACATCTTGGCCCTGTGGGCATCTAAATATCCGCCAATCAAGGCCCAAGGGGCCCCTGAAGATACTGGATGAATTGTCTACACACAACCTAAACATCAGGCCTTCTGGAACACCTTAAGGTACGGATACTCTAAATGAAATAGGCACTCTAAGAAAGCATGCTTTAGCGTGGAAGTAAAATGTAAAGAAACAGACACTAGACGGTTGACAAAAGACGACTAGATGGGATGATTCGTGGTTGATTTCATCCTCAGTCAGGGCGGTGGATCCTACCTACCTACCTCCTATTTATCCGTACAGCTACATAGACAAGACTTCAAGAGCCAGCGTGCTACCTGATACACAAACCTACCTCGTGGGCAGGCCTATCGAACGTCCACCGTTGGGGACTAGAGTTACATATACCAAACAAGGCAAACCGAGCTTGTGGCTGCCGTGACAAAAACCAAAACAAACGCCGTACATGCCAAACCGGGTAAGATCACACACTCGTGGTTGGCGCCCAAACCTCCCATCTATATACTCTGTCTGGTACAAGAGTACCAAGAACGGTGCCCTGACGAGGTGGTATTCAGATAAACGGAACCAAGCGGTTGGGGTTCTCGGAGAAAAGGGGAGTGGTCTCACAAAGTCCTCAGCTCGAATCCTGCTGGAACAACACGCAGTATACAAACAATATTGCAACGCCATAGTGATGCCCGTAAATCTCGCATAAATGCAAGTAGATATAGAGAGAGCTTCAAGGACGGTTAGCCTCAGCATTGCCAGGCTCGCTCTTTGAGGATCTCATCTTCTTGATTCTCGCCTTGAGCTCCTTCTCGCGAAGCTCATTTGTTACTTTTGCGTTCTGCCAATCGTGGTCAGTTCATAGGCCAAGCATAATCCGCTCGCCTAGGATTACTGTCGTACCTGCTCAGCAGTTGACGGCCGGGCCCCGGCGTGGGAAGATCGAGGTCTGTCTTCGACGCCTGAAATATCAGCCGACTTGTTCTGCGCAGAAGAATACGATGATGCAGAGGGTCGACGAGCTCCGTCATCCGGACTGCGACTACCCCATGAACCTTGTCCACGTCCACGCCGACCCATGGGGCCGCCACGAGGACGGCGAAAAGGGTCGCGCCGTCCCCTCGATGAACCAACAGGACTCCCACTACGAGTCATGCTGCGACGTCCATTGGCCCTGTATCGGTTCTGTGGGGGTGAAGCTGGCGAAATGCTTCTGCTATCGCGCCGAGGCCTTCGCACTGGACTGCGACTTGGAGATCGGGAATAGCGAGAACGCGATGAGGCCGAAGATCGAGACCGGCTGTACCGCTTGTTTCGAGATGTAGCTGGGCTGCGACTACGACTCCGGCTCCGACTACGCGAAGTTGAGTAACGGCGACGTTTTGGCGATCGAGATGCGCGGCCAGAGGATGCAGAACGAGAACGGTCTCTGGGTCCGCGGTCGCGGGGAGGTGATCTGCGTCTCTTCGGTGCTTCCCGGTTGACTGGGGGAGACGGGGATCGAGGTCTTGCACGGCGAGCTCGAGGGGTTGGGGAACGAGAGATAGATCGTCTGCTGCTGGCAACGCTTGGTCGTCGAGATGGCGAACGGGAAGAGGCTGAATCCACAGATGGCGAGCGAGTGCGAGATCGGGGGCGTCTGTCCTCATTCCGTCCCCCTGCACCTCCGGCGCGACGGAATGTCGGGCTTCCTCGAGGAACATATGTGTCTCTGAAGCCACCGCCGCCGCGGGGACCTCCGCGGTCTGTATGGTCTCGCTGGTCGCGATAGCGAGGCGGCGAACGTGATCGGCCACCACCGCCACGGCCTCCAAAACCACCTCGGTCTCGGTCGTCACGGCGTCCGCGCCACGAGTCACCCCCACGCCCAGCACCACGACCGCCTCTACCACCGCGGTCTCCTCGGTCACCTCTGTCTCCACCTGAGTAGTCCCGGCGGTCTAGCTCCTCGCGCCGCTTGCGAGCCTCTTCGGCAGCCTTGTCTGCTTCGATCTGAATTGTCGTGGTTTTCACGGTCAGCTTGGGATCTTCAAAGACCGAGAGCATTGAGAGCTCGATCTTAATTTCGCGGGTAGCAGTGGGGGGAGTCGAGTGAGAATATCGAGAATGTTCAACCTTTTCTTGAAGAAGCTCTTGCTTCTTCGCCTCTAGGAGCTCTTTTGGCACACCCTGTGGGCTGGCTTGTGCGCTCAATAGCAGCTTCCAGAGTTCCTTGCAGAACGGCGCCGTATCCTTCTCGAGGAAGCCCGTCAATTGAATCTGGAGCAACTTGATGTCCGGCTAAGTGACCAAAATCATTTGATTAGCTTCCGATCAACCAGATAGCAAGCGTACGCCCGGGCGCAGGGCAGAGGGGGAGGAGGAGAGGGGGGCAAAAACTCACGTTTCGGACGCTCTCGAGCAAGTTGAAGATGAGCTCGATGATTACATCGTCTTCAGTGCCCAGGATTTCGGTGACCCTTCCAGCAATCCATCTAGGTATCGGGAAAGTGGTCAGCAAAAGTTGAACACCCAAAAATTGACGGGCAGGCACACGAGAAACACGAGGTACTTACTTCTTCATCACTCCAATGTTGACCTTCGTGATGTCGACTTTCTGATTGAACTCGGCCGGGAATTTCGTGCTCTTGAGCAATTTGAGGTCGACGCCGGTCGCCATTGTCGCCGGCGATTAGGCTCGCCGAGCGAGCGTGTGCGATTTTGTGTTGGTCAGATCGGGACAAATGTGAGGGCAGCAGCAGCGACGGAAAAAAAGAGGATGAGGAAGGCACTTTCTCGAAGAACGGAAGTGATGTCGTCGGGTTGCGGCCACGCGAATGAATGTTTTATGCGGGGCCCTAGTAGGATGTGGAGACGCGTAGTGGGGCCATGTCTACAGCCGAACCAATGAAGAAGGAACATAAAAACGGGAGCCCAGTGAGGTGCACATGCAAGCGGCCAGGGCTTAATCACAAACAGGGGGTGAGAGCTTTCTACCTGAAGAAGAGGTCACATCTCGTTCACTTTTCAGATCGGTCTCAAGCTATCCATGATAAAGATAGAACAAACCCCAAAAAATACTAAATAATAATCATTTTCGTTGTCTAGTTTCATTTCACTTCGAATTTTGGGAAACACGATATTACAGATTCCCGGATAGTCCAGATGGACCGTTTACTCATCTACCTACGATACTTACCTATACTACTTGCCCAGAGATCACTATCATAGAATCACACAAGAACCTCAGCTCCACAGAGATATACGCTTGTAAAATTCGATGATTTGGAAGCATGCCCAGCTAGAGGGCGTATTTTACACGCCCCCCCGAGGTCATCTAATGAGCTATGAACGTAGTTGTACAGTACAATGCGCACACCGAACACCTCATAAATCAAGACGACAAGAACAGTAACGAAAATAACCTCATGTACTCGTTGCCCCCAATGCCAGGACAGAAATGAAGAGATAAAGAACCTCCAACAGCAGCCCTTCCGTATGTATCTGCTCTTTACTCCTTATCCCATTCATTCACCCGCCCTTCCCAGCTTCCATTATTCCGTACCCATATCCCATCCATACCGTCCGTTAGCCCCGTTAGTCTCTGTATTGTGCCATGCCCAATGCGGTACAATGTAAATAAAAATAAGAAAAGGAAAAAAAAACAACGTCGCCATGATCGAGGATAACTCATAAAAAAGGGGATGTCCGTCCGTTCCACGTCGTTTTTGTTTAAGGCCGTAAGAGACAAATAATGTAACCTCAACGATGCAAAGCAAAGCCACGAAATTACCGGACCCAGAAGTAGGAAAAAAAACTGTTACCATCCCAAGTGATGAGTGGTGAGTTTGATATGCCGGCCATATTCCGTCTCAAGCTGACGACTTGGGGTAAGCGAAGCGGCTTTGACGACCCTCAGAACTGGAACCGCCGCCGCCGCCGCTCTCCCTCTTCTCGGCCTGCTGCCGGGTCTGCTGCAAGGCCAAGATCTTTTCCCGCAGCTTGTTGAGGCTAGTGTTGTCCTGTTCCTTGAGCTTGTTGCGTATGTCGTACAGAGCCATAAGGGAGTTGGCGCGGTCGACATCGTCTTCGGGCTGTTTCGTCCAGGCACTCTTTAGTATATGTTGTTCTGGGGCGTGGCAGATGTGATCAAGGAGCGCGGAGGCAATAGGAGTGTGGTAGTGGCGCGTGCAAGTGTATGTACAAGTGTCTGTAGATCTCGCTCTGCTCTGGGCGCTGCTACTGACCTCTGCTGCCTCTCTGCGCGGAGTGCCAGGGATCGAACCCTGGGATGAATTGGTTCGAGTCATGGGTGGGGTCATAATGCGACGTCCGAACCTGTCGAACTTGGCCGGCGACGCCGTACGCGAGATGATCGACGACGTCGAGCCCACTCGCTGGTGATGACGCTGGCCGGGCCGGACTGGTGCCTGGTCTACCCCGGTCGACGACATCTTTGTCGGATCCGATGCCGCAGCCGGAGAGCTTGTTGGACCGCTGAGTGCCGCTGCCTTGTTCGCGTTCACCAGAGCGACGGCGGCTTGTGCTTCTTGCTGTGGATCAAGAAAGCAGAGGTCAGTAACCCGTTACGTCATACCCGATCTGTTTTCTTCTCGCTTCCAGCTTGCGCTGTCATGAGAAGCAAAAAAATGAAAAGAGAAAGGCTGTAAACAGCGCACTACAGCAGCTCTAGGAAAATGTGTCCTCAAGACATACCGCCGTGTTCAGATCGCTAAGGTCCGCCAGCATCTGGGCGAGTTGAATGCTCTCCATCATGACGACTATCCCTTAGGTCCACATAGAACGATGTACGGATGCTGATCTGTCAAGACCATGTAGTGCGCGCGTGTCGACTTCGTAGAACTAAGATCACCACTCGAGAGATGTGGTTCGGGAGGCGCGCATGCAACCGTGTTCGAAGGTGTGGTGGTTGGACGCTTTCCGATATTGGTCTTCGGGTTGCCTTGCGCGAATGTGGTATTTCCTATGTGCGGCGCAATTCCTTGCCTGGGATGTTGAGTATTGTTGTTTTGACTTCTCGATATTCCCCGGGTGAGGCGAAGGCGAGGTCCGTAGATTTATCGCTGTCACTTATTTTTTCGTAGAACGTCGAAGGTTAAATGATGGCAATCCAGGGAGGCGGTGGCTACCATTTGTTTGATTATCCATGGGTTTGCCTTTGTGTGGGGTTTTCCCGCCGGGACCGACGGTTGACCCTGCCCCATTCAGGCAGTAATTACAGGGCAGGCACGCTATGGACGGTGCTGAAAGACTAAAAATTGCGTGGGGTTGGTCTTCAGCGACCTGTACTTTTAGACCCCGCATTTTCAGTCAACCCCACCTTTGAGGCTTTTATGGGACCTGAGGTTCCCGGAGACGCCATGTGCCTTGAACGGTGATCCTAAGTGAGAGTGCACGGGAAGATGGATTCCCTTTTCGAGCGACGGGTGACGTGATCAGATTCACCTGCTCATTCGGGTTGCTCCGTATCTCGTTGATGGTGCACTACCTCGCAATGATCTAGTGACCCTCCAGTCTGCTGGATCTCTAGTCATTAGTGTCATCATTAGTCTTCCCTACTGTACGGATACCGGGCATTAATTGCTGGGGTCTCTTATTAGTGGGCCACAGTCTTAAGAGGCGTCGGCGTTTAATAGGAATTACGCTCGGAGGCGCAGAGTTCAGACCGGACGAGCAAGCGTTCTCATTCACAAAAAGGTTGCCGGCACCTTCTTCTATTTGCCGAACCGCTCAGACAGGATTGGGAAGCATTGATTGACCATCGCAAACTTGGGACTCTGCCGTCTCCAATTCGACCCCCAACTTTTCTACTATCGTTTTAATTACTTATAAGAAGGCGTGCACCGGTCGATACCCCCCTCGGCCGACCTCGCTACGATGTCACTATTATTCCAGAGAGGCCTGGCAACCATGGCATCGCTCAAGAAGGCAAGCAAAGTCGTGTGCATTGGCCGCAACTATGCGTGTGTAACTATGTTTTATTTTCCGTTTACCTTAATTGCCTTATCCTTTGGCCCAGTGTCTCGGGTTTTTATATAGCTGCCCCGGGTGACAGTGTCTGAGCTCTGCAGGTGCTGACTCGAGTGACCGATATGCAGGGACCACATCGCGGAGCTGAACAGCGCGCGGCCCAAGCAGCCATTCTTCTTCCTTAAGCCGCCCTCGTCCATCCTGCTTCCCGGAGAGGGCCCGGTCATCCGACCCCGGGGCATTAACCTCCACTATGAGGTCGAGCTTGCCCTGGTCATCGGCAAGCGGGTGAGGGACTTTGATGCGTTAGACGAGAAGGCCGCCCTGGACGCCGTCGAGAGTAAGCATTGAACACGTCCCTCTTGAGTTTCTGGCCCTTCCGCTGTTTTACTAAAACGGAACCCGTCCAGGCTACGCGCTCAGCATCGACATGACCGCCAGGAACGCGCAGAACGAGGCGAAGAAGAAGGGCCTCCCCTGGGACATCGCCAAGGGGTTCGACACGTTCCTGCCGCTGAGCAAGATCATCGCCAAATCGGCCATCCCGGACCCGCACAAGATCGAGCTGTACCTGACGGTCAACAACGTGGTGCACCAGAACGACTCGACCGAGCTGATGCTGTTCCGCATCCCGCAGATCCTGGGCGACATCTCCAAGGTCATGACGCTCGAACCCGGCGACATCGTCCTGACGGGCACCCCCAAGGGCGTCGGCGCCGTGGTCCCCGGCGACGTCATGCGCGCCGGCATCAGGATCAACGGCAAGGAGCTCGAGGAGGCCAAGATCGAGGTCGCTGTTGAGGAGTCGACCAGCTCGTACGAGTATGCCGAGACATGATTCTCACCGTTCGTGCTGGAGAGGTGTTGCAGTGCAAGAAAAGCAAAACATGAAATGGAACTTTCTATACTTTGTATTTCGAGACAAGCCATAGATTTTAAATCACAATAACTACATGATATATATGTAGCATGCAAGAACACTCATAAAAGATGCATCATCGTCCACCAGCCGGAACCTTACTCGGCAACGCCGGCCTTGTTCGGGTCCTGGATCGATCCAGGCCTAGGGCACCAGTCGGCCAGCTCGCCGCACTTGGGGCAGGTCCTGCTCTCGTCGCTGGCCTTGAAGGCCTCGACGGCGGCCTTGATCTGGGTGCCGAGGTCGGTGCAGTGGAAGGCGGCCTCGTGCACGACGGCGCCGCAGCCCGCGGGCCCTTGGCAGTACCACCGCATGCGGTCGACGGAGCCGGCGGGCCGCTTCTGCTCCAGCACGACGCCCACCGTGTCGGCGAACCGCACCGGGTTGTGCGGCGTGTTGGCCGGCAGCAGGAACATGGCGCCCTCGCCAATCACGATGTCCCGGAACTCGCCCCCGTCCACCACCTTGAGCAGCATCGCGCCCCGGTACTGGTAGAACCACTCGGGCGTCTCGTTGATGTGGTAGTCTGTCCGCGCGTTGGGACCGCCGACGATCTTTTTATTTTCGGTTTGACAACTGTGTTCAGTTTCTCGTTTCGCGGTTTGGAAGCAGGGGAGTGAGTAAGAGGTGAAGGATATTTACATGGCTTGAGGAGTATGGTTTGATTGGCTCCGTTCAGTGACAGAAGTGCAGAAAAAAAGGGGGACTTACCATCACTGTGAAGTCGTCATTGTAAACGCAGTAGTTGTTGATGGGCGGCTTCAGCAGGTGCGAGTTCTCCTCGAGCCTTTTTGATCCCGGGGACACGAAAGTTAGAAGACGGCTAATGATGCAGCGAGCTTCAGACGAGCCTTTTAGGCGTACCATTTCGGCAAGTTCACAGGCGCCGAGAGCATCTTTCTTGCCCGATGAAGCGTCTTCTGATCTCTTGTTTTAAACCCAGTCTCTCGTGGAGTTTTTTCAGTTGGGCAAATTCACTTGTCCGGCTAACGGCGATCTTGTTGCTAGGTTCAATAGCAGGGATTATGGAGAATCCGGCGGGGGGATAAAGTTCCCGTCCTTTGGTACTCTTGGGGCCCAGCACTAGGGCAAACGGGCTCAGTCAGAACTCCAGAAGGTTCGTTTAGAGAAACCAGCTTGGTTACGGCGTCAGGCACAAAATAAGCCCGCGTGGTCATTGGTAATGTCTATCTAGGCCCTCCCTCCTCGCCAAACCGCCTCTTCGCGCACCCGCACGGGGGGATAAAACAGAAAAGAGATGCCGGGAACAACCAATGGCACCCCGCCTGAACCGATGACGCCTCCCCCCCGAAACGGGTAGTTACGGCGGGGTGGCTGCGTTTAAGCCCCCTGCCCCATCTCACATCAGTCTATGCACGGGGCTCATGGATGGAGTGGGCGGGCCGCAGTATGGCCCAAGCTCTTTCTTCAGGGGGTGGTGCGCAAGTATCTGACAAGTGAGGTGGTTTCGATTGGGCGACGGGAATGAGGGTTAGCGTTTCGCAATCGACGAGCAAGGTTGCTTGATGCCTTAGTTCGAACGCGTCCGTAACCATCAACCCTTCACTCAAGCATCGCAATCGCATTCGTATATATACAGCTACGGGACATCATTATCATTCCCTCGATCTTTTTCATTTATTCTCGCGACAGCTTGACTAGATAGAGGCGGAAAAGATGGACCACTCGTCGCACGCTCACCACATGGGCATGGACCACCATGCCGAAACCGAGGCGGCGGCGCGATGCAGCATGAACGTAAGTCTCACTCATCACTGCAGACGTCGCCACACACTTCAACACAAACTTCAACACAAAGACAAAGTCAAAAAAGCATGCATGGCTGACACTTACTACAACAATTGCAGATGCTCTTCACGTGGAACACGGAGAACCTGTGCATTGTGTTCCGGCAGTGGCACGTCCGCTCGACGGTAGGACTGATCTTCTCACTGCTGGCCATCGTGGCCATCGGCGTCGGCTACGAGGCGCTGCGCGAGGGCATCCGCCGGTACGAGGCCGCGGCGAACAAGCGGGTCGAGACGGCACCTCGTGAGTACCCGTCGTCTTGTTTGTTCTAGTTTCCCCTCCCCCTTTTGACTATCCATCCATCTCCCCCTGTGTTCCTGTTCAAATCCTAGCCCAATAGTCAAGAATGAAAATCCGTGATCGCTAAGCTCGTTGAAACCAACCCTCTTGAAAACAAAAGCCCCTGGATCTATTACTGAGAATACCCCCTTCCTCGCGGCAGGTCAGAACAAGGATGAGGTGACGCGGCAGGCCCATGTCATCAAGGCCGTGCTGTACGGGGTCCAGAACTTTTACGCCTTCATGGTGATGTGAGTTCTCCTTCTCTGTTTATTTGTACGGTCATTAGGTGTTGATTGTGCCCTGTAATTGTTGACTGACTCTTTCCCCCTCCTTTCAAAAAGGCTCATTTTTATGACCTATAACGGCTGGGTAATGGTTTCTGTCTCGGTGGGAGCCGGGCTGGGATATCTGATTTTCGGCGGCCGCACCCCGCTCACCAAGGAAACGGCGTGCCACTGAGCGGGCAAGCGAGGAAGACACCAGCTATGGGGCCCTGTGAGCTGGCCGAGATGATCCCGAGATACTTCGTTACTGAGTACCAGGAAGCTGCTACAAGACCATGTTCGTGTGGGAGTATGGACCTGGGTCTGATGTATGTGTGTATTTTACTCATGACAGCAGACAAAACCCTTGAAATATGGATGGGTGAAAATCGTGACCCAAGCTTTCCTCACGCCGAATCTAATTACCAGAAGTATTACATCTTGGACGCGTCATTCGCCATCTTGATGTCATCGGCTGTTAGCACACTTCCGGCCTGCTTCTTGGGGCCCAGCCGGCCGAGCTTCTCGAGCCCGAGAATCAGCCTCTCGTCGCCAAAGTGCGTGTTGTGCTCAAACTCGGGCCGCTTGCCGTACGCGATGGTGGCCGCGTCCACGAGCATGCGTGCCGTCATGCCCCAGACCTTGTACCGCCCGACGGCCCCGTCTTCCACCACCTCGCCCTCTTTGCTGACCTGCTGCTGCTGCTGCTGCTGCTCCTCCGCGTCCAGCCCGTCGCGGATCTTCTTGGGCGGCGGGCTCGGCTTGGGCTTGGTCACGCGCTGGTCGTGCACGGGCACGTAGAAGAAGTGCATCCGCCACGGCTCGTCGTGGTAGTTGGTCCAGCTGCCCTCGTACCACTTCCCCGGCGGCAGCGGTTTACCAGGGCTGCTACCGCTGCCGCTGCCGCTGCCGTCGCTGCTCGGCTCCTCGTCCGCTGCCCGCAAGAAGTTGTGGAAGGGCGCCGAGAACACGGCCGCCACCTCCTTAGCGTCGAGGCGGGGGATCAAGCTTTCCTCGGCGGTCGTGGTTGCGGTAGCAGCCGGGTTAGTACCGTAATCAGTAGTGGTGATGGCGGTGCCGGCGGTAGGCACCGGCGGTTCTGTCGTGTGCAGCATTGCCACGCACGGCCGCACCGCAAGCTCTGTCCTTGCCAGACTTAGGGGCAGGTAGCACAGGTGCTCGATTCTGAAGGGAGGCGGGATCTTTGAATCGTCCATGGGCAGGCCGATTTCTTCCCATGCTTCGCGGCGAGCAATCTCGTCTGTTTACGGAGGGCCGCGGGCACACAGAGGCCGGTGATTAATGCTACGTCTCAGAGGCGGGATGAAGGAAGTGGCGGGAGCAAGAAAAGAGAAAATGGGGCGCCATACATGGTGATTCCTCTATGCTGTCGGCTTTCCCTCCAGGAAGCGCTGCGTGTCCTGTATGGGGAGGTCACATATCAGCAACATGAGACGGGGTAGAGAGGTCTAGACCGCTCACCTGAGAAGCTGCGCAGGCTAGCGGCGCGCATGGTGATGACGACGCGCAGGTCCCCCCTCCGGTCGGCGTACAGCAGCATCAGCACGGCAGCGCGCCGGGTGACGGGAAGGCGGTCCCATAGCGGGAAAGGGGGCGGTCTGAAGGCCCGCAGTCGGGCGATGGCGGCCTGATCGGGTTCACGGGGTGAGTATTTGCGGTCTTGCATGTAAAAAACACACAAGGTTTGGGAAATGCAAATAAGGGGGTGGGTGGAATGAGGCGGGAAGAAAGGGGGTAAGTAAGTGAAGGAAGCAACTGACCGCTGAGGCTGCATTGAGCGGGGCCATGGTCGACGCATCCCAGTAGTACGAGCTGTCGTCGGCCTCTCCCTCGCCGTCAACGTCCTCGCCGTCGTCGCCTAGCGGCTCGTTGTTGTCTTGGGCGGGGAGAACAACTTGGGCCGCCGAGCTCAGAAAGTCGCGGATGCTCCGGACGAGGGTATCGCCGTCGTCCTGGTCTTGTGGCTCCTGTGGCTCGCCGTCTAGTGCTCGGCTCTCTGTCGCTGTATCAGTGTCCTCGTTGCCCAGCTGCTGGATAGGGCCGCGCATCTTATCTGGGGACGACGGCCTCGGTATCGCACAGCCGGTTTTCCGATAGCAACCTATCTTATGTACAGTGTACCTTGCTGTGGCAGTGCGGGCATTTACTGAGGTAACAGCTAACCAACCAGCTGACCGGACGATTGACTGGGAGTGCGGGGAAGGCTGTGATGGCGAAAGGGGCCCTTGGAGAGAGAGTGTGGGGTTGCGGGGGTGACGTCACAAGATTGAAGATTGGCAGTAAAAGGGGTGAGAAAAGGAGAAAAGATTCGAATCAAAAAATTGGGAATTGAGTCAGTCTTTTTGGTCGGGGGGGCATCTAGTCTATTAGACTGCTGCGATATCTGTACCTTGGTTGATTGTGTACGTGCAAATGGAGAACGGAATGCGTGTTTACCAGGCCCGCATCAGAGCCGAGATGGCATTCATTGGTTGAAGATAGGGGCGCGCTGCAAACAACAACCAATGTGTGGCTGTGGCTGAACCTCAGGACCCGACATTCTATATCGAATTCCTTTTTTGGCCATTTGTTATGGGGTTCATGCGTACAGAGAGGAGCTCCTTGCTGAGCACTGCAGACATTTGCAGTACCGCTGAAGCTATTGTGAGACAACCTTTCGAGTCTCGGATAAATCACCAAATACGTGATACATACGCCTAGCTATTCTTCTCTGTTTTTTTTCCATCTTGACTACTAGTAGTATGTCTTTTTCTCCTTTTTTCTTTTTGCCTCCGCCCCTCTAGACCCACCCAGGCCCAGGCCCCAGCCTCGAGGCGGAGCTGGGCAGCCGGCGCGGGCCTGCTCGGCCAGCTCGCCCGTCTTCTGCGCCAGCGACGTCATGCTAGCCATGGCCCCCGGCAGCGAGAAGGGCAGCGCCGCCAGCCCCGGCAGCGAGAAGGGCAGCGCCGCCAGCCCCGGCCAGTCGTCGCTGCTGCTCTGGCTCCTGCTTGAGTAGCGCCGTGTCGTGCTCTGGCTGTGGCTGTCGTCGTCGTCCCACCCTCCCAGGTCCGGTTCGGGCTGTTTTTGTTGTTTTTGTCTTTGCTGCCGTCGTGGTTTGCTTCCAAGAGCTGTATTCTGTTTGCTTGAGCCCGAAGAAGCGGCAGTCCCAGACGAGGAGCGCTTTCCAAAGATCTTGGCCATGAGAGACCGCCGCTTCGATCTCGGGCTTTTTGTCGGCTCCTCGTCGCTTCCGGCATGTCCGTCGATGCTGCTATTGTCCGAATCGTATCTGGCTCTGCGTTGACGCCCCCCGAGGGAAGGTGATTCCCGGCCGCTGTGACGACGCCAGAGCCCAAAGCTACCTGTGCTGGTTTCCCTAGACCTGGACTCCGCTGCTGGGAACCGCGATACCATTTGCGGTATGTTGTGGCCGTTGTCTGGGGGCCCAGGATATCTCGGAAGCAGGGTCGAGGCAGACATGTGCGACGGGGTGCCCGCTAGTCTGCCGCCGCCGCCGCCGCCGCCGCCGCCGCCGCCAGCGCTTCGGCTGCCAAAGATGCTGTTGCCATCCTCGTTCCTCAAGTGCGGCCCTTTCAGCAAGTCGGGTGTCATGGCTCTGCGTTGATATGGCGGCGCACGCGGTATGGTCGGGCTGGTCTGGGCGAGTTGGTTCGCGAGCTGGGCCGTGGTGGCGTGATACAGGTCTTGTTTGTATCCTGGGCCTTCACCGCGCCAGATATCGCTGGAGCACCCCCTGAACCAGGCCGATTCTTCATACCTTGGTGGGTACATGGGAAACTGTCCGCCGCCCCTCCCACCAGTGTTGGCACGGTCCGGTATCTTAGGCCTCAGGGGCAGGTTCAAGGGGCTTGGGACAGAAGCCAGGCTGGAGCTCTTTGGCTGGCACGAAGTGAGGTAGTTCAGAGTTGGGTCTGAGGAGTACCCCCTAAAGCTGTTTCGCGGGTCGGAATCTGGCGAATTCGCGTCCGAGATTGTGTTTTGACTGTAGACGCTGCTTCGGGTGCTCAACGGTGACACGGGGGCCGCGTCTCTGGACCTCCGGTAGGGCTCACCGGACGACACGTCCATTCCCATCAGCTGCTTGACCTTGTGTCCTGGATTATGTCCTGACGGTACCGTGGGCGAGAGGTTGGTGACGGTCTTCCGGCCGGTTAGCCGCAGAATCTTCTTCAAGGCCGATCTGGGCTGCGGGTACAAAACGTCATCAGGTGGCGTGTTTGGTATGTCGACAGCTGTTTCCACCCTAGGCTGCTTTGGCCTCAGCATCGGCCTCAGCATCGGCCTCAGCATCGACCTGGGCGGCGGCGGCGGCCTCTCTGGACGTGTTGTCCGATTCTTATTACCCGTGTGCCTGTCAAGAAGGACAGAAACTTCCTGCTCCTCTTTATCCCAGTTGATAACTTGACCCCCCGACCGGGGCTGGCCGTAACTCGCACCTACTGTCCCATAGGGCGTCTCAAAGGCCTGGTTCATCTCCTTGCTGAGGGTCGACGTCAACGAGTGCCGCCTAGTGGTGGGAAGCGGCGGCAGCGGTTTCTTCCCGTATATCTGCAGGTGTGCCAGCGGGGGAGGCGACAGCGATGTCGTTTCCGTGAGGGTCTCCCCCTCGGACCCCCTAAATGAAGATACGCTGCTAGACGCAGTGCCATATTTTACCAGAGGCAGCCGCTGCTTGTCCATCATGAGATTTGCTTTCAGACCGACGCTGACTTCCCAGTGAATTTGCAATGAAACCTGTCTCGTCGAAGAATAGGGAGAGACATGTCCTCGAGAAACTAAGCGAGCCGGGGCCGTGTCGTTTTGTCGACATAGAGGACGCCTCCATCAAGGATCTCGAACAACCCGTCCAATGGTCCAATTCACGGGGACCAGCGGGCTCGCCGACAAAGAACTTGGCGGCATATTGCTTTCGCTTTCGCTTTCGCTTTATCGTCAAGTCGCGTACTGGTCATGAGACGAGCGGCACCTCCGCCCCCTCCGCCTTTGTCCGTCGTCGCGATGCGCGCTGAGCCAACACAAAGAGTGAAACATGGCGAACACGTGGTGTGACGGCGACAACAATGATGCCATCCTTCCAGAAAGACCCGTATTTAGTCTAGAATAGAAAAAGGAGTATTGTAGAAGGGTGCAAATGTTTAAAAAGATTGAAAAGGCAAAAGGCAAAAAGCTCAGGCCCGGGAACACTTTGGTTCGAACCGAAGACCTTACGAAAACTGATGGCCTATCTCCCTACCAGCGCAGGGGCACGGCGAACGTTTTCATAGTCGCGAGAATGCAGCAGGGCGTGCGCACCTCCAGACCGCTTGACCAAGGCGCCTCCTTGGGGGCCCAACTTGACAGATAGTGCTGCAAAACTGACCCATATACCTACCTCCCGTAACAGTACAGCCCTCCTCGTATCGTCACGGCCTCCCCGTACCGAAACGCTCTCCCCGTCCCATCTCCTTCCTCCCCTTGGGTTCCCCAGGCTCCCTAGCTCCGTAGTCTCTTCCATTTTCGCGCCCGTAGGCTGTAGATGTTCTGCGCGCCGTCGCCCCCAAAATAGCGGTGCAGTGACTCCCATAAACCTGACACCTCACGAGGCCGTGCAGTTGACCTTGTTGGTGCTCACCACCACCACCACCACAAGTCAACACCACACTGGTGGTCAAAACACATTCAAGATGCAAAAGAAAACAACTGGCTGAACAAAAAAAAAGCACAACAACCAATATTGATAACACAGCTCGCCTCTATTATTAGATCTTTTGTAGATAAAATGTCTTGGGTATGTGACGCGCAAAAACATGGGAGCCTTCTATATATCCCATACATGCCTTATCCGCCCCGTAGTGCAATGCGCCATTCGCTCATCGTCCGCAATAACGCCAGCCTAATATCTTCATACACATGGCACACGCGGCCAAGCACTCGCTGGCGCAATACAATACCTCTCATCTATCCTAAGAAGCGACACGTGCACACGGCTATTGTCGTGTCATGCTAAGTAGGGCGACCTGTTCAGCGCAAATGAGCGGGGACTGGGAGGCGCCTAGTCATCGTCGTCCTCGTACTTGCTGCTGCCGCCGCTGCTGCTCCCCCCTAGAAAGTCGCCTAACAGGATGTCGTCGACGTCCGGGCTGGAGGGTGAGGTCCTGACCCACTCGGTCTCGACGCGGAAGAAGATCCAGACCCAGCGGCGGAAGACCTCGAGGAACTCGACGACGAAAAGCGAGCTCTCGAAGTCGGTGATGTGGTCGAAGCGCGGGCTCAGCTTGATCATCCATGGCGCGCACCGCAGCACCAGGTCCAGCACAATGACGGCGTAGTAGACGGCCGGCTTGTGCAGCAGCAGCCGCCGGCGCAGGCCGAAGGGGTGGTCGGGCGAGTTTCGCTGGCGGTTGCTCGAGAAAAGCGTCAAGTCCCAGTCCTTGGCCACGTCCCAGTAGAAGCTGTACAGCGAGTTGACGACGCAGGCCCCGACCCAGGCGCGGTAGATGCCGGCGCCGGCGTTTTCACGGTTGCGCAGGAGGGCAGCCAGCACCAGCACCGGGAAGGCGGTCGAGTACTTTGCCGCGTTAGCCAGGTGCTGGCCGCCCCAGCCAACGCTTTCCTTGTAGGGGGCGCTGCGCACGCGCAGGAACTCGATCAGGCACTGGCGCAGGCGGATGGCGCTGGGCACGGCCATGAGCAGCGGGACGACGACGGTGCCGCCGCACCCGCGGTCCGGGCGGGCTGTGGCGGAGCCGTTGCGCGTCAGAAACATGCACAGGCACACGTACAGGTCGCCCAGCACCTTGGCGTAGCTCGTCAGCACGTCGGCTAGCAGAATGTCGCCAAACTTGCCGTCCTTGGGCTCGGCCAGCCCGCCAATGCTGACGCGCTTGAGCGTCTGCAGGGCCCGCCGCCGCCCCGTGTGCGACACGGACAGGCTGTGGAGCGGGATGGCGAAAAGCACCGCCAGCACGAGTAGGTTGGTCATGGGCAGCCAGTCCCAGTCGATGACGCGCTGCGGGTCGCGGCGCGTGAACAGCCAGAAGGTGGCCATGGAGAGGCCCGTCGCGATCGAGAGGACTGTGGCGAGCCGGTACGTCGAGCCATGGTGGGGGAGCTGGGCCGTGCTCGTCCGCCCGGGGTAGCGGATCAGGGAGGGCACGTCGATGCGCCGGACGTGGAGGAAGTGCAGGTTAAGGCCCCATCCCCAGACAGCTATACGACACACGATACCGCCCAGTCAGCGCGACTCTATTCAGAGAGACACAGAGAAGGGGGGGAAAGACTACGAACCAAGCACGATGATGGAGGCGACGCGGTAGGGCAGGGGAAAAGTCAGGCTGAACGAGTCGAGCGCGGGCTCGACCGCAGCGTCACCGTCCATTGCGCCAATCCTCCAGTGCTTTCCTCTGCTTCATCGATCCAGAGAGGGCTCTAAAGGGGAGGCCGCAGGCGTCTGTTTGGATGCGCAACGTGTATTAAAGTCTAAAGTTTTTTTCGATCTGAGGTTGACGTCCCGTTCGAAACGGGAAAATTACTTGTTCCCCCTAAATTACCTTAATGGTGTCGTTGTCCCACCTTGAACCCCCCGGCCCCTGCACTGCACCTTTATTTCTGGGGAACGTCAGCCGCACTAGCGTAACGTGGCTCTGCGCTAATCCGGTTCAGCAGCCCGCCTGAATGGATCTTAGCAGGGCCAGGGACTGACATGGAAGTGACCCGAGGCTCAACCCATCAGCTGCCGAGCCGGGGCGTCTTTCAACAAGTTCCTAGTTGCCCCCCTACTCTCGTCGTCACGATGCGCCAACAGCAACAACACCAGCAACAGTGCCAGTGATAGGCAGCGACAAATGACATCGACAGCGACGGTCATCGTCTGCCTACTATAAATGCGACAGCAAGAAATGTAAATCCCAACAGACAGGCGACTCCAGAGAGAAGAACGCACAATCTTAACTCCAACTCCAACCCTAACGCTACCGAACGAACGAACGAAGAACAGACGCACACAGACACACACACACACAATGACCACCACCGCCCCTCGACCACCGCCCCTCACCGCCTCGCCATACCCCTTCGCCGCCGCGCCAGACATCATCCGCGCGCACCAGAAAGATGCCTACTTCCAGGGCGCGCTGGCGCAGCAGCTGGGCGACGTGCACCGGCGGGTGTGCGGGGCGCGGTCAGCACACGCCTGGGCCGGCGAGACGCGCACGGCTGCCGATGCCCTCTACTTGGCGCTGACGACGCTGCTGGGCAACCGTACCCTGGGCGAGGAGTACTGCGACCTGGTGCAGGTCGAGGCTCCGGCCAGCAGCAGTCCTCAGCACCACGGGAAAGCCGACGATGACGATGACGGGACGGAAGGAGTGGGACAAGGAGGGCCGCGCCTCCCCTCGCTCGCCCGCCGCGCCGGCTACATTGTGTGCAGCGTGCTGCTGCCGTACCTCGCCGGGCGCATGCTGCCCGGCGTGCGCGGGGCGATGCGCCGGCGGCTGCAGGCTCGGCTGGCGGTGCTCGCGGCGCGGCAGCGCGACCGCGACCTCCACGGCCGCAAGCTAAGCGCCAAACCCAAAGCGTCTCCTAGCCTCGAGTACCGCGTGGAGAGGTACCTGCTCACCCATCTCACGTCCCTCACGAGCGGGGCGCACCTGCGCGCCGCAACGCTGGCCGTTTTCTACTTCACAGGCGCGTACTACTCGATATCCAAGCGCCTGTTTGGGCTGCGGTACGTCTTCACGCGGCGACTGGACGACGGGCACAGCAACCCCTCGGGTGCCGGCGGCCGGGCCGGGTACGAGGTGCTCGGGGTGCTGCTGGCTGTGCAGATGGTGGTGCGCGGCTATCTGCACGTCCGCGAGCAGCTGCTGGCGGCGGCGCCCGCGCCGTTATCTTCGCACCCTCACCAACAGCAAGAGGCCGAGGACTACGACGATCAGCAAGACTTCCGCGAGCGCGCCGCGCTGCCGTTCGACGCCAACGTGTCGCTCGACGAGCACGCGTACAGCGCGAACAACGAACTGCTTGTCGACCCCGGCGGCGGCGGCGGCCGCGGTAACCAGCGCAGCCTGGCGGCGATCGGCACCACGACGCACACCCCCGTGCCCCGGGGCGAGCGCGCGCGCTACGACCTCAGCCGTGCCGATGCCGTCATGGGGTGGATCAAGGGCCGGCAGCAGCGCAAGTGCACGCTCTGCCTCGATGAGATGAAGGACCCGGCGGCGACTGGCTGCGGCCACGTCTTCTGTTGGGCCTGCATCGGCGACTGGGTGCGCGAGAAGCCTGAGTGTCCGCTGTGCCGGCGCGAGGCCATGGTCCAGCATATCCTGCCGCTGCGTGCTGCCTGAGGCCGTTTTCCTCTCTGGTTTTACTACATAATATGCCAGGCACGGTAGCTGCGCGCCGCCGTGCTGCCTCGCTGTTCTCGGGCGTGCTGCCGTCCGAACAGGCGACGTCTTGTCACAGAGAGGGACGACTTGCGGAATGGATATCCCCTCTCTCACTCTGTATATAGGCAGTAATATATATACCAAACATACATACATGCCCGCTGACAAAAATGGTAGCTAGCCAGTCAGTTTCACGGTTGATCAATGAACAGACAATACAGATCACAAGATTATCATGTCTAATATGAAAAAGAACACGTCTGCCATTATAGGAGCCGAGCCCTTCAGCCCGTTGCGGCCCTCGTCAAAGATAAAGTTACAGAACGACCATAACAAGAACAACAAGAACAAAAGCTGAGTCTGCTAAACAGGATAGAAGTGGGGGAATGAAGAAGCAGAAAAGAGAAGGAAAAAAGGCAAAGCTCTATCCCGCGCGCTCTTCCCGAGCTTTGTCGTGCGTGTGCCCGGCTGTCCGTCTAGCCTTCCATCTGTCCGTCTGTCCGTCTGTCCGTCTGTCCGTCTGTCCGTCATCTGTCAATAGCCCATTCAATCTGATCCAAAAAAAAACTTGACGGCAGCAAGTGGTATACAAACAACAACAGTCTCTAAAAAAAGGAGACGCAGAAAAGACACAATAGACCCTGACCGCACTGTCTGCCCACGGCTGACGCGAGGAAGAGAAGGGCCGGGGATCTATAACAAGAACATCCACGCCCCTTGTTGATGCCAATGCCGATTAGCTTCCGAGAGTTCGTTCACCAGAACCTCCTCAATTTCAAAAACCCCATACACACCTACCCGTCTAGTAGTTTGTTAATATATCACACACAAATCCGCGACAAACAACATCCGCCATCCCACAAGGGAAACAAGACAGACAGTATGTGAGTTGGGTGGGGCCAGAAGAGGAAAATTGGAAGCACAATTCTCCTCCTTACTTTCCCAGCCAACCTGCTTGCCAGCCTACCACCAAAGATAGTAAGCAGCATGTCCGGGACCTTTCGGACCTGGAAAAGCAACGGGCCGAAAACCACCACACCAGACAGAGCTTGAAGGGATAAAACCCCTTGAAAGGATGAGACCGAAACGGAATTTCAATGAGCCTGTCCCGAGTATTAAAAAAAAAAGCCCAAACGCCGTTCTAAAACAAGATGAGTCTTCGACTTTGCATCCCGTCCAAGAGAGAGAGAAAAAAAGAGAAGCCAGAATTAAGCGTAACAGAATACACAACATGGTTGCTTTGCTGAGCATGCCCAAAATGCATAGGTATCATCAGGAGAAAGAAGACAAAAAAAACCATGCCCACACATCATTAACACCGATGTGTATGTCGACCCAGCCCCTTCCCTTCCCCCTTTCCCTAGCCCCTACCAAGAAAAGGCAATTTATCTTGCTTGCTTCAGACGCTGAAAAGCACGATCTCGCCCCTTTCGTTCTTCTTCATCCGCAATGATCGCCAGAGCTCCTTCTCTTCCATCAGCTTGCTTAAGCTGGTGCCCTCGGCGGTGCGCTCCCGATGAAAGCGCTTGAGCGCCTTGTTCATGCTGCAGCCACGATCGCTCTCTGGGCCTTTGTTGACGAAGCTGAGGAAACGCTCGGCGCGTGGTTTATATATCACCATCTGGCCACTGCCGTTGTTGCCCTCTTTGCTGTCCTTGGCTCCGGATTGGTACTCGATAAGCTTCGCTTCCTTGGCCCCCTCCAGACGCTTGGTGTGCTTCTTCTTGGTCGACGCAGAGGTTGAGCTCGAAGTCGTCTGCTTTCGCTTCTTGGTCTTTGGCTTCGAACCCGCAGCCAGCATGGCCATCAGGCTGTTGCTAATGGTGTCTGTCCGGCCAGACTTGTGGTGCTTCGAGTGTTTCGACTTCTTGAGCGGGCTAGCCGGCGTCTCTGCGACATCGCCACCAGAGTAGTCAGGCGACGGCGGGAAGACAGACGGTCTGCTCATCAGTCGGTTCAACCCACCCGTCAGTCCAGAGTGTAGAACCGGGGGCGCATCCGTCATTATTTGGTCAGTCTCGACGTGTAACCTCTTCCGCTTCTTGTCCTTCTTTACCTCCTTGTCCCCATCTCTCGTCTTTTTCCGTAGCGCCTTTGGCGCGGGTGTCTCGAGGTTAGAAGTTGGTACCGGACCGGAGCCATACTGGACCAATGCACCATCCTCTATATCCGATAGATCTCTCTGGCCGTTGGCCTCGTGGTTAAAACGGACTAGCTGGGTCTCCTCGCTCAGCTGAGCTGGGGGAGCCGGCCTGATCAGAGAAACGCTAGAGGCAGTTGGCGTCGCAGTGGCGACGAGGAAATCAAAGACGTTGACCGAGTCATCGACGGCAGCGGGAGGGGTGGGCGCCTCGGGGAGAGGGCCTATGGTGGATCGGTTGTCGTCATCGCTGTCCTGCTCATAGTTCCGCCACGAGTCGAACTCGTCCGGGAGATCTTCAACATATGCTGGCTGCGCCATGGTCTTCGGTGTTGCTACAGTGGCCGCAATGGACGTGGTCTCGGTGGGTGCCGTCTTTGCTTTCTTGGGACGATAGAGGGCGCCTTGATACTTTTGATCTTCCGTCATGCAACTCTAGACTCTCGAGTAAGCGGGGAACCAGAACCTGTCTGTCCCGTCCCACGTCGTGTGACGGAGACGGATAGGAAGGTCGTACCGTGTGGGTGCGATAATCTGTGCCAGGAAAATAGACCATACAATCGATGCAGGTGAAGGTGGCACCGTGGCAGCGGTTTCGGTGCGGGTCAAGCTTCTTCTTGGTCAAGACGTCGCCGCACGACTATTAGGGCGGAAAAGTAAACAGTTAGATGGGATAGAATGAACTGTACAATTGGACATGAGGGAGTGAAGCAAGATAAAGAGAGGACGGCGTTCTCATGACATTGGCAAAGCAGGAGGGAGAGTGACAGGAGACCAAAGCAGGGAGGGATCAGCCTGATCAGACGGGGAGGGGTGGATGGCAAAGGGATGGAGGGGTGGTGTGCCAGGGCTGTGGCCTGTTGGTCGTGACCCGTGGAGGTGGTGTGCGGGAGTGAGTGTGTGATGTCAGTTAAGATTGCGCTGCTGGGGTAATGGGGGGTGTGCAGTCTTATAAACACCCTTATTAATAGGGAGGGGGGTAGCCATCAGAATCGGGGTCGAAAGGCACCGGATCAGGGAGGCACAGCAGACCACTAAGGAGCGGCTAGATTCCCGAGGAATGGGGAAGTTATGGACAAGGCGGGGGACGGGAATTGATTGCAAAAAGCCCTCGGGAGAGCCTTTTTGGAGATATGAAATACTGGGTAAAAGAAACTGGAACTGGAACTGGAACTGGAACAGGGACAGCAACATTACCTCGCACGAAAAAGAAACCATGTTGTGCGTGGGGAGCGGGTTGTTGTCCTGTACGGAATACTGCAAACCGTTCCAATTGGCCCGGAGTATGCGAGAAGTGAAGCGAGCTGCCGGCGTTCGCTGACTAGTGGTTGAGTGCGGATCGGTTTGTTGACGCAACACCTTCTCTCTGTGGCTATTTACCAGATACCAAGGCCGTAGATTGCTTCTAACTGGGCAGGAATCAAGTGTCTGTTCGCTGCAGTTCGCTGCGACCAATCGTGGTCAAGCGGGCAAAGCGAGCGAACGGCGAAGATGGATTTGGCACGGAGTCTCTGAGAAGGGAAGCTCAAGGTAAAACCGGGGGCGACGAGATGGGTGGCGGAGCGGGTGTACGAGTATCGCATAGGATGGAAGCCCAGACCAGCACTCGTCAAACAGTGCAACTGAGCAAGACGGACGGACTAGAATACCCGACTTGACTGCAGCGGCCGCGCTCGGGAAGCCTCTTTCTGTCAGGTACGAACAGATTGCGGCGCGGGCGTTAGGCTATGAAGACAGGCGGCGGCGAGGGGCTGAGTGCGTGTGTGCGGCGGCGGCTGACGTCGGACCTGGACTCGTCTTGTCAACAAGGTGGGTTTTGGGGCCGTCGTTGGGCACCGAATAGTATCAGACCGAGCTGACGGGCAGCAGGCGGCGAATGCCACTAGTCAACGACCAGAGGGCTAACTACCTTAACGGGTCTTAGGAAAGATTCCGGTTGCACGGGCGGCGAGTCTGAATCTGGCAAGGCTTCTCGGTCAATGCTGTCGGCCGGCTGAGCTAGGCCCTGGAATGTAGTGACTCGCAGAATTTCTCTATGAGAAAAATTTCTTGAAAACTGCTGGAAGATGTTGTTTGGGCGTTGATGCATGGCTAGCTTTGTTGATGAGGTCGCGGTTTCCTGCAGCCAGACTGGCTGGCCCACAGTGTGGTGGGTGCAAAGCCAGCGGAGCAGCCCGCCGTCCCGACTCGCGATTCCGAATTGGGCCGTTGGTTGAAGACATGGGGGGTGCGCGGGTAAAGTCGCTGCGGGGGGCGTGGATAGAGGAAGCACAATCCTGACACGAAACCAGAGTGAAGCGCGTTAATGGTTGGTCAGGAGGCTCCCAAGCGCGTTTCAATTCATTTAAAAAAATAAAAAAAAAGAAGCCAATGCCGGCAGCCAATTGCTGCACGAGTGTATTCTTAGTGGGTTGCGCTTTCATCAGTTGACCTTCAGACCTTGAAGAAAAGATAAAGCTGCAGTGGCCATTTTGCCATTACTAAGGGAGCGTTATTATAACGTGGCGCATATGTCAAGCCTCTTCTAATCCGCAGTTAGAAGTTCATTTGGATAATCTTGAAGGTACGAAATAGGTACTAAGTAGTTGCGCCGTTTGTCCTATCCCAATTAGACGCTCCTTGCGTTTTCCCAAGTCATCCATTGATGGCGAGCGTCAAGGAACCCAGCAAAGAGCTCAGGAACAGGGGCCTGCATTGCGAATCAGCGTCTTCTAGACGGGAGCGCTACGGCCCTAGGCCAGCGCTTGAGCTTCCCATTCAAAGAAGCGTTCCTTCTCCTGCATCAAGTGTGCATCAGCCCACCAATGGCGAGTTTCGTCGCTCACTGGCCCAAGTTCCATGGCGCCCAATGGAGCGGCTGACATTGGGGTTGCTTTACCCACGCCCCTCTCGGCTCCTGTTTCAGATATCTCAGAACGACTTGCACGAGAATGGTCCGAAGCTCTAGTTGGGGTCTAGCGCATGGAAGTAAGAATCTATCCTGGATAAAGGCCAGATTTGGCAGTGATCAGGGAAGGTAGAAATAGAAGGAGCTGCATGTTGCATGAACGTGAGCGGCGTAACCCAATCCAATGGTGGAATCAGCATCGCGCGCGTCTCTCCCGTTGCATGGCTGCCGCTGCAACCCTTTCCAACGACAGAGTCGCCGCGATGATCTTCCCGAGCTTGTCCTGGTGGGTGTCATATTCCTATATGCGGGGAGTTTGGCCCACCGAGGCGGTACCCTGGGGACGAGAACAGTGGAAGACGGATAGGTAACCTGAGGTATAATAGATGCTGGTGGCAGCAAGGCCTGGACAAGACATCCAACTTCAACGATAAACGGGGCGCCGGTCAGGAAAGGGGGTACCCGTACCTACCTATCTAGGTAGGTACAGTAGGTCATCCAGAACCAAGACTTGTGAATGATAAGCCAAAGGGACCGGGTAGTCAGACTAAGTAAGGGTGGCGAGCTTGTGGTCCATCTCCATGCCTCATTTTTGGACGGGAGCGGGAGCTCTGTTCACTAATAACCTACCTGGGTACCTTTGGCCTGCACTTTGACGGCCAGACCCGCGGGATCGGCCCCGGCCAGGAGGCCCGGCCGCCTGACTTGGCCCGCAGTCATCCGAAGTCCATGTGCCGGAAGCTTGAATACTATAGTGGGCCTTGGATGGTGCTAATTACGTTTCTTGAGCTTTGAAGCTGCCAGATGTCGATGTGTCTTCAAAGTGGTTTTTCACGACCTACTTAGGTAAGACACCTCATCTAGGTCCCTTCCTGCCGAGCTAGGTAAGTACTTAGGCGTGCCTTCAAGACAGTTTCATTACATCATCATGCCTTGCGTTCCTTATTGGGTAGCCCAGTACGGATACGTCGTATGTACAGTACCATAATCAGCGTCCCACCTTCCTTCAACCTATCCATCCATGTTCTGCGCCGTGCATTGGAACCAACATTAGTTGGCAGGCAGACAACTTTGTCCCTCTCGGATCGAGTGGCATGGAATGGGAATCTTTCTGCTGCTGAGAGACAATTCCGTCCTGGTTGAAGCTTAGGTTGTCAGTCGCAACCTACAGTGTAGGTTGCCCGCCTCGCAGCCCCAACGCCTGTGGGCTTTGACGGGCTTGAGCTCTACATTCGGGCTTGCATTGGATTCGAGTTTCAGTTTCTTGGCGGCCCGTGAGCTCAGCAATTCCATTTCCACATCCATCAGTCAACCTTCAGTGCCATTCAATCTGAATTCCGGGCTGCCGTGGGCACTGACACGCTGTCGCTCAATCACCATCACACAATCGCACTGTCGCAGGCTCACAGCACTGAAAGTCAAACTCGGGGGCCCTGAGGTGTGCAGCCTGCTGACGCGACTGCTCCAAGAGTCAAGTCACCTAGGATAGGCAGGGCATTGACAGTCATCGGAGCCCCGACCGGCATCCACTTATAAGTCTTATTGCCTACCCAGGAAGGGGGAAGTGGGCTCGGATTCCGACGCGGCGTGTTAATCCCTTAGGGATTTTTTGCCCACAGTCCACACTGTCCACTAACAACGTGGACATACCGCCATTTCGGCCAGCCTCCTCCCTGGTCCCAGACAGACCACCTGCCCGCCTGCCAACAGAACAGGACCGACCTCCCGTGCCGATAGTCCTACAGCACGTACTAGGTTCAAGGTTCCCAGCTCCAAACGGTAGCCGCACGCAGCCACCTCACGCACCGCTCCTCGCCTCGACCTCTTCACTATGTCCTCCCCGTTTCCTCCCAGTCCCAACTCTTCGTTCCTCGAACAGACCGTGTCCGTCGTGAGCAGCGTCGCAGGCTACATGCGCCTGCCGGCTATTGCCTCAACTGTATGACCCGACGTCTCTACCTCTCCCGCCCAGTGCCTGAATGGCTTTACCGTCAACCACGCCGGCTGGCCGAGGGGGCAAGTTCGAAGCTTTCCCCCGTCCTGGCGCTCGTCGTCCTCCGAGCCCGAAGCCAGTCCGTCTCCAGAAATGCTAACACATTCTCGTCCGTCTAGGGGTTCGCTGCTCTCGTCACATCTCTGCTCTACTTCAAACAAAAGTCTGTTGAGAACCCCTATCCGCCCCGCTATCCCTTGTTGGTCGGGACACGCCACTGACCGGAGCACCCCACCGTGCCCCTGCAGAGCCTTGATCTATCCCTCTTCCGTCCCGGCGAACGCCCGAACCGACATCCCCCGTCCTAGCCAGTTCAACTTCCGCGACTATGAGGAGCTCATCATCCCGACCAACGATGGCGAGAAGCTCTCGGCCTTTTACATCCGCGGCCGGCGTCGGGGCCCCAACTCCAACGTAACGGTACTCATGTTCCACGGCAACGCTGGAAACATTGGCCACCGCCTGCCCATCGCCCGCATGCTGATCTCGATGACGGGCTGCAACGTCTTTATGCTTGAGTACCGTGGCTACGGCATCTCGACGGGCCAGCCCGACGAGACGGGCCTTAACATTGATGCCCAGACGGCCCTGGACTACCTCTCTGACCGCACCGAGACGCGGGACCATGTGCTATTCGTCTACGGCCAGAGCCTGGGCGGTGCCGTCGCCGTCCGCCTCGTGGCCAAGAACCAGAATAACCCCAACTACAACATCGGCGGCTTGATTCTCGAGAACACGTTTCTGAGCATGCGGAAGCTGATACCCAGCATTATCCCGCCCGCCAAGTACTTTGCTCTGCTGTGCCACCAGGTCTGGCCCAGCGAGAGCTTGATCCCCTCCGTCAAGGTCCCCACCCTGTTCCTGAGCGGGCTGCAGGACGAGATCGTACCACCCATCCATATGAAGCGCCTCTTTGATCTGTCCAAGGCCCCAGTCAAAATCTGGAAGCCTTTCCCCGGCGGAGACCACAACTCCAGCGTCATTGAGGAGGGCTACTTTGAGGCGATTAACGATTTCATGACCAGAGCCACGAGCGATGATCCCGTAGAGAAGATTTGAACGTGTTTGTTTTCTTACCGTCTCCCGGAGCCTAGGTTGATGCTCTAGCACGGTTCTGCCTGTTTACGGAAGACACACGTGTGTTGGAAGACGGCGGCTGCTTTTTATTTTCTTCCTATATAATATTGATACCCCCGATTATTCTAGTTGGCCTAGCCATCTTACATGGATATTAGGACAGACAACGGAGACTTCTTTACATTCTCTTCTCTGCTCTGTCTGTTTTCCAAAGTTGTGCATGCACACACAGTCACGCACGTCATCTAAGCCAAGTCAAGGCATTGTGAACGTGTAGGGACAGACGAAAGCGCGGGTGCCAAGCCGTGTCAATTCACCAATATGGTGGGCCGATTTTAGCATCACAATTCAACTGCGATATTTTACTCTCGACCCCGTCCGCGTGTCAAATGTTTGTTTACTTTTTTCTCGTCATCCCTCCCGCCTCTCACCATCCTGCAACTACTATGCAACTCTCGTCGCGCAGTTCCGTTCGTACGTACACACATTTTCACACGCTCACGGGAGGGGTGCCAGACAGACGAAACTACATACGTAAAACTCACCCGTTTCCGTCGGAAAAAAAAACCGTCTACCCGTCTTACCCGTCTGCGTCTAAGCGAGCGAGAACTAACAACTGGCTGGCTGGCTTGATAAGTGGCGTGGTGTGGAACCAATGTTTACCACCAAGGTACGTACTCCGTACTCTATTCAAGACGCGGGCGGGACTTTTGGTTTTGGTATTAGGGAAGAAGAGGAGGAGAGGAGGAGAGGAGAAACTTGTCCGGTATTAATTGCCTACTTACCCACCCTATTAATCTCTACTGTGCCCCCAATATCAGGTATCAGTTATTCGGTACTACTACTATACACAAGTACCTAAGTACTGTACGGATGTATGTACCTGATTTTAATTGCTGGCGTCAAGTCAATGCATGCCGCTCGCTGCACAGGTTGGTTCGTGGTCCGGATCGCGGGGCGGGATTGTACCTAATAACAGGTGTCATGCACTGGGTATATATCAGAATACCACCTCCCTATAGCTTAGCTATGTAGGTATGTTTATGATATGCTATGTTATGATATATATATTTGTACGTAAGTGGCCTTATTCTGAGTGCGTTCCGATATGGTAGACAAAGTGGCGAGATGGACCCTCAAGGAGGTGATGTGATTCTGAGGGGTGGCGCCACCGATGATAACCGCTACTGAGATGGATGTTCTGTAAATGCTTACTGATGATATTTTGCAAGGCCAAAAGTGAGCTCGCTACTCCGAGTACGCAATTAATTACCCTTGGGTGCCGTGCAAGAACTCACAACTTCTCACGCAATAGACGGCTTGATGAGATGAGGCATGAGGCCCAGTGGCATGTATGGCCAACTATGGTATGAGGCGGATGGATGCTTAAGGGGTCAGCTAATTCGCTATTAAAAAACGAGCCTACTCATCGGTAATTATCTATGATGTCTACCATACACAGTAGTGATAAAGTTTAATAACTATATAATCTAGCTAAATTATGAAGACTTCCAGTTCGTAGAACTGAATGATAACCCTTATCCACTCATAGCGAGGTGGCCACCGAAGACCCCGAAGTCGCCTAGGCACCGGCCAACTCATCTGCACCCACGGCCTCAGTATCGCTTCCTTCTCTCTTGTTTTCACTCGCAGCATCAGATTCTCCTGCACTGCCCTCCGCAGCCTCACGCTCCATCTTCTCTGCCGCGGTGAGCCAGTCATCCTCAACTTCTTCCTCGACCACTTGCTTCTTCTGCTTGAAGCCCACCTTCTTGAGCGCCATAAAGCCACGAGAAGTGGGTTGCTCGACCGCGGCCGGTGCGCCGTCACTTGCAGCTCCACCTCGGCGCCAACCCCCACGGCTCACGACCGAACTCCAGCCGCCCGAGTTCGCCGAGTTCTCATCCTCTCTCCGCGTAATGTTCAGCGACGTGTCTGCATGGCAGAGAATTACGCCTTTTGCAAACTTGAGTCGGGACACAGCCTTCGCAACTGCAGGCTTCAGAGACGTTAGTACAGCTTCCAGCGAGTGAGGTGTAGCATCGAATGAGGCCGCAACGGCGGCAGCAGAGGCCAACGGTGTCGCCTTGATGATAATCTCATCCGAGGGCAAAAAGCTTGTTGAGAACGTCAAGGCAGGTCCTGAGCGCGCCGCCGCCGCCAAATCAGCAGATAGGGCCCGTTCTAGCTCGTCAATCGTCAAGCCAAACTGCGGATCCTTGAGCAGGAGAGCGTTGAACGTCTGTGGACGGTCCGCCGCTGCGGCAGACTTGATAGAAAATACCGCGGCACCTACCGCTGCGGTAGTCTTTGCAATGCGAGCGCACTGGGCTAGCGTCTTCCGAGGCGCAGACACGAACCGCGGAGTCTTGAAGATGCATACATGCCGATGAGGCTCCGGGTCTTGACTCTCCGAGTCTAGACCAAAATCTTCGGCAAGTGCGTGCAGAAATGCTCGTTGGTTGACCGGCATGGGCTTGAAGCGCAGGCGCTTTTCATCCGCTGCGCCAGCAAAAACGCGGAACTCGCGTTCCTGCCCCTGAGCCCAGGTGTTGTTATCCCGAAATAGTTTGAGTGTCGTATCGGAATATGGTATATGGTCATCAGTGCGCGTCTCGGGGTCGATTTTGAGAGCATCGGCCAACAGACGGTTACGCTGTAAACGGAGGCACTCGTCGTCGCATTTAAGACTAGTCTCCCGTGTTGGCCAAGGGTTGAGTCTGGTGGCCTGGCAGCGGACTTCCTGTTTGCGATGCTGGCAAGGGCATGTAATAAACGTCTTGGACTGGCAAGGCTTATCCTCTTTGCAGGCTATATATCGACAGTTAGACTCCACCACGGAACCACAAGTATGTATGAAGTATTCAACTTACGAAAAGGCGCATGGCACTGGTCGGTGCAAGTGTGCTCACATGACTTCCGAACCTTGCTACAAGGCTGCGCGCAATGTGTACCCGAAATGTCGGCATCCTCGCATTGTCCTGCCCTGTGACAGAGGTTCTTGCATTCATGGGTCCTGGCGATGTTATGTTAGCATCAAGCGAGACTGGGGGCTGAAGATACAAAGTCACCTACCCGCACTTCAACTTCTTTCCACAAGGCAAGCCGCACCGAGCCTCGTCAAACCAGCAGGGCTGGTTCTTCAGCGTCTTCTTTCCACAGACGCAGGGCTTTTCGACAAGAAAGGGGCAATTTGGGCATTCTGTGCCCTCGGGGTGGCACTGGTGAGAAACGATAGGATGCCCACATGGACGGGCCTTGGTGCATGGAAACCGACACTCGGGCGGTCTTGTTCCACAGGGCTGAGGAGGATGGAGCACGGCACGCCCGCAAGAGCAGCTAATTTCGTTAAAAATAGCTTCTGGGCAGGACATGCATGGGCCCTTATGACAAAGCTGTTGGCAAGTGTGCAGGCCGCACTTCAGCTGGCGGCCGCAGACTTGAAGGCAAATATGCTCGGGCTCGTAGTTTTCGTTGGCATTTCGCTTTTGCTTCCGCCTCTCGGTTGCCTTCTTCTCTCCCGAGCAGCAGTGCTCTCCGCACTCGTGTCGCCCACAGTTGAGCTGAGTTCTGCAGACGCGAAAGCACAACGGACTGGCTGTCTCGCCCTGGTGACAAGCAGATTTCTCCATGACTCTCCCGCAGCGGCAAGTGATATCAATAGTCTGGGTGCACACGGCACACGAACCAGTGTGACACTTGTCCGGGCACGTATGCCCACAGGGCAGTGGCTTATTGCAGGTTTTCTCGCAGTGCAATATTGGGTCTCGGCATGATTTCCGTGCGTCCGCCGACTCGATGCGCGTCTTTCCGCACGCGCAATGGGTAATGACGTCGGGCGAGAACGGACAATGAGGAGTAGATTCGTCCTGTGTATGGCAAGGCTTCTGGCAGACGTGATATCCGCAGTCAAACTTCCTCCCGCAGGTCTTATAACAGCGGAATGAGCCTTCAAACCACAACTCAGACTCTGGTTCTGAATCTTCAGCGGGTTGTGGCGAGTGAAGTTGACCGTAGTTGAAAGAGTCCAGGATATCGCCGCGTTGGTCGCATGGGATTTCTTTATGCTCTTTCCCGCAATAGCAGGCCGAGAGAATCGGAATCTCGCAAGCGCCGCATAGGCCAGAATGGCAGGGCCGGGAGCAAGTATGCTCCCCGCATGGAAGTAGATCACCGCAGACCTCTTCGCAGCTCCACCCCTTCCCATACTCGGTCTCGGTGCACCGTTGAGTGGCCGTGTGTTTGCCGCAGTGGCATGATTGCGTTGGGCCCATCAAAGTGCACGGCGGGCAAGGCCCGGCGTGACACATTGAGGGGCACTTGTGTGAACAGGTAGCACGAGCCTTGGAGCATGTCTGCCCGCAAGTGTGCGGAGGGAGCCCAGGAATATGTTTTGGGTCTGTCTCCTTGCCACACCAACAATGGTACGGCCCAGGCCCCTCGACTAAGGATGAATTGCAGCCAGGGCAGCGCCAACTCTGGTCCTCCTCGACATTCTGGTCTTGCTGTTCCCGATTATTGGACCGATTGGTGTGCCATTTTCTCACACAGTGAAGATGGGCGACAGTCCAGCAGATGGAGCAGAACCAGACTCGAGAAGTCTGGACAACTTCACTTGTGCATATTACGCACTCGTAATGGCCGTTCTCGATATCCTCGTGGATCCGAGTGGGCAAGTCTTCTGCTGTTGACTTAGCAGGCCTTGATCTTGGCGGACCGTGTCTTGCGGCTGGCGCTTTTGGCCGGGAACTATAATCCGTGAGCTTGGGTTCTGACTAACGCAGAATAGCAGACCGACCTTGAAGGCACCAAAGGCTTTCCCGGAACAAACTCGGGAGCGGCAGCGCTCAGCGATGGCAACGCAGACGAGCTCGCCGCCTGATGAGTGGGGGCGAGAGGCCCGCCGTGGCCCCTGTGAGACACCACGATGGACCGTTGGGCCGAGGAACCACCCCGGCCGCGCCGAGAACCCCCACGTCTTCCCCGATCACCTCTGGAGCTTCCAGACTGGGCGTCATGTGCAGAAACCGCATTCGTGGCTTGATTTGGGGCCTCCGCAGCTGGCGCAAAGGCTATCTCGATCTGACTTCTCTCACCGTCGCCAACTCGCGTCGCCGAGCCATGTTGATTGCCTCGTCTTGACCGACCTCTTCGTCCCCTCGACCCTCTCTGAGAGTTCGATAGCGGCGGGGCAGCCTGAGGTTCAGGCATGTGTGGATGATTAATTGTGCCGAGAAGGGAGGTGGCGGAACTTTGGAGAGGTTGTGATGTGCGAATCGTGAGAAGTTGAGATCTGAGAATCTCGGGGCGGCCTGGATCGGGAGAGTGAAAACGGAAACGAACGAAACGAAAATGTGGAAACCCTGCTCTCTTTGCGCTTTTTGAAATACAGCGTCTTCGAATGATTCAGATGATGGGGATAAAAGGAGAATGCTTCGGATGAGAGCCCAAAGGAAACGGAGGTAAAAGCTGAGATTGAGGTCGAATTCAACCTCTTCCATATTTCAATGCAATGGAAGGCACGGTTCGAGAAGAGTCACCAGAGGCATCGCCCCCTCCCCATCAGGTTTAGCGCCGCCTGACCAATTTTTAAACCTCCCCGCGCCACACACCTAACACCCCACACTAAATTGAACTTCAGTGCGCTCTCTGGCAAGACACTCAGGTTATCGGGTTATAAGACCGGAATCCTGGCTTCTTTCACTGTAACAGCTCTGAAACCCACGTAATTATTCCGCCTCTTGTAGGGCGTAACGGAAGCATTATCGGCCAGGTCTCATTCATCATGAGCTGTGCCTCAGGAGCCACTTTCTAGCCTGTGGAAAGACACATTATTCCCTAGGGCTAAACAGCGGGGGCAAAAGAGCCTTAACAGGGTTTAGATCCGTTTATTAATTACTTGCCGTGCTGCATCAAGGGCGGCAGTCTTAAACAGCGCCGAGGCAAGAAGTATCAATCACTATGAATCATCTTTTATTACAGATTCACTGGGCGAATCAAACTGAACGGGCGACTCACGTTACCTACCAGCATTAGGCCATGGCAACATCGGTCTCTTATACCATGACGCCGATGCATCCAAGAGCCTTTCTATAACAGTAGGACCATTGTATTCAGTTCACTTGATTAGGTCTGGATTTCCATCTGTCGCCCTCAAACGCTATCCGTAGTCCACAACAGCGAAGCGGACAGCGCGCCTCAACAATCGTACAATGTAGAAACAATCTCTCCAAAATCCATTTACTTAAGGTAGCTGGGTGATGTGATGGAGCAAGCAACTAACGCAAACCGAATATTTGGTGAAACTATAAGTTTCAGAGTTACTAGAAAGCGGTCATAATACGTGGAGAGAAAGAGACCAGACCATGAACTCCCCTTTTCCACTGAGCAAAAGGCATAACCCTAACCCGAACCCTATCAAACTTTTCAACCACACGAGTTCACCAGTGATACCTTAACTCTACCAATTTTGTCACGGAAACCTAAGAGAAAGGGAAAAAGCCCCCGCCAAAAAAGGCAGCATGTATCCGCTGAGCTGTGCCAACGGGTACAAGTACCCGGGCACGGAGGCGCCGTACGTGCTCGACATCATCTCGGTAGGCGGGGGGCTTGCAGCGACGGCGTCGGACCAGAGCCTCTGCCTCTTCGACCCGCTGAGGCTGGACCAGGGCCCGCTCAAGGCCATCCAGACGGACCACGGCGCCCTCAGCAGCGCAAAGGCCTACAGCGCGGCCGAGTCGGTCGTGTGTACCACGGGCGAGAACGGTACTGTCTCGCTCTGGGACCTACGGCTGCGCCCCACCGATGCCCGCGCCCTGCACATAGCCGGCGGCGGAGTAGGAGGAGGTTGGTCTTGGTCACTATGACGTGCTCCCTTACCTAAACTGTATTCTCCCTCTGTCTAGGGTTGCTGATATCATCTGTCTTCTGTAATGTGAAAAGGCGACCAGCCAAGCTTCTTCTCGCTCGCGTGCTCGAGCCAGGCCAACGCCCTGGCTGTCGGAACGGAGCTGGCGAACCATCAGGCATCCATTATCATCTGGTAGGTCTATGTTTCTCCCCCCCTTTCTGATGCTCAAGGAGACGAAACGGCGAAGTCAAGTATTTCCTCGGGCTAGCCATACATAGACATTCTATAGTTAACACGTCGTTTTCTCTCCTGTAGGGATCTCCGGTCGCCTTCCGCGCCGAGGATACAGTACAATGAAGTCCACAGTGACGACGTGACTGAGGTATGTGTTTACCCCTTTCCCATATCATCTCTCTTTCCCCCCCCCCCCTCCCCTCATACAAACAAACAAATCTCACAACCTCCCCCACCCAACACAGCTAAACTTTCACCCGTCGGCTCCGCACCTGCTGCTCTCGGGCTCGACCGACGGGCTAGTCAGCGTGTGCGACACACGCATAGCGGACGAGGACGAGGTCTTAGTGCAGACGTTCAACCACGGATCGGTGCACCGGGCGGGCTTCCTCAACGACACCGAGTTGTACGCCGTGTCGCACGACGAGAAGTTTGCCCTGTACGACATGGCCGAGGGCGTGGCCAACGGATCGGCCACGGTAGACTTTGGCGACGTGCGCCAGGTCGTCGGCTGCCAGTACGTGGCCGGCGTGTTCCCCAAGCTCAACGGCGCCGGAGCCGTCATAGGGGTCGGGTCGCAAGAGTGAGTTCATTCTATTTATACCTCCCCAACTCATTATTTTCCTTTCATGACCTACCTCCCTCCCTCTCCATATCTTCCGGCCCTAACAAAAAGAGGAAAACAGCCAAGAAATGTTCCAGATGATCCACCTAGCAAGGCAAGGAGCTGCATGGGGCCTGGACAGAGACAGTGTTGTCGCCTTGCCCGGCGCGCATGGGTCAGAATTGATCCGCAGCTTCTATTTCATAGACGAGGAGCAGCTCGTGCTCACGGCAGGAGAAGACAGTTGCATCAAGGCCTGGAGGCCCGGGAACTGAGTGAACGCCCAGCCCCAAACTGACGGCAACAGAATTTTTTTTTTTAAAAAAAACAAAAAAAACGAAAGATTTTGTAACTACGGTTCACGATAGATATGAAGTGTATTATATGTGTCATTTCATGTTCCATCGTCAAATAAATCACCTAGGAGCCGTCCGAGACGGCACTCAAAAGCTTTTCTCCATTCCACCCGACTCTAAATATTAAAGGCTTGCCCTGGCAAGCCCAGAGATCGTGTCGAATCTAAACGAGACGATTTTTTTTCATATGTATCAGAAGGCGACTCCAGTGCGTGAGCCCTGTACAAACACATGGCTGGCTACTACTCACTGCAGGTTCTCAATCACCAAGGCTGAAGCGCCGCCTCCACCATTGCAGATACCGGCGCACCCGATCTTTGCCTTCTTCTCGCGGAGAACCGATGTCAGCGTCGTGACGATGCGAGCGCCCGAGCAGCCCAGGGGGTGGCCAATGGCGACGGAGCCGCCGAACACGTTGACGCGCTCGGGGTCCAGGCCTAGGAGCTTGATGTTGGCTAAGGCCACTACAGAGAAGGCTTCGTTGATCTCGTAATAGTCAACGTCCTTCTCGGTGAGGCCGGCGTGCTTGATGGCCTTGGGGATGGCCAGCGCCGGCGCCGTCGTGAAACGAGCGGGCTCCCGCGCCGCATCGCCCCAGCCGAGGATCCTGGCCAGGGGCTTGATGCCGAGCTCCTTGAGCTTGGCCTCAGAAACGAGCACAACAGCGGCCGCGCCATCGTTGATGGGCGCCGCGTTGGCAGCGGTGACGGTACCGCCGTTAGGGACGAAGACAGGGCGAACCGTCTTTAGCTTGTCGACGTTGAGGTTCTTGACCTCCTCGTCGCGGTCGATCTTGACGGCGGGCTTTCCGCGGCCGCCGCTGACCTCGATGGGCGCAATCTCGGTGAAGACACCGGCCTCGGTAGCGGCCTGGGCCTTTTGGTACGTCTTGATGGCGTACTCGTCCTGCATCTCGCGCGTCAGGCCGTGGTCCTGGCTGCAGAGCTCGCCCTGCATTCCCATGAGCTCCTGCTTTCCAAAGGCGTCCCGGAGACCGTCTTTTTGTACGCCATCGACGAGGCTAGTGTCGCCGTACTTGGTGCCGGTGCGGAGGCTGGGGAGGTAGTGCGGCGTGTTGGACATGCTCTCAGTGCCGCCAGCCACGACGATCGAGGCATTGCCGGTTATGATGGTCTGGGCTCCAAGAATGATGGCCTTCAAGCTTGAGGCGCACACCTTGTTGATGGTGGTGCAGACGACCGAGTCGGCGAGCCCGGCGTTGATGGCGCACTGGCGGGCAGGGGCTTGGCCGAGACTGGCAAGACACAAACAGCGTTAGAGAATAGGTCTTGCGGTGGAGGAGCAGAATACGGCACGCACTTGGCTGAGAGGACATTGCCGAAAAAGACCTCCTCGACATCCTCGGGCTTGATCTCGGGGACACGCTCGAGAGCAGCTGTTGTCGCCTCGTTAGCGACTAGGTTCCGCAGCAAGAGTTAAAAAATGCCTGGGGCATACACTTGATGGCATGAGCACCCAATTGGGTGGCGCTCAAGCTGGAGAGAGAGCTACACGGCGGCGTCCAAGGTTAGCTCGTGTGACCGATCCACGGCACAGGTCTGCGCGTTGCGTGTTGTGCTTGCTCTCTGGCCGACAGCGGGGTAGCTCACCCAAGAAATGACCCCACGGGCGTTCTGGCGACGGCGGCGATGTAGACGGGCGGGAGGCCTGACATGTTGGCGGTAGCAATGGTGTGAAAGTGTGCGGCAATCGAGTGTTGGAGGAAGAAGTCGGTGTGGTTTCCAAGTGGCAATTGCAGCAACTGGGGCAAGAGCTCGATTTATGAGGTGCTTCGCAGTTGCCTCTGGCGTCAAGGGGAATTGTTGAGTTGTGCTTTGTTCACCGCTTTCGCCGCGGACCGGACCTGCCCGTCCCCTCGTCCCCCCTTTCCCTCCCACACACTGACGCGGCTAGGGCCGTTAGGGTCATTTGGGCGCCGAGATTTTCAGGGCGCGCCCATGGAGGTCCACCTACTAAGTTTGAACTGAGGACTCTCGTAAAGACACCAGGGCTAATGTGCATTGGGTGACTCGATTCTATCGTACGTATGTACAGACTGAAGTGGTTACTTTTGTAGGTGAGAGTGAGATTTGGAGTAATCATGTCTCTTTACGCGTGTAATTGATAGCTTTTCGAGAGGGGCAGTACCGAATTTAATGTACTGTGTGTACCCAATGAACTTTCTTTACACCGTTAAATCAGCACATAACTCCCCTTCTAGCAAAGTAGCTTTTTCACAGTTTGTGTACCCTGCCCCGGTTTTGTTAGTGGTACAGCCTTCTGATTTGCCAACAAGTTTTGGATGGCCAATTGCATGAGTAAAGAGACAGAAAGCGGACACCCTACGGCAACACATGTCCCATCCATACAAAGTATCAAATGAAATTGCGACGACGAACGACGACGTCAGCTTGGCGCCGCCGCCACAAAACGAGGGCACCGACGAAAGCCAAAGCTGGCGGGACTTCCAACGGCTATAGGGCTGCGCGACAACCTTAACGGCATCATGGGGCGGGGATTCGTCAAGTCTGGCTCGCCAGGCTATGAGCTTGTCGACCAGGTCGAAGATGTTGACGACAACAACAACAACAACAACCAGAGCCTCAGCCAAGAAGCTAAACCCACAACTGCAGCGTCGCACTACGCCGAAGCACCACGACGTCGCTTCTTTGCACGCCAGAACTGCCTCATCTTCGGCATGTCTCTTGCCATTGCCCTCGTCTTTTGTCTCGGGCTCGGCTTCGTGACAGGCGACGGCACCCTCTTCGGCATCCGCTCCGCTGCCAAGTCGGATGGGGCCTCGTCTTGGCACAAAGACGCCACCGAGTCCGAGTCCGATCTCGGCTCGGCTGACTGCCCCTGCCGGCCATCCAAAGTGCCGCAGTATTTCCAAACGAGCCCCGAGCTCTGGGCTGGTCCGACCGCCACCGGCAAGGCCCCCTTCCTCGCCCAGACGCGAACCTTTGACCACGCCGCCGGCGCCACCTACGTGCCCAATGACCCGCTACAGACATCCCTGCCCATCGCCGGCATGGACCCCCGAACTAATGAGTCCATATTCCGCCTCATGGGCTACCTGTCGCCCTATGCCCCATCCCCTGGCTTTGGCGTTGATGAGTACCCCTTGCCTGACGGCGCCGACATCGTCCAGCTCCAGATGCTCTCCCGTCACGGCGCTCGGTACCCGACCTCAGATGCCAACGTTGGGGCTCTGGGCCAGCGAATTGCCGCTGCTAAGAAACACAAGTTTCATGCTAAAGGCTCCCTCGCTTTTCTCAATGCCTGTAGGTTTATATGGTATATTTAGATTAATTTTACCGATATTACCTAAAGCTTCCTTAAACTATACTTACATCATTTTTATTATAGGGAGCTACCAGCTTGGTGCCGAAATTCTCGTGCCCAGAGGTCTGTTTTTGTATTTTCAAGGCTCCTGCTTGATGAAGTGGCCGCCTTGCTAAACCATGTATAACATCCAGGTCGTCAGGAGCTCTTCGACTCGGGAATTCTCCACGCATATATGTATTCGCCCCTATATAACCCAAACAGCAAGATCATTGTGCGGACAACGGTATGCGACCTTTTTTCTCGTACCCGGGTTGTACAATGTCCAGTTTCTTGCTGACTGAAGTACAAAACAGACCCAGGACCGCATGCTGAAGTCGGCCGAGAACTTCATGGCCGGATTCTTTGGACTCGAATGGTACGTGGCGCGTCTTGGTTTCCCTTTGGTGTCTCATCTTTCTAACCCGTCGATACTAGGACACGTAACGCCACCATCGAAGTCATTATTGAGGCGAACAACTTCAATAACTCACTGGCTGGCTACTTGAACTGGTGTGTGCTATGCTGCATTATATCTTGACCATTTTAGAGGATTACAGCCATATAAAAACGAGAACTAACAGGTTATTCATTCAGTCCGAACTCGAACAAAGTAGGCACAGGCTCAGATGCCGCAGATATTTGGATTCGCCATTACTTGCAGAACGGTACATACATGTCAGCTAGACCCGACATGGATGATGAAGCGCTAACAAACAACAGCCACTAATCGCCTGGCGGCCTCGATTGATGGCTTTAAGTGGAATATCGAAGATAGCTATGCAGCCATGACAATGTGCCCATACGAGACGGTCGGTTCTATGACCCCTGATTCTGGTAGCCATTGAGTACTCTAACGTCCTCTCAGGTAGCATATGGGTTCAGCCGATTCTGCGAACTCTTCACTTACGAAGAATGGGTCGGGTTTGAGTATGCGATTGACCTTTCTTTCTACGGAGACAACGGATTTGGGTCTCCCACTGGAGTAAGTAGTAGTATTTCTCGCATATAACATCCTGAATAGCCATAGTCTGACCACAACATAGCGAGCTGTCGGCATTGGCTATCAGCAAGAGGTTATGGCACGCTTAAAGAACCACACGCTGGGATATTCTGGGTCGCAGATTAATGTGACACTCGATAACAACACGGCAACTTTCCCGCTCAACCAGAGCCTATACCTCGACTTCTCGCACGACTCAAACATTGTCTCCATACTAGCGGCGTTTGGGCTAACCCAGTTCGCCGGCAAGCTGGATCCTCTTCATCCAGGCCCGCACAACTTCACCGTGTCGCACCTGACCCCTTTTGGCGCCCGCCTCGACATGGAGATTATCCGCACCCCAAAGCCGCTGTCGGCCGACCGCTCCGGCTACCTCGACACGGGGGGCGAGACGAAGTACATTCACTTTGTGCTCAACCAGCGCACCGTCCCCCTCGGCTGGAGCTTCCCCGAGTGCGGCGCCTCACGCGTCGATGGCTGGTGCGAGCTCGACGCCTTTCTGCGTGTGCAGGACACCATGCCTGGCATCGCCCGCTACGATTACGCCTGTTTTGGCGACTACCAAGTTGAGAAACTAGCGTATGGTGCTGTTGCGGATGGGGCGCCGCCCTCTTGATCGGATGTCCAGGTCGTCCTTGTTCTTTCTATCTTCTCTTCTGTTCTTGTTATTTGCAGTTTTTTTTCCCCCTTGTTTCACTGATGGCACGTGCGGTCAGAATATGGGAATCGGGATGTGTTAAAGGTTCAGACTAATTACTAGAAGGAAATAGAATTTGAAAATGAAGAGAGCGTTGTAATAACATATGAAGTATCTATTTTTCTTTGCGCAAAATATAATAGTCATGATAAAGACACCACTGTGCGAGAGAACTTGGAGTTGATAGAAGGGAATTATAGACACCTAGGAAAGTTAGGCTTTTGCTCGATTGCAACTCTGAAGTGAACTTTCTGGTATGATCAAAAGCATACTCAGATGCTTCAAAAGAGCCATTCAAACTCAGATGAATCTTTGCTAGCAACTGACGAGACTAGGAACAAGGCCCTAGATCTGACCCGAGTCCTTCCGAGAGGCTCCTCTCACTTGACATGTTTTCTGTTGCAATGACGCCAAGCTGCGCTCGCTCATTGGTCGTTGCCATTGAAGATAAGAAACTCCTATCACTTGGCGCTCTTAATTTTTTTCCTCGTCAGTTTTCTAGCCGGGATTTTCGAGCAGGCCATTCCCCGCTTCTTCTTGTCTCCAGTGAAGAGTAAAGTGGAGGGTATTTACAGAGCTGAGTGCCTGGGGGAAAATCTCTCATGGAATCGCCGGGGAGACCTATTTTTCCTTTCCGCGCTAAAGTGCTAGCTCCGTGATCCTTGATTCTGGGGTGCATAGTGCAATTCCCCGCTTCTCCCCCTCTTTGCAGCCTTCAACACACGCCACACAATACCATTGAACGAAGAGGGGGAGAGAGAGGTTTTTCCGAATTGGCATCCAGTTTGGTGATCTCTCGCATGTAAAAGGTCATGTGCATGCAACGTAGCTAGCTTATGCTAACTTGAGCTATTATTTCAACGGGAAGCCAGACCGATCCCTCACCAGGGGGGCATCAGTTGCGAGGTTCCTCAGTTCCATGTCGTCCAGAGGTTGAGGTGAGGCGCGGCTGTGCGTCGGCTTTTGCGGAACCAGACAAGAGAGTGACATTATTGAAAACGAACGGTGATATCTTTGAATTCCGTAGCCAACACACTTGGTGATGGTATCCAAGACCTCGACGGCTTGAGAGTTCCTCCGAGTTCTCCCTCGTTGCGGAAATAAACAAACAATAACAAGAATAAAACAACGCACCAATGAATAACAGAGTGAGCTAAGAGACATCATTCCCAGGGGCGGATGACGCGCGCCTCGAAGACGTAAGGAGGGTCTTTTCTAGAAGAAGCGGAGAACAGATCCATCTGATTTGTACGACTAGCGAAGTGGGTAGGCAGTGTTCCTGCCCTTTCTAGACGCCGTTGCTAACGTTTTCGCTTTGGCAGGACAAACGATTTGCTAAGAAGAATGCACTCCCCACGCCCTCCAATTGGCTGCCCCTGGGCCCCCTGAGAAAAACACCACCAGGGGCGAGGGTGATTTTCCTTTTTGCTGACAAGGTGCTTATTTTACGGGTACCCAGCTGAAAAAAAGAATGATGGTATGATCAAAAGAAAAGAAGAGAGAAATTCACGTCCTTTCGAGCCAAGACGGCCAAACGCGTGAAATTTTTCTTTTTGCATGCGTCCCTGCGTGTTCGGGGAGAGCGATGGTCTGACGTGACGTTGGGGCCGGCACGACATCGAATCACAAGGTCCTTGTTTATCTGCTGGTAAGATAAAAAATCCTTTCAGCGAGAACAAGCTTCGCGCCTACCAAGGTTGCAGCTGGAGCGACATCTGCCAAGATGAGGCAAGACAGCTAACTCAGCGATAAGGTCCCCAAAAGACCACAAGCCAAGAAGCCAAGGGCAATCAGCCTCGGTCTTGGAACAACCTTTTTGGGGTGGAAAATGCCCTATCACTACGCCAAGGTTCTTAGGGGATCAATGCTTCAATAGAGACATGCAGTACTTCGACAGTTTAGCCATGCCCGAAGATTGCGCCCTTGTTGCTCTTTTACAGTACAGGATACATGAGTGCGTTGTCTTATTCGTTGTCAAAGATATGAAGTTACGGCGTCGTTCATACAAAGCTTGGAAGCCGTCTCACAATTTGTATTGTCTCACTCTCTCACACCGCCGCACGCCGCCTTGTTACTGGTTACTAGTTCAAGGATCAGTCCGAACGCCTTACGGATCCGTGAATCTCTCCATGTGCCAACCTCGACAACACTCTCAGGATCGGGTCTTCCGGTACTTTGGTTCGGGTAGTTTCCGCCAACGCCGAAGTCAATCTACGAGACTTTTGATTTTATAAACTGAAGAATTGAAGTGTTGCTACATCGCAAACTTATTTTTCCGCGTGAGCATGTCCGTGCCGTAGAGATGCCGGTCCAGAGGTGGTTCGCCGTAAACCTGTTCGTTTTTCCAATCGTGGGGGTTCGGGAACTTACTCACACGATCAACCCAATGCGGCGCTCCCGTCCCCCGGCAGTGGGGCAAGCCACCGCACCGGCTTGGGAGTTTGAGCGGCAGCTGGATGCGCTAATTTTTCTTTCGCCTCATCCGGATGGCCAACATAAACGACAGCCAATGACGAAGCTCGTATGCCGTCTTTCGATCATCGATCGATCGTCAATGTCTGGAGAGAGGGTGCGAAGCGCCGCAGAACGGCCTTGAAAGTCAGTCAGATTTCTCTGCAGAGAAGAGCCAGTCTCGCTTTTGGAGCGTGCGCTCAATGTACGACATACAGCGTGTTATGGTCCGGTATCACATATCATTCCTCCGGTACTTGGTGTCGTCCGATCTCTGTTTGTCCTAGCCCGGCGGCTCTGCAGAGAGGGGTGTAATTTCCCCCAGACCGACCAAGACAGGGCAAGTCAGTCATGCAGCCTGGCTTCCCAGCAACTGACCGTGGTGGCGGACCGGATAGAAGTCCAACTGTCCCGTCCACACCTGCTGCAGACTCCCTAGCACAGCTGCAGAGCGTCTCGAAAGTGGGTGGACAACCCCGAGAGCGGGGGTCCACCCATACTTGAGTGGAGACTCGGGGAGGTCGATTGTCGTCAAGCTATCCCGGTACCGCAAGCCTGTCGATAGAAGGCCCAGAACTCGCTCCCTCGCCCTCGAACATCAACAGATATTTCCCGCGTCGGGTCCACCCAATCGAAACGGGTAGATACCCTAAGGACCAGCATGATGATCCGAGATAGGGGTGGTGGGACCAACTGCGCTAGGCGGTTTTCTGCACTGCCTAACCGGCGCTCCTCCTGGACGTGCTTTCCTTACTAGGATGTGTGTGTAGCGCGGTGCCTACCACATGCGTCAGAGTCGCTTGCTCCTCCCCACTCTCTTGTCACGGTAGCTAGTAATAGAATAAAACCACTACAAAGACGCGCGCATACTAAGCTATGGAGACGTCCCACGCTCTCCTAGCCTAAGATGAAATTATATATCTTCTGTCCCACCCTCGGCCTTGCTCCCTGGCCCACCAAACCCAGCCAAGTCTCCTGCCTCAGCGCGCCCAGTGTCGTGCCCCCCCTCCGTCGTCCGCCATCCGCCCAATTCCTAACCTCGAATCTCGAGCCACGAGCCTATAAACCCCGACCCTCGGACGACGGACCTGCGCTCGCAACGGCTCCGTTACGGTTTCGTCCCTTTCCTTGATGAACACCAACAACACTTTGACGCTCCCAAGTCCGTCTCCTTAGTCCGTCTCCTTAGTCCGCCCTTACCCTCGCCGTCTCTCTCCGCCAAGCACCCACACGGCCCCCCTCCACCTCTGAGGCATAGAGTCTTTCCCCCGCAGCACATCGGTCGGCACTGCCGACGTCGGCCATGTCTTACTCGTGGATTGGCGCACCTGCCGAGTTCAATGGCACCGACGAGAATAATGGCGGTAATTCCGGTGAGCCGCAGTTCCTCCCCCCTCTTCCTGCGCGGCCCGGGCATAGTCCTACCGAGGCATGCAGAATGACAATGATCACTGGCGCCGAGATTGACACGCGCTACCAGCCACCGAGAACCTCAACCAGTGGTTCCAGTCGGGTGACCAGGCCTTCATCATCATTGCCTCGTGCATGGTGCTGATCATGGTTCCCGGCATTGCCTTCCTCTACTCGGGTCTTGCTCGTCGAAAGTCGGCCTTGTCCCTTATCTGGGTAGTAATGATGTCGTTCAGCGTTGTTGTCTTCCAGTGGTACTTCTGGGGCTACTCCCTCGCCCTCAGCAGCACCGCTACGAACGGCTTCATCGGAAATCTCCACCACTTCGGCTTGAGGAATACGCTAGGCAAGCCATCGCCCGGTTCGCCCCTCATCCCAGAGCTCCTGTATTCTTTCTATCAGGTGAGATAAAAGATTGTGCCTTCTTTTCTCTCGCCTCATCTTGCCAGGCCGTTGGTTGACTAACGGCCTGCTCCTGCTAGATGCAATTCTGTGCCGTTACGGCAGCCCTCGTCGTCGGCGCCACCGCTGAGCGCGGCCGCGTCGTCCCAGCCATGGTGTTCACTTTCTTTTGGGCAACCCTGGTATACTGCCCTATCGCATGCTGGGCGTGGAATGTCAACGGCTGGGGGTTCAAGTACGGGGTGCTGGACTATGCCGGCGGCGGTCCAGTCGAGATTGGGTCCGGTGTATCAGCATTTGCGTACTCGTGGGTGCTCGGCCGGCGCAACGAAAAGATGATGCTTAACTTCCGCCCGCACAATATCTCCCTCATCACACTCGGCACCATTCTCCTGTGGTTCGGTTGGTTGGGCTTCAATGGCGGCTCAGCCTTTGGCGCCAACCTCCGTGCCGTCATGGCGTGCTGGAACTCGTGCCTAACGGCCATGTTCGCCGCCATGACTTGGTGCCTTCTGGATTACCGTCTGGCAAAAAAGTGGTCGCTTGTCGGCTGGTGCTCTGGTACCATTTCGGGCCTCGTCGCTGCTACTCCCGCGTCGGGCTTCATTACACCATGGGCCAGCATTCTTCTTGGTGTTGTTACCGGCATCGCCTGCAATTTTAGCACCAAGATCAAGTTTCTGGTTGGCGTCGACGACGCCCTCGACATTCTCGCTGAACACGGAGTGGGAGGGATAGTCGGTCTCATTTTTAATGCCTTCTTCGCAGCCGACTACATCATTGGCTTGGACGGTGTCAACACAGGCCTCGTCAATGGGGGTTTCCTTAACCAGAACTACCGGCAGCTTTATGTTCAAATTGCATATATCCTCGCCGCGGTTGGTTACTCTTTCGTCATGTCCGCCTTCATCGCCAAGCTCATCGATCTCGTTCCCGGTCTGCATCTCCGGGCCTCGTCCGAGGCCGAGCTACTCGGCATGGACGATGACCAGCACGGTGAATTTGCTTACGACTATGTTGAGGTATGGACTCTATGTGGTTCTATCGATTAATAGCCTTAGTTACTGACAAATTTACCGTATAGGTTCGCCGTGATTATCTTGCCTGGACGCCTGCCGACAGGGAACAGAAGGAGGACGGTGCGGTAATTGCTCCCCAACACGGCATTGAGGCCCATCAGAATCTGATGGAGAGCTCCCGCCATACCGAGACGGTGACGGCGACGGCGACCCCCCCGGAGTCTGTGACTTTGCCGGAGAAACATACAGAACAGGAATAGAAGGCGGGGCTTTCTTTAAAACAAATGGTCTACGTGTTGAAATACTTCTATGGGCGGTTTTTGGGCTAAAATCTTTTGCATATTGGCAAGCGGGTGTTTGCAAGGTGTCTGCAACGAGGGACACTGGCATGAAGGAGCTCAAGCGGCGCTTGAGCGCAATCATCACTACTGACGGGATACCAGGCCACTTGGTGCTTTTCTCTTTTTCTTCTTCGCTTTTTTTTCATTTTGCCTTTTCTCTTTCTAGTACCTATTTTCTTTGCAGAAGTCGTATCGAGCCTGTATGTCGTTGTATAATACCCCTTCTTGCTGGCGATATCGATGTTGTCATTTACATGTATCTTTCTTTGCCCCTGGCTTGAGTTTCTGCTGGTCAACAGTGAATGACCTTGACGAAACAGTACCGCTGGGGTTTCTTTCTCCATTGTTTCCAACCCTCTTGGCCTTGACCAGAACTCCATAAGAGGTTTAGGTGAATAGTCATTGGGTTCGAAGGGGACAGGTATCAAGTAAAAATATAACCCCAACTCTGATTCCTATTTTCAGCAAACTAGCCGGTATCACAATAACTATGCAAGGATATGCTTGTGTGATCTAGTCAAATGGTGTTCGGTTTACCCTTTAGTTCGAGCCCTTGATCCTCTTTTTCTTCTCCCGGCTGGGAAGTGGCTCGTTCCTTGCTACAAGTCACTATTTATAGACAATGCAATAAAGGAGTACAGCCCAAATCCCCAGCTGAGGGTATTGTAGATTTGATACTTTATGCTTTCACCGCCTGTGGCTCGACAAATATGATGCACTAACCCTAACCCTAACCCGACGGTACACAAATTTGGCAAGATCATGGGGAGCGGCGAGTCTGCTTTCGGTATTCAAAAAACAAAAGAAGAATAGATAATCGAGAGTGTATTTGACAAGGGGTCGAAATGCATGTGAAAGTGCCGGATGCGGCCACACTGGGCGTCGAGGTGTGGTTGGCCCTGTTTGCGGTCGGCCCTCTTGTTCAGTGACGTTGGTTCGCGCTGGGCTGTGCATGGATAGGTTTGTTTCTCCCTTCACTGTAATCAAGATTGGTGCGGATCCCAATGTCCGTCAACAAGGCGGCGGGAATTTAATTCACACCTCCCCGGCGTGTCCCTTTAGAAAGGTCTCACCAAGTTAGTCAGGTAACTATTACTGTGCCTGTGTCTTCCATAACCCCACATGACGTCCTCAGGCAGGCACCCAGGTCGCGGAAAACGGGTCATTCATTCATGGAAACGGAAACGGGAGGGTGCCACGTGCCGGCGCTCCCGCCACACCGGCACGGCGCCTATGAGGCGCTGCGCTGCCCATAGGTACTGTTCGTATGTATTGTACAACCCGAAACAGGGAGCTGCCTGCGCCGCCCCAGGCAGACAGATACCTTACCTACCTTGGGTTAGGTAGGGCTAAGCTGAGGACGGTTGGCTACCTCGAACTGAAATGCCAGACAAATCACGTTCATCACGGCATCACGCTGTCGGCTCACATTCCATCCATCTCGCTCTCTTATCTTACGCATCTTACTTATTTCATCGTTTGTTGTTTGTTTCCCTGTGCTAAAGAAAAAGCCAGCCACTCCTTCTCGTTGCTGTGCTTCTACGATTTTCGACTCTCCCCTCATCAGAGGTGATTGTAGATACGGATACTCGCAGCCCAGCTACTCGGTACTCGATACAGTATCGCTCTTCACATTCCCAGGTTGATGCCTAGTCCGAGTCACCCGCACGCACGCCATAAATAGGCCGAGCCGAAATAAATCCAGTCTTGCTGGGCCATGGGTTCCCTCGCCTCCTGGTTCGGCCGGGGAGCAAGCCTACCCATCGCGATAGCAGGCACCGTCGCGGCAGTGAGCGCGTTGCTGCCTCTTCTCCGCAGTGCCCTGTGGCCGACGCGCCCCAAGATCATCCCCAGCCCACTCAGCACTGTCATTCCGCGCCTGTCTAAGAGCGAACTCGAGACGCTCGAGTACACGCCCGACGCCTTCCCAGGCGCGCGGGACGTAGAGACACCGGTATGCTTATTTTACATTGTGATATGGTACAATATAGATAGGTACGGCGAATATATCTTGGCCGAGCTGATATGTCTAACCTAGTATGGCTCCATCCGCGTCTATGAATGGGGTCCCGAGTCGGGCGCCAAGGTCCTGTTCATCCACGGCATCAGCACATCGTGTCAGACTCTGGGCAAGCTTGCCCACGCCCTGGTGGACGAGAAGGGATGCCGAGTCATGATGTTTGTGGGTTAATGTCTTTCCTGCCCTTTGCTTGCTACAGCCTCTAACACAGACGTAACAGGACCTCTTTGGCCGCGGCTTCTCGGACGGCGTCGGCGATCTCCCGCATGACCAGCGCCTGTATGTCACCCAGGCGCTGTTGGCGCTGGCCTCTTCGCCTCTGCCCTGGACGGGCGCCTCGGCCTTCAAGCTGGTCGGTTACAGCCTCGGCGGGGGTGTCGCAGTCCACTTCGCCGCTACATTTCCGGACCTGGTGTCGTCGCTTGTGCTGCTCGCCCCGGCCGGGCTGATCCGCCCCGAGTCGTTCGGCCTCGTGACGCGCTTCGTCTTCACCACGCCTCTGATCCCCTCGCGCCTGCTGGCCGCTATCACGAAGCGCCGTCTGCGGCGACCAATTGCCGCGAGCAGCAAGCGCAAAGCCGACACCGGCACGGCCGACCCCGTCTCTGCGGCCCTCGCCGAGGCTGCCGACCTGCCCGACGCTGGCGCCGAGCTCGACCCGCTCAACCGCCGCGTCCTGCGCTACGTGCAGTGGATGGTCAGCTACCACGCCGGCTTCGTGCCCGCCTTCATCGGCAGCATCCGCGACGCCCCGCTCGTCGGCCAGGAGGCGGCGTGGAGGAAGCTCGGCCTGCGCCCGCAGGGCAGCACGGCCGTGATCCTGGGAGACGCCGACGAGATCATCGACCCGCACCAGTACGCCGAGGACGGGCTGCCGCTGCTGGGCGGGCGCGACCACGCCTACTGGCTTCACGTTCCGGGCGGCCACGACTTCCCCATGACGCACGCCCGCGAGACGCTGCAGGAGATGTACAAGGTGTGGGGTTTATGATGATCTTCGAGTGTAATGGACTAGGGAGAGAGATAATATTTTACGGTTAGGTACCAGCAGAGCACAGGCGGCAGGCAGGCAGAGAGATACCGGATAGAGGAGATAATAAGTCACCATGGTAATAATAACACAGCACTCTACTTGGATAAAATTGGATTAAATCTAAAACAACCCCAAATTCGCTCTACACCCTGGCGTGGTCTCCTCGTCCTTTTCTCACGCCTACACTCAAATAGACGAAGATAGTAATTTTCTCAATACAATTCTACAACACAAAACAAACCACAGGCTTGAGTAAACCATAACACACACAACAAAAAAATATGACGCAAATAACCAAAAAGCGTTGCGGTGGAGGGAGGGCTTGCCATGTCATCAAAGTCGGTCATTCAATCACTCGACTGAACAATTGACTGACCAGGGGCTGTTTGCATGCATGCGACATCGCTCTCGTCTACAGGCAAGGCAGGCCAGCAAGCCAAGAACAAGAGACGACGACGAATGAAACAGCCCACGTGGACTTCCCATCTGCTATGCATAGTCTCTTTCCTTGCCTTCGCAACGCAAAACAACACACCGACACAATGTACCAGCACCGACAGACCGGGGGCGTTAGTCGGTAAGTAGGGCACAAAACCCGGGCCCGGCCGGCAAAAGCTGCATGCAGGTGTCAGAGCTGTTCTGGTTACAAGAGGAATGGTAATAAGAACAAAATGAGAGAAGTTTATTTTTGGCGGAAATGGGTGATCCATAGACACACCACGAATGTGCATACTTCGGAGTGCTAGTCCATGCAATGCTTCGTAGGTAAAATGTCTAACACAGTATGTACAACACATGGTACTATAGCTTGATTCATTTTATTCTTCCAAGTTGTAGTACTGTGATACAAGTGCTTACTGTATACATTCATCAGATCTACAAGGGCATCCTTTCTCGTATGTACAAGAGGGTAAGGCTACTAGAAACCTATCCGTAACGCAAACACACGTAAGAGACCGGGCGGGCATGTAGAGGGAGAGGAGAGAGTGAAATGCAGCTACCGAGGTATCATCCATGCCAACGGCCCCCCTTTACCTAGCAACACTAACACGGCCGTAGTCGTCGTCAAAATAATTTCGCAAAAACAGCTAGCTGGGACCTAAACCGTTAATTGAACTATCCATTGTTGTTTCCTTCTCACCTCCCCCTCCTTTACCCCCCCTATTTCCCCCAAATGCTCCGTTTTTATAGGCATCCCCGCCAATTCCATGCGACAGAACTGTGAATCGATGGGAGCTACCCAGCTGCTCTCAACAGAACCTATCCCTGAGCGTCGACAAACTCGTCGTTTGACTCATCCGTGTCCGTCCTTTTCAGGTCGGCCGGCAAGCTGCTCTTCAGATCTTCGTGGAAATCGATGAGAGGGCCGCCGCCGTGAGCGTCCGTTCGACCCGTAGCTGAGAGTAGTGTCTGGATCTCGGTTGTGCTCCTGTGAGAAGGATCAAGTGGAGGCGGTGCTTGTTTCTGCCCAGTGGACGACGAGTCTCGTTGGCCAAAGTCTATCAGGTCGCCATCGCCCTGGCTGAAACTGCCCTTTCGAGGCACGCTCGCGGAGCTGCTGGTGGGTCTGGACATGGAGCCCCTGGAGGGTATCACCATTGGATTTTCCCATTTCTGGCCTTTGACAATAGGGTAGATAGCCATGATTTGTGCTACCTGTTTTTCGGGCGTCGCTCCATCTCTGAATATGCAGATTAGCATGCAGTCGAAAAGCATAGACATGAGGGGGAAAGATGGGGTCCGGGGCGTCAAACATTTGTGCGCTGATTATCCACTCGAGATCTTCCTCGCCTTCTTCCGGGCCATTGGGACCCCCTCTAACCATCCTAAACAGCCGTGGGCGCCATTCGACCCCGTCCTGGGCTCTTTTGGCAGCCTCCTCCCGCTGCATGTCCTCGACCTTGGTTTTCTCATCGGTAGCCAATTCGTGGTTCCTATCCTTGACGGCTTGCGCCGTCTTGGCCCACAGCTTCTGCGATTCCCTGTCGTCCTGCTCCTCGAGCGGCCGGCATAGAGGCGGGGAATGCTTCGCTCGTAGGGCATTAAAAAACATCTCTTTATGCCCCGTCTTTGATACCTTTGTCAGCCATATCCTACGCTATGACGTCAGCTAAGGCTTGCTTACCTTGATGTCTCTAATGAACATCTCCTCGTTCCACAGGCCTGAAAGCTCGTAGAGGATCTCGCCCGTCTTTTCGTCTTTGATATTCCCCCCAATGGCGTTGTAGGTCCCGCTAACCCAGCCTTTCGTCTTGAAATCGATATCGGCAACCAAGCCCAACTCGGGGCACCGCACAAAACTGTGGTCTCCAAGCTCGTACTTCATTTTCCCAAACAAGATCCCCCTTGCGTACATGTTGGGCTGAGTGAGAATGCTGTATCTGTTTAGTTACCGAGTCATGCATTTTGGAGCTGCTTGACTCACTATCGTTCTCCCTTTGCCGGGTTCTTACCCCTATTCAAGAGAGTTAAGATCGCTGTCCCTTCCATCAAGCTGGCAGCAGAATTCCCCAAGAACTTGCTCCTAGGCTTAAGCGTCCCGTCGACCCTAATATGGTGGTCCGGGACCATGTAGAAATAGCTCGACTTTGGCGGGTGATGCGAGGTTTGTTCGGAGACGTAGTAGGCCCTTGTTTTGTCAGGGAAATCCCAGTAACAGGTGAATATCTCGCCCAGGATGGGATTCAGTGGCTTTTTGACCCCTCTAGAGCGACATCAGCATACTGCTTAGCAACGACGGCAAAAGAAGGTCGGATCTCACGGAGGACGAATATGCCAACCACTCAGGTAGAACTTGACCACTGAGACAAATCTTTGGACAGGATCATCGATCTTTGGGATTGGCAAAAGCATTTCGGGATGACACATAAAGCTGCGCGTGGGATGTTAGCCATGCCATGCTCGCAGTGTTGGTGTTGGAGATTCGAAGCGGGCATTGTGCTTCCTGGGCATGGCATACTTGGTTATCCGCTCTAACATGCTGCGGGGCTCGAGAATGAATGTGGGCAGGACGACTCTGCTGAGGTCGGCGCCGGGCCTCAGCTGGGAAATGATGTGCCCCAGGACTGTATGCAGTAGTTAGCAACAGGTACCTGGCAGCAAGTATAATGCGCCCTGCCTGACGAACCGTTCCCCTGGTCCGTTTCAACTACCGTGACGTCCTCCTCGATCGTATCTGGCTGCGAGCCATCGTTGGAAGAGCGACTGCCTGGATGAAAGCACATGTCAGCGCCTCAAATATCCAAACACAAGGAGGAACATTTTCCAGTCTCTTGCCTCCCAATTTATGCCGAAGGATCTCGACCGTTCCGTCTATTAAATACGCCAAATTCAAAATAGGGCCCTTTGTAGGATATAAACGACATTTAAAGTCCCGGGCGACCACTCACTGGCATTCGAGGTTGCCCGACGGCGACCTGGAACAAGTCCTTTCATGTTTGGATTTCCCCGACGCAACCTGTCGGCCGATCTCTCTGTCGTAGCGCTTGTCTATTTCGAAAGTCGAAGCTGTCACAAAGGCGGGGACATCAAAATTTGGAGAGAGAAGACTGAATATAGAGGTGAGGGCGTTTTGGATGCGCCCCGCCAAGGGGAAGCACGCTATTAAAGAACCGAGTGTTGGGCTAGAGGAGGAGGAGGAGCGAGGTTTGGATTTTTGGGTCTGGGTCCGGGTCCTTGACGCGCAACGCAAGTCGCTTTGGAAATAGGTCTACGTGAAGGAAATGGCAGGCACCACTCACCAGGCTGGGGGAGGTCTAAAAACGAGCGGGATCATCAGCGAAGTCGGGCGGGGCATGGAGGGGGGGCACCCACATTGGGACCCTAGAGATGACGTTGCGTGGGTCCGCCATCCAACACTACGCCCATCTAAACTATTACGAGAGGGCCCGTCATTGGAGCTACGCTGTTTGCGCACCTTTGTGGAACACAGAGGTGAGTCTCTTCCTGCCGTTATTACTCACACGCTGTCTCTTTTAGGATTCTCTGATGCATGTGCAGTATAGATGTATATTGTCAGTTTGTTTTGGTTCCAGGGCCGTCCTGACACCTGCCAACGAACTTGTGTTTCTTGTTAGCCCAAATACCGGGGCCAAGTGTACATTTGGGCCCGCACAAGCTCCAAATCCCACGCCTTTCACGCACCCCCCCACACTTGGTCACCTAGCCATGTGTGAAACGGGCGACTTCGTCGGAATCGCTTGCTAAGTAACACCCCAGATAGATGAGCTGTCCAGGATGTTTCAATACTGGCTTAGCCACGTAGTATGTACTCTAATGGGTCAATCGGTTCGAACAAGATGTGCAGGATTCCATTGGGACCCTGCTCGGCTGCGCTGCCGCCCGAGAGCTCCGGATGAGTCCGAACGTACCGCCAAACCCCTGCGGATGAAGTTGCTCACGGAGGAGAATGCTGGGCAGGGAGCCAATGTAAACTTCATTTGGGCCTTCACACGTGTTGGAAATCTAGACTTGGCTTCTCGGCGGCCCTGGTTGGCGGGCCGGCCAGTGAGCTCCAGCAATTCACTCCGCACCTACCTTCTGTACGAAGTTTCCACTACGCAATAAGGGCTCCCAAGCGGAGACTTGGGTTCCTGTGAAACATGTGGAAAATAAACGACCAAAAAATGGCTGCAGTAACGGCATGCTCAACTCCGGTCAATCCGGAAAAGACGGGGGAGTCTTGGGAGGTGTCTAAGCCCACGGGTTTCGTGAGTTTATCAACGCAAAGGAGGACCGATTCGTAGCATCTGGTTGAACAATACCTGATGTGTAACTCAGCGATGTCATCATACCAGGCACACCTTTCCCCAGTCCTCTTGTAATAAAATTTTCCATCGGCGTTGGAATACAGACAAAGAGACGTGGACGGCCGCTTATGTATCCGAAGGGTATGTCTATGTCGCCTATCTCTTGCACGTTGTTATGATATACCTATCTGAGGGGAGTCTCTGGTGCAGTACAGGGTGCCGTCTCCATTCTTAAGCCCACTTTCAACATATAGCAGATATCCAAGTACGCAGTAATGAGGGTAGGTAAGATACTAGGTACCTTAGGCACCCTGAGTCCGAACCCGGGCAGTGGTAACCCCAAGAAACCGAACTCGTACTCATAGGTACCTTAGGTAAGGCAGTCGGATTACCAGATAGCTTCAAATTCTTAAAGGAAAATAGAAAATGGAAAATAGTTGACCGAGGATTTTAGGGCACAACCAAGGCAACGAGCCAGCTGTACGACGCCATGGTCGGGATTAAGAACCCGTGGGGAAATCTGAGCGCCACTTCATATGGCAAATAATCACACTAAGGAAGGATGCTGACCTTCAGTCCGACGAGCCCCGCGCCGCTCCCGAGTGCGAAGCAGCTTCAGGGGCGGATAATACTAACCTGGAACGTAAGGTATGCGAGGACTGTACGAATAAATACATAGCAAGGACATACGTATCAGGCCTGGTTGGTGCCGTGAATTGGGTTTCCCGTGTCAACGGATCGAGTTAGTCGTAATGTACAAGTACATAATCCGTACAAGCACAAGCAATACTTTAGACATATTTCTTAGGGTAAACTCAGCGACGGAGTCTGCCGTAGCTTGCCTTTGTGATCTCTCTTATTTATCGCCAAGATAGCACGAGTTTTAACACACATGCGGTACGTAGTAGGTGCATTTATACCTTACCTAGGTACCTTAGTTGTCGGATTTGAAACAAGTCTGAGGTACATGATCTAAACATAAAATAGACAGTCGTGCACGGCAAAAAGAAAGAGGCTCATCGATGCTAGTAATCTACCTTTGAACTAAGGGAGGCGGACGGACTGCGGGTCTAAGGAAGAGATACGTTTTTATGACCATTTCCTCCCAAAACGGTATTTCCACCAGCGTTTATTCCAAGGCACGGCGAGGCCAGCGGTGATGCCTAAAATAACCAGCCCGGAGATCTGTGCTCCTTTCCTATGCCCTACAGGTACATATAAATAATTATATAATCTGTACATACACTCCACCCAGCTTCTATCATGACAATGCGATCTTGTGGTAATGTGCTATAAATCTTCAACAATCTGCAAGCGGTCCGCAAGTCGCAAGATACCGTATTTAACAGAGGACTTCGTACTTAGGCGCTAAGGAGGGCCCTGCCTCCTTCCCGTTTATTAGGCAGTGGGGCCGCCACACACGCTATCGATCCCGTCTCGAGTTCTGTTGTGAATGCCTGGTGGAGGCTGATCGACCTTGCCCCGCCAGATACGTTACACGCCCTAGGCAAAGCAGGCTGGGATTGCGTCCCTGGACTGAATGTACAGCACATTGCATGTACATGCCACTTTCATATTTGAGCCCGCCATCCAAGCCCCCCAACTGCACCTCAATGACTTCGTACCAACAGTCAACCTTTCCCATGATCTACTAGTCTTAGTTTTAGGCATTGTTCAGGCCACATGCGCATCCAATCCCACAGCAACGGGCATTGGCAACTCTGCAGTCGGTCTTCGGTGGCTTGGCAGCTGGAAGCAGAGGAGGCACATGCCAACCTTCCCTTTTGGTCTGTGAATCCTGACCTGAGCCCGAATTTCGCCAGTGTCGAGACCTCATGACGCCCCCCTTCACTCTCTGTGTCCGCAACGACCGACCGAAAGAATGGAGAATGAACCGCTGAGCACCCGGGCGCAAGATGATGGCGGCGGCCGTGGCTCGAGGAGGGGTAAAATCATTGGGAAGCTCTTTGGACGCGACCGCGATCGTGATCGTGACCAGAGAACCGCACAGGACGAAGGCACCAATCCCGGCGACTTGAACGACTTCCTTCACGGGCCGTCTGACAAGTTGCAAGTTGCCCATGCGGCTCCTCCTATGCTTGCCAAGCTCGACATCAAGAGTGCCACCCGCTATCCAAACGCGCTTCACGTCTCCACTCCCACTCTCAGCAACCTACAGCCTGATGCCGTTCTCCAACCACGATCACATAATTCGAGGAGCAGGGCTAGGGTTCGGAAAGGGCTTGTCGTAAGATTCGTCGACACATATCCCGACATCATTGGCGATGGTGGCGACGAGTGTGACGTTCCCACATACGAGATTTCGAGGCGCAGGAAAGCCAGACCCCCAGTTGTTACCGCCGTGACCGCCCCGGCTCGGCCAACCGAGGCTGAAAGTGGCCCTCGCAAGGCCTACCCGGAGGCACTTGTGAACGAAGCCCCCTTCAACCCCAGCCCGCTGAGGCGCACGCAGACGGGCTACTCGTCCATCTCGGACGCACCAGACCCAGAGATACCGGCGGGCTGGAATGCCCCTACCAAATATCTCGACAGTCAGGCCGTATCCCGTGATGACAGGCGGAGGTCTTTTATTGAGGTCCACCAAGCTGAGATGCGGCAAGCCGAGGGACTGGCATTTTCCCAGGCCTTGCGGTCAGGGAGCACATCCCCACAACAGGCCCAGGACCGGGGAATGCCCTCGCCTTCTACTCCTGAACCAACAGTAGGCGGTGTTTTTACCAATTCGCCAAGACTTACCATGTCTTCACAACAACAATTTATACCACAGCCATCCCCGGTTTCCCCGTCTGCACCACCGCCGCCTCTTCCGCCATCTTACCCGCAACCCACTCTCGCAATTCGACCAGCTCAAATCCCACAGATTCAGACCAAAGATCCCTTCCAGATGCCATATTCTCCAGTTCCGCCATCTTTAAACGAGAGACAGCTTGTTCCGCCCTCTCATAATACCAGGCCACAGTTAAATCAACCGACAGATTCGCCCGAGAGGCTGCTGAAGATGACACCGGCTCTCGATCAGAGTCCGTCGTCTACTTTCTCAGTCGCCTCGAGTTTTAATCACCCGTACGCAGCGCTTCGACAAGGGGTCAAGCCCGCAGAGAGGGATAACGGGTCACCAACATCACAAAGGGCTTCCTCAAACTTGCATGATGTCATCAGTGCCGTGGCAGATGATGCGCTAGATGCTTTTGTTAGCCGTACCCGACATTTGTTTGAGCTTTTTCGCCTTCACTCAGAGAGTGTGCGGCCGTTGGCTTCTTGCACAGCCTCTGAGCTCGCCAGAGCAGCTCTATGGTGGTTCCTGTTCGGCCGAATGGCACTCGAGACTGCTGTCCGAGAACAACCAAACAGTTCCGAGTCTCGCCAAAATAATGAATTGGCGAAGCAACAGGCGTACGCCGATTTGGCCAAATCGTATTGGCTGTCTGAAGACATTATCCCAGAGATCTTTGGTAGCGACAGAAACCCAATCGAAGAAGTTGACGATGCCAGACTTGCTTTGGCTTCCAGTCTCCGGAAGCTGGCCATGTCAATGAAAAGGAATGGGTTTCTGCCTCCCGAGGAGGCATTCCTCCCTCAGAGCATCGATCGATCCATCTGGATTGCATACCCTCAGGTCACACAAGACACAATCCTGCTTCTTTGGGGCTCGTCGAGCTCTGGTCTTGCGCAGACACAACAAACTGTTTCTCGCATGCGCCTGTTGGAAGCATTGCCTTTGGCCGATTCCTCACTTTCTTTCTGCTTTGGTCGGGTCTCTGCCGACGTGATTCTCATGGAACAGGGGGGAGATTCACAGAGGCTCTACTTCCCCTGCATCCTGTCGATTACCAGGCCACAGAAACAACCCGACATCGTGTTCGCTGTCGCGAGTCAAGACGGATCTGTTCAACTTCGGATCTCAGGGAACAAAAGCCTAGGCCCAGCGTGGGAAGACGTACGGTGGCGCTCAGACAATCTTAGTCTTGAAATCAGGCTGCCGCGTGGGCTTATTCTCGTTCTCCAATGCTCGCAACAAAGTTATAAAATGTTGTGGAATATGTACGACTTCAGCGCCAAAGTGAACTCGAGCCTTTATCCTCGACAGGATGAGCGCTGCACTTTCCGATCAACCCTTCGAGCATTTCAATACTTCGATAACGATCCCCAGTCGCGGCAGTTTCCGCGAGAGTCGACCCCTAACTGCGATATTGCCTTGTTTGAGCGTGTCATACGGGAAGGGGCTGCGACTGGGCCTCGCAACCATCACGCAGGCTATCGCATAGCAGTTGTTACAGGTACCAAAACAAAAACCCTGAGCGGTATCAGCCAGATGTATACCCCTCAGGTACCAATACACTTTGGGTTTTTGCGCAGCGAGGCAAACGACCCTGCTCTTTCCCTCAAATTTGACAACGGTCGACAGAAGGGAAATATGGTCTTGTCCTTTGCCGACGAACAAGAGAGGTTACGGATGCACAGTCTCCTGATTGGCACAGCTCTAAATCGCGACGAAAAAGTCTACTGCGAGGTTCAGCTGGATGGGGTCTGGTTTTCTGAGAGATTCGGCGATGCCCTCCAAAAGGGGCTCAAGGCTTTCTCGAGTTTGTCCTGGCAGAGGCTTCGGGTCATCAACCATGACAGTGACGGCAATCGTCCACCATGTGTTCTTGCCGACAGGCTACGGGTGGTTTATGAAAGTAAGGATGGCACGTTCACCGACAGGATTAACGTTGCCCCTGGCGAACTCAAATTGCGGCTCGATGTGCGTAACCCCAGTTGCATGATGGTTTTCCGTCAAACCCAGAGCGATGCAACGATGGCAGTCACCGAGTCAAAGACTCCACATGAGCTATCGCAAGCCTTAAGTCAGGGCCTAGAAACCTTGCAGCAAGGCGCAACGATTCGAACATTCATGTTCCCTAGTATTGCAGACCTCCATGCATTCGAGACTGCTATCACGGGGTTCAAAGTCCTGTTCGACGGGGTAGCTTGCGCCTTTGCCATCTCGCGACGACGCATGGTTGTTCCCATTTACAAAAAGTGGGAAGCAGGCGCGACACGGATCCAGGTTGTCCAGCAAGATGGCGCAACACAGCTCCTCGCTTTCTTTGACGACTTTGCTCACGGGAAGTGTATGGGATTCAGTCTTAAGGGAACCGACGTGTTTGAAGCGTTCAGCAGGGGTGGCAGTAAAGCTGGGCTGAAGATAGATGATGCCAAGTTTCCATTACCCAAGGTGGCCAACGCCGAGGTTGACAATGCTCAAGAAGCATCCGACTCTGCCTTTGTCTGTTTCGACTTGCCCGAGCTGCCGGGAGAGCATGATGATATTTCAATCGTGTTCGAAAACGAAGCAGGTACGTCGTATAACCCTCTCCCAGAGCGCAGAGCGATGTCGCCCAGCGGCTAACCTCCGAATCAAGAGCGAGATAAACTCGTATCATGCCTTCCGGCACCTGTCAAGGGCTCCCGACTATCAAAGATTACTAAAGCGCTACCGTAGCGATTTGGATCTGGGCCCACGACTTAGCAGCTATGAGAAAACTAGAGACATGTTCCGAGGCACAAGGATCCCCCGCCTTTACCAAGGTGGGAAGTCCTACAATATGGTATTGCTAGATAATACAATGCTGTTACGCTTTTATTCTTTAGTTTTAAACTGGACCGCGGTGCTGGATGGGATATACTAGCTATGAATATTATAAAAGGGATGACAATCCCGTAAGGGTAATTGATTCTTTTATTTCTATTTTATTTCAGATCAGTCAAGTTCACATCGTTCATCACCCAGTAAAGTCACCCGGTAATGAAGATAGGTACATGTTCTTCTGGGACGTAAAAGATTGGGTAACGAAATTAGCGAGAAGTCGGTTTTGCTTAATACAGTTCTCGGCTTTTGATACAGAAGATTGATGAGAGCACCGCAGCCCCGTCCGTCCCGCAAGCCCAAACGCCGTGAACTCCGTGTAAGTAACCCGGTTTAGATGCGTGATCTGTCCTTCTGTTTCCCTTTCAGACAAGGGCCGGATTTTGCTTTCCTCCCCTAATCCCAACATAGGCTCTCAGTAGCATGCTTACCACCCAACCCGATAAAAAAACATACAAAGCACAACAAGCCTTTTCCTTTCACCAGTCTTTCCTCCTCATAGTATATCCCTAGTAGAGCGGGGACACATGGACACGTGTCCACCTAGTTGCCTGTCGACGTTCGGGTGAGATCTTGTTCCAAGTAGAGGCAAAAGCACTAGCAATACCTAATGGCGAGCAAACTTCTTCCGTTGGCGATACTTCTTCCGTCGCTAACGCCTAGCTCTCTCTGAACGTGGCCCGCGCCTAGTTGTCCCTGAACGTCGCCAGCACGTGTCATTTTCTGCACTAGTTGAGTTCCCTGGAATTCTTCAGCGATGGGGAGCGACGGCGATAATCCACCCAATCGGGATACAACTCACTTTAAAAGCGTCTTCGGGTGGGCTCGGGGCTCGGGGAGCGGGTGGGGCTGCGTGACTGGGGGCGGGACTTAAGCCACTTCTTGGTGCTGAGCTCGAGCTCCCGGTCGAGCTCAGGTGAGGGGTTCTTGCGGTGGATGAAGTTGCAGAAGCCACCACGGACGCAGCCCTCGCCGCTGTTAAGGCGGCAGCAGGCCTCGCGAAAGTCGGTGACAGGGCTTAGCTCGCAATAGATGGGGCGAGCGGCATACCAGCGGCTGTTGAGTTCGTCACAGGCTTTCTGAGCGCTGTCCTCGTACTTGAAGCGAGCGTACACGTTGCCGATCAAGTGGTCGTTGTTGTTGTCACAGACGACAAGCTCCTCGAGCTCGCCGTACTTGCACATCTCGCACCAGATGTCCTCGTAGAATGCGTCGAAATGGTTTTGAAGCTGCGACACGTTCATGCGGTTCTTGGTATCGAACGCCGGGTTCTGGTACAGGTTCGGCATCAGAATAGTCTGCGAGTATGAAGGCTTCACGTGCTTGCGGCTACAGCGGTCGCCGTGGCGGCACGCTCCGATCTTGTAGTAGAAGGAGCAGTTGACCTTGTCCTGCTCGGTGCCGAAGATGGACGCCAGAAAGTTGGCCATTTTGATTGTGATTCGGTTTTATGGAGGTGTTGAGAATGTGATGACGGGAGGGTGATGTTTGAGGGGTGGGGGCGATGTTGTATTGTGCGAGGAAGACGGCAACAACGGTCGAGGACTCGATCGATTGGGGGTGAGAATCGAGGGGACTGTGAGTGTTGCGAGCGGTGATGCGCTTCGCCCTCAATATCTCTGCAGTTGAACCTTTTGGTATGTTTAGACTTTCGGCAAGAGTATACGCACTGCAAAAGACCGTCTTATGGTATCGCTGTGCGTGGATGTCTTCGGTCTCAGCTTTGCCCCGAGATCAAGTGTTGGTAGGTTGTAGATAATAAATTGAACCCGCGTCGCGATAGCGCACAAGAAAACGAGAATTGTCAGCCGTCCTCGAAGGTTTTCGCCACAAGTGGCTTGACGAGCGTTGATTGGCTAAGCTCAATTGCTTTGCACGAGGCTGAACATTCCAGAACCCCGCTTCTGCGGGGAATCTCTCCCAGCCCGTTCTAAACGTTTTTTTGAATATATTTCCACACCACGTGTGTCAGATAGCAATTTTGGCAGATGCGAAGCCCGTTTGCGTTTACTGGCTCAGTCCTTGCGCTCTCGGACGATTGATCATCTTTCATCAAGGACACACGTTTGTATGAGCTGTATCCGTACTTTTAGCCTTAGAACAACTTTAGTCTAGGTAAGGAAATATCCGGCCTTTGTTGCTACGTATCATAGCAATTGACGTCAGCAGCGGCCATCAACTTCCAATTCACCCGCTCAGCTACTTCACCCTTGAATCCTTGATTGAGAATTTGGTATAAACATTACTTTATTAAACTGGGACTTCCATGTGACAAACAAGAAGCTGTACGGAAGTAATATAACCGACAACTTTGCTTTCCTGTAGTTGGTGGTTTCCTCCAATCTCCAGCTAGAAGACCGTCTAGAAAGCAAAACCCCACGGCGGCGCTGGAAAATATCGCACTTTGTAGATTAGGTCGCTCACGCAACGCATCCATCCCTCGCGATTTCGTCCAGCATTATCCCGGCATATCCTGGCCGGTGTCGCCGCGCCGGCCCCAATTGGTGTCCGTACTAGCGTGACCTTCTGAGACACGGCCGGATGCGAAGTAGGTATCCCGTCGCAGATAGCGAAGAGCGGTGATGGCCTGAGCAGGTAGTTTTCCTCGCCCTTCCCAGCCACCGCATAGGGACTGCACAGCTGCACAGCAGAATTTGGTGATACGATACGATTGTTTCTTGTTGAAACATAGGTATGCCTAGAGTATGGATAGGTAGTACGCGAGAAGGGCCCGTTAATGAAGCTTGGGGCCTCGCCCAACCTCGAGGATTCCGAGCCCTTAAACCCAGCTTCGATTGTTCAACCGCTGATGTGTCTTGCGTAAGTATGGTAATGCCGGTCTAGTGCACGTGGATGGCCCGCTATTGGGCCAGCGTGGATCGGTTCCGAGGGGCTGCATCTGGTAATTCTGGGATCCCTGAAGAAGGAGATCTGTGGCGATAAGAAGTCCGCACAAGGCATAATGATTGTAAGTTATAACTACTACCTAAAGGAAGCTAAATAACTTGAAAATATAACTCCATTGTCAGCCAAAACTTTCGGTAGCATCAATCCGGTTGTTTAACGTTATTACTCAGCTGTTTTTTTTTTTTTGGGGAAGATCCGGGGACGCAGCCTGCCGGGACATTGGAAACCAGTGTGCCGCCCTCCCGCCGGAGGCCAACCTAGGGTCGCCGAGATTTGCGACAGGGATCCGTCACTAGCGAGTAGCGACCCTCCCGATTTGGCTGAGCGGCCTCCATCTTCAGCTTGCGTGGTTGAGGTGATTTAAATCGTCGAGTGCATGTGCCCAGACGGCCAGACGCTCTCGGCGAGCTGAGGGGGGTTGGGACTTGCATCCAAGGTCTCCGACGTGGTCGGAAGCCGTCTTTAGCGTTTGGGCATCTAGTACTTGTTAACAGCTCGAGAAAAGGAAGGCCACGAAGAAGAGGCGAAGGTTAGTAGTAGCCTCTCGCGTTACTCAAGGTCTAGGGGCACTACTTACTGTGCGTAGTGACATGTTGAGTTACCCAAAGTCCGGCAAGTGGGAGATGCGGCTTTTTGACCCTTCCAAGGTTACAAGGCATACCGTATAATGCACTGCCCGGCAGGACAGTTCCGAGAAGGAGAAGCCAGCTGTCGCAAACTCAATGGCAGTGGCTCGACAAATAGGAGGAAACCTGGATTCTCATCTCCGCTGCGCACGCATCTAGGCTCGAATAAATAAAATCTTGGCTTCGTGGGACATCGCCAGATTTTACTTTTGGGGGGAAACCGGGTTCGGATTAGCCTGAGCAGAGTCCACCACTACGACCCCATTCCATCTAATTGGAGAGCTCTGTTCCCCGCCCTCGCTCCAAGCAGGTTCTGACGTAGCGTCTGATCTTGCAGCTGGGCTGGGCGCTCGTCAGTGGGTGTAGAGCTGGGACCCCGGTCGGTCCAGCTCTCCTGGGAAGATCACTTGCGCCTTGGGGTCAGCTCGGCCCGTCCATAGCTTGCGTCTCCCAGTTTGCGTAAGTTTTCGTCCCTCAACCGGAACCCGCCAGCCTGTGTGTTCTTGTTGCTTGGACGCATTTCTAATACTGGCATTGGTTCCTGGGGTTAATTTGTTTTCCCTCTTCCGACCGCAAGTTTGGCCCGAGTTTGTTTCTGTTGGCCTTGTGCCGCCCGCTTAACTCCTCCCATTCCATGCTCTCGAAGCTGGCTCCAGGCCTAGACACCTGACCTGCTTCGCCTCACCATCTTAAATCCTAGACAGGGCTGCCCAGCTTCTCCCGTGGAAATCCGCCAAACAGACGTGCCTCATAGTCGCCTAATCGACATTTCTACTGCGTCAATTGGAGAACAGGACCAAGGCTGCAGAGGCAGCGAAGGGCGCTAGCCACAATGGACCCTCCTCAGGCCGTTGACGAGAACAAGCAGCAAGGCGCTATCGATGCCGCTCGCGACCCCGAAAGCTCTGTCACTGCCGACGACGCCCAACGCGAGATAGTCGAGAACAGTAAAGAGGCTGGAATAGCGGCATTCACATTTAACCCTGATGCCAGCACCGAGGAGAAGAATGCTCAGGCCAGAGCCGTACGTGGAATCGGATCATTGTATCCTGCAAGGCTCTGTCTCGCCTATACTAACTTATCGCAGGCAATCCCCACCGGTTTCCACCGAAGACCCAAGGGCGTGGCTATTGCAACGGATATTGACGACGGTTCAAAGGCTGACATCGACCTCCCCTCTCCCTCCAAGGCTGGCGCCGTCGAGGTCGCCAAGGGCGAAGATGGGAAACCACTACCGAATGGCCACGCGAGCGAAGGAGCTGTCATGGGCGAGATGACAGGCTGGGCGCCCCGGTTTGGCTGGCCTGCCGACGAGGAGGAGGATTCGTCCCTGTTAGACCACACGACATGGCTGGAATCGCGTCTTTCTGACGCTTTCTTTGGGGGTGAGAACACGCTCTGCCCATCCACTGACATTCACTGCTGACTTGGCCTAGACTGGTACCACAACGCGGGCGTGATTTTCTTTGCCTGCATCTCATCCTGGCTCGTTGCCGTGCTCGGCGGCGGCCTTGGCTGGGTCTTCATCGTCATGGCGGTTTGCTCGACGTATTATCGGACCTCGATCCGCAGGGTGCGCCAAAATTTCAGAGACGATATCACCCGGGAGGTTGCCATGAAGAAGCTCGAGACCGATAATGAATCCGTGGAATGGATCAACTCGTTCCTGGTAAAATTCTGGCCCATCTACCAGCCAGTCCTTGCCCAGACTGTGATCAACTCGGTCGACCAGGTTCTAAGCGGCGCCACCCCGGCGTTTTTGGACAGCCTAAAGCTCAAAACCTTTACCTTGGGCTCCAAGCCCCCGAGGATGGAGCATGTCAAGACATATCCCAAAGCCGACGACGACATTGTCATCATGGATTGGCTGTTCAGCTTCACGCCGAATGATACGGCGGATATGACCTCCCGCCAACTTATCAACAAGGTCAACCCCAAGGTCATCCTCGAGATCCGAGTGGGCAAAGCCATGATTAGCAAGGGCCTCGATGTGATCGTGGAGAACATGGCCTTTTCGGGTCTGATGAGGCTTAAGATCAAATTGCAGATCCCTTTTCCCCACGTGGAGAAGATCGAGATGTGCTTCCTCGAGCGGCCCTCGATCGATTACGTCTGCAAGCCTCTTGGAGGCGAAACCTTTGGCTTCGACATTAATTTCATTCCCGGCCTTGAGAGCTTCATCCAGGAGCAAATACACGGCTCCTTGGCTCCCATGATGTACGCGCCTAATGTATTCCCCATCGAGGTAGCCAAGATGCTTGCCGGCACACCCGTAGATCAAGCAATCGGCGTCATTGGCATTACCATTCATGGTGCCCAGGGTCTGAAGAACTCCGATAGTTTCTCTGGCACGCCTGACCCTTACGCTACAGTCTCCTTGAACGGGAGACAGACACTTGCGAAAACGAAGACGATCAAGGAGAACGGGAGCCCCCGCTGGAACGAGACGCACTACATTATCGTCACTTCGTTCAACGATGCTCTCCAAATCGAGGTCTTTGACTACAACGAGTTCAGAAAGGACAAGAGACTTGGCATGGCCACTTTCCCGCTTGAGAACGTTGAGGACCTAAATGAATACGAAAATGAAAGACTTGAGCTCCACAATGACGGCAAGGCAAAGGGCATTATTACCTGCGATATTCGCTTTTTCCCCGTTCTGGAGGCGGCAAAGACTCCGGATGGGACGGTGGAGCCGCCTCCCGAGTCAAACACAGGTATCCTTCGGTTCACCGTCGAGCAAGCCAAAGAGTTGGACAGTGGCAAGAGCATGATTGGCCTTCTCAATCCCTACGCGACACTACTGCTCAACAGCAAGGAAATCCATGTCACCAAAAAGCTCAAGCGTACAAACAATCCCGTCTGGGACAACGGCTCCAAAGAGATGCTCATCACTGACCGGAAAAACGCCAAGCTGGGGGTTGCCGTCAAAGACGACCGCGATATTGCTGGCGACCAACTTGTTGGAACTTACCAGATCAAGCTTGACGATATTCTCGATCTCATGAGCAAGGGCCAGGACTGGTATAACCTTATTGGCGTCAAGACTGGGCGCGTAAAGATGATGGCTCAGTGGAAGCCCGTCGCTCTCACAGGCGTCGGTGCTGGCACTGGGGGGTACCAGACACCTGTCGGAGTCTTGCGAGTCCATTTCCAAAATGCCAAGCAATTGCGCAATTTTGAGGCTCTGGGCAAGTCGGATCCATATGCTCGCGTCCTAATGTCAGGCATTGAGAAGGCTCGAACTGTCACATTCAAGAACAACCTTAACCCAGAGTGGGACGAAGTGCTTTATATTCCCGTCCACTCGGGTAAGGAACGATTGCAACTCGAGGTCATGGATGCGGAAAATGTGGGCAGAGACCGAAGTCTCGGTCTAACGGAAATCATATCTGGCGATTTCATGTCTCAGGGCGAAAATGGAGAATGGCTTGTCCGCGACGACAAGCTTCGCCGTTCAGAAGGCCTCCGCATCCATGGCAAAGGTGCTGCCAAGGGCATGCTCAACTATACGGTCGCCTTCTATCCGTGCCTCAATATCGCCGATCCCGCCGAGGAAGAGGAGAGGAAGAAGAAAGAAGAGGAGGAAAGGAAGAAGCACGAAAGACAGAAAGACAGCTTCTCGGAGCACAAAAAGTCGCTGGATACTCCACGCTCGCCAGAGGCCGGAAAATTCTCCACCACGCTTGGGAGCAAGGAAGTCGGGAAGCCGGCGCCTGCAAGGAAGGAATCCAGCAGGCCTGTCACACCATTGACACCTGCTACCCCGACCAGCACTGCACCAAGAAAGTCCCGAGAGGATAGGGAGCCGCCAAAGCTCTACCTCACACCCCAAGAGTTGCTCAAGTACGAATCCGGTCTTGTTATTTTCAAGCTCATGGATGCGGATTTGCCGAAGAGTGGAACTCGTATTGAGGTTTTCGTCGACGATATGGCCTTCGCGTCTTACACTTCTTCTACGGCAAAGACCAAGACGCACAAGTTTGATGAATACGGCGACTGCTTCATACGAGAGCTTGACTTCTCGAAACTTACCGTCAAAATCTGCGAGCCGTCGGACAAGCAAGACGAAGCTGGCAAGCAGCACACTCTGGCCAAATTGACTGGCCGCACGGTTGATACTCTAAGGCAATGCCTGGTAAGTGAAATGCTGCTCGGGGTTTGCGATGGTAGAACAACTGCTAACCCGATAATAGAATAACCCCACAACGCTACAGATGAAAGATGACCAGGGCAACGTCTACTCCATCAAGATCAGCTTGAAGTACGTTCCCGTCAAGATGCAGCTGGACCCAAGCGAGAGTATCAACAATATGGGCAACCTCCGAGTCGATATATTAGATGCTCAAGATCTTCCATCAGCCGACTCCAACGGCAAGAGTGATCCATTTGTCAAGTTTGAGCTCAACGGCGCCGAGGTCTTTAAAAGCAAAACGCAAAAGAAGACACTGCATCCGGCTTGGAATGAGTATTTCGAGGTGCCGGTGCCATCACGTACTGCGGCGAGATTCAAGGCCACGGTGTATGACTACGACTTTGCCGACAAGCCTGATTTCTTAGGCGCCACCGAGATCAACTTGACCCAGCTGGATACTTTCCAGGCCAGGGAGTTCCGTTACAAGCTCGATGGAAAGTCCGGGACCCTACGCTTGCGTCTTCTCTTCCGCCCGGATTACGTCACGAGGAGCAAGCAGGGGACTTCAACTTTCTCCGGGACGTTTGCTGTGCCGGGCAAGATTGTGACTGGCGCCGTAGGCGCGCCAATCAAGGGAGGTGCGGCCGTTGTCGGGGCCGTTGGGCATGGTGTGGGCATGTTGAAGCGCGGCTTCCGTTCCAATACCTCAAAGAAGGATGATGATTCGGACACGGCCAGCTCAACTAATATTCCAATAATCACAACCAATGGGCCGGATCCGACCCCGGGCATGGGCCTGAAGCGATCCACCGGACTCGCAATTCAGGACGGAGACAAAACCCCCCCAACCCCCGAAGGTAGAACTCCGGGTATTGCGAATGGTGGCTTTTTACATCACTCTCGGACGAGGAGTGCGGGGGCGTCTTCAATCCACAGCGCTATCTTCGCCGGCGGTGCTACAGGGACAGCCACATTCACGATTGCCTCGGCGTCAGGATTCCCGCCTTCTACCGACGTCTACGTTTCAGTGACGCAAATGAAGGATGGCAAGTCGAAGGTGGTGGGCAAGACAAAGCACCACAAGTCGGCCACAGGGACTGTCAGTTTTGACGAGACATTCAAAGTCTCGTGCAGCCCCGACTCGCAGTTCAAGGTCGAGGCCAGAGAACACCACACGCTTAAGAGCGATGACGTACTTGGAGAGAGTCTCTACTTTGTAGACGACACGAACACAGGCCAGGAGAAGCCAGTGAACGTCGGTAATGGCACTGTCGTGATCAAGAGCTCCTTCGCGCTGACGGAGAACTCCTTGACGCCCGATAGCCCCAAATCTGGCGGAGGCGTGCGGAGAAGTTTCTTGAGCAAGAGAGAGAGCAGGGTGCCAAGCCGGGAGACGACGCCAATCCCTTGAAATTCATTCGTCTTCTATTTCTCTTTTTCCTAGTTGTTTATTTTATTTTATTTTATTTTATTTTATTTTATTTTATTTCATTTTATTTCATTTTATTTCATTTTATTTCATTTTATTTTATTTTATTTTATCTATCTATTTATTTATTTATTTTTATCTCTTTATTTGGTTCAAGTTCTAAGAGATTTGGCTTGGTACACATTGTTAGTGGGTTCGCGGAGATGGAACAGCACCCTGAACCGGGGGACATGAGCTTTGTCCTTTTCCAAACATATCCTGGCAAACCAGCGATTATACCTTGGTCTCCTGGGTATGGAGATTTTCCTATATTATTACTACCCAAGACTTCCCAAACGGTCCAGGTACGAAGTCGATTGGTCGCCAAATGTCAACGGCTAGAGTGGAGAATTTGAAGCAGGGAAAATGGGGTTCTAAAACAAAGAGGGAGTTGTCCAGGAATCTAATTGTTTCATTTGTATGACGGCCGACAGTCTGTATGAGAGGAAGGAAACGGTTAAGGATGATGGCCGAAAAGTGCAAAAAGGGGGGCCTTTGTAGGGCTTTGAAGCTTGAGCCTTGACTTAATAAGAAAAAAGCCAAGTTGGTCGTTGAATTCATTGATCAGCTATAGTGAGAATGTGAAGGTCCCGCATTAATCAGGCCCTCCGACCTTACCACCTAACTTATTGATATACCATGTATTCTGTATTCGTACGCTATGTATGAACATAGTGTACGTACAGTTCTGTATTTGCACTGCTTGTAGCTCAAGTCAGGTACTAGATGTAGTACGGATACATACGGTAGCCGTCGCTTGCAGGATACCTTAATTGCTACCGCTATTTCCGATCCCATAGCCCGATGATTGCTGCCAAGCAAATGGGATGTAACCCCGAAAAGCCAAGCTGGAGCTCTGACGGCCAAACCCCAAACCCCAACTTGCGAATATTTAATTGTCAAGCGGCGTAGATCCAGTTGTGCGATACGTTAGCTGCGACTACCGATTACCTACGTACCTTTGGTAAATCCATTGGCCCAATTACAGTGCTCACCAATCGTTTCTTGCGCGACCAAAAGACAGCGATACTTTAATCGAACACCCGCACGACGCATTGTTCCCTCCTTCGGCCGAACACGAACAAGAGAAAGAGCAAGGAGCGTGTTAGCAGGCAGGCAGGCAGGCAGGCAGGCTGACCGGCTTGAGAGAAAGCGACATAGACGGAGCAAATATGGACCAAGCCGACATACCGGCGCTGCTGTCGCGGCTCGCTAGCGACGAGGATGCGGCGCGCAAGATGGCCGTCTTCAAGCTGCAGTCGTCCATCAACGATCCAGCCTTCGCCGACGTATTCATTTCCTCAGGGGGGCTGGTAGTTCTGCGCCGCCTCATTATGAGCGCTGGTGGCAATACATTGGCCTACTCGCTGCAGAGTCTGAGCCGCCTGCTCGAGGTCGACATGGGCTGGGATATATTCGAGGGCCCCGCCGCCGGCGACCTGGTTGAGCGCGTCGTTGAGCTCATAGTCACCAACCCACTCGTCAATATCCTGCGTGGCGCCATGTCCATCCTCGTCGCCCTCGTCAGCCACTCCCAGTCCAACGCGCGCGGTGCCGCCCGCAGTCCCGGCACCTTTGGCTTCAGGGCACTCAAGCCTGCCGTCGCCGTCTACCCACAGTTCTTCGAGCTTGTCATCCAACAGCTGCAGTCAGCCGATCACGCCCTGTGTGCCAACGCCCTAATGCTCATCAACGCCCTGATACGGGACGCTGTCTCCAACGATGGCGTCGCTACTGTCGCGGTCGCCAAGTCCACCGGCGTTGGAGAGGAGTGGTCAAAATTCATAAAGCGCCTGCAGGACTTGGGGCTTATCAAGGCCGTTTACAACCTCCTACAGAGCTCGGCCCTGCAGGACCTCGCATACCCGCTCCTCGAGTTTCAGTCGCTGACGAAGGTGCTCCTAAGGAAGTGGCGAGAGGTGCGAGTCGATCTCGAGCGCCCCGAGCACAGGCGAGCGCTCAAGGGTCTACACCTCGCGAGCGCCCCAGACAGGCGCCACGCAAACGGCGGTCTGGCAGGCGTATTTGATGATGCCGAAGGCGCCAACAAAAAGGGAAGCCGCAGGCACAACCCGGAAAAGTGGCGGAGGCTAGGCTTTGAAACAGAATCCCCCGCGGTCGAGTTCGAGACGGCCGGCTTCCTAGGAATGATGGATCTGACCGACTACGTACGCAAAAACGAGGACGGCTTTCAGAAGTTGCTCTTGGAGCAGTCGGCTAAGCCGCTCAGCGGACGATGTCCCGTGGCTCGCGCGAGCCTGGCAGTGACCATGATTCTCTACGATCACTTCGAAGTGGACAAGTCGGACCTGGAGGATATTAGGGGCTACCAGGCCATGGACGGCCTCGGCGACAGCGGTAAGACCAATGACAAACTGTTCCGACCCCTGCTCCTGCAGTGGTCCCGGTTGCACACGGTCGGACTGCATGCCTTCTTCCGTATGTGGAAGGCGACGGGGGCGGAGCGGGACGACTTCGACAAGGTGGCTGAGCTGGTGCGCATTTTGGTCGAGCAAGTAGTAGGGCAGGCGAGCCGGACCAAGGACGTGCTCGAGGTTGAGGATGACTTGCAAGAGTACGATGCTGGGCGGCTGCGGGAACTACAGATGGAGCTCCTAGAGTTGTCGTTTGAGGACCAGTGGGGCACGCACCTCTACCAAGTGCGCGAGGAGCTTAAACACGAGGCGCTGCAGTTCGTCAAAGAGCAGCGAATCCGCTGCTTGCTGCAGGGGTCTTGGTTCACCAAACCTCTCTCCAGCAATCACGCGCGCCAGAACAGCTATCAGAAGCGGCGCCTTTACCATCCTTGGCGCTACGCTAAGCTCTCCCACAACCGCCGGTACCTACACTACGCCGACTTCGCCGAGCAGACGGCACAGGATCCAGGGCTTGACGCGCTCACCGAGAAAGTCGATCTCAGCACTATCAGCTCCGTCGTGTCCAATGTGTCGGCGCCCAGCGAGGAAGACGAGGCCGCCGACGAGACTAAGAGCCAGACGTCGACCGCATCTCCAGCTTATGGCAGGGCACTGTCGGCCAAGCCCACAACCAAGATCACCATATATACCTTCGCCGAGGATCTGGGCGCCGGCGGCGGAGGCGGCAACGGCGAAGCAGCAGGAGCCGTAACAAAACAAGACGGGGCCACTGGTTCTGGCGCCGGAAGCGGAGGAGATGCAAAGGAGCAGCCCATTCTCACACTGTTCCCACTCAACCACAGCCTCGCGTCCGAGTGGCTCGACGGCCTCCTCATGCTCCTCAACCAGGCCCCCATCACCGCCGAGACCAACAAGCTCGTCACCCTCGTCAGCGAGTACGGCCTCAAGATCCGCCTACTCAATGTCAGGCTCGAGGCCGTCTACGCCGGGCCCGCGCCAGGGGCGGGGGTGGTGCCTAGTCGTGAGGGGCTAGACGAGGATTACTTTTACGAGATTTAGGTGTTTATTTTTCGGGTGGTTTTGAGCTTTCTTGTGGCTTGTTTTTTTGAGCCCTGGCTGATTGAATTGGCCATATTTTTCTACTGTTACATATACCCCCTTGTCACCCATTGGTACTTGATTTTTGTTTTGTCTTATTCTTACTCGTTTCTCGACGACAAATGATAGGTGTCGAGTGCAGGCGTATACCATGTTTAGATGTGTTATGCTTTAAAACGTATCTGTTTCTCTTTTTCTCTTTTTCTCTTTCTCTAAGGAATCTCTAGTTGAATATCAGTGTACAGCCCGTGCCATGGTTTACTCGCATATCGTCGTCTTGCTATAATGTGACCTGTCATACTGTTGTGAGTGAGGCGTCGTGGTGTCAGAAGGGAACAAGGACAATGCGGCTCTGCTTGATTGAGCGAACGGTTCGGGGTACGTATTTCAGGCGATTGATTGTCTGTTCAATAGAAAGGCAAGGTAGTAAATAAATACGGCGTGATTATAGGCACGACCTCTGTTTCTTTGTTGTGTTATGCTTTTCGTCCTTTCAACTAAACCCTTCCAAACCGATTTCAGTATTGGAATTTTAAATCGAAGGTGAAAGAGCCCCATCTCTCAAAGCTGTCAGGGGTGCAGCATCCTCCCACACCATCTGGTGGTCCGTGCGCACCCGCATGGCGGGGTTGACAAAGGGCTTGTAGGGGTCCATGTCAGCCAGCCCACGTGCGGCTCTTGTCGTCATCCCCCCAACCTCTAACCTCATCTTTTGTCACCCACTCCCTCATCCTCGACGCGGTATCAGACGTAAGGCAAACCGGAGTTAAGGAGATAGAGACTCGAGTTCCTTTCGTCACACAAATACTCCCCTTCAGCCTAGCGCTCAGAGAGGCCCCTATAGGTCGGGGTTAGATTCATACGCCTCTCATGTTCTCAACACCACGAAAGCGGTCCAAGTTCCAGGGACGAACACCAGGGTCGTCGAGCTCGTACAAATTTGCTCGAAGAGAATCCGGAGGGATATTTCAGAACGGAGGATGGTTTTGTACGTGCCGCCATGCACGCATACCTACGTGCTTGAATTTGCCCTGCCGGATCGAGAGAAGCCCCAACGTAAATAAGTAGCGATTGTTTAGTTTGTGCTTACTTTAGCTCAGGTAATTGCGATCCTCGATTACTAGCCTCGCGCTTCCAGACGAAGAAGGCCGGAAAGAACAGGGGAAGATGGTTCTTCACATGCCAAAGAGGGCCTAGCGAGGAACAATGTGACTTCTTCCTGTGGGAGGATGCAGCCCATGAGCGCGAGAGCGAGTCGCTGTTCGTCGGCGATGGTGGCAGTGGTCTCGGCGCGATGAGCCAGAACAATGGCGCTATAATATACAAGAGCAGAGATGACACTCAGGCCGAGCTGGTCGGGACCATCGGTCGAGACCCGCCGCCTCTCCCAGTCTTGACACTCCGACCGATACAGTCGCGCCAGAACCTCTTCACTACTGGATTTTCACGGATTCTGCAAAGCGTTGATGCCACGGGGGCGTCAGATGCCGATCAGAAAGCTGTCGCGACGGGCTGGCGACCCACCACCACTTTACCGGTGCAGGCATCCCCTATCGCTGCAAACTCTGCATCTAAAAGAAAGAGGAGCCTGTTTGGGGACGAAGTGGGCGATATCGGAATAAGGCGCAAGGATTTTGAAGACTTTGACTCCGAGGACGAGCAGCAGCTGGTTGAAAGATCAGACCAGAGTAGCCGGGGTCAGCAACGCAGCCAGATTGCCACATCAACCCGGCAACGGCAGCCTTACGAATTTGGCGAAGTGTCGACCCCCACGCCGCAGAGAGCTCCTTTCACAGCACCAAAGTCGGAAAGCACCAAGCTCGTGCGGGTTTCGGATGTGGCTGCGGTCAGAGCAACACCTAGCTCGACTCCACTGTCCCAGAGACGAGGCGCACTCGAGGGGAGCCACGGCGACCTTGAGCAAGCAGATGACGAAGACTATCAGATAACCGCGCAGGTGCTCGACTTGCTGAAGGACGAACCGGTCACGGAAGCCACACGGGGAAAATTGCGTGGCCATTTAAACAACTATGCCCTCCAGATGCGCGGAATGGAACGGGGTCGCGATATGACCCGGGCTGCAATAAAAGCGCGCGACGCCAAGGTCGGCGAGCTCCAGGCGCGTGTCAACGAGCTAGAGAATGAATGCAGGACCAAGCGGGAGAAGATCCGGAGCCTCAGTAGTGGGATCCGGGCATTGGTCAAGGGCGCCGATGATGATGACGAGTGACTAGAACATGGGATTCAATCCTGTACTTTTGCATTGGGCTTTGGGCTTTGGGATGTAATGGGACGAGTTATGGGGAAAGGAATTGGGATGGGATTGCGACTGCTTGTTAGGATACCACTTGATTTTTACTTGATTTTTTCACATTCTCGGTTCCCCTACGAGCGGCAGATTCCTGGGGAAATGTGCGCTACAAGACGTGGCGTGGGTGCGGACGGACTAAGATGGCCCGTCCTGTCCTGTCCTGTCGTTGATGCCGTCGAAGAGACTGCTGCACAACGTCATTCTGTCAATAGCTGAACCTGGGCTTCTTAGCAGGCACAACTGAAGTCTGCAGTCGTTCAATGGGTGGCAGGTTGGATGCAAGACCAGGGTAGTGATAATTCAATAGAGGCGAAGAAATTGAAGTGAGAAACCTGAATGCCAACCACCAGCATATCTTGCGTGGACCCCACTGTATTTGCATTGCACGGTTTGGCGGAGACGGCGCGTTGACGAAAAGCGCGTAAAAACGCACGGAAGGGATGCAGAGCTCGGCATTTTAAAGCTTTGGCCCCCGATGTTGACTCTGTTTCCTAAAATGGACGGGGGAGCGCGACTTGCGACACTCTAATTGGCCCGCTCTCGACGCGGGAAAGAGCGGTGCTGCACACGACGTGGGTCCTTCAAGAATTGAGGTACCTGGCCGTTCCTAGATGATCTGCCCCCCAGATCGCGGGCTCTTCAATTACATATCCCCCCCCCCCTCCTCGGCGCCTCTCAAGTTTCCAACCTATGGCTCTCCCTGCCCACGTCAACTTCTTCTCTCGTTCTCGTGGTGTCTGGGAACCGTCTCTTCCCGACATCGTCTCATCCTCCTCTCGTCTGTAATAGTAATACCAACCAATCTCGGTCGACTGAGCCTGTCTTTCAAGATGGACCCTCACGCCGCGTCCTCGTCCTCGTCTCCGTCTCCCCCGCCCTCGCCCAGACATTCGCTCTCGCCATCACCCGGGCCAACACAATCACATCTGCCCTCGCCCTCGTCCTCGCAGTCGGCCGACACCACCGATGAGCAGCTGCCTAGCTCCCCAATTAACAATGCCAGACTCCCCACGGCTTCTCGTCACTCGTCTATCTCTCCGACCGGCTCCCCACTACAGCTTTCCGAACTGGAACGCCACCCCAAGGGCAAGAGGAAACGGACCGCGTAAGTTGTGCTCGTCAACCTGGTCGAGGCCTGCACGCTGCCCGGCCCAATTAGCACGCCTTTGCTAACCGTGACCTTCCAGTGCAAAGGACAAGGCCATCCTCGAGGCTGCATACATCGCAAACCCAAAGCCTGACAAGTCGGCGCGACTCGACATCGTGAAGCGCGTCTCGCTTAACGAGAAAGAGGTCCAGGTTAGTCCTTGCCGAGAAGTGGAGCTCCACCAACTCCCCCACCCCATCTCTGACCCCCCCGTTGAGGCTGTGGCACGCATCCAGCCCAATTGGCCCTGCAATCCTGCAATCCTACTGACACCAGCCCTAGATCTGGTTCCAGAATCGACGACAAAATGACAGGCGAAAATCCCGTCCGCTTTCACCCCAAGAGATCGCCGCCCTGAGATACGGGGGTATGCAGATCCTTTCATCGGATCCCATGCCCTTCAATTCGTCATTCAGTACCGACAACGGCAACACATCGCCCGCTCAAAGCATGTCGCGGCCTGAGACAGGTGCCACGTCACCTCCCCCTCTTGACCATGCCGGCTCCAGCATCTGTGATGATCAAGACAGGACGCAGGACATCCTAAGCTACGACGACGCGAATCCGGGCTTCCCGCTGCTAGAAGCTGTGACACCGGCACAGAAAACGAAGCCCGCTGACGAATCCCATCAATCCTTGACACGGTCGTTCTCCGGCTCTGTCGGCTACCTGTCCAACCGATGGAACATGTCCAGCTCCTTCTCCTCGCCATCCGCACTCGGCCACGGTGGAGATGATTCTTTCAAGTATGTCGCTGTTTTTGTCTTCGAAGCGTGTCGTCGAGATTCTAACACGAGATGTAGACTCGAGTGCTTCGCAGCGTCCACTAGCTCCTCGTCATCCGGCCCGGTTCTCCCCCCACTGGGTTCTCAATCTTCCCAGTTCCGCCTATCGTTGTCGTTGGAAGGTAAGGCAGAAGTGGTTCCATCTATGCCCTCGCCTCCACGCCAAATTTCTCAACCACCATCCACGGATGCTTCCTCCATGCAGCATCTCGGTCCGGTCCGTCGACCCAGCCCTGAACAAGGTCAGGGCGACTCACCTTCTGTCACTCTGCCGCCTATCTCAATTCTCACCAGCTCCCTTCCTCTGTCTGGTAGCAGCGCCATACCGCCGCGTTTATCACGTGGCAGGTCAAGAGACGTCCATGCCTGGGAGTTCTGCTGCGACGCCGAGAACCGCGAAGATGCCTTGACCGTGCAGGCCAAGCACGAGAGCAGCGGCTCGGCCATTGCTGCCATTAGCCTCCTCAGGTCCGCCAGTTCGAGCGGCAGTCCCCTGCAGCCTAGCGGTAGCGCAAAGAGGAATTCAGCCATGAGCAAGGCGGTACCTCGCTCAGGTTCGGCGAAAAGACCCAAGCTAGGAAGAGCGACGAGCAGTGTGGCAAGGTTGCAGACCGGCTTTGGTCCCGAGGAGAATAAGGAGGTCCGAAAAGATGCTGTTTATAACCCTGAAAAGGTCAAGGTGTCCATGCTTCTTTCTCTGTCGGGCAACGATTCGGACAAGGAAAACTGGAGTCCAGACGAAGAAGGCAACCCTCGGCTCCCTCTACCCCAGTCTCAGCCTATCGGTGTCCGGCGACCCCTCCCTTCTGGAGCCTCATGGCTGGATAAGAGGAGTCCCCGTCGGACACCGGGACGTCGCCCTCAGGATCGCCGCACCCCACCACTGCTCGGGAGTCGCGCAAATACGGCCCCACTGCGTGGGCGTAACGTGCGTGCCGGCAAGCGGGGCCAATCCCCGCTTGAGATATTTGAGGATGTGGAGGATGATAGTGGCCCGAATGTGCCCGCACTCGACGAAGAAGTAGAGCGGTTCATGCGTGGTGTTGCCAGTCCGAGCAAGAAGGGCGATGTGGATGCCGTCGCCGGTCTACTATCGCTCAGCCAGGGCAATTGGCGGTAGTGATGGTCCACCCACTTCACCTTGTCATGTGGAAAAGCCGAAATGTGTCTTCCATTTTCGGGCGAGGTTCCCGTTAACCGAGCCGAGCCGGGTATTGTGCCTTTGTGTTCTTGTTTTGAGGCAAGCAAAAAAGCACTTTCATGCCTTGTTATTTCTGGCGGGGCCGGCGGCGGAATTATTTTCAGTCTTTGGGAAGGTTTCGGTGGATGTATTTTGGTTTTATTTTTTTTACCTTTTTTTGGATGACCTGGATGGAGAATATGGAAGGAAACGGCCGGTGTTCTTGTTTACATCATTCCGTATAGTTTGTATATATGTGTGGCTAGGATGGGAAGGGATTTGAGACTCGGTCTCGGATTTTTCTTGTTGTTTTTTCTTACCGGAGGTACCCAGTATCGGTGTTTATGGGACTTACCTTGCTGCTGTTGTTTATTCAGCCTAGTGTGGCGCAAAATATTATCGATTAGTTTGCTTAGTTTGACCAAGCTGTACAAACTAAGGATTGACTTTCCCGCCTGCGATGTTCATGTTCCTAGTGAAATAAGACTGACTGAGTTCGGATGGATGATCCTGCCTCCGAATGTGACGTAAAACCCAGATTGGACGAAACCTAGAGGTAAGTTCTAGGCTAAGAGAACTGCAAGTGGCAAGATTGTGATGTTACCATGACATTCAATTTCACGTAGAGCTAATTAGTTCTTAGGAGTTGGGCGAAAACTGTTAGCCAAATAAGCGCTTCACTCACTCGGGTAAATTTGCATCCGACACGTTGATCCTCGGCCGCGTCTAAGACAAACTTGGAAACAGATGTGGTAATTCACAATGGCATCTGTTTTTGTTGATATTATTTTAGATGCAAGGCACGAAATGCGAGACTGAAAGGTTCGTATTAATGAAGAAGTAAGTGGTAGATGACAACGGTTGTCTTCTATGTACTGTTGTCTTAAGAGTCTGCATTCCCAGCACGACTGCCCACCTCTTCTTTTATGTTGCTACCCTCCTGGCCTGTCGCCCTGTTTCTACTTCTTATGCCGCGACGGTTCGACACAAGAAATCCATATTTGTTCAATAGAAAAGCTAAAAAGAAATCATACTTCATCTTCGAGTTAGTGTTGATAGGCCCTTTGGCCAAACGAGACAAAAAATGAGTCTCGCAGGTGGCCATGCCAGAAAGGTCCCTCCCTAAACGCCAATTGGACCACATAAAAAGTATCAAAAACCCATATGAACAAAGTGGTCCTGCCAATCCTTTCCCTCCCTCTCGTCCGGCTGTAGCGTCATCCCGGTTGTCTTAATGCAAAGTATGTGAATAATAAATGCTGTGAATGATTCCCAAAAACGGCCCCTCTCTTGCCTTCCAATGTCCAAAAATAAAAATAAAAGAACTCGAATGCGCTCTACTCATCGCTGTGGCGTTTGCACTGCCGTCTTGTTTATATTTCTTTTTTAAAATCCCAGTAAACTCATCTGTCTTCGGAGCGGGCTCGCACTGGTACTGCTCTCTTCGCTAACATAGCAGGCAGAGTCTGTGTCGATGTCCCAGCCGTCATCTTCCTCGGTTTTCCCATCCTCGCTACCAACGGCGCTATCGCCGGTATCGAAGGCCTTCTGTGTGGCGGCGCGTACATTCCAGCGCAGGGTGCGCGAGACGCTGTCGAACCACTCCGTGTCGGTACGCACTACTGTGGGGAAGGGGTACTGCGACGCCGTGATGGTGACATGGTCTCCCTGCTTTAGTTCAACGCGGCCCTTGCCGTCAAATGCGCAGTATGCAGTGGCGCGGCTGTTGCGCGGGATCGACACACGCAACAGCATAGTGTCCGACAGCACCATGGGCCGGAAAGATAATGTGTGCGGACATATCGGGGTCAGTAGAATGGCCGGAATATCTGGGTGGACAAGCGAGCCACCAGCCGAAAGAGAATATGCTGTGGATCCTATAAGAAAAGAGGCATTAGAGCACGGAACAAAACATAGATGCGTCAGGACAAGGCAGGGTGACGTCAAGCTTACCAGTCGGGGTTGAGAAGATGCAGCCGTCGGCCTGGATTACAGTCAAAAGCTCATTATCGCCATACAACTCCAAGTTGGAAACATACGGCGACGGGCCACGGTCGATGACGAGCTCGTTCAGGACTTCGAACTGTTCGCCTTCCTCCATCTCGTGGCCCATGGGGCCGTCGCGGTACACGGTGCAGGTGAAGCGCATGCGCAGGTTGACGCGCATCCCCTCGTCACCCATGACGCGATTGAGGTGGTCCCTGTACCTCTCAAACTCAAAGCTCGTCAAGAAGCCGAGACTGCCGAGGCTAAACGACAGGACTGGGGGTACAATCCGCTGAAAGAGCCATGATGTGAACAAGACGGTGCCATCACCGCCGAGTGTTAACACGAGGTCGAACTTCTCGGGCTGGGTCCAGCAGAGGTCAGGCGACCAGTATTGGAGCATCTCCTGGAAGCGGGGGTTCTCGGCAACGATTCCGGGCGCATTGAAGCGTTTTGAATTGCGGAGCTTGGCGTCGACAAACACATTGACGCCGAGGTCAGAGCCGTAGCGCGGGGTCCGGAGTAGCCACTGGGCCAGTTCACGGGTGAGAACGACCAGCTGGTTGTCGCGGGCTTTGGTTACGATCATGACATTTCTCACAGCGCGCTTGATGGGGCGGCGCTGGAGCTGCTTCGAGACCTCTCGGACGCTGGTGGCTGTCTGCACGAGACGCGAGTGCGAAACCCAGTCGTCGTTCTTGATTTCCTCGAGCACCTTGTCGATGTCGACGGCGTCGTCGAATCGATTGTGGTAGAAACAAGGCGACTGGAGCGAGGGGAAGGCGGCGGTGGGCGTCATGCTCTGGCCGCGGACGTTCTGGACCTGGGCAAGGCCGTTGAGAGCGTCGCACAGCTGCTGCGACGAAGAAGTGGAGGGGCGCATATCACCACCGGAAGGCATGGTGGCGGTCTTGTGTGCAGACAGCATTCCGCTGAGCGACAGGGCCTCGGGCTTGTTGTTGCGTGCCACTGAGGCCAGAGCCTTCATAATAGTCTGGCGCGGGACGGACTCAACCGAGAGGGCGTTCTTGCGGTGGGCAGAAGCCGGGTGAGAACGCGGCGGCTCGTAGAGAGCAGAAGGGGTAGTCCCTTGATGCAAGTCCGAGTTCGAGGGCGTCGTCGTCGGTTGGGGGCCTAGTGATGGCTCAACGGACGCGAAATCAGCGTTGACGGCATTTCGGGGAGAGGTCGGAGGCTCCGGAGGTGTTGTCATGTGTGCGAAGACGGCACTGGAGCTCTGGGGACGGTTGGCGTCGGACGGAGAGGCAGACGACTTATTAAGTCCATGCTCGGGCAGCGGCAGCGGCGGGAAGGTGAGATCAGCCAGCGGACTAATAAGGGCTGGGTGAATCGCTGTGGGCGATGAAATTGGGCCGGACATGTTCGAACAGCTGCGTGGACTGTCTATTTTCGGCCCGTCCGTGGTCGTAGTGATTCTTAGTGTTGGGTAGTCCCTGGAGGTCTGGGACCTTCTGGGCTCGCTCGCTAGCCGTGTCTTGGCCAGGCCCCCCTGTTGGGCCTAAACAGCGCCGCTTCACTTCGCGCTGGCTTAACAAAGGCCCCCGGAAATAACCCCACAGCGCTGTGGCCGGGGCGCTGTACGATGGTAGTGCAGTACAATGCACTCTCGCAGCCAAACGAGGTCGCAGCGAATCAAAGACACTGGCAACCTGGAATTCGAAGGCCGCAGAACAGCGGGCTCGCACGACCCGATCAGACCGAAACCCGACGCAGCCAAATGGAAGACCTGCAATGCACCTGGCTTGCTTGTGTAACGCAGGCTGCAGCACGGCACGCAGCACGCAGATAGCACGCAGACGCAGATGCAAGAAAGCACAAGCGGGCACGAACGAGGCGGGAACCGACCCGAGGGGCGCTCTGCCTTGGCGACGTCACTCGGCGGCCAGAGACGGCTCGCAACCTAGATGCAGAAAAGCTGGTGAGGCTTGCTTGCTCCAAGGGATTTGAATAGCTAGGTAGTGGCGCAACACCAGCTCGAAGACCGATGCTTTTGTGGTGTGTGTTCTTGCTGTACTGTAAAACAGATGTAGGTGATTGTGTGCTGTCAAAACACACAGTCACCACCTGGGCAGATGGAAGTTGCTTGCTTAGATCCGGACTCGGCGGTCAACCTGCAGTGGAGAGAACGGCCCACACCAGTCAGTCAACCCCACCAAAAGCTGCGTGTGTGCTGGCCAGGGGCAGTGCCTGCCGCAAATCCACCCGACACGTTCAGGGTCCCTGCCCCCGCGGCCATCACGAATCAATCTCATCTTCAACGTTCGGAGGGGGTTTCTTACAAGAGCTTCCGTCCAAACCACCTCAAGTGAACAAACGAGATGATTATTAAAAGCAAATAACGGCTTCAGCAGAGAGCGAATACGCCAATGCTGAAGGATCGAGCAAAAATGAGTGCGTGACAGCGAAACGGGAACGAATCTGTTGACTTGGAAAAGTGTGGTGCTGAGAGGGGCTTGGTGGCGGGGTTACTCTGTCAATGAACAATTGACTTAGTAAGGTTGTGGAATCCCGTGGTTGCAGTCTGGCTTTGTGAACTCTGTGGCAATTGGCTTTGCTAAGGTATACGATTGGGCGCTGTGCGTGATTTGGGGTGCAGCGTGCTGCACGTGGCCACCCAAGTAGTAGTGAAGCAAAGAACAATGAGGGTGCAACAAGTCTCAATGAGTTGCAACAACCAGTCGGACGCCCAGATGGATGGGTCTATGGTCTATTCGGCCGGCCAAGGAAAGTGGCTATACCGGTAAAATAATCCTAGGGGTAGTAGCACCGCTAACTGGAGTCAGGTGCAGGCCGATGGTGATGGAGAAGGAACGAAGCCAATGCAGAGTTGACCGAAGTGATAGAGTGATGCCCGAGGCGATTGGAGGAAGCTCAAGGTCCGAGAGCGTGACGGCGTTTAAAAGTCTAGATGAAGAATGATGGGAGATCTATATATAAACAAATATTGAAGGGCTGCAGTAAATAGAGAGAAAGGAAGGAGCAAAAGGCCGCAAAGTTGAATGCAAGAGACTAAGGTACATGTAAGTACAAGAACTACCAGAGCTCTGCTTCCAACGTGCGCTTCAAGTGAAGAGAAGAAGGAAGGGCGGCAGGAGGTGTGGGTTTGGGAGAGGGCAAAAAGGTTGGGTCATCGAGATGAAGACTGAAGACCAGAGAGAGAGAAGAAAGGAGCATCGTGATAGTGCGTGTGGCTTAATATCAAGCATGTCGGAGCTGGTCAGGGATGGCGGGTGAAGCGGCTCCCAGCTCGATATCGTTGGAGCCTGTGCTCCAGGGAAGGGGTTGCCCGGAGGAGCTGCGTGCAGAATATTCGATACAGAGGTACGGGGACAATACCTACGGCACGTATTGAATGTACCCTGAACCCCAGGCGGTGCTTGGGGATTTGAGACCAACCCAATTTGCATCCTCAAGCGGCGATGTCCCTTCACGTATTCGTCTAAGGTATGATTACACCTTACCTTCCTCCCTGGACAGCAACGATGGATACAAAGGTACGAAGTACATACATACATACCGCAGCAGACGGCTCAGGCCCGGCACTCGATACTCGCAATGCTGGCCAGCCAGCCAGGCCCGCGTCGCTGTCTAGATGTTCCAGAAGAGTGTGTCGTTTTTTGCAATGGCGGGCTGGGTCCGTCCCTACCAGTGCTGCTGGTATCAGCCGCCATATCACTTTCGAGGCTCTCGGTGAGACGAGGAATCAAGGTAACTAAGGTAGGTATCCGTACTGCCACGTCTTAACGTCCCATCGCTTTGGATGACAAGAAAAATAAAAATAGGTCGGTAATAGGGGGATGACACTTGGGATTCCAAACAAGACCCCCCGTCTCCGCGTTCCCCGTTGCATTGGCGGCTCCTGTCAACAATCCAAACTCCTGGCTCCTACACATTGGACGTTCAAGATAGGAGCAATTGGAAGTTAGAGGGGACGAGCGGGCCGCTTACGGGCAAGAAGTGCAAGGGCGGTTCCTACACTAGAATCTCATCGGTCTGTGTGGCTTGAAAGCTTGTTCACAGGGTAAGTGGCATGGAACTTGCAGCCTGACCTGAGAGCTTCCATGCCCCGAGCTTGCTAGGAGCTGCTAGCCTTGAGCCTGCTCGGTGCTGGGTGCTGGGTGCTAGGTGCCAAGAGCCAGACGCGCAAAAAGAAAAGCGCCGAGCGAGTCTCATGTTTTCTCCGCAACGCTAGGGTCTGGAGGCGAGCAGTGGGGGTGGGACGCTAGTGCGGCATCGTCGAGCGGCACGGATTGCCTTCGCTGGCAAATCTGCACCTCGGGCCAGCCCCGCTGAGGATCATTCTGCAACAAGAAGCTGTTCGGTATGCTTGCAGCCCTGGGTCGGTCCCTGGGCGGGCTCGGCGTGAGGTGAGGTACGAATATCCCAACCAAAGCAGCCGCATAACGATTCCAGGCTCTCAAGCACATCCACGTACGATCCTGCCGTCGTCGCAAATGTTTGGAAACTTTTTTGACGACGAATCGCGACTCTGCAAAATGTTCTTTGCAGCTCTGGTTTGACCCGCGGCGATGACGCATCCCCTCGCAGGAACCGTTCTGGCTCTTGTACCTCGAAAGTCGGCATCAGCCGCCGATCAGCAATACGTCCCTAAGTTATTAGTTGCCCAGCACAGTACTATACAGTCCCATCGCAATGGCCCAATAATCATGACTCGGATGGTGGTAAAGAGGCGTTTGGCTTTGTCTCAAGCACGAGTTTACTGTGGAGAGACTCTTCAATGCTTATTATTGTACTGTATGTACATTCTGTACGGATACTGTGCATACAATACTGCAAATACAGTACCGTTGGAATACGGAGGCGCTACTACCTACGGATACAGGGAGCGAAAGCGCCAAAGCACGGAGACAAACCCTAGGTAAAGTGCTCCGTATCCGTACCTTCCTCCGGAGTAAGTAAATGGGGCTGCTATCGACTAGGTTCATGAGCTTGTTGAAGCTCGTGTCGCTGCACATGGGCGAGAGCAAGCGCCCGGTTTCGAGGTTCCTTCTCAGGCAGCTGCTACTTATTTAGCCTCAACCCTGCAAAAAGAAAAAGAAGGGCGTGTCCGAAGCCCCAGGGAACTTGTCAGTGTCACAACCCTCGATGGGTGGTAGGGAGCAAGAGAGTGAGCTGAAACAAGGTCCCGGCCCGCTAACGGGGAAATCCCAAAACGCGAACGGCCGTGCGGGCGGACCCCCAATTGTTTGAGGCGACGATACTATCCATCACGACGGACACCAAGAGCTTTTGCCAAGAAAAAAGTACGAGCGGTGGTAAAACGATCCCAAAAGGGGGTAGGTAGGTAGGTAGCATGCTGTCCATTGCAAGAGCTTTCATGTGATGATTCGCAAGCCGCGATAACTGCCGACTTGCTGATTTGCAGCTTGTAGCCGCGCAGCCATTTCCGGCTGTCTCGTGGAATCCATGCTCGCATCCTCCTCTTCCACGGCTTGCTGCTCTGGTACACAAGCCGTGTCTATCACCGCCACGGCCGTGATGCAACGCTATGTTGTCGGCGGCTGATGAACAACGGAGCAGCTCTTTTCATGCTAGTCTCGACCTTGAGAGCGCCTAGCCTGACAGTTAGGCTCCGACCAAGACGAGACAGGTTTGGCAATCCTCAGCCGAAGCCTCACTTCCAATAGAGGTCTGCCGCTACTTTGGCTTCCACGGTTGACCGGAGGAATTGGCGCATATCGGAGCCGGCGGCATCCTCGCTGTCGTCGAGCATCACATTGATACCGGCCTTGGTCGATGTGGGACGGCAGCAGATTTTCAGGGCTGCTTCGTAGACTCCGTCCCACTCTTTGACCGTAAAGTCGCCTTCGCTCTCTGCAAGGAGAAGCTCGTCATAAGATGTGAAAGCCAGGACATGGACTGACTGGGCCTGTTCGAGATCTCGCGGAGAAGGATCAACTACAAGTCTCTTGGTCTCTTCTTGGGGCACGACTGCTACAACGCTGGCTGTTGCCGTCGCTCTCATCGGCACAGCGGCCGAGATCAGCCCCAGAACGGCAGCCTGAAGCAGGGATGGCACAATGGGGAAATTCTAACAGGGTGAGTAGTTAATATGTATTCAAAGTAGAAAAACGAAAACGAGACGAGCCGCCGGCAAGCGTGTGTGTGAGAGATAGAAGGAAGAGAAGGGGCCAGGTCCCGTGTCGCCTGGTTCAGAGCGACAGGGCAGATCACGGGCACATGGACGCCAAGAATCAGGGCCCTTACCAGGCTAGCCTGAACAAGCTTTGTGTTGACATAGTCGTTGTCGGGTGTGGTCTCGATCTGAAGCACGATCTGGATGAGCTGGCGCGGGAATGACTTGACGAGGATAAGTTGAGTGAGCGACGATTCGAGGATGGATTCCAGGTGTCGTTCTCGTGTGCCTTATTATAGAAAAGACACGGTGAGCACAAAACGGGCCCCAAAGTTGGATTGCAGGGTGCCTAAGCTTCCTACCTCCAGTCCCGGCCGCGGGTCGCACGACGACATCGACGTGGGCCTCGAATGCGTGTTCATCGCGTCGCTGGGCCTCAATAGGCCCGTTCACTGAAGCCGTCACTGTGTAGCCTGCATGAGCGTATCTGGCAGACCCGTCCGCGCGCGGGAGCACAGACAGGGTGGCTTCAGGAATGACAGTCATGTTTATTGACTTGGAAGTGGCGGTGTCTTTTCGGATTCGGGGCCCTGAAGCGGTTTCTCAAAAAAGTCGTTTTTGAGTCTTTCGTCTCCCTCGCACAAGTTGACGTCTGTGCTTGACGAAGTTTCGATTGAGCTCAGCGCGAGGCTGACAGGCTTTCCGGCATTGCTACGGGCTGACTGCAGCCGTTGCCCCGCATTTTAGCGTCTGCAGCCCAAAGAATGGGGCCACTTGCAGGGATGTTGGGCCCTGCACAACGAAGCACACCAGTTGCTTGAGAGCCTCCAATTCGAATGAGGGGCAGGCATTCAGGAAGCGTCCGTCATCCTTCATCAAAACAACCGGGAAACCTACCTTACATCGGAATCGAAATACATCAGGTTGCTTCTGTACTAGCCAGGGAATCTAAGGGCAAGGCAGTGAACTCGAAACCTGTCGCTAATGGCGTCTACCACAACTTCGGACGGGGCGAGCCAGAGTGCGGTCTCGCAGATGGACAGGCCACAAACAGAGCCTTTGGCGCAAACGTCACTGTCATCGTCACCACCACCGCCAGCGACACCACCGACAAGCAGCATCAATCTCAAAGCCCGCATTCCCAAACTGGAACCGCGACGGAAGAGGGCCGAGCCGTCAAACCCGGTCCCGGTCCCCGAGACGCCCGCCCCGCCGCCACGTCCAGATGTCTCGACATTGACCTTCAAGATGCCCAGCCGGAGGATCCTGTCGCCTACCGACCACGACCTGTTCCTGGCATCCCCCGCATACCGCTTGGTCTTGTCTTTTGTGTTTGGGCTGGCCGATTCCATTGTTGACACGCCCATCTCGGCTGTCAATGATAGCGAGCTAAGCGAGCCCGTTAAGACCATCCTTCGCATTCTCGATGAAGCTGAGGCACTGTGTCGGGACTCGCCACCCAACGACCAGGGCGGCTCGCGCTTCGGCAACAAGGTCTTCCGCACCTTTCTCGACAAGATCAGGCAGCGCACCCCGGAGTGGCACAACGCGCTGCTCGGCCGTCTGCCGTCTACGTCTACGGCGCCCAACAATCCCGAGGCTGCCCCCGTGACAGCTACTGAGGAGGCGGCCGTGTACCTCAACCAGTCCTTCGGCAACCGCGCCCGCATCGACTACGGGTCCGGCCACGAGCTCAACTTCGTCATGTGGCTGCTGTGCCTGTACCAACTGTCGGTACTGGAGCGGTCCGACTTCCGCGCGCTCGGCCTGCGCGTCTTCGCCCGCTACCTCGACGTGATGCGTCTGGTGCAGTCCAGCTACTATCTCGAGCCGGCCGGGTCGCACGGGGTGTGGGGGCTGGACGACTACCAGTTCCTCCCCTTCCTCCTCGGCGCTAGCCAGCTGCTGCACCACCCCCTCATCACCCCGCGCGCCATCCACCTGGAGCTCACGCTCGAGGAGTTCGCCCACGAGTACATGTACCTCGGCCAGGTGGCGTTTGTCAACAGCACCAAGACGATCAAGGGGCTGCGCTGGCACAGCCCGATGCTCGACGACATCAGCAGCGCCAAGAATTGGTCCAAGATTGAGGGTGGCATGCGCCGCATGTTCGTCTCCGAGGTGCTGCGCAAGCTGCCCGTGATGCAGCACTTTCTGTTCGGGTCCCTGATCCCCGCGGCCGGTGGCATGAGCGAGCAGGACCCAACGGCGCTGGGCGCGGCCGACGCGGACGAGGACGCCGATGAAGGCGGCGAGGTCGACGTCTTCGACGACAAGGACGGCGTCAGGCATGTGCACCAGCTGGCGGGGTGGGGCGACTGCTGCGGCATCAAGGTGCCGAGCAGTATCGCCGCTGCCGAGGAGATGCGGAAGCGCGGGACTGGCGGCGAGCATCTGAGGAGGATACCTTTCGACTAGAGACGGACAGAAGACGCTTTTATTTACAGATGCTATAATTTGATCAGCTCCCAACAAAAGAAAGGTAAGTGAATCACATCTTGCAATTTAGCGACGACTTAGTACAACCAATGTCAACACCAGCATCGAATAGTGACCAAGTGATGCCTGATATTCGATTACCAAGTTCAGAGGTTCTTTCCAAGTCAACGTAAAGCGAGACCTAGTGGCATATCTCTTTTCTCTCTCGTATATCTGCTCCTATTACCCCTGACAAATGTATTTCTTCAGCGTTCAATCACAATGAAAGAAATGTGGCCCATACCCATCACCGTGCGCCGTGATAAATAAAAGAGAGAGTGGCAATGATATCCACCTTCCATGTTTCCTTCTCACACTACGTACGGACGGACCGGCTGGTCTCTCTATTCGGAGAACACACATGGCAGTGACTCGAACCTATATATCCATCGTTTATACACCTCTTGTGTTAACAAAGCCAGGAAGTCACCTCACCCGCTAGTATTTTCGGCTATTATAACTAGTAATGTTTATCCTTGTATAATATAATCGAAGAGGCATACAGTTCCCGTGTGTGGTAACCAGTGCGAAACCAAGTCATCTATCAACACACAGGCAAGGAAATATACATTATTTCACGTGAGGCTCACGACGAAGGCTCAGACCTCCACGTGAATCCCGCAAAGTAATATAGAAGTATACAGGAGGTAGTTTTGACCATAACGGCAGCCAACTTTCACCAAAGGATATCACGAAACCAGGGAACATGAGAGCACAGTTACTTTCAAAGACGAGAACACCTGGTCAGAGTTGGGAGATGAGATGAGGTTTCTGATCTCGCTCAGCTAAAATGAGCACAAACAATAAAACCATCCTGTAACCATCGCACTAAGGCTTGTGACAAGCCAGCTAGATACTATCCCCAATCCACACCACGGCTATGAAGATGCCTAGGTGAATGCCGATGCAGAGGGTATCAGAACACGCAATCCCCACAAAACGCCGCCAATGATTTTCCCGTGAATATCGAAAGGCCCGTGTCCCGTATTTTTTAATTTCAGAAGAACCGCCGTTGATGCAAATCCCGATCTGGACGTCCAGCCCTTCCGTGCCAGTGTCACTTCGTCCCAAAACTCCTATACAGCCCCTGGCTGTCATGTCAGCGAGCCACGCTCCAATCAATCTTCCCAGATCGTCTCTAAATCTAGATCTTGGCGCCTCTCGGCACCGCAAACGCTCCATCGCTTTCGCTTATCCCTCGAGCCAAAGCCCAGTGTCCGGCCGCGAGTGGGAACGTCCAAGCTTCCCTTCCCTTTGGCCTCTCCTCCCTCGGCCGCATCTGCGGCAGCTCTAAGTTGCGAAATTCTCTCATCCTCGAGGGCAGCTTCTTCGGCATCGGGCGAGTCAGGAATCGTCTCGAGACTGGAAATGCTAGGACTCCGGGACCGCGCCGAGGTGGGGGTCGAAGGAACCGAAGAGGACGGGTATCCTCCCAGGAAAGCATAGCTGCTCGACAAGGAGTCATGTGGCCGATAGGGCGGTGACGCAATGGTTGGCGATGAGGTGGTGGTGGTTATTCCATGGAGCGATGTGGTGCTGGAGTTGGCCACATGACGAAGAGGCGAGGATGGTCTTCGAATTCTCGGCATCGACGTAGGAGATGACAGGCCGAGGCCCAGGTTGGGCGAGCTGTTCCTCTCGGATAGCTGTCTCTCGGGATCGTGAACAGAGACGCGGGTCGGAGACGACGGGAAGGCCTCGTCCACTGGCTTTCGTAAAGGACGAACCCGACTTGGCGAGACTGAGGGGCTCTGGGGGCGCATTTGTGGCGAGTACAGAAGATGGCCAGCGGCGTTGACGCCGGGCATGGATTGAGTGCGGGCCATGGGAGGTGGTGCCAGGCTCGCGGCGGACCTCGACCTCGTGTGGCTGCTCGATAGCGGCGATGCAGCTCGCGGTCGGTATGGGAGCAAGGTAGGGGATGCCCACGAAGGCGAGGTTGGCGAAGATGTTGGAGAAGGGTCGGTCGACCGGCGGAGGTTAGATGGCTTGCGCGGAAAGTCGAAATCGGGCGGATTGAGTACTGCCGTTCCTTGGACCCTCAGGGTAGGGAGGGGGGAGGGCCGAAACTCCCCCATTTGCTCCGTCTCTGGAACCGGCTCCATGGCGACCGAGGTATATCGTTATGCTCTCGGGAAGCCCGGCCTGTCAATGTCGGGGAGAAGTCATGGATTGGTGGGGACGAAGAAGAGAAGCGGGGAGCAGCGGGAAGAAGACTCGACGGGGGGGGAGTGAAGGGTTCTGAGACTTTGCTCGGGAGGTAGTTGAGTTGGCGGAGGTGGACGCTTCGCAGCACCAAGTCTGGGCGTATGTCTTGTGCTTCCCGATTCACGCGTCGGCCAGCTTTCAAGACCCAGGCTTTCCCGATGTTTAAATCGGGGCCTTGATCATGGCCGGCGTGAAAGTTGAAGAAGCGTGGGTGCGGGAGGACGATCGAGGCCTCGCAGGGAAGGAGGAGCGACATCCATTTGAGACCCAGGAGCGTCGGTCAGGCAGTCAGTAGGACTCAGGTTGGCTGGCTGGCGCTGGCTGGCCAGTGACTGGAATGCAGGGAAGGAGCGAGGGGCGGGGTCTTTACCCGGCGCGGTGGGCGCCGCACACCCACCAATAGAAATTGCTAGAGGTCGGACGAGCACCAAAGAGCGGGACAGGGAATTGGCATCGTCATTAGCGCGCTATCTGAGAACCTCCAGTTTTCTCCATGATTGTGTTAGGGCGCTACTGCAAAGCCGTAACTGGGTTTTGCCTGGGGAACCTTGATCAAGCCGCCTCCCCGGCCAGGCCTAGCGACTTTCAACAACGGTCAACCACAACGGCTCCTTAGCCGCGTAACTTTCTGGGCCCCTTTGGTTTCTGGAACACCGGCTCGACAGTCTAGGCGGACAACAACAAAACCAAACGGGACCATAGCCGGTGTGCTCGGATGTATCCGCGATTGTCTGTCGTTGCTCGCCACATGCCATCCATGGACTCCCACCTCTGTGAAGTACTTCGTCGGTAGGTTAGGCAAGGTGTGTATTAAAGGGAGCAGGGAAGGACATGAGAGACCAGGCATTGATTGACAGCAAAAGGCCATAACAACAGGCCGCACTCCGTCTCTGGCCATGAGTTTTTCTCAATGCCAGGTCTCTCCCGCATGCACCCGCCTTCACGGCCCTCGCAAGGCCTTGGCCATATGGCCAGCATCAGACCATGTAAATCACACGGACGGGCTGTGGTGTCGCGGCCTATTTACAAAACAGCTTGAGTTTAGCACTCGACGGCTTCGCATCTTGATGCTCGGCTCGCGGTCTCGACAACGTTTAACGAAGCACTGTCCACAAGCTATTTGGCACGCTACCTATTCCCTTGCGCTTGGTACAGTTCGCACATACTAAATGCCCTTTGGTGCCACGACCGTTATTGCAATGACAATAACGGGGCAAAGCTAACCTCCCGTGCCCCCCTCACATCAACGGGCCGTTTGCATAGCTTGTTGTCCAACGGATTTACTATTACCTCCAATCCCGAATGTTTGTTAGCGTGGTACTTAGGCAGAATACATATTGTAGCCTAGCAAACTAGTCAGGAGAAGCTTTAGGTGTTATAAAGAAGAGATAGGCCTCTAAAATTCCTAACTAGGGATTCTAATAGCTTTTATTCCCGTCGGCGGAAAACCTAGAGAGCGAGCCGTAACGAATTGAGGCCTTTTCAAATCGTGGAAAGTCCCGCTAACAAACATTCAGGGATTTCAGGGATCGGAGTGTACACTGCCAAGACTGGTGTTTGACTGGTCCCAAGGAGTGGGGAAAAGGGGCGATCCAATGCCAGATGCTGCACCTGACCGCGCGCGCGTTCGACATCGATAGGTGGGTACGTAACAGCGAGACGGAGCTGAGTTATGCACCTCCGCTGCGGCGTCGGGTCTGGCTTGCCCATTGCTGAGCTTTACTTCCGAGGCGGGCTGCATGGTTCTCGAATCTTTCCCTTATGGAGCAGGCCGAAGAGCATTGAGCTGCTCTATGGCAATCGGAGATGTTCTATCATGCAGCAAGGACGGTATCATTCAGCTTTCAGAGTCCCGATAAACGCTGCAGGACCCATCATGCGGCTTCACCTATGGTGCCTACAGTGGGTTGACGAAAGTCTGACCCAAAACCCCACATTTCTGGAAACACCCGACGCGTTTTTCTTCATCCATCACAACACCCGGCCTTCGAATGGCGGAATTTACACCACGAAGAAGCCTTAGGACCCCAAATTAAGAGCATTCGCCTCACAAAAGGACGAGGATTGTAACGAGCTACGAATTGGGCCTGTCCCGGCCCGCCATCGCGTTCAAAGAAGGCGTCAACCAGGCGTCCATTTCCAAGGTCGTATCTCGATACCAGAACCAGATTTCGGGCAAATCTTTACCGTGTTCAGGCCGCCCCAAAGCTCTTAATGAACGCGAAAATAAGGCATATATTACGTTGTATAGACCTTGGCCCCTTCATACCGATCGATAAAATACGCACAACGGTGCAGCTTTGGTGTTATAATCGGACGATTACCCGGGAGCTTCGCCGACTAGGCATCCTACACAAGACAGCCCTAAGAAGACCCAAATTAAGCGACCGGCTCGCTGCAGCTCGCTTGGTCTTTGCGCGCCTACATGTCAGGAAGCCGCCTGCGTGGTGGCGGCACGTGATAGTGTCTGAAGAATCTACCATCGCCCGCGGCCAGGGAGGGCGCCAGGCATGGGTTTTCTGCCGAAAAGAACCCTACTTTTGACACCTATTCACCAGACGACCGCTAACTGGATAGGGCGAACGATTGCTTCCTAAGAATGTGCAACCAAAGGCCAAACCAACGAGGCATTCGTAGATGTTCTGGGGTGCCTTTTCGTTCGGTATGCGCACATCCCTCGTACCGATGCTTGGAGACCCTGAATCCCCTCGTGGAGGTGTTAACGGGAAGGTTGTACTCGCCTGCTTACAAGAGAGCCTCCCGACTATATGCTCACCGGGATCTATATTCATTCAAGATAATGCTTCTATACACACGTGTAAATTAGCCCAAGATTGGATTACTGAGTAGGCTTTGGAAAATGGGGTTGAACTTCTGGACTGGCCGGCATACTTACCAGATCTTAACCCTATCGAAAATGTATGGAAACTGCTCAAAGAAAGGATAACAGAGCGTTTCCCTGAGCTTTCCTCGATGCCGAAGAATGCCAGGGCCTTATAAAGCTTAATTACAGCCGCGATCACTGTTTGGGAGGAATTTGAAGATGAACTGTTGGATGCATTGATTTTATCGATGCGACGGCGCTTGGAAGCGGTTATCGCCGCAGACGGCTGGTATACAAAATATTGATATTATTCATGTTGAAGAGCCTCTTCTGGGCATCATTTTAATCCAGTTTATAGCCATTTTGCTATATAATTGAGATGGTGGCTTGCATTCGAAGGGGGGTAGTTAGAATGTGGGAAGGTGGGCCAAAATTAGATTCCACCATACCGTTAGCAAGAAAATACTTCTACATTTGCGAGATGGCCTCATGCCGTGGTCTTCTCCTGGTTCCTCTTTTCGAGGGCACCGGCAAAGTCGCGCCAGACCCAGCCGGCCTTGACGCGGGCGTCGTTCCCCGTCTGGATGTTGAATTCGCGCACAGCCCGGAACCGCCACCACTTGCGCTTCGCGTTGATGGCCGCAGCGTCGCGCGAGTAGTTGACCAGGCCGAAGCGCCGCCGCACGGGCCGGAGCTCGCCAAGCATCACGGAGCTGACGCGGGGCTTGCCGATAAAAGACAGCATCGAGACGTCGAGCGGAGTCGTCGGCGGCGCCCCCCGGGCGAACCTCTTCAGGGCCTCGGCGGAACCGCGCGCAAACGGCGGCAGGCGCACCCGGATCGACGTCACGAACGGTGACGTGCAGTAGACCACGTACGAGATCGGGATGACGCCGCAGCCGACAACTAGATGGGGAATTAGTTTCTGCCATCTCAAAATGGGATGGAATCACATCGTCGTTAAGAAGTGTATTGGATCGGATGAAGATATACTAGGACAAAGTCGAGACCACTCACCCCACGCGGTTCTGTAAAGCGGCTCGTTAGCTATGATGTAGCTCGGCGCGGCGACTATGCAGAAGAAGACGAAGACGAAAATGGTCGTCAGTTTCAACACGGACAGGAAGATGGCCCCTTAATCAAGTTGTTAAACTATTAGCGAGAATGCTATGCCGTCATATTCAAATAACGGCGAACCCCTCGCCCCTTGGATCTCATCACATAGAGTGAGCAGAGTCGACAAACTGTGACAGATTGGCGGAAGCGCGGAGAGAGAGAGCGAGGGAGGCAAAACAAAAGTTACAAAAGATACATACTGCCTGTGCCGGCGTGGTAGATATTTAGGTATTCCGGATACGCTGCAGAGACGGGACGTATTAGCTCTCGTCTCTTCGCATTACATGCATGCCTTCACGCCTAGCCAAAGAGTAGGGAAGGGATATACATGCCGAACCTGGGAGAAGGAAGAGACGCAGGCTGGGCGGCGGTAGTTTCTTCGCTCTTCGGCAGATTCCCGGGCTTCGGTGACGAGGAAGCCATTCGCCTCCCCAGCAGCACCCCCAAACCGCGGCGGACGTCGCCCGCCGGCACCTGCACCTGAAAGCATCCAGCGTCACGCAGCCGGGCCGCCAAGCTCGCCGACAGTGAGAATAACGGGGGCCGTGCTGATGGCGACGACAACAGTGGTGGTGGTCTAGAAGGGTGTGCGGTGCTGAAGCCTCTGGCCGCTCGCGCTGGTGTCGCTGATGCTAACAGACGGCTCCCAGTTATCCGTCGTACCTCTGGCAATTCCCATCGCGTCGCCGTGGCATAAGAACATCGCGTGATAACGCCCGCAGGCCTCAATTGGATTTTCATATTAAGTGACTCCAGATCCTGAAGACCGGTTTCTTCTCATGCGGTGGTTGTTGTGCACTGCGTCCGATGGGGAATTATGTCTGGGCCCAGTGTTTTGGTAGCGACGGCAACTAGTTCTACGGATAGCAAAACCCGAAATGGGCCCAAGCTCCCTCCGACCAACCAATTCGCGATCACTTCATACACAAGACAAGGTACGAGCTACACAGAGAATTCATTCAACAGGACAAACTTGCAAGGAGACGCAGTTCAGAAGAAACATATTCCTGATGTACAAGTGGGTAGATATATCTACCTCGAATACGATATGATATCAAATGAAGGAAGCCCGGTTTTTGCAGAATAAATGAACCATATTACGCGAAGGAAAAAAAACTGAAACGCTTCCACCCTTTTCGCCCTTTTCTCGTTCGCTGATAAATTTCAGAGCGCCAACTCCGGCTACTGATTCTCCCTTCTCCACCACCGTGATGTTATCAAAATGTTACCTGCCGGGTTTCAAAAGCATGCTGCCCCTCTGTCCTCCACATCCCTCATCAGAAGCCACTACCCTTTCTGTGTGGAGACTAAGCCATTATCGCAAAAGATTCAAGCTAAAAAGACCAAAAGAACCCAAGGCTGTCTTCGATGCCGTACACCCAGGGTTATCTACAAAAGACCCCAGCAGAGACGGTCAAGGCAGAAATCGTGCGCCTACTAAGTCGCCGACGACGGCTGCGGTGACGAGATTTCTCCCTTCTTCCACTTCTCGTACTCGTCCTTGACCTTCCTAACCTCTTCGTGGCTCATGCCCTTCATCCACAGGTTGTTGGTAACCATCTTTTCCTTGAGCCTCTCGGTGCGAAGCTCCTTCTGGAAAACCTGCTTCTCGTCGTGGAAGGACCGATCCTCCTGAGTGTTGAAGGTGTCGGTGTTGTAGATGAAGTAGTCCGAAGTGCCCTTCTCAAATACCATCTTGGATGAATTCAGGCAGATCCTAAGCACCAGACCCTCGTGGATGACCAGAGGCTTGGGCGTGTATCCATCTTCTGCGTCCTTGGCATCCGATGGGAGATTGCGCTCCAGAAGCACTTTCTGGAGTCGGCTCCGTGGTACTCCCTCGGTATGCTCGATCCGCATGTACGATGAAATGTAGTACTTCCATTGCTCGGTGCGCTCCATATCGTCCATGTAGAATGTGGTCTCGTCCTTCTGGAGCCAGCGGACACCCGCTTCCTTCTTGCCCGGATACTGCAGAACAAGTTAGCAAGAATACCTCAAAAAATGAAAATAGGACGCAACATACCCAGCGGATGACAAACATCTCTCCATCCTTGATGCACTTCTCAGCGAACTTGCGGGCGTTGATCTCATTCTGGAAGCTCGTCTCCTCCTGCCGTCGGCTGTCCAGATACGCTTTGACGAGTTCCTTGGTCTTCTCGCCCTTGGAATCCGGGTTGTTGCAGGCTAGACCAATGCGGCATAGGGTCTTGAGAAGATCCGAGATTGTGTAGATCGTCCAGCCCTTTTTGAGGTAGTAGTGTCGCAGAACCTCCTGATACCTGGACTCTTCGATCTCGCCATTGATGTAGTCTTCAATCAACTCAACAGTCCGAGGCCAGAAAGTCTCCGCGTCATCGCTGTCGAAGTAATGGATGCCCTTGTGGACGAGATGCAAGACCTTAGCTGGCTTCTCTGCCCGTTCGCGTCGCATTTCCTCCCGCACGCTGCCGGTGCTGTTCTTGACCTCCTCGAGCCGCTTGTATAAGGCCTGGAAGACGGTGAAGAAGACGTAGATGTTCTGGTTACAAAAAAAATTGTACCAAGATCGCGGGAATGGGGCGTCTGCCTTAAGTTCGCCATCCACGTCCACGAGATCCGAGTCCCGGCCATCTTTGCTTCGCTCGACAATGATGGGTCCCGGAACCGTTGGCAGCCAGCGGCCGTTTGAAACCTCTGGAAGGGCTGCATCTTCGGGGGCATCCGGCATCTCTTCCTCGTTTGCCGATCCGACATCTGGCGTTGTCTCCTTGCTACCCGACGCCGCACTATCTTCCTTTTGACCGCGGGTCCGGCTGCCATTGCGACCGGGATCAAGGACGCCGCGAAGTAGATCCGACTTCTTACCATTGCGGCGAGTTCGTCCATTTGTGAGCTCCGTGGGGCTGGCGTCGTCTTCATCCTCTTCCCCGGACTCTTGCTCAATGTCCGCAACCCTTTCTTGCCACTTCTCTTCCGGAAGGTCGAAAAACTGGGGAATGAACGAGTTGAAGAAGTCCTGGATACGCTTGCGCTCCGACGCGTTGTGCTGGCCTCCAACATTGGCGAAGATGGCCATAAATCGCAGCAGGTCCATCAGGAGATCTTGATCTATGAAGGAGTAGGAAAACTGGGAGCGAGAGGTCTTCGCTTTGGAGACTCGGGCGCGACGCTGCTCCTCGTGCTTGGTCTTGATGGCGTCGACAAGGTGCCTCTGTGCGAGGTTCCGTTTGTCATTCGCCTTGACCTGAATGCCCATGTGATCCAGGCTCTTGAGGTGCATTGCCTCAGTTTGGCTTTGCCAGACCTTCTCCCATTCTCGCTGTGTGAACCGCCACTCCTCATCCTTCTGCTTCAAGCGGGCCATGATGATAGGAACTACCGAGAACGGATTCCGGAACATCTCGTTGGCAACCTCGCAGCCCTTCTCCGGACCGTAGATTTTCTTCAACACGCGCTTGTAGATTGACGTGCTCTGTCCACCAAGTCCAGCAGGCATCCGAAACACCGCTCGCTCCGCGGCAGAGAGCGTCAACATCTGTTGCGAGATAGGCTCGAGAAGCTGGATGCACTTCTGGTTTGCTTCGATGTAGAAGTCGTAGTCGTGCCGTTCCTCTTCGATGCGATGGAGGCCTTCCTCGTAGCCGTTCTTCCTATGGGCGACAAATCCGGAGTCTTCCGAGGCCCAGGTAGGATGGGAGGCCCATTCATCATTGAGCACAGATTGGCAGAGCTCATCGCGGCCGCTGCAAGGTTTGAGGCGCTCTCTTCGGGGAAGCAGCCGATAACTATGTCCGAAACCACGACAGTTGCTCAACGACACCCGCCCAGGTGGCTCTGGTCGGTTGTCGATTCTATCGTCCGCACCAGCGTACCTAAACATTGCCTTGAGGGTGTTGACTAGTTCTGGGTTGCCACCCAAGAACTGACTGGCCTTGTAAATAAGCACGTCCTTGGTAATCAATTCTAGGTTAAAAAGATTGATGAGCTTGAGGAATTCTGTCATCGCTGTTCGGTTGCCAATGTGTTTCTTAACCCGCTCGAAGAAAGCGATATCGTCGACACCGGAGGTCGAGATTGGGGTTGGGCCGAGGGGTTCGGGCATGACAGGTGTCAACGTTGGCCCCACAAAGGTGCCGTCGGCAGGCCCAGGCTTATGCGACAGCTTCACCCGCTTGTTGTTATTGGACGCGGCAGGAAGGGACCCTCGCAGAGCGGATGTGGCTGCCTGTTCCGAGCCGGAAGGCGTGGTAGCAGGCGCCGTCTTGTCGAGACGGGGGCGCTTCTTGCTCTCCTTGCTAGCGCTGGCTGGTGGCGCAAAATTGCCAACCGGAGGCATCTTGGGACCTTCCCGAGTAGGATGTCCTGGCTGTGGTGTAGGCGTGGTGGCGGTGATTGGCACAAGATCCTCTGGGCGCTGGCCGCCAGATCGGTTATTATTAGATCCAGGACCGGACGTCTCGGGAAGGAATTGCTTGAAGTCCTCGAGGAGATCCGGCGCGGTGTGAAACAACGAGGTGACTTGACCATACACGTCCTGTATGGGTTTTTGCTCTCGTTGGTAAGTCTGAAGAATTTCCAGGAATTGCTTATATATCTCGGGTTTGTCCTGAAAGCGATTCTTGAAGGAGTCAGTGTCCATTGCGCAGCAAATGAACGAGGAAAATATTAGGAGAGGCGGGCGCAAAAAAATCAGATCATGGACCCCCCAGCACCTAGATTAGACGAATTCGCCAAGTTGCTCAGGTTTTCGGATCATTGCAGACGAACTGTTCAGACCACAAGCGCAAGCAAAATAGGACAAAAAAAAACCGAGCAAAGAAAACAGAAGCAAAACATTGAAATGGAGATCTATACCTTAATCTTGTTGACATAGCTGATGGCGTGGTTGAACTCGACAGGCCCGCGCTTCTCGATACTAGCTTGCTGAGCGGCGCTTCCGTTTGCGCTTTGTGGAGCAGCCGTCGGCGTTGGCGTATGCGCGTTTCGTGGAGCAGGTGCGTGGTTGGCGGCAGATCCATTCTGCGCAGCGGCAGGTACAGACCTCTGCTGTACGGGACTTGTACCTTCGAACGGTGTGTTCTGATTTGACCCGGGGAAGCCTTGAGAGCCATTCTGTACTGGAATGCTGAACGACGCCTCTGGGCTCTCCACGCTGTGCTGCAAAGTTGGTTGCCAACTGCCGGGTCGCGCGCCCATGTATGCTTGCCCAGGGCCAGACGAGGTTGGTGGCGCTACCTCGAGCTGCGCTGGCCTGGCTCCTCCGATGGTGTGGAGGGTAGATCCGGATGGCGTTGTGACACGGATACTGTTTGGATTATTCTCCAAGCCACATTCTATCCGGTATCCCGGTGGCAAGAACGTGTTGAATCCCTGGATCAGATTCGGGTGACCAGCGAAGAGCTCTGATACTCTGCTAATGACACCAGGTGTATCGATACTGCTGCTAGTTAGCCAATTTTTCCGAGTGCGAGGGGTAGAGATCGACAGCTTACGTCTGGCTCTTGAAATCTTTCATGATATCAAGGAATTTGTTGTACACATCTGGCTGCTCATGAAACTGGACCTTGACTTGATCAAGGTAGCTCAGGGCATCCTGCGGAACAAGGGCGTCAGTTTGGGAAACGCGCAGCGCAGCGGCGCTGCCTCGGTCATACAAAGGACCCACATTTAGAATGGGTTGCTGGCCCTGAGCCATGCCTCCGGGTCCAGGAGCCATAGTATGGCTAGCACCAATGCCAGAGGCAAAAGGTATCTGCTGCTGCATGCCCCGTATAGGCTCCTGCGGGACTGCCCGGCCATTTTCCTGCTGCAGAGGACCACCGAAGATGGACGGCGGCCCGCCAGAGGCGTTGCCGTGAGCGTTATCTGGGCCGCTGGGGCCGTGGGGCATGGGCGCAAATATTGGGTGCTGTGACGCCGAGGCAGCACCGGGGACGCCGTGTTGAGGAGGTCGGCCAGGCTCGCTGTGAAGCGGACCGCTAAAGCCTGGAGCGACTCCCGGTGGCGCGCCGATGGGTACAGCAGGTGCAGGGCCGCCGTGGTTTGCGAGGAGGCCGCCAGGGCTGTGGATAGTCGTCGAAATTCTGGACGCGACGGGTTGGTGGATGGGAATCGAGCCAGCAGTGCTGTGATGCGGGGCGCCGGACGGATAAGGTTCGCGAAGCTGTCGCTCGGCCTCGTCGCGCTCCCGATCGCGCTCCCGATCGCGCTCCCGTCGCGCTATTTCATCCTGTTGGAGGGCTCGGTGGCGCTGCTCGTCTATATCACGATCGCGATCACGCTCACGCTCGCGTTCACGGTCACGGTCACGGTCGCGGTCGCGGTCGAAGCCTCCGCCAACGTGAAGGGGCTGGCCGTTCATGGGGGGTGATGCGCTGTTCAAAGCCTCTTCTCGGTATCAGCATCTATCAACGAGCAAATAAACGATGACGAATTGAGAGTCCCAGCTTTTAGGGCGGGCGTTGACTCGGCGAGCCCAACTGGGCTAATGGAGCTCAGGAGAAAGCTAGACTAGGGGAGGGAGCTGAAATGGAACGGGAGCTCGTGGCTTACCAGCTGCCAAAAAGTACCACAGAAGTCATATAATGCCTGTGCCAAAATGCAAAGACAAGGCTCTCGACGTCGAGACGGCCTCGAAGGGGTTTACCGCGTAGTCTGGGTCAAGAGGGTGGCGCGGAGGCTGAGAAAGAGATCATGTCGGAATTCAAACAAGTCGTGCGTGATGCAGGACTCCTGGGGGCCGCGCAGATCTCTCGCAAGTTGGCCGCCGATAGCGATAGCCGGCTAAACATCGGCAGGCCTCCCTTTTGCTTTTGGACTGGACAGCAATCCTTGCGGGCTACAGCCCCACCGCATCCAAGGCTGAGGCAAGTCCCATCGTCCGTTCCTTTTTGGAAGAATGGGCTCAGGGTCAGCAGATTTTCGGAACCGAACACAATGGAACGGCACTCATGTGGCTGAACTCGGGAGCCTTGAGCTTAAAATTTCGATATTGGTTTTTTTTGTGCGGAATTAGCAAAGTAGACAAATGGTAAGCGCGCACTATCGTAAAAGTCCGCTGCATCGGGACATCGCACCGTCGCACGTCAAACAACGCAAGCGCCGCTATTGACCTCCTACAAATACGGTCTAATTGCTCGGGGGTTGCACTGTTTACAAGCAGCGTGTAGCCCGTACTTTCACTTTTACTTTCCATCGCCTTCCATTTTAATTTCTGTATATGCTTGAAGCACTAGTTTTATGGGCCATTCCAGCCGTAGAGTTCCTTATCTTAGGTATCGCTATCATTTCCAATTCCAACAAATACGCCATGAGCCTCGTAACGGTTGAACATCAACCGAGCTCCAGTATCCCAATAGCCATCATGGTAGTCAACCAAAAATCTTTACAACCCATTATTCCGCTGTGCATGCTACTAAATTAAGCGTAGTTGCGGACTTTTCGCAGAATCCACTGTAAATTAATAATAATATGTCAGTCGGCTGGTCGTGATTGCAGCCCTTGAGCGACTAAATCCGGTACGGACCTCAGGTGGGAGAATGAAGAAAACTATTCACATACCACTTGACCATTGGCAACGGTGCTCGCAATGCTGACAACCTCAATGTTTCCCGGTTGGATCTGCCGGCTGTTATAAGCAGCTGAATCTCTGCTTTGACAACACGAGACGAAGGGAGCCGAAACGCCCAAACTCACCACTTTAGTCCCGTCCTTATCCTCCCACCAGATGTCTTGGTCGTCACCAATCGCCTTTACTCTCTCGCCCTCGGGCCACGGGTTGATCTGCACCATGTGTGCTTCGACAAACCTGCGCAGGTTTCGTTGCGCTCTCTCTTGGCCATCATCGCCCTCGTACGCGTTAGGGCCAAGAGCGCCATAGTCTCTGGGGTCCTCCCAAGGCTTGCGCGGAAGCTTTTCGATGGCCGAGTTCAAGGGGGCAAGAACGGTCGTGTTGCGGGACGAGTCGTCGAGACGTTGCGACGCAGACTCGATATCTCTTACAAAGCTAAACACATTGGACCAAATATGGTAAGCGATTTCACTTCTTCAATAGTAGAATAAATCAAACGTCCAAAGGCAGATACAGAGGTGAGGAGATAGGTAGACAAGTCAGTAGAGTGTAGTCCATACCCCGCAAAAAGGTTGATGCTCCTGTCGCGACCCATGACATCGGACAGCACCACCTCTCCACCGCCCGACCCCGAAGACGGATTCTCCGGGGACGGGGCGGAAGGAGGAATAGCGGGCCCGGGTCCTGCTGGGTCCATGAAGGGTACTTGTTCGTGTCCGAGAGGTTGAAGTGCCAGGGGCCTCGATATCCCACCGCGGTGGAGGGGGACGGCAAGCTGGGATGAGACGATGGCAGCAGCACTTAGAGCAACGGCAGGCAGGATCAACGGTCGCATTTTGGGTTATTCGCTAGATTCTCGAAGATATCGGAACTCGAAATTGATTCATAGCATATTGTGCAATATGGAGCGTGCTGGCAAGCTCACAGCACTGTCGTCGTTGGGCCAGCCCGTGAGACGTTGTTCGTAGATGCGCCCCGCCGCCGAGTTCTCTGGGGGCGATCGCACGCACAACGGTGACGCATACGTCATCTGACATGGCACCTGACAACGGCTGGCAGCCCTCTTTCCTCTAATTCATTTGTGCTTTCGATCCAAAAAAGATCAAGACCGGAATGTCGCCAGCAATAAGCACAATTGTGATTAGTTCTTTCCAGTCTCCGACGTCCCCAATTCTGTAGATGCCATGACGGCCATCTTTTAAGATTGATACAGATGCACAGGTTGTGGTGGTCCATGTGCTTGAGGGCAAGGCGTCGGTAACCGAGCGGGCAGCACTCAGTGACTTTCTGTTCGAACGCTACAGTCAGCGTTGATGCAGATGCGATGAGGGTGATCCCTGGCCAGTATCGTCTATTAACAGGAACACGGGGCAGGAATAGAATGTCCTGAATCATGGCGAGTAATACTGTTTTCTTTGATCACATGTCAGAGGCCTCGCTTAGTAGGGTCTAGCTTCGAGCCGTGTGGGCATTGCAGATTGAGCAACGGCAGGCAGTCATCTGACCTGGCTGGTGCCGGACTTGGTAGGGTTTTACTGTCGCTCGCCGCCGGGACTTGGTTGACTTGAAGTCACTTGAGGCACGTATGTAGCACTCGTCCTCGGCGTGGGGCCGATTGAATTTATTCTTTGTGGTTGCGAGCGGGTCTCTTCGCGATTCAAGCCCAAGCTTTGCCTTTCACATGTGAACTGCAAACCCCAGCTTCTGATGCCGTGGGGGGGACCGTGTGGGGAAATATGGGGAAAGGCTCGCGAAACAGTTGTTCCTGACCATGACTACCCTAACCTATTGCAGGTCGACGTGGCCGAGCATTTTCATCTACGCGTTTGCCCGCCTGGCTCTGGATTGCTCTAACAATAGAAGCTCAACCGGTGCGCGGAGCAGGTAGATCCACACCCGCCTCGCTGGGTGCCGCGTGCTACTTCGCGCCTGGGGTTTGAGTGTTTTAGGGGGCGTGGCAAGCCTCGGCTCAGCGCTCGGCCAGTTGAAAATGGGGCAAAGGGAGAGCGCATCGAAGAAGACATGTACCAGGTTTAGATCTTTAAGTTTCTTGTCTCTTCAGAATGTCCGTTGCAAACTCTCTTTACTATAGTTCACGGACAGTTTCCGCTCCGTATTTTGTCATCCAGAGAAAGCTACAACTTGTAAGCCTCTCCAACAAGTCCCGTCCAACAGGGCAAGAATCGGTAAGTTCCCTCGGCCAGTTTATGGCCCCACATGGGGCGGAGGGGGCGCAAGCGGAGCCCGCAGAGGCGACCCCTGCCCCATGGCGCTTGACCTCGGCTCACGAATCAGCGTGCCAGCAATTCCAACATCAGACCGGCCTTGCTAGCTCGAGACAAGCAGCAACACATTGCCCCAAATAACTGCCAACTCCTGCATTCCTTGTGCTTGTAAAACATCTCCCTACCCATTCTTTACCTGCACATCTCTCCCTCTTCAACAAAGCCTGTTGTTATTCCACCAAAACCAAGAGACTATTCGCAATGGCTCCCCGAGTTATCGTTGTTGGCGGCGGCTGTAAGTTCAAGCCCCAACCCAAGACTCTAGCAACCAACCCCGCGCAGGCACAATGATGCAGCTTGCCATGTCGTCACATGCCGCGCACCCCGCTGACCGTGATTTCCCCAGTGTCCGGACTGAGCGCTGCGCACACAATCTACCTGGCCGGCGGCAACGTGGCCGTGCTAGACAAGCAGGGTTTCTTCGGCGGCAACTCAACAAAGGCTACGTCCGGCATCAATGGCGCCCTGACAAGGACGCAGGTCGACCATGGCATCCAGGACAGCGTCAAGCAGTTCTACGACGACACACTCAAGTCCGCCCGTGACAAGGCGAGGCCCGACCTCATCAAGGTCCTGACTTACAAGTCGGCTGCTGCTGTCGAGTGGCTGCAGGATGTCTTCAACCTCGACCTTACCCTCGTTTCGCGGTTAGGGTACGTCTACTCGCCCCCCTTTGACAATATTATCTTTGTTTCTGACGTATATGCTTTGCAGTGGACACTCCCAGCCCCGTACCCACCGTGGTCACGATGCGAAGTTTCCCGGCATGGCTATCACCTACGCCCTGATGCAGAGGCTCGAGGAGCTTGCCGAGACCGAGCCCGAGAGAGTCCAGATCATCAAGAAGGCCCGTGTCACCGGCCTCAACAAGGAGGGTAACCAAGTCACTGGCGTCACATACGAGTTCAATGGCGAGTCCAATACACTCAATGGCCCCGTGGTGCTGGCGACGGGTGGTTATGCAGCCGATTTCAGCGAGACCTCTCTGCTCAAGAAGCACCGGCCCGACACCTATGGCCTCGCCACCACCAACGGCGCCCACGCCACCGGTGACGGGCAGAAGATGGTCATGGCAATTGGCGGCAACGGCATCGATATGGACAAGGTCCAGGTTCACCCTACAGGACTTGTAGATCCCAAGGACCCCGGCTCCAAGTGGAAGTTCCTCGCGGCCGAGGCCCTCCGTGGTGAGGGCGGCCTTCTGTTGAACGCTGACGGCGACCGGTTCTGCGACGAGCTCGGCCACCGCGACTACGTATCTGGCATGATGTGGAAGGAGAAGGAGAACGGCAAGTTCCCTATCCGGTTGATCCTCAACTCGAAGGCCTCCAACACACTCGACTTCCACACTCGCCATTACTCCGGCCGCGGTCTCATGAAGAAGATTACCGGCAAGCAGCTCGCCAAGGAGATTGGCTGCACGCCTGAGCACCTGCAAAAGACCTTCCAGACATACAACGCCATCGCCGAAGGCAAGCAGAAGGACCCCTGGGGCAAGAAGTTCTTCCACAACCTGCCTGTGGATATCAATGACGACTTCCACGTGGCTGTGATGGAGCCTGTGCTCCATTTCACCATGGGCGGTATTGAGATCAACGATCAGGCCCAGGTTCTCAACAAGGACCAAAAGCCGTTTGACGGTCTCTACGCATGTGGTGAGCTTGCCGGTGGTGTGCACGGTGCCAATCGTCTCGGAGGCTCCTCGCTTCTGGGTTGCGTTGTTTACGGTCGCGTCGCGGGCGACTCGGCCAGCAACTACCTGTTCCAGCAGGCTCTCAAGGGTACTAGCACTGGTGCTTCACGTCTCGGCCAGATCGCACTCCACATCGATCCTTCCCAGCCGGGCAAGATCTCTGTTGAGTGGGGTTCCGGCTCTGGCGCCAGCAGCAGCTCTGACGCACCCAGGGACCAGGCAGTGTCATCAGCAGGGCCTAGCTCCCCTCAGGATGGCGGCAAGCCAGCGGCCAAGGCGAACAACCCCAAGAAATTTTCCATCCCCGAGAAGGAGTACACCATGGAGGAGGTGGCCAAGCACAACAAGAAGGAGGACCTCTGGGTTATCGTCAAGGGTGTTGTGCTTGACCTGACCAACTGGCTCGACGAGCACCCGGGTGGCCCTCAGGCGCTCCTGAACTTCATGGGCCGTGATGCCACCGAGGAGTTCGAGATGCTCCACGATGACGAGGTGATCCCCAAGTATGCCCCTGAGCAAGTCATTGGGAGGGTTAAGGGCCAGAAGGTTACGCTGGAGATTTAAGTCGGCATAACCCACTGGGCGTGTGCGGATAGTGTAATGCACCCTTTAGATCTTGCCAAGAACGGTAAAGGAGGAGGCTTTTGGTATAGTAGCCAACGAAAAGGAGAGGTAGCGGAGTCAGGCTCGCAAAACTCGACTATGTGGGTTTGACATGTATCATGCTGATATTTTGTGGCGGTGGCAGTGGCGAATCATTTACACGCTGGGGTTTGCGAATAGTGTTGGATCTGTTTAGCTGGTGTATCGATAGCCTCTTTTTTTTTGTAGTTTTCTTTTTAGTTTTCATTTGTCCAGTTGACCATTTCATCAGAGATGTTTAACAAAAATATAAAAAACCATATACTAATAATGACTTAAACCTTTTGCTCCTGTTTTTAAAAACCTTTTCCTGTCCCCCGCCCTCTCGTTCACCCTGTGCCTCTTCAGTGGGTTGAAACATGGAAATGGTGTGCGTGTCTCTCAGACACCTCTGAGGGTGACCTTTTTCTCTTCCCACGGACGTGCATCGGAAATTGCATACGTAACTATCTACGGCCTACCTCCATAGGCTTGTGTGTGCGTATGCGTGTGCGTCTAACTGCCGTTGCCGCCGGCGACGCTTCACAGGTTCACGCCTCCCTCACATCCGATGCTCGTACATGTGTGATGTTTCTCTCTCTTGTCCATGAGTTTTGTGTGTGTGTGTGGCATGCACGCATGGATGCACGCGGGCTGTTTCTTTCTTTTCTTTTTCTCTACCTGTCTGTCCCAGACACTTAATGTACGTGCGTCGTTCATTGCCTCGTTTTTGCACGTTTGCATTAGTTTGGTCTCACCAGTGCGGCACTTATTATTATCATTTTTGACACTTGTTTCCTTGTCTCGCCCCATTGCTTCTCCCTTGTCTATCAGGTGCCGTGGGTATTGTATTGTACATTCTACAAGTACGTACTTCTCGGTGAAGCGGGTTGACGGTACGGAGTTGGTCTTTCCCGGCGTCTTCGCTCGGGCAAGGAGATCCACGGCGGTGGCTCTTTCGGATAACCGATAGCCGGCACTTTGGAGAGCAAGAATGGTTGTTCTGTCGCCGTCTCTCGTATATTCTGAAACGGTCGGCTTAGACTGTTTAACGTTGGCTATTTAATAATTATAATTCCAGTCAAGGGTGTGGTGCTGCCATTACTGAAGAGGCAGGGGCTCCTGCTCGTGCGAGAGGGGTGCTGCGGCGCTGACACAAGCAGCGGCCTGCTGCTTATTCTGTGGCGGTTGGGAATCTTGTCATATTGACCGATTATATGCCTTGGAGTGTATCTGGCTAGGTATGTCTTGTCTCTGCCGGCCTCCGGCTGTCCGACACATGGACTGTGCCTCGTCGGTACGTCTAGTTCTTTTCACACATACGAAGCAGTTGCTTCAATAATTAACCTTGTTGTCACTTGCCACGGCGACCAAGCCGAAGTCAGACACGATTGCGGCGGTTTCAGCCTTCCAAGGCGCCTAGCCCCCGACAATTATCGCAAACGTTGGTCGCAGATGGCACGATTATCATCTGTCCGCTGTCAAGCAACCTGGATGGTCGTCGGGGTTAGACTCACAATTCGAATCCGAAGATTGCAAGCTCACCAACAATACCCGGGCCTAAAAGCCGAGTATATAGACCTAAAATATCCGTAGTCTAGGTTATTGCATACTCCGTGTGTATGTATACATACATATATACAGAGCCTGCTAAGGTGTAATAAGAGCATGTTGACGACAGCGCCGTCGTAAACATCTTGGCAAACACGAGTCCAGAATTTCAGACACCTCCCCTCGCGAGACAATACGCCTTACGGATACCGTCCTCGATGACAGCGAGCGGGCTTTGGACTGCCTATGCGGCACGGACGTATACATACGTACGAGCATGGCGAGGTCAACCAATTCCCGGCCCTACGCCCTCACCCGCCGCTTCCCAGCACACAAGCTTAATTAACGGGACGGTGAGCTGAGCCCATCTTGGTGTCCAGCCTGGGCCTTTCCGCCCACCGATTGACAGGGACTGGAGGTGCGGGCGTGCAGCTCGGGTAGGCGACGAATGGCCTTTTTGACCCCCGTTCATGCAGGACCAGAGGTGACGGAACCAGCTAGTAGGCACACACGCAGAGAGCCACCTAACAAGTCAAAATGCTCGAACGGTCGGTTTCGCAAGGCGGCTGGCGGGGCTTCGAAGACGAGCATGTTGCGGTCAGCCATGCATGCATTCACTCGTCGCCTTTTTGAGCGTCGGAATGCGCAGGCAATGGCCCAACTCGGTTGTACAGCAGCCGGGCTACGTACCAGTATGAAAGTACGACGAAAGACAGCTCGCTCCCTTGTGTGGATTCCACGTCACATTAAAATATGGAACAATAGTTCTGTATGTACAGTTGGTAAATTAACCGTGAACCTTATCGCCGCTGCTTAATATTGTGAACCTGGAAAGGTTTCCCGGGTCTTTGGTGATGGAAGCGGCTGAAGCCGTCGGTCACAAACTCCCGCCCCAACGTGCTGAAGGGTTCCGTATTCCGATGGGGAACTTTTGTGGGAGAAACGCAGCCCCTTCTCGACCCGGCCCCAACTCTCACATCTGGAACACAATGTTTGGTCAGTGCTGGGCGGATAGTACCTAGAGGCTTGAGTGTTTGGCAAGGGGGCTGGCGTCTCCCCCCTGGAAACTGGAAACCAAAGCGCTGCATGCTGTGATGAGAAGGACGAGGGTAAAAATAGGTGCATACAGGACAGAACAAGTTCTCTGTACGGAACAGCCAACAACAATCTAATGGAGCGGAGGTGGTGTCAAGGCAGAGAGAGGCCAGAGGGATTGGACAAAATCCAAGCGTCCTGGTTGGGCAATGCAGCATCGATTGCAGCATGCGCCGTGCTTGATTGAGTCTGAAATATAACAAAAAGACGCGGCCGTGGGCATACTGCCCTGATCAGGAACAGCACCACGGCATTCCCGTCACTTTGCAGCTACGTACGATGAACGAGGCCTGGATCAAAAGTGATGATGGATGGTAAGCTTGAACAGCACCCAAACGACGAGAGTTCTGCTCGACTTTAGCGCTCACCGTTATAACCTTAAATGCGTGTGTCTGCCGGTGGGTGGTAATATTGTATTTGGAGAAGGGCTTTGAGATTCTGCATCAGGGCCTCCATCACCTTCCTCGTTCCTCGAATGAAAAAAAACACCGAGAGCGAGCCGAAATGTACCTACTTATGCCCTTCGCACCTCTGAATGTCACACTTGAACAATCATTTACTCGGAAGTTTTTATTGTAGTGTATGGCTAGCGACGAAAGGGTGCAAAAGCCGTGATGGTGTGAAGTGCCCAATTTCCGTGACTTAAGCAAGGTTGGTATCTGCTGTGCTGAGTATTAAAGCAGCCGAGTCTTCGGCTGTAACTCTTCACGATCCTCCGAGTCGATCGTATTTCTTGGCTTCGCGGCTGCTAGGAGTCGGAAAGGTACCCAAGCGCGAAGAATGCAACTCAATCGGGACAGCACCGAATACGCTGGCTGTGGACATTTGGAATCAGAATTGGAAGCCTGAGTTGGAAGCTGGCGTTCGAAGCCGCTTCTCGCTTGTTTCCCCACATTGTTAGCCCAGGGCAATACCTCAGTCCCCACCTCCCGCCGAGTTTTGACAGCCAGTATGTATGGGGAAGTTCAAGAATGGGCTTTGTTCGAGGAAACGGACTTAATGCGGACTGGGACCTAGGAACGCAGTGGTTTCAAAACAAAATAAATCGAAGCATTAATCAGAGAAATGAGTTACTCGGTCTATACTCCGTAATTAATTCAGGTATGGTATCAGGTCTAGTGCGGAATGTGTTCTCAAATGGATTCTCTCTCTCGTTAAAGAGATTCCGAACCGACTGAAATACTCGCAACCACTCACAAATTCCGCACAAAGACATGGAAAAGAAACAGCATCTGTTGGTGTGCGGACGTGCGAAGCTCCACCTTATGCTCCGTATACGCCTTGCAGTTGTCCCTGTCGTAGGCTGGCTGAGGCTGGAGAGGGTGATCTCGCTTGCAGGCAACCTGTGGTCTCAACGCTGCACTAGGCTTTTAGTGTACCAACTGTGGAGGTGTCTAGTGAGTATTTCTAGCAACACTCATACAGCACAATCTGGGCTGCATGGATAGAGTCCGGGCGTGAGGTCCGCCTCTCTGGCTCCAGCTGATTCGCCCAACCGGCTCAAGTGACCAACAAGGGAGAGCGGTGGACGAAGGATCATCACAAGCGGAAGCCAGCAGGCTGGCAGGCACGTCCAAAGGCACAGTGGCCTAATCCCCCGCATTTGCAGACCCGTTTGCGATCGATGCTGCGGCGATCAGCGATTTGAGCCAGCGAGCTGCCAGACCTAGAAAGAGGGTAGCTTCGTCCATTATGTAAACCTGTTGTTCGTGGCGTTTGGTAATGAAGCCGGGAGCAGGTGGACGGCGAGCACAGCATCCACTGACCAAGCCCTCGCTGGCGCCATGGCTGTGCCAATTGAAAAAGGAGCAGATTTGGCGTCAAGAACGATGACTGGGAAAGCTTGTCCTGATGAGGAAAGGTGTGAATAAAGAGAAGACTAGCGGGCGGAGTCCTTGGCGAGTCTCCAGCCAGGAGTCGAGGAGGGGTGTGGCAGCCCTTTTCCAGCCCATTGCAGCCAAGAGCAGGCACGGGCTGGGTCGGTGTCTGGCCGCTCGCCCAATGAGATCGCGTCCCCCAGTAACGGGCAAAAACTGCTGATCCTCGAAGTCTCCCGCTCCCATTCCTCCCTCCGCCCTGTTCTCCACTCTTTTCCCTTATACCTCCCATATTACCCACTGGCCGGCGCAATCGACGACGACTTCCCTTCAGATGGTCGAACCGCGTGCTCCAACCCACCACCGGCAACCCGCGACAGCGACGACAGCTTCGAATCTGGCTTGACGGGCCCTACTCTTGCACCATGGCGATCTTCGCCATGGGCTGGCACAAGCCCGACAATGTCGCCGGCTCCTCTGCACCAGCGATCATGGTCGGGTCCTTTGTCGCCACTGGCGGATTGCTCTTTGGCTACGATACGGGGTAAGATACCCTCACACCTTGGACATTCGGGGTGTATGGATGCATGGGGATATACACGGGAGGGAGAGTATTGTCGGGATGGGCGCGAACGGTTGGCTTACCACAGTCTTGTCCCTCTAGCTCCATCAACGGCATTCTCGCCATGACGACGTTCAAGAACGATTTCACGACCGGCTTCAGAGACGCCGAGGGCAACCCCGGCATGTACCCGAGCCAAGTGTCATTAATAGTTGCGATGCTCAGCGCTGGAACTGCCGTGGGTGCACTGCTGGCCGCACCTGTGGGCGATAAATGGGGCCGTCGCCGCTCCCTTATTGGTGCCATATTGATTTTCTGCGTCGGCGCCATATTCCAAGTCTGCGCCACCAACGTAGCAACACTCGTCGTGGGAAGGTTTGTATTCCTCTGGCGTCTTTTTTCCACTGCTGTCTGTCGGTGGGGTTGGTGTTGACCAACTTTCTCTCTAGAACCCTAGCGGGAGTGGGAGTCGGGATGGTCTCTGTCCTTGTCCCACTTTATCAGTCCGAGATGGCGCCAAAATGGATAAGAGGCACTTTGGTTTGCGCATATCAGTTGTCCATAACTTTGGGTCTTTTTGGCGCCTCTCTGGTAAACATCTTCACATATAAAATGCCGACAGCTGCGGCATATCGCATCCCGATGGGCCTGCAACTCACTTGGGCTTCAGTGCTGGCACTCGGTCTTTTGGTCCTGCCTGAAACGCCTCGTTATCTCATTAAGCAGGGCCTCAAAGACGCCGCCGCTCTGTCTCTCAGTCGCCTCCGCCGGCTTGACATCACTCACCCTGCTCTCATCGAGGAGCTTGCCGAGATCGAGGCCAACCACGACTACGAAATGGCAATGGGGGCCGACTCTTACCACTCCGTTTTCTTTGGCGAACCACACCTTGGCCGCCGCATAGTTACCGGTTGCGGCCTCCAGATGCTGCAACAACTGACGGGAGTCAACTTCATCATGTACTACAGCACCACATTCTTCAATGGGGCTAACGTGAACGACCCTTTCAGTATTTCCCTCATTATGCAGGTCATCAACGTAGTGTCCACCTTGCCGGGCCTGTTCGTTGTCGAGTCGTTGGGGCGGCGGAGGCTGCTTATGTCGGGGGCAGTGGGCATGGCAATCTGCCAGCTTTTTATCGCGTCATATGCCACGGCCAACGGGGGGAACTTGATGGTGCAGAACCAGATCCTAATCGGATTTGTCGCCATATACGTGTTCTTCTTCGCCGCATCCTGGGGTCCGGTTGTCTGGGTTGTAACTTCAGAGATCTACCCCCTCAAGGTCCGTGCCAAATCGATGTCGATCTCGACGTCGGCAAACTGGATCCTTAACTTCGGCATCGCATATGGCACCCCATACCTGGTGGGCACCACCAAAGGCTCGCCTGGCTCCGTCGACTTGGGTTCGCGAGTGTTTTTCGTTTGGGGTGCGTTTTGCTTGGTTGCAGTTGCCTTTGTCTACTTCATGGTTTACGAAACCAGCAAGATTAGCTTGGAACAGATTGATGAGATGTATGAGCGGGTGGATTATGCGTGGAACAGCAGATCCTTCGAACCGAGTTGGAGCTTCCAGCAGATGCGGGATTTTGGCTTCTCAGACAGTGGCGTTCCTCCGGCGGTACCGCATCTCGAGCTCCAGTCATCCCGGACCAGCAGCGCGGGCACGTCCCACACTGACACAGGCGTAAGCTCGACTACGACGTCAACTTCTTCGCAGGACGACAAGATTGTCGCTTCCCTAGGTCACGTCGACTTGAGCTACTGATGATTTCCAGTGCCGGGTCCCAGATCGGCCGATACTCTCGTTGGCCGTTCGCGTCTTGTCGTTTTCATTGTCAGTCATTCTTGTGTGGATATATCAGCGTTGGAGTTATGACGCGACGGAGTTCCGGGGGAAATGAATTGGGGAGAACCTTTGGGGTACCAGGTGTTGTTATATCCCCTCGTTTTAAAGTTCCAGGGCGCATTGGGCTATCATCGTTTTTCCAAGCTTTAACTGTATGCACGGGCCTTGGGATTGAGGCTGGGGAGTAGGCGTGTGAAAAAGGCGCATGGGGTGGCTATCAAGGAGAAATTCTTCTTTCTCTATTATTTTGCACAGTCGGTAGTCACCGACATGCTTTGAGAATGAAGGGACGGCGTTCTCATTTTAGGAGTCTCTGTGTTGAGGGCAAAGGAGCTTATCGGTTAAACAATCTGGAGGTTTATTGAGGCACACGATGCTATTACTGATTAAATAATAGGGATTTCTTAAGACTTTATTCCTCGCTGGCCTGCTTGGGACCTGTCTGATCCCCGTTCGCAGGCACGTACTGGTTTATTTACTTTGGGATACCAAATGATGGAGATAACAAATATATGGGCTTTTTAATGGTCAGCCTCAGATAGGACTCAGATACGAAAGCTGGATCAACTTATTTTGACCAAGTAGAGTGTTCCCTCTCTGTTCCCTCTCCGCTCACCGTCGACCACAGGGAAAGTTTCCCTGGACCGGCCGTCCGTTCCACAAACTTTGTGTGCAACTTGTGTAAAAAGAATATAGGGGGAACACCCCACTAAGTTCGGAAGAGTACCGGATCTGCTCTGTCGTGACTGCCTCTCTAGGCCTTGAACCAAGTTCCTCCTTCCGCCTCGATCTCTCCTCGTGTACCCCGTTCTGGTGACTCTGACTCGGCTTGAAATGAATACAAAAAATAAACTCGATAGAGAAATCTTACCATCGCCACGAGCTCGTCCCAGTGTCATCCGTCCTATTCCACGCCAATTGATCGATTTGACTCGGACCCAATTAGTGCGTGCATGCAGGCGGAACGAACTCTAGCCCCGGTTTCCAATGACAGGTGACCGACATTTGTTTTTGCCTTTCGTTGGTAAAGCTTCTTTGTCGCTGTCCTGGCCGCCTCGGAGTCGCCATGTCAAGTTTGACAGGGAAGGAGGTTTCCGGGCTAGCACGGATTGGTGCCCGCAACAGTAAGTCAGTGACGATCACAGTGTTCGGAAACCATACCACCCCTCCTTTCTCGTCGGCCGCAGCCGAGACAGACAGGGACAAGCACCAGAAACCTGTCCCAGTCCCATGCGCGCACACAACCACAGGCACTCATATCGCTGCCGTTCTTTGTGCGGCAATCTACTCTACGCAGCACTTCAGGATCAGGGATGTCATTGTCAAGGTAGGCACGCTCCCACGACCCTGGCGGACGGCCATCACCAAGGCCGCACTATCCTTTTCTCTCGTTGTCTTGCGCTAGCGGTATAAGTGGCTTAACACCGTCGTCCTCGTAGATGCCCTGCTCGCTCGGCCAGCCGTCACCCTTGCTTTCAACTCTTTCAACAGTAATTTTCGCCCAACTTATTGCAGGTGACCTGGTTGCCGTAGCAGAGTCAGTCACCACTCGCGAGCCCCAGGGTTCGGAGCCATGGTTCCTGTCTCCTGAAGTCGAGTCACCCATCGGCCTACGCCGTCTCCGGGAGTCTACACGCACGCGGGGCCTCAGCCCGCTACTATATATTATAATCTGCATCGCCGCTGGACTACTGTTCCTATTTTTATTTAACTTTTTTGCCCTCTTGGCCAGAAGAAAGGTTACCGGTAAAGCTAATTTTGCTCTCTTCACCATGGCAGTGTTTGCATCAATCTTGCTCTTCTTGTTTACGGCGTTCCTACCCTACGGAACGTCGGGGCATCCCAGTGGCTTGGCAGGCCCGGGGGTGTCAACAGAGACAACAACCACCACAAGCCACGGCCCAGTCTTTACAGTCCCTCCAACGGTCGACATAGGAATGAACGTGTTGCCTAACGTCCAGGATCCACAAGCAGTCAACCCTCAGCATGTCTGTCCCGGTTACACGGCGTCCCACGTCAGGCACACCAAGGCCGGCTTTGCGGCAGACTTGACTCTCGCCGGGCCGGCCTGTAATGTCTACGGGAACGATATCGAGGACTTGGCCCTGCTCGTTCGGTTTGAGACAGACGACCAGATTCACATCCAAATCCAGCCCCGTTACATCGGAAAAGAGAACGAGACTTGGTTCATTCTCCCCGATGCTCTTTTCCCAGAACCAACCGAGCGCCGACCTCCTCACGAGTCCAACAGTCACATAGTTGTGTCCTGGGAAAACGAGCCCAGCTTCTCCTTTACCGTAAGACGCCAAGAAACCGACGACATTCTCTTCACGACCAAAGGCAGTGTTATTGTGTACGAAGACCAGTTCATCGAGTTTGGCTCTGCTCTCCCCAAGAACTACAACCTGTACGGCCTTGGCGAGGTCATCCATGGGTTCCGACTGGGAAATAACCTAACTCGTAAGCCTGCACATGATATTTGGTGTCTATCCTGCAAATTGTCGCTGACATGAAATATAGGGACACTGTTTGCTGCCGACGTAGGCGACGTCATTGATTCCAACATATACGGGAACCACCCAGTGTACCTCGACACCCGATACTTCATCAGTGGTGAGTCAGGTGAGCTGACCTACATTCCCGAGCCGACAGACAAGAATGCGCAATACGTCTCCTACACCCACGGCGTATTTCTTCGCAATGCGCACGCCCAGGAGATCCTTCTTCAGCCCTCCAACATCACGTGGAGGGCACTTGGAGGAAGCATCGACTTGCATTTCTACAACGGACCGACTGCTAAAGATGTCATGAAGTCTTATCAATTCAGCGAAATCGGTCTTCCAGCAATGCAGCAGTACTGGACGCTTGGCTACCACCAATGTCGCTGGGGATACGATAACTGGACTGCATTGCAAGATGTCGTTGACAATTTTGCCAAGTTCGATATTCCCCTTGAGACGATCTGGAGTGGGTTCCCCCTAATGTCACCACCCGATGACATTTAATTGTCCTTGAACCATTCCAAGGCTGACATTCCTGTAGCGGATATCGATTACATGAAAGAATATAGAGATTTCGAAAATGATCCAGTACGCTTCGGTTACGACAAGGGTGCTGAGTTCCTGTCCAAACTCCACGCCAACAAGCAGCACTATGTGCCAATTGTTGATTCCGCAATATACGCCCCGAACCCCGGAGATTCCGGAGACGAGTACCAGCCTTTCACTCGCGGAGTCGATGCCGATGCCTTTGTTCTAAACCCAGATGGCTCCATATACTACGGGGCTGTGTGGCCAGGTTATACGGGTGAGTCTTTGGCTTGCCATTGTCGGTTCTTGACTAATTTCAACTAGTTTTCCCGGACTGGATTGGTGCAGTTTTGAACGGCAGTGGTGCAATCGACTGGTGGATAAGTGAGATGCTTATGTGGTCCAAGAAAGTGGCAGTAAGTCGTGAACTACGCCCCTATTACTCCCAAACCCGAGCGAGCCCTAGGACCTCTGTCCCGAGCCGTTGTTTGTGGGGGCGGCTCACTCTCCGGTCTTTCAATATCATGAAAGCTTGTTCGACTCAGGGAGACTAAATTGTCTTAGTTTGACGGGATATGGATTGATATGTCAGAAGTGAGTCCACATCCATATGTTAGCTCTTGTCGTGTTCTAACAGCTTTAGGTCGCCTCGTTTTGCGTTGGTAGCTGCGGCAGCAGTAACCTGACATTTAATCCCGTGCATCCCCCATTCGAACTGCCAGGCGAGCCTGGAAATCTTGTCCTAGACTATCCAGAAGGCTTCAATATCACGAATGCTACAGAGGCTGCCTCGGCCTCATCCAGCCTCCAGAGTCAAGTCCACGCATCAACAGCGACATCAACATCCCCGGCGGGACCGACTACCTCTTACTTCCGCACAAGCCCCACGCCAGGGTCAAGGAACATAAACTGGCCTCCGTATGCTATCAACAACTATCATGGCGATATCGCCGTGCATGCTCTGAGCCCTAACGCCACTCACCATGGCGGCGCCGTCGAGTACGATTTCCATAACATCTTTGGCCACCAGATACTGAATGCCACCTATCAAGCATTGTTGGAGGTGTTTGAAGGAAAGCGTCCGTTCATCATTGGACGAAGCACCTTCGCAGGCTCTGGCAAGTGGGCAGGCCATTGGGGCGGCGATAACATGTCGTTGTGGGCATACATGTTCTTCAGCATCCCGCAGGCTTTGTCCTTCTCGATATTTGGCATACCGATGTTTGGTGTTGACACTTGTGGCTTTAGCGGCAACAGCGACGCGGAGCTATGCTCGCGTTGGATGCAGCTCAGCGCCTTCTTCCCCTTCTACCGCAACCACAACACTCTGGGCGCCATTAGCCAGGAGCCATACGTGTGGGGATCCGTCATTACTGCTTCAAAGACGGCAATGCATATACGATACCAACTTCTTCCATATATGTACACGCTCTTTGCTCAGGCCAATCGGGATGGTACCACGGTCATGCGAGCGCTAGCATGGGAATTCCCAAACGAACCGTGGCTGGCAAACGCGGACCGCCAGTTCCTTCTCGGCGGTGCCATCATGGTAACTCCATGCCTGGTCCAGGGTGCAACCACCGTTGATGGTGTATTCCCAGGCCTCGGCGACGGGACCCTCTGGTACGACTGGTACGATTTGACGGCTGTAACTGGTGTTCAGCTTGGCCAAAACATTACAATCGATGCCCCCCTGGGACACATACCCGTGTATTTGCGTGGGGGTAACGTGGTACCTCTTCAGGAGCCCGCTATGACCACTGCAGCCAGCCGTAGCAATCCGTGGGGCTTGCTGGTAGTCTTGGACAAAGCCGGATATGCCTTTGGAGATCTATACCTCGACGACGGAGAGAGCTTGAAGCCAAATGCCACAAAATGGATTCGGGCAAGTCTACCACGCCTGTACATCATGCAGAAGCTAGAAGCTAACCCTTTCGTTGTAGTTCTCCGCGAAAGATGGTTCGTTGATGATCACGCCTAATGGTCAGTACGTCGACACCAGCCCGCTCCAGAACGTGACTGTCTTGGGTCTGCCACATGCCCCTTCGAAGGTATCGCTAGATGGTGAAGACCTGGACTCGTCCTATTGGACCTACTCGGAAGATAAGAGCCTTTTGGCTTTAGAAAAACTGGGCAGTCGATTCCCAAATGGGGCGTGGGGGGATGAAACCTGGAACATCACCTGGAGCTGAGAAGATGGGCCCGACCGAACCTGTACATCTATTGTATTCTTCATGTTTTGTTTTTTGTTTCATGTTTGCTACGAGTTTTCTCGCTTTCGGGATTCGGCTGGAACATGGGATAGCATCTCGAAGGCTAGGATAAAAAGAGGTAATGGGACCTGGCGTATGGTATGTATGGGAGTTATCGAGAGAACTGGGAACGAGAAAAGAGCGCGATAAAGGTGCAGAAATATTCGCGAAATTAAGAAGATATCTCAAGCATCCCATGACTGTTTATTACGAAAACACAGCAAGACTGTTTATTACGAAGACACAGCGAGACTGTTTAATTGCCTAAATTTCATTAACCACCTAACTAAGCCAAGCTGAAGGACTTCGTGTTAATGATGTGGAAGGGTATATTCACTCCCGTCCCGTAAACAGTCGTGGCCAGCCGAACAGCTGATGGGGCCCGGCAGCGAGTCTTTACAAGGGTACGTTGTATCATAATTGATTATATGACCTTTTTATGGCTATAATTATGAGGATAACTGAAGCCACACTCCCTCTCCCTCATCTCACAGACAACACCTCTTGCGAATTCTTGAGCGAAAATGCTATTTTTTGAGTGCGGTCTGGACTAGGTGTAACAATTCCAACAACACACACACACACACGCATTCAATTAGTCTAGTCTAACCCCTATTCATCAAGCATTCCAACCCCTCATTCTTGGGTTTACCGGACACGACAGGTCGGTCACAGCAGCAGCGGCGCACTCCCTATGGGCGCTCCTTGGCCTGCCTCGCGAGCTCGTCGCGGAAGGCATTGCCTTCACGGCAATTGCCGTCGTGGGCACCGCCGCCCGCGCGAGGAATAAAGTCGTCAAAATGGCGGTCCTCAGTCGGCGACCCGGCTAAGCTGCCGAGCGCGTCGCTGTCCCGGCGCGGTCGCCCCTCTCCAACAGCACCGCCGACTGCCGAGCGGAGAGTGTTGTGACTATCAGCGTTGTTGTTGCTGTTGTAGTCATAATTCTGCCTCTGCCGTTGCTGTTGGCCGTCTATCGGCTCATCGCGGTATACTTGCACGGCAACACTGCCACCGCCAACTTCTTGGCGGTCCATCAAGTGGATGGCCTGCTCCTTGGTGGCCTTGGTCCGCTGCCGCCGGCTCTTGCCGATGCCGTATCCGTGGCGCCGGCGGGACATGATGTTTCCCAGGCCAATGCGGCGCTTGTGTCGGTTCCAGTAGCATGTGCCGCAGAGGAGCAGTATTATAACCCCGAGCACGGTCGGCAGCCCAATGTACAGCGCGGGACCGCTCGGAGGCTCTGTCTTGTGGTCAAAGCGGCCGGGCGGGTACGTGACGCGCACCGTGGGGCCGGTAACCCTGTTCGGTGCGTTAGTTGATTGCAATGCCATGTAGGAAGTGTGATAGAAATGTCGTGACCTCGGGGACAGGGGCTCTTATTGCTGCCTATTTTCTCACTCATCTGGATAACATCCGGCAAACATATAGAGATGGAAAAGTGAGGGCGGTGGAAGGGAAACTACGAGAACATACCACACTGCTGCCGCGGCGCCAATAGGCAGGGCGGCAATACGAAGAGTGATATTGACATCCGAAGCGCCTTTTGTCGTCAGGAGGTCCTTGTCCACGGACCACTGGTAGAACCCCCAGGCGGCTGCCATGTTCCCTGACGAGAAGGCTTGGTCCGTTTCATTCACATTGTAGAAGCCCATGATCTTGACAGTAGTATTAGAGCCGGAAGTTTTGAAAAATAGCGGGTCCCAGGTGACTTTGCGTTGGCACGGCGTGTTAGTCGACGTGTTCTAGATTATAATAAAACCAAGGGGGAGGCATTGATATTACTGTAATGTATTCCGCCGGGATATATGGTTGTGTTGTTCGTGGGCGAGCAGAAAGGCTTGTAATTGCCATCAGTGTTGTGGCAGACGGCGAAGGCGCCGGCGCCTTCCGAGTTGGTGGCTTGCGGCTCGGCAGGGCCGGTGCTTGTTACAGCGCCGTCGAAGTTGTTATAGGTAAAGACAGTGGCCGTGGCATCATGAGGCGCCGCCGAAATGACGGTGGGGGTTCCCGAAATGGTGGTTAGGACAGGCGTCACCGTCTTGGCATGGCCGGAATCGTCGACGGTGACCCAAGCGGCGGTGGGGTTGGGTGAAGCTGGTGTGGCTTGCCGGGCGACGACGACGTTCTTCCGGACAGCAACCGGGGCTGCTGCAGGGATAGCTAATGCCGCATCCAAGAGCAGAAGCACCAGCCACCTGCTGCTGGGAGCAAACATGGTTTGGGAACGTGGCCGTAGGCGTGGCCGTCCGCGTGGTTAATTAGTTGTCGTCGAGGTTTACTCGTATGAGCGTCAGGTGCAAGGGAAACCAAGGGAAACCTTCAAAAGACGCGCCGAGGACGCGTCGCTAATTGGGTCAGTTGAGTGAGTTCGGGCAGCAAAAACGAGTGACAGAATGCATCCAAACACGGAAGTAAAGCAGAGACAAAAAAAGGAGTGGGCGGTCGAGTATCGACCTTGCACGACGTTAACACCTAGTGAGGCCGAGTACTGGTGCTGTTCATGATGTCAAGGAACATCGCTGCAAAACACCACAAACCAATCGCGCTAGACCTGTCACGCTAGAGCGTTCCGCAAGATCGGCCAAGAGCTTCCCGCGGGCCCGTACAGGGGAGTCTCAGGGGTTCAAGAGTTCACGAGATTGGACCCCCGCCTCGGCCCTTGTTCGTGCCTTCCACAAATGGCGGCACTGAGATGTGGACCTCGACTCCCGGCACTCGTCAACACGTGTTGGTGAAAACGAAACTTAGAAACCAGGAAGGCACCAAGACGCGTCCCGTCTGGCACTTTTCCGTGGCAGTGTCGGCAATATTTGTCTCCATTTGCTCTGTACTCTCTTCATGTCAAGCCGACCGAATGACGCCCTTCAAACTTGCCCCAACATTCTCAAATTCGAAACACACCCACGCCCAACTTTGACACCTGACAGACACTGACTTTGTGCTATTTGTGATAGTTGAGAGGCCTTCTTGTGCCCCGGCTATCCTACCGTAACTCTACAATCGACCCATGTCTTTCCGACATCTCCCTCGCCCCCTTATTCTGACGTTACAACGCAACATCGGGAGATATTCAAGACACGGTGTTCTTAGCAACAATACCCCTGGCAAATTCTCCAAAGGTAATGTGCTGCTCCCTGTCGACCTCGTCGCCAAGGTTGGGCTGGGTGAAGACAGCCAGAGTGTTACGGGCAACACAGCTGCCGCTCGCTGCGGCACGCGTCCCTCGCACAAAATGAGGCACCGCCTTGAACTTTCCGCCCGTGATGCGCTCCAATGCCTCTCCCGTCTGGAAGGCGATGCAGTCGCGCGGGATCTTGACCTGCACCGTCTGGCCCGTGCGGGACTTGATGTACAGGCCGGCCGCCGGGTCGGGCGATGCCGGGAGCTCGGGTAAAGGCTCCAAAAGCGGACCCCAAACAGATGACCCGGGTCCCGAAGCCGGCCCGGCCCCGATCTGGGTTAGGTCGGTTGCTGCTTCGTCGACAAACATGGCCGAAGTCAGACCCGTCAGGCAGCCGTGGTCCAAATGCGTAGCACACCAGTCGTCCTCATCCTCGCCACTTGCGGTGCTCGAGACATCGGCGGCGGCGGTATCTGGGAAGTAATGCAATAGCCGGGCCTTAGTTGTCGTCGACGTACTCACAACTTGTTCCAGGTAGGCTTGTGGGTAGCCGGGAATCTCGACCTCGGCAAACCTGTCACATGCGCGTGCGACGAGCACAGCTACGTCAATGATGAGGCGGCAAAGCTGCTCCAGCGTTGTCTTGAACCCGGGTAGGAGGACCTCGTCGGGCCATATATTTGGCGAGAGGTATTCGGGGAAGTTGTCAGTGTTGAACTCTTCGGTGGGAGCCGCACATGACAGCGCAGGGTCCACGTAAAAGGCGCAGTTGGCGTAAAAGGAGCCCTTTAGCGTGTCGACCTGGCCGTTCTTAAGCGTCTCCTTGCCGAGCGACCAGCCAGTCAGGTACTTTGCCTTTTCGTTTTCGAGTTGGCCTCGGGTTACCGGTCAGTTGAGAATTCCTACCAAACAGTGGAACGGCAAGAAACACTCACCGAGGATCGACTTGGGAAGGTTCCCCAGGTACGTCGAGTACGACAGCAGACGGTGTCGTAGGCCTGCGAACTCTGGTGGCACATCTTTAACCACCAAGATTCCTAGAGAATCCGGCCCGAATGCCTCTTGCAGTGCCTCAAAAGACACGGTTCCTGGCATGGTGGCGCGGCCATCAGCGTCTGTTTCGCCTTGGGTTTGACTTATATGGCGTTTGTTTGCCCGGCCCACTCACAGGGCTCAGGGCCTCCGTTTATTGGTCGCTTACCATTTATGAGGTCTTTCAGCGACACCGTGACAGCTTGGACGAGGGGCGACATGATGAATCTTGTGCAGTTTCTTAAGCAAAGTTGAAGGCTATGGGGTGTTTTCTCAATTGGATTTCATGTCCCATTTGACAGGGTCAGCGGACTCAACCCCCTTCCTACCTGGGCTGTCTATCTACCTACCTACCTAGGCAAGATAATCCGGAGATTTAGCGGGGTTCTAGTGCTGCCAGGGCCTACCGAAGAGCCCTTTTTAGTAGTACTTTGCCAGCTTTAGAAGGCGATTGCCGCAACAGCGCTAATGAGTTATGTACTGTCGTGCAGGGGTAAGTTTTCCCACTACATCAAGTACCTCAGAACTGACAGGGGTTCCGCGCTAGCACTATTTTACAATATAACCACTAGATCTACAGCTAGTATTTTGTGTGCATTCCATCCGCCTTGATCACTACCTCGCACCGGCTAGGCATCGAGTCAAGTAATGTTTGGAGATAGGATTCCGGGAGCTGTTGCCAAGCCTCCTCCACGTAGGTCTTCAACTTGGTATATGACGGCTTTTCTTCAAGGCCATACTTATCTTCGATATAATCCTTCATCCAATTCCAACAAGATTCAATAGGGTTCAGGTCTGGAGAAAAAGGGGGCCATTCAATCACTTTGATCTTCCGATTCTCAAGGTCCTTCTTTGTGCCAGCCGCTCGGTGGCCAGGTGCACCATCTTGCATAAAAGAAAGCTGTAAACCGTGCCGCTCGAAAGTATCGTCGATGAATTCGTAGATGTCGGGCAAGATATGCCTGCGGTAAGAGTGTTCGTTGATCGATCCCATTCCTTTTCCCAGAAGATTCCAGGGCCTTTAGTTGAGCCGTAAAAACAGCCCCAAAACATCCACCCTCCATTTCTCTGGTGTTTTTCCACGATACAGGTAGGGTCCCATTCCTCATCGATTCGGCGTGTAACGTACTGTTCACGATGAGAGCCACCAACTACCCAAGTCTCATCGCTTCAAAGGATTGTACGCCACTGCTCAGGAGTCCAATCTTTATGTTCTATAGCCCAGGCTAGTCGTTTCTTCCGGTTGGCTTCTGTAATAGGGGGCTTTCGGCGAGCAACTCGACGGCGAAATCCGTGACGGTAGAGGGCATTGCGAATCGTAACCCAACTAAAAAGGCTGTTGAAAAGGACTATAGAAAGTTCCAAGAAGCTCATCCTGCGGTGCTCTTTCGATAAATACACATACTGAATAAGCTCCAGCTCTTGATTAGATGTAATAACACGTGGCCGACCAGACCATGGTGCAACCTCGGCCGAAGGAGCTCGTATCGCATGCCGAATTTGGTATTTTGTATAACCGGTGGCTTCTTGATCTGGGGTTGGCTAAGGTGGCTGTCAAAGTAGAGGGTACGAATACGTTGACGCTGTTCAGCAGTAAGGTGGTGGTTAGAAGGCATTGTGGTAGCTTGCAGGCTGGCTTGGTTGTAAGGTGGAAAATTTTGGCATGGAGGAAATTGTGGCAGAAACCTGGCCGAGGTGGGCCTGGCACTGAAAATACAGGGCCCCTGGACAAGGGGGGAAAACTTTTGTACGTAACCACAGTAAGCTAGTCCTTATCGATTACGTAGTTGGTGGGTAAGCTGTTCCAACGCCGCTCGAGATTCAGTCGCGACAACAGCGGCAATTCTTGTTGTCAGAGTCGCGCAACATTAAAGATGGTAAAGCCATTGTTGTTCAAGGGCGATAAAAAACAACAGAAAAAGCGGAAGCGAACGGCAGAAGAAGCCAATGACGGCGCGGTAAATGAAGATGGCGAGCGGCAAGTGAAGGCGCCCAAGGCCGACGAGGACGAGGGCGAGGAAGGCGGAAGCGACGACAGCTGGGTCTCGGTCGATGCTGTCACGGATCTGGCTGGCCCTGTCATGTTTGTTTTGCCGAGCGATCCGCCGACTGCGCTAGCGTGCGATGCCATTGGCAAAGTGTTTGCACTCCCGATTGAGAACATTGCTGACGGCAACCCGTCGAGTGCCGAGCCCCACGACGTGCGCCAGGTCTGGGTCGCCAACAAGATCGTGGGGACGGAGCACTACCGCTTCAAGGGGCACCACGGAAAGTAAGAGCTGCCCATCTTTTTACATTGGCTTGCAGAGAGAAGATCCTCAGTTTCTGACCCGTCTCTTTTTGCCGACAGACATCTCAGCTGCGACAAGTACGGCGTCTTCTCCGCGACCTCCGAAGCCGTGACGCCGCAGGAGTCCTTCATCGTCATCGCGACGGCCGACACGCCGGGGACCTTCCAGATCCAGACGCTGCGGGATACGTTCCTGACGGTTCGCGAATCTAAGTTAGCCAAGGCCAACGCGTTGCCCGACGTGCGTGGCGACGCTACCGACATCACGTTCGACTCGACGCTCCGCATCCGGATGCAAGCGCGCTTCAAGCCGCGCATCAAGGCCCAGAAGGTCGAGAAGGCGTGGGAGAAGATCAGCCGGCGCGATCTTGAGGATGCCGTCGGCCGGAAGCTCGAGGAAGACGAAGTCAAGAGCCTCCGCCGCGCCAGGAAGGAGGGCAACTACCACGAGCTGCTGCTCGATATGAAGGTGAAAAACAAGCACGACAAGTACGGCTGATGGGTGCGAGTTTACTACGACGACGTGCCTATGCAAGAGAGCTACATAAAAAGAGATACCCTTTTCCTTCCTCTTCCACCTATCCCTCATGACCCAGTGCAGTAATTGCAGCATCAAGTTCGGGAGCAACGTGCCGAAACTGCTGTACCGACTTCCTACACGCAAACAAGCTAGACGTCATTAGTTAGCCAACCTAGCGGCTCCGGCAGACCGCAAGTTTCAACCATGACCTCATGCGTTCGGTCGCCTGGCCGGCTGGATCTCGTACTCGTGGAAGAGAAAACCCGCCATAGTCGAGCCGAGCGGCTCCTACTTCACGTTACGCCGGCTCGAACTTTGTCCATGCCACTCACTGACTGCGTTCCTTCGGTGAAGAGGAAATAAGTTTTGACAAAGCCGCCCCCGACTAAATAAGAAGCTTGACATACTTTGCCCCTTTAAAATTGACTCCCGCCTGCCGATACTTCTCCCGGTCTCTTTCTTGTTGTGCCCCCAAGTCTATCTCTGCCCCAGGATATAATCCAACAGGGCTGCCTGTGACAACGATTAACTGGCCAACTGGGGGCTGGCTGGCCGGCTGGTCTTTTGGTGTTATTTTGCAGGTTGGGCCAGCTGGCGAACTGTTGGGCTGGGCTGGCGGGCGGGCGGGCAGGCGGAAGGGCAGGTGTTGTGCAATGTATTGTTGCCCTGCTGTGCCTCAAAAAAAATCCATGAGCAGCCAGTCGGCGACCGGCGGCCAGTTTGCTTCTAAGAATAGCTTTTCCCACCAAGCAGCCCAGGAGGTGGCCCTGCGGTCTGCATTTGCATTGAGTGCTGTGCGAGTGTGAGTGTGTGTTTATGTAATGTATGTAATGTATGTACTCTGAGTACGCGTATGCAACATGCAGTTTGAACGCTGAGACCCTTCGCTTTCCTCCAATCACAGCACTAAAACAACAACCATCTCGAACCCTCTTATGCCGAAGCCGCATGATGGTACATGTATATACAGTACAGGCACTGTTGCTGAGTGGACGAATAATACACACCTACGTACAGGCGTGACGTGCCTCCCCACACTGTCTGGCTGGAATTTTCGAGGCTTGCCGCCGGGTCCGAAGTCCGGCTCTCTCGGCCGGCCAGCCGGCGATTGGGGCAGGCCGACAGCAAGGTAAACGACGGACGACATGCCGCCCAGGTGTGGGGTGGTGATGGCAATGGAGACAGATGGCAAGAACGTGATGGCCCGGCCCCTTGTGCGTAAAGCCAGGCGGGGTTGGCTTCTACCACGAGTTAGCTTCTCATTGTTCGTAGAATAGGAGATTGCCCTGACATTGCGAGTCACAAAGTCACCACGGCGACCATCACGAAAGCGAGCTAGAGTTGTTTTCACCAGGAAATTTTTTTCTGTGTATTTCAAGAAAGACCCAAGTCCCTTCCGGAGCGGTACTAGCCGCCCATCAGGTATCATGGCCTTTCACCAGGAAATATTTCGGTGCAGTTCAAGAGAGACCGAAGTCAATCTTAGGCGGAACTAGCCGCCTGATCTAGGAACGCCTCAAGCGTTTAGAACATTGTCTCCCTCAGTCCCAATCTAAACCACAGAACGGCTGTTAGATGGACTGCTCCTCAAATCACTCTTCTTCCGCACCAATCCGTCTCAGGAAATGGGGCTTGGATGGGACCTTTTGAAGCCAAATGTGGTTTCGGATATAATTCCCTCCACGTCTCTTTGTACCGAATAGAACCCAAAAACACAAAATACTAAGCAGGTGTGTCCCTTTTCCCCCCCAAAAAAACGCCTGTCATGAATGTTCGTCAAAACCGGCCCGAGAAGTAAAAGTCCGTTGCCAACCGGGAAACCCCCTGTGGCCTTTCTGCCAGCAAATCACGCCCGTCCCAACAAGTTGGTAGCGAACCACGACTAACTCCGATCCGTGGTTTGATGAATAAAAAGTCGAACGAAAATGTTTAAAAAATAGCCGGAAGGTCGAGAAAAAAATAGAAAGAATATACAACAAATGTCAAAAGAATATAGTACGAGGGGCCTCTTATCCCCTAATCATTTATCGTCACCGCGTGTCGCTTTAGCAGCGCAATTTCCGTTCGTTTGAGAGTGCACCGTAGTGATTTACGAATCAACCTTCACTCGCTTTGCATCGCCTCCAATGTCCATGTGGTCGTGACCAGACCCATTGCCGTTGATTTCCGGGCTTTTCCTCTTGTGAAGGCCCGGGTCGTCCCGCAGAAAAGACGGTCCTGTGCCAACAACTGGCGTTGCAAAATTCAGCGGACTCGGCAGCGTGTTGCTATCGTTCCCGCGGAAGTTCCAGTCGGGGTAAAAGCTGCTTGGGCTGGGGAGATACTCGTTGTTGAGGAACCGGGACGGCAAAGCCGAGACCGGGGTGTCAATGTTCATATTATTATTGTTTTGGTGAGGATGAGGCCGTGCAAAGGGGTTCGGCGGCCCGGATGCACCTGCCGAGAGTAGGGCCGAGGCGGATGGAGACGGGGGCGGTAGAACAACGCCAGAGTGGCAATCGAGTCGCCTCGAGGGCTGTGACGTGGCATCGGTTGTTGCCGTGCCACGAGGAGACGATGACTCGGCAGTTGCGCTACCCGCATCCGAGGACTCTTCTGGAATCTGCACCTTCAACCGCGGCCGTGCTCCGCCGCCACCAGCGTGGAGGCTGTTGGACCTCGAGGGTGGCGTGAAGACAGTCTCCGGGATTGACGACATCGACCCGTTTCTCTTGATGTTAGAGAATCCATAAGAGTTCGAACGATGGGGGCCCGGCGGCGAGCCTGTGTGGCTAGTCCTTGAGATAGCGCTGCCGGTATCTATTGACTGCGATCGGTCCGATTTTACGTCGGGATGAAATGCTGCCAGATGTTGCGAGAGAATAGACCGATTCTCGTCGATGGGCGTGAATATGCTACCTTGTTTGCGTTGCGGCTGCTTCTTGATCGAAGTATCGAGAAGAAGAGATTGGCGAGGCTTGTCGATGGGCTCGGGTTTTGTCTTTGGCTCTACAGGCGCGGGTGGTTGAGGCTCTTGTGAGGGCTGGTGCTGAGAGTGCTGAGGGTGTTGGAGTTGCTGCTCGCGCGGCGAGGGTGCAACCGACATCCTTGGCTGAGGTGGGCTTTGCATGGAATGGGCATGGTGTTGAGGTGGGCTCGGGGACATGTGCGGTACGGGCTGCGAAGGCAACTGTCTCGCTTGCGGCTGCGGAGGCGACGTCGAATGACGAGGCGCCAGCGGCCCTTGCGGCTGAGCGGAGAAGGTGGAAGGCAGAGAAGACCTCCGCTGATCGTCCAAGAACGGCTGCAACTGGTGGGGGTGTGGCTGCGGCGAACCATACGGGTACTGAGAGTGTTGTTGCGGCAAACCGTGAGTCGGTATGTTCGGCGGCAAGTTGGGAGGGTTTTGCGGATTGTAGATGGCTGGTTGTGGCATGAATGCAAAGCTGTTCGGCTGGGGAGGGCCTTGCGGGCCGACCGACTGCATCCTTCTGCCGTCGTTGCGGGACGATGGCCGAGAGTTGATCTGCGGTTGAGGTGTCTGACCCCGCCCAGAATGCTGGCTGAAGACGCTTGTCGACACCGGAGGCGATTGCGATGGGGTCTGATGCCTGATGTGTCCGAAGGGAGGCGGGCCCTGGAAGTGACCTGGGAGTATTGGGCCATCTAGCCCGTCCAAGTGCGGGGGAGTTCCATTCTCGTCGTCATCGTCGTCGTCGTCAGCGCCGCCATTGAAATCGGATGGCCCCTTGTGCTCATTCGGTCCGCCATGCTGCGATGCGATGTTAGCAATCGTCGCGACACGAATGGGATTGAATGGGCTCGGCAACGAACGTATGTGTATTTCGTGATCAGCTCGCGCATGTCACACGACGAATATTCGTAGAGCTTCTTGTTGCTGCCAAAGATGAAAACGGCAACATCGACGGAGCAGAGAACGGATAACTCGTGAGCCTTCTTGAAAAGACCTCCTTTGCGCTTCAGAAAGGTGCTGCAGAGGGGCGAGTGGTTAGCGTTAGGTTGCGATGCGGAGGGGAAACAAAGAAAACCTCTTACACAGATCGATTCCTGTCATCCTTAATGGCCTTGATTTCGATCTTTCTTCTTCCCATCTTGTCGCAGATGCGATCAAAGTGGTCGGAGAGAAAGCGCGGAGGCGCTCGCGGGGGATGGAGAGGGGGCGATCAGTGTTGCGAGGATGACAGCAACCGCTAGGGAGATGTAGCGCTGTCGTCGGCGACCGAGACGGGGCAAGTGGCGTTGGGACGACTGGCGGCGAGGGACTGAGCGGCGTAGTTGGTTGGTAGTAGGTGGTTGAGGAACGCTACAGCACAGTTGCGGCGGCGGCGACGGGGTATGATAAGCTTCGTCGAGGAGGAGCTCGCGCTCTTCGTGATGAGCTCAGCGGCTTGAGGTCGCGATCTTGTCGATGGAGCTGGCCTTGAATCTCGAGAACCCACAGGCCACGGCGATGGCAGTGAGGGGGCGAGGTTGACTTTTTGTGCCTTGGGACAGTAACCGTGGCTTTCAACGTCGACGTCAACTTCTTTGTTTGCAGCCAGGGTAGGAAAGATACTCCGGTACTTGCGGCGTCGAGGGTTATGAGGCTGGATCTGGGTGCTGCTAATTATAGATCCGAGGTTCACACTTGGGGATGAGAGGAGAGACACCTGGGCAGAGGTGTGGGCAAGCAAAAGTGGGCGGTGGGAGGATTGGAAAAGGCAAGGCCCTGGGAGTGGGCGTGGGTGTGGGCGTGGGCCAAAGGCAAGGGCAGGGGTGGACGGGGCACCCGTGGCTTCTGGCTCGCCCAAAGAGGCATAGCGCAAGTGCAAAAGAGCTGGAAGCCACGCTTTCTCGCTTGGCATACAGGTCGCGGGCAGGTAGGGCAAGGCAAGCCGAAACACCGGGCTGGTTGGCCACTGGCCATCGCTGAAAGCCAACGACCTTCTGGAACACTAGGGCATGCAGCATCATCGGCGGAGAACCGCTACAGAAAAAGCCGTCCACCGCTCATCCACATGCAAGTGTAGGCCGACTTAGAGGCGTCTATTGGGGATGCTCGGTGTCCTTCCAGGTCGGTGGCCTCCAACTACCACGCCGGGGCAGGTGAGTGCCCGGCGAATCTAGCCTCGAACCCGGAAGTCTCTGCAAACACGAGGCTCCGCTGTGCTGTCTTCATTGAGCCTCACCAAAGTGACATCTCGTGAACAGCCAGAAACCCGGCCAAACCTCCATGTCCGAGCGGAGAGAGGCGTTGTCGACGGGGCGACGATGCAGTGACGGTCCCGCTTGGGTAGCACGCCATTCTTTGATCCCGGGTTGGTGGAATGGTTGCCAGCCAGACAATGAAGCTGGCGCATGTCTGAGCGCGGTAAAGTCAAGCAGCTGGGCTTGTTTGACGGGATGCTTCCATCGGATGGAAGCGGTCAAATTCGGACGGGAACCACCTCAAGCACTGTGCTGGCGTGGCTGCCCAGCTGGTATCCGTAGCTGCGCAGAGGGATCGGGTCATCTGTGGCGACCTCTGCAGTGGTCACAGCCGCTGCAACACTTGGGTGGTGGCTTTCCTTGCAGGCCATCCGCCGTCGACAGGCCCGGGGCCCGCTAGCATTGCAGGCAACAATCGAGGCTGAAGCGACCGGCCTGCGGCAGAACGCAGTTTTCTGTAGCCTCTTAGGTTGGTTCGGACCGTCGTGCACCTGAACCCGCAAACTTACCATGGCAAAATACCCGGGACGAACCTCACAGATCATCCGGATGCCGGATTCATTTAAACAGGTACCGTACGAATTGTTCGTGGTATTGCAATCTGTTCATATCTGTTGACGGCGCCATTCTCATAGCTCTCACAGCGTTCGAGCCCTAAAAGGTTATTCACAATCAACTTCACTCGATTTGGTCTCAAACGTCTTCGTCCAGCGTTGGTCAGGGCGAGTTGCAACACACACGATGTCTTCCCCCAGGTGATGCTGTGACCTGGGCTCCTTGGCGGGGCAGACCGAGCTCTCGTATCTGCGGTGGTTTGACGAAGTCACACCTGGTAGGAAGTATCCTCTAGAGGTACTTTGCCGACCCTTGCAGGATCGCTCAGTGGGACCCGGGCTACCCCTCCTCCTTTACTACGGGCACCCTGTGTCCCGGACCCTTTCGCCAAAAGCCTAGGGTCCTGCCGCTATCGGCATGGATTCACGTAAACGCCTACCTGACAACTGTTTTCATCAACTTCAAGCAATTAGTCAAATAATGTAGGGGTACTAAAAGATTATGTATACTGCGTATTCTATCACTCTCTTCTGGTTCTAGATTCCGTGAATCTTCCATCGGCGCTGTACGGCCAGTTCGTGGATCTTCAGTTGGCGCGATCTAGACTGCTAGGTGCTAAATTACAGGGTGTCCCCTAAAGTGAATAAAGAATTAAAGACCCATTCAACCCAAGTTAGCTCCAGCAGTGCCGTTTCCGTGCGCCATTACGCACAGGATAGCCGTCTTTTGTGCCGCCATGCCGCGGCGCAACACCCCCGGATGGCAACGCTGACTCTTTCAGATGGGCCGGCACGCAAGAGCCGCAACAAGAAGCTTGAAAATCGACCCGAGGTGATTAGGGAAACCCTGGCGAGTCTATTCGATGTAGAAGCGAGTCATCACGGCGCCTAACATGTTCAAGGGACAGCTCCCTGTCCCTAATCTAGCTTGTTTCGTTTATTCGTGGAAGCTTCGAACACAGCATCCATCTGCACGGCCTTGCCGGCCTGCCCAGGAACCGCATCACCAGAATTTGGTGACAAGGTTGCCGAATCTGGCAATCCGTTGTCAACTCTGGCTGATGTCGTCCAGATCCGATAGCCGACCCAGGCGCCCCGAGTCTAATTGTATCCTCTAGACGCGTGGGTTCGAGGGGACGAACCGCTTCACGCAATCTTAGTCCATCTGTCGGACCCGGCAAGTTCCAAAAGTAGAAGCGAGCGAGCGGGAGGGCAAAGTTGCGGTTACACGACGGCTTGGCACCCCTCATCAGGACAGGACACGGCTGCACACGCACTCAATTTTCTCATGATCCTGCTCACTACCAACTAACGAACGAGGAAGGTGAATCCCTGTTTGCAGAGAAGTTGATATTGACGCGGGCGACAGGCACAAAGGCCCGAAGTGTGTTAAACTGCAAGCCGCCGTGGGGCCCGCTCTCGACGCAATCAATCAATCACCTGCTGGCCTGCCCTACGAGAAGAGGGGGAAAATTCGATTGGGATGCACGCCGGGATGCAATTGGCCAACAGGCCGGCTCTGCTGCAGCCGGCTTAACCCATCATTGGCTCTTGGCTTGGACACTATTTAGCCCAGATGTCGGTGCAAGCGCCGGCGAGGGCTAAAAGAAGCATAATTGGGCAAATTCCCAATTTGCCCGTCTTGATCTCCGCACTCTGCATGAGATGCATGCGGGCTGATCTATTTTTAGCTATTTTTAGAATCACCTGCCGGTGACGAAGCTTTGACAACCGGGCATTAGCGTCGCGACGTTACTCAACTTCACTCCGTCCCACGCTGGTCCAAGGCCAAATGGATGGTAGTTCGCGATGGAGTCTCTGATATGCGCTCCTTGGTCAGTCACCGACTTTCTCTTCCGGCGACTAACATTCAATAATACAGATTGGCGATGCGACCTCCATGGATGGCCTTTCCCCGCGATACCAATCAACCCCAGTTACTCGGGCAGATTGGCAACTTGTAGACTAAGAGTGGACTACATCCATCACGCGAACCAGGGACTGTCCAGCGTCGTCAACACTCCTCCCTGGGAAGCCATGTTGCCCTCGATCCTCACCCATGCACGGAGGCTATTCTGAGGTGCGTGCGTGCATCTTGATCCAAACGACAGCGGCCATTCGGCACACTACGTAGATTCCCCAGGCCAAGGAGAAAGTGTCCGTCTCCACCTCCGCATCTCACCACCAATACCGCATGGGTCGCGGGCAATAATTGCCCATCACACATGCCCAACAACGGCGCGTCGCGGTTAAAAAAGCAACGCGTCCCACCCGTCCCAGAATCCCGGGAGCCATGTGCCCTTGTCACGGCCCGGCCTAGACGAGGCTCATTGAGATTGATGTGTTTGGTCGGGCCTTCCGGGTCTCTTCCCCCATGGAATGAACAAGACTCAGGTACGGCGGTTAAGCAAGCCACTTGTTGCTGCCCGCGCACATGGTTGTTAAACTTAGAAACAGACAAACGGCTTTCCAAGATATACCGTCATCGGTACCTGGCATTGTTACAGATCTTGATTCTCAATCCCCGGCGCCGACCTCGACGGTTCCTCCCCAACAGTCCATGCGGCCGTCTATTCTTTGCCCGCATGCATATGTCTCCATTTACACCTTCACGTGCATCCTCGCCGGGCCGTTGGAGATCAGGGGAGAGACGCACAATCTTCTTTGCGGTACACTGAAGCCGCCGCCACTCTCAAGACAGCTGACGGCCTCCGCATACGTAAAACATATCTTTCTATCCCACACTCCCTAGATTAAGTCCGCCGGACTGCAATACTGCTTCACCTGGCTCGATATAGAATCTGCCGCGCAAGGCTGACGGGGGCCGGGGGGTTAACCGCCAGAAGGCTGCAGACCAGCTAGCACTTCCATGTCTGCTGCACCTTGCAGGCGGAAAGGAACACAGAGAGAGCCCTACGCTGCTACGCTCCCGTTGCATTTAACTACGGCAGGTGTGACGCCCGACTGTGGTAGGTGCGCGAGACTCTGTTCTGGTCTGTGGCGTAAGCACGGAACCTCCCTAAAGCTTCACGGCAGTGATTTCGCCGTCGTCTGTGATCGCCCGGTAGCGAGTTCCGAAATAAGACGGCCTTTCGACAACGCCCTCGAGAAGCAGCCACATCACTGCAGTTGCAATACCGCCGCAGCACCACCCAGCCAGGGCTGCAGCAGCTCCTGCCATGGGCATTCCAGCCTCGTTGGTGGCCCAACCAGCTTCAGAAGAAGAGAGCGTAATCGGTTAGGAACAGTGTGTCTGACAGGCCTGCAAGCTGGTGACGAAGATCCCAAACTTTTTTTTTTCCTTTTTCGCAAACTCTCTTTTCAAGACCGAAACAGCCAATCATGGTGGCGGGGTAATTAGGGAGGATTTCTTGGGAGACAAGACCAGACGATGGTGCCATGTTGGCACAGACAGAACACCCCCCCCCCCTCTAAACTTGGAAAGGGCCGACGAAAGCTAATTAGCACACCTGAGGGGCATGGTTCTATAAAATTTGCATTCACACATTCTTAGAGACTGTCGAGATATCTATCACTTGGCTGCTCTTGTGCGCATTCTTTGCGCATTGGCCCAGGTAGCCTCGAGAATTTGATGGCAAGGCCAGCAGTGCTCAGTCTGTAAAGTTTGTCTCTCCCCTCCGGTCGCCCCCTGTCTTTGACTCTTGCTCGCTCGCTCTCCCGGCGGCCCATCCGCCCGAAGGCGCAGCACCCAGCTGGGCACATTCGCCCTCTGGTGGCACCACACCACGTGTGTGCCTGTACAGCCCTGGCTCTCTTCGAGGGATGCTGGGAAAGGAGGGCAGGGCGGGAGGTGATCTACCCGCGAGGCGCGCGCTTCTCTCCATCTCTCTCTCGGTGTGGGGAGCGATGCCCGTTCAATCCTTTCCATCTGCACCGTCCGGGCAGAGCTTTTGCGGCGAGGTGAATGCGATTGATTGCTTGGGGCCATGCGACGGTGCGTCTTCAATCTCCGAATCTCGACAAAGGCAAAGACGCAGCAGCGTAGCAATACCGTTTGTGGAATTTTTCCGAAACCCAATCCACTGTGACCGTGTTAGACGCCCGACCTAATTAGCCCACTTTCTGGTGAACGGGTAGCATCATCGCTGGTGCGACGGTAAGGGCCGATCCCGAATCTCTGAACGAGCCTTCTGTCACACAGCAGTAAACCACACACCACGTACTGTACAGTACATGCACAGTAAAGCGTAATCAGTACAGCCCTCTTCAGCGCCCCTATGCTGTCCGCGCGGTCGGCAATCATCCGCCCGTACACACACGGGTAGATGAGTAAGTAAGCAAGGAGCGAAGCGTAAGCAGGCCAGGAGAACAAGAGCACACGCGCCTCTCCCCCCCACGTTCGTTCACAGGGCACAGACAGAGGGGCACTACTCCGAACTATGGATGTATCTGTGAGGCGGGTGGACGGGCGGGCTCCTTGAGCGCGTCCGGGGGGGATTACCTCCTTGTTCAAGAGAACTTGGTGCGACCACCCGGACGGCGTCGCTTCTGCAAGCACCCGAGGCTAAGAAGTAGGGGGCGTTAATTAATGAAGAAACGGACAAAAAGAAAAGAAGACAAAAAGACACGAAAAGGGGGGTGGGGGGGACGGGGAAACAGATCCACGAACACCACAGGCAGAGCAAGGCGCATCAAACAAACATCCCCTCCCCCACAGTGACCAGACGCACACAAACACACCCGCCCGGCCGCCCTACCCGCAATGCAGTTCCAAATTTGGCAACACATCGTTCACGCTTGACCTCACTACTAGAACACCACATGCATATGCCACTGTGGAGAATGCAAGTCTGTTCGCTGGTCCTCGGTGTGTCTGTCCTCCTGTAGGGTCTACGATACAGGTCTAGAACATCCGTGGTTGGTTCTTGGCTGGGTTAAGCCAATGCAGCCCGGAACCAGGCCATGATAAGTCGAGGCTTAATATACGTAGCGGACGCAGAGAAGCGGCAAAGTCCGTCGGCCGGGCGCGTGCACTCCCGTTGTAGCATTTTGAACATGGGAGATGATATCAAAAGATGTTATTCTGTTGGTTCTGTGTGTACATGATATTCATGTAAAGTTTTGCTAGTGTTGCCTGCCAGTTTGCCTAGGTTGACTATCGTCACCAGCCACCATCCCATCCGTCCGTCAGCCGGCCCCGTGATAAACGCCGGTGTACCGTACTATGCAATACATGAACGCAGTAAGAAAGTGCAAGCCGGGATATCACTCAGAGATTCGGCTGCTATTTCCACAAATCCCCGGGGGTTGTTCCCTTTTCCCTCTCTCATTTAGCCCATATGTTTCCAGGTCTTGCTCTTTTGCTGTGTGGGTAGTATCTCATAAGCCCAAATAGTTCTATGCCATACCCACTTTCATCTCTCAGTTCAAGGGCTATTGTGCTTCGCCCTTCTCAGCCGCCTCGTAGAGTAAAAGCAACCGAAACCGGGTTGCTGAGCCTGCATGCATGCACGCACGTCGGCATAGAGACACGCCGGGCGAACAAGTAGCCGAGCCGAACAATCACGAATGAAACGACGTGTCCTAGTCGCCGTGCAGAAATCAGAATATCTCGTCTCGTCCCCGTAACCAAACACGGGACTGAAAGGATAGAAGCTTAGCCATTGCTGACAAAACTAGCAGCGAAAGGGGCGTTGAGCGAGCCGAAACCGGCGCTCTCGTCCTGGTTTGGATCGTGCGGCCGCGAACCGTTGAGTAGAGGACAGAGTCTGGGAGCCATGTTAGCTAAAGGAAGGAAATATTATGCGGAGAGAAAATACGTACTTCTTATTAGTCTTGATATGGCCGATCTGACCACAGTTTGCACATTTACGGGTAGTCCCCGTGGCTTTCTCCGTCGTGGGTTCAGGAGAGGCGCCCTCGTCTCCCTCGACACCGCCCGTCTTGATCTTTTGCTGGAGCTTCTTTTGCTTTTCGCGCTTCTTACGACGCTCTTTGTTCTTCTCAAGTCGCTCCTGTTCCTTGCGAGCCCTAGATAAAATTAATCCCTCCATCCGGGGTGCGACAATCGACTGAAAGGGGATAACTTACAAATCAAGGATCATCTTGTTTCGCTCTTGATCCTGGGTAAGCTTGACGGAGTAGATGCTGCCGATATGTTAGCCTGAGAAAACAAAACAGAAAACCAGATCAACACTTGGAAGGGGTGTAGCAACATACTCTATCTGTTCAAGGTCCTGCTGGCGTCGCTTCTTCAGGTATTGACCAATGACGATGGGATCGTGTACAATCTCCGTGATGGTCTGAACCTCGCCATTCTCCCGCGTAACCTCTCTCGTGATCTTCAATTTCTTCCGGTTGAGAGCGCTAGCTGCGCTCTGGCTCACTTGGCTCATGCCGTCGGCCGGGGCCGGGGCCGGGGCGCCCTGATTCTGGGTATTGAACCGTTCATCCTCATCTTCTTGAGCGAGAACGTCGTCGTCATCGTGCTCCTGCGAGTCCTCGAGACTCTCCCGTTGCCGATTCCAGATATCCGTGAGCGCCTCGGTGTAGAGACTGTCCTGGTTCTTGACGTTGTACATGTGGCCACCATTCGCCTTGCGCTGCCGTTCTATGGCATCGGCTGACGTTGCTAGTGGCCCCTGTAGCTGCTCGAGATAGCCACCCTTCATTGACGTCCTGAGGAAGCTAATTCCCAAGCCCTTGCCCGTTGGGTCGCCAGCGCCATGGACAGCAACCATGGCCTTCCCGTGGCTCGCATCAATGAAGGCCTTGGTAAGTCTCCACGGTGCCATCTTGTTAGCGAGGGCATCGGGCGGAAGTTCGTCTGGGGCATCTTCTTCCCCATCCTTATCCTTGAATTGCGCGTCGTTGATTTCGTAGCCGCCGTTCTCGAGCTCGTGAGCGCCGACCTGCATCGCATCCAAGAGACATACTTCCTCTGGTCTAACAAGGCTGCGAATGTACTTCTCAGTCATTGGCCCTTCTCCCTCGGGAAGTTGCCAATCCTTGGTATCCTTGCGGAAACGCAGGAACTCTTTGAGCTTCTGCCGGTTCTGGGACTCGTTGGACTCGGCAACGTGGCGAGTGATGTCATGCAGCGTGACGTGTTCATTCTGTCGCAAAAGCCTGTAAGATACCATCTTGAGACGATTCTTGGCAATATTCGTAACGCGCCGAGAATGAGGCCCTGGCACTTCCATGGATGGAAGTGTCTGCCCAACCACGAACAGATGATCGATGTTCCGGATGTACCAAGACGACCCGTGCTGGCCGGTTGTGGTACGGCCAACGAGGAAGTCGGTGCCTCGCGGCGTGTGCTTGAAAATAGGGGCACGGAACATCTGATTATGCAAAGTGGGCACAACCTCTCCAGGATTCACCTGGCCAAATATGGCGAAGGGAGACCGGTCTTCCGGCATGAGGATAGAAGTTTCGCCAAGCTCACGCTTCTCGGGACGAGAGTCAGCGCCCTTAGCACGTCGGTGATAGTTGACAATCTTCTGGCCCATGCCAAAGTTTGACAAAACAGTGGGAATCTCCTCGCAGTATTCGAACAGGATCGCGGTCGAGTTGTCATTCAGTGACAGGTCGCGCGAATCGTGAAAGATCTCGCTAATCCTCCTGCCCTTCAGTGTCTTACGCTTCACAGTGTTAGGCTTCGCGAACTTGATTGACCCAAACGCCTCCTTCTTAGGGTGAAGTTGCGGTCGGTGGTAGCTGTGAGGATCGCTGGCTGCAAGCTTGACTCTGTAGTATGGCCACGCAAGTCTCTGCGCTGTCATGCTGTGCTCAACTGGGATGGCAGCAAGGGTTGCCCGGACCCTGTTTTGGTTGTTCTCCTTCAACGCGTCGTAGGCAGCGTCGGAGGAGAAGTCGAATCGCTGGGAAAGAATCCCGGCATACTTTCCGTTTGCCATGCGCACCGTCTTGTGTTGGATTTTTCGTCGCTTGACTGCCCGCTCCGACTCGACGTCGTCGATGAGGAGATAAGGGTCGTTGATGTCGAGAATGACACGCTTCCCAAGCCTCGCGGTGACTTCCTCGAAATCGTCGAAGTTTGGGGCTATAAACCGAGAGATGGAGGGCAGCCCGCGGGGTATTTCAACCCGCTTTCTCTTGGGGGAAGGATCCCCAAACATTTGATCCCACTCGGCGTCGTCAACTTCGTCGTCAAAAGGCTCGTCCTTAACGAAACCGTTGTCTTGACCAAGTGCGGCGCCAGATACGCCGTTGTTGTCATTATTGCCAAGGGTGCCATTGTGGGCCGAGTCCCAGTCATCGCCTAGGTGGATCATAGAGTCATAGTCATCGCATATGATTTCAATATCAAGGAGAGTGAGCCCTCCCATCAGCTCGGAATCAGACTCGTCGTCGAGGTTGAAGACCTCGAGATCGGCTTGCTCGAGCGGCTCAGGCTCTTCGAGGGAGACTCGGCCGCGAGACTCGGCCTCCCTAATCCTTTGATACACCGAAGACGAGGCGGGGCCCGGGATTCGAAAGAGTTTCTCTTGGTCAACATCAACTTCCAGGCTAAGCTTGGACGGAATCAAGGGCTTTGGAGGCTTGGCTGGTTTCTTGGAAATCCAGGTCGCCTGCTTCGGGCGCAGGAGCTCGTTCCAGTTGAGAATGGCATTCTCTTCGAAACCCGGCCAGGCCTGCTTCACAGCATCTAGAAAGTTTTCGGCAGGGGGAGGAATGTTTGGGTCTTGGTTGGTGACTTCGGGATCTTGCTCGTGGTTGAAGTTTAGGTTTCGGAGCTCTTCGATGGTCTGCCCGTCGTCATGGCCAAGATCTATGTGTTCGTCGCCGTCGGCGTCAAGCGGGTGGGGAGATGACCTAAGGTCGTCGAGGATGGGGTCGATCGGCGACGAAACTGGGTCTCCGCCGAAGAGGTCGTCGGTATCGTTACTCGTCCCACCGTCATCGGTGAGGCCTGGAAGGTCGCCATTTGTGCCCGAGGTGTTCGGTTCCTCGTCGGGTAGGTCATCTTCGTCGCTCAGGTCAATGTCCTCGAAGTCGATGGCATCGTCGGCTTTGCCTTCTTGGCTGATGGCAGCGCCGCTGTTGATATCGTTGACGAATTTCGAGATTTCGCCATTCTCGAGGAAGCTCGCGTTGTACTGCCTGATCGCTTCCTCATCTCTTGCCTCTTGCTCCGCCCAGACCTCGCTTTCTGTGGTGTCGGCCATTTTTGCCGTCGGCTGCGCGTTCGCCCCTCGAGCTCCTCTCGATGGTTGCGCGAGCTGTAGAGTGTCAGATCATGGTATGGGCAGCTCCAGTCGGTAGCTGCTTCTGAGGCAACTTCAGGTTCGCGGACCGTGGGGTGCGTGGTGCGACGACAAATTGAGAGATCGCGGAACGCTTTGTCGTTTGATGACAAGCCACACCAGCTACTGGAGAAAGCGAATCGGCGCAAGGGTGCACGCGCAGCCTGGCCCGCCAGGTGGGTCCCTGCACTGCTGCGGGAAGTTGGGGAAAGTTGTGGCCCCTGCCAGTGCTAGGCTGAGAAAATCACCAACTTGGTCCGTGCGTGGTTACTCAGACCCGGAAGTCACACCAAGTCACTTCATCCGTTCGTTCCACTTCACGGTAATCATGTCCGAAGTATGGTGCATTCAGCCTCGATAAAATATTATTGGAAGCTATCCTTCAGACATTCATGGGTCCCTTCGAGATATGATATTTCTCCTGCTCAAAATATTAAATTCTGCTGCGCTTCTTTATCAACCTACTGGCCAGCAGGTCATTGGAGCTTGAGTTAGGGCTCAAAAGTTTTGTAGGCAAAACTTTTTGAGGGTGCTCTAGGTAATTCGCACAGCAAAAGACATAACGCATAGGGTTAAGGTTAGATACATGTCCAGTCCAGCTTCAAAGCTGAATGCTTGCTAGTTTGGTTTTTGCAATGGTATTGACGATGAAAAGTCTAGTCTCTGTACAGTTAGAGGACTGGATTCAACGAGTAAATATTTAGTATTCAAAACAGAGAAAAAGGGAACTTGTTACATTTCGTCTGCTTCAATGAGGCCTTGCTTGAGGAGGGACTCTGCAGTTAGATTGATCACAAAAGTAAAATGGCTCATACCCATCACCCGTACACATTGAAAGGCATTTGCCGCGGTACAGCGAAAAGTCAAACAATTGAACGACACTAATCCAATAGAGTCACGCCGGTCGACTCACGAACATAAAGAGAACTTGATTATATAAGAGACGTAGGACCCTAGCCATTAGAAGTTTGCTGACCTTGTTATGAAACGACCGGCTGCAGTGTAGCAATAGGGCCACGCAATAACTCACAAAGCTTTGTGCTCGCTAGTTGACACAGACTTTGGCAATTTCCCCACAAGAGAATGATGTGTTTATGTCAGTAACTGCCCCTATAAGTCTAACCCTCGAGTTTTGGCTCGGCTACGAGTTTTCACTCGCAGAAATAATGACCAGCCATCTCATCAAGGTGGCAAGGAGCCAGAAATAACGAACATGATATCGTGTAAAAAGGGCTTCCTCCTGACCACCGGGTAATGACAACACCGGGTAATGACAAGTGACGCAAAAGACTCCTTAGCTGTCCTTGGGCAGAGTCAAAGCTACCTAGACATAGACACAGACACCACAGGAGGTTAACTGTAATGACTCTGTAACAATCAACTGACACGTTGCTAGCGCCGTGGAACATAATATTCTATGAGCTTCTCTTGGAAGCCAACGTGTCCCTCTGTTATTTGGGTGCCAACAAAAGTTGTGTGTCAGGAAGAGCAGCTCACAGGCTCTAGGGCTTGTGTTGACCTTGAGTTCTTTGTGATGATGTAGGGCCTTACGGCCCTAAGCTCCGTTGGGCTTAGTTACAATTTTCCCTTAGTCCCTGCATTGTGAGCCCAGCTATGTACCTATAAAATCATCATGGCCCTTCTAAGTTCTAACAGTTCATGCGTGAGCGGTACCGGGAACTGCCCTATCCTGAGCTACGAAATGGGCGACCCGACAGTTTGGGTCAGCCATATATAGGCGTACCGCATTTGCCGTTGGCTCCCGGTGCATCTACAATGGGGGAAGGGAGGGAGTTGTGAGACGGATATGGACATTGTGGTGAAATATTAGCTTAGTATACTAGGTGGCGCATACAGACACATTGAGGACGCGTCGGTGATTAAACTTGTTTAGGTAGCTTTGAGATAGTATTTCTTGTGATGTGACTCCTTATCGTTGGAGTTACTAAGTGGATCGCCGCGTGTTTGAATTCATTCATTGCCCCTCCCATTTCCTAATCCCATTTCTATCAATAGAAATGGACTTGTCAGTTCGGGGCCATCGAAAACAACTTGCCTTTCTTAGGTAAGACTGCCATAGAGACAATCTTGCCAGTTAGGCCTACCATTTTGAAGTGGGACTCACTTGTTGTTACTGCCAGAAGAGATACTGGTCACGTAGGGTCTCTAAAGTAGTGTTCCATCAAGGACCTTGCCGCAGGTATTTTGGGAATCAAGAACCCCTAGTCTAATTCAAAGTAACTACCTAGGTACTTACCTGGACTAAGGCGGGAAGCTATTACCCCGCGAGGAAAATGAACAACCCAGCGCGGAGCTTCACAGCGTCAAGCTCGCGGGTGTACTGCGCGAGCAATTGGTTTACGTCCTCTTTGAAGGCGTCGAAGGAAGACTCATGGTGTTCGGCCCAGTCGGGGACAATACTGTGATATCGCGAGTTGATGAACTTCAAGACGCGATTAACAAAGTTGCCAAGAGTCTTGAGGAGCAGGTTGTTGTCAGCACTAATGAAACCATCCCAGGTGAACTTGGTGTCACCCGTCTCAGGTCCACAGTAGAGCAAATAGAAACGCCATATGTCCGAGGCCACCTCTGTTTCGTGAGCCGAATCCCCAAAGACGCCAATGCCACGAGACTTGGAGAACTTGCCGCCTTCGTACGTAAGGTAATCCGTTGTCGAGAGATGATGTAGCTTTGTCCAGGTATCTTGAGTTCCTATTTGAGACGCAGGGAACATGACAGAATGGAAGACAACGTTGTCTTTTCCGATAAATTGATATAGTTGAACATCATCTGGACTCCGCCATCATTTCTCCCATTGGTCGGTGTATGCGGCTGTAATTGAGACGTAGTCGATGCAGGCATCAAACCATGAATAAATCACTTTATCTTCGTAGTCTGGCAGAGGTACTGCTGTTCCCCATTTCATGTCCCTGGTAATGCTGCGGGGTTGAAGTCCTTCCTTTAGCCAACCTGAAGTGGTAGAGATACCATTGTTTGACCATGCGTCCTTGGTGGCAGATTCCTAGAAGAAAGCATCGATCTTGGGCTGTAGATTATCCAGCTCTAGGAAAATGTGCTTGGTATTCTTGGTGACTGGGGTAGAGCCATCAATTTTGCATCTTGGACCAATGAGCTGAAGCGGCTCGAGGAGGTTGCCACACTGGTCGCATTGGTCCCCACGAGCGGCCGCATAACCGCAACCCAACGTCGGACACTCGCCTTCCACGAACCGATCCGCAAGAAAAGAGTGATGTTTCTCGCAATAGAGCTGAGTAGTCATGCGCTCCTTCAGGAAACCATGTTCGTTGAGCTTCAAGAAAATATCTTGAGTGATATCGATTTGGAGCTGTGTTGTTGTCCGACCAAAAATGTCGAAGCTGATGCTGAACCATTCGTAAATCTAGGCATGGACGGCGTGATACTTATCACAAAGCTCTTGTGGGGGCAATTCTCGACTAGAGCTCGCGCTTCGGTGGTAGTTCTGTACTGGTCGGTTCTTTGGCGGCGGGATCGATCAGGAGAATATCATCACATTTTCACCATTCTTGGTGCGTACCAACAATGGTGCCTAGTAACAGCAGCACCTGGGCCGGCCTGGCCTGCGCCTGAAAAGCACCTACTGACTGGGGAGTTGCTGTCCGCTCAGGCACTCAGGGCCATTTTTCTGCACAAGCTGTTGTGGGGAAGGCATTTGAGGGTGTTGTCGTAATGGCTAATTTGATACCGTACGATGTTGAATGTCCCAAAATAATTTCAATAAAAAAGAAACACATTTTCACCTAGCAGTTTCAATATATATATGTATACATATACGGTGCTTTGCGGCTTTGAAGGCGGTCGTGATGCATGCAAATTGTCTTTTGGAGTCTTAAGCCAGCACGAGAGGGGTGCGTGGAGTATTTTACAGTCGACGTCTCACACCCTCGTATCTAATCCGTATCTTCACATGTATTTGCGCGATTACCACTTTCAATTATTATTAAAAAAGGAATAACAACAGGTACGTATAAGCACCATGGCTGTTCTATCCGCGCCAGGTGCTGGTCTCAAGGAGAAGCTGAGGGCCGAGTTTGTCGGCATGACACTCCAGGATGTCATTCCCGTTCCTTCGGCCGTGCTGGACCTGGCGAAGCTCGAGGTGAACTGCCAGCGCATGCTTGATGCGACGGACCGTTTGGGGATTCTTTGGCGCGCTCACATCAAATCCCACAAGGTGAGCGAGCTGAGCTCTGGATACCCACCTACCGCTCATAAAGACACCCCGCTGATTCGCACCGCATGAAAGACGACCGAGCTGACCCGCCTCCAAGTCGGAGACACTCGCATGACGCATGTCTCTATTATTGCTTCAACTGTCGTCGAGGCCGAAAACATCCTCCCTCTGCTCAGAGAGTACCAGGTCAATGGCCGGACCGTCAACGTATGTACTCGCTGCTGTCCGTTTTGACCCTGGCTCCTCCTGACGCCCAAGCCTAGCTTCTATTGGCCTTCCCCCTTTTCCCGTCGGCAGTCTCGCGGCTCGCACGCTTCTCGGCTGAGCTTGGCCCCGCCTCCCTCTCCATCCTAGTCGACCACCCAGACCAGCTGGCCTCGGCGGCGGCCATCACGCGCGCCTCGGGCGGCCATGCGCCTCTCGTCTTCATCAAGATCGATGCCGAGTACGGGCGCGCGGGCGTGGTGCCGTCGTCGCCCGCCTGTGCCGAGCTCGTCGATGCCGCGCTGGCCGCCGAGAAGGCCGGCGCCTGCGTGCTGCACGGTCTCTACGCCCATGCTGGTCACAGCTACGGCTCGCGCGGCAACTGGGCCGCCATGGACTACCTCGTAAAGGAGTTCGAGATGCTGAGCAGCGTCGCCGCGGTCGTCCGCGACAAGAGCCCGGACCACCCCCTCGTGCTGTCGGCCGGCGCCACGCCCACCGCGACCACGATCCAGCATCCGCGGGTCCTCGCTGGTCTTGACGGGGACAATGAAAGCACTGCAACGTCAACCCACAAGGTCAAGTCCATCTTCAACACGTCGAAGCTGGCCGGGCTCACCCTCGAGGTCCACGCAGGTGTATAGTGTGTCTGTCTGTCATTTGAGCAAAGTCCCTCTATACTGAGCGAAGAGCCAACACCCCCCCCTTCGAAACCGCCTCTGCAGAATGGCATCGTGCTAATCTATGACGTGATAACACCAATGATAGCCCGACGCTAGATATCCAACAGTTAGCGACGCACGCAAGAGACTCGTCCCTGATGACGTGCAAGGACATTGCCATCAGCATCGTGGCTGAAGTAGCATCCGGTGCGTGTATTGTCTCTACTACGCAAGCAGATCGCTCCCCCTCCCCACCTCAACCTCTCAAAACAACTTTTGAGTGGCATTCATTTCGCCCCCCCCTATCCTCTGGATAAAACGCTGACACCTAGATATCACAGTCTATCCCGGCCGCGGAGCCGACGGCACGACGGAGGCGCTCGTGCATGCGGGCACGTTGGCGCTTGGCCGCGAGCCCGTGGCGGGCAAGGGGGGCGACTACAGCGGATGGGGAGTAGTGATGTCGTGGGGGGCAGCTGCGGAAGCACCAGGGCCGGGGCCCGACTTCCCGCTCGTGCACGGGGGCTGGCAGGTTGGGCGCATCAGCCAGGAGCACGGCATCCTCGCGTGGAAGGGCAGGAAGGAGGACGAGGTGCCGCTGCGGGTTGGGGACCGCGTGCGGATCTGGCCCAACCACAGCTGCATTGCCGGGGCGGGCTTTGACTGGTACCTGATTGTCGACGGGCGGAATAAGGGACGCGAGGACGAGGTCGTTGATGTCTGGCCACGGTGGCGAGGCTGGTGAAAGGCGTTTGAGACGGGTTGATTGCATTGGCTTCATGGTGTTTGTGACAGCTATAAAGGGGTGGGTAACCTAGAAACGGATGATCATCACATTCACATCCCGCGTCAAACACATCGTCGTCTCACAGGTTTAGGGCAGATAAGCTGCTACGAGGCGAAAAATCGCTAGATAGGATTTTTTTACCAGATTCTCGCTATATCTTTTTTGAAGGTATCCGTCCTGAGCGTGCCGCTCAGTTCAACCCTGTCTGACAACTCCCGTACGCCGCACTCTCTCTCACAACAAAACGTGGTGAGACCAAATCCTTACTAGCAACATAAAAAAGAGACGTAAAAAGGAAAAAAGAAAGCAGGTAAAGCAAAATAATAAAAAGCGGGAGAAGCACTACTATCTCTCGACCCACTTTTCTCTCCCTCCGCCGCGTCCCCCACACATTTACTTTGGACGAAAAAGGGCTCCTACTTACAGCGCTTCTCGACAATGCCAGCGCCGTTCTCATCGTACTCCTTCCTCGAGATCCACATCTGGTGGAAGGTTCCCAAACTAGCGAGAATGCTTCCGCCGATCCAGGCGCCGAAGCGGCGCTCACTCGTCAGGCCTGCCGCGTGGATCTTGATCTTGAGACCGGGGTACATGTTGGTGAGCTCCTGGTTAAGGCGGTCGTTGAAGCCATTGAGGAGACTGGTGCTACCAGTCACAACAATGTTGCCGACCAGGTTAGGGCGGAGGTCAACGTCGACGCCGTCGAGCGCGGCCTTGATCAGCCCGGGAATCGTCTGGCTCTTAGCCACACGCCCTTCGTGCTGGTCGAAGGCGACCGTATCATCCCACATGCCCTCGGACACGCGGTACCGCTGCTCGCGCCACATCTGGTTGCTCCCGTCGGGCATCTCGAAGACGCGGCCCGGCTGGCTCTTAGCGTAGTCTTCGTTGGGCTGGAAGCGGCCGGGGCCGCGCCACACCTCGACGACCGACTCCTTGAACTCCGTAAGTACTCGCTCTTCCTCGAAGGCGCGGAACGAGGGCGCGATGGGGAACGGGAAGTTGCGAAGGCGGGCCTCGGCAGGGGCGCCTGCCTCGACGGGCTTCTTGTTCTCCACCATGAAAGTCGGCACCAGGTCGACACGTGGGTCGCTCGTCTCCCACATGGAGCGGATTTGGTTGCTCAGCCACAGCCCGCCGATGGGCGACCGCTGGATTGACCGTTTGAGGACTGTGCCGTCGTGGATGGCCGTGACGCTCGTGTTGGCGCCACCAACGTCCACCACCAGGGCTGTCGCCTTGCCGGCCGCGAACGCCGCCAGCACCGGCGTCCGACTGAGCCAGAAGGCCGGGCACCCCCAGCTCTCCATGCAGATCTCGATCGCCTTCTCTCGGGCCTTAGCGGAGTTCCAGGGCGCTTCTGTCATGAGCACCGGGTTCTCGGCCAGCGGCTTTTCGAGGTCGCCGACACTGTTCTCGGCGCCGCCACCACTAGCGTCTTCCATGGATACGTCGCCGTCCCCGTCCCCGTCGCCGATGTTGAGCCCGTTCTTGCTCGGGGGCGTCGGGCGTTCGGGTTGCAGGCGCTTGCACAAGAGGTGCTCCCAGATTTTGGTGGCTCCGTCCCAGTCCTCGACTACGCTATCGCGGTTCATATAGTTGCGCACTTCGAAGTTGGCACGCGGCAGGATCACCTCGTCCCCGAAGATGTCCCGCCCATCGATGTGGCCGTAGAAGGACGGGATGACCTGTTTGGGCATTTCCTCGCCGGCGAAGCCCGCGCGCGTCTGGCAGTAGCCGGGATCGAGAACCAGCGCCGAGACCTCATCTGTGTGATTCCCATAGTGTCAGCAGAGCAGCTGGCTGAAGACCCGCGAGGGCATGAAGAATGCGGAAGCAACACGTTTGCTCGCGCGTGGGGGGTTGGCTGCGTCACTCACCTCCGCCGTAGATGTCGGTCGGTGGCATCGCCGACGAGAGAGTCTGTTGAGCCATGGTCTGGAGAAGGTCGCGCGAGCGTAAAAATGGAGATGCAATTGAAGAATTATCAGAATTACAATTGGCGTGGCGCGAGGAACGCGAGAGAGAAAAATGGGGGGATTTGGCGACGATCCTACGGAATTTTCTGCAAGATGTTTGGCGACCCGTCGCGTCCCCAGGGCAGGAAGCTTCTCCAAATTCGAGTGCCGGGCGCATTCTGGCGGTCGAAAAATAGTGGGTCGCATTTCGGTGAGCATGTAAGGTGCGGATACCTCGTACCAATACGCAAACCTCGTACCAGAATATGTAAGTTATTGTTTCAACACGTAAGTCATAAGATACCTAATTAACCATATAGGCGGGTTTGAGATCGTCATTGACTAATAATTTACTCGTATGCATTCAATTGTTGGATATGCAACGTTTATTGTAAATCGGACTTCTGAAATCAGATTATTGTATTAATTATTTAATAAAAATGGCACCTCAAGCTCAATGTAAGAACCCCGGGACTCATTCGCTAGCTCCGAGTTGTCATAGCCTAGTTATCATACCGCCATCATCATCGTCCTCGTCGCTCATATCCCTGCCCTCGCCGTAGACCACCTCGCAGACGCCAGCGAGGGGTATGTCCATGACGGCATCGGTGCCCTCGTTCCAGACCTCGCGCCAGTTGAGACCGCCGGCGGGGGTCAGGAGGTCGCGTTCCTGCTCGCCGCGCCGACCGCTGCCGTTGTGATCGCCGTCATCGCGCCCCCCGCGTCTCTGGCCCTTTTGGCCTTGCTGCTGCTGGCGGCGGCTCTCTCTCTCGGCGCGCCTGCGATCCGTCTTTCTCTTCTCGTCATCGCGGATCCGCCCGCGCGAGTCCAGAACGGCAATCTGGGCAGCGTCGTCGACTACCGTCTCGATGCTGCTCAGCGGGAGCGTGAGGACCTCGGTGTTGTATGCGGCGAGCGCGACGTAAATGTACACGAACAGAACGACCAGGAAGCTGGGGATGGCGAGCGACCACCAACGGTTAGGGTAGTAGTAGATGCCGAGGGCGTGCAGGAAGGGCGACGGCAGGTAGCTCCACAGCAGGTAGATGAGGAAGCCGAGGCTGCTCAGCAGGTACAGCACGAAACCATAGTACTCGTACGTGGGCACCTGGGGGCTGGCCCGGGGCACGGGCTGTTGCTCGGCGTCGTCGTCGGATGCATCGGGCGTCGTGGGCCGCGAGGGCCTGAGGAGCGACGTCAACGACGGCGACGGCGGCAGGGGCGTTGGCGGTCGGCCGTAGAAGGGCGGCGCAAATGTGTGCTGCGAAAAGGGCTGCCGAGGCGGCAGCTCGTCGTCGTCTTCGTAGTCGGACGTCGATACTTCAGAGTGCGAGGCGTCCTCTTCCGAATGGAGCGTCACATCCTCGTCCTCGTCCTCTTCTTCCGACGTCACCGGCATGTTGCCAACATCAAAATAGATAACCAGACGGCAAAAATGACCAATGGAGCGTAATATGTACCGATCGCAGCTAGTTGTAAAGCTTTGTAGGTAAGGCAGAAAATTGAAGATTCAAGCGTTCGCACGGCTCAGCGACATCATTGGCATCCTACTAATCAGTGGCCCGAGCGTAAGCTTGGGTTCAGGCAACTGACATACCTTAATACAATACGAGACAAGGTATCATACCTTAAAACGAAAGACGGATATATTTTGTGAAACACACACTTGCACTCCGTACTCGTACACATTATCTCTAAAGCTTTGAGTTTCAACAGCACCCCTTGGACCTAACATTGGTCCGTACGGTACGGATACTAATTACGTCGTTGGTATGTAATGTGAACGCCAATGCGTCATAGCTACAAAAATATGTGCAGACGATGGAGATGTCTTCTCATCCATCAATGGGACATCTGTACTCCCTCTCTTTCCCATATCCACCCGCATGTCCCATGGGACCTTGCTTGGCTTGGATTTCCTCAAGACAGCTCTGGTGGTAGATGTGCCTGCAGGCTAACACCACCAGCGGTCCGAGTGTTTGGTCTTTTTTCCTCGGGCTTAGCTGGTCTGGGAGCCCATATGCAGCCCCATCCGGGCCCGAAGTAGTAGCCTCTTGTTCCGCCACTTCGTCGGTACCGTCGGTCTCTCTTTCCCGTTCCCTCTCCCGTTCCCAGTCCTGTTCTTGCTCTACACGCGGGCTCATGTCTTTCCCTTTGCCTTTCCCAATCCCGATATAATCCTCGATTCCCTCTCCAGATCCACTGCCGCCGGCCTTGCCGTTGCCTGCCCACTCCAGTCCGGGCAATAAGATGGGCGTCTTCATTTGCTGGCGACGCCTCTCCTCAGAAGCTCGACGCTCCTCCCACGCCCCAAACACATTTCCCGCAAGTCCGGGGCCCCATATTCGCCGACCGCATGCTTCACAGGTTGACCCTCTAGGGCGCCATCCCCGTTGCCGAAGCTCAACAGCTTGGCTGACGCTGACAAAGAGACTTCGCTCGAGGAGACGGTTGGAGAGGTTGAGTATCGACTCTTCGTACGCATACGCAGAGAAGATGGATACGAGCACCGCCCGTAGGTCTGCGAGATTCGGAGAAGATGCTGCGGCCCTCGTCAGGAAGGCTCGGAGAACTCGGAGGAATGAGAAGTTAGTCCCAATTCCCGCCGCACCCTTGACCATTGACGGTGCTGCTTGCGTCGAAGTTGACGTGAGGAGAGCAGTAAAAGTGTTTTGTACAAGTGCCCGCAAGAGACCGAGAAGTTTACTGGCGTCCACAGCCTGAGGGATGACCTCATGGCAGACTACGTCACCGTTTATCAGTGCGGGAGACTCCCCAGATAGCGGCTGTAGGATAGCTGATAGCCGTCGGGTGATTTGCGCCGATGTTTCAATCAAGTCGAGCCAGAGATTCTCATCGGCCGAGAGAGCGCTCTTGCTGGGCTCCTTCTGGCGACGCCGAACACTATTCGCGTCGCGCACTGTCTTGGTTTGACCCTGGCAGAGCCAAATGCCAACCAGGGTGTACTTCTGAAGTGCTTCCATGAGCTCTTCAGCAGAATCTTGAATACCGGCGAGATCGGACTGCGAGCCAGCCCCCGCTACCAAGCCTTGCAATGCTGACTCCAGCGTCCCGAGATGTTTAATCAGACGAGCCATTGCCTCCTGCACCTGGCCTTCCTTTGCCATGAGAATGACTGCGGCGTCAATCACGCCTGTCTCTTCCATTGTCGGCAACAACTCGTCCAATCTCAAGTCGGCAGACTGCACCAGCCCCACATAATCAGAGACATGTGTCGGATCGAATCTGCACATGAGCCGCAAATATTGTTCCACCAGCTCCCGATCTGGGGGGGGGCCGAGGGAGAGTTCCTTCTCTGGCTCCAGTATTGTCTTCAAGTAAGCATACTGCAGACCCGGTTGTGCGGCGGCCGAGTCGAGAACGTGCTGGTGCAGCTCAGGGGCGTGTCTTGCAATAGTCTTTGCTGCCCTCGAGGGGTCGAGTTCCACCAGCTCTTCCGAGTTCTCCTTGAGAACGAGGTGCACATCCTGGACCTGACGGCGTGTAAGACCTGTCTGTGGCCGCAAGCAGATGTCAATGCAATCAAAAACACCCTCGCGGTCATCAGGATCCTCAAAATAGGTTTGGACAAGTTTCCCATACTGCTTATCGATTCTGTAGATGCGCTTTAGTATGCGGTAGAAACCTGCGGATTTGAACAGGGGTATCAGTTCTGAGATGTCTGGCGGCTGGTAGGTCGAGAGCAGGTATTCTGCGCTCAGCTGTGCATCGTCGGCCAAGTCTTCGCCGGGGTATTTGCACAGTCCGATTAGAGCCTTCGTGAGCGTAGAGCCAGTAAAAAGGAGATATTGCGGGTACTTTGGGAGATTTCGAGCAATAAACATGTCGAGGTAAATGGTATCCTCGGCGGCAAATTCGTTGGGGTTCATGATTTCCATCAAAATGGAGACGATGTACTGTCTGTCTACCGTCAGCCCAAAGATTTGCTCTTCGGGCAGATCTCGACCAGCGCTACCGTTCAGCTGCTTCTCGGGGGAGTCATTGAGAAACGAATCCTCGAATGCTTCGTTGAGTGCACTCAAGAACCTGGGAGCATCGAACTTCAATATCATGCGTAGATATGGAAACGAAGGTTCCTGGGACTGGCCAGGTTTTGTAAGGAGTCGTTTGCTGCTGCCTTTCGGCCATGCGATGCTCTTCCCCGAGAATAGGAACCAGTAAAGCTCGGCTTTCGCCTTCTGGGCCACATCCTTAGGGAGCTCCTCGCCTGTTGGGTAGACTCGTCCAGTAAGGGCGTAAGAGAGATAGGGGAAAATCTTGAAAGCACCAGCCCAGTATGAGTCGTTGCCCATTACGTCTCCAGAGCTCGGAAACTTGTCATTCTGTACCAGGGGTACAAGCAGAGACAAGAGGTCGAGGAGAGGAGTGATGAAATCTCTCAAGGCCTGGTTCCAGACATAGATCAGGGCGTCGTAAAGGCCGTGCTGCTTGCAGAGAAGTGTGGTCTGGTCTAGGTCGAGGGTGGCAGTGTCCATGTGACAGATCAGCTCTTCAAGTCGACCCTCCCATCCCTTGCTGACAAAATGAGGCACCATTTCTTTCACGACCACCGCCGGTATCGCAGTGATTGATCCGTCGAGGATGTAAGGTTCCAGAGTCTCGAGGAAGAACCCTTCCACACCAGCATCCTCGTATGCTTCAAACATCTCATCAAACACAAAGTCGACATCACTAACACTTTGGCATGCCACGAAGCACGTCTCGGCAAGCTCTTGAAGATGGCTGTCTTCAGTCGCCCCCCTGTTTCCTCCCCTCCGGTTGAAGACGTACTTCAGGGAGGCGCTCATAATCTCCATCAGCTTGTCTTGGACCATGGAATGCCTCAAGGCCGTGTCCTCCGGGAGCCCAACGGTCAGCTTGTTGGTATCGCCAGTGTAATATGATGTAGCCAGCCGAATCGCTCCGACATAGTCGCCGTTTTCCATTAACGCAATCAGCCTATCGGCCCAATTAGACAGGGCTCCCAGGGACACATCATTGAACCCCAAGAGGAACAGCCGGCCTTTGTAGGCCTTGAAGCTCATGTAGAATGCATCGGCAACAACACCGTGCATCGACGTATCCTCCTCGTCTAGCTGTTCCACCAAATTGTGGAGTTGTTTTGAGAAAAGGTCAACGTGGTAGATGTGCTTGTGTATCAGATCGAAGGCCTCGGTCATACGCATGCTCCGATCTTCCAGTACTATGAGTCGCTGGGAGATGGTAAGCACCGTCAAGACAGATCGGCTGAGCCACTGCACGGCGACGATTGCTTCTTCGCATTTCCATCGACTGCGGGCCCTAAATCTAAGACTCGGCGGCTTGTCGCTGTCTTCTGCCGGGATCTCGTCCACATCCAGGACAGTGAGGACATTAGACCAACAATACACAAGCTTGACCTTGGACATCTGGCTTCCAGTGACAGGATCCGCCACTTTCAACTTGACGGCGGGAAACCAGGCCAAGCAACCTGTCATGGCGCCGTGGGCAGCAACTTCTTTTGGACGAGCGGATTTATGCTGTGTTTGCGCAATAGGGGTAGTTGACACGATTACTAGCAAATACGGCGTGAGCATTGCCGTCAGACCCAGCGTGTCTGTCGCCATCTCAACGTTGCCGAGAGGCAAGGAGCCGAATGCTAACACGGTGCTGGGCTTTAGCGCCTTTCCGGATGGCGGTTTAACGTCCGGATATCGGCCTAAAATACGGGTTGTCTTGACCGCTCTACCAAGCGCTCCAGTACCCCGGGTCGCCAGGTGGGAGAATGCCATTCCTCGGTCATCTGCCGAGACAAGAGCTGTGTGCCGTGTGCCGAGGAATCCAAGGTGGGTAATGGTCACATTCGAGACATGGCCATCCACCACCCTGTTCTGCATCTGGGTGACATCGAGATGTGGTATGGCGAGGAACGGTCGCGCAGCTCGTGCGGTATCCCAGGTAAATATGTTACCATTTGCGTGCCCGCCGGCGATGGTAGTGTGGTCTGCAGAAACTGCGACGGAGGTGATAGGGCCGGATTCAACAGCTTGGAGATGTCAGCAACAAAAAAAAATGGTCATGACACTTAAAATATCGCACCTTTGGTGCCTGGGCCGATTATCATCTTCAGGTTCTGGTTGTAGTCAAACACCAATATTATCCCCTTTGTCGTCCCCAACACGATCGAGGCCGAGACCGCAAGGCATGTCGGCGACCCAAAATTTCTCTTCCCTGCTTCTGAGAACGCCTGGCCGTTGAGTTTCATTAGTTTTGTCCACCGCACAACTTCCCATGGCGGCGCAGGAGTATCCGGCTCGGCCGGATCGAGCAGGAACTGGCTGGCCACTGAAACAGTCCGGCTGTGGCCCGCCAGAAATGCGGGAGAAGATGGCCGGGGGGAGTTAATGCTTGGGGAGAAAAGGCGTGATTGGAATCGTTGATCGAAGGGCCGAAAGGACGGGGTAGGGCTTCCCATTCCAGGTCTGGAGCCAAAGGAAGGGAGCAAGACGCTGCTGCCGGGCGACGAGACGACGGAACCCTACATATCCGTTAATATCTGAAAGCCTGGCCCTTCATAGGCAGACGGCATACCTGAACAGATGGCGAGTCGTCTGGTATGGAGAGCAAGGAGTCAATGGGACTCCCGGCCCGCCGGGGGATGGCATCCGTCGACCCATCTTCCGAGGCCGCCTCGCGCGAAGCCTCGACTAGTTCACGGTAGCTAATAGCAACGGCCTCGGCACCCGTGAGGGCCACTGAATCTGTCGGAGAGGGTGAACCCTCGTCGAGCATGTCGGCGATGTGGTCCTCATCGCGGTCGCCCTTTACCGTGTCCTCGTCGCTCGAGCTCGAGCTCTGGTCGTCGGCTATTGTGGAAGGTTCCGGTGCGTTTGCCATGACGTCCTCTGGGCCAGGGCCATTCTCTGCTCGCGGAAGACTCGGACTCATGTGGCGTGAGAAACCAGACGCATAGCTTCGTAGTTTAGTTGTTAAGCAAGGACGAGGGTGCAGCCCAAATCTATCTCCGTCGCTCTCGCTGCCTGTCCCCAAGAATTGTTAGCGCAATAATTTCGGTCAGGGCTCAGCCTAGGGTAGAGTTTGGGGGGCCCAGCAGACGACAACCAAAAAGCCCTCTGATTCTGCGACAGGCCAGATATTGATGGGCTGTGTGAGGCTTGCGCGCTCGGTTTGCTGAGCGTTGCGATCAGCTGCAGAAGCAGTTACGCAGTCGCAGCCGTAGTCGCAGTTACGCAGCTCGGCCATCCTGGCCAATGGCCTAGTTCTACAGGGCAGGTAATACAGGGGAGCTCTAGCCTGTGCGGGCTAGCTGAAGCGGCACTGAATTGGGACCAAGCAGCCCTTAGAACTAGGGCTGTAGCCGGCCTTATCGATTGCAACTACCGTACCTACACAGTAGAAATATGGAACCACGCTAATTACCGAGTGGTGGAACTTGACTTTCACTGATGATGCCTTGCATCATCCCTAGAACCTGGACGGGTTTCCACTCAAGCTTCAGCCTGCACTAAATGTAACACATCGAGACTCAAGATCGTATTCAACATTTCTGCCATCTATTTTGTGTCTGTCTGTCTTTGCAACTGTTCCGACAAAATTGCTGCGCCATGGCCTCAATAGGGCCGCAACTCCCCCCACATCTTCAGAAACGCAAGCGCACGCCTGACGAGCACGACGATGAGGAAGAGTCGCGACGATCGCCCAAGGCATCGCGACGAGAGAATCGCGACGAGATTTCCCTAGACGAGTCATCTGACGACGAGTTTGGCCCCAGAGCGCCAGCGTCCAGAGAAGCCTCGGGGCCGCACAGAAACCGACCCATCGGTCCCACTCGGCCAGTCGCACCACCGACATCCGATCGAGGTGCGCGCCAGGCCGGGGACCGTAGCAGCGGCGCAATGGCTCCAGGGGCCGCCAGAAACCCAGAAAGGCCGGAAATTGGCCCTACAAGACCGCCACCTGTCATAGGTCCCACCGCCAACAATGGAGACGAGATCCCCCTCGATGACGGCTCCGGTTCAGAACCAGACATCGGCCCTGCTGCGCTGGCGCCGACCCGTCCCAGTGCGCCGAAGCGCGTCCTTGGGCCCGCGCCACCGCCGGCCGACCTTTCCGAGCGCCCCAAAACGGGGCCCAACTCGGACAGCGATGACGACGATGACGGCTGGGGGCCAGCGCTACCCTCACAAGCCGGCGCCTCTTCGCGATCAACAGGAACAGGGGCAGGTCGTTTCGGACCCGCGTTTCCGCCTCCCGAGCAGCCGGCCGGGCCAGCCAAGCGCGACGACTGGATGGTGGCGCCACCGACGAGCAGCTGGTACCGCGCGCCGGACCCGACGAAGCTGAAGAGCCGCAAGTTTGCGAGTGGGCGGTCTGTGGCCGGGTCCGACGCCAAGTCGGGCGGCATCAGCAGCATGTGGACCGAGACGCCCGAGGAGAAGATGCGGCGCGTGACCAACGCAGTGCTAGGTCGGGAAGATCCCAACGCCGCCGGTGGTGGCCGAGGAGGCGGCAATGCGTTGTCGTCGCGCTACGAAAGCGCGAGGGGCGTCGACGAGTCCCGGGTCCGGGCGTACACTGAAGAAACGCGCGGCCGAAGCCTCGTCGAAGAACACCAGGCGTTGAAACAGGCAGGGAAACTGAAAAAGGCCGCCACCTCCACCGCTGCGCCCCTTGAGGGCCAGAAAACGGTCGAGGAGGAGGACGACCCCAGCAAGCGGGCGTTCGACCGCGAGAAGGATATGGCGGTGGGCGGACGGATAAGCGGCGCCCAGAGACGGCAGTTGCTGAACAAGGCGGCAAACTTTGGTGACAGGTTTCAGAAGGGGAACTATCTGTGACCACGTATTGCGATGGCAGTCTATCAACATGCTCAAGGGAAATTACGCACTCGTGAACTCAACGCTGTAGGTGTTTCTTCACCTGTGGTTCTTCACTTGCTCGTCTCAATTCGGTCTCTAGACCTCAGGCACGAACAGCTTATGAAGAGACGAATCAACTAGGATCTTGTGCTCATCGGATGATAATTGAACCTTGCAAGTGGCTAAATCAGATAATAAATGCTGCTACGTATTTGCCTCCTAAAATCACTACCAAGCAGGCCAGAATGGCCATGAAAATCCTATTTAACTCCATGCTTGAGCGTTCCTGTGCACCTTTCCATTCCAACCCGTGAAACCGCCACTTGCTATGCATCCCTGAGATGGAAACAGTCAAAACGAAACCTTAAGTGATGCCTAGGCTGTTTACTATCCATCTCTTGCACTCGTGATGTGGTTCGTCTGGCCTAAAAGTACGCCACCCCATAATGCATCGATGCGATCGACGCGTCTGCTTGTATTCCACAATGTAGCGATTATACCCGTCGACTGTGTGTTTGAGATATGATATATCTCGACGAATGCCGTGGACTGTGTGGATGCCCGCGGCCTGAAAAATAAAGAATGAGAGCTGTAACTTGAAAAGAACAAAAATCTTCGCAAATGGTGATGGCTAAAACTGCGTCGTAATCACGTCGAAGGATACATGTACATGATCAAAATAATGGGTATCGATTCATAACGGATGCTGGTGATATAGCTCCAGTCTTCGCAGGGGAAATTCTTGTTGCTCAACTAGCTGTGGTGCGAACTCCAGCTTCAAGGTTTGACGGCGACACACCCTGGCTAGCACTGGAAGCTGTCGCCGCGTCGGATCGCGGCTGGCTGTTTCGCCCCCTGTTTCCAAGAATGTTGGGGAAAGTAGTTCTGAAGCCCGAGAAGAAACTGCCATTTCCAGGTCTGTCGGGTGACTGCGTAGTGGCGACCGAGGTGGGCGAGGACGGCGATGATGGGGTCACGTTCCCTTGCCTTGGCCGGCCAAAGAGGCGAGGACGGTCCGCATTGTGGGGCTGCGCTGCAGTCGATTCGGCGGTTCGAGTCCTGACAGCAAGCTGGTTGGTACCCATCATTCTCCCCGGTCGTCTGAGACCAAGGAATGTATGCCGAGGTCGGTTCGGCATATTCATCCGATTACCACGGGATTCGGAGAAAGGGGTAGCCACAGCACCACCCGCAGCATCACCCGGTTCGGCAGCTGGCGGGCGGGTCTTGGGGGTATAGTAGTCGGCCTTGCACAGTGGACAGCACGCTCTCCTACTCGTCAACCACGGGTCCAGGCAGGCCGCATGGAAGGCGTGACCGCACGTCAAGCCACGCACATCGTCGTCATCTTCCAATGTGTCAATGCAGATAGCGCAAGTGTCACCCGAAGTTCCCATGCACTCGGGTGGCAAGGCGGCGTTTATGTGTTCGTCCTCGTCGTCCTCGTCGTCTTGAGACGCCCGGTTCACTTCCTTACCCGCAATCGCAGTCTCAGAAACAGTAGGGACGAATTTAGAATCGGTAGATGCCCGGGGTGCCGCATCAACTGCGCTTGAAGTGCTCTCCTTGAGGACGGGCTGCGGGTTCTGTTCAGGCTTAGAGGTTGAGGTCACGCTTGTCGTCGGCCGATCTTCTGTTGAGACTCGCTCCTTCGAGGGTAACTCTGGCGCGATTCCGTCTGCATCGTGGATACTGTTTGCCCGGCTCGGAGAAACCGACACGCCGCCTCGGGTTGGAAGACCTTCCTGTGCGCGGCTCGCAACCCAGGTCTTGTACTTCAGCATGGGAAACTTTTCGTTGACTTCGTCCATAGTCATCAACTTCTTTTCGCGGCGGCGGCGGTGCGGGCGAGGCATGTTTTCCATGTTTATCGGCTCGCCATCCTCCGCCAGACGCATCTGACGGTTTCGCGCATTGTAGCGGAAGCAGTACTTCACTCCGACGATGATCCTATATGACGTGTTAAAGACCCATCCGAATCCCGAATATCGACGAGACTCACCAGAGGTTGGTGAAGACAACACCGAAGCCGAGCGCGACAAAGAATAGCAGCGGCGATGAGTTGGAGCTGCCGGAGTTGTTGTTGTTATTGTTATTATTTCCCGAGTTGTTGCCGGGACCTCCAGGCCCATTCGCAAGAGTGGTGGTGTCGGTGGAAGATGGAGCGGCCGTGGTTGGAGTCGCCCCGGTTGGCGTGGCTGTCGGCGTAGTTGTAACGACGGCAGCAACAGTCGCTCCAGCTGTTGATGCGACTTGCCTGGCCACCATCCGCGCCCCTTCTAACACAGCTGGGTTTATGAAGGCCATTTTCCCATAGGTCAACACCACAGAAACTCGATAGCGATGGGTCGACTCAGAGCGGTTGGGCGGCGTCCATTAGGCGGGCCGAAATGGTGCTCAGAACATCGACAAACTGTCGGCTCGAAAAGCAGTACCGTCGTCGACCAGCAGTTCGCAACTGGTTGTCGAAAGATGCGATTGATGTGAATCCCTCGGGGGTCCGGGAGACACAGTGATGTCGGATGGACGTGATGGGGTGATGAGCTCCGGAAGTGGAGAAGGTGGGTGGGCAACAGCGGCCTTGAAAAGGAAATGGGAAGGGGAATTTGTTAGCATGGAGGACAGCGGCCGGGGGCGACTGGCCGTCTGAGGCAGGAGGGGTGGAAGAGCGGGCTGTGCGGGTGAGGTGGGTGGGCCACCTTCAAGCAGGGAGTGCTTAGCTTGCAGGGGGCTGGATCCACGTAGCGCAGCGCTGAGGTGGTCCGGAACTGGGCACCTCCACTGGAGGCTGGCGGGATTTCTTTACAAGGACTAAAGCTGGAATTTTGGTGGATGGAAGCTCGACAGCGAGCCTGCTTGGACACTCACTTATGTTAGCCTCTTCCACTCACCACCCCGCCCAGTCACTATGGATTGATTTAGTAGCCATCGAAGGCAACTTCCGAGACTCGACTACTTGCAGCTTGGCGTCACGCAGAGAGCTGTGCGATGGCTCTCCAATGGCGCCGTCTGAGTCTAGATTGAGACCGATAATTTGGGTCTGGCCCTCCTTCCCAGGTCGCAGGCAGTTAACTGGGCATCCCATTCAACCTTTGACTTCTATACACGGGCGGGTACCTACCTCGCAAAGCCCGAACTGAGGAAGAGGGCTAACAGCTAGGTGAAACCTCACAAGTTGGTATCTGTCCATGTCCCCTCGACGAGTCACAAAGCTTGTACCCCGTAGATCCCAAACTCACTGGTACACAAATCATTTATCTCTTTGTCTAGGTATCTAGTATATACGCCAAACGCGGTGGGCTCGGCAAAGACGTTACCCGCTCACGGTCTGGGCCGCGTCTCTTGTGACCGAGTCAGCACAATCTAGACGCCCCTCTCACGTGTCTCAGCCCAAGGGAATAAAGGCAAACCGTCTGAAAGAGCTCCGGGCTCCGGGCTCTGGGCCTTAGCTCGCTTCCTGCTCCCTCAAGGCCGCTTGCCGTGGCCAAGAGCGCCGATGGACTCCTGTGCCACGAAATCAGTACGCACCGGGTCGGAGATCTCCTTTGGGGCAGACTGACGGGATTTGGATCGATGAAATCATCCTGGATCATGCATGTTCTCTCAAAATGTCTCCCGACCAAGGCGCTATCACTATGATCCGCGTTGATCGCTCATGCGGCGGCTACAACGACTACTCCGTAGTAGCATACATATTCCCTTTTTGGTCCTCCGCTCAATTCAGAACAAGCCGTGCTGTACTTACAAAAGCCAAGTGTAGGACGGAAGGGAGATGCAACCCACCCGTCGTCCCCCCAAACAACCCCTGCTATAGCAGGGAGTTTAATCCGCGGGGAAGCCGCTGACTGGCCCGCTTTATTGCCATAGAATGGCGACGCCTTGCTGAGCCGGCAAACTCGGAGCCAGGCTCGAGATATTAATAAAGGCACATTGAAGTCGTAATACGACAGAAACGTATGTAATTCTTGGTTTGATGCATCCAGAAGTAGATGTCGGTAACGTGGAGCCGGTCGCCCAACAAGCGGCGAAAGGGCGCGCTATCCGTACTCACGGTAAGAATACGCACTCGCATTCCAGTTTGCTCTCTGCAGCCACGCTTGGCCAGATGCATCCGCCCCCCTTTGTGGGCGCAATCTTTTGGATGTGCTGCTCTGTCGGCGCCGCCAGCGGCCAACCCAAGCGCCGCATTTCCCGGCCTTGGACTGGCCAGCTGGAGAAGGTCGGGGCCCGGCCGCGACCCAAGGCAGGTAAGCACTAGAGGCAGTCAGAGCACAACCCTGCTTTGGGTTTTAGATATCCGTATCCCCTGTGTGGCATTGAACATCGGTCGTCCGCGGGAATAAACTGGGGAGCTGGCCGTGATCTGGACAAAGTGCTGCAATTGATGTGGTGTATTGTACAGTTAGTTCATCTGCAGATTCGATTGATTGTGTCCATGTTGGGGCCCCGCTTTCAGGTTGTCGTCGCTAATCGCACTTCAGCTGCCGTAAGATCGCTTCGATCCCAATCTAATGATGTATTTCCGCATAGGGAGGATAAGCCCCTGTTCGCTCTATTCCACTTTCCAAGGAAAATCGAAAGCCCGAACAGGAAAGACCTCACCGACAACGTCGACGCACCCTAAAAGCTCTTGTAGACTCGTATGTAGGGCTCTAAACTCCGCGGACCGGCCCAGGAGGACCACGGAGTACTCTTGGGCAAGCTGGTTCGGGCGCAACTCTTGCCTCGTATGTACGTTTTCGTATTAACCCTCCTGGGCTCAAGATAGCCCACGACTTGAACACCGAGGCCTTCATCGGTGTCTTCCTTATTAGGCTCCCTGGTGGTTATATCCGGGTACTCATGGTCCATGTTCCCGCTCAGTCTGTTCTTTCCCGATAACGTGAACCTTTTCTCTTAAGTCCGGAGCCACATTGATAAACTTAGCAGCATACAGATACCAGAATAACGGGACGAGATCTGCTGACTGCACAGGTAGGGGGAATTTGTGTTAACGCGTGGTGAGGTGTGCCCTGCCCGGTAAAACCAGGAAACGAAACTTGCCAAGCGGCTTACTCCATGCTCGTTAGCGGCTTAGCGTGGCCTTAGCGCGAACCAGTTGTGCTGTAAAGAAAAGCGGGGGTGGAGCTCGCCGAGGAACTTCCAAACGCCCAGATGTCAATGATGCTCTCACTGCTCAGATCCAGCAACACAATTGGTCCACCTCTGCGCTCAGGGGCAGTGCCGAGCGATGGATCGAAGCAAGGCTTCCAAACGAGAGTCAAGCTACCTTCGGGCCCGACGCATTATGGAATTCATGGAATTGGGGTTCCCAGCACCAAGGCCCCGTGGCTTACCTGAAGATCAGAAACAATACAATGCATGCCTGCGAAACTGCAGAGCAAGTCCTTCCATCGCAAACCCCAGACTCATTTAATTCCAAGTACTCGTGCTGCGTGCCCCTTGCAGCCTGTTTGGGGCACAAAAGCTCTCGAGGTTACGCCGCTCAGTCGCATAGCAAAGTCTAATTGCAGGACCCCGACGACGAAAGTCTCTCGTCAGCTAAAACATTCAGACCAAAGCCATGAGCAGATTATTACACTCGAAGGGACCCCAAGTCATCTGGAATACACCGCGCAATCGGGCTCACAACCCCAAACAAACAAATAACCTACCTACCCCTCCTCTGCAAGGCCCGGATACGTCGGAGACCGCACGGGCAAGATCAGCAACACCGGACAACAAAACGGTCGGTGCTTGGCGGTGGCAGTGCCTTTGATGTTTACGCGGCCCTCTCTGTAAGTGTATTCGTAGTACGCCGTCCTCGCCTGGGGCGTACAAGTCTGAGATCTTCCAGCCCACCACACCACCGCTTGCTCCCGCCCTGCAGATTTCCTGTCACCTCGACCCAAAATTCCGACCCTCAATATTGCATGGTTTGTGCTCGCCTGACCCCCCCCCCTCTTTTGCACAGTCAGTCCACCAAAAGCATATGCTATCCGCCACTAGCTCATTGGGGGGGGACGGATTTGAGATAGCTATGATCATGTTATCAGGACACATCATGAATGTTTCAAGCCACACAAGAACGCCGGTAGGCCACTCAGCCTCACCATAGGAACTTTGCCAGCTTCTCCCCAGCGTCTTGTTTGGTCGATTCTACTGCTGCGGCACGCACCAAGGGGAATTTTCTGGTTGTTAAGCAAGACCACCGGCACGAAAGTGACCTCACTAGGCACACTTCTGTTCTCTCTTCCGACTCCGAAAGCGCTTGCTTTCGGCAACTTCTCTTCCCGACTGACCGGCCGGGCGGCTTTGTGGGGTGTTGACTCACTCCAAGACACTTGTATTGGAGACTATCGCCGTTCACATAGCATCTGACCTTCTCCTGTGCTGGCAGATGATAAGCTAGCTACAAACATGGTGGCGAGCGAAAGACAAGTGAGTGTCAGATTGACCTTTGAGGCCCTCCTTTCGAGCGGGTGACTTGTGTTGCCCTGTGCTTTATCGTCTGATGTCAGCTACTACGCGTGCACGTACTCTACACCTAGGTAAGGCTAGAGGCTCGGGTTCGTCAGACACAGCAGTACTGGTGTAGATAATCGTCGGAACAACGCCCGGTAATCTATGATGTCACCTCTCGCTTGATGTTGCCTCCTCTATCTTGCGTAGCCCAGGGGTAGGAATTTTACCCCCTGAGAATATGGACAAAGGGCAAGAGACTGCGTTCACTGCGGCAGCTCGACAGTCCGTGTGGCATGCCCCGTATGTGCCTTGGGTTGGTGTTTGTTTATGTGTCCGTCTAAGGGCACCGAACTCGGCAGCCCATTTCACCGTCATACCAACGTTTATACCAAGAACGGCAACGACTCTAGCAAGTAAACAACAACTATCTCACGCGTACCAGAGTGAGCCCAAGTAGGTACACACCACGCTCTCCCAAGACTGCGAAATTTGCAAGACGTTTCCAACCAAGCCCTTTCATATCAACCACATAAAAGGGGTTAAGATCCGGACACTTGGGCTTGCCGTCAGGCTCCTCACCCGCGCGACGGGAATGGAGCTGTTCATTATACTTATTATCTCTGACTTCAAAACCACGTACGTTTGGAGCCACATTCATATCCGATCTTCGTCGCTGACTCCCATACTTCTTTCGAATATGTTGAAGAAGGGTGACTCAAAGTGATCGATATCTGAGTTTATGATCCAACGACGAAAGACACGAGGATTAAGCGAGACTATATGCTTCCTAGCTTTAGAGGTATCATAGGCGCTTCAACGGGTCGAAAGGCTTGTCATGAATAGGAATAAGCAGCTTGATTGCTCTATGTCTACCTCCGACCCTACAGTACAATGGGCTGGAATGCAACAATATTATAATACACCGCACCCAGGCCCCCTCCCCGTTTTTGTCGTCTAGAAGTTTCTGCTCATGTCGGCCCTAATCCTGGAGTAGGTGAAGAGACCCTCGATGCTGCCCACCGCGCTGATGGCAATGTCCTTGTCCCAAAGTTTCCGTTGGGCAAAGTCCATTACATCCTTCTCTGTGATAGCATCAATGACGCGCTCGATCTCGCGGGGCTCCATGCGTCTCCCAGTCGTCACGATCTGCCGGCCGATATCCTCAGCAACGGCTGTTGTTCCATCCAGAGACAGAAGAATGGAGGCCTTGAGCTGAGCCTTCGCACGCTCAACCTCGGCCTCGCTGACGCTGCCAGACAACCGAGACCACTCGCGGAGGGCGAAGTGGACGAGATCGTCGATACGCGTAATGTTGTCGGTAACCAGGTAGATACCCCAGAGGCTAGAGAGTTGTCAGTCCATGTCTCGGCGGGTATGCATAAGTGGCCAGCTTACCCAGTGTCGCTGTAGCTAGTAGAGAAGCTCATGTAGCTAGTTGCGAGATCGTCTTTGTGCACGATGCCGCTGAGCTTGCTGCCCTGGTGGGGAGCATTGCCGAGAGCCTTGTCGTAGTTGCCAACGATAGCCTGGGCAACCAAGGCGGTGAAGTAGTCATCGTCGCTCCAGCTAACGCCCTCGACGGCAATGGCAATGTTGGCAGTCGGGATGGTATCGTCGCGGATTCTGATGTCTGAGCCGATGAAATCGGGCTTCTTCTTGGACAGGATGTAGGCGCTCGTCTCAGGGGCCTTGGTGGGCAGGCCGGCGAAGTGCTTGTCGGCCATCTCCACCAGCTGCTCGTGCGGGACACCGCCGGAGCCGACGAGGACCATCCGGTCAGCCGTGTAGTTGTGCTTGATATAGTTGGAAAGCTCGGTGCGGGTGATGTCTCGGATGTTCTCGCGGGGGCCGAGGATAGTGCGGCCTAGGGGCTGGTGCTGGAAAGCGGTAGCGTGGAGGTGGTCGAAAACAACCTCCTCGAGCTGCTTCTCGACCTCCTCGGACTCGCGCAGGATGACATCGCGCTCGCGCTCGATGGCCGCCTCCTCGAGCTTGGAGTTTTGGAGAATATCCTGCAGAATGTCGACGCACTGGGGAACGTCCTCGTTCAAGGCCTTGGCGAAGTAGACGGTGTTCTCGCGCTAGCCCAGAGGTTAGCGACAAACGGGACTCGGAGTGCAGTCCAACGAACCGAAGTATAGGCGTTCAGGTGGGCGCCCATGTTCTCAATCTCGAGCTCCAACTGTTGTTGCGTCCGCTTGCTCGTCCCCTGTGAAGAATTAGCTGTGAATCTAATAACCCTTGGGCAACCCAGCACCGGCGGAGGGCGTTCGCACCTTGAAGGCAAGGTGCTCGAGGAAGTGCGCGGTGCCATTTGTCTCCTCAGTCTCTGCCCGAGAGCCGGCGTCGATCCACATGCCAACTGTCGAGGTCTGCGCATAGGGCGAGAACTGGGTTGCGACCTAGACAATCAATTGGGGTCAGTAGATGCTGCGGGAGGCTCTAGGGGGCCAATTGATGGGGTCTGGACGAGGCGGGCTCACGGTGAGGCCATTCTTTAAAGTTGTCGTCTGGGTCTTGAGGCCGGGCGTCTGGTGAGGCGTCGCGAGGCCTCGTCTGAACGGCACAGAAATACCAGCTCGGCCACGCAGGCCCTGCGCGAGGTTCAGAGCGAGTCTCCGGGACGCCATGGAGGTCGAAGTGGCGATGTGGAGGGCGATGGAATGAGCTGTTTGAAGGAAGATGCAAGATCACGATCAAAAAACTAGGTTATTTTGCCTCACTTCCCAGGCCAGCTCGGGATTGCCCGGCCTAAACTCGCACCTACTCACCAGAGTCACGTGCTGGGGCCGTGCCTTGGAAATTAGCTCATTGCCATTTGCTCATTTGGCCCTCCCAAGACCCACAGTTACCCTCCCGCGCCCAAGCACTGGAAACCGGACGGAAACTTCCGGTGAGCTCGGCTCAGGAGGAGTGAAGACTGTGCGACTGGCCGTTAAACACAGTGCGCATGGCCTGGCGAGCCGTTTTGTCCAAATTACATTACATCCCTTATGACTCAGGTATGAAGCGGCATATACCGTTTTTTGCTAATTATAGTACCGTGTGTGCTGAATCTTTGAGATCTTATCAACACGATACCAAATTTGCAGCAGAGACTGGATGGCATAAATAACGACTAGCCGCAGGTACGAAGCAAACCGTTGATATTCTCGTCACCGCCGTTCCTTGAAGTAATACCCCCCTTGGCTACAAACCTACAAGTGCTGATCTCCCACGACGTTGCCATCGCATGGACACTGTCTGAGGTTGAGGGTGTTGATGGTAACGGGTGTGACCTGTTCAATAGCGGGACCAAGGTCGTCACCTGATGGCTGCCAACGGCTAAGGTACCTAAAGCACAGCGGTCAGCAGCGACCCCTCGTGGTTGCCGTGGCTCCTGGCTCGGAAGCTTCCGAAGCTCCTCCCGGGGCGGGCATTTGGGACGAATTCCAACCCAAGAGCAACCCAAGGTCGAGAACCGCGTATAATCTACACGGCGAGGAGCTCTGATTTGTGAATTTCTGCCAAGACCCGGCCACTCGAGTACGAATAGTCAATATTGCACTAAGAAAGCAATTGGCCTCTGAATCCGAGCGTGGGATTTTCGTTCCACGGAGAGCCTGCTTTGCCCCAGCTCTGCCCCTTGTGCCTTCCCATGCGGTATTGTCAGACACTGCGCATCTCACACCAACCTCTGCTACTTAATTGTAGTGACAGCTATCCACGCTTCATTACAAGCTTGATTTCCTCTTGACACTTATTTCACATAAACTTACATTCATTCTTGTTCTTTTTGGGCCCGGAAATGTTAGACTCGATCGCCAAGTCCTTGTTTATCCCAGACCAGAAGAAGGCGGTACTTGCATCTGTCCCCTCGGAAATGGCTGCCTTCATCGCCACGTATCCGCCCCTCGAGCAAGTCTCGCAGCTCAAGACTGCCGAGACTACGTTCCATGCCGTGCTCGAGGTCCCGGCGAGTCTTGCGAACGAACCCTGGCAGCTTGCTCTGTGGCATTCTAATAATGACAGAGATGGTAAAGGCGGTGGAGAATGGACCGAAGACTTTTTTGTACCTACCGGATGGGGCAATCATCCGTCGACCTTGCAAGATGTCGGTGGAACTCTAGCTCGGCTGTACTTTACAGTTGTCTTGACTGTGCAGTCACCCATGAGCTTTACCGTCAAGTTCCGTCAACAGCCTGGCCATGATTGGAGGTGGATTCGGGACGAGTTGGGTCTGAACGACGGCATCGTCGTGGTCGACGGAGCACCGATCCATGAGGGAGATTCCGAAGGACTGCCAGACCTAATCCGCGGTCTAAACCCTGACCTTAGTTGGAAACCTGTCATGAGCCAGTGCCCAGGGACGCGGCTATGGTCTGTCGAAGCACCCGTGAAGGGTGCTGATGGCGATAAATCTACCCTTGTAGACATCCCTGTTGGCGTTCCATGGGGAAAATTTCTCAGGTGAGGCGATTGAGAAGCGGCATAGCGACATCCCAATGTCTGAATTCTGCCCCAACTGTGGTCCGAGTCCAGGCGCCTTGTGCTGACTGGCAGACAGGTGGTTTGCCTTGGTCCGAACATGGACACCTTGGCTGGCCCCGAGGCATGGGAAGACCGCGTTTGAGCTCGACAAAGATGCAATACTCTGCTCGTTTCTGTCTCCAGAGGGAAAGCACTTGGTTTTCCTAGGAATCAGCGGCCTGGGAAATGTCATGGGCCTGTTTCGAAGCAGTGACAAGGGGGAACTCATCCTTCACGTACGCTCATTATCACACTGCAGAATGAGAATGAGAGGGCTGGCGCTCCCGTGCTGATATCATATTAGGTTCGAAATGATGACTCGGAGGCTGGAACTGGCACTATCCTGGTGGCTGCTGGCAATAACTTTGAGAGTGCAAACGCCGCCGTCATGTATCATGCCCGTGATCTTATCGCCTCCAACAAAATGGCAGCTGGCGAGATCGAGGCTGAGACAAAAGCCCTTGGCGGTGGTGTTAGATCCGCATGGTATGAAAACTGGTATGATGGGCTGGGTTACTGTGAGTTCCAGACCAGGCTTGCTACCTATAACAATTACTAGCTAACAACGTCGCGAGGCACTTGGAACGCACTGGGCCAGAGACTGACGGAAGAAAAGGTGCTCAAAGCGGTAGACACGCTGGCTGACAACAAGATCAACATTGCAAGTTTAATAATCGACGACAACTGGCAGGATATAGACTACAGGGGAGACGGCCAGTTCCAGTATGGCTGGAATGACTTTGAGGCGGAGCCCAAAACCTTTCCAAAGGGGCTTAAGTCACTGATATCCGAAATCCGCTCCAAACACAAAAACATCCAACACGTCGCCGTCTGGCACGCGCTTCTCGGGTACTGGGCGGGAGTGGCGCCCGAGGGGGGAATCGCTAAACGATACAAGACGGTTGAGGTTGTTCGTGAGAATTCAGAGCGGCGAAGCTTCCCGCTCGGCGGCAAGATGACTGTCGTCTCCAAAGAAGACGCACACAGGTTCTACGACGACTTCTACCACTTCCTCGCCAGCTGTGGCATCGACGGCGTCAAGACTGATGCCCAGTTTATGGTCGACACGTGGGTATCGGCCAAGGCAAGGACCGAGCTCATCCATACCTACTTGGACGCGTGGACCATCGCCTCGCTGCGTCACTTCAGCAGCCATGTCATCTCTTGCATGTCCCAGTCTCCGCAGATCATATTCTACTCCCAGCTCCCCCGCAACCGGCCGGCCGTGGTATGCCGGAATTCGGACGACTTCTTCCCCAACGTCCCGTCTTCGCACCCCTGGCACGTCTGGGCGAATGCCCACAACAGCTTGCTGACACAGCATCTCAACATCCTTCCAGATTGGGACATGTTTCAAACCGTCCACGACTACTCTGGCTTCCATGCCGCCGCGCGCTGCGTCAGCGGCGGCCCTATTTACATCACGGACGTGCCCGGCGCGCATGACATCGGCCTGATCAAGCAGATGACGGGCGTAACTCCGCGAGGAAAGACGGTCATTTTCAGGCCGAGCGTGCTTGGCCGGTCCCTCGACCAGTACGTGACATACCACGATCTCAGCCTGCTGAAGATCGCGGCGTACCACGGCAGGGCCGCCACAGGCACCCCGATCCTGGGTCTGTTCAACATCTCCACCCGCCCCGTGACAGAGCTGATCTCTCTCTCGCGGTTCTCGGGCGTCCTGCCTTCTCTCTACTACATTGTCCAGTCGCACAGGAGCGGCAAGGTCACACGGCCGCTGCAAACGAGCGAGCCCGCCTCGCTGCTCACTGTGTCTCTCGACGTCCGAGGTCATGACATTCTCTGCGCATTCCCCTTGTCGGTTTTCAGCACACAGGCTCACGGTCAGGTCTTTATCGCGACCTTGGGTCTCGTGGGGAAGATGACTGGATGTGCGGCCATTCTGAACAGTCACGCAACATTGCGTGAGAACGGGGATTTGCAGGTTGACACCAATTTGAAGGCTTTGGGAGTACTTGGTGAGTTGGCTCCACAAGCATTGATAAGGGAGTACTTGCTAATGTGACTTTCATCTCAGGGATCTATATCTCATCCCTTCCCAGCCTGTCTCTCAAAGACACCGTTATCGCGACGATTCAGGGGCAGCCTATCCCTTTCCACGCGGCATCTGTCAGCAAGTCAGACGAGCATATTCTGGAGCTCGACATCGAAGCGGCGTGGAACGAGATGGGCCTGGAAAGCGGCTGGGCCAACGAAGTCGAGGTCAAGGTGTTCTTTGCCCTGGATAAATAAATGCGGCAGATTATAAGTTGCGAGCGTACACTAGAATTCTCACAGATATCTGACATCCAAAGATATCTAGCATCCAAGTAAACCGGACCTCTGTTGTGAGTACTGCATAGGTGCATGATGACGCTGGGCATGAAACTACCGTGAGCTCAAGGGGCTCACGAACGTGACATATCTACACGAAAAAGGCAAATACTCTAAGGGACCTTCTTTAGGCCGAGATGCTTCGCCTCGACGTCGACGATTTCTGCAATGTTCTCGCTCAACGACGAACCCTTGGGCTCCCAGCCGAGGTGCTTCCTAGCGCGCGTAGCGATTCCCTTCGAGTTGGTAGCTAGGGTCTTATACGGGATCTCATCGGAGGTGACCATCTTCTCGACGGCCTCCTTGAGATAGCCCTGGCGGACGGCCTCGGCGACGACCTGCGCGGCCACCTGGCCCCACACGTGCGTGGCGTTGGTGGCGAAGAAGTAGCCGTGCGGGCCGAACACCTCGGGGTCCGCGCTGCGCGCCGGGTCCAGCGCGGCGTCGACCAGCGCTACGAACAGCTCGCTGACGTCGAAAATGTACACGTTGTCCCACTCGACCTTGCCCGTGCCCACGACGGGCGCGTAGCCCTGCTGGAGTGTGAACCGCGCCAGGTCCGGCACTTGCATGCTCTTGCGGTTGACCGGCCCGCGGCCCGTGCCGTAGATGGTCGCCGGCGACACGATGGCCGTCTTAGCCTTCCCGCCCAGCTCCGCGTTGACCGCCAGTACGATCTTGTCCACGTCCCGGTGGTACGCCTCGTCGGGCAGGCTCGTGATCTTATCAATGTCGGCCACGTCGTCGTACTTGTCCGACGGGAGCGGCGGCTGTCCGTAGCGCTTGTGGGATGAGTCGTACTTTGTGAGGGGTTAGTTGACCGGCGATAGATAAATCAAAGCCAGGCGAGCTCTTTTTTATGCCATGCGCGTAAGTATACGAGAGAAAGAGGGAAGGCCTACCCATTGCAACAGGCCCGTTCCGCACAGATGGATCCAGAACGCTGGATTTTCGGCCGAACGGTTGGCGGCGCCGCGCTTCAGCCCCTTGACGATGGCATTTGCGGACGGCACGTCGTCTGCCGACTCGGCCGTGTCTGGCAAACCCCCGCGTGTTAGATTTTGGGACGAACATTCATTTACTCTCTCACTCTCACACCCCTAGGAAGAGAACTGGAAATAAAAGTCGGGGTGACAAAACAACAACGTACGGACGATAATGTCGGCCTTGCTGGCCTCGTCTTCGAGCAAGTCGTTGAGCGAAGACCCATCCCTGCTACTGTCCGGATACACAATCCTGATGCCAGTGGTCTCAGGATACTGCTCGCGGACTAGCTTGACCCGCTCGGCGCTGCGCACGAGGAGCGTGTACTCGAGCTCCGGGTGGGCTTTGCGCAGCGCATAGAAGGCGTCGCCGCCAATGTAGCCTGGGTTGGTGTTAGCGAGAATTGCACTTTTTAACTTTTCGTATCTATTTTTGGGTAGGAACGAGTGTGGTGAATGTGAATAAGTGAGGTCTTACCAGTCACGCCGGTGCTGCGTTTGGGCGATCCGTGTCAGCCAGCGTTTACTCTATTACAAACAAGACTTAAAGGGGCCGGCTTACAGGAGTAGCTTGGGCGCCATCTTGCTTCAATGTATCTCGGGTTCTGTCTGGCTGCCGTGTGCAGACTATGTATTAACGGCCTCGGTATATATTGAGTCGTATTCTGACGGTGTAGACTGAATGTTTCTCGACTCGGACAATCGAGTCCCTTAGGAGGAGAGCACGCCATGCTGTTTTGTACAACGTTGGATCGACGCTAGTGACAGCCCGCAACCACTGGCACACGGAAGCCAACGCGCATTGAGTTTGTCATAAGTCAGGCCAGTCACTTAGTAATGCTGTCCAGTGCGTATTCCGTCCGAATACCGAGTGCGGTTGCAAATCACTGGCTGAATAATTTTCCTGTTGTATCGATGATGTCACAGCGTTGAAACATTGGCGGCGGTTGGACACATGTCGAAATCGGCAAACCCAATTTCGTGATTTCCAGTTCAGCACAAAGAAGCTTGGTTTGGCTTGTACGAAGTAATAGTTTTAGTACCAAAGAGGCCGTGCAAGTTTAACATATAGTGAAAGCATCAACTACTGTATTTCCTCCCGTTTGGACAGAACCATTTCGTCTGCTTGATTCAACGTGATCTGAGATTTTTTTGCTGACAAGTTTCTGTAAGTTTGGACTCGGACCTAGACCGTATACCGTTTGTAGTGTAGATACACTGAGCGCGGCGTATAGTTCTGCCCTGGTAATGATCGGAGACAAGTCCGCCAGCCGCTGTGAATCAAAGTCTACTCTAAAGTAAAAAGAGAATAACAAACAGGTCAATTGCATTTGAAGATTAGCAATCGCTGACGTTCGAGATGGTGGATTTCAGGTTTCCAGCCTGGCGGGAGCCGACCCCTGCGGTATGTAGAATAAGTGTTAGTGAGTTGAGTTCAACAAGACCCACAAGGCGCATAGGCTAGTGCCACAAACACGGGCCACCCGCGCACGAGCGCAAGCCTCAGGCAGCGCCGAGTTTTAGCGCGGGCGAGAGCGGCCACCAACAAGGCTTTCAGCCAAGCAAAGGTTGGCAAGGTCTCGAACGTGACGTGAGCAAAGCCGGCCAACACCGCCCTCTTGATCTCGCGCGGGACCTGCAACCCGCGAGTCGCCTTTGAGCAGACTGCTGCTCCGCTCAGCTCCAGCTCCCGGCTGAGGCGGCATCAGAATGTTACCCTCATCGGTGCGACGATTTGCTTCGGCGGCGCCCCAGTCACCCGTCATCTCCTCCCTAACCTCGACTATCCCCCGGGCCACGGCCACCTTCGGCCTCTCCTACAAGCCCAATTGCCACCAACGCCGATATTCCTCTTCGAAGCCGTCGAGCCCCGACGATGGATCGCGAGACTACGCTTCTCGGCCCGCTGTCCCTGCCTCGGACGGCTCCAAAACCACCGAAGAGAAGCGCAAGAGGAAGACCAAGGCCTCGTCGACAACGCCACAGCTCCCCAGCGTTCCAAGCACCAGGCATATCAAGGATGAGAGTTAGTTGTACTCCGCGCAGGCCTTTCTGCTGCGTCCATATATCAGAAATAGCTGACCCGTGTCTCTTAGGCCTAGCTCTCTCGACCTTTTTCGCACTCCACAGACCATTCTCGGTCACGCAGCTTATGCCCACGGCCGTGACCGATGCTGCCTTTGCCGAGATCTTCAACCAGCGATCCCGAACGCGCCGGACCGCAGATGTCATCCAGACCCTGGACAAGACGGTACAGCAGCTCGAGCAGCCCCTCGCCAACTTGACTATTAGCAAGGACCAGCACCAGCACCAGCACCAGCAACTGCAGCTGCAGGAGGAGCAACAAGAGGCCGAAGATGGTGCTACAAAGATTGCTTTCAAGCGCCAAGACGGCTCCGAGGCCAGCGTCTACCTACAGCTCAATGCCATGGCGGGCCACTTTCAGCCGTATTATCCCCCTCCGGCGCCTGAGCCGGTCACCGATGCCCAGGCCGAAGCCGAGGCCGCCGCCGCCGAGGAGGCTGCCGAGCAGGAGCCGCAGACACGCATCCACAGGGCCATTGTGACGCTCGAAGAAACCCTCGATGCAGACGGCGAGTACAAGGTGGTGGCCACGGGCCTGGAAATGATCAACGAGGACGCGCAACTGCGCACCTTCCTCGGGCGCGTGGCTCTGCGACAGCTGCGTTACTACAGCTCCCGCGTGCAAGACGGCACCATGCAGGCCATCAGCGTGCGCCGGCAAAGAAAGCTGAAGATGAAGAAGAAGAAGTACAAGAAGCTTCAGCGCAAGACGAGAAACATTCGGAGAAAGCTGGACAGGCTGTAAATAGCCCCAAGGCATGTTCCTTTGTGTGTAAATATCCCCGCTACTATTTCTACTCGTTGTGCCCTTTCTACTGTCATCGATGTTACGGCAATAGGGCATCCTCCGGGCTGGAGTGCTTGCATCATGCATCCCAAGATTCTTCCTGGCATATTCTGGGGTTTCTGGGTTTTCTAGACTCGGCATAATGCGCTCATAGATGGGCAACTAGCTAGCTAGACTAGGGGCAATAGGAGAGTGATCGTTTTTCTTTGAGTGACATCGTTACGACTGACAACTGCAGTGAAATACGTCGCCCACCCCCCTCCGCCAATAACATTTGCTGCCAAACATGTTCTACCCCAAGTCTCCAGCCAGCAACCCTGTGTGGCCTCTCAGGCAACATTCTTCTTCAGCCAGTCCAGCCACTGCTCCACGGTCCAGCTGCTGCTGATGTCGTTGGCCACGACGCCGTCAAAGATGACGGTCGGGCTGACGTGCACCCCGACCAGCCGCGCCATCTTGACCACCACCTTGAGGTCGTTGGTCACGGCGTTGCCGACGTTGAGGCTGCCGTCATCGGCCGCCCGCCCCGGGATCGCCAGTAGCTTGTACACCTCGTCCGCGTCCACGCTGCCCCCCGTGCTCGACGCTGCCAGCTGTGCCAGCCGCTTGTACGTCTCGTTGCGCGTCTCCCCGACCACGGACACGTCGAAGAACTCCTTCTGCGCGCCAAACAGCGCCGCGCTGAACGCCCAGAACTGCGAAGGCGCCAGCCGCTGCACGGCGAGCCCCGCCTCGTGCGCGAGCGTCGACGACGGGTGCCACGGCTGCACTTGGTGCCGGAAGACGAACTGCACCTTGCGCGAGAGTACGGGGTCCGCGCGCAGAGCTGGCGTGAGAGTGTTGTAGACGGTGTTGAAGAGCTCTGATTTTTTAAGCGTGTGTAAGTACGGGAGGACAGTTACTTGAGATTGGACAGGGCGATGTACGTAGGTGGCTGGAAGGGGAAACGGGGAACTCAACTCGCTGAGAAGGGGCACACGTAGTCGAGGAACACCTCAACGGTGTGCTGCGGCAGCTCCGGGGCGGCGGCGGCCTCGTAAAAGGCGAGGCGGTGGCCCTTGAACTTTGGTGGGAGAGCCATGGCTGGGGACTGAGGTTCGTTCTTGCGTGGGGCGGTTTTGGTGGTGAGGGTTGTTGGATAGCGAAGAGCTGACGAGGAGGGGGGGGCAGAGAGAGTCTTATGGCGCCTGTTCTAAGTAATGCAAATAAATGGTCGGATTGTTGCTTACGGCTTACTTAGCCTCCTGCAGCGCCAGAACCGGGCTCAATGATGCCATCCAACGGCCGTCCGATCAGACCGGCATCTTATTCCAAATTCCTGCCTAGGCATAGTACCTGGACGCTCCTGTGGGAGCTGCTCTGCCGCAACTGGGCGGGGCGGGGTGGTTGCTGTCAATGGAGGGGTACCTTCCCGAAGCTTCACAGCGACTTGACATTGACGACGAACCAGATCCAAAGCCTCGACTGCGCTAAATTTAGTAGGTTGAAGATGGAGCTAGGACATTCAACTCTACACGATACCTTGTATTCACTATTCTCCGAAGCTTGTCTCTGGAGGTTGCTAGAAAAAATGCAAGTAGGAGGAACCAATAAAGGGCTTTATAGGGTTAGGGTTATTTCCGATGTCTCTTGTGGCTTCTTAAAAGGAGAGTCCTGGCCATGGAGGCTTCAAAGTCGCAAGCAAGCGTCTTTATTGAGCCTCGACACTGAAGGCGTCTGCCAGTACCAGTATACATATTTGGTACGTATTCTAACGGATGTGCCGGTGTCAGATCCGGTCGGCAGTGCCCGAAACCGGCAATATATCCACGGCGACCTCTTGCTTTGCCGCAGGAGCTGAGACCAGCAGCGTTCTATCAGCATCATCATCACTCGCATTCCTTAAAAGCTGGATAACGGCGTCGTGCGCCTCATCTTCAGCCCACTAAGGACCATTCTCAGTAGCCCATTGGAGCGCCGTCTTCCCAGAGTAGTCCTGAGAATTAATATCAACTTCGCCAGTAGCGAGCAATAGCTCGATGCTGGGAACCTGCCATACCTCGACGGCCACACGTAATGGAGTCTTCCCAGAGTCATCCCGCAAATCCATATCGACTTTGCCAGTGGCGAGCAATAGCTCGACGAGGCCAGCTTGCCCTCGCTGAACGGCCCAGTGGAATGGCGTCATGCCAGAGTTGTCCCGCGAATTGATATCGACTTTGCCTGTAGCCATCAGGGCCTCGAGGACATCACCATATCCCCGCTCAGCGGCCCTGCTAAACGGTGTCTGGCCAGCGTTGTCTCTTGAATCGACGTCAACTTTGCCCGTGGCTAGTAAACATTCAAGGGCGTGACCATTTTCCGTTGCTGCGGCTGTGCTTAATATCGTCATGCCGTCTACATCTTTTGAATCTAGGTTAGCTCGGCCTGTGGCTAGTAATAGTTCGACGATGGCCTTGTGTCCAGCAAGTATGGCCGCTCTCAGCGGTGTCTCGCCGTGGCGGTTTCCCGCGTCGGGGTCGACTAGGCCTGTGGCTAGTAATAACTCAACGATTTTCTTCTTTCCGTTGCCTGCGGCCGAATGAAGTGGCGTCCGGTCATTTATATCTCTCGACTGCGGGTCGACTCTACCCGTGGCCAGCAGCACCTTGACGATAGCCGTCTGTCCATGTTCTGCGGCCAAATGTAATGGCGTCCGACCATACTCATCTCTTGAGTCGGGTTCTACCCCATCCGTGGCTATTAGTAGCTCCAGATGGCTTTTTGTCCCTATCTTACGACGCAAGAGAATGGTGTCCAACCATAATTGTCTCTTGAGCTAGCTTCTACCCCATCCGTAGCTGGTAGCAGCTCCTCGATATCTTCATGTCCAGGTTTTGCGGCCAAATGTAAAAGCGTCTAACCATCATTATCTCTTGAGTTGGCTTCTACCCCATCCGTGGCTAGTAGCAGCTCCACGATAGTTGTAGACCCTCTTCCAGCAGCCACGTGTAGTAGTGTGCACCCCGAATCATCTACCGGATTAGGGTCAACGTTGCGTGGAAGGAGCAAGCGGATAGCGGCCTCGTCTTCAGCCCTTGTGAGATACAATAGGATGGCAGTACGATGGGAAAAGACGAACCCGAGACTCAAGATCTGACTTCCACGTATATACCGGTAGGTCTCAGGCCAGCGTGGAAGTGGCCCTGTCTCGGCCTCAAGGAGAAGCTGGGCAGCTTCTGCGGAATTTTTGCACAATGCAGCAAAGTATGGTGTGCCATATTGCTCGCCACTGGCGTCCAAGCAAGATTGGTGATACGAGTGTGCCCGGATAAGAGCCGTTGCGTTTTGCTCGGCCAGCAAATACAGCAGGCTGACGTTGTCGGTATAATAACTGGTTCGGGGGGTTCGGAAGAAGTTGTGAAGCTTCCGCCAGGCCGCAAGTGGAAACTTCTCGAGAAATATTTCTCGATCGATGCCGGCTTCGCCGTGATGGAGAACTTCATTTAATGCATATTCCAGGAACGGAAAACCCATTTTGATTCTTGCACGTCTTTTCCCACCCAATGTTTCTGGGGGGTGGGGGGGAGGGGGGGAGATGCGACCATGTCACTTTCGGCGCTGGTCTTGTTGATGTATTCGATGCAACACTCTGCCAGCCGCTGGTGGCTTTGCCCCTGACGATCGCCGTTGCGGCAAATCGAGTCTGGCCACACCTCTCTTAAGCTATCGGCTCCCAGGAGAAAGTCTCGGACGGATTCGTGTATGAATTGAACGGTTGGAGGGTCCGAATTTGTCACCTCTGTCAACCCCATGGAGGCACTCAATATGAACTTTCTGATGGCATCTGGTGACGTTTCCTGAGAGTCTCACTTTGAGAGTTCGTCCGGCTCGGTCCCTGCGATGATGGCAAAATATAGCTCCTCGGGACCCAGAGGCCCTTGCGCAAACAAGACCCATTGGATGCAGAGACGCAACTCGTCTGCGTTGCCACCGTCTCGTGTCAGAATATCGGAAAAGAGTTTATGCAAGTCGCCAGGGATATCTTCGAGCATTTTTTGGAGCCGGCGGCCTGTTCGGCCCCTGTCTTGCTCCTTGTTCAACATGTCAACGACGAGGACGACCCACATAAACACGCCAGCAGCCTTGTCTAGAAGTCGAGTCCGTATTTGCCGGTCGAGACTCGTCCGGCCAATCCTCAACCGGCTATCAATATACGTGACAATGTCCTGATTATGGCCCTCCTGGCCTTCAAGGATCACGCTGATGCCCGTCGGGATTGTGATGGCTGGGTGGTGTCTGCTAGAAAATAGAATCCGCAGGTAGGTGTCGGATGAGATAGCAATGTCCCCGAGCCGTTGGAGGAATATGACCATGTCTCGGGCCTGGTCCTCGTCGCACTCGTCAAGAGCGTCAATGAAAAACACCACCGAGGCCCGCCCAAGCCGTCGGATAGCCTCTTCAAGGAGGTTCTTCAGCGGTTCCACGTGCCATTCATGGTTGCCTCCACTATTCCAAGACGAGTAGCCCAGAGCCTCGAATACTCGAATATGACCTCGGGCTGTAGAAGATAATTGAGAAGCTGTAGCAAGAGTGATCGATACATTCCGGTGGTGGATTGCTCTAGATCTGTTCCCCAGGCGTGGAAGAAGAATTGAAGTAAAATTTTGCCCTCCGTCGACTTCCTAGAATGTGCGACAAGAAATTTCATCAGTGTTGACCTTCCGGCTCCGGGCTTAAAGCCATCGTGCTCGCTCAATTTGCCGTCATCAAGCCAGTCAAGATAACCAGACCTGTCCAGAAACCAGCGGCACGTCCTATCGTGGGCGTTCTTGATCGACATGTGCCTAGAGTCGAGCTGGTCGAACCGGAGTGAGTGCACAAGTTCTTTCAGTTCGTCAGAAGTGAGGGATTTGGCCCTTGTTCGTTTCGGTCGCCTAAAGGACAGCGGCTCTCTGGAAAGAATTCGGTCTAGTGCGGCTACAACTTTGGTGTATTCGACGTCGCCGAGTCCTGTAAACCGGCACATGTCCATGTGATTTCGCGTAATGTACTGCGTCCTCTCAATCAATGGGGCGTTCAGGCAGGATGAGTTGTCGTCAACTACCTTCCTCCCCTCGAGGACCTTGATGCCGATGCTCTCTTGGAAGAAATGTATCGTCTATTACTGTTTATGCGCGAGGGGTCCAAACTCATCCCTCAGCTCTTTGAGGCGTTCGGACGATGGCAGTAGTGTGTTGACTATCTGTTTATTGGCGGAAAACCTAGCGATCCGATCATTGTCTCGGCGGCGACGTGCTGAACAAAGCCGCACGGGTCCGCGACGCCGTGGGGCGTGCCGAAGAAGACGATTCCCGTTGTTGAGTCGAAGACTTTGCGCAGGTCCAGATCCGTCTGACAGCTAGCCTGTCTCAGCAATTTCTTGACGACGATTCCCCCGAGGCTGTGTGCAACGAACAGGAGCCGACGAGCGGGTTCTTGGCGACGGTCAGCCTCCAGGATGAGTAAGAGGTCTTTGGCGATGTCGTAGACCGTGTTTCTGTTCAAAGGTGAGCCGAGGATATGCCTCATATTGGTGTCGTAATCATATGCCAAGACGCGGGCATGAGGGATGGAGATTGGGAGCAAATTGCGAGGCCAGCAGACCGGGGCTGTCTTGGATTTGGCGCCCTTCGCAGGAGAAGACTTTGAGAAAGGGTTAAACTTTTGAGACCTGGAGTCAGGCACCGGTGGCTCGAGGTCGTCCTCATCTTCAACGTCGCCATCTACGGTTGGTAAATCGCCTTTCTTGCAGGTCCAGGTCCGCGCAGGATGGCCGGTAAATCCATGAACAAACACAATGCTAAGCAAACACCAAATCAGCGTCAGTAGTCACCTCAGGCGACGCCATCAACCCAGTGACTTACTCGACAGAAGGCTCCTTTGGCTCAAAGAGGACCGTCAGACCTGTCACGTTGAGGGTTCTCGGCGATCCCTGCCCGATATTAGAGAGAATCCTTAAAACAAAGACAAGTCTCACGTCAAATCAAACTGCACAGAGGGCGCATATGCAAGACATCATGGAATGATGAATAGCTCAGCAAGTCAGGGCTGGGGAACGGCAGTGAATTCGAGGCAGCGAGGCTGGACTGAGCAGATGAGGGGTGGTGTGAAGGGGACTGTCAACCTTGGGTCGGCCAGTCGAAACGAGCCTCTGTAGTCGGCAACCGCAGCAACAAATCAGCAGCCTCGCCAGGCACAGCCCCCAAGACGCCCAAGGCGTATTCTATATCGTGTCTCATCAGCAACTACCTACCTAGGTTACACACGTCATCATGCTCCAAGCCGCGGGTTATTCCGGAAAAAGGAGTTAAGCTTTATCACGGGTGAAGGGCCGAGGCGGAACAGTGTAAGCTTGACACGAGGAAATATATAAAGATGAGAAAATAGATTAATAGATTAATAAATTAATAGAAACGGAAGAAGATCATGTTGGTTTAAACTCACACATCACCTACATCGGGCTTTGGGTAACGTACTTGGAAGCGTTTGGGCCAATAGACAAAGTGAAATTAAGGGTAGCAATAAATTTCGTTGATTAAGATAAACAAAAGAAGAGAAAGAAAAACCTGGGTTACTCAAGAGTTGAACTATCGTTTAGTCACCTGTCCAGACTTACCGTCTTCATCAAAGATGAAGGGCTAACGACGAGAAGGGGTGTCATAGTCCATGTCACGTCCAGTGGATCGGTGCTGCGTGGGTGCACGAAGCAGCTGCCCAGCGATGACCGACTTGTCCTCGTCCTCGTCCTCGTCGGCACCTTCAGCATCGTCAGAAACGGCATAACCGACAACGTCCTCAAGTTCGTCAAAGTCAAAGTTCTCGTCTTCGTAGTACCAGTCTCCGTGTTCGTCTTTCGCGGCGCCATCGTATTCGCAGTCCTCCTCAGCGGTCTCCTCCCAGTCGTTATCCGCGTTTATGCTCGACAACTCTAGCTCCGAAGCTGTCGGAGTCAACGTCGGCTTTTGGATGCAAGTCTGGTCGGCGGTGCCGGGCTTACGATTCTTTTCTCTCTTCATTCTCCGAAGCGACCGCTCGAGCAGCGACCGCACGCTAGAGACCAACCCCCCGACGGGGTTCGTGTTGTACTCGTCCAGTGGCGAGTCTGGCAGCGGCGAGGGTTGCCGCTCCGGATCCTTCTCCGGGGCTGTTGCGTTATGTTTCTCCTGGCTACCGTTGTTAGACATGATGGCCCTATCGGAAGAATGCGGATGAGACAAACCTGTGAGTAAGGCGCCAGAGTTAAGAAGTCAAGTGGATGGGATTGTGCTCCAAATATCCAGCATGTTGTAGGCATAGGTATTTATCATGGCCTCTGTTAATGCCCTCCGAGAACCTTGCCCCTGCACAAAAAAAGAAACCTGTAAGTGCTTGCAATGATGTAGGCAGGTATATACCTTATTTATTTATTGTCTCGATTTTCTGAAAGGCAGTGTCTTTAGGCAGTTCAAGAGAGCACAAACCACCCACTACTGTGGCTTGTATAGGGCGCCTATTTGCAAGCAAGAGCCTGTTCTCCCGCTTTGACCTATCTCTTTGTCGTCCTCTCTTCACAAAGAGTCGGCAGTGCGATTGTGTTGTTCGACCCTACATTATATGTAGTTAGGGATTTGCGGAGAGTTTCCAGCTAACCAAGAATGGTACTTTGTAGAAAGCTTGGAAAAGCCACCTGTGCCATAGCACAGCTGCGTTGTCTACAAAAGGGAAGAGGCTGAGAGAATAGAAACTATATGATGGACGAGGGGTTCACGAGGTGGCGAGACGCTTTGCCTTTGCTAGCTGGAAAGGTGCAATTATACGGATAGAGCGCTTGTACTCTGGGATGCAGTTGGACTCTTCTGGATTTTGAATAATTAAGTTGAGTGAATGAAACGGGAATACAGCTGACTCTGGAAGCTGAGCGAGTTCGCTTTCTGAGAAACCAGCAAGTGTTAGTTCGTATTGCCTGCATTGAGGGTTTCGGGAAATATGCACGCCGACAGCCTCACTGTTCACACCAAGTAGGCAGACACCTCGTAACTAGTAAGAATAAATGCACCTCGCTGCATCTAGTTCAATGGGCACCTGGAAACCTGGTACTGCATCCTCGATGGCTCACGTCAAAAGTTCGTAGGGCTGCTCGGCTTGTGCATAGGGTACGAAGCCGACACAAGCCCTCGGGTAGTATCGTGATGTTGCGGTTAGGGAGGGGGTAAAGAGACGTCGGGGCCTTGTAGCCGAACAAAGCATGTTGAGGGGTTCCCATCACAGCGTGCCTGTCTTTTATCAACATATTCCAAGAATAACAGACACCTATCTTTCAGCCCTTCAATCGGCACATTGCTTACGGACTCTGTCCTAGGTAGTCTGATCCACGAAGCCCACAGATATGGACGACACGACCACGACTAAAGAAGATATCAAAAAGGTGAATGATGTTCTACTCGACTAAAACCAATCGAACAACTTTCTAGCACAGGGAATGCGCCTAAAATGAAGAGAGATGAATTGAAGGAGAAACGTGAGGCAGAGAAGAAGAGGCAAAGGAAGAGGGAAGTGGACAAAGCAAAGAAATGACAGCCGAGTACTATCGCGTTTGGTAATTACTGTATCGGCTAGTACTCTGCAGTTCCTTGGCATCCAGACTGTCGGGTGCCTTAGCTGGTCGATGCTGCCTTCCTTGTTCATCTCATCAGCATCAACGAATTGCTCTTCGCGCTTTATGGAGACCACTTTACCCCCCTTAAAGGGGAGAGTCACACTCCAAGATGCGCTAAAAGAAGATGACGATATCATACAGAATCTATCCTACCCAGAGAAGCGGGCTATATTTTGGCTCTACCTAGACCGGCGCCGCTCCCAAATCACAGAAATTGTTTCCCGGCACCTGAATATATATATCCCCAGCAGATCTTCGGCTTGGAGATGTGATAGAATGGATCTACGGCAGCTTCAATGCCTGCATCCCCATATATATATCCCCTTCACCTCGTAATCTGAACCTCCCTGAGTGGGCTATCATTCGTTTTCCTCTGCCGTACAAAACCAGGGAAGCCTTCTTCCCCGGCAACGTCGATGAGAAGCTGCGAAGCTGCTACATACATCTGGTTGCAGAGCAACTGTCCCACCGTTCCCACACCCCGGCTTTGGTTTCCCCGGAACGCAATCGGTATTAAATATCTTTCAAGAGAGGCAACTCACACGCCAACTGCGAGCCAGTTCACAGTGCTTGAGAATGAATCCTTGTTCAATCGGCTGAGATGGTACTTCCGCAGCGTAAGAGCGTGGGTGTCTGGGCACACGCTCTCCCCTTACTTTGCACACCCTCGGCGAAGTATCCTTGACGTGGGATACCTAGTCATAGAGCACATCGGTGAGGGCAAGATGCTCTCCAGGTCCTGGAAGGAACACCGCGGCGACCCGGACCGGAGGGCTAACCTCTTCCGGGATTTGTCTTGGATAATTCTCTCCGTTGCGAAACTCCCACTCCCACGGTTAGGCTCCTAGACAATAAACGATCAAGGCATCCCCTCCCTAACCAACCGCCCGCTAGCGTTCTAACTGCACCAGTTGGAAAACTACAACATCCCGACAAACATACCACGGGACCTTACATATATATCGGTAGAGCCGTACTTGCTCGACCTGCTCGCCTGCCACGACAGCCGTATCCAGCACCAGCCAAACTCGATTCACAGCTAAGAAGACGGCGAAGCCTAGCTAGCTGCCCTGGCAACCATGCGAGCCCTACTGCCAAGTTCACTAGTCGCCAACTCCGTGGGGGGCCGTTCGTCCTCACGTTGACCGACTTCCACCAGAGCAACATCTTCGTCGACGACGACTGGCACATTACGCGACTCATCGACCTCGAGTGGGCGTGCGTGCGTCCCATCGAGATGCTCAGCCCGCCGACCTGGCTCTCGAGTGCGGGGGTCGGCAAATCGGCTCTTGGCATTGACGAGCTTATTGGCGAGGAGCTAGACTCGTACGCCTCGGCGCACGAGGAATTCATGAAAATGTTCGAGGCCGAAGAATCGGCACTGCGCTAGTCCGACGTCTACACCAAGATTCTCCGCCGCTGCTGGGACACGGGCAGCTTCTGGTACGCGCGGGCGCTGGACTGCCTGACGGGGCTGTACTTCCTGTTCATGTTCTACGTCTAGCCGAGATTCGCTGACCTGAGTAACAGTGCCCTCGACGAGTTCGGCCGCGTGGTGGCGCCTTACTAGGACCTGGACGCTCCCGACTTTATCTTGGCCAAGATCGGGGAGCGGAAGCGGCATTGCAGCCAAATTAGGGACATGTTTGCCGCTGCCGCTTCGCCCAGCCCGCCGGGCGGCGAAGACAAGTAAGATCAGGACAGAACAGATGTCGAGAATGAATTGGGTTGAGCGAATTATGTAGTCTGGATGGAGAGGTTATAGATCTTGGCTTTGATGCCTTGTTCGTAAATATAAGCTAGTTTCTGTTTACTTACCCTGAGACCCCCAGAACAACATTCAATGGCACGCATGGCGAGAGACCTGTAGCAGTAGTCCGCATATGTGGAAGAGGGTCGTTTTCTGATCTTCCCAAGGATAGAGACTGTGGATAAGTGATAGGCTCTTGTTGGTACTATGGAATTCACCAGGGCGAAAGTGGTTCACAGCAGCGGGAAACTTGAGGTTGTTCCAAGCTTTGTTGTATTATTTCTCGGGCTAACCGAGAAGCTCAGTCCCACCCGACGCCTTGTCAGAGACTACCTCACCTTCTTGCGCCGTTTCTGCACTGGCGCAGCCTCTGACTCTGACTCGGCGACTTTGGCAGCTTTTTCGACGTCCATGACAGACGCCGCTTCGCCATCGTCTTCGCCGTTATCTGAGCCGCTCTCTCCGTCCTCTCCATCACTTGAATCATCCAGGGGTATCATATCTTCATCACCGTCATCCTGAGCCGTCGTCTCCGGCCCGTCTTCATCCTCAGAATCACTGTCGCTCGTAAAGCCCTCAAAACTGTTATCCTCTCCGTCCGTCATAGCATCGGCTCCTTTCCCTGCCGCCGGAGTTGCGCCCTCCGAGGCGCCAGGGGTAGCCTCGTCCACATCGCGTTTCCGCTTGGCTGGAATCTCGCCGAAACGGCCTTCACGACCCTCTCGAACCACTCCGTCATGCTGCTGCATTTCGGGAGCAGGCGTGAACCACGGGATCTTGCCGCGCATGAGATCGTTGAGGACCATCTTGGCAACGCCATCAACATCGGGCTCACCGCCTTTAAGCAGCCTGCCAGACTTGCGTGCCAAGAGTTCAAGGAACTCCATGTGGTTCTTCCAGCCCTTGAGCTCGTATGTCCTCTCCATATGATGGGTCTTGACCTTCCTCAAGACAGCGGGTATGTATTGCTCGGGATTCTCAACATTCTCTGTGGCGGGGTTAGCAGCCAACTCGCTCGAGATGGACTGGAAATCACGAACCGACGCGGACAACACCGCGGAGGAGAAGATCCTCTGGCGTGTCATGCTGATTTGGGGGTACGATGCCCGGGCAGTCGATCAAGTATATCCTCCGCATCAACGTCACATACTCTGTTGACTTATTAGTAAAGGGAGACAAGGGTTCAGAGTGCGAGCAACATACGCCAAACCTTGGTCTCGCCCGGAATAGGCGCGACTCGTGTGACCGCCTTGCCGCGCAGGGCGTTGATGATGCTCGACTTGCCCGTGTTCGGGTAGCCGATGAGCCCCACGCTGATCTGTTTTCTGTCCTTGTGGAGGATGCTGAATTGCCTGAGAAGATCGATCAAGGAGCCACGGCCAAAGGGGTTCTTCATGCTCGCCCTCATGGCACATGTGGGGCGGTCTTTTTGGAGGACTCGAATCCAGGCGGCCTAAAAGTGTCAGTATTCCTGAACATTGAGACAATAGCAAATTGCGAGCAAGGTGTGGGGATGTGTGAATCAATACTAAGAAGACCACCACGAGCTAACCGTGAGGGAAGTGGTAGCCTTCAACTCGAATGAGACACGTCCGGTATCCTGCGACGGCCTTCAAAACGGAGACTGTCAATCCCCAATCCCAAGACGGGACTGAGGAAGTTGGATGTGGATATTGCTCTCCCAGGAATGTAACGGATTTCTGCCATGTAGCAAACAAGTTTGCGGAAGAATCCTGACTAAACCCCTGGGGTTCTTTACGTCTTGCGTTCAGGTGAAAGGATGAGAGACCAGGTGACTTGCGGCATCAAGGTGGAACCGAAACGAAATACGGCGAGACAGGAGGAGAATAAATGAGGGGGCTTACAGCTGTGCTGGATGGGACCAAGTCAATCTTGTTTAATACGAAAACAAGATGTTTGTGAGGAGCCTCGGTGGCGAGGTATTTTTCGACATGCTGACTATAGTGGCATTAGGTTAGCATAAAATCCGTGACTGTTATGCGGAGAAAGAAACATACCATCGTGTGCCGAGAGGATCCCGCGCATCAAGGACATGAAGCAGCACATCGGACGAGTCGATAACCTTGTCTAAGGCGGAGGTTAGTAAAACACAAAACGGTAATGAGTAGGAGACTTACAAAGCTCGTTCCAAATACGCTTGCTCGTGCCCTTGAGGAAAATCGCCTCCTTGGCAGTCGAGATGGTCAAGTCTTCCTCTTCCAAAATACCCTCGCCTTCACCCTCAACGGGAACTGGCCTAGACGTGCCGTTGAGTAGCTTGATCTCCTCCAGCCTTGCGTGATAAGAGTCGAGGCTCTTGTCGGTGTTGGCTGCAAGATCATCGATTGTGTTGAAGCTGAGCTTCGGCCTTTTCCGTTGTGACTTGGCGCCAAACGTCAGCTCGAAGGGCTCAGTTTCAATCGTCATCTTGGCTTTGTGTTTGAGTATTCCATCTTGTGGTGTCTTTGTTTCGTCACGTATTAAGCTGAGCGGGATCTTGTTGCTCTTTAGCAGAACAGCTACACTAATGTCAGCATGTCTCCAACAAGACCTGCCCGGTGCCCAACTCCCACGGGAGAGACAGGAGCAAGCGAATGGTAGTGGGTGGCTGACGTACTGTAAGGGTCCTTCTCCTTTTCGGCAACGGCTTCCCGAAAGGATGTCAAGGTGTCTTGGGAGATGACACGAGTATTGGTGAACCACCTCCGGTTCGGCTCGATGACGGCCTTGGGCGCATCTCTACTCTGATATGCAGCGGCCTGGATAACCTTTCCCTCCGCGTTCCTCTGCGCCTTGCCCCCCGTAAGTCTGTTAAGACTCTTGACCTTCTTGGCCGTTCTGTAAAAGTTTTCGCCCTTCACTTTCGGGTCGCCGCGGACCTTCCCCTCCCGCTCAATGCGAGTCTTTTCCTTCTTTCCTGGGGATAATTAGCTTCTGAACGGCATCGACCTCGAATTGGGATGGGCTTGAACCGTACCTGTACCCATTGTGGCGGGTTGCCTAATGCCAAGAAAACCTAGAGACTGATGAAGAGAAAGGGTTTGAGAGAGAAGCCTCGCCTGCGAGATGTAGAGAAAGAGTCCTGGTTTTATTTTGTTCGTGGAATGCGAAAAAAAAAGATCAGGACGTAAAGAGGCTTGGGGGGTTGGAGAGATCAGCAAGGAAGTTTTCGGCGGGGTGGAGCTTGAAAGTCTTCGCGCCAAAAAAAATAAGCGGTGTGACCTGGCAGAAGTGTGCACCCGGAGCCAGAATGCTAGGGAGAAGCTAGTGCGAAAGCAGCGTGGCGCATTTCAGCATTGCCCGAGCTTCAGAATTTCCAACCTCGATTCCCAGAGGTCGTCGGCCCTTTCGACGTGCGTCCTGCCTCGTCGTCTTTCCAGCGCCGCCCAAAATTCGAAACGTGCATCTCCCCGTGCGGGCCGACACGAGCCAGACATTCTATTTTCGATCATCGCCCCTCCCCGTGGACGCAATCCACGAGAAGGGCGCTCAAGATGCCGCCCAAACCAAGAACCCGGGCATTAGGTGGCGTGTCAAATGCTATCGCGAGGGCCCTCACTGAGGCCCATCGCCTCCCTCCGCTCGGGGGGAAAAAAATACTTTCGCCCCAGGAGAAGGCTGCGGCAGCCATCCGAGCCCGGGAAGCCTTCGCCCCGAGCACAGCCGTGTCGATACAGAACATCTTCCCGCCCGAGTCTCCCAAGCACATTGCTGTGCGCGAACCGCCGCAGTCCATCATCACCAAGCTGGCGCCCATCCGCGGACACCTTCCCATACCGCGGGATATCTTCGAAAAACGCGGCTGGGAAGAGAAGATCTTCGTACATCGCAAGCGGGCCCCGGAGATAGACAGAAAATACATCAAGCGGGCGACGCCGCTGTCGCTGGCCGAGAAGGCTGGCAAACCGCCCGTCAGCTTCGAGGAGGAGCAGCACCGTCGCCTAGCGGCTCTCCGGCGCAAGGCTCTCGGCGTGGGTCTTGGGGGGCTCTTGAAACGCAAGCAAAAGTTTGACAACGTGCACGAGGCGCGGAGCAAGAAGAACTACGAGAGGAACCTAAACGCTGCCAACGCGCCCGAGCAACTAGACGAGGTGATGACGCGGTCGACGGTGCGGGCCAGCACGGCTTCGATGACGGCGGTGCTGCCGGATCCGAACCGGTTCGAGGTCGCGAGGCTGGCGCGGGAGAAGCACGCGGCTCTGACGCAGCTGAAGAGCGAGGCGCGCCGGGATGCGCTGGCCCAGCTGTACGCAGCGGCCGGCGACTTCATCGTGGACGAGGAAGATTTGGAGAGGCGTGTGGAGGAAGTTTTTAAAGAAACCTCGTTCGACATCGGCAGCATCGAGCACGGACGCAGCATCTGGGACGTCGAGGGCCCGCCGCTCAACGCCACTAACCTGCGGAAGGATCTATATGGTACTGCCACAAACAGTAGCGCAACAATGGCCCCGACGGGCGACAAGACAACGGGCCTGCAGCGGAAGGTGGCGGAGGAGTTGATCGGGGGCAAGTTGTAGTAGCAGAAACGTCACCTCTTGACACTTGAATGTCTCACATGGCTGGATTGACCCCAGCGTCTTTTCTGGGTTACGGGGCATCTCGAGATCTTTACTATGGCCCACTCATTAGACTTCCATTGCATATGTATGAGAACTTTTGTAGATGAATGTACAATAATTGAAAACGTCATTTAAAATATATATACTCTTTCTAGAGGTAAATGTAGATTGGCACGCGCATGTTAATCGAAACTTTGGACCTACCTAGTTCCCCGAGTTCCGCCAAGTTTGCACAATGATACCCAAGTCTGATTCTCGTCATCAAAGATTGAAGAAAAGGAAAGTGAATCTGGCCATGAAGCCAGGCATCTACATACACAATTCTTCCTCGGGTCCAAGAGTATAAAGCTTTGAAAGTATGGCTCGACGGTAAATCTATCCCCCTCCGTATCCTCACTGGGCCTGTTTTGGAACATGTATCCGACACAGCCTCGCATTACCGCTTTTCAACGAGGAGAATGTGCATTGCGGCATATGCCAGGATAATGAACATGACGCCGAATATCCCGAGGTTGATGATATCCATCCACATGGCCGAGTTGCGAAAGCCGAAAAGCGAGAGAATAGCCGCGCCGGGGACGGTAATGTCGATGCCTTGCTTGTGGTCGACCAGAATCAGCTGCGCCACTTCGTTAACAATAAGAGCCTCAAAGCCGTAGTGGAAGATCGAGAGGCTCTGGAGCCATTGGGCAGGCCCGGGGATGGCGTCGTGGTTGAGGAGGAGACCGGCGAACAGCAAGCTGAACAGCATGACTAAGCTTCCGATGAGATTGGCCACGCCACCGTCCTTGCAGACAATGCCGATGAAGAGGCAGATGCCAGCAGCGGCGAAATTAAAGAATATCAATACAAGCATAAAGACAAAGAATTTGTCGGCTTGGGCAACGAGGCCCGTCATGGGGTAGATTATGGCGCCTAGGAGAATGGGCGGGATGATTCTGAGGGGGACAATGTCGAACAGTACCTTGGCGGCGAAGTAGGTGATGGGCGAGTAGTACCCGTTGGCCCTCTCGCGCACAAAGAGCAGCCTCTCTTGGGAGAACACGCCCAGGCTGGTCAGCGTGCTGAAACCAAATAGGGCGAGGGTGAAGAAGAACAGGCCAAGCCGGTTCTGGAACCCGGCAATGTCCATGCTCAACCCATAAAACAGGTAGCCAGCAAAGACGGCCAAGAGGATGGCGATTGCGTAGTGCGTCAACATGAGCATTGGGTTGCGATATAGGTTCCTCCAGGTTCGCTGGGACAGAATGACAAACTGTCGGAAATACCCAACGCGAGCATACCCCTTGCCCATCGCCCCAGGGTTGAGATCAGGGCTTCCTGACGCGTGTCCGTTGGAGTTTTGGCCGTTGCTTGCCGTTGCCGAAGCGATAGATTGTTGTATCTCGTCATGTGTGTTCCCGGCGATATCAGACTGAATGTACGAGTGCACAAGAAGATCAAGGTCGGTACCAATGAAAGCCGGCGGCGGGAGGTCGTGGAGATCGTCATTCAAAGGAGGCGGGACGGCTCCGAGCGTCTGTTTCTGGAGCCTGTAGGCGCCAAATTCGTCGCCGGCATCCGAGGAGGCGGCGGTATCGACGTGTTTGCGCCTCGTAAAAAGCTCTCTTTCCTGCCTGAGTCTCACAGAATTGCGGCGCATACCCTTGGGCCGCGAGGACGAGGCCTCGACCCCGCTGTCCTCTCCAATGCTGCCACCAGCACTAGCAATCGACTTGACAGCTCTGGTGCTGCTCGGGCCAACGCTCGCCGCATCCGCCGCGACAGTGCCGTCATCGTACGACGTGGTGTTGCCGGCGTGCATGGTCAAGTCGACAAGGTAATCGGCAATATTGAAGCCAGGAGGGCAGCTGTATCCAATGTGGTCGAAATAGTCTTGGCACTGATGTAATGGGCCGGAATAGACGGTCTTACCGCGAGCCAGCAGGATTAGCCGATCGAAGAGCGCAACAATGTTGGATCTAGGTTGATGGATGGTGAAAATGATAGTCCGCTTGTATGTCTTGGCTAGCGTGACCAGGCACTCGATCACGTTGTAGGCGTTGTACGCATCGAGGCCGCTGGTAGGTTCGTCGAGGAAGAGAATGGACGGGCTGGTGACCAACTCGCAGGCGATGCCGACTCGACGCTTCTCTCCTCCAGAGATGCCACGCCCGTTCCCTTCTTCGGACCCAATCAGAGAGTCGCGGATGTGGTGTATACCCAGCTGCTTCTCGACCTCGGTGACTCTCAACTCCTTTGCAGCTCGGCCCATGTCTCTCGGCAGCCGCAGGAGGGCACTAGTTAGGATGGTCTCGTGCACAGTCAGGGTGGGAAGCATCGTGTCTTCTTGGTCAACGAACCCCACTGCGTTTTTGAAGTCGACGTCGCCGACCTTTTCACCGTTGACGTAGAAGTCTCCAAGCACCTGGCCCCGCTTGTTCTTGCGAGCGAGGATGTCCAAGAAGGTGGTCTTGCCGGCCCCAGAGGCGCCCATGATGGCAGTGACTTCGCCCGGATGGGCCATGCCCTGGATGCCGGACAGAATGTCTTTGCCGTTGAAGTTGTAAGACACATTCTCAAAATATAGAGAGGCCGGCTTGTGGTCCGTCATGAGAGTGATAGCCTCGTCGTCCGAGTCGTCCAGAGGCAGGGGCACGTATTTGAACTTTTTCCTCGAAAGATACCAGGTGCCGAGGATCGCGCCGACAAGGAAAAGCGAGCAGCCGGCAATGACTCCAGCGATGAGCGGCGTGTTGATCTTGGGCACCTGAGGCGCATACCCGGGCACTTCAGTGTGGTACAGACACTCGCCGGCGCCGCACGTCAAGAGAATGCTGGAATCTCCAAACATCTGGCTGATCAGGTCGTTCATGGCAGGCTCCTGGAAGGAGCAGTCATTGCCCGCGCCAGCCAGCTGGGAGCACTCGAAGCTCGCGGGACCTTTGATCTCCTTGACCAGGAACTCGCTGATATCGACCGAGCCATTTTCGCCACAGAGCATGCGGTCAGAAATGCACTCGCAGGATATATGCTCGCATTTGTAACTAGTCGTGTTCTTGCCCCCGGCGAAGTTGAAATCGGCGTCGGATTCGCAGTCAGTCAACTGACACATGAAAGACTCGCGCTGGTCGACCCAAACTGCGGCAGTGTCAGCGCGGGAAGCGATACAAGGCAGCAAGCAACTCACATTGGAAATCGCATTCCGCCGATTCCTTATTGCAGGTAAAGGTGACTTGCGGAACATTATCCCCCAAGAGTTTCCGGATGGCCTGGTTGGTGACGTCGCACATCTGGTAGTTTTGCTTGACGACATTGCCGCCCTTGTAGCAGACTCCGTCTTGTCCTGTCTCTACCAGGGCGTCGCAAGCGCGGTCGTTTGCGCAAACATTGCAGTTGATGCCCGTCCATCCATCGTCGCAGCCGCAATATTTGTCCTCGCGCACCGGCCGGTCGGGGCCGTGGGCGAGAGATCCGCACACTAAAGCGCGGTGGTTAGCATGAACGAAAGACAGGAACGCTGCCGAGGAAGGGTGGTGGTAGAGAGCATCTGCGCATACAAGGTTCTAGGCAGTTGTCGCCGCCGAAGCCAGCAGGGCAGTTGCATTTGCCATTGTAGGAGCTGCAAGGGGCGTATTGGCCGCACGAATAAGTAGGCAGGTTGCAGTTGAAGCTGTTCGACGGCAGTCAGACTCAACCCTCCAGCACTGGGTGCGCATTACCGCACACTATCGCACAAAGAGACGCGAGAAGTGAGGTCAGCAACATACCATGGAGGGCAGTCCTTGGGACGGTCATCGAGGACGCTGAGCTCCCTCACCAGGTTCATCGACGTCGAGTTTCGGTAGGCTGATGCGACACATGAAAGCGACAGCGCGGTCGCAACTGCGAGCACGCTAGACACCCGGAGTACCATGGTCGCAAGTGAGGGCGCGGCGAGCCTTGGAGGCAGGGCACTGCGAACCTGGCCTGACGCAGCAAGAAGTAGGCGTGTCGATTGACTATGTAGTGGTAGGGGACTCGGAGCTGCCGTCGAGACCTAGAGCTCGGCTCGGCAGCAGCAAGCGTTTGGCGGCAGGCTATTCCGTATTCCGCGCTAACAACCCAACGACGCGGTTTAACAGCTGGGGCCACCTTTCACCTGCTGGACCTGTGACTTAATCGCACCACCAGGCAGCGAAGCTAGGTTACGCCACCGTTTGCCGCCACGTCTGCCGAAAGCCAAAACAATTACGGATAATCTGTAGTTGAAGGAATCGAAGGCTAGCAACGGCACACAAAGCTAGACACTAGATGAGGGCAGTGATGGGCCAATAAAGGCACTACCACGGTTGCCTATGTTGGGGTTCCCCAAGAGGGAATAAGTGGTGATGTCGGGGTTCGCTTGCCGGGCACCTGGAGCGGAGCAATGACATGCCACCTCAGCCACTGCAACCTGCCCGATCGGACATCGGAGGGCTTTGGGTGCGTGGCTGAGAGTCGGGGGAACGTTTCTCTGGCGGTTGCTCTGGTTGGTGGGCTTCGGTTCTAGGTCAGCACATCCCGCCTACAGGAACCCGTCGAGTGCCCCTCTCAGGTCTCTCTCCATGTTATCAGCGGGTAACATTCCCAGGCCCCACGATGCAATGGAACAAAGAGAGATCGAATTGAATCGACGTGACCAACGACTATGAAGGAAACCCATATGTTCCTGATGCGGTATGGATCATGCGTTCTAGTTTTAGTTGCCAATCGTTTGTGTTTCGGTGACAACCATCGTTCTCTATCTGCCCTCTCAATACATTTTCACCAACCCAAGGAACAAGGCGCGCCCTGCGCTTTGCATTGCGCGTGGCCATGTCTTCTGAGGGCGAGACTCAGCTAAGCGGCTCTGTAGCTTTACAATTAATACATTCCCAGTCAATAAAGAGGATTAAGCTGGACGATACTTGAATTGCAGTCATCCCGATATACTTGGGAGCCACTAGAACACAACGTTCAACCCGTTGTGTGCTTGCCCCGTGTGCTTGCCCCTTACCAGTCACCATCCACCAGCAAAATGGTCAAGATCAACCCCTTCGAGGTCGAGCAGTGGATGGACCGTTACGAGACAACGCCAGGAGTGCTCAATGTCGCCGAGACCTGCGCTGCGTCCGTGTCAATTGATGACCTTGTAGCCCTGTGCAAAGACGAGAATGCACCAGGCCCTCTGGCTCTGTCAACAAAGTTGACCTACGGCGCCATACGCGGCTCGCAGGCTCTCCGCCAGAATGTCGCCTCTCTTTTTGACAGGCCATCTCTAACCCCTTTGTCGGCCGAGGGTGTCGTTATTACGCAGGGGGCCATCGTCGCCAACTTCTTGCTCTTCTACACTCTAGTCGGCCCCGGGGACCACGTCATCTGTGTCTATCCCACGTACCAGCAACTGTACGCCGTCCCAGAAAGCCTTGGGGCCGAGGTGTCGTTGTGGGCGTTGAAGGAAGAAAACGGCTATATCCCGGACATTGGAGATCTCGAAAAGTTGGTGAAGACCAACACCAAGGTTGGCCTACGCCCACACAGACAGCTCAGTATGGTGTCACTGGGAGCCGTTATTAACAAGAAATACAGATGATCGTAATCAACAATCCGAACAACCCCCTGGGCCAAGTCATACCGACGTTGGTGCTTAAAGCGCTCGTTGCGTTTGCCGAACCGCGAGGCATCATCATCCTCTCGGACGAGGTGTATAGTCCCCTCTACCATTCACTCCCGGAAGGGCAAGAAGCGCCGCCGTCGATCCTTGCGCTAGGATACGAGAAAGCGGTCGTGACGGGGTCCATGTCCAAGGCGTTTGCTCTGGCCGGGATACGGATCGGGTGGATAGCCTCGCGGGACGCCGGCATCATCGAAGCCGTGCTGGCCGCCCGAGATTACACTACCATCAGCGTCTCGCAGCTCGACGACCAGATTGCCACCTATGCCCTCTCCAACCTGGTGCTGCCGGCGCTCCTGAAGAGGAACACGGCTCTCGCGCAGACGAACCTGGCGTCGCTGAGCGCCCTGGTAGAACGGCACGGCTCGGTATGTTCTTGGGTGAAGCCGACTGCGGGCACAACGGCTCTCATTCAGTTCAGAAAGAAGGGCGTGCCTGTGGATGACTCTGAATTTGTCCTGGACTTGTTGGAGAAGACCAAGGTCCTGGTAATGCCGGGCAGCGTTTGTTTTGGTCTCGGAAAAGACTTTAAGGGATTCATCCGGCTGGGGTACGTTTGCGAGACCGGGGTTCTGAACCAGGCGCTCGAACAGCTGGAATTGTATATCAACGACCGCTTGGTCTGAGAGGCGGGCTAGCAAAAACGACCACTTGGTCTGAGAGACGGGCTGGCAAAAGTTTTTTCCCTTTCTCTACGAGTTCCGTTATAATCCCTTTGGTTAGACAGTGAAACACTGAGCATCCTACGTCGTATTCCGCCGGTGGCCTCCGTGAGAACATTCCCGGTGGGGGGTTTACAGCGAGCAAATAGCTACGGGTGGGTACTCCTTCCATGACCGCCATGTTGATAAACACCGTAAATCCCGAGGCTCGGATGACAGTGCGCTCGCTGGTGTGTTGAAACCGCAGAAAATCCTTGGTATCGGCATCTCGGCGTTGACTTTCCCTATCAGCGTAGGTAGGCACCTAAATTATGCACAGCTGCAATATTTATTGGTACGGCAGCCTGGATGTCTGGTCGCAAGGCGCTTCAAATTTTACGCCTCTGGTGAGCTCGGAAAGACCCGCCGATCACTGTCGTTAGGCGTCGGCGTGTCTGATTAGCCACAGCAAAAGCTTGTGAGGTGAAACTCGAGTCTTGGCGTTAATTGTCTCAACTCCACACCCTTGAGACTCGAGCGTGATGGAGCAACAACGACCTTTGTGCAAAGGACTCGTCGCCTCGAGAAAGCAAATTCGTGTTTGATTGGCCCGTCCGACAACGACAGCAGCCGTTTTTGCAGCCCAAACTCGTCGTCTGCAGTGAGCCTCGAGCCTCAAACCTGGAATCGAGCGTCCTTTTCATGCATCAGACATGCAGGCAAGCTCAACGCAGCCAACAGAAGAAGCAGTTGCCACTGCCCTTTCCACCCCATTGGTAATCTGAAGGTACAGTACAAGTACGAGTGGGCATGTTGCCTACCAGATCTCGTATCGGACTTGACTAGAAGACGGAGCTTGGCTCGGACTCTGCGCGACGAGCCGCTTGCAAACAGAGTTTCTGGGCTACAAGTCGACGGCGCCAAACCAGCGGCGCGGCTTCGTCATCTGCCCTGCATTCTGGTGCATTTCAGCCTCATGTCCTGTTTCTCTCTGCTGCGACTCGCTGTCCGGGGCAGAGCTCCTGCTTCTCCACCATGCTAGTGCAGATGGACCCTGAACGCATACCCCGGCCCTCTCTTACATGGACGGGTTGGCGTCAATGACGACGCGGCCGCCACGGCATGGCGTTGACCCTTTGGTGGAACGGGAAGCGGCATTAGGGCTCAAGAGCCGCCCTCCCTCCAGATTTCTGTCCATGGCCATATTTCATCATGTGAGGCAGTTGCAACGTAGGCTGCGACTTCCCGCAGCTGTCCTGGCTGTCCTAGAGAGCCCCCGTTGCCCGGCATCTTGACATATTTCCTTCCTTCGTTCAGTCCTACCTCTTTTCAGCTCCCATTTTTCGCCTCCCTATCTGGTGTATTCCCATGGTCTTCTTGGTAGGCCGGTGTGCTATTGACGACACTTTGCCTGACATTCCTCCGAACCTCGCTCTGCGGCCTTGGATGATGGACATCGCAACTCTTGCTCTTGCATGATCCGGCCGCGTTTTCTCTTACCTGGTCACTCTTTTTGGCGGTTTTCGTCCAGACGATTCACAAACTTCCTATAAAAGCCAATACCACCAAAGCAATCTTCCTTACTGTCGATGTCGCTAGGCACCAGACACTCGACAAACAGACATCTACCTCGAGCCTGGCCCGCCTAAATCGAGCTGCACAGTTGCTATTCGCATCTATCAATCTCCAACCATGAAGTGTTCCATCGCCGGGGCCGCGGGCTCGCTATTCGCAGCGGTCGTTCTGGCCAGTGCCGGGAACGGCGTCGTGCTGTGGGACATCCAGAAGCGCCATGTTGCCCAAGACCCCTCGAAGTTGCAGAGACGTGGGTCGACATACGAAGAAATTATCTCGAACGAAGAGGCTAGAGGCGGGTATTTCGCGACGTGTCGGCTGGGGACTCCTTCGCAGAGCCTGACGCTGCAACTGGACACTGGCAGCAGCGATATCTGGGTGCCCGACTCGAGTGCGGCGGTATGCAGGGAGACCGAGACCGACTTCGGGGGGTGCAGCCTCGGGACATGTACGTCAAGCCACTGGTTACTCTTACTCCCTGCTACTTCACTAACAGCAGCGCAGTCAATCCAAACAAGTCAAGCACCTTCGACGTTGTGGGGCCGGGCGAGTTTGATATTTCGTACGTAGACGGAAGTTCCTCTAAAGGCGACTACTTTACCGACGATTTTGAGATTGGCGGTGCCACGGTGCAGAATATGACAATGGGCTTAGGTATCACTACCGATATCACTTATGGCCTGGTCGGGGTTGGATATGCGATGAACGAGGCCATTGTTGGGAACACACAGTCGACCTCGTCCGCTTACCCCAATCTGCCCGTGAACATGATGGACGAGGGACTCATCAACACCATTGCTTACAGTCTGTGGTTGAACGATTTGGGTATGTTGTCTCCCTTTGGCAGAGGAGACGAGGCTTAACACCTCTCAGATTCAAGCGCGGGAAACATTCTCTTTGGCGGCGTCGACACTGAAAAATACGTTGGCGACCTGACCAGCATCAAAATCTACCCAACCAACAAAGTCTTCACGTCATTTCTAGTAGCAATGACTTCGCTAGAAGCTTCTAGCCCCAGCGGCAACGACAATCTTACTTCTCGCGCGTTTCCAATTCCGGTTGTACTCGACTCTGGCACCACGCTGTCGTACCTCCCCACCGATCTTGCTAAGGAGGTTTGGAAGGAGGTCGGCGCAATTTATTCGCAACAGTTTCAACTGGCTGTCATCCCCTGCGACATGGCTAACAGCAAGGGTTACTTTACCTTTGGCTTTGCGGGCCCCGACGGCCCTCGAATCAAGGTGCGAATGGACGAGCTGGTTCTCGACCTGACATCGGGGCGGCCTCCGACTTTCAAGACGGGCATCTACGCTGGCCAGGACGCCTGCGAGTTTGGTATCCAAAACTTCACCTCTGCGCCCTACCTTCTTGGCGACACGTTCCTGCGATCGGCATATGTCGTATATGACCTGGTCAACAACGAGATTGGCATTGCACAAACAGACTTCAATTCGACGAAGAGCAACATTATAGCATTCGCCAGCAACGGCGCACAGATTCCCACGGCGACCATTGCGCCTAACCAGAACGAGGCCACGCAAAGGCCATCGATGACCAGCCCAGCCTATGATGCTAGTGCCGGGTTTACGAACGGCTCTGCCACCAACAACCCAGCTCCGGGAATGCCGACGGCCCTGGAAACTTCTCAGATCTTCGTGCTAGGAATCTCTACTACGTTTGCGATGCTAGGCTCTGGCATATTCTTGGGGCTTTAGACTCGGAGGCAGCTGTGACCTTGCCCGTCACGGCTCGAACATCGGCAGCCGGTCCTGATGGAGCCAAAGTGGCCAACTACGATTCATTCTACGAAAACTAGATGTTTGGTTACAGAACATATTATTGAAAATCTAAATGTGTAGTGGCTATTGATGTTTGGATGGGTTGCATTAGGTTGGGCATTGGAAGGGCGTTTAATACAATAAACACTGGGTTGTTCCGGGAGATCGTGGCATTCGGCTTGCATTCAAGGGGGCGGGGAAAATGACGCTTAGGATATCGGAGTTTGGTTCATGACTTGCAAATACCGCCCTCCGTATGCACATTGTTGAATATACAGAGAGAGGTGACGGACCACCTGAATTACATTGAGTTATCACGCACTTTTCATCAGTCGTTGGCGCGATACTGGACTTCGAATGTCAGGGGCTTGTAGGAGGAATGTACCTACAGGGATGGCCGCATGGGACCCCTGCAACTGCCCGAACTGAAGCTTTGGCCCCACTAAAAAAATCGCGAAGCAGTTGATCCAGCGGTGCAGTGCTCGACAGATGCTGGCTTGGAAATCCCAACCTTTACTTCCTAGCCATTCCTTTAACTCTTTCGTTGTATGTGAAGATGAGGGTGATACGGGCTGTGGCTACGCTTAATAGCGGCCGCACTGTCGGACCGAGCCATGGCGTCCGTTATTTCAGCCTGGGCTGTCGCGCCGCCATCAACACGACGTCGTCGCGAGTGGCCCCAGCACTGCCAACGCTGCTTGGGAACCGCCGCCACTTCAGCATCACCAACTACAGGACGGCTGCTATCAGCGCCGCCGAAGATGCGTGAGTATCTACTTCTGGCTCGCCGTGACGCAAATCTCCAGAAAATCTGGGCTGACAAGTTGACCTCTAGTCTCCGGCAAGCAAAAGAGCTCGCGGCGAAGATGTCGCCCGAGGCGGCGGCTGCCCGTATGACCCCCGAAGAAATAAAGCGGCTATCCCAGGTCCGGAATATTGGCATTGCAGTACGTGGAATGGGCGTGCTTGGGCAATTAGCCTCCCCGGCAGCATAGATACTGAACTTGGACTAGGCACACATCGACAGTGGCAAGACTACCGTGACGGAGCGCATCCTGTACTATACCGGGCGAGTTAAGGCGATCCACGAGGTTCGAGGCCGTGACGGCGTCGGCGCCAAGATGGACTCGATGGAGCTCGAAAGGGAGAGAGGCATTACGATCCAGTCCGCTGCTACCTTTGCGGACTGGATTAAGAAGGAGGACGACAAGGACGAGACATACCACATCAACCTGATTGACACCCCAGGACATATCGACTTCACCATCGAGGTCGAGAGAGCGATGCGAGTGCTAGATGGTGCTGTGATGGTCCTCTGTGCCGTCAGCGGCGTGCAGAGTCAGACTATCACTGTCGACAGGCAGATGAAGCGGTACGACGTCCCGCGGATCAGCTTCGTGAACAAGATGGACCGCATGGGAGCGAACCCGTTCAAGGCGGTAGAGCAGATCAACAATAAGCTCAAGATCCCCGCCGCAGCGATCCAGATCCCCATTGGCGTGGAGAAGGAGTTTGAGGGCGTCGTCGACCTGATCGAGATGAGGGCCATCCGGAATGACGGACAGCGGGGCATCAACGTCAAGGTCTCCAAGGAAATCCCAGCCGAGCTCAAGGAGCTTGCGGAGGAGAAACGGCAGGAGCTGATCGAAAAGCTGGCCGACGTGGACGACGAGATGGCAGAGATGTTTCTGGACGAGAAGGTTCCCACCAACCTACAGATCAAAGCGGCAATTCGAAGGGCAACCATTGCGCGAAAGTTCACACCCGTGCTGATGGGGTCTGCGCTTGCCGACAAGGCTGTCCAGCCCATGCTGGATGCCGTCTGCGACTATCTTCCGAACCCGTCCAACATCACAAACATGGCCCTTGACCTCTCGAAAGGCGAGGCGCCCGTGGAGCTCGTCCCCTACAACTCGATGCCCTTTGTCGGCCTCGCCTTCAAGCTGGAAGAGAACCCCTACGGCCAGGTCACCTACTTGCGCGTCTACCAGGGGTCTCTCAAGAAGGGCACCTACCTCTTCAACTCGCGCACCAACAAGAAGGTCCGCATCCCGCGTATCGTGCGCATGCACTCCAACGAGATGGAGGACGTCGCTGAAATTGGAGCCGGCGAGATTTGCGCCGTCTTTGGCGTAGAATGCGCGTCGGGTGACACATTTACCGATGGCCGCCTGCCCTACGGCATGAGCTCCATGTTCGTCCCCGATGCCGTCATGTCGCTCAGCATCAAGCCTAAGCGGAGCAGCGACGCCGATGGCTTCAGCAAAGCCATGAACCGCTTCATGCGGGAAGACCCTACCTTCAGACTGCACGTCGACGAGGAGTCTGAAGAGACTATCATCAGTGGCATGGGCGAACTCCACCTGGACATTTATGTCGAGCGCCTGCGCCGCGAGTACAAGGTCGATTGCGAGACCGGGCAGCCGCGCGTTGCCTACCGGGAAACCATCAACACCCGCACAGAATTCGACTACCTGCTGAAGCGCCAGTCCGGCGGCCCCGGCGACTATGCCCGTGTTTTGGGCTGGATCGGGCCGAATGAGGAGAATCGCGAGGACAACAAGTTCGAGACTAAGGTGGTCGGCGGCACCATCCCAGACAAGTTCCTATCTGCCTGCGGCAAGGGCTTTGAGGAGGTCTGCCAGAGGGGCCCGCTCCTGGGCCACAAAGTTATCGGCGCACACATGGTGGTCACGGACGGCGCAACGCACGTCACCGACTCTAGTGACTATGCCTTCAACCTAGCAACGCAGATGGCCTTCAAGAAGGCCTTCGATGACGCCGGGGGCCAGGTTCTCGAGCCTCTGATGAAGACAACCATTACGGCCCCCGTCGAGTTCCAGGGCAACATTCTCATGCTGATGAACAAGCGCGGCACAATCGTGGACACCGAAGTCGGCGCCGACGATTTCACAATGGTTGCTGACTGCAGCCTTAACGCCATGTTCGGCTTCAGCTCGCACCTGCGGGCCGCCACACAGGGCAAGGGCGAGTTTAGCATGGAGTTTAGCCACTATGCCGCAGCGCCGCCACATCTGCAGTAAGTTATCCTGTCTCTTTACTCGTGGCCTGGGTGGCCAAGCTAACAACTTTGCAGGAAAGAGCTCGTTTCCAAATACCAGAAGGAACTGGAGGCGAAGCGAAACAAGTAATCTGGTTCTGCTTGACGACACAATTTTACGCAAACATGAATACCTCTACCCCAGGGAGTAGGGTGGATATCTGTTTGCGATCATACGAAACTGCAATCTAGAACAGAGTGTGGGTTCCGTCTCTAGGCAAGGCAGCTCTTCCAGCATAGAGCTGGACGAGTGCCGTGCTTGCGCGTTTCTTTTTGGGATAAACAAAGACGGGCCCGGTCCCTTCTCTACACTGAAAAGGGGCACACGAGGCAAGCAGCTACAGGCGTGGAGGCGCGCCTGGGCTCATTATGAAGACTCTGTATGTATATATATTTATGGATGTGTATGATTCCGCTGCTGCCGTGGGACCGCGGGGTGGTGTGTATGTATTATCATCTTCGGGGCAGTTGGCGGCAGCAGCCGCACACTAAATTAGAACAATAGTCCCTACTCTCACGGCGGCTCACGTCATACTTGGTGATCGGATGATAGTAGAATAGTTGGATGCCTGTTAGGAAGGGGTAGCTGAACGGCCTGGGCTTTCTTTCTTGCCTCCGGCGGCCCTCCGGGGGCGTTCGTTTGTATGTACCTCGAACAAGTTCTCTATCTAGCCCAGAAACGAACCGAGGTCGAGGAGATAGTAAATAGAGATTTCACAATTTACCACTCGACTCAGTCTAGGAAGAATTATCTTGTGGCCCAAGTGTAGACTCTTTTCATCGAAGCAAAGGTGAAATTTTTGTCTATCCACGAGTCCGTATTACTATGTACAACACAATGAAAGATAGGGCTAGATCATCCGGATATATAGACAGTGTCCACTGCCGTCTACAGCCGTCTGAGAATGTCATGGAGCACCTCCTCCGTCTTGGCCGTGCCGCCAAGGTCGGGGCTCAAGAACTTGCCCTCTTCTAAGTTGGCGTCGACGGCGGCGTAGATGGCGGCGGCGGCGGCCTCCTCGTTGAGGAACTCGAGCATGAGCGCGGCGCTGCGCAGCGTGGCGATGGGGTTGGAGATGCCCTGGCCCATGATGTCGGGCGCACTGCCGTGACACGGCTCGCCAATGGCGAAGCCCTCACCCACGTTGGCGCTCGGCACCAGGCCCAACGACCCCACCAGGGCGGCGGCGCCGTCCGAGAGAATGTCGCCGTACAGGTTCGGCGCCACGATGACGTCGTAGGCCTCGGGCTGGCGGAATAGCTTGTACACCATGGAGTCGACAATCTGCTCCTCGACGGCGACCGACTCGAAGCGGGCGGCGGCCAGGGAGTCGCGCGCCGTCGACCGGAACAGGCCGTCGGTCTGCGACAGCACGTTGGACTTGTGCGTGATGGTGACGAGCGGGCCGCGGTGGATGCTGGGCGAGCCGGCGGCGCGGATCTTTTGGCGGCGCAGCGCGATCTCGCCAGCCATGGTGGCGATGCGGCTGCTCGCGCGTTGCGAGATGCGCTTGATGGCCTCGGCTACCTTGCCCTCGGGCGTGTCGTACGTCTTCTCCTCCTTGACGTACAGGTCCTCAGTGTTCTCGCGCACAATGACCATGTCGATGGGCTTGGCCGCCGTCAGCACCGTCTTGACGGGCCGCACGTTGGCGTACAGGTCCAGCTTCTTGCGCAGCGCGACAATGGGCGACGAGTAGCCCTTGACGGCCGTCGATGGCGAGCTGACGGCGCCAAAAAGCGCGCCGTCGCAGTCGGACCGGAGCACCGACACCGTCTCCTCAGGCAGCGCCGCGCCCGTCTGCTCGAACGTCTCGAAACCGGCGCGCAGGTTGACGAACTCGAACTTCAGGCCCAGCGACGCGGGCAGGGCCTCGAGAAGGCGCCGGCCAGCGGGGATGACCTCCTTGCCGATGCCATCGCCGGGGATTAGGCCTTACGGGAGTGTTAGAGGCGAATATCCTAGCGTTAATACGACGTCATTCGAGGTGCTCACCGATTCTGAGAGTCCTGGCGGCCATGGTTGCTGTTCAATTGGCTTTATTCTTCCCCGGAAAATCGATGGCTCGCAGCGGTTTTTTTAGCCCTCCCGCATCTTCAGCTGGAGCTGAGTGACGAGCCGTCGGGTAGCGGCTGGCCGGGATCGGAGCTCACTAACCCCTAACCCTTGCTGAAAGCTCTTTCGTCGGCATATTCCGGGGAAGCTCTTAATTGATGTGGGGCAGCGATTTAGGGTTGGACTGGGAGCCGTTCGCGCAGGTGGCAGCTTGTTCCGGGGTTGAAACGAGTAGAAATGCAGGGGGTAAACTTCAAGAACTTTCTTGGTCTTTTATGATCGCTCCTCTTTTCGATGCCAGTGCCCTAGCTGTGCCACTCCAACTATCAGATGATTCACTGGCCGACAAACATCAAACAAGACGGCTCCCGCGTCGGCGCACGTGTAGATTTGGAGGACAAGGACCAAGATGCATGGCTTCTACATCAGACGGGGCGCCCGATTACCCAGGCCCAATGAAATTCCTGTGAGAGCTGTGCCAAGGGGGGGCCCAATGCATGACAGCACTTGAAACGCGGTCGACGGGCCGTGAGAAGGCGGACGACAACGCTATCCCTGCGCCTTGTCGAGTTGTTCGAGTTGGATCCAGCGTGCTGCCCAAGCTGTGCCCAGGTCGTGCCCTCTGCAAGCATGGCTCGACTGTTACGCAGTATGAACTGCTGTTGGCATCGCCAGATACTTGCTTCTTAGGGAGTGAACGCAGGTGGAAGAAATTACGGCGCGTTGTGACAAGTCGTGGGGAGTCCTAGACATTTGGGCCTTGGGGTCTGATGATGCATTGCAAACGACCTCAATGGTCCCAAGTAAAACAGCCTAGGGGCCCCGGGGAAAGAACAGCAAATCTACGTGAAGAAGCCGTGGCCATATTTTCCATTCCAAAAAGGACACAGCTTCTGACCCCTGAAACCCGTCCCAAAGCTCGGCCGGCCTGCTCCCGCGGCTCCTCTGATGGTCGAAATAAAAGCATGCCCATGCCCATGTCCATTGCTGCCTCAGTCTCGGCCCATCGCGCACAAGTGTTGATTTTTCTCCCTTCACCTTAGTTGCTGAAGAAATAAGCAAATCGAGCCTCCTGCGACCTGCATCAGGAGCTGCATGCACTGGCCATTGGATTGGAGCTCCCTGAAAGTCCCCGCTGTGCCAGCTCCCCTGAGCTACCTCCCCGAAAGCGCGCCCTAATTTAATGGAAAGCACCTCACTTTTTTAGGGTGGCACTACACCGTGCTTGCGAGAAGCCAAGTTATTCTCGTCCGCCGCTCATGTCATTTGCTTAAATCGTCCACTTCCGGCTACCATCGTCACCCCACGAGCCCTTGACTCAAAGTCTTGACTGTTGGCAAATCTGTTGTTGCGAAGGGCTCTTAGAGCTTCAGAGCTGCTCTCAGATTGGTCACATCCACCAGAGTGGCGGGGAAGACCAGCTCCCAGCGCTGCAGCGCGTCTCTCCTGCGTCAAGCGCGCGGAGGCCCAAAAGCCCAAAAGGGGTAAATTTGGGACACGGTCTGTCTTTCTCGAGCTCGACACCGCCCAGACCCGCGACAGGCAGCGGAAGTCGCTCCTTCCAACCCACCTGCCCACCCAGACACCGCCGACCGGCCCTTCGGAACGTCTTTGCAGTGCCTCGCAACCGAAACCGCAGCCATGAGCGGCGTTAAGGGCCTAAGGGCCATGTTCGAACAGAAGGTGGATACGAGTCCACCGGAACGAGGGAGGTCGCCTGGCATCCCATCAAGTGAGCTCTTTCCCTCCCGCTCCGCTGTCCTCGAGAAGTCGTGCGAGCAGGCACCTCTTTCTGCTCTAGCTTCCAACCGCATACCGACCATTCGGTAGCTTGCACGCCGATTGTATTCTTTCAGTCTGCCGAGGGGGCTAACATTATCTTCCAGGCGGAACCGAGTCCCCTCGCCCCCTTTCCAGAGTCAAAACAAGCTTCATCGCAATTGAGAAAGACGGGCGGATGGGTCTGCAGCGGGACAACAGCCAGGACTCGAGCTTCTCGAGCTTCTCGGCCACACGAAAACTGAGCGGCGAGATTGACGTGACATCACCCCCTGCTGTCGCAGAGCAGTCAAACGTCTTCGCAGACACAATGTCGAAAATATCGCCCAAGACAAGCCTGAAAGACCAGCCCATCCCAGAGTCGCCTCGGACAGCTACTGGCGAGACATCTGGTCTTCTGCCTGCTCAGGAAATACAAGATTCTAGACCGCCCGTGGCCAATGAAAAAGGGCCGAAGAGGCTGGGACTAGACAAGGCCGCCGACAAGAACACGGCGCCCCCGGCAGGCTCCGCAACACCGCGCGAGAAAGTGCCTCACAAAACACTTGGCAAGGAGGCCCCCAAGGCCGTGGCAAAGGTAGTAGCAAAAGCAAAACCGAAGCCTCTGGCTGTGCCGACATCGGTTCGGACCACGACCAAGTCGGCAAGGTCTCCCACAGATGCCAAAAGCCCTGTCACCCCCTCGACAGCAACAGCCCCGAAGCCAGCCGCCAAGAGCCAGGAGAGGAAGACGCGGCCGGAGCAGGCTGCGACCCCCAAAACATTGGCCAGTACGCCAAAGGCACCTAGATCATCGTCCTTGAAGAGACCCCCTCCTCTCCAGCCATCGCCGTCAGGTACTGGATTTGTTAAGCCCAAACCCAAGTCCCCAACGCGCCCCGTCACCCTACCACCGAGTTTGACCACGCATACCGCCGCGTCGGGGTCCAAAGTCAATGTCCCGCGCCAGTCCGTTTCTCGGGCTAGCGGCGGCATTCACACTGTCGAGTCGCTTGGACGCTCCCCTAGCAGGGGTAGCATTTCGACTGTGGCAACTTCAACCAAAACAGGCGAGACGAGGGGTCTTAAGAGGCAAAGCTCGACTATCAATCGGCCACGGCCGAGCCTGGGACCCCCTCCAAAGCAGGTCTCGAAGGACCACCCGCCCATCAAGAAAGACAAGGAAGTCGATGAGAGTTTCCTCGCACGCATGATGCGGCCCACGCAAGCATCGTCGTCCAAGACTGCCGAAAAGGTGCCCACAACGCCACCTCGCAAGCCGTCCCTGGCTCCGGGGGCGAAGAAGGGGCCAAACAAGCCAGAAGCCAAATGTGGTGTCAAGAGGAATACGTCCAAAGTCGGGGCAAGACTCTCTGGGTCTTCACAAGAGCTACAGGCCTCGACCGCCGACACTGTTGCGGCCGAGGTGGAGCAGGCTTCCACTGCAAGGGAGGTGATAAAAATCGCAAAGCAGGACAAAGTCGAAGCCTCGCTGCCCAAAAACGAGGAGCAGAGCGCTGCTGAAGAGGCAGCGCCAGTGTCTGAGGGAATTACATCTCCTGCCATCGATGCTACCGAGCCCGCTGAGGGAGAGGTCAAGGACGAAGCCGCACTGCCCGAGTCAGTACAGCTGGAGGAGAATACCGAACAGACTGCAGAGAAGATAGACGCGGTAGCAGACGAGGCAGCAGACGAGGCAGCAGACGAGGCAAAGCTGTCAGAGCCTGGAAATGCAGTTTCGACCGAGACAGCTGCCCCTGGTGAAACCCACGAGACAAAAGTGGCGGTCGACGAGCCGGAGAAGGACGAGTCCGGTGACGTGGCCGACGACAGTGTTGTTGCCCCTGACGCCAAAACCAAAGGAGCCGAGTCTGAGTCTGGCACTACTGTGGATTAATGCTGGACAATGTATTTCGAAACAGCAGCGCTGGAGTACGATTATAGCATTCCTTCTATCACTTTGTAATTCTCTTCGTCGGTCGCCGCAAAAAATAGGACGTTGTAGTGTTAATGGAGACCCCAACTTATATGATACCTGGTGGAAGAAAAGGGGCGGCCTTTGCAGGAGTCGGTTACGGGCCAGTAGAACTGTTGGCCAGGATCAACTTATTAGAATATCACTATTCAATTTTCTTTCTCGAAATGTTTCAGCTGCTTGGTGACTGTGATGAGTTGTCTTGGACTTGTAGCAATATGTTACACGGTTTATATACAGCAATATTTATTCGGCTGGTCGTAAACTGTCGCCATAGTAGCTCGACTCTGGTGCCACGCGGATCTCGAGCCTTCCAGCAAGCTCAGACCGCCTGTTGCCTCTGCCAGACAATCTCCCCAACTGTGCAAACTGATTCCGCCGCGTGACGGAAACAGTATCTGTATCTTACAGCATCTAGCCTGCCGTGTGGGAGAAGAGGCGAAGCTTCCCCAACCCACTCGGATCCCTCCCTCTCCGACGTTTCTTTCAAAGCCGTTTGCCGATCTGTTTGCCGCCGCTGCAGTGCCATCATCATGACACCCGGCACAGCACCAAGCCGCCGACCTTCTTGGCCAGCGCCTCGCGGATCTCGAGCACGCCCCGGTCCGTGGCCAGGAACATGGTCTCGCCGAGGTTGAGGCCCTTGAGATGGTCGGCGGGCAGGCCACGGCTGACGCGCTCGAGGGCGGGCAGCGCGGCCGTCACCAGGCGCGACGGCTTGCTCACGACCTTGACGTTGCGGATCACGGGCTCGTTGTCCCAGTACTTGAGCCCCAGCCACAGCCGCCGCGTCGCCACGTTGGCCGTCGTCACCGGCTCCGTCACGCCCCCTGCCTCCAGCGACGACAGCGCCTCCATCGGCGGCGGCTGCGGCCCGCCCCGCGTCACGCTGCCCACCAGCCCCGCCCGGTGCAGCGCGAGCGCCAGGTTGAGGTTGTACTTGTTGCTGGGCAGCGACGTGAGCCCCAGCCGCGCCCGCGTCGCGTTCTGCAGGTGCGAGCACGCGTGCGCTATGCTCTGGATGCCCATTTTGAAGGGTTGTGTGTGTGCTTCCGTGTGCGGCACGGAGAATCTAGGAGGAATGAGAGACCCGAAAGGGTTTGCCTCGAAGGCGGGTTGACGGGGTGGTTGTCTCCCTTCGCTAAATTACAGGCGTGTCCCAGGCTCGAGGACAGAGGTGGGAATGGAGTTAGCTGTTTTGACTGTCGAGCAGACTGCTGACTGTCGAGCAGACTGCCGGCAAGTAAGTATTTTTCTCGGTCGTCAGGGTGTTGGGGTTCTGGGGGCCACTGACATCCCCGACAGTTGGGTTCAAGAAGGAATCGAGGAGGAAAAGAATGGCACTCCTAGCCTTCAATTGCTCTGGGAGACGGGAGACAGCCTGTCGCTGAGGATATCGGCGCCGTCGTCGGTTCGGTTGTCGGGACAGTGACAAAATTCGGCACGGAGCAGTCGGAGCTCGCTTGGGTCTTTCCGCCGTCGTCGCGTTCGGCCAAATTTTGTCCACGCAAAACCGACGACAGGGATTGGGATTCAGGATTCAAGCAGGAGGCCCGAGCTCGGGCTAGCGTGCGGTGGCCTTGGCAAGCTGTCTCGCGGCCCCTCCCCCGCCTCGATCCCAATTGGCTTGACACCCTCCATTAAGCGCCGAGCAGACCAGTTGATGTGACCGCCCGCCACATCTCCATGCCGCTGCGGGCCTCCCGTCGGGCGAACTAGGAGTGGGATCACCACTGCTCCGCGGTGCTGATTTGCCGGCAGAGTGATGTCGAGTGCTGCGTGGGAACAGTGGAAAGCCCCAAAGCCGCCTAATGGCGGGCGCTGCATGAGAGGGCAGCACTGGGCCTGGGGCCTCGGATTGTGTGACGGTGTGTGTGATGTTGGGTGATGCAGCTACCTCCTGCCCTACCTACCTTGCCTACCCCTCGCATCTGTTCATTTGCGATGCGATGTCCCCGCGGTGCTGATTTGCCGGCAGAGTGATGTCGAGTGCTGCGTGGGAACAGTGGAAAGCCCCAAAGCCGCCTAATGGCGGGCGCTGCATGAGAGGGCAGCACTGGGCCTGGGGCCTCGGATTGTGTGACGGTGTGTGTGATGTTGGGTGATGCAGCTACCTCCTGCCCTACCTACCTTGCCTACCCCTCGCATCTGTTCATTTGCGATGCGATGTCCTCGTCCTGATCTCGTCTATCCGGGCTATTGTTCAAGACGGCTTCTTCCTGCCATTGCATGCCGGTGATCGCGAGACGAGGGGATTCGGACGTTGCGACGTTGTGAGCGTTTGGCATTCTCCACGGGCTGCGTCGCCCACCAATATCCACAAACGACGACGCGGAGCTCTTCGTAGAGCTCGCCCGCAAAGATGGCTGCCCGGCCAGGGGAAGACAACGTGGCCACGCTGTAAGTGGCCGTCTGTTCCCTGCTTGTCTGGACTGAAGGCGTCTGTGGCTATTTGGTCTAACAAGCTCAGCTTCGGGGACATCCACTACTTCTATGGCCCGCCAACCGACAAGCCGCAGCATCACAGGTTTGACAAGGGCTCGTACATCTACCTCTTTGAGGATGCGAACCAGGCGCGCGCCCGCCTCGAGGTCGCCAACCAGCCGGGCACCGACGACCAGGACGCCTTTGACGGCTGTAAGATGCTGCCTATTTCGTTTGGACGAGGGATCGGATGAGAGCTAACCTGCGTCGACGCATTGCTAGACCTCGACAAAACCCAGCTCGAGTACTCGTACAAGAAGTCGTGCGTCGTGACCCTGACGGTGGGCGACGTCGACGGTCACGAGGAGTGGCATCTCCCGACCTACGACCCCCACAACCAGAACAAGTACCACTACAAGCTGCACTCGCTCGACATCTACTTCTGGACCCAGCAGGACGCTTTGGAGTTTGTCAATGGCATCCGGCGCGTGCTCCCCCCGGCCCAATGCGAAGTCCTCGACGAGCCCGGCCCGCCGCCGCGCCACCTGGCCGATGTCAGCTCCGTAGTGCAGCAGCTTGAGCGGGCCGCCATCGCGGACTCGGACTCGTCCGTTGCCACCCCGCCGTCTACCATCTCTTACAGCACGCCGAGCGTCAGCGGTGCTCCCTCTGCTGGCCCGCCGCTCTCTGCATTCTCCGGCGCCGGGGACCTCACTCCTCCCCCGCCCCCGCCCCAGTTCGCTCCCATTGCCTACAACCCGGCCGCACCCCCTGCGCCCGAGCAGGTCCGGCACCGCGAGAAGACGCCTCCTCCCGATGACGATGTGGCGAACCCCCTGCACATGACCATGGCCTACGACGCCCAGACGCCCTTCTCCCCTGGGCTTGTGCCCAGCGGCCGCGGTCCCCTCAGCCCCGGCATCCCGCCGCCCAACATCCAAAACCCGCCCGGAGCGCCCTCATTCCCCGCCCCGCCCCAGCACAGCGTCACGTCTCCCGGCTTCGCGCCCCAGGGATTCGGCGCCCTCGGCGGACACCCCCTCGGCCTGTCCCAGCATCCAAACGTCCACCCCATGCTGTCGCGCTCCGCCACCATGCCCGTGCAGAGCACGACCCCGGCGGTCCCTTTCATGATTTCCGGGGGGTACACGCCCGGTTCGCCGCCGCCGAGCATCCCCGGCGGCTACACGCCGGGCTCTCCGCCTCCGAGAATCGCTGGCGGTGCGGCGGCGGCGGCGGCTCCCGCGCCCCAGGCGTACAACCCCGCTGCTCCTGCCGCGAGCGAGTACTCGGTCCATCAGCAGTTCTACATCCCCGAGAGTCAGTACAAGCCTAAGGTGGAGACTAGGGGCAAGCTGGAGGAGGGCGCTGGCAAAGTCGAGCGCGGCGTGACCGGCATGCTCAAGAGGTTTGAGAAGAAGTTTGGCTGATGGACTTTGGCTGATGGACGGCCTTTGGTTGGGGGGGGCGGGTGTTTGGGCGAGAGGTTAACTCTGGCGCGAGATTGTCTTTGGCTTGCTTTATCAAGCGTAGAAGAGCAGAGTTCACTGGAAGTGGTTTTGTCGTCCATTTAATCAACAAGGGGCAGAAATTGACGGTTGTTGCATCAAAGGGGGCAAGTGAATTAGGGTTTGCTCATATTCACTTTATTGGCGCAAGATTGTGTTATGTCTGTCTTTGTAAAACTAGACGCCGCTGGAAACTGGTATGGCCTTATTGCTCTTGACTAGGTCCGCCACCGATATTACTTCATGTAACACGACCTCATTGTCAAGGGATATCCTGTCCGCTGCGAGCCACCCCAAAAAGCAGCAACGCCAGAGAGGTGGATCGTTCGTGCGGAATACTCGCCGTCACGTAACAAGACTATATCCTTTCCGGTCCATGTGTTGTCCGCGTATCTCCTGGCGACGCGGGGCTGGAGGTGGGTAGTAGCGTCCCTTCCTTTCACCATGACCGAGCCTAGCGAGCTACGAGGCAAAAAAGGGGGAAGGTGGCTATCAACGTCGGCCGAGCCGCTGAGAGGGTGGATCGAATCCTCACGCACTCACACAGCCTCTCACCACGCCAGCGCCTCTCGCGACTCCTTGAACGCAGCAGCGGCCGGCTGCTGTTTCCTCTTCGCCTTCGTGTCTGGCTCTTCCGGCTCGTCGTCGTCCTCCCTCCTGGCCTCATCGGCAGGCGGAATCACGTCCCAGTCGATGTGGTATCGCGCCGCCTCGGCCTGCACGACGCCGTCCCATTTCCGAAGCAGCGGATGCGCCGCAGCCACGTCGGCAAACACGACATCACCGCTGCCGCCACTGCCCCCCTCACGGCCCGACTGCTCCGGCCCCGGCTTCGGCTCCGGGAAGTCGTAGCTCCACGTGCCGTCGCGCGCCCAGTACAACTCGCCAAACACGGCCTGCACGCATAGCTCCCGCCGCGCCTCGGCCAGCAGCCCGCGGACGCGTGCAGCCTCGGCCTCTGGCATCTGTGTTGCGGCAGCCGCAAGCCCCTCCAGCACGCCCAGGAGCTGCCCCGCGCGCGCGCCGATCGTGGCCCCCAGCCCGAACCCCTCGTCGAACCCGGCCTGCGCGCTCAGGCCCTTGGCCGCGGCGATGCCGTCGCGGTACCCCGCCGTCGTGTGCTCCTGCTGCAGCCGCGGCACGTCGGACGGGTGCGCGTGTGCGTGTCTACTGCCGCCGGCGAGGTTGCTGGTTTCATGGCTGTCGTCATCGGCGCCCCAGACATCGTCTGTGGCGTCGGCGTGGCTGCCGCCGTTGCTGTTTGTGTCCTGGTTCTCCGCGTGGCCCTGGTGGTACCCCTGAGCGCCGTCACCGGTGCGAGGCGCCGCGCGAGACGTCATGGCCTGGAAGACGTCGGGGCCTGCGTCGGCGGGGTTGCGGAGGAGCATCACTTTTGACTTTCCCCTGTCTTGGTTTTTTTCCCTTTTTTGATTTCTTGATCTTAAGTGCACTTCAGAGGCGGATCAGCTGGGCGAGATGTTTGAAAAAGACTATGTACAGCACGGTTGGCTGCCAGCGGATGGGTGAGCATGAATTGCTACGAGTGAACGACTGCGCTCCTTTACAGGGGGGGAAGGGAGTTCTCTTAGTGGGCTGAAGTTTTGAAGCGCGGGGTGAACTCGCCTGGCCAACCCTAACCCTGATTATTATTACACATTCTATGACAGGCCTCATCATCGTCTGCAAGTTGTGTTACTTGACGGAAATCTAAGCGCTGTCTGACTAGGTATGGGCTGTGGGTGCTATATTGTAAGCTTGGGGCCTGGTAGAAATAGTACCCCTGAACGCCACAGGTTGGTGGTTCAGTGATTCGAAAGAACGACTTTCGAGCGTAGCAAGCAGCCCGCCGTAGGGGCCCCAGGAGGGCCGCTGGAGGCCATAAAGAAGGAGAAGGCCGTTCAGCGCCCCTTGCTGACTTGCCAGGTAGCGTATTTTAGACGAAATGAAAGTTCAAGAGTTCTTGAATAAATTTCTACAGCAAGTCTGCCCTTTTTCAGTCGGCTCCTACACCATCACCGTTTCGCGGCGCCGCTTCGCTTGGCCACCACATCGGCCAGCTCCGTCTTGGGCAGGAGGTAGGGCGTGATGGTGTTGCGCACCAGCGTGCGCTGCTCAAACGCATAGGCGATGCCAATCAGCGTCTCCTCCGAGAAGTGGCCGCCCATGAAGCTGATCCCAAACGGTTGGTTCGGCGCCCTGGCCACCAGGTTGCCAAACCGGTTCCTCGTCACCGTCGTGTTGGCTGGTAGCTTGCCTAGCGGCACCGTGATGACGGGCGACCCGATCAGCGCCGGCAGCCCCGACGCGACGGCCGTCGGCACCACTAGCGCGTCCAGGCTGTAGTTCTGGAGCGCCCCGGTAATGCCTAGCGGGCCGGCAAAGTACCGCTGCGCCGTGTAGTTACCCCAGAACAGCGGCGACTCGTTGCCGTGCGTCAGGTTCAGCGCGGCCTCCCAGATAAGCGTGTCGCGCTCCGGCCAGTCTTCCAGCGGGCTGGACTGCGTAAAGGCTTGCAGCGAGGCAACTGAGGTGATGTTGTTGGGGTTGGAGCCCAGCTTCGACACGTACCCTGCGAGGTTCGTGATGAAGTCGGACATGAGCACGTTGTCCTCGTAGTCGCCGGCGTTGACGGCCTCGTATCCCGGCAGCTCGAGGTCGTCGACGACGGTTGCGCCGGCCCCGCGGAGCACGCCGAGAGCAGCGTCGAACTCGGCCTGGATCGGCGCGAGGGTGACCGACCGCACCAGGTTGCGCGGCACGCCAATGCGCTTGCCGGCCAGGGCGAAGTAGTCGCAGGCTTTGACGTAGTTCGGGATCTTCTCGAAAGGGATCGCCGATGTGTAGTTGTCGTTGGGGTCTGGCCCCGCGATTGCCGAGAGGAGGTACGCGGCGTCCCTCACCGACCGCGCCATCGGCCCGACTGTGTCTTGGTGCTCGGAAATAGGCACCACGAGGTACCGCGACGTGAGTCCTACCGACGGCTTTATCCCCACCAGGTTGTTCATGTTGGACGGCGACAGGATCGAGCCGTCCGTCTCGGTCCCGAGGCTGGCAAACGCGAGGCCAAGGGAGCTGGACACGCCGCTACCGGACGACGACCCGGACGGGTCTTGTTTCGGGTAATAGGCCCCTTGCGTCTGCCCGCCAACTGCAGACCACCCGTTGCTGCTGTTGGAGCTGCGGTAGTTGGCCCACTGGGAGAGGTTCGTCTTGCCGAGGATGATGGCCCCGGCCTTTCTCAGCTTGGCAGCCATGGTGCTGTCGGCGGGAATCTTTGCACCAACGAGGGCGTAGGAGCCGGCCGTGTTGTCCATCTTGTCAGCCGTGGCGATATTGTCCTTGATGAGGACGGGGATGCCGTGCAGAGGCCCGTAGTGAGTCCCGGCCGCCCTCGCAGAGTCCATCTCGGCGGCAATGTCCAGGGCATCCGGGTTAATCTGCGTGACCATCTTGAGAGGCGAGCTGACTTCCTTGATGCGGGTGATGTAAGCAGTAACAAGGTCTACGCTCGTGAACAGGCCCGTCTCGAGGCCTCTTGCCAGGTCCACGAGGTCTGCCTCGATTAAAGGGGGGAATGGCGTCCCGTTGATTGCCGTGCTCGAGTTTGAGCACAGCAGTGCCGCACCGCCATCTCGTATCAAGCACGCGGCCGCGACGGCTATGGCGACCCTTCGCAGGGCCAATGTCAACATTTCATCCAAGTCCAAGTTCTCGGTGTAGGCTCCAACTGGGCAAAACAACAACGATGGCGACGGCGACGAAGACGACAACGACGGGAAGCAGACAAGGCAAGCTACGCCAACTAGCACGAAAAGGCCAAGAAAACCTGCGATGGGAGCAGACAAACACGGGAAACGAGGATGGGCATGTATATACCGGCGTCCCGCCCTGGGAGCGCGAGTGCCCAGGCCGGCTATCTGGACAGGGACTTTATCCATCTCCCGTCCTCTCGGGCCCTGCCACAGTTGGGCGTTGTTGACGTCGACAGGAGGCCTGGACGCGCGATGGCAGAATCTAGGCCGCGAGCCGAAGAGAAGATGTGCAGCGGCTCTTGTTGGACACCAATTGTCATACAGGAACACTCATGCATTGCCTACCTAGCGCGTGGGAGTTCTAGCGTCACCCAGGATTGGGGACGCTGTGAACTGGCACCTTCCAGTCTTGGCCACATCACGCAGCGCAGCCGATTCGGCGGCCCACGGGGGAATGGATTAGCATTTGGTCCAGTAATTCCGTCCAAACAACTTATCACCGTTATCGTCGGCTAGGTGTATTCCGTGTGCAAGGCAAGCCAAGGAGTTGCGAGGCTCGGACTTAATTGTTGTGGCTTGGTGTGCAAGCCCCAAATTTGGGTAAGGTGTGCAGTTTACCTTGGCAGCGTTGCTTTGCGGCTGCTTCAACTCTCCAGCAAAGACAAAACACACGACTACCGATGCAACCATGCAACGATACACGCCGATACTTCAAGGTACTTCGCTTCTCCCGACACGTCTTCTCGCTGGATGCAATGGAACTTTTTTTTTTTGAAACGCATACGCTGACATTAGGATTATCAGAGAATCACATTATCTCGCACTTTCCCGGCAGCGGCAACCCACACGGGCCTTCCTTAGCTTTCTTGCCCTCGTCCGCCTTGGGGACCGCAGCCTCCTCCTTCTCAGTGGCTTTCGCTCCATTCGTACCCTTTCCTGCCGTCGCGTCGCCACCATCATGTAGTCACGCGGTGCCCGAGGCGTACTTGGCCGCCGTCTTATAGAACCACTCGCCCTGGATGGTCGCGAGCTCGAGCTCCCTCTCGCTGGGCTGCCGGCTGCCGTCGGACCCGGCAATCGTGCCGGCGCCCCACGGGCCACCGCCGCGCACCTCGGTCACGTCGACGAGCTGGGCGAACGCCTTGGCGTAGCCGAAAGGCACGTAGAGGATTCCGTGGTGGGCAAGGGTGCTGATGGCCGCGAGCGCCGTCGACTCCTGGCCGCCTCCCATGCTGGCGGTCGACAGGAAGAACCCGGCGAGCTTGCCGTAGAAGCCGCCCGACGACCACTGCTTGCCCGACTTGTCCCAGAAGGCCTTCCACTGCGTGGGGAAGTTGCCGTACCGTGTCGGGATGCCAATCAGGAAGGCATCATACGCCTCCAGCGTCGACGGGTCGTCGATGACGGGGATGTCTGTGGGCTTGGGCGGGGCGTACATCTTGTCCAGGACCTCTTGCGGGAGAGTCTCGGCGACCCTGAAACATCAAAGTCAGACCACGGAACGCTTTGCGCGTCATGCAAGGGGGACGCACTGGTAGAGATCGGCAGTACCACCGGCCTTCTCGATTCCTTTCTTCTCGGCCTCGGCGAGCTGTCTGATGTGGCCATACATGGAGTACTGGAGAGAGCGTCAGCCAGGTATAGAACAAACCCCATCTCGCATCTTGACATGGGCGGGGCCATGTTGATGTCACAACGACTAGGGAAAGGGGTACGGAGTCCCTACGTAGACGATTGCAATCTTGGGCGCCATGTTGAGGATGAGTCTGGAGTCTTGGGTGTCTAGGTTTGTGAACAAAGTCTGTGGGTTTCGACTGTGCGATTGTCGGATGGAGAAGAAAACGTTCCATCGGGGGACAGCTGGGTATATATACCCCAGGGATATAATTAACCCGGGGTGGAGGAAGTCCCATTGCGACGCAGTGCGACATTGATCGACCCCGGGAGACCAAAGGTCCGATAGCTGGGTATCCGGGCCTAGCTGGCTCGAGACGGATCGGATTCGTCATGATCAAATAATCACGTTCACACACGCAAGGGAGACCCCAACCCAGCGCAAACGGGGCCAGAAGTACAGGCACAGGCACAGGCACAGGCACAGGCACAGAGGCACAGAAGCACAGCTACGGTCAACTTGCCCAGCTCCTTCACTTCGACTTCCTTCACACTTGGAATAGTATCAGCCAGCAGAGCCGCTGGGGACTTACCCAGAACCAGCATCCAGACAGCTCCAGCTAACCAGCTAATAACCGACAGACATGGCGTCGGCACGCGAAGCACATAAGCATACGGGCGCGCACGCAGCTCCCGTTGTCGAGGGCAGCCGGAAGTCAACTCAAGGACGACCCCGCAACCCTATCTTAGCTATCGACCTATTACCCCTCACCACACCGGGAGCCATTGACCTATCCACCGAGGGCTAGTCTGTGGTGCATGCCGCATCCCCGCTGGGACGCTGTGGATTGCTGATTAACAGCTTACATTCAGAGGCCTGGCTCTCCTTGGCACCTTGTCCAGTGTGCCTCGCGCGCCTTCAAGCTTGAGGTGGGCCGTTAATGGGCTGGCCTGTCGAGACAACTCCACAGGCCAGAGCAATGGCTCCGTCAGCAGCCAGCAGTGCTTTTGTCACCATTTGTCACTCATTAGAAACGTCCAAACGAGCGCGCGCGCGAGGCCAACACCAACCTCCTCCATGTTATTTGAAATGCGAGCGGCGGCGGCGTCGAAACCCCACTCTGGCAGAGGAATCGTCTCGACGGGCGCGCGACTGCTCGCCCGTACGGCGTCCGGCCCCGTTCCGAGGCCAGCCAGCCGCGAGGACTTGTACGAAAGGCTGCCCTTGGTCCGTCTCGGCGAACGGCATTAGGGCATTAGTCACGAATAATAACTAATCATCCGATTAACTGGTCAATTGATGGATGTATCGCTTTGTGTCTTGATGCAGGCGCTCTGAAGTGGTCAAGCCTCACGTCACATTGGTCCCGGGCCGCAGGTGCTACCTAGTTAAGGTCGGTTATGCGGCGTCTTAGTTCCACACGATATTTGATTCACCACATCTCGAAACGTCGAATATGCTTCGGCTGTTCTGCCGAACGGGGCAGATGGATATTGGATAACGCAGATGACAACTAAATGCGAGCTCGCTAACCGACGGCAACCTGCTCCCGCCCCTGCGTTCTTGGCGGTATTCCGCTGGGTGGTTTCTTTCTAATTCCCCCTTTTCGCTGTTGTTTCTTACTCTTCCCATTGCGCCGTGATGGACGAGCTTCCAATCCAGCCGATCCGATAACGCAGAACAACGTCAAGGACGTCCGCCAGGGAACCAAGTCCCCATTTTAAAGGGTTCGAAGTTTTCATTTTAATTAGGTATTTAACTGACGCGGAAGTTTCTAATGGCGTATCTAACGGTTCTATCCGTACCCTTCCATCTATATTCCCATTCCGTACCCTATGTTGATGTTCATGTCGTACTAATGCTAATGCCATGCTAATGCCAATGCTAATACAGATAACGACTTCAAGTCGTGATCAATGTTGGTCGCCAAAGTCCGACCATCAGGCCTTCCAGTGCCCATGCTTTCTATAGAGTATGGCTCTCGAGACCAAGGTAAGGAGAGCCGACAAGAGGAGGCCAGCTGCTGCATACCCCATGGTGCCCAGCCAACGTGCCTCGGTTCGGTCGCCGAGGATCGCGCCTGCGATTGGCGTCCCGACGAGAATGGCGACACCAGAGATGAGAAAGCTCGTGCCCAGCCTCGCCCCGACTCTCCCCATGTCAGGAGAGAGTCCAACAATGACGGTCGGCATCAGGCTGACCACGCCGCCGGAGAAGGCGCCGTAAAGCAGCGCAAACACAACAGCGCCAGCTAGGTTGTGGATCCCCATCCAGCCGAACGCCAGCACCGCGCTTGCGAGCGTGCAGATTATCTGCATGTTCATGCAGCCCCAGCCATCAGCCAGGGCGTTTGGCACTAGCCGTCCCAAGATGGACCCGACGTTGAGCAGCGTCACCAGATACGGCGCAAAGTCAGGCGTCGCGATGCCGTGCGACGTTCCGAAGAGGGCGAGGTAGAAGAAGGGCACATAAAGCATCAGAAACGAGAAGAGACTGCCCAGAACGAACACCACGTAAGGACCGTCGCGCAAGGCGGTCATGTCGATTATGGACCGCGTCTTTCCGCTCGGTGGCACGCGAGTGCGCATGAAGATGACGGGCGGGATCGAGACGGCGAGCAGGATGAAGGCGATGACCCGGGTCGCCCACCCAAACCCGATCTGCGGCTGGAGTCTGCTGAAGATGATCGGGAAGATGATGCCGGCGACGGGCGAGCCGACACTCGAGATGCCGAGGGCCAGGGCCCGGCGCTTGGCAAAGTACTGGCTCAGGATGGCGGCCGACGGCAAGAACGTCAGGCCCATGCCAATGCCCACGCAGAAGCCCTGCGCCAAAAGAACCTGCCAGTACACGGTGCACAGCGAGGTCATGAACTGCCCAAACACGATGAGGAAGAGCCCGACCACCAGGAGATGGCGGAAATAGCCCGCGTCGAACAACGGGCCCGCGATGACGCCTACCAGGAGGAGCAGAGCGCCCTGGGCACTGCCGACCCAGGAGATCTCGGACGCCGAATTGGACTTAAGGAGGTCGGCCTCGTAGTACGACTGATAGACTCCAAAGGTGTTGATGAGCCCCCATGTGCAGGCCAGAACAGCTGTTGATCCAGCGACCTGGAGCCACGCCTCGAGGCCGCCATCAGGAACCGGGCCCACGGCTGGTGGTTCGGGAACTGCAGCCGCCTCCTTCGATACAGGTGGGCCGGGATCGGCATCGCCGGCCGGGGCAGGCGCGAGAGGTAGTCCCGCCTCGACGTCTTTCTCCGTTTGGCCCATCTCCTCGGGGAGGTCCGACTCGGAGGAGTCGGCAGAGAGTATTTCTTTCATCTTTGACTTTTTGACTGTGCTGGAGTAGACTAAGGCGGGGGTTGAGTGTCTCTTGAGCCTGGCCACTTTAAGTCTGTGGTTCCGAGAATCGGCTCGTCGTTCGGTTGATACTGGAGGGTCCGAACCAGCTGACTAGTGTTGTCGGAACCGTAGATATTGTTGACCTGATAGCTCACCCTGTTTTTTCTATTGGTGTTGCACTAACGGGAGCTCGCTGGCACAACATGGTAGGACTAGGCCTCCCCCAAGCGATAGCGGGACTGGGGCTCTACTTATTGGCAGCTATCGCCGCTTGGGAAGGAGTTACGAGAGTGGTTTGGTTGAAGCAAACTTGAGTCCACTTCAGATACCAAGGATAGTTTGGATGGGAAAGCTAGTGCCGGCCCCCCTCCTTTCGCCTGCGCTTTCCAGGATATTGGACCACATTCGGATTAGCAGCCAGGCTTGCTGCTTTTTCCCGCGGATGGTTCCCACTGTAGATTTGCGGAATGCCGCCGCTGCAGGAACTGCTCCAACCAACGCCTACGGTGCTATGAAGACAAGATATTACCGTAACCCCAAATTTCCCCCCGGAATCGGGATTATGGCAGCAGCAGCATGGAACTGTTGCGGCGAGGCACGGCAATCATCTCGCCACGGACCTTGTGCTCAGTTGCCTCAAATTCTTTGTATTGGGTTGACCAATTCCGCGGCGCTGACCAAGCTCCGGGTAGAGCCTTGGTAATTCGGTAGCCTAAGCCAACCCTTGATTAATGATCATTAGGGTTGGGGAAAACTATTCACCGCCCATCAGATTTTCTTGTCTTCTTCGTCCGCGAACGGCACATTACCAAGCGGCTTCGGATCCCCCGCAGAGAAAACAACGTGCCGGCCACGCGAGGCCCCCAATCATATTTGGCCTTTATTTTCGCGGGGCGTTTTCGAATCCTGCACCGTCACCCGGGCTGGACTACCCTGAAAGGAGCTAAAGCGTGCTGGGGAAGGCACATGATTGGCAATTGAGTTGACGTGCCCAGCTCGAAGAACCGCTCTCCCCCGCAAAATCTGCATGTAAACCTTCCCGTCCTCGTCGGTTCTTGGCGGATGGAAGAGTTGTTGAACAACGTCTAGATTAAACAACTACCTTTGACCAGTCACTTGACCTACTCGGGCAAGAGCTAAGTTGAAGAGGTTCCCTTGTTGGCAGCCGGTAGCTAAATGAATAAGTTACCTCACCCTCGAGTCTTTCACAGTAAGCAAACTCGGAAACCGTCCGAGGGACCTTTGAGGATAAGGGGTCCTCTTAAGTACACCTTTCCGCGAACCACTGCCGCATACATAAGTACATGTACAGCCAAGTCTCAAAAGTAAGGTACTTGCTTTTGGGCGTGGTGCGGAACGTTCCTCACTAACCAACATTCAGATGCTCGCTGTACCACTGGACCTGCTAAGCATAATCCAGCCATTGGAGGGCCGTTGGAATTAATTCTCTTGCGGTGAGCTGCAAAGACGCTTGTGATTCAGCACGATGCACAGACTCGAAAGACGCAAAACAAGCACTAATGACGTGAGGCTCGTGTAACGTTAGATATTCCATATCGGGCACTGGAGCGGATCTGAATTGTGCCTGTGGATTCGGGAAGAACTGAGGCCCGTGGCCTAGTGATTGACCGTCTTTGATGCCGCGGTAATATCGAGACGGTGGGCACGAAATGTGATTTATCGACGTGGAAGGTGACGAGTGGGTTTTTGGATTTGGGGGTTGCCCGAAGACGTCAACCATCCACCTGCCGAATAACAGTTGCTTGTATCGTCAAGGAAATGGCAAAGGTAGCGCCAAAATTGACGAGTTTGTGTCGGAATGTTCATGGCACCAAATATATGAGGACCTTTCCACTTTACCATCTAGACGTCTCAGCTTCAGTCAACGAACGGCCCTGAAATGCCGCGACTTGACCACCGCGAACCCGGAGACTCTGTATAGCACTCTCTCATTTGCAGCCGGCCCTTAGAGTTTAACGTCATATCACGGCTTCGGCAAGTCAATTCAAAGTCAAACTATCCTGCATGATGTCTGACGGACTTGGCGACTACATTCCGGGATGGTGGCGCCGTCGCGTGGCCTGACCTAGGGCTTATCAGTCAAAAACGCAGAGGTTTCTTTCGGAGTAGGCCCTCCCAGATACGCACTCATTTCCTGCCTTTTACCGGATGTGACCGTGGGTTGGCCTAATATACTCTACTTCACAATCTTTGGGCACACACTTCCAGAGAGATCTGGAATTCGAATCTTATTTTTGTCGATTCTTTTGGGTTCTCATTTTGCTTCTTTTTCTAGATTTGCCATCCTTCTTATCCTCAGTGCTTCTTGGGCTGCAGGGCGCGTTTGAATTAATTATTACATTTAATCTCGTGTTGTGGGAGACGAAACATGCCGGGGAAGCCCAGTGAGGGTTGAGGCTGGATTCGTTTCGGCACCCAGCCCACTGGGGACGACGCCGCACCAGCGTTAATGTTTACCTAGAACAGAACAATAATGCGGCGGCGTGGATGCTTTAGCTAGATTCACGTATTCGTGCTTTGTACCGCCTGCCGTGATACTTTTCATCAACAATCACGCCAAGGCTGTTGTGCCCCGGCTTCATTGCTGACAGCTGCAGTGCCACTACGGCCAACAGTGGGCACTACGGCCAACAGTGGGCCAGCGCTAGCAGGGGCTGGCCAGCCGAGAATTTCCCACGACACTGGCAGGCGCGCCGCTGAGTTGCACAGCAATCGGCGAATGGCAACTCCCGACATCGCTGACGTCGTCTTCACATGGCAGCTAGCCTCAGCCGACACATCACATCAAGTTTGGCACACCACGACGCATCTCATCCAACACCGCATCACGACACCGCACCTCGCCTGAAATGCATCGCCCTCGCGACGCCCTGGCCCTTGGACTCTGATTTCTGGGCCGCCATCGCCGCTCGCGTCGGCGTCGAGGCGCCATGGTCGACCACGATGACAGCTCCCACCAAGCCGCCCGCAGGCCCCCACGGCACCCGTCTCTGGACACAGCCCGCCCGAGCCTCGACGAGGCCGACGCTGACACCGGCTTCTCGCGCGGATTTACCCCCGACTCGACCCTGGTGAGCCCTTCTGACGACGTCGACCCCGTCCAGCGTCCGCGACCTGTTAGCTACGGCGACGGCGAGAGACGACGCTCCAAGACGGGCCGCCCGCACAAGCACCGCACTAGCGGCGCCTTTCTGCTCGCCGACCCCGTCTACCACGCCCCCGAGCAGCCTCGCACCCAGCCCAGGCATCTACGGCACTCGGTCGACAACCCAAAGACCAGGTCCCAGTATGGCCACGACAGGCCGCATCCCCGGGCGCAGGGAACGCAGGCACACTCACAAGCACACTCGCAAGCACAATCACCAGCACACTCGCAAGCACACTCGCAGGGACACACCCAAGCATACATACAGGGGACGCAGCACAAACAGGCACACTCGGGACACTCGGGACACACCGCTGTCGGGCTCGGCCTCGACCTCGACCACCCACCCAGCCGGACCGACCGCGACAGAGCCTCCACCGGCACCGTCGTGCGCGACTCGCTCGACGGCCCCCTCGACTTGGAGTCGGCCCAGATCGTCAACATGGCCCTGAACCTGAGCGAGTCCAAACGGCTGGCGTCGCGGCGCAACGCCTCGCAGCCCATCCCCCGCCTGGCCCCCCTGCCCGACAGCTCTACCGGCGGCAGCCTTAGACAGCACCTCCAGCAGCAGCGCCGCATCTCGCGCACCATCTCGCCGCGCCCCGATCGCTCGCCCAGGGTCGGCTCTGGCCGCGTGCTCAGCCCCCTGCAGACCTTCGAGTCCGACGGCGCCTACCGCTACCACTTCTCGCAGTCGACGCTGGCCCGCGCCCAAAAGGCCAAGGAGTACCTCGAGCTCATGGCCCAGTACCGCCGCGTGCTCGACCTGCTGCCGCCGCTGCAGCCTGCCCGCGCCCGCCCGCCCGCCGCCAGCCCTCCTGACACCCCCAACGGCTCCGTCCACGTTTTTAGGGTTCCCATTAACGACGAGCCGAAGATCGGCCGCCCCTACGACCCGCTGCAGTACGTCCGCAACCGCAAGGTCCGCGCCCGCGAGCGCAAGGTCATCGACGGCGAGGCCCACGGCTTCGGCGACGTCGTGCGCGTCTCCGAGTGGGTCGACGACGTCTCGAGGTGGGTGGCCACGGCTGCCACCCGCTCGCCAGGCGACGGTGCCCTGCCCGTGTTCGCCGCCGCCCACTCCAGCACCACCCAGAACTCGCCCCCGCCGGCCAGCTCGCGGCCTGTCGTCCCCGCCAAGCCACGGCGCCCGCGCGTCGACTGGGCCATCGATCCCGCCGACATGCTGGCCGACGTCTACTGGCTCGAGCAGGACGGCAACAAGAAGCTCGTCGAGGACCGCCACTGGCGTCGCGTCTTCCCCCAGGGCCCCGACCTGTACCAGCCCGCGTCCCACGAGGGCCTGCGCACCACCCCCGGCTCCGTCAAGGACGTGTCCGACCACGCGCCTGCCGAGCCCGACCCCCCCGCCAGGGCCGAGAGCGAGCACACGCTCAGCTCGACGCGCGACCGTGCCCAGCAGAAGCTGCGCGCGCTCAAGGGCTCGCACCACCGCCAGAACAGCTCGGCCAACCGCGACCTGCGCATCCACCGCGGCTCGCTGTCCGACTCGTCCGACACGGACAGCGACCGCCGCCGCCGCGCCCGCGCCGGCACCCTCAGCGGCGGCAGCGAGGCCATCCTGGCCAAGCAGATGGACGACATGATTGCGCGCGAGCAGCGAGAGGCCGAGGCCGGCGGCCACCCCGTCTACGGCAACGAGGCGCTGCGCATCAAGTTTGCCGCGCCCAGCCCCGTGACCCCAGAGCAGAGGACGCGCGCGTCGTCGCCCAGCCGCGCCAACAGCCACCGCCGCATCGACTCGCTGAGCGAGGCCGAGAGCAGGCGCAAGCCCAGGCCCTCGCCACCGCCCGTCGGCCGCGCCAGCCTTGAGGTCCCCCCAGGGCCGAGGCGCTTATCCATCGAGTACGACACGTCGCAGCCTAACTCGCCAGACCTGCGCCCCGCCCGCGACGGCGCCCTCGTGCCCGCCATCGGCTTGGATCTGTCGCCCTCGTCGACCCGGCCCAGCTCGCCCACGCGCAACCCGCTGACCAAGGTCAGGAGCATCTTCCGCGAGCGCAGCAGGGACCGCGTCCCGGAGCATCCTGGCCACGACAGTGTCGGCTCGTCGCCCGTGCCCGAGTCGACGCCCGACGCAGCCAACGGCCCGCCCGACCGCCGCCCCTCGAGGAGCCCGCTGCGCATGGTCAAGGGCGACGCGAGCCACCGCTCGCACCGCAGCACGGGCAGCGCAAAGCTGCGCGACGACGCCGGCAGCGGGCTGCGGTCGCTGTTCCTGCGCCCGCGCATCGATAGCGTCCTGCGCACCAGCGTGTCCAAGGTCAGCGACATGATCTGGCGGCGCGACGGGCCCTTCGAGCAGTCGTCGGGCACCTCGTCGGACGATTCGGAGCCCGAGCCGGCTAGGGGCCGCTCTCGGGGTCCCCATCGCTCCGTCTCGCGCCACGGCCATGTCCACAGCACATCGGCCTCGGCCCACAGCGCCAGGAGCCACCTCGACGCCATGCCGCTGTTCATGCCCACCATCGACCAGGGAGTCGTGAGCGACCGTTCCGCCCTGGCACCTGCCTCGCGCCCCCTGAGCCGCCGCTCCTCGCGCTTCGACCTGCTCAAGCCGCCGCGCATCGACGTGCAGAACGCCCCGCCGAGCACGTCGCCGCCGCCAGCCGAGGTCCGCCCACACCCCGACGACTCGGACTCGGACTCGCGCACTAGCAGCTACGTGCGCGACGCCGACGCCCGCCTCAACGCCGTGATCTTTGCCAACCCTCAGCCGCGCCCGTCCCCCAGCCGCCACTGGTCCATCGCCGACGCCGACCGCCCGCCCGCCCGCGCCGCCGTGTCCAAGCGCGAGGTCGCCCGCCTGCGCGCCCTGCTGCTCAGTTCGGGCATCCACGCCATGGAGATGGACCGCCGCGCCCGCGAACGCAAGCTGCTCGGCCTGCCTAGCGCCCGCGCCGTCGCCGCCGACGCCGCGCCGCCGCTCGCCTGGCCCGAGGTCGTCGCCCTGTGCCCCGACCCCGCCGTGCGCCAGCGCCTGCTGGTGCGCCCCGTCGCCCGCCGCGACCTCTACCCGCTGGCCGCGCGCGTGCTCGGCTCGTCCATCCAGGCGTCGGCCCAGCACTTTCAGGCCGTCTCGGACCGCTTCGCCAACGACACGGCGCCCGCCCTCGAGCGCCGCGTCGAGGTCCTGCGCGCCACGGTCGCCGGCGAGCTGACCGAGCGCACCCAGATGGCCGCCGACGCCGCCGACGAGGCCAGCCACGATCTCGTGTCTGGCCAGCGCCTCAAGGTGAAGCGCGTCGTCGACGTCATCGAGAAGATGCTGCGCCGCCGCCGCCGCCGCTTCCGCTGGGCCCGCCGCGCCGGCTGGCTGGCCGTCGAGTGGGTTTTGGTGGGCTTCATGTGGTATGTCTGGTTCGTCGTCATGATCACGCGCGTGCTGCTGGGCGTCGGCAATGGCGCCGTGCGCGCCGTGCGCTGGCTGCTGTGGCTGTAGTTTTTTCTCTGCCGTTTCTGGCTGTTATTACCACTTGTATTGCCGTTTCTTCCCTCTGTTCCTTTCCTCTGGTGGCTTAGCGAGGCGTTGGGCCGTTGCCCTGGTGTTGGCGTTTGCAGGTGTCGGCTGGGACGAAACTAATATTACCACTACTGCTATTTCTTGCCCGGGGACGGATGGATGGGATAAGCCAGGCGGCGACGCATACTAGCCACCTCCAAAACTGTGCTGGCGATAGAGAGAGGATTGGGGGATTGTTTATTGGGTATCGCTCGTTAGTGCTACTCTGCGGCCTCGTGTCGAGCATCTGCGTATCGCGATAGCTTCTTCATCGTTCAAAACTCTAGACTACTACCTGGGCGCAGCCCGTTTGTTACTACTTGGTTCATGTCTTGTTACCCGTCGGCCGTCTATGTTCTGTTGTATGTTGGGCCACGGTTGGCTGCAGAGAATCAAGGCTGGCTTTCTAGCCATGGGGATCTAAGCGCCGACCCAAAGCCAGAACCTGCCGTCTCCGTTGTAACTCACCATCGTCCCCAGCATGAGGCAGCTCGTCTCCTAGCACCCTTCACTCGCCAGATCCTGCGGCCCCGGAGGGCCGCCGGAGGCACAAAAGGAGTAAGAAAAAGGGTCCAGCTCCCCACCCCGAGAAGCAAGTTGAATAGTATTTTAATCCCAACGATACGATACGTACAGCGCGAGCTCGCACCCAATTAATGCATGCAGGCAAGTCTATCTATGCTAAACACTCACCAATGCTAAATAAACACCCTACTCGATCCGCTTCTTGCCCTCCTCGGCGTTGATGTAGCGCGCCGTGCTGAGGCCGCGCTCGTGCCGCGCCACCAGCGGCCCCAGCAGCCGGTCCTTGCGCACCTTGTTGATGGTCTCGTGGTAGCCCTCGGTGGCCCACGGGCGCGGGTTCAGCTTGGGCCAGTTGACCTGCGATTGTCAGCGTGCGTCTTGGGAGGGACGGAGGAAGGGAAGGGAAACTCACGTAGAGCATGCCGTTGTTCAAGATGAACAGCAGCGACCAGAGCGCCGCCGCGGTGAACACTAGCAAAAACACGCGCAGCGGCCACACGGCGCCGCCCGGGGCGCGCGGCGTCAGCAGCCCCACTAGCACGACGAACAGGCTGAAGGCGGCCACGAAGGGGATGCTCTGGATCAGCACGGGGCGGCGGTCGGCAAACACGAGGCTCGCGCTGGCGGCCGGCTGGTAGGCGCCGAGGAACAGGTCGAAGGCGTCCTGGCGCGGGCCGTCGAAGAAGTTGTTCTTGCAGTAGCGCGTCACTGACACGTTGGCGTCCTGCAGGGCGCCGGCCACGGTGCGCTTGCCCAGCCGCGTCAGGTCCGTCTTCATGGCGCCGGTGCCCGAGTAGGCCTGGGCGACCGTGTCGGCGTTGTCGGCCCACATGTTGCGGAACACGAGCTCGAAGGCGGGGTCCTCGGTGGCAAAGGTGGCGCCGCGCGCGAGCAGCCCCAGGTCCGCCAGCATGCGGTCCAGCGTCCAGCGGCCCAGCATGCTCTGCACCACGTTGGTGCGGTCCAGGCAGTCCATGCAGTTGGTGCGCACCACGCTCGTCTGCAGGCTGCGCACCTCGAGCCGCCCGTCGAGGTGGCTCGCCGGCATGTCGACGGCGCGGAAGTACTGCTGGGCGGCCAGCCCGTCGCGCATGCGGTCGATGAGCAGCTGCGCGCGGTGCATCTGCAGGCCCTTGGTCTCGGCGTGGAAGTCAAAGTAGATGTAGTGCAGGCGGTCGTAGCGCGAGCCTGACCTGCCCGCCTCGACGGTGTGGAACTTCTCGTCAGTGCGCTGGTCGGCCTGCGTGCGCTCCTGCGGCGCCGGCACGAGCGCCTGCACCACGTCCTCGTAGGCCTGCTTGACGCGCATCTCGCGGCCCTTCTGGTTGACCAGGTTGACCAGGTAGTTGTCGCCGTATATGCGGATCTGCTCGTCGAAGTGGGCGCGCGCCGCGGGCAGCGCCGCCTCGACGCTGCGGATCTGCACCTTGGGCGTGTACTTGAGGTTGTTGACCTCGGCCCAGAAGGCCGGCACGCTGCCGCGCGTCTGCACGTACGACAGCACCTGCACCTCGCGGCTGTCGCCGCGCCGCGCGCCGCTCTGCATGGTGTCGCCGCTGCCAGCGAAGCCGCTCACGCCGCCGCCGTCGCCCAGCACCACGACCTGCTCCGTCTCGTTGTAGTTGGCCGCGTGGCCCTCGTCGTCGAGGCCGCGCGTGAAGTAGCGTGTGCCGCCGCGGTGGCGCGACCGCCGCGAGATGAGCGCGACCGTCATGGGCGTGCCCTTGAAAGCGGTCAGGCGGATCTCGAGCGTGCCGAACACGACGGGCAGGATGTAGGGGTCGACGGCGGGCTGGGGCGCCGGCAGGCCGCGGCCGCCGCGGGTGCGCAGGTCGATCAAGTCCGACTGCACGAAGCGGTTCCAGAAGAAGCGGTCGTCGGCGCGCTGCCACAGCGGGCTGGCGGGGTTGTGCTGGGCTTGGCGCTGGAAGCTGTTGGTGAGGTCGATCGAGTACGAGAAGTACATGGGGCCCGACTTGACGAAGCCGCGCAGCAAGCCCAGGAAGCGGTCCTCGTCGGCGTCGTGCACCTGGCGCTCGCGCAGGGGGAGGAACTCGGTGCCGACGACGCGGTAGACCATGTGGCCGCGCAGGCGGCCGACGGGCTGGGCCTTGGTGATGACGACGATGTACTTGTCTGGGCCGGTCAGCGTCAGCGTCAGCAGTTCAGACCAGAGCTGCCGGCCTACCTAGGCGGAGCTTGACGATGCCAAGGATGCCGGCGATGCTCGACACGCGCGACACGCGCTTGTTAGCGAGCAGCGAGGCATCGCTAAGGCGCACGTCGCCCGTAGGGCGGTCGACAGTGAGGGCGGGCGCGTTGGGGCTCGACGGCGAGGCGAAGATGTAGGCGTCGGACGCAGCCTGCACGTTGATGTCGCGGAAGGGCAGCGTCATGGTGGCTGTGGGCTGTTGGGTTGTTGAGCTGTTGAGGTTGTCCAGGCGTTGGAGTCTGTGGTCGTCGGGCTCGTCGGTGCAGCGTGTGCAGCGTGTGCAGCGTCGGTGACAACGTCGTCGTGCAGGCGTCGTGCCAAATTAAGCAGCAAAAATCAGAAATCAGGCCCAAATGCAGCAATTGCTAACACTACTGTTATTGCATGCCAGGCACGCAACGAAGGGACGCAGCCTGCAAGTCGACGGTGCAATCGCGAGTTGTCTTGTACACCTACTGTATCGTACGGAGATGGCAGCCGCGACTCATGAACCAACAGGTGTTGCAGCAGGAGCCTCGCTGCCGCCACCGTACTGCCAGTGGCCACGCACCTGTGGCGTACTCCGACCAGTGACATCAGCATTGGTGGGTCCGTGCCACTAACCTGCCAAGGGCCTGGGGCGTCACGTGAAGTGCACAGACCGGCACCTGCTGGCTGACGTTGTGGCCGGCTGTAGCCCGCCTGGCGCAGGCTGCCGCGCGGGCTGTCTGTAGTGAACGCAGCCCTGCCAACCCTGATCCCGTGGTTCACTCCACCGACACTCACTGCCCTCTGCTGCTACTTGCATCACATTCCGTCTCTGCAGCTGCCTACATCGACGCAAAACACTGACGTCGACGCCGATACCGATCCTGACAGAAGTCGTCCGTCGTCCCGGCACGTCCAGCGCTGCCGTCCATCTAATAGACCATCCGACGCCGCCGCCATGGCAGCTCGAGGACCCCCTGGCGCGCGCGGCATGGGAAACCGCTTTGCCCAGTTCAAGCTGGTGTTGTTAGGTGAGTCGAGACGACATGGAGCAGGGCACGGCGGACGCAAGGTAGGGTAGAGAAGCAGAGTAGACGGGTAGCAGACTGGTAGAAGGGGCAGCAGACGGGCGTCGGACGGACAGAGCAGACGGGCGTCGGACGGACAGAGCAGACGGACAGGCAGGCAAGATTGCAAGAAGACACGCTGACGCGCTGCAGGTGAATCCGCCGTGGGAAAGAGCTCGATAGTACTGCGGTTTGTCAAGGTGAGCAGCCCGCTCCCGTGGCGCGGCCCCGCTGACCCTCCAGGACCAATTCGACTCGTATAGGGAATCCACCATCGGCGCCGCCTTCCTGACACAGACCATCTCGCTCGACGAAACCACGACAGTCAAGTTTGAGATCTGGGATACGGCCGGTCAGGAGCGGTACAAGTCGCTGGCGCCCATGTACTACAGAAACGCCAACTGCGCGGTTGTGGTTTACGACATTACGCAGGCCGTGGGTCTCCCTCTCTCCCCGCGTGGGCTTCGCTGACACGTAGCAGTCGTCGCTGGACAAGGCCAAGGCGTGGGTCAAGGAGCTGCAGCGCCAGGCCAACGAGAACATCATCATCGCCCTCGCGGGCAACAAGCTGGATTTGGTGACGGACGAGCCCGACAAGCGGGCCATCACCGCCGAGGAGGCCGAGAGCTACGCCAACGAGGCCGGCCTGCTCTTCTTCGAGACGTCGGCCAAGACGGCCGAGAACGTCGCCGAGCTGTTTACCGCCATCGCCAAGCGCCTGCCGCTCGACCAGAGCCCGCGGCTCGGCGGCCGGGGCGAGCGTGTCACCCTCGCTCCCGAGAGCGCCAACACGGAGGCGGGAGGACCGTGTGCCTGCTAATCTGCTGCCGGGGACGGTGTGCTAGGGGGTGCTAGTGGCGGGTATGCTGGTGCTGGGTGTGCTGGTGCTGGGTGTGCTGGTGCTGGGTGTGCTGGTCTGGGTGTGCTGGTGCTGGGTGTGCTGGTGCTGGGATCGCGCGGCATGCATGTGAGTGAAGGCACGTGTCACTCGGATTGGTAGAGGCGGGAGCCGGTCCACGACAGACGCGGACGGCCCGCTGGCAGCGTCGATACACATCTGGGCAGTGCGATCTCGGAGTCACGGTGTACGAGGGCTGCGAGAAGCAGTGCCGTTTAATACCTTTTCTTGATGTTCTAGCCTGGTCGGGCGAGCGGGCTGGCCGCTTGCGTATTTGCTGGCAATCACGTTGTTGTACAGTATGTGATGGAGCAACAGCTTGAGGTCTGATAATTCTAATCGAGCATGCTCTTTAGCGGCGTATCCGTTTACGAGTTTGCCGTTGTCTCCTGCAGTGTCCTGGCTGTCATTGTCATAGCAGTGCATGCAATACAGCCGGTGACGCCACGCCAGCCGCTAAGATGGAGTGGGGCTGACGCCTACCCCTGCGCTGCCACGGCCACTGCCACCTGCAGCTTCTTCCACCTCCAACTTTGCCGAGCTGTTTTTGGCGCTCTTCTCCCAAACAACACCACTTCTAAATCGCGCCTCGCCGGCACTCATCGCTCATGCTGCGGACGTCGCTTCGATCCGTGAGGGCGCTGGGCAGCGGGCCTACTGCTGCCTCTGCCGGCCGCCAATGGCACGTCGCCGCCCGGCTGGCGCCCGCGCAGGTATGCCCGTGGATGGTCCGCTGATTGAGCTTCAGACACTAATCGGCTGCCAGAGATACTATGCTAGCGGCAAGAAGCCAGTCATCCCCGACGTCAAGCCAATTGTCCTCCCGTCCTCCGAGACCCTGACGTCGCCCTCCACGCCAGCACCCCCGCTGGTTGAGAAGATCGCCGAGGTCGCTCCCGAGAATGCCCCCCTCGAGCCGCCCGCCCCGGGCTCCCCCGTGCCTCCCGTCGACACTGTCGAGACCGTCGCCAAGGCTGTCCCGCCGCCCCGGAAGGGCTTCTTCCGCCGGCTGCGCAACTACCTGCTGACGCTCGCCCTGCTCGGCGCCATGGGCTTTGGCGGCGGCGTCTGGTACTCGCGCATCAACGACAACTTCCACGACTTCTTCACCGAGTACGTGCCGTACGGCGAGCAGGCCGTGCTGTACTTTGAGGACATGGACTTCCGCAAGCGCTTCCCCAACGTGGCCAGCCGCATGCCCGGCCGCCCGCGCGACGCCGGCGAGCAGGTCCGCATTCCCGCCCAGAGCGGCGCCTCGTGGCGCGTCGCCGACGGCGTCGAGCCCGGCAACCGCCAGTCGAGCGCCGTGCAAAAGACGGCCGCCGCGGCCAAAGAAGTCGTCGCTGCCGCCAAGAGCGCCGTCAAGCCCAAGGACGCCAAGCCCAAGGAACCCGCGCCCGTCGTCGTCGAGGCCAGGCAGGCGACGGCCGCCCTCCCCAGGGTCGAGAGTAAGGAGTTTGTGGAGACGAAGCTAGCCCCTGCCCCGGCTAAGCCCTTGCCCGCAGCACCGGCAGCACCGGCAGCACCGGCAGCACCGGCAGCACCGGCAGCACCGGCAGCACCCGCGAAGACCTCGCCCGCCGTGCCGGCCGCCGCAGCACCCGCTTTCAAGGCGCCCGAGGTAGACGAGCCCTCGCGCTGGCCCCCGGCGTCGCCCATCGACCCGCTGGCCGTCAACGGCGCCGCCGAGCCCGTCGTGCAGGACCTGGTGCGCATGCTTAACGACATCATCACCGTGGTCAACCACGACGGCGCCAACGAGCGCTACGGCGCGACCATCGGCAAGGCCAAGAACGAGCTCGCCAAGGTCGGCCGCAAGATCAAGGCCATCAAGGCCGACGCCGAGCAGGAGGCGGCCAAGAAGTTGCGCGCGCGCGTCGACCATTTCGACAAGGCGGCCAACGAGCTCGTGTCGCGCATCAAGGCGGCCAGGGCCGCGCAGGAGACGCAGTGGCGGCACGAGTTCGAGGCCGAGATGGAGCGCGTGCACCGCAGCTATGACGAAAAGGTCAGGCTGGTGCAGGAGCGCGAGCGCCAGATCATGCAGCAGAAGCTCGACAACACGCTGCTGGAGCACGCCATCGCGCTGCAGCGCCAGTTCGCCGGCGACATCAAGCAGCAAGTCGAGCGCGAGCGCGGCGGGCGGCTGGGCCGGCTGCAGGAGCTGGCGGGCGCCGTGGCGGACCTCGAGAAGCTGGCGACGGGCTGGGGCGACGTGGTCGACACCAACCTGCGCACGCAGCAGCTGCACGTGGCCGCCGACGCGGTGCGCGCCAGCCTCGAGGACGCGGCGCACCCGCGGCCGTTCATCAAGGAACTGGTGGCGCTCAAGGAGATTGCGGCCGACGACGCGGTGGTCGACGCGGCCATTGCGTCGATCCACCCGTCGGCGTACCAGCGCGGCGTGTCGACGGCGGGCGAGCTGGTGGACCGGTTCCGGCGCGTGGCGACCGAGGTGCGCAAGGCGTCGCTGCTGCCCGAGGACGCGGGCGTGGCCAGCCACGCGTCGAGCTACGTGCTGAGCAAGCTGCTCTTCAAGAAGCAGGGCCTGGCGGCCGGCGACGACGTCGAGAGCATCCTGACGCGCACGCAGACGTACCTCGAGGAGGGCAACCTCGACAAGGCGGCACGCGAGATGAACGGCCTGACTGGCTGGGCCAAGACGCTAAGCCGGGACTGGCTGGGCGAGGTGCGCAAGGTGTTGGAGGTGCAGCAGGCGCTGGAGGTGAGTCTGCTGTCCATTGACTGTCCTGATTGTGCTAACACGTATTACAGGTCATCCAAACCGAGGCGCGGCTGCAGAGTCTGAAGGTAGAGTAGCGTATTCAGTGGTCTGGGCTTTGCCGGGTTGTGGTGCTGGATCGGAGAACCGGCTGTATATCAATAGAGGGTCCGTGTCACGGGCCGGGCGTGTCTTCCGGATGACAAAGATTTGCTAGAGGTAGAATTTTGCTGCTGGAATCAATCCATTGACTCGACGTAGACTGCCAGTGTACTGTGACCTCATCAATCCAATTGCAGCACCACCACTCCACTGACGAGACCGCGGTTGCCGCTGCATCACTCCAGCTCCACTGACGAGACTGCGGGTGCTGCTGCATCACTCCAGCTCCACTGACGAGACTGCGGTTGCTGTCTTCAGCGCTCCGCTCGCCGATGGCCTATCGGAGGCCGCCCTGATGTCGCGCGGCTCCATGCGGCTCCAACTCGGCGTCCACGCTTCCGTCTTTTCTCCCACACGACCAGCCCGCACCGTCCACAGCATGGCGTCGCGCACCTACGACGAGGCCCTGCGCCGGCTCGCGCAGCTGCAGTCCAACCACGCCGTGGTGGCCGCCTTCAGCGCCGCCACAAAAACCCCCGGCGGCGACCCCGCCCTCAACGCCCGCGCCATGCCCGAGACGGCCGCCTGGCTGCGCCGCGCCGGCTACGCCCCCGCCGACCTGGCCGCCGGCGGCCTGCGCTGCGTCCACGTCGCCGGCACCAAGGGCAAGGGCTCCGTCACGGCTCTCGTCGCCGCCGTGCTCGCCCAGTACCCCGCCGCCGGCCCCGTCGCCGCCTACACGTCGCCCCACGTCGTTACCGTGCGCGAGCGCATCATGCTGCAAGGCCACCCCATCGCCCCGGCCAAGTTCGCCGCCTACTTTTTCGAGCTGTGGGACCGCTTCACCGCGGCCGCCGCGTCGCCTGAGGCTGCCACCGACGGCCTGCCCACGGCCCGCGACGCCCCCGACGCCGCCGGCCCCGCCACTAAGCCCTTCTACTTCCGCTTCCTGACGATTCTGGCGCTGCACGTGTTTGTGCGCGAGGGCGTGCGCTCCGCCGTCGTCGAGACGGGCATCGGCGGCGAGTACGACCCGACCAACATCCTGCCGCCGCAGGCTGTCACGGCCGCCGTTGTCACGCAGCTCGGCATCGACCACGTCGCCATGCTGGGCGACACGCTCGAGAGCATCGCCTGGAACAAGGCCGGCATTTTCAAGGCTGGCGTGCCAGCGTTCACGCGCCGGTTGGACTCTAACTCGGGCGTCATGGCCGTGCTGCGCGCGCGCGCTGCCGAGAAGGGCGCCAGCGCGCTCGTCGAGCTTGACGACGGCGATGTTGCTCGCTGGCGCGGCGTCGGCGACGGCGCGCGCCTGCAGGGCCCGTTCCAGAAGCACAACATGGCGCTGGCGGCCGCCGCCGCGCGCCAGCACCTCGTCGCGCTGGGCCGCGTGTTCGACGGCGAGTTTGCGCGGCCCGACGCGGGCGGCCCGGCGCTGCTGCAGGCGCTGCCGGCCGAGTTTGAGCGCGGGCTGCGGGCGGCGACGCTGCGCGGGCGCTGCGAGGCGTTTGTCGATCCCGACAGCGGCGCCGAGTGGCTCGTCGACGGCGCGCACACCGAGGACAGCCTCGCGGGCGTGGGCGAGTGGTTTGCCGGCAGGGCGGCCGCGGGACAGCCAGGGGTGCGCGTGCTCGTGTTTAACCAGCAGGATCGCGAGCCGGGGCCGCTGCTAACGGCGCTACTCGCGGGGGCCGCGGCTGGGGATGGGGCCGCGACGCCCGTGTTTACGCATGCCATCTTCACGCGGAACAACGAGGAGCTCGCGGACGAGGACCTGGCGGTGCAGCGCAGGGCTTGCGAGGCGCTGCGGGCACTGCCTGGGGCCACTGGCACCGAGACCCACGTGGTGGGCGCCGTGCGGCCGGCCGTCGAGCTGGCCAGGAGCATTGCCCGGCAGGCTGCGCAGGGGACGCCGTGCAAGGTGCTGGTCACGGGCAGTTTCCACCTGGTGGGCGCGGTGCTGCGGACCGTTGGTCACGATGTGGAAGAGTAGATCTGTATTATTCCCTCTCCCTGAATCTACCGTTTACCTGTCTTGATGACCTTGCCGTCTACTTGCTACCTTGCCGTTTACCTGCCTTGCCATACCTTATTAATTCTCAACATATCAACCACGGGAGCGACTTCCTACAGCGCGTCGGCCCCCTCCAGGATCCCCAGCGCGCCGCCCACCAGGTGCAGGCTGCCCGTGATCAGCGCCTGCACCTTGCCCTCGCCCCCCAGCTCACGCACCCGGTCGATGGCCTCCTCGATGCTGGGCACCACCACCACGTCGGCCGCGGGGTCGAGCACGGCCCACTTGTCGGCAAAGCCGCGCTGCACCGTCATCTGCGCAACGTCCTTGGGGTCGTACTGGTGGTTGACAAAGTCTGCGGGCGTCAGCATGGCAGACAGAGACAGCGTAGGGGGAACAGCAACTCACCCCTCTTGTACCCCGTCTTGGCGTACGTCACGTTGGTGCAAAAGACGACGTGCTGGAAGCCGCGGCCCGCCGGGTCGGCCGCCTTGACCGTGTGGCACAGGCTGGCGAGAAAGTCGACGGCCTCGCTGCGGCCCTGCTGGTTGAAGACGAGCACCCGGGGCCCCGGCCTGCCCGCGCACTCGCCGACGAACCAGCGCGCGGCCATGCGCAGGCTGTCGACCGTGTGCGCGCCGTCGACGTGCCACGCGACGGCGTCCTCCTCCTTGACCTCGCAGCGGCCGCGCCACACGACCTGCTCGAGCCCGTCGACGAAGTCGCGGGGCAGCCGGGCGCCGGGCGTGAAGTCTGGGTCCAGCGCCCGCAGCGCGGCCTCGGCGAGGGCGACGGCCAGCGTGGCGTTCTTCTTCTGGAAGGCGGCGTCGGGGCGGATGCGCACGCCGGCGAGGCGCGGGTCGGGGTCGAGCACGGCCAGGGCGACGCCCTTCTCGGCGGCGCGGTCCTGCAGCACGCGCGCGGCGGCCGGCACCTGCTCGACGGTGAAGGCGGGGCTCCCGACCTTCATGATGCCGGCCTTGTGCCAGGCGATCTTGTCGACCGTGTCGCCAAGCGCGAAGACGTGGTCGATGCCCAGCGAGCTGATGCCGCAGGCGACGGGGCGCTCGACGATGTTGGTGGCGTCGAACTCGCCGCCGATGCCCGTCTCGTAGACGGCCGCGCCGACGCCCTCGCACAGAAAGACGTGGTAGCTGAGCAGGGTGAGGTAGCGGGCGTAGATGGGCTTGGAGGCGGGGGGGAGGTCGGCGTCGGCGGCGTCGGCGGCGTCACCTTCGGCCGGCGACCAGGCCTCGAGGCGGTCCCACACGTCAAAGAAGTAGCGGGCGAACAGCTCCTCGGAGACGGGGGCGCCGTCGATGCGGATGCGCTCGCGTACGGCGATCAGGTGGGGCGAGGTGAAGAGGCCGACGCGGCGGGGGGCAGCGTGGCTCTTGCCGTGGCGGCGCAGGATGGAGTCGACAAAGGCGCAGGTGCTGCCCTTGCCTTTGGTGCCGGCGACGTGGACGACGCCGAGGCGGTCGAGGTCGGCGGGGGCGTAGCCGATGCGGGCGAGGTAGGCGCGCATCTCGCGGACGGACGAGGCATCGGGGCGGATGCCGGCCTTGCGCCGCGCCTCGATGACGGCGAAGGGCGTCTGCAGCGAATTGAGCGCGTCGATGGCGTCCTGGGCGGGTGGTTAGCGGCAAGAAGCCAGGTGGTCAAGATGCCGAGAGACGTCGCTTACAGCGTAGGTGCGGGCAGACGCGGACGAGGCCATGGTGCGGGCAGACGTAGACGAGGCTAGTGACGGTGTCAGGAACGGTGTCGGCGGCTGTGCCAGTGCCGGAGCCGGAGCCGGAGCCGCAGTGTGGAGGGGCAGTCGCGGTCGAGCCTGCCTCGCTAGACTCGCAATGGAAGCTCCACAGCCAAGAGTTAGCCTCGGGTGGGCGATGGGGGCGATGGGGGTGATAGCGGTGGCGATGGCGATGGCAGTCCGCCGCAATGCATGGTGCATGGGTAGCTACCGCTGTGCCTGGCAGATGCGCATGTCCTGCTATGAGTTGTGATTGATGTTGGCGTCGTTGTGGTCGAGCTTGAGCTCGCCTGGGCTCGAGCTTCAGTGCCTGACCCGATTGGCCGCAGGTTCGGCTTGTTCCGGCTTAGTGACGAGCCGCTACGCTAGAGCAGGAAACCGCCGAACATGGTAGGTGGTGCACTGGCCGGCAACGGACGTACCTCGACATTTCATCAGACATGGCATCTGCACGCTGCAGCTTCACATCGCAGCACCGAGTTATTGGCGGCGAACAACTGCCGGCTGTCTCTGCTATCTAGCCGTGCACTGCAACGGCGCCGTCAACGAAGCCTCAATCACGCGCTGCAGACACGCGCGGAAGCAGTGCAGTGCTGCAGGAGACAACGCCCCCAATACGGGATCCGTACAGCCAGCAGCTCACTTCTGCCATGTAGGTGTTCGTAACCAGGTCCTGCACGTCCGCAACGCCTCCCAGCAACCGGGGCCCATCAATTCGTTTGCAAATCTGCCGCTCACCCCAAAACCTGCCTCCCACCCAGCTTGAGCTGCAGCTGCAGCTGCAGCTGCAGAGCTCTAGGCTGGCTGCTCCCCACGACAGCCTATTTAGCCAGCGCTTTTAGCCGCGCCAATCACGGCCAGCGCCAGCAGCCCCGAGGCGTAACAGTGGAGGCGTCGTGGGGAGCGCTGTGGGGGAGCTCCCCGCATTGATCCACGCTCATCTCGACGAGCCCTCCAGCCAGCATCGCCCGGCTCTGAGGAGCAGTGGTCCGCCGTATTTATTCGGCTGTCTTGCGCGTGTCGTGCCTCGTGTGCATCGGGTGCATCAAGTGCATCGTCTGAGCTGGCCGATACCAAGCCCACCAACATCAGACGGACAGACCAGACCACAGACCAGACCACAGACAGAGACCACAGACCAGACCACAGACCAGACCACAGACCAGACCACAAACCAGACCACTACACTTACAGACGCAGACAACACTAGACAGAGAGCTATGGCTGGCACATCTGTAAGCCTCTAATCCGACCCAGTCCACGTCGATGCTGACCCCCCAGAACCTCTCCTTCATCCTCAACAAGCCCCTCGATGTCGAGTTCCAGGAGCGGCCGCGCCCCACGCTCAAGTCGCCCCACGACGTCATCGTGGCCGTCAACTACACGGGCATCTGCGGCTCCGACGTGCACTACTGGCAGCACGGCGCCATCGGCCACTACGTCGTCAAGGACCCCATGGTGCTGGGCCACGAGTCGGCCGGCACCGTCGTCGAGGCCGGCGCCGCCGTCACCACGCTCAAGGTCGGCGACCGCGTCGCCCTCGAGCCCGGCTACCCCTGCCGCCGCTGCCGCGCCTGCCTCGGCGGCCACTACAACCTATGCCCCGACATGGTGTTCGCCGCCACCCCGCCCTACGACGGCACGCTGGCCGGCTTCTGGGCCGCCCCTGCCGATTTTTGTTACCGCCTGCCTGACGCCGTCTCGCTGCAGGAGGGCGCCCTGATCGAGCCGCTGGCCGTCGCCGTCCACATTGTGCGCCAGGCCCAGGTCTCGCCCGGCCAGTCCGTCGTCGTCATGGGCGCCGGGCCCGTGGGTCTGCTGGTCGGCGCCGTCGCCCGCGCGTTCGGCGCCACCACCGTCGTCGCCGTCGACATTGTGCCGTCCAAGCTCGAGTTCGCCAGGTCGTTCGCCGCCACCCACACGTACCTGTCGCAGCGCGTCGCCCCCGAGGAGAACGCGCGCAACATCCTCGCCGAGGCCGGTCTGCCTGCGGGTGCCGACGTCGTCATTGACGCCTCGGGCGCCGAGCCGTCCATCCAGGCCAGCCTGCACGTCGTGCGCGTCGGCGGCACGTACGTGCAGGGCGGCATGGGCAAGCCCGACATCACCTTCCCCATCATGGCGCTGTGCCTCAAGGAGGTGACGGCGCGCGGCTCGTTCCGGTACGGCAGCGGCGACTACAAGCTGGCCATCGACCTGGTCGCCGCCGGCCGCATCGACGTCAAGCGGCTGGTCGATGGTGTCGTTGCCTTTAAGGACGCCGAGGAGGCCTTCCGGAAGGTGCACGGGGGCAAGGTCATCAAGATTCTGATCGCGGGGCCCAACGAGAAGATCGAGGGCGACAAGCTCGACACGGCGGCACCGGCGGCGGCACCGGCACCTGCTGAGGGCGCGGCCGAGGCAGCGGGCTGCTGCTAAGTTGCCGGGGCTGCTGCTAGCTGGGGTCTAGGGGGCTGCCTGGGGCTGCCTGGGGCGGCGGCGTACGGAGTTGTTTCATGTTGTATTTCTATCTTCATCTACTAGCATCTAGACAGCCAATCCATGACTACCCTGCCTACATCCCCAGGTACCGCGTCTCAATCTTGGTCGCCGCCGTCGCCCCCCGCACGCCAATCGTCACCACCTCGCCCGGCACTATGTCGACCAGGTTGTCGTCGAACTGCACCGCGTCGTCGTCGCACTCGAGCGCCACGCCCTTGACGGGCACCTCGGCGCTGACGGCCACGGCGCGCGCGTCGGCGCTCAGCTCGGCCCGCAGCCGCTGCGGCTTCTGCAGGTGCAGGTACTTGAGCGGCTCGGGCCAGTTGACGTAGCGCGCCAGCTGCTCGCCGCCGGGCCCGACCAGGTACGCGGCCACGACGGCGCGCGCCTCGTCGCCCTTGCGGAGGGCCGGCACGTCGCGCGCCGCCAGCTCCGTCGACCGGTTCCCGGGCAGCGCCACCCCCGAAGCCACTACCTCGCTGAACGTCTCGGCGCCCGTCTCGACGTCCCACGCCCTAACCACGCAGTCGACTGCTAGGCTTTCGAGGGTTAGGTTGCTGCCCCACACCTCGACCCGCGTGCTCGTGTCGACGACGCGCGTGTACTTGTCGCGCGGGTGGCGGTGCTCGCGGCGCGCGATGCCCACGCTCAGCGGCGCCATCTCGCGCTTGACGGCGAAGTAGGCATGCTTGGGCCGCAGGTAGAAGTCGACCATGCTCCAGCTGGTGACGGGCCAGCAGTCGTTGACCTGCCACACCAGCGCGCCGCCGCAGTACTCGCGCCCGGGGCCCTTCCACTGGCGCTTCCACAGGCGGTACGCCGACGCGAGGCACTCGGCCTGCATCAGCTGCGTCGCGTACACGAACTGCTCGAGCGGGTCCGGCGCGTACCGCAGGTTCTCGACCAGGTACAGGGCGATGCGGCGCTCGTGGCCCTCGGCCTTGTTGTGGAAGTCGACCGTCGACGACTGCGCGAAGCGGTCGGGGTCGTCCTTGCCGAGGGGCAAGTACGCGTCGATGGTCTTGACCGACGGGAACGCCTGCATGCCGAACTCGGACACGAAGCGGCCGCCCAGCCGGTCAAAGTCCTGCCACTTCTCCTGCGTGCCGTGCCACACGTTCCACTGGTGGATGTCGCCGACGGTGGCGTCGTGCGTGTCGCGGCCCGCGCCCCACGGCGACCCCGGGTGGTACGGCGTGTGCGGGACCAGCTCGGCGCACGCGTCAGCCAGCACCTTCTCGTAGATGTAGCGCGCGGGAAAGTCGGTGCGCAGCCAGCTCTCGGCGTCCTTGTTGGCGAAGTCGTACGTCAGGCCCTCGCTCTCTTGGTACTGGTAGTCCTCGTTGTTGCCGGCCCAGATGACCACCGAGGGGTGGTGCCGCAGCAGCCGCACGTTGGCGCGCGCCTCGCGGTCGACCGACTGCAGCAGCGCCGGCCACGCCGGGTAGTTGCCGCAGCCGAACATGAAGTCCTGCCACACCAGCACGCCGTGCTCGTCGCAGGCATCGTAGAAGGCCTGCTCCTCGTAGATGCCGCCGCCCCACACGCGGATCATGAACTGGTTGCCGTCGGCCACCAGCTTGACCCAGTCAAAGTACTTTTGCCGGCTGATGCGCGGGATGAAGTTGTCGGCCGGGATCCAATCGCTGCCGCCGCAGTACAGCGGGATGTTGTTGACCTCGAAGAAGAAGCTGGTGCCGGGCTGGTCCTCGAGCGCCCGCTGCACGAGCTCGGCGCGCCGCAGCCCCGTCTTCTTGGTGACGGCGTCGACGTCGGCCCCGCCGCTGACGAGCGTCGCCGTCACGGTGTAGAGCGGCTGCTTGCCGTAGCGCACGGGGTACCACAGCGCAGGGTCGGCGATGTGGAACGACGCGCTGGCGGTGGGGCCGGCCGGGACCGTCTCCGAGGCGACGGGCGTGCCGTCGAGGGAGACGTCGAAGCGCACGCTGTCGGCGGCGTCGGCGCCTTCAACCTCGGCCGTGACTCTGATGTCGGCCGAGCACAGCGACTTGTCGACGGCGGCGTCGAAGCTGAGGTCGGCGAGCCGCGCCGAGTACATCTCGAGGTTGATCGGGCGCCAGGGGCCGCAGGTCAGGAGCGCCGGGCCCCAGTCCCAGCCCTGTCGGTGTCAGCAAGGCTCCGTCTCGACAGGGCAGAAGAACTCACCCAGTGGTACTGGGCCTTCCTCACGGCCAGGCGCGAGCTGTCACCGTTCCAGCAGCCCCACTTGTGGTCCGGGTGCTGCTCGACCAGCTTCCAGCCGCGCAGGTAGGCGCTGTCGAAGGAGATGACCAGCTCGTTGTCGGGGCGCAGCAGGGCCGTGACGTCGACGCGCTCGGGCACAAACATGTTGTCCGTCTCGAGGATGGCGGTGCCGTTGAGCACGACGGTCGCAAAAGTGTCGAGGCCGTCAAAGGCGAGCACGGCGCTGGCGCCGGCGGCGACGGGCGGCGCGGCAAAGGCGGTGCGGTAGACCCACTGCGCCTCGCCGACCCACTGCACGTCGAGCTCGTTCTTGCCGATGAAGGGGTCGGGGATCAGGCCGTGGTGCAGCAGGTCGAGGTGCACGTTGGTGGGGAACTGGCTGACGGCGCGGAACGGCTCGTCGGTCTTGTCCTGCCGGAACTGCCAGTTGGCGTCGACGGGGATGACGACGCGGGCCATGGTGGGGGGTGGTGGTGATAGTGGTGAAGGTGGTGATTGTGGTGAAGGTGGTGAAGGTGGTGAGGGGAGGTGAGGCGTGGTTGGGGGGGGGAGGAGGGGTCGGCGGGGTCGAGAGTGTAGACGCTGCTCTAGACGCTGCTCAAGATAGCTGCTCAAGATGGCTGCTCAGATGGTCGAGAGATCTGCTCGACTACATGGCCACCGTCGGGACGGCTGTATTTATGGGCGCTGGCCGTCGGGGCTGCCGCGTTGGCGACGGCGGGAGAGCGATGGCCGAGGCGAATGGGGAGCGATGCAGGCGCCCGACCCCACCGTGCCAGCATGGCGGGTGCAGAGCATGCAGCTTGTTCTGTACGGTATCCGTCACGCCAGATGTATTGCATCTAGTTGTATTGTACTCCGTACAGCGTTGCCGCACAATTTGCCTGGCTCTGTATTCGAGGTAGCCATGCATTGCTGAACTGAATTGACGAATACCTGCACTTGTCATTGTCGCTGCTTGCTGCGAACCATCGCAAACACCAAACCAGAGACACTCGCAGCCCGAGGCCATGTCATCCAATTCAACTCGCGATGGAGCTCGAGCGGCCGCATGCATGGGATGCGGCTTGGCCGCGGAGGGAGGCTGTCCGTTCCGCTTTAGGCTAAATCGACCCACAGCGCGGCTGCGGGTCGCAGCCTCGTGGACGCCGTACGGGGTCATGCCGCACACTCGCCGTGGGAATTGAATCGAGTGGTGGTGGTGAGTGGTCGAGGTGAGTGGTGAGCGGTGAAGGGAAAACGGGCCGCGCCGGCGGTCCAACAGCGTCCAGCGGCGGTCCAACAGCGTCCAGCATCCAGCGTCACCTGCACGGGTATCGGCGCAGGTCGAAATAATTATTAATGCGGGTGCTGACCCGTCTATAGCGCGCCGACTCCATGCTACGGCCAGCCGCCTATCGATGCCAAAAGAATGCCGCAATCGATGCCAAAAAGAATGCCGCAATCCATACATGCTGCAGCCCGTGTTACCGCAATAGGTGGTATCAGGTAGATAGGTATCAGGAAAGAAACAGGCAGGAACACATGCTAGCAGCACCCGCGCGGCCGCCGCCGGTTGCTGAGCGTAAACACCTCCTCCCACTCGCGCATGGCCTGGGGCCCGCCGCGCTTGCGCCGCCGCCGCCCGCCGCCCACGTCGTCGGCCGTCAGCGAGCTCTTGATGCTGGCGCCGTCGCTGGCCCCCGCGTTCCACGCCCCGCCCGCGTCGCCGTACTGGATCCCGCTCATGGGGTCGTCGGGGTCGATCTCGCCCAGCTCGATCTTGGTCAGGATCATGCGCGCCAGCCGCCCAAACACCTCGTCGACGCCCTCGCCGCTGAACGCGCTGACCTCCACCGTCACCGGGATGTTGACCGTGCTGGCCCACCGGCTGGCCTCGACCGCCGACACCTCGCGCCCGTCGGGCGCCACCGTCGCCTTGAGCTGCGCCCCCAGCCCCTGCGTGCCGAGCGTGTTTGTCGATGAGTGCGAGCTCGGCTGCGGCTGCGGCGTGCTCGCGTACGACGCCGACCCCGCGCTGTTTGGTGTTGGCGGCGGCCCGAGCGGCGCGTCGCCCGCCAGGTCCAGCTTGTTGCCGACCAGCAGCAGCGACAAGTTGGGCGACGCCAGCGCGCGCGCGTCGTTGAGGAACGGCTGCAGGTTGGCAAACGTGTTTTGCGACGTGACGTCGTAGACGAGGATCGCGCCCGCCGCGCCGCGGTAGTAGGACCGCGACACGGACCGGAACCGCTCCGTGCCCGCCGTGTCCCAGAGCTGCCGGTCAGCGGGTGTGGGCGAGGTGCAGGTCAAGGGCAAGGAGGTACCTGAAGTTTTATCCGCTTCCGCCGCGCGCCCGTCCCGACCTTGATGATCTTGCTCGCAAACTCGACGCCGATTGTCTGCGACGACAGCAGCCGCCACTCACTCTTGACGAAGCGGTGCAGGAGGCACGACCTGGCCGTTAGCGGCGCCCGCTGAAGCTGTTGCGGGGGTACTTACTTTCCCGTCCCGCTGGGGCCGAGCAGGATGATCTTCGCCAGGTAGTCGTACATGCTCCCGAGTTCCTATTGACGTCAGCGCCGTGTGAGACCGAGGCTACCGGTGCGTACCTGGTCGCGGGACGTGCCCGTGCTGTCCTCGCTCGCGGCCGAGGGCCGCCGCGGTCTCGTCATGGTGCTGGTCGCGACAGTTGCGGGACGCTGGAGGCGGTTCGGTCGACGCGTCAATCAATCTGTGTCGTCGAGATCTAGGGCGGGCAGCGTTGCTGAGGCGTCGCAGCGTGTCGCCACGCATAAATGAAGGGTCCACCTGCTTATCTGGGGTGGGACACACAGCGGGACATTGACGTGGGCACGAGATTTGGATGTGGGGGCTGCAGCAGGGTCTGATGTGTCAGCCACGCCGCCCGTGCCACCGGCAGATCAGCCAACAGCTGGCGCGCGTCGGCGTCGGCGTCGGCGTTTGGCGAGCCGAGGTTATCGCGGCTCACCAACGTCATGCAGTCTCAAGCTGCCACGCATCTCATCTCATCCATGATCCCGTCATGATAGCTTATAGGCACCTCACTCATCTCACTCGTCCCGATCTCACCGAGCTGGGCTGCACCGAGTAAAGTCATGAAGATCCAAGGGCGCACGTTTGTCGTGTCGGGCGGGTGAGCACTCAATCACATGCATCACGACTCACGAGCACCAGCTGACGGCACAGCGCCTCGGGCCTGGGGCGGGCGTGCGTGCTGGACATTTGCAGCCGCGGCGGCAGCGCGGCTATCCTCGACATGAATGAGGAGCTGGGCCGCGCCCTCGCCGCGCAGCTCGGCGGCTCTGCGCGCTTCTTCGCCTGCGACGTCGCCGACACGGCCAGCATCGCCGCCGCCGTGCAGGACCTCGCCGGCTGGGTAATGCAGACCGGGAAGCAGCTCGGCGGCATCATCCCGGCGGCTGGCGTCGGCCGCCCAGGCCTGGTATGTCGTGTGCGTGTTTGGCTGGTCTGCAGCGCTGACGTGTGTAGGTCCTCGACAAGAGGGGCGCCCCGCTGGCTATCGAGGCCATCGACTTTGTCATCAACATCAACCTGCGCGGCACGCTGGATCTCGTACGGCAGGTGCTTCCCCAGCTGGCTGCCGCGCCGCCCGACGGCCCCGACGGCGAGCGCGGCGTCGTGGTCATGGTCGCCAGCTCGGCCGCGTTCGAAGGGCAGATGGGGCAGGTCGCGTACGCAGCGAGCAAGGGCGCTGTGGCGGCCATGACGCTGCCCATGGCGCGGGACCTGTCGCGGTTTGGGATCCGCGTCGCCACCATCGCGCCGAGCATGTTCGACTCGGCCATGACGGCCGCCATGTCCGACAAGGTGAAGAAGGGGCTGGAGAAGGCCATGGAGTTTCCCGTGCGCGCCGGCAAGCCCGACGAGTTTGCGTCGCTGGTGAGGCAGATTATCGAAAACGTCATGCTGAACGGCGTCGTGATTCGGCTCGACGGCGCCACGAGAATGCCGAGCAAGCTGTAGCGTGCGAGTGCTCGAGGCGTGAACATGAATCCTAGGCTGCTAAAATAGACCGAGGCTCAATCAATCACGAGGTTCCACAGGTCCGAAGCTTGGCTAGACATTTTGGTGTAAATTACAATCCCGGAGCTTTGGTGATAAATCCCGAGAGGCCTAGACAAACCCACGGCTAGAACACCCTCTAGAACCACAGCTAACTTGCAAATCCCGAGACACGATTTGCAGACTGTAGGGCCTCAGCTATAAACCCAGTCTCGGTAGAACCAGTCTCGGTAGAACCTAGCCTCGGCTGAACCACAGCCAACTTGTAGGCCGTAACCTCAGCCATCATCCGCGGCCAAATCCGAGGCCGACCTCTCCCTAAGGCATAAATAAATTCCTACACTAACTCGCAAGTACCAAGTCTCCCGCCCGTCAGGCCAACTGATTCCGGCGCCTGACGGAGGTAGGTCAGCACAGTCGAGACATCAGCGCACAGGAAACACGTACTAACTACAGCTTCAAATCCCACCGCTGGGCTTGGTGGGCTTGCCAGCATCGTCACGACGCACGGGGCCTTTGGGCTTGTAGTGGTCCGAGTAGAAGTGGCGATGGGGCGAACGGTCGCGGCGCTGGACAGGCGAGCGGCCGCGGTGGGGCGAGCGGCCGCGGTGGGGCGAGCGGCCGCGGGGCGAGCGGGGGCGATGTCCCTGGGGCGAGCGCGAACGCATTCCCGCCTGGCGAGCCAGACGGGAGCCGGCATCAAAGCCCTCGAGGAAGGCTCTGGCCACCTCGGCATTGGCTCGCGAGTGCGGCGGCACCGAAATGCCCACCGTATTCTGGATCTGGTCCAGCAGTCTGGTGTGCTCCTGGTCCACGCCACGGGCGGTGTTAGTGTGTCCGGGGATGGCTGACTGGGCGCGGGGAAACTCCTGCTTGATCTTTACACCTGGGACGCCGACGGGGGCACTGACAGGACTAACATGCCCCCTGTCGGGAACGGGCCATTTCGAGATGATTGCCAGCGCCTTGGCGGCAACAGCACCCTTGGCGGCAGTCGGGCAAGAACGAGCCTTATCTCCCTTGACCATCATGTCCCGGAGCTTGACGTTGCAAAAGTATCCCTGCGGGGTTGTGATTTCAAACCACTCAGGGTTGAAGCTCCGTCTCTGACACTCCAGAGAAAGAAGCATCACGTTTCCCACCTTTGGGATTCCGCGCTGCTCCTTTGGGACTCCGCGCTGCTCAGAACGCTGTGCCTCATTGGAAGGCTTGAGCTCACGACGCTGTGCCTCACTGAGAGGCTGCGGCTCACGACGCTGGATGGGTATCGAGACAATGCGCTGCTGTTGCAGGACACTGCGCTGCTGTTGCGGCGGGCCGCCAGCTCGAGGCGTGAAATGGCCCGCAACTGAAAGCACAGGGCCCTCGCCGTTGAATCTCATCTGCGGATAGGCGAGACGACCGCCACCGTGGACGGCCACCCCGGTGACCCCACCAGTGCCAGACGGGACCCCGCCCAGAACCGACGTTCGGAACCGGTCCTGAGGCGTGCCCGCTTCAGGCATCGGGCCGGAAGCCAGACGAACGATGCGCGGCTCGACAATTGAACGAACGGGGTTGTGCGCGGCGGTATAGCGCGGGAAGGCCTCGTCGACGGACGGGCCAGCGCCGGCCTGGGGGTGCGATCGACCTGGGTCGCCAGCTATCCAGTGTTAACAACGCACAGGTTTGAAGCCGACGGCTGGACCATACTGTTATTGCCCTCGGCCTTGAACACCATTACTTCATGATGCTGGGGGAAAAAACTATTCAGGAACTTGTCCGCATCCTCCATCGCCACAAGCTCCGCGGGGGGGGCCGGCCGGGCCATCGGGCCCTCCGCGGGCGGGGCCATCTGAGAGCGAACCATTGTAATGGGCGGATTGGGGTCCATGTTGTCAATTGAGTACAAGAATGTAAACACCTGTTACAGGATATGCTGAGTGTGAGGTGCTGTCGTGAGGCCCAGGGAAAGGTAGCCGCGGTGGAAAGGCGGGATTGATGTGCCGACCAGCGCAGAACCAAACGCGTGTGCAGACGCGTCAAAGAACAGGTGCAAGAACAAGAGGTGCGACAACAAGAGGTGCTGGTAGATGGGCAGTCAAAGAGCGCAAACTGCTGACACCTGAAGAGCAATCTAGACCGCGGTGGAGGACGAGGTTCTTGGAGGGGTTTCCAGGAGCGCGTGGAAATCGGTGAGGGGTTCAGAATGAGGGAAGGCACTAAAGAAAGCAAATAGACTAGGAAAGGAAGGTGCGCACGTGCAAGGAAGTCCATTCACGCGCCTTCTGATCTAGTCGCGCCTGCCTGAGATATCTTCCGCATTACTGCTGGTACGTTACCATCACCCTGCTGTCCCGCATACCGTAACTGCACTGTATTGGACTCGGTACTGCTGTCCAACCACACGGAGCTGCATTACTCAGTACAGGCTCTGAACCAGCGGCTCGCCCCTCTCCCAGCGCTGGATGTTCTCAACCTGCTGCTCGTACCACCCCTCCAGCGTCGACTCCTCGACGTACCCCATGTGCGGCGTCAGGAGCACGCTGCTTCGTCCGTCCTCCCCCCACTTCGTCGTCCGCCACTTGCTCTCCAGCGGCAGCGGCTCCAGCTCGAACACGTCCAGCGCCGCCGCCCGAATCTGACCCCTCTCCAACACGCCCAGCAGGTCCTCCTCGACCACCAGCGGCCCCCGCGACGTGTTGACGAAAATCGAGGTAGGCTTCATAAGCGACAGATCCGCAGCCGAGATGCCGCCCCGCGAGCGCTCCGACAAGACGACGTGGACGCTGAGGATGTCGGCGGTCCGGAACAGCTCCTCCTTGCCGACCGCCCTGAACGTCTTGCCGCCCTCGCCGTCGGCCGCAAACCCGGCAGCCCGTGCCCTCTCGTCAGCCGCCTCCTGCGTCAGGTTCGGGCTCCACGCGACCACACGCATACCAAACGCGAGATGCATGATCTTGGCCACGGCGACGCCCAGCCGCCCGAGTCCGACGGTGCCGAACGTCTTGCCCCGCAGGCTGACGGCCGCGGCGGTCTGCCAGCCCCCAGACTTGACAGCATGGTCATCCCGGGCAATGTTTCGCGCCGCTGCCAGGATCATAGCTACACAATGCTCGGTGGTGCTGACAGACCCGACCGACCCTGCGTGCGCCTTGTCCACAGCGCCAGCGACCGGGATCTGGCGCTCCTTGAAGGCGTCAAGGTCGAGCGCCAGGTTGCGGTTGCCCGTCGTGAGCAGCAGCTTGAGGTTCGGCAGCCGGGCAATCAGGTCTCGGGGGAACGGGGTGCGCTCCCGCATGGTGGCTGGCGGTCAGCTTTGATTATACAGTGGGCGGTGTGCTTACAAATGATGGCGAAGGGCTCGAGCCGCGCGACGAGTTTGTCTCTGACGTCTTGTGACGTCTCCGCGTGGCTGTACGGCCGCAGCGTGTCCTTGATGAAGGTGACCTCGTACTTGGCAGGACCTAGAGCCTTGAACTTGTGCTCTGAGAACCCCTGGTAGTCGTCGAGGACTGCGATTTTCGTGGCCGGCGACATGGTGCTCTTGGCTCTGCTGTGGTGAGTCTCGGCTGGTGCTCGGGATGTCGTTGTCTTATACCCGTGCGGCTCCGAAAGCCGGACAGCCGCGATTCCGTCATTCGAGGCGCAGCTACCCCGCAACCCGGGCTAACGACAGGCATCGGCAATTAGCACGGCTGCAAGGGGCCTAGATAGTGGAGCGGAGCTTACATTGACGACGTTCGATTAGTTATCGCCTCACGAGACTTTCCTGTCCCTGGATTCCTTTAGATTCGCTATTTAAACCACAACCACAAAGTGGAACAAATCCCAACGGTTTGTCTCTATTCCTCAAGTCTAGTTCTTAGCCCGAGTTTGAATTTGGTATCGAAGGAAACGCCTAGTTCCTCGACTCCGCGCGAATCAGTGCTCTGGTATCCTAGTGCTTGCAAGCTAGGGCCTCGGCGTAATCTAACCACTAGACAGATCATGTAACGATGTTGTACGGTTCTACCCACGGGCATATTGACAACGGAAGGACTACGGTGATGCCTTGCTACAAAATCTATGACTGCCGAGATTTTTTTGTGATTATTCTATTCCTGCTTTCTAGAGTGCGAACGAGCGATGCTGCGAAGACGTAATCTGGGTATCGGTCTGGCCCAAGGCTGAGGTGAAAGTGTCGGAAGTTGACCGCTTTGCCGACGGCGCACTGAGCATTCGTAGGAGGTAACTATCAACGCCAGGCCTGCCGGTATCTCCACGGCGTTATCGTCGCCGGTTGGCCGCAGTGGGACGGCCGAGGTTGTGTTTGTAATTGCCGATGTGTGATTCGGTAGTATCGATCGACAGGTGGAGGACTGTCGAGAATTTCACGCCGAGACGCTGACGGGAGATGGCGTCGTGTCGAGCGGTAGCTGACGCCTTCGGCAATCCGAACAGAGGAAAACTAGGATACCCGACAAGGTCATCGCGTCGTCACCGTCAAGTCTAGCGGTAGAATCAATCAAACAATCAGTGGTTGTCTAAAATGTTGGAGGGTTGAAGGAGCGGATTGGAGCTCTAGAGGGGCACCCTGTTGCTGCACCAGTGGAGAACGGAAGGTAGCGCCTTCCTGCTGACAAGAAATCACGCAAACGAGGAGCTCCACTGGCAATCTCAACAGCGATGTGGTTCCCCAAGCATAGCGAGCAACCTCAGGCAATGGCCTGTAAATAATATGAACAAAAACATCGCCGCCTTCTACACCGTATCTTACAATAGCCAAGTGGTATCCATTGCTACGCCGATTATCGGCCCCCCGCCTCTATTAATGTTTCAGCCACTTGCTCACCTCGCCGTTCCTCCACGCCAGCATCGCCTGGGCCATGGACTCCTGCCGGTCGATAATGTTCCGGTGGACTGCCGCTCGCATCTCCAGCACAAACTCTCTGTGCGCGGGGCCGCCCGAGAAAATCGACTCGACACCCGATTCCAGCGTCTTGAGCTTGCCAAGCAGGCCGGGCGTGGCTGGCCGGTTGCGATTCACTATCTGCGGAGCCACGGCTGGCTCTCCCGGCGCTAGACTCTCCTTTAGGATGCAGTCATCGATCTTCTTCAACATCCTGTAGATGTTAGGGTCCTCGAAATGGCCCGTCTCGAGCTTGACGTTGTGTTTTTTCAGGTCCTTTTTCACCCGCTTGACGCAGTCTCGTGCCTCTCTGCTGACAGCTTTCTGGTCGTCTAGGTATTTCCGCATATATCTCAAGATCCTTCCCTTTTCGTCTTCCCTCCGCTCTGCGCGTGTCAGCATAACTCGCATCTCCGGGGTGCAGAACCTACTGTCCAATCCCTCTTCGCCAGTGGCCTTCAAACGCTCGACGGGCGTCTCGAGGACGGCCTCCGACGCATTGGTCCAGTCCCAAACAACCGTCTTGAGCTCGCGCTTGAACACGTCGTCCCACTCGAGCACAAGAGCAATGTTCGCCAGCTGGAGCGCCGTCAGCCGGCTCCAGTGGGCCGTTTCCGAGTACCAGCACTGCCACTGGCTGGACCGCGACGACTGGCTCGCCTGCGACTTGCGGACGGCGTGGCGGGAGTTGGACTTGGAGGCGATGAGGCCCCCGTCGCCGTCCGTGGCCTCCCACGTCGGGCAGGCTCGAAGCTGCTTTGCGACGACCTCGAAGAACCACATGACGTTGGCTTCGAGGCAAAGCAGATCTACAGTCTGGCGCCGGTTGGCTGTCTCGGGTCCGATTTCGTTGAGCACCCGCGTGGCCGTGTCGGCATCGAAGCCGTCTGACTTGGAGATCACAGGCTCCCACCGGTGGTGGGGGCGGCAGCGAAGGTCATCGACGCGCGCGCGGATCAGGGGCGACACAGCGCTGAGCACCTCGACGCGCCCAGGCGCCCAGGCCGGCGTGATGCTAGTCCTGACATTTCCCTCCCACTTGATGAGGACCCGTTCGCAGATGGGATCTGAGGCTTGGGCATCACGTCAGCCAGCGTCCGCTCGGCACGTCACGGCACCGACGGCTAGAACGTTACGTACCTTGCTCGGCATGCTGGGTCCCGCTGGGTGCGCTCCCCTGCGGGGGAGCCTGGGTTATTCTGTCCGCCTCGAGAGGCCCCCGGACCGGGCCGGGGGCCGTGCTGCTCGGGATCGGCCGCCGCTTGACCGGCGCCAGGGCTGCCGAGCGAGGGTCAAACCCGAATGGGGCCTCAAAGGGCCCTGGCATCGGCGGGGTGTCGCGGAGCAGCCAGAGCTTGAACAAGGCAACGCCTTCTCATGGCAACGAAAATGTAAGAGTCACTGGCAGACGGCCCGGGCGCGTGACGTTGGAGGGAGGAGCATCCTACGATCAGTGCAAACCACGCTCCACGTGGACTGAGCCGCAGAGGCGACCAAGCTCGGCACGGGGGTCTGGCGGGAGCGATAAGCCAGGATTCTGTGAGTGGCCGACGCCCAGCCGCTGCCGACGCCACCGAGCGCCCAGACCGCGGCCGCAATCCAATTGGATCGGGCGCTTGGGTGCGTGATATTGCCTGCGCCAGTGCGCCTCAGCTTTGAATTACATCTGCCCCCTTTTGGACTGGTGCCCAGCCCCCAAGCGGCCACCACCACGCAGCCTCGTTCAGCGACAACACGTGGACCGGAGTCGTCCACGATCACCGCGAAACCGCGGTGCAAAGCGCGTCGACAAACCCTGACAAACCCTGGGCATCCCCGCAAATGGAAGTCATCGTCGTCGAGCAGCCGACGGCAACGGCGTCGCCCGCCGCCGTGCTCTACGCCGACGTCCTGAAGCATCCCGAGCGTTACTACCAGGTGAGCACTAAGACCCGGCTACCGGACGTGACTCTGACGCGCGTAGGGAGCCGACATCCTCTGGGTCCTCATGTCATCGGCACTCGTGTTTGTCATGATTCCATCGCTCTCGCTCATCTACTCGGGCCTCGGGAACCGGTCCTTTGCCCTCACCCTGTTCCGCCTCCCCATGGTGACGGCCGCGTTCGTTGGGCTCCAGGTGCGCCGTCTGTCATGTTTATGTCTGAGACGTCATATTGACTGCATTAGTGGGCCCTCTGGGGCTATGCCGTCACGTTTACGGACGCAGCCCTGCCGTCCAACTGGTGGGGTGGCGAGAGCCGAGCCGCCGGCCTGAAAGACGTGCTCGGCCGGCCCGTCGGCACCGGTGACGGTCCAGGCGGCCCCTTGATACCCGAACTGGTGTACGCGCTGTACGAGGGCATGTTTGCGTCGTTTACGTAGGTCCACGCGTGCCCCATTCGCTGCCGTGCTGACCGCTGTAGGGCCGCGCTGGTGTGCGGCGGCACCATGCACCGGGCCCGGCCGCGGCGCTTCATCGTCTTCATCACCCTCTGGTCGCTCCTCGTCTACGACCCAGTCGCCCGGTGGTCCTGGAGCAGCAAGGGCTGGTCCAAGCAGGTGCTCGGCACCCTCGACTTTGCTGGCGGGACGCCCGTGCACGTCGTCAGCGGCACCACGGTTGCCGCCTTTGCCGTCTTCTGCTCCATCGAGGCGCGGGGCAGTCTGTACGTCTTTTCCGTCGACGCCGTGAAGCGGGTCGGCCGCCGAATCAAGCACTTTTGGCACGGTGTGTGGACCGTGTTGCGCACTGCCGTCCTGCTGTGCACCTGCGGGCGTGTGGACATGCCCAAGGCGCCCACCCCCCGGCCCCCGGCGAGCAACCAAAAGAGCTTTCCCTATAACGTCAACTACGTCGTGCTCGGCACCGCTCTGCTGTGGTTCGGCTGGGCCGGTTTCAACGGCGGCTCGGCGCTGGCCGCCAACCTGCGGGCCGTGTCGGCCTGGGCGTCGACACACGTCGCCGCTTGCGCCGGCGGCGTCACCGGCATGCTCTGGGTGTGGCTGATGAAGCAGTTCCCCGATGCCGAGGTGGCCGAGGGGGCCGAGCCGCCCGACGAGGCCGAGCGCAGCCGCGCCCAGGCCAGCCAGGCCTTTGACCGCCTCTCGGTCTGCTTCTTCTGCGACGGTGCCATCTCGGGGCTGGTGGCCATAACGCCCGCCGCTGGCTATGTTAGTGCCCCCGAGCCTGTCGGCCTGGACCCTGTCTGACCTTATAGGTTCCCGTCTGGAGCGCGGCTGTCTTCGGCATCGTGGGCGCCCTGTTCGTCAACATCCTCAAGAAGGAAACCGAGCTGTTTCTCCGCCACGACCCGTTGCAGGTGTTTGCCGTCCACGCCGGAGGCGGCGCTATCGGCATGGCGCTCACCGGGCTCCTAGCCGAGTGAGTGCCCCGCTGCCTTCAACTACCTGCCCCGCTGACTGCTGCAGCCCCGTCACCATCGGCCTCGACGGCCACTCGACCATGCCCCACCCCGAGTACCACAGGCGCCAGCGTTTTGGGTAAGTCCCGCAGCCTCCGCATCCAGCCGCGCTGACCTTGCTAGTGTCCAGTTGGCCGACGTGTTTGCCGGCATGGGCTACACCTTCTTCATGACGCTCGGCATCCTCTACCTCATGAAGCTCGTCGTGTACCTCTGCGGTGCGTCGCCCTGGAGCCACACGGCCGTCTACGACGACGAGAACCGCCTCGAAGACGAGTTCCAGGCCACTATCCAGCAGCAGTGGGGCGGCGACCTGGACGCAGAAGGCCGCCCGCTCATACGGCTCGTCCCCCCGCCCGAGCCTGGGCAGCCACATCTCGAAGGCCCGCCGCAGCCTAATCTCGAAATGGACGCTCTGATGCCGCAGGGACTCCCGCTGAGCCCGCCACGCAGCGCGACTCCGGGGAGCCAGGTGGCGCCACACGTGTGATGGTGTGTTGTTTGACGCCGTTTAGCATGCACCTCAAGGCCATTTAGATACCTAGATATTTATCGATATATTGGGAGTTGCCGACCTGTTCACCAAGTGCGAGCAACTTCGGGGATTAGATGCAAGCGAATCGACTTTACCGCACCATTGGCGGGCGACGAGATAGCACGGTAGCGAGTGAATTAGTTCAACAGCTGCTCTCATTGAATCGGAGTGGGCCGCACACCTTTTTGCACTCTTCCATTTCAACTCAATCAGCCCTCGACCAGCCGACCACTGCCTCAGCGCAGCGCCTCTTCTCGCATTATCTGACTTGCCAGCGTCACGCAGAGTTGCACCTATCGGGTGCCACCCAGTCGGCGAGGGCCCACATTATTGGCACCGTCACGGCCGACGACACGAGACGAGGGGATTCTGACGTGTCCGCAGCCAGCAGCGTGAGCTTGGCATAGTAGCACTGTGGAGGCGGTAATGTGGGCACCACTATCTGGGAACGGCTTTCCCAATTATATAGGCTGTTGAAAGAACGTCGTGTCCAACTCAACGAATCGGCGCGTACGAATTTCAACAGGAACACCAAGCTGATTACTAAGGGCATTGTCTAGCATAGAGAGACCATTCGTTGTTTCACCATGTATTGTTGTCCCGCATAGGATTACTCAGGTGCCCCTGAATCATGTGCCATGCTAGCGGCTCTTACCTCCTATGGCTCGCCTTGTATAGTTAGTAGGACGGAACTTCCGCTCCTTAAATACTAGTGTATTTACGGTTAGCGTCGATATCTATCTTCCGCGGCTATAGGTAAGGTTTATATGATAGACAGGATTGTCGTATAGGTAAGGTTTGTTATAGCCAAGGTTTGTATAGGCAACGTTTGTTATAGGTAAGGTTTATCGTGATGCTTACCTAGTACGTCTAGTAAGAACTTATACGGTAGTCACCAACCGGGGAGTGCAGTATGTAGGCGAAGGCCGTATGCTATTATGGGTCTCTGTGTGCAAAGAATCCACCCTTTCCGCCTCCGTATTCCTCTCTCGTCAAGCACACACTTCTACCAGACCCCTCAGTCGCCAATCACCTCATCGTGGAATGTGCGGCCAAGCCGGTCCTGTCCCTCAAATCTCCATGCACATCTCCATATTGTGACCGACAGTTCCGCAATAGCTGCAGACGATATTTCCCAAAGGGCCAGCAGGAAGGTTGGCGGCGAGGCCCAACGGGACCACAGGCTCGGGGGCAGCGCCGGGGGCGTCGACAGCGGGGGCTACACCCTTTTTCTGGGGCACTCTTGGTAGTCTGCCTCTGGATTTCCTCTGAAAGAATTCTCGAGCCTCGGCCGACTCTTACTCCAACGATGTCAGAGAGCCGCTTGGGGGCCTCCTGAGGAACGTCCTGCTGCGCCGAAACGGCGAGTGAGGGACCGGCGGGGTTGGACCCGACGGCAAGCGCGTTTCTGGGCACACGGATGAGGTTCAGCTCAGCTGCACGGGAGCGGAGCACGAGCGAATTAGACCACTGGCGGTTATCGCTCCGCTCGGTGCGGCCATTGCCGCGGGAAAGGGCGCGCTCGCCATCCTCGTCGCCGCTAACGTGGCGCGGACGATTGCTGGTGTGGAGGGGGTCGAGGAGGCGGGGCGCGGTTGCTGCCAGAGCTATTGGATCTATCTGTCAGACTGCAACAGCACTTCTAGGATTGTGTGCACCAGAGTGAATTCCTCTTATTCTCTTCCTCCAGTCTTTCTACAAAAGACTCTCTCTCTTATACTTCCTTATGTGGCAATTACATGACGAAACCCAGTGGCGAAGATTACGCATCATAGATTCCAGAACCTTCTAGGCCATTCCATCTGACACTATCCGCCATTTTTGTGCCTGGCGATATAGAAAGGAACGCTGGAAAAGAGGTAAAATTCACGAATTTTGATGCAGAGCTGTTGCAAAAGAGACCTAGTGTTGTTGGGCAAGTTGGAGTAGGACAAGCCGCAAAGAGCGATAGCAAACAGATAAGAATGTAGGGCAATTCAGCTTCGGACGAAGACGGAGACAACGAAAATTGCTCCCTGACCCCTCCTACAAAGCAACTCGCCTGTCCCTACTCTAAACCTGCCGTCCTGCTTGTCAGTACGGACCCGAATAAACGCTTTGTCGACATCACGAAGGTGCGGTCTGCAGGTGCGGCATGTAGGTATGCTTAGCTACCGAATTTATCTCCGTACGGCGTCGCGTCTTGGGCTGGACGGGAGACGTAAGATAGCTAGTTAAGTCGGTCGTGAGTGCTACAATTATGCCGTGCGCGTCGTTGAGAGTGCAGCCTACATAGCGGGATGCTTGGTACGGACGACGAGAAACTCGAGAGGCTTGTCGTGCAAGACCCGCGTCACTACAGTGTCGAATGCGAAGACGGTCTCGTACCGAACCAAGGTACGAACTTGGAGTCGCTGAATATCAATCGGCAAGTAATGCACACGAAGGATCATTATTATACAATTCTACCGCAGATTATGTGTATGCTATGCTCTTGATACTTCTGGAATAACTTCAAAAACCCGCTCGTTGTGATTATGGTGGGCAACGCAAGGGCGTAGCCATCCACTGGGTCGTATAAGCACCAGCGGAAGAGAAACACAGCCACACGTCTGAATCCTCCTCGCTTGGGTCAGACGAGACGCGCTCGAGGAGCGCTTCGAGCGTCAGAGCAGCAGCCTGCTGTTCCTCAGCCATAGATATCTCCGACAAGCGACTACGTCGACTGAGATCCCGCTGGACAATGCCCAAGCTATCGGAATACGCAATGAGGAGGTGCAGCTGAATAGCGTCAATCTCGTCGGCTGACAAAGGGTCCGGCCGAGTCTCTCGGACGAATTTCCGACCGTGCATCTCTTCCAGCGTTAGCAGAGCGTTCCAAAAGGTCAGGCATGTCGAATGATTCAGGAGCAGGGCACCGTTTGCGTGGCGGAATGTATGGGCCCCTATGTCCGCGAAATTGTTGGAGAGCACGCGCGCGCGCTCCCACAGCCCAAGGCTAACCCGGAGATCACTCTAGTGCGCCAGGACTCTCAATACGCCCCAGAAGTCTCTCTGGATGCTGTCTAAGAGGGCCGCATCGTCGGGCCGCATCGTCGGATTCCTCTAGCAGTTCTTCCGATGCCGTGTTGGCGGCGACGCTGAAGGCGGCAATCGCAGCTAGTTTTATCAAAAGACAAGCCGCAGTGTGAGTCAAACCGTGATCAGTCAGGGCAGCGGCGGCCAGACATGCCGCGTTGAGCTTGCAACCGAGGGTGTCGTGTGCGAGGGCGGCGGCACGTCCCTTGTTGGTTACGACAGTCTTGCCGCCCTCATCTGCCACAAGCTCCATAACCTCGAGGCGCCGCAGCATCTCTCTAACCCTAAAGACGCTAGAAGCTTCTCTCTAGTTGAACGGCATATCGGTAAGTCGCCGGCCGTCAAACTCTCGAGGCGCGGAAAATAACGTGGCTAGGAAGTCGAGCAGCTTGTAGATATTGGCCTTGGCTAGTTCAAACCCGATGGTGGCGACGAGGGGCACGCTTGCCACACGCATGGGGGTTGCTGATGTAGAGGAGCCGACCCGAGTTGCCGTCTGAGAGGAACGACCGCGCGCGATCGGTGGCTTTTGCGAGAAGTGTTTCTTGTTCAACACGTGTGGTGGTGCTCTTTTCGATGATGAAATACCGCGAGTTCAGCCCGTGGGTCCGGCTACGATCAAGTTCTAGATATGGTGAATGTGTTCGTTTGAGACTGGAACTGTTTCTTTCGATGTGGGCGACGTAGGTAGCTTCTGTGGTAACGAACTTGCACCCTGAAAGCCCCACCACCGGATTATCCTCAGGGTTAGGGTGTGCCCCGCACCTAGAATCGGACTTCATAGCTGGTGGCCTTCGGCCTGTAGTTTTAGAGAAGACAACCCATTCCACACCGTTCTTTTTAACCCTCAGGCCCTTGCACACCCTTGCACGCCGACCACCAATGGAGACCTGGGTGGGTGGGGGATGCTGACTAGGCCCGATGGACTGTAGCGCGTGAACCCTGAAACTCTCGACCTTGCTAGTTACTGCGCCCTGCAGTCCAGGGTCCTCTCCACCTTTGTTCGCGCCGACTCCCGGGCTCCCTGTTCATCGCATCGCAGAGCCTGCGAGGCACTCGGGTCGTACTAATTCGATCCCGCACTGACAAGCTTCAGAATATATTAACATCAGATTTAACATCAGATGCTAAACATGTACTTTGTGTGCCCTTCGGAGCTTTACCCGCGCCTCATCACTTCTGGCTTACGCATGCATTGGATGTACAGCCCTTTCCGACTTCCGGGCTCGGGCGCCCGGGCGCTGACTTCTGGGCGCTGACTCTGGCCCGGCTGCTGATGACAGAAAGAGTCACGATCAGCACCTTGGCAATTTTGAGCCTCACAGCGACAGCAAGGAGCAATGTGTCACAGTTTAGGCAAATAACTCCGAGTGGTAGTGTCGGAATGCACTCTAGGTCAACGAGTCAACATCCCAAAACGCGAAAATTGAGCTCCAGTGTTTTGAAGAGGGCCAGGAACACGGTTCGAGACTTTGAGTGCTGTGAGGTTCTTGGCGCGAGAGCGACAAAATGACTCAGGTCTTTCCATTGTCTTCTCAAACGCACCGTGCTACCAATCCCTGAATGTTTGTCAGCGCGGGGGCTTTCAAAGATCCGGAAGGCCTCGGCCCTTACGGCTCGGCCTACTATGTAAACGTTTTATCGAAAGGTGTCCGGTTATCCAGGCAGAGCTCGATGGAGCGACAATCCTCGAGGCTTGGGCCAGTCACCCTCTCACTGGTCTCATGGAAAACTTGGGGAAATATGGCACCGCGGCCCTCCAGGAATCGCATAAGGCCACATACTCAGATTAGGGCTGCCGGGTTCTCTTTTAGACCTTGACGAGAATACTAGACAGATCTTCAATGGTCTAATTACTGTCTCAACAGACTAGCTCGTAAACAATCAGTTGTTCACCGAAGCCGCTTCAACACTTCCTTCACCCTCTCGTCAATGTCTGCCAGACATTTCCCAGAATACTCGAGCAAATTGCCTCTCGTCTTGGCCGCGTGGATCTCCAGCGCGTCTCCCCGGTTTAGTAACTTCCTGTAGAACTGCAAGAGCTCAATCTTGGTCCGCGCGTCTAGACCCGCCGTGAAGCCGTACTCTCGCGCCGCCGCCTCGATCTCAGGGAAGCCGCCCAGAGGGGTATTGTCATCCAGGGCGAGCATATGCCGCAGCCGCCACACCGACGGCCGCGGCCTGTCAGCCGGGAAAGACAGAAAGTGTCGCAGGTGTGCGCCGCCGCCGAGGCCATACCTGTCAAAGAGCCTTGGCAGGCTGCGCACCTCCCACGCGCGCCAGAAGTCGGAGAACGGGCATGGCTGCTGGCTGGGCATCTTGCGGTCGGGCGCGATCCCGAGACTCCGGTTGTAGTCTTCAAAGTACTTGTTGCCACCCACCAGCCGGTTGTACAGCGACCCCAGCCCACCCTCGTCGTACTCGTCGGCGCACGTCGCAAAGCCAAAGTCGTACCACATGTCGAGCTCCTCCCAGCCGGGGTTCGGCCGCGACGTCTCGAGCGCCATGGCGAAGAAGACAAAGCAGTACCGCTTCGCCGGCGGCTCGAGGTCGCGGAAGTCTTTTTCTCTGTCGGCCGGGTCGAGGTACGGCTTCGCCAGCTCGATGGCGCGAAGCAGCGGGTTATCTTTCCCGGCAGTGTCGACGGGCGGGACGGACGGGTCGAGCAGGTGCTTGTTGCGCGCGAACCACGGGTAGTAGGACCCGCGGCGGCGCTCGGGGATCTTGAGATAGAACTCGTCGATCTTGTCGGCGAGGACGCCCTGGACCCGCCACTCGTGGACTTCGTGTGCATGCACGTCGTCGGACAGCGCCACCATGCCCCGGTACATGCCCAGCAGGTGCGACTCCTCGTGCCACGTGCGGCACCGCGAGAAGCCAAAGTCGTCGCGCGTTTGAGGGTCGGAGGGCATCTCGTCGGCGATGGCGTCGCGGCAGAGGATGTCGGCTGTCGTCAGGGATCGGGCCGAGCACTTGGCGAGGTGGTACGTGGACATCTTTTCCTGGCAATTGGCGGTGCAGAACCAGCCGCGGTTGCAGAAGGAGCAGCGGCGAGTGGTTTCGGTTTCGCAGATTTCGCATTCTCCAGCCGTCGAATCGTGATTTGGGTCTAGGACTGCACTTTCGTCTTGGCGGCCGAAGTCAGAGTCTAGCGGTTCCTCTATGATATGGTCGAGATGGCTCTCTGTGTCGTCAGTGGCTGCGCTTCGCGTCATGGCAGCTTCACGCTGGGATTCGAGGTGCCGGGAGACGAGGTCCATCAAGTGCTGGTCGCCAAACCGCCGGACTGTCGATGCGACTGAGGAGCCGCCAACAGTGGATTCAGCGACGTGGGCCAGATGGTCTTTCTTCTTGTTCAGGATGAGATTCCGCATGGCCTTTTCGGTAGAGCCGACAGCGGCAGCCAGCTGTGCAGACTCAGAGTCCGAAATGACGGACACTTCGGGCACAGACCAGAGGTGGTAAAGCTTGCCATGGGACCCCGGGGTCGTGAACGATCCGTAGCCATGGACGAATTTGGAGCACAGGAAGCAGCCGCGCTTGCTGCACCCAATGTAGCGCAACACAGCACCGCCGACGTGGCTGTGCTGGGCGAGGCCCAGGACGAGCTGGACTTCAGCGTGCACCTCGGAGACTGACGACTTGAGCTTGTCGAACTTCTGCAGCAGCCTCCCCTTAGTCCACGCGTCCTTGCCCTTCGCGTTCCCGGATCCGATGACATTTTCCACAGACTGGTCGTCGAGTCTGAGATTCAGAGAGGCGAATGTCTCAACAGCTGACCACTTGTTGTTGGGAGCTTTACTCTGTGGCTTATTGGGCGGAATCGTAACTGGGACTATGCGGAGGCCATCAAAGTTGGAGAGCCTTTCTGTGGCGTTGATCAATGTGTTGAAGCAAGACTGTAATCGGCCCAGAAAACCGAGTGCATTCCTGATCGATCTGATTCCCGACTTGTCTTTTGTTATCTGCTTAAACTCGCTCTCGGGGAAGAGGTAGCATATATGGTACGCGAGGAGTATTACTCCTTCGAGCCCAGCCTTTGTCGACAGCCGGGGTGTGTTGTTCAGAGTGTCGTAGAGTTCCCTGAGCTTAGATGGAAGAGGAGAGGTCTGGACTTGAGGGCTCGTGGCTTGCGATGTTGGAGGGTCAGCGGTGAGGCCATCGAGGTTGCACTTCTTCAAAGCGAGCTTGGCCTGGACAATGTAGTCCATGAGCCGCGGTTTGTACCAGTCTACGAGAGAAGCCCATAGTTTTTCGGCTTCATCAGAAGCGCCGGGATCTATGGCATATCGCAAATCAGCTTGGCTTGTCATTCCAAACGAGAGAATTCCTCTGACTACCCTGTAAGACCTATTCTTGAGATTTCCCTCAAGCCAGATGACAGCCTCTCCAACATCCGGACGCTCGGATCGTCGGGCTTGAAGCCGCTATTCCTCGCAACAAGAACATCGACGCGATCGGGCCACTCGACCATCAAGGCCGCCGAGACATGGTGGCCGCCTTTGGAATTCGCCACGAGCTCAGACAGTCTGTCCAGGAAAGCCCTCTTCAGCCTGCTGTTGTCCACGTGCGACAGGTTGTGCACTCTGAGAGATTCGGTACCGTCGCTCGGGTCTGTGAGCTCGATGTCATCGTCAGGCCGCTCGGAGAAGTCGGACGATTCCTCGACCTGGCCGCCATTTCGCAGTCGCAGGAGCTTTGTGTACGCTTCAAACCTAGACTTGTTGAGTCCGCTCTGGCCCCAGCTGAATGAGGTGCTCATGGCGCCAAGGAGATGGTGGTGTCGCTGCGTTGCTCAATGGGAATTGGAAAGAAAGCTTCAAAGAAACGCAAAAGAGCTGCAGCACTTGATAAATGTTCAGGGGCTCGCACACAGGTTAAATTTTCCCCGCTTTCTCGGTTGCACAAGGCAGCCGTCCTTAGAGGGCCATTCTGACCAATGAATCTTGTCTGATTGGAGATGCCCCTCTCATGCTCACGCAATGAGGCCTTCAGTGCCTATCTCGGCCCCTCGGAGGTTGGTTGATGCCGAGAGCAGAATGAGAACGTCACGTCCAAGAATTCCTGTGAAAAGATCGAAAGGCTAAAGGCTGTTTTATTTAACAGTCTAGGTAGACTTCCTCTTACTTATTTACACATGAAAACTCGTCACGCCACAATCGACTCTCAGATCAAAGAGCGGTATGCATGTCAAGGAAGAGCACCACGGTACGGTAGGATAGAGGGGAGAGTATTAACAACATGAAGTAAGTTGCTACATGAGATGCCAGCTCCGAACCTAGTCCGCTCAGCGGAACCTATCATGTCCCAGGTCCACCAGGATCAACTCCGACTATATATCTTCGCGACCAGTACGCAAGTATACTGGCACCCAGAGCATAGGGCCGGCCTTCAAATATAATTACATAAAACCCTGCCACTGCCGCTAAGGAGGTAAGCAACAACAGACATATAATCAGCGGTGCATGACCAGCACGCACACTTTCCCCCCGCCATCGCCATCTCCATCACCAATCCGCCAACCCACAGCCAACAGCCTACTCGTGAAAACCCTCACTTCCTGGTCAGAGCCGGCAGCGTCTGCTTGTTGACGTCGCGCGGCTGCAGCACGTTGCCGTGGCCGTTAGCGTGGCCGTTGGCGGCAGTGGCGGTAGTTTCGCTCTTGTCGGCGGGCCCGGCGTACGGCTTCTTCCGGTGGGCGCGCCGCGACTCGGTGCGCTCGGCCTGCTTGTGCAGCACGGGGTTGCCGGAGCGCGTGAACACGGCGTCCTTGCGCTTGACGCGGGTTCGGGAGACTTTGGTGATGACTGGGTTGGATGGGTGGGTAGGATAATTATAGATGTTAAAAGTTAGGTAAAAGAAGGGGTAATTATTGGGTGTTGGAAACTTACCTTCCTTCTCGTTGTCGTCGTCGTAGCGGTACAGTGACACGATGCGGCCAAAGTACGGCATGGTACCGGCCGCCTGGCCCGGCCGCGCGCAGTCGAGAAGCGATCGGTTGTGCTGCAGGGTGCGGTCAGCTCCCATTTTGGAGTGGCAGACGCTGTTGTTGATGTTGGCCACGTTTGCCGTGACGACGCGGTGGGCGTGGAGGGGCCCCCATTGGGGTTTGGAATAAACCTGCAGCTCCTGTCAGTCTCGAAGCCATGCAGATGCAGGGGATTATGAACGATTAATCACCTCGACATCTCCGTCCGCAGTAGGGGTTGCCAAAAGCTTCGCCGGCGAGGGAATCAAGTATCCCATGTTGGCATCTGTCACCGGTCAGGCCTCAGTACCCAACCTCCGGACAGTCGACAACAACTTACAACGCTGGTCGATATCTTCCCAAGTCTGAAAGTTGAACACTTCGTCGGTGACACCCACTGCGTGCGCCAGGCAGTTGTATGCAGTCAAGGTGGCGTTGGCCGGCGGTGGAACAATGGTGTATAGGAGGTTGATGGCACTGCCAGCTGCCACGTGAGTTGCGATGGTGCTGAATCTCGCCGCGAGCCACGCCTGCAGCTCCGTCCTAGCCGGAGCCTGCAGTTGTGCTATATTCTGTGGTGCCGGGTTTGCCATGATGCCCGGTGGATGGAGACTAAGTGAGGGTTCTAGAGAAATATGCTAAACCTTAGCCTCGCCGACACTCAGATTCGCTTCTGCTTCCGAAGGCAAAATTATCCTAACTTCAAATCTGTAATTTGAGGATGCCCGTCGTGACGACAGGTGGGAATGGCGGCCTCAAATTTAGAGTCTAGCTTGTACAGTCATTGTCGGAGGTTCGACCCAGTCGTTCCTTTATATCTGATTTATGCTCCGAAGGTTTCCATCATTCTGCTGACGGTTGATGGAAAGTAGCCGTGGCGGAACATCTCTACGTACTGGGTAAGTACCTATGGTGAATTCTTCACCTGAACTCTGCAACGGCTTGCCTTCCACAGGCTCAATTTGATAGACCTTAGGCTGGGCTTCAACTATGGTGACATGCAGCTGCAGCTTGAGGAGGGGAGTTAACAGTAGCCACGGTTCGGTTCCACATGATGTGCCCAGCTAATGTCCCGGTTTCGACCACTCCTCGATAATGATATCTGCAGCCTAGAGAAGAAAAGGATTCCATTGTTAACATAGCAACGAACAACTTTTTTCATGTATTTCTGGCTTTTGCTTGAGGAGGAGATATCTTTACCTTTTCACCAACCGCATATGCCGTCGCGCTCAAATGGCTACCAATCAGCAACGGCGCGATGCTCATGTCCGCGACCCGGAGCCCTCCAGGTGTCCCGTGCACTTTGAGATCCGGTCCCACCACGCCCCCCTTAGCCCTGGTTAGCATGGGTGCCGTGCAGCATGGGTGCTGGAAAGACAGGATCATAGTCTGCCGTATGTAGGCGCGCAGGGCATCGTCGGTTGCTGCCACCGCGGGGCCGGGCGCCAGCTCGACGGCACCATAGCGACGCATGGTCGGTGTGTCGAGCAGTTTTCGAAGAAACCGCAGGTGCGCCAGGTGTAAGTCCAAATCGAGCGGGTTTGACAGCATGCGGTAGTCGAGGATCGGCTGCGCCAGGTGGTCGCCCGGATCTAGCCGCACTGTGCCGCGGCTGAGCGGATGCAAATGGAAAGCCAACGCCGAGCCGCCCGACTCGGCCCACGGCGTCTCGAGGCTCGGAGCCTCCGCGTTTGCGAACAGATTCGCCAGCGTCTGGAGTTGATCCTTATAACCGGCCACGACAGACGGATCCGTGTCCGGCGGGAGATAGCTCGCTGCTGTGTTTCCTACCGTGGCGAGTCGGCGGATCTTGGCGACGAGATCCCGATAGGTCGCTGGGGCAACATGCGGAAGCGAGACGTAGATGGCCGAGTTGCCCATGCTGAGTGTGTACGGGCCCCGGGCTGGGACTTGGTTGAAACCCGTCGTGGCATCAGCTTTGAAGGTAGGATCGAGCATGTCGTGAGGAAGCGGTGAGAAGTTGCCGGGCTTGGTATCTGCATTTCAGTTAGTTGATTCGAAGATAAAGGCGGTGGCTTGGGAGGATCCAAAGTCGTGGCGTACAGTTCCAAAAGACGCCCGGCCCTGAATGGTCCTGGAGGTTGGAGCCAACACCGGGCAGATCGATAAGCGTGGGAACCCCTGCCGCGCGAAGATATGATGCCGGCCCAATTCCGCTACGCAGCAGGACCGTTGGTGTGTGGAAAGCGCCGGCCGAGATGATGACCTCGGCCTTTGCCGTTACGTTGAACTGCTGGCCTGCGTCACTCACTGATCGGACTACGACCAAAGGTGGGCCAGACTTGGCCTTGAGGCCCTTGGGATACACCACTCTGACCACCTGGTGCTTCACGAGGAGGTCGTAGTTTGACCTCGGCTGTACAGCAGCATAGTGGCCGAGCCCCGAATGCGAGCGTCGGGCCGTTATGGGATCTTCCGAAGTAGGCACCCAGCAGATCCCTTCTTTGTCGCCCCCGGCACACTCTCTACGGGGCTCCAATCCCATTTCTTCCCAAGTCTCACGAAGAACCGGCTGGTCTCCCCACTGGAAAGGTGGGTAACTCGAGAAGATGGGTGTTGTACCGCCATACGCACCCGAGACATCCCATGTGTATCCGTACTTCTGGGCAATTGCAGGAGGAGGCTCAGTGAATGTGACACTCTGTACGGAAAAATGTCAGCGGCTACTGCATGATATCTTATTTCCCCTTGATCCACGTACCTTTTTGAAATAGGCTATCATCCCGTTCCAGTTCCACTTGATCTTACTCGGCCGAAGCTCGGGTCCGCCAACCTCGGTCCAGGCATCATAGTCAAACCGTGATCCGCGGTCGAAAAACATGCCATTGGCGGCGCTGCTGCCGCCCACGGTCTTTCCGATGGCAATAAAGGCCGTGTGGTTGTCCACCTCCGGGTTAGGTAGTGAGTTGAAGCTCCATCTGCTCACAGCGTTGGGGTCTGACTGAGTCCAGAGTGTGGGCGGGTCAAAGACTCCGGGCGCATACTCGATAGCGCCATATTCGACGACCAAAACACTTTCTACCGGGTCGCTATGTTAGTTGCCCTATGATACTCAAACAGCTTCGGGTGAGAGTGTCATCACACTTTTGGGAAAGGCTTTTGAGAGGCGGTCGGCAACGGTAAGGCCGCTCGTGCCTCCGCCAACAATGATGAAGTCGTAGTCGGGGCGGAGCTCAGAGACTTGGCGTTTGAGAGAAGCATGGTACGGCAGAGCACTTGTTCCGGCGACTGAAAGCGACACGGCAATAGCTCGCAGTAACGCCATTCTCATTATTGCCGTTTTCCCGATTTTCTCCGAATCTTCAGGTTTTCAAGTCGGCCGCAAGCAGAGTGCCATCACCATCTTAAAAGATAAAGGCGCGAGAGCACATTTAATGCCTACAGTTTTCGCAATCGAAAAGCTTTGGCGTAAGCTGAGAATGCCTGTTCTCCCGACGTGGCAGCAACTAGCCCATTCTTCTGCTTCCCGCATCTAGGTCTAGACCTAGTTCTCTTGACCGCAAATCCCACAATCCGTGATGGAGGGTGTATGGTACGGTTCCGCCCCACATGGGCTACACAGCGGGCGAGGGATTGGCCCTATTTTGGATATCACATTTGTGGGTGCTTGGTATGTGCATATGCACGTGGCCATGTTCGCTCACTTATTAATTACCTACTGAGCGCCCTGCTCAGGGTGCTCAGTCAAGGGAAGGGGAACTGAGCTACTGAGCGCCTCCTGATTGGCTGCTCTTGGCGCAGAAGATGGGTCCAACCCCACTCCCTGCCGGCCAACCACACGAGAGCCCGTGGCGCATCCTGCACAGAAGAGCCAGGATCGTAACACCACCCTGAGGGGCACGCCAAGGCAGCGAGCGTTGTATTAGCCAATCACCACGTACACAGTAATATGTTAACACAGGCACTTGCCCAACGATAAATACCCAATGGACTATTCCAACTGCTAGCACTACCTAGGAACTGGTTAGGTTTGTAGGCAGCGGGGAGGGTTGCCTCGGGGGCAGACCTAACGTCGAGTTTGGCGAGGCTGGCCGCCAGCGGGTCGAGGGCGGGCTCGGGGCCTGGGGCCGTGGTTTCAAGCCGGGCCTGGGCCGTCTCGGCAGCCTTGGTTGTTGCCCATATTGACTTCGCGAGCTCGCTACCCACGGGCGCCGTGGGGGCAGGGGCTCGAGCGAGACCCGCTTGGTCTGCTGGGCGGGGGGCAGTGGCAGTCTTGGGGGCAGGCTTAGGGTGAGGGGCGGCGGAGCACTTGCTTCTTTTGCGGCCTGGGTCGAGAGAAACGCCCTCCAACCTCGGCTGTAGGGGGCGACGAATCTGTCCGGCACGGCCGCGAAGGGCTGCGGGAAGGCACGGCTGGGAAGGTAGTGTCCCTAAACACGCCTGTTTACCGTCCAATTGACGTAGTTAGCACTGAGGTCGCCCTTGAAGCGACCTCCACCGTACAGCACCGTGTAGACCTCGTGCTGGCAATTTTTGACTGCCGCCTCGGCGGCCGCGGGGTCCGCCATCTGTGGGTGGGCCTCTGCGACGGCGGCAAAGATCGCATCGCGGCGATTTTTCATCGCCTTTTTGAGCGCCTCGGTCTCCTCGGGCGCCATCTCGTGTTGCTGTTTTATTGTTGCTGTTGTCGTTCTTGTCGTTGTTGCTGTTGCTCTGCTGGAGACGGCGCTTGATCGAGAATAGAATTGAGAATTTTAGCGAAAGCGGTAACGGATTAAGACAAGGCATTTCGTCTTGTGCGGAGTACCGCACAGACCAAGTCCTTCAACGTCTAAAGTGTTGGAATAGCGACACTTTGGGCTATGCAACAAAGGGTGGAGAGGGTCAGGTGCGCAGGCACGTGATGGAGGAACGTGCTGCGCGGGCGCCGCCCCGCACCTGCTTCATTAGGCCCCCACAGCTGGAACTGTTGGAATAGCGATGTTGGTGACCGTACTCTGCGCTGGAAGGCAGGCGGTGCGATGCACGTGCTAGCGCACGTGCTTGCAAGCACGTGCGCCGCACGGCCCTCGCACGGCCATGTACAAAGCCAAGAACCCCCACCATAGATTTCTAGAACAGAACATGAATCAGAACAACTTTACACCCCCCCCCCCCCGGTAGTACTACCACTTTTTGACCCGTTGGAACACCTACGTGGTTGGAATACCACGAACACTGATCAGTGAGTGGTAACACTCACAGATAAGCTACGTGAAGAGACGAGATCGTACTATCGGCGCGATCGCACTGAACTTTCGAGGGAAGTGCGACCCGCGTGCGAGAATCTCTCGTGCTATCGCCTAGACGACTGTTTCCTACGAACTTTCGAGGGAGTAAGGAGGCTTCATCTAGAAGAATTAAGGAACCAATCGTACTAAACGCGAATGTTTACGACCGCTGGAAATCGGGAAGGCGATCGTAAGCATCACGGCTTGGTACAAGAGGAACCCGAATTGCGCGCCACAGTGCATTAACCCCGCTATAACCCCACTCAATGCCAAAAACCCCGGTCGTACGGCAGCGACCAATCACCAACACACTTATCGACAGTCATCGATAACTTGAAGACGATGGCGTTAGATAGTGAGGAGGAATCCTACGAGGAGATCTGGGAGAATAGCGGCATCCCCGCGACGGTTTGGAAGAGCAATGTTGACTTCAACCTGTGGGATTCTGAAACGCCACCAAACCTCACGAACCCATTTCGGGAGAAGGAGGCAACAACGTACTTCGCACAGAGTATGATGGAGTTTATCTGGTTCAATATGAGCCTAGATGGAATCCGCGCAGCTTTCCGCGAAGACTTCAAAGGCTGGACAGTCGCACAATTCAACGAAGTCAATCGTACGTTCAAGAAGCGAATGCTCACCATCTTGGAGCAGAAGAACGTACAAGTCCCGGAAGGGACGACCTCAGAGAAGTTCGCCAGTCTCGTGGCGACCGCACAGCCAATAGAGATGCCGCACAATACCTATCAACCATCTCCGACACCCACCCTACAGCTCAAGACAGGAGGAACACCACTCCTAACGAACCCACCGGGTACGACGACTTCTCCATCTCCCAATTCGTACCAGAACCCGAACCCGCTATGCGGAACCCCCTATATCCAGTACCAGAACATCCCACCGACGCGGATCATATATAACGGCCCAGTCGATAGCAGGAAAGTGTCGGCGTTTGTGAAGGCATGGAAGCCCGCACGGAACTATACAGGACGTCCGTATGACATCTTGTACGATAAGGTCAAGCACTTCGTTAGTATGTGCTGGAGGCACGAGATCTTGGAGGATATGTATCACGCAGTATTCCCCGAGATCCTATCTGACCGTGCGGAGACGTACTATATGAACCATATTGGGCCTGATGAGAGGTGGGACGAGATCTATCAACTGCTGGACTCGTACTTTAATACTACGGTGAACCACGCCGAGTATTACTCGGACTGGACTACCCTCAGCTTCGCACGATTGCGTAGGGAGAGCCCAGAGGCACCAGCGAAGGAGATGCTCGAGAAGATGCTCGATAAGCTCCAGCTCGTGCAGCGTGCCCTAGGCGAGGGATACCAGGGCGAGATCGCACTGCATACCGCAGTCACGCGAGCCTGCACAGGAGTCGCAGAGTTTGAACCAGCACTACTGGGCCAGAGGACATCGTGCGAGTCACTATTTGACAAGCTGAGAACAGCCCTGAAGATTGCAGAGGACCGCAAGGTTTCGCGACAATTCCATACCGAGACGTACGACCAGAACTTTGTCGACCGGCGATATCGTTCCAATCGCACAAACGACAAGCCACAATTTCCCAAGCGTCAATTTCAACGACGCGATCCTTCATATCGCCCTCGTGCGAGATTCGGGAATACAAGAGACAAGAAGTGCTTCATCTGCAAGAAAGAAGGCTGTTGGTCAACCAACCACTCAAGGGAGGAACGAGAGAAGTCTCGAAGGCAATACCTCCAGGCGTGCGAAACATTGGAGAGCCAAAAGGACTTTGAACAATTCCTGGCAGGTTTTGAAGGTACGCCACCAGAGGAGGAGGAGAGTGACGATGAGGAGTCCGGATATGAGGGCGAGGAGGAAGACCAAGGACAAGCCGCACAATTCCTCCAAGAGAAAGCATATATTCATCGCACATTCGGCGAGAATATCTACCAAGAATGCGAGGAGAAACCGGCGGAACAGTTCGTACTAGAGAATCAGTATACGACAATGTACCAGGGCGAGCTCTGGGATACTGGAGCCGCACAAGTATCTACCGTCGGAAAGTGCCAAGTCGAGGCATATCTGAGAGAGAACCCTTGTGCGAAGATCTCTTGGACACCAGGAACCGCCGAAATCCGATTCGGAGGCGGAAAAGTCAACACCTCTATAGGTACGATGCTTATGGAGAACGCTATCGGGAAGGTCACGTACCACATCTTGAATACGGCGACGCCATTTTTGCTTAGTCTGCGCGACGCGGATAGACTTAAAGCATACTTCAACAACGTTGAGGACGTCATCGTACGAGAGGATGGAACCACTATCCCCGTTATCCGAAAATGGGGACATCCTTTCTTCAATACGAGTCGTGCGGAAGCAGGAGTCTACCTGACTGAGCCAGAACTGAGGAGACTCCACCGGCGTTTTGGACATCCTCGTACCGAGAGACTTCACAAGCTCTTGAAGAAAGCCGGGCACGAGGATGTAAAAGAGGAGATCCTCCAAGAAATCCAGAAAGTCTGCCATCACTGCCAGACGCACGACCCAGCTCCACAGCGATTCAAGTTCACGATCAAGGACGAGTGCGAATTCAACTATGAGGTCGTCATCGATATCGTACAGCTCAATGGAAGGAAGGCGCTACACGTTATCGATGTGGCGACATCATTTCAGGCAGTAACGTTCCTACGATCAATGTCAGCGAACGATGCATGGGACGCACTATGTCGCTGTTGGATCTTTGTATACCAAGGGCCCCCAGATGTGATATCGCACGACCCAGGAACGAACTTCGCATCTGAGGAGTTCAGGAACAACGCCAAGATTATGGGAGTCTCGTGCAAAGAGATGCCGATTGAGGCACACTGGGCTATCGGTAAGGTAGAGAGAGCACACCGCCCATTAGAACGGGCGTACGATATCCTCCACCAGGAGTTGAGTCATCGCACAGACGACGAGACGATCCTCCAGATGGCAGTTAAGGCTCTTAACGATACGGCTGGCCCAGACGGGCTCGTACCAACACTCTTGGTATTTGGAGCGTACCCCAGGATCAATCACGACTCGCCACCGTCACCCGAGATTAGAGAGAGAGCGCGAGCAGTGCAGAAAGCAATGAAGATGTTGCGCGAGATCCGCGCACAAGTTAGCGTTAATCGTGCGCTCAATACTCGGAACGGACCAACGACAAATGGAGTCCTCGCACTACCCTTGAGGAGCGAGGTGCTTGTCTGGCGAGAAGGGAAGGACAAGAGGTGGGAAGGACCATACCCCATTATCGCCAAGGACTACGCCAATGTTACCGTCGAAATGCAGAGCGGCCCAAAGACGTTCAGAATAACCCAGGTCAAGCCGTACTATCAAGATAAAGATAGGGAAGAGCAGGGACAAGGAGAAATCATCTCGCACGAGAAAGACCAGGTATTGAAAGAACCTGTTCCCATCGTGCAAAAGAGGGGACGGGGACGACCAAGAAAGAACCCAATCCCAGCTCAAGGCACGACTCTTGTTACTCAGAAGGAAGTCGACGCACTTGCACTGGCTATCCAACTCCGCGAAGAAGGAAAGATCACTATACCCGGGCTACCATTTGAGGAATCGGACGCCCAGGAGATTGATGGACTGCTGGTCTCGCACGTTATTGAGGTCATCCGCTTTAATGAAAAGAAGCATGGCAAGCTAAGACTCTGGAAGACCCGACTCGTGCGAGAGATAAAGGGAAAGGATTCTATCCCCTATGAGAAGTCCAGGTTGATCGTGCAAGGCCATAGCGACGAGGATAAAAAGGAGATCTTGACCCAGGCTCCGACGATCCAGAGAATGAGCCAGAGACTGATCCTCGCACTAGGCCCATCGCTAGAAGAGCGAATTGGTGCAAAGACTGAACTGAGAGATATTACGCAAGCCTATACCCAATCGACAGATCCTCTTCATCGCACAATCATCGCACAGCTCCCGAAGGAACTCAAGGACAAGTATCCGAAAGGTACGGTCCTATGGATCAAGAAGCCCCTATATGGACTCGCAGAGGCCGGAGTCCATTGGTTCAAGACGTACAACAAGCACCATATCGAGGCATTGGAGATGCAAACTTCAACGTACGACCCTTGTCTGTTAGTTACCAAAAACGGACAAGAGACCTTCGGAATCACAGGCATGCAGACAGACGATACCCTCACACTAGCCACCCCCCAGTTTTCGGAAAAAGAGGAGGTCAAGCTCAAAGAAGCAGGACTGATGGCGAAGCCAAAGAAGTTCCTGACGCACGACTCTCCTATCGAGTTCAACGGATGTCGCCTCCAACTCCAGGGAAAAGACATCTTAATCGCACAGAAAGGGCAGGCCAAGCAACTCAACCTAATCGACCAGGAAAAAGAAGATGCACCCCAACAATATGTATCTCAACGTGCGAG